TGCTGCTGCTGCTGCTGCTGCTGCTGCTGCTGCTGCTGCTGTTGCTGCCCGTGATGAGGTAGCTGAGCAGCGCCTGGGTTAAAGTAATCTGCCGGGTCAACGGACTGATTTGCGAGGAGATATCGTATCGTCTGCGCATGATCTGGCATTGTCGAGAGGTGTGCGACGTAGCGTGTCATCGAGTCTGCACAGGCTCGCATAGCATGCGCCATGGTCAGCTAAGAGCAAGCCATTCAGCTTCTTGGTCGCGCAAAAGCGGAGACGACGTACGTAATCACCGATAAGCCTCGCTTTGAGGTTGTCGGCCTCCATGTGCTGCTGCCGCGACATCTTCACCTGGATCTCGCCCTCCTTGGCGCGATATCAATGTCAACTCCGTCCGTAAGAGCGTCCTGCGTGTCTGCTATAGAGCGATTACCGATCTCGACTTCGCTCGCGAAAGCTTTGATCGGTCTTTGCTCCCACCCAGAAGGAGGGATATAGCCTCCTTCTGACTTCGTAAGCTTGTGGCTCGGATTCTCTAGTAGTATTCAAACCAATGTCTGGGCTGATCTTTCCTCTTACTCGCACTTACGAATAGCTGCAAGGGTGATTTCCGATTTCGGTCGGCAAAAGAGCTAACCAGACGGGAAGGCTGCTGCCGCTGCAGGTCAATCGACGCGTGCGCGGGGCCAAAAGTTGCGATCGCTGGATCATCAAATGCCGCCACCGCAGGGGCAAATCGTAAGCGCTCGTGTGCCTAGCACGAAGTGACTTGGGGCGGGCAAGGCGTTGTTCTTGACCGTCTACTGCCTGAATTCGAATAGACTAGTGGGCGATTCGTTTTAAGAGTCGAAAGCACAGGACCGGTCACGTCACTGCTTTCTCCTGCACAGCTGACGGATCGTTCGTGCTCTTGAAGCTAAGGCTGAGCTCGGCTTCTGCTCGGTCGGAGGCACAGGCCCCTGGCGGCAACGCATTGTAGCGCTTGTGGAAGCGCATTGCCGATTCGCGAGCTGCTAGCAAGAGGGAGGCTGAGCAGCAGCCGCCGCGCACCGCAGGCGTATCGGCGAGTGTAGTGTGCGAGGCTCGAGCGACCCGGACTGACGCGGACAACGCGAGTGGACTGGGCTTGCGTGGATTGTCGTCGACCTGTACAGCTGTACCTAGCTTGACGTCCATCGCGACTAGCATGGGAAGATAGCGAACGGAGAGGGATCAGCTGGTCAGTCAGACAGTCCTCTCGCCTCTGCGCGGGTCAGACAAGATGTTCACGCACATCTTGGAGCAATGCATTCGCTCTGACCAAGACCGGGCGCTCGCCCATTCGACGCCTTATAATCGACATCTCTTCGGCGCATGGCTCCTCGTAGAGCCCCTCGATCCAGACAAGGAGACTCTGATCGACTATGTCCGCCGAAAGATGGGAGAATACGGTATCATGAGGTCTGAGCCACTGCAATCGGCAAGCGCACCTGCTCGGGCCCCTCTAGCTCAAAGTCTTGCAACCTCGCTCGAGCCTATGTCGGCGCTTGTGGAGGCCTCTCGATCTATGCAGAGCGCAGGCTCAGGCCATGCCACCTCTTTAACAAGCACGTATCGCAGCGATAATGATGATAGGCCTCTGGTCTCAGAGCAACAACGAAATTTGGCTGTCTGCCCGCAGCGACCAGAGCAAGCCAGCGCGAGTGATGCCCTGGCTCAAACGACAATCCGGGATCAGACACATGCGCGTTCTCAAGACCGTACGCGCGACGCTAGGCTCCAAGATCGAAATGATGGCAAGCCACTCATGCAGCCTGTGCCTGCGTATCCAAGCCCTGCTAGCCCGACACTTGCCGAGCAGGAGCTCTATACACAGGTCAAGACAGCAGATACATCTACCACCGTTCAGTCCGCACTGGCCAAGATCGCGCCCAAATCAGTGCCGATCGAATCTGGGCCGTACGAGGCTGTAATGCGTGCAAGCTCGCAAGTGCCACCAGATGAGAACGTTGCACCTGCCAGCAGCTTCTCTGCCAGTCGTATGTATGATGTTGATCAAGACAGCAGCGACGACGACAAGCCATTGCCAAGACAGAGGCCAGCAGTCACGCGACATCTGACGCCACCCGTATCGGTCCTCGCGCCGCCATTGACGAGTCCTCCTCGCGCGACTCGTCGACCAAGCCCAGCGCAGGAGTCGACTGCTCGCAAAGCTAGTCCTTCGCTTATGGAGACGATGCGAGGGCAGCCAACTATCAGATCCGCCGCTGATATCGCGGCTGCAGTCGCGTCGCGCTTGAACTCTTACATGCCTGTGTCTGTGGTTGGGATCGCTTCGCCGACCAGCGTGCGTCCGAGTTCTCATTTGCTAGAGACCAGTCAGTCGACTGTGCAAAGGCCTGTCGAACTTAGTCGTCTCGCCGAACCCATTCCGAAGCCTATCATTCAAGATGCGCAGCCTATCATTCAAGATGCGCAGAATGTTGCGACAGCAGATAGTCTGAACGGCCTGCTGTCTAGATCTATTGCTGCACCCTCTGAGCCTCCCATTGCCTCATTTCCAGCTTCAGACTCCTACGGCATCGATCCTATACTGCCTCCAACCCTCGCACCCAAGCCCATTGCTTCGACATCGCGTTCAACACCCACGCCGCCGGCCGAGTGTGGTACACAGCCAGTCAATGGACTTCCCCTCGCCATCGATGCTCCGGAGCCGCCCATCATCGCAAGCAAACGGCCGAGATCGCCTTCGCCTACCACGGTATCAGAGCCAGCGGCTAAGAGACCCTCGAAGAAAGCGCTCGAGAAGCGCATCGCGAAGACGCAAATGGCAGACACGAGCTCGCCATTACTGTCAGTGGCAATCGCTACCGCGCCGTTGCAACCTGAGCCTTTCGTGAAAACGTCCGAGACTAGGTGGCAATCGCTCAAGCCCGACCTGGAGGCTCTGATCGACAAAGATGGCGTTAGCAAGAGGCCTGCTACCACAGCAAAGAAGCTCAGAGATTTTTTAGTCGCTCAGCTTGAGGAGGTCAAATCGCCAGATGGCCAGCTGCTTCGCTATTCGCTGGATTTCATACCTTTGAAGGATCGCGATCGGCTTGTGAGTGAGATTGGCAAGAAAGGCCACGCATCTTTTTATGCGGCGTGGCAACCAGAAGCTGGCAAGCCTGACGAATTATTGGCTGGTCCCAAGATTCTCAACGCACTGCTTTGGACGGAAATCTATAATCGAAATGCGGATGGCAATATGCGACCGATTTTCGAACACGTGTGGAATGAGGTGAGTGCGCTACGAGCTCCTGCATGCGAGGTCTGACTGTTCATGCAGTTTACACTCAGATGTAAGTTCAGATCAACTGCGCAGGTCCAGCAATTGGCAACAGGGGGCCTCATCGTGAAGCTCATGGAGGTGCTGAAAAGCGATCGAGCAATCAAAAGTAGGTCTGCAGCTCTCTTGCGCACATGAACGCGCTGAGTCATGCTGCGCTTTACAGTGACTAAGATCCAGTCAGGGCTTTTCAAGAAATATCGGCAAGGCATGAAAGATTTCAGGACAACAGTCGACAAGCTCTTCGCCGGTGAAAGTAATGGCGCGCGCTCAGATGGTCAGCGGCTTCAAACTGAACTCAAAATGGACGAAGAGGACGGGTCCAAGTCTAACGGAGACAGTGTCAAGATGACTAAGGTCTCATCTACCGCGCAAAAACGCAAGGCTGATCAGCCGAACAATACGCCTGTAGCATCTACAAGCGCAGCTAAACTACCTACGATCAAGAAAAAGCCGACAGTTGTAGAGCCCGTCAACAAGCTCGAGGAGATCCTTCGACTACAGCGCTCACAGAGGCGAGAAGAGACGGACGCTGGTCAAGAGATGCCGAATAAGAAAGTCAAGCTGGCAAAGAGGGTCAGATGGGCTCCAGACGACAAGCTCGAGCAGATTCAAATCTTTCGTAGTGAAGAACCATACGAGATTGCTGTCAATCCAGTACGCCTGATCAGTCTTCGTTATGGCACTGCTGATGATCGTTCACAGGCTCAGCAAGACGCAGGACCTGGGGTGCCGGAGGACGATCCGATCTTCGCGATGCCAGAAGGCAAAGTTCTCAAGCAGCAGCATCAGATGGAGGCAGCGGCAGAAGCAAAGCAGGCGGATGCAGAAGCGAAAGAGGAAGCTGAGCAGGCCACACCAGCAGACGCGGCGCATAAGGAGCATTTGAGGCAAGAACTCGCCCAAGAGGTGGGACGCCAGAACGCAGTCATAGACGAAGTAGATGGTCAGCGAAAGATCGTTGCCCTAGGTCAAGATCTTGCCATCCTTTGGGTAGAGCCACAGAGTACGTTGATCGCACATGTATATGCGATGTCCGCTCACTGCCGCCGCTGGCTAGATGTGTTGGTGAGCGAGGCCGTCATCGAGTCGTGGGAATCCGTCTTGACAGAGGACTCTGGTATACAAGAGAGTGTCTATCAAGAAGCGCGGGAAGCCACTACGCCAGCCCTAGAATACCACTACGGCGACGCAGTGGCACCCAGCGCACAGGAGCCACGTGATGGACCTGCTAATCCGGGTGCGGCGCCCACCCGAGAGATGTCTCTTGGACCGGAGCTCCTTGCATTGCCTGAGATCGGTCGACAACTTCAAAGGGCCCGTGCATCCATGAAGGCCGCCGCTACAGCACAAGCTCGGCTGCCGACTCCGAGAGCTCTGCAGCCCGCCAGAGCTACATCTCCGCCGAACGCTACAAGAGACACGACGGCCGCAAATAGACGTGACCGGAATGAGCGAACACAGAGTCCTGAGTCGCGCTTTGTGCCGCGCATTGATGTAGCGCATCCTGTAGGACCGCATGACCGAGAGCGAGATCAGACTAGCTGGTCTCACGATAGAGGAAGCTACGTTGCCGGTCGATCATTACAGGACCGTCAAGCTTCGAGACCTGACGCGTATTCGCACTATCCGCGGCAATGATGCATGCATATCGTTGACAACAACAGCGGACGGTGCGGCGCGTGCAGATTATCGGGCAGCTTGCTGAGCGGGTGACTGAGCATGCGAGGGTGTGGCGACAGCGTTTGGCGTGCCGACGATGTCCTGAGATGACCAAGCTTGGGCTTGTCGGTAGAAGTCGGCAAGCTTCTGTAGGCCCTCTGCACCACAATGCGCAAATCAGCTCGGTACAGGATCGCAAGGATCGATCAGCTGACCCATAGGACCGAGCTTTTCGCGCTGGACAAAGTGAAACAGCTCTTGAAGTTGTCCAACACTTTCCGCGACCTCCATGCACCGTAATTCGGATTCTGTGACGCCAAAGGTCCCGACAGGCGATTGGGGCACGATGTAAAGCTTGGCCGGTCCTCGACTATTCTTGATGACTTCTGCTTGTTGTTCGACAAGAGCGGATCGAAGGACGGACTCGGTGGATGAGGTATATTCCACCTCTAGAGACTCGATCTTGAGTATAGGCAGCGCAGACTGAGCAATGTCATCCATTGCGGTGGCGGACGTTGTCTGTATGAGCTGACATTCTAGCCTGCCCGTCTTCGTAACAACGGAGCCGTTCCGGTATGTGTCTATCACCGTCAGACGGGCGCATTGGACGACAAGCACGGGATGACCAAACGATGCCATCCTGACGGCCTCTCGCGGTCCATCTAGATTGATCTGGCGAGAGCTCAGTCCTGCTTCTTTGGCAGCATAGAAGTATCGCGGCAAGGCAGCAGAGCCGATCTCTGTGCAGCCCCAGGACGCAGTTAGGACCAGCGCAAGGAATGATCGGAGAACGCACCGAAAGTCTTGAGCTGATCTGTACCTGTCTCTGTAAAGGTAGTCTTGAGTGATGCACGCTCTGTAAAGAGATCGGCGCAAAAGGCTTGAACGGCATCATACGAGTCTTTCATCTGTACGCTGGCTATCAGACACGATTGCAGCAAAAATGAGGATACAACGAGCCTGGAGAAGCTGCGAGAGAGGATCGCCAAGCCTCAACAGACGAGCAGCGCCTATGCTGCCGTCGTTGACAGGGCGATTCACAGCCTGGAACGGTCTGGCGGGCACGGCTTGCTGAGCGAGATTCATCTGCTCCCTGTGCCAGCTGTTCTGCCGCGATTCTTGCATGTATCTCGCTTGATTCTGCGCGTTGTTGTGCGCATTGAGAGTGGCTACTTGTTCTTGCGACAGACCGCCGTGACGTGCGGGTGGTGGTAGCGATGGTGCTCTTGAGCCCGGCAGAGGTACTCTTGGCCCATTGGAGTAGACTGTACCACTTGAAGTTCTACTCATGCCTGGTCTGGTGCCATTCTCTCTGATCTGACCGTTGACGGCCGTCTGATAACCCAATTGTGAGCCTCTCATCCTGATCAGTTCAGCTTGACGTTGCTGCAACTGCTGCTGATCCATGTGACCGTTCTGAACCGGGTCGAGGAGTTGTGAAGCAGGCGAAGGTGCATTGGCAGCATGATTGGCAGCTACCCATGCCTGTTCTGCTCCAACCAGGCTCATAGATGGAGCACCTAGCGGTGGGGCAGGGTTGAGCAGCGGCATCTGAACAGCCTGAGCTTGACGCGTGGGCTCCTCGAGTGCCATGGCTTGCTGGGCTCGTTCGAGGACATAGCGTGCTTCGGGTGGCAGCTGAGATAGCACGGCAGGGTAGGCTTGGCCGGTAGCCTGAGAACGCTGTAAGATCCAGGAGTGTATCTGCTGAGCGGACAGTCGTGACCAGTCTGTAGCCTGCTGTCGATTTCCGGGGTCCGACATCCTCAGGGGCGACTGGCTGGCCGGGGGCAGATCAGTTCGTTCAGGCAGCCGGACCAGCGAGACGTCGCCGCTGTGGGCGCGAGCGTGCCTTCCCCACATCGAGGGCAACACGGCCGAATGTCAAGTCGAACGCGCACCTTCTGTGCCTGCCTGGCCTGGTCTCGCAGGAGGATCCTATCGGCTTGATCTTCGTCCACCGTCGGCCGCTATGGACGGTATCGTGCCCGTCAATGCGACAGACGAGGAGATTGCGGCGACCAGCGTCGCACCAGCTGATCGACATGATCCTGCCGCTGCTCGCGCTGCTCAGCAAGCAGGAGCGCAGGACGGCGAGGCAGAGATGATTGTGGATGATGACGACGGCGAGGGCGTAGACGGTGAAGCAGGCGAGGAAGAAGAGGCAGCTGTGCCCGCGGGGGAGGATGTCATCCAGCTGCCGTACGGCACAGAAGAGGTGGCAGTCGACTTGGGCGTACTCGACGATGAGGGCGTCGAGGATATCTACCAGCTCTTCCAGGAGGAGTCACTCGGCGTGGAGTGGTACATCCGTCTCACCCATGGCTTCTGGAAGCGAGGCCTCGTCAGCCGGGCCTTTGACTTTGCGACCAGAGGATTGAGCGTACTCCAAGCTGCCGCGCAAGCTATCAAGCCGACAGCGAGACAGGTTGCGCTCGAGGGCGCAGAGGCAGAGACAGCCTACAAAGCCAAGCTGAAGGAGCAGATACCCTTGCTGTGCATGCTAGCCAACTACAGGCTCAATCAATCTCGTCGGGCACCGAGACTGCTTCTCGAGACAGCTCAGGTTGATGTCCTCTCGTCTGAAGGACAGCCTGCCTATCTGCTCGACGGTGACGGCAAGCTGAAGACAAAGGCGGCGTTGCTATCCGAGGCAGATACCTTCCTCACTCAGGCAGCTTCATATGATGCCCATTCACTCCTCGTCAGAGACTGTCAAGCGCAGTATCTCATCCTGACGGGTCAAATTGCCAAATTGGCAGCGCATACTCTCTCCAATGAGGCTCTCGAGTCCAGACGGCTCAACACAGCGCTGGAAGCAGAGACACGGCATCGCATGGCAAACGAGCAGCGCCGAACCAAAGGCGAGCCAGAGGTTCGCGATGCTCCCTCTTATGATACCTCCCAGCATCTGCTCGTCCTCCGTGTCAAGGCTTTGGTAGCCTATGCGCAGGCTTCGACGCATATGCAACAGGCAATAGCCGCAGCTCAGCTCACCTCAATCTCACCGTCTACCTTGCCGCCCTCTCTAGATCCTGCCGTGATCGGGACGAGCCAGGCTAGCTCGGGTATACCTGGCAGCGGCAATGCTGCTTCTGCGCACGCTCTCTTCAAACAGTCTCTTCGACTGTATCAGCAGATCCTCACGCTCGCGCCAGATTCGCTGCCCGATCCCAGGATAGGCCTCGGGCTGTGTCTTTGGCAACTCGGTCACTCTCAACGAGCAGTTCGAGCATGGAAGCGCTCGATTGCAAAGGTCTGTCCATCAGCTTTATCAGCTTGCTGTCAGCAGGTCTGACGCGTCTCGCATGTAACAGCATCCAGGAGAGGCATCCGCGACTGCCAAGTTGTTGCTCGGTCTCACGCATTTCAATACGAGCAAACAGAAGCAAAGGGATGCTTCCAGTCGAGAAGCCGAGCTCGAGAGCGAGACAACCTATCAGCAGAGCTTCACCTCTATCGCAACTTGCTTCAAGGAGGACAAGATCTGCTCGCCAGCTGCTTTCCTGCTCGCTGGCTTCTATCAGGAGAGCGATTCGAATCGGTCGATCAAGTTGGCAGAACGAGCGATACAGTACTCTACATCGGCAGCCATGCTCTCCGAGTCTTATCTGGCCCTCGCACGCACGCATCATGCTCAGGCTAATCTCAGGACTGCACTCGAGTTCTACGAGCTAGCGAGTCAGCATGCAACCAACCAGGTCGTCAGCTTGCTAGCCATGGCCCAGATCCGGATCAAGCAGAACGAGCTTCCCGCAGCGCTTGACAGTCTGCAGAGGGTACTCAAGATTGACAACAATTGCATCGAAGCGATTGCCAACTTGGCAGTGCTCTACACATCGGAATACTTCAAGCTTCCCGCCTCGACGGGACTGGCGGAAAAGCAAGCAGTTGCCAAAGAAGCCAAAGAGATCTATGACAAGCTTCTGGGCCTCTTTGCTGCGTCGTCTGCTGCCGCACAGAATGCGCTCGATGTTTCTGCCTCGCGCACAGTGCTGCCGTCACAGAGAAGGGTCAGACTGGTCTCTGAGGATGCGGATGTCTACGTCGACGTGGCGAAGCTATGGATCGAAGACGATGCGGCCAAGTGTCTCAAGGCCTACCGGGAATCGCTTCGTGTCAGAGTTGATCTCGCATTATCCCTGCCACCTCAACTGCACAATAACATCGGTTGCTTGCTGTTCCTGCGCAATCAAACAGATCTTGCACAGGAACACTTTGAGACGGCTCTGACGAATGCTATCACGCAAGTCGCAGACGAGACGGCTACGCTTGCGCAGGACGCATTGATCACGTTTATCTCTTACAATCTTGGCTTGGTCTACGAGGCATCTGGTAATACTGATTTGGCTATTGATCTATACCAGAACAAGTTGCTTGCGCGTCATTCGGAGTTCAACGAAGCGAAAGCCCGTCTTGCCATCATCGCTTTGCAGAAGGGCGACGTTCAGCAATGCACCAAGCTGCTCAAGGAATGCCACAAGACGGACGGCAGTGACCTCGCGATCAAGGCACTGACGACGTATGTCCTCGTTGAGACGAAGCAGTTCAAGGCCGCCCGCGATAATGCAAGCTATACGCTACAATCTGCGGATGCTAGGAATGATGTCTATGCGCTCTGTTCGGCTGGCATGCTTCAGTTCGAGCATGCGAGAGATCTCAGACCGAAGGACAAAAAGAGCTTTCAGGAACGCGCCGGGCGTTTCACTAAAGCTGCCGAATCGTTTGAAAAGGTCTTGCAGATCGATCCAAAGAATGCCTTTGCGGCACAAGGCTTGGCGATCTGCTTGGCGGAAGGCACACTCAATGTCAGTGCGCCGGGTCCGGACGGCATCGTCTTATCTGAGTCAGCACGACGAGCTCGCAATCTTAGAGATGCGATTGCGATTCTCATCAGGCTACGCGAGACAGTCAACGAAGCCAGTGTCTACGTCAACTTGGGCCACTGCTACTTTGCCCGAGAGGAATTTGAAAAGGCAATCGAAGCGTTCGAGGCTGCTTCCAAGCGGTTCTCGAATGAACGCAGCGTGAGCACTTTGCTCTATCTCGCAAGAGCCTGCTTCCACAAGGGACATCGCGATCGAAGCTTCGCCGCTGTCTCCGAGGCTCTGGTTGCTGTACAAAAGGTCAGTCTTCTCTTGGCACCGTCCATGTATGACTGAAAGGTCCGACAGGCACATGCGCTGAACCCCAAGGATCTGTCGATCCAGTTCAACATGGCCATCGTTCAGCATCGCGGTCTGGAGATCTTGGCAGAGACACCGTCCGAAGCCAGAACACTGAGCGAAATTGACGGCGCAATCGTGGAAGCGCAGAAAGCTCAAGAGTGCTTTGTCCATCAGATCGTGCTCTGCAGTGATGACTGACGCAAGTCATGCAGGATCTTTGCCAGGCTAGGTCGACAAAAGGGTGAAGAGGTGCCATTCAGCGTGGACGCGGCACAACAGCGAGTGAGATATGGGCTTGGCCTCATCAAGCGAGCAGAAGAGCACGATCGGACGAGACAGGTGGAGTATGAGTCGACGGAGCAAGCAAAGCTGGAGCGTGCTAAACGTGATCGGGACGCCGAACGGAAGCGGAAGGACGACATGGTCGCCGAACGGGCAGAGCGAGCACGTTTACAGGCCGAGCAACTGGCAGAGCAACGGAGACAGATGCTGGAGGATGCCAAGCAGTGGTACGTGCCTCGACCGGAGGGCGAGATCGAAGAAGCGGCGAGCAAAGTGAAGCGCAAGGCAAGGAAGTCGAAGAAGAAGCATACCGAGAGCGAGCCTTCTTCACGAGAGGAGAGCGGTCAGGTCTCAAAAGAAGCATCATCCTCTTCGGACTCGGATGCCGGCGCGCCGATCTTCAAGAAGATGGTCAAGAAGAAGCTCAGAAAGGCCAACGGGACGCCGGCGATCTCTGCTGCTGCATCCGAACAAGAAGGCGAAGATGGCGCGGACGAGGAAGGAGCTGTACGGCCGTCGAAGAAGCCCCGCAAGACTTTTGTAAGCTTCTGTCGCACAAGATGACACTATATGCTCCTGCTGACAACAGCTCATACAGAAATCGAGCGAGTTTGTCGATTCGGACGACGAGTAAGGAGTAATTCAGGACATCGACCTACTTGAGCTTGCCTGTCAATGCAATCGTGTGAGGGATAGCATCCTGTCCACTCGCTACGCCCTGTGTCTCATGAAGTCTACGGACATGCAGGGCTGATCGTGCCATCAAAATGACCATCGGTGACGTGGCTTATCGCGATGGCAGGCAGGCAGACGGCGCCTTGGCTAGTCTGGCTAGCTGACGCGCTCGCCGCTCCCACTGCTCGCAAGACCTCACTTGCAACGATCTGGCGAGATCTCGGTTCTAGTGCACACCTGGACATACTCTCTTGCTAGACATGCGCCATTCTCTCTTCACTAAGCAGTATGTACCGGTCCGAGCTAGCGAGGCAGCAGCGGCAGTCTTCCCGATCAATGATGTTATTTTCTATCTCAGTGAAGATAAAGCAACAGTCTTTCCACGAATCCGTCTCCTGCTTCTCCCTTGCGCTCTGAAGTCTCGACCAGCTCTGCGTGCCCGGACGTCATTCGTGAGCGAGCGATACGCGCCACGCATCAATCATGATATCATGATCGGATAACACTCTCAGCCGCTACAAAGGCTGTGTCACGTCACTGCGATGTTCGCCACAGGGCCATTAGCCGGGCCGCTATACCTTGTGCATGACTGAAGCGACCGACATTTCGCAAAGCCGCATCAGCCTTACATTTCCACTTTTCTGGCATTTGCTACCTCAGCAGGTCTTTGCGGGTGGCGTAGCAGCTGTTGTACGTCATCAGGTGCCAACAGAGGCGCGACACGCGACGAGAGTGTGACCCTCTTCGGCCTTGCGATGCGCTCCCAAGTGCTCGTGCGCTTATCCCATTCCTCGCGAAACACAGCACACGATGATCAATGGCTCGCTCAACATGCCTCGGCTCTCATTATCTTCAGAGGAGTCCATAGAGACGAGCAGTGCAAAATCGAGCGAGCAAGCATCCAGCGACTTGCACAAATCTCACGCAACGAGAGAATCTCCCAAGACCGCTTTGCTCAACGAGCGCTTAGCTCGAGCGCTCTGGGATGCACCAAGGGCAGAAGAGTATCTCGAGCTGTTCGTCAGAGATCACCATGCGCTCAAAGTCAAGTGCGACACCTATGAGCTGGCCGGGCTTCATTACAAAGACAAGCGCGATGAGCTGGTCAGGTCGATCGCCGCCAAGGACAAGGACTTGATCGACAAGGATGTCGAGCTGGCTTACCGGGCGGGCGAGATCGCTCGACTTCGACGAGAGCTCGATCAATGCAAGAAGGACATTGCAATTGTCCATCAGGAGGAGTCAGCAGATCTCAGGGCGACGCACGAAGCGCGAGAAGCTAAACCTGCGATCAAGGAGTGCAAAGCTTTGCAGCATGAGGCCACGACGGTGGTGGTGATGCCAGAGGGATCGGAAGCAGACCTGGTCGTCGAATTGCCTTCACCGGTCACCAACTCTGGACAGACCATGCCTTCACTCTCATCCATCGTGCCATCAGCGAGCTCTTCAGTAGTGGGCAAGTAGTTTTACTCGCCCGTGCTGATGGGGGCTGATCAGCTCCTTCTCGCAACTCAGTACGGTCTCGAGCCGATTTGTTCGACCGCGACCTGCCCAGCTGCATCACGCCCCCCTCAATGCGACTGCACACGGACGCTGCCGCTCACCGTTACACGCTAAATTATCAGAGCTCGACCTGGCGAGCCCCTCGCACTGATCGAGGGGCTCGCAATCGATCACCAGTCGCAAGGTCGAGGACTGCTCCTCTTGGCCCTGCGAGAAAACGAGGCCGGGGAAGAGACTTATCGTCTTTCGCACCGCGTGCATCGTCATACTGAGCTGTCGAGCCTCAAGGGGTCAGCGTAAGTCACCGATGCCCTCTGACTCGGGTTGCATACAAACCACGGTCATGACCTCCATCGCACCGGCAAGATCCTGCTCAGAGCCTTCTCTAGCCATCAAGGAAGCCTCACGTTACGGGTATTCTGTTCTGTGCAGCGAGCAAAGGCAAGCACGACCAGTAGATGATGGTGTCAGAAGCAAAGATCGTATGAAGCAACAACAACTCTATGCGACTACTTGCGTGAGGTTTTTGCGAGTGCTCTGAGCCGCGCTCGAGCAGCATAATACTGCTCTTCGAACTTAGCGGAGGCTAGAGCGCGCTCTACGAGTCCTTGCTGCTGAGCAAATTGGATGAGATCGAGACAGGCATCTCTCATCTTCGTTGCGTGATCACTTCTGTCCGTCATATCGAGCTCGCCGCCGAGCAATTCGAGAGCGGTACTGAGGAAGATAGGATCGGCAGCGGCAGTCGTGTCATCCGTCAGACGCGCCGTGCTCCACTCGGCCAACCACCGCGAGCCGTGCAGTGTTGCATCGGCGGGTGGCCTCGGACCAGCGGGTCGTTTACGCCATGCTTTCAAGAGCTTCTGGGTGGATACATAGGCAGCCAGGATGAGTGTCCAGCCGGAAATATGCAAGCTCCATGGCGAATCGGTCAGTCTTGAAAGCTTCTCTGCTTTCTTTGCCTCTTGCCATAGGCTGAGCGTGAGTGAGAGAGCCGGCAGATCCTTCAGGACTGTCAGGACTGCCCCAAAGACATGTGCCCTTGCAGCATCTTTGGCGAACACAGATTGCCCTGATCTGACATCGCTCAAGAAAGCTCTTGCGAAGCTGGTCTTTTCCTGGGTGATGCCGTAGCGTGCAAGAATAGAGCAATACGTCACAAAGATGTAAGCATTGGCGGAGCATGCGGCCTGCGCTTCGACCTGTTGCGATGTTGCAGCTTTGGCGATACGCGCGGGCACGGGCAGCTGCAGAGCACGCAAGACCGTCTTCATCTCGTTGCAGTCCTGCCGACCGAGAGCATCGCGAAGGCGGGTATTGGCGACAAATTGCGGTGAGCCATGCCATGTAACATGGTGACCGCGAGCGCGCAGGAGTGCGACTCCTATGTTGACTGAAGGCCAATGCGCCTTCTCGCTCTGGCGAATGAATTCGATGTAACTTGCAAGCTTGTTCGTCAGAGCTGGACCACCGAACGGACTGAGTGGCCGCCGTGGATCTTTGAGCTTATCGAGGTGGCTGATAAGAGCAAAGAGAGAGGCAATACCTCTTGATCCAAGGGCAAACGGCTGCATTGCAAGCTCGACCAGTCGCCTGAAGGATGAGCTGCTGACGGCGTGTCGTCCAAAGTGCGTGGCATGTGAGGTGAGCATATTTTCAAGAAGATCCAAGCCAAACGCTAGCGACTGTTGATGCGCTCTACAAGGCCGCTGTTGAGCGGTGGCCTGCTTTGCATCGACGAAATCGAGCAAGGCATGAACGTAGCATTTCAAGGCGTCGCCTTCCTTCATTGACCGCACTGCGTGTTCTTGCCAATCTCTCATGTCTCGCTCAAGCTGGCTGTCCAGATGGGCAAGACTGGAAAGCAGCAGTAACTCTATCTGAGCTTTGATGATGCGCTTCTCGAGCGCCAGAGTTTGTTGTCCAGCCGAAAGCTTGCTGGGAAGGCATTGGGTGACGAGCATAAGCAATGCGCGTCCGGTCGGAGGGCTAAGCGGTCCGTCTTCGATCGCCACGCCTCTGAGTGTCAACACAGCTTTTGCCTGCAAGACGAGCACGCCCAGCTGGACGATATGGACTTGTTCTGCAGGATCTAGTGAGTCGTTTTGCAGCATTTCGTTTAAAGCAATGTCGAGAGTCTGTGCTGAGCCCGATAGCGCGTGCAGATCGTGCAGACTGTCAGCAAGTGCGAGTGAGACTGTTGCGTTGTCTTTCAACTGCCAAGTACTGAGATCGAGAGCCAGGAACTTCCGCCGCTCCTCTGGCGGTGCAGTCTTACTTGACGCTGGCTCTTTGCCCTTCATCGAGCTAATGGCTAGCGGCGCGGGTGCAGGCGAGGTTGGCCTTTTCTCAGGCACGCGTACAGGCGAACGGGTCAATCTCAGCGTGACACGGTGGCTCTCGAGCGTGACGGCGCTCGTCGAAGCCATGGGCGTCATGTCGAACGTCGTGTCCTCATGGCCGCTGTGCTCCGTCACTGTCGACATGGATCGTTGGCTCGATGGCGGCACGAGGAGGAACTGGGCCAGTGTACCCAGAGCTAAGTTGAGCAGCGCATGATGTGCCCAGCCCCTGTTGGCTCGTTCGGTTGGATTGAGTGTCGAGCTTCTTTGAGATCGCGAGAGGTGACTATGCCCCCTGCGACTTGGCTGGGATAAGCCGCCATTCGCTGTCCATCGCGGACGCTGAGCTCGGCGCAAGATCATCCTGTATGCAGGCAAAAGATGAGTCCATGTGATGACGATCTCCAGCTTTGGCTACGTACCTATGTCTACCTTTACATCACCTCTGTCTAGTCATCGGCCAGCCTGCGCGTTTGCTCTGTGTGCAATCTTTTTTTTCCAAATTTTTCATACTTTTTCAATAAAAAACAAAAAAAAACGCCCAGCCAACGACTTGCTGACGATTTGAGGTAGCCTAGTGCAGCCGCAGACCCTTCTGCACGCATCACTGCAGAGTCGCATCTGTCCGACATCGATCATGGCGAACAGCCCGGCTGTTGCCGCGAGTAAAGCGCAAGGCAACACGCGTAGCACTCAGCGCATCATCGAGCTCGAGAGTCAAGTTGAGCAGCTCAAGGAGAGCCTACGTGTCAGCAGACAAGCTGCCGAGCTGAGCAATCAACTCGCGGCTGCCAAGGATGCAGAGATTGCGAGGCTCCAGACTGGACTGGCTCAACTCAACGGCACGCGACTTGGGCCTGCCGAGATTGCGCCTGCCAGTCGGATTGTGAGTGGCAGGGGCGGTCTCACCGAACGAGAAGTCAGGAATGCGCGCTTGTATGATGAACAGATGCACCACAAGACGCCAACAGCAGCAGAGGCAAGAGCTCTACGTTGGTACCCGAACAAAGAAATCGAGATGGCGTGTGCGAACCAACCGGACACGAAGCAGTTTGAGAAGCTCGTGTGCAATTACGACGGCGAGTCTGTGTGGAGCATGGAATCAGCCCAGACAGCTCTCATGCCTTTCCGTATTCACGCTTGGCGACGCGTTTGTGAGGCCCTCAACATGACAAATACCGATGCAACACTCCCAATGTCGCTCGAACTGGTCAGACAGGCCATCTTGCCGTTGTGGAAAGCACTCTGCATCTTGCTCGAGCAAGACGTCTTCCCTTTCGTCTTTTGCGACAGTCACTACAAGAGCGAAGCCTATCTCACTCTCGTCTTGACCCTCCGCAACAGCCTGAACGCGCGCGGTGAAGAGAGCAGACTGCAGCAGGAGAAGGAGGCCGGTGTCAGTACGAAGCCAGCAAAGTCACAGAATGCGCAGCATACCACTATTGGCAGCACGACCATCGCTTGGACAGCCGATGCCTCTGGCTCACATGACCAACTCAACTCAACCGGTCATGCCGTCGCGAGCACAAACGCACTGGCAGAACCAGACACCGGTCTCGACAATCGGGAATTCTATACCTCCCTTGCGTCTCGTGTCGTAGGCGATACAGCACCCGAGACGAGCCTTCAGACGCTTACCGATGCGCCTGCCGATGTGAGCTATGTCAAGATGGATACCAATTCGACGAGCTCTGCCCGGTACGCTCGCTATGGCTTCTGCAAATGTTACACGAGAGGATGCGGCTCACTCGGTGGTGGCAAGGGTCGTTCGGTCTGCATACCGACGATGAAGACCCACCTTCAAGCGGACAAAGATGCGCTCATATCGCTCAAGATCTCTGGCAAAGAGAATCTTGCTCCAGCAGAGTTGAAGGCCAATATTGCCTACATGGAGAGAGGCTACATCCCAGATGGCATGCGTGCTCAGAAGAGGCAAGCGCCGCGATCCGAAAAGCCTCAGATGATCGTCAAGGCCTATGTACCAGAGGGTAAGCATCTCGCTCCTGCCGGATGTACATCTGATGAAGACTGACGTCTGTGCGCAGACGGTCCCGAATCGGCTTTGCAGCTCGACATGTCATCCCCAGGCGCGATCTCACCGGGCGCGAAACGCAAGTTTGACGATTCAGAGCCAGAGCCAGACGTTTAGTCGCCGAGTCGTGTTGCTGTCGATCATACGCTGTTGTTGTCCAAGCTGTGTGTTGCCATCAAGGCGGATAATGCTGCCAATGCTAGAGAGAAGAGACGCGCCACGCGGGCGCACAGACTGCCTGACAACGGTCGTCGTCGTCGTCATCACCCTTGCTTCCTTGCGACTTTGCATCTGCTGCCACGAATGGGTGACATCAGGATCCCGACTGAGCAGGAGCAGACCACCGCTCGACAGGACCGTGAGCTTTGTCAGACTTTGCGCATTCAGGAGCTCGTGACCGAACTCGAAGAAAGCCGGAAGCAGCTCACGGAGGCCGTCAAGCAGCGGGATGAGCTTCACAGACTCGTCATCGCGAGAGAGATGACCGTGGCCAAGTTGCGCAACCAGCTAGTCGAGCAACAGTTTGCCCACAACCGTGCCCAATCGCTGAGATCACGTACGAATGACTCTTCATCAAAATTCGCCTCGCCTTCTGCGAGTCCTCATCCGGCTCAGTATAGAGCACCGGCATGGATCTATCATGCAATGACGCCGGCTGCTCAGCTCAGCGAAGAAGAACAGCTGGACGCGAAAAGCTACACAGAGACTGAAAATCCTACGCCACCGTCGGGCGCTGATCTGAGAGCATTGCTCTGGCAGCGTGCTAAGGCCATCCAGACCTTTGCCAAGGCTGGGGATGCCTGGACAAAGTTTGCAGACTGGATCATCGATGCACAAGGACGACCTCTGCGCGAGATTCCCGGTATGCTCGAGCGACTTGCCCAGATCAAGGCCTATGCATGGTTCCGCGTGTCAGATTGCTACGGCTTCAAGCCGGTCGGCCCGGTCGGCGTCTTCAACGGCAACGATGTGAAGAGCACTCATCCGGAACTGTGGAAGTCACTCTGTCGACGAGCAGAACGAGAAATACCGCCCCTTGCCTTGTGCGAGGTCCATTATAAGGCAAGTCCGTCCACTAAATTCGCGGCAATATACTTGATGGAAGGGCACAGGCCGATGCGCTCATCTTTCATACCCTCGAGACCATCGTCAGCGCAAGGAATAAAGCCGATCGTGAGTCGACAGGTCAAGCGCAAGCCGTCGTCGATCCCAGTCTCTTGCCGGATGCCGCACCACAGGGAGCAACAACGTCTATCGCATCCTCGTCGGCGATTGCCGAGCCAGCTTCTGACTCGTCTGTTTTGTCAGAGCACGCCTCCGCCCGCAGGACCGTCATGCTAGACAAGGTAGATTGCCTTGCTTCTCGCCCTCACCGAAGACTAACACGAACGCAGGCAAAGTTTGCGTTCTGCGCTTGCTTCTCCGCCGCGTGCTACTTACACAATAAAGGCAAAGGGAGGTCATACCAAGTCCAGACCATTCGCAAGCACCAAGCGGTAGACCAAGCACGTCTCAATGCCCACCTCAACAATAGCAGAGTCGTTGCAAGCGCGTCTGCTCTGCAGCATCTCGAACGTGCATGCGAGTACGCGCAAGAGGGAGCAGTCGTCGATCCCGATCGTGTAAGAGGCAGAGCGCGAGGCAGACCCACAGGAGCATCGCCTACGCAGATCGCGCCTGCAAGTGAAGGTGGACCAATGTCGTCTGATCATCCGCTCGTGCTCAGCAGCTGATGTGTGCACTAGAATTCAAGCAGCCAGTCTCAGCGCTGGCTGGAACCGACAACGCGAGGACAGCTTCGAATATGGAACAAGACGAAGCAGCCGCGATGTCGGCAAGTCAGCTATCCGGAGCATCTCACAGCGAAGCAGCGTCTATAGATGGCGCTCACGTAGAAGAGATCGCCTCAGTTGTCTGAAGAATGTGAATCCGCTGCGAATCTGTCAGATCCTTTTGGCGATTGCATTGGCAGCCGATGCCTTCGCCTCTCACGCGTTTGGCAAAAGCAGTTCTCTCTGAGCTCCGATCAAGTCTGCTCATCTGATGCAGATCCATCATCCGTCGTCTGGCGGACGACTATCATGATGTGCAGCGCGGCGTGCCGGGTCCATCGTCCTATGCGCAGGCCGGGCTCACTGCTGGCACGCGATCCTCGAGGCGTCGAGGACATCACTTTGCAGCAGATACAGAGTGCTCATATCCCTCTTCTCTTCCATTCCCACAGCTTCAGAGATCGATATGAGTTCTTACAGCCGTCCGGTGACGCCAAATGACACCGGATCGCGAGAATCAACAGCGCGGGCGCGAGGTACAGCTCAAGCTCAGTCGGGGCATTGTCACGCCGCAGAGTTCGCGCGATCGGCTAGATAGAAGCATGCAAACGATGAAATCTGATGATGCGCACAAGATCGAGCTACTCACCGAACGACTGGCACATGCCCGACAGACCATCGGACGAGCCGATGCGCATGTCTCACTTGGCGCAGCACGCTGAGGGCGTCTGCGAGTCAGCACTAGGCGATCGGATAAGCGCAGCGTCCTTTTGGGCTGAATCTGCACAATGCGTGGACAGCCGGTCCAGACATCGGCAGGCGGATCTGACCAGTACAGCGCCCATTCTATGTGCAATTTTCACGAAGCCCTTGAGAGATGTGCATTCAGGGGGTCTACAAGTGAGGATCGATAGCATGAAGACTGACCGGAACGCCTTACCTGAAGGTTGACCGCTCACTCGCTTGTTCCGCGCGCTAAGGGATCTATCACGTGATGCGCGCGACTGCCGTCTGGGCTATATCTGCAAACCTGCACTTCAGACCGCGATAAAAGGCGCGCCCAATTCTTCTTCCCACTCCTCGCCGCACTTGCCGACAAACCTGGCGAAACTCTTCAGTGCCAGATCGGAAGCGCTCCTGCGTAGTGCTGGTGCATACCCCTGCGAATTGGGGATTGCTGCTCATCAGAGGTACGTGCGCCCATCGATAGATCCGGCGAACTTCATCAGTGCCAGATCGGAAGCGCTCCTGCGTAGTGCTGGTGCATACCCCTACAAATTGGGGATTGCGGACTCCTTGATCACATAGAGGTCAGGACGTAGCACCAGACAATGCACAAGTTTCAGTGTGACGTGAAAGTGTATGCCACACTGCGAACTCATGAATCATGCATAAGAGCAGCCTCTGCTTCCTTCCAGCGGTGACGACGACTGAATTGTCTGAATATGCTGGCAAATGGCAAAGAGCCAGCAAGGCCTGGCCTGGCTGGTACTGGTGCTATCGCCTTGACTGACTGGAGCCTTTTCTATTGGGACACATCTCTGAGCAGCCACAATTTCTGCAGCGCTTGACAGGATCAGCGTGAATGGCGAGTTGACTTCTTGACCGGGAACGATGTAGCGAGAAGCATTGCTCGACGAAGTTGCGTCATTCTTGGACTCGTTGGGATGTGCGAGTGCTGCCGTTGTCAGAGCAGTAGCCTCTGGCACAGCACGATTGACCCATCAAGAGCAAAAGGACTTGCAACAATACGTACAGGGAGCACGCGCGATCCTCCCGAACGGTCTCTCTGCTTCTCGCATCCTCTGGTACAGACATGATGCTTTCATTTCCGAGGTGGATCATCGACATGGCTTATCAACCCATCTCTCAACACGCTCGTATCGAAGCCAGGCTGTCTGAGATACAGCAGCACATTCTCGCCAGATTTGGCGCTGCATGTGACACTGGACTCGGTCGACCTTTGCCACTCAGTCCTCCACAACTTCGCTTCACCTCTGTTCAAAGCGCTCTGTATCCGCGTCGAGCGCACAGTCCCGGCTTTCGCGCTCTGCGACATGCATTACAAGTCAGATGCGTTCATCTACACGACGCTTCTGACCTACAATCGATGCTTCATGCCGCCCTCAATCGACTCGTGCTCGCCATTGCAGGAGACGCGTCAGCGTAAGCCAGCGGGATTTGTGATATGCTGGACTGATCTTGGTGTCGCTCTGACTAGGGAGACATGCTGATCGCCCGACCGTCAGCGGCGTCAAGCGGCCTCGTGTGGAAAGCAGCAATGGCCACAGGACTATGCCGTCGACGCTCAGCCAAACTGAATGCATTACTCAGCCAACGGTGCCTGGCCCGATCGTGACTTCTATGCCGTGTGACGGTCTATCTCCAACGACCACGAACAGCAACGCTTTGCCGGGTGGGAACAACGCCTTGTTAGCGGGCAAGCTGTTGACGGTCAGCTGAACTGAGCCGTCCTGTCTGAGCGGACCTGCGACATGAACGAGCTCCAGTCCGCGCTGTCCCCAATTGACGCCGTGCGTCGAAAAGGCTGAGCGCACGAGCGTGATCATGACCGAGCTGACTGGCTCGCCATTGAGATCAGATCTGTCGAGCTGTTCGTGATGGAACAAGCACGTCAGCCTCATGAGCAGACGGTGATCTTCCCTACGCACCGTATGAGTGAAAGCAGGTCCGCCGTAACCTAGATGCGTGACGCCTTGGATGGGTTGTGGCCGAGGCCAGTCAAAGTAGTAAGGACGGAAAGCCTCGAGTCTGTATTCAGTTGCATAGTTGGCCGAGCTCACATCGGCGTTCGGATTCGAGCCGGCCAGTGCTACGCTGCCATCTGGCAGTAGTATCGCCGTGGAATGATACATCCTCGGTATGTTGGTCATAATGGGCATCTTTGTCCATCGCGACCCGATCGGCTTGGTCGGGTCAAAGAGATGTGGCCGATAAGTAGGATGATCGGCGTAGGACTCCCCGACAGTGGGCTCATCGGGGAACTGATGCCTATCTGCGTAGCCCGCAAGCCCGCTCTGAGCTCCATTGATGAGCAAGAGCTTCAAAGTCGGCAGCATGACAAAGGTGCCCATGACTCTCTCGACGAGCATCGGGTCTTGCTCTATCCAGACTGGGTTGGGATCGAGGGGTGCAATCTTGACACAGGATTTAGTTGCGAGCATCTGCGTGATGTCAACGAGAGCGCGTTGTGGCCCCAGCACGCTGCCTGAGATACTCGAGCCTCCGCAAAGGAGGACCTCAAATCGATAGTCACGGCTTGGCCTGAGGGGCAGAATACTCATCGCGCTGGAAGCAGGATAGTTGCGCCAGGCGGTGGGTATATCAGGCAGTGCGATCTCGAGCTTGGTGATGGGATCGATGATAGCAGCCGAGTAGCCTGCAGTCATGAAGATGCGGCCATCGGGCATGACTGCCGTGTTCGGATACAGATTGCACGGCTGAGCTGCTTGCAATATACGGGTAGGCATCTCTGGCTCATTGGAAGGCCAAAGCTCGTAAGTCGCGCCGGAATGGTAAGGCAGGCCGAGGAATCCGCCGTGGAAGCTACCGCCAGCGATGAAATTGCGACCATCGGGCAACGTCTCTATGCTGGCATACCAACGGGGTTTGCGCATCTTGCCGACAGTGTGCCACTGAGCATCGCCTTGCGCATTCGGCGTGACCAATCTGATATCTTGCAGTCCGTTCTCGTCATGGTACACGCCCGGATCGACCGCACCTGTGCCGCCATAGTTGACCCAGGTGCCGTTGCCGAGCGTACCACCATTCGCACAAAAAGTGTTGCCGGCGACGTCGAGCGCACGAAGGGTATTGTCTGCGAGCGAGTAGACAGCCGCCCAGGCCGGATGGCCGGCTACTTGCAGAGCGTTGTTCTCTGCCTTGTCGAGGATGTAGAGATGCCCCCTGTCGTAGAACATCTGCATGGCAGAGACGCCCGTGTTACCAATCACTTGAAACGTGTTTGCTATGCCAGCAGAGACGCTGCCCATGAGAGCAACAGTGACAGCAACGCATAGTTGCTCTCGCATGTTGGCACGAATGCTGAGCGGTGGATGAGTGTTGCTTGCCTTGCTACGCCAACAGGGCGGGCGAGCGATGCACGTGAGCAACCTCATGCAGTGTCAAACGGCGGGGAGTCGGCAACGAGGCGATGTAGTCGCGTCGCGACCGTCAGAGCGTCTTGGCATGATTGTGCGAGCACCCCTTCGGTGGTCATCGAGCAGACAGGCTGAAGCTTGCCTACACCCTGCCGTATGTCTGGTAGCGCACGGGTGAAGAAGGCCTCGAACAAGATATTGGCTTTTCCTGACAAGAGCTTCCTAATGAAAGGTGTCAGATAGGCTTTTGCGTCGAGCTTCTCGCTCGTCATGGCTATGACATGCAATACAGCTGCTTTGGCTTAAATCAGACAGCGTTGAGAAGCGCGACTGAACGCACCTCGGCCGTCTGGACAAGCGTAAGTGCTGCTTGTCGTTTGCAGAGCGAACACTGTCGAGGCCGCCTCGCCATCGGCAGTAGAGGGCGGGAAGACGAACAGAAGGTTGTCTTGCTTTGGCGCTTCATCGTCATCTTGCTCGGCGGACTCGACCGGTGCGATGGCAATAGGTGCATCGAGGATGAGTATCGCGCAGAGCTCATACCGACTGACTTGCTGTAAAGATGCTTGCAGGCTGCCTGGTGGAAGGTAGCTGGGGGCAGCAAAGAGATGATCGGCAGTGATCGTTTGCTGCTCGCCCGTCGCATCTGCATTCGAGTAAAGCGTGATTGATGGCCGTAGGGCATCCACGTCGACTTCGAAGCCACCGAGGACGTACACGCCGCCATGTACAGCGCATACTCTGCAAGCGATGCAGATCTAAGCGTTCGCACTTGACGAGGTAGGCAAACACCTGCCTGCAGAATCCCTGAGCAACTTCTCCCGCTCCTCCGTATTGTCCGACCAGAAAGGGCGAAGTGCCGAACCGACCGACTCCGGAGAGGTATTGTGATAGTCTCTGCAGTGCTGCACCGGTCTGACTAGCGCCTGACGAAGAGAGGGCAGCTGCGCAAGCGATCCCATCGATGAGTGACTGCTTGAGGCCGAACTGGGTCGATAGCGTTTCAGAGAAATGTGCAGAGGCGTCCAAGTCTAGCGTGCTCTCTTGTGATGCGTATCGGATGAATTTCATCAGTCTGTGCTTGTCAGGCAGCGAGAGCGACGAGTCCACAAAGACATCTTGCTTCGTCATGGGTACCTTGCGCCAGGCTGTCTGTCCGTCGTTGTGCTCGTGGCTGTATGAAGCCGCGAGCAGTTGGAAGCCGGTGTAGTGATGCACGCCGGAAGTGACCAAACTCGTCACAAACTCGCAAGAAGCAGGCAACAGCGACGGCGAGAGGGACAACGCATACGAACGCGACTCCTTCATCAACGTCTCTTGTGGATGATTGACAGACGGGAAGCAAGACGAGACATGCGAGTAGATGCTTCTCTCGTTGCTCAGATGATCAAGACGATAGGTCGTGGAGTCTGACGCGCTGGCAGAGGACAAGGTAGGCGATTGCTGACGGGCAGAGATCCATCCGGTGAGCTCAGCGAGAGAGAGTGAAGCATCTTTGGAGCCATAGTAGCGGTTCGAGTCGAGATGAAAGACTGTCTTGCCCGCTTTGGCAAGCGAACTGCCAGGCAGATTGTGCGGTCAGCGCATGGCAAGGAGCTGATCGTTGTGAGAGGCTGACGCTGCGAGTATGCTCTCTGCCAAGCCCGTGCCGAGGATGATGGCGTCAAAGTGAGTGCGATCATCTGGCTCGAGTAGCATCCGGGCGGCCAGCACGAGCGGAGAGGAGACGACGACTTGCTGATGACGCGACGAGCAAGCCGACGACGTGCTCGCCCGACGCAATCGACGGCTTGGCAGGCATGAAGATCACAGACAAGCTCTCCTCATGGCCTCCAGACAAGCCCTTCTACACATTCGAGTACTTCCCGCCAAAGACAGACTCGGGCATGTCCAACTTGCAATTCAGACTCGATCGGATGGCCTCTCTCCGACCTGCTTGGGTCCACATCACCTGGGGGGCAGGGGGTTCGACACAAGAGCGTTCGCTTCAGCTGGCTGAATACGCCCAATCGATGGGATTGGACGTCTGCCTCCATCTCACGTGCACCAACATGAAAAAGTCAACGTTGGACGACACATTGCTGCGAGCGAGCAGAGTCGGGATCGCCAATATCCTGGCTCTCAGGGGAGATCCACCGAGGGGAGAAGAGTACAGCATCCCCGATCAGGCGTCCGACTTTCGACACGCCATCGACCTCGTGCGCTACATCCGTCGCGAGTATCCCGATCAGTTTTGCATTGGCGTTGCAGGTCATACTTTGTCCTGCGTGAGCTCTGAAGAGACACTCATGTGATAGCACGGTCTGGCAGGCTACCCAGAGGGGCATTCGGACAGCGAAGGAAAGCAAGATGACGTGGCGATACTGAAGATGAAGCAGGAGGCGGGTGCACACTTTATCGTGACCCAGCTGTTCTACGACGTCGATATCTTCTTACAATGGCACGACACCTGTCGATCCCAGGGTATCACCATGCCCATCCTGCCGGGCATCATGCCTATCCAAAACTACCAATCGTTCAGGCGAATGACCAATTTGTGTAAAACATCTCTGCCGACGTCGCTACTCAAGCATCTCGAGCCGATACGTAACGACGACGCTGCCGTCAAAGAGTACGGCGTCAACCTCTCCGTGGACATCATCCAGAAGCTGTACGAAGCGGGCATAAGAGGATTCCACCTCTGCACGCTCAATCTAGAGAAAAGTCCCCGTCAGATTCTAGCGAGGCTAGGCTGGATCTCAGACGAGGAGAGGACACAAGACGAGCACCTGCCCCTTGGCCCAGCGATACCTGCCTCGGGCGCAGCGCCTCCCGGTCCGGCAACGCTCCGTGTGGCCGCCCTCAGAGGCGACGCAAACGCTTCTCGTACCTCTACACCTACAAGCTGGGACGAGTTCCCCAACGGTCGCTTCGGTGATGCTCGCTCGCCGGCCTATGGTGATCTAGACGGCTGGGGTGTCTCGCTAAAGCTACCAGTACGTCTCTAGCATTTCTATGAGCTCCTTGGCTGATTGGAGTGTTCGCCGCACAGCCAGCAGAAGCGCTTCGGCATTGGGGCTACCCAGAAAGGGAAGAGGACATCTCGACCATCTTTGCAAGATACATCAGAGGCACTCTGCCTGCGATACCCTGGAGCGAAGAACCTCTCATGTCAGAAACAGCGAGCATCATCGAGCAACTCATCCAGCTCAACACGACCAAACACTGGTGGACAGTAGGATCCCAGCCTTGCGTTGACGGCATCCCTTCGCAAGATCAGACGTACGGCTTCGGTCCAAAGGGCGGCTACATCTACCAAAAGGCTTTCGTCGAGTTCTTTGCACGAGAGAGTGACGTCGACTCGATTGCGAACCGGATTGCAGCTCTGGGCACCAAAAAGATGACATACTATGCCTCGAATAGACAGGGCGATCTGAGGACGAATATGGCGCCCGGAGATGCAAATGCTGTGACCTGGGGCGTCTTTGCCGGCAAGGAGATTGTGACGCCCACGCTCATAGAGGAAGAGTCTTTCAAGGCATGGAAGACGGAAGCATTCGATATCTGGTCAGAATGGCAGCATCTCTACCCGTTCAAGTCAAATTCGAGGTCATTCCTGGAGCAGCTCACGGAGCAAAGGTGGCTCGTCAGTATAGTCCATCATGACTACAAGGACACAAATGGACTCTGGTCTTTCTTGCTCGATGCTGATGATCATGTAACGAATGCAAAAGGGACCGTGTGATGCACAGCATCATTACAACAGCAGTACTACTATGACCATATCAACTCTGCAAATATGAGCCTGTTCGTTTGAGCAGCGTATGAGCTCTTGTTCCTTTAGGAGTGAAGATGGACATACGAGTGAGTGATCAAGGATCAAAGCGCAAGTAGACGAGCGTGCAGGTCAAGCAGACCAGAGCGAGCGTGAGCATCTTTGTCCAGACATCGGTCTCTTGTAGCTCCCCTCCCGGCGGCAAAGCTAGCGATCCTTGCAGAGCTCTCATGTCAAACTTGAGCAGATCGATCGTCTTCCTCCTATCCGTCAGAGCGTTCCCAAACGGCGACACTGATCCCTTTTCCCACCAGCCGGGACTGATGGGGGGCTTGTCCGGTATCTCTGCTAGCGTAGGCGAGCTCGTCAAGCTTGGCGTTCGAGCCATGTCGATATGGTACGCTCTCGAGGGTTCGATCTTCCTCTTCGGTACGGGAGCAGGCTGAATGAGGACGATGGGGCGCACGATGGGCTCCGAGGCAGACTTCTCGCTCGGCAGAGACTGACTATCGCTCGAGGGCGAGACCGGACTGGGAGGCGCAGCAGAACGAGGAGAGATCATCTCCCTCATCCATGCTTTGCGTGACATGCCTTCGTGACGTCGATCGACTTGGACGGTGAGCCTGTTGGACTGCTGGCAAAGAGGTTGCATCACCATTGCAGTCGCCATGTGGGCAGACTATGCAGACTGGACTGAACAGCTGTCGTGTAGCGTGCCGTGAGCACGTCCTTCGCAGCGGCGAGCAGAACCTACCCAGAAGGACGGTCCAGCGTCCTTTGGTCATCGCAGCCCAAGCCTCGCCCTCGATATGGGTGCACGGGCGTCGACAACAGCTCTCGTCAGGTTTGGACGTGATTGCGCCGATCTTAGTAGTCCGTGCCTATTGTGCGCTGCCGGCTGAATAGCTGCGTGTCAGGGTCGCCAGGTTCCTGCATTAGTTCGGCTCTCTGGTCGTTTGGGGTCGTCTGCAAAAGGCAGTTCGGTCGAATTCGGTGATATCGCGTCGCGACTGCGGGGACAGACCCGCACGCTCTCCTGCTACAGCCTGTTCAGGTGGATGGCGTCTCTTGCAGCTCGATTTGCTAAAGATGGCAAGACCATCATCGCAATCGGACGCAACTATCTCGAACACATCAAGGAGCTCAACCACGAGCGACCCGTCGAACCCTTTTACTTTCTCAAACCTACCTCGAGCTACTTGCCGTCTGGCGGGACGATCGAGCTACCACAAGGCGTAGATGTTCATCATGAGGTCGAGCTGGGCGTGGTGATAGGCAAGCGAGCGAGAGATGTGCGGGCGCATTCGGCGATGGACTACATAGCGGGCTACACGCTTGCCATTGATCTGTACGTGTCGTGACATGTTGGGCTCTTACTGGGCTCATGGCTTCCGCAATATGGCAGAACAGCGAGGAATATGCAAGAAGTAGTAAAGAAGAAAGGTCTGCCTTGGTCTGCCGTCAAGGGATTCGATACATTCTGCCCAGTGACGGGCTTCATACCCAAGCAAGCCATCGACAACCCTCATAATCTGAAACTGTGGCTCAAAGTGAGCGCCGGTGTAGACGACACGCATCAGCAGAGTCTGATCATATCCAACAGATCAATGATGTCTTCAAGCAAAACGGCACGACTGCCGACATGATGTTCAAGATTCCAGAGCTGATCCACCACTGCTCGTCCATCATGACACTGCAAGAGGGTGACTTATTGCTCACAGGCACGCCAGCCGGTGTATCGTCCGTCAAGCACGGTGACAAGATTACTGCTGGTCTGCGCGACTCGCAAGGCAAGGAATTAGCCCTATGGCAAGGAGATGCTAGAACGCGTGAAGGAGGCTACGTTTTCTCCGCCTGAGGAACCCCGCAGGTTTTGTGACAGACGTGAAACGATTGCAACAATATCACGACAACGTCACTGTGTCTTGAGCGAAAACTCGTCAAGAGGGACTTGGATGAGATGACCGTTGACTTGGGACTCGAGGTGATGGCCCGAATGAGTCCGGTGTGTGCCTGGCCTGACGGCAGGCCCAAGAGGCTTCATGATGTCTTCTTCGGTCTCAATAGACGACATGTACTGCCTGCGCACGTCATCTGACGTCTTTCCGCTGCCGAGCATAGTCGCTTCCGATGATTCTGCAGGATCGACGGTAAAGTCATAGTCGCCGAACGACGAATCGTCTGCAGCCTCGAAATCGCCAAACTCGTCATCCTCATCATCATGTGAAGAGCTCGCAGGTGCGCTTGTTGCAAAGTTGTCATTGAAGGAGCTTTTGAACTCGGCATTGTAGTCCGCTACCGTGAGAGGACTGCGATGACTGGCAGGCGAGCTAGTGTGCTTCTTGTCAAGGTTGATGGCCTTGGCGTCGCTGAACGGATCCCATGCCTCGTCGTCAGATTCGTCGGAATCAGAGACGGTATGTGCTTGCGACAGGATCGCCTTGCCGTCGAACGAATCAAAGCGATCATCGAAACCATAGCTTGGTTGCTTGTCGAACCGATCGATGGGCCACGCAGACTGATCGTCTGAATCCGCATCCCCTTGACCATCCGACATTTGTGAAGCGAGATAGGAGGCGAAAGCCCGATCTTTGCCTGCATTCGGGCTGCCATTGTCGAGGCTGACTTTGCGCAAGCCGAGCGAATTGATGTCGTCATTCTCGTTCTCCCTGCTGGGTCGCTCTGTCCTCTTGACACCAACGTCTTGAAGCTCGATGTCGGTATCGCTCGGTGTAGAGGCAGCCTGAGCAAGCGCTTGACTAATGCCGCCTCCAAGCGACTGCAAATCGCGATCGCGCGTCTCGCGATGGGTTGTACTGATGAAACGGTCCCAAGCCGGCTGTGGAACAAAGGGCGCGACGTCTTGCGCGACTTCAGGATGCCGTTCGAAGAGGCGTAAGATATCATCGACGATTAATGTGATATGACCCATATAGCCTAATCGCGATCCTTTGGGATACCGTCTGCAAGAACCACAGTAAGCCCACCGTATCTTGGTTGGTGGCAGGAAAGACGTACAGGACTTCATCGTTGAGCTCCACACCCTGAAGTATGCAGGTGCAAAGATCGGCCTGCTCGAAGACGGCCATGCACAGCCTGAGCGTGTGAGGCTGATCCATTGGGCTAAGAAAGATCTGCTGAAGCATGTCATAGACCGAATTGTGCAGCAGGTTGTTCCAAGGAAATGTAAAGAAAAGATCCTACGGCTCTTCGTGTTAGCATGTACTGTGATGAAGACGACGAAGACTTGCCACCATGAGCTTCAGTACGCCATGTTCGAGCAACTTGGCCTTGAGGTCGATGCCTGGAGGTATAGCCCGCTCAAGGTCTCTGACATTGTCCGTTGGCTGGTTCTGCATGAGATCGCCGTTCGCTCGCGATCTTTTACGCGATGGCGGGATAGACAGGTCGCCATTGAGTTGCAGAGATTCCATGGCTTGCCGAAGATCGGGAGAATCACTGAGGTCATTCGATGCGCTCTGCGCCAGGATCTCTCGAAGCTGTCTCGCTTCCTCCTTGGTCAATATGCCGCTTTCAGAGTCCATAGAGGGTGTCGAAGAGGTGGACAGCTCGGGCGAATCGGAATCGTTATGGTTTGAGTCGCGTTCACTGCTGGTTTTTGAAATGCTGATAGCAGCTTCTGCTAGATTAGGATTGAGTAGTAGCATCGCACGTATATCAGCACGAGAATGCCGCGGCGAGCTGCTGGTCGAGGAAAGTGGCGAGTCGAGCGAAACATTTTCGCTTGCATCGACCATCTCGTCGAAACTGTCCTGTTCGGAAGACGACGCTCCATCTGCAGGCTTAGTCACCACTTTAGCAGCAGGTGCGGCCTCTTTGCGAGGCGCGCTCGCTGCTAGCGTAGCTTCGAGTGCTTCGAGACCGTCCAGTCCTCCCACCAACTGTCCGTCGTCCTCGTACTGAGGATCCGCATCTAGCGATCGATTCATGAGCTTCATATTTGAGCAGTGCAGCAGCTCAGCATAGAGCTCCGTGATGCGGTATCGCTCGAGCGTGAAGGGATACACTGCGCCAAGAGTTGTATCGACAGTGCCGACGAGCGAGCGGGGATAGCGTAGGAGCTTCTGTAGGTCTGGCAGCCGCGCGCTGACGACGCGTAACAGATTCCCAAGATGGACCACGCTCGGTCCGGTCGGGGATCGCTTATCAGCGCCTCTGAACCGCTCGAGGTTATCGATTTGCTCGCTCTCGCCCTTGCTAGCACGCTTCTTGAGATGAGTGAGGATCTGACCCTCTGTGAAATCCGAATTGTTCTTCCGTATGAGGTCGACGAGTACAGAGATGGAATGCGTTAGTGAGGATGTGGCTCGAGCGGCATCGGGTATCGATTCTGCCACGAAGGAGACCTGGTGGGTTAATGACGGCCGGGCGGGCGAGATGGTTTTGCGCGTTTCTGGTACGGGTGTCTGCTCGAAGTCTTGCTCGATATCTGGCGATACTGCAGGTGGGGCAACAGGTGTCAGCGGTGAAGGTGCAGCGACGATCGAGCGCGGTATGAAGAACTGCTTGACACGAGCGATAGATCTCAGCTTGCCGCTCTTGCTGCTCTTGATGCTACTCGCGGGTGATGCGGAGGGTCTGGCGACGGGACTCGGGGTGGGCGAAACAATGCGAATGGGAGAAGTGGGTGTCATGCGGATCGTGTCGTCGTCACGCTCTCTCTCTTTGCCTTTGAGGGTGCGTGTGACAGATCGAGGGGATGACTTTGCACTGCCTACCGGTGAGGGCGAATTGACGGGACTGCTCATCCGTCGCTGCTGAGCTTGCTCGGTAAGGAGATCTTCTGGTATCGGACTTTCGTCAAGTATGAAGCCCATCAGACTGGCGACTGTGTCTTCCGCGGCCAGCTCGCGTATGAGGCGATTGCTCGCCCATCGGATGTTACCTTGAGCATCTCTGGCGACGTTATTTTGCTGTTGCTGCGGCGGATGATCGGAAGAAGACGCTTCTGCTGCTGCTGCGAGCTCGGCATTGGCAGCATTTGCTGCCGCATTGCTCGAAAAGACGATGAGTGTCTTGAGAAATTCGGCCGAGATGGCATGGGTTTCTGGTGTATAAACAGGCGAGAGGAGCGAGACGAGTCTCTGTACGAGATGCTCGGAGGCGAGCCAGTCGACGGTGCCTGTACCCGCGGGTAGCTCTTCACATTGTACTATGCTGAAGAGCAGATCGGCGACGGAAGAGGTAGTGATGAGTGCCAGCAAACGCTCGACGATCCTGGGTTGCGATCGCAGCAAGGCGAGAATCTCGGCAGGTCGTGCGTTGAGCCACTTGCAGTTGACTTCTGTCCAGTAGCCGACTTGCACGGATCTGTCTGCTAAGCTTTCGCTGGTTTTGTCCAGCACGGCATTCCAGAAGTCGACTGTGAGCTGATCTATGAGCATCGAGGCTGGTCAGCCATGACAATACGCACCTAGATAGTCTGCAGGTTGGCTGAGGACGGCATTGTCGATGGCCCAGACATCCATGGTGAGGATCTGGCTGCACTTGTAAGGGTACCTGCGCGACGCGTCAACATCGATTCCATGCAAGAGCAGGACCAGACAGACTTGAGTCGCTTTGCCTCGCGTTGCTCGACTACAGTCTGAGATGGCTTGGCGCCAAAGAGTGCAGCGTCTGCTCGTCGTTCTTGCCAGTCGAGTTCGTCGAGTGCTGAGCCGGAGACATAGGCGAGCACTCTCTTGAGCACACGCGGCTTGCAGATGAACTCGACCTGTGTACAATTGGAAATCAAGACTCAGCACGTGCTGAGAGTCTGCGACTGCTCTGCGCACGAGTTTGGGCAAGCCAGCTTTGCACTCTTGCAGAAAGTCATCCTCGTCCAATAATCTCTCCAAGGTCAGTAGCTCGCCCGTCTGCTGCTTGCCATGCTCAGGCAGAGCTTGCACACGATGACCCGATTCGGCTGATTGTGAGCGTTCGAGTGAGGAGCTCTCGCCCGAGACGGAAGAAGCAGCAGGATCTGTGGATGAGCTTGAACTGCTTGATTGGGACGAAGGCGTGCGGCTCGGTGTCGGACTATCGAGCAGCGAATTGGATAGCAGCGTCTCTATGTTGGACTGGGCCGCGAAGCCACGCCAGAATGCCATGTTCGCAGAGAGATCGTCAGCCTGCTATATCATTTATACCGAGGGCGCACGCTGGCGCGACGAGCCGAAGAAAGAGAGAGAGCGTGGTCGGGAAAACCCAAAAGATAGACAACAGAAAACTGGCCTTGCGGGCAAAATGGGTGTTCATGCATCGAGTCCAGATTGGGTATCTACAGGTATGTCTATGGCCTCCGTGGGACTCTTGGTCCGTCTAGGCTCTGCACGTGAAGCGCTCTGCTGGTTCTGTATCGCGTCTGGCGTGGGCAGGACATCGATGAGAAAGTCATACATATTCGACTGATTGGCAGCTCGGACAATGTCATCCTTGGCGATGCCCTTGCGCGGTGACGGGCCTTCGTTGGCGGATAGCCATGCGCGATGGGTCAGCTCAGCCACAAAGGCTGTACGGCAGCAAAGTCTGTCAGATGTATCTCATTCTTGCGCGCCCAATGTTACGTGCCTTCACAAGCTCGTGCCAAGACGACGGGCACGTCGGCTGCTACTTTCTGCATTGTCGGGCCTGCGATTCAGCGCAGCCGTGGCTGAAACCAAAGGCAGACTTGCATGGACAGAGGGGTCAGATTTCATGAGCTTGCGTATCCGTGCCAGAGGCAAGTGCGGCGGTCGCATGGGCTCATCGTCGTCTTCTGCCAGAGCGACTTGATGAGACCAAAAGCCGTGCTCGAAGGACTGAAGGGATTCTGGCTGGAGCGGATAGACGGACAGTGCTTTCCGTTTGCCGACTCGTTTGGGGAGCTTGTAGCGTGATGAAGCCGAGCTCTCGACCTGACTCTCCTGCTCGCGAGGTTGCGAGGGACCGCCTTCCGGCTGCTGACTCACCATCATCACCGGGTCAGAGCAGTCGGACTTGCCTCGTTCTTGGCGGCAACATGGCATGGCAATCGACGCGTTTATCACTGTCGACGTCGATCACGAGGCGGAGCATAGCAGGACATCGTCTTGCACGACATGGCCCGGGGCAGCAGAGGGCGAGGAGCCAAGCGAGGCTCCTTCCCCGGTCAGGGCAACAGGCTCTCGGGTCCTGCAGAGACTGAGCTCTCACCGCATGCATTTTTGCCAACACATGCGCAACGTGTTGCATCGACGGGACGTGGAGGCTCACGAGGACGAGGCAGGGGCAGAGGAGGCGTGATGAAGAACATGCACGCTCTTGCCTTCGACTACGATGCCCATGCTCTGACCGGAGGGACGAGTGCCAGACGTGAGCACGCTCAGTCTTGCGATCTGAACCGATCCTCATCCCATCAGACCTTCACAGAGCCGTACAAGTCTTACAACGAGTATCAACCTCAACAGCCAAGCGTGGTCAGTACGCCCGCTCTATCGCAAGGCGCGTCGGCAGCAGCTTCGGGTACTTCTACGCCGCATCACTCCGGACTTGGTTTTCCAGCGAGCGCGATGCCCAGCACACGAGGCAGAGGCGGCCGAAGGCTAGGCGGACAATCAGATCGGTTGTACTTGCAGCCTGTCGCCTTTGTGCGAGCTCAGAAACAGGATCTCGTCCTGTCTGAACGGCCGGATGGAGATGATGTCAACCCGCTCGATCAGGCTATGGCAACTGATCCCGTTCAAGATCCGATGCCCCAGCCTGCCGCGACTGCTGAAGAGACTGTCGCTGCAGTGATAGCGACTGATGAGTCAATCGTTGAGCAAGCGCAAGAGAGTACACCCATGCCAGCTGAGGATGAAGACGAAGACGAGATTCTCATCGTTGATGCGTCCATCTCTGTCAATGTCGCCCAACTGCCAGAATCAGAGACGGTCCGTGACGTTGACGAGATTGACGGGCCACCGCCTCTAGAACGAGGCATCAAGCTCTCATTGAACCCCAAAGAGCGAAAGCAAGCAAAGAAAGAACGGCGGAAAGCGCGCAAATCTGCAGATAGAAACAGGCGATCAGCGGACGAAAGTATGCTCGATGGAGACCGTGGAAGTATTCCTGGCCGTTCCAGGAGGAGGCGAGGGAGCGACATTGTCTGGGGCGACGAATCTTCAGACGAGCCTGTTCTGGCCGAACTCTCCCTCGGCGATTGCAACGGCAAAAAACAGGATATCATCCTAGCAGACTATATTGCCAATATCGCCCAGGAGACTTCGTCCGATGAAGCCGACGTCACGTTTGCGAGTACATCCACTGGCTTCTTGCAGTCGATGGATAAGCCGGTACATCTTACGATAGACGATGTCAATGATGAGATCCAGCTCAGGCGACCCATCAATGGCTGGCGTTCAGAGACGGACGAAGAAAATGAAGACTGGGAGACCGACAGCGTCGCGACGAGCTTGGACGAAGCTATGGCTCACGCACTCGATCTTGCTTCTGATCGAGACGACCAACCCGATAGCTCCTCCGAAGAGGAGGACGAGGTACCGGTAGCCCAGGTCGTGGCTTCTTCAGACACATCAGACGAAGAGGATGAAGACGAAGACGAGGGTATGTTCAACGGGCAATCGACGTGGGCCGATAGGGACGAGGCCTTTATTGACGACCTGGCACGCTTGCATGGTTCGTCTCGCAAGGCACAGCGAGACATCTACCGCATGGTGCTCGAAGGCGACTTTCCCGTCGATTTCACGCCTCCCTCGCGCAAAGGCAAAGGCAGCAAGAGCAAAGCGAACAAAGGCAGAGCCAGATTTGACAGCTCATCTTCCTCCTCGGACGAAGACTTCGATGAGCAGTACGAATTTGATGATGCTTTCGATCAGCATTTACAAGATCAGTGGCAAAAGGATAGAGCAAAGAAAGCAGACTTCAAGCGTCGTAGAGCGGAAGCAAGAGCAGAGAAACAGGGTACCAAAGCGAGCAAGAAAGCTGCAAAACGGGCAGCTCAGTCTGGCTTCACGCCCAAGCTCAACATGGACAGCATCAACGATCGCATCCGCACTTTCATCGTCGAAGATATCCAGCAAGCTTCGATCGCTTTCCCTCCCATGTCCAAGACGGACAGACGAGGTATTCACTTGCTCGCGGAAGCTTACCAGCTCAAGTCAAAGTCCTCGGGCAAAGGAGCGACTCGTTTCCCGGTACTGTATCGTACTGCTCGTACATCGGTCTATGGCGTCAACCAGAAGAACATCAACATCATCCTCAAAGCTTCTTCGGGCAATACCACCTTTGAGAAGCCGACGGGCAAAGGATCTGAGAACATCAGAGGACTATTACGAGATATGGCCAAGCTCAACGGCGGAAAGGGATACAAGCAAGCTGCTCGACCTACGCGCAGTCTGGAAGGGACGACGATCGGGCAAGGTGCTGCCGAACTAGACGCGAGCAATATCGGCTTTCAGCTGCTCGCCAAGATGGGATGGTCACAAGGCGCTCAGAGTAAGTTCCACTTGCTAAGCTCTATGGAGCGGATCTGATGGACGATCGCAGTCGGTGTATCTGATGGCCTGTCTGCACCTCTGACTGCGATCATCAAGACGACGAAGCGTGGTCTGGGGTCTTGAGATACATGCATGCCGTGACCTGCTTGCGAGCGTAAAATGATTTCTTCCCAATTTGGCGCGAACGCGAATCAGCGTCATACCCGAGTCTGGTCAGCTGAGCCAGGTCATACACCGTCCGCCCCTTGGGTCAACACCTCGTGCAGGTCACGCGCAAGGAGAGTGTGCTGTCATGATCTATAGAGCAGACTAGCAGACCAGCACATGATATAGTCAGCTCGCTACAAGCAAGCAAAGCCGACACGTTGCCACGCTCAATAGCATCACCTCAAGGCAATATTGAGTCAAGATGGCGACTGCTGCGCTGTCATTCGAGCCTGCGCTGGCTTGTATGTCTATAGCGAGAGCTCGCTCGCCGTTGGCGCCTGCCAAGACAGTCAGACAAGACAGCAGTCACTCTGAAAGCACGACAGCGCATTCGCCAGCCTGGCAGCAAGGGGCAGCTCTTGCTCCCGCTCGGCCCTCGCACAGTCAACCGGCGTCAAGCTTCGACGACCAGGCCGAGTGCAGCGTACGAGGAGAAACAAGCGTCAAGAGAATGAGATCACGTTCCGCATCACCTTTGCGCCAAGCACCACTGCCGTGCACTTGTAACGAGCTACAAGCGACCGAAGCCGCATCGGCAAGCATGCGGCCGATCAATAGAGACACACACCGCAGGCAGGCTGTGTGTGCGCGACGGCGCAGAAGCAGCTCCTCTTGGCGAGAGCAATCTACGCCGATGTCGATAGCTGTAGCCATCCGCGCCACACCGCTTCGCTTATCATCACCTTCCCGAGAGCAACGTAGACTTCTTGTCCGTATTTCGCCAGCTTCTCGCTCGCGGCCGATACAGAAAACCCTGTTCTCGCCTTCTACTGCTCGTAGCGCGTCCATGCGCTCGCTTCATACGCCTAGACGCAGCTTCATTACCTTGCGACAAGATCAGCTTTCTTCTGCCACAGGTATAGGCGCCCTCGCACTCGATAGACTGCCGTTTGCAGAGGCCTCTCCTCACGCTACACCTCTCAGTCTCTTGTCCTCTGTCGCGAATGCTTTCGGTAGCTCAGCGCAAGCTCAGTCGACAGACGCAGCGACTCGCTCAGAACCATTAGAGACGCCCTCTGACTCCCTCATAGAGCACTATATGCGCGCCACACCCGTGCTGCATGATCCGGTACGCAAGCCCAGGCATCCTATCGTGCTTTGCCATGGTGCGTCCCTTGCGATTGAGATGCAAGCTTGCATCTCATCACTCTTCTGTTCGCATGCAGGTCTTTACGGTTTCGATGTGCGATTCGGCGGCCGACTTCACTATTGGGGAGCAGTTCTCGAAATCCTGCGAGGCAAAGTCGGCGCAGACGTCATCGTCACTGCTGTGCCAGGCACGGCAAGTATCAGAGATCGTGCCGAGGCACTCCACAAAGCTCTCTCGACCGAGCTTGCAAAGGATGCAGAGGTCAATCTGCTCGCTCATAGCATGGTACGCTGTCCTTGCTGGGCCCAACTGTACGCTGAGAACGCTTGCAACAACTGCAGGGCGGACTGGATTGCCGGCATCTGCTCTCTAGCATTCGTCCGGAGGCATACAAGCCTTTATCACTGACCACACTGGGCACGCCACATCGGGGCAGCGATTTTATGGCCTGGTGCCAAGCTAACATTGGTGCGCGCTCCAGATGTCAGGCTGCATCTGTGCTGATTCAAAGTGCAGGTTTGGGGCACGACGCAGAAGCGCTCGTGGCTGCAGCCAGCGAGCAGGATCTACCTTACAGTCTCAAGAGCCCAATCCTCAGTCGTGCTGCGCCCAAACCAGCGATGCCGGAACCAGCGGCAGCCACCGAGAAGCCCAAGACGAGCGGCGCCAGTTTTCCAGGCCTGCCTTACTCTGTTGGCGCATCCTTCTCAGGCTATCTGCTCTCGTTGCTCGACTCGCCGGCGTATGCCAATCTGACGCCCGCATATCTCGCGAACACGTTCAATCCTGCCACGCCGGACCGGCCAGATGTCCGCTACTTCTCAGTCGCGGCCCGTACACCCCGTATGGGTGTCTGGCACCCGCTTTGGCTGCCTAAAGTCATTCTAGACGCAAGCGGCGAACGCAAACGACGCGTCGCTGCTGGTAACGAGCTCAGCATACCTCCTTCTCTTGGTAATGATGGTCTCGTACCTGTCGAATCTGCCAAGTGGGGCGACTTCCTCGGCATCATTGAGAATTGCGATCATTGGGATTTGCGAGGAGCAGCAGGATTCGCAAAGGCACCGCCTGGCGCAAAGGATGAGAAGACCGTCGGCAGCACGTCGAGCAAGACTAGTGCGGCGGATGGGCCTATATCACCTGCTGAAGAAACGTCAAAGTCGTGGACTTGGCTTGATGTCAATAAGCTTCTCGGTCGGAAGATCTCAACTGCGGGTGCTGCGCCTGTGCTGCCACAGTCAACTTCAGACGATTTCCCAAAAACGTCTCCTTTCACAGATGACGGTGTAGATCACAAGCTCCGTCTCCGCAGCTCGTCAACAGTAGGAAAGCTGGACGCTGCGGCCAAGGGTGGCTCTCTCAATGCGATTGTCGATTGGGTTTTCAGTCGAATCCCACTTGCGCCTTCCTTCCACGTCAGTGGCAAGCCGCCCATCTTTGGTGCAGACGGGCGACGAGGCAGCTTTGCATGCAGCATCGATCCAAGCTATCCGCTCGATGATGAAGGCACACTTCCCGCATCCAGTCTGAAAGACTATCGAGCTCTGTATGGCATAGCCGGCTCATCATCTCTCAAGCAGGGTGCAAACGCAGCCAACACCAAATCGGCGACCAAATTCGATCTCGAGAACTTCTACGTTGGGCTTTGTCGCAAGTTGTACGACGAAGGTCTGTAAATTGCAATACGAGCAGGAATGCATTTGCTTGGTTGCTCAGCAACTGGTGCAAACGCACTTGCCCGTTTCTGGATCACAGCCAGGGCAGCCGTACAAGCAGCCGGCCTGATTGGGCAAGCCCAACCCGTCAGAGCAGTTCCAGTCTTTGCCGTCTGGACATTCAAGCCCTCGTTTCCTGGATCTTGTGTGAGCGCAAGCAAAGGCAAGACTTTGCCAGCTGACTCATTATCAAAGCTATCCCAAACGTCAACGCAGCTTCTAAGACTGGACTGGACACTTGCCTCAGAGCGATAACCATGGCGAAGCTGGCCAGCGCGGCGATAAGCTTTTGAGCAAGCATCGTATGGGCTTCACAAATCAACAATCAACAGAGGGAGATTCCAAAATGCTCCTGAATGTGCATCAGAATCATGCGATGTTGCATGTTTCAGTGGGCATGTCGTCACGACGCCATCAACCTGTATGTCCGATCCTCGTCTGCATACCTTGCTATCGCTCTTTTGGCCTCGCGTCAGCGCTCAGCGAGAATCTGATAGTCGTCAGAGTGATGCGCACGGTCTACCAACGGGTGGTAAACATTGTACGAGAGCATGTCGGGTCCCAGATCTCGGTCAGTCAGTCTCTCTTTTCCGGCTTGCCGGCGATCACTGGAAGATGAGGAATAGAGTCGACCATGGCAAGACTAGTTGCGCGCTTGACTGGCTGTCGCGGATAATGCAGAGGAGGCTCGAGGTGGGGCAGGGTTGCTATCGAGACTGACGTATTGACGCGTTTTCGATCTGACGAGCTTTCGCTCAATTTGACGATTTGTTCGTCGTCAATCGATCCCTTGCTCACTCCGCCGTGATTTCTGTTCTTACCTTCTTAAATAACTCTTGAGACGGGCGGGATAGCGGACAAGCGCACTTAGAACCATTGTGCGGTTGCGCTATGCGCAACGTATTGCTCCTCCTATCTTGGCCTCTGTTCGCGCTCGGTCGGCCAAACGAGACCAAGCTTGTGTATAGCTATCTGCTCGAATCAAGTTCCAGCGTCTGCACCTACAAGATGGGTGAGGTCGAGAGGACACTCTTTCTCGAAACGCCGTTCATAGAAGCAAGGACGTACCTAAGGATCACTAGCAAGTTGTCCTACACGGTACGAGCTTCAATCTCAACGAATCCCGCCCTGACGCCCGTCCCCTCCACAGACTATCATCGAGCCTGCCTATCTCATCAAGAAGGCCGAGACTTTTGTCAAAGATGCTCCTGCCGACACCGATCGAGCAACTATGATCTTCGAAGTCGTCGTGCCGCTGCAGCCTGCAAATCTGAGTATGGTACCAATATGATTTCAACTCTGTGCTGATATGTGACAAGATGATCTGGAAAAGCATTGCTGCGAGTTTTCATGGCTTCTCCGAGCCGAGGCTTCCATCCTGCCGGGCCGCAAGCGCATTGATGCACGATTGCAAAAGCCCATCATCAAGTGTGATAAGTTCACGCCCACAATGTGCGCGGGACCTGCATCTAGTCGGTCTATGACGGTCTCGCTATGGACTCGAGCGCTAACAAGATCGCAGTGACGTGCGTTACTCGAGTCGGTCAGCTGATCTGGGAATCGAAGAAGTCTCGCGTGCCCGGTATCGACACGTAATCGAAGGTGTCCTTACAACGTATTACTCCTTTCGTAGCTCCTCTCGTCTCTCGACGTGCCGTCGCGCTTCGCATCCCGTTGCTACCACACCATGTTCATTTTTGTGCTACTCTTCGTCGGCCTCGTGCTCGCTGTCAAGCCCCGCAACATCATCTCTTACGCGTATGTGATTGACTCGGGCAGTGCTGTCTGCCAGTACAGATCGGGCCTTAAGGATACAATTTTGACCTTCCAAGTCGGTGTGCTTGATGCAAAGGCCACCATCTATCTTGACAATTACCATGTCAATATGGTTGGTGAACACTTTGGTTTTGGGCTCACGCTCATAAAGATTTTCCAGGCGATCAGAGAGCCCACTTATGTGCAGCAAATCACGCACGCGGCAACATTGGACTTGCGTACCGACCCATCGTCCATCATGCTCTGCTTCAGGTTGACGTTGCCCGTGGTCCCCGAAGATCGAAGTGAGCTAAGACAGGAAGCTCGCGGCTGGATATTGAAGCAACCTCAGATATGCTCGAGACAAGCTGCTGCGAGTACAACTGGATCATCGACTTTGAGGCCTCGCTGCGGCTCGCGGCAAAGGATCTAAGGGTCATAAAGCAGAAGCTGGATCACAAATGCAACAAGCTCAGCCCCGCGTTCTGTGGAGCGCTCCAACAGAGTTAGCCTATGCTCAGTCCGAGCCGCAATCACACGCTGATAGCAAGACATAGTGCGCTGTCAGGCCGAACGCGGGAGTCTCATCTGGCCTCGGCCGAATGGGCCCGAATAGCATTCGTGGACCTCTACTGCAAGACATCACCACCCGTTTTTTACCATAACCGCCGGCGTCACTTGCCTGTGTTACACGAATGCCTGTCCGTTGTCAAGAATCGAAATAAGCAGTCGCGGCGCCAAGTCTTCGCGACAAGTTCGATCGAACGTCACGACAATTCTTGCTCTTCTTGTACTCCTATGCTCTGCGTGATTCCAAGCAGCTTCTCCTCCAACGATCAGCCCGGTCTTTTCTGCATCCATCGAGCCGCCTGCTTTCAGGGAATCGACATGCTGAATAACCTAATTTGGCCTATGTTGACATTTGGGTCTCTGCTCGCGTCTGCTCCTGCTACAAGCCCAAGGACGACATATACCTACTTTCTCGAGTCGAGCTCGAGTATATGTACATATTATGTTCAAGGTATGAAGAGGACTCTTGTTCTCGAGAGCCCGATTGTCAAGGCAAAGACAATCATATCCGTCGCGGCCAAAACCGTCACCACTGTCAGTTGTCTTGATGCTAACCGCACTCGTTACTCACCCGCACGACAGATTGTGTCCGAGCCTCGGTATCTCCAGAAGAACGTGGACACTCACGTCAAAGACTTTCCCATCAGCACCGATCAAGCTTCGTTCGTGTTCGATCTGACCATGCCGCTGAACCCCGATAATCTCAGTATGCTTTCCCGTGACGACGTCGAGTCCAGCTACTGCTGACGGCGCTACAGGCGAGCTGGAAAAACACTGCTGCGAGTTCTCATGGCTTCTCTCAGCGGAGGCTTCCTTGCTTGCCACTCGACGAAGTCTCGAGATGCGCATGCAGAAGCCGATCATCACATGCAAAAAGCTTTCGCCGACAGTGTGCGGAGGGCCTGCTTCGAGTGAGTGTACCGGCCAGATTGCTAGGTTCGGCTCATCGTCAACACAGTGAAATGTGATACACAGGTTGCTAAGCTGATCTGGCCTGCCGGGAGATCTTCGTCCAGTTAGCTACGATGCAAGTGACATCTTGCCTACCAAACGACTTTGTGTTTCGATCTTCGCGCGGCCCTCGTCGTTACGCATCCTAATGCGCCTGTTCTCGTCCCTCTGACGGATCCTTCCCGACGCCGATGTTGATCCTGCTTGTCTTACTATGCTGCCTCTGCAGTGTAGCAAAAGCTCCGAGGCCCGATGCCAAATACAAGTACTTTGTATTCGAGGTCGGCTCGGGCAGTGCGGTATGCCAATACACTGCTGCCGGGAAAGATGAAATCCTCACCTTCGAGACCGGTCTTCTGCACGCAAGCGCTAAGTGCTTTATCCCGAGCCTCAACGTTGTCCTCGTATCTGCTTGGCTGTCCTTTCACGCCGGCTCTGACTCCAGGGGAACAGAAAGTCTATGCTCCAGCATATCTCACCGATAAAGCCACAGTCGTGGCAGACGGGCTGTCTGATTCAACAGACGCCATGCTCGCCAAGTTCAAAGTCATACTGCCCATTGTTCCCCGAGAACGAAGTACAAACCTTACGCTGCTGCGAATGCCAACGCTGATTCGATGTATCCTCGTCAGATGCACTCGAGCAGGCTTGCTGCAATTATGAATGGAACATATACATGGAAGCCTCACTGCTGGAGCCCTCGAAGAACCTCATCGTTACGCAACAAGAGCTCCATCACTCTTGCACCAAGCTTAATCCATCACTCTGTGGCGCCCCTCAGCATAGTCAGGTCAGAACATGGCAATGCGAGCCCAAAGCTGAGCCCGCAAGCAGTGCAATGTATTGCCATGAAAGGCAAGCTGGCCTGGCCTGTTCCCGGGCCACCGCGCTCTTCTCAGTAGATGCAGACTTATCATGTCCTGTCGCATCACAACAGCAGGGGCGTCAGAGCATTCTTTTCGCTGCCCCCCCCGGGTATCGATAGGGTTTCAACAGGATGAGCTCGCGGCCGCGCTTGCCGTTCGACTATCAGCGCTTCCCAAATGCCGGCGCGCAATCCTCTGGCCATGCTGCAATATCCCACCGGGCTGAAGATGATGAGCTTGATCTCGACTCTGATCACGGTCGCCTGCGCGGAAGGGTATCTTGCACCAAATCCTCGCCCTCGCATGGATTACACATGGCTGTTAGACGCTGCGAGCGCTCATTGCGAGTACAAGTCACGGCCGTCGGCAGAAGCGACTGTCATATCCTTCCGGACTCCCGAGATCCATGCACGGACGACTCTTCGAAGTGATCTTTTCAGCGCCGAGGTCGTCAGTCTGACGATGTTGCGAGTCGAACTAGATCTGACACTTGTTGGCAGAGGGTTTTCGAGCCAGCTGATCTCAATGAGTTGCTCGCTACAGAGTCTGAAAGACGAGATCATTTCCCTTCTGGGCCAGCCATGGTGTACAATATCGTGTTTCCTATCGAACCTGTCGTACCGGGTATGTGACCCGTGTGATGCCAACTGACGCTGATCCGTCTCACAGATCTGCTCGCGTCGGCCTGTTGCGAGTGGTTCTATGTCGTGGAAGTCAAAGCAAGCCTCGAGGCTCGGCAGAAGAAAATGATCGCAGCACAGCAACGCATGAGATATCGATGCACGAAGCTCACAGAGTCCATCTGTGGATGCTTCCGATCCTGCGAGTCTCCATTCTGTACATTATTCGGTGGCTCATCTGTATGCAGTGTGGTGTCTTGCCGAAGGAGGCGAGTTGCACTATCCTCCTCCTCCGACTGCGACCGAGTGATGTCTAGTATGCAATGATTGCTAGTCCGCTTGGAGAATCATGGCTGAGAAAGATTGGTCTGGTTTGCTCGGATCGAGTACGAATGATTCGGACTCGGTGAAACCAAGCTTGAGGTAGAGCTTCTTGCCGCCCGTCGAGGCGATGCTGCGTGCCGGTCAGCTTTACACACTGAACCCAAGCAAGCTGAGCACACCAAAAGATGGGCAAACCCTCTTTCTTCGAAAAGTCGAGCGCTTTGTCGCAGAGCTGCCGTCCCACGCCTGCGTTTTGTAGATCCTTGATGACGAACAGATTGATTCCGACGATGTACCGCCGGCCTTTCATCAAGGCCTCTTCCGCCGGTATGGTGAACTTCATCATTTCTCGAATAAACGTATTGTTGAAATCAGGCAGATACCACGGATCATTGTAGACCGGCTCATTCGGATCGGCCCATCGCGGTGGCCCTCCGATGTACTTCCCATTCTCGTCTCTTTGAACTTTACAGAGCGAAAGCATGCCCACAATGTCATTCGTGCCTGGCCTCACTGCCTTCCACATGGCGCTCCCACTTGCTAGTTGGGCCTTGTACCAGTCTAGATAGGCTTTTGTGCTCTTTGGCGTGATGCCCATGGGCGTGATCTGAGCAGCAGACATGGGATCGGCTCTGTCGAACGTGTTCCTCAAAAGAGCAGGTACAAGATCGCGTGAGAACTGACGAGAAGCCATCTAGTGCGGCGAGAGCGATGGCGTGGAGATCAGACTCTTGCACAGGTATGATGTCTACTCGTAGAGCTGCCTTCTTCGCCGTGGCTGCCATCTTGCAAAGTCAAGGAGCAGCGAAGAGGATGACATGTCAGTTTAAGCATTGGCTGTAACCGGTTTTTTCGCGAACGCGTGGTAATCCGGTAATTCGAGTCATTCGATAACTCACGTTCTCGGCCGACGCCATTCACGATAAGCGCCGGTCTGCATCAAGAAGATGGAGGACAGATATCGGTCACAACATCGCAGATCAAAGGCATCATGATCACTCCGGAGAAAGTAGCATGACCGTCATTGTTTCTTGAGGCTTTGCTGGATCGAGCATTACAGTCTCTCCCTTTTCGAATCCAAGCTTGAGATAAAGCGTCAAGCCTGCTGGCGATGCCAAGCTGTGCCAGCGCGACATCGGAGTAAGCTCGAGCCGGTCAATGGTGACCTCGTGTCAACATACCAGAAAATGGGTAGACCTTGCTGCTTGGCGTGACTCAGCGCGTGAGCACAGAGCTGTCTGCCGATACCGGCATGCTGTAACTCCTTGAGCACAAACAGTGATATCCCTCTGGACGGAATATGAGCATTTTCCTCCGACACAATTCGGCTGCACACTGGCTTGATGTATCGTCTGCCCTTCATCAGACTTTCTTCAGCGGGTACAGTCCGTTCTCGGAGCTGTCGCATGAGGGTGATGTTGAAGTCTGGCAGCCAAGCAGGATCATGCCAGAACGGATTGCTGTTGTCTGCCCATCTGGGCATATGACCGGACCATTTACCCCTCTCATCCCGCTCGACTGTGCCCAGAATGAGACCGCCCACGATCTCACCCGTATCTGGCTTGGCGGCTTTCCAGAGATGACAGCCTTCGAAAAGCGCCCTAGTGTAATGCATCCAGGCAGCTTTACTTTTGGGCGTGACGCCGATGGGCATCATGATAGCTGATACTAGAGGATCAGCGCTGGACAAGGCATGAGCTCATCAGATGGTTTGATGCGCAAGATTGATGACTGACGAGAAGCCATCTATGCTAACTCGGACGAATTCGTCTAGATCCGCCTCGACGACTCGGCTGATCGTGATCGCGGCACCGTCCTGAACGGCTGCATTCGTCAACGTCATGATAACATCGTCAGTGCGGTAGAAGAGAAAGTAAGGTGAAGAGGACAAGGACCATGCGATCAGTACGGATCGATTGATCATCAGTCGCCACACACGCGACACGTACAAATCCAGGTCGATCCTCCGCGCGAATAATGAAGATTGCAATTTCAGTCGGCATCAAGTATCATGCCCAGCGAGACCCTATCAGGATTGCTGGGATCAAGCGTTATGCGTGAGAGCTCCTTGAAGCCCAGCTTTCTGTACAGGAGCGATCCTGCCGGGCTCGCAAGGCTGGCCCCAAACACAATGAGCAAAGGAAGAGAGAATGAGAGGCATGCCCTGCGTACCAAAAGATGGGTAGTCCTTGCTCTTTAGCCCATTCCATACCGGCAGCGACGAGCTGTCTCCCTATGCCTGCGTTCTGCAAGGAGCCAATGATGAACAGATTCATTCCTCTGTGGTCTGCTTGAGATTCTCAAACGCGGTTGACAAGTCATTTAGACAAACATGATATACGTTCTGCCCGCCATGAACTTGCTCTCTGCTGCTTGCGCAATCTTCACGATTTCTTTCGTGCCGGTCAGATTGAAGTCGGGCTCAATGGTAGTATCCGCAAAGAAGGGGTTGTCGAGGTCATTCATGGGACATATTGGCGGCAGGAGTGTGCCAGACTCATCCCTCTGGACCCATCCGAGCGATAGCATGCCTATGATCTCGCTCGTTCCAGGCCGTGTAGCTTTCCAGATCCTATTGGCCGGGTGTCGCAGCTGTTGTTCGTAGAACCACCTCCATCCGCGCTGGGCCTTTTCGGTGGGACCATTGGGCATGAAGAACGTCAACATTGCATCCTTGCCGAAGCCGTCTATGGAAGCTTGTACGATCTCGTCCAGGTCATCCACGTGAGCGAGGGAGATGTCGACTTTGCAAGGCGTCTTTGCTGTAGGCGCAGTCGCCTCTTTGGTGGACATCGCCTCTGTCACTGCTGCCGCTTCCGTTGCGACCATTGTGTGTGCAGAGCAGAGTCAGACGGCACGCGCGTGAGGAGACTATATAGCTGATGGGCTCTCGGTTCCGTGGAGTTGAGTCACGAGTCAGAGATAGGAACCACGCGGTCGGGTCATCATCATGCTCGGCCTTGCATCCGGAGTGATCGAGCCTCGTGCGTGAGCCACGTCATGAAGCGACAAGAGTCTCTCGTCACCGAGACAGGACAGAGCAAGTGACATCTTCCCCGGCATTGCGATCCATCACCGCCAAGGAGTGCTCCACGTACTCACCCTTGCAGCTAGCCGGCACGGTCGCGTGCCTGTCTTCTCCCGTGCTCGTGCCATGGGCCATCTGCCGTCGGATGATGCCGACACCCTATCGCACAGGCTCGCAGGCTCATCGCTATCGTGTGACAGTGGCAAAGCCACATCCTCAGCACGGCAAGCGGCAAGCCCAAGAGCGGCAACGCTGAGACCCCCCGCGGCTGCCTCGAGCTCATCAGCCTCGTCAAGAGAGAGCAGCGATGAGCGTGTACCCCGACTTGCGATGCACACGGGATCCGCACGCAAGAGCGGTAGCAAAGGTCCAGGATTGGGCCTCAATCTCAAGATCCCCTCTGGATCTGCCAGCACGGCGGGACCTGCGTACTACTATGGCGGCGCGCAGGATGCCGCTTTGCTCGCACCGGAGCCGCTGCTGTTCCAAGACGATGCCGAATCGACGATGAGGCAATCCGCTTCTACAAGCAGCACAGCGACGAGCAGTGCAGTCTCGCGGCCATCACCGCTTCAGCTGACTACCCATCTGGATGCAACGCGCAGTGCAGGCCCGTCATGGGATAGGCGCACGACAGACTCGCAGAGCATGATCTCTGAACTACGCGAGACCATCTCGGGCGGGCATCCCGACCCTGGCGCGTCACGTCTCGCAGGCAACGCCTCTCATCAGTCGGAGGAAGGCTCGCCCAATCTCAAATCACGCTCGAGAGATGCCTCCCCACTTGCCAAACCCATGTCGCGCGTCCAATCCGATCAAGGTTCTCTGGCTGCTGCCTCGGCTTCAGCGAGCGCAAAGGAGCTCAGGCGGAGAAGCTGGAACATCGATGCTGAGCCTGCGCTCGGCGATCTCACGATCATGCAAGCAAAGGACGTCAAGACGCTCTCGAAACTCGGTGAAGGCGCGACGGGAGAAGTATGGAAAGCCGTTCACATCGGCTCGGGTACTCTCATTGCCAAAAAGGTACGGCTCGGGCAGGCTGAGGCTAACTTCGTTGCTTGCGCTGGAGTTGACTCTGTGCAGATCATGGCCACGTCGCCCAACCCTGATATTCACAAGCAAATCCTACGAGAACTGGCATTCAATCGGGATTGCCGGGCTGATGAGATTGTGCGCTCATACGGCGCCTTCTTGCAATCTGTTCGTCGACCAGACTTTCATCGGTATGAGCTAAAGCGGTGGCAAGTAGGACGACACAGAGATTGCGATCTGCATGGAGTACTGCGAAGGTGGTAGCTTGGATGCGATCTACAAGAGAATCAAGCTCAGACAGGGCCGGATTGGGGAGAAGGTACTGGGCAAGGTGGCAGAAGCGGTATGTCAACTTCCGCATGTGAAGCCACGGCTGACGTGACGATAGGTATTGAGAGGGCTCGTCTACCTACACGACCGCAAGATCATACACAGAGGTGAGTGGGATTCCTAGGGCGCAGTGCCTTCGCGCTGAACTTGATCAACAGACATCAAGCCGTCAAATATCCTCGTGACGAAGGCGGGCCAAGTCAAGCTGTGCGATTTTGGTGTGTCGGGCGAGCTCATCAATAGCATGGCCGGTACGTTCACCGGAACAAGCTACTGTACGTTGATGGGTCTGCATCGGCTCTGCTTGGAGCTCATGCAGATATTCTGTGCAGACATGGCTGTGAGCATGCAGGAAGCGCCTGGATGGGTTTTGACTGATCATGCGTACAGCCCGAGCGAATACGAGGCGCTTCGTACTCTTGGACGTCCGACATCTGGTCACTCGGTCTGACACTGCACGAGCTGGCAATGAACCGGTTCCCCTTTCCAGCAGAGGGTGCACCGCCACTTGCGCCCATTGACCTGCTCACCTACATCATCAAGATGGATCCACCCGCCCTCAATGATGATGGGCAGATGAGGTGGACAAAAGCATTCAAAGACTTTATCAAACAATGGTGCGTCCTTGCGTGATCATCAGTCACTCACGCTGATGGGGACGAGATAGCTTCGACAAGGATCCTAAAGCGAGACCGTCACCGGGTATCTTGCTTCAACATCCTTGGATCAGAAAGTCAGAGGAGCGGACTGTCGATCTTGCCAAATGGCTCGTCGACGTCTGGGAGTGGAAGTAGACGCAAACGCAAAGCTGTTGGTTGTTGTACACGATACCGTCGATGATTTGCCGAGTGCGCGAGCGTGTGCGGACGCGTGCAAAAGACCTACGACGAATCATCGAGCCGACTGACTTTGGAGGCACATGCGCATCCAGTGAGCAGCAGAGAGTGTCTGAAGATAGGTAGTAGACATGGCGACGCCGCAAGCAAGTGTGACGACGGAGCGGACGAGGGTCATTCCGGGCGTGCCGCTCGAGCTCTTGCAAAAGAGCGTGGCCAAGAAATCACGCAGCAGAGGCAAGAAAGCGAGCGCAACAGGTCAGTGCGAAGTTCTCCCGTTCTCTCGCTCCATCTACTCGCTCGTCCCGCTCGACGGAGCGCTGAGTTCGCCGGCACGGACGGAGCGAGAGAGCATCAGCCACACGGGCTCTTTGAATGGGTACTGACCCTACGAGCAGACACTGCACTCACTGATACCGCCCCCGCTGCTTCTGATCTGCCCAACAACCTCGTCAGTGGTCCCAATGGTCTCACCCTGCCCGGAGCGCCCGCTGTCGAGGAACCTCAAGTCAAGCGTCCCACACTCAGTCAGATCATCAACAAGCGACTCAAAGCGACCTCGAAGAAGATCGTGAGCTCTCTTGCAGGAAGATTGCACGCACTCGCTGACGGAGACCACTTGTAGCAACGTATCTCTGCTTACCAGTCCCAAGATGAGTCGACTTTCAACCCCGAGCAGCGACTGGCCGTCGCATCCAAGCCGGGACTCGAAGCCATCGTCAGAGAGCTCACCGAGCTCGTCAAAGTAGCAGAGGTCAGCAGCTGGGCCCCTTCAGCTTGACAGAGGCTGACGATCCCAATGGTGGCAGATTGATGAAAGAGAGGTCGAAAGCCTCGCTGAGAGAGACACCGCCCGCGTCGAGCTTCTCGTCCAGGAGCGCGTCAAGACTGCTGTCGCCCAAACCAAGGAAGACTCACGCACGACGCTGCTCCTGCTCATGCAGTTCCTCCACATGCGCGAACTCATCAATAACGCATCTTACGGTCAGATCTTGCCGCCCAACCTCGCCCGAGCGACGAACCAGCAAGTTGCGGCTGTCCACTTCTTGTACGACGCCCTCGCCAATGGTCCTCTCATGGGCGGACACGACGATGCCTCGGAACGCATCGAGATGCTCGAGTCCCGCAGCCAGACAGAAGTCGCAGAAGGCGTCACCTGTGAGTCGTGCGATGCTTGTTCGCTGCCCTACATCTGACCTTGTGGGATGTGCCACAGACGCTCAACTGCGAACGATGATTGAAGACATGACTGCCTCGCCGGAAGAAGTCGAGGCTGGCGCCGGTCAGGCCGAGCTCGATGCTGTTCCCGAGGAGCCAGTCGCCAATGGCATGCCTGCCGGCGGCAGCATCCTCTTCATGCAGGCTTCAGAGCTTGAAAAGGCTTCACATCACCCTGCATCTCAATTCCCGCCGTCGCAGCTTCAGGAGCAGCATGTCAATGGTCATTATGAAGAGCCCGTCGTGGAACCACAGACAGACCTGCACGAGCCATTCGAATTCGTCGAGTCTGGCGGTCCAGAGGAAGTCGGCGGTCAACAGGCTCCGGTCACGCAAGAGGCCCCTGCACAGCCCACTGCCCCGGCGCCAGCAACGCTTCCGAGCTTCGAGCTCGGTGCAGAGGGCAAGACGAACTGGGCAGACGATGTCGCAGAGGAAGCTCAACAGGCTCAACTCGCACCGCCCGTCACGAATGGACGAGGAAGAGGACGCGGCCGTGGTGACTTCAGAGGACGAGGACGAGGCAACCCACGCGCGGGCTTGGTCTACGATGCCGCCCGACAACAGAACACCAAGCCAGCTCGACCGACCGATGCAGAGGAGGGATGGCGCAGTGTCGGCAAGCCAAAGGAGGCGCCCGTCGAGCAGAGCGGCGGACGAGGTCGTGGAGGAAGAGGAAGAGGCGACTACAGAGGAAGAGGAAATGGCGAGGGACGAGGACGGGGCAGTTATTCACGAGGCGATGGCGGTCGAGGCGGTCATTCGCGCGTACCCTCCGCAGCGCCCGCGGCTGCACCCGCGTCGGCTGTGTGATCAGAACGGAGATGATTTCATGTAGCTCTTTACTGCATGCATTGCTCTGTTACTTTCCCGCTCTATCTCTGCCTTTGCCGCGAACTTTGTGCACTGCATCGAAGCCTGCTTCTGCTTTGATGACGAAGTCGTATGAAGCCGAGTAGGCTCGTGAGAAGCTTTGAGCCTCTGACAGGAGAGTTCCAGTTTCGATAGCGTGCCGAACGTTTGCCATGAAGCATTGCATGACTGAGAGATTGTGAAGCGATAGCAAGACGTGAGCTGTCATCTCATGCGTATGCAACAGATGGTGCACGTAAGCTCTCGTGGTCCGCCCGTCATCTTGCCCGAGACTGCTGTGCGACAGAGGTGTGAAGGCGAGCGAATACTCGTCATCGAACAAATTGAGGCCTACAGCTGCTTCTGTCAAGTTTGCAGGTGCAGGAAAGTCAAAGTCGAGTGCCACGCCCAAGCTCGCCATGCGGGATGCCCAGTCGTCCAGAAAGAGATCGCTGCCCGTCTCGATGATCAGACACAGGATTTCGTGAGGCCCCTCGGGATTGAGCAGCATCCTTGGCAATCTCTCTGACGTGCCGTTCAGAGAAGCATTGACTAGTTGCACAAGTTCTTCGACCTCTGTATCTGCTCGAACGCTGTCTGACGCCACGGTGTGAGTGGGCATCATGTTCGTTTGTCTGACTGTTGCTTGCGAGTAGCTTTTACGCGTCGGATCATCGCCACGACGCAATGGTAGCAGTGGTACTGCTATGCCGCCAACTGACAGCTTCCGCTCGTCTACACATTCCAAGAAAGAGTGGGTTGCGAGCTTGCGGAGACTTTGGCTTCGATTGCCTCCTAGCTGAAAGAACGCATTTCCCAGCTGGCAAGCTATCAGCTAGGCCTAGAGATGCAACATAGCCCTTACTATCGGCCTCAGGTCGTCTAGTGAAGCGAGCTGCTCGAAGTAGGACTGTGTTCTTGCGATGGCAGACCGCGTACGCTTGATAGACGGATCGAGATGAGACGGGTCGTCTGATGGCAACAGGTATATGCTGGGCCTCTTTGCGATCACGTCGCGCGCATAGTCCCTCAGGGTATGCTTGCGCACGCCTCGCGGTGTCTGAAGCGTCAGATGGTCAGCCGGATTGGTCGCCAGGCTGGCCGTCGAGCCTGGTTCTCGCGCAGAGAGCAAGATTGCGTGTTTCGTCTCGTCGTAGCCGAACGAGCGATGCAGTCCGTCGGGTAGCTCTCGCTGCGGCTTCACATCCGATGCCAGTCTGCCACCCGCACCATCATGGCTGAGCAAAACCAAAAACGGTTGCATTGATGTGAGCTCACAAGTGCTCAAGAGCTACGCAGATGCAGGGTGGCTCGTGTAGTAGGGCTACATGTGCCGGTGTAAGATGGGGCAAGAACGCAAGCCGGCTCTGAAAGATGAGGGAGGGCGTGGCTTGCTCCATTGGTGCCGGAGCGATCGTCGACGTGCTCGGGACAGGAAGACGAAGCGTGCCGCGTCTGGCCAATCCCGAGCCGGCGGTCTTGCTTGCATGTACAGTGAATTGGATCACGCTTGCTGCGGCGGGCATGTCCTGTTGATCCATCCCCTGTTCGCAGTTCAGTGGCAGCAGCGAGCGTCGAGGCTCGACGAATTAGCGGAACATGTCAAATATTCTTCACGGTCCGGTCGACCGCGCTTCTCCGCCTTCGTCAGCGAGACGACGCTTGACGGCTGCTCCTCTTTGCCACAACAGACACTGCCGGCCCATCAAGGTGCCGAACAGTAACTGAAGTAGAGTCTATCAATGCTGGCTTGCTCTCGGCTGCGATCGTCGGCAGGAACACTCTTAAGCCGCTAGACTTGGCAGCTGTGTGGCCGTCTGGACTAGCGAGCCTGATCTGTTCGGCCGATGAGTCTGGCGGCAGGCTAAGTCACTAGTCTGAGATGGCCAATATGATCGCCAGCGGAAGCGTGAGCGCTATGGAAGCAAGACAAGCCAGTGCGAACAGCGCAAAGAAGCGTCGGAGAGTTACAAAGCACACCGACTCTGGCGCTCCCAAGAAATTTGCATGCGACTGGCAGGGCTGTGATAAGGTCTTTAGCCGACCGGGTGGGTGCTCTCAAGCTGCGGTACAGCCTGTGATCACTCAAACTTGAGCGCTCGAACAGATCATTTGAGCCGCCATCGCCTCAATCATGAGCCTGTGCACATCTACCGCTGCGAACGCTGCCCCAAGACCTTTGTCAGAGGCATGCTTCACCTTTTTCGATGCTAGCTCGATTGCTGACGACAATCTAGCTGACTTGCTGACTCGACATGTCGAACGGCACGACAAACGTGATTTGCTGGCAGAATCCGGCGAGTCGCCACAGCGCGGCAGGGTGAGGCAAAGGCGGAAGATGACGCGACAGGACACGAGAGCACAGAGGCCATCGCAGACCGCGCGGCAGCCGTCTGAAGGCACTTCAAACGAACGAGATAGCGACGATGACCATACATCGGACGAGATGGACTCACCCGACTTACAAACGAGCATGCACAGCGCTGCTAATGCACTCCTGCAAGGCCGGAGTCAGTACGAGCCCTCCAATGGATCGTATCTGCCCAGCGCGATTCAAGCACCTCGCGATCCCAATCGCTTGCCGCCGCTCGCCAGCGCCATGTCGAGCTTGCCGAGCTATCCCTCTCCGCCTCCAGGTGCTCACTATGCCTACCATCCAATCGCTGGCCAATCCGAGTTCTATGGGTATACGCCTGCTTCAAGATCGCCGTTCAGTATGTCTCATCCTTTGTCGCATTCTGTCTACGGGCCCGGAACATCGCAGCACGCTCAGTCACCCTCGTCAATGTCGTATTCCAGTCCGCGTTCGGCATCGATATTGCAGCCACCAAGACCCTCATCGGTCGAGCAGTCGTACTATTCGGGTCATCAGCATTCTCAGAGCGTAGGATCGGATCGGCCATCACCTGCTAGTCTGGCAAATGCTTCTTACGTGCTCGACATACAGCGACCGCCATCAGCTACGCGGGGAACATTGGCCAGCTTACTCCTGCCTACGCCAGGCGCTGCCGTACACGAAGAGAGGACCAAGCTACATCAAAGCTCGACGAACTTACCGCACAGGACGGTCTCTGCTTCTACAGGAGAGGCTGCATCGCCGCCCGTACCGGCACGGCAGTCGCACGGTCTGCATCCCCAAGGATCGCCAGTCGTGTCATATCCTTCCCCGGGCTACGGCGCCGCACAGAGCAATGTGCGCTCAGCACACTCGCCACTCGCTCAACAGCAGCTCGACAGCAACGCCAATGCGTTCAGAATACAGCCGGAGCGTAGTGACAGCGCCAATAGTGTTCTGACCGGCGAGACTGCTTTCGCAGGCTTCCCTGGCATCAGCGATCAGATGATGGAGTCTATGATCTCGACTGCCAACATTGCAGCGAGTACCAACGGCAATCTATCGCAAAACCCACGAATGAGCTTCGAGGCGCCCTTCTTCTCTGCTCAAGATTATCAGTGGCTCTTCGATGGCATGCAGGGCTTCCAAGATCCGCCTGGCTTCATCTCGTCTGCGCCCACGAGCGTAGAGCATTCACGAACGAGTCCTGCTTTGCAAGGCACATCCACGCCCCTACTCCCGCCAGAGATCGCGCAAGTACCAGAGCCTGAGCCCGAAAAGGTGCCTGGCGCCATCATGGCTGGACCTCCGCCGCCCACACCGATCAAGCGTGCTCCGCCTTTCAAGACCGAACCAGGTGTACCGCCAGATGACCGGACCGACGCGACTTCACTGATCAGTGAGCGTACATATAACAAGATCATCGATCATCTCGATGATGTCAAGTTTGCCGCGAATGCCTTCTCGCCCGCAGCAGCGACGGACTATCTGACGCTTTTCTGGACCAACTTCAGCGAGGCGCAATGCCCGCTCCTACATCGACCAACGTTCCGTCCATGCGAAGCGCATCCCGCACTCCTTTGCGCAATGATCAGTATAGGTGCTTACTGTGCTGGTCCCGAAGCGCTCGAGACGGCCAGAGCAATACACACCAAGCAACGAGTTCGCATTCTGTCCTCACCTGGCTTTAAACCTCGCGCAGATCTCTGGTTCATTCAGGCAAGCATACTATGTATCATCTTTGGCAAGCTCTGCGGCTCCAGACTCGATCACGAGATGGCACACGTCCACTGGGGCAGCCTGATGACGGTCTATCGTAGAAGCTCACTCTTCTCGCCACGTATCGTTGCCGTTGAACCTGGCTACCTGCAAAACGATCTCGATGGCCGCTGGCGGACATGGATCGAAGAGGAATCTCGCAAACGCTGTGCATTCTACGTCTTTGCGCTCGATATTTCGCATTCTGCGATCTTCCGACACACGCCCTCGCTCAGTGCTTTTCAGATCCAGCTCACTCTGCCTTGCTTCGAAGACGAATGGATTGCTCCGACTGCGGAGATATGGGAGCCCATGAATCAGGCAGCGGTCGCCCCGCCTGCTTTCATCTCAGCTCTCAAGTCGTCGCTCAAGGCAGGTCTCACTGCTGGCCCGCTGAGCCCGTCGGCGCGCGTAGCGGTGCTGCATGGCTTACTGTCCATTACGTTCGATCTCAATTGGAGAGATCACTTCCTTCTTGGCCTCGATCAGGTCGACGCGCCCCAGAAGGAGTGGAGAGAGACCATCTCATCTGCACTCAACGCGTGGAAAGCGCGCCTCGACTCGGCACTCCTGACCGCGACATACCCTTCCAACGCGATCTTACGCGGATCGATCCCGATCTATGCAATTTCCCACACCACGCTTGCCATTGATTGTCATCAGCTTCAGATCTTTGCAGGCGCACAATCTGCCCTTGGTCTCGCTGTTCCCGGTCAGGTCATCGAGGCTACGCGTGTATCAGTCGTCACCTGGGCTCATTCGCGCGACGGACGTGCTGCTTGCTGGCATGCTGCACATTTTCTCAGGTAACCGCAATACTGCTGAGCGCCAATGATGGCTGACCCAGACTGATACACAGATCGACACTAATGCACCACAACCAAGGACTATTTGCACTCTCCTCGTCCCTCTATCATGTCTGGGCAGTCTACCTTTGCGCACTTGTCGTCTATGCGTACGGCGTTTCGACAGCCGCGTCTGCTGGCGATGCAAAGAGCTTGGCCAACGCCAACCGTGTCGAAGATGCACTCGTCTATCTTGATGCAGTACGTCTTTTCACCCATCATATGCCAGATGCTCAAAGTTCGCGATGTGCAGATGTGCACCAATTCGCCCGAAGAGCTTTTGAAGGTGTCTATCGGCTCGAACTGTCTCGGTCTCATCGCAGCTGTGTGGAAGATCGTTCGCGAAAGCAAATGGGATATCGGTGGGCTGGATTTCACATAAGTTCTTGTGTGCAGGCTGATCAAATTGTACGCAGCGCAAGAAGCGGCTCGTTTGCTTCAGCGCATCGTCCGGCCTGCGCCTTCGAGCAGGAGAACACTAACTTGACCAATCAGTTCGTCAACGTCTCCAGTTGTGCTGCACATCATTCATTCATCGCTATGCGAACTCAGCTTGTATATGTTGTTCATCGAGGTCAATGAACGAAGCCGTTATGCGCTCGCTGCGACGTCGTCGACTCGCCGCGCGCGCCTTCGCCACCTCCGCATCCTTGCTCTTGTGCTGACTCACACTTTTCTCTCTCCCAGCTGCACTGCTCGGTAGGCAGGAATGGCAGCAGAGGCTGCGCAGACGAATCAGGCCACTTGCGCAGATGCCCCAGATCTCGCAAGACATCACGGCGATAACGTGAATGAAGAAAACGCCGCCTGCCTAGACATGACTTCACGTCGTCCCTCCCTCGCTGCTCTGCCCATGTCCAACACAACTTCGAGCAACAGCATGCACACTTCGAGCAGCCAGTACTGGCGTGATGACCCCTGTCCAACCTTGCACGAGCGCAAAGACTCAACGATCACATCGAACCTCTCTACGACCTCGCTAGACACGCTCAATGACAGCTTCGATAGCGAGATTGATCGGAATGCCTCGCTTGCCATGACACTCGACACCAAGGCCACCTTTGCACTCCTCACACAGCTAGACAAAGACCCACAAGGCTTGATCGAACGCATCTCTCGCTTTCCCATCAGCCAGTCATCTTTCAAAGCCGTCTCACGCCTGGCAAACCAACTTGAAGCGGCGCAACTGAAACCTCACATCAATCCCAGCACCCAACATCTCACCCATGATGCCATTCACCGAGCTCAGCGCACTTCGGATGACGTTGATGATTTTTGCAAGGAGCTCGTTCGTATCGTCGACTCCGTGCGCAATGGCAGCCTCGCCCACAAATTTGCCGTCTCAAAGTCCAGCGATGTGTTCTTTGGACCCAAGCAAGCCATCAATGAGCTCGTTACCAGTCTGCGCTCATTTGCAGAGACCGTCGACGCATCTATGAAAGAGGCCGAGGCTGACCGCGTTGTCACGGAGAATCTGGACGACAGCGAGCGCATCCTCGATAGTCCGCATAGATCATGTCCCATCGAGCTCGAAGGTCAAGCAGGTCAATGGCAGACGGTAGCCGAGAACATTGCCACCATGGCTCATCAGATTGTCTCCCAACGCCGCTCGGTCCGCTCGATTGCATCTGTCGTCGCTGCCGTGGCCGATGGCGATCTCTCAAAGACTGTCGACATCGACGTACAAGGCGGTGCGTGCTACCGTCAAAGAGAGAGAGAGACCCTATCTGACTGAGCATGTGAGCAGACTTTCACGAGCAGAAGCGCATCGTGAACGCGATGGTCAAATCGCTCAAGACTTTCTCAATCGAAGTCAACAGAGTCGCCAAAGAGACCGGCACAGACGGTCAGCTCGGCGGTCATGCGAACGTTCAAGGCGTCAAAGGAGAGGTGAGTGGCTCCTGTTCGAAATGCACACAACCTCATGGCAGACATTCGCAGTGGAAGAATCTTACTGACAACGTGAACCTCATGACGAGCAACCTTACGACGCAAGTACGATCTATTGCCGCTGTCACAAAGGCTGTCGCTGAAGGTGACCTCTCTAAGAAGGTCAGTCGTCAAATACTATCATGCGCGCTGGTCGCTGATGCCAACATTTGCAGATTGAAGTCGACGTAAAGGGCGAGATTGCCAACCTCGTCGAGATTGTCAACAACATGGTCGACAGTCTCCGACTCTTTGCTTCCGAGATCAGTCACGTCGCAGTGGCAGTTGGCACGAAAGGTAGATCTTCTTCTTCGTCTGCACCGCGTCTCGCTGCAACTTTCCGCGCAGGCAATCTCGGCGTCACCGCAAAAGTCGATAACATCAGCGGTACATGGTCCGAGATCACAGGCAACGTGAATTGCATGGCGAACAACCTTACGAGTCAGGTGCGGGCGTTTGCCCAGATTGCCACTGCGGCTGCCAATGGCGATTACTCTTCTGTCGTGACTGTCGAGGCCAGTGGAGAGTTGCTAGGACTCAAGAAGCAAATCAACACTATCGTCTTCAGCTTGCGCGAGAGCCTGCAGCGCAATGCCGCTGCCAGAGAAGCTGCCGAATCTGCCAATCAGAGCAAGTCTTCCTTCCTCGCCACCATGAGTCACGGTCCGCCATAGCTGAGCATTCTTTCGGCATATGCTCATTGATATGCAGAGATCCGCACGCCGATGAATGGCATCATCGGAATGACGCATCTGACGCTCGAGAGCGATCTCACTCGTCAGCAGCGCGAGAACCTAATGATCGTTTCTGCTCTGGCTAACTCTCTCCTACTCATTATTGACGACGTTCTCGATCTTTCCAAGGCAAGTAGGAACGGCTGCAGTGGGGACAACGGCTCAGCAGCGGCGCAGGTCGAAGCAGGTCGAATGACAATTGAGGAAATTCCGTATTCTCTTCGAGCGACCATGTTTAGCGTGTTGAAATCGCTTGCCGTCAAGGCCTCGCAGAACAAGCTTGGACTACTCTACAAGGTCGAGCCAGATGTTCCAGATTGTCTCGTTGGCGATCCCTTTCGGTCAGTCAGTAAAGGCCATGCGCTAGCTGGGCTGAGCCGTATGCAGGCTCCGTCAAGTCTTGACCAATTGCGTCGGCAACAGCTGCAAGTTCACAGAGACTGGCAATGTGACAGTGTCCTGCAGGATGGCTGACATCCAGCCAGAGGGCGGCCATCTGCTCGAGTTCTGCGTGGCCGACACCGGTGGGTATTGCCGGGATTCCAGGGTGATAGCTGACTGGTTCAGCAGGTATTGGTATCAAGGCTGACAAGCTCGATCTGATCTTTGACTCTTTCTGTCAAGCCGACGGCTCTACCACCCGACGCTACGGTGGCACAGGACTCGGTCTGACGATCAGCAAACGCCTTGTCTCCCTCATGGGTGGCGACCTATGGGTAAAGAGCACATATGGTCAAGGCTCGCAATTTTACTTTACGATCCACTGTCGATCTGGAGCATGGACGCACGAGTCTATTCGCTCCAAGATGGCCGTTTATGCTGGCCGAAGAATTCTGATCATCGACACCTTTGATCACTCGCATGCGATGAAAGCTGCAGCTGCTGAATGCGGCCTCGAGGCTGATGTCGTTACTTCGGTCGAAGCAGCCTGTGAGCGTCAGGCGCTCGGCCTTACGTATGACGGCCTCGTGGTAGATCAGATCAAGACCGTCGAAGCTTTGCGAGAGATTGAAGAATTGCGCTACATTCCTCTCGTCCTTGTCACAACCCAGCTGCCGAAGATCGATCTCAAGGGCTGTCTCGACAAGGGCATCGTGAGTGCAGTCGATGCCGAGTGTGATTGCCAGGCTCTGGCCAATGCGCTCATGCCCGCCCTCGAGACCTCTCATCGTAATGGCTGCGAAGCAAACGGCGAGAGCGCTTGCTGTCTTCTTGCCGAAGACAATGCAGTCAATCAGAAGGTGGCAGTCAAATTCCTGGAGAGCGCAGGCCACAAGATCACCATTGTCGAGAACGGCGCACTCGCGGTCGAAGCGGTCAAGCGTCGCTCGCCCTCTTTCGACGTGATCCTCATGGACGTCTCGATGCCGGTCATGTCTGGTCTGCACGCAACAGAGAACATCAGACGCTACGAGGAAGAGAATGGCCTTGACCGCACGCCCATCATCGCCTTGACGGCGCATGCCATGCTTGGCGATCGCGAGAAGTGCCTCTCTGCGGGAATGGACGACTATCTCTCGAAACCTCTCCGCAAGCCGTGAGTTGGCTGATCTTGGATCATATGACGCTGACTGTGGCCACAGTGAGCTTCTGGGCATGATCTCGTCGCTCGTCTCGTTCCGTAGACTGAGTGCTGGCGCAAAGTCGACGTGAAAAGGAAGCGGAACATGCAGCCACTGCTTTGTACAGATTGCATCGTGCGCGCGTAGGAGCTCTAGCGCTCTAGCCTGGCCACGATTGGTCACGTGTTGTCTTCGCCTCATTGCATCAGGCCAGCAAATCGTTTTGCGTTCGTCATATGACCACTCGCAAGCCAGGCATCGCCAAGGTGCGTTCTCTGGAGCTGTCAGCAGTATAGCCTGACATCTGCTCCGGTTCCCTCCAGCCTGGCGTTGTGCTGTCCCAGACGGCATTACCAAATCGTGCGCAAATCTTGAGCCTCAGGCTGCAGTACGCTGCCTTCAAGGTCGAGCATGGCTGGCAGAATCAGAAGCTGGGCGAAGTAGAGAATCTCTATTGGAGCAAGCAGAAGAATCAAGCCGCCAGTGGACACAGTGAAGACGTCCAGGCACCCTCATCGTCATCATCCGTCGGCGGCGGCAAGACGAGCTCTCCCGCCCTGCGCAGTCCGGCAGTCTTTGTTGAGCCCAACGCTAGCAAACGAAGACGGACGAGCACCAATGAAGCATCAGAGCTGATCACTCAAAAGCGCCCGAGGACGAGAGAACAGAGTGTCAGCGGGACGACGGCAACACCGCTGCGTTCACCTACACGAGCAAAAGATCAAACACCATCCAGTGGATCTGGCCTGACTTATGCCAGCTTCTGGGAGACGCTAGGCAATCGCGCAGCGCTCAAACCATCAGAACAAGCCAATTAATTGATCCTCACGCAACCTGTTGTTGTGCACAACGTGTCATCTCTGCAACGACTTTTCCGAGGTACTGAATGTTCGGTCCGCTGACAGACGGAGCGCAAGAGCAGCGGTTTGGCGGTCAACGCCTGCCGGCTCTTGCTTGCTCTGGACGCCTGAGCGCGACATATGACTGAGCAGATGGGCACGAAGATGACGGCTTTTGATCAGGATGCGACAAATTGCCAGGTCATCGCCATTCTGCCAACATCGAGGGCTGCCATCCGTTTGAAGGCTTTGGGCGAGAAGTCCAGATCGTACAATGCGCAGGATTCGCAAGCATCGACCACTTGGACTTTGAAATTCTTTACACCCGGTGCGGCGACTTCGATGATCTGGCCGCACACGCCATTGTCGTTCGGATTGGAAGACGCGCCTGGCCAGCCATTGAACATTTTCTGGGACACGGCAACGACGTATTGCTCGTTTGTGTTGATATTGCCACATGCGCCCATACCGACGTCAAAGTCTGCACACAACTGTCAGCTTTGGATTCTCATTTCAGGAAGCCGAGCGTACAGGTTGCTTCGCCAGTATGATTACCTGCAAATCTGCCAAACTGCGTAGACGTAGCTGCTGGCGCAGAGCTGCTCGACGCGGAAGATGCCGCGGAGCTGCTCGAGGCTGGTAGCGCGGTCGTCGTGCTGATGACTTGCACTATCGATGTGACGGTGGGTTTGACGGTACTGATAACGGACATGGTGCTGACAACAGAGGTGGTGCTCACGACACTCGTCGTTGACGTTGCCGTCACAGTCACAGTCACGACGGATCCACAGCCAGATGGAATCGCAGCGGCAGCAGAGCTGGCAGCAGCAGAAGAGGCGAGCTTGATGTAGTGTGTCGGTCCGGCTGTAAAGACTGGCTGGAGTGGTTCGCCCCGTCGAGTCAGACCGACAGTATTCGCTCGGACAGGATTTGGATTCTTGCGTTGCAATAGGATCTGCGAGGACCGTTGCTGGAACAGTCCTGCCGGAAGAGCTTCTGATAGTGTAGCGAGGCACAGCCAAGCAGTGAAAGCGAGCGTGGTATGCATCCTGTTCAACAGAATGACTCTGAGCAGATGAAGTCTTTGCAGGCGCAGCCTAGCAGGCAAGCAGAGAGATGCTAAGCTTTTGTGGTCTTGCTTGCGCTCAGCGCTATCAAGCCGAACGATCCAGCGATGACTAGCAAATAACCGCAATGCAGCAAGGCAAGGTACAAGAGGTTGCAAGAGGTCTAGAGGGAGGCTACGCGTTGGTTGACCTTCTACCGATCGAAATTGATATCGCGCTCGGCTTTTATAGCCCAACGCCTCGTGTTCGCCGTGACAGGGAGAAGACGGCCAAGACGAGCAAAAGGCTGAGTGTACCTCCCACTAAGCCTGATCGCGCACAGCTTTAGCCAAGCTAGCCCCAGGAGCACCGGAGCATGAGATGCACCTAAAGTGAGATAGCGTATCTGCTCTTCCAACGAAGGGATCGGAATCACGATCGTGCTGGGATCTGGATCCATTGTGCGGCTCTTCCAACAATGCCGTGGTTCAGTGGCAAGCGAGAGAGACCAAGTCTGCAAGCAGCGCGAGAAAGGGACGCTCGGACACTCGTGCGAAGACAAAAGCGCAGTCGAAATGCATGTGCAATGAGAACTTAGCGTCCGACCTGAGATGACTAGAAGCCGGCAGAATCTCTGAAGTGTGCTGGAGCTGGCTGATGGGGTCTGAGCGGCGTGGGAAGCTCGACCACCGGAGCTTTCGATGACGAGAGCGTGTCTTGACTGGGTCGCTCTTGCAGTGACCAGGCAGTTGCGAGTGTAGAATTGGAATCGCATGGTTGCAACCTCGGTCGCTCTGCAGTGGGAGTCGTGCTCCTTGCTATGTGAGGACTTTGCAGTGGCGTGAGGTTGAAAGCAGCAACAGAGTGGAAGCCTCGCGGTGTCTCCATATTGGGCACAGTGAGCTGCTCGAACGGGCTCTGTTGCACTTGAGCTTGATCTGACCATGCAGAGCTCGCGGGCCTGCTTGTACTGCGGTTGAGTGCCGGGTCTGCAAAGGGCGAAGTACTCGGCGAGCCTTTGATCTCTTGCCGAAGGATCGGCCGAACTTCGCGTAATCGCAAATAGTAGACATACGTGCTTATCACAGTTAGCTGACATAAAGTATCTCAGCACGGGTGCTAAGTCAGCGGATGAGAACTGACGAGAGTAAACAGCAGGGTGAGACCGACAGCCAGCCAGTTTTCGCGCGTGTCACGTTCGCTCTTTGGCTTCAGTAGGACGACGCCGAGAACGACGAGGGCACCCTGTCGGGGGATGGAGAGTATGCTGCCGAGCGCAAAGACCCAGAAAGGCGTCTTGACGGAAGCGAGTAGGGCGGTCAAGTAGTGAGGCGGAATGAGTCCCAGTCGGGCCAGAACGATCAACTGCATCGCTTGTGAGCAAGTTCGGGCGACGGTGAAGATGACTTGCATAGAGTCTCTGCCATCCTGAACTCCTGCGGAAGATGTAGCCAATCGATGCGTACGTCACATTTCTCTTTTCGAATCTGTCGTCCGCGATCGGGCCATCAGTCAGAGCTCGTTGTGATCTGCAGGCACTTGCTGACCTCTCCGCTTTGGCTCTGAAGCCATACCGAAAGAGTGCAAACGCAAGGAACTCGCCGATGACTTTGCGGCGTGTGAGCGCGGTCAATGGCGATGAGAAAGCGAGAGCACGCACGCGAGCCCGCGCAGGTGATAGCAAAGCCAATACCGATACCGTAGCTGCTCTGTAGGTGAGTATGCGCAGAGAGCATGGCCGGAGAGACGCACACAAGCCCCGTCAAGGTCGCAACGATCTGTGCGGATCGTTGAGCACGATAGAACCGACGAGAGCGGGAGCTGCGCACCTCCATACCGGCAAGGGGCGGGAAGGACAAGACGATGAAGAGTGCAAAAGGTATCAAGAAGCCGCCCTACAATGAGGTTCAGTGTTGGGCTCGGCCGTCGAGCCTGCGGAGATCACCTTGATCTGGCGAAAGTCATGAGCTAGCGGGGTAAGCTTGTCGGTGAGTTCCTTTTGGTAGACAGAGGCACCGATGAGAATAGCGATGATGAGTAGCGCGACGAGATAGGATTTCCAGAAGCGCCAGGCGATGTAAGGCCTGACGAATTTGCTCCATATCCTCCGAGATTTCGTTTGCTGTGAGGGTTGTTGGAGCGCGTCTGCGTTGGAGTCCCTGCGCTTGAGACGACGAGGGCGATCGCTCGCGAAAGAGGTATCCTTGACGCTGTCGGGTAAGGTGACGCGAGAGGCAGAGGGATCATTTGGATCATGTTTGAGCCAATCCGATCGGCGTTTGTCGAAGCCGGTCGTCGAGGCGAGCGTACAGTCATCTGGGCCGAAAGATCTCAGAGAGCCTTCTCTCATAGACTGACCCTCGTCGGCATGAGGATCTTGTTCGGTCGAGGGCCAGGCCATCGAGAAACGTTCGGCAAACACGCTCTTGTGGGCTTGGGCCTGAGGGCTGACATCGGGCCTGACGTAACCATGCCTACTCTGACGACGGTCTCCGTTCTCTTCGTCGTCATCGGTCGAGGCCAGATGCTCTCCGTCGTCGGACATTTGAGGCAATCGTTCAGCGGATCGCAGAGTATCCTGACGGCGGTGCGACGGCATGCACACGCTTGCTTGTTTTTGGCGGGCTTTGCGCTCGGACGGTCTTGCTCGGGTGCCGCTCACGGGGTCAATGCTGGGTGACGAAGCATGCGAAAGATATCAGATGCGGTCGCGCGTGCGATGCAATGCCGCTGTCGGCAGTCTCAGGGGTAGGGCGGGGGTCTGGGGCAGGTTGCAGCTGTTTGCAGCGACACGTCGTCGTCGTCGTGACGCGCCGCGTTGCTCCTCAAGACGATTCAGTTGACGGCCTGACGACCCGTTGATCCGACTGGTTTTAGATGAGGTGGGTTGCAATGCAATGACAGCAGAGTGTCTTGCTGATCTATGACTCGGCCGAGACAGTACCGCAGCGCGGCGACGGCTCGTGCGAGACTTCAAGAAGTTACAGAATGATCCACCGGGTGGCATCAGTGGCGCACCGTAAGCAGCCATTGAGCACCTATCAGCGTCAGGGGCACGTGCTCATACAAACAAGCTACTTCAGATGTCAAGACAACATCCTCCTCTGGAATGCCGTCATCTTTGGTCCGAGTAAGCGAATCTCGCTGCATCCGATCAATGACAAGCGCTCATCCGGTCGAGCGATGACCAGCGGAGACACCTTTCGAAGATGGTACGTTCAGACTCGTCCTGACCTTTGACGAGTCCTACCCGAACAAGGCGCCCACGGTCCGGTTCCTGACAAAGATGTTCCATCCCAATGTATACGCCAACGGCGAACTCTGCCTCGACATCCTCCAGAACCGCTGGAGTCCGACCTACGACGTTGCCGCCATCCTGACATCCGTTCAGAGTCTCCTGCACGATCCCAATCCGAACTCGCCAGCCAACGCAGAGGCGGCTCAGCTGTATCGCGACAACTACAAGAGCTACTGCAAGCGAGTCCGTGAGACTGTCGAGGCGAGCTGGATGGACGACTCTGATCCCAATGGGGACAACACGCCGAGCTAGTGCTCTGATGCCCATCTAGCGAGCTCACCAAGGCGACATGACGGTCCAGGGCGTGACTGACGCGACATATACTACACCGCTCTAGGAGCGAAGAGACCGACGAACAAGGTGCAAGAGTGAATGATGTTGTGAACTTAGCTACTGTTCTGCATAGGCCGAGCCCGGTTGATCCGAATGAAACGGTGTCAAGTGTCGATGACGTCGTCGATGCGCGCGTGTCCGTCCAAGCTCGCGATCGGCCAATCGTTGACATTCAGCTCTTCGCCAATCGGTAAGACCCGTCATGCCCGAGCTAGAATCAGCAGCCAAACCAGCAGAGGGCAGCGTCAAGGCCAAGATGGGTCGTGAGCCCAAGCAGGTCAGGCTATCGCAGATCACCGCGTGGCTCATCGGAGCTGATTGGCCAAAGTAGGATGTCAACAAGGACAAGCCTTCGGTCGAGGAGGAAGAAGCCAAGAAGGAGTCCAAGTAGGGGCTCAGTGACACTTGCCGTGCCGAGTATGATGGCCGCATAGAGCAAAAAGGCCTAGCAAATCCTGAAACTATAGAGGCACATAGCACCTTTCCATTGTCGCCAGCATGTCTCATTGACACATACCACTGCATCCTGAACTCGCACGCTGCTCATCGAGCTATGCCCTGAGCCTCATGTGTGCGGATTGGCGTCATCGCTAGCATCGCTGTCACGGTCCCGGCAAGCAAAGCGTCGCGCCTTCTTCCCACGGCGTGACCACCCCTGACAGGATGGGCAGCATCAACGGGCACGCTGCGCATGGCAAGGCAGTCCAGCCCAAAGATCTAGACTGGCCCAAGCTCAAGTTCGGCCTCACGCCAACGAACGGCCACGTCAGATAGTACGACTAGCCTCTTTCTTCCCCGACAGCGCCAGGCTCACCCGAAGATGGGACAGTACCTACTCGCAAGGTCGATGGAGCAAAGGCGTCTGGGTCGAGGAGCCTTTCATCAACTTACACGTCGGCAGTGCTGCCCTCAAGTGAGCTACAACTTTGTTCATTCGTGTCCCCAAAGCCTGATCGAGTCATCATGACGTAAAGCTACGGTCAGTCGGCATTCGAAGGTCTCAAGGGTGTGTCGCATCCTCAGCAGACACACGACTGGCTGACCAAGATGACGAGACAGCCTTCAGGGCACCAGATGGCAGCGTGCGCGTCTTCAGACCCCAAGAGAACTCGGCGCGCCTCAACCACTCTGCGGAATTCCTGGACGTGTCGCATGTGCCTGAGGATCTGTCAGCTAGATTCTCGACTTGTCTTGCACGTACTCACGAGGACGACAGATTCTTAGAGGCTGTAGAGCGATGCGTGGCCGGCAATCTCGAATTTGTGCCAGTATATCTGACCTCCTCGGTCATGCAACCTCAGCTAATCTCAAGTACAGCCACACGCTCCGAGCGCGGGAATGGGCGCACTGTATCTGAGACCGATTCTAGTGCGCAACACCTCTGTACTGTCGCATACACTGGCTGAATGCGAGTGGACAGTTTGCGAGTGGGGAAGAACTCATGCTCAGCACGCCCGACGAGCTCACTTTCCTCGTCTTTGCAACGCCCGTGGGGAGCTACTACGGACCGAGTGCGGAAGTGCCTGCTGTTGATGCTCTCGTGCTCGACAACTTTGACCGGACTGCCCCTCGAGGTACAGGCTCAGCTAAGCTCGCGGGCAACTATGTGAGCGCCCAGAGCAAAGCTCGCTCCGTCGTCATCCTGATGGGCGCATCAGGCTCCCGTGTACAGGCATATGCGAGAAGCTAGGCTCGCTGGCTACCCTATCACACTCCACCTTGACTCTGCGACCCGCACACTCGTAGACGAATTCAGCACGTCAAACGCGCTCTTCATATCTTACCCGCCCATCTCATCGCCCGACACAGCACCGACGGACGTGACGCTACATGTACCGCAATCAAGCTCGATCCTCAGGTCAGTGACGACAAAGTCGATCGTTCAGCTAGCGCAGTCATTCGGCTGGACTGTCGATGCTAGGCCTATTGCGTTCCAAGAAGTCATCGATGGCGCCTTCACAGAATGCGCAGCAGCAGGCACAGCTGCCGTCGTCACAATCGTGCGCAGCATCTCCTATAAAGCCGGTGATGCTACAATGAAGGTCACCATTGGCGCTGGCAAAGCAGGTCCATGTTGGCTTCGCGTGCTCGCCGAACTCACAGCCCTGCAATGCCAGACGAGCCCAGACCCGTATTCATGGCTCTGGCCCTCACAAGGCATCCAGCCAAGTAGCCCTTGATCGTAATGCATTTTTTTCTGAAGAGTTTCGTGAAAGTGGATAAACTACACAGGCCTCAATAAAGATACCGTTCAAGAGCATGTACTGATCGCCCCTTGCACCCTTCGTGCTGGCCCTTGCGTGCGATTTCTCATACTGAGAAGATGTGGCTGACTGCCTGTCTGAATGCGTCGATGCACCTTGGAATCTCGACCAATCGCGGTGACTTGATCTCCGGCTCGACGAGCGGCGTCAGTCGGGATTTGCCCGAGCCATCACCCTCGACACTGTAGGACGTGCATCAGCGCGCACATGGATCAAGAGAAGCAGGAGACGCACATGACAGGGTCATCGCCGTCAATTTCACCAGCGTAGCGCCGGCACATGACTTCATACTGCTTCGTGCGCTTCTTGCGCTGGTATTCGACGACGTCGTCAATTTCGTCAAGCAGGTAATTGCGGTCATTCGTCTCTGTCGGTAGGAGCGCGTCGAGATCGATTGTCTCTGCCAAACCTCGCCGGAGGAACACTGTGATGGTCCAAAACCATTGGAAGAACTCCTCAATGACCGTATCATCCCGATGGATGAAGTGCAAGAACGTGTAGAGCGCTTGCTGGTGGCGCGAGAGCAGCCTTGCCAAGATACGGACTGCTTTCTGTGGATCTTGGATCCGTGATCGAAGTGCATCGACGATGATGATGAGCTGATCCAGGAAGCGTTGTAGATCGCCAAGAGCATTTGACATGTTGCCCGTCTTGTACGTACGCTTGATGAGCTCGAAGATGGGCTGAATGATGACTTCGAGTGCCTCGGCAGTGCTGTCCTCTGTCATCAGGCCTCGGATCTGCTGTGCGTCTCTTTCGCGCGAGATCAGACGGAGGAAGATTTGCAGATCAAAGATGAGCCGGATGCTAGGGTTGTCCTGAGTAGCTTTCGCGACGGGTGTTGGACTCTTTTTCATGAAAGCCCGGTACTGCTTGCCGGCCTTCAAGATGCGCTCGAGATCGAATTTGTCAAGACGTGGCATGTCGGCGCCGCGTACGATGGCTACGACGAGCTCAAGATTATTATCCTCAGCGTGATGACGGACCATCTCCTTGTTGTCCCGAGACGAATAGACAAACGCCGTCAGCTTATCGCACATAACCGAGCTTGAGATGCGGGCACGGCAGGCTTCGATTTGTTGATGCAGCTGTGTCGGATCATCTTCGAGCACAGTGGCAAGCGTTCGCTGCAAGAGACTCTTGTTACCAAAGGGCTTGGCCAACAGGATATCTTGCAGCGCCTTCGCCATAAGATTCGTGCTCGGGATCTTGAATGCTTGCCTGACCAAGAACCATGGAAAGGCAGCATGCAGACCCTTTACCTTGGTAAAGAGCGCGGCTGAATGCTCGCCACAGCATAGCAGGTCGTACAGGCCTTGTGCGAGACTGCGCGTACTTGTCAGCATGTGATTGAAAGGCAGGCAAAAGCACATACCCCATTCGCATCCACTCGATACTCTTCTGATATTTCGTGGGTAATCCCTCAATGGTCGGACTTTGTCTGAGGGCCTCCGAGATCGCGAGCAGGCCGTCTGCAAGCAAAAGCACGTCAGCCACAGACTGCATCCAAGTTGCGTAGACTGACCGCCATTGATGACCTCGTCAGATGCTTCATGCCAGAAAGTCTGCATGGCGCGGGTGCGTTCGGCCGCGCCTTGAGCGACTTGTACGCGGCCAGCCTTGCGAGCTTCATCAATGACTTCTCGTCTGCGGATGTCCTTGACGTCTGCTTCTTTCGGTGAGATGGGGCCGAGCAAAAGGAATTGCGCAGTCTCCTTGCTGTGGCCGACGGTGCGTACAGAGAGCGTATCTCGAAGCCAGGCTCGCAGAGCGCGACGGAGGGCGTCATGGGCGGGCATCGCCTTCTGATCCATGGCGCTACCAACGCCGGTTACCGATGGCGAAGCTGCACTGCCGGCACGCAGAGTGTTGAGTCCGGTTGCGCGAGAGACTTCGGTAGCGGGAGCTCGTGCGGACGCTTCTGTGCGCGCATCTGGGGCAACGCTAGCCGCGGGTGCTTTGACGCCATCACGAGCGGCCTCTTTGAGACGAAGCGAAAGCCGAGAGCCGCCGTAAGACTGCTTCTTAGGCATCGTACGTGCAGGCGTAGGCTCTGCAGGCTGCTGCGCCGGTGCGGACGATGTCGCTGCTGCTGCCTTAGGCTTCTTCTCCTTTGCTGCGAGGGTGGCAGCGAGCGCTTGACCGTCTACGACGTCGTCCTCTGGACGAATCTTACCAGATGGAATCCGACGTACGTGAGCGACCGGAAACTCCTTGTCAAGTGCGGCAAGATATTTGCGGAACTGTGCCTCGTCGCGGAGGACATATTCGTCAAGACGGCCAGGTCGGCGAACGCGAATGATGAAGCTGTGACCGAACGCAGACTTGCGTACACCGATCACATCGGCTTCGAAACCACCCCATTCAACTCGATGAACGGGTGTGCCCTTCCAAAATGGGACGGGCGCCCCCCAGGGCCAAGGGTGTCCGCTCTTGGGCACCAGTGGCACAGATATTGGCAAACGAGCGAGCTCCTCGGGATCGATGTTCGTGGCACCAATGTTCTCAACCGAATGCAGGTTGTCCGGTAGAACCATGGGTGCGCTCCATTCGGAGCCAGCAGGGAGACGTCCAGACTTGGTCATCGACGAGCCACGTTCCGGCAGGTATTCTGTCTTTCCGGGAACAGGCACGATTTCCTTTTGTCCATGCTTGGTACCCTCTGTCCAGACGAGCGTGGGAGAAGTGTCGTCGGCAGAGCCATAGCCATTCGAATGAGTCTGAAGATTGGTGACGTCGGTCAGGCCTCTGATGGGAGGTGCAGCAGGCGCCGAAACGTGGTCATCGCCTGCATCTGATGAGGCGTTGATGATCGATTCGTAGTCTGTATCGCCTTCGGTGTCCGTGCCATCGACCGATGACGCCATTTTTGGCGACTTCGTGTCCTCTTCTTGGATGGGCGCAGTGTTAGCACTAGCTGCGCTGAAGAGGCCGCCAACCCAGGCAGAGATACCACCAGTAGTGGATGAGCTATCTCTTACGTTGCTCTCACGGGCAAGAGCAGGGTCGCGCATCGACGATGTTCGCTCTGGCAGGTATGTGACATCTGCCTCTTCGCCCTCGCTCTCTGCTTCAGCGGCTGGCTCGCTCGCGATCGTAGCATGATGCTCTTGCGCGTTGCTGCTAGCAAGCTGCTCGCTCTTGTGCGGCTCTTCGGGACCGCCAATAACGTCGGATGACGCGGACCCAGCAAGCTTGACCTCTGGTCCAGGCGAAGCCCGTGGAGTGACCGCACCATCGGTAGCGTCATCAGTGACCACGAGACCAGAAGGAGCCTGCTGAGGTGCGGGCTCAGTAATGTCAGAATGAGCGATAGATGAGCGTTCGTCGTCGTCGTCCGCAATGGCAGGCAAGACGGCTGCAGTCATGGGAGCAGCGAGGACACTCTGGCGAGGTGCCGAGCTGACCATACTCTGAGGCGTTTCGGGCCTGCTAGATCTGCTGCCTGAGCGATTGAAGAACATTGACAGGCCGCGAGAGGTGCGCTTCTTGCCGTCCTGGTTCGGCGAGCCTGGGCTAGCGAGAACATGACCAGGTCCGAATGAGCGTGGACGAACAGTGGCACCTGCGCCAGGCTGACGAGGGATTTGCAGGTTGATAAGTGGGTTGAGCATAGAGTGACGGTGGCCTTTTGCGCCAACTTCGCCAATCGTCTCACCGCTCGAGAGCTTGAGACCTGTGCCGATGAAGCGCTCGATCATGTGCTTACCATAGTAGCCTATGAGGATCGACGAGAGCGAGCGACGGCCCTGATCGACAGGCTCTGACAAGTCAAGGTTATGGACGGCTCGCATGAGCGGCTGAAGTCCCTCTACCCAGAAGACGGGACCTGTGAGCTTGTCGCCTGTGTATGTGGCATTGTCATCAAGGTAGGACTCTGGTCTTCCGCTCAGAGGATTGCTCTGATCATGCAAGCTCGTCGTGTCCCGGACGAAAGGCAGGGTGAGCAGAAAGTTTTTGATCAAGTATCGCAAGATGGGTGCCTGGAGTGCAACTGGCTTGCCATCACGGAGAGTTTCTTCCTCAATATCGTAAGGTGACATTGGCGACAGATCATCGAGCTTCCATAGATACCTTGCTTCGTGTGCGATTTCGAGGCCAATGAGCGAGCGGAGGAAGTACCAAGCCTGCTCGGGACCAAAGTTGTCACTTTGGGCAATGTAGTCAATGGGCGGTCCAGCTGCTGGACCGGTGAATGTATAATTTGTGAAGATGGTGTCCTTGCCGCCGGAGACGTAGCTTCCGTGAACGCTCGGCGCGGCCAAGCCGTCTTTGAGATCCGGCTTCTTGCCGTCTGCTTCGATAAAGCTGGGCTTGAGAGCGGGATCCACCGAATCGTGCAAGAAAAGGTAGCCCTCTGATCTGTCGTCGGCGTTGAGGGAAGTGGCCGTCGACTGGCCGCTCATACTTCGTTCGTGTCGACCACTTCGCGAGGGAGGCCGCGAGCCTGCCATCTTGAGCGACTTGATCGAGCGCGCATCGTCTCCGTAGATCTGACTGGCATCTGCTTCCGAGTCGGCGGTACGGGTACGGGAGCGTCTACCGGATCGTGCTGATCGTCCAGAATGAGCTGAGCCGACAGACGTGGCGCGCGAACGACGACCGCTGGGAAGCTCGCTTGTCGGCCTGTTGGTCTCCTCATCTGACTCGTAGGCCGCCAGATCATCGACGGCTGCACGAGCCTTGGCGTCGCGGTCCATCTCGTCTTCTATATCGTGAGACATGCTGATCGCCTCGTCTTCGTTGTACTTCGTCTCGTTGAAGTCTGCCATCTCGACTGCTGAGACGTATCACGCTCAGACACTCTAGGGGCTATCTGTCGCGGCGCCGAGCAGTATCAGCAGACGTTCCCTTGAAGCCTGCTGGCGCGCCAAGTCGAACGTCGACTCTTGCGATGCAGTTTCAGGCACGAAGCGGTGCGCTCACCTCGATGACTTCTGGCAAGGCGTCCGACACACTGTCCTCGCGTGTCACGTCGTGCTTGTCGACGACGGCTCTGCCAGCAGCGCACACTGGCTCAGCGAAGCTTCGCGCCGCAAGTCTGGGGGTTCTTGTTGTTTGAGTTCGGCGCGTCGGGCAGGACGACCGGTCGAATAGACTTTCTCTCACGGTTTGTGCTCCTCGAAGACTGTTGCGTGCTAGAGGTGTGAAATGCACTGCTTTTACAACGGGATGTGACCATCACTAGTGACCTCGACTCGGCACAGGAGAGCACAGGTCAAGGTGTCTGTTAGGCTTTTGTTCTTGGATGCTTCTCTATGCCCATGAATGCACGGTCAGGCATGTCTGAGCTGTCAACAGAATGCACGAGGCAAATGAGACGTATTGGAGAGCATCCAACACATGTCATGTATCTATTGTCGCTGCATGCAGATGCTAGCTAGGACGCTCAAGGAGCGTTATGAGACGGTGCCCTGCTGGCGATAACTTCGAGGAGGGAGTAGGATGCAGTAGGTACAGCACGGCAGTCGGACAGCTGCGATTCCCTGGAACCCTCAATGAAGGTGCTGCCGAATGCTAGGACAATTCTAGCTGAGGTTGCATATCGTCGACTCGTCGAAATGCCAGTGTCGCTGGATGATCGTGGCTGCCACGTCGTGCGCATAGGGTGCGAACACGTCAGCAGTGCCCCGTCCGACTCAACGCGAACGAAAACCAACCCCAAGGCGAGTGGTGTGCCCCAAACGAACTTTGTGGAGGCGAACCTCGACAGCTGCGGCTTGCTTTCCTTCGCTGTGCGTCTAGCTTCAGCGAGCAAGGAAGCGCGAAGGAGGCCGTGCTCGGGACAGGTAAGCTCACTTGAGGAGCTGATGCGTCGCAGCGGACTGACGTGCTTCGACGCAGATTGTCGAGCAGTGCCGACCCTTATTCGCATAGCTCAAGCGTGCTCGAGCCTACGATGAGCTCGCACGAGCATACAAAAGTCAACGGCGACCAGTCCACGCGCTCGTTGCCCGCCAGCATGAGCAGAGACGACATTGCCGGTGCTGAAGAGGAAGCGCAATTCCGTCAGGCCCATGCGAAAGTGCAGCACTTTGTCGGCGGCAACTCGCTCGATGTGTCCACGCCCTCACGTGTGGCCGACTTTGTTCGCTCGAGGGGCGGTCACACGGTCATCACGAAGGTCCTGATCGCTAACAATGGCATCGCTGCCGTCAAGGAGATCCGCTCCGTCCGCAAATGGGCCTACGAGACTTTCGGCACCGAGCGGGCTATCGAATTCACCGTCATGGCTACACCGGAAGATCTCAAGGTCAACGCAGACTATATCCGCATGGCAGACCAGTACGTCGAAGTGCCCGGCGGATCCAACAACAACAATTATGCCAACGTAGACGTCATCCTCGACGTCGCAGAGCGTACGGGAGTGCACGCTGTCTGGGCCGGCTGGGGTCATGCAAGCGAGAACCCTCGTCTGCCAGAATCGCTTGCCGCCTCGAAGCACAAGATCATCTTCATCGGCCCTCCTGGCTCTGCCATGCGATCCTTGGGCGACAAGATCTCGTCCACCATCGTCGCACAGTCTGCCGATGTGCCCTGCATGCCCTGGTCGGGCACGGGTATTTCGGATACTCAAATGTCCAGTCAAGGATTCGTTGAGGTGCCAGAGGATGCCTACCTACGCGCTTGTGCCCAAGATGGCCAAGACGGTCTGGTACGTGCCGAGAAGATCGGCTGGCCCGTCATGATCAAGGCGAGCGAGGGCGGTGGCGGAAAAGGCATCCGCAAGGTCGACTCGCCCCAGGGATTCATGCAGGCCTTCAAGGCAGTCCAAGGCGAAGTACCAGGATCGCCCATCTTTATCATGAAACTCGCAGGCAGCGCGCGGCATCTCGAGGTGCAAGTCCTCGCGGATCAGTATGGCAACGCCATCTCGCTCTTTGGCCGTGACTGCTCGGTGCAACGCCGTCATCAGAAGATCATCGAAGAGGCTCCTGTCACCATTGCTAGCGCGAGCACATTCGAACAAATGGAGAAGAGCGCTGTCAGACTCGCCAAGCTGGTCGGATACGTCAGCGCCGGAACGACAGGTACGTCTGACAGCATGCCGCTGATTCGATGCTGAGCAGACTTTTGCAGAGTTCCTGTACGAAGCAGCGACTGACAAGTTCCACTTCCTCGAGCTCAACCCTCGTCTTCAGGTCGAGCATCCTACGACGGAGATGGTCAGTGGCGTCAATCTGCCTGCCGCTCAGCTCCAGATTGCCATGGGCATACCGCTGCATCGCATTCGCGACATTCGCACGCTGTACGGCAAATCTCCCCACGGCAAGAGCAAGATCGACTTTGATTTCGAAGATCCAGCTTCTGCGCAGACCCAGCGCAAGCCATCGGCAAAGGGACACGTTGTCGCTGTCCGAATCACTGCAGAGAATCCAGATGCTGGCTTCAAGCCCTCCAGTGGCACTCTGCAAGAACTCAACTTCAGATCGAACACGAATGTCTGGGGCTACTTCTCTGTCGCTGCTGCCGGTGGTCTGCACGAATATGCAGATTCGCAATTCGGTCACATCTTTGCCTACGGTGCCGACCGAAGCGAGTCCAGAAAGAACATGGTCGTAGCCCTGAAGGAGCTCTCCATCAGAGGTGACTTCATGACGACGGTGCAATATCTCATCAAGCTGCTCGAAACCGAAGCCTTCGAGTCGAATACCATCACGACGGGCTGGCTCGACGATCTCATTAGCAACAAGCTTACCGCCGAGCGACCCGACGAGACGCTCGCAGTCATCTGCGGCGGTGTGGCAAAGGCGCACATTGCTGCAGAAGCATGCGCAGCAGAGTACAAGCGCATCCTCGATAAAGGTCAAGTGCCTGGTCGCGATATCCTCCAAACCGTTTTCTTGCTTGACTTCATCTACGAGAACGTCAAATACTCTGTCACCGCAGCTCGCTCGTCCAAGACAACGTGGACGCTCTGTAAGCTCAGGAGAATCTGTGTTGATCGCTACTGACCTCTCGGCAGATTTGAATGGCGGCAAGACGTCTGTTGGTGCCCGCTCACTCGCTGACGGTGGCCTGCTCGTGCTCCTCGATGGCAAATCACACGCCCTCTATTGGCGTGAGGAAGTCGGCGCATTGCGTCTCATGGTTGACCACAAGACCTGCTTGATCGAGTCAGAGGTGCGCCTTCGTCCTCTGTCACATTGTCTGCGCTAATAAGGATCACAGAATGACCCTACGCAGCTTCGCAGCCCTTCGCCGGGCAAGCTCATCAGATTCCTCGTCGAAAGCGGCGAGCATCTCAAGGCAGGCGACGCATACGCCGAGATCGAAGTCATGAAGATGTACATGCCACTCGTGGCCGCTGAAGATGGTGTTCCTCAATTTGTCAAGCAGCCCGGCACGACGCTCGAACCTGGCGACATCCTCGGCATTCTGACACTTGACGATCCGAGCCGTGTCCATCATGCAAAGCCTTTCTCGGGCCAGCTTCAGCCAATGGGCTTGCCTTCAATCGTAGGCAACAAGCCTCACCAGCGCTTCGCGCAACTTTCCGAGCTCTTCCACAATATCCTGGCAGGATACGACAATGCTGCAGTCATGCACTCTTCTCTCAAGGAGCTCATTGCCGTCTTGCGTGATCCCGAGCTGCCCTATGGCGAAGCAAGCGCAGTCTTGTCCGCCATGTCTGGTCGTATGCCAGCTGCCCTCGAAGCGACGGTTCGCTCGACGCTGGACGCTGCACACGCGAAGCAAGGCGAGTTTCCAGCCAATCGCCTGCGTCGTGGTGTCGAGAGCTACATCTCTGCTTCCATTCGACCCCAAGATCTGGTCGTCTTTCGCGCCAGCATCAGTCCACTCACCGACATCATCGATCGACACAGTGGTGGTCTCAAGCAGCACGAATGGAAGACGATGGCCTCCCTTTTGCAAGAGTATGTCGATGTGGAGAAGCTATTCTGTAATGGAGGCGAAGATGTCATCCTGGCGCTACGAGACGCAAATCGCGACGATCTGCAGAAGGTCGTCGATCTTCAGCTGTCGCATCAGAAAGCGAGCAGCAAGAGCCAATTTGTTCTCGCTCTGCTCGATCTCATTCAGAACACGGCCTCAACTGTTGCCGTCGAGTCTCACTTTGGCGGCGTTCTGCGTGAGCTTGCAGATCTTGACAGCAAGCAGACTAGCAAGGTTGCCCTTAAAGCACGCGAGGTGCTCATTCACTGCCAGTTGCCTTCACTGCAGGAGCGTATGGGCCAGATGGAGAACATCCTGCGCGCTTCGATCACGCAGACTTATTATGGCGAAGCATCGCCCGATCTGCAGCCTTCACTTGAAGTCTTGCGAGAGCTCATTGACTCGCGGCACACTGTCTATGACGTCTTGCCGACCTTCTTCGATAATCCGAACAAGTGGATCTCTGTCGCGGCACTTGAAGTCTACGTTCGTCGAGCTTACCGAGCATACAACGTCGTTCATATTGACCACGAGCTCGGCGACTCGCTCGAAGACGACCCTCTTGCCGTATTGTGGACATTCAAGCTCTCAAAGGCAAGCTCAGCGCCCGCAAGTCCTCACTTCGGCGGTCGCATGGACGATAGCCGCGTTCGTCAAGCATCGTTCTCAGACTTGAGCTACGTTCTCGCAAGAGGACAAGTCGAGCCGCTCCGACATGGGGTCATGTATGCCGCGACAAGTCTGACTGACGTAGTGCGTTACCTTCCCGGTGCTCTCGATCTTCTGCCATCAGCGGGACTAGGTGAATTGCAGCCGAACGGTCAACAGGAATCCGATCGTGGCAACGTCATCAACATTGCGCTTACGCTCAGCAAGTCCTCCTCAGAGGATCGCAGCGATGACGAGTGGCGCGCTACTTTCAACCGCATCGCAAACGAGGCTGCCGACCAGCTGCAGCGACGCTCCCTCAGGCGAGTCACATTCGCAATCTGCAGACAAGGCCAATACCCCTCATACTTTACCATGCGTGCATCCGAGTCTGGCGAATGGCAAGAACTTGGCGCGATCCGTGACATCGAGCCCGCATTGGCTTACCAGCTCGAGCTCAATCGTCTCTCTAACGTACGTTACGTGCCTGCATCAGTGTGATACCGCTAACTTGAGCTCGCTTGCGCAGTTCAACATTACTCCCTGCCATGTCGAGAACAGACAGATCCATATCTATCACGCCGTCGGCAAGGAAAACCCTGCAGATTCTCGCTTCTTTGTCAAGGCTCTGGTCCGACCCGGTCGTCTTCGCGGAACGATGCGTACGGCAGACTATTTGATTGCTGAGTGCGAGTAAGTACACAGCTATCCGTCCTGGCCGTATGCTGAGAACTGTTGCAGCCGTCTGATCAGCGACATCTTAAATACGCTCGAGGTTGTCAGCGCTTCACACCGTACGACAGACGTCAACCATGTTTCGCTCAACTTTGTCTACTCGCTGCAGGTCGAATTCGAGGAGGTGCAAGCTGCGCTCGCCGGCTTCATCGACCGTCACGGCAAGCGTCTCTGGCGACTTCGTGTGACTAGCTCGGAGATCCGTATGATCCTCGAAGACGCAGCTGGCAACACGCAGCCAATTCGAGCAATCATCGAGAACGTCTCTGGCTTCGTCGTCAAGTATGAGGCTTATCGAGAGGTCACGACCGAAAAGGGTAGCGCAATCCTTAAGTCCATCGGACCTGCTGGCGCGCTGCACTTGCAGCCAGTCAACTACCCTTATCCAACCAAGGAATGGCTTCAGCCTCGTCGTTACAAGGCACATGTCGTTGGTACGACATATGCCTACGACTTCCCTGACCTCTTCCGTCAAGCTTTGCGTCGCGAATGGAAGGATGCGGTCGACAATGGCAAGGGGATTCACGCACCCAGCGACCCGCTTAAGACGCGCGAACTGGTCATCGACGAATTTGGCGTACCCCAGGCGGTCGAACGTCCTCCCGGCAGCAACATCATCGGTATGGTCGGCTGGATGTTCTCAATGCTTACGCCAGAGTACCCCAATGGACGAGACGTCGTCGTCATCGCGAATGACATCACTCACCGGATCGGTTCCTTCGGTCCGGCCGAAGACGACTACTTCAATGCAGTGACGCGACTTGCTCGCGAAAAGGGTCTGCCCCGCATCTATCTGTCTGCCAACTCGGGCGCACGATTGGGCATCGCAGACGAGATCGTGGATCTCTTCAGCGCTGCCTGGCACGATGCTGGCCAGCCAGCCAAAGGTTTCAAGTATCTGTACTTGACGCCAGAGCGACAAGGCGAGCTCAACGCAAAGGGCTCAAGCGACAGTGTCGTGACCGAGAAGATCGAAGACGAGAGCGAAACGCGTTATCGCATCAAAGCCATCATCGGTGCTCAACAAGGCCTTGGTGTCGAGTCTCTCAAAGGGTCAGGCTTGATCGCTGGCGAGACTTCGCGTGCCTACGATGACATATTCACGATCACGCTCGTGACATGCCGAAGCGTAGGAATTGGTGCGTATCTCGTCCGTCTCGGGCAGAGAGCCGTGCAAGTCGAAGGCCAACCTATCATCTTGACCGGAGCCAATGCACTCAACAAGGTGCTCGGTCGCGAGGTTTATTCGTCAAACCTTCAGCTCGGCGGAACACAGATCATGTACAAGAATGGCGTTTCCCATCTTACCGCAGCAAACGATCTCGAAGGCGTGCTGGCGGTTACGAGATGGCTCTCATATGTGCCGTGTCGACGAGGCGAGGTCCCACCTAGCTTCCCCACTGCCGACAGCTGGGACAGACCGGTCGAATACACGCCGCCCAAGGGAGCTTACAACCCTCGCTGGTTCATCAGTGGCAAGGCTGACGATGAGACGGGCAAGTGGCTTCCCGGTTTCTTCGACAAAGGCTCGTTCCAGGAGACGCTCTCTGGCTGGGCGCAGACGGTCGTCATTGGACGTGCACGACTCGGCGGCCTGCCAATGGGTGTCATCGCGGTCGAGACGCGCACGATCGAACGGGTCGTGCCGGCAGACCCTGCCAACCCAACCTCGCAAGAGCAGCGAATCATGGAAGCTGGACAGGTCTGGTACCCCAATTCGGCTCACAAGACAGCTCAAGCGATTGCCGACTTTGATCGCGAAGGGATTCCGCTCATCATCTTTGCCAATTGGCGTGGCTTCTCTGGCGGTCAGCAAGACATGTTCGACGAGGTCCTCAAGCGGTCAGTCTTGCTTGATATGATCAAAGATGTGGACTGATAAACGACTCACAGAGGATCGCTCATTGTCGACGGTCTGTCATCGTACAAATCGCCTGCATTCGTTTACATCGTGCCTAACGGCGAGCTTCGCGGCGGTGCTTGGGTCGTGCTCGACCCTTCGATCAACGACAAGGGCATGATGGAGATGTACGCCGACAAAACGTCGAGAGCAGGTGTGCTGGAACCGGAAGGCATCGTCGAGATCAAGTTCCGCAAGGACAAGATTCTTTCGCTTATGGAACGACTTGATCCGACTTACAAAGATCTCAAACAAAAAGCGAATGCCGCCGGCTCAGACGTGACGGCTGTCAAGGCCGAGCTGTCGGAGCGCGAGAAGCTGCTGATGCCGACATTCAGTCAGCTGGCGCTTTCGTTCGCAGACCTCCATGACCGCTCAGAGCGCATGAAGGCCAAGGGCACGATCCGCGAAGAACTCGAATGGCAGAACAGCAGGCGATTCTTCTACTGGCGTTTGCGGCGCAGACTGGCGGAAGAGTCTTTCTTGCTCCAGCTGGCTCGAGCAGACGTCTTGCTGTCTCGTCAGGCTCGACTAGCCGCCCTGAGCACACTGGTGGCGAGCCTCGAGGTCAACGTCGACGACGATCGCGCGGTCGCAACGGGACTCGAGTCCAGTACGAACGCGAAGTCTCAAGTGACTCAGCAGACGGCCAATCAAGCTGCTGCGACTGTACTCGCCCGTTACGCGTCGGACTCGCCGGAAGCCTTGACGTCTGCGGTCAAGGAGCTCCTCGCAAGCACGCCTAGCATGCGCTCGACGCTGCAGGCACTCATTGACGAAGCTGTGTGATGATGATACAATACAGTGTGATGTACAGCTACGAGCATGCATGCCTCTTCTTCTATCTCGTGCGGAAGTATGATCTCGCCCTTCGCCAGAAATTTGTGGGGCGCGAATTTTGTTGAAGTCGATCGCTGGGCGGGCGTCTCTCTCCTGATTGCTGAGCCTCCGCCCATCGCACTGAACCCCACCCTCGGTCTCTATTCTCTCTCTACCATGTCCACGAGCGTACGGACTCGACAAGTGCAAGATGTGGCCTCTGATCAGAAGCAGATCACCCAGCAGCAGAGTCTTCAGGCTTGTAAGACGCTTCTCTCGACCGGCATCGGCTGTATCGCCTACCTTCGCGGTCTTTTCCCAGAGAACGGCTTCGTCGAGCGCAAGATCTCTTCGTCTGCTCCCGCCACGGCTGATCAGAGCAAGTCGACAAGGAGACCAGGCACGAGCGGCGTCAGGGTCAAGCAGCTCCTTCGCAATCGATCCCAAGAGGCAGACAGACTGCTCGACTACCTCGAGCAAGGCGTGTACGATGCTCTGGAGCGCTCCTTCCTCCGCAGTCTCCTGTTTGCTGTCTTCCTCGATCCAGAAGATCAGCAGAACCTGGTAGAGTGCTATACGTTGGCGCTCTCGCTCATCTTCCCGCTGGCTTCCGTTCCTTACGAGCATCCGCAGATTCAACTTCAGCTACGCCAGCCCGGCAGATGGACCTCAGATGAGTATCACCCGCACCGGTCTCACCGGTGAAGGCTTCACCTTCGAGCCAGAGACGCAAGGCAACGTCAAGAAGCAAGTCCAATCTCTCATCCGTCGCCTCGTTGCGATGACCCAATCGCTGTCCGAGCTCCCCCGACGTCGCTTCATCACCATGAAGCTGTACTACACCCCGACCTGTCCGGCAGACTACCAGCCGCCGTTCTTCAAAGAGGCCCAAGTCGACGCAGATCGATTCTACTTTGGCACGCGCTCCGCCCGCGAGGAACCCGAGCGTACCAGCCTAGGCCGACTCGAGACTGGCTTCCACGGGTACGTCACTCGCTCGAGACTTGGATCTGAAGTTGAGCAAGACAGCAGTGTCTCTGTCAATGTGTGTTCGGTCGCATCTCACCTGCCAGAACACGTTTCGCCCACTGTTGCTCGGCAAGCACGCACCGACGATCGCGAGACAGAGATAGTCCGCAATCGCGCATTTGCACAAGCACGCAAAGTCGTCTGGGATGCCGAGACGGCCTGTCTTCGCACGGAGGCTCAGGAAGATGCAGAAGCCGTGGCGAAGCTCGCTCAGTCCACTGCCGGCATGACCACAGACGATGTCGACGTACCTGCTCGCGCTGAAAAGGACACGATTTGGGGTCGACCATTGGGTCGATGGGATGCTCGTGGTAACATTGTGCCTATTCCAGTCGGCTCAGATGGCCTCGAAGATGGCGAGATCGACGAGGCCGCAGACAATGCGCGGATCCTGCAAGCTGTATGTACCTCTTGCCGTGCTCTCGTGGCGCTGACAAGAAGCTTGAGGCAGGCTTATCCACCTGGCCGACCAGCGACGCTCTCTCAACTCGAGCCCACTCAGCGTGTTGAGCCCCAAAAGGGCATCTACTTCACTCCGCCGCCAAAGTCTTTGCGATCACGCACAGCAATGGTAGAGCGCCACGTCTCACCCACCCACCCATCTTCAGAAGCTGCATTACCCGCGAGTAGATCAGACCCAGATGCGACGATGGTTGACGTCGATGAACTTGCCGCAAAGGACAAGCTGATTGATTTGGAAGCCACTCAAGAAGAGCCCGAGCCGGCCGAACAGGTTCGCCCAGCACGTCCTTGCGACTGTGGAGATGCCAGAGATGATGGCACGCCCATGATCTGCTGCGACGGCTGTTCGCTCTGGGTTCATGCTGCCTGTTACGGGTCAGTCTGGCTATTGCCAAGCCGGGCGCAGCGCTCAATCTGCGGAGCAGGCACTTTCAATTCGATGCAAAGAAGGTTCCACACAGCTTCTTCTGCTTTCAATGCTCGTACACGCGTCTGCTCGACGGGCGGTTCCTGCCCATCATCGCCGAGGGTCAAATCGAGTCTCATCTAGAGAACCTTCGCTCACTCGCTCTGTTTCGTCGCGCCCGTCCGTCTATACCTCTCCCGGTGGCCGCCATTGCGCTGACAATGCGCTCCAGTGGTCGTCGCGTACCACAGGGACTCGACGCCCAATGCCATCGAACTCAAGCAAAAGCTATGCATGTGTATACTCTCCTTACCACCGGTCTGCGCTGACATCTGTCTGCAGCTGTCGATCTATCTACAGCAGCACAGATGCTCCGTCGGATGCAAGCGGAAGGCTACGTCAATGCGACCGTAGACGAGCGCTCCGGGGCTGCAGTCGACATTCTCGACGGCAGCAAGTCGCGTGGCAAGGCACAGCCTAAGCTTGGCACTCGTCTGGCGGTCAATCGGTGCGCCCTTGCTACCGATGAAGTCTTCTGTGCTGACCATGGGAGGGGCGTGTAGTTCGATGGAAGCACGAAGACGACGTAATCGCATCTACTTTACGCCAGGAGGCGGCAACGAGGTCGACTCGTTCAATGCTATCTGTGCAATCATTAGCAAACACTTCCCCGATCAGACTCCAGCTGCTGCCTGCGCGCACGTTGCACCAATAGAAGAAGAGCATCATCAACACATGCCAGAGGCACACTTGATCAACAAACCGTTTAAACAGCACAAACGAAGTCGTTCGGATGCTATCGAGTCAACAGGTCCTGGGAAAAGGGCCAAAGTGTCTCTGTCTGCAGGCACGATCGAAGTAGCAGAGACTTACGAAGACACCATCTAGCGCTCATTGCATCATTTCGCAAGTCTCGCCGCCTCGGAGGTCATCGCGTGCTCGATGATAACATGCTGGACACAACAACAAATCTACTGAGCGACCTGCAAAGTCTGTACCGACAATGCGCTAAAACGCGCCGAACGGGAAATGGTGCAAATGCGAGCGATTGGCCATCTATTCGCTCCCAGTGCTGCTAGCAGGCAACGAATTGTGGTCCGCTGTGCCATCCGCGTCTTCTGCATCGTCGACAGGCGGCTCAGTCTGGTCTGCCTCGCCGTTGTCTTGCTCTTCGCCATTGGCAGCTTCCGTGCTGTCCGTTTGCTCACGTCTGAAGAGGACGGACATGTCCGCACGCTGGGAAGCAGCCTCTTCTGCCGCATTGAGATCGTCGTCTGCGTCCTATGTAGCCTCGCGTAAGCATACAGATCATCGCGTCGGCGCAGAACGAACCTCTTCGAGATTGGTAGACTTGCCGATGACTCCGATCCAGGAGAAGCCATAGGTCCTTATTGTGCGCATCTGCATGCGCTGTCTGGTCAGCCGGCGAGAGATTAACGTCGGACCGTGCCTGCCTTTGCTTCTGAAGCCTCCTCGAGTGCGTCGAGCTCTGCTTCTTCCTCGCAGACTAGCCGAGGGAAGCTGCCGCGATCCCGCAGATTGAATGGCGTCCCGACATCTTCGCGGGACAGCTGGAGCCTCGTCTGGATGGGTATGAGCGTCGTCATCTGAGGCTTGAAGCGTCGCGCAGCTGCAAAGACGCGCTGTCAAGCGCTTATCGATCGGTGTCGGCTCCGGCAGGTCGATCAGCTTGTCAGCCCCGCGCACCTGCTGTCAGACATGGCCAAGAGCACAGAGATTGACGACATCTTTGCGAACAAGTCGGCGACGTCAAACACGTCTGATAGCGCCAAAGCCAAGAAGGGCGGCAGAACATCTGTCAAAACCCAAAAGGCGCTGCCTGAACCTGTCGTCAAGCCCGCAGCTACCGACACGACAAGCAAGCAGGCTGACAAGCTCAAGTCCAAGGCGAGCAAGACGAGTGACGCGGCAATGGCCACCAGGGTTGAGACAGTCGTAGACCCTTCGTCGGCTCAGCCGGCGGCGACGAAGCGTTCACGTCCTGCCATGACGGAGGAGGATGCTGCGTTTGGCGACTCAAGAGGTACTACTCGTGCGTCGAGCTTACAGACCAAATCAAGCGAGCGCTCACTACTTCACGTTGGTAGGTCGACGGACAGACGACGGGCTCCCAATTTATGATGCCGCCGAGCTTAAGATTGGCCTCGGCGGTGATACTCCGCTTTGCCCATTCGATTGCGATTGCTGCTTCTAGTCCAGTCGGAGGCTTCGTCTTCACAGCTGACGGTGTTTGTTCGCCGCTCCGACGTGCCTACTGGCAGGCCAGCCAGCAGGCATGCTCGCTGACTCGTAGATCTACATACATTCGTGCACCAAAACAGATGACAAGTAGGAGCGCTCTGTTGCGGGGGATGATGCTCAGGCATCGTTGTCCAGGTCGACAAAGATCGCCTCGTAGTGGAACAGGATCTCTTCGATGGCTTTGCATTGCACCGACGCATCCTGCAACGCTCTGCCTTCTTCGCCTGGCGGTGGCCGGAACAGTGTCGGCCCGAATACAATGGCTAGATTCGAGCGAGACATAGAGTTGACAGAGGCATATGCTTGTACTCTACGATGCGTTTGGTCAGAGAAAAGTGCATCGCTTGGAAGCGTAACGTACTTGTGAAGATGGCCCATGAGGAATTTGAGTGTCGCGTAGTGTGCATCGGGCAAGTCATTGACCCGTTCGTGCAGTCGAATATGCCGCAGCCGGTCGTTCTCGATTTCTGCAGGCAGGCATCAGTGCTCATGCAGGGCTTGTGAGGCCATTGGCGCACTCGCTGCTTCCATGAAGCCATGATATAGGTCGAAAGTCAGCAGCGGATCCGGTAGTTCTCTGAACCAAAGCTTCAGTACGCCAGTGATATCGTTGATGTCCGTGAGGTTCTCTTCAGAAGTGAGGTCGACAGTCTCAACATCTGTTTGGACGGCATCAGCTCAGATCCCGAGGTTCTCTCAGCATGCATACCTTTGTCAAGCTTTCCTTTGAGCGCCTTGATACGCGAAGTCGTGCCGGAGAGTCGATATATGCCCGTCAATTGCAGGCCTGTGAGACTCGGTCAGCTTCGATCGATAGAAAGCTGTAGTCGCACGACTTGCCATAAGCCTCTATGACCTCTGCACATTTCTGCAGCACGCGAGGCACCTCTACGCCATCTCTGATCATCTGGTCACTCAGATCGACGCCAAAGACAGCTGTACTCGGCGGCTCGGCTACCGACTCCTGCCTTTGTTGCCTAGGCTGCGGTGATGAACCGACCATAGCCTGCGCGTCACATCAGCCTGATCAAGCGATGATGCTCGCGACTGACGAAGCTTTCGTCGTCTAGCTCATCGCGCCGCAGTCCCTTGTGGCCCGCTTGCGCGTAGCCGCTGGCGTAATTCTGCAGGTACGTCTTGAAGTCATAGCCGTTATCTATCGCCTCTGCGATGCCGCGAAGACCAGGTCCTTCTTCAGGCTGCGCCGGCGAGATCGTAAGTCCATCATTGACGAGTAGAGCCTCGAAGAGAGCGGCATAGCGCGCTATGTGATACTGCAGGCCTGTATCGACCTCGTCTGCTGACTCCTTCAGACTCTGCGTGAGCACGGTCCTCAGTGTTCTGTCACTGAAAGTTCGCAGGCAGACCGACTCGAAGTACGCGAGGCAGCTGAAGACCAAAATAGTCTTGTCGCGCTTGCTGCGCCGAAAGGACCTCCTTGCGATATGCGTCACTAGCAACAGACATGCGTGACCGTGCTTCCTCTTCTTGTCTCTGCATTTGCTGAGGGTTCTTCTTTGCCCCAAATTTGCTGATGGCTTTCCCAAATGCCCGTTTGCCGCCAGGCCCAGACGCGGCGCCCAAATGTGCGACAGCATTGACATCCTTGGTCGATTCGCCCGCTTTCGCTACCAAGAACTTTTCTAAATCCTCAGCTGCATAGTCGAATCTTTGCCGTGCCTGAAGCGGGCTGTCAGATCGCATCGTCCGATCGAGATGAGCGCGCACCTTATCGGTCGAGCCTTCTATGTCCAGCAGACCACGCTCGAGCCGACCACCAAGATCCTTCGCCTGCGAATGCAAGTCAGCTCACGAAAATCCCGCTCAGCGAGCACGGCACTCACCTCTTTGCGGTTGCGTTCGACTTCTTTAGAGATGTCAAGGAGATGACCTCCCATCTCAGTAAGCTGCTGCGCGAACCTTAGCCGGTTGTCGCCCAGTAATTCATGTGTTCGCAGCAAGCTTTGAAAGGAAGATACAAAGGTCCTGAGACGCACGCATTTTAGCCCGTACGCTATGTTGAGGTGGTACATCACGTACCCGGCTTTGCCTTCAGAGGTCGAGTAGGCTTCAGCTGTGCCACGCGAAAGCTTGATCAATTGCCGCGCGTAGTCCTCTTCGATGAGCGCTCGTTTTCGTAGGAATGTCGAGGTTTCCTAAATCACTCCGTATAAGCACAGGATGGACGTCGCGACTAACGACTTACCTTGCAAGAGCCCAGACTTTGCTTGAGCCTATCGAGCATAAGCGGCAGACCGCACTGTCCCCCAGACACGTATCAGTACCCTGCCCAAGCCGACTGAGTTATGTCTGACGTCTAGACCGCACAAAGTGCGTAATATGGCTTCATCAAAGACGGGGCCATCAATGCCTGGCGCGCCAGGTGCAATTGGCATGCCAGCTTTCGCATTGCCGGTAAAGGTGGCCGCAGACGCGCTGAGTGGTGACGGACCGAGCGAGCCGCTACCATTGGATATGTTGAGTCCAGATAGAGGTGTAGGCCCGCTCACGAGCGTGTCGACTGTACTGCTGGGTCTTCGCACGCTGGCAGTGGCTTGACTGTCTAACCGAGCAGCATCCGCATTCGTCACCGCTTGGCCGAATACAGACTGCGCTGCTGTCGAGCCAGACATGGACCGCGAATCTGAGCGAAGGCCGCTCGTCGAGCTTACCATCGTTGGCGACTCTCTGTATTCTGGGTCGCCAAGATGCGCGTGCCTGCCATTGCCCGCCGTTCCACCGGACGAATGCGGCGTATACAAGTTCGGCCCTGCGTTCGCGCTGATCGCTCCGCTGCTGCTCTGTAGCGGCAAGCCTGGCTGATTCTGGTGGCTCGATGAGGTGCTCGAGCGCGGTTCGTCGATGTGCTGACCTGCCTGACGAGTGCTTGTAGCTGGTCGAGACTCGTCAAAGCTAGGTGATGGGAAGTCCATCCAGCCTGTGCTTCGTGCTTCAAGTTGCTGCTCCTCCGTCGCCTCGTGCTACGCGCCTCGCAGACTCATCTCAGATGATTTATCATTTGATTTCCTACGTCCTCCATTCATGGCTTCTCATCGATTGCTTACCCTCAGATTAATCTACATTTTTGTACAGAGCCTGCAATCTATGCAACAAGTGACACTGGAGCTACCGAGCCGTTTCCAGGCGGTGGCTTCAACACAAAGGTCGGCGACTGCCTTGCCTGACGAGAAAGCTCAGCAGTGCAATCGCAGTATTGCCGGCGGCTCATGCGTCAATATGCGGCCTGCAATGCGCACTGTTGCGCCAACATTGTGATGTAAGTGTGCCTGCTGAATGTTGCTCGAATTAGAAAGGCCGCGAGGTTTGCGGAGTCGTCCTGCAAATGATGTACACGCTGTCGCGCCAAGAGGCAGGCAAGCCAGCAACTGGAGCGGGTTCCCAGTCAATGAAGCCCCACGCTTTCATAGCTCTGCTGCAGAGGAAGAGCTAAGCTGGACAGCAGCACCTTCTTTGCCGACCTTGATTAAGCCACGTCCAATGAATGGTTCTAGATCTGCATTATTGTCATGCGCGAGACGCAAGTGAGCCAGACCGTGCAACGCGTTTGACCGTGTGGAGCCAGAGGCATGATGAGTCATCGGGCGACAGCTGTGATGCTTCAGATGAAGTGAGGCCGGACAGACGCCTTGCTCGCGCTAGCTCTTCGCACGTCGTTGTCATAAGATAGTGGTTCGACTTCGACCGATCCAGTCGAACTCTGTTTGCAGTCTTGGCCACGATTGCCCGTACAGAGCGCGGTCGAGGACTGATCGAAGACGATTGTGCCCTCGCCACGAAAGCACCTGGTCGCTGAACCTAGGTCACGTGACATTGATCGCCGAGATCGCCGAGCTCCCGTGACCTAGGGTCACCGAAGTCACAAAACGCTAGGGCAGCATGGTCGTAAGAAAGAGATGCGAGAGAGCAAATTTTGAACATTCATCGCTCATACTTCTCCTACGGTCTGTTCAGCTGAAGCTGTGAGCGTACACCAATTCAAAGTCAAAGTGGTCAAATCCATCCAAGAATGAAGTATACAGCTCGATTAGCCTACGTATTGTATCTGGTAGCTTTTCAGCTCGATCCGGGGCGGGCAAAAAAGGCTTGACGCTGCCCAAACATGGTACCACGTGACTGTATTGCTGGCCAGTGCGGGGACGCCCCCTTCGCTCGCGGCGGGGACCGTCTTCTCCGCCTTGCACCTCAGCGGGGTCAACAGGGGCTCAGCGGGGCGGATAGGGAAACAACGGGGGGTGGCGGGGCCATACGGCGCATCGCACGCAACGCAGCAAGCTTGCGAAGTCTTTCAGGGAAACTGATGCGTCGATGCAATGTCGCAATGTCGTGTCGCGATTTAAGAACTACATTGACTATTAGGTGTTATGTACCTGTCCCATACTCATCACACCTTTCGGAAGCCTTAATCGTGCTGACCAGGTGGCATAGCATAGACTCTCAGACAAAATCAAAAGGCATAACCTCGTCAACTTGCAGATGACTGAGACTGCCGTCACCGGCGAGCATTCAGCTCTGTAGAGCGATGAAGCATGCGCACGCGGCCACAAGAGACCATCACGGCGCAAACTGCAGCCTGGTCCCGTTGCGGCATCACATCGGCGGTGCTCGAAAATTGTTCTGCCGCTCGTCCGCATACTCCGTCATGACGTGCTGCTGCTATATCACCAGCTCTGAACATCATGAGGAGTCATCAAAAGTATCACTCGGGCCATCATTGCCACCTAGTCGTGCTGCTCCGCTTTCGTAGCGCGATGATTGAGGTTCTGCCTCGCTCGGCTGCGGTAGCGTAGCCAATGAAGCTCTTGCGGCCCTTTTGCGCTCCTCCCGCTCCATGCGAGAGGCATGATCCTCTTGCACTGCTAAAAGAGCATTTCGTTTACGTTCGCTTTCCAACCGCGCTTCTCTCTCTTTGAGGTTGGTGCTCCACTCGGAATGTGATGTCCAGGTACGCTGACGATCAATGAGAGTCTCGATGGCCAATCTGAGCTTAGTCTGAACGCGCTCGGAGGGCGCCTCGCTGTACTTTGCGAATATTTGAAAGTCCTGCTCGCTCCCGACATGAGTCAGGCAGGCGGCGCTCATGAGCATCGAGCTTACCTTAGTTTCTCTGTAGAAGCCAGCTGCCCAGAGGTAATCGGTGCCTCCCGTTCGATCAACTAATCTGCGCTTGATGGCGGCATTGCCCAGCTTGATCGTTAGGAACTTGTGCTCGCCCGTCTGCGCATTCGAGAGGAGCGTTCTTAAGAGGTCGCGGAGGTCCAAGGCGGCCGTGCGATCGTTCTTGTCGATGACGAGATCGTCAATGATCCTCAAGAGCTTCACTTTCTCGTCCCGTTCGCGCAGGCGTGTCTGCGTGCTTGCAGGATCGATCGTGTTGCTGCGAGCCAGAGCTGCGTCTGCGGCTGTTTGTCTAGCGAGCGCAGCACTCTCTTGAGGCAAAGGCGATGTAGATGAGCCAGGTGCAGCAGGCGGTTCACTTTCAGTCATGCCCCAGCAGAGAACCGAAGCGCGTCACTTGACGAGGTCGATCAATTCTGTGTCGTGCGTGTCACGCGGTTGGAAGCCAGACTCGGCTGGCAATCTCGTGCATCAATTCGTGTCAACAACATGTGCGGAGTCCTTGTTCGTGTCCTTGGCAGCCCTGCGCTTCTTGATCGCTTCTCTCAGTGCGTTGTATCGCATCTTGTACTTTGCACCTTCGGCGGCAGCCTTTTCGAGATCCGCCCTTTCCATCTCGAGCTTTGCTATCCTCGCCAAATCCGTCTTCTGCGCTGTGAAAGGCTGACTGTCCACGCTGCGACGGACTTGTTGTGACAAGTCAAGTACGCTCTGCTTGATGGAGTCACGCTCCTCCGACTGACGTGCGATCAGTTTCTTCTGCCGCTCGTGCTCTTTCGCTAATCGATCGAGTGCACTCTTCAGTGATGCATTCTCGATCAGAAGCTCTTCTACCGTCCTTTGATTGTTGGCCAGCATCTGCACCGGCCGCTCTTCTGCTTGCGGGCGAACCAGGAAGGCCGCAGGCACCTCTCGCGGCACGAGCAAGAAACTCTCTGTTAGGCGGTCAATCTCATCGGACGTCACTTTCCGCCTGTCTGGGCTCAGCTTGCCAGAAATGGGCGCTGACGCAAAGGCAACGGGCTTCGTGAGCTTGTCCTGGAGATCGTCGATGATGCGCATAAACTGGCTGAAAGGATCGGCTTCACTCGCGTTCGACCTGACCATCGAGAAGCTCTCGCCAGAGGACAGCGAGCTGCTCGGACTCAGTCTGCTCGAGGCGGAGGATGCCACAGACTGTTGCAGCCTGGACGGCTGCGCGGGCGCGGTGGTTGATCGACGCGGCGCAGTAGGTTGCCGTGGGCCTAAATGACCATGCCGGTGACTCTGGCCTGCAGTCCGAGAGGGAGCGGGGTCACTCTTGTGGGATGAAATATCGATACGCCACTGCAGCTCGCCTGCGTGCTTTGTCTGCGCGGCGGACAAGTTAAGGAGCATAGCAGTAGCCTATCGCTCGGCAAAGTCAGCTCGGGCGAAACAAGTAAGGACGGAGCGACAACGTGCCGATGCATCGGTGGTGGCTTGACTAGCTGTCGTGTAGGCTGCAGCTGCTTGTTGACGGGTGGATACTGCTGCCAAGAGCTTGCCTTGATCGGCCTGCTCCTCGGCCAATTTGGCAAGCGTGTGTGCCTGCAAGCGGGTACTTCGATGAGCTTGCATGGGGCAAAGGGGACATAGCAATCGTGTGCTTGCCTTGTTGAGAGCCATGCTTGCTCATCTGAGTCAGCCGCTCATCCTCAGCAGGCTATCTCGACCGTGACGCGCTCTGTCGCTCGTCGTCTGTCTGCTGTTGACTGATCTCAACGCTTCTCGAGCCGACATGACTGCAAGCGCCAGCTCCCGCAAGCTCAAGGTTGGCATCCTGGGCGCAACAGGCAAGCAATGCAGCAGTATACGTCCACCCGGCTGACGACTTGGCTCGCTAGGAACCGTGGGACAGAATTTCTTGCTCAAGCTCGAGTCACATCCCTACTTTGTGGTGCATGCACTCGGCGCATCCTCACGTTCTGCCGGTCAGCCTTACATCAAAGCAGTGCGATGGAAACAGGCATATCCCATACCGGAAAGCGCCAGACAACTCATCGTTCAAGAGTGCAAGGCTGTTCAGTTCAAAGATTGCGACATTGTCTTTTCGGGTCTCGATCATGATGTTGCCGGCGAGATAGGCGAGCACATCCCGACACCATGTCGGGCATCAAGCTGACCGTGCTCTCGCTTGCAGAACAAGAATTCTCGGAGGCAGACTTGGCCGTCTTCTCCAACGCAAAAAATTACCGTCGCGCAGCGTTGGTGCCGCTCATCGTGCCCCTCGTCAATACGCATCACCTAGACATCGTACCTCATCAGCGAGCGCAACACGAGCCGCCGCTCAAGAAGGGCTTCATCGTCACCAACGCCAATTGCTCGACGACAGGCCTCGTCGTACCGCTCAAGGCGATAGAGGATGCCTTCGGACCCATCGATCGAGTGATCGTCAATACTATGCAGGCCATCTCTGGCGCAGGATACCCCGGTGTGCCCTCTCTGGACATCTTTGACAATGTCGTTCCCTTCATCTCTGGCGAAGAGGAAAAAATCGAATGGGAGACCTCCAAGATCCTTGGCGGCATATCCTCCGATCTGACTTCTTTCGACCTCCGACAGAATCAGCCGATACGAGTCTCTGCTACATGCTGTCGTGTACCTGTTCTCGACGGCCACACAGAATCCGTCTCCATCAGTTTCGCCAAGAGGCCACCGCCCACACCCGAACAGGTCGAAGAAGCTTTGCGCTCCTATACCTGCGAGGCGCAATCCCTAGGCGCTCCATCTGCGCCAAAGGCAGTGATCCATGTACACGAAGAACCGGATCGACCGCAACCTAGACTAGACAGATACTTCCAAGACGGCGCAGGCGTCAATGTCGGCAGAGTGCGAGACTGTCCCGTGCTGGACATCAAATTCATCGTGCTATCAAACAATGTGGCCATCGGCGCAGCGACGAGCTCTATCATCAATGCCGAAGTAGCGATGCTCAAGGGAGTCGTCTGACCGACTTTACATGCATTGCATTGCTCGCGCGAGACCATGTTCAGTGGTGCAAGAAGGCGTCTAGCGCCTCCTTCTTCTCTGCCGCGCTGAACATCTTGGGCTGTTGAGATGGGTCACAAGTCAGTTGTGTGCAAGCAGGCTGCTGTCGCTTTGCTCACGGGTATGTTGCGTTCCCTGTCGGCAGCGTGTCAGCCATGCGTGGGAATAGCCTAGCCAGATGACCGTACCACTTTGTACCTTCCGCAAGCATGGGAGCTGTCGAGCACAGGCCCCTGCGTTAGCGGCATCTGCAAGCCGACAGCAGCAAACCTACGTCGAATGGGATCAGGATGTTCTAGCTCGGCCACTTGCTTCTCCGCGTCTGCGAGGAGTACAGCAATCGCTCGAGGGTCCTTCACATGTCTGTTGCTCTCGAACGCTGCTCTGATCTCGATGGACCGCTGTCGCCAGGCATCCCGCCTGATATACCAATTCAGCGAATGCTTGAGCGCTTTCCGGTAGAGCAGCTGTGTCGCAGGGTCAGCCTGGCTGACCACTGCTCAGAGCGATCTTCGTACTTGAATGTAGCGACGATGAGCCACAGAGAATGGCGTGACCGCGGGCATCCTGTCTTGGCCGGACGCTGTCAACGACGTCAACGCGCCGATTTGCTCGCTGTAGCGAATTAATCCTCTCCCTCTGGTCGATGCCGCGCGCAGAAGCCAGCAGGCCACCACTCCATGACCCTTCTCAGACACAGCTTGCTACACAAATAGCGTCATTCCTCAGCCTGCCCGAGGAACTCATTCGCCATATCCCGTTCATGTGCAACAAGCAACAGCACAGCGGCTGCGGCTTGGCATCAAGCCCGGAAGCAAGTACGCTCAGTCTGGTGAGCCGCAGGACTGCGTGCTACATGTCTGTCATAATGTTTTGAGTCGAAGCGGCCTGAAAGACGAGCAGAATACAAGGGCTGCCGGCTGTGCCGATATGACGAAACCCCTGCAAGACTTAGCCAAGGGCCGAGGGCGAATGTACGAGCTATCAGTCTGAGCTGCAGAGAGGCGTCCCAGCACCATTGAGTACAGGCCCACTTCGTTAGCTAGCTTATGCAGTCGGCACTCCCTCTTCTTCGATCCATCACAGTCGATGAGACCATTGTCTGAGACATTCCGCGTTCATCGGATCTATTTGCCCTCTGCGATTGGCGCAGACTTGAAGAACGGCGATCGCGTGACAGCCCTTGACAAGGAGGTTCACTGCCGGCTTCATGGAATGTGTTCATCACCCAGTCTACAGATCATCTGGATCGATGGAGCCGTGCCCAACTTCACAGCACGATCGACTTCTCGGCTGTATAAGGGTGCATGGCCCGAGCCATACCGTCTCATCCTGCGTCGAAAAGACGCCGCACTGGAACAGACGAAAGAGCCATTGAGGCAATCTATGCTAGCCGGGCTATAGAAGTGCTCGCATCACGGGGATGATACCTGTCGCATTGCATGGCCTTGCGCCAGCGGAAGAATGGGCACATCGCGAATCTGTAGACCTGCCGCTGTGACGAGTGAGGAAGTGCTTGCTTTGCTCTTGTCGACAACAATCTAAGATGCACAGCTGCTACTGCTATGAAGTCGTGCACAGCTCTATCTGCCGATGCCGCTCTTGCACACTTTGATCTTGACTGCAACAATGTCTGCGCTCGCCCCTTCAGTCCTGCCAAGATGGTCGCCCTGCTTCCATCCCATCTTCTCGAGGAGGCCGTACCCAACATTGTCGCTGTCTAGCTTGGGTGCATGTTTGCCCAGAATAGTGGACCCCTTTCTGCGTTCCTGCGGAGTGAGCACATAGCCGCCCGGGTAGTACGCTCCGCCAAAGGCATCGTCAGATCCGTGAGACTCGCTGTCCGAACCGGCGCCATCCACAGGTCTGAGCGCCCCATCGTCAAAGTCATCGTCATCCCTGTCGCTGTCATTGTCCTTTTCACCCTGCATCTGATCATCCTCCTCATCATCTTCTGAGTCTGCTGGATCGATATTTCTGTAACTCTGCGCAGACGTGCTCGCTTTGCCTGCCGTCCTCGACAACATGGCCTTATCAGGCGTGGCGATGGGGCTCAAATGGGTGATCTCTGGCGATAGAACAGGTGCAAAGGAGTGTATGGCTACCGCGCCGCCAAAGATAAAGGGCGAGGGCGAGCAGAAACGGACAGGCGTAGAAAGGCGATTGTCAGGCGGCGGCACGGACACGAGAATGACATCCTCCTCATCGTCCGGCTCATCTGGCCTACCGCCAGCGAGTGTGGTACCCTTCAATGCGCTCGTCAACGAATTGACTGCCTGCGATGCCTCTGCTCTGTGCATAGGCAGCTTGAGTATGGATTTGCTCGTTTTATCCTTCGAGATGAGATCCTGCTTCTTGCCTCGGACGAACTTGACAGGCTCCATGTACCAGCGGCTTCGGAGTCGAGGAGGCGTGAGGGCCTGCATGTTGGTCGACTTGAGTCCGGTCTTCTTGTCGTACTGGCCCAATCCGCGCATGTTGGGCTTGAAGGCGTTACTTGTTTGCAGTGTGACCGCAGGCGGTATGGGTAAGCTCTCGTCGGAATGAAGACCACGGTGACCTCGAGTCTCGACGTGCGAGCGGAGCGTCACCTCATCTAGATGCTTGGGCGGGGGGACAAAGACCTTGCCTGGGCCATCGTAGATGGTAGCAGGCTCAAGCGATTGTTGCGCGCCGCCACCATCCCAGAAGATCGTTTGTATCGACCCGACATCGCTGGGAGGGGCGTCACCGAGCTTGCTTGTAGACGAGCTACATGACGAATCGCTCGCTCTGGTCACATAGCTTGGGCGCGCGATCCTTGATCGTGTCATGTCCGCCGACGCAGGAGCGGTCAGGTTCACAGCGGGCGCCACATAGGGCGAGAACTCGTAGCCTGACATGGCTGTCAGGTCATGTATAGGGGCAGACGGTAGCTCTCACTCAATGGACTGAGACCATTATCTGCACTTGTAAAGGCATCGTACGCCGACCACTTGCTCGAGTATCGGTCCAAATAGTGTGTCAAGCCTTTGGGATGGACGATGGGTGCCTGACCTGGATCGAGACCCTGCTTGCGCGCCTGTGATGGCACAGGTTGGCCACTAACATCTTGCTCGTTGACCATGCCAATGTGAGCAAGCTGAGACGACCAATTGGGCAGACTATGGGCGCGCCCGCCGTGTCACACTGAGGCACGTAGCTCTACTGTCATATGAAGTACTGCTACACTGCCGATCTGGTACTCGTCTGCTCACGCGGCCGCCAGAGAATGGTGGTCGATGATCTCAAGAGTTCAGCGCGGATTGGCTTCGCTGAGCGGGGGCACCAACGTAAGATCGTCATTTGATCAGATCCGAACCTTCAACGACATCGTCACGGCTTTCGACCTTCGACGGCCTGGCATGGCTCGTCGTGGCAAGCGAGCGACAATTGACGACGATGATCCGGACACTTCGTCCGCCTCGGATGAGCTGGTCGACGACGATGATGACTTGGGTCAAAGCGTCGACAGAGATGACGCCGAGGCGTTGGCAGAGTACCGTCGTACGACTGGCAAGCGGAAGCGTCAATCTCGCCAGGCAGCCCAAGCAGAGGCACTCTATGGTTCGTTTCTCGACGATGACGCTTATCAGAGGCCTTCCAATGCCGCCTCCACGCGCAAGCTCAGGAAGTACGTCTCACTTCGCAGAGCTTGCAATGGAGTTTGACTGATCATGCACGATGAGCAGACCCCAAGCGTTTGTTGCAGCGACAGACTCGCACGCCAACCGTCCGCTCGAAGAAGCCGACGCTGCCATCGCTTCACGGCTCGAGCGTGATGCCGAAATTCAAATCCTCGACAATCTCGCGCCTGCCATTGTAGAGCCGGCAACCCTCGCAGATCGTACAGCCACGCCAGAGTCTGGTAGTGACATGGACGATGCAGACACCAGCGAGGAAGAGGCCAAGGTAGAACGCGTACGCGAGGGAGGAGACGAAGATGAACAGCCTGATCAGATCAGGAGCATGGCGGGCATAGGCGCAGCCAGGCCAGGCTTCGCGCCACCGCCATCGCTTGCGAGTGGAGTGCCCTTCTCCTTTGGCAAGACTGACGACGCTCAGCGGCAGCGACGTTCCTTCCTGGGGGCGCAGCCGAGCTCGAACCCTACGATATCCAAGCCGTCTTTCGTTTCCAGAGAGGAGCAGAAGCATTTTGCGCAGCTCGAAAACCAAGGCGGCATCGGCTTCAAGCTCCTTCAGCGGATGGGCTGGTCTAATGGTTCTGGATTGGGGCAGAGTGGCGCGGGCATCATTACTCCCATCGAGGTCAAGAAGCGACCCGAGAAGATGGGCATCTCTTTCGACGGCTTCAGCGAGCGCACTAAGCAGTCAAAAGACGAGGCCAGACGGCGAGGTGAAGCCGTCTCGGACGAGGAGAATTCGCCGACCTCTAGAAAGCATGCAAGATCACGCAAGGCTGCGACAATTACCGCTGCACCCAAAGCTGCAGACAGGGCAGAAGCCTGGAAGAAGCCGCAGCGATCGAAGAAGAACAGGATCGAGCATCGCACCTATGACGAGATACTGAAATCGGCAGGTCAGTCGGAGCAAGACACAGGCATCGGCCAAATTGTCGACCTGAGCGGCAATGCCCTTCCTTCCCTCTCTTCTCTCTCGATGGATGTACCTGTGCCAACAGCGGATACCACTCGCTTGCCTGAGCTGCGACATAATCTCCGACTGATCATTGAGACAAACAAGAGCGAACTAGATCATTTGGCTCGTGAAGCCCTCAATGTCGATCAGCAGCGCAAATGGAACCTCAGAGAAGCTACGAAGGCACGAGAAGCTGCCGACTCGGAGGCAAAGAGGGTCAGCCGGCTACAGCAGATCCTTGAGATTGTCAGCGAGGTTGAGACGATCTCGAAAACGGCGACGCAAGATCGACAGACCCTTGCTGAACGCGCAGATCTCTTTGCGGACGCATTCGAACGACTTGCAGGCGGCTATCACGCGGAACTTTCCGAATATCGACTCGACGAGCTCGTGGTTGGCGCGCTGGCACCTCTCTTGCGTATCGCGTGGTCAGAATGGGAGCCACTAGTGCAGCCGGTTCTGGGCATCGCTGAGCTCAAACGGTGGCGGAGTCTGCTTGGTGTCGATGCTCATTCAGTCACTGACGCGCAAGGTGACGCTCGCACAATGACTGCATACGAGACTTTGATCTGGACTCTGTGGCTTCCCAAAGTTCGTTCCGCGATCAACAATCACTGGCAACCTCAAGACGCTGGGCCTGCCGCTTCGTTCTATCTGACCTGGCAGGCCGTCCTGCCAGAATTCATCAAAGGCAACGTTCTTGAGCAGCTCATCCTGCCCAAGCTTTCAAAAGCGGTACACGACTGGACCCCGAGCAGCTCCGTCAGCCTACATGATATGTTGCTGCCCTGGCTTGAGCAGGGTGACGATCGCATGGGCGACCTGCTTGTCGAGGCCAAGCGGCAAGTTGCACAATGGCTCAAAAGCTGGAAGCCGCGCGACAAAGTCCCTGCAGGTCTTTCCATCTGGCAAGAGATCCTCAGCAAGGATGAATGGGACACCTTGCTCCTCAAGCATGTCGTGCCTCGCCTCTCCGCCTCTCTACGCGACTCGTTCAGGATCAACCCAGGCAAACAAGACCTCGTGCCTCTTGACCGCGTCATGGCATGGCAGAAGCTCTTGCGCTCTTCGATGCTCGCTCAGATCCTGGAAGCCGAGTTTTTCCCCAAATGGCTCGATGCTTTGTTTGTTTGGCTCACGCACGATAAGGTCAACTTTGACGAGGTTGCGAGCTGGTTCAAGTGGTGGAAGGCGAGCTACTTTTCGAACGAAGTCACCTCGCTGCGTCGCGTCAGCTCAGGGTTTGCTCGTGGAGTCGATCTCATGAACAAAGCGCTGGCTCTGGGAGAAGATGCGCCTTACAAGTCAGTCATTTCAAGGCATTGCTTGCATGGTGCTGATACCCCGCAATGCAGGCTACAACGACCTGACACGCGGCCTCTGCCATCTCGAAGAGACAGCGTGCAAGCTGAAAAGGCAGCCAAAGCATCAGCAGTCAAAACGCAATCTGCCATGGCGGAGGAAATTACCTTCAGAGAAGTGCTCGAAGACTTCCTCGCCTCAAAAGACCTTGTCATGGTTCCCACTGGCAGGTCACACGAGAAGACTGGTCAACAGCTCTTCAGGGTTTCTGCCTCCGTCGACGGCAAGGCAGGCACGACGGTTTACGTCTATGACGATGTCGTCTTTGCTCACTCAAAGGAAGGCGAATGGAAACCAACTGGCATCGAAGAGCTGGCCAGCAGCGTGCTCTCATCGAAGTGATACTGCTGCTGTTGTTGTTGTTGTGATCTCATTGCCATCGGGCTCGTGCAAGATCCTCTAGCTTGCTTGAGAGTAGCAGATGGGAACGATGAGCAAAGCCTGGGCTGATCGCCTTGAGCAGATCATCGAGCGTCTCTGCGTGCGCGACAGGCTGGTCGCACTGCCGAACAAGCTCAACCCAAGCGCTCCTGAGGCTTCTGTGACTTATAGCATACCTCGTAGCCCCGCAAGGACAGGCGAATGAGCACTTTGGCAGCTCCCTCGTCGATCAGCTCCACTTCAGCCTCTGCCTCTTCAATCCCGCTCGGCAGCATGTTCCATGCCATGATAGCATAGCCACATTCCGTCAGAGCTCTGTCCAGCTCCTGCTTCAAGGGCGGCGGCTCGTTCATCTCGACTCAGCGAAGCTAGCGAAGCAGCTGAAGACGCGCGCCGCACACGTGAAGAGCCACGGAAATATGGCAACACGTCACAAGCTGACAGATCCTAGACCTCGGACTGGTAGAGCAGCTTTTGTCGCTTAGCGGATGGCGCGTCCGCAGAGGCGTCGCGAAGCTTGTTGGCCTCTCGTCTGGCTTTCTCCTTTGCAGCATCATAAGGCTTACTCCTCAGCAATGCTTCACCGCATTTGGACGCATTGATGCTGCCCTTGCAGTCATGGCGTCCGCAGCCAGGTTGGCGACAATGCCGGGCATACTGACAGTAAGGGACCGCACATTCTGCTGTCTTATCGCATTTGAACTGCTCCCATGTCAGCTTGTGCTGCATTTCTCACGAGCAAGCTGCGGCGCACCGGCACACTAGCAGGAACGTCTGCAGGGCGCGGGAAGGAAGCTGCAGGTCCTGAGCCAGATGCTGTTGGCTGATCCGTTGCATCGTCGAGCGCCAAAGGCTCTGGAGTTGCGGACGTAGCGCCCGAGTGCTCCGGCTCTGGCGGCGTATGGGCCAGCTGCGTGCTGTCGACAGGCTCACCGTCTGCATGCATCTGAGTCGTAGAAGGCTCTTCGATGATTTGTGTGCCAGGACCGCTTTGAGCTCCAGTACTGACAGCGACGCTGACTCTGATATCCTTTGCGTCGTGTTGGCTCTGCAGAGCAGCTGCGGCGTTGGTTGCAGCAACTGCGATTTGCTGCACATTGAGCGTGTTATCGCTCGCGCGTGCTTGATCCTGCAGGGTTGGATCAATTGAGGCCGACAGAATTCGGTTGTGCGCTTTGCTTGTGCTCTGTTCTGGATCGTTGGAAGCCTCTTGCGGAGCGCGACCTTGCTGAGGAGGCTGCATCACCGCTCCCATGCCAAAGCTGACCTGTTCGAGCGCACTGGCACGGGCCCGATAGATGTGATCGAGATCTTGAGCCGCCTTGCTGACCTCTGTGAGGTATGAGCCCGACGGCAGGAGCAAACCGTAGGCAGGATCCCTCCACAAGTTCTCGGCGGGATAGGTGTTCCTCGACGAGGCAGCATCAGTGAGTGCGGATAAGTATGCGTAGCGAGCGTGATCACGGCGAGCATTCTTGGAATCCTCGACATGCTTTGCGAAAGCATAAGTGCCTGCGCCTTTGGTGGGCAAGGTGCGCATCATCTGGGGCAGTCGCCTGTCGACGCCGGAATGACCAGTGAGGACGTAAGGAAATTCTGCGGAGAGCCAGCGAGGGAGCTGATCCAAAATGAAGCGGTCGTAGCTGTTGAAAGTCTTCTTGGCTTTGCGACCGCCTTCGGGAGTCTCTGTAAAGTGGCCAGCGCACTGGTAACGATATCCAATCAAGATTTCTATATCATCAAAGGTGTGCACTGTCCGTCCATTGCCCCACCCTGTGATCCGGCTGTCAGCGCTTGGGGTAGACATACAAAGTGATTGTCCCACCATGAGAGGTCAGCAGGTTGCCGCACTCGCATCTGAGCGCGCTGTGGTCGGACAAGAGCAGAGCGGGATGCCAGACAAAACACCGCTTCTGGCCGAATAGGATGGGACTGACTGTGGTGTCTCCGTTGGCGAAAGCCTCTGCGATGGCAAAGGCGGGCGCGGGCGGTTCGATGTACCATGTACCGCGGGAATAGCATTCGGGCTCCTTGTTGGCGGCCATCTGTGCTTTGAGCTTGATGATGATGGCAGCAGTGCGCTGCTGGATCGCTGTTCGTGCAGATTTGGGCAGCCCCGCCGCGTCGAGTGCGTCGCCATCGATGTGGATGCCGTCCTCCTTCTCTTCGCTGTCCTCTTTGCGCATCGAGGGACCAGCCACAGCGTTGCCTGTCGCTTCCGAGCCAGTAGCAATGTCAAACTGACCTTGCTCGGCAGAAGGATCGACAGAGATGTCAGGCGACCGTGCGAGTGCATGGCTGTCGGACTGAAAGTCCATCCTCATCGATGTCCCTCTCACCGGGCCAGCTGGACTGACTGGAATGCTCTGTGTAGGCGACAGGAAGACGTTGTTGGACTCATGCGACGGCCCTGCGGTAGGTATGTCCGAGTAGGCAGACCGAGGACGAGTGGCCGCGAAGTAGCGAGGGATGTCGTCGACCTCCATGCCTGCCAGACGGCGCGCTTCTGCTTCCTGTTCGCGCTCCTCAGCAAGGCGTGCCTTCTCCAACTTCTCTGCCGCCAGCCGCTCATGCTCCTCCTTCGTCTTACGCCCGGCGCCCTTGCGTTTCCCGCCATGACCGCCAGCCATGTCGGCCTAAGGGATGGATCCAGAAGCTTGACCTGTGATGTTCGCCGCGTGTTGTGACTTTGAGGTCGTCTCGAGAGCGTGTGCCCCTGCTTGATAGCGACAGCTTGATTGAGGCCTTGATTCACAGCTGGGCAGGTGTGGGAGGACAGATCGTCCTGCATTTACTGACTCGATCGACGCGTCCAATGACCGCAACAAGTCTGACCTGCCTTGAACGCCCTCGGATTCGACGCATTCCTCCCGTCTTTCGGACCGACATGGAGGAAGATCCGGCGGTCAAGATCTTCGGAAGCGAAGATCCAGATCTATATGGCGCGCTCGAATTGAGCTCACCCAACGCGACCGTCGAAGAGATCAGGAAGGCCTACCGACGGCTTGCTCTACGGTACCATCCAGACAAGATTGCCAAGGATGCCTCTGCCGAGACCCAAGAAGCGGCTACAGTAGCATTCCAGCGTGTAGGATACGCATATGCCGTCCTGAGCGATGAGAAGAGGCGGACAAAATTCGACAAGACGGGCAGAACAGACACGAGTTTCTGGGACGACAAGGGCGATGATGGCGCGGCTTGGACAGACTACTTCAAGGAACTCTACGAAGAGAAAGTCACTTCAGCAAAGATTGAGGAGTTCATGCAGCAGTACAGAGGTACGATCCGCTTCTGGTCTGACTGTCGAATGCTGACAGAGCACCGCGGTGTCATAGATTCTGACGAAGAGCGCGCTGATCTCTATCAGGCTTACACTGATGGCGCAGGCTCGCTCGAATATATCTTTGATCATATCATGGGCTGCAACATCCTCGCAGACGAGGAACGCTTCATCGACGCCATCAACGCCGGCATCAAGTCAAAGAGCTTGATCAGCTTGCCGGCGTGGAAGAAAGCACTCAAAGACACCAAGGCGAGGGACAAGCTTCGCAGGTCTGCTCGTGCAGAAGCTGTCGAAGCGGAAGAGATGGCCAGAGAACTCGGCGTACACGAGACGCTTTTCAAGTCCAAGGGCAAGAAAGGCTCAAACAAGGCGCGTGCGGACGATGACAAAGAAAACGAAGCTAGCGGCGAGGATGCACTGAGAGCGCTGATACAACAGCGGGGCACGAAGCGGTACGACGATATGCTGGCGAGCATCGAGTCCAAGTACGGCTCTGTGGACGCAAAAGGCAAGAAAGGCAAACCGGGCAAGAAAGCTCAGGCGGAAGCCATGCCGACGGACGAAGAGTTTGAGCGCATCCAGGCCGAGCTCGACGCAAAGCGCAAGTCTACCTCGAGCACTCCTGCGGGTCGCAAGAAGGCAAGAAAGGCTTGAGCACACGGTCGCGCAGGAGAGACCTGATGAGTCCTCATGTTGTAAGATCTGCATGTTACATTGTCTAATCATGCAGCTTCGCAAGCTCTAAAGTCGAGGCCGATCGCGACGATGACCGGTTTGCGCTTGTCAGAGGGAAGGCCGAAGAGCGTCAGATTGAGAGCTGGCACGACCACGTCAGCTCTGCTTGCTCGAATAGCGCTCGAACGACTTCGCACCTTTGACGCCATCGACCATGTTGTTGGGCAAAGGCAGCACGCTCTGGATGGCACGGGAGTGAACATCGATGGCAGTCCAGAAGTGACCATCCTGTTCTCGACCAGATCAGCCCGAACCTATCGATCACGAAATCTCACGTGCAAGCTCATAGTCGTAGGCATGGGGCTCGGTGGGCAAGCCAAGATGGGGCACGACACTGGCGACCCATTTCGGAAGTTTGACCATTCCCAGCACGAGCGAGCTCTCGGGACAGTTGGCGATGGCCTGAGCATCGGTGGGTGCAAGCAACACACCACGCTCACTGACGCGCTGCTCATCGAGCGTGCACGCCGTCGTGGTCGAATGACAGAGCTTGACTGCCGGGCTGGCGAAAGCGACTGCACTGAGGGCCAACACGACGAGGCTCGACTTGAGCATTCTGCCGGGAAAGATAGTGAGCAATAGCTGTGCTCATAGTGCGGCCACTCGCCTGCAGGGGAATCGTAAAGAGCTTTTGCTTGCGACGTTCAAAAGTCGTGAGAGGAGGACAAGGCAGTCTGAGGATAGCCATACCGGCAGGACATGCCGAAAGCTGTGCAGTCCGAAACGCGAGGATGCGCTGTCGAGTCATGTCGCGGATAGATTGGCAGGGGCGATCGTTGCGAAGCAAAGGCGCGCCTGTTTGAGCGCGAGAGGAGTCGTTCTCCACACTTTCTCCATCGTGCCCTCGGCTCCAACTTTCCAGATCTCGGTTGCGGGCGATCACAAGAGGCAATGCTGGGTGCGGCAGTGAGCCTGCTGCTTGCTGCTTTGACCCGCATGCTGCTCTATGCCTTTCTGCTGCTCGTAGGCTCACTTTGCACCCGGCGCCAATGCTATACTGATGGCTAAGAGGATGATCAGGCGGCAAGCTACATTCTGCCCTACTACTGGGATACGTACGACTTGCGCAAGCATCCCGGTCCGATCACAGCTCGCTTCTCCACATTCTGGCTGGCATACTATGCTCGTCACGGTCAGCGCTACAGGGCAGTCCATGCTGCTCATCAAAGATATGGACGCATCGTGAGTCATGACGAGTCCAGATGGTCAAGGCGCTTGCTGACATGCTCCGCGCAGGTGAGAATAGCACCGAATCAGCTGTCCATTGCAGACGCCGATGCGCTACCGGTCGTGTATGGTCACTCGACAGGCACGCTCAAGTCGACGTTCTACGATGCATTCGTGGCATCCGTCCACCGAGGACTGTTCAACACGCGCAACCGAGTAGATCACACTCGCAAGCGCAAGATTATCTCCCATACGTTCTCGCAACGGTCCATCCTCGAGCTCGAGCCGTACATAGCCACGACACTGAAGGCATTCCTCGCTAAGTGGGACATCAAGTGCGAATTGGCGAAAGATAGATGGGAATGCGACGCTTTGCCGTGGTTCAACTACTTTGCCTTTGACGTCATCGGCGATCTGGCTTTCGGACGACCATTCGGTATGGTTGCAGCAGAAGCAGATCGGACCGTCGTCGAAGATGACCAAGGCCATACTTTCACTGCCTCAGCAGTGCGCATCCTCAACGAACGAGGCGAATACTCTGCCACCCAGGGGGCAATCTGGCCACCTCTCCGACCATACATGAAGTACTGTGATCCTTGGTTTGCAAGAGGGTTGGCAAGCGTCAAGAACCTGACCGGTATCGCAAGAAGTCGCGTCAACCAGCGATTACGAGAAGGAGCAGGCGAACGCAAAGATCTACTCGCGAGACTGCAGCAAGGCAAAGACGAGCAGGGGCATCCTATGGGCAAGGATGAGCTGACAGCGGAGGCGCTGACCCAGCTCATAGCTGGCAGTGACACCACGTCCAACAGTTCTTGCGCAATCGTGTTCTTCATCGCGCGGCACTCTCAGGTCAAGCGTCGACTGCAGCAGGAGCTAGACACAGAGCTGGCCGGCAAGGCGAGCGACGACGGCGTGCTCACCTTTGATGAAGTCAAACGCTTGCCTTATCTGGCTGCTTGCATCGATGAAGGCTTGCGACGGCATTCGACGAGCTCTATCGGTTTGCCTCGCATCATGCCGGATCACGTGGTGTTCAAGGACGTACCGATCAGAGCTGGCACCGTCCTGTCTGTTCCGAGCTACACGATCCATCATGACGAGACATACTGGTCCGAGCCTTTCACCTATAATCCAGACCGATGGTTGGACAGCTCGGCAGATGTCAAGCAGTCAAGGGAGAAAGCCTTCAATCCCTTCTCGACAGGACCGCGAGCCTGTATCGGTCTCAACGTCGCCCGGCTGGAGCTGCTCGTCTTCATCGCCAGTCTGTTCTTCCGATACGAGATCGACTTGCAGGATGAGAGTCTGGATGAGCTGCCGACGAGGGAGGGCTTCCTGCGCAAGCCGCTCTACTGTCATCTGAAGATCTCTAGACGAGCCTCATAGCATAGACAATGTTCGTTGTTGTTCAACAAGTGACATCATAGTACAACAGACATGTTTTGCGAGCTCGCTCAGATCTACATGCCAAAGACGCCGATATTGCCACTGTAAGGTGTGGGACCGTAGCGTGCGGCGGGCCCTTTGTCATCACAGGCGTACGCCAGGATGTTGCTGAAAGGATGCCAAGCGATCGCATTGACGCCAGCAGCGACATTGAGCTTGTGTACTGACGCGCCCGTCGTGACTGCAGAGATGTCTATAAAAGCTTCTTCTGATGCAGAGGCGAGATACTCTCCATCCGAAGAGAAGCCAAGCGACCGGACAGGGTAGGCGAGATTGTTGAAGGTGCGTATGCAGATCCAGTCCCTCATCTCCCAGAGTGACACGAGAGAGTCGTTGCTGCCCACTGCGAGATATCTGCCAGCGCTCCTGTCGGGTCAGCAGCCGCGCGGTGCTCGTGCTTCAAAGACTGACCTCCCCCGAGGATCCATGTCAAGCGAGAAGCAGTTGGCAGGATGAGCGAGAAAGTCGTGATAGACAGTCTCAATCTCTGGAAACTCTCTGATCTCTATCCGGCCGTCTCCCATGCAAGTGAGAAAGAGGTCGCCCGCATGATTGAACAGAAACTCGTTGACCTATCAGCAGGTCAGCCAGATCATCGTGCCGGAGCAGCAGGTGGGAGCGCGCCTCTACGTTGTACTTGTAAGATTGAGCAATCGTGCCGGAGCTCGAATCTATAAAGACGACATTGTCGTTCGTGTCACCGGCGACAAGGTAGGATCCGTCGGGAGACCAGGTCGTGTTGATGTTGATGCCTGGCGTGGCGACAGTGTGGCTCGCCTTGCCCGTCCGTATGTCCCATATCTTGACGGAGTGATCAGAAGAGACAGATGCCACGCTGTCCGTTGTCCTTCAGCTTGTCTCGCCCTCCAGAGCAGTGCGCTCGTACGAACATATCTGGGTGTGCGGGGTGCCATGCGACCTTGTTGACGGCGCTCGCATGTCCCACGAGCGCGGTAGACGTTCGCTGATCACGTTCGGGCGTCCATATCCGAGCAGTCTTGTCATTCGAGCCCGATGCTAACCGCTTGCCGTCGCATGACCACGCGAGCGAGATGACTCTGTCCTTGTGGGAGCCGGTGAGCATCTTGCTCGGCCATTTGGACATGCTCATGTTGCTCGTCATCGCACTGAGCCTGCTCGGGCAGCCTGGCGCTCAACAAAGTCGGCAGAGGCAAGCGAGTTGGACGAGTTGTGCACGTGACTAGCGCCCAGCGTGTCACCGGCCTGCCTCGGTGGCCAGAGCATGAGAGCATGTAGCGGCTAGCTAGCCGAGCGAGAGACATGCTCTTCCGTAGCTATGGACAGGCTGCACGGTGCAAGATCCTCATCCTCGACTTGAACCCGTCCAAGCTCGAGTCTATCGAGCGCATCAAGCATGTCCTGCGCACAGATTGCGCTCACATTGACCTCGCAAGCTTGTCTGAGCTCCCCTCTGGACGGTATGCAGCGCCCCGTGTCAGATCAGGCACGCCCGTTGCGCTCACAGAGTCGCAAGCCAACGGACACGCTCCCACTGCTAATTCACCTTTCGGTCCGACGCCTGCCTCGAAGCCTATGATCTTCGAGTACGTCGACAGTCAGACCGAGCATGCTCAGCCTGGTAGCATGCTCGACTTTCAGCGATCAAGACAGATCTGGGGCCTCCTCATCATCGCGTCTGCCCCTTCAGAGTCGGATCCGATCGATCTGAGGAGCGAGCATCTTGCTGTGCGAGCAAGATATGCCCATGTAGATTCTGCACGATGCTGTCTCGTCGGAAAAGGAGCTCCGACCGAACTGCCAGAAGGCATGATAGCTTTGCCAGACGCGCCGGACGAACTCGCCAGTGCTCTGCGCGCTGTGATGAGCGAGATGGCGAGCTCGAGTCTGCACGACTTTGCCATCTTATCTGCTCAACTCGAGCATCGCAAGCTCATAGAGACGCCAACAGACTCCTCAGCTCGATCGGGAGATGTTCTCGCCCGAAGCATATCGCCTGAACCCTTATCACCTGTAGGCTATACGATTCCCACGGCTTCTCACTCGTCTGCCGCCCTCAATGCATTTGGACATCTCGGCTTGAGAGCAAAGAACAGTCCAAAATCGTCGACTGCCAGCCTACCCAGCGGGCCTCCTCTCCGCTCGAGCTCTGCACCCGTCCTGGCGCCAGGGGCAACAGTGCATGATCTGTCTCTCTCCAGCAATGGCATCAACGGCATCAGACCGACATCACTCGCCGATCAATCGAACGATCACGCGTCTGCATCTATGTCTGCTGTGCCTCAAGCAGGCAGGACCAGCAGACGGTTGCCTGGCCGCTTAGCAAAGATCAGAGCAGATCTCAAGCTCATGGCCGGCAGATGGGACGAAGCCCAGGCAGGGTGGGCGCGCTCTCCTTGTCGAGTCTGTATGAATACTCATGCAGAGCTATCGCACAGTTACAACGACGCCATCGTACTTGCAAAGAATTTCTCGGATCATGTCTGGCACGCCTCTGCTCTCGAAGGCCTCATTGCTCTGCAGATTGTGCAAGCATGGCACTCGACCATCTCTGCTGTGCGCCAGACTGTCTTCTTGCCCGGCAGCCGAGCTGATGTTAGCACGATCATAGCCGCCAATGCCGGTGCCCAAAGACCTCGTCGCGCTGACAAAACCGCAAAGCAAGCCTTTCTCTGCGCACGACACACTCTCTCTCGAAATGCCAGACAAGATGGCAGAAGTCCTCACGCTTTACGCTAAATCAGCGCCGGCGCAAGATGCCTTCCCTTCCGATCCGCTAGCGTTGACCAATGAGACTGCTCACCCGCTCATACTGGCTGAAGCGCATCTTCGCGTGGTCGAGCTAAATCATGCCGTCGTACTTGCCGGCGGCTGGAACGCTCGTCTAGTTCAAGAGCTCGTCTTTGCGCGCGGTGATCTTCATGCCTCTGCAGCGACGCTCGCACACACTGCCCTCAAACAAACCATACTTGATCACCTCGCATTTGCGTACACCCCTCATCTCGTACGATCAGACTTGCTAGAACGACACCAGCTCGTCATGCGCGTTGCTGAGCTGTACGGGCAATACGGCAGACTGCGCCGCCAGGTTCTCATGCTTTGCGAGGCAGCCTGTCTTGCTGCGACTATCTGCGTGCAAAGTCCAGGGACGCCGGTTGCTCATTCCCTAGCAGCGCAGGGTACAGCCGGTCTTCAGCGCGCTCTCGTCGTTCTTGCCGTTCTCGCAGCCTCTGGCGACAAGCCTTCTCTTCTTCAACAGACGGGCTGGCCTTCGTTACAGGTCATGATGGCCAAAGACGCGGTGAACGCGGCGAGACTGCTGGGTGACACAGAGGGTATGATCCGCTTCGCCACCGCTTCTCTGCGTCATCTTTCAGGTACGCTCGCCGGCGAGCAATACAACCTGAGTGTGGACTTCCCGGAGATGGTCCTAGCTGCTGCGCAGGCAGAGCCGGACAAAGTTCTACCTTATTGGGGCCCGCCCGCTCCTGTGGTCAGCGCGTCCCTCGACGCTACACCAGCCCGCAAGCAGCTCCATGCGGTCAAGGCCAAGGAAGCTGCGCTTGGCAAACTGGAGAGCATGTCAGACTTCATCTACACCCCCACGACCAACCTCAGGGCAGAAATGAACCGCCCTCCTTACGCAGTTGGCGACTTGATCACTTGCTCAGTTGTCCTACAGAATCCTTTCGCCTTTCCAATCAGCATAGAGGATTGTCAGCTGGTCACTGCAGGCAACGTAAATTTCGAGCCTTACAGCATAACTACCACACTAGCATCTCAGTCCGTTTCGACAGTACGTCTTTCGGGCCGACCGACGAGCACTGGCGAGCTCGTTTTCACTGGATGTCGCTTTCGCCTCGTCGGAACGAGCCACGAGACCTTTCCTTTCGATCGCAGCGATCGCCAGCTATCGACTTACTCTCAAGTGCACGAGGACTATCGTGTAAAGCGAGGCTCTCGCATATCACATGCTAGACCGCCATCTCTGCCTGTAACCGGCAAAGTGGCTGCTCTGGCTCTGACGGTAGTATCAGAGTTGCCGACACTAGCGTTGCAATCGTCCTCTATACGACATAACGCGCTCATGTCATTTGAAGGCGAAGCTAGTACTGTGGCGCTCACACTGATCAACCAGAGCGGACGAACGGTCAATTTTCTCAAGGCGATCTTCCATGACAATCACACTGCAGCAGCGTATCTTGCACTACAAACGCAAGAGCTTACGCCAGACCGAGTATATGAGATTGAGCGCGATCTCGTTGCAAGCCCTGTTCTGTCGCAGGTCTCTTCTGCAGATGACTTTAGCATCGCACCTGGTGAGTCTCGGGCGGTCAGCTTCAACTGTCTAGGCAAGCTAGGTTGCACGTCTGCGTCGATCACTCTCGAGTATGGTCATTTGGCGACGGATGCAGCTGCACCATCGACCACTTGGGTGCGCAGGCTCACGTACGACTTCGACATTACCGTACTTGGGGCGCTGCAAGTCGAGCGCTTGACTGCCAAACCACTCCGGCGGCTCGATGAACCCATGCTGACTCACCGCCGAGCATCGAGTCTGACCCTACGCGGGCGACGTGCGTCTGTGGATCTCTCTCTTGACAAGCATCTCAACGCGGACGAGGTGGACGAGCATAACGTCTTGCTCTTCGAAGTACGAAATACGTTTTCAAAGCCTTTCGAGATCTCTATTGGCCGCATGCATGATGGTGAGCATTAGCTCTACATCCTGCTCGGGACTGACGCCCGCTCAGGCGATTTTGATCGAGTCAGAGAAAAGATAGAGCCGGGTGCAACAGCGAGGTGAGTACACGCGTGATTTTGCCACGCTGCCCACTGAAGGCGTAGAACCCCAGCATTGCACTGCGGCACAGGAGGATGCGCATCGCTGAAGCTGCACTCATGCGGACGATACCCTCGCCGCTTGGTCGACAGTTTGTAGTTGCAAAGGCGCCCTTAGAAGCACGAGCCGAGCAGGTCGCTTTAGCGCGCTTCTGGCGACGTCAAGCCTTCCTTGACGACTGTACGGCCACTTGGCGCGAAGTTGGCTCGCGGAGGCAGGGCACACTATCCTTGCGAGCGCTTGGGCTAGATGATCGGTTATTGCACATGCTTGCTGCGCGGCCCGTCGATCTAAGGCTCTCTTCGGATCGACCTTTGCTCAGAGATCGAGCCTGTGCTGTCACGAGCGAGGCGGACGCATTCATCAGCATCAGAGGCCACATCAGGAATCGCAGTGCCCGCTCGATCAATGCTGTAGCGGCCATCGTCCTATTACCGTCTGCAGATACGCACAGCGAGGTCACTAATCAAGTCTTGTTCGATGGCCCAACAACATTCGATCTAGCAGCCTTGCAAGAGAATGAGGAGACTTCAGTCGAGACCAACGTCATTCTCCTAGCCGACGGCGTGTTCGATTTTGGGCTGCAACTCTACCAATACGATGCAGAGGACTGGCAAGCGGTCATAGCTGCGCCGGAACCTTTGCGCGTTCATTGCAAGTCCGCAGGCTGAAGCGTGTCTATGCGTGAGACGCGCTTGCTTTGGTGTCCTTGGGTAGCGTAGTTGCAAAGCCGCCGGTGCTGCCGAAGCCGCCCGCGCCTCGTACCGTCTCTGACAGACTCTGCAGCTCGAAATGTCAGCTGGGCTCCCAGTGATTCCGGGAAACATGCCTCGACTTCAAGTACCGCTGGCGTTACGATGCGCTCGAGAATCAGTTGCGCAACGCGATCGCCTTCGGCCACTGCGTGGCCTCTTAGCCGGGGCGTAATGAAGAGTCAAGACGCGTGCCTTGAAAGTCGGTCTCGCTCAGGTTGAAGAGGAGTACATGGACCTTGCCACGATAGTCTGCGTCGATGACGCCTGCGCCCGTGTCTATCATGTGCTTTGAAGCTGCCTGACCATCGTCAGACAAGAGAAAGAGCTGCGATGCGCAATCAATGTACCGAGGCCGCTACGAGGTGCTACGCGCCCATATGTGCCTTCTGGGACAGCGATCGATAGTTCGGTGTTGATGAGCGCTTTACCCCTGGCTGGGATGGTCTTACTCTCCGCACTGCATGACGATACCGTGATGAGCTCAAGTCTGACTTTGCGTGCCTCAGCCGGCACCTGTAGAGATCGTAGCCAGCCGCGAGCGCTGATCCACGTGTCGGTAGGCGTGCTTTGTCCGACAGACGCTGTACGAGGAATGCCGTTGGGTCTACAGTCTGTGACATGCTGGCGAATCGATCGTCTCGACAGTGCCAACCGCGACGATGATGGACGCGCGCTTCCTACGGGGAAGATCAAAGCATCAGCAGGATTGACGCCTCACTCGTTGCCACTCATGAATCCCATATCTAAGATCTACGAGGCTACACCGCTCTATGCTCGCACATCATTCGTCGGCAGACGGTGTCCAGCGCGCTTCAAGCTGACAAAAGGACGTGTCCAGCGTGCACTCAGGCACCATCCCTGGTCAAGACCGTGAGTCTGGTAAGACACACGTGTTCTGCTTCGCTTCATGCCTTTGTACGGTGCGCATGCGGCCTCGGCCGAATCGCACATGATGCTGGCCGTTGTGTCCATGACGTCAAGCGAGCCTGTCAATCGTGAGACACGCGCAGATAGTGAACACGACGCTGACTGTACTCACGCATGAAGGACGGCCATACAGTCGCATCAGTATGCACGCAGAAGGCTCGTCTGCAGCAACGCTCGACCATCAAGAGAGAGGGATCTGACTCGCATCAGAATCATATCGAATGGTCCGACAGCAGCTTACCCATCTGCTGGCGTGGACGATAATCGAGCCAGCAGAGATCGACGGCCGACGTCACGCTTGTCGGACCATCATACTGGTCATGCGCAGTGCAGGATGTCGAAGCATACGTATTTGCAAAGACGGCAAATGTATCCGTCTGAGCCATCTCAGCTTTCCAAGTTCAGACAGCCCCAAAGCAAGCGTACCATGGAGCATCTCAGGGCATTCTTGGTGGTTTCAAAGTCGATGTTTGTCTCGATGATGAATGGCAATGCTTCCCATGCGAAAGATTTTGCAGGACCAGCCGTTGATTCGGAAGGCCAAGTGCAATGCGCGATGCAGCGATTCCAGTAAGCTGTATATTTCACCTGCATGGTCTCGGGTCGAAGTCCTGCAGCCTGAGCTATCAGGCATGCGAGCAGAGCGGACCGCATCGCGGTCTGCCTGGACCAGGCAGACATCAGCTAGGAATAGATACGACTTGAGAGTTCAATCAGAGCCCTCTTCACACAAAGTGTCATCAGCGGCACGCACACACGTCATTGCAGAGGTCGTCAACAGTCCAATATATAAGAGCACAAAGGTTGCAGACAGAGCAAGCATGATCATGACGTCTGGAAGTATGAGACCGCTAGTGGCGCGCCCGACAATTCCACGACTTTAAAGTCGTACCCTAAGCTGCGAGTCAGCAGTGTCATCGATTGGGCTGCATGCATGCTGACCTTTTTGATAATTGAACCAGCTCGCAGAAACAAAGTTGGGCATGGCAGCCTTTGTCGCGGCAGAAGTGATCTCTTCTGCCCAAGCCATGCGTTGTTGCATCGTTCCGGCATAACCGAGACCAGTCTCGCCGATTGCAAAGTAGGGACCTGAGCTAGTCGTGTACTTGTCGTGGAAAGGCTTCATCGTGTCGACGAAGGAAGCTGACGAATCCTTGGGGTAGTAATCGATCCCGATCAGATCGACACAGCTCTTGTCATCTGGGTAATATTCGTCGTATTGGTCCAGATTGGCAACATTGGGTGTAAAGAAGAGCTTGACTTCGGGCGCAATCTGGCGCATGGCAGTGCACACTGCTTGCCAGCCTGCCTTGAAGTCTGAAGAAGTGCCTTGATAGGTGCCGTCAGTCTGGTAGTAGTTGACTTCGTGTGCAAATCGCATGTGGACCGCGATGCCCTCGTCGGTGAATTTCTTCATGACGTTTGCGATATTGACAGCTTGCGAGTTGTCTGAAGCCGTCAAGCCTTGCCAGCCGCCAGTGGGCATCACTGCAGGCTCAAAGACCGCGCCTGAAGCCTTGATATCGTCGAGACGCCATAGCAGCTGTTGTCCGTCGAATGCAGTGCCAGACTGTGCTTGAGCATAGTACTGTCGGGTGCATTATCAGTCTCTCTACTGCATAGCACGTCATGCGAGCGCACTCCATAAGTCGCAGCCTTGATGGGCATGACGCCGTTGAGCTGAGCCATCGTCTCGGCAGTACCGCCACCGGAGCCATCATCTGGCAAGTAGCCAAAGTAGACACCATTCTTCTTCAAGAACTGTACATCGATGTCAGTAGACTACAGGCGTATAGAGAAGAAACATACGGAAGTGTTGAAAGCCAAACCGGTGCTCGTGCTCGATGTCGTCGCGTTAGACGAGGTTGTAGTCGTATTGGACGAGGTTGAGCCCATAGACGCGCTGCTACTCGCAGCACTCGCGCTCGCGCTAGCACTGGCAGTTGCGCTCGTTGGCGAGGAAGTAGACTCTTTTGGCTTCTTGCTCTTCACTTTCTTCGAGTCGGATGCGCCAAAGGTGACTTGTTTGCCTTTGGAGGACTTCTTCTTCGAATGAGAATGCTTGTGATGGTGGTGATGCCTTCGATGAGAGGACTTGACCGATTTCCCGCTGCCGCCGCAAGCTGAAGCAGCAACATAGCTAGAGGCATAGAGCAAAGCCGACAAGGCGATGAGAGCAGAGGTACGCATTCTCGTCTAGAGATCTGCGCGCAAAGAGCAACGCACTGACCGCGCATCGGTACCGAATCAGCTCCTGATGCACGCACGCACTTGTCATCAGACTCACAGTGGAAAAGAGATGTTCTGGCTTTCAGCCTTTGTGAAGTAGTCGTTCTGTCAGAGTGCGACCGGGTCAGACAAAGGCACAATGCGCGAAAGAACGCGACCCACATTGAGTCAGAGTTAGGCGCACAGCGCTTTGTCCGTCCTCAGATTGTATGATATAGGTAAAGATGGTGGTACTCTGGCCAGGTTCGGACATTGATGAGCGATTGCGCGAACGCCATGAAAAGAAAGGGGGACGAACCTTGCGAAGATGCTTTCAATGATTGTGGGAGGCTGCTTGCCGAGACGAAGAACTACCAGAGCCCTTGTCGATGTGCTTACGTGCCTGTGCGACTCTTTCCTGCGCTTGCGAGGGTGAAGTGAGTGAGAGACAGCAGCAGGTCAGCGAATATAGAAGCCAAGACTGCGGACGCGCGCCAAAGGGACGCGACGCGCGCGCTCTTTCGTGATCTCGATCGCGTTAATGACATCTGCATCGAAGTACTTTTTCTTTTTGTGTATGCTCTCTGCTAACCGGCTAGCTGGAGCAAGCGCTCTAGAAGATGGCGGCCTGCCATCGCATGACACGCGATAGTCAAAGATCGGCACGCAGAGGGATCTGATTGGTTTCGCCGCTGTCGACGACGGCTTCTTCAGGCTCTGCGTCTGAAGGCAGCTCTCCGCTTTTGGCGATGACAATCTTCTCCAGTGGGCTGCACAGGGACTCGTGTCAGCGAGGATGTATGCACAGAACCTAGAAGCGCATACCGATCGCGGCCATCCTTGGACGTGTTCTCGACTGCGGTGACGACGTCCATTCCCTCAATGACTCGGCCGAAGACGACTGCAAGCGTACAAGCGCATCAAAGGTACGCTCGTAGAGAGTGTGAAGATGCACTTGCCATGCTTGCCATCTCTGTGGACAGCGTCAGCGCATAGTATACAGCATTGAGTGTCACTCACAGCCAAGATGTCGTGACGGTAGTGATGAAAAACTGAACTTGTGTCAGACACAGGCACTTGAGGTGCATGCTACAGGCTCACTTGTGAGCCGTTGGTGTCCTTGCCTGTGCTCAGTCGTCAGCGCGATCGCAAGCGCCGGAATGTCAGAATGCATACCCGAGTTGGCCATTGAGAGTACGCCCGGGCCAGTGTGACGCCTGCGGTGCTATCCCTAGTCAGACGATGGTCGCAACGAGTCGGGATACGACTGACAGCTTGAAGTTCTCGTCGGGGAACTTGTTACCATAGATACTCTTGCCGCCCGTGCCGTCAAAGTTGGTAAAGTCACCTCCCCTGCAAGTGACGTCAGCTTGCAATGAGTGCATCAGCGCAAAACCTTACTGGATCATGAACTGCTTGATCACACGAGTGCAGATCTGTGGGGTATGAGCAACTGAGCCTACATGAGCTGGCGATGACTTATTGAAAGATGGACCCCTCGCTGTTCGTGCCTCTCGATAGTAAGCCCCCCAGTCATAGCAGATCAGAAAGTACGTACTATCCATAGCCCTTCTCGCCGGTCGCGAGCGCTCTGAAGTTCTCAGCGGTCTGCCGGACAGTTCAGTGAGTGAGCGCCAATGATGCTCGCTGGCTAGACATCCGACCTTGGGGACTGTCTTGCCATACAGTCCGATGACGATGCGACCCAGATCCTTGTCGCCTTGCTTGATGTCGAAGAAGACTCTGTAGCGTGGCCACAGGAATGAGGTGATGCTCCAGGAACAAGCGCACGAGAGCGTACTTGCTGGTAATTTTGGGGCCTTTCTGAGCTGCAGTCTGGCTTGTTGCAAGCAGCACTGTGCCGAGAGCGAGGAGGATGGTGCTGAACGTGAGCCTCATTGTCGTCTGTGAAGCTCAAAATGTCGTCGACTTTGGGCAACGCAACAGGTGACAGCGGCGACGACGCGACGAGGAGGAGGAGTGATGCCTTGACGCTGCAATCGCACACGGCCCGAGCGAGCATATGAGCCGCCGCAAGCGCAGGGAGTCCTACCTGGACGCCAGCTTCGACATCTCCATCCTCCATCCGAAGCGCACCAAACTCGACTTGGCACTCGACGAGGACGACGAAGATGGCAGCTCGCCTTTGCTCGTCGCGCTACGCCAAACAGCAGCGCAAGCCCCATGTTTTCCTCAGGCACGCCCCGTATCTGACACCGATGACTGTATAGGAACATCGTAGCAGATATTGATGATAGGAAGGAAGCGCGAAGACTGCACAAGGAGCTGGAACGCATCATCGTACTGTGAATCTGACTCGCGACTTGGAACTCATCTTGCTCAACGAGGACATTGTCACCTGCAGTGTAGCTCGAGCGCTGGACGAACAGCTTCCTGGCATCGCTGCAGAGGGCCAGGACGCCCGACCGCTGCCGCCCAGTTCGGCAAGGCAGGTCAAACTGCTCAAACGACAACTCGAAGACGAACGCGCGTCAGTCTGCTAAGCGTGACCTTGCTCGCACGTCTGAATCACGCCTGCAGAGAGCTCGAACAAGACAAGAAAGATCAGAAGATCTTTCAGGAGCGCAAAGCTGCCCAATTGCGGCGCGAAACAGCGGAAATCAAAGCCAAGGTACGCGTCCTTACTCGTTCATATCGACCGTGCTGATCTGAAGCAGGTCGACCCCGAGCTCGTCAAGCTCACAGAGAAGCAGCTCGAACGCAACATACATCGCACACATGCTCAACAGCTGGCCTATCAGGTCAGTGCTCACACTCTGCTTCGATGGGGACGAAACCTGACGGCCTAAGTGATGGCAGCCGCAACATGACGAGTTTCTCGTCAACAGCGTAGCCCGCTTCGTGGCAGCATTGGAGGCATGATGCAACACGCAATCAGAATACAAGTCTGGCAACATGCTCCACCTTTCGCTTCGTGCCCTGCACATAGCCTAGCATCGCGAGTTCGGTCACGCCTTGCACGAACCGAGCCTGGAGCTCTCGCTCTCGCTCTTCGTTCGGCGTTTTCTGCCGCTTGCGAGAGTGCGCATCCCCTCTGCTTGAGTGCTTGCTCTGGTCTGCTTGAGCTTGCTGGAATGCATCATGCCAATCTGCCAAGTTGACAAACTTGCCCGCATCTTTCAGCAACCTCAGCATCGTCACGATGTCTGGTGGCGGCTGATCAATCTTTGAGCCTGGCTTGAGTATCGACGAATAGTGACTCATGGCCAGCTGATGGTCCTCTAGTGGAGAAGGATGCAGACGCTGCAGCAAGCAAATCGACATACTGAGCGCCAAACGACGTCGATAGTGCAGAGAGCTCACCTGCTTGAGGAGACGCGCCGGCTTAGGCTTACAAGGCTCGCCTGGCCGCCAGATCTCCACAAACGTCTGACCCGCCTCGGCATGGATCGCATCTCTGCTTGAGTCATAAACATGCCGAAATGGAAAAAGAATTGGTTGAGACATACGTGACGGTTTCGTGGAACCAGTCTGATAAATCCGAGCATAGCGTCCGGTAAGCAAGGTCATACGGTGCTTTGTTCGGCGTGACGCCGCCAGTCATATATTGCCGGCTCTGATGCGAAGCTCGCAACTGGTCATTGAGCTTGTCCAGCTGCTCGTCATGGGCCTGCAGGGTCTCAATCCAGGGCTGGCAAAGTGCTTCATCCGCCCTGAGCATTTCCATGGTAGCCGCCAGCCATGTCTTGCAATCATCTGACCGAGCCGATCTGAAAGACGCGCAGACCTTAGCGAGTAATAAAGGCGAATGAGCAGGCTCTCACCTGAGCATCTGCGCAAGCTGACCGGCATATGCTTCCAGCTTGTTCGCGCCTTCAAAGTGGCCCCGCAAACGAGATTGCGAGCTGGTCTGCGCCTGTGGCCATACGTTTCCGATTGTGTCCATCAGAGCGTGCGCGAGTTTCGCCTGTTTGCGCAGACTAGCTCGCTGTCGAGCTGCGGCTACGAGCTTAGACCAGATGGGATCGGCGGTATCCTCTTGCTCGTGCGTTCGATGCGCCAGTGGACGTTGGCTCGCGTCCAAGGCAGCGTGAAATGATGGTAATTGGTGCAAGAGCATGAATAGCCGCTGGCGTACTTCGAGCGGGATGTCATTTCTGTGCAACAGCTCTACATCGACAAAGACCGAAAGCGGATTGGCTGAAAAGTGAAGGAGATGCAGCATCTGTTCGCGGCTTGAGGCGTCAGACTCAGATGTGTGATGACACACTGCGACGAACATGTATCTCTCTCGCTAGCATCGTTGGAGACAGGTGCTCCTGCTCAAAGCTGCGCTCGAGCTGCTTATACATCGAATTCGTCAAGCCGAGTGATTCCGGAGTATCTATGAAAACCTGCGCTCATATGAGCAAGCTGCTGCGCGAAGGTACTTCGGAGCCTCACTCGACGTATGATGCGGGAGAACGCCTCGCTTCCGAGCTCCGAAGTGATGGAGACACATCGGAGCTGGCTGAGCAAATCGACCTTGGAATCGCGCTCGAATATCTCGATCGACGTAGCGATGCCGAAGATGAAGGCGAAGGGTATCCTGTCAGCTCGCTTGCTACACAGCACTCCAGCATTGAGTTTCTACTTTTCAAGATTGTTGAAGTGTGACATGCCTGCAGGCGTGGACGAGAGCGGCCAGCGTAGTAGCATTGACTGCCTCAAAGTCTTCGACAGTGATGACAATCTTTGGCCGATCTTGTACATTCAGCATGCCATATTTATGGTCGTACCACGCCGAAAGCACATCGATGTCGTCCAGAGACAGTGTCTTTGTCTTGCGCGTCGTTTGCTACGGGGCGCATCAGCCGCTAAGGACCCTTCCCCGAGCACTTGGCGCGCACCTTGCTTTCTTCCTCCTCCGAAGAAGAAGCGAGCACACGCTTTATGAGCGTGCGGAAGAGGAATCTGAGCGTGACGAAATCTCTGCTGGTCAATCTGACGATGATCATCGACTCGTCACTCTCATTGGCCCTCTGTGTGAAGGCTTGTAGCAAAGTGCTGAGTCCGCTCGAGCCAGTACCTGCAGCACGTCATCGGCTGAGACAAGTCGGATGGTCACATGTTGAACGGGCGCACCGGAGAGCAAGGCAGCAGGAAGCAAGCGTTTGGATCCAAGAGGCCGAAAGAGTGAGCGGGTGACGCGACCTGATTGACGAATAAAGTCGAAGAGTGCTTCGAGAGTCGTTGCTTGGAGCTCCCTCAACACATCCTGTGGGTCCAGACCTTCACTATTTTGTTCTGGTGAAGAGTGGCGAGTACGCACGTCGAGCTGAGCGTTGCAAGCTGACCAGGCGCGCTCAAAGGCTTGTTGGCGCATTCGTGCTAGCTTGTCGTCCGTTTCTCCCATGGCGGACAAGACTGGGAAAGGGCAGACTGACGCGAATCGAATCATGTCTGAGCTCTGTGGTCTTATCGTTGTGCTCCCTCACCACGTACAAGGCTGGGGCACTGGCTCGAGTTGCTCTTTCTCATGAGGTATGCGAAAGCATGTCTGCAGTCGTGCTGGGCGGATCAGAACCGTGGCTGCTGAGAGGTAGCGTCTCCTGCCTGGTCGCTCGAAAGGAAGTCGTCCTCATCCTCGCTCAAGTCCATCGTGTCGACGCAGTTCGCAGCGGCGCGGTCGCGTGCAACGTTGCTTCACCTTGCCACCGGTGCGACCTCCCTCCCTTGGATTTGTCAGCAACGACTCTCGAGCCAAGCATGGGCGACCTCATCCTCATCACGGGCGTGACTGGCTTCTTGGCGACCCATGTCGTCGGAGCAGCACTCGAAGCAGGCTACAAAGTCCGCGGAACTGTCCGGGACCTGTCGAAAGGCGACAGCCTGAGTGAGCTCTATCCGTCACGCAAGGATCAGCTCGAACTGGTTGAAGTGAAGGATCTGATCCACTCTGACCTCACCGAAGCCTTCAAAGATGTCAAGGCGATCATCCATACTGCCTCGCCCTATGTCATCCAAGGCATTGAGGATCCAGAGAAGCAGCTGCTATCGCCGGCCATCGAAGGCACGCTCAATGTCATGAGGGCCGCTCGAGCAGCAAGCGTACAGCGAGTCGTCATCACCTCGTCGTTTGCTGCAGTCACCCTGTTCGACAAGGGCGGACCATGGCGCGACTATACTTACACAGAGGACGACTGGAATCCTGCTACGTTCGAGCAGGCCAACGATGCTAGCAAGCCCGGTGCTTGGATTTACTCTGCTTCGAAAGCACTGGCCGAGAAGGCCGCATGGAACTTCGCAAAGGAGAACGACATCGAACTCGTCACAATGTGCCCGCCGATGATCTACAGCAAGACGATCCAAAAGGTGACCAGCAAGGCCAAGCTCAACACGTCCTCCGCTACGATCTATAATCTCATCTCCAAGCCTGCCGAGATGCCGGACAATCGATTGCCGCTGTTTTGCGATGCCCGCGACGTTGCAAAGGCTCACGTGCAAGCGTTGAAGACAGACGGAGCAGTCGGTCATCGCGTACTTCTTTGCGGTGGTAGCTATACTTGGCAAAGTGCAACAAAGCTCTTGCTTGAGCAGCGACCCGAGCTCAAAGATCGTCTGCCTTCGCTGGACAATGTCGAGGACGAGACACGCACGATCGCGAGACTCGACACAACCATTGCCCAAAGAGATCTGGGCATCCAGTTCATCTCCTTTGAGCAGTGCTTGCTCGATTCGGGTGAGTCATTGAGCCCTACTATGAATATCCAACTGACGAATAGCAACAGTCGATCAGCTACTCGCTATGGAGAAGCAATGGTAGGATTCGTGCGCCAGGTCACCTACCCCTCATCCTTTCTAACCAATAGATCTCTCAATGCATCTCAATTGTTGTTGGCGTCCCCTACAGCTGCAGCAGCCAGTCACGCGAGATGACCGGCCCGGCCGCATCTGTGGACACGTAGATGCCACGTGGTCGCGGATCACTTGCGTAGAACGGACCTCCAGCCGAGTTGAACTGAACACTGAAGATATGGCGGTGACCCGACGCAAGTCAGGGAAACAGCCAGAGACTGCGACGGATGAGCTGTCATCGGCTGATCAGTCAAGCCCGTCTCGGCTCAAGGCACCTGGTCGGCCGGACAAGCCGAACAAACTACAGCGAACGCTCTCCAATGGCGTCGTCAGAGGGCATTCGGAAGAGCCAGGCATGACAGACGAGAACGTCTTCCTCTTCGTGCCCAACATCGTCGGTCAGCTTCCGCCTTCTCGGGCTGTTCCATTTGGGCTCCATCGCTGAACGCGCGACCGTGTAGGCTACACGAGAGTGCTGCTCGCCGGCGTGGCTCTCACTTTCATGAGCTATCACCCAAAGTAGTACGTAGCGCACCCTGACAAGCAATAGCATGCGCGTTGACATCGCATCGTAGCTGCACGGTGGCGTACATCATCTCCTGCCTCCTCGACGCCGTCGACGGCCAGGCAGCCAGAGCGCTAGGGCAGACCTCAAAATTCGGCGCAGTCCTGGATATGGTCACCGATAGGTGCGACAGTATCGCGACAGCAGTCTCGCGCGGCCTGATCGTTCGTCTTGCTGCAGATGCACAACATCATGCTTGCTCTGCTTTCTATCGTCATCGTACCCCAGCCTGGCGATGCTCTTCCAGGGCCTCATCACGCTCGACTTCAGCAGCCACTACATGCATATGTACTCGTGTGCTACCTTCATACGCCTGCTTGACGCTGCCTAACGCTGACACGCTGTGACACAGATCACTCGTATCTGGCTCGGCGTCACACAAGAACGTCACCGCGCAGCAGAGCTGGATTCTGTGGTCCTACTACAATAACAGCGTGCGTATCTTACTCGAGCTACAGCTATGACTCACGGGTTCAAGCAGCACACGCTCTTCTTCTTCTGCGCGGGCAATGAGCTCTTCTTCGTATGCCTCTACTTGATGAAGTGGTATCACCAAGCCATTGGCATCCGTAGTCCGCTCATCTATTCGCATCTGCCCGTCGCGATACTCAAGATCGTTCCGCCGACGTACTGGTCTGCGCTCGAGCGGCTCACATGGCCCCAATTAGTCGCAGCCATAACTTTTCCGATTTGTCTAGCGAAACAGATTATCAACTGTGTCCAGCTGTTCAAAGCATCCATACAACTTGCAGAGATTGACAGGGAAGAGAGATTCGCAGCTCAGCAGAAGTCTAGGTAACGGAGATAGAGATCATCTGTCAACAATCGTACATTTGTACTCGGCGCCTAATTGTAAACTAGAACGAGATCTATTCGCACGAATCTGCATTCTACATTGCTTGACATATATCCGCTTACATCCTGTCAGCCATGTCAGCAAACTCTCACTCAATGTAACAGAGACATACTGGAAAAGGAACGACAGGTCCTCCGGCGTAAGCTTGCCGAGTGCTTCCTCTGAATCGCCGAGAGCAGCAGCGCTCATCGAACGCTTCTTGTCTTGCAACTGAATGATACGACTTTCGATCGAGTTCTCGATGATGACTCTGAGAACCTTGACAGGTCTGTGCTGCCCCAGACGGTGCACACGATCGGCAGCTTGTAGCTCGACAGCAGGATTCCACCAAGGATCGCAGAGGATGACGCGTGATGCCTCTACCAGGTTGAGTGCTACGCCACCTGCTTTGAGTGAGAGCAAGAAGACCGTGCAATCCGTCGTCTCTGTGAAATAATTGATCGTGCGATTGCGGGCTTCGGGCGTCATACTGCCTTGCAAACGAGCAATTTTGTAGCCTGCGAGTTGCAGACGACGAGCCAGAATGTCGAGGAAGCTAGTAAACTGAGAGAATATCAATGTCTTGAGCGTATGATTCTCGTTGCGCGTCTTGCTGAGCTCCTCCACGATGGCTTCAATCTTGGTACTTGTGCGCCATTTCCCAGGATCGATACGTGACAGCATGCCTTGACGGGCTTGCTTCTCATCGACGTCTTCAATCGTCTCTTGCTCTAAATCGATCGACAAGGGTAGATGACAGACTGGACAATCCGGCGTGACCCCGTGTATCGCAGAATCGATGTACTGCCGAGCACATTCTCTGCAAAAGACGTGCTTGCACTTTGCACTGATGATCGGATCCTCGGCTTCGTCCAGACAGATTCGACAAGTATGAATATCTGTAATCTGGCCAGACGCTTCGAGCGCAGAACTGAGCCCCTTGGCTGTTTTTGACTTGAGCACAAGATCGGGATGATCTGCCATCTGACGCATGCGAGTGATGAGCGTAAAGATGTTTGAATAGTTGTTGAGCACTGTATTGGCATCGAGGAATGTCGAGAACTTGCGCTGAACACTCTTATACAAACTGGTGTAGAGTTCCTCCTCTTCTTCTGTAAAGTAATCGCGTCGAACGGTCATCTCACGAGGCGGCAATCCGAGGTCATCAGCGCGCTCGAGCTACAGCCAGTTAAGCGTCATTAGCCAAGCAAATTGGCTGAGAGACAGCGAGACGCTTGCCTTGGTGCGCCGAAGCATCATGCGATCGAGCAGAATCTTTAGCTTTGCGAACGCTTTCTGGCCGGGCGAACCCGGCTGGGCACCATGTTTCTGGATCGGCTTCAAGATCTCGTTGTTCCAGAAGCAGACGTGCTGCATTGGTGTATGCCCGCATTGATTGCAGTGCCTTTGATCCTTGAATGACCAATGCAGTGATCGACAGTCGCAAGCCTGTTCCACGCGTCTGATCAGAATGACTTCGTGTGGTCATGATAAGCGACTGACCTTGCAGAAGTAATGTGCAAAGGGCTCTGCGCCCAAAAATCGAATGAGCGAGTATAGTTCGCCGACTCGATTCTGTAGCGGCGTCCCAGACAGGCACCAGCGGAACTGTGCATCAAGCGCAAAGGCAGCCTTAGCGGTGTTGCAGCTTCGCTCCTTGATGTTGTGGGCTTCGTCAAGAATGACGCGATGCCATTGGATCTGATGCAGCAATGACTTCTCCTTGCGGATCTCGCCATTCCTCCTAAAGCCCGAATGCTGCCGTCTGAAAGCAGACTCGAGCACAGCGTAGCTCGTCAAGATAATATCGTGCGATTTGAGTTCCTGCATGTTGCCCGTTCTGCTGCCTCCATGCCAGACACATACTCTGACATTGGAAGTAAACTTGTCGATCTCGTTACGCCACTGCATGATGGCTACCGTAGGCGCAACGATGAGAGTATATCTGCCAGAACCGGGTTGATAGTCTGACAGGATGAGCGAGAGAGTCTGAATGGTTTTGCCCATGCCCATCTCGTCTGCCAGCACCCCGCCTGACCACAGGCCCTTTTCCTGCTGTTTCATCCAGTAGAGACCCTCTAGCTGGAAGGGAAGCATCTTGAGCGATAAGCCAACGGGCTGTTTTGCCTTGATAGGCTCCACTACTTTGACCTGGGCTTCCACGTCACCCCAGACGTCTCTGAGCTCCGGATGATGTTCCATCAGCTTGAGGTGTGTTTTCTCCTGCCATGTCAACCGAGGTCCCTTCTTGACGGCTGCGCGCTTTCGCTTCTTCCTGCCGTCTGCTCGCACGGTTGTAGGCGCTTCGAGATCAGACTCGCTCGCAAGTGACGACAGATCAGAATCATCCTCTGAAGCCGAGCCGTCATCAGCAAAGACACCCTCGGCAGATGGCGAGCGAGCAGGCGTCTTCACTTTGGCTTTTGCTTTTCCCTTCTTTTTGGCAGCCGGCGCGACGCCTTTCCCCATTTTAGTCAGCGAGTCGAACATGGCATCCATGCCCTCAACACTCGTAGCTCGCTTTGGTAAAGGCTTCATCTTGCGGCCTTTAGGAGCCGTCCTCTTACTGTTCATCGATGTAAGTCTTTTGGACTGAGCCGCGGCAGAGCTCGGGCCATCTGGCACATCTGAGTCCGACGAGCTCGAGCCTTGAACGAGAGCAGACGCTATAAGATCTTGAGCCTCCTGTAGCTTGCCCATGCCGACGAGTGAGAACACCTGAGCTACGTATTGCTCAGGCAGGTTATCGGGGACAAAGTCGGCAGCAGACAAGGTCGAGGAGACCCTCCGAGCAGCTGCAGGCCTCTTCGGCTTCTGATCGACTTCAGGTGTATCTTCATCTTCACTGATGACGACTTTGCTCTTGCCTTTGCCTTTGTCGACAATCGCTTTGCTTGCTACAGCGGGCTCGAGATCTGACTCGGCGTCGTCCGAGATGGAAGCAGACTGAGCGTCGATATTGTCAACACCATCTTTGTAGTCAGCATCGCCTTCGCTGTCAGAGTCGCTTGTCTCTGGATCAGGCAGGCGATAGCTTTTGACGCTGGCAGCAGCGCGACGTCTGGGCGTGCCTCGCGAGGAGCTTGACGCGACGGGAGCTGCTAGCTTGCCCGAAATCTCGACGTGCTTATGAGCCGGCTCATCTTCCTCGTCATCATCTTCGCCTTTTGGGCGGCGAGGATGAATCTTGTGGTCAACAATATGGGCAAGTTCATCTGCCTGCTCGAGCTCATCCTCGCTTGGCTGATCATGAGGCACCGTGGCAGGCTCATCGACTTCATCTTCGCTTCCAGAGTCGCCTATGTCATCGACATTGTTGTGCCTCTCGGATGGCAGTACGCCGCTCTGATTAGAATAAGGCAGGTGGTCGTGCGGTCGCGTCGTGTGGGCAGATCGGTCATGCTCGAGCTTGTCTGCTGCGGGTGAGTCGTACAGGGACGTGGTGGGTGTCGTCGTGCCTGTTGTGTGTGCGTGATGGGTCGTCATACGTTCGTCAGAGTCAGAGTCGATAGTCGTGATCACGCTGGCGGTCGAAGAAGACGCAGCGGTTGCGGGACCGCGCTTGTGCACCGGCGTCGTCTCTACTGCCTGCTTAGCTTGGCCATACCTTCGCGGTCCTGGGCGAGCCATTGCCGCTGAAGCCTTGCCGGCTGACTCGGACTCGCTCTTGGGTGCCACCAGATTTTTTTGACATCAAATACTTTGACGCGCCTCGTCCGAACAAGCTACAGCTGCCGCCATGCCGCGCGTGCACGTCAAGCAAAGTAGAGCGACGGCAAGATGTCAAAGCTCTCCATCATGAACTTGATCAACGAAGATGCCGGCAACCTGACGCCAGTCAACCCCTTTGACTCGACGCCAGCAGCGACTTCAGATGTTGAGCCATCAGACGACGATGATGCAACGCCCCCAATGTCTATTGCAACACGAACCCCTGCGCTTGCTCCCACTGCTGTGGTAGCTTCTGTCCCCAAGCGAGCACCAATGAGTGCTCTAGAGCACTTGAATGCGCTCAAGTCGCGCACCGCCCCGACCAAGTCAAGCGATCCATCAAGGGACGAAGCAGCAGAGATTATCCGTCAGCTTGCCCCTGCGCCTACTGCTACAGCTACACCTGCCTCTCAGACCAATGTAGCAAGAGAGCCTTCCCACACGCCCGCTGTTTTTCTAGACTTACCCGAAGGAGCATATAATCCACGCAAGCGAGTCTCCAGAGCAGATCATGTCTTGCGACCGATTAGCAAAGCAGAATTCGAGCTCATGACTGCCTTGTCACTGCGCAATCCCCTCCGAACGAGCCATGCCATCGGCGTGGAAGAGCCTTCGTGGTACAAGCGCTACAAGCCAGCCGCCAAGAATGGCATGGACGCAACGGAGTCGCCTGTACTGACGAAACGTAAAGCCGTCGAACCTGCTGCTGCAGCCGAATCCGACACGAACAAACGGAGGAAGGAGGTCGAGCCTGAGCCTGTCGCCAGCGCAGATGCGCAAATCGTCGCCCATCATTGTGCGTTGACTCAAAACTGATCCATGCAGCGCGAGCTCACACTCAAGCAGATAATGTGAGACCCAACGTCGGTGTACATGCCAGGGACGAATCGCCGATCATCGGTCTGAAGCGGTTCAATAATTGGATCAAGTCTACACTCATGGCTATGTTCGCCCTGCCACACTCCGAGCAAATCGCAGAAGCCAAGCAACCTGGCCGATGGGGCCTCAAAGTGCTCGAGCTGGGCTGCGGAAAGGGTGGCGATCTGCATAAATGGGACAAGTTACATACGCAGCAGCTCGTAGGAATAGGTGTGTCTCTTCCCCTCTTTTGCTTTCGCGACTTACTAGGGAAGTAGATGTCGCCTCCATGTCGATCGAGCAAGCTCAGTCACGTTACAGGGGGATGAAGAGGTGTAAAGTCAAGGCGCAGTTCTACGCAGCCGACTGCTTCTCTGTGAGTGAGCTCTGGCCGAGATTTTGTTGACTGACAGCGGTTCATGCAGAATTCACTTTCGTCGATTGTCGAGCCAGAGGTACTCGCCCAGCCGTTCGATCTGGTCAGCATGCAATTCTCGATGCACTACGCTTTCCAGTCTGCATCGAAAGCACGCATGATGCTCGAAAACGTTTCACGCTACCTCAAGCCAGGCGGACACTTTATCGGCACGGTACCCAACGCTGACATTCTTCGAGAAAGGCTCGAGGCGATTCCTGAAGATGCAGAGGCGCTCGCCTTTGGCAACGAATACTATCGCATAGAGTTCGATTCACGCACCGGTCCGGCCTTTGGATTCAGATACACATACTTTCTGCTCGATGCTGTGGAGGACGTTCCCGAATTCCTGGTCGATTGGGAACAATTCGAGCAGCTCGCGGCAGAGTATTCTCTCAAGACGGTCTACAGAGCAGAGTTTCACGAGCTCTTCGAATCCAATCAGCATGACAAGAGAGGTGCAGAATCTCTGCAAAGAATGCGCGTCGTCAATGATCAAGGTCAAAGCGACATGACGCTTGAGCTATGGGAAGCAGCCAGTCAGTTCATTCGCGCTCACTCCTTGCATCTGGCTGACGCATTCATCAGACATTTACTGGGCATTTGCCATGCAAAAGGAAGAGTCAACATAGAGTGTGATTATTGAGGAGTACAAGTGTCTGTTGTGTCGTTTAGGCAAAATTAGGTCACCAGCCAACAGCGGGTGCTTTGATAGGGTATCTGACCGTCTCGCCAGTGCTAGAAGGTCCCATATCACGTTCAATCTGGAAGCTGAATTCGAGCTCTCTCGTCTCGTGCAAGTAAGTCTGAATGCTGTAATTGCGACGACCGTAAAGTAGCGCATTGCCTCGAGAGCGGCCAGCAACATCTTTCTTGAACAACGGCACCATGTCCTCGTCTATGCCCTCTTTGTGCAACGTCTTGTGCGTCTTTGAGCCGAGCTTTGACATGAACAGAAGCATCTTGTCGGGCGGAGGCGTATTGACAATGGCCGAAGTGATGACATTGAGAATATACTTTGGATCCTCCTCCGGCTTCGGCTTCTGAATATCGTACGTTCGTCCTACTGCCGCACAGTGCACATCGCCAGACAAGAAGGTGATGCGAAGCTTGCGCTCCCTTGCAATCTTGGTCAATTCGCCAATGAGCCAATTGCGTTCGGGCTTGTGAGGTGTAGCGCAATAGTGATCCGACAAGTCATCAAGCAACTCCGCATCTGCGTTGAACTTATTCGTGAAGCTTGCTAGGCCGAGCATTTTGGCGCGGCTAAGCGCAACGAGCGGATTGAATTTGGAGGCTAAAAACTTTTCGGCAAATACCATGCGAGGGTAAAGGATAGGTACGCCGAGTAAAATGACTACTTGGCTGACCGAATTCGGTAGCTTGCGCAATTGATCGAAGACCTGTCTGGCTCGTCAGCTTACTATATGGCATGCACTACGAAGCGTACCATAGCATAGGTCTCGGCTGTGCAGATTCGATCCTTTCGGCGTTCGGCGCGACAGTCGAGCGAAAGAAGGGCGACGTCCGGGCCGAGGTAGAGTAAGAAAGAATGTGACGGGTAAGGTATGTAGTAGTTCTTGCTGCCTAGCAGGATGCTTGGATCGACGTGCCCGGTCAGCTTGCCTACGCCCAATTGCTTGTCGTCGTGATCGGGTACAAGGAAATTCTGGAAAAGCAAGTACCAGAAGTAGTTGCGAGAGCCAATCGTATTGAAGATCGCTGCTCTGTGTCAGCTCTGGCTGAGTCTGCTCAGTGCAAGACACTCACGACTCTGCATAAGGTCGTCATCATAAGAGCCAAAGCCGTCAATGAGATCATGATCGTCGAGCTGATTTGACATTGGGATCCTGCCAATTGCTCGTCCGAACGCGCCGCCTCTGAACCACTCGCAATACCAGTTGAATGCGAATCTGTCGATGGCGCCTCTGATCTCAGGCGTGCATTCCATCGCCATCTTCTTCTTCCCGTCAGCATTCTTGAGCCAAGGCTGAAGCTCGGCTTCGTTGACGAGCTTGTCGTTGTAAATTTGATCGCCGCCCCCTACGAGCAGATGGAAAGGCTTGACTGCATGACCACGGAGGATATCCTCCCAAAGCGGATATGGTCCATTGAAGTTCTTCGGGTCAACACCGGCGCTGAAGCCATTGCAGCTATGTGCAATCCATCTGAAGTTCTGCTCCTTGCCGGGCACGAAAAAGTCGAGAGACTTGCCGCCGTTGATCGAATATTTCACGTCCATCTCTTCATCTTGCAAGGGAATCTCTAGCTTGAAACGCCAGAAAGACATGTTGCCCGATTGTGCTAGATGTGTATAGATTTTCTCGCCAAGCACATGCTTTAGCATGCCGCCGTGTGCGCCATCGCCATTGACAGTGCCATTCGGCTGAGGACGAGTCGCGTCCGCGCCATTAACCATACCATCGGTCTGCTGGCTCGATGCTTTCAGGCCTTTATGCGACATCGTGAGCGTAGGCTCATGAGAATAGTCCGAGCCAGTGTCGGCGGTGACGATCATGGCGAAGCCGATCCATACTTTGGCATCGGTGACAGTCGCATAACGCAGCATAGGTCCGCACATGACTTGCAGATGAGGTTCCATCAGTCCCCGTGCGCTTCGTCTGCGCTCTTCCTCGCTCGCATCCTTTGACAATCCAGGCGCAGAAGTCGTGTCACCCTGGCCGGTCTTAATGGGCAGCGGTGCCTGACCGTCAACGTGCGAATGATCATCCTTGCTTTCGCCGCCCGGAACATGATAGGGCACTTCGTTGAGTGTCTCCTGGCCTAAAGGAGGCTCGTATTTGGCCTTGGCTTGCTCGTCGCTGTAGGCATCCTCCTCCATCGGCTGGGTCTCATCTTGACCATGAACGCCATACTTGCGCTGTTCCTTGTCCGCCCTGTCACGCGATTGAGCCCGAGGGTGCGCAAGACGGTGGTCTCGTTACCTGCGTCGAGTTCTGAAGCCCACATCATCCATGTTTGCACCACTAAGACGGAGGAAGACACGGGCTGTCGTAGACGAGTGCCAAGACAATGGTCACGTGTGCCCCTCCTCCTCCTCGTGCCATCAGGCGCCGCGCTGTCGCATCACTCTCGTGGTCTCATACGAAGCTACGAGTCATCTGACTCGGCTCAGTCCCTAGTCTGCGACAGCGATGATATGCACACAGCGAAGCATTGCCTTGCCTGCCGCGAGGTTCTCACAGCTACTTCGCATCGATGAGGACTATGTCCGCGCTCTTGGCATCGACTAGCGTATTGCATCCGCATGCCAGGGTTTTGGACGTCAAGCCAGTGTATGACCCATCGGAGAGAACGTTCTCGGTCTTTCAGAAAAAATTGCCATTGATCTTAGGTCCCTCACGACCATCGCAATAACCTTCCAGCATGGCACATCTGACCTCAACTGCGAAAGAACCACCACAGTGAGTTTGCAACACCGCGAATGCAGCGGACTGACATATTGGAGTGAAGAAGAGGCCGGCGCACGTCGGATGAGAGTCTTGACGACAAATGAGTTTAACGCGCTTGCTGTCGAACACAAAGTCGTCTAGACAGTAGCATGAGTTCCGAATGCCTTTAGACGATGTGACGCACGCTCCATCGCACCGAACTGGGCTTCGATTAGAAATTCGGCCAGGCAGCATTTTGATATGGCATCGCCTAGGGGGAAATGGGCCTTTCAGTGCCGCAGTCACTGATAGATTCGAGCACTAGACAGACCCACCGACCCGGCTATCGCTGACATCTCTAGACGTATTGTTGCTCGATAGTCTAGCATGCCTGGCAGCGTCGTGCCTACCTTGCCCCCGTTGCATGTTGGTAATTTTGTCCAGGCTTTGCCACGATCCCTGCGGCGGCAGCTCACGGTCTCATGCCCTTTGTCGTTGACAATGACGAGGAAGCTGAAAGGCTCTTCTGACGTCTGAAAGATCTCGTTGAAGATCTGATGCGCTGGGAGGCCTTCGTGGCATACCGCCCGACATGGCGATAGGGTCATCGTATACCACCGTCTAAAGAAGCCAGGTTCTGGACCAGCATAGCATGCTCGAAGCCACAATAGAGTTAGATAAAGCGAACGCATGGAGAGCAGTAGGCGCGACATGCGAGTGCGCCGTGAGATGAGTTCAGAGGCTTTGCGTCATTTGCGCTTGCGTGCTGGGCAACATGCGAAACACGCGTCCGCCAACGAGCCCCTCTCAGACTCGTTCTTCAAGCTGCGAGGTGCACGCGTCACTATGCGCGTTTTCTGTGCAATGCGTTCCGCGACGATTATTGCTGTCTAGCGGACCCGGGTCGGGGGACGATCCAACCTAAAAATGCTTGCCGTTCAATGCCAACCCTTGATAGCCAATGCAGCAACCCTCGAGCATGAGGGATCCCGTTCAGACTGGAGATCGATATGATGCTGTGTGCGATTCTGAGGTAGCAGACTTCCTGCGCGACGAGGAAGAGGATGGCGTAATTAGTCCGAGGCTGAATCCCCGCAGATGAACTTCACATGCTTGCCAAGGAATCGAGATCATCGAGATGTAGTCTGAGCATTGAGTGACACCTTTTGTCGTATACAGCTCGGCAAGGCAACGGACGCATGCGATCGAACCGCCTCGATAAAGTGTATTCAGGCCTGCGGCGCATACTCCAAGCATGCCGAGAGCCGGAAAGAGAGCGCGCATGACTCGATAAGACGGTAGAGCGAAACGCTAATGTGCCGAGGGAGGATGTTTTGCTTGTACTTTGGCGCACTCCACGAACGCCGTTGTAATGCGCGAGAAGCGTAGTCGCTGCACCGCCGTTGCTTTGTTACGTCGACATGCCCCTCATCCGGTAAATCCGCCGACTTGTCAGCAGATCTCATCCGATCGACTGGCGAACTGCAATTGGCGGCAAAGTCTGCATGCTGTGCCAGCGAGGGCTTGACCCATTGGCCAGCGCCACCCTGTTAGAACTTGATGCCGTTGTATGCTGACCCCTGTAAGCCCTCGCAATATCCCTCGAGCATGACACAGTCTAATTCGACTGAGCTGAAGCGTATGAGCAGCATGCAGTGAAAAGTTCGGACACAGTACGCACAATTCGTCAGGAAGAAGAGGCTGGCACAAATGGTACCGCGCTCCTTGCGACAGACGAGTTTCACGTGCTTACTGATAAAGTTGAAGTCAGCTGTGAAAGGGTATGAGCTTGGACAGATCAAGTTGCGGCAACATGCGCTCCATTGCCCCAAATCGAGCATCGATTGTGAATTCCGCTGTGCAGCATTGGGAGAGCACATCGCCTGTCACGACGACTTGAGCTGCCTTTGTTGAGATCTCGCACGAACGACCGACCAGGCAAGCCCGCTACAGCCGACATTCCTAGCGTCATCAGCGCCTGGTATTCGAGCATGCCCGGTGGTACCGGATCCATCCTTCCTCCTTCGCATCTTGGCATTGGTGTGCGAGACTTGTCGCGAGGCAGGCGACGACAGCTGAGACCTCCGCGGCCTTTATCGTTCACGGCAACCCGATAGCGAGTAGCCTCTTGCGTTTGAAAGACCTGATTGAAGATCTGATGATCTGGAAGGCCTTCGTGGCAGACCGCTCGACATTGCGACAAGGAGATCTGGTAAAAGCGGCTTGTCGAGCTAGGCTCTGGACCTGCATCGCATATTTGAAGCCAGACAAGAAGCAAGAATAGCAGTAGCATTGATTGGCCAGGTGAAAGATGATCTGGACAGATACGTGCACGCGTTCAATGGTCAACTGACTTTGTTCCATTCAGGCGCCACGCAACAAGCGCACTGACGTGTCTCTGGTCGATCGACCAATTCTTGGTTATGCATGCATATGAAGAATCACGCGCAAGGCCCCGAGCCTTGCAGAACGCCGCAAGAATCGACGCTCACCGTGCAGCCCAATTCAACTGGTTGCATGCGTCAGCTCATTGTCAGCCTATAGCGTCGACACACTGACAGTCGCTGAAAAGAAGGTCTTCGCAGAGGGTGTCATAGTCACGACGGCAAGTAAGCGTGGCTGCCTTTCCTTCTAGCTGGTACCCGCCTGCTCGGCTTGTGAGCATGCGCAACGTCACGGCTGGCCCACCTACGACCAGCAAAGCCATACAAGGCAGTGACTGCATACTCTGCCCTGCAGCAGGTCGCTATCGGGTCATCTATTGTAGCTGATCAGCTGAGGCGTCAAATGCAGATTAGAACCTGACATACCCATCGAGCCACCGATGCGGGTCATGTTCAGTGTCATCTGGACCGTGTACGCGACCACACTGGTCGTTGCGAGCTTGGAGATGCCTTTGCAATCTGGTAATGGTGCACTTCCATCACCTGCTACATTGTAGCATGAGATTTCCCGCCTGCCGCCGAACGGATGTAGGCCCAGGCGGGAGTGACTCTCCGCCACTGTCTCGAACGCAGCCAAGAACACTTGATGATAACCTGCTACCTCTCTACACACCGCCTGACATGGACATATACGCATTGAATAGTACCGGTTCAGAGGTTCGGTTGCTACACAGGACGCTTCCCTGAGACCGAGAAGCGAGAATAGGACAGACAGGAGGATTCCTGAGCCCCTTTGAGCGTTGCCTAACATCGTTTTGCTGTCTGCGAGTTACTTGCAGAATGTCGCGAGAGTAGTGCTGTTTGGGTGACAGGGCGACGCTCGGATGAGAAAACATGGATGACATGTGACAGCGAACGAGAGGGGTTTAAGTGGTCGCCAGATGACCTTCTCCGGAATACTTCCCCGCGTTTGACATTGGATATATTTGACGCGCGCGAGTAAACTCCAACAGCGAAGCTCAACTTGCGACTCGCCAAAGGCTCCGCATCTGGAGTGATGATATCGACCCCGTTAGCGGCATGCTCGCCTGCAATGAGCTCACCTGCTGGTCGGGCATCGTCTCGCTCTCGGGTGAATGTCGGCGACGATACGAGCTGTCAGCAACCAACTCTCAGCTTTCCGAGTCCGTCACCTGCTGGTCAGTCTGCGAGCCGGTCTCGTCGGAACGGTGAAGCTGGGTTCGGTAAGGCCGAGTACAATGGAAAGTCTCACTGGCGTCAGCGATCACAAGGTACGAACAATCTGGCACGCTCGCCATTGGCATTCTTTCGTACAGCAACGACCACTTCGCCGCGGCTGTCGCCTTCGCCAAAGAGCGAAGATCCTGACGGTTCCTTCTCAAAGACCAGGAGAGATCGCGATGGCCATCGAAAGCACCTGAGCGAGTCTTTGGCAACAATTGGAGAAGCGAAACCGACAGGCGTGCTGGGTAGCTTTCTGAACGGCTTAGGCATACCCAAGAGCGAATTGCAACGCCGTGGTCACGCCGGTCGGCTTATCAGACCTCCAAAATCAGCCAGTCGAGTATTTCGGCAGATCTCGCTGGGCCTGCTCGCACTCACGACCATCAGCGCGCTCTGGATCTACGTGGGCACCTCGAAACTCAGAGCAGAGCAAGCCACATTGCTCGACGAACCTGAGACTAGTCTGCGAGACTGGGCAAAATATTACAAAGATCTGAGCCTATCAATCATCTCTATCCACGACACAAAGCCAGCCGCGCCCGCTCGACCTCGTAAGCCGACTGGACCACAGAAGCACACGCGACTGCCAAATGGCTGGCTGGACGTGAACGCAAAGGCGCCGCATCCGATACTGGAACTCATCAGAGATGCTCAGAAAGACTGGGAAGACAAGCTCAGCCGACAAAGTCAGACGTACGAAGAAGCTGTCGCAGAATACAAAGACCGATATGGTCGCAACCCGCCCGCAGGCTTCGAACGATGGTGCGCATTTGCGCATCGTCACAAGATACAACTTCCGGACGAATACGACCAGATCGCGCGCGATTTTGAACCCTTCCGTGCGTTACACCATAATGATTTCGTCCATCGACATCAGGCGATGCAGCAGCGCGATCATACGTTCACAGTCGCCATCGCAGAAGACGGCTCGGTCTCAGTCTTTGGGCCATATGCTCATACACGCCGAGCTGCCGAAGTGACCGACATCTTCTGGCTGTTTAGCTCGGAAATCAAGCGAGCTGTCAACTTGACCTTTATCATTGATGATGAACCAGCGGTCGTGCTGCCGTGGGAGGAGAAAGACCGCCTGCTCGAGCTGGCTCGGCACGGTGAAAGTAAGCTGTCTTCATGGCAGAGCGAGTCGTACTCACTTTGTCTTGACAGAGATCGGTCCATCGGAGCACTATCAACTCCATCACACGCATAACACTGCTGGCTATTCCAATTATGCGCTCGCATGCGCGCCCGACTCGGCTCTTCGGCATAGCGAGCGCAGCAGACGACCGAACCAGGTCGTCGGCAAGCACGCCTTCATTTATGATCACCCGACGGCAGCAGACGTCTGTCGCAATCCAGAGGGTCGACATCTGCACGGTCATACTGTCGGTTCAGGTGCCAATCTAGGCCCACTCGTACCTCTACTAGCTTTTGCGAAGATGTCGCTCAACTCTGACATCCTAGCGACCCCACTCGAACAGTATTCTGATACATATATCGGCTATGACCCACCATGGGATGAGAAACCAAGCAGCAAACTCATGTGGCGAGGCTCGACGACCGGCGCGGCATTCCAAACCGGCAGACCATGGAAGGACTCTCAGCGCGCACGCTTGCACTTCATGAGCCATGACACCGAGGGTGAGCGCGAGATCATGTGGACTGACCAAACCGGCGCGACACGCTTCAGCAACATCAGCACTGGCTTGCTCAATGAGCTCTACCTCGACGCCAGTCTTGCCGGCCGGCCAACGCAATGCGACGAAGAGACTTGCAACTATCTGGCGCGTAACGTCCGCTTTGCGCCGATACAGGGTCTCGACGAATCTTACAGCTACAAGTATGTCATGGATGTGTACGTCATTTCGTCAAATTGTCCTGGCTTGGCTGAGATACGAAGCAGCGATGGCAACGGCTGGAGCGGTCGCTTCCATCGTCTCATGAGCACCAACTCGCTCGTCCTCAAGAGCACTGTCTTTCCAGAATGGTATCAAGGTATGCATCTCAAGCTTGTTATGCCTGGAGCTGATTCGCTTGGGCAGATCGCATCGTGCCCTGGTATCACTATGTACCGGTTCGACTCGACTATGGCGATATCTACGATATCATGGCCTTCTTCAGAGGCAACGACGAAGGCGTTGGCGAACACGAAGCCATGGCGCGTCAGCTAGCGGACAACGGGCGGACCTGGGCAAGGGATTTCTTCAGAAGAGTCGACATGGCAGCTTATATGTTCCGCCTGACGCTCGAGATGGCGTCCCTATTGGATGGGACAGAAGATTAGATTTGTACATTGCATGCTTGCTGCCGATACACAACTAGAGCTCGCCAGCGAGCTCAGAAGAATCCTGGTGGACGAACAGCACCCCCTCTGCCACCTGCCACCACGGTCGAACTTTCTTGACCGACTGCTACACCGAAAGGCGTAATGAGTGCACCCTGCTCACTCATCGTCAGCTATGCTCTAGAAACAGGCTGCCTTGGCATGTACCGATTTTTCCTGAGTTGCAACGCCGCCTGCGCGAAGATAAGCAGACGGCACACATCACATCAGTCCGAGCTTACCTGCCCTACCTCCCACAACACCAGGTCGTCCGAAGCCAGGGGGAGGCGGAGGCCGAGGCTGCCAACATGATTAGCAAATGAGATGTATCAAGAGCGCAGAAGACGCACTGATCCAAAGCCCGGCGGACCTGGTCGACGCTCCTCCAGCTCGGTCGGCATTGCAGACACAGTGAGTGCAAAGGCGAGCACGAAGAGCAGGGCACAGATGGTCAGCAGTGAAGACCGCATGGTACCGTACGTCCGCGGTATCTGGCAAAAGCGCTTGCAGTCCTTTTGTAGTAGGCGTCCAAAGTCACATGGGGTCTGTGCGTGGGTACGTCGACCCAAGCCTACCTAGCACAGCTAGTGGGCTTCCTCGCTTGCTTCCGAGTCTCCGTTCTCATCGTAGTAAGATCGAGGTAGCACGTAGACCGATTCGACATCCAGCCGTTCTGAAAAGGCGGGACCCGCAGTATGTGCCTTGACACGCTTCACGAATTTATACGTGCCTGTCGTGCGCAGTACAAGCGCTAGTGAATTGTGATGAGGCACAAGGGTGAGTAATTCGGAATTGTCGCCTTCTTCGGGCTCGCCATCGAGGTAATGTAGCGTTCCACCCCATTCTGGCTGCCATTCCACAGGTTGACGATGCCAGGTGAAGACAATGTCGAGACCTTGAGGGTCATGGCCTTCGTCATGCAGCAGAGTATAGTCGCCGGGAAGGAAGCAACGTGGCATGGTCCGATGCGATTGCGCAAGTGGCAGGCCAGTTACGTCTGTGACCCATCTGTGAAAAGCGCTGGACTGTAACAGGCGCCCGACGATGTTGCTTTCCGCACTGGCAGAAGCAAAGCGTCGCAAGTACGGCGGACCTAGCATGGTCGTGGGTGGTCCTGTTGAGATCAACTGCTCTAGAGCTTCATCTGTCAGGAATGACCGTAGTTCGACAGACGACTCTTCTGCGAACTGCTCTCTTATCTGAGCTTGGCTATTCGTATCTAGATAGGTCGGATTAATCAGTTGCAAGTCTTGGTCCTTCGTCCACATTGGTGTGAAGCCACGCAGAGCGAGGCGACAGTCGAGCGAGCCATGATACCAGCCCGAGATGGACAGCCGACCTTTCTCACTGTCGAGCACCTCTGTGACTTCGTGATACGAAGTGGCAGTCACTTCGAAGAACGCAATCTTGCCTCGTCGGGGTTTGCAAACAAGCTGGTCATCCTTGCAATCTCGTGGTTCGTAGGATCGGTCAGTATGAAAGACAAGATCTCCGCCATTGTCCCATTCGGTATCGACAAGGTATAGGATAAAAGCGACACGTCTGCCCGACATTGATTGATCCGCTGCCTTGATGTTATCATCATGACTGTGCAAGTGATCACCGGTCTTGTAGATGTGAGATGACAGATCTGGTCTTGCAGTGTGATCGAGCTCCACGCCAAGCAGACCCTCTACGAGCTGCACGAAGGCAGGACTGTACAACGCGTCTCTGAGCTTGCCAAGCGGGCTTTCAGATTTGACGAGATCAGCAGAAGCTAGATCGGCCGTGCCGTGGTACGAGAAGAGATCAGACTCGTTGTGAGTGTACTTGAGCTCGGTGCGCAGCTGCTGTTCGACTTGGTCAATCAGATCTGGACGAAAGACGTTTTCAAGCTCGACGAGTGAATGTGGCCGCGTGAAGAGCGTGTCTGGCCATGTGCGCTGCTTCTCCTTGCTGCCGGCTCGGTGCACGTCAACGCTGCTCGATGAGAAGAGCTGCTCTTCGTCTATATAGACGCTACCACGAGCAGATTGATGTGCCTGGGATGTGTCTGCTTGCGGCTGGACCTCATGACTCGCTGCTGGCTTGCTTGAGCTCTTTGAAGCTGCCTTTGTCTTGCCATTGGTGTGCTCGAGCTTCTGCCGCTTTTTGACATGCTCAGTCATCGTCAGTGCCGGCTCAATAGCCTTTCCTTGGTCGAAGTGACGATACCAAAAATGTGTCCGCGTTGGAATCGACGTCAAGCTTCAAGCTGCATCATCAAGACCAAGCTCAAGCAGCGCCAAGGATGAGCGTCATCCCAGCGAGCAACTCAGAGCGCAAGGCTGCAACGCATGGAAGCTTACAGAAGAAGCACATCAAGGTTCGCAGGCCGCTTAGCTGCTGCACACAGGACTCAACGAAGTGCTGATCATGCAGAGAACGAGCGAGTTAAGACGACCGACAAGCGCTGCAGATAGCAACGAGAGCGACTCAGAAGATGAGGAAGCCCGAGAGAGAGCACAGGCACTGCTAGACGCTCGACTGTCGTCACGCTATCCCCGTCAGATCAGCGCAAAAGTGATTGGCAAACGTAAAGTCCAAGAGGAGTCAAGCGAGGAACAGTCAAGTGAGGACGACAATGCAGAGCTCGATCGACTCTTCGCTGCACCACAAGTGACCACCGCTCGTGCATCAGGCGGCACGGCAGCCAGAGAACCCAAAGTGACAGTCTTTCATGATCCGAGTCGTGTCTCGACCTTGCCGGCTACAGTGACAGCAAGCAGGAAAGAGCTCAGAGCGTTCATGTCGCCGAGTACGGCAAAATTGCTCGGTCATGAGCCCGAAGAGACCTATATCATTGCAAAGCAGCGAAAACGCGCAGCTCAAAAAGCGAGGGAGGGTCCCCAAGATGCAGAGACAGACGCGGCGCAAGAGAAAGAGATGGCCAGTCTCGACAGTACGCTGCAGCGCATCATCTCCACTTTGCCTCTCGACGGATCTGCTCGTCCTGGAGCTTCCAGGGATGAGATCAGTATGATCATGCCCCGTAAAGTTGATGCGCCTATTCAGAAGAACACGCCACTGCCGCTCGTGCGAGCGTTGCTATCAAGTCGACTGAATCGAGCAAAGAACGAAGCAGAGAATGCTCGCAAGGCAGGTATCGTCACCGGCCGCTCATCGAACAAATCAAACAGGGCTGCAATGCAAGGTCACGCTGGCGACATTGCAATCACAAAGCGCGAGCTCGGTCTTCAGGCTGGTACTGAAGAAAAGCGAAGGAAGGAGGCCAGAGGCATCGGATCTAGATTTGGCAAGCTTTCGGGATCGATGATCAAGCTCTCCGCTGCCGAGTTACGGCTCGGTGCAGAAGGCCGCACGTTTGCAGAGGGCTCCCATAAAGCAGGTGGGAAACCGAAAAAGGCCCGAGCAGGCAAGCAACGCTCCGGTAGTAAAGCAAAGAAGCGTCACTAGTCACCCTGTTACTCGTCGCTCCGTCTCATTAGCTTTGCCAAAGGCGTCGTCTTGCCAATCCAAGTCTACAACGACCGAGAACAGATATGCTGGCCATTCTCTGCTTGTTTTTGCACACCGTCGCAGCCTTGTCCTTGCTTCAAGATGTCGTATTGCAGCGAATAGAAGCGAATTTGGCGCGTGGTCCGAGACCAGCATGGGTTATTGGCACACAGCTCGAAGCCGTCACAGAGCTTCACTACCCCCAGTCAAGCGGCTTTGGCAAGGCGCCTTTCTCCTCTGCCGGTCCCACTCCTACAACAGTCGTCGATCTAGCTCGCTCGGTCGTCATCCAGCGAGATGGTTCCGGTTTGCTCGTGCCGGGATCCAGAGCGGCGTCAGATACGGCTTCGATCGGCACAGGCGTCATCCTAGCATCTTTCTACGGCTCGGAGCCCAAGGCGTCGTATTCCCAACCTTGGCTGATCCCTGCAACGGCTCCCGTCGGGTCATCAGCATGGTTCATGCGAGCGGCGTATGACCAGATGGAGTTCCTTTTGACCAAAGTCCAGCGCACGCCTAGCGGCATCATCTCGCATGCGCAGAATAATTTGCAAATCTGGTCAGATGCAGGCTACATGCATCCTACGTGAGTGCATCGCCGCCTCACCCGCTTCAGGCTGACTGTGGGGTCTGCATGCAGCTTTATGGCGTACTATGCAGTGGCGACAGGCAATCGCACGATCATGGAGATGGCTATCGAACAAGCTGTTCTCATTCATGATGCTCTTGTTGACGAGCAAGGAACTTACCGACATATTCTCGGCGGTCCCAACGAAGACCGGGGTCATTGGAGTACAGGTACCGGCTGGAGGTCAGCGAACCGTGCTAAGTTGCTATGAATCAGCTGAGTTCGACAGGACCACAGTGTTGCCGGTATCGTTCGAATCATGGCGACGATACAGCATAGTCCCTGGAGTAACGCGCTATCGACTCAGACAGCTATCCTCACAAAGATGGCGACGAAGGTGCTCGCTGCCGCCTGGAGCAACGCACTTCCTGTCAGTCCCTCTCCAATGGTCCACACGTGTCAGGCTGACGTATTGCACAGTCTGGCGCACTGATGAATTATCCAGATAACGCAGAGTCCGATTTTGCAGATGCAGCATCGACAGCCCTCATCGCATCTGCCACCTTTCGCTTGGCAGCTCTCACGACCGTCAGCAACAGTCTCCTTGACAGTGCAGAGAAGGGTAGATCCTTTGTGCAATCACAAATCGATGCCGACGGCTGGCTCACTCAAGTCGTCAATCCTGTTTCGATCAGGGCGCTGGGCGAACGCTCGCCGGAAGCGCAAGCGTTTGTGCTCCTCATGACTGCTGCCCATCGTGATCTGCACCATCAAGACTAAAGCCCTAGCTTAATGCATCATGCTATCGTCGATCGAGCGCGTGTCAGCCAACGAGAATTGACGCGATCGAGTCGAGATAGGCTTTGCTCAGAACGCACACCCTCACATTGCCCTGACCGAGCCGGAGATGAGCACATATGAGCTCACGGACGCTCACCGAGCCAAGTTCGAATCAGATGGCTACCTCGTCCTGCCAAACTTTGTCGAGCCGGCGCAGATTGCAAAGCTACTTGAGCAAGCTCGCAAGCTCCTCGCCGACTTCTCGCTTGAAGGTCATCCCATGGTACGCTTGATCCACAGCCGAGACTTGCGCGCGAAGCTCATGCAAAGGCTAGACCAAGTTCACGACGGACGAGGAAGGGGAAGGTGGCAAAGACAAGCATGTCGGCGATGATTACTTCTTGACATCCAGCGATAAGATCCGATTCTTCTTCGAGGCAGACGCTTTCGATGCGCAAGGCAACCTCACACGTCCCAAGGAGGAAGCAATCAACAAGATTGGCCATGGCCTACATGAACTTGACCCGGTCTATCGTCCCTTTTCGCTCGAAAACGACCGGATCAAGTCTCTTGCTAAATCGCTACAATACCACCATGATCCCTTGATGCTGCAGTCGATGATTATCTGTAAGCAACCGAGGATAGGGGCCAAAGTGCCTGTGCATGACGATTCGACATTTCTATATACGGATCCGCCGAGCGCAATTGGATACTGGTTCGCTCTGGAAGATTGTCATCTCAAGAACGGCTGCTTGAGCTTCCTACCCGGCTCGCACAAGCGCAATGCCCACTTGCAACGCTTTGTCAGACTACCAGAGGGCGGCACAGGCTTCGAAGCGGTTCCCGGTGCACGCGATAGCAACCCCGATTGGTCAGCACCGGGCGAACGCTGGGTCACCGAAGAATGCAAGGCGGGCACGCTCGTACTCATTCATGGTAGCGTGATACACAAGTCCGAAGCCAACCTATCCGATTCGTCGAGGTTCATCTACACTTTTCATATGATCGAGGGCGGTGCAAAGTACGACGAGAAGAACTGGCTGCAGCCCACCCCGGCTCTGCCATTCTCCAAGCTGGGTGTCTGAACTGCCTCAGACGCTGTACCGTCGCCATCGCCCCTCTCTGCAGTCATCTTATCAGACGAGCCAAGAATGTCGTTTGGCGACGAGCCTCGTGTCTCCACGCCCGACAAAGGGTCCCGTGGCGAGCAACAATCAATCACCGTTCGCGCAACTAGGGAGCGAGCGAGCTCGAAAGTACAGACGCTCTCGACCGATGTCGTCATCTATGAAGGCTCAATCACTTTGCCCATGATTCGCATTGGGGTTTCTGTCGGCGCGCTACCGCTACGTGCGTATGCGCGAGTCTCACAGCCCTGCCAGACGCTCCGATTGAGTATTGCTGCTATGCAGAGTACAGGATTGACCCCAAGTTCGGGTTCGTACAACATACCAGCGCCTCACTCGAAAGCCATGCTGTTCCTGAAGCCGCGTGCAGCGACTTACGAGCTCATCAGCCAAATAGTCACGCTTCGCTGCCGGCGCAGCGGTGCACTCTGCGAGAGAATCTTGTTGGCCAGCTGTTCGTCTAAGCTTGTCAAGCGATTGCTCGGCTGACTTGGTTCGCAGTCGGACTGCCGTGTACTCTGATGACAGGCTCTTGTGCTGTCGGGCAAGGCCGGGGTAGCTCAAAGATATCGTTCTGAGCAAAGCATTGTACAGTCAGTGAATGCAATCAGTGCCACTAAGCCCGCGGTGATCATACTGTTCAAGCCAGTCACGTGTAACTCGACAACGAATCTATTTGAGACGGCGTGCGTGGTTGTCATTCGAAATAGTCGCGACGCGTTTCTGACTTCCGCATCGGAAGAGGCGCTCAGGCCTGTCATAAAATCTCTCATATCCATCGTACACTGCTTCTATACCCTCTTCCAACATCGCCGCGCTTGAATCGTAGTAGCGACAAAGTGTCCGCAGCCATGCCAGGCTTGCGCAATGCTTTGACATGGTCCGCAACAATGGATGCGCGCTATGAGCGAAAGACCGTCGGCTTGCTGTCACTTGCCGTGGCTGCAACCGGCACGATCTTTGGTGATCTCGGTACATCGCCTCTCTACGTGCTCAACGGCATTTTTCCTGCCGCCGGCGATGCACCCTCTGCAGAGGATGTCTTGGGCGCCGTGTCGGCCATCGTCTGGTCGATCACACTCGTGCCTCTCATCAAGTACATCATCATCGCTCTCGAATTTGGTACAAAAGACGAACAAGCAGAAGACGTGAATAAGGCGCCCCAGGAAGGAGGTCCCTTTGCTCTTTACGGGCAGCTGTACCTCTCCGAGCCGAAAGGCTCAGAGATTACCATGCCAACGATCCATACCCCCAGCTCGAGCCGCTTCAACGAGAGCAAGCGCTTCATCGATCGCGCATTCGCTCGCACGACTATTCTCGTCATTGCGCTCGTAGCCGTCGGTCTGATCATGTCCGATGGCATCTTGACGCCTGCTGTCTCTGTCGTGTCTGCCGTTGGCGGCCTGGCAGTCGCAGTGCCCTCACTTAATTCTAGCGACATGTATGTCCGTGACACTGGCATTCACGGGGCTGACTATGCGCTGTAGCGTTGGCATTTCTATCGCCATCTTGGTCGTTCTGTTCGGCGCACAGCGTTACGGAACTGCTCGACTGGGCAGTCTGTTCGGACCGATCGTTCTCGTTTGGTTTGCTCTGCTTGCTGGAACGGGCATCGCCAACATCGCCACTCATCCGGGCATCTTCCGAGCATTCGATCCCTCGCGTGCTGTGCTTTATTTTGTTAGACAAGGCAGCATCACGCCCTTAAGCGGCGTCTTGCTCGCCATCACAGGTTGCGAAGCCAGCTACGCCAATCTTGGCCAGTTCTCCAAAGGCTCTATTCGACTGAGCTTTATTGCCTGCGTCTATCCCGCCCTTCTGTTAGCATACCTTGGTCAAGGCGCTCGTCTGATCGTCGATCCGACCAACACGTTGAGCAATGTGTTTTACAACTCGATTCCACTCAAGACGGGAGGCGGGCTGTGGTACACTGTATGGCTCTTCGGCATCCTCGCGACCATTGTCGCATCGCAAGCTATGATCACCGCCTCGTTCTCTCTTATTCAGCAGATGGTCGGCAGCGGCTCCTTCCCGACAGTCGCAATTCGTCATACTTCGGATAGTCATCGTGGTCAGATCTACGCGCCTGTGCCCAACCTTCTTCTGCTCGTCGGCTGCGTTGGCGTTGTCGTCGGCTTCGGCACTGATTCCCGCCTGACAAACGCATACGGCTTTGCCATCTCGTTCTTGCTGTTTTTGACGACGATGCTCTTGACCCTCGTAATGATCAACGTCCGTGCCATCCCCGCCGTCGTCGCTGTCGCCTTTCTGCTCTTCTTTGGCTTCATCGACGGCCTCTTCTTCTCTTCGTCTGTGCAAAAGGTGCGGTCATTGTCGCCATGCCAAGACTTCCATCTGACATGCGACCGCAGATCCCACAAGGCGCATATGTTACGCTGACGCTGGCAGTGGCGCTCGCTCTCTTTCTGTGCTTCTGGACCTGGGCTCGACACAAGGAAGACGTTTTCGATGCAGCACATCGTCTGCGGCTCAACGAGATTTTCACACGCAGTAACGCTTTCGAGCCTGGCACGAGCGAAGAGGAGAAGACAGGAGCCACAACGGCCTTCTCGATCGAGCCGATCGACGAGCGAGCAGACCACGAAATCGACGAATTGGCAAGAACGACGAGCAATGTGTCTGAGCAAAAGGTCAAGATTGCTCGCATTGCGGAGAAAGATACCTCGATCGGAGAACTGATGCTTATTGCCCCGGACGGACCCATCAAGCTGCCTCGCATGGAATGTTTCTCGTTCTTTCACCATCTCGGCGAAGGCGTCGGCGCGCCTCACAGCTTCTCGAGTCAGCTCCGTCATATGCCAGTCTTACCTCGCGTCTGTGTCTTTTTGGCGATCAAGACCGTCAACGTGCCTCATCTGCAAGAAGAGGACAAGTACATGGTCGATAAGCTCCGGGCGATCGATGGCCTGTACGTGATGAGATATCGCTTGGGGTATCGCGACAAGGTCGATTTGCGCAACATGGTCCAGCCTGTGCTCCAGCGTATCGTCGATATGGAGCGAGGTGGTCGTCTGCCTGGAACGGCTGCAGAAATCGATGCAAAAGTCGCTCTGATCGAAGCAGCTGCCCGTACGCCGACTCATTTCTTACCGAGCTACCATGTCACTTCGAAGGGCAACGACATCAAGATGGTCTGGCTTCGCAAGCCTCTCGATGCTATTCGTGCCTTCCTCCTTGAAGAATGCTACAGAAGAGTCGCACAGAACTTTCCTCCTACTGCTGGCTATATCGTCGACGAGTCGCAGATCCTTCGTATTGGAGTCAATGCCAGTATCTAGATTCAGTGGGACCTGGGAATACTGTTGTGGTCTGTAGAAATGACATGATTGCCGGTACAACCTAGATCTATATACGTGCTTGTCTGGCGGCACGTTGCGGTGGCGGGCGGCTGACTCCTTGCGGTCTGATCGCGCCTTGAATAGCAGGTCGACCTGCAGGCTGCGAGAATATAAACTCATGTAGCGCGCTGTCTCGAATGAGCTCACAGGACGCGATTTGATTGGTGGCAAGGGAGCAGCCCGCAGGAGCGCAATTGGCTTTGACGGCAATAAAGTTGCGACTTGGGGCAAATCAGCGGCAGGCGGAGGTGCCGGTGCTTGCAAGACAGGTACTGGTGGAGCTTGTTGAGCGAGGATAGGTGGTCCTGCTGGAGCTGGAGCAGGGGCGGGCGGAGGTATATCGAGTGAGACGCGTTCGCCAGGCTCAGGCACCGTGACTGGCTTTTGCTGTGCTGCGGTCAAGCTGGCGAGCAGGGTCAAGAGCAGCACAGAGTATCTCATACTAGATGTGCTGCGTCACATGGGTCGAGTCAGAGAGGTCGTACTCCGCAGCAGGATTGCACAGCAAGGTGTGAAGCGCCACGACGGGCTGGCGGGCAAAGGTCAGTGCATTTCCGTGAGGTGAGCGCGCAGTGCAAACGCGGAGACCGAGCGCGAGGGGATGCAAGTGGGTGTACAGTAGAGATACAGCAGGAGAGGGAGCGTCTACTCTTCTTCCTCTTGCGCTTTAGCGACGAGTTGTCTCTGGGCGATCTTCATCCGCCGCATCATGTCTTCATACTGGCATTTCTCGTAGCCGTGCCTGTGCGCGATTTGAGTCATGCGCGCGCCCTGAACAGCGTGAGATCTCACTTCTCATCTGTGCACTCTGTAGATGCAGAATGTCATGAGTATCAACCAAGCTCGCGAGGATGCTCGAGACGTACTCCATGGCAGGTAGAAGTTCTCATGCCGGCACTTGTTGAGTGGTATCAGCAGTCTACCCAGCCAACGCCTTGCGTGAGCATATTGCGTGCTCAAGCACAGTGGACGTACCCTGCGCAATTGTCCCTCCAACTGTAATAGGGGAGTCAATGAGCTTATTCTCGATAGCGCCATGGCAGATACTCGCCCTAGTGGTAGCCTCGCCTTGGCCATTGCTTCCTGACTGGCCCCATGCAGGTCCTCCGGTGCTCCCGAGCTGGACACCATCCTTGCGAGTCACTCGCGATGCTGCTCGCCCTCTTGTCCAGTGCCGCGGCGCCGCGAACTCTTTTTTTTTTTCAGAGAGGCGACCAGCAGGCGCGAGACGTGCAGAGCTTGCAAACGATCCAGATCGGTTCATATCCCGGCAGAAAGCCCCGTCGGACATCGCCAACCGGTCTGAACACACTCTTTGATCTGTTGGAGAGGCAGCGCCGAGCAAAGGACAGCCTCAGCATCCGTTAGGCACCTCGCAGCGCGCGTCGTTCAGCCGGACGCAGACGACTTTGAAGAGCTTTACGGAGGATCCCTGGAGGTGCGACGGGTGCCACAAGCCAGCAGATCCATTGCTGACATGACTTCCCAGGCTTAGGGCAAGTTCGCAAAGATTGCACGTTGCGGCATCTGCTCCACCGACTGCGCAAGCTCCACCCCGTCGGCTCTGAACTCCCCGTCGTATCGGTCTATACACTCATCATGTGCGCAATCCTCTGAGCCGCTTGATCGACCGAGCTGACTGACTTCGATGGCGATCAGGTCGAACGCGACGATCTTCAAGGTGAGATTGCTCGCGCTCCCGCCGCTTTCGTTGCGAGCTGACACACGCGCGCATTCCAGGCGACCTACTCCAATGTGCCGGTATACGAAATGCCGTGCAAGAGCGTGCCGGTCATGCGTCGCCGGGTGGACAATTGGGTCAATGCTACCCAGATCCTCAAAGTACGCGTCCCTCAGATGAACTTAGCAGATCCGTCGCTGACTGCTTATGCAGGTCGCTGGCTTTGACAAGCCGCAGCGAACGAGAGTACTCGAACGTGAAGTCCAGAAGGCCATTCACGAAAAGATCCAGGGAGGCTACGGCAAGTACCAAGGTAGGTCGCGTCCTGTCTCGCTTCAAGCCTTTTGCTGATGGCGAACGCCCGGCAGGAACCTGGATCCCGATGGAAAGAGGCGTAGCGCTTGCTCAGCAATATGGCGTCATCGCGTTGCTCCAGCCCATCTTTGATTTCCAACCTACGGGCGATTCGCCCCCATTGGCGCCCAAGCATCTCACCGCGCCTCCCTCTCGTCCGAAACGAAAGGCCGACACGCCTCTCGACGGATCTATTCCTCGTCCCAGGCAGAAACGCACTACCCATGGAGATCCTGCCGATTCAGACTCAGATATCCCGATCATGCCCAACTTGCCTCGAGCGGGCAGGATGCCGGGAAGCGACGACCATTCGCTCTCGCCCAGTCCGTCCGATCACAGCTCGACTTCTCAGACACCGAGCCCACTCGACGGTCACTATACAGACTATGACATGCACGGCAACGCTGTTTCAGCCGAACGTCGTCGTCCTGGCTATACCGATCACAATGGCAATCACCAAGGCCATCAGAGCGCAGGCGGTCCCGTTCGCTATGCTCGCCTGATTCTCGATTACTTTGTGTCAGAATCAAGCCATATCCCGAGCTTCTTGCTCGCTCCTCCTGCCGATTTCGATCCCAACGTGGTCATCGATGACGACGGTCATACTGCTTTACACTGGGCCTGCGCAATGGGCAGGATCAGGATCGTCAAGCTGCTCTTGACGGCAGGCGCAGATATTTTCAGAGCCAATGCAATGGGCCAGACCGCTCTGATGCGCAGCGTCATGTTCACGAATAACTACGATCTACGCAAGTTTCCGGAACTTTTCGAACTGCTTCATCGTTCGACAATCAATATCGATCGCCACGATCGCACGGTGTTCCACTATGTCGTTGATATCGCCCTCCAAAAGGGCAAGACTCACGCTGCTCGGTACTATGCCGAGGCGATTCTCAACCGTCTATCGTCCTACCCTCGCGAGGTTGCCGATATTCTCAACTTCCAAGATCTCGATGGTGAGACTGCCCTCACTATGGCTGCACGGGCTCGCTCGAAGCGACTCGTCAAGATCCTCGTCGATCACGGAGGCAATCTCCAGCTGGCCAACAGGGATGGCAAGACCGCAGAAGACTATATTCTCGAGGACGAGCGTTTCCGGTCTGCTTCTGTCGGTCCGGGCGGTGTCGCCCCCGGATTCCCTGGTCTGAACGGCTACAATCCGACTCTGCACTCTTCTGAAGCGGCTCAGCGAGCGGCGAATCAGGCCATTCCGCAGTCTGCAGAACTACTCGGCTCGCTCGCCAACAGCTTTGATGCGGAGCTTGACGAGAAGGACAGAGACCTCAACCAGGCTCAATCCTTGCTGACCAATATCAACCACCAAGTGGCAGAATCGCAAGCGGAGATCAACCAACTCAAGTCGGAAGCAAGCGGCCTCGATGACGCAAAGCGATTGGAAGCTAGCCTATCTGACGAGCTCCAGAACAAGATGGGAAAGAGGTTCCGGTTGGGATGGGAGAGATATGTTCTGCAGGAGGAAGGACGACAGAAGGATAGTCAGATCGGAACAGCTCAGGATGCAGATCTTGACGCGATTGCCTCGGTACCGGACTCACCTGACCAGATCGCTCAAGATTGCGCTGCACTGAGGCAAGAGATTGCAACGTTGCAAGATTCGAGACGGAAGATGTTTGCTGACTACGTCAAGCTCACTGCCGAAGCGGGCACGGGCAACAAAATGGCAGACTATCGCAAACTCATCGCTATGGGTTGCGGTGTCAATGTCAATCAGGTCAACGATGTGCTAGGCTCACTCGCCGATGCACTCGATAGCCAGATTGCCGCTCCCGCTCAAGCTTAGACGATACGACTGGCTCCATCGAAGAAGACACAAGAATCAAAAATTGGACAAAAAGGCTGCTGCTCTTCCCTTCTGAATATCGTGTTGTTACAGCGTCAAATTCATTCTTTCGCTTTCGCTTTCGTCCTGATTTGCCCGCGATCAGCCAGCAAAGTCACCGTCGGTCGAAGTCGGTCGAGTAACAGACGCGTCGCGCGCGACTGGCACTTTGCGCGAAGTGACGCTTGCGAACGGCACTCGAGCTGCTGCGAGATGCACATCAAGGTCCGTCGAAGCGTGCTGATGAGCATCTCCATGCTCACACGCATGTGACGTGACAGTCATTGAGCATACAAGGCTTCAAGAGCTACAGAGATCAGACGATTGTCGATCCTTTCAGGCAAGCCCGACAGCTTCATCGCAGAATAGCGCTGACGATCTCGTGCTTGCAGTGAGGGCATCAATGTCATCGTAGGCAGAAACGGGTCTGGCAAGTCGAACGCCTTCGCCGCCATCCGATTCGTGCTCTCAGACGCCTACACTTCCTTACAACGGCACGACCGACAAGCCCTTCTCCACGAAGGCTCGAGTTCAACGGCCACTTTCGCAGCCTACGTCGAGATCGTGTTCGACAATAGCGATCACCGGTTCCCCACGGGCAAGAATGAGACGGTGATCAGGAGGACGATAGGAGCGAAGAAGGATGAATACCTGCTCGATCGAAAGACGACGCCAAAGGGTGAAGTCATGTCGCTCCTCGAGACTGCAGGCTTCAGCAGGAGTAATCCGTACTACATCGTCCCTCAGGGCAGGATCACCCATCTTACCAACCAGAAAGATCACGAACGACTCGATTTGCTCAAGGAAGTCGCAGGCACGAGGGTGTACGAAGACCGTCGCGCAGAGTCTGCAAAGATCATCGAAGAGACTGGTTCGTTTTCAGTCTGTCCACATCGCGTATCGCAGCACTGAGATGTGCACAGACGCAAAAAGAGAGAAGATCAACGAGCTCCTCGTGTTTATCGAGGATCGCATGAAGGAGCTCGATGAGGAGAAGAAAGAACTCAAAGACTTCCAGCAGAAAGATCGGGAGCGTCGCTGCATCGAATACGCGCTCAATCACAAAGAGCTGCAAGAAGTCATTGCCACGCTTCAACAAGTGAGTTATCCCGTTTGAGTCGCTGCGACCAGAGTGCTGACGACCGGCCGGCCTAAGATTGAAGACGATAGACAGGAGGAACTTCAAGAGGGCGAGAGCCGCAGCACACGCTTTGCTGAGCGCGAGCAGCACATCACGGTTCGGCTGATTCGCCTGATATCGTGGCCTTCGCTGATGAAAGCGCTCGCGTTCATAGGATCTGGATGCCAAGATTGGCGAGTTCCGACAGCGGCTAGCTTTGCTGAGTCTCGAGAAGCGTCAACTTGCCGTCGAGCACAGCGAGACCGTCAAGGCTCAGACAGAGCTTTCCTGCACAATCAAGGACCTCGAAGATACTGTTGACTCGACGAAACAATCGCGCGAGGTTCTGCATGAAGAGCTTGGTCAGATCGAAGCCACAATAGCCAACAAAGAACAAGAGCTGCTAGAAGTCTTGCCTCAATGGGAGGACCGCGTCCAAGAGGAAGCGGAACGGTTTGCAGAACGCGAACAGGCGTCTGCTCGATTGCAAGCTCTGCGATCGAAGCAAGGCAGAACTGCTCAATTCGCCACAAAAGCCGACCGGGATGCTTATTTGAGTGCAGAGGTACGCAAAGTCGAAGAAGCTCTGCAAGAACGCCAGACGAGCGCTAGTGATATCGAAACCGAGCTCGAAGAAGCCAAGACGGCTCAGAAACAGTTGAGCGTGCAAGCTGGCGAGCTACGAAGGGAGCTCGAAGGGCGCAAGGAGACACTTCGCACGCTCGGTACAGAGTCGCAAGGTCTGAAAGAGCAGCGCGATGAGCTTATCGAGCGACGTAAAGAACTCTGGAGGGAGGAAGCCAAAGTCGAATCGAACGTGGCCCATTCTCGAGAGGAGCTCAGAAAGGCAGAACGCATCCTCAACAATGCTATCGACAAGCGTACCTCTCTGGGTCTTCGAGCAGTAGCAGATATCACGCAAGAATATGGCATCCAAGGCGTCTATGGACCGCTTTGCGAGCTTTTCACCGTTGAGGATCGATACAAAACCGCTGCCGAGGTCACTGCTGGCACTTCGCTATTCCATGTCGTATGTGATACTGACGAGACAGCTGACAAGGTGCTCAAGATCATGATCGAACGCAAAGCTGGCCGAGTCACCTTTATGCCTCTCAACCGACTGCAACCAAAAGCAGTACAATATCCAGACTCGACAGATGCCATCCCGATGATTCGCAAGGTCACTTTTGAAGAACGCGATCGCAAGGCCTTCGAGCAGGTCTTTTCTCGGACTGTCATCTGTCCTAATCTAGCCATCGCCGCTGGCTACGTTCGCAGTCACGGTCTGAATGCAATTACGCTCGATGGCGATAAAGTAGACCGCAAGGGTGCTCTGACGGGCGGCTACCACGATGTGCGCCGCTCGCGGATCGATGCCGCTCGTCAGATCAAGACGTGGCAAAGCAAGCTCGAGCAAGACACGCTGCGACATAACGAAATCAGAACAGAAGTCATCCGACTCGATCAAGCCGTCACGCAACTTGTCGGCAGGATCCAGATCATCGATAATCGTCGTCGTCAGATGCTAGAGAATCGTGGAGCACTCATTCAGCAGGCCGATACTCTGCGCAAAGACGATGAAGATATCAGACAACGTCTTTCTCGTCTAGAGGCCGCTCTTACGCAACGGCAAACTGACATCAAGTCGCTGAGCACGCAAATTGCTGCTTATCGCTCAGAGCTCGAAGCGCCGATGGAGCCCGGTCTGGCGCCAGAGGAGCAAGCAACACTCACGGCACTTACCGTCGATGTCCAGCGACTGGACCGACAGCTGTTTCAGCTGACGACTTCGAGCAGTGAGGCACGTACCTTTGCTCAGCTTCTCCACCGATAGCTAACATCGTTGATGCTTGTAGCTGGCTAAGCAGCGACAGCTACTCGAAATAGACTTGCAAGAGAATCTACGTCGACGTCGCGAAGATATACGAGGGCAACTCGAACGTATGAACGCGGCCGAAGAGAATCCGGATATCGACGCGGCCGAGGAGGATGGTATCGCGAGCCGCAAGACCGATCTTGCCAAACTCGATGCGCGCGACAAGCTGATGGCTGCTCGAGCGTCAGGTACGTTTAGTCTACTGCACGAATTCTCATGGCTCAACGTAATGTTCGCAGAACTCGAGACCGAGATCGAAGAGATGCAGAAGGACCTCCGGACACTGCAAAGTGACGTCGAAAGTGCACAGCAGACGCAAGCCGAGGAGAGCAAAGTCATCGCGAAGCAATCACGCTCTGCTGAGCGATATCTAAGTAAACGACAGCTCCTCATCACGCGCAGAGACGAGTGCAATGCTAGCATACGAGACCTCGGCGTCTTACCCGAGGAAGCTTATACGAAATATACAGAGACCGCGTCTGCTCAGGTCAGTCGCAGTGACTGTCAGCTTTCCTGGGCTGAGCTGTTAGTTGATTGATAGCTATTGAAGAAGCTGCACGCGGCGCACGAAAGCCTAAAGGGATTCTCGCATGTCAACAAGAAGGCTTACGAGCAATACAACAACTTCACGCGCCAGCGTGACCAGCTGCTCGGTCGACATGAGGAACTCGACGCGTCTGCAGATTCGATCCATGAGCTCATCGAAAGCCTTGATCAACGCAAGGACGAGGCCATCACACGAACGTTCAAGCAGGTCGCCAAGAACTTCTCAGAGGTCTTTGAGAAGCTTGTGCCAAACGGCAGAGGCAGGCTCATCATGCAGCGTCAAGCTGATCAGGTAAGGCGCGTCTTTCTTCTCGCCTATTGGGGTCTGACAGGTTCTGCATCGCAGGAGGGCGAAGACGATGAGGAAGATGATCTAGAAGAAGCAGGCGGACAGCCGACATCGAAGAAGCGCAAGGCCAAGTCTGCCCGAGCGGTACCGGCAAAGCCAACACAGATTCGACCGATTGGTAGCTATACTGGCGTAGCCATCAAAGTATCGTTCAATTCAAGATCAGACGAGGGACTGCGTATCTCGCAGCTGTCAGGCGGGCAGAAATCACTTGTCGCACTGGCAATGGGTCGGTCAAGATGCTCGAGAGTCTGACATGAGCTGATCGAGCCTTGAGCGACAGTCTTTGCAATCCAGAAATGCGATCCTGCGCCATTTTACCTCTTTGACGAGATCGATGCGAATCTGGATACCGAGCGACGCGAAGCAGTCGCTGCAATGATTGCAGAGCTCGGTCAAGAAGCTCAATTCATCATCACAACTTTCAGGCCCGAGCTGCTACGTCACGCCGACAAACACTTTGGCGTCATCTTTGATGATCGGAAAGTGAGCACGATCAAAGAGATCACCCTGAGCGACAGCGAGCAATTCGTCCAGCGAGCTGCGCAGTGATGCTGTAAGAGTGCATATGGCAATGTTGTTGATTTCACAGCCGGCTTTACCTGCCACGCATGCATGCCGCGAGGAGATCTTAGGACACTTACTGGCCTAATCGCACGGGCGAGGCAAGGCACTGCCCTTTGACCACAAGCCAGGTTCGCGGCAGAGGAGCATAGAGACCGCCCGAAGAGCCCAGTGAAAGTATACATCAGTAGCTATGGAGGAGGAAGTCGCAGCACTCGTCATCGACAATGGTTCCGGCATGTGCAAGGCCGGATTCGCTGGTGACGATGCACCCCGAGCAGTCTTTCCTTCTATCGTCGGTCGACCTCGTCACCAGGGTGTCATGGTCGGTATGGGGTCAGTCATCTCTCTGTTCGTTCGTCGGCATGCTCCTCTGGGTCTCGTGGCGAGCGCCAAACTTCGAGCTTTGACCTACTCCTCGCGACCTTGGCTCGACCACCCAACGCCTCGCTCGCCTGACGTGCCTCATCGCGAGCTCGACAAGCTGCGTAGGTGGTCTTGCACGGACATCTGTCGAGCCGGGCTCGCGATCAAGCAGCACAAGCTTGCTTGGATCAAAGCTTTGGCGCGCGCCACACCTGCCCTACCTCGCTCGCTGCGTGTGTGAGCCCGAGCTGATCGTGACGAGCCATGACAGTCAAAAGGACTCATATGTCGGCGATGAAGCTCAATCGAAGCGAGGTATCCTCACGCTCAAATACCCTATCGAGCATGGTATCGTCACCAACTGGGACGACATGGAAAAGGTCCGTCGTCTCACTTGGACCCGTCTGCCAGTCAGCTTACACGGACGGACGCGCAGATTTGGCATCATACCTTCTACAACGAACTGCGTGTCGCGCCGGAAGAGCACCCAGTCTTGCTGACAGAAGCGCCGCTCAATCCAAAGGTCAACAGAGAAAAGATGACCCAGATCATGTTTGAGACCTTCAACGCGCCTGCCTTCTACGTCGCCATTCAGGCCGTCCTGTCCCTCTACGCTTCCGGCCGAACGACCGGTATCGTCCTGGACTCTGGCGATGGTGTCACCCACACCGTGCCCATCTATGAAGGTTACTCGCTACCCCACGCTATCCTCCGTCTCGATCTTGCCGGTCGCGATCTTACTGGTCAGTGCCGTGCTCATCGTCCGCCGTGTATTATGCTCATGCACGCCGTCAATGGTCAGACTACCTGATCAAGGTACTCATGGAGCGTGGATACTCTTTCACCACGACTGCAGAACGTGAAATCGTTCGCGACATCAAGGAGAAGCTCTGCTACGTCGCTCTCGATTTCGAGCAGGAGATGCAGACTGCCGCTCAGTCCTCGGCGCTCGAAAAATCCTACGAATTGCCCGACGGTCAGGTCATCACGATTGGTAATGAAAGGTCGGCTGCGCTAGCTCAGAGACACGCACGTTAGCTGACCTATTCTGCTGCACGACAGATTCCGTGCTCCCGAGGCACTCTTCCAGCCTTCGCTGCTCGGTCTCGAATCTCAGGGTATCCACGACACGACCTACAACTCGATCATGAAGTGCGATCTCGATATCAGAAAGGATCTCTACGGCAACATCGTCATGTCCGGCGGTACGACCATGTATGCGGGCATCAGCGATCGTATGCAGAAGGAGATCACCTCGCTTGCACCTTCGAGCATGAAGGTCAAGATTGTGGCACCCCCAGAGCGAAAGTACTCTGTCTGGATCGGTGGATCTATCTTGGCCTCCCTGTCGACTTTCCAACAAATGTGGATCTCGAAGCAAGAGTACGACGAGGGCGGTCCCCAGACGGTTCACCGCAAGTGCTTCTAGACAACTCCATCCCAAAGTCCTCCCCAAATCTCATTCATCGCTACCTCCGGCTCCCTTGGCGGCTGGCGCGAGATGACGGGAGGACGATCAAAGCGCACCTCGATACCTGCCATGCCTTACGAAAAAAAGTCAAGATCATTACAATAGCTCGATGGCCTGTAAGCTCAATGAACATGCTGTCGGGTCTTGTTTCGTGCACGAGCGCCGATTTGATACCATCGTCTGACGTTCTCGCGGATTTGAGGAAATCCATGCACAGACTGAAATTTGCTGCCTGTTGTTGTGCGTCGAGCGAGCGATTTTGACAGATTGAGGCAGCTCACACATGCTCGTCTGTGTACATCACGTGATCATAGGTCAAAGAGACGCGCCTCTGTGGTCTGCAGCGATTCCGGGTCAGCACTCAGTCGCTGACATGGTGGTCGTTCGAGCGGACGCCGTAAGTGGTCCCTCGTGAGATGACAATCTGAACTCACATGGCAGCTCTAGCTCGTGCAGGCGCTGTCGCCAGCCGCGCTTCAACACGAACTGCAACAATTTCGAGAGATCAGCTTGGTCAAGGAGAATGAGCACTCTTGGGAACGCATCGAGAAGGGTCTGCAACGATTCAGCAATGCGCTCAAGAGCAGCGCTTGTGGCTCACTCGCCGAGGAGCTTGTCAAGACCTTTCGCGAAAAGGACATCATCAACTTTATGGTTGCCTCGGCAAGTTTCTCCTTGTGATGTGCCCGTCATAGGCTCACCCTTGTGGGCTCGCAGCTAGCGACGGAACGTACGCGACTGTCTGGCTCGGCGCTTGGCGTCATGACGGCGCTCTGTACGCTCGAGCAAGCCTACTTACCCCTTTTTCGCATCTACGTACCAGAGATCCTCAGACTTCTCGCGCGAGCCAATAAGATCTATATCATCAGAGCCCAAGACAGCATCAATACCATCATCCGTCAGACCCATCTCACTCAGATCCTGCCCTTCATCACAGAACACTTTGACGACAAGAGTGCGACTGTGCGCAAAGGCTGCGCCGACGCCTTTCTTGTCGCTCTGCAGCCAGGCGGCATAGAGCACTCTGCCTGTGGCAGGAAACAGTGGGAAGAGGTTGAATCGGTCATCAAGAGAGGCTCGATTGACAAGGATGTCAAGATCAGAGAAGTCTGTCGAAAGATCTGGGATACTTATCGCTCTATCTGGCCCGCCAGAGCTGAGGAGTGCGTCATGCGAGCGGAGCACAAGAGCCTCATCTGATGCGAGGCGCAGATTCATTGCGCCACTTACGCCGACAATCAGACGCTACCTGAACCTGCAAAGCGGCGGTCTCGCTAGCTCGACTTCCAGCGCCACTGATAAGCTCGGAAAATCCCTACTCTCCTCGCGCACAGGTCCGTTAGCTGTCAGTTCGGCTAACATTCAGCCATTAGCGCCATCCACTCGACCTGAGCCAGCTCGCTCGGCGACTATGCCGACTGCTGCCCGGCGTGCTATGACCCAGTCACATGCACCAGTACGGGCACATACCGCTAGTCAGCCCTTGCGTGCGCCTGCCGCACCTGTCCGTGCACCCACTGCTACCGGACTCTCCTCGAGCGCACATGGCAGTAATCGTCGCGCACAGGGACAAGCTGAACGGGCTCAGACGGCTATTGGACTTACCTCACCAATCCGAACGATGACGACGGCAAGCAGAGCTCAGACTTCGCCGCCATCTAGATCGCGAGACGTCATGCAGGCTGCTATGCGTCAAGCTACCGGCAAAGAGCAACAGGAACGCTCGACGGGCTTCAAACCTACTCGACCCGTCCTCAGAGCAGGTCGAGCACCGTTGCCTGCTTCACAGGTTGCGCCTGCTCAAACAGCCGAGCCCAGTGCGCCTATGACCGCTGGCAGGTCGGTCCGCGTGCTGCCTATCTCTGCCTCTCTCGCTGCCAGCACTTCTGTCGAAGCCGAGTCTGACAAGGCAACAAGCCCAACAGTGGTGCGGAAACCTACTTCGCCTGGTCAGGCGTCTACTGCCGCAAGCTCGCCAGTGATGTCTCGCGGCACGTCCAGAGAACTTTCAGTCGTGCCTTCGCCGCGTCCCCTCGGCAAGCCAGGCCAGCCCGTTCGAGCTGCCACCGCGCCTACGCAGGCCGCTCCTGCAGACAAGGTACCCGCTCGGGCGCGTAGCATCTTTGCGCCGACCGCGTCCAGTCTTGCGAAAGCCGCAGAAGCCAAAGCGAAACGAGCAGCATCCCAACCTACAGGCTTTCAGGCTAACACGAAGCGGGTCATCAGTGCTGGCAGCCAAGCTACTGCGAATCGTCTTGCGGCCGTTCGAGCGGAGAAAGCAGCGTCAAAGAAGCGCGACGAAGAGCTAGCGGAGCAGAGAGAATCGCAGCGCATTGCAGAACAAGAGCGCGTTGCTCTGGCTCGGCAGGAAGAGCAGAGACAACGCAATGCAGATGCAGCGGAGCGGGCAGAAGCACGACGTCGAGAAGAGCAAGAAGCGGCTGCCGAAGCGGCAAAGCTGAAAGAAGAGGAAGAGGAGCAAGAACGAATGCGCGAAGTCGAGGATCGCCTTGCTGCCGAGCAAGCGCGTGAAGACGAAGCTAGCACTACCCAGGCGGAGGCGGAAACGATTTCTCCTGGATTGCCACAAGCGTGCTTCGTTGACCGAGATGAAGAGCTTGTGCAGGATATCGAGCCGACCCTCTCTACTGCTAAAGATGTGTTAATTACCGAGCTGGAGACAGTCGAGCATGAAGACGAGCTTGCTGAGCCTGACACGGAGCCCGCCGAGGCGGAGCCTGACCTTGCCTGTCTCAAGGATGATGCCGATGAGGCAGCTTTTGCCGAGCCTGACGAGCACTCGATCCGAGGCAGCCCGCAAGAATTAACCTTCAATGCCGACAACGATGGTGTTGCTCCGGGGCTTCAAATCGAGCAAGACTTGCCGTCATCGCCCGCTGCCACGAACGATGACGATGTTCAGAACGTCAGCATGACGGTGGGAGCGTCGATGCGTCCGACAGATGTTCCAGAAGTCGATGTGATTGATGGGACAGTGACTGTCGAGCCGGACACAGCTGCTGCTGCTGATGCTGCAGCAGCATTGTTGCAAACAGCCACGCTTCAGGCCGAGGAAAGTCTTGATGAGGAGTTGTCCATCGATTCAGCTATCGACCATGCCGCAACGGGTGCAGTGTCGTCGCCCTCGCCTGCGAATGAGCTGCCGACCCCGACCGAAGTGGATGCTCCTCAGGACGAATCTGCTGATCACGACCTGGACGATTCGCTTATCTCGGCAGAGGATGAAGAGGGCGGAGGAGGCCGACTGTTGGACGAGACAAACGTTCACGGATGTTTCGCAGACGTGCAGGATCTGACAGCGATTGACAATGACGAAGAGGAGGTCAGCATGACGGCAACGTCAGATTCCGTCGCGTACTCGCCCTACTTTCACGGCCTTCGCGCTCGTATCGCTGCCGAATCAGAAGCACAAGCAGGCTTACAATGTGATACGTCTCTCGCACAGTCGCTTCCTTCACGAGGTCTGCCTTCGCCACCCATGACCACCGCTGCGCTGCATCCTGTCAGTACGGTCGTACAACTCGCCACGCCGAGACATAATCATGTTCTGTCGAGCAAGACGCCGATGAGCGAGATGTCCAGAGTTGCAAGAAGCTTCTCCTCGCTCAAAGTAGCTACGCCAATGCCGCTTGACAAGGCTTCGCTGCGCAATCCGTTCACGGATTTGCAGAACCATCAGTTCTGGCCGGATAGTCGCTTCGCAGAGGACGAAGAGTTGTAGAAACACACTGTTTCTCTGATGTTGTACAACAACGTAGAACGGTTCGTGCTGGATAGTCTTCTATCGATAGGGTGCATTGCCTGGCGTCATGCCGCCATTGGGCTGACCTGTGTACCTGCCTGGCGTTCGACCACCAAATGCGGGTGTGCGGCCCCCAACTGTGCATTGGGCACGTTACGTGAGCGCAAGCGGACATGCAGATCTCCCAACGTACAAGCAGGAGTGACGCCTTGGACTGCAGGCGTCCTACGATCATTCTGGAAAATACCTGCACCCGTTTGTTGATTGACGACAAAGCCGGCCTGACCGGGAGTAGAAGCGCCCATCTGGGGCCTGTCGACCGACATCTTCTCGATAGCTTGCGTGATGACGGCCAGCTTTCGGATGAGGACTTCCAGGCCTTCCTGAACGAGCTCAAACGGTGGCAAGGAGTTCACGGTCTCGACGTCAAAGTAGAACCGAGACGGTTGACCTGACCAGTCCACCGCATCCTCCGACGGAGGTTCTCGTTCGTACTTTGCGTTGGGCGTCTTGACCCAGGTGGATTTAGACACTCTGTCTTTTGCATCCTTTTGTTCTGACCAGAGATCGGTATGATGGAGCTTGTTGTGCGGGTCATATTCGAAGCCGACGGTGCTGACGGGGCAGTGTTTTGCATGGTCCAATGCGATTCCCTGTGTCTCAACATCAGCATTGGCCTTGAAGAGGTGACAGAGGTGAGACAGACCCGATGAGCTGTTGCGAGGAGCGTGATTCTCTGTCCCGGGCCCAATTGGGCGATCAGGATGCCGTTGCTGTGCTCAGCTGTTGCGTTTCTTGAGCACATGCATGCATGTTGGGATAGGTAGAGACGTACACATGGGCATGCCGAAGCCACCTCGGTCTTGACCATCTTGACGGGGCAGGACGACGAGGTCTTTGCTCGTGACATCGAGCTTGCCTGCTGATCTGCAAGCGACGTCGAGCTGTAGCATGACGGTGCATTCGTCGCAGCCATCATCGCATCCACACAGCTGTCGGTGTCATATGTCTTCAGTCTCGCTGCGTGCAAAGACTTTAGTCAGGCGGCACTGACATCTCTCTCTTTCTCCAATTTGTGAGCGATGCCTGTACTCTGCAGAGGTATGAGAGCCAGTCGATGAGCGAGGAACTCGTCAGGCAGGACGCTGCTGTTGTGCTTGACGGAGATGTAGCCTATCGCTAGCGTGGGTATCTCGCTCTGGAGCACCCTCCTCAGTCCATTGGCGAGTGACAGGTCGACTCCCTCCCAGGCAAACTTGACCCGGTCGTGTTGGATCTCTTGCACTGCTATGTTCTGCTCGAGCCCGTTCGTCGTCTTGGGTGGATCCAGAGCCAGCTTGCTCGTGAATGCCGTGCTGTAGGCATCCATGCTCGCTCAAGAGCCCCTCGACAGATCGCCCAGCAATTTCAAAGGCGCGTAATAAGTCAGCCAAGCGCGGCCGTCGCATGTCACTCGACCTCACGCTCGCCAAGGATGCCTACGCCCACGCAAAGATTGCATTTGTCTCCGATCATTCAGGCTCGTCAGCATGGACCGTCGCTCTTGTCATCTCAGCCTGTGTAGTGAGCCTGCCCGACCAATTCCATCATCCGACATCCACTGATTCACCTGTTTAGCTTTCGTACGCCCTCACTGCCTTGCTACAAGACCGGCATCACCTACCACACAACAATGGACTTGTAGACTGTGCAGCGCTCGTACTGCCCATGCTACTTAGCGTGACGCTACTCGCGGAATACCTGATGCCACTCAACGCGACGCTGCTCGTGCTCACGCTTCTGCTTGTTGCCACCTCACCATCTACAAAGGAAGCAGAAGCAGATGAGAACCCGGACGGATCCAGGCCGCTACCGGGCCGGACGTTTCTGACCGCCTACAGAGCTCATCTGCTCCTCCTCACCGCCATCTCTATCCTAGCAGTCGACTTTCCCGTCTTTCCTCGCTACTTTGCCAAATGTGAGACGTACGGAACCAGTCTTGTGAGCTCCTCTCGACCCATCATGACTCGAGCTCAACATGACCAGATGGACATTGGCGTCGGATCTTTCGTCTTCTCGCTCGGGCTTGTCTCTGCGCGTCCCCTGTTGCTCAGACCGGGCGACACGCTCTTGCAACGTATGCCCACCGCGATCAAGAGCAGTGCCATCACGCTCTTGCTCGGCCTTGCGCGCGTGCTCGCCGTCAAAGGCACAGACTACCCCGTGCGCAGGACCGTTTCCAGCGATTGAGTCTGCTGAACGTGTTCTTGAGGGACAGGAACATGTTACAGAGTACGGCGTTCATTGGAACTTCTTTATCACGCTCGGTATCTTGCCAGCCGTTGGCGCACTGGCAGCCTCACTGCGCCGCTACATTTCTTTCACAACCCTCGCCACTATATTGCTCATCCGTCAGTCTCGTCTAAATATAGAGGCCGCATAGAATCATCCAAGCAAAGCAGGTCACAATACCTGGCTACGCTCCGGTCTTGCAGAATGGGCTCTTGAAGCAGAGCGAACTGACCTCATCTCAATGAACAAAGAAGGCATCACTTCGCTCTCTGGTTATATCGTCATCTATCTTTTTGCAGCCGACGTGGGCTTCCTCGTTCTGCCGCGATCTGGCAGATCAGGCCGAGAGGAGCTCACTTCGTTAGCTCTGCGACTCGCTCGTGATAGCATGGTTTGGCTGTCGATGTATCTAGTCTCGACGCTCTACAAAGACCTACCAGTGTCGCGACAACTGGTACCTAGAACACACTCGGAGCATCAACAGAGCTCATGCTGCGCCCCTGCGAACAGGCAAATGCAAGCTACGTGCTTTGGATCATGGCGTTCAACACCGTCTCGCTTGTTGCGTACATCCTGATCGACATTGCACGCACGACTGGCACTCGCGTGCCTCGACCGCCCTTACTGATGACCGCGATCAACAAAAGTGGCATGACGACATTCCTCCTGGTCAGTCGCGCACAATCCCGGCCACCTCGTCTTTGCTTACGAATCTGCAGAGTAATGTTCTGACTGGCCTGATCGGCAAGACCTTCCAAACGATCTACATGACAGACGGCCCGGCGCTTGCAATTCTAGGCGCTTACATGCTCACGGTCTCTCTGGTAGCCTGCTGGCTGTATCGACGCGGCGACAGACTTCAATCAATGATATCTGCATAGGTCCGCTGATACAACTCTAAATCCTCGCCGGAGAAAGAGCAAAATGTCACTTTGTCGATCTGCTCGCGCTCGCACATCAGCACACCGAGCCAGGCAGTACTCAGGACACACCTCGGCATCGGAATCGAGGAATGTTCTGACGGTCACCAGCGCCGTGCGACAAGCTTGGTCTTTCGGGTAGCCTGAGAGCGTTTCATCAGATTCGCACAATCTCATGATGGAGCAAACAAACCATAGACGCCGGTGGAGATGTTCGGAAAAGCTACAGATGAGCAGTGCAGCCTCTTGGCCTCTTCGAGCGATCTCGTGTAGCAAGATGCAAGTTGCTGCTCGCACTTGTCATGCTTTGACGAAGTGTACACTGGTCCGACGGTGTGGATGACGTAGCGAGCAAGTAGCTTGTAGCCCTTCGTCGATTTCGCGTCTCCCGTCTCGCATCTCCCCAGCGTCTTACACTCCTCGAGCAACTCTGGCCCACTTGCGCGATGTATAGCCCCATCGACTCCTCCGCCACCTCTGAGGCTACTATTGCTGCGCTTCTGCCTTTGTAAGTCGAGTATACGGCGAATTGATTGAGAACACACGCTGCATTGACGATGGCGTCTACTTCGAGCTTTGTGATATCGCCGGACACGAGCTCGATGCGCTCTGACCGAGGCAGTGACGAGGACAAAGAGGATTTGCTGCGTGTGTTGACCATTTGACTCGATAAAGCTCGCAATGATCTCAACGCGAATGACATCACGGAAAGCTAAAGACGCGTCGAAAGGCAACGAGAAGGGGCTACGCTTTGTATGCATCTAGCAGGTACGCTCTGGCATGATGACCAGTGATATAGCAGATCGTCATGGTCCACAGCCAGCCAAGTTTCCCACCGACCTTACGACCAGTGATTGCTCTGTAGACGTCTTCCGCTGCGATGGCGGCTGCATGCCACAGGAAGAAGGTCGTGAAGCCCAACCGCCAGTCAAAGGGCTTGTACGACGTCGCAAGCTGGAAAGCTATACCTACATGCGTAAGCATCTGCAAGCATTCCTAGAGTGACACATACGGATATCGTGAAGCCAGAGTCCAGAGACGCCCATTGCGGCGAAAACAGCGACGAACCGCTTAAAGCGCTTTGGGCCGGGCGTGGCTTTGGTCGCCGTGAGGTAGACGAACCGCAGAGGCGTTCTGAATTGATCGTGCCAGTGATAAGACCACAGAGAGGCAATACTCGTCGCTCGCCAAGGCGAATTGGGAAACATGGGCGGATAGAGTCGAGCATCAAAAGGCACGATTCGATCGATCGTGTAGCCGAGCAGCGAGAGCAAGAGCATACCCGCATCGCTATAGCACACCTGCTGGACTACAAGCGAGATGACGGCAAGCATTCGGACGAGCGGACCGGTGTATGTACCGTTTGAGAGGTTTTCATAGATGACGTAGATCCAACTTGGACCGTAGAGCTGTCCTGCATCGCTGAACATGGATACTGCTGCAATGACGGTGAACGGCAGGCCGACGATAACTCTGATGACGATAGCATGGACGACACGCGCAACGAACATCGAATCATTGGGTGGCATCGACCTTTGCGAGGCTACGGGCGGACCGAAATTCCATCCGATGCCTCTCTGCGTGCAAAAAAGCTTCATTGTCCACTTTGCTCGCGCCAGCAATCCGCCCTTTACGTCCTCCTTCCCATCACTCTCTTTGATCGCATCGTCCAAGCCTACGTATAGTACAGGACGAGCTGTGTAACCCCAGTCGAGCAGCTTGATGGCCATTGTGAGCAAGAACATGCCAAACGGCAGGGCTAGCAGGCTCGTCGTTCTAGTTGCAGGCCGTACCGGATTTGCGAGATAGTACCAAATCGTTGCAGATGAGCTAATCATAGCCAGACAGCGACGGCATCGTCTGATTATTGGTGTCTGAGCTTGTACCGAATCATACAGGAGCGAAGCTTGCAGAAGCCACAGAGAGAATATGCAGAGTGTTGGTAGTAGCGGTGGCGGCGGTACGCTGTTCAGCTCGCGATACACGAGCGAGAACAGATCACTGAGATCGTCCATGGCTTGCAAGCGATCGGACCAAAGCCAAAGGAGATTCATCGCGGGCAAATTCGCTGTGAACAGATTCAGAAGTGGTCAGGCCTCGCTAGACGGTCTGTGCGTTGCGGTTGGCTGATTGCGACTGTAGATGCGTAGTAGACTCGCTTGCTGACCGTGCGGACCGCCCAGTCGAAGCCCGCGGTAAGGTTCTCAGCTTTGAGAGCACTGCAAGGCTGAATGCGCCAATCGTGGCGTTTTATCGTGTCTAAGTCTAATATCTATTCGCAAGAAATATAGTGAGACGCTATGATTAGCGTACGACGACCGATTCACCTGTGAGATTTCGTTGCATGACAAGGCACCAGACAGATCTTGCTTGTTGGCAAAAATGAGTATACTCGCGCTGCCAAGTCTCTGCAGGCGACGTCAGATCAGACGAATGAGCGCATGCTGATGGCGAACCTCTTCTGCTAGTAGATCGTGTAGCTCGCGCTTGCAGTCTTGGAGACGTCCTCGATCGCTCGAGTCGACCACCCAGCAGATCGCGTCGGTGGCTTCAAAGTAATTGCGCCAGAAAGGTCGCAAGCTCTGCTGACCGCCGACGTCCCCTGTGTATGGATGAGCATGTTGAGCGTTTGTACACGCTAGCAGTATGGCCGGACGTGCAGATGTTCAGAGTGTAGCTGTGCACGAAGCGAGTGAGCGCATGTCACAGTGAAGCTCTTATTGCATACCCTGAGTAGACGATCGTCTTGATGATGAAGCCAACAGTTGGCGAGATGGATGCCAGGTCTTCCTTGCAGAGTGACTTGACTACCGTCGTCTTGCCTGCATTATCCAGTCCTCTGCATATCGGTCTGCATGAGACTTGTCTTGGCTAGGCGCACACGTTGCGCACAAGATGAGGAGGCGCATCTGTCGCTCTTTGATGCGCTGCTTGCGGATGATGGTGAGGAGCCCAGGCATGTTGACGGGAGCATCGCTCTGAGCGCTGCCGAGAACCGGTTCGTCGCGCGATCGGGTTGGTGCATCGGCGCATCGATGACGATGACGACTACAGCTCGGCCAAGCCTAGGACCCTCTCAGTCTCGGTGACCTCCACTCCTGGGACTCAGTCCATCATCAAGGCACTTGTGAATCCAGACAGTCAATCCGAGATGCAGTGCGTAGGGCCCGCCGGCGCCCATCTCTCCAAACGATGCTTTGAACTCGTCTGCTTGCGAAACACATGGGCTTGTACGACAATGCAAGCTATGACCGGACAGAACGCAGCTGGCTGTATGATGTACCAAGTCCGTCCGATGCAACTACATGAACTGGCAGGCGCAGGCCACGACACCCTTCAATTTGCCAGTAGCGCACAAAGCGTTGAAGCCATGGCTTGAGGAACGAGCTTCATCAGCACTCGTACGCATGAATGGCGTCCACTGTTCAGTTGTTGCATGACGCTACATGATCCGGCCTGCTAACACATAACAACTGCCCACGCTCATTGTGCAAGGCAAGTCGACTGCTTTTTGATCAGCTTAGCTAGCCAGCGACATCGATGCCTACGCACAGTCTGTATGCAATAGATCCTTGCAGATCTTGCCGCGAGCGCGTCGACATCGCAAAGTCGCTGTATGTTCGACTAATAGCCATGACGCTGTAGGTGGCTCAGCGGGAGTGGTTCAAGGATGAGACCCAGCTCGCCTTCCAGTATGGTCAACACAAACCGGAGTGTGTAGAAAGCCTCGCAGCATCGCGATATGGGATCGTCTGCTGAGGGAATGAGCTTACGCTCGGGCGGGACGCAGGCAAATCGGAGTACCGCTCGAGCCATCGGCTCGCCGCATCTCGAATCTCTCCAGGACTTCATAGCCAAAGTAGTCTGTCGTCTGCTTTTCGATCTGAGAACAATCGTATATGCGGTTCAGAGGTGCCTTGTCGTCAAGCGGATCCTGCGTATACTGCATTCGGCAGCACTCAGCAAATGAATGGCCATCCAATAGCGCCACGAACGCATAAGACTGCCAGCCAGCCATTTCGCACGTCGACCAAGATCCGATTCTTGACGAGTACAGTCACAAAGCGAGCGGCGAAGATAGGAATGCTCTGGACTTGATCTTTGCAAGTCACTTCACAAGGCGTCAGTCTGAATGTATACGTTCGAGCAAGTACCGGTTTCGGGCCAGCATGGGTCCCCACAATGTATGCTGAGAGTATCAGAGAGAGCAGGCGTCGCATCGTCAGTCGCTGCGTTCACAAACAGCGCCAAAGAAATGCCATGAAGGGTAGCAAGCGTGAGCGAGACGCGTCGCAGCGTTTTCCCTCTGATCCATGTATCCATCTTTGCAGCTCAGCAACCCAGCTTCCGCGATAACGAGCCACAAGGCCTCCGCTGATGTCGCACTGACAAGCGTGAGACCTGACTGTCCCAAGTCCACGAAGACGAAGCATTCCAGGAGCTGACCATCGCTGCATGACTATACAGACGAGGCGTCGTGCCACGGACAATGCTGACCCCTCGACAGGATGCGCTCGACCTGGCAGGAGGGCGGTCCGCCTTCTGTGTATTGTACCGCACAGGTGACCCAGGGTGGACGGTCTCCGAGGACCTGACGGCATGTCTTGCCGTGATAGTCTTCTATCACGTGATCGATAGGCCAACAAGGGAGACGGTAGCCCTCGCCTGTCAACTCGAAACCGTCTACTGCGCTATGAGCTCAATATATGAGCAGAAAACAGACGGACGGACCGCCCAGCATGTCGACTTGGACAACGAAGCCCCAAAAAGGAGTACAGCATGCATCGAGCACAGCAATGATTTCCTCTGTTGGAGCAGTCAGCACAAAGTGGCTAACGGACCGTCTGGTAGACTTGCTGCTGCCTTCTATGATCGGCACAAGCAGTGTCTCTTCGTCGCCCATGATGGCGCGCTGTCCTCTGACCTGAATCTGAACCTCATCAGGAGAGATGAAAACAGGCTGGGCATTGCACCTGAATGCCACTTCCGAGCCGTGTACCGTCTTTCGAAGCACGTGAGCACAATAAGGCCAGGGAAAATGGTGGAAAGTCTCACATCGCAGCGAAAGGCAGGGTTACGTTCGGGATCCCAGGATAATGTGACCCTTTCTGCTGGAGCGTCCGCGACCATCTCAAAGGGCATGCGATCGATGTAGCCTTGACAGTTGACCCGGCAGTGAGAGAGCTCCAGGCAGGCAGGTGGGATCGACATTGGAGCGATCACTGCTCTCAGAAGTCGGAGTGCAATGACAGCGCCGACGATCCTGGTGAAGCAGATCATTGCGATGTCCGCCGACGAAGAAGACTGTCACAGTGCCAGGAAATTGGCTGACGAATAGAGAAAGGAGGGCATGTATGAAGGCCTGCCTGGGCTTGTTTTGGCTGGTCAGACATTTGTTCCTGGGTACCGTTGCGCGTGTCGTCGCGTTCGCCCCTCGTCATTCTCATCGTCTCATGCTCGACGTTGCTCAACAGCCATCCCTTCTCGCAGTCAGTCTCACTCGTCCAACTGCTATTCTACACCAAAAGTATCATCGCCAGTGTGCATGCCTCCCGAGCAGACCAAAATCGGCAAACCCGCTCGCTATGTTTGGGCTACCTCGGTCTCAAGGTTGCGCCATACCCAGCAGTCCATCTCAATCCGATCGGTTGTCTGTTCGATCGAGACCTTTTCTGCTCTGTAACGAAGATCTCCCAGTCTGCATCTCGCTGGCCACTGCATCTATCGCAATATATTCAGCTGGCTCGTTCTCCTCAATCTTGCCTTGCCTCATCGGAGCGATCGTACCACAATAGCAGCCTCGCTTCCATATGAGCCGCTGCATGGCCATGTGTACAGGATACACCCTGGGCTTATCATACCAGCTACAAGCTTGGGCCGACGCTGACCTGCAAAAGCTGACCCATTGGCTTGACGGGGGCGATCCAGAATTACAGGTCGATGTGAGCCCAACGTCGCAGCTTTCCTGCCTTATCGCATTTGCCGCAAAATCCCGAAGATGCAAGTAGCCCTCATATCGAAAAATCCACCAATCAGCGTATGCGCACAACGGCGTCTCAGAAATCGTGGGACGTTCGAGGCGCTTTCGCTCTATCGAGCAGGTCTTGCAGTCTCGCCGAATTCTTGGCTTATAGAATCAGACGGTTCCTCCTAAACCCGTCGATGTACAGCATTAATACGGCTATACAAGGCGTGCTCTCGACTTGCTGCAAGCCTATGCTGCGCTTCGAATGCCATCTCGTCTATCCGGACCCTCAGAATCGTACGTCGGTATGCTGACCTCCACGCAGGAGCGGGTGGCTGACTGCACGTACAGGAAGTCTTCTCGTTACAAAGAAAGAGCTGTTGCTGACATGCAAGTACGACCCCGCCAAAGTGGTTCCCTACGACGTGCCGATCCATGGCGGCAACGCTTGTGATTCTCATTGGGACCACTGGAGTGAGATTTTCCGCCAGCGTACGATCCTGCCGAGCTTATGTCGTGAAAAGCCGACACTAGCATGCTCGGTCGACTGGTAGCAAGGGCCTGATGTTGCTAGCGCATGCTATACAGCCGCAAAGTCAATGCATTTTCATACAACTCGCCTTGTACAAAGAGGCACTGTCTCGACGAGATAGGTTCGCTGCGAATTGCGCAGAGCGCAAGATCGCTCGAGTTTCAAGGCTGCGTCCCAAGGTTTACGCGTGTTCACGCGACCTGTGACGCAATAGACCTCCTCTGCACTTACAGATTCTCTTCAGCAAGTCATGCTGCACACCCATCGCCTCACCGTCCTCACTCTCGGCATGCTCTCATTCTTCCCAGTGACCAGCAGAAGCAATTTCGCGAACACGTACAACTTCAACTTGAATGAATGCTCAGCCGTCTGCCACGATCGAGCAGATGGACATTTGCTCTTCGCGGCCATCTACCAAAGTGATCCGGTCGAGGTCTCCATGGACTTACATTCGGCACCGCCAAATACGAGCGTCAATTGCGTGCGGCCCGCTTCGCACGCCCCGATAGTGTCTTTACTGACTCATCTGCGGCTGACAGTACTTGGAAGGCGCAGATGAGGCACTTGCCGTGCGAGAGCCTCATGACTGCACCAGTGAGCTCGTCATCGGTTCGGCGACGCAAGCTGTCTATGACGTCGAGCTCAGCTTGGCAATGTCTCGACAGGGCGGCTGGAAAAGTCAGCTCGCCTAAGCCGATTAGCTTCTCCACGTCGCTGATTCATGACAGGTGATCCAACGGCGCTATGCTGTACGACGAGCTACGTTCTCGCCTTTCGGGTTGGCATTGGTATGCGTGCGCCATGCATTGATCCAGCTATGCAGCACGACTGAGAAGGGCCTCTCAGATTTATCGAGCTTGAAGAGCCAAGCCATCCGCATGCGCTGCAACCCAGAAGCGCATCCGCTGTGCAATCTGCTCATCTTCGAAGAGTGTGCGTATCCTTACAATCTCTAACGTTTCGACGACAATGATGGACACGCCAGCAGTCGAGATTGGCTGCGAAAGCTTGGGCGAGACATGCGAGGTACACAAAGGCCTGCAAAAGCAATATGATCTTGCCGAGGCCCATCGATGACAATTCAATCAAGGACTGACTCAGCGTCAGGTGAAGACACTGAGCGAGTGAGACAACATGGCGCCCACAAATGGATCTGCCTGATCGGCACGAGTCACAGTGAGCTTGCATAAGGGCAAATCGCCGGAACGCGTCTTTGCATGTTGTGCACATGCATTGACTTTGGTAGCAAACCGATGTGTACCATCGCAAGTCAGCAAATCTTCGTCAACTGATAGATCAGGTTGCCAGACAGCGAGCCATATTGAGAGTCGGTTTGATGATGCACATGTTGGTCACGATGATACAATCGCCGATGATCTGATTCCTGGCAGGATACAGTGCGCCACAGGACGCACCGCCATGGATGGGCACATCACGTCCGACCATCTTGCCGGGTTCGTAGTTGCACGTCAGAAGCATCCGCTTGTCGGTAACAGTCAAGCCGCCTATCGGCCGCATCAGCCGCGAGCAAGAGATACTTGGAGACATTCGTACGGGATGCAGGATCAGGATAGGTAAGGTGAGCGTCAAAGTAAAGCATCGGCCTGCAGCAAGCAGCCAGGACGCCTTGAATGGCAGGATTTGCGCCAACAATAGAAGGATCGTATTCAGGACCTGCAGGTGATTGTCAAAAAATGCTGGAGAGTACGACGTGATGTCTGACTGGGAATAGGAAACCCGCCGTGAATGTTCCATGAGACTTCTGGGGCCGTACCCGGCCTACGCTCGTACTGAAAGTTGACGACTGGGCTTTTCATATTGGCCGGCTAGCAACATCGCCACGATCAGATTGTAGATCCGGAGAGGGCAAGAAGGGCGGTCTCACATCTGACTGCAGTTCAGGCTGTTCACCGTCAAGCCAGTAAGTCAATCTTTGCAAGTTGAGCTCTGCCGAGGATCTGATGTGATAGGGAAATCCTAAGGAGTAGCCCGAGCAGAGAGTCAGACATCGGCCCATCTGGTAGCAGCTGTTCCAGTGATTTCTTGCAGCATGACCGAAGCAGATAGACGTGAGCAGTACGATCCAGCTGAGCATCTTAATCAGGCCGCATGAAAGAAATCTTGCTTGACTAGGTCGCGAGCGGTGGTGTAGCACAGAGCGTCCGATCGCACGAGATGTAACGCGAAGCATCCGCGTGCTATGCGCCGGCCGATGACTCGAGGTGGAGGGCTGGCAGCATGCATCGAGTTGGGGCGTTCGTGCGATCGGCGAGCTGCTTGCCGCTCTGCCGATACCGGAGTCTATCAACTGAGCGAAGCGTCTTTTGAGACAGCAGCAGGATCATCTCGACGGAGGCAGACACTTGGCATGAGGTAGCTCCGCTCAGTAGGAGCGAGGCTGTGGCAGGTCTAAGAAGGGGATTGGCAGGAGATGAACCGGGTCAGCGCGTGACTACGACGAGTATTGCAAACAGACGTGGCACACAATTAGCGATCACGAGCATCAGTAGTCATCAAAAAGTTGATTGGGCATGACTGTAGCAATGCATGCAGACAAAGCATTTCAGAGGTGCGCACAAAGTGATACACAAGATGGATGCAACACGACTAGCCGACCAACAATGCAAGGCTTATGAACGCTCTCCGCGGAGACGGCGGGCGAGCGAGATGTCCTTGGGCTGGATGGTGACTCGCTTGGCGTGGATGGCTGCCAGATTAGTGTCTTCAAACAGCGAGACGAGGTAAGCCTCGGATGACTCTTGCAGCGCCAGAACGGCAGATGACTGGAATCTCAGATCGGTCTTGAAGTCCTGAGCAATCTCTCGGACGAGACGTTGGAAGCTGTAGCATCGTCTCGTCAGCACGGGCATGCCGTAGCAAGCTAGAGCAACGTACGGCAATTTGCGGATCAGGAGCTCAGTCGACTTCTGGTAGCGACGGATCTCACGAAGAGCGACAGTACCAGGGCGGTATCGGTGAGGCTTCTTGACACCACCGGTAGAGGGTGCAGACTTGCGGGCGGCCTTGGCAGCGAGCTGCTTGCGAGGGGCCTTGCCACCGGTAGACTTGCGAGCGGTTTGCTTAGTACGTGCCATCTTTGATTATTGATGTCGGATATTGACTTGTCGGATAAAAGCTTGGTGAAGAAGGGAGGGGACAGGGCCTAGCTCTTATAAGCGCTAGCCCTTGACAACCATTTGTTTGTTGTTTTCGAGTCATGTGATGCATTTCCAGAAAATATTCATTTCTCTCACGGAAATTCGAGCATTAAATCTGAATATCCGGTAGTCCTAAGGGGCTCACAAACAAACAATCGCGCCCTTGAGAGAATCTCATATAAGCAACTCGTCCCTTCTGACTGATCCACAAGCGCTTTCAGTTTTCTTGCGACTTTACGTTACTTCACCAAGCAAACAAAGATGTCTGGACGAGGAAAGGGTGGCAAGGGTCTCGGCAAGGGNGGTGCCAAGCGACACCGCAAGATCTTGCGTGACAACATCCAGGGTATCACCAAGCCTGCAATCCGACGTCTCGCCCGTCGTGGCGGCGTCAAGCGAATCTCGGGTCTGATCTACGAAGAGACCCGAGGAGTGCTCAAGATCTTCCTCGAATCTGTCGTCAGAGGTGACCACCAATGCGTTTCGATTTCGAGATGAATGCTGACGTCCGCTCGACAGACTCTGTGACATTCTGTGAGCACAGCAAGCGCAAGACGGTCACATCGCTCGATGTTGTCTACGCGCTCAAGCGACAAGGCCGAACACTCTACGGGTATGCATCCCTCGCTACCTCTGCGACAGGCAGACGCTGACCTGCTTTGATCTCCTTTCAGATTTGGCGTTTAGAGTGGTTTCTGTTCAGACGGCTATGTAATACTGCATCCACATGTTGACAAGCTCTTTCCTCACGTCGCGCTATCCGCGGTCTGATCTTCTGTGCGCATGAGTCCGTTCCCTCGCTAGCCTGCGCCTTGTACTGCCAAACTTACCGCCACTTCGTACGCGCGCTCATAAGACTCACATGGACCTTAGAGCTACCATGCTCATGCAATAAGCCTGCGAGCAACGCTAGCTTCGCGAGAGCTACAGGAGCCATTCGTCGAGCCACTTGTAGACTTCGTTGTGCCAATGCAGCGAATTGGCAGGCTGCTCGACAAAGTGGCCCTCGGTCGGATAGTAAATGAATCGTGATGGTATGCCTGCATTCCTGCATCAATAGCATTCGAAGCAGGACGTGATCTGGCTTACCCAATCTTTGGAGTGTATTGAACGTCGAGAGTCCCTCGGCAATTGGCAGTCGGTAGTCTTTCGCGCCTGGCATGATCGAATATCAGTCGAGCATTCGCTATTTCTTGCTGGCTCACCGTGAATGACAAGCATTGGTGTGCTCCATTGATCGATAAAGTTGTGCGGCGACCAGCGCTCATAGTTCTCCCGAGCTGACCAGATGGTGCCATCGAATTCGCGCTCTGGGAAGAATTGTTCATCGCTCGCTATCGAATTGACGATATTGAAGAGGCAGCAATGATTGACGAGCGTCTTGAAAGTGAAGCTCGACGTCGGATGACCTTCGAGCCAATTCATGAAGTACGCGCCATAGCTAGCGCCCGCCGCTCCGATGCGCTCCCGATCGATCTCTGGGTAGGCATCTAGACAGTGTTCTACGCCTGCGATCGTATCCTTGTAAGGCGTGCCGCCCCAATTGTTACCGATCGCGTCTGTCAGTTCCTGACCGTATCCGGTCGATCCTGTGATATTCATGAGAAGGGTGATGTAGCCTCTGCTCGCGCTAACGGCTGCATTCCAACGAAAGTGGAACGAGTCTGACCAGGCACCCTGAGGGCCGCCGTGCCTGTTGACAGTTAGTCAGCCAATGCGTCGGCCAATCTGTCACAAGGCTTACACCCAGACACAGAGCGGGTACTTCTTATCAGCCGACTTTGACTTGACTCCTGGCGGTCGAACGATAAAGCCATGAATTGTCTTGTCATTGCCACCCTTGAACTCAAAGTCTTCGGCTGGTTCCAGACCTAGCTTGGAGAGATCGTTGAGCTGCGTGAGTCGAGTGAGAGTCGGTTTCGCAGCCATACTGCTTGCCTCGAGCAGATAGGCCTCGTTTGGCGCATTCAACGAGCTGATCGTGAGCAGCAGACGGTGATCCTTGCCGGGCAGGACCTCGAAAGATTCTACCGTCGCTTCGGATGTCAGCGGCACGGGATGCTCGTTCGCTGAGTCAAGAGCGAGATAGAAGATCTTCGTGCGGCCATAGTCTTCGACGAGCAGATACAATCCCTTGCCATCGTTTGACCATTTGAGGGCATGCGGACTGCGGTCCCATTCACTCATCGCAAGTATCTTCTTCTCTCGAGTCTCCAGATCGATGATAATAATCCGCCGGTAATCTGCCTCGTAGCCATCCTTGTCCATCTGGAGCCAGGCAGCCTTGCCGCTCGTCTGGGTAGCCGAAGGAGCAAAGACAGGCGAGCTAGTGGCGCCATGCTCGCCCGTCGTCAGAGGTAAAGGCTTCTTTTCGTCTTTGTTGCGAGCGTATACAGGTACTGCGTATACATCTGTGCGGGTGTGCCATGCTACGGGCAACTCGGGTGTCTTTGCCATACAGATCAAGCTGGTGCCATCGCTCGAGAGCTGAAAGTCCTGCGCACCTCCGCCAATGGAGGGCGAATTGACCTTGCTGTGCGCGATAGGTGACATGAAACCCGCTTTCAGATCGAGTTGCAGTGTGCCCGCCTGATCGCTCGCTATCTTGCAGATAAAGACCTTGTTGACCTTGCCGTCTGACCAGGCGTTCCAATGTCGTACGTAGAGATCATCGTAAACTTTGGCATCCGACCCTCTTGCGGTATCCTCACGTTGCTTGTCTATCTTGGCCACGGCTTCTAGCGCGGGATCGCTCGCATAGACTTCTGCAGAGAAGGAGAGCAGCTCGCGAGCCGGATTGAAGCTCATATTGGCGGGCTCGACGCCTTTGGGGAACTGTCCGACGCGTTGTTTCGTCCCGTCTTTGACGTGGACGGACCAAAGCTCGACACCACTAGACTCGGCTCGGGCTTCCAACAGCTTGCTTGCTTCTTTGTCTGACTTGTCAATCGGACAATCGACTTCATCTGCTTTAGCTCCACCGGGTCGCAGATAGAGCAACACATCATCTGACGCCCACACAAGTCCTGATAGCTTGAGTCCGTCGAGTACCGTATCAGTCTTCGAAAGGGAGGAGCCTATATCGCCAACGATGACACTCTCCTGAGTGCGCTGTTTCTCAATGTCGTATTGCGAAACAGACATGGCAAAGCGCGATCCAGACGGGGAAGGGATGGCATTGCCAGGCTTCTTCATCGAGATGAATGCTTCGATCGTGAGGCCTGCCATGATGTCGCTTGTTAATGATGGATGGTAACGTATCCGGAGAGCGCTGAGCAGCATGCGAATGTTGTACCATCATCGTATTTCATCTGATTACAATCAAATTGTCACGTACGTACTACGTACTGCCGCGCCGTTAGCACCGAGCTCTCTCGCGCTCGCGGCTCGGCTGCAATGAGCTCGTTGGCTCATGTCAGAAGTCGTAAAGCACGCATCATCTGCATTGCCATCGTCGCTGTCAGCCTGGGTGCTTTGGCGCTTTACGCATCTGCGGTCGAGTACGACGTACGTGCCTTGTCAGACTTTCATCAGTCGTGGACAGGCGTTCGCGCGCCAGACCGGCCTCCGCGGCCCGATCTAGACGAGCTCGATGCAGTCCAGTACGAGAAGATCACAAGCGCGCTCGAAACGTCCCAGGAATGGGCAAAACCTCGGCCGTTGTCACGGCAAGCTATCCGTCAGATGGTCGGGCCAGGTGCCAAATTCGTCATCAAAGACTATCCGCTTCAGGTGGGATGGAACAACATACGCTATCACATCGAGACCGTCTTGGGCCTGGCAATGCTGCTCAATCGCACTGCAATCATCCCAGAAGCGATCTGGATTCAGACTTGCATCGCTGATGAGGAGACCTGTAGCACGCTAGCGGCACAGCATCATGAACACCGAAAGGGACTACCATGGGGTGGTTGGAATAAGGACGGAACCATCTGGCGCGTCGGTATCCGACATTTCCTTGACCTTGACCGATTGCGAGCGCACCAACCCGTTATCACCGCGCTCGAGTATTACGATCTCATCGGCTTCGGCGTGAAAACGCTGCCTCCGAGTGGTCTACTCGATACAGATCGTTTCAGGCCTGCCAACGCAACACGCAACCGCAGACGGCCAACGCTGAGGGAGATCAAAGGCCCGGAATTTGAGCATCGACCAAGAGTACGCGTCGATCGCATATTGGCCAAATTGAACCATGAAGACGTCGACGGGCTCTACCCTGCTCTGACCGCACTCAATGTCTCCCGCATGCTGTCTGGCGTCAACACTTTGAAGCTAGACGACATGATTCGCGAATACGACTTGCATGACACCATGTACTACAACGAGACGGCTCAGATCAACAGGACCTCGACATATCGTGTCAATATCACGGAGGAGGAAGCCCTCGAGATCTCTGGCGAATCTTCGCTCGCGAAAAATGCGACAAGATTAATCAACGAGACAGAGCTCATCGAAGTCGTCTTCAACAGGACAGAACGCATGCCTGCCAATGTCACCCGTCTCGGCTACGTACTAGAGGACTTAGGATATACGTCACTTTTCACGCATAACCAGTCGTACGTTCCTTCGTATCGCACTAGAAGACGCTGATCCAGGCGACAGGCTCGTAATGTGCAAAGCTGTCACAGAAGAGCTCATCGAGATTGCCCCCAGCGATCAGCTTGACGACTTTGTGGAGGACTTTGGCAGCGCGTCAGAAGATTTGCTCTACTTCTCAGGCGACATACACGACCAGCGAAAGCCCTCTGGCATGCGGTTCAGCACAGAGGCGGCCCGAGCTGCCTACATGGCCATCGTCCTCAAGGCCGTACGACCGACACGAACAGTCTTGCAAGTCGCAGACAATATCGCCGACGCAATGCGTGATCGACTGCAAGGTAGAGTCTACCTTTCTGCCCACATGCGCAGAGGCGATTTTGTGCAGATCGCCTGGGCGCAGAGGCAATCTTATCAAGATCATCTCGCCCTCGTCCTCGACAATCTCGCTGTAGCGAGAGCCGATCTCACTTTACGATTCCATCCAGACGATCAGCCTGGTCCAAATGACCCCTTTTACCTCGCAACAGACGAGCGCGATCCGGAAGCGCTAGACTATTTCCGACGCAACGGCGCTATACTGCAATCAGACCTCATTACATCGCATGATAGAGCAATACTCGGTCCCTCGCAGCACTTTGGTGATCTCGTAGCCCTCGTCGATCAGCAAGTGCTCGCGAGGAGTGCCTTTTTCTTCGGCTCACGTATGAGCTCCTTGTCCGGAGGTGCCGTCAACGCTCGCATCACTCGGAACGCCGAGCCATGGTCGTGGCGCCTCGTATGACGAGATGTACATCTCTCCTCGCATAAGTGCGCTCAAGACTGTTGTTGTGACTTGTTATACCTTTACGCGAAGATTGCACTAGACATGCATCTACTGACATGACTAGGTGCTCAGCACAGATTTCGATATGAGTGGAGCGTCTAGGGATACAAGCTGCCTTGTCGGGGTAGGCCACGTCGATGCGAGGGGAGTAGAAGTAGTACAGGCTTGCTTTGATTCAACATAAGGGTGGTTCGGGCTCGCATCCCGCAGAAGCAAGAGCAAGCTCGTCCAGTTTTCTAGTTCTTCTTCTCGCCTCCCTCGCTGGACGACGAGTCTGTTGGGTTGGCAGTCGACTCGCTCGAGCTGGAGCCCTCTTTGGCAGCCTGATCTTGCGATCGCTTCTCATAAACCTGCCGGACGACCACGGAGTCAGTCTCCGAGGAAGTGAGATCATGATGAGCTGACCTTTGCGAATAGACCCAAGCTGGCTTGCTGAGTCACGCCAATCTTGTTCTTGATATCTTCTGACTTGATCGAAGGATCCGCAGACTGTCCCTTGACAGCAAGTTCGCGGAGCTCCTTGATATGTTCCTCGAGCTTGGTCTTCTCCTCTGCCGGCAGCTGATCCTTGAACTCGCTCATCGCCTTTTCTGTGTCTGCGCAGACGGAATCGGCCTGATTGGACGCCTCGATGACGTTCTTGCGCTCCTTGTCCGTCTCTGCGTATTGCTCTGCATCCGAGACCATCTTCTCGATCTCCTTGTCGCTCAGGCCGGAAGTACCGGCGATGACGATAGACTGTTCCTTGCCAGTCGCCTTGTCGCGGGAGCTGACATTGACGATACCGTCTGCGTCAATATCAAAGGTGACCTCGATCTGTGGGATACCCTTTGGCGCGGGTGGAATGCCCTGTAGGGAGAAGTTGCCCAGCAGCTTGTTGTCGCGGACGAGCTGACGTTCACCCTGAAAGACCTTGATCTCGACAGCAGTCTGGCCATCTGCGGCAGTCGAAAAGACTTGAGACTTCTTTGTAGGCACGGTCGTGTTACGTGTGATGAGCGCGGTGAAGACACCACCCAGTGTCTCGATACCTAGCGAGAGTGGCGTGACATCGAGCAAAAGCACATCGGTGACTGATCCTGCCAGGACACCGCCCTGAATTGCAGCACCTATCGCTACTGCCTCGTCTGGGTTGACGCCCTTTGACGGCTCACGTCCAAAGACGGATTTCACAGTCTCGACGACGCGGGGCATACGGGTCATACCACCCACGAGAATGACATCCTCAATCTCTGACGCCTTGACGCCAGCATCGGAGAGCGCCTTCTTGCAGGGATCGACAGTCTTCGAGATCAAACCAGAAGTGAGCTGCTCGAGCTTGCTTCGCGAGAGCTGCATGTTGATGTGCTTGGGTCCAGAAGCGTCGGCAGTGATGAAGGGCAGGTTGATGTCTGTCGAAGCAGTCGAGGAAAGCTCAATCTTTGCCTTCTCTGCTGCCTCGCGGATACGCTGAATGGCCATCCTATCCTTTGAGATGTCCATCCCGCTCTCCTTCTGGAACTCCTTGACGACGTACTCGACAAGAGTGATGTCGAAGTCCTCGCCACCGAGATGGGTATCACCATTGGTCGATTTGACCTCGAAGACACCCTTTGACATCTCGAGGACGGAGACATCGAATGTACCACCGCCGAGATCGTAGACTGCGATGACGCGAGAGTCAACGCGATCGACACCGTAGGCGAGCGCAGCAGCGGTGGGCTCGTTGATGACTCGACGGACATCGAGGCCGGCAATGGTACCAGCATCCTTGGTAGCCTGTCGCTGGGCGTCATTGAAGTAGGCAGGCACGGTGATGACCGCGTGCTTGACAGGTCGGCTGAGGTAGCCCTCGGCGGTTTCTTTGAGCTTTTGAACGATAGCAGCGCCGACTTGTGAAGGAGACATGCTTTGCCCCCTCGCCTCGAGCCAGGCGTCGCCGTTGGCATGCTTGACGATCTTGTAGGGTACGTTCTTGATGTCATTCTGAGTCTCGGGATCAGAGAACTTTCGTCCGATCAGTCGCTTTGTCGCAAATCTGACCGTCATCAGTGTCAGCTTGTCCTTGCAGGGCTGATGAGATCAGCTTACAATGTGTTGTCTGCATTGACGACGGCTTGTCGCTTAGCAGGCAGACCGACCAATCGTTGGCCATCCTTTGTGAAAGCTACCACGGACGGCGTCGTGCGACCTCCTTCGGCATTCTCTATCACCTTGGCGGTCTTGCCTTCCATCAGGCTGTTCCCAAGTTTCCTACGTCAGCTAAGGAGAGCAGACGAAGCAGCGCATGCGTACGCCAAGCAAGAGTTCGTCGTGCCTGTCACATTTCGGTGATCAGTCAGATGGACGACTCGCATGCTCTCGAGATCGCTGCTCACCGAGATCGATGCCGATCACAGGCCCGGACACCTTGCCTTCTGACGATTGCCATCGTACTGCGCCGACTCTCGGTAGTTGCGAGGCCAGGCTCTGCAAGCAAGAGCGAAACGGTACTCGTCAGCCTCTGATCTGCCATCTTGTCCAGCTGAGCCGGACTCCCAGTCGGACTCACCCTGTTGGCGCCATGGCTCAATCTGCTCGATCTGAGCATCTTCGTCGATGCTGTCAGCATGGTGTACTAGCTGCAATGATGGTCGCCTGCTCAATTCATCATGGCAAAATTTTGGATCTTGCGTCTCATGTGGCGGCCGAAAGGAAGCTTCGCGCGTACGTACGACGCAATATCAGGGCGCGCCGACAGACATGCATGCAAATGACCGATCACAGCTCTGCAAACCCTCTATCGTGTCGTACCTTGGTGATATCGCGTGTGGGATCGAGTTTGAGTGGTTCCCAGATAGGCTCGACATCCGGACCGTCCAGATCACCGTAGCCTTCCCAGCCCCTGCAATACAGTCATCAGCTCTGCCACTCCCAAGCCCAGCGTAGGATGAGCTGACCAGCAAAAGACTGCAACACGTAGATTGTAAGCCCACATTGGAATGTAGCAGAAGAGGACGTACCATAAGGAGGCGGCTGTATGAAATCGATGGGCTCACTCTCCTCGGCTCGGAAGAGTCGATCATGAGGACCGTACCAAGATCGGTCCTGCGGATCGGCTGCTGGATCATCTGGCGTGCCTCCTAATCTCGTATAGCCTCTGATGACGGTCAGGTTCCTCCTAGCAGGATGAGTCAGATCAAAGACTTGCTGCACGTCGAGGCGTCGTTAGCACGTGCTCGGGTGTTGAGGGGCTTTGACGTACTTTGTCATAGGCGAGCTTGACGCGGGAGACCATCATGATGCGACCGTAGCCTGCTGCCATGTAATCGTTACAGATGAGAGAACACTCAGAGGCAGAGCATTCGCCCTTTGCCAAGTTGGCCATCCTGAATTTAACGGCCGGGTGCATGTACAGTGGCGCAGGATCGAGAACGGCGATACCGTTCCAGCAAGATTGTACCTGTGTGGTGCGTCAGCGTGAGGGAAGAGACACATGAACGAGTAAAGACCTGTATGGGCAGGTGCCGCTGGAACCGCCAGTTCGATTCTGGTGCTTTGAAGACCATCTCAAACGGCGCATTCTCGAGCGCTGTCCCGTTCGTATCTCTTGCGACCCAGTTGTCGTAGAAGACAGGTGATCCCTTGTAAGACACGCATGTGAGCTTTGCCAGTCCTGCGTGTTGACATGCACGCACCAGATCATCGTGGAAGATGTAGTCAGCGCCACAGGTGATGCCCGCGTTCTGCCGTCTCGATTGCCAAACGAGTTCCATGAGATCGTCAAGACAAGGCAAGACATCGTTCATGAAGATGACAGAGTCAAACACCTGATCGTACGATCAGTTTGTCTCTCTGCTCATTGTGCGCATCGACGTACTTCGCCTTCTGCTTCGCGCAACTCTGCAAGAGGTGCAAGGGCAGCATTACGAACTTCTGCAAGGTACTCGATACGGTGGTTGAAAGCGCCTCTCGTTCTCAAGCTCGTCCTGATGACGACGCGAAGTCCGACACTTCTCGCGACCGCATCGAACAACCGCAGCAGTGCCTTCGTTTGATCTTTCGAACCATTCTCATAGACCGAGATGAAGACGTTATGGTAGCCCAAAATTGCTGATATCTTGAGCATCGTCGAGAACAGATCGGGTATGATATCGAACGAGTTGTAGAGATTGATAGCGAAGAAATACTTGTGGCCATCTCTGGTCATATCCGAAGCCTGAGCGCTCGCACCGCCATCGAGTGTGAGGTCTGATAATCTGCTACTTCTCGGTGCAGCGCGTCGAGGGGATCGGAAGATCCTCTTGATCTCTTCGTCATTGCGATTCTTCGTCCAGCCACCGCTGAAGAGTGACCCCAAGCGTCCCTTGATGCCTCCCCTGCCGCTCCCCTGATGATAGCCCACGAGCGGCTCGTAGCGCTCGTAGACCTGACGCCGATAAGCAGGCTGGGCGTTTCGCGTGCATTGGCGGGTATGTTGTCCCGTCAGAGTCGTGAGAATATCGAACACTCTGACCCTTTGGTCGTATGTGGGCAAGTGTGAATTAGCTCGATGTGACTTCGAGCTGATGTGAGCCCAAGAGGCCTTGGCTGCCTTGCCAGGCCTCCATACCCCACTCGTGTCAGACTGTAGGTCAGCATGGCGATAAGTCGCAAGAACGGTTCGAGAGAAGCAAACAGCTCACGTCTGATCGTAGGGTGAAGGCAAAGATGACGCCAATGACGACGCCGACGATGAGCGACGAGATAGACGGTAGCTTGACACGGATGAAAGCAAGAACTTGCGCCAGCGTTACATCCTTGAAACTCGATGCTGTTCGAATGCTCATCTTGCATCAGCACAGCGCGTGCAAACGAGAAGGCGCGTACGAGAGTCCGACGTGCTTGCGTGTGCGGACGAGTCGGGTCGTGAAGTCGAGCTGATCGGGCGACGTTGGCGGATCATCTCGTCTGTCTATACGTGCTGCGTGATAGTCTGTGCAGGCGGGGAGATCAAGCAGGTGGACTATACAGTGCGAGCCATGTCGGCATGAGCTCAACCTGCGGCTGCCCTGCGTCGACAGTCTGAACGGCGCCGGACACGCGACGGCCACAAATTTGGTCGATCAACCAGCTCGGACCGATCAGACAGGCCATGAAGGCCACGCAAGCATGCAGAGCAGCATCGAAGCAACTGGCGAGCAGCAGTACAGCTCTCCCATCAGCGCAAACAGCGTCACGACCTTCTCCGCGACCACTCCTTTCGTGGCAATCTCTGTCATCGCCGAGCATGAGACCGCTCTTTGCTTCCCATTGCCTGGCTCGTGCAACTTTGCCTGCTCAGCGACAGTTTAGTCAGAGTGTGCCGCATGCTCACGGGGGCAAAGGCAGGCCAGCGCCAGGCACGGGGTCAGCGGAATCAGCCATGCGAAATAGTTGATGCTCATCATCCATCCTGTCACAGAGTCAAAGTGACTGTGAAGAGCAGCAAGGGCGAAGAGATAAAGACAGTAGAAGGCAATGTTGGGGATGACATAGTAGACTTGGCATGGGAATACGATCTGGATGTGGAAGCGGCATGCGAAAAGAGCGTCGCCTGCTCGACGTGTCACGTCATCCTCTCACCTGAGCATTACGATATGCTCGAGGAACCCACAGACGAAGAGAATGATATGCTTGACCTCGCATTCGGACTGAAGGAAACGTCACGGCTAGGCTGTCAAGTGAGCCGCCAACCAACGTTCGAGTCGCGCGCCATGCTCATAGCAGAGATTTGCAGGTCAAACTGACGAAAGAATTAGACGGTATGACCATAACGCTACCCGCAGCAACTCGCAACATGTCTGTAGATGGTCAGTCTTGCACTCACCCCCACCAGCACCAGCTGATGCGGTGCGATCAGGTCATAAATCGAGTCATTAGCGCTTGGCATGCCTTGCATATTGCATCCATCTCTGCCAGAAGTTTGCATGATCTCAATCGGATGCTAGTGCTGCTCGGTATCGATCAAGCTATGCCCAGAGAAGCGTTACATTGCGCAGTGTCCTGAGGCAGTGGCTTTGCAGCTCTTTCCAGCTTTGTGCTTGCCGAAAGGAAGGGCAACGCATATCGCGAGCTTCATGCAAATGACTGATCGCCACGATGATGCAGCCCGTCCGCATCCTGTATAACAAGCAGACGTCGTGACCTAAGCAGCTGCATTGGCGAGCATGGGCACTCATCGCGATCAACCGCGTCCAATCCGAGGTGAAAGCAATTCGTCAACATGGGGATGCAAAACTACATAGCGATCTGAAGAGGAAAGACGCTAAACTCCGAAGCTGCAAAGAAAGCACAACGAGAGCCAATGAGCATATGCCTATCGAGTCTGGAGCAAAGTGAGACATACCCGTAGAGTGTTCTACCTTGTCGCTTGAGCGCGTAGACGACATCGAGCGATGTGACCGTCTTGCGCTTGCTGTGCTCACAGAACGTGACCGAGTCTGTCGAGGCGATCGAGTCAGCGTCCATCTCGGTAGCCATCGCACTGGAGCGCGCCAGTGAGGCTCACCTCTGACGACAGATTCCAGGAAGATCTTGAGCACTCCTCGGGTCTCTTCGTAGATCAGACCCGAGATTCGCTTGACGCCGCCACGACGGGCGAGACGTCGGATTGCAGGCTTGGTGATACCCTGGATGTTGTCACGCAAGATCTTGCGGTGTCGCTTGGCACCNCCCTTGCCGAGACCCTTGCCACCCTTTCCTCGTCCAGACATCTTGCTGATCCCTTGCTACTGAGCTACGGCCGATCTCGTGCTCGAGGTCGGCTTCGATGCGAACATAGCGGGCGGGCCACGCCTGGTCGCGACGCCCCTTTGCGGAGACTTAGCGATCGCCGCAACGCAACGACATCAGCAGCCTGAGGCGCATCCTTGGCCGGCCATTGATGGCTCAGGAGGGACCTGGCGGCTCCTCAAAAAATGCCCGGCGAGTAGTCCTACGTCAGAATAATCTTGTCGCCTGGGAGCAAGCCGATACAGTCTCATCGGGCACGCCCACTGCAACCATGGGTGCTATCGAGCTGATACGCTTCATGGGCAGGCAGAGCGCTCGATGCTTCGCTCAAGAAGAACACAGGCTACATTAAGCGACTGCGTAGCTCATTGAATGCTGCAGACTCAGTTGCAGTACTGCTCAAGGAGACGAGCACGCTCAGCTTGGAGAAATACCTGAGCGAGATTGTCGGCGCTGCCGTCGAGGGCGTTGGACGCTGCAAGACCGCCGTTGAGATACAAGGCGGCGTAGAGGTCTGTCTTACAGCTGGACGAGCCAGTGTGTACTGAAGACCTCGCGACAGGTCATCTCGGCACTCCATTGCCGATTCCCTACCCTCTTCACGCGTCCATTCAAATCTCAGCTGTTGGCAAGCTTGCAACCCTGTCCAAAGGACACATCTCAGCCTGTCGATCAGCGAGAAAGGGAAGAAGCCAGTCGTGTTATCAGACAGCGCAGTCTCTTGCGCGTCCTCGGCGAGCTTGAATATGTGGGCGTAATCAGACCAGACAAAGCTGGCCAAGTGGGCGACGTACTCTTTGCCGCCTTTCGCGATCTTGTACTCGATTTCTCACATCATGTGTCTGCTCCAGCTGACAACAGCGTGCGCAGCTTACCGCTGATAAAGATGCGCTGGTCGCGTCCATACCGCTCGCTGTCTCTTTCGCAAAGCATCTCAGTCCCCTCTACTTATCGACTGCGCCAGAAGAAGACGCAGGTAGTGTTGTACAACCGGCAGAGAAGGCAAAGTTCAGACAGCTCTTGTCTGCCTACTATGACGCATTGTCGAAACGCTCAGTCAAAGAGCACACGCATCTGCTCCAGACCGATCAACGCAACCACGATGCGTATATCAGATCAGGCGAGATATTCGAGGACCGCGCGCAAGTATATGAGAAGCTATCGCGCAACTGGGAGAAGCTCTGGGCAGGTGTACAGTCCCTGTCCGAAACGCTCGCTCTGCCCTTGCCAACCTTACCGCCCTTGCCGTCTGCTGTCATTCCAGGAGGCTCGCTGATTTCGGACGGAACAGCTCGTACAGAAGGCGTCTATGAAACTTCCGGTAGTGTGTGGCTGGATGAAGAAGAGAAACGGTTCTACGTGGACTTGCTCGATCTCAGTCTCGAGGTTCCCGCCTCGCTTCTGGGAGTTGCCAAAGAGGATACCAAGCCAGATACAACGACTCTGCCCGATATCGATGCACCCGTCAGAAGCGACGACCTGACGGAAGAAGAGCTACAAAAGGACTATGTTGAGCCGTCCCTCGGAACTGCAGACGAGCCCTTGCCTGCAGGCCCATCGGCCCAGCTGACCGCTTTGCTTGCGCGTTTGCCGGAGATGAGTAGTGTAGAGACGATAGACCGGGCCGCTGTCGAATTTGCAGGCCTCAACAGCAAGGCAGCCCGCAACCGTCTCGTCAAGGCCCTCTTCTCCTTCAATCGCAAACGACTCGATTTGATACCCTTCTATTCTCGCCTTGTCGCCACTCTGAACGTGTACATGCCAGATGTAGGCGCAAACCTCCTTTCGCTGCTCGATGACGAATTCCGCTATTTGGCGAAGCGGAAGAATATCGAGTTGACGGAAATGAGACTCAAGACGCTCAGATACATCTCTGAGCTCACCAAATTCGGCGTTACGCCTTTGCACTCGATACTACACTATTACAAAGTATGTCTAGACGATTTCGCCCGTCACAATATCGACAATATCTGTATCTTGCTCGAGAGCTGCGGCAGATATCTTCTCCGGTCAGAGGATTCAAGGGAACGCTTCAAGCCTTTGCTGGATGTCTTCAAACGGAAAAAGAGCGTGCAAAACCTCGATCAACGGCAGATTGCCATGCTCGACTCGGCATACTATCAATGCGACCCGCCCGAGCGGGCTGCTATCGAGCATAAGCAGCGATCGGACATGGAGCTCTTCATTCGCTATCTCATGTACAATCTGCTCGGTCGACACACTCTGGAAAAGGTGTTGAAGCTCTTGCGTAAGTTAGACTGGAACGATGAGCTCGTGCATCGCAAGATCTTCAACACCTTTACGAAGATTTGGAAGGTCAAGTTCAGTCAGATCAGTCTCGTCGCTGTCCTGCTCTATGATATGTCAAAATTTCATGCCGAGTTCACCATCTCCGTTATCGATCAGGTCTTGGAGAACTTCAGGCTCGGACTCGACCAGAACTCATTCAAGCAGAACCAGCAGCGAATCGCGACTGTCAAGTACCTTGGCGAGCTCTACGTGTATAGGGTCGTAGATTCTCGCGTCATTTTCGATGTCCTCTGGTCGCTCGTCACGTTTGGACATCCCGAAGGACGCCCTTGGCCAGACTATAACAGTCCTACCGATCCCCAAGACGACTACTTTCGCATCCGACTTGTAGCCACTTTGCTCGACTCTGTCGGACCTTTCTTCGACAAAGGCGGTCTCAAAGTCAAGCTCGACGGCTTTATGACCTTCTTTGAGCTCTACCTATTCTGCAAGAAGCCACTGCCTATCGAGGTTGAATTCCTCGTGTCTGATCTGTTCGAGAAGCTCAGACCAGCAAGCGCGAGGGCGACTTCGTATGCAGAGGCAGCGCTAGCACTGGACGAGCTCGTTGCTCAGGCTAGTGACCAGCTTGACTTGCCAAGAGCAGGCGATGAGCTCGATCGAAGGGAAAGTGATAGCTCAAGCTCAACGTCGAGCTCGAGCAGCGATGAGACGATAGAGGATATCGATCTCTCCGATGACGAAGACGACGATGCCACTCCTATCGCACTCTCAGACGACGAAGAGGACATCAACGCTCGACCTCGTCACGTGGGCATGTCAGCGGAAGAAGAAGATGCGTTCAGCCAGGAGCTTGCAAAGATGATGGTCAGCAACTCTGAAAAAACTCGTCAGATCCCAAAGACGACGCTGGCCGACATCGTCCTGCCTGTTCGCAAGCGAGAAGCGTCGGGTAGTATGGCTCCTCTGCCTGTCGAGCAAGATCATATGAGCTTTACGCTTCTGTCCAAGAAAGGCAACAAAGCTCAGGTAAGCCTCACAGCGCTTCATCACGGCTCGTGCTAACAGACACAAGCAGGCACGAACGATGCAGATCCCGTTGGCATCGACGATTGCAGTAAACAGCATGACGAAGCAAGCACAAGACGTGGCGGAGAAGCAAGAGCTCAAACGATTGGTGCTCAATTACGAACACCAAAGCGAAGCGGATACAAAGTCAAGCCCCATCAGACAGCACCGACAACGACCAACATAGATTTATCAAGGCTACATGGACCATCTAGACGGACGAGTTCTCGCCATCTGATAGCGACCAGAGATACCAGACGGCGATGGAGCGGTACGGTCGCCAGGACTGACTGAGCTCTTCCATCTCCTCTGGCGAGAGGTAGATGTTGCCCTTGAGCTTCTTGTTGAAGCGGGCTTGCAAGACCGCGCGTGAAGCAATGGTCTTTGACGGCGGCAAGGGCGGCAGCTCGTACCTGCGCTCGACAGCAGGCGAAAGGGGAGTATGAAGCTGGAAATCCTCAATTTTGATGTTAGGCTTTGTGTCTGGCGTGCGAGGCAATGCAAAGTCTGGCATCGTGCCTTGTGATGACGTGCTGGGTGTGGCAGGCGGCGTGAGCAGAGTGGTTGCAAGTGTGAGTGGGACCTCTATTTCCTCTTTGACTGTTTCTGGCTTGATCTGTTCGATCTTGCGCGCTTTGATGTGAGGGTTGGCTTGGGTGAACCAAGTCAGCATAGCCTTTTGTACTCCCAAATCGCCAGACGGCATGATCTAGGCAGACTCATCTCAGCTCATCAAAGGCGGAGATAGGGAGAGACGCACGTCGGGACGCAGAAAGACAAAGATGAGAGCCATCTCGACGGTCCATCGGCCGATTCCTCTGACCTTAATGAGATGCTCCATGACCTCTTCGTCTGACATTTTGAGCATCGCCTTTGCGTCCAGCCAGCCCTCGACAAACTTTGATGCGAGATCTTGTATGTATTCTGCTTTCCTTTGGGACAGACCGGCCGAACGCAGGTGCTGTACACTGGCGCTGGCCACCTGGAAAGGTGTCGGAAAGGGCTCGACGATGCTATAGTCTGGCTTCTCCGGCAGGTCAGGGAACCAGAGTCGTATGAACCTATACTTGATCGATCTTGCGGCTAACCAGCTGATCTGTTGGCCGAGGATGCTCGAGCAGAGCGATCTGAAGGGCGACACGGTCTCCTCGGGCATCTCAAACGGTTTGCAAGGCAGGCTGTCCATGAGATGACCAAAGCGAGGATCTGCAGCGATGAGGTGCTCCCGAGCGGCAGAGTAAGAGAAACTGAGCGGTTCTCGAGCGATTGTCTGAGCAGAATCGCTGTCGTGAGTCGTCCCCTGAGGGAGTGGGAGGAGGGCGGCGTTGAGTGCAGTCTGACGGGCTTTCTCGGTGGATGTAGACGCTTTCTTGGCTGCCCTCTTGCTGGCCGCTCCATCTTGGCTAGAAGCTCTCTTGGGCAGCCGAGGTCGTGCGGTCGACAGGCTAGCGACTGCTTCTATCGTCGAACTACGCAGCAGGACCATCGTTGACCTGGCTAGCTTCTCTCGCTGGGCGCTGAGCTGTCGAGCTGCCCACGAGCTCGCTGGAAGGCGGCCAAGTCAAGTCGAGCGAACCGTCGTGGAGACAATCGCCAACCGAGCCGGCGACTTTGTGTGTAGCTCTACTCGGCCGAATGACTCGCTCAGCTAGGCATGCATGACTCCTCGTCAGCCATCTACGCCATCGTCAGGCATCAGCATACCCTCAGGCCCGACCTTGGCCTGTTCTGAGCATGGCAACGGCTCCCTTTGAGCCCGACGACACTTCCTCGTCTCGTTCAGAGAATGAGCCGCTCTTCTTCCTCGGTCCTCTCGGCACATACTCTCACCAGGCACGCATTGCGACTCCCATCGACAGCTTGGCCGAGCTGAGACATGTGGACCCAGGCTGCGACTGCGCTCAACATCCACCATACGCAATTGGTGCCCTGTTCCTCAATCACAGGTCACTGACCCGCATTTGCATATCGGCCGAGCTCATTCATCGCCGAGCAGAGGTGATCGAGCAAGTAGTAGCTCGAAAGGGCAGCGGAGTTGTGCCCGTAAGGAACTCGACGGCAGGCGCAGTACACGAAACGAGCGAACGAGTGGATCTACATCTCCCAAGCCTGAGGTGTACTGCACATACCACGCTGGCTATCAACCATGCCCTGCTCGCTCTGCCTTCTGCTCGGCCACCCTTTGAGAGAATCTATAGTCACAGACAGGCGCGTCATCGTTCCTCACCCGGACCGTCATACCTGAGCTCGCAAGCGTGCTGCAGGCCCTTGCCCAATGTCATGCCTACCTGGCTCAGCTCAAGCATCACAATCCGGACTTGCAAGTCATCGAGAGTGCTTCCACAGCAGGTGCCGCAGAATCAGTATCGCGCAATCCAAAGTATGCAGCCATCTGCTCGTCCTTTTGCGCCAAGCTTTACAACCTGAGCGTGCTCGTCAGCAACGTGCAAGACGAGAAAATGAGTAAGCTCTGCACATGCACATGATGAGAGTGCTGACAGCCTTGCAGCAAATGAGACCGCGTTCGCATTGCTCAAGCCAGCTTTGGACAGTCGCGACGCGCAAAGGCAGACGCAAGTCAGTCCATCGCTTGCAAATGTACATACGATCGAAATGAGTGCGTTTGTGTGGCATGGTATCAGCCCAGACGACTACGACATCCAGTCGCTCGTTCATGCACAAGTGCCGCCTTCACCCTACGCAAGGCATCTCTTGCGCTCAGACAATCTCGCCTTGTCCGACGAGCTGCAGACTCGACTACGCAGCAATCTGTCGCAATTGCCAGCTTGGCCAAGCGAGCTCAGTGTGGCAGCCTTTGACGCTCAGACACTCGCATCGCACGGCAACATGCAAACACTGCTCCTCAGACGATACACTCGCATAGACGGCCAGTGTACCATCAAACTCCATCCGGGCAGATACCGTCTGCAATGGTTCGTTCACCTCTTCGCCGTTCAGCCCGCCACGCCTGCGGCTTCTTCCATGACGTTCACGACGACGTGGCCAGCAGAGACGCATCGATCCGAAATCGACGGAAAGCTGAGGATGCGGCCTAGCATAAGCAACCCTCTTGGCTTCCCCACCAGACCGCTCGATCTTTTGCCCAGCTATCCCTCTTTGCCTCTCGATCTGACACTAGAGGTCACAGCACCGTCCGACAGGCTAAGGATTCAGCTTGATCAAGCCACTATCGAGGCGCATTGGTATGGCCAACACAGAGGCGGCTGGGTCCCGCTGCAATCACCTCGTGACCTAGAAATCAGCACAGAACAAGAGTGTACTGTGCGCATCCACGATCACTCGCCAGGTTGGAAGGGAGGAGCAAGACTGGGCGGTGTCAAGCTCATCCGATCGGACGCGCCCGCGCATGGACAGAGCACAGGCGTGTGTTGTTGATTATACTACAGTGCATACAGCAAGAAACTATGTTTGGCTTCACACTTGCGCTCAACGTTTCGCCTGAGGCTGTAGATGCGCAGGCAGCTGCCTATTCAATGCTCTGCTGTTGTTGAAGATGTGACTGTTCTGCACTACAGCTGCTTGCTGTTGTCCCTGCACAGGTCGATAGGCAGACGCAGCACCGAATCCAGGTGCGGCGCCATAGGACGGTAGACGATCTGCAGCCGGCGGAGTCGGCTTGTGCCCATTTGCGAAGCTTTGGCCATTGGCCGAAGAGGGCAGCGGCGAATACGACGAGGCAGGCGCACCATAGCTTGGCGTCTGCAGCGCGCCGTTAAGAGGTACGAACGGTGCACCATATTGGGGCTGCTGCGGAGCATTGTATGCCTGCAGGTTGGCTCGCTGACTAGCGTTTTGGGGGTGATACGCCGAAGCGGAGGCTGCCTTTGCAATGATAGCCTGTAGCGAGCTACCACCGGCGGCGCCGCTTGGAGCAAAGCTCGACTGTGCAAAGTTCTGACCATAAGCAGACTGCTGCTGGGCGTAAGCTTGCTGCTGCTGCCCATAGCCTGGCTGCTGTCCGTAAGCCGGCCGTTGCCCATAGAACGCTTGCTGGCCATATGCTGGCTGCTGTCCATAAGATGGCTGTTGCAGATGGGTAGGCTGCTGATAAGCGCCAAAGTTGTTCTGCTGCTGGTAAGGTTGTTGATAATTCTGTTGTTGCTGGTATTGCTGCTGGTTCGTAGAGGCATTATTTGCATAGTCGTATCGCGGCACGCCGTAGTTCATGTCCCGCCGTTGCGAGTGGAAGCCTTCGCCATATGAGCCTTGCGACTGCTGCTGACCGTTAGTACCACGTCTGACGCTGTCCTTGTCTCTCGCAGTGAGGACGCGCTTGGCGATCTGTACGCCGGGCAGCAGCATACTGCGATGAGGCTTCAGCTGTGGCGGGAAATGGTATACTGCCGATACGGAGCGATCGTTGTTGATATGCGGCAGTCCGAATGAATCATCGAAAGGCGAAAAGAACGTGGTACCCGGTACACAATCAGGATCCGGTGCGGCTAGTCCAGCTAGTCCGTCGGAACTTTTGCTGTCAAAGGCTACAGGTATCGTTGATGGTTTCTTGCCATACAGATTCGTAAGCGCTTCGTACAGACCGTGGTTATCGTTGACAAAGACAACATCGCTGCCGAGGCCGTTCCGCCGTTCCTCGTCCTCTGACAGCTCATGATAATGCAGATCGAGTGCCGCCAGGAGACGACTAGAGTCTATGAAAGGTAGCAAGGCCACGCCTTGCCAGAGCATCTTCTTGCCATTCATGTCGATCATAAATTCCTCTGGGTAAAAGTCAATGATGGGCGAATCTTCGCTCGTCATGAGGTCGTGGAAAGGCGCAGGTATGTGCTTGCGACTTGCTGCTGGGAAGACACCCATGAGCTGCTCAAAAGGTCTGAATGGCGCGCCTAGCTCGAATTGAATGTCCAGCTTCTCCAAGTCAGTAAAATCGGAGGCGAAAGGCGCGAAATGCCACGGATAAAACCATTGCCAAGATGGGCAGCCCTGATAGTAATACGCCAAGACCCACGAAAGACCTTCCATATAGTTTTTGACAATCCTGCGTTCCATATGTCAGTCGGATGAAAGCCACCACAGCCACGATCGCTTACTGATCGCGAAAAGCTTTGTCCTCGAGCGGGACGCCAAACTTTTGCTGGTAGTATCGCTCCTTGTAGCCTGGCTCCCATAATCTGTTACCACAGTCAGCCAGCGATAGTGGCAGGCAATCTGCGCCGACTTACTTGACGGTGTCATCCTGCTCAGCCACATTGCCTGTGATGCGCAGTGGAGCAGGCGCTACAGGTCCAGAGAGAACAGAAGTATCTGCAGGTCCTTCTTCGTCATCGTCAAGCACTATCGCCGCGTCTTCTGCGACCTCACTCTCGTCTTGACCGGCCTGTAGGCCTGCAGCGACAGTATCACTGACTGCGGCAGCGATCGCGTGCGTCTCCGGTGTAGGCTCATCCGACACAGGCGCGGGGCCCGAGCTACGATCTGCTTCTGCCTCTTCGCTGGCCTTCCGCTTGACCCCACGAGCTGCGTTGTAGAGCTCCTGACTCGAGTCAGCAGACTCCGAGACTGTCTCTTGCGCATCGGTGGAGCTAGGAGGGACCCCATCGCCGCTCGAGGAAGCGATGCCATAAAGCTGCTCATCGTCGTCCGAAACAGGCGCAGCTTCGCTGGACTGAGTGGCAGTAGTCTTGCGCGCTTTCAGCTCAGCTTTGAGTCGCTCTGCAGCCGAAAGGTTGGCAGAATTAGCGGCTGCGGTGACGCCCAATTGTGCTTTGAGCGATTTGGCTGCAGACTGGTTTGCAGCTCGGCTCGACTCAGCGATTGAGCTTGCCATCAACTGAGCCTGACTGACCGCAGGCACGATCGTCGTCGGCCTAGCAGGCAGGAAAGGTGGAAGGGGGCCATTCTTATGGCCGACCATCGACGGTGTAGACCGGCCGCTTGAAGGCAGCGACTGAACCTCGACATATTCTGTTCCATTGGGCATTTGCATGGATCCTGGAAGGGGTTTGCGAGATGGCGAGTCGTCTGAAGCGCCATTTCCAAGCCTTCTCCGCTTCTCATTGCGGTCTTGGCGCTCCTCTGCGTCCCGCCGCCGTTGAAAGATCTCGTCTTCCCTCCTCGCAAGGCCATCGAGAATGAACTGAGCTGACTTCATGTTGACTTTGCCGTGAGAGGTGAGATAGTCTCCCATCTGAGGCAAAGATGTCCGCCATATCGCTAGCAATGTATCGATCGCGCCTTCCCGGATTTCGAGAGAGGGTAGATGGGGCAAGAAATCGTTGCCGACAAAGAAGATGAGAAAGACCCAATCGTCGATTGCTCGCTCGAGGTCGAAAGGAAAGGGTACACCAGGCACATTGAGCTCGATTTCGAGATATTCGCGCAGGACAGAGACATCAAGAAAGATGAACGGTTTCCGCTCTGTGATCTTGTTCTTCTCGTCGAACTCGCCTTGCTTTTCTTTGGGCGCACCCGTACAGTTGGAAGAGTGATGGCCGGGCTGGCCACATCGATGGCAGCCCCGGGGCTTTCGATCTTGTGCAAACACATCTTCTCGTAGCACTTTGAAGTAAGGCTCATGCGTTGCCAGTGAAAGCATGATGAGATCGGCATCCTGTCAGATGATGCACGCTCAGCCAACGAAGAAGATTTCATGACCCAGCACGACTGACCAAGCCATAGATGACGTGGCGCGTGTTGGGATCGTAGCCCGCGTGACTTCTTTGCCTTCTGATATAATCCATGATCTTGTGCTCGCCTTCACCGGGAACGGAAGCGTCTGAGATGACGACTTGGAGCTGATGGCCATGTCATCAGCATCATGTTGCATAGCGTAAGTAGAAAGTACCTTTGACCAGCCTGGATCACTGTTGAGCTTGCTTGCGACCCAATACCGCAGTGAAGCGGCTAGCAGGTCCATGAAGGGTGTGCCGGGCGTGATAGCATTCTGATCCCAGGCCTTTTTGTCTTTGTACTCGTCGCTGACTTCCTTGCCCATGGCTATGCGTTTCAAAGCGTCAGCACAGCAAGCAAGCAATTTTACAGAGTAGCGACGCGCCTTCCCATTCTCTGATGGCTGCCTCTTTCTCTTCCGCCTTTGTCTTTGCTTCCTGAGACGCTCTGAAGCGACGACTACGCTGCTGATTCATCTTGGCTCGTGGAGCGACACCATCTGTGATGGAGGAACCGGTTCAGCTGGTGTCGAGCTGGAGGCAATCCTTGCAGACCTATGGCAATGAGAAGCAACTTGCGAGGTCTGATCATGTTGACGACACGCTCAGTGTAGGCGAAGATCTCTACCATCATGTCTGCCTCCGTCTCTGGAGGCGGCTTGCCTTCTGGATGAGTACAAGGATGGACGATGCCGTTCATGTCGAGATAGAGACAATCGAACTCTTCCCCGTTCGGATTGGGCAGAGACATATCCACCGGTATCTCTACATCCTCTCCGCCCCCATCTGGGTCATCCTCACTGCCTGGCAAAGGCTGGCCAGTGACAGGATCGAGACGAGAAGCGCCAGGCTGAGCTTTGGTCGGCAGATCTTCCTTGACCGATGTGACGATATGAGGGTATTTCTTGCTCAGCCATCGAAACAGCGCTGGCACACCCATGACGTGCCCTAGCTTCTGTAGGGTGGGCGGTGGACTGACTTGGAGCTGGGATGCTGGAGTTCCTCAGCCTTGACTGTATATTTGATATTCCAGATGAAACCAGAGTGCCACAATGAAGCTGACTCCGCGTCATGACTGCTCAGCGCCGCGCCGGATCGCATGCTCAGCAGAGTCGCTCGCACAGCCTCCAACTCTACAAGACTCACAGCTTACCATCCAGCAGGCAACATTCACAGACGAGCCTGGCTATTGGCCGCCTCAGCACCTATCGCGATCTACGCAAGTCAACGCTACTTCTTCAACCTGGGTTCCTCACAATCCACTAGCTCGAGCAAGATGGCTCCCACCGATTTTCCAAAGGGCCGCACAGACGAGGAGTGGCGTACTGTCCTCTCGCCGGAGCAGTTCAGGATCTTGAGGAAGAAGGGAACCGAGATGGCAGGAACGTCGGATCTCAACGATCATCAGCCTACTTCGGGTACCTACAACTGCGCCGCATGCGATTCACCTCTGTACACTGCCAACCAGAAGGTATGCCTGATCCTCACGGGAGCATACTGCCACGCTGACGAGCGATCTGCAGTTTGCGTCCCATTGCGGATGGCCAGGTGAGCTCTTTTTGCCACCGTAGCTCTTTGATGCTGACGTCAACCTGTAGCCTTCTTCGATACCGTTCCAGGTGCAGTCACTCGTCACGAGGACCGAACTTTCGGCATGCTGCGTACAGAGATTACCTGTTCCCAATGCGGAGGCCATCTCGGCCACGTGTTCAAGGGCGAAGGCTACGAAGCTGCCAAATCGACCGATGAGCGTCACTGTGTCAACGGCATCTCGCTCAAGTTTTCAGAGGACAAGTAATGCTAGGCCACGAGTGATTGTATTGAATACACATCCTATGCTATAATTTCGACCTTGCCGACGTGTCTGAATCTGCGAGCGAGATAACTCCTTCTTTGGCGAGCGAATCGAGCATACGCTCATCGATCCCTGCGCACAATAGTACTTCTCTTGTATCTCTCCCTGGCTCTAATGTGTAGCCCTCGCTGAACTGTCCGCGTGCCTGTCTGGCTGGTGTCCGTGACAGGATCGGACTGGGCTCGGGTATCGTCCCTTCATCCTCTTCTTCCTCCTGCATATCTCGTCCATATGCCTCCTCGTGTATTGTCACGCCATGACGCGAAACCTCTTCCTTTTCGAGCACGGGCGCAACGCAAGCATCGGTGCCCATAAAGACGCTAGTCCATTCATCTCTCGTACGCGTAGCAAATGCCGTGGTGAAGAACGTTCGTAGCTCTGGCCAAGTGGATCTATCGTGTTGTGTTGCAGGCGATGGGTATCTGTAATTCGAGGGTGCAGGCGCGGCTGTTGGCGTCAAGCTGTCCTTTGGCGGTGGAGAATCTAGCAGGCTCTTAATGAGGATCTGTCTGCGCAAAAACTTCAGCGTTGACTCTCGTGGGATATGCAACCTACAGGAACTCCTCGTAAAATTGACTTTCGATGGCTCCGACGGACATGTACTTGCCATCGCGTGTTTCATATACGCCATACCCTGCTCATCGTCTGAGCAAATGCTCGTACCGGGCTCGGCAGAGGCAGACATACAAGGTGCCCCGCCGTCCAGTACATTATCGCCCGCTTTCTCGGACCAAATGGGCATGCCAACGCTCAGCTTGGACAGCATCAGAGGGAAACTTGATACGTATCGTGTGCCGGTAATCTGCAACAGCGTAAGCCAGCGTTGACGAGAGAGCTGGGACGGATTGACCATGTCAGCCTCGACGATCTGACCCTGACCGCTCCTGGTCCGCTCGATGAGTGCAAGGAGGATCCCCAAGACGCACATCAGGCCTCCGCCTGCAAAGTCGCCCAGCAAATTGGCAGGCGGAAAGGGCGCGCTCTTGCCTTGGCTAGGCCGTAGCATCTGCTCCGACATCAGCGCAGCATCTAGCTAGGTCGGAGGTCCGCACAGATAGGACGCCGGAGAGCGCAATGTAGTTGATATCATGTCCTGCCATCTTGGCATATTCGCCTGCTTTCAGATGAGTGAGGCTTGCGAACGAGATGATAAGACCTGCCCGTCCTACGATAGCCGGTCAGACGAGCGACCACCACGCCAGGATTAGCAGCGAGCAGTACATCCGGGCCCAACCCCAGTCGCTCCAGTACACCAGGTCGGAAAGGGTCGATGATCACATCTACTCCTTTCCATCCTTGCTGATTCGGCTTGATCAGATCAAGCAAGATCTCCTTCCCGCTGGCTGACTTGGGCGAGATAGATATGGACTCTTTGCCGCGACAGAGCGTATCTGAGTTGAAATTGGTGCCTGGCCGGTCGACACGAATCACGCGAGCTCCAAAGTCGGCGAGCACCATGCCGGCAAACGGCCCGGGCGCTAAGCCAGCAAACTGTCTCAGCGTCAGTGATGCTACATGCACGTTGAATGTGTATCTACCTCGAGCACTGTCAGACCATCTAGAGGGCGACCCATCTCGCTGAAGCGGTGCCCCTCGACAGAGACTTGGGCCCACTCGACTCGACGCGGAGAGTTTCAGAGCATTTGCCACGCGCGCGCTGTGATCTGTCTGAGTGCGTCATCATCCACGAATCAAATGGAGATTCTCCGAGTTGTTCCCTCTTTCCTGTTCTACAGCGCATTCGTCAGTCAACAAGATGGCAATGAACGCAGCGAGCAACAAGGCAGAGCAAGCACTCGGTCACGGAGAGAATACGAAGATCCACGACGAGATCTCCAATCCTGGCAAGCAAGAGAGCAAGTATGCCGACCCGTCTGGGGAAAAGATGAAAGCGCTGGCATGGATGGGCAAGAACCACGTCGAGCTCGTCGAGACTCACAAGCCCCGGATCGTCGACGACAAGGATGTCATTGTCAAGGTCACAGGCACGACAATCTGTGGCTCTGACAGACATCTTTTCCATGGAGCCATTCTGCAACTCCAAAAGGGTGATATCCTCGGTCACGAGTACTGTGGCATCATTGAGAAGACAGGACCTGCCGTCAAGAACTTCAAAGTCGGTGACCGCGTCGTCGCGTCGTTCCAGATTGCTTGCGGTGACTGCGAATTCTGTGACCAAAAGCTCTCTTCGGTCTGTCAGCACACAAATGGCAGCACGGTCGAGAACACGCTGTACGGCAACCGTACGGCGGGTATGCTGGGGTACTCGCATTTCACCGGTGGTTTCAGTGGCGGTCAATCCGAATACGTTCGTCAACCTATCGCAGATTTCAACTTGCTCAAGATTCCAGACGAGGTGCCAGACGAGAAGGCACTGTATCTCTCCGACGTACTCTGCACATCCTACCACTGCGTCGTCGATACGGGCATCAAGGAAGGTGACGTGGTAGCAGTGTGGGGTCTGGGTGCCGTCGGCTTGCTAGCTTGCCAGTGGGCTTTCCTCAAGGGCGCAGGACGGGTCATTGGAGTCGATTCCGGCTGGCGACTGGACTTTGCAAAGGAGAAGGTGCCCAAGCTCGAGCTCCTCGATTTCAAGAGCATCGACATGAAGGAAGGCGTATCCGGTCGTCTGCACAAGATGACAAAGAACGGCTACGGCGTCGACGTATCGCTCGAATGCGCTTCGGGCGAGTTTGCAAAGGGATTCATCCACAAAGCTATGATTGCCACTGGACTCGAGACCGATACTTCTGAGATTCTCAACGAAATGATCCTAGCGACCAAGCCCTTTGGCAGGATTGGCATCACAGGCATCTACGCAGGCTTCACCAACAATTTCAACATTGGCGCAATGTAAGACCGTCGACTCTGTTGCCCACTGCAGCTGACCGTCGAGCAGCATGGAAACCGGTATCCGCTTTATCGGCAACGGACAGGCGCCTGTGAAGATGCACTGGGAAACCATCATGAACGACTACATTATTCCAGGAAAGCTGGACCCTATGATGGTCATGACTCACCGGATCAAGCTCGAAGATATCGCCAAGCTGTATCCTCTCTTCGATCAGCAAGCGCAGATCGATGGCAGAGGTATCGAAAAGCCCTACATCGAGACGAGGTTCTCTCAACCGGCTTGCAAGGGCAGCCCTGCTCTCTCCGTACTCTAGTCAATGTTAATTGAAACCATCATGAACACGATGCATGCGTCTATAACGCGGATGCTTGCTCCCTGTCGCCCCGGCTTTGCCATCAAATGACGTGCATTGCATAAATGAATCAGCATCGAATTACTCATAACCCTACAACAGCCCAAGAAAAGGAAGAATCGACACTGGTGGCCCCTGTACTACATGTAAGGCTTCGCCTTGACAGGCGCAGTAGGTCGGACATGCGCGTCCGGCCCGACCCTTTGAAGCTTACTGACAGCTTCCAAGATGATGATAAGCGATGTGAGACTGACGTTGATGCCTTGTAACTGTAGAGGCGAGATCGTGTCCTTTGCGAACGGTATAAAGCACGAGACAGTACCCACTGCAAGTCTGAACGCAATGAGCAGACCACGCCTTCGGTGCGAATGTGTTGGCTTGTGGAGGAAGCCGATGCAGCCCATGAGGATGACGGCGAGCCCGAAACCAGAAGATTGGAAAAAGTAGATTGCTCTCGGTACTTCTTCGCTGTGCTCAGCTTCGACCAGTCTGGCCATTGCTGCGCTGGCAAGGAGCAAGGCGAGTGACAGTGGCAAGTGCAAAGTTGTATAAAGGAATGAAGTGAGCCAGTTGCGTCGCACGGCGTGGACGTAATGGTGGCAGACTTCGGACTCGGAATAGATCCAATTGAGGTTGAACGCGACCATGAGGCCGAGCACAGATCGACCCGTTTCTGAATTCAGGCCTGGAGGTGATTCTGTCCTGAACAGGATATTGACGACGAGCTCGCCAAGGACGATGATGGTGAAGCAGGCCAGCCTCTCGATGTGATGCTCGATGGCGACAGCAGGGTAGCGCTGGAGCGTCGTGGAAGCGGTCAGCATCTTGACAGGTGTAACATAGCCTTCCAATTTCTCCTCGTGAGGAGATGCTGAGGAGCTGTTCTGCGTGTTGTCTTGCGGCACGGCTTCCGCATCTTTGGCCTTGCGCCGGCGGCTTGTTAATGTAGAGATGAAGCGCAGTATCATCAGAGCAGATATCCTACTCGGCATCAGCTTGATTTGCAAAGACATAAAGGACGATTCACTTGAGTGCGTATTCGCCCAAGATAGCCACGATGACGAGAGCGTAGATGCCAGTGATGGGCAACCAGATGGCGACGAGGTATGAGACCAGCAGGAAGAGAGTGACGAGCGAGTTGATCATCATGGCTCGTCTCGAGAGTGGCAAGTACTTCGCATAGGCAGATATGACAGCGATCCGGCTAGCTTTAGCGACAACGACGAAAGCGAGAGCATACTGTATGGCTCTATGCGATTGACGCGCGAGCTCCTCGCCTATCTCACCTTCTGGCTGTAGATTGGCCGATCCAGCGTTGACCTGATAGCCGACCAAGAGAATCATGGTCCAGATGATGTACAGACGTTGGAGCATATCATCATTGCCAAACTGGTTGATGAAGTCTCTCATGTCGCCCCAAATGCTGTACGCCGGGCAGAACGTCAAGACGAAGCGAGCGAGTCCGTAGCCATTGGGCTGCTCTGCGGTGGCTTCCGCCAGCTGGTGGACTAAACCGACAAAGAGAAGATCAAAGAAGAGCTCGAAGCGAGAAGTTGTCCGCTCGTTGATGTCGCGGAAAATGCGGGGCTTGCCCACCTCCTCGTAAGATAGCCATTGGTGAAGTCGCGGTCGGTGAACAAAAGTACTGAAGTTGTAGCGATGCCAAAAGTAGTGGAGCCAGCCTCGCTGTCTCTGCTCATCCAGAGAGAGATTGTTCTCGTCCTTGACATTGACAAAAGTGATAAAGTCGCTGTGGCCAAACTCGTCTAGGTTCTGAGCAGTTCGGAGGGTAGAAGAATTGGTTTGTGCTTGGATTTCCTCTGCTCGTACGTCCTTGAGACGAGCTTCGAGCGCTGCGATGCGGAAGCGCAGCTCATTGACATCGCTGATGTCTTCTGCGCCATCCAAGCCTTCCATTGTCACATCCGCGGCCTGAAGAGAGCCTTGGGGCCAGCCAGCAGCTCACGTCGCGCGCTTGGCGTTCTCGGTGTGTGTGGCCCCTCACGCCTCACAGAAATCATGCAATTAGCCAGACTGGCCGAAGTTGAGCAGGTCAGCCATCGAGGCTCATACAAGACAATCAGCTGAGGCCTCCTTCTGCGCAGCTTTCGCCGCTTGTGACGCGTATACTAGGCGGCAACCCCTCCTCATTCACACTGAACGGCACGAACGGCTATCTCATCGGCTCGGGACGGCGCAAGATCCTCATCGATACAAGCGATGCGGGAATCCCTACCTATCTGTCACGTCTCGAGCACACGCTAGGAACAGCAGGGCCGAACAAGTCGGCTGCTATTATCGATCACATCATTGCAACCCATTGGCATCACGATCATGTCGGTGCTCTGCCAGAAGTGCTCGAGCTATTGCATAAACGGAACAATGGTCCTGTGAGACTATCGAAGCATCGGGACGAAGAACACGATGAAGATATACTCGAGACGCTCACTGATACGCCGAGCGACATCTTAGCTGAGCACACGCTTTCCCCGCTACGAGAAGGCGACCGAATAGCTATACCCGACAGCGACCTGCACCTTCGCATACTGAGTACGCCAGGTCACACTCAAGACTCTATCTCCCTCTATCTCGCCTCCCACACCAAGGAGCCCAACGTTCTGTTCTCGGCCGATATGATCCTAGGCAAGCTCAACCAGTCGGAGTGCTTCTCAGACGCTGAGACATACACAAAGGCCAGGGTACAGCAGTATTTGAAAATCTGACCCAGTACATGGCCAGTCTGCGCAAGACAGCCGCTTTCATCGAAGAGCAAAACGCATCACAGCCCACGCATATCTATCCTGGCCACGGCCAAGTCATCCACGACGCACTGGGCAAGCTCCGAGAGTACATTCAGCACAGACAAGATCGCGAGGATCAGGTCGTCGATGCACTGCTCAAGCTCCAAGTGGGCGCACACGAGAAAGCCGAAGAGTGAGTCTCTCGATCGTGCATGCAGAACGAATTGAAACTGCAAGCTAGACTGACGAAGGTCATTTATCCCGACCTGCCCGACCAGCTGCATTTCGCAGCTACCCGCGGTCTGCTGCTAGTACTAGCTAAACTAGAGACCGAAGGCAAAGTTTCGCAAGAAACAGATAGCTCCCAAGAGACGGCATTTGCGCTGACCGATCTGGGCAAGAATGCAGCAGAAGCGCGAAGGGCAAAGATGTAAGCATGCATCAGATCTCTTCGTCTTCGATCTCTACAAAGTTGAGCGGCATGAATTGTGTTCCCGAACCGCCATAATGCTTTCCGTTAGATTCGACCCTGCACTTCTGTGAGCATCGACTAAACCGAGGAAATAGACTGCACGCACCAGTGAAGTCGTAAAGCGTGCAGGAAGGCGGATAGGCCTTCCATGACGACGAGGATCGCCACAGAGAGAGCGAACCAAGCGGCAAACATGAAGACGACAGCAAAGACGCCCAGAGGTCCTTCAAAACTGAACGAGTTCTTGATCGTCATCGTCCATAAGACTTCCGATAGCTGAGCATGAGCCAGCGAAAGTGCCCACAGCCGAAGGTACGAGGCCGTGTTGGAGATACAGCCCAAGCAGAACTCGATCGTATGAATGACTTGCTCAATCATGATCTCGCCCACTTGGAATTCTTCCTCGTGCTCCTCGCCGCCTTCACCACCTGCGTTACCATCCTCTGCATCCGCGTCATCCTCCGAATTGCGAGGACCGCTGACGTGCTCGTAGCCTTGAGCCTTGATCGCTTGATGCTTCTTATACATGATGTAGGGCTTCATAAGCAGCATCCAGGGTACGCAAACGAGCGCGAGTAGGATGAGCACGACTTGTACGAAGCCTTGTCCGGCGTAGAGCTGTTCGGAAGGATCGACAGTGCCAGGTGACAGAAACATGTAGATGAGCATATTGAGAAGATCGGGCGGCTTTGTGCTTGCTTTGGACCAATCTGTAGCCCATTTGTACAAAACGGTAAGAACGAGGTAGCCAAAGATGGACTCCATGAAGAGGATCTGGGGTAGCCAGACCGCAGTGATGAGGTATCGCTTGCCAAAGTGGATGAAGTTGGGTACTTGCAGACAGATTGCAAATGACATGTGGATGACGCCGAGAATGATAGACATCTTCATCTTGAGCGAATTTGTAAAGATGAGTGCGTTGTCTGCGCCGTGCCATGCAGGATCGAGTCCGAAAGGATAGACCGTTCCCGTAGATTCGGCAGTGACGCTCTCGCCAGCTGGAAAAGACCAACCCGACTTGCCGATAACGAGAGACAGCGAGAAGATATCATTGTATATCAAGCCGGTGTACATGGCGAAGAGCTGAGATCAATTCATCAGCTTTGGCGTATAACGATGAAATCTCGACATACACCCATGAGCAAGATGATGTAACGACCAAAGTAAGCGGTATCGAAGATCTCATTGCCCGTGCCTTTGCCAATCTTCTTTTCGTAGAAGATCATAGCAGCAGCAGACATGGCCATGATGAAGCCGTGTCCGATATCGCCAAACATGACGGCAAAGAGGAAAGGAAAAGTAATGACTGCGAAGATGCCGGGATTGATCTCTTGGTAGTCCGCAATGCCGTAAGCGTCAATGATCGCCTGGAATCCTTCCGTGACTTTGTTCGTCCGATGGAATGTCGGCGGATTCTTCGCGTTCCGTAATTCGTGAAGAATCGGAGGAACCGAAGAGCCAGCGTTTGTCTGCCGAGTGATGTCAGCAGGGACGAGACCAGCTATTGAAGGGATATACAGTAGCGCGTCGAAGAGCCATCTGGACGTTTCCGATATCTCGCGTAGGCACCCAGCCTTCCGCAATGAGAGTCCTTCTGCCGCGATCATACTGGAACAGGTTCATCGTATGGTACGTCGCCTTTTCCTTCCTGACAACTTGCCACCAAGCCGAGATCGTCTCAGCCGTCTTGCTGAGTTCACCTTTCCGCGTGGCACTTGTGTTGTGCAGCACGGCAGAAAGGTCTTCGAGTCTGCTAGAGACCTCTCTGAGAGCGTTGTTGCGTTTTTCGGAGTCCGAGTCGACCGGGTACAGCGTTCCTCCCATGGATTCCGAGATCTTCCTGATCTTATCGAGCAGTTCTCTGCCGTGCCCGAAGATGATAAAGACGTTCTTGCGCAGATCGTTCTTGCCGCCACTCTTGCCTGGCTTGGAGAAAGGCTCTTGAATCTCCTGCAGGTGAGAGAGAGAGAGGGTCAGCGGATCCTACGACTCAGCTTGTGTGAACTTACTGCAAAATTCATGTAGAGATTGCCACGGAGGACACGCCAGAGAACGCGCTCGAAAGTAGCCATCCGACTGCGCTCGATCGTACCCGCAACGAAGCTACCAAGCGTGTGATGAGCGGCCAAACGTGACATCGCAAGCGTGGACGTACTCAAGGTCTACGCTGGCATAGCCATCGCCATCGCCTTGTTCCATCTGGTGATCGAGCAAGGGTGCGCTGGGCTCATCGAACGAGGCTCTGATGTCGTCCGTCTGGCTTTGCGCCTGCGTGTACCGTTGACCGCTCAGCTTTTGTTTCTAGGAAGCCAAGGGCAGTCGACACTTGCCTGACTGAAGAAGACGGCGGTCTCCCTCAGGACGTGGCGCGCTTCTTCCAACTCCATCGTTCTCTTCTGCAAAGTCTCTTGGGACTCGTTCATCTCGCTCATCCTGTTCTCTCTCTCGGCGAGAATGGTCTCTAACTCGCTGACGAGCTGGAGCGAGTTTCTGCCTTGCACGAGATGCATCGTCTCTGTGAGTGGACGGATGTAGATCTCGCTCTCGTGAATCTGAGCGGTGAGGAAACGGAGTCGTCGTTCCATCTCATCGAGTCGGCGGATCTCTGAGACGTAGGTCCGTTGGAAGGGATTGACATCGGGATTGAGCTACAAAAGTGAGGATCAGGCACGATTAGCGCGATATCGACGACCAGAGACGAGAAGGGGCGTACATCCTTGAACTCCACCCGTCCCAGTTCGCCGAGCTCTGTCAAACATGCCAAAGTTTGAGCGGAGTCTCTCAAAGACCATCAATGCTGACCCTGGACAGTGTGGTGAGCTACATCGCTGGGGATGTAGAGCTGCACCAAGCTCATTTCCTCGCTCCCTGTTGATAGCGAGAGCTCGTCAGGACAGGATCGACACTGCGCATGAGATCACTGACTGAGGAGCGAGGGGTACTCGGACGTCATGGCCGGCGATGGACTGGTGCGCAATGTGCCTCGTGCCGCGACGATGTGAGGTTTAGCCCCACTTACCAATCGAAAGAGCCGAAGCTGCCCCACTTTATGGCTTCACGCGCAACGACGACCAAAAAGTCGAGGCGGTCAAGCATGTCGTTGGCCAGCCGTAGCTATACGCCCGAGCCAGAGTACGACTCCGGTGATGAAGATGCGCCGGTACAGATCGACGGCTCAGGTATTCCTGGCGTAGACGATGAGGAGGAAGAGGAGCTAGGCACGTCGTTCACTTCCAGCAGGAAATCCTGCTTATCTGAGACGGCGTGACAGATCCAGAGGTCGCACGCCAGAGAGCAGAAGAGGCAGCACAGCTTGCAAAGGAGAATGCAGAAGCGCTCGAGCACGTGCCTGAGCCAGTGAAAAAGGCGAGTCTCTTCACTTTCGAGTTTATCTTGTCGCTTGAGCAAGGATGCCCGAACAGTTCATCACCCGCTTACATGGGGCGATATCGAACGGCAATATACAAGAGATGACGACAGCCTACGAGCGGACGTTCAACTACCTCTCGAATGAGTACTACCAGAAAGAAGAGTGGCCAACCGGCGCGGTCATCTCCTCGCTCGTCAAAGATGATCAGGTCTTCATCACGCTCTACAAAGAACTCTACTTTCGCCATCTCTACTCACGCTTCTCCTCTGAGGTCGACATAGAGTTCGCCGTCATCTCATCAGCTGGCAAGCCGCATTGACCTGGTGATGCAGTGATCGATTCGACTCTTACGAAAACTACTGCAATCTCTTCAACTACATTCTCAGTGGGTCCTAGCCGCACGACCATTCCTCTGACGCCAAGGCTGAACATCGATCGACAGATTCGGATGGACCAGTCTCGATCGAATTACCGGTGCAATGGCTTGCAGACATCATTGACGAGTTCATCTGGCAATTCGGTTCCTTTGCAGCCTGTCAGTAGCTGTCTGTCCCTTCCGCCGTGTTTGCTGACGTTCGATCCATGTCGCCAGGGCGCAACACGAAGATCAACGAAAAGACAGATGATGAGGTTGCCCTGCTGGCCGAAAGCCCACAAGTCTGGTCCTGCTATTCTGTCCTGAACGTCCTCTATTCGCTCATCCAGAAGAGCAAGATACAAGAGCAGCTTCGAGCGCAGAAGAACAACCAGCTCGAAGATCTAGAGTGCGCCAGCTTGCCATGCACATGCCTGTCGCTAACGCTCATGCACAGGTCAATTGCAGGAGACTTCGGTGTGAGGCCCATCTACCGCTATCTCGGCATCTTCAGCATTCTCGGCTTGCTGCGTGTGCACGTCCTGCTGGGCGACTACACACTCGCTCTCAGGATGCTAGACGATATCGACATCAAGCATATCGTATCTCCCAATGTCGGCGAAAGGTTACACAACGTCAACTCGGCTCATGTTGCAACTTTCTACTACATCGGATTTGCGTACATGATGCTGAGAAGATACCATGACGCTATCGAGAACTTCTCACGAGGCGCACTGCATTTCTTCAGAACCCGCAGATTCACCCATCAAGCCGACCAGGTTCGTACATCATATTCACTTCTGCTTACGTTGAGCTGAGAGTTTGCATGTGCGCGAACAGGTGAGCAAGATGGTCGATCGCATGATCGGACTCATTGCAGTCTGCACTTCGCTCGCACCCGTCAAATTAGAAGAAAGGATCCGCTCGGACGTACACGACAAATACGGAGAACAGTCAGCGCGAATGCTTCGAGGCGGCTCAGAATCGCTCGAAGTCTTCGAAGAGCTCTGGCTGCGAGGATCGCCAAAGTACCTCTCACCTGTAGCGCCGCCTTACGAAGATATGTCTCGCATGCCAGACTATGTCAACTCGATCGCTGCCACCGATCCCACTCAACATCACCTCTCGCTCTTCCTTGCCGATGTCAAGGCTTTGCTCGTCGTGCCCGATCTGAGAAGCTTCCTCAAATTATATACATCGCTCGGTACAGCAAAGCTTGCCAACTTGACCGGCAAAACAGAAGACGAAGTTCTCAGCGAGTTGGCCGTCACCAAGGGCGCCTTCAAAACGCTAAAATGGCACGATGGCATTGGCGAGGGCGGTCTGCTGGATGGAGAGGAAGAGGTCGCTGGCGACATCGGCTTTGGTATCGATGACAGCGTCGTCACTATTGTCGAATCAAAGAAAGCTCGAGCCTATGCCGACTACTTCCTTCGAAGAGGTCAAAAGGCAAAAGAATCGCTCGAGTATATTCGTTCGAGACCCTTGCCGCCGCCTGCTAAGCCAGAACCTACCTCTGCTCAGCAAACGCAGCCAAGCGCTACTACCGCCGCTTCTGTTGCAGCCGCTGCCCCCGTAAAGCAGATGCGATGGGGCGCTACTGTCAAAGCTGCTTGAGCAATGCATGTTTACAGATGCGCGCTTTCATTTGCAACAACAGTGGACTTAGTACAGATTCCGGAGCACTTCATGAGGTGGGCCGCCAACAATGACGCATTCGTAGAGATCATCGAGCTTGATCAAGCGACTGGACTGGCGCTGTGCCGGGGTGAGCGCGTCTTCTGTGATGTCACAAAGCACGACAAAGTCGTAACCTTGCAGCTGCGCATCCTCGTCATCTGCCGTGACAATCCTACTGTACGTGCATCCAAGCGTGAATAGGAGCTGTCGCGCGAGCTTGTTCTGAAGCGTCGCTATGGCTTCAGCGCTATCCAAGACTATTGTATAAGGTAAGCCTACCTCTGCACTGTCTGGGCTGTTGCAGTAGCAAGCCGTAACCAAGCCGCTGAAGATGAGAGCGGCTCCAGAGCATGCTGCTCGAATCGCAAGCCAATCGGGATCGAGGGAAGCGCACATCTGCAGGCCAGCAACTTGACAATCGCGCGTAGTCGAATAGCCGCTGCCGAGTGAGCCTTCAAGGTACCAAGGTCGCATGCTGTTGCTCTGCGTGCATCTTTCTACCCAGGTGTGACGTACACAAGGGATCATGAGAGCCAAGCAGCGCACAAAGTCTGGCGTCCGAGCGGGTGGTGATTGACCAACGCAGAAGATGCCCTCGAATGAGTGTTGTTCTTGTCTGGGCGAGTTTGTTGCTCGAGATTGAGAGACAGAGACTGCAGTGTCACAGAGAGACGACACATCTGACCAGACTTTGCCTCCATGAAGCGTGATGCGAGTCTCCATTTGCTTCCTCAGTTGGTCCGGTAAGCAAAGCACGAACACGAAATTCTCGAATACTCGTGCTTGCCGCTTCCCCTTTTGGCCCCTATACTCTTGGTATTGCCGTACCATCTGCTTGGGCTGATCAACAGATTGTCGGCAAGTCTGGTAGTCGAGTGCGGTCTCTGGCGTTGGCTGACGTGCTTCTTGAAGATCCTGTTGGACAGAGGAGGGCTTCTCGTGCAGTCGTACCTGACCTATCCCATCTCCCTCATGCGGCCTACTGTTCTCAGACTCAGCAGAGATCGCCTCGATCGCGCTGCACTTTCGATCTGCCGCAGGTACAGCTATCTCAGTGTCTTCAGCCGGTTGGGCATGCGATGAGTCATCTGTGGAAGGACGCTCTCGGCTAGGCCTTCTAAGTCGCGCAGACCTTCTTGCAGGTCTACGAGTTTCGCCAGAGCTTCGTTCGGGATCGGGCGCTGCACTTGCCGCTTTGCGTGGGACCGGTCTAACAGGCGATGCCTGACTTGCAACAGGAGCAGTGAAGGAATGCGATACTTCTGGTCGTTCCCCTGCTTGCCCATCGAAGTGCTCGTTGCCATCAAAGCTGGTTTGAGTAGCAGCGCGAGGACTAATGTCCGGTGAATCCCAAGAATCGTGTGCAAAAATTCGTTTGCTTTTCCGCTTGACTTCCAGGTTGCGACCTGATCGCCAAGCAAACGGCTTCAAGATACGCTCGGCATGATACGGCGACGTGCGAGATTGGCTTGTCAGCAAGAGCTTGCGCGGGCTCGTTTTCTCCTGTTTGATGACCTGTCGGCCAAAGATGCTTTTGGGCGATAGCTCAGGCGAGCTACCAAGTGTGATGATGTCGCGATCATGCGCAGCAATTGGTGTGAGATCGACACTTGCGAGCGAAGCGCTAGGCTGCGGAGCCTGCGAGGAGGCGGGGAGACCGAGATGACTATCGCCCTTTGAGCAACTTGACGTAGATGTTGGAGCAGACGGACTGTCCGCTTGCTGCTGAGGAATCGCAGGACTCGACTGCGGCGCAGGCCGGTCGAGGGGTAAGAGCGACGTCACATCAAAAGTAGCGGTCTGCGTATCGCCCGTGATAGTCGCGTAGCTGAGCTCGTCAATTTGCAAGCGCGCTCTCTTGCGTGATGGGCTCGATGACTCGTGCGATCTGCGTGCATCTGATGATGCAGATCCTTGCCCCGTGTCGTTATTGTCTTTGCGAGTCAGAGGGCGCTGCAAGGACGCAGCATGCTGCTCTTGCCTGAATGAGAAATCCTCGATAGGCGAGCCTGGTACTGATCTACTGTCTGTCTTCTCGGCGACATGTACTTTTGTCTGGCAGGTCGGAATATGCGCGGGCGAATCGAACTGACCAATGGTCGTCTCATCCGCTTCTGTAGACTGAGCATCAGGCGCCTGTGTCACTGCGTCCATACGTAGAGGCTGTAGGTAACCGCTGAGCTGAGTCTGGGATGCGTTTCTCCGATGAATGGGCGCAGGCTTGCTTCGGCCAAGTGGCAGGGGCTTAGGTAAGGGTCTCGGGTTCTCGTGAGAGGAAGCCGTTGCGTTTTGCCGCGCCCGATCTAACAAAGCTTGCAATCGAGCAGGACCCCCAGGGGCACGGGCCCCAGCTGTCTCTCTCGCTTCGCTACCTTTGACCATGTCTCCAAAGGTACGAGAGAGCGCCTCTTACACCTTTGCGTCTGCGCCAGAGCAGCTTTGCCTTGCTCCGCTCGAGCTGACGCGCTCTACGAATGAATGGCACTGTCTCGCGTCTCAGGTCCACCACACCGTGCCGAATCAGTCATGGCCTACATCCAGACCAGGTCACCCTATAGGCTTCTCTTCGTCAACTCATCATACTCATGTGGCATCTTCGAGAACCACCAAACTTGTTCTTCGATCTTCTTCTTGGCTGCATCAATGTTACGCGCATTAGCATACACGCACGAGCCCCTGGGACTGAGCGCAGTGGCACAATGCGCAATTCTGCTGCACAAACGACGAGGCATCTCTACACCTACAGACTCGGTTGACTTGCGGGCTCGTGGATATGGCGAACAGGCGCAACCATCTCACCGGTGAGCTCACACTAGTCATTTCCAGGGCGAGCTGATGATGTGCAGTGGACTCAACGGCTGACTTACGGTCTCGCATACCCACATCGCTAGCGACGCCTGTCTCCTGGACCTTCGCGGCTGGCTCTACTGCAGAACCTTGCCTGCCCTCTCCAGGATTATACCCAGCTGTAAGCGTTAGCAAGCTCAAGCACATCACTCGACCATCTCGAGCGCTGAGATGGACCGTGCTTATTGCAACCACTCTACTCGTCCTTTACGGCGTCTCACGGCCGTCAAGTATCGCCAAAGAGCGGTCAACCTTGCGCCAGCCAGCAATTATCGACGGCAAAGTACTTGACGAAAGCGATTTGAAAGGCCATGCATCTCTGGCCAGCTGGCACAGCTTGACTTTTGCAAGGCGACTGACACTGTGGCGTCAGGCTCCTAGCGTCAAGCAAAGTCATATCGGCTTTGAAAGCGTCGAGAAAGCATTTGACTTTACGATCTGCTTGGCCGGCAACGCGGAGACCGAGGACCAAGCACAGAGGGTGTACAACCAGTGGGCAGGCCTTTTCCCTTATGCTGCCTATGTTTGGGGCAATCAAAATACGACCACCCCTGGCTTCGAGAAGCGCGTCAGGCCTGCTCGAACAGATTCACTCCACTTTGTCCGTACTACCGGCAAATCGCACGCGTTCGCACATGGTCTGTAATCAGACATATGTCGATTATTTTGCTCATGCGGTCTGTGGGCAGGCTTACATCTCGCTGTCAAGACCATCAGCTCGCTTTACGAATGTGAATACATCTTCACGCACGATGACGATCTCTTCTTCTCCCAAGCGCCCCACCTACGCCTCGAGTCAAGCAGTCAAAGCCAAGACGAAGCTGTCCTGCTTGCTCGCCGATTGTATTTGCTGCTAGCTCAATACAGGCCTGCAATTGCTGGATTCCCTTGGGCAGTCGGTGACGAGCGGTTCCCTGCCATGACGGCCCTGAAAACGCACTTCTTCGGACAGCCAGTCGCACCTCTGACTGGCTTCGACAATGGTATGGTCATCTATCATGTCAGTCTCCTAGAGACATCCCACTCCGGCGCGAGACTGACATGCTGGCAGAAAACGACGCTGGATCTTTTCTTTCCCTTTGCGCCAAGAGGCGAAGGCGGCTTCGTCGGTAAATGGACGCTTGGCGCTCATTTCCTTCAGCTCTTCGCTCCTCTGATCTTCAAAGAGCATGCTATAAGGCTCAATGCCATCGTATACACCAATAGCGTCAATCTCGACAACCAACGTCCGAGCGCAAACGCCAAGATCGTCATCGAACACGGGCTGGCGCATATGTCGTGGTCAAGACATGAATACGAATTCCCGCAGAACGCTGCTTATATCGCCTTTTTGCGCTCTGGTCTGATCAATCGCACCCAACGTTTCGGTCGCTATATGACTCTCGCGGACGTGAGCTTACCAAAACCATATGGGGAGAAGGGCTATTCGCGCGAATGGATCGTCAGTCGTCTTGCAGAATTCTACGACCCCTTGCATGAAGCTGTCAGCAATGTCCCCATGCTTCAAGACTTCAATCGTGCTGAACTCGCATCGCTAAGCCCGACGGCATTCAGTATCAAAATTATCATGTTCACCTACAATCGCATCGATAGTTTCAAGCGAGCTTGGCGAGCAGTGTCGCAATCCCATTCGATCGATCTCCCTGTCGCAATCGAGATACACATCGACTACGATCCAGAGATGTCCCAAGAGCGCCGTGCCGAATATGCCGAGCTGCTCAATAGTCTGTCTTTACCTTGGGCAAATGTCACACTGCAACGCGTCGCTTCTCGTCTGGGTCTTAAGCAGCAAGTGCTAACAAGGTGAGCCGGATACATCGTTGCGTCGGCGCAAGGCTGACAGCAATCGCATTCAGCTGGCGCCCGACGAGTAACAACGAGTATGCAATTATGATCGAGGACGACATCGAAGTTTCGCCCTACTTCCTGCAATACGCTCAGAAGATGATCTTAGCGTACGCGCATAGTCAAGACAGAGGAGATCATCGACTGTTTGGCATCTCGTTATACAACCTACGCTACAATGAGGCAACCGAAAGCTTCTTACCTGACACGCGGCCGAAAGGCGTCTTTGCCTTCCAATGTCCCGTCTCATGGGGTCAGTCACCACAATGCAACAAACCAAAGGCAGTGCTGAACTTCTAGACAGGGGCTATATTCTTCCCAGAGCCATGGCGCCGATTCCTGACGTACGAACGTGACATCTCGAAGCGGGGCATTGATCCAATAGCGCCAGATATGTTGACGAATCGATGGCCTTATCAGGCATCCTGGAAGAAGACATTCTACCGCTTCTTGATCGAAAGTCGCGGCTATCTGCTATTCAACAATTTGCCTGGCGAGCTATCGTTCTCGACGAACCATGTCGAAGTCGGCACAAACGACAAGCCTCACAATGCATATGCCCATAAGCTCATCGAAGCCAAATTCACAGTACCTCTACTGCAAGACCTACAAGATCTACCATACGGCTACGAGCCTTTCGCCACGCCATCGCTTGCACAGCTACCGATCTACTCACCCCAATTTGCTCAGCTGAACAGTCTGCACGATCTCACCGGCGGCGAAGACGAAGTATCATCTTTTGACAAGTGCACCATGATCATGACAGTTTATAGCAGAAACGCCACCATCATCGATCGACTGAGGCACTATCATTCACTGCCCTATCTGGGTCAGATTGTCGTCATCTGGCAGAACCTCGAAGCGCCCTTGCCGCACATAACGGAAAGCGAGTTCAATGTACCGATTGCTTTCCTGCCAATGCAGCGGAACTCGATGAACAATCGCTTTGTAAATCACCCAGAAATCAAGCATTCCTGCATTGTCAACATGGACGATGATTTCGACATGCCGCACGAGCATCTGAAATACGCTATCGAGACATGGCGCGGTCACTTCTGGAATCACTTGGTTGGCTTCAGCCATCAAGGCCGCAATCACATCGTTCTCCCAGCGAACGAGTCTTCGTCCGAGAAGACACTGTACTCACCTACCTTCATGTCACCGCAGTTGCTAGGCGATAGGAAGCCATTCTATTCGATGGTCTTGCCGTCTGGCTTCATTTACCATCGCAAGTATCTCGTTGCGTACGAACACTTGCCATCCAGCGCCCATGAACTGGTGGACCGCACGAACAATTGCGACGACCTGCTTTTCAACTACCTTGTGGCCAATGCGACGCAATCTGGACCTATTCTGATCGATGCATGGGCATCCATGATCCCTTCGCTCGGTGTGGCAGGTTTATGGTCACGACCGACTCACATGGGTGTCCGGACAGAATGCCTTGAAGACCTCAATGCCATCTTCGGACACAATCCATTGCGGTACACCACCACGATGTTCAAAATTCAGCACGAGACGACAGTTCCTGGGTTGCATCACCACGCTTCGCAAATTGAACTACCGCATCGATATCCGTGCAACAGGACACTCTACGATCTTACCGGATCATGCTCGCTTGACATCAGCGCCAAAGCGCCAGCGATATGGGTGTGAGCGCGATCAAGAGCGAGCACAGACCCTCACCGCTCTTACTCTAGACAAGTAGGAACGGGCTCTCAATGCATGTCCATTCCTCATATCCCCATGTCCTTGCTGAAGCATCTCGCAATCGATTCAGACGATGTGGCTGCTCCTTATTGTGCTTGCATCCATCACCTACGCGTATTGGCGACGACGCGCTCCTACATCAAAACATGCGCCTTATTATGCTTCGAAAATTCCCATCGTTGGCGGAGCCATCGAGCTTGGTACGGATCAGGACAAGATGTATGAGAGTATCCAAGGTATGGGTGGGGTCGCGCGCTTGCGACTGCCAAGGCAAACGCTAGTCACCGACCGGAAAGCTATTCGCGCAATATATGCCACCGGTGGCGCTCAACTTTCCATGGAGATGATCAGAATGGACATACATGCTTCCGTCTTCGGCACATCGAAAGCTGCCAACGTGATCGCAAAGATCAAAGGCATGCATTCCATTCACTCGCGTGGCATCGCTACCTCCAAGACCGGCGTATGGCTCGATCTCTTTGCCGATGTCATCCGCGACAAGCTCATGCACGAAGCCGAGCTTGTGCACACGCCCATTATACTTCTCGACTGGATCGGTGCCATCATCTACGAAAGTTCATCACGCATGATGTTTGGGCCAATGTACGACGCGACGGGCATGCTGGCTGCCTTCAGAGCATTTGATGCAGGTTTCCCGCTGCTCGCCGCTGGCGTACCTTCTTGCTTCTTGCCTGCCGCGATCAAGGGACGAGAGCAGCTTGTCGATAGCTTCGAACGATGGCTACAAGAAGGCGGTGATGCGTATGCCTGCCCAATGACGAAAGAGATGGCTGCCCATCTGCGTTCCTGCATGTCTCTACGCGACGCAGCGACCTTGCACATGGGCGACAATTGGGCTCTGCAAGGCAATACAACATATGCGGTCTATTTTTGTCTCATCTTCATCTACCAAAGGCCCGACCTGCTCGCTAAGATTCGCCTCGAGCTGCGAGCCCATCTGCAATCCGATCCAGAGCTCTCAGGCATCGAGGCAGCACGCGATCTGGTGCTGAACATCTCCAAGCTTGGCTCTGAGACTACCGATGCTTTGCCATATTTGACGGCTGTCTTGCTCGAAACGCTGCGTGTCTGTACGTCCACGTTCTCCATCCGCAAAGTAGAGCAAGATATGTCTATCGCGACTACAAAGGGCTCGTTTGCCGCAGCCAAAGGCGAGTACCTCATTTGCTGCGTTCGAGCTGTTCAGATGGATTCCGAAGTCTGGCGCGATCCGAAGATCTGGCGACCTGAGCGCTTCCTTACAGACAACGCGGACGGCCACATGAATTGCACATTGCCTAGCAGCGATGACTTCTTGGCCTTTGGCGGCGGCATCTCTCGCTGCGAAGGCCGACATCTCGCCCAAGCGCAGATCAAATGCTGTCTGGCGCTCGTTCTGACATTGTTTGACATTGAAGTCTCCGGATGCGTCGATCAGACAGGTCGCGACAAGTCTTCATTGCCCTTGCCAGACGGCTCGGGAACAGGCATGTGGCCCGGTTTCGAGTCGTCGCGGGTCGGCATGGGCATGATGCATCCAGATGGGGGAGTCAGAGTTAAGCTTAGCACAGTATGCTGAAAGCTACGCGCAAACAGATGAGGTGCAGTCGCGGTTGTACAATGTAGATGCGTCTAGAATGTCCTTGCGAAAAGCAGCGAGAAGAGGCCAAGCAGCAGCTCAGGCCGGAACAGAGTCATGTAGCTGCCATTCGTGGTCGTCGTTGTCGTCTGAATCTCCAGCCCTGTGCCCTGACAACGCTATTGATGAGAATATCATATGTCAGTCATTAGTCACTCAGGATGCGAATTACGAACGTTGTTCGCTGTAGTCGGCCAGCAGCTGATATATTTGCAAAATTCGCATGCGTTCTGTTTTGTTATGGTCAGCTCGCTCGGTCCATGTGGTGCTGATGTGCGTACATTTGGGTCGACAGTGTAAAAGTTGCGGATGAGCAGCACAAACATAAGCACGATGCCAGGCGCGGAGATTGCGCGCAACGTGTATAAGATGACTCGTCGACGCTTTGTATGGTGTATGACCGGGTAGAGCAGTATCGAGCACGTCAAACCCATTGCAAAACCCTACAGACACGCGTCAATTAGATCCTGACCGATATTCGAGGCACGTACGCCAATGTGAGAGAAGTTGTCGACGCCAGGTACATAGCCCAAGCCAAAGCCGAGTATGATTTCGATCAGAAGGAAGAAGAGTTTCTTCCTCGGCGACGGCTCCAATCGCCAGTGTGCGACCAGATCGACGAACACCGAAGCGTGTGTGCCATATATCGCGCCTGATGCGCCTACGCTGGGCAGACCGACAAGAGCAAAGTTGCCACCCAGAATAAAACCGAAAATGCCAGCGGGAAAGTAGAGCAGACTGTCTGCACGTCAGGCTCATTCGCGCGCGAGAGGTAGGACGTACAAGAACCGCAAGGACCCCATCTGCCGTTCGACTTCGGCCGAGCTCGTCACTTGCACGAGCAGATTCAACGCCTGCGAGAGAGTCAGAGATGGCTGTTGCAATCCATGGACGATGCGCACGATGTGGACCAATCCGGCATGAACAAAGATGGGAAGGACGAAACGAAAGCCTTGATTAGGCACCTTGCCATCAAAGCCTCCAAATCCGCAGATCTGTTCCAGCGAGCACAGCGACGTTGCAGGATTGGCAGTGTTGTTCAGACATGGAAATTGTAGGCCTGGGTTGTCTGTGATCGTGGGCACTGATTTCATGCCTGCTCGAAGAGTCAGCTCGATGCAGAGGTCTAGCGAAGGGCGTACATGGATCAAAGCGTGCACCATTGTTGATGAGCACCCATGTGCTCGGCCCGAGCATTGGATTGATGGTTGGCTTGAACGAGAACGGCGAGCCTGTCGCTTTCGACTGTTCAGTCGTGTCAAGTCAGTGTTGCCCTCAAACAGAGACGATGAACAGACCTGATTGACCATCTCGACAGCAAAAGTAGCGATCATGGCCAGACTGAGTATCCAGACGACAATGGGGTGCTTCTGCACGCCAATGCCGCGTCGATGATTGTCGACTTTTTGCTCTTGATCCGTCGTATCGCGTAGATTGCGCCAGAAAACATTCGGTCTAGGCGGAAAGACGGGTCTTGCTTGTCTACCCCGTAACCGGGGTGGATATGCGTGATCTCCATCTTCCATGTACTTCCCATCTGCAGCATCGTACTCTTTTGTCATAGCCGTATCTGTCGAGAAACGTTGCCTGCCTGCCGGCAGGATGGCGCAATTGACCAGTCGCTTCTCATCGTCATCGTCGTAGAGTGTCTGCGCATCTGATGGCCGTGGAGCATGTTGTGCATACGCAGCTGAACGATAGCTAGGCGCCTGCAAGCTCATCGTTGATCGCAGCAAATCATGCTGCTCGCGCGAATAGACATTATGCGGACTCGCTTCCTCCTCTTCCTGTCGATTAGATACTGCCCGTCCAAAGTAGTCCGGGTCTCGGCCAATTGTGGAACCCGGATACGGATCGTTCATGTCGATGCCTCGAGCTCCCGCTGCATGTGCTCGTATGGGCGTGTAGGTCGCCTCAGGTACAGCGGCAGGTGATCTCGCACCACCGACGTTGCTGATCGAGTCGTATGGATACAGCGATTCCGCGTCATCTAGGATATCTCGCGACGTTGATCGAGTCATTGTGCTGACGCCCAGGTAACCTTGCGGGCCTTGAGCCGGCTTCTGCCACTGATCAAAGCTCAGACTGTAATCAGGCTGGAAGCTGCTCGTGCGTGGCCGTCTCTCGGCTAGAGGGATCTGCGGCTCCGCACGTGTAGGCTTGCGTTGGCTGTAGAGCGCAGGTACGCTGGGAACAGGTGGTACAGCAGGATGCTGCGTGGTCTTCTTGCCGCTCTGACCTCTGCTTGGGCCACCCCTCGGCGCATCTGCTATCGTCTCTGCCACGCCGGAATAGTAGCGCGAGCTCGAAGGATCTTGGCGGGAGGAGGGTAGCGGGGAGGGTGTCCTGCTAGCATCACGACGAGAGGGCTGGGTTCGTTGTGGAGCATCTTGCCTACTTGAGCTGCCTGTATGCTGTGCATAGTCAAAGTAGCCGTCGTCGCCTTGGTCATCCTCGTCGAAGCTTCGATCGTGAACTCCCGAATAGTCAAGAGATGACTGCGCAGGCGAGTAGTAGGCATCTTGCTGCCACTCTGCAGCATTGAACACAGCTCGCTTATCAGGCTGCACTAGCTCATCATGAGCTAGTCGCCCGCCGTTTGCGAACATTGGTAGCTTTGTGACGACTCGCTCTCGTCAAACGCTGCCAAGAGATGCTATCGCTTCTATGCGTCTGACATCTCGACAGCAAAACGGAAGGATCGCCGTCGCGTCTTTACCAGTCGCGTAGTCACGCGCGGCAATGGCCCTGCAGATCACTTGTCGGCGACAATACAAATGGGTATATGTGATGACACAACAGAGAAAGCCATGCTAGACTGCAGTGACGACGCTCGTACTTACAGCAACAGGTGCAGGCGCGTCAGAGGATGCAGGCGGATTCAGCTGCGGCTGGCTACGCGTCTGCATAGGCTCGGGTCCGGCCTGACCGCGCTGATCGCTCGTCGGGGGCGATGGACGTGACAAGAACATGTTGCTTGATCGCCTGACCTCGTCCTGCGCTGGCGTAGATTGCACGAACGAAGTTTGCTGCGCGTAGTGCGATCCTGGGTGGTATTGCGGCTGAGCTTGAGCATAGCCGCTCTGGGGATGAGTCGGGTGCGCCGGGTGAGCTGGATGAGCGCTGGGATGCGGATGTTGAGCTTGTGAGCTGATAGGATGAGAAAGCGAGCCTTGCCAATTGATCGACGGCAATTGTGCTCTGCCCTGTTGGAAATTAAACCGGCTGCCAGCCTGCTGAAACTGTGCAAATGGATCGCCATACTGGAATGCAGGTTGCGAAGCCATGGTGAGGGCAGGCAACTGATTCAATTGAGCAGGATAAGTAGGCGGATAATCGTCCAGAGGGTAAAATTGGGACGAGGCAGCAGCAGCTAGATTGGGAAAGTTGCCTGCTCCTCTCTGCTCCGGTATAGGCATCCGACGACCGGCAAATCCAGATGGCTGTCCGATGTTACCGTAGCCGTTCGTGGGACCTTGATCAGAGCGCGATTGGTACATGGGTTGCGACATTGAATATGCGCCGAGTTGCGCAGTCGATGGGCCGGCGTACGAGTAAGATCTCCCTATCGGTGGCGCATTCTGGAAATAAGGCAAGTGCGGCTGCATGCTTGAGGAATGGTCATCTTCACCCTCGCCATCGTGTTCGGAATGACCGCCACCGGAAGCATGAGGCGATCCGATATCGGAGCTACCATCTGCTGATCGAATAAAGTTGGCAGGCACGTCTGGCAAGGGCGTGTGAGTCCGCTTGATATGCTTCGATAGCGTGATCTTGCGACAGAATGATCTTTCACACGCGTCGCAGACGTACGGTCGAGTACCATTGTGGACGCGACGATGTCTAGCGAGAGAGGATGAATCTGAGAAGCGTCTACCGCACTGCTCGCATGCATGAGGCTGTTGATGAGTGGCCAGAGTCAGCCGATCAACGCAACGATCTATTCGTGCGCACCTTTGCTCCGGTATGTGTACGATTGTGTACTGTCAATGCAGACCGCTGAATGAAGCTCTTGTTACATCGAGGCCAGTCACACTTGAAAGGCCTGTCGTTCGTATGAATCCGATTATGTCTGATCAGATCTGATCGACGCGCGAATGCCTTGCCGCATGTCTCACAAGCAAATGGCTTGTCCGATGGCTGGTCTGGGAAGTCTTCCTCCTCATCATCGTCCGGACGGGGCGCCCTTAGCGTTGGGGCAGGGCCGCGCTGACGAGGGCGATACTCTTGCTGAGGATGATACTCCTCTTCTTCGTCATCATCATTATCATCATCATGCTCTTGATGGTGAAGGAGGGAGCGAGATCTGGGGTGCACGTCTTGCTCAGGTTGCCAATCTGCATCTTCGTCGTAACGAGCCATCGGTGACAGTACAAACGCTTCGACTTGACGCAATAGTCTGAGCGGGTAGGTATGTTCGTCTGAGCAGACCCTCGAGGTTGTGCTCGGAGGTCCGACGAGAGCGCTCTGGGAGTGCGATCAATGCGAATGGCTATAAGAGTCACAGCAGGCTCGTTCGCACGCTCGGTGTTCCAAAGGCCCGAGCGATGACCTTGAAGCGGAAGCGAACAAAGCGTCTTCTGTGAGGCCTGAGCACGTTCGAGAAAGTCGAGATAGTCAGGATGTACGGATGCTGGCTGTCGGCTTCCATCGCAACGCGTGTCATGGTGAACGTTGCCCAAGATAGTCGCTTAGCAATAGGTGTCATAGCGGGTCAGCCGCTTGTTGGCTAGCCAGTTTTTGCTTCCTAATCGCTGCTATAAGCTGCTTGAACTGGTCTTTGTGGGTGTCCTGCCAAAGCTTTGAGCAAGCTCTCGTTTTCGAGACGCGGGAGAGCTCACATAATGGCTTTTGATCGCGCTTGTCGGGTTGGGCTTATCGCGTTCGGAAGAAAAGGTGGCCAGAACGGGCGCAAGCTCAACTGCTTGCAACCTCTCCCATTTTGCTAGCTCCTTCTTGATCTCTTCGTGCGAATCCGGCTTCTCCGAATCAAGGTTGGCGTTGTGTAGCATGATGAAGCGGTGATGACGATCTCGCAATGTATCAATCTCTCCTTCCGCAGGCAACATCATCTCCTGCTCGACCATTATCAGGCGCATATATATGTATGCTCTGCTAGACTGACCTGTAGAAGTTTCTTGAGCTGCGGCTTTGTCTTGTTGGCATAGTTGACTTTTGCGATTCTTTTTCCAGCAAAGGGGAATACACTGCTGCGCGTCAGCGGTGAGTGCTATCGATCGGATACTGGACTTACGGTGGAGCTGTAGATTGCATGCCTATGGATCCCCATCCTTGCTTCGCAGAGGTCTGCGCGGAAAGGCTCACACATCGCCCGACGGCATTGCCATGTTCATCCGGTTGGCCTTTGCAGACCGTGAGATGGTTGGCGGCATCGCCATTACGTAGCTTGCCGTCGCACACGGGGCACTGGACAATCGTCTTGACTGCACGTCACAAGGCGTCAAAAGCAGAAGCATTCAGGCGCGCCAGACGCACCATCGTCCATGTTGATGACTTCGAGGCTAGATGTCGGCTCGTCTACTGCTTCAACGGAGCTCGCTTTGCTGTCAGGCTGATCGTCGTCATCGAGTACGATGGGCTGATTGTGCTTGCCATTGCGCTGCGGCTTGTACTTACCCGAGCCATTGGTGACGGCTGGAGAGTGTTTGGGTCGCTTGGTAGAGCGAGACTCATTTGACGGACTGACTGATCGTCGCTTGGTCTTTGCAGACCTTGTGAATCGTTCCAAGAGGCTGGCCCTGAGCTCTTGGGTAAATAGAGCGGCGGACAGGTCAGAAAGGGACGTACCTGGCCGCAATAAAGGCATTGACAGCTTGTTCGAGCGCCGGTTCCGCTCTGAGCTGTCCATCATTCGCTTTGACGTGACAGGTAGGGCATTCTGATTGACGGGTCATGTATTCTCTGGCACAGATCGAGCAGAAAGAGTGCCGGCAAGTCGAAGCGAGCATGACTGGACGAGTATAGTAGTCTGAGCATATGGGGCACCGCAAAGCTTCGTCCAAGCTGGCAAGTGACCTGTCTGGCCAGTCTGAGGGCGTAGACACTTCGAGCCGGTCTTTGCTGCTCGACATGGCGCAGGAAAGGCTCAGAAGCTGGACAGAGGTCGACACGACTTGGTCGACCTTGTCGCGATCGATTGTCGACTGTCGGCTCGCTGCTCTCGATTGTGACCGGCTCAGCATGGATCTGAACGTCAGAGACACCGTCATCTTCTTCGGCGTCGTCGGCGTCGCACTCTCCATAGCCAAAGGCATCTCAGGACCTCCTCATTTCCGCGACAGGCTTGCCGTCATCGTACGCCTTACTCTGGAGCGTCAGTCTACCTTGCTCACAATGGACATGTCTTCAGCCCGAAGCTGTGAGCGGACTAGACAATGCGTTCTATGACAATCACGACTGGGACACGCCGGAGCATCCCCTGCTCAAAGTGAGTGGCTCTTTCTATCGCTATCAGGCTCGACTATCGCTGAATTGATTTGCAGCTCAATGCAGCCAGACTGCCTTACTTTGCTCAAAAGCTAGAGCGACATCTTGCCACAGATCAGCCAGCCAAGATCCTCGACGTAGGCTGTGGTGGCGGAATCCTCACCGAAGCGCTTGCACGTCACAAATCACCGTCATGGCACTTTACAGGTCCGTCTCGCACCTCCCCCATTCCTCGCAAAGCTCACACAGGACGAAGAGCAGGTGTAGATATCAGTGCACAATCTATAGATGCAGCGAAGAAGCATGCAAGCAAGGAAGACGTCGCCAATGTCGACTATCGCGTCAGTTCGGCTTTCACACTGCCTTTCGAGGACGCGAGCTTCGATGCCGTCATCTCGTCCGACGTCATCGAGCATATTCATGATCTGCGAAAGTACGCATCTGAGGTCACTCGAGTGCTTCGACCGGGCGGGATCTTCGTTTTCGACACGATCAATCGAACGTGGCAAGCCCATCTGTTCGCCATCGTACTCGCGCAACAGATCTTGCGAATCATACCGCCCAATGCACACAGCTCGGCCATGTTCGTCAAACCAGACGAGATACGCTATCTGCTCGGATCTCACCAGCTAGACGTTGCTCCCGAATCAGAACGAGTGGGAATGTATCCCACCCTTCGTCCCGGTAGATTCCTAGAAACTCTATACGGTTCCATGCGAAAGAGAGGGGTGCAACAGACTGCAGTGGCATACTACAATGGCGATATCTCGCCCGTACTGATCGGACCATTCAAGCAAACAGAGAGTTACAAGGAGGAATCGTATGCGTGGTATGCTGTCAAACGAGCCTGAGAATGCACGCGCTTGCTAGACTTGGGCGCCCCATCTCTGGAGCTCCGATCGAAGTTTGCTCACTCGTTTGACGGTCTCTTTAGGGTCTGAGGATTGAAGTTTGGCCAGATCTGTCCAGAGACCGAGCGCCAGCCTCGGATCGATGCCCGAGTTGGATAATATCCTGCCTTAGCCCTTTAGCTCCTGCGAACTGTCGGCAGAGAATGAACGTTACCTGAGAGAGACGGCATCCGCTTCCACTTCTCGATGAAACGAAGCACATCGTTCGCAGACTTCAGAGATCATACACTCTCGGACGGCAGACCGATCGGATTCTGATCTTGCAGCATTGACTCCCCAAAATTCATCAAGAGTGGCTTTGACGGCGTCATTGACGAATGGCCCGAAGAGAGCCGTGAAGGGATAGAGGATCGTCCTCGTTACTGTCGGTCCGCTTCAGCAAAAGCCCGGCAAAGAGCGAGCAAAGGAACCGACTATCAACTGCTGCGTGCCTTACAGACGGCCACAGATGCTTCATGGTAGAATAGGCTTCGATCGTATGATCAAGTATGAGATGGCTTAGCTCGTGCGAGAGTAAGATTGCCATCGACTTTGTTTCTGCTAAGGTCGGCTCATACTTTTGGGTGGGCGCGGATGGAGTAGCTTGCGTAGTGAGATCAGTGGGATGGAGAGAATTGAACAGGCCGCCAAAGAGGCCATGTATCCATCTGGTCTCCATCTGGCTTGCTGCAACAGGCTGTGTAGGAGGAGCTCTGACTCGTTCGGATGCATGCCGGTGAGTGATATAATCGACGAGACCTGAGAAAACGATGATGACGCCCCTGTTGCCGATACCGAACGCAAACGCATTGACGTCGTCTTTCTCCACCAGCAAGACATCGTACTCTGCTCTCGCATTGTCCGGATCGAATGGCATCTTCGGCAGCGGTTGTTGCAAATCATCAGGCGCGAGTAGCGTTTCGGTCGCGAGAGCATTGACGCCTAGCTGCAATTTACCCAGTGTATCTTTCAACCAGATATACCTCCAATCTGACTCCGGTATGATTCTACATGGTCTCTGCTCGTTCGAGTGATCGTCTGAAGAACGGAGAGGCTCAGAGCGTGCGAGAAGTTGATCGACGATAGGTTTCCACTGTTCGTGAGTTGCCGAGCCAGGCGGCAGGACAGTCTGCTGGAGCGCCCTCTTCTCTTCGTCAGAGATGTACAAAGTTCGCCAGCGACCGGTTATGGGCGTCTGTTCTGCCGCAGCTAGAACGGCGACGAGCATGAGTGCAAAGGGCGTGAGCAAGATCCAATAGACCAGTGTCTTCTTCGGACCGCGCTGGATACCAAACTTTGCAAGCGGGAAGAGTGACAGTGCAGTCTTTGATGCGACTTGCAGCGCTGAAGTGAAGGCGCTCGATTTGAGCAAGGCGACAATGACGACGGGCATTGCCGAACGAGACGCTGTATTACTCAAGTACCGTGCGGTCACCGGGCGCCATCGATGAAATGGACTGAAGGTCATGTTTGTCCTATGCAGGTTCGGATGTTGAGCTTGTTTTGGAAGATGATGTGCGCTCAAGGGGCGATCGTGCGACTGATTGATCGAGAAAGAGCTCGAGAGGCTATGACGTGTGAGTGTGCCCAAGGCGATAGATTGACTTGCGCCGATCATGCACGAGCTCGCTGCGAGGCACCTCCATCTTCCCGGAGGTTGCATGCCTATCAAGGGAGCCATGTTCGTACCTTCTGCCTGGGCAAGCCCCACTCACTCACTATCGTCGACGTTGGAGGCACGCGCGCGTGGTTTTGTGGTTTTGTTGGTTGGCTCTAAGTTCAGATCATCCGAGAGGCCAACGAAGCAAGGCTTGAGCGCTTCGAGCGATATATCCGAAGGAGAGGGGGAAGATGTAAGTCTGACTTGAGCGAGGGGCGAGAGAAGTGTCTCATGTCGAGCTCGGTTTCAGGTCTCGAAGGGGAGAATATGGCGAACGGTCAGCACTGCCACTCTGAGTGCTCGAGCAGATCAGCACTGACACTCTCTGGCTTGCTTCTCCGTCGACGCCTCCGCTGTCCGATCTGCAAATCATCATCTGCAACATGTCTTGGATCACCGCGCCCTATGCCAATCACAATCTCAGTAACGGAGGTCAGCTCGAGCTCGGCCTTGTCTGATCTTGCAGTGCTCACCATCGTACTTGGCAGATCATCATTTTCCAACACGTCCAGTCGACAAGGAAAAGGTGCATCACATCCCTCGCCAGGGACGAGACAGAGCTGAATGTGCGAGCGGAACAAAGGCCGAAGCGGAACTGTCACTGAACATCAAGAAGGCCTGCTCGCCCGAAGAGACTGCTCCCAAAGCCAAGCATGTCCGAAGTTTGTATCCTTGCCTGTCACCTCTGTCGACGGTGACTGAGCTATGAGGACAGAGTGCATCGTATACACCTGGGACTATCATTCGTCGCAGTCCATCTGGACTGGCCTGCGAGTCCAGCCTATCCTGTCAGACGAGATACAGACCTTCAAAGCACTCATCGTCGTCCATAAAGTGCTGCAAGAAGGTCATGCTTGCGTGCGTTGTACGCTTAGCAGCCTCGGTCGATGTACTCAACTCGGCGCGCTTGCAGGCGATCAAAGAAGGACAGGCGCAAACGGGCTGGCTCGAGACGTGCGCGAGGACCGTAGGCAATGATGGCGCGAGAGGTCAGCTTTGCGTAAGCGATGGAAGCGACGCTCATACTTGAGAGCTCAGGCTATGGCTCACTCATTCGGGCTTACGTCACACTCATCCTGCACAAGCTCAAATTCCACAAGAACCATCGCGAATTCAACGGCTTGTTCGAGTACGAGGAATACATCTCCCTCAAAAACATCGACGATCCCAATGAAGGGTAACCCGCCTTGGTCTGCCTCGTCCTGCAGCTGATGCCTTGGCAGGTTTGAGACGATATCGGATCTGATGAACCTACAAGACACCATCGACTCTTTCCAGAAACTCATTTACGCTCATTTCAGAGGCTCGACCAACAACGAGTGTCGAATCTCCGCACTCGTTCCTCAAGTCAAAGAGAGTTACGGCATCTACCGCTTCATCACAAGCATGTTACGCGCCATGCACAGACGTATGCGTCAACGCCGTCGCCAGCTTTTGCTAACGTAAGTTATACAGGCACGGATGCAGCAGATGCACTCGCCGGGCTAGTCGATCGGTACAATGCTCAACATCGCAACCTGCGCAAGTTCTATTACGAATGTGCCAATCTCAAATATCTCACTGGTCTGATCAATGTCCCAAAGCTGCCTCACGTAACTCTCTGCGTCACTCAGAAGCTATTGCTGACACGCTTCGATAGGATCCACCCAATCTGCTCGATAGCGGCGACGCGCCCGATCTTCCTCGACGGCCGCAAGCAGCCCAAACACCCAGACCACAGACGCCTAAAGATGACGTAGACGAACAAGCTCGCATGCTCAAAGAGTTTGAAGACAAGAAGCGAGAGCAAGAGCGTCTGCAGCGTCAGAGGGAGGAGGAAGCTGCCAGGCTTGCTGCCATGCAATCTCAGCAGCAACGCGACTTTGAAGAGCAGAAACGATTGCAAGCCGAAAGAGAACGGAAAGCGCAGGAAGACTTGCTCAACAATCAGTACAGCAATCAAGCTGCTGGACGTGCGGCAGAGCTTGAGAGAGAGATTCTTGCGATGCGTGGACAATACGAGCGGGATCAGATGATGCTCGAACAGTACGACAGGGTGCGTTGCTGCTCCTGCTCCTGCTCATGATCAAGTCTGAACCTTCGTCGGGTATCGTCGGGTAGAGAGTCAAAGCGCTCGAGATGGAGCTCGCCACAATCGGACAGAATGTGCAGGCCCAGCTCATGGGCAAAGACGACATGCTCAGATCACTGCAAGATCAAGTCACGCTCTGGAAGAACAAGTACGAGGCTCTCGCGAAGCTCTACTCTCAGCTTCGAACGGAGCATCTCGACATGCTCTCGCGCTACAAGCAGATGCAACTCAAAGCGAATTCTGCACAGGAAGCGATTGACAAGATGGAGAGGATGGAGCGAGATCACAAATCTAAGAACCTCGAGTTGGCCGATATGATCAAGGAAAGAGATCGAGCGAGATTCGATTCTGATAGAATGAAGTCAGGTCACAAGGACGAATTGGAACGATTACGACGCGATTTGCGCTTCGCCGAGGAGCGCGCTGACGATGCTACGCGCAACAAGAGCTCAGAGACCAAGAGCTTATTGGCCAAATACAACAGGCAGATGACGGAGCTCGAAGACTCTCTACAAGTGAGTGCAGAGGGTGTTCAGCCGGAATTGGCCAGCTAATACCTCGCACGACAGGCCAAGCAAGATGAGATCGAGAGATTGCTAAAGCAAGTCAACAATCACGAGACCGATATAGCCCGAGTGCGCGCAGAAAAAGACCAAGAGATCGAGATTATGCAGCATGGTATGGACGAGACTATACGGCAGCTCAGCGACGTGCAGATCACTCAAGGCGCTACGGATGAGGCTCTCAATGCGCAGATCGACATCATGGCGCTTGATCACAAGAAGAGCTTGAATGCCATCATCGATTCAGTCTTACAAGCCTGTATAGACAAAGTCGACGACGCTCGCTACGAGATCGAGAGCCCTATGCACGCCGGCAATTCCAATGCAACGCCCGCAGTCACACTGTCCATTCTAGAAAAGGCCATCATCTCTACACAGGAATTTGGCGAGGTTTTCAAGAATCATATCGATCAAGTGCCAGGTGGCGAACATGTCGAGGTCATCAAGACTTCCAATGTCTTTGCTCAAGACATCGCAGACCTCTTGCTCAACACCAAAGGCATCACACGGTTGACTGCTCGCGACGAGGATGCAGACAAGCTCGTCGCCGAGGGAGCGAAGCCAGGCGCCATCGCTGTCGACTTTTTCAAAGCCTTGCAGTCATTCCGCTTGGTTGGGACGACAGACAAGCGGGGTCTTGTCGATAGACTCGAGAACAGCACAGAAAATGCACTGAACGGTCTGAATGCGGCGATAGATCGCCTGATACCCAAAGCAGATCAGAACCTTGCAGGCATTTCTGTCGATAGCGCTTTACAGGGAGCGGCCAATGCTATCATGGCAGCTTCTCGCAAGCTACAAGAACTGATGTCTCGTTCGCGAGATGGCACGCAATTCTCTGCATCAGAGATCAAAGTCCACGATGATATCCTGGCGGCCGCTCTAGCAATCACAGCTGCTATTGCTGAGCTCATCCGACGAGCTACAGCGTCTCAGAAGGAGATCGTCGCTCAAGGGCGCGGATCGAGCTCTGCGCAAGCCTTCTACAAAGCCAATTCGCGCTGGACAGAGGGTCTCATCAGCGCCGCGCGAGCAGTAGCAGACTCCACCACATTGCTCATTCGGACGTCTGATGGCTTGATCCAAGGCACGGCATCCCTGGAGGAAGTCATCGTTGCCTCCAACGAAGTGGCGGCTGCAACGGCACAACTCGTCGCCGCTTCTCGCGTCAAGGCAGACTTGCGTTCGCCCACTCAACTCGCGCTCGAGCAAGCTGCACGAGCTGTCACTGACGCATGTAAGGCGCTCGTCAGGCAAGTCAGAGCTATCACTGCCGCCCAAGGGCAAGCGCGCGGCCTAGGAAATCTGACCTCCATGGAAGGCAAGTCTGCCTGCTTGCCCTCGCTGACTTTTCTGACAAGTTTTGCATGTGGTAGATCACTCCTTCAAGACCCTCTATTTCAATACACAAGTTGATATCGCGAAACTTGAGCGAGAGATCGCAGAGAAGAGGCGGCAACTTGGCGAAATACGTAGAGAGGATTACCGCCGTGCGCCGCCAGAGATTTGAGCCGTATATGCTCGCCAGTGATGTAACGAATGGTACAATTTGCTTCCTTGCCTTATAGGAGGGCACCACCTTGCGCATAGTCGCTCATTTAGAGTGAGACGTCTTGTCTGTGGCGCACTGTGACAGCAGCAGTCGTCGCCCTCATCGCAGCGCCCCAGCTGATAATGCGAGTCTCGCACCATGCAGTCAGCGCACTGCAGCATCCGTGTTGCGTTCCTCAGCTTGCAGATGCAATTCGTCAACAACATCCTCCGGTTTATAGTCATCTAGTCATGTGTGTCCATTTTGCGACGGCGCATCTGGCGATCCTGAGCGCAAAGGAGCCATATGCTTCACGCGTTTCCTGAGCAGATCAAGCCTTGCCGAATCGCCTTCATTTCGGATGCGCAAGTGATGATTGACATCCTGCCTTGCCGCATTAGTCTCGCCAATATGCAGCGCTGAAGAACTTGCATGCTTCGTGAGCATGCCGGCAAGCCGACCGTGCTTCACAAAGATGATATGCCTGAGACCCTGTTGCCGATGTGAGCTTTACATCGTTCGCTCATGCACGAAGCGCGTACCATTCGTTGGAAGACCTGTATGACGACTTCCATTGGCATGCCTGGGGACATCACAAACGGCGTTTGCTCTACCCATGCGCGCAGATCGACGCCTTCATCGCGGTCATCAATAGTCGAATAGCCTCGCATAGGCATCGCAAGCCGACATATGCTGTCGTCCGTAGCGCCAAGCTGCGTACGTGCGTGTTCTACAGTAACCGTCAGCGCTGCGGTCGTCCGACCGCAAGAGACGCACCGAGAGCCTGACCAAGCTCTTCCCGCGTAGCGTAAGACAGGAATGTCTTTGCGTTGTCATTGTCAATAACGGGGAAGCCTCGGTAGCGCGTCGCGTTGAGCAGACGCTCAACTTCGATGATGGACATCGACATGTCGCTTAGACAGGTTATTGCTCCAGCGCCCGTCATGACATCGGACGCCAGTAGCGTATCGTCACGATACTCAATCTTTGTGTTCAAGAAGGGAAAGTGGCCTGAGTGAGCAGTCAGCAGCTGCCGCGCCATATGTGCAGAGACGTGCGCAAATTGATCCAAGCTTCGTAGATGCCATCCCTCGAAAAGAAGTCGCCTACAAACTTGGAAACAAGGACGCATAACATGACTTGCATCACGAGTGAGACTGCGCCAGTGAGCTCCATGACGATGACGACGAGCGAGACTGTCATGCGAGTAACGCCGGCAAGAGCAGCAGCAGATCCCAGGACAGCGTAGACAGATGGCGAAATACAAGCTCCGTCCGCTGGACAGCTCGAGAAGATCCACAGATGAGCTTGTTCGCGTTGCCACTTTGCAAGCAATATGCCAAGCGCACGACCGAAGCAGCCGCCGATAGCGATAGTCGGCATAAACAAGCCTGCAGGCAGCTTCATGCCAAAGGTGACCGCCGTAAGTGCCGTGAAAACGAAGGCTGTTACTAATAGCGAGAAGACAACCGCTAGCTCGCCGTCGCGACTGCTAGCTGATCAGCAAAATATCACTGGCTGTGCAATACTTACTCGCAAAGTCCCAGATTGTCTGCAGTGGAGCAGGCTTGAAAAAGTGAAGCAACAAGCTCGGACATGGGCACCCTGCGCGGCAGTCAGTATTCTCCACTTGCCCAATGGGCAGAATCATACCGCATGAAAGTAATGAGATAGCTTATGAAGGCAGTCACGAAGGCAACACCGGTGACTTCGAAGACGGGATAATGCCGCAGAAAGGAGCTTCGTCGGAAGCGAGCATACTCCGAATTGAGCTGAATGAACGCATGGCCGTATAGCCCTCCACAGATACCCAGAAAGACGAAAGGTACGAGCTCGAAGCCTCGGAGGATAAGGTTGGCAGTCACGGGAAACAGAACGAGTTTTCCGATGCTGTATTGAAGCGTCACTGCAGCAATGACCGCGCACACGAACGACTGCCAGAGAACAGCGCCAGGGAAGAACGAAGAAACTTCTTCTGCTCATGATCTTGAGTGGGCTTTGTATTTCACAAGAGCAGTACGCACCTAGTGAGAACAGAACGCCACCAAGAGGTGCACCGAACGCGACGGACACGCCTGCTGCTGATGCTGCAGAGATGATCTCTCGTGTTCGGGCTGCACCATGTGTAAGTCTTACTTTACATATATTGGAACATTGACATAACCGTACCTTCATTGTCGCGAAAGACTGCAAAGGAGCTGGCCGCAATGCCGCCAATGCACGAGGCAACATGTACAAGAGGCCCTTCCTTGCCCAGCGCGAGTCCAGATGCGACCGACAAGCTCTGTGCGGCGATAAGCAGACGCGACCGGGCTGATGTATAACGCACAAGCCCAACACTCTTGATCAGCAAGACCCAAGGCGCGAGATAGCCGTGTATAATGAAGCCACCGAGGATCGTTTTGATCTCGGGTATGCCCGAATGAAAGGCATATGGCGCATAGACTCTGACCAGAAACGCAGACGTAGTGGCGAAGCCAACGGCGAGCGTGACGTAAATTGTATAGGCCATCAACGATTGCCCGACTGAGCTTCGAAGTCCAAACAGATTCGACCACGTCTTCCAGGAATAGCATATTTCTCCGGCTGCATGACAGTATGAGCGGAGCCGTTGAAGCACATAGCAACTGACGCTCAAGGCCCGCGCAACACGCGACTTGATCAAGCCAAACATCGTCTCCACAGACACCGAGTTTGAGCTGCGCGAGCCAGGCAGAGAGTATATCCAACGCAGCTGCTAGCAGTCCCACGCTTGTGCCTGTCTGAGAGTGAGCGCGAGTGGTCAAGCGTCGATATTGAGCTCGCCTGTTGCAAAGATGACGATCCAAGGTGTGACAATGTCTTGCCAAAGGAGGAGTCGCCCTCTTGGCCCAGGTATGGCTTGGATGTCTGCTTTGCGAGCTCGCTCCTTATCGTATTCGTGTGCCCAATCGATGGTACTAAAGTTGGAGTAGGCAACCCGATTGCGTTCGTCGAGATATTCGTACTCTTCCTCGGACGCATCTTCATCCCATTCGTCCGTGAGGGTCCGCGCGCCGACGAAGCGCCGACCACTCAGCCGACCGCTTCGAGCCGACTCTGGCGAGGCCATGCCTCATCTGCGATGGACACTCTCCGTCTGTGTAGAGCGACGGCGGCTTGCGAGCTTGCGCGGTCAAGCGCTCGACGCTCGCTCGCGCTCTAGTAATTATCACGCTATGGCTGCTGCATTAGCACCATGGCGGCCAGCTCAGGCGCCATAGACGAAACCGAAAGGCAATACGAAGAAGGGCAGAAAGCATGACATGATCAGGACTATTCGAGACTGTCGATCGAGCTCACGCAGGAGGTAGGCGCGAATGCTAGCGGACCGGCGCCTCTGAGCAACAGCGCGGCGAGCGATGGCGGGGATGTGCACAGTCGTCCGAGCAAGGCTGCTTTAACATTTGCTCAGCTGGCCGCAGAACTTCGATTGGAAGAGGTGATGATGAGGACGATGAGGAAGGCGCCGGGGGTCTCAGGGCGGCCATCTCAAAATCAAAGCAATCCGTCGAGCCTGCTCTTAAGGAGAAGGATAAGAAGAAGAAAGGCAGGAAGGTAGCTGCTGCAGAAGACGAGGAATCTTATGGACGTCGATATACCTTCACTCGACTCCAAAGCGCCTATCGAGATGACAGCAGAGAACCTCATCGTTCAGGAATTTGAGCCTACAAAGTCACGAGGCAAGGAGAGCAAAGGCAGCACGAACGCTTGCTTCAGCAGGATTTTGCGCGTATCGTCGTTGCAAATGGCATGCCGAGCTCATCTGCTCCTGTCACGCTGCCCGCACCGCGAGCAAGACGACTTGTAAAGCCGCTATGATTCAATCGCGGCAGGGGTAGTATATAACAAGATACATATTGTACATCGTGCTCAGCAAGGTCGCCTCCGTGTTGTCGCTGTCGAATATAAGTAGCACGAGCCACTCGTGCTAGATATGACTATCGGAAGGTAGACGGACGGTGCCCGACCTACATGATCTCTGTCGTGTCGCGAGCCCTCCCGCTGACTTTGTAAGACTTTGTAAGGGTGAATGAGGCGTAGCATTTCGCGATCTGAGGATCGCCACACTGTGCGAGAATCGATGACTGAGATATGCGAAGAGAGAGTCCAAAGTAGATGCCGGCGGGTACATCAGGGGGACTGCTCCCGCACCGGCAACTTCCGGCAGCCTTCAGCAGGGAGGCCACCCCCTGTCAGGACTGCCACGTTGACAGCAGACCAGCACGCGCACTATGGCAGGACTTGGGAAGCTGCATCCGGAAGGGAAACGATGAACAGATATTTTGTGCAACGTTGAAGATATATATATATCTTGTTTAGAGTGACGCCTTAGTTCGCTTGTGTGTCCGAGGGGTTAAGCAAGTGAATCCTTTTACATCGAGTGAACCCGACTAATCAGCTTAACACAGGGAGTTGGCCTTAAGATCCAATGACCGCAGGGTCTCAGGCGTTCGAATCGCCTCGCAAGCAATTCTTTTTGCGCCGTCCGGCTGCCCAGCTGTCCTTTTGCGCGCCGAAAATCGTTTCAGAGCCTGAAAATCGTCTGGGGAATCGAATGCTGCACGCGCGCGCGCATATTCACAGCCTCGCTGTCACCAAGTAGAGCGTTCGAAATGAATGTCCATGCGAGTCACAACAGTGATCAGCCTGTCATCGTGTTGCCAAGGACTGTACAGACAGGTTTGACCGGAAATCTACCACAATGACCTTGAAAGCGTGTCAGCTGGCGCAAAACGTAAGAGAATCTCGCTCACAGGTCGCAATGAGAGCAGAGGAGTGGGGAACGAGCTCCTCTGTAGACCGCGTCAGCCCGTGTAGAACCTAAGTAACTGACTGACTCTTCTCGAGGTGGACCCATCCGTCTGCGACAGCTTGCACCGTGCAGCACTGCAGCGCTTCACGTGTAGGGACGGGTCAGCTATGAGTGCTCTGCCTACACTTGGCTGTACCTTCTGCACTCCATTGAGCCTTGAATCGTTCCGGTACATCTGTGGTGAAGCGAAGCAGGACACAAGCGACGACGGGTGATTCGGCCAAGCAAGCTGCAGTATCCTCTCCACGTAAGCTCTTTCATCCCGTTTGAGGGACTGACCATTGGCCGAAGACGTGACGAGCGTATTATGACCGGCCTGCTGATATGTCAGGGCGCTCTGCCATTTTGTGCCTGGATCGTACAATAGTGACGGTAGGCTCGATATCCCATTCATCGTTGATCTCGATGATTGCGGTAGCCGTGGCAGGTTCTGTCTCGGGCCACGAAACGCTGAACTCGATATGAGCGCTGCTTGCTATCTCGGAGCCAGGCGTACTATCCCAAGCCCAGACATATCCCCTGTAATCGTGTAAGCGCCAGAACTGGGATCTGGCCACAGATGACATACTCCCACTGTATCTGAGCGAGACACGTGAGCAAGTATTTGATGATATGACTGAGTAGACATACATGCGATGTCGTAGGTTTGCGTGTCAATCTTGCGCGCATCCAATTTGTGATGAATGCGTGGTTGCAGGTTCTCAACGCAGTTAGACTGAGGCAGCGGCTTGTTTGCCGTGTTTGAGACTACAAGCAGCATATTCCAGCCCATGTCGAGCGATGAAGCAGAAGCCGCACCGAGCTGATATATCGGTGACGACGTTGGCAGGCTCTTGGTAGGAATACTACATGACAAGCCAGCTAAGAGGATGGAGGCAACTGCAAGGCGGTGGGAAAGCATAGTGATTGGCAACGAAGGTGGGCAGACTGCAGACAGGATGACATGAGTGGAGCTCGCAAGACGCAGGTCGACGCAAGACGCGACGATGACGCTCTTACCTCTCGACTTTTTATGCGATGCGCAATCCACGACACCAGGGCAGCGAAGGCTTGACTATAGTGATCAAGCTAGGCGGGTTCCACTACAGCACAGCGTAGCCTTGGAAATATTCATGCGTTGCTGCGCAGGCACCTCCTCCATCATCAACGAGTCGACATGGTTACCCCAGCTTGCTGTGCTGTCCAGTCTGGCAGAAACAGTCTGCGGCCTACGCAAAGCGGGTCATCGAGTCGTCATCGTCAGTTCTGGAGCTATTGCTGTCGGCATGAGGCGCATGTCAGTCTACAAACGCCCAAAGATACTCGCAGAGAAACAGGTTTGCGTGCACTCTAAACGTCCTGCATCCGCCTAACGTCAATGGCTGCAGGCGCTCGCGGCCATTGGACAAGGCCGCTTGATCGCCCTATGGGACAGCCTGTTCACTCATCTTGATCAGCCTATTGCGCAAGTCCTGATCACGCGCAGCGACATTTCAGATGCAAGTCTTGCAAGACCAGTTTCGTAGCAGCTGCTAAGCTCTGTACGCTTGCAGAGACCGCGCTATCTCAATGCGACGAGGACGTTGACGGCGCTGCTAGCATCTGGCGTCGTACCCATCGTCAATGAGAACGACACGCTTTCGGTTTCCGAGATCAAGTTTGGTGACAATGACACGCTCAGCGCGATAACAGCAGGCATGGTGGCAGCAGACTACTTGTTCTTGCTCACCGATGTTGATTGTCTGTACACCGAAAATCCGCGCAAGAATCCGAGAGCAAAGGCAGTCACTGTCGTTCGCGATATCGAAGCTGTCAGGCAAATAGGCGCGTTTGACTTGCACGTGCTTCAGACGACGCTGAATCGTAGCATCCAGTGAGTACGGCAACGCTTGGCTCGTCTCTAGGAACGGGCGGGATGGAAACGAAGCTCATCGCAGCCGAGCTAGCAATGGCAGCAGGCGTAGCTACCGTCATCACTCACGGCACGAAACCGGGCAACATCGTTCAAATAGTCAGTGCTGCACGAGATCCTGCTCGCGAGGGTCCGGACACAGAAGCAGACATCGACCTGGCTTCCTCCGTCGAACTACCACCCCGCGCGAGTCTAGACGAGGTTGCACTGCCCTTGCATACGATCTTCATGCCTCGAGCGACGCCTTTACCCGATAGGCGATGGTGGGTTCTGCATGGTCTTGCGCCAAGGGGAAGGGTCATCATCGATGCTGGTGCGTACAAGGCAGTCTTGCTGAGATCTCGCTACGACCAGTCGGAGGAGGACAAGCATGTTTCGGAAGCTGGCAATGGCGGCAGATTACTGCCGGCAGGCATCGTCGGTGTCGAAGGTGTCTTTGCAGCCGGACAAGCAGTCCGCCTAGCCGTGAGAACACAAGGGGTGGACACAGAAATCGCAAGAGGGCTAGCGAATTACAATTCGCAGGAGATAGACCGGATCAAGGGTATGAAGAGCTCAGAGATAGAAGCCACTCTGGGATACGTCGAGTCTGAGCATGTCATTGAAGCCATCACAGCTACAAGCGTTCCGGCTGCGCAGTAGATCGTACAGATGCTGCATGACACAGTACATTTCTAGAGACCGCTCGTGTTGTTGTCAATGTACACGCACTTCATGCTGATGGTCGTGATTCAGTCTTCTTCGCGTCCTACAGGATCGTAGGGATTCGTCTCTTCCGGCAAAGTGGGTCCGAGGCGGAGGAATGAGGGGAAGCTCGTGATGCCATTGTACACGATCGTGCCTGTTCTCCTGATATAAGGAGGCGAAGTCTCACGAAGCCCGAGTCGACGTACCGTAGACGATGAACACGAAGCCAACGATCTGAAGCAATCGGACCTCTTCCCAACCGACGAGTACGCTGACCGCCCAAATTCCCACTGTTCTAGATGTGTCTATCAAGCTACGAGCAGTCGCCGATAGTCGCCTCGTGACGCTGAGACCAGTCCAATTGAAGAGCGCGATCGAGAACATGATGGCGATGCAGAGGCCAAGGATCTGAGGGTCTGCGACGATCTGGTGCCAGCCAGCAGGCAGGTCGAAGTAGCCTCCCTGGTGGGATGGCTGTCTCCCAATCGCTGCCCAGAGTACTAGCATGAGGATCAACGTCATGATCAGTCCGAAGAAGCCTTCTAGCCCGACAGCAAAGAGCGGCGGAACGACGTAGACCGTCATGACTTTTTCTTCGATGACGAATTGCGATGCCGTGAAGACTTGTGCGAATAGGATGATGAAGACGCCCACGAGACTCTTGCCTGCTTCTGCATCTTCTATTGCGCCTTTACCGCTGAGAGCGTTGGAAAGGCCGACGATAGCGACGCCCAACATGACCACAAAGAGCGATGCGACTTGACTCTTTGTCAAGTTGCGTCCTAGGAAGAGATATGAGAACAGTCCGACCCAGAGGACGAGCGCTCCTCGTAGCATCTGCCCGTTGTATGAGCATAGGGTAGACAAATAGCAACGTAGGCTGACTTGGTATATTGAGACGGGTGTCAGGAACAGACCGACGTTCATCAGCGTCGTGCCCAAGATATCGCATCTGCTCAGACTCTCAGCGACGAGCAGCCGCAGATAAACTGAGCGCACAAGGCAGGCAGAGCGAAGAGGAACCGTCGCGGGCCGGTGAGCAACTTGCCGTCCGCTAGATCAGCTTGCGAACTCGCGTCCAGTGAGGCGGCAATGGGCGTGACAGCAGCGCCGTGTCCTCCCACAGGCGCACTCGAAGGACTCTTGATGAGCATCGGATCGGTCGGTCCAGGCTCATCTGAGCTTAGATGGGCGGATTCGCCCAACGCAACGCCTCGTCTGCTTGTCCCGAGTGATGTGAGGATGCTGAAGGCTAGCAAACCTGCATTCGGAACATGAGCAATCCGCCGAGAAGGAGGCGAGATGGCTTGCAGAGTATCTCGCCTGCAAACATGTTGGCACTCTGCCATGTTGGCTGCTCGAATAGCTTGGGATGGACACTATCGCAGTCGGCTACACAGATGTTGTCCTGCAGTTTTGTGAGGAGCGAGTTGGCGCAACCGGTGACGAGCATGCCGACGACGAGAACGGGCACCAGCGTGGTGCTGCCATGGCTCATGCTGGCCTCGAAAGGCGAGGGTGCAAGGCGGCGCCGAGTTGGCTTCGAGATAGAAAATGACGCGATGCCATTCCGAATTCTATCGAGGACAATCTCGAGATCGACCCTCCATCGTCGAGACCAGCGCGTGACGATACCCGACATCACCAGTCGATAGACAGACAGCTCCTCTTGCACTTTGTCCGAGCAAGTCAAACCACTTTAGAGGCAGAAAACCCACCATGCCGTCGTGTGAGGCGACTGTCTACCTTTCCCCGCCTGATCTGACGCAATACATGCTTCAGCCAAGGGAAAGCGTACGGATCCCAAGCTAGCAGAAGAAGCCAAGGAAGAGGCAAAGGCTTCGTCAAAGGGTGGAGCAAGCGGGTGCGTCTATACCTCTGTGTATGACACTGGACCCTGTGCTGACCTGGCTGGCTCTATTCTTGCTGTTCGCGCGACACACAGCCAATGGACGGCCCAGAAGAGTGAATTACATTGACGAACGAGTCATACGTGCTGACGCTCGGGTGCAGGTGCTCAGATGGCTCAGATCTACGAATCAAAGGGCGGTGACTACGAGGGCACAGCGGATTCTAAGAACGAACCCGAAAAGGGCGCACCCAAGGTTGTCGAGCCTCCATTCTGAGTATGAGTGATGAGCTCACAGAGATCATGAACAGGAGAAGCCGAAATCAGGAGGCGGCAATAAGCGCAAGGCTGCCCAGGGCAAAAAGTACGACGAGAGCAAGAAAGAGGATGATGATGAGGAGGAGGAGGAGGAGGAGGATGATGACGAAGAGGCGGAGGAGGAGCCAAAGGCAAAGAAGACCAAGGCTGCTCCCAAGAAGAAGCCTGCATCGAAGAAAGCAGACAAGCCAGCTTCGGCAAAGGCTGACAAGCCTGCAGCCAAGAAGCCAGCTTCTAAAAAGGCCGACAAGCCCGCTTCGAAGAAAGCGGATAAGCCGGCGTCGAAGAAGGCTGACAAGCCGGCCTCGAAACCTGCCTCGAAGAGCAAGTCCTCGACGACAAAGGAGTCAAAGCCGACCAGCAAAGCCAAGGCGCCCAAGTCGAAGGAAGCCAAGCCCAAGTCTGCCAGCAAAGAAGCTTGAGATCCGACCCTCTTGCACGCACAACGCAGGCCTACACTTGGGGCATAGTCAATGACGGATCACGAAAGTTCTAGTCAAACGATACCATTTTCTGCCCCTCCATCTGATGCAATTCTTACAACTTGTCAAGTGCGAACCGGGTACTCATAGCTTACTGCCAATCTCTGTGAAGAAGTGGATGATGGGCGCTTCCTGTTTACGCGCATTCACGCGCATTGAGCGACTTGTTCTACTTGGCGTCGGACGCGCAGGACTCACAACGAGCAGATCTTCGTCCTTTGCGACCTTGCCGAGCGTCTGGAAGGCTTCTGTCCTGCCGTGCTCCTTGACACCCTGAGCACCGTCATACTCCTCAAACACGGAAAAGGTTGTAGCTGCTCGATTTCAGTGAGCTGAGTGACCCGAGTGACTGAAGCTCACGCTGATCAAGAGATTTGACGGTTCTGTAGCTCTTGCATCTTGGCTCTTTGTCTGACTCGGCCGACGCTCGGACCTGTCTCTGCTTGTGAGCTCCATATTCGTTGGAAGGAGGTTTACAGTACCTTGAGCAGCAGCTCCTCTACACGCGCTGCTTTGCCTTCTTTTGGGATGATGCGCGCCACTACGACGATGGTGCCCTTCTCTGGAAGCCTGCCCATCTTAAATACTCGGATGTCGTCCGGTAATAAATGAGTTTTGGTCGATCCGAATTCCGAACAACGACGCGTTGTCGCTTCGACAGATGACGACACCGGCACTGCTACCAGCAATAGGCAGCATGGCGCCCGTCCGCACGCTGACAATCGCAGGGAGCGATAGTGGCGGCGGTGCGGGCATTCAGGCTGATCTCAAGACATTCACTTCGCTCGGCACGTACGGTCTGACCGTCATCACAGCTCTGACCGCTCAAAATACTCTCGGTGTCGATGCGATCGAAGCCGTCAGTCCTGCCTTTGTCAGGCAGCAGCTCAAATCTGTACTCAGCGATCTCGGAGCGGATTGTATCAAGACGGGCATGCTTGCGAACAAAGACATCATCAATGCCATCGCAGACGCATTGGATGAAACCTACGGAGCGCAATGGCCCGCACTGATTGTCGATCCCGTCATGGTCTCCACTTCTGGTCACAAGCTACTCGAAGATGATGCAATCGATGCCTTGAAGACTCGTTTGCTCCCACATGCGACCCTTGTGACCCCTAACATGCCAGAGGCCAAGATACTCGCTAGCCTGGACACTCGCGACATTGATGGCCTCGCCGACGAGGAATTGATGCAGAGGTACTGTCAAGCAATAGCAGGCGCTGGCTGTGACGTGATCGTCAAGGGCGGTCATCTCAAGGGCGATATCGTCCTCGATCTCCTGTTCCAGCATGAAGATGACAGCTTCACGCGCATAGAGCACAGTCGAATCGAGACAACATCGTCCCACGGAACAGGCTGTACTCTATCTGCTGCAATATGCGCATACTACGCACAGACGCACAATGTCGAGCAAAGCGTAAGATCAGCGTCAGGCTACGTCCATCGCGCGCTCGCTACAGCATACCCAATGGGCAGCGGACATGGTCCAGTACATCATACGCATAGCATAGAGCATCGTATTGTGCCTCTTCCCACTGCGCAAGATCCTTTCCCATTCACCTCAATGCTCATCGAAAGCTGCGATGATCTGTGGCAAAGGTACACGCGAACGAATGCCTTTGTGCGCGGCATCCAGACTGGCAAGCTGCCTGTCTCTGCCTTCGTGTACTTTTTACGGCAAGACTACCTCTTTTTGCTCCAGTACGCACGTATCTTCTTGCTGGCCATCTTCAAGTCCACCACGCTTGAGGAAATGCAAGAGGCAGCTCAGACAGTGCTCAACATCTTTCGAGAAGCCTCAATGCACATTGAGCGCTGTAAAAAGTGGGGCATCACAGAGCAAGAGTTCCACCAGACGCGCGAAGCCTTTCATACTGTGGGCTACACACGCTTTGTCATGAGCGAGTCCACCAAAGGTGGCTTGCTAGAACTCAAACTCGCTACTGCGCCCTGCCTCATCGGCTACGGTGTCATCGGCAAAGTCCTTGCAGCTGATCCTGCTACCAATACTACTTCAAATCCATATCTCGAATGGATACACGAGTATGCGGGCGAGGACTTCCAGCATGCTGTCGTGCTTGGCCAAAGCAGTCTCGAGAAGATCGGCAGAAAGCTGGTAGGATCTACAGAAGCTTTCGAAAACGCCAAAGCAATTTTCAGAGAAGCCGTCAAGCTCGAGATCGCATTCTTCGAGCAAGCCCTGCAAGAGCATCCCGAAGATCAAGAGATCGAGCATGAGTATGTGCCTGCCAATTGTGCCTCAGCTACTCGAGCGCCGCAAACCAAACTTCATGCCGTGTTGTCCACGCCATTTATGAGTACTAGTGACACCTTCATGTCCGGCCGATGCTCGAAAAACGCCAGCGAAGCCTTCATCTCGCAGAGTAAGCTAGGCATCATAAGACTACGGTGTGATCGCATTGACACCAGACACAGCCTACATCATGTCCCTGTGTCTAGCAAGGTCAATGCTCAGCCTCTCCATGGCCCCAGCTTGCTGAAACTTCTCACGCAGGTGCATCGCCATGTCATTGAGCAAAGAGCTTAGCCGCTTCGATCCAGACGTACCTACTCTTGTCGGCCACTGCCTCGGCACGGCAGCTAGTATTCGACAACTTGCTCAGGACCGCGGGGTAGCAGATGTCAGCAATGCGCAGCCCTCGGACATAACCAGTGCGTACTGCGGCTGGCTCATCGACATTGCTGTTTCCCGACCTCGTCGCTACATCCAGATAGCGATGTCGCTTCGTCTTCAGGAGCAGGAGATTATGTCATTACGAAAGTCAATTAATCGGGCAGGCCAGCATTACCCCTGCCAAGGAGACGAAGAAGCGCAGCAGATCGCAACGCACGAAAACGCCGCTCGCTTCGAGCGTGCTTTTGCAGACCAATTTGCTTTGTGTTGACAACAACAATCATAGACAGCAGCAAGTGCAAGATATTAGAGCCTACGCCGATGCTTTGGCGGCAAGTCGTCTTGCTTCCTGTGGCGTGAAGTGCAGAATCGTGCCGAGCACGCTCAGGAGATGAGGCTGCATGGAAAGCATCAGCTATCCAGTAATGGGTAATCCGATTCGACGTACTCGCATTTCTTTGTGTTCGAGAAATTGCAGTATCACATTCCTGACATACTCGAAATTGAGCGCTTCTTCTGCTTTGTTAGGTGATCTGGGCCCAGGCGAGCCGGCGACGCTCGCCTGTGAGCCAGACACAGAATCTGCCGGATCCCGTGCTGATTGCGACTGCGAGAAGGTAGTAAAGTCTGTCTATCTCTGTCAGCTTGTCCCTCATCCGGCGGCCGACGAGACGTACATCCAACGCCGGGATTGCGCTGCTTCTCTGCGAGCATAATGCCCGATTGCACCTTTCGTAGCTCGTCTCGTAAGCTCTGTCACGAAATCACTTCAGCAAAACCCCGGATCCAGCAAAACGAGACGTACTTTGTTCTGTTGCTTGAGTGTACATTCGCGCTGCTGGGCGTCTTCTAATCTCACGTCGAGATCCGAGATACGCTCGTCGAGATGGCGCATGTCCTGTCGGAGTCTGCCTTCCTTCTCGATGGCAGTCTGAGCATCTTGCCGTAGCTTCACTGTATGCTGCTCGAACGATTGAGAGCGCGCAATTGCTTGGCGCAGCTTTTCTTCTGTCTCTTCGTGCGCCGTTTGTCTTTCGCGCCGCGTCTGCTCGCTTTCGACAGAGTATGCATCGCGCCGAGCGATCTCCTGCCGCAATCGGTCTGTCTCTCGTAATCGTTCTTGCAAGCGTCCAGCCATCTCTTCTTCAGCATCCGCGCGGTCCCTTTCGAGTCGCGTGATTTGCGTTTCTAGGGCAGCGACCTTGATGAGGTGACGCGCTTCGATATCGGCGGCTTTACGCAGATGCTGCGCTCCGTCCGAGCTACGTGTGTTCTGCGCTTGTCGAGCTTCGTCGACCTGGCTTTGCAAGGACTCCATACGTTCGCGCGCGCTTTCCAGCTCATACTCCATCTCTTTTGTGCGCGACTCGAGGGCATCTCGTCGTTCGCCCGACGATTCTGTCTCTGCTTGACGAAGCTGCAGCTCGTCAAAGATTGCATCCTTTGCTGTTGTCGCTTCCGCGAGCAGACTCTCGAGCTGCTGTATCCTTGCCGTCTTGGTGGCCAATTCCTTCGTATGTGCCATTTTGAGGGTGGTGATGTCAAGCTCTGCTTGTCCGCGTTGTGCGGCTGCTTCTCGCTCCAGCTGCTGTTTGACAGATTGGTGCTCCCGCTCGAAAGACGCTCGTAGTCTCGACACTTGCTGTTCCGATTGCGCACGCAGGGCCAAGACTTCCTGTTCCATCTTGATCTTTTCGTTGACGAGGTTTGCCTGGCTGATCCTCACTTGTCCCTTGACTTCATCGCGCTCCTTCTCCACGTCAGTCTTGTCCTTCTCTGCTTTGAGCATCTTCTGCCTGATCTGCTTCAGTAGATTCATGGCTTTGGTTCTTTTTTCCTCTTCCTCCTTGGCCGTCTTCTGAGATTCCTCGAGCGACTTCTGCAGCTTTGAGATTTCCGCCTTGCTGCCCTCGCCTTCCTTTGCCACTCTATCTTGCTTTGTCTGGGCTTCAGTCAAAGCGGTGATGGATGCATCCTTTTGCTCGAGCTGCTGCTTCAGCTGATCGATTTGAGCAGACTGTGACTGTCGCTCCATCCTATGCGTGCTACTCATCTCTTCCATCCTGCCCTTTACTTGGTCAAGCTGTGCAGTCACGCGTTTCAGCTCGCCGAATGACATCTGCGCAAGCCTATCAGCTGCTTTGCCTAACTGACTGCAAGAAGCGTACATCCGCGCGCAAGATGAGGTTCTGCAAATGACCGCTCATCGCATCTGGATCTGAGATGCTTGTGAGCGGCGTATGTTGCTGAAGTACCCGATCGGCGGCTATCTTCTCTTTCTGTAGACGCTTGTAGGCCAGCATGACATCTGCCCGTTGCCCGTAAATCAGCTTGCGTCAGCTGCTGATCCGGAGGAACCTGCCTGCTAGGCGATCTGCTGGCTTGCTCTGCTCTTCGTTGGATGGGTCATTCGCGGCTTGGTCGATCGTTGCGTGCACTGTGCTGTCTATCGATGGTACAGCGCCGTCCGTAGGCACAGGCGGCAGCGATTCCATCACTCTCGACGGTATCCTCGCGGGCGAAGTGGAGGTCTCCGAGCGGCTGAGGAGTGCAGTAGTATCCGCTGTCGGCTGACCGTCCTCAAGCGATACATTGCCGTTCGGCACGGGCTGTGAGGGTACAGCAGGCTCTTCAACTGGTTCCGGCTCCATTGACGTTCGAGCTTGGATGTCGTTCTCCTTTGTTTCTGTTATCACCGTTTCTACTGTTTCTGGCTCTGCCGGGTTGATCTCTGGGCTGGTCTTTACTGGCTTCCCATTAGGCGTTTCTGTCTCTGCAGCAAGCGGTGTCGCTTCCGCTGATGCCAGATCTGCGCTCGCTACCGCTGCAGTATTTTCTGTGGATATGTTCGCCGGGATGATAGCTTTGGGATCCTCTACCGTGGCTAAAGGTGCGGTTTCCTCCGATACCGCGCGCACGCTGGGGGCTGGTTTTCCTGGCTTATCGACCCCAGGTTGAGACACAACGTCGGCCACAACTTCCGTGCTTTCAGACGGCACGTCCGAAGCTAATGGCGCGGACACTGGCTCCGGCGCGATGAGAGCACTGTCTGCAGGGATGGTTGGCTCTGACTGCAGCGTGACAGCATCATCGACGGGCACAATACCGCCTTCCGCAGAGACTGTCTTTCCATCGACAGCTGATGCTGAAGAGGTATCGATGGTCGCTTTGGCCTCGTCGGTGATTGCTTCCTTTGCGCTCGCAAGCTGTTCGTCTACTGCAGGCAGATCGAGCTTAGTCTCATCGTGCGCGACAGGCGCGCTCTTCTCGGTCGTCTTGACATCTGGTGTACTGCTGCCGGAAGCGAGCAGAGAGGAGGTCGTGGGTGACGCAGTTGAGCCAGGTAGCGCTGCTTTTGAGCTCAAAGAAGTCTGTAGCCTCGATGCTAGCCGAGCAGATGAACTATTCAATGATGGCGCTCTGCTCGTGGGAGACGCAGTCGCTTGGACCGGCTTGGCGGTCGGCTGCTTATGTGGCGTGACAGAGGGAGAAGCAGGTTTGTCTGCAGATGCACGTTCAGAGCCAGGCGAGGCAGTGGATTGAGCTTGACGCTGTTGCTGCGCCGCGAGAGCTTGTTGCTGCAGCGAGCTCTCTAGCTCCTGTAGCGTGCTGGAAACCTTGTCACCCAAGTTCTTGAGCGACCACATTGCGCTGGGAGCTCAGCCGTGCCCGTCAGGCAGCCCAGCTTTTGCTCGGCAAGTGCCAACACGTCGCGCTGGGCGTAGGCGCGCTGCTCAACACGGTCAAGTGCTGCAGCTAGCCGTCTGATTCAGGAGGCCGAGACTCAATTGACAAGTCTATGCATTCAGTCCTCTGATCCTTCACAGTGTGCCTTGTAGGCTTCCGCAGTCAGCAAGCCATCAAATTCGGTCGGTCGAGTCAATTTGATCTTGCATAACCAGCCTGTCACGCCGTATAGTGAGCTCAGTGTCGAAGCTATGAGAGGCAGGACCTGCCATCTTGTTCGGGAGACTTGTTGAGTAGGCTGCTCTGGTCAGCGAGTGCGGTATTGACCTCCTCTACCGTGCCTGAAACTGGCGCGTAGATATCGCTCGCTGCCTTGACGCTCTCTACGCTTCCTATGGTATCTACGCAGTCACATAAGCCTTAAAGCGTCTGCTACGCTTCAGCCTAGTGCGTACCTCCCGTAGCGATCTCATCCGACGGATTGGGCAGCTCGACAAAGACGACGTCCCCTAGAGATTTGGCTGCGTAGTCTGTGATTCCGATGGTGCCAATGTAGGTCTCGTCATCGTAGGTGATCCATTCGTGCTCAATGGTGTAGCGAGTGCCTGTTCATGAGTGGAAAGTTCAGCCGGGCATGAGCTGGGAGTCCTGAGCGACCGACTTGAAGCCCATCTCCTGGCCGCGAACGATGCCGCGACAGGTCGAACAAAGCTTGCTCGAGCAACGGGCGAGGATCGCTTCGAGCGAGCAAAGGTTGAGAACTGGCGCAGCATGGTAACAGGCTGCAGGCTTCGAGTCGCCCGCACGCACTGGAGCAGAGACCCCTCTGACACGTGATCTACACGCGACTTGCTCTCTCGCACGACGGTGAGATCAGCTGAGGCAGCATGGACGCCAGGCGCCGTTCTGGTGCAGTGTTGACGATACAACAAGGTCTGACGATCGCAAACGATACACTGGACTCGTGTAAGCCCTGTCTGAGCTTCTCAGAAGCTTGTTGACTGCTTTGACAGTTCGACGAAAGCATGTCAGTCAAAACAGGGAGATCATCCACAAGAACTCTGAGCTTCTCCGTACCAACACCGACTTGTCTCGGCAGCTCGCTCAGGTCCAAGCACAGCTCATGTCCCTCAAGGCGGACAATCTCAAATTGGGCGGCAAAGCCTTCCAGCTCGAGATGCAGCTGTTACTCCAAAAAGACGAGCTCGCGAGATCACAAACGAAGATCAGCGAACTGACTCAGGCTGGAAACGGATCAGTGATCAGAGTCCCACAGACTGCGCTCATTCAGGCGAGTCTCTATGGCTTCATCCCACGCGTACATGCTGATATGTTCATCGCGCCGGCAGCAGTTGCGCATGCAATTCGAGGCTGTATTGACGCAAATGTCGGAAGCGCAACATACGTTGCAGCAAGTGAGCCTTCCGGTAGCCTCTCCATCAGCTAGCCAGCCTAGCGATGCCGGCGAGCGACAAGCACGACGCGCCTACCTATCGGCACGATCATCAGCTGCTCAATCGCTCGTCCTGCCACGTGAGGGCCGCACTGTCACACTCACCCAACCAGCCTCGGACCTGCTTGCATCTGCAGGATTAGCACAGTCTGCCGACAAGGCGATCAGATCAGACATGCCGCCTTACCCCTACAAGGCGGCTCTGGCTGCTCAACCCGAGCTGGCTCGCTTGCAGGAAGATCCCAACGAATCGCTGCTTGCGAATAGTCAGAGGTCTAGAAGAGCATCTCCCGCACCGTCCGCTTTACCAGAAACATCTATTGCGTCAACATCGAATCTAGATCAATCAGACCCGACGCTGCCCCCGCTCGATCTCAGCAGAGTCTCTACGAAGCGCAAAGTGACAAAGACGAGGCGAGTGAGCGGCTTGCTAGGCTCTGTCAGTACACCTCCGCCCGAGCCCGAATCGCCATTACCTTCGAGTGAGACGAATCTGCCAGACCCGACCGAGCACAAGAAAGCACGCAGAATGCCTAGAGCGAGCAATATACCCATCGATCTCATCATACCCAATTCGCTCGATTCACCAGCTCGTTTATCGCCTCATCGATCTCAAGTCGAGATCAGCATCGCAAGCCCGCTGGCGCAGGAGGTACGACCTGGCACAAAGCGACCCGTCTCGCCCATCAAGCAGTCTGTCCACAAGTTCTCACCCGTCAAGCCTGCTACAACACCTCTGCCGCTGCGAGATGTGACGACGCAAAGGATCAACCAGACCAAAGACACGCCTGCACCTCTGCTCGCGAACGTCAAAGCGGTTAAGAAAGCGCTGGCGTATGTAGAAATAGACGAGGATGTTATCGCAGGTCAGCCAGGGCTGTTTTGTCTCACAAATTGAGCTGACCTATGCAGGGATTGACAGCAAGCCAAGATGTAGAGCAAGCCGCGGATGAAGAACCTGAAGAGGCAGATGAGGCTGAAGCGCGTGAAGGACGAAGATCGAGAAAGCAAGTCAGCTACGCTCTACCGAGCCTGCGAGCGTTCGTCATCACATTGGAACCACATATGCACCGCGCTCACAGCAGTATATACAGGAAAATGCGGCAGCCTGAAGGCTACGTGCCCTCCATCAAGCATGCGAAGAAGCCTCGACGAACGTCTCAGCTGCACGCAGACCCGATGCGTCGTGCCTCAATGGCATCGTCTCAGGACTTTGAGGACGGACAGTCTCCACCGCATTCGAGCGCCAGAGATCTCGGCCTCGAATATGCGACATGATGTAAATTCGTGAGGACTATGCATGTGCGGGCGTATCAATTACATATGCGATGCTAGTGACACATGTCATGATCACTGGCGCGGCTGTCTGAGCAGCGGTGCATTGAAGTTCATACTTCTTGCGCGGGTCAGCTGGCCACTCCAATCGATCGTCGAAGCCAAGGACGGCTGTCTGCTCATCTTGAACTCGTTGACCGCTTCTGGCTGAAAATCTTTGACCTTTGCGCGGACGGGCTGATCAGTAAAGCCTCTCGCTGCCGCCGATAAGTTGCCAACAGATACTGCGTGCGACAAACTGCGCCTACTCGCAGCGTTCGAGTGCAGGTTGTCGGAAGTGAGCGTCGGCAGGGCGAAGTGGCGTGAATCAGGCGTTTGTGCGCTCGACATTGATGACGATGACGGGTTGGAGCTGCAAGGCGCAGATTCCAGTCCTGGCGACTTACTGCCCGCTGACGACTCGCGTGATAGCGAAGGACGAACGCGCACTGGCTGTGACGCTGAAGCGAGCATGCCCTGCGAAGAGTGATGACGCAAGCGAGGCTGGCTCTGACCAATTTCAGGCTTGACAGACTCGGATGCCTTTCGAACGACGATTCGCGGTGACTGATCCGTGGGTGGCTGCGGCAATTGTCTACTGACTCTGCGCGTTCCAGTATCTGGCGATACTCTGAGCGGGGTAGCCGGTGTCGCCAAGGCGAAGCCCAGGGTCGCACTGCCGCGACGCTGCATGCTTGGCATGGCTTCTGCAGGTACAGCTAGACGAGGTAGCGGCGTTGGCATGTTGGCCTGCGCTCTAACTTGTGCGTCCTCTGCGTCGCTGCGGCGCAGACTTGAAACGAACTGATCAATGGTACCTTCATCGTAGTACTGAGATGTAGCTTGCGATGCGCTGAGGATAAAATCAAGTTCATCGACCTCTCGCTTGCGATCGTCTACTCGCAAGCTTCTTGACGGGCCTGCCAAGCTTTGTCGGCTAGACTTACTCGCCAGACTGCGTGGCCGTCCTGGCGTCGCAGCCTCTACTTCTGCCTCGATCTTGTCCGACTTGCCTGTACCCGCAGAATCTGTGCGGGACATGGCCTGCTGATATGCAATTTGAAGATCAGACAATGGCATCGAATCGCCAGATTCGAGTCGTGCGAGGTTGACGGCTCGCTTGGTGGGCGACGTTGGTACGGAGCCAGACTCTGATGACATCGGCCTGACTGCTCTCTCGAGCGCTTTGGCCGCTTCGTGGTGACCAGGCGGAGGATCGATGGAGACAAAGTTGATGATCCTGACAGGCAGCTCTGCACTGACTTCGGCGGACAGTGAGCCGGCAACGGCGACCTTGATCGAATAGGCCACTTCGAGGTATCTCCCGTGAGAGATGGACAAGCATTCGGGCTGTCCTTTTATCAGCTTTGGAGAACAAGCAAGAGTGGGCGCGTACAGGAATTGTGATCGAGTGGGTGCATTGGGCCGTCTCGCCACTCGAAACGCCCAGCCATGATCCTTTTGCCGTCACCTCGCCTCGCTGAGCCTTCTTGCCCATCTCGAGAACGCTCTCGATGAGCTTCTTCTTGACCACTTGGATTCTACCCACATCGTCGCCTGTCAGACTCGCCGGCCGATGGAGCTTGTTGCTTCTGATCAAGGTCAGGCTCAGTGACTTGATCTGGTCCAATATCAATAGGGGCGACATACGCCTGCGAAGCTCGCTCACCTTTTTGCTCGATTCGTTGCGGACAGAGACGGTGACATAGCATTGCTGTCCTGCGATCCACACAGGCCGGTGCAGGCTGGCCTCCACATTGACTTTGCCATCGCCACCCATAAAGAGCGTCTTGGATGCTGTTGCGACGATGGGCTTGAGAGACGATGCTAATATGGCCGAAGGATGGAAATAAGGATAAACTTCGATGTGTCTGTAAAAGTGTGCAATCGATCTGGTTGTACCGCTTGCTGCCGATTTGAGCTTGATAGATGCGATGATGATGTATCGCACAAGACCCTGCTTGTTGCGAGATGGGCCCTTTGCGCCACTACTAACAGGCAGATCCATTTGGAAAGGAAATGCGAAGGAACCGGTCTTTGCCCGACTGAATCCTTCAGCATCGGGCTCAGAGTCGAAGCAGGGTAACGTGTCGGCACCATCAGGCGATGCAATGCTGTCAGTGTGCTGGAAGATGATGTGACGAACATTTGGAGATGAGATCTCTGCAGTGCAGCGTCAATCATCTCTCGATGAGCTCACTTAATTGAGATACCCTCAAAGCCAACGATGCGTGCTTTTGGCCTGCTCAGCCAGACCTGGTCAGCCGCATTGGCCGATTTGGCCGTTCTGATTTCCATCGTTCCTCTCACAGATCCGCCTTCAACGATCAAAGCAGATTCGAGTGCAAAATCGAGCTCGACTCGCGCCTTCTTGCTGACCTGTTGCTCGAGCTGTGCCTGCGGTCTCGGTCTATGGACTGTGACAGAAGCTGACAGACTTGGCAGCTGTGCTGACATACTGCGTGCAGGGGTAGACGTGGGATCGAGTATGCGACCGAGCTCCTTGCTATGTCGAGCGGGGCTAGTACCCGTCGAGAGCAATGTGCCATGCCGCTGTACATGCGATGTGTTCGGAGGTCTTCTCAGGTTTGATTCGCTCGCAGCGGCTTCGCTCGGTCTGAGCGACATCATCGACTGTGCCTTCTTGAGCGACACAGCGGCAGGCAAGTCGGGCTGAGCCTCCTGACGCGGCTTGACGATAGATTGGGAGGAGGCCGCTATCCACTGATCTAAGCGATGTGAGCGGCTGTCTTCAGGTTCGGCATAGAGTTGTGCGAGCTCAAGCATACTCTTCGGCCGACTCAGGCGACTCGTGCGTTCATCGACCTTTAGCCTCGAAGTGATCGAGCCTTGATGATCATAGGGCATCGTGACATCCGTCATGTAGGTTGCTTTGGAGGCTGTGGACGCTGCCCTCGTATGTTGAGCTCGGGCAGGCGCCAGTCCAGTGAAGGTGAGTTTTGTTGCTGCTGTTTCCGCAATGGAGGCCGAGTCGGGCGCATCAAACACCGATGCAAGCGTTTCTGGCGAGTAGTAGTCTCTGTATAGGCTCTCGTCTGGCTCGTCTGCTGCTTGCTCAGCATCAGACTCGTCTTGGTCGTCGTATTGAACGATGGTCTGGGCTGCATGTGCCTGTTGTCTAGCAAACCGAGCGTGAATCGGCGTGCCTTGATCTGGCGCTCTCGATGGACTAGCTGTAGCGAAGGTCAGGCCAAGGCCGAACATGTCGTCGACCAAGACACTCTGCCGTCTGTAGGAGCTCATGATGGGCAAGTATCTACGCCGGGCGCCCAGTCCAGCGGAACGAATATCGCGCTTCGGCCGGGAATCACGTCAACAACTCACGTGAGGACTGACATCAATGCAAATCCACTGCTACTCGCTTCGTACTTCTTCCACGTACAGCTCAACACAGCAGATCACATACAATATGCCACTTGCAACATTCGACGACTCTGCCAAGCCGGCCAATCGCACGTTCGAAGCACAAATGCTCGCGAAACGCGGTCAACAACGCCAGTCGCATGAGTGAGGTCTCAAGGCTGTAAGGCGCAGCATCGGGCAGTTCATGAGTGAAGTGAAGCATCCCTTGCAGCGGAGGCTGGCTAGCGAACCACAGCAGGTCACGCATGCTTGCTGTACCACCATAAACATCTGATGTCTGATCTGCGCCCTGCTGTTGCCGCGGCTGAGTGCCTCGGGCCAGCGCTCTGCTGCACGGGCGCTGGCACGGCTGATTGAAGCGATAGGCGACCCCTTTGAAGTGACGATATCCGGGAGATGCTCGTCACAGGCATCAGGGTCGTTCTGCGACGACGAAAGCGACCGTGTGACCGTCATGAGACAGGCTGACGTGCAGCTTCGTGTGCATGTCATGGATCAAGCGAGCCTTTGGTGCATCATCGTCTTTGTAGATTTCGATTTGCTTCCAGCTTAGCCGTTCTTGGGACGAGCATGCCTTGAAGACGGCTTCTTTGATTGCCCACCTACATCTCTGTTCGGTCAGTACATCACAGCTTGGCTAGATACAGCGAACACGCCTGTTTGCGAGCCATTGCGCTGTCTTGTCGCTTGGCAAAGACTCGAAGTCTTGGTATTCGCTGTCTGTGAGGATGCGCGCGGCGAGCCGAGCAGGAGATCGTCTCTTGAGCACTTCAACGAAGCGTGTACCAATGAGTATGTCTACACCCACGCCTACAATTCGCATCCGCAACGGCAGCGGCTCACGAGGTGCCCGGTCTATTCAAACGGATCCATCGCGTCACTGGAAGCTTATCAGATCTCGCATAATGGCGGCATGATGCATGATGCAATAAGGCCAGCTAGGGCTTCTCTGAGAGGCGCTTCCTCTCTACGAATGCTTTCTGATGCTTCTTGCGCTCCCAGGTCACGAAGCCGATGATGGCGCCGAAGATGAGCGTCACGCTCAGAAAGACGCCCAAACCGATCGGTACCACAGCAATCTTCTGTCCCGGCAGCTGGAAGGTCGAAGCTGATGGCGCAGCATTCGCTGCTGCTGCCGTTGCGCTATCATTGGGTACTCAGCTGGGGTTCATGCACACTAAGGCGCCACGTACCTGATTGGCGAGAGTGAGGCAGCTGAGGAAGAGCTCTGTGTTGCAGTCGGGGTAATGGACTGTACTGTGGCGGTAGCTGCATCTACCGCAACATTCGTAGCTCTGTCCGAGATAGTGAATGCACAATCCGAATCTTGAAAGATCTGGAGCGGAGCAGAAGAGGTCTGCCGCCGACGTAATCTAGTGTCGGTTGCATTCGTCGCTACGAGCGTTGTAGCATCAGTAGCTGATGTTGTGTCCACAAGCGTGACATCATTGAGCTGCTGACGCAGCACGCGAGATGTTTTCGCTCTTGCGCCGGTCGTTGACGCACTGTACAGATTGATGGACGATGGCGCGAGGGAGCTGAAATTGCCACTGCTGACCTCTGCAGCTTGGGGCGCAGTCATCTGCTCATTGAAGTGATACAAACCGACAAGAGCGAGAGGCATGCCGTTGTTCGGCAATGTCGTAATAAATTGAGGGTTTGCAATGTCGACCGTCGCGTTTTGGTCCGCCGGGGCGCGTGCTAGCTGCTTCTGGGTGTAGAGCTTCATCGAATTAGGAGCACTTGTGGCTGTCTGACCGTCAAACTGAAGTTGAACGCCGAAAGTCCGAGGGCCTTTGGTTTGAGAGGTCACATTTGCTGCACTATCAGCTTGTAGAGCATTCGCCGCTGCGACGTCTCCAACTTGATATATCCCAAGCTCAGCCCCTGCATACCCATATCAGCCTCTCGTGAGGTGTCCATTGAGTCGACACCTACCATATCGTTGATTTGGCAAATCTGTGTACGCGACTCGCCAAGCCGCGAGCATACCAGGCTGTGCTGAGCTAGCTGTAAAAACGTCCTCGCCCTGCTGGGTTGCCTTTTCGAATCCTTGCTGAAGGAACTGAGAGTATGTAGCCGCCTGCGCCGAGGTCATCGAGATCTGGCATGCATTACCTTTGGCCGCGATCGTACGCGCCAAGGCCAAGACTGTGCCGATCGTGCATAGCTTTGGCATGATTCGTGAGCGGACCAGCCGCCGAGACCTGCTCGTCTTGGAGCGATAGGCAGAGATTGAGAAGCAAAGGGGAGCGAAAGCAGATGCCGTCAGTCGGTACGATCGTCCGTCATGTGCCTGCGAGCAATCTGAGAACAGTGAGATGGCCACAGACGAGACCTCGGACGGTCACAGGCTTGCTGTGGCCAATAGGCGCGTGCGCATGTCTGTGCAACAAGGCCATCAGTCCGCGGATTTGTCGACGTGAGGTCAAAGCGTCGGTCGATGCTGAGAATGAGCAAGATCCGAAGACAAGATGCAATCAATTGCGCATGACAAGCTGATCAGGCAATGTTGAGGTCGCGTTTGAGAGCAGAGATGAGCTTGACGTCGTCCTTCGTCATCTCATCTCGGAAGATTGTCTGCGCAACGTGTCAGCACTGCAGGGACACATCATGAGTCGTTGCATACCTTCATGACGTCAATGGAAGCGCGCGAGATCAAGCTGACGATCTCATCCTTATCATCGAAGTGTCTGCCATAAATCTTGCTGCTATCGTAGACAGCACTTTCGATCTTGACAGCGACACCGCCGCCTGCTTGAGACTTTTTGACGTTCTCGAACGATTTGTGATTGATCTCCAAGCCCGTTCTATGTCGAGAATGTCAGCAAATATCGCGAGACACGAGAGGGCTACTCGCATTCTTCCCAGGGGCACAATCTCACGTTTCTTCGTCTCTGCGTCGATCTTGAGCGCCGCCAGCGGCGTACCTATTCGCAGAGTGCCTTCCGTGATCTGTAGAGCGGTGTACGTTCAGCGTACGCGATCAGTGAACTGAATGAGGCTTACATCACAGCCGAGAATGATAGGCTCGCGCTTAGCGAAGCAAGCGATGGTGCGTAATCGGCACGGCCAGACCGCCTTGGGCGCTGAATCCTTTCGTTTCGCTTCCAGCATGGCTTCGTTATATGCAGTGAAAGCATCGAAGAGGTGGTAGATGATGTTGGCCTTGAAGATCTTCAAGCCGACTTCGTCAGCAAGCTTTTCAGCATCTTTGTCAACATCGACGTCAAAGCACAGCATGACGCCGAACTCGGGAGCCTTGTCGAGCATGGCAGACGCACGCATAGCGTCTCGTCTGTGTACGGGGCCAATGTTGATGCCAGAGACGGGAATCTTGCTCGTCTTGAGAAATTCGAGCAATGCTTCCAGCGAGCCTAAGGTTGATGCTTGCACCCATACGCCTCGACCGGTCTTATCAACAGACTCAAGCAAGTTCTGCAAATCTGTCATAATCTCCGTCTTGATCTCTTCCTCGTCATCGTCCTCAGTGACGACCATCAGTCGCGAGCCTGCGACAGCCTTTTCGAGATCCGGAGCGGAAATTTTGATACCGAGTGACGCTTTGACAGTCTTGTGGTGAACATACGCGCCCTTGATACGAAGCTCCTTGAGCGGCTCGGGTGTCAACAATGCTCGCACATTTGTCGCAATCGGCCCATTGAGCCCACAGACGACTATACGGTCGCCTTCGTGTAGCACGCCGTTTGACAAGACGACGTCGATAGTCGTGCCGAGGCCCTCGATAACCTTGACCTCGAGCACGGTACACTCGAGCTCGGACAGATACATGAGCCTGTCGCTCATACGTTCTTGAGTGAGCTTGACGAGCAGCATGAGCATGTCAGGTACGCCTTCGCCCGTGACTGCAGACGTGGGTACCAAGCTGACGTTGCGCCCAAGGTTGGTATTTTCGTAGTACGGCACAGCGTTCAGACCTTGCTCGGCAAAAGCCGTCATGGTGTCTCGCAAGCGATTCTCGAACTCCTTCTGAACTGCCCGGTTTTGCTTTGCAAGCGAATCTTGGAAACCATTGTTGGGGATAGCTTCCCAGCCGTACATTCTGTCGATCTTGTTGAGTGCAACGATGAAAGGTGTCTTCTTATCTCGCAGTAAGCGGAGCGATTCGAGTGTTTGCGGCTCGAGGCCGTGCATGATATCGACGACAAGGACTGCGATGTTACAAAGCGAGCTGCCTCGTGTGCGCAGGTTTGTAAATGACTCGTGACCGGGCGTATCAATCACGAGCAGACCGGGCAGCTTGTACTCGCTCAATGCAGCGGGTCCGAGGATGTCTGTCTTTGAACGAATGGCGGTCATTGGGAAGTAAGTCGCACCGATCTGCTGGGTAATACCACCCGCTTCGCCTCCTTGTACATCAGTCTGACGAATCTTATCAAGCAGTTTCGTTTTGCCAGTATCGACGTGACCGAGAATGCAGCAAATAGGACTGCGCAGATCATCCTTGCTTCGTGCGGCCATAGCCGCCTCATAGCGCTGCTTCCGTCGCTCAGCTGCTTCGGCTTTCCGCTTTGCGGCTGCTGCTTGCACAGCAGATATCCTCTCGTCCTCGCTATCCTCATCAGAGTCATCATCGCTATCGTCATCCGAGTCGTCGTCGCTATCCTCATCAGAATCATCGTCAGACTCTTCGTCCGACGAGACCGGCGCTTTCGCTTTTGCTGCTGGCTTACTGGTCGTCGACATGCCTGTCTGCTTAGCGACTGCTGCCACCTTTGCCGGCGCAGGATTTGACTTTTCTGATCCGTTGACAGACGCCGACTTAGCCGCAGGCTTAGCAGAGCTTGTTGCCTTGCTAGCTGAGACCGCGGCTCTACTCGAAGCTGCCGGAACAGTTTTACTCGCTACTGCAGGCCCGTTTTTGCCGGCAGAAGCAGGCTGACTGACAGGCTTCGGAGAAACTTTGGTCGTCGCCACAGGCGCAGGTGCAGGGTCTTCGTCATCGCTGGCGTCCCAATCATCCTTGACAGCAGCAACGGCCGCTTGAGGCTTAGCAACATCTTCCTCGGATGTTGCATCCCATTCCTCTGCGACGTCTTCCTCAGGCTTAACAGGCTCGGGCGAGGCTTCTGCAACTGGCTCAGGTTCGGCTGCTGGCGTATCGGCTACTTCGCTAGGCGCTTCTGCAGGTTCTGGTTCGGGTTGGAACGGCAAGACAGGTGGAACTGGCCCAGAGGGTTTCTTTGCGGACTTCTTCTTGCTGGCATAAGTCACCTTGCGCGGACCAACTGAGCTATCAGCCGTGTCCTTTTGCAGACCTTCAATTTTGACACCTGATGCGAGTAAGGCTTCTCGACGCGCATTTGCAGCCGCTTGTTCCGCTTTTTGCTTCGGTGTGAGCAACTTGCCCTCTTTGCGCAGTTGCTCCCGCTTAGCCTGAAATTGCGCCGTCAATTGGGCAAATATTCTGTAATTTAGTGATGCGTACTAACCTTCTCACGCTCTTTGCGCTCCTGCTTCAGTCGCTCCCTGTCTTGCTCCTCTTGCTCACGCTGCCGCTCCTCTTCTTCGAGCCTGAGTCGCTCTTCCTCTTCTTTCCTCCTGGCTTCCTCCTGCAAGGCCCTCTGCTTTTCCATGGCAGCTCGCAGAGCAGAGATCTTGCCCCCGCTCTTTGCAGGAGGTTTGGCAGCTTCTTTGGGTGCTTCCACGGGTTCAGCAGCTTTCTTCTTCTTCTTTTTCTTGTTTTTTGCTGAGCTGGCAGCTGCACCTCCCTCTTCGTCGTCTGACGCTTCCTTGGTGGTAGACACATCGGCCTCTGCAGCGACAGGTTCATCGGCATCGATAGTTCCGCCTTCCGCTACCAACGCGTCCGTGGCTTTGGTGGACGTGACGGGCTCAGAGGGTGCCGGTCCTGCTTGAGCTTTCTTGGCAGCAGCTTGAGCCTTCTTCTTTGCCTTCTCTTTCTCCTTCTTGAGCTTTTCCTTCTCCTTTTTGCTTAGAACGCGCGTCGTGCCCTCTTCCTCGTCATTTTCGGGCTCTGCAGGATCCTCGATCGCTTTGGCCTCGTCTTGGGCCTGGGGTACTTGAGGAGCTTCGTCTGGCTCATCCGGCTCTGCATCTATGACGACCTTCTTGCTGCCTTTGCTCTTCTTCTTGCCTTTTGACTTTGCAGGCCCAAACTCTTCATCGATGAGATCCTCTGCTGTCATCTCGATGGGCGCTTTCGAGTCGAGTGCAGGTGAGTCGACGTCCATGACATCCTCGTCCACTGCAGCAGCGGCCTTCTTGCCTTTCTTCTTCTTGTCCTTCTTAGGAGCAGGTTCGGTGGATTGCTTTGATTTTGAGATGGCCGCCATGAGACCCCCGCCACCTTGCTCATCGTCCTCATCGTCACCTCCGCCATCGAGTTCTGCGGCCAGCTGAGCAAAGGAGAAAGCAGACTTGCTCGGGCGACTGGGCACATCTTCGCCATCGCTCGCCGCGCCGTTGCTTAGCGGCGCTGGCTCGCCCGCGTTCGCCCTACCCTGTTGCGTGAGCTCGGGCTGCAGCAGACTGCTCCAAAGCTCACCAATAGTCCTCGTCGTCCTTCCTTCCCTTCTTCTTCTTGTCCTTCGGCATCGTCGCAGGCTTCAGAGCTGGCAGCTGAGCTTCCTGGCAGTCGCGACTTTTTATTGCGGACGACCGACCAGTCGATCGGTCGACGACCCCCTGCGAGCTCTATCTTGCACTCTTTTCGCGACGAAATTACACACACCTTTGCGGCGAGATTGGTGCAAAGACGTAGCAGCACGCATCCGTCCACCTCTTGTAACCTCGTTCCGGCCATTTGAACCTCTACGAATGATAAAGGCCCTCAACGCTCAGTCTTGATCGCACAGAGACGAACTGGACCGACGGTCGTTCCGCTACATACTATCATCATAAGTCTCGTACTTGACGATGCTTACACGCTGCTGCGGTGCACTCCGATCAGTCAAGCTGGGCGGAGGCGACGCCATGTCCTCAGCTGTTGATCAAGCCATGTAAGCCACACTCTCCGCCAGATTTGGGCGCAATTACTCTTAGCGCGAGCGGCCTGACACTCTTCACTTCGCAACCAAGTCCTTTGATACTAGCCACGATAGTCACGATGTACGACATGTATCATAAGACGCACTATTTCTGCTGCGATGAAGTCATAGTGGCTTTACGAGAACGTGTTGATCGTGGTGATGGTAGCGCGGCAGGAGCAGATGAGCTCGGCATGCCGTCTGCAACAGCGACACGAGCAAAATCTTGGCTGAGTTGTGCTTCCAGTGCGCGTGAGCTGTCCAGACCATTGCGAGATGCAGCCCGACTGGTGGTGGATTGCACCCGCTGCGTGATGGATGGCTTCTCGGGTAGTGTTGAGATGATGCCTGTCGCTTGATGCTTGCTCCTGACAGATTGCAGAAATGGATCATCCAATGCTTGCGCGACTGTCATACGACGTTCTGGATCGTGCTGCAGCAAGCGTTGGATGAACTCGACTGCGAGCTCGGATGTGCCTTGCTTTCGAAGCAGCGACACGTCCGGTGATCGTCTCGGCATGCGAAGGTAGATATCTTCCTTTGTATCCTCAACGAAAGGGGAAGCATTTGACAGACAAGCATAAACGACTGCAAGCATAATCAGCAACCCAGACAGGCACGAGATAGTAAGAGGTGAGACGCACTGACGCCGATCGACCAAGCATCAACGGCCTGATCGTAGCCGGCCTTGCCGTTGCGATATATGAGTACCTCTGGCGCCAGATAATTGGCAGTGCCACATTGCGTCGTGAGGTCAACGCCCGCTTCAAACATCCGTGCAAGGCCAAAGTCTGATATCTTGCAGACCGGATGCTCGTCCCGTGTGAGCAGTAGCTGTCATGCGTCATGGATGAGCTTGTTCACGTGTGTCTGATGGGCTACGCACGTTGTCGGGCTTGAGATCCCGATGGACGATGCCGCATTGATGGAGATAGGCAACACCCGAGCAGATCATACGCGTCACTTCGGCAACATCGCTTTCCTCTGCTCACAGATGGTCAGTGACAGCGTATATATCCGGCGTGCACTTACCCATTCCGTCCCGCGCAATGACATAGTCGAGTAGATCACCCCCGGCAATATGCTCGAGGATCAGGTAGATATGTTCTTGATCCTCAAATTGCTCATAGAATTTGACGATATAGTCCTGAAGAGATGTCAGTTCGAGTCATAGGAGGGAGATCTGACTGACGTGGTCAAGACGTTTCACGATATCAAGCTCCCGCTCGAACATCTCGAGTGTTTTCGGATCGCGCAGATGCTTCTTCTTGTTGATGATCTTCACAGCCCGCCAGTCACCTGTTGCGCGGTGAATGCATCGTTTGACGATAGCGAATGTTCCTTTGCCGATATCGTTCGCTACTTGATACGCTGCAGTGAACCCACCTCTCGGATTCTCATCGCGAACAGCAGGTGGGTCGAAGGTGATCCACCGATACTCAAAGATCTTCCCAGCTGTATCTGACCCGAACCGAATGAGGTCGCCATCATGAAGCTCAACCTTGACGCCGTGGCCGACGAGCTGGTTATTGACAAAAGTGCCATTCTTCGAAAGATCCTCCAACCGGAACGCTAACGCAGCTCGAGGCTCGTTGTCGAGCACGGTCAAGTTGGTGTAGCTGTATAGACCACCAGCAGTAGAGGTACCCAGGCTGCTGGCCACGGTCTGACGCCAGATACGGCAATGTCGAGCAGACAGCTCTACGCCATTGATTTGAATATCAACGCGCGCATTCGGATTAAGCCTTTTGCTAATGTGCGATTGCAGTTTCCGTCCGATGGAGAACTCGTCCCGTGTACGCGGTAGCAAGACATCCTGGCAATGATGATTGGGTGCGCTCAAGTCACGCTGGGCTGCCACGAGCATGCCCCATGCCCAAGACGTCGCGGGCAAAGGTTGCTCAATCTCTACTGCTGAAGGTGTTTGCTGAGAATATGAGGGCGCAGCGCTGGGTTGCGTGTTTTCGGGTATCTGAGATGCCGTGAACATCTCATCGGTAGGCGTGAGCTCCGGCGGTTGGCCGACGAAAGTCTCATCCAGAGGCAAAGTCGAGGGCTGGCGTGGCGCAACAGCGGGCTGTGAGAAGGATAGAGCTGTCTGATAGGCGCCGTTCGTAGATGCTGTCTCGCTCGGCATGAGTGGGGGAGGCATGGCTATGCGAGAGGGTTTCGTATCGAGGTTCGTGAGCGTGCGAGTGTCGTCTGGAGATGTCATGATGGCTGCTGCTTTTGCGCTAGCAGAGCGTGTGTGGCGGTACATTGTTGGTTGCACGGGTTTCTCGGCTTCGGCAGGCACAACCGATGCATCGTCTAGGTCATCCTCTATGGACGATTCATCAGAGATCAAAATAGGTTCCTCGCGCGTTGTCTTTGCCCGTTTGCGGGGACTAGCAGCGCTCGCAGGCGGATTTGCTCCGTTGCTTTTGTTCGGCGTCGATCTGGCATTGTTGCCCGCCTTTGATTTAGCAGGCGTCGTTTGCGCCAGCTGAGCACGATCACCATTCTGCTCCAGATCCAGAACGTCCAGCGCTTTCCGAGCACGTTTTGCACTATTCGTTGTAGACGCTGGCGAGGATGACAAAGCCAACGCTGGCTTGCTTCTCGTCGGCGGCGTCCGCTCTGATCTCGAGGCTGGCTTCTTGCGAGGAGGCTCATGTGTCGCGTCGTGACTGGCGCGTCTTGCACGAGCACGCTGGGCAGTGCCGAGTATTTCCGCTTCTGGTGAAGATGACAATCTGGCGCTTCTGACGCGAGCGGCCAGACCTTGCGAAGCAGGTGAGGACGTCACGCCTTGGTTATCGCGCGGTATTCGTGGCGCCATGTTGGAATACGCTGGACTGCAGGCCAACGGTCTATGAGTCTCGTACGAGCTTGCGGTGGCTCATGCGCATCTCTGCAAGCACTGACAAGGTCAGCACAGCTCCTGAACGCGTGACATGTGGCACAGAGGGAGCAAGACAGCGCGTGTCAAGCGCATGACAAGTGAAGCTGCCAATGCGTGATGCTACTGGAATACTCGTCGTCGATATGTTGATCACTGTAGCATATCGCGGCGAGCTCTGCAGTAGAAGCGCATGGCAGAGAGGCCGGAGCCTGGAGCAGATGCAAAGCAAAGAGCCGTGACTGGTCGCACTCGCTACTTGGTCAGAGCGAGGGGCAGAGATACTCATGCACTGCTTGTAGACAGCAGGACAGCATGCTGCACCTTTGCACGTGCGGTTGTGAGCAAAAACTGCCGCATTGAAGGTCGCATATAGGCAACTCTGCGGACTGTATGCTCGGGCGTTTGGACCGACGTCGGAGGAGCTCAATCTGGCTTTGTCCGGGGTCGATCGAAGGTGAAGACAGGAAAGGGCAGCGCAGGGTGTCAAAGATACTTACATGCGCCTCTCTGACTGCTGGACAGGGTGCCAATCGTCTCTATCGTTGCTCGAAATCGTCGTCAAACGCGTCTCTCCACGACCTCGAGACTCGACAACTCAGCTCGACCAGAATGAGCCAATGTCTATCATCTGCAGGAGCACAGTTCAGCCTTTCCCTTCAGGTGCATCTCACAGTGAGCCCGAAGCGACAGTCCGGGCGGAAGTGACGGTACTCGACAGCGCGAAATCGTACTTAGATCACTTCAGAGCTACCGCACTGCGGACCGCATTCGTGCCGCAGCCAGACGGTCAGAGCGTGCTGCAGCTATGCTGTCCGACACCCGCTGAGGCTCCGTTCACATCGACCTCTTCGGACAAGCCGGCGCAACGACGACCAAAACGCGCAAAGCGATCCGACGAACCTCACAAGTCGAAAGCCGACGCCAATGCATATCATGCGACCATCTCGCAACTCTTGCACACAGCCATTGCGTCAGCTCGTTCCGCTCTGAGTGCGCGAGCATGGTATGATGCCGATGCCATCTGCCCGCCGAACCCGACGATTGGCGCAGACTGGGCAGCACTGGTCAAAGATGCACCTGCAGCAGTCCCTCGAAAGGCTCGAAGCTTAGATGATGTCACTGGGCGCATCGAAGCGCTGGAATTGATCAATCGAGTCTGCAAGACCGACACGGGCAAAGTCGTGCATCTGGACCGACAAGACACGCCCATCTTAGTGCCACCCTGTTCTGCATTCCTCATTGCAGACATGAAGTCTTGGGATCTCTTGTTGCCTCCTTCGCGTGCGTCCCCCTCCGCCTATCTACCTGCTTGTGTCATCGACTGACACTGCGCAGATGTCGTAAGCGATGGTTATGATCTCGTTATTCTTGAGTAAGTATCCCGCACCCAAATGCACACTGGGACTCATCTTCTCGTAGCCCGCCATGGCCCAACAAGTCTGCCTCTCGAGCAAAGCAGTACGACCAGATCGATATCTACGATCTGCTTGACATCTCGCTGCCGACTGTTCTCGAGGGCGCCAATACGACTCGGCCGTGTCTCGTCTGCGTATGGCTGACAAACAAGCCCCGCTATAGACGCTTCGTAACCGATACGCTCTTTCCGCATTGGGGCATTTCGAGTGGCAAGACGAGTGAAGGACATTGGATCAAAACGAGCACTCAAGGCGAGCCGCTCTTCTCACTGGACGATCAAGATAGAAGGTGCTACGAGTCATTCATCATGGCCTGGTGGATCCCGAGCGAGTACGAGGGTCCAGCTCCGGTCTTGCCTGATCCGCAAGTCTTCTTATCGGTGCCTATCGGTCATTCACGCAAGCCGGTCATCATAGGTGCGTACTCGTCCAGAATCGGTCAACGAGGTCCTGAGCAGGATCGAGCAGATCTCTTGCGACATGCCTTCCAGCGAACGCCCAATGTGCTCGAACTCTTTGCTCGCACGACGCTCTCTGGCCGTACATTTGTTGAGTCAAGGATGGCGAGGTGGGTCAGTGTAGGCAATGAAGCTCTCAAATTCAACAGTGCCTCGTCGTTCGAGCTGGCCTAATAATGCATGTCGTCCTACAAGCGCGTCATGGCCTTATCTCTGCCAGTTGTGTCACTGCACCTCCGCTCTGTACGATACCGTCAGTATTGCACATAGCATCAGAGCGTCAGCGCACATCGACTAGAGCCATCTCTTCTTCGGTCATCTCTATCGGCTTCCAGAATTTCTGAGGCATCTGCCAGAACTCGTCGAAATCTGGTTTGGCCAAGCCTTCTCTTCGGCCCTCATTCTCCAATTGCTTGCCTGTCGTAGCCAGAGTAAGCTCGCGAGAGAATACAGAGTCGACAGACTGACCAATAGGTGCACCGCTCTTTGACAGCGCAGACTCCGCTTCGGGTCGCGGGGTAGCTTGACCCGGTCGAGCCGTCGAAGCGTGTTTGAGCATGAAAGCATCAAAGTTGTCTACGATAGACTGTGGTGCAGCCGGATGGGGTGCCGCGTTGGACTCATCTGTCACGATCCTCAGCTCAGCCAAGCTCTGTGAGCGACAGTGCGTCATGTTGACGTACTTTCGGGCAAGGTCTTGCCACGGAATTTGATCATGGGCTTGTAGGCTCCTGATGACGTTGTCGCATGGCGTGCTTGCGCTCTGTGCTGCAGTACTCGCCTCAGGGGGGATCTCGGTAGCATACTGAGAGGGCGGCAAGTCGACGACTTGACGAGATCGCGACTGGCTTTTGCTCTCTCTCTTGGGGGCTGACAGTACTGACGAGCCGACTCTGAAGCAACGCATGCGTCAACCTGAGCCATCTCGCAAGCAGGCAAGACTGCTGGCCAAGCAGCGTGCACAGCGAGATCAAGCAGCTTCCGAGCACACTGCCTTTAGACAGGCAGAACGCTACTGGAAGTCTCGTATTGATTCTCCTCAGTACGAACACGCATTTCGATCTTCGAGCGTGCAATGGCATGATACTCCCGGCTGCTCTTACCAGATCGGCACATGGACGGATGGTCGGGTCAAGTTGACGTATTCACTCCGTCGGCATAGACTCAACGGCGTGCCGGACGCGCTTGCACAACGACCGTCAACGTCGAGCGAATGGCAAAGCGGCACATATGCCATCACATTCGATGCTGCACCTGGACTGGTCTATTTGCCAGGCTGGGCAGCTCCCCCCCTTCAGCGCCAGCTGATCAAGTCGTGCCTGTGCGAAGCGGCAGATGAACATCATCCGCTCAGCCTTTCGCCGCATTTCGTTCTTCCCCCGGCTGGCTTGTGGGATACGTACCAGCGATGGCGACGTACACCCCAAGAGCCGGCAGGAGCAGACTCGTGGCATGTACCGAGGAAGACAGTAGCGGCTCGAGAAAGGCTGAGACGCGAACGCGTTGATCTCGAGCCTGTTACGACGGGCAACTTCATGTCAGAGCGCAAGCCCTTGCCGAGCATGCATGCAAACGAAGACCCATCAAAAGATCAAGCGCAAAGTGAACACATCCACGAAGTCATGGAAAGATTACGATGGGCTATCATCGGCTTCGAATACAGCTGGACTGACAAGGCCTACTACTACGACCGGCCTTTCTCGCCCATGCCCGATCTCATTTCTCGAGCATGTACAAACACTGTCAAAGCCTTACCTTGGGCGGATGTGTTTACACGTGCAACATCAGAGGAACGGGCTCAGTACTTGGGGTGGGCAAACGATTATGAGCCTCAGACGGGCATTGTCAACTTCTACGGGGTCAGTATCTTCGATCATCGAGCGCATCGAGTCTGAGCACCGGGGCTATCGGCAGGCTCGTGATACGCTAACGGGTCATATTGACCAATCTGAGCCCGATGCAGTTCGTCCGCTTGTCTCCATTAGGTAAGGTGCTCCCTTCTAACAATACGCCTCCGCTGATTCGAGTTGCACAGTCTCGGTACTTCCGCTGTCTTCCTTGCCGGTGGTGAAACGAGAGACGCCCGGCATCCTCTTCCGTTTCTGCTCCGATCAGGCGATGCCATCGTTATGTCAGGTCCATCCCGCCGAGTCTTTCATGGCATCCCACGTGTCTTGGACCATCTGCCTGCTCCTGCTCATCTCACTTCGAGTATCTCAGACGACCCAGACTGGACAGAAGGCGGATTTGCGGACTACATGTCTGCCGGACGTCGGATCAATATCAATGTGAGACAAGTCTTTGCGCAGCCTGTTCTACACCTGGCAGATCCTTGCAGCGTTGCATTTACAGCACAGTAGGATCATGCTCAAAAGCACTCCACCGGCCCCAAGTCGCACTGTAGGCTGAATGTGCCGCTTCGAGATGAACCCAAGCTGGGCCTTGCTCAGCTGCCTGTCTGTGCATGCTGCGGCACGGTTGAAGCCTCGTTGCCAAAGCTTGGTGTCGCCCGCGCCGCGGGGTAACAAGCGAGAGCTCAGCCCTCGCTTCCTCGTGAGCGAGTAGGAACGATTGCTTGGAGCGCTCAGTAGGGTCGCCAACAAGACGTCATTGTCGATACGCATATCGATTATCGCCTGGTCGCGCTCATGGCCCGTGCTCTGAACTGTTCCCAAACCTGTCGACCATTGGAAGCACGTCCTGCCCAGCTGCTCGTCGTCTGGGCAATGCCATACCGCGACAAGAGTGCCGGCAAGCGATCTTTGACGGATGCGCTCAGTAGCAAGCCGGCAGTGATACCGATGAAGCTCATGATGACGAAACGAGAGAGGACAGAGTCGCGTTGGAAGCACTTTGTCGTCACGTCGCCCTCCTCGCCCGTGGCCGTATCGAGATCGGTCTCGCCTTTCTCTGCATCCTTGCATATGCCTAGCTTCTGATCCAAGCAGAATTGTCTGCCAGTCGGAGAATGAGTGTTTGTGCGGGCGAGTCAGTACCAAAGAGGGCGTACTTTGTGCAGCTCAAGCAGGGTTTGGAGGGATCATTTGGCCTCTGCGGGGACACGAGACTCTGTGAGCATCGAATGGGGCCAGTTCATCATGGCGACGCACGTAGAGAGGCACGATTGTGTAGTTGCTGAAGCAGATACATTTGCAGAAATAGATGGACGATTCGCCCAGCGGCGTCGAGCTTGAGAGGTCTCGTATGTCAAACGCTGATACCGACGACCTCATCGTCAACGCCAAGAGAGCCAGAGCGCTCGCTGATAGTCGCATAGCGTGAGGACACGTCTGGCCAGCGGGTTGGTCGTCTCGACGCGAGAAAGCGCTCGACAAAGTCACCGGCGACAGCGTCATCACCCTCACCATCGTCGGCATTGAGCAAGATGGCACCCGGTCGCATGCAAGATGACAGCATCGACGAGTCACTCTACTCTCGTCAGCTGTGAGTGCCTTCCCACTTGCCCGTGCAGTCATACCGGGCGCTGATCTGTAAGCAACTTGACAGCTACGTCCTGGGACACGATGGTCAGGATGGCTTTGACGCAGCATGTCCGAATGCTGATCCGGGTGCGATGATCAGCAATGCGACGTATGGCAGCTTCAGACGTCCTCATCGTCGGTCTGAAAGGTCTGGGAGTCGAGATAGGCAAGCCAGCAACTCCAGTGCACCTTACTTAGCTCATGCTGGACGATGATGCTATGTAGCGAAGAACATATGCCTTGCAGGCGTCAAGTCGGTCACGTTGTATGATCCTGCGCCCACAGAAGTAGCAGATCTAGGCACACAGGCAAGTTCGGCCTGGTTGATCAGTCCTTGCGCTCATGTACAGGACTATTGCTTGCAGTTCTTCTTGCGTCAGAGTGACATTGGCAAGCCAAGAGACGCATCGACCTTACCACGGATCTCAGAGCTCAACAGCTATGTACCCGTTCGCGTGCTCGAAGGCGAGCTCAATCACGACAGCCTCAAACAATTTCAGGCAGGTCAAGCTCGCATATTGCCACGCAACAAACCTTATGACATTCGGAGCAGGTCGTCGTATTGACAGAGGCGCCTCACGAGCAGCAAGTAGCAGTCAACGACTTTACGCACTCAAACGGCATCCACTTCATTGCTGCAGACACACGCGGTCTTTTCGGGCGAGTCGTCTAGCCCTTTAGCTTGCATCGTGCGCTAAGGAGTTCGCGTTGTGCGCAGATCCGTCTTTTGTGACTTTGGGCCAGACTTTGTCGTGGTCGATCCGACGGGCGAACAACCTCTGTCTGGCATGATCGCCGCAGTCCAAAAGGCAAGCACTCGGCGTCGTGCCCTCCTGTCCGATGCTCACCCGCCACTGCGCAGGACTCAGACGGACTGGTAGCCACTCTAGATGAGACACGACATGGCCTGGAAGATGGCGATTTTGTCACCTTTTCAGAAATAACGGGTATGACCGAGCTCAATGGCTGCAAACCGCGTAAAGTGACTGTCAAAGGTGGGCTAGCATCACGCTCGCGAATTTGTTACTCAATCGCGTCCAGGCCCCTATACGTTCACGATCGGAGATACGTCTGGGCTGGGCGACTACAAATCGGGCGGTATCTTCACGCAAGTCAAAATGCCCAAGATCATTCCCTTTCAACCGCTCAAAGACTCCCTCAAAGCGCCCGAGATTGTCTTTTCTGATTTTGCAAAGTTTGATCGGCCGCATACGCTCATCGCAGGTTTCCAAGCACTCTCTGCCTTCGCAAAGGCGAAGGGATCTTACCCTCGACCGCGCAATGCAGAAGATGCGGCTCACGTGCTCGAGCTCGCGAAATCGATCTACAAAGAGTCTGGTTATGACGGCGAGCTAGCTGAGCATGTCATCAAAGAGCTCGCGTTCCAGGCTCAGGGAGACGTTGCGCCCGTCAATGCTGTCCTCGGTGGATTTGTGGGTCAGGAAGTACTCAAAGCTTGCTCGGGCAAATTCCATCCTACTGTCCAACATATGCTCTTCGATGCGCTCGAAGCGCTTCCCGAAGGTCTATCAGAGGCAGATGTTGCCCCTACCGGCACACGCTACGATCGTCAGGTAGCCGTTTTTGGCAAAGCTTTCCAGGAAAAGCTTGCAAACAATCGCCAATTCCTCGTCGGTGCTGGTGCGATCGGATGCGAGATGCTCAAGAACTGGGCTATGATGGGTTTGGGATCCGGATCCCAAGGCAAGATCTTTGTCACCGACATGGACTCGATCGAGAAGAGCAACCTCAACAGACAATTCCTTTTCAGGCCCAAAGACCTAGGCTCATTCAAATCTGAAGCTGCTGCAACAGCAGTAGCGGAAATGAACCCAGATCTCAAGGGCAAGATCGAGAGCAGTCAGCTGGCTGTAGGCGAACAGACTGAGAATGTCTTCGGCGATGACTTCTTTGACAACATCAATGGTGTGACCAATGCGCTCGACAACGTCGTCGCGCGCCAGTACATGGACAGGCGATGCGTCTACTACAAGAAACCGTTGCTCGAGTCCGGCACTCTAGGTACAAAGGCGAATGTGCAGGTTGTCCTGCCGCATCTCACAGAATCATACTCCTCCTCGCAAGATCCGCCTGAGAAGTCGCATCCGAGCTGCACAGTCAAGAACTTCCCCAACCAGATCGAGCACACTATCCAGTGGGCCCGTGAGCACTTTGACGACTTCTTTACAAAGCCCGCAGAAACTGTCAATCTGTATCTGACACAACCAGACTTTGTCGAATCTGCCAAGTCTGCAGGACTACAACCTGATCAAATCAGACAGATCGAAGCCAATTTGGTGACTGAACGACCACTCAGTTTCGATCAATGTTTATCTTGGGCTCGCCTCAAGTTCGAAGAGGAGTACAACAACGAGATCCGACAGCTGTTACACAGCTTGCCGCGAGACCTGATCACCAAAGAGGGCTTGCCATTCTGGTCAGGACCCAAACGGGCACCTACGCCATTGACCTTCGATATTGAGCACCAAGATCATCTCGACTATGTTATCGCAGCTGCCAATCTGCGCGCGTTCAATTACGGGCTCAAGGGCGAGACGGATCCTGAGTACTTCAAGCGCAAGCTATCGGAAGTCATCGTGCCGGAATTTACACCAAAGAGTGGCGTACAAGTCCAAATCAAGGATGATGAGCCAGTCGCGAATAGCAGTTCTGCAGTTGATCCTGACGACATCGGTGCCCTCGTCAGTCGACTGCCAAACCCGAAAGAGCTCGCTGGCTATCGCATGGTGCCTGTCGAATTCGAAAAGGACGACGACAGTAATCACCACATGGACTTTATCACCGCAGCCAGCAACCTTCGCGCGCTCAACTACGAGATCCAAACGGCAGATCGTCATCGCACGAAGCTCATAGCAGGCAAGATCATCCCAGCTATTGCGACAACGACTGCGCTGGCCACCGGCCTTGTCTGTATTGAGCTTTACAAGATCATCGCAGGCAAGACAAATCTGGAAGATTACAAGAACGGCTTTGTCAACCTTGCACTGCCCTTCTTTGGCTTTTCAGAGCCGATTGCTGCCGCTAAGCAAAAGTACGACGACACGGAATGGACTCTGTGGGATCGATTCCAAATCAAAGGCGACATTACCTTGCGGCAGTTCCTCGATTACTTTGACAAAGAGCATGGCCTGGAAGTTTCGATGGTCAGCAGTGGCGTATCGATGTTATTCAGCGGCTTCATGCCAAAGAAGAAGAGCGAAGAACGCCTACAGATGAAGTGAGCCGAAAAGACGCCGGGAATGGACAAGCTGATGCGTGGATGCAGGCTGAGCACACTTGTTGAGACGGTCTCAAAAAAGCCGATACCGCCTCACGTGAAGGAGATCATGTGCGTCTCATGATCCGCGGAAGCTCGCGCATTGACACTTGTACAGCTTCGAGGTCATGTGCGACTCGAAAAAGACCGGCGAAGACGTCGAAGTGCCTTTTGTGACGGTAGGCCGCAAATCTTCTGCATAAGGTCTCTCTAAAACCATCTGACAGGCTCGCATCCGCTAGTTCAAGTAGAAATAGAAGACGAATGTACTGCATGCAAAACAACAATGCCAGCTCGTAAAGACTTCCTCATCGTCGCTTGCCTTTTCCCTTGAGCTTTGCGGCGTGGGCTTTGGGTTTGCCTTTGGGTGGTCCGGTACGAGCTGGAGATGCGCCTGGTTTGCCCTTTGACTTGTTGCGGCGGGCTGTCATGTCTTCTGCGAATGTGCTCCTCTTCTTTCCCGTCTTGGCCGGTGCAGCTTTGACCTGGGTAATCTTCCCAGCCTGAGCCGCTTTCTTGGCCTGTCGGACGGCTGAAGAGATTGCACCGGAAGTGACGCGCGTATCATTCCGCGCATCTCTCAGAGCGTCTTGACGTCGCTTTTGCTTATGATTGAGCTTCTTGGGTCCACGTGCCTGTGTTCCCGTCAGTAAAGTTGTCCCTTACACAGAAGTCGGATAGCCAACCTTTTCTTCGAAGCCTGAATTGTACTGGGCTGTGCCAGCATCTTTTGCTTTCTTCTTGTCACCCTCCGACTGGAACCACGTCCTTCGAGGGCGTCCGGCGATTTCCTGCTTGTACTCAATCAGGTTCTGGCCTTTCTTGGCTTCCATCTCTGCACGGCGGATCTCCTTCTCCTCACGTTCTTCTTGCATGACCGTATTGATCTCCGCTTGTAGCTCCGTGACACGATCTGTGGCCTCCTTGATCACTTCGGGCGGGAGGACGCGTTGCTTGAACCGATCCGCAGGTGCTGCTTTTGTAGCTTGCTTGACCATCTTTCGATCCGAATCACCCACTAACGTCAGGGCTCGACCAGCGTTGCCTGCACGAGCAGTACGGCCCACACGATGGAGGTAGATATCGAAGCTACCCGGCATCTCGAAATTGATGACGCTCTGAACACCCTTGATATCGAGACCACGAGAGGCAAGATCGGTAGCACAGAGATGGGTCGCCGTGCCCTCTTTGAAGTTCTGCAAAGACTGCAGACGTTGCTCTTGAGATAGATCGCCATGGAGTTCTTCCGCAGCCAATCCGCAGAGTCCGAGTAAAATGCGCGCACGATGCGCTGCCTGCTTGCTTCGGAAGAAGATGATGGTTTGGCCGCGAAAGGTACGCTGACAAATTGCGAGAAGAGCAGCTTCTCTCGATGCCGGGGTATCTTTGCGAATGCGTAGAAATTCCTGCATGAGACTTTCGACCGTCGTTCCCGTCTCGTCAATTTTGATCCGCACTGGCTTGTCGAGCGAGAGTCGGGCGAGCTCATTGACATCCTCCGTGATCGTGGCAGAGAAGAGCAAGGACTGTCTCGAACGAGGACATTCTTTGATGATTTCTGTCAATTCATCTCTGAAGCCTTCTTCGAGTATACGGTCAGCTTCGTCGATGATGAGAATCTCGAGTGAGTCCAGAGTGAAAGTCGATGTGTTGCGAACATGATCAATCAATCGGCCTGGCGTAGAGACGACTACATCTGGCCGTTGACGCAGCTCGGCTTCTTGCACTTTGAGGGACAGTCCGCCAACGCAAAGACAAAATGATATGTCGGTGTAGCGAGCAAGCGCTTTGCCAACGCTGTGAACCTGTACTGCCAGTTCTCGAGTCGGACAGATCACGAGTACGCGCGTGCGCGCATCTTTCTTGTCTCTGTAGAGCAACCGTTCGAGCACGCCTAGCCAGAAAGCAACTGTTTTTCCGCTGCCTGTGTTAGACGAAGCGACAATGTCTTTGCCCATCAGCGCTACTGGTATCGTTTGAGCCTGTATGCGAGTGGGTGTCGTCAGGCCTAGCGCGCCGAGCGCAAGAAGGAGCGGCCTTGAGAGTCTTGCGTTGGGCAGACTGGCAAAGGGTGGCAGAGCCGTCTCAGCGGAAGGTGCAACCGGCGCCTTTTCAAAATATGCCTCTGCTGCAGCTGTCTCGTCTGCTGCCTGTGCGAACCGCATGTCAACTGATTCGGGAATCGCTTCGTCGTCGTTATCGTCATCATCTATGATTACATTCGCTAAGGCTCCGAATCCGTTGATGCCATCTATAGCTTCATTCGCCGCTTCGCTCGTGCCTTCGTCTGCTGGAATCTCCTCTTCATCTTCGGCCATCTCTACAATCTTGCCGTCTATCGCTTCCTCGGCTTCGTCACTTTCCGAACCGGCAAAGAAATCGTCCTCGTCCTCGTCTTCATCCGCCATGCTATCATCACTAGCATCGTCATCTTCGAGCCTTGGCTTTTGATGACGTGCTAGAATCTCGCCAGTCGTCACGCGTGGCTGTAGCAAGCGTGAGCAGAAGCGCTGCAGATTGCAGTCGAACTGACAATGCCATTCTTCTTCTTGAACAAGTCGATTGTCTCATTCATATCCTGCTCAGTCCGCGTCCAGGTGAGCCCATCCCGATGATTTCTTCACGGAGCATGACTGACCCATAGATCTGCCGCTCCGTTCGCACGGGCTCGCTGTGCCAGAGAACGCATCGAGTTGCCGCCCATCGAATCAAAGTCAAAAGCAGCGTTGAGAACCAGTCCGTCTTCATCCTTGCCCGCCTTTTGACCTTTTCTACTCTTTGCGCTCTTTGCAGCGGGTTGAGCATCGAGTAGCTCGGCAGCTGAAGCCTTTCGTTTGCCTTTGCTCTTTTGACTTTGCTCGCGTTTTGCTGGGGCTTTTGCTGAGCTCGCTGAAGCTAGCGGCGTCTCCTGTTCGTCGTCGGGACCCTCTTCATCGGACGAGAGGGTGAGGATCAAGTCGTCCAGCTGCTTCATTGTGCGCAACGCTTGCTAGACACTCGACCGCCTAGCTAGCAAATTCGAGCGGGCGAGTTCGGGCGAGAGCAAGCAGGGCTAGCGCGAGAGCTGGCGAGCGAGCGTGGCGGCAGAAAGGGCGCGGGCGCAGAGAGACTCTGCTGACAGCATTTACCCTTCCAAGGATGGTCGATTCACCTGTCGCCTCGGCATCAAAGCCGATCACTAGCAATGGAGACGCAAGCGAGATACCGACAGACATCATCCTCCCGCCGCCAGCTATCCGAGGTACGCCAACTTGTACCTGGCTTTAGCGGTGTGATCTCAAGCAGTGCGTATCGTAGAGATTGCGGACAAGACAGCTGGATTTGTAGCCAAGCAGAAGGATCCCAGCAGCTTCGAGAACAAAGTTCGCAACAGGGAGAAGGCCGACTCTCGCTTCTCGTTCTTGCAGCCTGGCGATGTCTATCACGCTTACTACCAGTACAAGATCAAGGAGATCAAGTCAGGCGCTGCGGTCACTGCGGGAGGACTGAGCACGCCCTCTGCGGGCGCTGCTGCTGCTCAGGTGCCCGAAGATCCCGACGAGCTCGACAGGCCAAAGGGTGATCCGCCCGCGCCTTGGGAGTTCAAGGGAGAAATGCCCACCATCAACGCTGTTGATCTGTATGTGACATGGAGATCATATGGTCCTCTGAGCTCACGGTGTTGACATCTGTGACAGGGATATCCTGAGACTGACAGCACTCTTCACTGCTCGTTCAGGCCGCAAATTCTCCAACGACCTCGCCGCCAAAGAGCGAACAAACTATCAATTCGACTTTCTCCGCCCATCTCATTCGCTCTTTGGCTACTTCAACCGACTCGTACAGCAATACGAAGCCGTCATCTCGCCTACGTCCGTCGCGCTCGAGAACCTCACGCGGCGATCAGGCCGACTGGCTAGCGGCTTGACCGAGAAGGAGAAGCGTGCAGAGGGGCGCAGAGAGGTCATGAAAGACGTTCGCAAGAGAGTAGAATGGGAACGATGGGAACAGGACAAGCGGAAGAAGAAGGAGGATGCCCAAGAGAAGGAGAGGAAAGCGTTCGAAGAGATCGAATGGCAGGATTTCCAGGTCGTCTCTACTGTCGAATTCACAGATGCCGACGATCTTATCGAGCTACCTGCACCGCTCAAATTGGCCGATGTGGAGAATATGTCACTTGCTGAGAAGAGGATGGCTGCCTTGCTGATGGAAGGCAAGGAAATGCCAGCGGAGGAAGAGCCGGAGGTGCAAGCTATCGAGCAACCGATGGACGAAGCTGCGTCTGCCGAGCGAAGGAAGCAAGTTGAGATCAAGATCGCGCACGAATCTGGTCCGATGAAGATCAGAAAAGACTATGTGCCTAAATGTGCGTCGAAGCCTTTCTTCACAGGCTATGACCTGCTGACGATAATGTTCCACGTGCAGCCAAGTCGGCAAAGGGAAACACTACGACATGCACCATCTGTGGTCAAGAAGTCCCTGTTGACGAATTCCAAGAGCATGTCCGGATCGAACTGCTCGATCCTGCATGGAAGGAGAAGCAAGCTCAGACAGAACGCAATCGTACTGCTGCCAATATGCTCACGGAAGGTGCCGATGTTTCTGCATCCCTGCGAAAACTGGCAGCCAAACGAGGCGATATCTTCACAACGACAGCAGCAGCAGACAAGCGCAAAGCAGAGGAAGCAGAAGAGCGCAAGAAGCAGAAAGAGCGAGAAAGAGCGGTCTGGGATGGCCATACTAATTCGAGCGATGCCGTCACTGCTAGATTTGCTGCTGGCGCGAGCTTCGACGCTCAGATCGACGCGCTCCATCGTGCAAAGGGTCTGGCCGGCTCAGAGCTCCAAGGCCAAGTCGGCCCTGGTTTATCTGCTCCTGCTCCCGAGCCTGTTCAATTCACCGGAGTAAGTATGAGTGCCGCACCTCAACCCGCATCAAATCTGCCTTCGTTCGGTCCGCCTATCAATTTTGCAAGCGGAATGGCTCCGCCCGGCATGGCCCCTCCTCAACCTTTGCCGCCCATCTCGCTTGCTCCGGGAGGATATAGCTATGGTCAGATTCGTCCTGCTGTTGATCCTGCTGTCGGTCAACCAGACGCAAAGCGTCGCAAGATGCCCGGCCAAGTCTATCCCGAAGCCGAATGGCTCCGCCTTCATCCTGTTCGTCCATCTTTGTTGCGCTCTGGTTCGACACTCATAGCTATTGACAGGAGCCGATAACGGTGTCTGTCCAGCTTCCTACTTTGCCTGACAAGCCAGAGTGGCATTGTGATGGCAGTGTACTTCAGCTGTCTGATATTCCGCTTACCCTGCTTGCCGGCACGTTGCGAGATAGGATACAAGAGAAGATCGGTATGCCCACTGGACGACAGAAACTTTCGCTGGGGGCCAGAATTCTACAGGCCAATATCACGCTGGCCGCGCTCAATCTGGATTCGTACGATGTGCTCACTTTGGCTCTCAAGGAGACTAAGAAGCGATAGTCCAAATTCTTGCATTATTTGTGCAATTTTCCAGGGAAGAGCTAGACGAACAGCTCTCTGGCATTTGAGACTGCGGCGTCCTTGAATGACACCCAGCCAGCCCGTCCTTGTCGCTTGAGCAGTTCTGTCGAGCGGGTGTTATTGATGAGCACCTTGGCAGGCTCTGGCAGACCCTTGAAATCCTGTGGAACGTTTGCCTTTGGCCAAGCATGTCTCCAAGCATCGAGCGCTTCGTCAAGTGAAAACGGACCGGCTGCTGCCCAGAGACGCTCGTGGTTGACATCGGGCTCGAGCAGAGCGGCGATGTGAACTCTTGCGGCATCTTCCACATCGACGTACCACGATGGCACAGCGTTGAACGCGAGAGCCATCTCTGGCTTGCCTTCGAGAATATCGTTGAGGAAAGTATGCGTGCTGTACTTGCCCTTTTCAGGGTTGGAAACTCGGCCGAGCACGTAGTCGGGTAGGACAGCATTGGCGCTATAAGCTGGCTTCTCTGCATCGACGAACTTCCAAAAGGCTTTCTCGCCTGCGAATGTGTCAATGAGCGGCTAGCAATATTTTGAGATGATGCTCACCTTCGACCTTGCTGGCAGCGTACGCATAGACACCGCGCAAGGGATCGTCGCCTTTGGCAAAGGCACGAGTGACAGCCTCTTCAAAGTAGATATTCATGTCAGGCCTGTACGTTTTGCCAGACTCGGGATTGAAAGAGGCAATCCTAGAACTCGTCAATACGAATGACTTGACGCTCGGTGTCTTGGCTGCAGCGCGTGCGAGCGACAGTGTCCCGTCGACCACAGACTTGACAACTGTTGCGGCATCGTCCGAGAGCGAAGAGTCGGTGGCTAGGTGAAGCACGCCATCGACGCCCTTGATGGCTTCGTCGAATGCATTGGCCTGGGTAATGTCGTGTATCTCGACAGTTTCGAATGATCCAGCTCCGTGCTCCTTGTCGAGCTTAGACTTGAGTGCTTGAGCTCGACTGGCGCTTCGCGTAACCCCGCGCACGTGGAATCCTTGGCGAACGAGATGCTCTGCGACTGAACTGCCTATAAAACCGGTAGCACCCGTAACAAGAATGAGGGAGCCCGGTGCGAGGCGTTGAGACGACATGTGTGCTTCTGTGTGAGTGAGTCTTGTGTACTTGCTAGCTTCTGCTGTCGATTTGGAAGGTCAGAATGGCAGGTCCGAGGAGAAGGAAAGCTGTCTTTATATCGATTTCTACCATGAAGCCTGCTGACTGTTAATGACAAGCGCGCTTGACTCAGCGAGATCAACCACGCCTCCTGAAGCTGCCAGGACAGATCTGTCGATAGTGTTGGGTCAGGAGAGATACTTATCGCCTGCGACAGTGGCTGAGACTTTACACAATTCATCAGCAGTCATGAGAGTATACGAGGCATTCAATTTCGGCAACATCAGATTGTCCTCATATTGATCACGTGACGTTCATCGCGCGGTGCAAATTTCTCGCGAGCAATACTAACGTGACAAGATTTGTACACTGGGCACGCATAAAAAGCGCGTTCCTCATTCTTTCCACACTTAACTCGGCTCGAAGCGACTCAATGCGATTCAACAAAGCGTTCAGCGCTAGGCCGGTGCCGAGGTAGTAGTGAAAGTGTGTAGGCCTGTGTGTTCATCGGTCTGAGCAGCTGGTCTGTCAACGCGAATTGTTCCAGCACAGCTGGAGTCGACTTCAAGTTCGCCTGCTTCATCACTCTCCTCTCCTCTCTCGTTGCCAGTAGCAGTCAGGAGAGCGTTTTTAGCCTGCCAGTAGGGTCACTGCTGAGCGCTAGCCTCTTCCTCCTGCTCAGCTCTCAACGAGAATCCCACTCATCCTACTGGCTGCATCGCGCTGTCGGTCTGCTGTGCAGCCCCCCGCCAATTGGCACCTGTATATATCGGGCTTGCTACAGCCAGCCGACAGCCCTTGCAGTTATTCCCCTCCAATGCAGCTTTATTACTTTCTTCACCGTCGGGTCACATCCGTCCTGGATTCGAATCATGAGCGAAAATCTCTCTCTGCGCGTGCATCATCACTTGAGCGTCTTCTAGCTTGTACAGCACACTATCACATGCAGCATCCAGACGAAGGACTGATGGACCCGAGCTGACGAGCATTTCAGCAACTGGGCAGCGTGGACCGGCTGATTGATACATTGCAATCCAACTTTCTCTTTCCGCCCCTATAGACTTGGCTTCGCCTGACCAGACTGGCGCTCTCCGTCCTGATCACACCTTTCAAATCATGAGCGGATGTCTAAGGCGACTGAGCCGCTGGCTTTGCGAATCACATGCAATATCTGCTTATACATCGTGCGAATGATGCTCCAGCACGAGGATGCGGCGCGATCTTATAAGCCCCGAAGTAGTCTGAAACATAAATGGCTGACAGCCGGAGATATGGACATTGGCGAGCAGCTTGGACAGCACGAGCCAGGTGGGATCAGATCATGCCTGAAACGTGTAGCGTCGCTATGCAGACGCATCGCGAAGGCGACGCTTGCGCACTCCGCACGACTTCCGGATGCCTTGAGAGTGAAGTCGATGGTGACATCAAGCTATCTGGCTGAGACTGTGTTGGCGAGTCGCTCTGTTGACAAACGACTGAGGAGGGACTGATGGGAAAGGCAGTTCGCAGCGGGCATCCTTCTAAGGAGTGCTGCAGCTCTTGATCATTGCTACAACCAGTGGCAAGTTGATTTGACTGGGCCGCTCAGCTGTCCTGGCGGGAGGTATGCATCTGCCATCACTGCAGGCAGTAGTCTGTCCTTTGTCCTGCCGACGACATTCGAAGATTCAGCGCCTATTCCCATGGCGACATACGTTCGTCATCAGCCTCTCCGCGCCTCGTAGCAGCTGATCGGTTCCTCTAGTTCACCTCGGATCCTCCAGGCTGCGTGCTTGCAATAACCGAGTGGTATCCTTTAAGTTTAGGAACGGCGTGCGGATCTGGTCGACGCGCTGGCTACAAGATGATTTTCTGGGTCTCTTTGCTCGACTCTAACGGCGACATCAATGACAGAAACCCAGATGGATGCTGTACGGCCACTGCCCAAGGTGTTCTTGAGATTTGTACGAGCTCTGTGGCTGCATCGTGCCGCGCTGATCATCTCGATAGACAACAACGGAGGAACACCTGCTGCTCGTTTGATTGGCGACATCTCTGTCTGGCAAAGTAGAGATCGCCCCTTCGTCTCTAGATGCTGACTCGCTGACACACGTCTGGTAGATTGCGACCTGAACAGAAGGTTCTGCGTCAATCATCCGAAGAACAGTGGCGAATGTCAGGGTACTGTGACTGCGACGGCCACATTGATCGCCAATGATGATGGCGGCAATGTATAAGCCAGGAATGCTTGCGCAGAAAACGGAGAGATGATCGCGCAATCTTGATGCGAGGATTGATCAATCATCGTGAGTGACGGATGACTGACAACGCCAATCGCGCGCGGTTAGAAATTTATGCTTTCTCCACAGATGGCGGAGAGCGCCGCGAGCGACCTCCGTCATCGTCGTCATAGAGAGAGTCAAGTTTGTCGATCCTCGCAGAGTGAACGAGCAAGAACAGCTGAGGGTGGTCGATCTGATCGAGAGAAAAGAGTAGAAACGGCTGTTTAGAAAGAGATCGAGCTTTACAGCGAGAAGGATTAATCCGAGGCGGGTCGAGACAGAAGAGGAGAAGGCCCATCGATACCCGCAAAGACGCACCGAGGACGCAAACAGCAAGGTACGTCATCCGTCACTCGTGTATGGTCAGTCGATCGTTCTTTGCGCTTTGCTGCTCGAGGCTTGCATTGCCCGTGCGCAACCGCTTAGTCACCCCTCTGGCCCTCCGACTGCTGGCATCCAAGCGAGAGACGATGCTAATGCAGCGTTGTCAGATCAGCACCCTTGTCTGATTCTTCTTTGGCTCTTTCCCAGAGACCGACATAAGCCAGCCTGTACCTCGGCTAAGTCAGCTAGACACACAATCTGGCGTCCGGAGCGGCAATCAGGCAGCCCTACGAGGCCAGTCAAGCGCCATCAAGTCACTACTACGCTCCTCCAGGCTCACGAGCAACGCCAGCTAAGCCCATCATCCCGGTAAACAGCAGCATCAGACCAAACGCACAAGAGCAACCTCCAACGACCGGCTTTGGAGGGATCCACCAGTCTGAGCAGCATGCTACCGACGGGGGTACGCCGTAGCGCCAGCTTGAGATTCCAATACTGACGAGTCGCGAGGGTAGAGCAACGATACGTACGAGCATCGTCTGACCCAGTCTCGCGACCTGGACTAGGTCACTACTCAAGCAAGCTTGATCTCGAACCAAACCCATTCGAGCAGTCCTTCTCGTCCTCGCATCCTCCGCCGCCAGGCTACAACCCTGCTCTGGCTGCCAACAAGCTGGACTCGCCATCACTACCCCGGAGAGCGCGATCGAGCTCGCCCGCGATACGAACGCCCTCTGCTCATCCATTTGCGAGCGGCACAGGCGCAACACCCAGCCATCAAACTCCGATTACGCGCGACATCCATTCTAGTGCAGGCCAGGCTAACATTCCCGTAATTGGATCGTCTGGCGGATCTAGCGCTGTGAAGCTACCACCTCTCGCCTCGCTTGCTAGTCCTACCCCTGCCAACAGCACCAGCTTGCACAATTTTGGCTGGGACTTTGACCATTCGCTCAGATCGGGTCCTCTTTCGCCTGCTATGCTAGCTGGGCCGGCGCAGAATCATCAACAACCGCATCAGCATCATCCGCATATCAACGGCGCCTCCGGCTCACACTCTTTGTTTGACTCGTCGTCATTGAGGACTGGCTTGACGCCCATGATCGAAGGCGGTGACTTCCCTCCGCCAAGCCCGGCAACACAAGCAATGTTTGCGATGATGACCAATCAGACTCCCGGCACGGGCGGCAATCATGCCGGTGCAGGCGCAGATAGTAGCGCTCGCAACGATCCTAATCACTTTGAGGCGAGCTTCTCAAAGGCAAACGAAACTGCTTCGCTCAGAGTACGAGCGCAATCCAATCCCGGCATCCCTACCGGCGAGGAGGTCGCAAAGGCGGCAGCTGCTGCTGCCGCGCAGACACAAGGTGTCCCGAGGCCACTCACATCTGGCCAGCGTGCAGCGATTGCCGTCGGAGCTGCTGCGCGTGGTAGACAAGGCCCGATACCTACTGGCTATCACGGTCAGCCAGTGGCGCCGTCTATAGCGCCATCTTCGCTCAACAATGCACAGCAACAACAGCAACAGCAGCATCAGCAACAACAGCAACAGCAAGCGGCAATGCAGCACAACGCATACGCTACTAACCCACTCTATCTGCTCACACAGGCTTCCCAGGGTCTCGAACAGGGCGGAGAGCCCGAGGATCTCGTTGCTGCTGCTGCGCTATCAAATTTGAATTCGGCAGGATCCTATGGCAATCTAAAGCACTTGCCATATGCATCTAATCCCTATCATCAACACAGTCAACCTAATCAGCAGCTACCTAGTGCCACAATCAGTCAGAACGGGTCATCCAATTCGCCCGCTTCGCAAGCTCCCGCCCGTCAGTCAAAGCGCGCGCCGAAAAAGCGAAAGCAAGAGGAAGATGTGCCAGTCCCCGCTCCGTCTACGAAGAAGACAGGCCGGGCGAAGAAACCGAAAGACGAGCCCGAAGATATTGATTTCAACGATGGCTCGTCCAGTCTCAACGGAGGTGCAGGCGACGATGGCAGATCGGACAATGGCGACTGGGACGCCAACCAGCCGCCCCGAGATCCATCAAAACCAGAGACAGAAGAAGAGAAGCGCAAAAGTTTCTTGGAACGGAATCGACAGGGTACGCTGCGTCGCATCGCCCACAAGCTCATACTGATCGTTCGGGGGGGAATAGCTGCATTGAAATGCAGGCAGAGAAAGAAAGCTTGGCTTTCTCAACTACAGGCGAAAGTCGAGTATCTTACCTCTGACAACGAAACGCTACAAAACACAGTCAATTCGTTACGGGACGAAATATCTAGCCTACGAAACTTGCTCGTCACGCATAAAGATTGTTCGATCGGTGCAAACGGACACCGAACGCTTGGCGAAGCGCTCGGTCATCAACAGCCGAATCATTCACCATTCTGATCCCTTACGACCTGTCTGCTTGTTCGCAAGCTATCCTGTGCATATGCCATGCTACATTCGATCTCTTCCTGTTGTGTCAATCCTGCACAATTTGTCAATAACCACGCAATGCGCGCAGTGCGCTCGGACCTCTTCGATCTGATGTGCCATCTTCCCTCGCCACTCGTTTTTAATGTCTTCCTCGTCTGCCTCTTCGTCACGACATGTCCGAATACGCAAGAGGTGCACCTCCGGTAGGTGGAAGCAATGTTCAGCTCCAGCCAGTCGAGCCATTCTCTCTCGGACTCTTTCTCGCGCCTTGGCTTCTCGGGATTAACATTGCATGGGCCCTCAATGGCGCCGGCCTCATCGTGCTGTGTCGCTATATCTCGCATTACAAAGACGACTCTCGCTGGATCAAGCTAGCAGTCGCCGTTACATCGGGCACTGCATTGCTCAGCATACTCGTAGACACGCACGTCGGGTTTCAAATCTTCGTTAGCTGGTTCGGCGATGCGAGCGCGCTCGTTGACAATCGTTTCGTGACTGTGCGCTCACTCACGACTTTTCCTCCCTGGAGAGTTGATACGAACAAGCAGGTCGAGATGTCATTTGCGCTTGTGGCAATCGAAGCCTTTACAGCGCAAGCGTATTTCGCCGCACGCGTCTATCGATTGACGAACCGCAGCAAGCTAGTCATATTTCCCATTGCCTGTCTCATGCTACTCGGACTAGCAACCGGCATCTTGCTCACGGCCATCTTCGCCAGCGGATCCGGAACGCAAGTCTTCTTCAATCAAGGCAATCTACGATGGGCGCTCGAGAGCCATCTGTTCATCACTGCTAGTGTCGATCTGTGTATTGCGGCGGCAATTTGCGCAAGACTATGGACAGTCACATCGAGCGAGAGTGGAGCACGAGCGAGCGTATTCGTCATGCGTACGATCAGATTGGCATTGCTCTCGTCTGGTATCAGTTCCTTGCTGGCGATGGCCACAGGCGTGCTCTTCCTCACGAGTGACACGACCGGCTTGACATTCATGGCTTCACTCATCTGCCTGACTCAAGTTTACAATCTCAACTTGCTCTTTGCTCTTACCTCGCGGTCGACGCAATTGACACGACCCAAAACGAGTGACAAGCCGATATTTGGCTATCCGGTCTTGCAAAACGAGAAACAAGATTTTTTCAATAGCCAAGCGATCAAGGATACCGAAGCGTGAGTCACGAATGTTTACAACGAACTCCTGCTGACCATCATTGAAGAGCCATGTCACGCCCGTTACCGGTTAGAGCAGATCAGTTTGATTCATGGCGATAGCAGAGTATTCTTAGCAGGTCTCAGGGGTTGTGAACACGTTGCAATTCGTCAACGACATCAAGCCCCGTTAGCATCTGCAGCAGGCTTAGCAGATGCAGCTTTCGCATCTCCTGCCTCCGCTTTCGGAGCAGATGCAGCACCAGGCTGTGGTTTGGCCGCATCTGGCTTGTTCTCCCTTGGCGGTCTCGGTTCGCGAGGCTCTCTGGGCTCATTTGGTCTGTTCCCTCCTCTTCCCCTCGTCGGCCCTCCTCGCGATCCTCCTGCGCTTCCTCCCCGTGAATGACCTCTGCCACCTCCACGAGAGGGTCGAGAGCTCTCTGGCACTGTTTCACCTGTCGGTGTAGCGGCCGCGGGCACATCGCTCGCCGGTGGCTTTTCAGACTGAGCGCGCTCCGGACGATCGCCCTGAGGACGTTTGCCAGGCTTGTTGGAATTGGGAGTCTTTCGACCACCTGTAGCTGACCCAGGACGCTCAGAGTTCTCTCGCTGAGCTGCACTGTCAGTCGCAACAGGGCCGACAGCAGGCGGCTTGATAGGCGCGTCTGCTGGTTTTGGCCCTACTCGGTGCATGGGCCCCGACGGCTGATTGTAAGGCCCTCTCTCGTTGTTCGAACTGTGAGAGTTGTTCCAGTTGCCGGAGAAGCGATCGTTACGATTGAACCCGTTTGCTCTTCCGTGTGGATGATCGTCGCGATGTTGTTGAGGTCGATGGGCCGGCGAGCGGGAAGGTTCGTTCGAAGGCGCGAGGGATGGCGCTCGAGTGGCTTGAGGGGAGGGCCCCGAAGGACCTTTGCTCGGCAGGCTCGGTCTCGCTGTGGACGGCGCAGGCGGGTTCTGACGATAGAGATAGTGGAAGCCCTGAGACTTCATCTCTGTGGACACTCTGCCGTCTGCTAGATCGAAGATGAGATTGCCGTACGTTGTATCTGGTAGGTTGAAGTGCCAGACGTTCTTGTAGGCAAAATCGTCTGGGCTTGCAGATCCTGGCGGTACGGGCTCTTGCGGAACTCGATTTGTGACTGCGAGCGCATTCTCCAACAGCGGCTTTTGCTCGTCACTGAGGCCCCCTCAAATCTCAGCTTCACTGCTAAAGTTGAGGATGCGAGACCCACTCGATTTGCGCCTCGACATCTGCGCGAACACGGCCCCAGACTTCGTTGAAGGCGTCCTTTGACTGCAGCAGCTTCCGACGGAACGCATCTTGATCTTGCTGGACGCTAAACTCGTTGTAGCTCGTGCCATACCTGCATGACCGTAACACATGAGCAGCTGAACTGCATAACCAAGGTTGTTCAGGCTCGCCTGAAATGCAGACTGGCCGAAACGGTAAAGTCTGCTCTGAGAACGAGAGCGAGTTGGGCAAGGAGCCCTTCCTTGCCTGGTGAAGCATGAGAGATGAACAGTCTCGTCTCTGATTGGGAGTAGACGCGCTGGGCAGTATCGACGAGTTCGCCAATCTGGAGTATCGTCGTCCACATGGTGCCGGCTGCACCTGCTGTCGTACCTGGCCCCTCGCCGTTATCGAATAGCTTGTGAGAGATGACTGCTCCCCCCAGACCGAGCAACCTGAGCTTTAGCCCGCCAATATCGAGCACTCTCGTTGTCGATTCGGAGAGGATGGTCAAGTTGGGTATGGAGTACGATGGAGGGTGAGCCATCTTGGGCGTGGAGACGGGTGCGGCGGAGATGGGCGCAGAGGGAGCGGCTTTGATCTTCTCGATGACGGCTACATCCTCACAAGCGCCATAGACCGTATAGACCGGTACTTTCAGTACGAGCTCGCCCGTGAGCAGGAGCGGGAACTCGGACAAGTGGGTCTTGTTGGGATCTTGTGAGTCGCCGGAGGAGAGGAGCTGGCGTTGCTCAGAGGGTGCGACATTGTTGGCGAGCAGTTGCGCTCGAAGGGGAGAAGAGATGCAGTTGGAGTATTGTATGACGTGTCTCAGCGTCTTGTCGGCTATACGCGCCAGAGAAGATTGCTCTGTCCGGTGCGCAGGAGGGCATCAGTCATGCAGAGTATGAGGACGGTGAGGGGGCAGAGTTGACTTGCCGTAGAACCCAAAATCGCCAGTGTGGATGATCGCTTTCGCCCGATGTTCTTCAGCTAGCGCGTTCAGCTGCGAGATCTTGCCTGGCCACTCAAGTCCTGGTCAGCCCGGTCGAGTGAGCAGGCCAGATCCTGGCGGACCTCTGATGTCGGCCACACAGAGGATCCGTCCACGAGCGGTATCGATAAAATCGAGCCTTTCCGAAAGACTCTCGGGCGTCTCCGAGGTGCTCGGCTTGCGTGTATCGTCCGATACCATGATCGTGCGCGCCTGACTCTGTCAACTGTGCTTCGGCCTTGCAGTGGCACTCGTCAGTTCCTGACTCTTTCAAAATCAAGAGAGAGGAGAAGCGTTTCTCACGCTCGCGTAGTTCCACGTGGCACTTCCTCTTTCGCCTGCTCAGGCTCTCGATCGTGTCTTTTGCTCACACCGGCATGGCATCAGCAGCCACGAAGCTGAGGACGTACCTCAAGGGGGATGTGTCCATCCAGTCCAACTTCAGACACTTGTACGAGTACAAAGGGATGAACAAACCCGTCAAACAAGCCGAAGGGCCCACGATCCAGTGGCCAAACGAAAAGCATCGCATCAAGTTCTGGAACATCCACCCTGGTGATCAGGTCGTCGTACGGGAGGGTCCGCCCGCCCTTGTCGGACAAGTGGGCACAGTGAGGATGGTGGACAGGTTGGGCAACAGGCTTTACTTTCATGAGGATCAATTCCACGTGCGTCTGCCTGCTCTGTTGCTGCTTCGTCCCTTTGGGCCTGATGGGCAAGCACAGAGGGTCTTGTCGGAAAGGGAGATTAGGAGGAATAGTAGGCTGGGCCCCAACGAGGCCATCCCGCCGGGCGCAGGACTCGAACCGATACCGATTCACTACTCCAATGTTGCCCTCGTCATAGGTCGGCACGCTGGCATCAGCTGACCCGTAGGAGCTGACACCGCCGGCTGACACGACAGGCACAAAGCTATCACCCAAGCTAGACGAACGGGGTGAGGCCATCAAGGACAAGAAAGGCAACCCCGTCATCGCTTCGACAGAAAGGCAAGCCTGGTCTCGTTTGCTTTCGCTCGACCAGTCTGATGCCGAGAGGCGAGCAGAATGGTCGCAGGACGACTGAAACGAGGAGCGAGGATATACAATCACGAGACGAAACGGATCGAGTGGTCGAGGATAGCGGTCAATACAAAGATACTACGATCGGATGGCAGGCTCGTTCCTGACCTCGACGACTTTGCTTCTGGCTCGGTCATACCTCTGCCCACCGAGACAAAACCGACGCGTCAGTCGCAGCACCTTCCCACCTGTCACAGAGCTGACAGAACGGAAACAGTGAGAAGTCCCGCGAGTTTTGAGATGAAACCGAGCGAAGCGGCCAGAGTGACCTGGACGCCCACGCTTGTCGATATCAGGTTGCCGGAGAACCGACCGAAGGAGCTGGATATACCCGAGATCGATCTCGGCGGGAAAGCGTTCGACAAGATGAGGAAGATGCACGGGCCTAAAGCGCGCAAGGTCGAGCTGGCTCAGATTGCCAATGCGGTCAAACGACAGGACATTGCCCAAGCTGTCTTACTGCAGAGTGCGGGAAGGACGAGCCAGCGTACGACGAGATGATTACATTGTTGCATTGCATTGTACTGTCGTCGAGTAGCTAGTCCTTCTCACCCAATCGCTGAAGATAACCATCAATCTCTTCTGCGCCCATCTGTAGACTCATTGTCAGTTCTCCTTGTGACCTCCGACAGCTTGGTGAAGCCTACCGTCCTGAAGCGGTAGATTGACTTTGAACCGCCTTCGCTTTTTGAGACGATGCCAATCTCAATCTCTGTACTCTTGAAATCGGTGGCGAGCACGGTCTGGAGTGAAGTGATGGCCAGCTCGACAGTCTCTTCGAGCGTGTCGAGCTTGAAGCCTTCTGTTGCAACTGGCTTGGAATCTACAGATCCGACGGTAGCGCCGGCGGTGCCCGAACCCGTCGTGGCAGTCGTAGAAGTCGCGCTGGTAGCAGAAACGACGTTACTGCTCGGCGAAGCATGGGCAGCCTTCTTGTAGGCTTTCTCCAGATAGTTGATTGCTTCCTGTTGTTTCGTTCCAGAGGCGGTACCCTTGTAGCCGACATAGTAGCCAGCAGGATCGAGTTTGAACAGAGCAGGCGCGTCGAGTTCTGTATCGATTCCGATGATGATCATCGAAATACCAAGCGGTCTCATTGCTGCTCTCTGGGTGTAGACCTGATTGATCGACGCCAGTCTCTTTGCGAGCGCGTCCGGTGTGATCTCGTAGCCGTACTTGTACCTGAACTCTGCAGCTTCAGACTGAGCTCGTTGGACTTGTGAGCGAGCATCTGCAGGTCGACCCATGACGACGCATCCGATCGTCGGTGTCAGGTTCCACATCGAAGTCACCGTGGAGGGATCCAGTAGCTTGTCCTGCCCGGCTCGCTCGCTCACATCAGCTCGGCGTACCGAGGGTGAGCATGACGAAAGAAGCGGACCGGTATTTTCTTCTGGGTGATCATCACTGCACTCTCTTCGCCCCTGATGGCAATAGCAGTCTGACCTGCTGCAGTGATCGCCTTGAAGGCATACTCTGCACAACAGATCTGCAGGTCAGCGCGAGAGGAGACGGCAGATCGACAGGTCGAGCTTGCCGACTTGGTACAATCTCCCCTCGGGCGAGAAGACCGTCAGAAACCTGTCCGCACCTGCATCGTCAGCTCTGACATGGGCTGGCTGGCTTCGCGACGGACCGATCGTAAGAGCTTCTGGACATGCTCGCAGTCCGGCTCTCGCTGTCGAACGCGTCAGTAGGGATCAATTCCAGCAGCGCGTGAAGATTTCCTCAAGATGAACTCGGTGAAATCAGCTGAGAGCCTTCGAACGTCGGTCGGCGTGGTGAAGTCGACCGCCAGCCATGGGCAAAGTACACGGATCGCTAGCGCGAGCAGGCAAAGGCAGGCCACTCCCTACGCGAGCGCATGCGTGAGCTGAACGTGCAGTCTGTCTGCAGTCAAATCGCAAACGCCAAAGGTCGAGCCTCAGGAAAAGAAGAAGAAGCTCACTGGCCGAGCGAAGAAGCGTATCCTCTACAACCGCAGGTCAGTCGCTAGCTAGCTCGCTCAGCTGTCGATCACCGTCTTTGACACTCGTTGCGTCATGACAGGTTCGTCAATGCTGTCACCGGACCGGGCGGCAAGAGGAGAATGAACCCCAAGTCAGTCACCACTCACTTCCAAGCTGGCTCATCAGCTGATGTGAGACATCGTCGACAGCCCGGAAGGCAAGAGCGGATAGACGTAGTGTTACTGTTTGCATACAGCATTCTCCTCGATCTCCCTCTTCCTCGCACCACGCCCCCGATGCTCGCTCATGAGGATGCATTCACAGCATCACCACGCCAACTCCGCTTCCGTTCGGTTTCCCGCCCAGCTCGGGAATCGCACTCGCACTCTTGGCTTCGATCCCTCTTCCTTCGGGCGGCCGACATCCTCCCGCGATCGCATGAGCGCGCCAGTTGTAGAGGTAGTAGTTCAAGAAACCATCGCCCGCTCCAAACTGTTCGATCACCATCAGCACACAGCGTTGCGCAGCGTGAACGAGTGCTCACTTTGAGATCGTGGATGAAGAGATTGTTATCCATGAGCGTGAGCGCGTTGAAGACGTCGAAGTGGGCCTGTTCCGGCGCAGTTTCGAATCAGCACGAGTAGAACTGACGACAGGTCTGATCCTACATTGCGAGCAATGATGAGCGCATCCGTCACGAGCGCAGTCAGTCGTAGCCGTAATCGAGTTCGATCTGACAGATTCTCGCTCTCCCAACTCGCGCCTTCGCCTGTCGGCACCTGATGACTGGCATAGTAGTACAGATACGCCGCATTGACACAAGAAGGAGGATCCGTCCTCATGGCCGTACTCGGAAGCGTGTAGAACGAGAACATATCTGTGATCTCGCCAGATTGCGGATCTTGGACAACGTACGTCCAGGTGACCTGGCCTTTCCTCTTGCCCGAAACAAGAGGACCGGATCCCTTTGAGTTGAGGAAATTGTGCTCAATCTCTTCGTTGGTGAACAGGGGAGCTACATCGAATCGCGCCATGTATTGCCTGAGAAGCAAAGCGACGGAATGCACGTCGCCAGATTCGATCTCTCTCAACCCTTGCAAAGAGGTATTTTGGGGCAGTTCGTACTGTTTGATCACTCGGGCCATGGTCGAATGACGCGGCAGAGCAGAGAAGCCGACTTCGATGAGATGCTTCGGGTTGAGCGATCGATGGTAGTATTGAGAGGTAGCAACGGGGGTGGGAAGGAAGACACCGGCGGTGTAGATAGCTTGGTAGATACCTATGAGATGACACCGACGGGTGATCTCTTTGATGAGCAGTGGCGCAAGTCGCTTGCTCCTCAGCATCTTGTGGATACACAGGAAGTTGATCTCTGTACAGAACCGGGATCTGTGCGACTTGCGGCTCAGCTAGGGTGCATCTGCTGAGAAGGCTTGACGCACAATTTTCGGACACGCAAATTGAGGGGTATGCCGGTGATAAAGGCTACGAGCTTCCTCGTCGCCGTTACTCGTACTCCGACATGGTGGTCTGCGATATAGCCGGGTGGCTTGAGCGCCCTGCTGTACATGTTAGCTCACGTTCGAGGCTCCATATCGAAAGCTGAGACTTGCCATTGGATAAAGTCGTTGGAGTAGTCGAATCGGAACATGGCATCGTCATCCTCCACGTAATGATGAGTCAATAACTCATAGACCTCCTGACACTGCACAGTGCGAGAAGCTTAGCGCCACGTGTGCAGAAGGTGAGGATGAACGTGCCTGAGTGGATTGGGTGAGATCCATGGTGACCCATTCGTAGTCCTTCGGAAGAGGATAAGGCTCCTTGCGAACGTTTGTGTACGTCTCATCTTCTTCTATCACTCCCTCTTCGAACTTCTCTGGCGTCTTGCCTAACTGGGGCACAGGCTGGGTAGCCCAGAACTTGTGAGTACCCATGTCTCTGTTTCGCACGAGACGCGCGCGTCGGTCAGTTCGCGCGGTTGTGACTTTCCAGCAAGATCAGCGTACTTTCTGTTCTTGCCTCCCAGACCTGATCGACCCTGGATGACATCCTTTGCGTTGAGTTGGGAAGCGAGTTGCATGAGCTGTTCCGGTGACAGGTGAGCCGCTTCTGGGTGTTTACGTATCTCCCGCATCATCATCTCTGTCAGCTGCCTCTCGCTCATCTTCACTTTCCCGTCCGATCCCACAGCACCTTCCCTCTCCCCTCCCTTGTTCGACGGCGATGTACTCGTGCCTTGGGCAGAAGTAGAAGCAGATGTAGCGTCACCATTGGCCGCCGTATCGTCTTGGTCGAAATGAGATGTGGACTGCAGGATGGATTCCATCTTTGCTTTTGCTCTGGCTGCTAGCTTCTGCCGCTTCTTCTTCTTCGCTTTCGCTGAGCTTCCTCCTTCCGTCACCTCCGAGTCTCCATTTTGGGCAGCTTGTGGAGCTGCCGGGTCGTTTGTCGATACTGTGTCAAGGCTGAGTCCATTCATTGCCGAAGCTGCATCTTGCACTGGCGTCTCCGATAGGGAGTGTTCGAGCTCTTTGGAATCTGCCATCCGAGCTCCGATGGCCGAGTGGCAAGCGTCACAGAATCCGCTCGAACAGGCTCGACACGACACGACACGCCCACGCGCGAACGAGCGTCATGCCAGGCTCGAGCACTGATCTACCGACTGTGCCCTGAGCACGCACTTGTCATCGTGCAATCTACACCCTCAAACGGTCTATGAACTGTCTGCGCATCAGGAACGCACCGCTAGCTAGCACGCTCGCTGTCCATCCTCGTCCGAACAGACCTCCCACTTTGCGCCCGGTGACTTGTCTGAACTTGGTCTCGATGAGCATTGCGCACGCTTGCAGTAGGAAGAAGCGAGTGCAGCCTAGATCCCAATCGAATGGCTTGTACGATGTCGCCAGATACAACGCTGCATTCCCCGAAACAGGTCAGCCATGACGTTCACCAGCGAGCAGCTCGAGAGCCCTACGAATGTCGTGCAGCACAAAGCCGCTAAGCAGGAATGTAGCAAAGAGAGCTGCAGTCCGCTTGCCGTCTTTCTCGCCCGGCCAACGAGCGATCACAAAGCGGTGGGTCACCTCGAAGGGTCGGGCAAAGAGACCGTGCCATCTTGCCCACCAACGTGCAACGCTGTCTGCTCTCCAGGGCGAGCAGAACATGTCCGGCCACGCAGAGCTATCGAATGGCGCTACCTCTACGCCCGCTAGCAGGAGTGATGGCCTGGCGCAGCAGTCCGCGAGTGCACAGAGAGTGATGACGGCTTCCATTGATGCCCATTGCGATGTTGCCTGGATGGCAAAGAGCGCCACTTCGAAGACTGCAGAACTTGCGACCGACTTGCTCGTATGTCGATATACAGGCTCGAGCCATGTCCGATGCACCGACCCTGCTTCGTGGAAAGCCGTCCCCGTCGTCAGCGCCACCGTAGGCACCAGGATGACAGACAATCGTAGAAGCTTCCGTATGGCTGCCTCTGCGAATGGACCGGTCCTTGGAAGAGAATACTGCAGCCGATGGTGAGGTATTCTCCAGGACCAGCCTATGCCACGAATGGAGATGACGATTGCAAAGCTGTCCATCAATCTTTCTCGACGCGTTGGTGGCTCAACCGACGGATCCCGATAGCTCGTCTGACCGACGCGAGTATATACATCGTCAGATAACGACCTATCAGTATGGCGGCGGACATCAGTATGCTCAGATGGAACGCCGCTGTCCTGACCATTCTACGGTTCGACAGATGAACATCACGAGCGTCATGTACCACTGCAGATTGAGCGCAGAAGTCAAAGGTGACAGTGGCAGACTGTACAAAGTCGTATAGCGAATGGTGTATGCAAAAACGCCAACGCCAAGGAGTCGCCGCCAGATGAGATTCGGGTTGTCATTTGGCCGATGGCGAACATGATACGCCTGGGCTACCCAGCTACTGAACAGAAGGGCGCTTTCGATGACAAAGACGAGCATTCAGGTTGGCGAGACAACTGGAAAGATGGGGTAGAGGGTACTAGAAAGGCTGTGCGTCGCTGCGAAAGCCGTTTACCGTGTGGAGACCTCGTCGGGGTCCAAGCTCAAAGATCCTGTCCGATGCGTCCATCCTACCTACAACGGCAGCTACAGGCGGACACTGACAATACGCCCGAACGAGTCATTGAGGGTGATGTGGAGACGCTCCTGTAACGAGAGGAGACAAGACGACACAAGCTCCTGAAGATGCCTTGTCAACGCTTCAGCTCCTTCCAGGCCGCCAAAGCATCGCAATCAACGTGCTCAAGAAGCGCAAGATGCTCTTCACTACAGTGTTTGTGGGCTTTGTGACCGCCGCACTCGCTCTGCCCAGTCCCGAAACTGGCGTCCAGGGCAGTATCGTCATCGAGCCATCATCGCGTACGGTCAAACGTGACGGTACAGGCGAGAACGGCGATGGGACGAGCAATGACTTCCCTCCTGCACAAGGCGGTGGAGGAGGAGACGACGATGACGACTCGCCTGTTTCTCAGATCTACGATCTCGTGTTGGCCAGTTCTGCCCTGTGTGACGTTGGCAAGGTAACGTGGACGACGCCCTTCCACCTCAAGGTCGCCGCCGACAGCCCAGGCATGTCCCTTCACGCCAGACGATCAGCATGCGCTCAGTGATCAGTGTGTGCAGCCGATATGCCTCAGGTCAGCATCAATGGCCCGCTGCACGAATCCGTCGTCGATTGGGGAACGGGCGCAACTCAGAACCAGGGCAAGCTGGTGCTCACGATGCATTGCGAATCTGCGCTGACATATCATTATTGACAAGACGGCATCAATCAGATCATGATCTACGTGACCGCGCGCGCGGGTAGCGCCGAGTTTGCACCCGATAGTGGATGGCAACCCAGCGTCCAAGCTTGCTGCGGTGTCTACATCACTTGGACTTGTGCGTTCTGTTCCCTGCTCAGTGTCTCAGATCTGACTCTCGCTCTGTAGTCTGGGCTGTATGTCTCGACGGATTGTCTGAGCTAAGAGCATGCTGACCGACAGGTTGTCGTCGCACATAGCACGTCAGCGATCGTAAAGCGCTTTGCCCTGCTTACTTGCACAGTCGACTGACCAACACTGTGCAGTACTGATCGACCAGAAGGAAGTACCTCAAGTCATCGCTTGGCGCGCTTGTGGTGCAGGTGCAGCCTTTTCGCACGCTAACCAAGCCACTTGCGCCAAATCGCCTGTACCGGACTGTGCGTCGGTTCTGCCCGCTCTGAACGGGCTGACTGACTGACTGACTGAATGATTCGGTCTAGCCTACGACTACTGCCAAGACCTTCCCCCGTCTTTCATTCGCTACGCCGCATGGTTCAAGCAAGATGGTACTTAGGCGTGCTTTGTGTAGTCGGAACAGTCACAAGCAAGCGATGCAATGCAATCTTCCATGCATGCGCCCTGCAACTGAGTGCGCGGGCTTGACAAGCGACTGCCAACGCGAGCGTGCGGTAAGCTGCAGTAAGCAAGCAGAGGCAGGTCCTTGGCATGGCGCGTGGCGCTAAATAAAGGGTGACGCTTGGCGCATCGGACTGTACGCGTCATTGCCCCAGCAAGGTGCTATCTAGCTTGCTACCGAGCGTGAAGGTCTGGAGATGATCGTTGCCGACATGGCGCTAACGATGATCGAGATCTTTGCGCGTCTTCTCCAGAAAGGCAGCAAGCTCAGACATCTTGTCGTCTTTGGGTGGCAAAGTCTGCCATGCGCTTGGCTCTCTCTTCGGCGGCGGCGGCGGCGGCCTATTCGCTTGCCCTTGCGGCTCTGTACCGGGACGCGGTGCGTTGGCTCTCGCTTGAGCTTCTGCTTGCGCCCTCCTTATCCTCTCATCGACATCTCTCTGGCCGGCATGCGATGCTGATGCATTCGATCTTGTCGTCTGGCTTTCGTATGCAGCCTTGTCCGTATTGCGAGCTGTGCGTGACCAACTGTCAGCTTGACAGGGAGCAGACACAGCGAGACATACCCTTGTCGGGTGATGAGGCTTCACTCGACTGTGATTCTGAGATCGCCCGTTGGTAGTCATCTTGCAAGCTGCGCCAGATTCCATGGGATCGGTGTACGCCTTCTTGGAAGATCGGGCTATCGACGAGTTTCTGGGTGAGCCATCTGATGGCCTGATCTCGCAGTGCGGGTGGGATCATGGCTGATCTTTGTCCTGTGCCCGAGAGAGTGCGTAAGCTCGTGATGATTGTCAGGTCGGCGCGAGTCGCGATCGCTGTTCGACTGGCGACCGGCCTGAAGATGTCCAGATGACGCTGGACGAGCAGCAAGCGAGTAGTCGCAAGAAGCCCAGACTCGAGAGCATGTCATCCGGTGATGCGACATGAGCGATCGCCTTCACTCCCGAGCTTACTGCTTCCTCAGGCTTCTCGATACGCGGCAGAGCTACATCTGCCTCCAAGCCCGCGCCTGCCGTCAAGCCAGAGCCTACACCACCACCACCACCAGAAGAACTGGATGAAGAACCTTCCGATGATGATGATGATGACGAAGCGGTCATCTCGTTGGGCGGAACGCCAGAAGCCGAACGGAAACCGCATGGACATCCTCCCACGACGACGATCACGTCCTTACCCGTCGAAACGACAAAGAAGCAGCCTGATGATACGCTCGACGCCAAGAAGAAGACCGAGACGCCATCTCGTCCGCTCGCAGATGAATCTATGCAAGATGCGACCGTCAAGCCTGACCTTCACTCGCCCGACTATGATGATCAGATACGGATTGGCAAGCTCGAAGAGCAACTCGAAGCATCCAAGAAGGACAATCTCGCACTTGCCGTGAATACCTTGTACACCTTTCAATCAGAATTGGATGTTGATTCTTTCGGGCCATGCGTGCTTAGATGGAATTGGCACGCATGACAGGATTTCTCCAGTCGATCGAATCCGGCGATGAGTTTCAGCTCGATTACGGCTTACCTTCCGCTCCGACGTACTGTGGCACGGCTACTGTGCCGCTTCCGGTCGCATTCATGTATCGCTCTTTACAAGAGCAAGTCAAGATGCTCAACAAAGACAATCAGAGGCTCAAAGACGAACGCGACGCGGCTCTTTGGCAGGCCGACACTCGACAGAGTCGGCCGCTTGGCTCAGATGCACGGCGGATAGTAGATCTGCTGAGCGTTCTGCGAAGGGAGAATGACGAGCTAGGGGAAGCGCTCGCAATCGGCCCGATGACAACGCTGCGGTCTGCTAACGAACATCTAGAACGCCAAGTCAAGATGCGCGATGATGCGCTAAAGGGTTCGTTTGCTGAGATGCCCCTTGTCTCAATGGCCTAACACAGCTTTGTCGCAGAATCGCATGCGCTTCTGCAGGCATTGGACGATGAAGTCAACGAGCTGTACGGCATCAAGAGGTACGGTGCACCGGCCCCTCCGACTTCGAAGGCGCCAAAGGAGTCCTCTCGTAGTGAGCCTCGATCGCCAAATCATCATCAGAGGAGAGCGGCAGATCGCCTGGAGCCGCTGTCGAGCGAGCGTGATAGGAAAGCCGGGTCAGCCCGCCCGCCCAGCAGTCCCAGAAGAGACGATGCGTACTCCTCTCGATCGGACGGCCGCAGATCACGCCATGAGGAGACCGGACGGGACGACAGTCATAGCTCACGGAAGCACGAGCCTCGACGGAGCAATGCCCTGGGAGACGATCGACGCGACACGAGAGTAGACGGAGATAGACATGCTCGGCGGGGTAGCTCGCCGCGGTCAGAGCGTGTTCCGTCCAGCTATACTCGCGCTGCCTCGCCTCGCGTCAGGAGAGCTCGTTCGCCCAATCGACGTTGAGCTTGTATACCGCGACCGTACATGCACACACTCATTGAACATAGAGAAGGACGTCCCGATCTACAACATGCATCGTGAAGCTCAAATCCGTCAGTAGCCCAGCGCGGTATTGATGGCCGACATCATGGCGTAACCTTTTGAGTACGTATCGCCTCCGATATCCCAGCACCCGATTCCGCCAATCTTTCGCTCTGCAGCATAAGCCGCCTTGATGGCGAGAGACTGTTGATCGTCATAGGTGACCACAGTGTTTCTGATCTTGTTGACCAAGAAGGGCGTAGACGAGCAAGAATCCCAGTAACGATCGTAGCCCGATTTGCCAACAAAGGTTCCGTTGGCGAGCTGGACGAGAGCTTGAGCTTCGACGATCTGGTTGAATTCGATCTGACTGCCCATCCAAGCACTGAGATCGCCCGCGTTGCCTGCTTTGACGGTGATATTGGACGCATGCGTGGGCACATTGACGGGCTTAGGTCCACAACCCCATCCAGAGTGGTTATCTGGGCAGATGACGATCGTGTTGGTGGCTGTCGCCGCTGTGCCGGAGGTGGTGGCAGAAGCAGCATACTCAACAGTGGGCGTGCTTGTGGCTTGACGCTTTGCATGGGCTCGACGGGCTTGCCCTTCGGCAGAGCCAATCTCGAATTGCTGGCGTCTGGTCAGACGACGACGAATGGGAACGGGAGCTTCCTCTTCTTCGAATGCATCCTCTTCGACGACGGGGATGGGTTGAGCAGCGGAAGCAAGGCGAGGTCGAGAGCGCTTGTCGAGTAGCTTGGTAGCGGACGACTTTGAGACGTAGCCGTAAATCGGCAGACCCATGATGATGTGCGTTGCAGGGAAACCAGCGCCGAGCCATTGGTCGATCGCTGCGACTTCGTTCGCTGTAGGTTGAAGCGAGTTGCCGCATCCATCCGAGAAGGGCGCATTGGGGCCAGGGGTAGATGAAGATGACCAGACATCCTGCTCGATTGGTCAGCTTGATCATCGATTGCGATACGGAAGACGTACATAATTCATGACGAGCACGCGATCGAGGTACGGAGCATACTTTGAGATATTTGCCAGTGGGCTGCCATTGGGGCCAGTCCAGGGCTGCTGTGTTACCGCCATACTGATCATCTTGGCTGCTCCGATAGACGCTCGTAGGCCCTTCAGGAACAGATAGAGATGGTCCGTATCATCTGCAGCCCAGATATTGCCCGAGTTGCCTGATGAGCCAGGCTGAAATGCACGTTAGCTTCTTGCTATCACACGAACGGAGAGGCAGCGTACGTATTCCCAGTCAATGTCAATGCCGTCAAGATCATACTTGTCCATCATCGACTTGATGTTGCGAATAAAGACTTGACGGTTCGCCTTGGTCTGCGTTGCGACCGAGAAGTACTTTGAGCCTGTCCAGCCGCCTATCGAGACCATGATCTTGACACCGTTTGCGTGGCCGTTCTTGACGAGCCGAGTGAGGAGCGACTCGGAATCGTCTTGCGTGAAGTAGAGACCAAATGACGAATCGGGTATCGCAAACGCTGGTGAGTCACACATCAGCTTGGCGCACGTCAACATCTAAGGGCGGCTTACCAAAGTCGAGATAGTCAAACTTGGAGTAGTCCAGTGCTTCTGGCGTGAGTTGATCACCTGACCAATCGGGATAGTATGCGCTCCGAAGTAGCTTGCGTACTGTCGCCGTCGCGGTTGGCGCAGACGAGGTAGTCGTCACAGGCTCCTTCGAGACCGCCTTCTTTGGGTTGGCGACCTTTTTCTTTGCGGCCAGGATCAGTGGTGAAGCTTGGTCAATCAGCCCTGATCCCTCTTGGAGTAGCTCGACATGATTGAGCTTCTTGGGGTTCTCCGCAACGGGCTGAGGATTCGCCTTTGGGTTCCGTCGCTGGAGCAGCTGTCCGTCTGCCAGAGCGCTTGCGGACAACAGCGTCAGACTGAGCAAGCTGGGAACGAGATGCATTTTGAGAGTTCGAGATGCTCTGCAAGTCGAGTGTAGGGAACGGGAAGCAGCCGGCTTCTCGAATACGAAAAGTGAGGTATCGAAAGTAAGATGGGTATAGCTTGATGCTGCTTGAGCAAGCAGGCGTCAGACGATCAAGGCGAGAGGTCGCAGTGAAGCGTTCTCGGTGCACGAGAGCCAGCAGTGAAGTGGTCCCGGCGCTTGACAATAGATGCGAGCTTTGAAGTGCAGCTGGGGAAAGCATCGACTTTCGACGCGCTTTTTGTAGGTAGAAATCAGTCAACCTTTCCCCGCTCATCTCCTCTCCGGGGCACGCAAGACCAATATTGCCACGACGCGAGTTTCCCACTATCAGCGCTAAGGCTGGCGAGCACTGGCGAATCCTGAAGGGTACTCCACGTCTGTAGAATTCGTTCATGAGGAACCCATTTGCAAGCACGAGATAAACATCCAAGACGCGCAAGCAGTAGCATGACGCGGCATTGCCACAGCACAATCTACATGATTGCCTTTGACTGCTAGCGGAGCTGTTTCTCATTGCTCGTTGGAATATGTGTGCCACGTCGAAGCCCGACAATGAGCTGAAACGCCAGCGAGCGCGTCGTCGACGACAATGACGTTTAGGTAGACAGAGCAGTCAGAAGAAAGGAGCTAATGAGCGGCTACCGGCCGAGAAGCGCTCTCTCGAAAGCGACCTTGTCCTGCCATGTTCCTTCCTTCAGGACATTCCAGGCTTTTCGAGTGCCTCGCAGACCAAGTCCGGCTGATATTTGTCTGGACGCAGCGGCAGGCGAAAAGGCAGGCAGAGGCGGATACCATGGGTGAGCTTTATCGCTCAGGGGACCGATGAGCTCAAAGGCCGACAGAGGCGTTGCTTCGGGCGATGTGGCAAGACTGCGAGGGACAAAAGGTACAATGCTTGCTTCGCTTTCGATGAGCATGGCTGAATGTCGCAACAGAGTCGACTGACTGACTTGAGCAGGAAAGAGCGCGCGCATCTCGGGCCCTGGCAAGGCGACGAGTATGCGACGAGCTTGTTTCGTCGGAACGTATAGCATGTAACCTCCCAGCGTGAGACCAACGAGAAGCGTCAGACTTGCGGCTGTATAGCGCGCAGTCGGCGACGCCAGTTCTTCGGTGACGGTGAGCTTGCCGTTGCGATTCTCCATCTTCGGCATGTACAGCCGCACGAGATCTGCAAAGTTGGCCAGACCTGCTGCACCTAGTACGGCGAACACATACATCTGCCCGCACGCAATCCCGGTCAGCTCTCATTGATCTTAGGCAGGAGACCGCTTGCCATGATGACATAGATTGGGTCCTTTTTGGACTCATAGATGACTTCGAGCGGCCCCCAATCTGATAGAGGTACATGAACAGCCTCTGAGGCTTCCTCTAAGCTCGTCGGTGGGGCCACATCGGCGAGTGAGTCTGTTCGAGCTGGCCTGTTGCGCTGAAGCAAACGTAGAGGTGTAGAGCTGCGACGAGGTGACGGATCCGCTGCCCGTGCTGCCGAGACGATAGCTGAGCAATAAACGCATCGTGTCAAGCTACGAGAAGCCGTCAGCAGCTGCAGAGGCCGCAAACGTTGCATCGCAGAGTCGTCGCTCGCTCTTGCCAGAATTCGCGATGACCGCATCACAAAATCTTTGAGCGCTCCCTAGGCCAGGCTATCATGGCCAAGTCCAAGTCTTCAGCCTCATCTGCGACTCGTAAGAAGCACGCAAAGAAGCAGGCCGGCAAAGGCGCCGACGGTAGCATAGACGAAGGCGATACACAGCCATCTGGCCCGACGATCGTCGGTCAAGCTCCAAAGAGACCTGCCCAGCGGGGCCAGAAGAAGGACAAGAAGAAGCACGCCAAAGTCAAAGTCTACGTGCCGCCCCCCAAGCCGCCGAAAGGGCTCGTCGATCCTGTTGATCTCTATGGACTAGGCGTAGCAGGAGACGCGAGAGTTGATCCTAACCTGATTGTGGTCCTGCGCAAGCTGCACAAGCGAGATGAAAAGACGCTGGCACGAGCGATAGAGGAGCTCGATGGATGGCTTCGTGCTGCTGTAGACGCCGTGCAGAGCGAAGAGGAGCTGCAAGATCTGCAAGCTACATTGCATCTCATCTTGCCTATATGGGTTCGTGTCGACCATCCTGCTTGCGAGGGAAGAGCAGCTAAACAATCAACAGGTCCATCACTTTGCTCGTCTCGTCGGACACAGCGCGCGGAGAATACGCATGCTCGCTGCTACGCTGCAGAGCTTCCTGTCGACCGTAGCCGGTTCGTCAGTCTACACGCGACAGGTCCAGCAGACCAGCCGACAGATCCTCATCTCCGATATCTCTGTGCAACAGGAAGGCTATCTAGCAAGCTGGCTTTGCTCAGCTTTCGATCTCGATAGGATCGTGCGCAGTGTGGCCAGTCTGAATTGGCAAAACGTTACGCAAGCATCAGATGAGCACATCGACCTTGCAGAGCACGCCATAGATATTGCGTCTGCTCTCCAAGACATCGTGTTTGCCGATACAGGGTCCGAACAAGGGCACGATGCAGAGGTCGCGCTAGATCGGGCACAACTCATTAGCGCAATGGGTGCGCTGCATTACTTGCTCGAGCAACAACCTCAATTGCTATCTATGGACACTATCGAGCCTGTCCTTCGATCGGGTGCGCTTTGGAAAGAGCTGGAACCCTCGCCACGTTCTTCTGGTCCTTTGCGGTCCGCAACCTGGCGAATGCTCGCACTACTGCTGACCAGCGAAGCTGGCACGACCCACATAGAGGCTTGCTTGCACCTTGTCAGCAAGCACGCACTTGCGGCTGCCTGGAACGAACGTGATCATGGCACACATGCTGTCATGTGGCTCGGCCTACTGCCGCTCCTGCGAAAGTTTCCTCAGAGCTGGACTTCAGCAGATAAGGCGGAAACCTCGGAAGACACCGATGAGGATGAAGAAGACTCTGATTCTGACGCTCGTGAGCATATCAACGGCGACACGAACGACATCTCAAGCATATCCAGCAGTAACGGGTCCCACGTCTTTCCACCCTCAATACAAGGATTGTTCAATTTCTTGCAATCCGGCTGCGGTAGTAACATACAGAACTATCCTGTCCTGCTTCTCATCTTCTCAACGCTGCCGCCGTCATTGCTGCCGATGAACGAGGCAACGTTGAGTACAATACCGACGTCGTTTTGGGCAGCATTCGACTCGCGCGCTGTTGACATCAAAGCGGCGGCTCACACGAATATCTATCTGACTGCTTGGCTTGATCTCGTCGCTTTCATGCAGCGACGGCTTGCCAAGACCCCGGATGCGAGCTCAGGAAACCGCCTACTGCGTGATCAGCTGATCGAGATGTGGACGCGCTACCTCGCCAATGCAGCGAACAGGACGTCTCTCTTTGCGCCTGATGTATCTTTGCGCATACTCAGGGATACGATCAATCAGCAGGCTCCTGATGACCAAGACGATATCTACAGAAGCTTACAGACCGCAACGCCGCAATTGTGTGTCATCACATCGGAAGACCCTCGTCATGCTCGTCTAGTAGCACTCTCAACCGCATTAGAGACCTTGCCACAGCCTCAGACAGATGTATGGGCAGCAGACGTATTCTTGCAGAGCATTGAATCGCTCAAAGAACATAAGGCTACCAGCGCTATGGATATGGGCCACGTACAACGCGTCAAGCAGCTCTTAACATTCATCTATCGACACCTCTCTCATCGCCCGGAGCAAGCTCGCAATAGCTCAGATCTGTCGGACTTTATTCGGGACCACCTGTCTGCATATTTCATTGGCGACAACGACGTACAGGCTGTCAAGATCGCATCGATCTGGCTTCCGCTCGAACCTGAAGATGCAAATGTAGCCTGGTCCAACTGGCATGAACAGACCAGCGCGTGGCCTGTGCCACCACAGATGCGCTTGATCGAATTATTCAACGAGCATTTACCAAGATCGACCCTGGCCAGGCTACCATGCTTGTCGCTAGAGCCGGTCATGCTGCAGCATATGGAGGACGTTTTGCAAGCCGAACAGGCGCCACCCCTTACGACGCTGCAGACCCTTGCGAGGATCACGCAAGACCCACGCCCTTTCGCAGCTCAATTTGTCGCAGATACCATGCGCAGTATGCTTGCACAACGTGTCGTAAAGGAGGCAGGTCGAGTGGTTCAAGAGGGGGAACATTTACTGCATCAATCGAAGACTATATGGTTACTTCTTGCTGAGCACCTATTTCTGCAATCCTCTTGGTCCAAGTTATCGGACGAAGAGCAAGCGGCGATGGTCAACGTATCTGCACTCGCTTGCGTCATGCTCGGGAATCCAGATTTAATCGGAACACAGACACATCTGACGCTCGTATACGACCGACTGCGTGCCTTTTTGACAGCTGACGAGGCGAAAGTATTGTCAGTGCATGTCCTTGATCTGCTCAGGCATCAAATAGCCGAGAGCAACAATTTATCGTACGCTAATAGCTTCCGCCGTTGACACGAGCTAATTACATTCGCACGACAGGCCTGCACAGTTCTTGGGCGCGTTGGCGTACTTGCCGGATGGAGTCGCCCCTCCTGCTTCGATCCTGCCCGGCGCAGATGAGCTCGAGCAAAGGTACACAGACATGCAGCAAGATCGGAGCGGGCAGTCAATGAGCGCACTCTCAAGCGTATATGCTCGGATCGTCATCCTCGCAATGCAAGCGATCACCAGTGATGCTTCGCTTGCAACCAGCCATCCCGCGATCGCGACTCATGTTGCAGTTTTGACTGAGATGGCGCAAGACGAGCATGATTTGTCTGTCTTGGGCGAAGCGAGTACCGAGTCCGATATCGTCGCTTTGCAAGCTGGCAGTGAACAAATCGTCAACAGGCTCATCGTCACGCTAGGCGCAAAAGCAGATGGAGTATGGCATAGAAAGACGACAGAGCTGCTGTTGGCTCACGAGAAGCCGAACGCGACGCATGACTCCTTGCAATACATGATGGTGCACTTTGCCTCGAGAACAACAGCACACGGATCTGCGCGCTCGGATGTACCACAAAGACTAATCGCGGGTGTCTTTCGCAATTCTTCGGCTGGTCAGCCAGAGGCAGACGTATGGCTCAATTGTGCGAGGCGGATGTCAACGCGGGGTTAGTGCCCAGACGTTCAGCTTACTTCTGCTGACTCGGAGAATAGGCGAGGTGTTCGCCCGCAGTATCATTGCTGGCACGCGAGATGTTTTGTTGGAGAACCCTCGCTTTAACCGATACCAAAATGAGCTCGCGAGCGACATCGCCAGCATACCACCAGAAAGAGCCGGCGACAAAGCGTTTGCGCCTTTGATGACCCTCATCGCCTCTGCCCCTCCACATGATTCTTCGGCGCCGTTTTTGCCTGCGCAGAGGACAATCTTTCTGCTACAAGCGATCCAACGCTGGGCGGTCCTCTGGGAGGCTCCAGGCAGTGACATTGGCGACTCACGCAAATCACTCCTCTTTGCGAGCACAGAGCTCTTCCAGCATCTCGTGCCCATCGTTCAAGATGTCGCTGGTGCGCATTGGGAGTTTGCGTCCTCGCTCCTCGATACAATCTGCAAGGTGTGCTCGCATTTGCTGGCAAAAGGCTGAATCCGACGTGAGCTTGCAGACCTTCCAATGGACCAAGCTGCTTGATGCAGCCGGTCTGCAACAAGCACTGCGCTTATACGAAATCATCGATGAATATGCGTCAACTAATCGTGCCTTGCGAGAGCAGGTACATGCGTCTCAATTGCGCAGTCGAGCCTCTCTCCTGGCCATCTTTGTCATGGCTCCGGCCTTGTCTAGCTCTCGTGCGACGAGCAGTCTTATCGAATCGCTAGCAATGATCATTGTGCAGTGGGACACATCTGTCAAAACGGAAGCATTCGACCCTGCTCAGGCGATATCACATTTTGCCTCCTCGAATCAAGTCGTGCGACACGCAGCATACAAGTCAGCGCGAGCTATGATCATGCAGATCGTCGAAGATCTGGTCGTCGAGCTGGAGATTTCGGATGACGCCATGGTCAGCGGGATGAACGAGGGTTTCTTGACAGCAGTAGCAAAACCACTGATAGAAGGTACTCGGCCAGAGGTGGCTTTGGGCTATTTGCTTACTTGGCTGGCCATCCTCGACCATTTCGCGAAAGCGTCGTTGCGTCTCAAGAGCAGATATATCGAGCAACTTCGCGATGCGGACGTCGTCGGCAAATCGCTCATACCGACCGTTCTCATGCTTGCAAGCGGTCGAGGCAAACTGCCGCCAAGCACATGGAAGATCGATGAGGTCGACGTAGAAACGCTTGATGGAGACTCCTTGGCCGCTCTTGCCGGTCATGTTTATTACCGCGCTCTAGGCGCTGTACCCTCGCTCGTGCGAGTATGGTGGGAATCTTGCAGAGACCGTCAAACATCAATGGCGTTGGCTTCGTTCACCGCCAAGACATTTTCGCCTCTGCTGATCGAACAAGAGCTTGCAAAGCTGCTCCAGCCCGAATTTGCATCTCAGCTCAATGACGATGACATGAAAGTCAAAGTGAACAAGACAGTCAGCGAAGTCAAGGCGGTCTATACTGTCGATGAACAAACGATGGAAATTGGCATTCGGATACCGCCTGAGTTCCCACTACAAGGCGTCGAGGTCAAGGATCTCAAAAAAGTGGGCGTGTCAGAGCAACAATGGCGAGCATGGATCATGGGCATGCAGCAAGTCATATCCAACCAAGTACGCTTCTCTCCGTGTCATCTGATAGCTTTGCTCATACATTTGATAGGACGGCGCGATCTACGATGCTCTGCACATGTTCAAGCGCAACGTCGCTTTGCATTTCGAAGGCAAAGAGCCCTGCGCTATCTGCTACAGCATCATCTCTGTCACCGATCGCACGCTGCCAACAAAGTCGTGCAAGACTTGCAAGAACACCTTTCATGCGGCTTGTCTCTACAAGTGGTTCCAAAGTTCCACGGGATCATCATGTCCCCTCTGTCGCAGTCTGTTCTGATGGATGCATGATCGATCAGCATGACGCCGTCGCGTCCTTGAGGTCTTGCGTAATTCAGAGAATCCTAAGATCTGTCATGGGCCGCTACGAGTACGCCATAGAACATTATCGACAGTCTCTGCAGCACGATGATGCGCTCGCTATGCCGATTGCCGCTGTGGACGCACTGGCGGAAGTCATATCTCGTTCACAAGCGACGACGATGCAAGGACTCATTGGCGAGCTACAGGAGGCAGCTAGCGAGCTGAGGGAGGCCTCAAGCTCGCCCGTCTCCCTCTCTGCAGGTACTGCGCTCTTGCTGCGATTCGTGCTCCTTCAGCGGCCCGCACTGTCGATCAGCTTTGACGAATATCGTCAAACACTCGTAATGAAAGCGCGAGAGTTTGTAGCAGGCAGCAAGACGTTTGTGGACAAGATCGCTCTGCTAGCTTCCGAATGGATAGTAGACGGTAGCGTCATCATGACTCACAGCTACTCAAGAGTGGTCATGGCGACCCTGCTCTCCGCGCAAAGAGCGCGGAAACGGTTCGCAGTCTTTGTGACGGAAGCCAGACCGCTAGGCGCAGGCATGAAGACTCATGCGCTCTTGGCCCAAGCAAAGATACCCTGTACTGTTCTGCTCGATTCTGCCGTGGCATACGCTATGCCGAAAGTCGACCTCGTACTGCTGGGCGCCGAAGCTGTCTGCAACAACGGAGGTTTATTGAACGCAGTATGTTCAAAGGGCAAATGTGCAAGCTCGCATGCTGACGTGCGAAATAGATCGGCGGCCTTCAGATGGCGCTGGCTGCAAAAGCGAATGATAAATCTGTCATCGCTCTCGCTGAGTCGTACAAACTAGCGCGGCTCTTCCCACTGTCTCAATTTGACTTTCCCACCCCTTTCCCGCTGCTGGAGATGCCCTACGTAGACGACGAGACGGCCGAGTCTAATTTGAAGAAAGTGGAAATACCCGAGACGCCTAGCAGAGCGCTTCTCAGCGATCCTTTGCCAGCGCCACTGACGATGACGGAATCCCAGATCATGAACAATCCGCTGCTCGACTACTGCGATCCTAGCCTGCTGCAGCTCATCATATCTGATCTCGGCGTCTCCACACCGTCTGGCGTAGCAGATACGCTACACTCGATGTTTGCGGAAGGAATCTGATTGTTGTCAACATCATGCAAGGCCAACAAGCTTGTGTATCTCTGCCATCCGTTCCCGCGCAACTGCGCTCGCTTTCTGCTCGCCCATCTGCTCTACTTGGGATAGGTATCCTGGGTCTGCTTGCAACCTCGAGAACTCGGCGCGGAAGGGAGTGAATTTCTCGATGATCAAGTCGGCAAGAGACCGCTTCATCTTGCCTAGCGTGTCGATCCTTTGCTCTTCTAGATGCTGCAATACTTCTGCTGGCGTTTTTTCGGTCAAGCCAGCATAGATATCGATCAGATTTGACACGCCAGGCCGAGTGTCTCGATCGTATGAGATCATGTATTTGCCATCGGAGACCGCTCTACGGATCTTACTCTCAATATCTTCTGGCTCATCGGTGAGAAGAATGCGCGATCTAGCGTTGACGGCGGATTTTGACATCTTTGCACTGGGTTGTGTGAGCGATTGGACACGAGAAGTAGGCGCTGTTTGGGGTATGAGCGCGAGCGGGCAGATCCTGCACATGCACTCACTGAAGATATGCTCTGGCGCTCTGAAGAATTCTGTAGAGTGTCTGGAGTTGAAGGTGGCCGCTAGGTCCCGGATGAGCTCGATGTGCTGCTTTTGGTCATCGCCCACAGGGACCTCCGTTGCGCTGGCAAGTCAATGAGCTCAGAGCGGTATCAGACTGGTGAGACGTACTCGTAAAGCAAAACATCGGCAGCTTGAAGTACTGGATAAGCCAGGAGGCCAAGATGCAGTTTGCCTTCGTCTGCCTCTCCTTCCTTGCTGCCCTTCATTCCTGCCAGTCTGCTCTGCAGATCGCCTTCATTTAAGCTTGAAAAGGTGGTCCCATGATGCAATGCGCGCCTTCCAAGATGTCATACGCTGTAGACGACCTAGACTGACGAGACAGTTGAGCATCCAGGCGAGCTCAGCGTGTTGAGGTACCTGTACCGCTTAGCCAGATTCAACGCGTCTCGCATGATAATGCACATACTTGTTCCTGAAAGAATATCGTGCAACGCTCTGGACTCAGACCGAGTGCGAGAAGTGTCGCTAGCATGTCTCGACGGTCTTGTCGCAGCTTCCCAGGTTCCTGGGGCACCGTGATGGCGTGCAGACCGACGATACTGAAAAAGAGCTCGTCTGACGGTTCTGCTGTATCCTGCAGCTTCTTCCACTGTTTCAATGCTCCGAGATAGTTGCCAATCTACACTGTCGGATATGAGAAGCGTTGCTCAGCTGAGATAGAGCGCACATGAGGGATGCCCGTAGGCTGAATGCCAGAAAAGATGCGTCGCGCTCGGGATGCGGTAGATTGCATGCGGCGCTGCTGCGCTGCTTCAACATCTCGATGTCTCGCAGCTCGAAGTAGCGCTCTACAAGCTGAGCAGCCTGATGTGCGCATCGTGCAAGAGCGAGCACGAGCCCGGCCCGTCGGTGCCGTATTCAAGAACAAGGTTGCCAAGTGCCCCGCGCGCTCTTCAGTCGAACAGAAATTTGCGTCACCATCGTCCAAAAAAATTAGAAGCTCTCTCACGATGGGAAAGAAAGACGCAAAGACCAAGCCAGCTGCACCCGCCAAGCCAGCACCAGCTGTCACGAAGAGCAAAGCCAAAGCACCAGCAAAGGCAGCTGAAGCCGCTCCTGCCCCTGCTTCCGCGAAAAAGTCTGGCAAAAAGGAAAAGAAGAGCAAGACTGCGCCCAAGCCCAAGACGCCTACGCCCGAACCAGAGCCCTCGTCCGAAGAGAGCGAAGAGGAATCCGAAGAAGATGACGATGATGAGGAGAGCAGCGACGCTTCGAGCGAAGAGGAAGTAGCTGCAAAATCTGCTCCCTTGCCTGCCCCCGTCAAAGCCGCACCCACCCAGTCCGCTTCATCGTCAGACGAAGAATCTTCTGACGAATCATCGGAAGAGGTTTGTCATTTGCATCGTGTCTAACGGGCAGGATCTCATGAGTGATCTGCAGGACACAAAGGCTGCGACAGTCAGCAAGACTAATGGCGCTGCCGCTGCCGACGAGAGCTCAGATGAAGAGAGCTCAGACGAGAGCTCAGATGAAGCTGTATGTTCGACACGCTTCTGATAGTCATTTGCTGATAGGGAGAGTAGGCTCCGCCGGCACAGGCTGCAAAGAACAGTGTAGCTGGCAAGAAAGACACCAAGAAGGCGATCGCTGCCGCTGTTGCAGCAGACGCCGAAGAGGACTCTGCGCACTCTTCCGACGAGAGCAGCTCGTCTGATGAGTCTTCGGACGAATCGACGCCTGCGCCTGCTGCTGCCGCTGCAAAGACGAATGGCACCAAGCGCGCTGCTGAGGAGTCAGAGGAGGATAGCTCAGAGGATGACTCTGAGGACGAATCTGAGGGCTCTTCCGATAGCTCGGATGATGATGAGGTCAGCTTTGATCTTATTCTCATCTACCTCGCTGATCATGCTCCACCAGGACGTGAAAATGAAGGAGGCTGCTAAGCCTGCTGCGAAAAAGGATGCAAAGCCTCCTGCGAAAAAGGCAAAGACCGAGGAAGCTGCCGGATCTACAGAGATCAAGAACGTATTTGTTGGGGGACTCAGCTGGGGCATCACAAACGAGTCTCTTCAAGAGGCCTTCGAGAGTTGTGGCGAGATCGTCAGCGCGCGTGTCGTGACTGATCGCGAGACCGGCAAATCCAGAGGGTTCGCTCCGCACAAACGTCGAGCTCTCGCGATGCTAATGTACGCACCTTTCGAACAGATTTGGTTACGTCGACTTTGTTGACGCTGCTGGTGCGAAAGCTGCTTTGGAGATGGCCGGAACTGAGCTTGACGGTCGTACGATCAACGTCGACCTCTCTGCTCCTCGTCCTCCTCGCGATGGACCGGGCGCTACGCCCAAGAAGCAATTCAATGACGAGCTCTCGGCGCCAAGCCAGACCGTCTTTGTGGGAAATCTCTCATTCGAGTCGACTCAGGATGCCGTGTGGGAATCTTTCAGTGACTTTGGGGGCGTCAATTCGGTCAGAGTACCGACAGATATGGAGACCGGCAGGCCAAAGGGCTTTGCCTATGTCGAATTCGGCGATGTCGATTCGGCAAAGAAGGCGGTCGATCAAGGCCGTTCATCAGAGGGACTCGAGATTGATGGCAGAAGGGTCCGTTTGGACTTTTCACAACCTCGTCAGCCTGGTGGTGCTCGAGGCTCGCCCCGCGGTGGTCGCGGTGGCTTCAATGATCGCGGCAGAGGCGGTCGTGGTGGCTTCAATGACCGTGGTCGTGGTGGCGGTCGTGGCGGTCGTGGTCGTGGTGGTGGCGGTGGCGATGCAGGCTGGGCCTCTCGAGGCGGTCGTGGTGGTGCGCGCACAGGCGCCGTCCAGGCTCCTGCCGGCAAGAAGACAGTCTTTTAAGAGACTGCCCCGTTGGCTCTCATTTGGCTCGTTGGCTCGCTCTCGACGTCTAATTACTGTTTCAACAACAATATAGTGTATGCATACGATCTTGCTCGCTTCAGCTCTTGCCCGCAACATAGTAGCCGCCTGAATACTCCTTGAGCCAATCTTGATCGACAACGGTGATGTCGCGCATGAATGACTTTGTCGTTTCGATGACCTCGTGAAAGATGACATAGCCAGTCGGAGCGACGCGTGTGAACATCACCGACGAAGGATGAACAGACAGAGACTGTGTCATAGATGAGCTGAGCACGGAGGAAGAGAAAAGATGCTTACGGCTCGATCGCGCAGGGACTGATAAGTTCCGTCGGGTTGCATCTTCGCAGCATTTTTGAAGTAGCCGCTAACGAGGCATTTGCGTATTTGCGACTCTTCCTCGCCGCAGGATATGATGGGTATGTCGAAGCGTTGCAGGTATTTGCGTAGCTGGCCTCTGATCGAGATGGCTCGAGAGAGCGCTCGGAAATTGAGTCGATGAGAATGGCACCATTTTGCAGATTGCTTGCCCGGGCCAGTAAAGGCGTTGTAAACTGTCAAAGGTGAGCAGCGATCAGTGCTCGTCCAAGTGATACACAATTCCTCTGACCATTGAGAAGTGTGAGATGATCGCCCTCCTCTGCTGTAAATTTGCGCTTCTCAATCTCGCATATCGCGCCTTCGCCTCCTTCGCCCGTGACAAAGACATTCTGCTGATGCATCAGAGCCAGCTTGACGAAAGCTCACGAGGGAAGATACCTGGACAGATGTCATCGCAGCGATGGTGAGGATCTCTTGGCTGCAAGAGAACTCGTCTGAATCGAGCAGAATTTTGGCCATCATTGGGTCGACGGGGACTTCTGCCATTCGCATGCCAAGTGGTCGAGTAAGACGGCCGTAGTCATCAAGCGCCTTCAAGCTGTACAAGAATTCGAGTGCACGAGCGAGCATTACTGATGGCGGAGGGGTGAGGTAATCGAAGCGAAGGACGTTGTCAATACCGAGCGCTTTGAGTTGCAGAAGAAAGAGGGATATGTCTGACCGGCATATTTCCGGCGGAGTCGATTTTGGTAGCTTTGCTAGTGCTGGCTCCGGGAAAAGACGGAAGCATTTGCCTGCCGATGTTCTTCCTGCTCTTCCTGCCCTCTGATTGAGCGAAGCAAGAGATGCGCCGGTGACAGTCAGGCGATCCATGCCAGTGCTGGGATTGAAAGTTCGTAGCTTGACAAAGCCGCTGTCGATGACGTATCGAATATTGTCGATGGTGATGCTTGCTTCTGCGATGTTGGTCGAGATGACGACTTTGCGCGTCTTTGCAGGTGCGGGCTCAAAGACAAAAAGTTGTTGCTCGCTCGTGAGGCCAGCGTGCAGCGGTAGCGGCAAGAGCTTGGACGCTCCAGCGGGTAGATCATACATCTGCTCTGTTATGTCCTCTGCGCAGCGGTCGATCTCTTCCCTCCCGGTGAGGAAGATGAGAATATCACCCGCTGGCATCTTGAGATGAATGTCCAACACCGCCTTGACGGCCGCCCGAACATAGTCCGTTACTGGCTCGTCGAGATATGCCACTTCGACAGGATACATCCTGCCTTCCAAGCTGATGATAGCAGCATCATCTTGCGTTCTATCTGCGCCGTCGATGTTGCTGTTGAAGTAGTTGAGGAACGCCTGAGCATCGATGGTAGCCGACGAAACAATCAACCTCAGTTCCGGACGTTTCTTCCTGACTTTCTTCAGCAAGCCGAGCAATAGATCGGTGTAGGATGATCGTTCGTGAGCCTCATCGATCATGATGACGCTGTATTTCGACAGCAAAGGGTCGAGCATGGCCTCACGAAAGAGCATGCCGTCTGTCATGTACTTTATTCGTGTGCGAGTGGGCGACGAGAGATCTTCGAATCGGATCGTGTAGCCTACTTCGTCTCCCAGCAAGCTGCCTACTTCCTGTGCCACTCGAGCGGCTACAGATGTTGCTGCTACTCGTCGAGGCTGAGTGCAGCCTATCACGCGTCCTTGGGCTGCCCAGCCTGCCTCGAACAGATATTGTGGAATCTCTGCACTGGCATGTCAGTGAACACTGTGATGATGTGTGGCAGGCGTACGGGTCGTCTTGCCACATCCTGTCTGGCCGACGACGATGAGGACAGGGTAGCGCTCGACGAGGTGTAGCAGCTTTGTGCCTGCATGCGCCCATCAGCCGACAGCTACCCTCCAAAGGCATTGCTTACGTTGCTTGTAGACGGGCAGTCGCTGTCGCTGAGACGTCAAGCTGAGATGGGCATACTGATTTGCAGATGATGCCGCCAAAGCGTCTTCATTGCCCGTCTCGCGGTCGATTGTCGAGCCTGTTGCATCCCCTTCAGCGCTGTGCACAAAGACAGAAAGCGGGCGTACCCGGTGCGACTGTGCCGGGCTTCCAGAAGGCCATGCAAGGAGCAGCTGCCCCTCGGCCGGCTGGCTCTTTGCTGCCGTTCGCTCGACGCGTTCGATGGCTTCGTGTTGACGCTGAGGCAGCAGGTGATGCGCCTTGCCTGGCTCGCACTCGGCGCCCTGGGAGTGCCAGTCGCATGGCATGCACACCACCTGATCACAGGAGGCACACTGCGCCCGCTCTTCACGCCACCTTACGAGCAATTGCCCCTCATCAATTCGTCTTTGGCCAACGCACTCGGCAAGCTTTCGCTCGTACAGAATATGACATTCGACATCAGCATGGCACTAGCGATGAATCAGTCTACCTCCAGCGCGTGCTTCTTCATGAAGCATCCACTGCCTTTCGAGAGGCTGCGCGCAGATCTAGATATTCAGTCCATCACGGTACAAGCGGTCCACAACGACACGACGTATGCATACTTTCGGCACCACTTCAGTCATCCGCTCTTGGCGAACAATGATACATATGTGATCAAGAGTGGCCAATCAGCACGCTCGCCGACGATACCCAATGTCAAGCTCATCCGTGGCTGGCAAGGTTCGTTTCCCCTCATCATGACGCGCGACAGGCGGATGGATCTCTATACTTCTGTACACCTCACCATCCACACACCTTTCTCAGCACGGCCATTCTCCTTGGCACTACCTTACAATCAGTTGGGCGTCCCGTTCAATCCAATCTTGCGAGGATAAAGCAGTCTGAAGAGGTGTGCATTGGATCACAAGTGCACGTTCATTCGTCAGAGACAATGTCCTCCTTGCGCGGACCCTTTTCGTCCTTCTTGGCGCGCAGATGGCGACTCTGACCAATCACAGACTGGGCTGTCGACTCTTCGTCCAAGACGATGCCGAGGCCTTCGTCTTGCGCAAGCGCGAGCACATGCTCAAGCGGTACGCGTTGGTCATGATCGACTGTCAAACATCCTTTCAGCATGCTTCACGCGGAACATCAGAGAGACCGAGACTGACCGTCGAGCTTTTCGATGAGGATATCGATGGAAGCATCGTCGGGAGTATGCTTGATCGCCTTGAGCGCTTTGCGCAGGTCGGCAGCAGAGATCATGTTGTCAGGACCCATATTGATCAAGTTCATCCTCGAGCCCACTTCTTCATCGAATTCCTGTAGCTGCTTGTCAATCTTGGTAATCATCGACTTGACACGTTTGGCCAGTGAAGCAGAGGCACTGTCAGAGTTTTCCTCGGCTTCTTCGCCAGATTCGTTGTTCTCTTCCATGAGCCTCGCCAAATCCTGTCGTTCGGCAAGCACGCTGGATTTGGCAGAGAGAATACTTAGCGCCTCGCCCAGCTCATGCACCTGGTCCTTGCTCATTCTGACATCCTCCTTGTCAGGCTGGGAAGCTTCGACCTGTTGCTCCGGCAGCATCTCCTCTGCCTGTCCTCTCTCGGCAGTCGCCTTTTCTCGCTCTGCCTCCTCTGCTTCCAGCTCGGCAGCTTCTTCGGCATCCTTCTTGGCCTTGCGTTCTTCCGCTTCTCGCTCCTCTTGTTCGCGCTCGTCCTCGATGAGCTCTTCTTGTTGCTTCAGTACGTCAAGTCGTTGCTTGTACGAAGCCGAATCGCTCGCTACCTTTAGCTCCGCTTCGCTCAACTGTACGTGCCAGAACGGACGCGTAAGCAGTGAAGGCTACAAATGACCCGCGACTGACCAAGTAGTCTGGCAAGCTGGCCAAAGTATCCTTGAGGCTCATAAGATGCCCTTGACCCGATGAGTCCTCCTTGAAACTGAATGCCTTGCTTAGGATCAACAGAGTGCCGGACATTTCGCGATGGACATGTAGATCGATCCACTGGCCAAGCTCGTCGCGCAGTCGTTCTGGTGTATGCGTACCCGTCCTGATTCCTCTCGACTGGCAAGCTTGTGCTAGCTCACGATCCGACAAATGCTCTATGCCTTCCTTGTCAATCACTTCGTCATCCTTTCTGAGCTTGGCCATTCTGTTTCGGATGGTGTAGCGCAAGAAATTGTCTGTGCCAAAGGCGTTGATGTTCATGTATCTACACATGCTGACCAATTGCGGTCTTGACAGGTTGTCGAGCGTGAGGTCTTCTTCGAACAAGCGAGCAACGGTCACGATATCAGTAGTCGAGGGCGATTCTCCTGTAGATCGGACCTGGAGAGCTCTCACACTTGAGACATGACAAGTCTGAAGAGCGGGAAATCTACCTTGCGGAAGAACTCTTTGAATTCCTCGGAATCGCGGATCTTGTCGGCAGATTTCATGCCGGTCTCTCTGAGTGTCTCTTGCAGGAACTTGGCCATCTCCAGTCGGACCTTGAGCAGCTTGCGTTTCTTTTCTTCCTCCTTGTATTTGTCTTCGAACGTGCTCGGCAGCATGTTTGGGAACAGCTTGAGCGCGACGGGCAAGAGCAATTCCATGAAGGGCACGATCAAGAAGACCGAGAACGGTATCAATCTCAACAGGTCTTGCGTCGTTCGCTTGAGCTGCCTCTTCTCACGCCGAGTGAGCTTGTGACCCTGCAGTAGTCGCTTCTGCAGCCTGGCACTGATCGCTATCTCCTTGCCGAGCAGTTTTGTTCCGTGCCAATAGTGTGATGCCTCAGTTTTGACCTTGGTCCATATCCTTGTCATGAGAGGTGCTTTCGGCTTGTCGACCGCTTTGGAAGAGCTTTCCTTCTTGGCAGGCGGATCAACAGCTTCGGCTTTCTCGGACACGCCTTCCTCTGCATTGCTCGGCGCAGCCTGTTTGCTAGTGCTCGCGGCTGCTTTGGTTTCGCTCCGAAGAGTCTCAGATGAATTGCTGGTCCCTTTGAAAGGCGGCGGGCCGCTGGACGAGGGCGTAGTAGGCTGGGTCTCTGAGCTGTACCATCGCGGAGCTCCTATTCTCCTGCGGCCTACCCTTCTTGCCGGTATCAGTCCTCTTCTGAGCGCGATATCTCCAACAGATAGATGCAATGTCGCTTGAGAAGTCGTCCTTCTTGTTGGCGTGGCTGTAAGAGTGGACAAGGCTCGGAGAGTGGCAGCGTGCCTGACATAAGCATCATGTCCCGACAGACGAGGCAGCGCTGCCACCATGCCATTCCTTCGAGCCAGGCCTAAGCCTAGCTGTCCGCTTCTGGTTGACATGAGCAGCGCTCAAGTGGTGGACATGCAGCGGCCGAATGGCATTGACATTTGCGCCTGACAAGTCGATGACGAGTCGCACGTCGCGCCGAGAATTCGAGTGGCGTCGGCTCCTCCCTGTGCCCTTGAGCCAAGCCGAGCCAAGCTCACGAGCTGGCTGTCCCTCTCTCTTCTGCGCGAGTGATGTCGCTCTTTGGTGCCATAGGCGATCGCTCGCCCGTGCTTCAGCATCGACCCTTCTTCCATGATTACATCACCTCAGCGGGCATCTCACCCGTCACATCGCCAACAGTCCCATCAATGCCCCATCGCGCGACCAACGGTCCGGTGACCCATGCAGATCTCCCTACACCACTTCCGGCTGCACCTCAAGATCTAGCGGAGCATTATCATTCAGCGCACAAGCGAACATTCTCACTTCCTACCGAGCCAGCTCGCATACAAGCTCACGAGACTGATCCCATGGTGACTGCACCCATACTGAGCCAACCTGTCCCCGGCAGAACGTTGATAGGCACCTCACCACCCGGTCTGACGAGACATCCCTCTATGACTTGGCCGGCAAGACTTATGACCCCGCCAGATTCGCCCATTAGCAAGAAAGCCGCTCTAGCGCCACTCGTCGGTCTGCAGTATGACGATCCCTGGACGGCCGTAGAAGTGCTGTGCTTCGCTGTCTCACTACCAGCGTGATACAGTAGCTCATTGCTGGATGATGCGACAGGCTCGAGGAGAACATGAAGCTGCATCTACGGCTCGATAGTGCTAGAAAGGCAGTCAAGGAGTGCGAGGATCAGGTCGAGACGCGAGACAAAAGGCTCGAGATCGTCGAACGAGCTTACATGCAGCTCGAAGATGAATTCGTCAGGCTCAAAGTGAGATGGGCTTCTGGTTGCGATGCCGAGCTAAGCGCACGGAAAGTCAGGAGGGCCATGCGCTCTACTACATCTTGATCGATCTCGAAACGCATCCAGTGAGTTTCTTGATGTCAGAGAGGCAATGCCTCTGACAAAGTCGAGGAATTGGAGTTCTCGCCAGCACTCATGAGCGCACCGGGAGAAGCGGTTGAGAAACTTCTGCACGATTTGGAGGCTTCCTCGGCCATCACGCGAGGAGCAAGGGCCGTCTTCATCTTCCTCGCCAATCTCTATGACCCTGCCCCGCTCGTACTGCCCTTCATCGAAGCACTGCGCGTGACCCATATCAATCATACTTTGCTCATCGATCGTCCACTCGAACACGATGCTCTTCAGGGTCTTTACAAGAGTAGCCAGAGGGCTTTTCCCGGTATGCAGCCAGACTGATTCGCACTCGCAGACTGGATAGAGACCTGGGCTTCGACGCCATCTGTGCAAGGTGTTATACTGGCAGTTGGTCTCGCGGATGAGACGACACAGCATCTCGCCGATCATATGGACAAGATATTCAGTCTCTCCGACAACTTCGCGGCAGACGATCGCATGGCGAGAATCGAGCTCGACGGCGTCTTTGCAATCAGTAGCCCGATCGAGCCATCAGAGCATGAAGTATCAGACGCCGCATCTGTCATCGAAGAAGCTGCCGACGAACCAGACCAAGTCACACAGACCGTCAGAGTGATAGTAAAGGGCGTTGTGCCCGGAATGGATAGCTTCTGCACACCACGCAGCAGATCAAAAGGTCGAAGTAATTCGAAAGCAGATCGAGCACGTCAGAGCAAGAGTCTCTGCAAAAGTCCCATCGGTAGCTGGACCACCATCAAGACAAAGTCACTGCAATATGAAGAGAACGACGTGCCAAAGATCGACTCGACAAAGCAACTCACAAAGCAGACCGTGCCGCCCTGCAACAACTTTTACCTCACAAAGGCAGGACATGGTTATCAGCATGCTGCGACGGGCTGAGCATCTTCTGTTCCGCAGGAGGGATGTTATAACAAGCGCTGCACCTACGAGCATCGCTATCGCTTGACCGACAAGCAGCTCCATCAGATGCGCACGGGAGCTAAGAATGCTGTCTGTGCCAACATGCGACAGACCAAGAGCTGCTCTGCAGGTCAGTGCAAACCACAATCGCTAGCTCTGCGTTGACATGACAACAGGCGATGACTGCATCTTCGGCCACAAATGTCCGCGTGGCAAAAAGTGCGACAACCTCGCTTCATGTCCGTTCTCGCTAGCCGGAATGCACTAGCGCTCTATCATTTCTTCAATGTGGCTGGCACGATCTGAAGCTGGATGGTCTCGCCTGTGCGCTCGCCTAGGTCCGCATCGAGTGGCTGCTCCGTCTTGGGCAAGTAGAGCGCTCGCTCTTTCTTCTTGTCCTCTGTCGAGATCCCGAGTGCCTTGTCGCGCGCCGCGAGCTTGTCAGGATCGACCTGCCCGTCTTCTGTGAATGCCATCATGATGACGGGCGGTCCGAGAGGAAGATGAGGGTGGCGATCGATCTGCCACGTATGAATGGTCTTGCCGAAAGTCTCGTGGAGTGCGACCATGACAGTCTTCTCGACGGTAGCATTGATGGGACCTTCTTGATCTTTCTTGCTGGCAACGACGAGCATGCCCGATTCGACTTCGTACTTGTGCGAGTGCCAATCTGTGCCACCATGAGCGCGAGTGCAGATCCAGAGAGCGGTGGGTTACATTTCTTCTCTTCATCGTCGAGGGTCTTGTAGACATCAGCACTGACGATGTACTCGATCCCGATCAGACGAGCATCGGGGCCGTCGCTATCGTACACAAGACATTGATGAAGTCCGCCATGACCGGACGCGCAGCAATAATGATGCGCTTCCACTTGTCTTGTTCGATCGTCACTGTTGTAGTGGAAAGCGCAGAGATGCTGATGAATGGCTTCCAGCGGCTTAAAAGGGTGCGACATTCTCACAGCCGGCGAGAGCGAGTTGGCCACCGAGGCGAGCATCTTATGTAGACGCGATGCGTGCACGGGCCGTGTGACTGGATAAATCGATCCGTCCGTGAGGCTGAGATCGAGTGAAGCTGCGGTGCACAGGCACAGGTAGAGTACAGCCCTGCCAGACAGACCAAGCCCACGAAGTCAGCGGACGGCGGACGTCAATCACGATCTGGAGCAAGTGCCCCACCGCCACCGAAAGCAGACTTCGCGTCCCAGGTCACGTGCAACTTCATCTGGCTTGACGAGCAAGAAGTATCTGATCTATCTTGCATTTCTTCGGACCTTCGGACGTAGTTCTCCTGATCGTCGGACTACGACGCAACAGCGATGAGCCATGTCGGAAGCCGAGCCTGCCCTTGCCGTGTTTCGACCTCGGCGTTGCTCTATCTCCTTTCCGCGGCGTTGTCACGAGGTCCTTTGGCGTTCCGTCGACAAAGTCTGCACACAATCTGCGATTCAAATCTACCTCTTTCAGGTTCACAGACAATCCGTCATCAAGAAGGGTTGTGCTGGTCGCCGCTTTGGACCGTAGTTTCAGCGACATACGTCCCTCTTGCTCGCTACGTGACATTGGCTGCGGCTCAAGATGTTGCTAGGTGTCATCGCGACACTGATCAATCTTCACCGTTGTATAGCGCCGCCAATGCCTGAGGCAGAACAACAATACTGTGTAGGCATGCCGGAAATCACGACGGTCTGCAGTGGACGCGTCGCCTACGATGGCCACCAATGGCCCTACTATACTATTGCTACTCTTCATCATCCGAACAAGACAGACGATGGTGGTTCTTACGATATATCGATGCTCTTCTCTGTGCGAGCGTCGAGTTATGATTATGCCGCGCCAATCTACTGTCTGACCGCCCCGCGGGAGTACCAAGCGCCAACTTGCGTCCTGACCGGCCACGAAGTCGTTGGTCAGAGACTTTTTCTCTATGCGCATGCGCAAGGCAGCCTGACTCTCGCCGACGTCTTGGCGGGAAACGATATCATCAGCGAGGCTGTCACGACCTGCTGCGACGCCCAATGGCATATGCCCTTTGGATGCTCCTTGCCTGATTGTGAGCCATGCCGGCCAGCCTGTTGATGTTCACTGACAGCATCGCAGCGGGACTCGCTCTCTCTCAACCAACGCTCAGATTCCAGTGCGGCGTCGAAAGTGCCTCAGAAATCATACCCAGTACAGGGATTCGCTGTGGCAAAATGTTTGCAGGAGCGAAGAACGGCAAGTGCGAGGAGCGGCCGATGGAGATGCCAGTGTGGACTAGAACAATGGACAGAAGGTGTATTCGGGTACCTCAAATTTCGTAAACAGGCGGCTACTGGCACACCGGCGTAGGCCATACCGGGGGACCAGCATACATCATTCGAATGTGCGGACGACCTCTCAAAGGCATGCATCAGCTCGTGCGAGTCTTCACAGTGTGTGCGCTCGAGTTTTATGGGTTGCAGAGGGAGCGCGTCCAATTGATACAATTATGAGAAGCTCTTTTCTCTTGAATCTCACCGTCTCAACATTGTCTCTATATTTCGGTCGCTCACGCTTGCCATCTATTTGCCGCCTGAGTGAATGCATTGTGGAGCAGTCAAGGACTCTAGAGAGCCTGTCTTTGTGTGTGCGTGTGTGTGAGATTCGCATAGCCACTGCGTAGGTAGCTAGCCTGTGCATTGCGATCGTCGTCCTGATCGATGAAGCGAGATAGACACCCCGACTTGCTGAGAAAGTAGAGGACCACGTCTCCACACGCGGAACTAGCCAATCCTCAGATGGCGAGTCTATACCAAGGCAGCGGTCACGAACAAAGCGCAGACGCGATCAGCCAGATAGTGTGAGTCGGACGACGCGACTGCTGTCGCTTGATCCCCAACTCCCGAGCGTGTCCTGGTTCCTTTGTAAGCGTGCTCCCTATGGGTCAATAAGCAATTGCCCCAACGGTCCAGATGTTCGATGCTGACCAGACCGCCTCGCTTAGTCTAACCGAAGGCATGTCGAATGTCGATGCTCCTTCGAGAAATGATCTCTGAACTCCCCTTCGCGACGGAACATGTCATCATTGACCAACTTCTCTGAGCTGCGAGCTCGTCAATGGTCCCACCAGCAAGCCAACTAGCTATGACACACATCAATATCGATGTAATCGATGCAGGAGTGGCTCGGGATGTACCACCATGTCGGAACGATCTCGTACGACAGTCATCATATCTTCACCAGATGTCACTGCATACTGCAGCAGAATACAGCGATGGTCGTATGTGTTCCGTATGAGAGCAAGCGAGGAGCGAGTCGGCCTCGAGCTCGACGAGTACATACGATGATCCCAACGCCTCTAGGCCGTCGTCGGCAAGTTCGTCCTCAGGGGACATCCCCAGCGTATCTCGGCAACCATCACGCACGCAAGGTCCGGATCTCGGTCGTCATATTCCCTAGATGAGGAATGCAGTTTTTGTCTTCTCGCTCAGATCTTTGCTTCGGCCATACCATTGCTTTGTCGCTCAGGCACAGTCGATACAATCGAGGTGCCGTAAATCGACGCACGAGTAGACCAGGGCAATCAAGCATTAGCAAGCTCTTGGGCGGCGACGCAATTCCGATGTTGCTCTACCTGATTGTGTCAATCGCGCTCGCGACCTGCGCTAGTGCCGACGATGACAAAGAGAAGCTATACTGCGTAGCTATGCCCACTTATTCGACCAGATGCTCACATCGAATCGTCTCTGATGGTCAGGAATGGTCTTTCGGAACGGCAGTAGAGCTCGTACACCATCCCCTCCCAGGCAAAACAACTGAGGCCACTTCGATGTTGTTTGCTGTCCGAGCCTCAATCTATGAGCACGCTAAGCGCCTTCAGTGTACTCCTACTTACGGCGAGCGCCCGGCGCCTATCTGCCAATTGACAGAAGAGCACGTCGTAGGTCCTGCTGCCGTTGATCTAGTCGGCAAGGCTCTGGGCGATCTCGACATGGTCAGTGTGGCAGCAGCTAGCCCCGCTATTAAGAATGCCGTCTTTACGTGCTGCCGTGCCGAATGGCAGATGCGATTTACCTGCTCACTACCGCTCAGTGGGTCCTCAAGTCTCTCCGTAATGCGAGACTAAAACATAGAAGCAGCGGCGATCCTGCTGGCCAGACCAAAGACATATCTCACTTGTGGCGATACAGAGCAGAGCTATGATCGCATACCTGGCACAGATTTGCGATGCATCGACCTCTTCCCTATCCCAGAGTATGGTATATGCGAACAGCCGCAGATGGAGGAGCCCATATGGACGAAAGCGGCCAGCGATGGAAGGTGCACCCGGACGCCTTACCATCCCTACTGATTCGGACATACTAAGACTGCAAGCTCAGCAGACCCAAATCTTGGTGATAAAGCTGCGCGAATAATGGACTGCGGTCCTATGAGCAATGATGATGACATCTGCATTGCATCCCTGAAAGCAGTCTGAAGGCCTGCGAGTCTTCACAGTGTAGGCTGCTGTGATTCGGATGTCATTGATTTTGACATTGGTTTGACATCGCGTATCGACCGAATCATAAATCACATGCTCAGAAGTCGGGTAGCTAATCTCGCTCCTACGATAGCGAGCTCTCGATCGTTCAGCAATAGCACGAGGGCTAGCATGGTGTTCAATGTCTCGAGACTAGAGGGCAAAGTATCCCGACAACACGCTGCTCTACTGTCCAGCTAAAGTTCTCGCAGAACGTCCTGGTTACCGGCGCTTCTGCTGGTATCGGCAGAGAGACAGCGAGACTGTTTGCAAAGGCAGGCGCTAATGTCATCCTTGCTTCTCGACGGAAGCCAGTGCTCGAGGAGTTGAAAGCGCTCATCGAGAAAGAAAGTAGCGGCGTCAAGGTCGAAGCAGTCGAGCTCGACATGACCAGCAAGGCGTCTGTTGGCAGCTTACTTGATCGTGTCAAACTCAGACCGCTCGACATACTCATCAACAACGCCGGTGGCGTTCTGGGTACCGAGAAAGTTGGCGAGATCAAGCAAGAGGATATCGAATGGATGATCTCGACCAACGTCACTGGACTCATACAGCTCACCCAAGCAGTCGTACTCGAGTTCAAGAAGAACAACTCAGGCCATGTCATCAACATTGGCAGTGTTGCCGGTCGAGAGCCTTACGCCGGCGGTTCGATATACTGCGCGTCGAAACATGCCGTTCGCGCTTTCACAGGCTCTCTGCTTCGAGAGCTCGTCGAGACGCCCATCAGAGTCAGTGAGATACAGCCTGGTCTTGTAGAGACCAATTTTAGCGTACATCGCTTCCGAGGCGACAAAGCGAAGGCGGATGCTATCTATGCTGGTGCGCTGCTAGCTTGTCGACACTCGGTACATGTCTGACGGAGCGCGAGCAGATTTGGATCCACTCACGCCAGAAGATATCGCTGAAGAGATCGTATGGGTCGCTGCGAGACCGCCGCATGTCAACATTGCAGAACTATTTGTCAGGCAGGCACACAGATCAGGCTGATTTCGCTGACGCTGGAACGCAGGTCATGCCCGTCTCACAAGCCAGCGCCGGCATCAAGTATGCAGGCGGCAAGCGGTTCGCAAAGCCATAGCGTATCATGCACTAACAATGCAATGTATGATGTCATCGCTGCATCCCGCTCACGACTCATCGCGTGTGCGAACGATGATCTCCGGTGGTATTGTTTTCGCTCGAAAGGCGCAGCCTGACTTGCCCACGGCTTCGAATGTCGGCAAGCATCTCGAGGTATAGCCACAAGGCTCTCCCTCTGCATACCCAGGGAACACTCTCGAACAGGTCAAGGCCGAGCCGCTTACTTTTGCCACCCCTGGGCCACAGGCAAGTCTCACTGAAGGTGCAGTCACCTTCATGCCACCTAATTCAAAGCGATTGAGCTGTAGCAATGATATCGACTGAGCCGTACTGACGGTGTTTGTAGTTTAGGAAGTATGTGTCTTCCCAGATCGGCGCGCAGCATACGTAGATGATGTCGCGCTTGATATTCTGAGCATCATCATCGGTTTGAATGTTGACCTCTCTGATTGGCAATGCGCGAAAAGCGTCGTATTGCGCCCATTCGTTCGGGTCCAGTGTAGGCTCTGTCGACAAGTAGCCTCTGCAGCTAGCTGGATATGGCTGATCCTTCACGCTCTGTATGACTGAGATCAGCTGCGGCGACGAAAGTAGCAGAATCTGCTCACGTAGCAAATCACTTTGGGCTTTGGGGAACCTTGTGCGCGGTTTTTCCACATCATGCGTGGCAGATCTGCCACGACCGAGTAGTGGAACACCTTGTTGTCCATGATGCCTTGACCGGTACAGATAGCCAAGCATTGTAAACCGGTGCAATAATCTGATCCCACGTCGCCACGCTCGACGAGCCCGCTGTCTGCTGCTATGTTGACTGCAGAGAGCACTATACGAACCAGACAACGAAGGGTACCAGGCATTGTGCGCGCTCTGCTCGACCTGACAGCTTGAGACCGCAACTCTTCGATATGGTATATGTGTCGGAAAACCCACTTTCCGCCACGCGCTGTTTGAGAGCTCATCCGAGGCAACGTTCGCCAAAGATGCAGTCATATTGATGCAGCAGACTGATGGATCTGTTTGCTGAGTCGTGTCGATTGCTTGGATATGAGATGGCCTGCGCATCACATCACTTTGATCGGCTTGGGTCCAGCTCTTCTGACGCAGCCCTCCAGGCCGTCAGACTTGTAGATGGGATAGCAATGTGTCTTCATTACGCGCGGCTCTCCTACTGCGTGATGTGGGAAGACGCGGTCGCAAAGCAATGCCATTCCGGAACTTGTGACAGGCCTGGTCCGCATGCAAGCCGAACACTTGGCTCGCCGACGCCCACATCGCCCGTGATGGCAGCAATGATCAGCGAAGGTGGTTCGATTGGGCAGTCGTCAATCATTGACGGTATGAATGGTTCACATAGTATACGCCTGCCCAGATCGAAGCGCAGGAGCATGTACCAGGTCTCTCGCATGTCCAGTAGCATCGTCAGCTATACTGATCTAGATAATGTTCATAGCACCGAATGAACCAACTCGAAGCCACTCATGGCGGTTGATGGTTGGCTTTTGAGGATACTGAAAATGAAAGCTGGATGCCTATGGCTGTCCCTCAGATGTCTGTCCGTTCGCTGGGTATCGGGCGCTTCGCATTGGCGCCGACCAATTGCGTATACGAATGAATGAGTCTTTTGAGCTCCAAAACATAAACATGGGTTTTCCGGAGCACTTCCGGGAGATGTGCAACCACCGAATAGTAAAGTAGCCGCCTGTCCCATTCGCCGCTTCTGGGCAGATCGCGACGCGCTGGATCCCCATGCAGTACTCGCATACAGATTCAAGGTGGACGGCGAGACGCTGACTGGCAGAGGCGAGCGACCTGATGCTTAGTAGAGCATGTGGAAGAATGAAGGATTAACGCTGAATTGGGCGCCTGGGCGTGAACGTTTCGAAGTTCGACGCGTGCATGCGCAAAGGGACTGTTGTTTCATCGATATATCTCACGCGACCTGTTCTTCTCAGGCTTCCTCATGAAGATGATCCACTTAAGCGTCATCTCATTCCAAAGACTCAATGCCCCGACTTGGTCTAAAGTCCATCGCATGCGCATGCAGATGCCAAAATTCGTGTTGATCGCAAGTGTTATACCTGCAACGTGGCTTGCTTGTTACCGGAACGTCGTCAGTGATCGTCTGAGCTGCCGAGCAAGCCGGAGCTAGCGTCGTTTTGTAGCACATCAGATTGCAATGAAACAGGGTCGAGGCATATTAGGCGAGGTCGTGCTGCGCTCCTGATTCTTTTTCGTCATGTGTACTACCGCATCGATTTATCGAGCCGGCGAGATGTCTACACAACCGCGCAGCTCTAAATTGATGGCACTCGTAGCTGGGCTCTGCAGCCTTGTGATCGCAACTGCAGAATTGACTGGCCCTCATACGTATGCAGTCGAGTACTGTTTCGGCAAACAAGCCTACAGGGCCATGTGCAGCAGTGTCGTGCTCGTCGGCGGATCGTCGCACAGCTTCTCTCTCGTAGCAGAAAGCCGCGAGAGCTTCTACATCCTGCGCATCGAGCCTGCACGGAGGCTGGGGCCAATCAGATGTAGGCCCGCACGAGGTCTTGGAGGCGCCGTTCCAGACTGCGCGATCCTAGACAGTCAGAGTACTGTTCCTGGCGAATACGTGTACGAGGTGGCAGCCGTCAAAGCACTACCAACAAGCACGGTCATAAGTCCAACATCGGACCTCGCTTGGGAAGCAGCAAATGCCTGCTGTTCGATCATATGGACCTCGGCCGGTAAGGTCACCTTTCCAGAAAGTCAGTCGTGGTAGACACACATGCAATGATCAACCTGATGCGCAGCCGTGACAGAGGATTGGATAGATGACGAGGCAGAGGTGACGATGCTTTGCGGCCCCGGCGAAGACGCGAGCGCGCTCATTCCGGTATGGACCTGACTTGTTGTCACACGATGCTTATGAGCTCACCACGCATCGCATGCAGAGATTACCTGGAGTGACTTGCGCATTGTTTTTTTCGCGCATCGTCGAGAGCAAAGGTTGCGACATTATCGGTGGATCACTCAGACCTACATTCGAACTGAAGAAACATTCGAATCACTGCGATTGGCGCGATCCCTGGCAGAAAGGTTGAAAGATAGCTATCGTCTTTGACGATGTCTCGATGACTCGACGATGTACCAATGCTTTAGATGGCAATAGAGATTGACAGGCCAAGCTAGCTTATACCGCTACAGCCGCTTTTGGCGTGCACCAGTGCGCTGCATTGATGCTGTGGAGAGCAAGATCTGGATGTTCTCGACCACCAGGAGGCCGAGTAGTGCTCCGAAAGGGACCTGACCACGGCAGAGCTGCTTTGATCTGGCTCATGGTCCGATAAGGCGCGGTTGCATTTGGGATTGAGGAATTTGAATCTGCCACGATATTCGATATATTGATGATGCATGTTCCCGTCATCGCAGCTGGCCCATCAATTTTTCGACTCTCATTCCAACCGGCGCAGCCATGATGTCCTTGATCCTGCTCTTTGCCCTGCTCGGTAGCTTGAAGCGTACTTCTGCAGACCATAGGCTCTCGATTCTCGGTGATTCTATCAAAGAGTACTGTCTTGGCCTCGAGTGCGTTGCAATTTGTCGCGGCAGCGGCGTGCTCGACGAACGAGCTTTTCATTATTCGGTCGTTGCAAACCTGCCACAAGTCTTATGGAAGATCAGAGTCTATACTGACGAGCTGGAGAAGAGCTACTGCCACGTATGCACCTCCTTTTGCGCTTCGTAAGGCGCACCTCCTGACGTGTGAAAATACACCATCAGACATTCAAGGGTCAGTCGTATGCACCGAGCTGCCACTTTTTCACGCCCACGAAGGCTTCAATAGACTCCGAACAGTGGCTGCAGGCTGAGTCGTATCGTGGTCTGAATATTGCCGATGTCGCTATGGAGGGAGATCCGACGGGATACGCTGCTCAGCTCATCAGGACCTGCTGTGCCGCCATCTGGGAAGCATCTTATTATCTGAACTATCGCAAACGTCAGTCTTCGGTCTTTGCCGCACGCATAGCCTCGCTGATCGTACATGGTCACCCAGGTGATGTGGGGGTAGGCGAGCCTCGCGTTCGTCTTTCATGCGGACCGGGACTCACACAGATCCAAGGGACTGCATTGACCTGTGCTCATGTGTTCCCCAATCACGAGGAAGGCGAGCCTTGCCTGACGACCACGAAATGCTATCCGACTTTTGAAGCTAGTGGCGGACTCGGCTGTCGCAAGAGGGAGAAGCGGGTGCCAATCAACATCATGTAATGCGAAGAGTGGCAGTAGCAAGAGTTTGGCACATAGCCAGAGAAGGGCTTTATACAAGTCTGGGCGCACAGCTTGACGATGATCATGCTGTCTACTGCTGCATGCGCTCCCGAATGACATTTCTGTAGAGGTGGCTCGGAATCGCAGTCAGACACGAAGCCCCATCTGAGTACACATGATGATCGTAGAAATGTTCAGGAGTGCCTGGCGTCGTCGGTTCCTTCGCCCCTGTGCTTATCCAGGCACAGTCGCGCTGACAACATTGGCGCCCATCATCTTCGGTCTTCATCCTTCACAAAGTCAAAGAGAGCATGATCGCCCTCATCCTTCTATATGGCCTGCTCAGTAGCTTTCTGCTCGTGACCGCCAAGCCGGGTCTCTCTGCGCGCGGCGACAGGATGTTTGAATACTGTATAGGCATCGAATGCGTCGCAATCTGCAACGGCGATGGCGAACTAGACGGGCGACCCTTCCATTACTCGGTCGTCGCACAGCTACCTCAAGTCTTCTGGAAAACCCGTGTCTTTGCGCGCAATCTGGAAACACCGTACTGCTACGTATGCATTGGGAAGCACCTTCACCGTGATCATTTGGCTTATGCCAAGCGAACAGACACTCGACGGCCAGCCGTGGCCACCAACCTTCAATATCGGACCGCCAGCGAAAAAGTCCATAGATCCTAATCAGTGGATCCAAGTCGGTTGTCTGCGCGCCATGAACACCATTGAGATCGGCGTGACCGACGACGAAACGGGGATAGCGAAAGAACTGATTTTCAATTGCTGCACTCCCATATGGCGAGGAACCTACTATGCCAATTATGCAAAACGTCAGTCACCAGCTACATCCGAGTTGGCCTCTGTCTTTCTGTCTTTGGCTGATGTTGGCTCGACAGGCGATATAGGAGTCGGCGACCCGACCGTACAGCTAGCATGCGGACCATCACAGTACAGGGAGCCGGGACACCGTGAGACTTGCGGTCGCATCTTCCCGGAGTTCAGAGAGAGCACGCCATGTTTGATGACGACACATTGTTATCCGACCTACGAGTCAGCTGGGGAGGGAGGATGCGTCAAGAGACTCAGACCGAAGCCTTTCAACCCGATGTGATGCAGAGTATAGCGATTGCAGGCGGTATGCAAATGCGATCCCGCTCAAGCGCTCGAGTGTATTCAAGAAACGTGCATGACCGCCGAATATTGCGTTGCCGTGACCCTCAGACGAGCGCTGATATCTGATATCACTGCAAGCTGGCCTCTACAGTCTGCAGATCTGCTTTGGGTGTAGTGCAGTAAGCATCGTCAGACTACAGTCACGCCCCGACTTGTCTACGATGCGTCATCACCGCGCCAATCGCAGCTGTTGTCGTGTCGCTTCATCTCGAAAGTAGGCCGGATCGGTCCCCCGACGATCTCGCAGTCCTTGCTTTCCACATCCCTCGCAAAGAAATCTGCACACGTCAGTCCTGGTAGCATCTACAACAGACTCGAGATCAACAACGTCGTCCCGAAGCAGAGCAAAGCAAGTCCTCACCGGTATGAGTATGCTTGCATCCTTGCCAGGACCGCAGAGCATCGTCACTTCTGCCTCGTCATCTTTCCAGTCCTCTGCCGTGCCTGTGTCAGAGCGATGCGATCCGACGCACAGCCTGGCTGACTTTCGGGGAACGTCACCTTGCCGGTGGAGGTCCATATAATCGAACAGCATACGGCAGCCGCTGCGGAAACGGTGTCCGATGTCGGACTCAGCACAGCACCGGTCGTCAGCGATTTGACAGCTGCCACCTCGAACACATAACCGTTGTGACCCGCATTCTTGACGGCAATGTTCTCGCAGTCTGGACTTACGTCCTCTCGATATCTCGCATTGATACATCTGATTGGCCCCCAAGTCCGCTCTGGCTGGACCTTCATGACGTAGAAGCTCTCTTGGCTGTTTGCGCCAAGTGAGACCTCATGCAAGTTGCCGTCGGCGAGTACATTGATGCTGCAAACAGCCTGATAGGGTCGCTTGCCGAAACAATATTCGATCATGGTCAGCCTTGGATGAGCCAATCCCGCCCCTGCGATTTGGGCGCTCTGGAGACCGAAGAACAACAGCACGATTGCGAGGCTACGCATTTGCTCAGACAGTTTCCCAATAGACAAATTCATCGACATCGACGAGCAGGGGTCAGATGCTCGCATCGCGTGACATGTTCCACCTCCTGTTTCACTGGGCGCAGTCCCTCGTCTCGCATGCAGGGTGCTGGACCTCATCGAGCCGTCTTCGGGCCCGTCGGCCTAGGCGGAGTCTCCAATGATGACCCGATCAAGACGCTCTGCCGATGTGGTCGACCTGACACAATCTTTCGATAGGTGTCTCGCGCAGGATGAAACCAGTGCATGTGCCTGCGAAAGCTGGGATGTCGACAGTCGATCTGGCTGAGTGTCGACACAGAAAGGCCGTGGCGTTTGGAGTGCTCTTAAACCCGTCTTCATCTCGACAGGGATCATAGTAGCTTGCTCAGTACTTGATCGACGAGGGCAGACCGTGCGCATCTTCTCACAATTGACTCGACTCGTTGAGAGCCCCCATGGACGAGCCGCTGGCTGCATTCGTCAGACTTCTGATAGACGATGGGACTTCTACGAATCGTCTTGACTCCAATCGCAAGTGTTGTCGTGTCGCTTTACCTCCCAAGTAGGCCGGATCGGTCCTCCGACGATCTCGCAGTCCTTGCTCTCAACGTCCCTCGGGAAGAAGTCTGCACATGTCAGTCCTGGTAGCATCTACAATAGACCAAAGATCAACAACGTCATCCAGAAGCGTAACGAAAACAAGTCCTCACCGGTATGAGTATGCTTGTGTCCTTGCCAGGACCGCAGAGCATCGTCACTTCTGCCTCGTCATTTTTCCACGCTTCTGAAGTGCCACTGTTAGCTCGGCTGCAGATCATATGCAGCACGACCAACTCTTAGGAAATCCCGCCATGCCAGTCGAGCTCCATAGGATCGAACAGCAGACGGCCGCCGCAGCAGAAACGGTATCCGATGATGGGCTTAGCACTATGCCGGTCGGAACTGACTTGACAGCTGCGATTTCATATATCCATCCGCCAGGACCCGCCTCCTTGACGGCAACAACCTCACAGTCTGGTGTGACGCCCCACAGACCTTTCGCATCCTTGCATGCGATTGCTCCAAGCCTTCGCCCTGGCTGGATACGCAAAATGTAGAAGGTCTCTTGGCTGGTCGCACCAAGCGAAAAAGTATGCGAATAGCCGTCCAGGAGAGCTGCGCTGCTGCACACGGCGTGATATAGCCGCCTGCCAAAGCAGTACTCGACTGCGGCCACTTGTGGGCCAGCCAACATTGCTGCTGCAGGCCTGATGTCGTACAGGACGGACGCCAGTATTGCGTATATGAGCCTCATCATCCGCTCAGATCTTCTGCACATAGTCTGACTGGTCAATGTCGATGCTACAGACGAAGAAGAAAAAAAGGAGGAGATCAGGAGCTGGTATCGCGTAACATGTCTCGTCTTCCATGTCACTGGAGTGCAATTGCTCGTGTTACACAATGCTAGCCCTAGCCGAGCTCTCTTCAGGTTCGTCGTCCCAGACGCAGTCGCCAGCGATGACCCGATCAAGACGCTCCCACGAGGTATATCTGACGTGGTCGACCTGGCACGATCCTTCGATAGGCGTCTCGCTCGGAAAGAAATCAGTGCATGTGCCTGCAAAGCCCGGAATCTCCACGGCCGACTTGGCTGAACGTCCGCACAGAAACGTGGTCACGAGTGGTGTGCTCTGGAGCGTTCCTGCCTGCAAAGTCAGCTTGAGCAACAGATTGTGGACGACTCAGCTTACGGTTCGGAAAAGTCGCCACGAGACGGTTGGTCGTCACTGCCGCACAGCAGGCGTAGACCAAAGCGGACACGACGGCATCGTCGCAGTAGATGCGGTCAGTATCGAGTGCTCGCACGGCCCGAACGGTCCATCGCTGCTGAGAAGGCGAGATATCAAAGTCCTCTGCTCTGCACATTGGTGCAGGGGGCTCACCCCAAATCGTCTGCTCTCCCAATTAATCAACTCGCTCTTAGTCCACGACAAGACTCACTCGACAGTAGACTGGCGTCGAGCGATCATTGGAGACGATATGCAAAGCGAACAGACGATCCGGATTCTTGGCGACGACACGGAAAGGTACAGGGACGCCTTCGTAGACGAGCATACCGTCACATGTAGCGTCAAACTGCCTGAGGCCGAGACAGAACATAGAAGACTTTGTCATCTTGCCCGCTGCATAGCCCAGAAGGGACGAGATCGTCGCTACTTGAAGCAGCATTGCGTCATGAGCAGCAGAGCTTTGCACACGCAATCGCATGCGAAACCTTTGATCGACTTCAGACGACTCGTCTGTCGTTTGGACGCCCCATAGCAACCCGAGCGCGAGAGGAAAATGCATTGGGAGGCAAGAAAGCAAACTATCTTGACTTGGCCATCGTCACAGGTGCAGCGGCACGACAATAGAGTATATGTGTGAAAGTGACGAGCGACTCGCGTAAAGCTATCCCCGTGCATATGAGTCGCCTGTTGACTGCGATGACGGAAAGGAGAGGTCGCACTGGCTCCATGGAGATCTTGTCAACTCCATGGTGTGATCCGCGTGAGACTCGGATCCCAGAGCAGACTGGAGACCAGCTCGTCAAGTGCTATTCATTCTGATCCACCGGTCAATTGCTTGCTCATTCCCGTAGCGATCGAGAGCGAGCTTGCGCTCTTTCGCTGTGGCGATCGCATTGAGCGACCATTGTGAAACATAGCAGATGAGCACAGGTTGAGCCACGTGAACCGAGGCTTTGGCCCTTGAACCGCATTTTCGGGCTAGTGGAAACGATTTAGCCCTCGAAAGGCTCGCCGTTGTTTATGGCAGTATGTTGGCTGAAAACCTGGCTCACATACAGAACAAGACGACATGTTCGGTTCTCGTTCGATGGGTACAGCTAGCGATGCCAAGACGTCATATGCGAGCGAGAAGAGACCACTTTGTAGCCATGGGGACGCAGAAAAGAAGCTGCAGGGGTTCTTGAGATTTGCCCGAAGTCAGAAGCAGAGGGAGTGTCTATGAGGTTCTTTCAGGCTCAAGCAAAACTGCTGACGGGGAGCTGACACGGTCTTATCGAGGGTGAGTCGATCGCTATGACGTCGCAAGGGTCGTCGCGTTGTCGCGATACTGTCCGGAGACGCGAAAGCTGGCTCAGTCACTAGTAGCGCTCCTTGTGTAGTTCCACAGTATCCTGCTCCCTAACCTCGACGAGTCAGCCACTCGATCCATATGACCCGTCGTAGCATCGATATAAAGCGATTGAAGACCGTTCGAGAGTCAGATAAGCAGATAGTGCGACCGACGAGGAAGCCATAGTATGAGGGCGCAAGGCAGCTGAAAGTGCTGAACACACCCGAATGGAGACTGGCGAGCTATCGGGCTCGCCGGAGTGCCGGGCCGTAAACTATCCTGATACGCGTCTCGTCGAAGCCCGTTGTCTCACCATGACCAGTCACTTTTTTGCTTTCCCCTCATGCCGGACAATAGAGCAGGATGCGTATTGACACTCTGATGAGCGCGGCTAGCTTGGGCGCGGCTAGCTTGATCACTGGACCGACACCGGCAAATGAAGTGGCTTCATATTGCTTTGCAATTCGTCCTTATCGTGTAACCTGCACGGGAAGTATACGCATTGGCTCTCAATCCTACCCGGTTTCTATCGCCTCTAGATCTCCAACGAGACTCTTCACGCTCAAGCTCAAGCCTTTGTCGGAAAAGAGAAAGCTGGGTTGCTGGGCAACAGGCGGCATGCCCAAAGCGCCAGACTGTGATGGCTACATGCGATCACAGACCGCCGATATGCAGGTCTGGCATGTCAACATGGTTCGCGCACTTCACTCTGCTTCGATCGAGATTGGCGATATAGACATGCATTATGACCGGATCTACCGACTCGTTTCCGTCTGCTGTGTAAACATGTGGACGACCGATGTGGCGGCAAGTTGGCCAGGTCGTACGTCACTTTCCGCCATCAGGCCTGATAAGGATCTGGCTGATGCTAGGGATGCAGGCGCCGTACGGATTGGAGACATACGACACAGTCTGATGTGCGGTCCTGCAAAGGACTTTCGAGACGATTGGGCGAGAGAATGTCGCGCTACGTTTCCTACCGCCATCGAATCAAACGAATGTACTCTCGAGCCAGAACCAGAAGAAGACGACGAAGTGCCTCCTCCGCCCGATCGTCCGACTACACCGCCCGCGACGATGTCTTGGGAGGTATTTGGTCATTCTGGTACTTGTACGTGGCGCAAAAAATCGGTCGCTGTGCAGAGACAATAGCAGCATAGATACATCAACAAGTGCACACAAGTGTACAGAAGCTACGTCCGTCTGTGTATGATCGCACAGACCTTGCCAGTGGGATGGAGCGCGCCCGTGAAGTGTCGTGATTCGTCAAAGCCGGCCGTGATGACGCCGGCCGGTCTATTGTACGCAGGTGCATGAGGGGATGAATTCGCATCAAGCGCTTTGCCTTGCGCATTGATTGTGCCCGTGACTTCGATGTCGAAGAGGAGCAGTATCATTGCAGTGATTGCCTGGAGTTCAGCAGCGGCAAAATAGCGTCCTTCGCATTTACTGACGCCGCCTCCGAAGGACATGCTGAGCTTGGAGTAGTTCGTCTGAACAGTCGAGCGACCCTGCGAATCGAGATGCCTGATGCCTTTCCAAGTCTTTGCATCCGAGCCAAAGAGCGAATCGGCGCTTTCGTCAGTCGCGAGTGGGCGCATGACACAGACGATTTTTGTGCCTTTCTTGATCAAATAGGGCGGCGCTTCGTCTGCTGCCTTGGATGCTGACAAGACGACGTCTACTTCTGCAACCCTGATACTTGCCGCACTGACGAAAAGTCTGATGGATTCCCAGCAAGCACTCGTGAGCGCAGGGAAGCGATCCGCGTTGCCAGTCGCTTCGAGTCTGACAGCTTCTGCTGCTATACTCGGCGAGCCGTCTTCGTCTGGTGAAAGCGAGCCATGCAGTTCTGCTCGTATAGCGCCGACCATGCCGGGGGACTGGACGCAGAATAGGACGTTGTGGACGACGACATAGACGACATTGGCGAGTGCAGCCCAGAATTCACCGTAGATCATGGCGGCCATGGTCTGCCTGCTCCAGCGGGTCGTCTTGAGCGCCTTGACGAGCTCTCTGATGAGATCGGAAGCGCTGTCCATGGCTTCTTCGTCAAGGGCGTATTTCTCAAAGACGTTAAGTAGTCTTTTCCTTGCCCTGTTGATCTTGGGCAAGCACCAAATCGGAATGCCAGCGACGAGCAAGGGGAAGCTATCGTCAAAGGTCAAAAAGTCTTGCTGTATCGCTCGAGCGTCGAGACCTGGCCCGAAGATAGCCATAGCAGTCGAGTCGTAGGCAACATTGAACACGAAGGAGACGAGATCAATTTCTTGGCCACCCGAGGGCAGCTCATTCGCCTTGGCCAGCAGACTTGTCCTCAAATCCCGCACGAGCGCGTCTACCAGGTTCGGCAGGTTGGCTTGGCTCATGAGCTTGGAATGTAGCGGATAGTACCATGCTCGCATTGCTGGATCTATATTGGCCTCCTCGCCGACGCCAAACGCTGCACCTTGCAGCAATACACGAATCCGTTGGAAACTGAGACTGTCCTCTCGCAAGCCATAAATATGTTGCGTGAGCTTGGCGTCGATGACAAACGTCTGTCGGGGTAAGGGCAAAGTAAACACGTTGCCATACTTGCGCTGACATTGGGCAAGGAAGCTCATGGGATCCTTGCCCAGCGCTATCGCGGGACCGATGATAGGTAGGCCGTGGCGAATCATTGGTGGGACTTGAGCTCCGCCTTTGGCCGGCATACGTCCTGAGCTGAGGAACCATATTGCGAGGAGCACGCCTAGCAGCAGGCAGAGCTGCCATAGCTCCATGATAGCCCGCCGCTTGAGCGTAGCCGAACAATTTCGCGACGAACAAGTCATCGAAATCCTCCAAGCTCAAGTCGGCATAGCATCCAAGGCAAGTCACTCGCAGCTCCCAATGTCATCTTCAGCGAGAGATGGTCCATCGATCCGAAGTCACGGGAGTGGAAGAGCGGTCTTGCGAGCCTGGGCTCAGCTCATGACAGCAAAACTTGCTTGGACGCTCTTTCTAGCTTGCAACAAGGTGTCATAGACCCGGCAGCACTCCCCAAAGCAGCTCAGCCTTCATAACTATACCCGCTTTGTTGCGTCTCTCCGACAAGCGGGCCTGAACGATTGCTCACACTCTTGCTCGCCCTTGACGACGGTCCTGTGACTTGTGCTGATGCCCTCAGCAGATGCGACCCCCGGCTAGCATGCCAACTCGGGAGCAGGTCCATGAATATATAGACCAAGACCTTGGCAACTGTGTGCCGGTATGGGTCACGCTACCGGCAGACGTCTTGACGCCCGTCATGGCTTATTTACGAATCACCGACGGCTGCAAGACTGTGTCTGACGACAATCATGCTGGCTCCTTCTTGCTCGAGAGCGTCGTAGGAGGCTCTCATGTAGGCCGGTATAGCTTCGTCGGAGCGAGTCAGTGTTCTCGTGGCCAAAGTGACTTAGCTGAGCGACGCGTCGACAGATCCCTACAGAGTACTGCGATCAGGCAAAGGCAAAGAAGTCGAAGGTGACCCGCTCATAGCGCTCCAGACCGAACTCGATCGGTATCGCTACGTCGAAGTGCCGGGAGCGCCCTTGTTCACAGGTAGGTCATCATGCACAACGTCATCGACGCTTCAGACTGAGCGCGGTGACGATAGGCGGCGCTATCGGCTACGTAGGCTACGATTGCATCAGACATTTCGAAAAGAAAGCCGAGCGACCTCTCACGGATCCTATCGGGATACCGGAAAGCGTTTTCATGCTATGCGACTCCGTCATCGTCTTTGATCACCTCTTCCAGACCGTCAAAGCCGTCTCGCACGTCATCCTACCCAGCGCTCAATCTGACCAACATGCGACATCACGACCGAGCAAAACGCAAATTGATGAACTCTACGACGAAGCCAACCGAAGGATAGCAAAGGTTGTCGATTTGTTGCAATCGACGCAACCCATACCCTTTCCCGAGCAGCCGCCGATAGAATATCCAGGTCAGGAGCCGGTCTCGAACGTCGGAGAAGCAGGCTACAAAGCTTTCGTGACTCAGCTCAGGAAGCATATCGTCAAGGGCGATATCATCCAAGCAGTGCCTTCGCAGAGGTTCGCTAAACCTACAGCTTTGCACCCCTTCAATGCCTATCGCTATCTTCGCCAAGTCAACCCTTCTCCGTACATGTTCTATGTCGATTGCGGCCAAGGCTTGAGCTTAGTAGGTGCAAGTCCCGAATGCCTCTGCAAGGTCGAGAAGAACAAGGTCACCAATCATGCGATAGCAGGCACGATCAAGCGTGGTTCGAGCGAGATAGGCAAGCCCAACATATTGTCAACCCGTTTGGGGCTGAAGTTGTTACGCACGCAGAAGATGAGCGTCTGGCGGAAGAGCTCCGTGGCTCGGAAAAAGATCGAGCGGAGCATGTCATGCTTGTCGATCTCGCGCGCAACGACGTCAACCGCGTTTGTCAACCCACAACAGTCACGGTCGACTCGCTCATGCAAGTCGAGAAGTTCAGCCACGTCATGCACTTGACCAGTCAGGTCTCTGGCATTCTCAGATCCGACAAGACAAGGTCCGGCACGACTGAACTGTTCCAGGTCTGTGCCGAGCTGAGCTATCGGCTTGTCTGCAGGTTCGATGCCTTTCGGTCTATCTTCCCAGCAGGCACGGTTTCCGGTGCGCCCAAAATCAGAGCGATGCAGCTCATCGCCGAACTCGAAAAGGAAGCACGAGGGGTCTATGCGGGCGCTGTTGGTCGTTTCAACTTTGCACACGATACGATGGATACTTGCATTGCGATCAGGACAATGACGTTCAAAGATGGCGTGGCGTACCTGCAAGCAGGCGGCGGGATCGTGTTCGATAGCAATGAGGAAGACGAGTACATCGAGACGCTCAACAAGCTAAAGTCAAATCTGAGCTGTCTCGATCAAGCTGAACGTGAGTTGACTTCGTACTGTCAACATCGGAGCTGACGAGTAGGTGGACGGTCTGCAGGTTATTACGCTCAGTCCTGAGAGTGAGAGCTTTGTCACAGGCTGCATCGCATGCTACAACGTTCCGGTGATTACAGTGCTTGGAAGTTGAAGTAATGCAACTTCTTCTGTCGTTCTCTTTCGTCTTCTCGTCGCTCGTTAAGATGCAGAACAAGCACGACTATACCCAGGATGCTTGTAGCAACGATGAGCACGACGCCGACCCATGGAATCCAATCGCCCGGCCGCAGATAAAGCTCTTTCATCCACGTATAAGGTTCCTGTACGTTCCGAGGCTGCCAAGGCACAATGACGACTTGCGAGTTGGGTATCAATCCTTCGACGTTGATATAATGCAGTGGCTGGTGTCGTGTCGAGCCGATAAAAAGGTTTTCGACGTAATTATTTGTTCTTCCGAGGCCAAAGTAGGAGTATGGTGTGGCGAGGTTCATGTAAGATGTCTGAGGTAGTTGACCGACGGATGTAGCTCGTCGCGTGCCAGACGGATCCAGTACGGTGAACTTGAACGAAGCGCCAGAGTAGCTGACGCCATAGGGCTGCATGCTGTGTCAACGGATGTTCCCCAGAACAAGAATGACGTACATGGTACTTGTCGCCAGTAGCAGGGAAGCAGTACCTCTCGCAGGCACCGTTGACGACGAGGGCTTTGAGGAAGAAAGCATCGGCATAGTATTTATTCTTGATGAACGTGAATGCTTTTGCGCCCGTGCGCTGTATCATCATATCGAGTGAGCCCTGTCATGCAGCTGTCTCAGTTCAGAATCGGGGGAGGGGATGACAGCCATCTGCTGACCTCCTCATCCACATCAAGAAATGAAGCGCTGCGTGCGTCGTTGATCGAGTTGAGCGCATGGGCGCCTGCAACGACTCTGAGGAAAACTCTTCGGGATTGAGCGATCTCAGCCGATGTGCAGCTCGACTTGTCGCATGCTCTGCTCTCAATCAGGCTAGGTGTGCCGGATCGAGGGAGCCTTGAAGATGAAGAGATGAGCAGGAGATCAGGGTAGCCGTCTTTGTTGTAGTCGCCCGGTTGCAGCGCCAGTGGTACCGTGCCTGCTATCGACTCGTCAAACAGCATGAGATAGGGCGCGTCGGGAATGAGTGCCTTGAGAGGTATGCGCGTAAAGGCATCATTGGTCTCCAGAGGCGTCAGATCAAAGGAAAACCCAGGATCCGCAACGCAAAGCGCTCCTGATGACCGGCACTGTAGTGATCCATCCGAGTTCATCGAAGGCTGTCGAGGCTGGCATAGCGGTACTTGCTTGTTGTAGGCAATATTGATGTAGCAGTTGTCGCCCGAAGAAGTGCAAGTGGGGAAGATCATGTCGATGGTGCCATCTCTGTCCATATCTGCAAAGATGATTTGCCCTGTCCCTCTTGGCAGATTGCCCCCTTGCGCGAATCTGAAGCCTCCCTCTTTCTCGTTGGTGAAGATCTTGTATGAAAGCTGGGTCGCATCTCGCGGATTGACGCAAGTCAGGAATAGGTCCGCCAAGCAATCGCCATTCAAGTCTATGAGTGCATTGCTGTGTGGATTCGGGAACTGGCAGTCGAAGCTGTCTAGCGTGGCTTGGTCGAATGGCCCTGATTTGATTTCGAAGAGCGAGCTATTGTCGCCTGAGAAGCGCGTGTTAGACCACAATTGAGGCTTGGAAGCGTCGGCTGCTATGGAACCCAGTAGGTCGACCGTCATATTACCAGAGGCATCGATGGGTATCGGTTGCGCCAGACCGGACGAAGGCAGCACTTGCGCCGGCCCTGCCATTCCACAGCCATGAGCTTCAGAATGAAGCGCACAGAGAGAACGAACCGAAAGCGCCTTGCCCTTGCCCCAGATAGGCGGCCAGGTTGAGCTCATCACTGTTGAACCATCCTCCTGGATTGCTCTGGCCCATGAGGAGCACATCAAGCCTGCCGTCGTAGTTGTAGTCGCCAGGCACGACATTGGTGATCAGAAAGCTTGGCGGTGCACTAATTGGGGGTTCTGAGCTTGCGCGATACACATAGCTCGCTGCAAGACGATGAGTCAGGCTGGTATGCAGAGCGACTGTGACTCACTCTTGTCCCATTGCCATAACGTCACGCTTCTCTGGTCTTGGCTGACCACGAACAGATCAATTCTGTCTCACGCGCATCAGTCATGCAGCTGAGACCTAGAAAAGAAGACGTGCTGTTGATTCCCGCTTGCGTCGCCTAGTGCTGCTATCCTGCCGTGAGCTGCTGCAAGCCCCAAGTCGCCAACATCGATCAAGCCTTCATAGGTGAACTTGGGTTCGGGCAGGCCCCAAAAGGCGTGTGTGCTCGGCAGCGCGACGAGGAAACAGGCCAGACAGATGTTCGTCCTTCTCCGCCTAGTGCGTCGCTTTCTGTGCATGGTCGACAGCATCCTGATCGAGGGGAAGCCGTGGAAAGGCGTTGGCAAGACGCGTGCAACGTTGGTTTGCCGACAATCGATCTATGGGCGATGATGTCGACGAAGAAGCACCTTGGAAGATCGTCACTGGCAGGACCGCAAACCATAAGAAGCGCAACAAGTCAATTCGCAGGCCGGCAGCGCGTCCAAAGGCGTCAGATGGCAGAGATGATGCTCTGTCTCACGAGCTCTCAGGGCAGGAGACAGCAGCTTGTATAGCAGCTCGACGGACTCACTTGAATGCGCAAGACTATCTCAAGATATTCAGAGGTACGCAAGTCTTTGGTCTGCAGTCACTACGAGCTGAGTAGTCGGCCCGTCCAGAATGGCTCCTGGAAACGCTGCAAAGAGCCGGCAAGAGCGACAGAGACTACGTCTTGACCTGCTTGGGCATCGGCAGATTCTCTCCTGCTCGAGACTATACGGGCTCTTTATCTGCTATGCGATCAGCGCAATGCCAATTCGTGGTCTTGCAAGAACTCGTCACTCTGCTCCGACCGACATGGCCGGTACGCGTCGTTGACCCGGCCCTTGGATCATCAGACCTGCGCTACATCGAGTCGCTCGGCTGGGAAGCGAGTACAGACCTACAAGAGCATCTCAACCCACGCTACTGCTGCCATCCGCCAGGCGATGCACATACAAGCAACCCTGTTCATTTCGTCTATATGCCTCATTGCCCGCGACTGCTTCACGACACTTGGCTCGGTCATTTCGCAGATCAAGGGCTACTCGAGCGATCGCTATGGCTTTGTAATGATCTGGCGCATTATCTGGACGGGTCAGAGCGTCATGCTTCGTCAGCACCATCAGCGCTAAGACAGAGTCCCTACTGACAGGACAGCAAAAGACAAGTCCGTCATACCTCGTCTTTGCGCATTGGGCAAGTTCTTCCCTGCGCAGAAGGAGCTCTGACTGACAAATGGGCAACGAGTAGTGCCATCCTTGCAGAGCTCGCCACAGCCCACCGCGCCAAAATACGAGACGACGGCCTTTTCTGATACTAGGCTGCACTGGACCAAAGAGCTCGGCTTGAGCTCACTAGCGTTAGCACTGCCTGCTGTCGAGACGGCATAGCAACCCTGAGGGTACCGATAAAGCTCCGTGTTGCGTTCTCACCGATCAGAAAGTCGCAAGCCTGTTTGTGTATGACGCCTGCGCTCGTTTGGCTATGGCTCGCTCTGATACTCTTGCGAGCGGTACTGGCGGCGAGAACGAGGTCGCATGCGCCTGCGATTGCTGTTGACGACCATGCAACCGGACTCCTGGTGTCCTATTCGTCCATTGCGGCAATACATGAAGAATGGCCAGCGATTGTTCCCAGAGCGGCAAGCGGCCATAAGCAGCACAGCACACCAAAGTCTTGCGAATCGACCGCTCTTGCAAACGCAGCCAAAGTTGCGCACAGATATGGCTACGACCCTCAGCCGACCGACTTTGAGCTCTTCATCGAAGCATCTGCACTGTGCTCTCGTGTTGGGTTCATGATCATCGATGACAACTCGCAGGCTTCTGTGGTCATGACCATGTCTCCTGGTAACCTAGAGAACGACTTTCAGCCGAGTGTCAAATTCGTACGCCATCCTCGTCCTAGCCCAGCTTGTTCCTGAGCGAGCATCGATCAGAGCTTTGCGGAAGGCCTATGGAGAGCCTATGTAGACGAGACGTGGTCGGATGGCTCGACCGATTACAACCTCGCTCGCGTCGTCGTCGGATGGAAGACAACGACTTGGCAGGCTATGTTCGCGCCAGCCCACGAGGCAGCCCTTGGGCACTGCTGCGCGGTACGTTTCGATTTGTCCTCAGAATGTACGAATCTGAATATGTCCGAGGTGTAGGGCTATCTAGATTTCACGTGAGTTGCGGACACCTGTGTGACGCTCTTCTGACGAAGTAGGCACCAGTGTCATGCTGTCATATGGCCAAGGTAGAACCGAGAAGTGCTGGAGGATCCATGCGCTGACGATCAGTGTTCAGGCCAATGTGGCTACGTGAGCGCGCAAGCGCAGTCGTTTTGCAAGATCAAGCAACCCAACTGCCACTCTGGCGCTCATGGCTGGCCGCCGAGTAAGTCGTACATACTCTTCTGCGTGCTATCTGACAGAGAGCGTAGCGCATCAATCTTGCTTGCAGACAGGCGCGAGAGTGACTTGTCTACACGTTGCAGACGATTGAACATGCATGCCTCTCGAGATCATCGATCTATCAATGTTCGTCGCGTGTCGCGCTCTGCTATCTGCTGGACCGAGCCAAAGGATGGATCTGAAAGCGTACCTAAGCACGCTAGATGATTTTCAACCGTCGGCAAGGGCTCGGCTGGCGCATCGTTACTCAGACTTTTCGCTGTCCTCTTCGCCCGCCTCAATCGCCAATAGCGTGGCTTGGTGGACAGAACTGCTCAACGACTTGAACCGACATGGCTTCTTGTCTCGCTCGACCTCAGCCGCTCAAGCCAGACCAAGCACGAGCTCGGAGAAAGGCAAAGAGCCTGCCAAGCCGAGCGGTGATACCATTCTGCTACAAGTAGACGACACGCTCTTGGACAAGCTCAGATGGGACGGCGTAGGTAGACCGCTTGCGTTGCATTATGCTCTCGTCAGTCATGAATAGCGATCCTATCGTCTAGCGGCGATCGAGCTGATTTCTGACGATAGGAACGAATGCTCAAAGAGGGAAAGCTGATGAGCTTGGCGAGCTTCAATTCTAGCAAGGGACGCATGCCGAGCGATAGCGCATCTCAGCACGAGCCCGGTCTCAGCTTGCTCTCAAGGACGTTTGCATGGTCTTTGCAGACACTTGGGTTCAGCTCAAGTGACGAACAAGACGTCGGATCGTCCAGCAAATCGCGTGAGCAACGTTGGGCAGCTCTACGCGGCACTTACATCCTCGTCGATTCTGCACGGGTCAGACTCCTTCATGTCGGATATGGATATATCTCTGACGAGATCGTAGACTGCCCTCGCCGGTTTGCGGACAGCAGCACAAGATGCGAGTGCAGGCTCACCCATCGACTGTCTGTACACACGCGACGACTTCTACCATCGCTTCTCGCTCGAGGGGCAAGAGCAGAGCTTATCCCGGAGCGATATGGATATCATGCTGCTATCCCTACAGTCTTCGAATGTGCTTGTATACGATGACAAGGTGTGCAGAGCAAAGATATCCTCTAGTTATCACACATTCATCTAAACTGCAGATGGTCAAAGTCATCTCGCGTCAAGAAGCAGACAAAGTGATGATCTCGGATACCGATAGGGGCATACTGCAGGTCAAGATGACCCGGATAGCACTACAGAGACAGATAGACGACCTCGAAAATCGCATCAAAGAGTGTGTTCCATGCGTCTCGATTTCTTCTCGGCTCATCTCATTATCAGAGCGCAAGACAAGGCTTCCGAGTATGTTGCCAGCAAGCGTAAAGAGCTAGCAATGTCCTACCTACGGACTAAGAAGGACCTCACTGCCTTGCTGGACAAACGAACGCGATCGCTTGAAACGATCCAGGCTGTACTGCTCAAGATTGAGACTGCAGCGGGCGATATCGACGTGAGGACAACGACATGCTGTTTACTTGAGAGCTGACACTTCAGCAGATTGTACGAGCGTACGAAACAGCTACGGCTTCGCTGCAGAGCTTGCTCAAGAACCCTTCGCTTGCTCAAGACCATGTGGAGCAGACTATGAGCAATCTTCAGGACACCTTGGCAGACCAGAGCGAGATAGAAGCTACCGTCCTGCAGGGAACGGAGGACGTACGGCTCGCTGCTGGGCAAGGGACGGTGGACGAGGACGATTTGGCAAAGGAGCTCGAGAGCCTCGCGCTAGAAGAGCAAACGTCTGCCGTAACAGAACCGAGCAAAGCTGAGAGCGCTCCGACAAAGGGGGTCACGGCTGTAGAAAGGGCAGATGCTGCGCATGTCAGGGAAGAGGCAGCACAAGATCGAGTTCCTTTGCCAGCAGAGTAATTGCAATGCTTTCTGACATGCTTTGAGACTGTGGTGACAAATCGTACACACAACAGCTGCTACAAGCGAACTAAACACACGCGCCCGTAGTCTCGATCGTCATCGCTGGTCACGCCGCCGATGATTCTCAGCAACTCGCGTAGTCGCGCATTGCCAATTCGGTAGCGTACACATAACTCGTCCATGTGATGTGTGCCGTCCAGCAAAGCTTTGAGAGTAGATGGCACCAACGTCTCTTTCGGCACATCATCAGGATCATGTGATCCGGCAGGGCCATTGGTGGGATTGCTACCTTCGCGCTCGCTGGGAAGTTCGATGTGGCTGCTCTGCATGGAGGGATGGTCGAGCCAAACGGGATAGACGTGGACTCGAATGAGATAGCCTTTGATTGTGCTGAATGAGATCAGTCGTCTTACATCGATGGCGAGCTCGTGAATACTATTCTGTTCGATCCAATCGCCTGCAGTGAGACCTGGCTGGAGCTTGACGAGTAGCTTAAGTAAAGTGATGAATGATACTGCGTGCACGATTAAAAGACTCAGCTATGCAGAGTAGGCTGGATGTGGTGGCCCCACCTTTGGCGAATCCTGTCGAGACATAATTCTCGCATTCTGTTGCGAGAGCGGAGAATGCGCGCTGGTCTGTCATCGCCCACGGTAGACTCTCTGCTTCTTTGCTCGCCAAGCGGTACTCATTACTGAACTGGAACAAATCGGTGACAATGACTGCGTCATAGTAGCTAAAGCTGGCGGGTCAGCTGACATGAGACCGTTCTAGAAGAGACGCACACAAGATGCTGTATCGCTTCTCTCGCAAGGGCATAGTCGACATCTGCCACAGTAGCGATCGTCTTGACACAATCGACGCCATTGATGTGACCCGCCAGCTTTTGCATCGTCAGATCCCATCCGTCCGTTCTCATCATAACCAAGTCGACGAGCAAGATGGGCACGTCCCAATCCCTGATCAGACCGGGATTGGTATAGAAAGGAAACAGCTTGAGGTCGAGAGAGGTGACGCCATCGATGAGAATGGAAGTCTCTGAGTAGCTGTTCAGGTCTTCGTAGAGCTGCTCGAGGATCGAATGGATGCGAGCCGAATGTGCTGGACCGGATAAGAGCGATTCTGATTCCTGCCCCACCTCATCAATCTCGAGATAGGACTCAGTTGACCTGTGCTCACTTCGAGGTCGCGCAGAACACGGCCCGTCTTGCGTACGAGAGGTTCATAGGCAGCCAGTTCGGCGCCTCGGTCAAAGACAAAACCCAAGTTGAAGCTGAAGTGACCGCGCTCATACTTGCCCCTTGGGGCAGATTCATGCAGGACAGATGTCGACCCATCCTCAGGACCATCGTCGGCTTCCTCGATCCAGATAGGATAGCCGAGTAGCTTATATCTGTCGCCCAAACAGACTGTCGTGAGATGACCGCAGAGCGATCGTTTGGGGACGAGATAGTCTGTGAGAGCAGAAAAGACAGTCTCTTCCTTTCTTGCGCTTGCAAACTTGTTCGGCGAGATGATGTTGCCTTGCTCAGATGCAACACGACTCAGAGGAGCGCTGGAGAGCGTTGAGCTTTGCTTTTGGAGTGGGGGCGAGGACGGGAACGCAGGCCGTGACATGAAGCCTTCTGGCACATCGTGGACGATCTTGGGCCCAACGTTGGGGTCAAAGATGGCGAAGAAGACGGCGACCAGTCGGGGAAGAAACTCGGGCACGCCAGACTTGTTCTCATTGGTGTTGTCGTTGTAGAGCGGCGAGGCTGGCCTGTCGTCATCCGCTGTGGCTTGTTGTGCCATCAAGATCACCTCTGCTCCATGTCTGGTCTGGACTGAGCTCTAGACAGGCTGATGGAAGGCGGCAAAGTCGGTGATCGACTTGGCTCGATAACGTTAATCGCGATTTTGCGGCAGAGTGCGACATCGCCACCAGTCGTCTGACCAGACCAGGCGCAACAGAGGGAAGCGGGAAGGATGGATCAGACCTCATCGAGCACGGCGTCTGCTCGGCCAACGAGTTCCACGCCCAGCACTTCGCCCCTCACTGCTCCCAGTCCGCTCATGGACACCGAGCCTAACACTTTTGCCTCGCCGTCGAATGAGCCGGCCTACTCGCCTACAGCACACAGCCTGCTGGCATCTTCATCCTCTGCATCTGCTGCCTCTGCATCCCAGGGCAGCAGTCGATCGACACTGGACACAGATGTCGATATGAGCGATGATGATGCATCCTCCACTCGCTCTTACAAAGCTCCTCTGTCTGGCAGCGTAGGCGAACCCTCGCTGGATGGCACGACATATGATGGCGAAGCTGTCAGGCCTACCAAGGCAGAAGACGTGTCTGATGAGGATAAAGCGACAGCTCTGAGTATAAAGTCTCAGGCCAATGCGCTGTTCGGCCAGTCGAGATACCACGAAGCTGCCAATCTCTACACACTCTCGCTCAACAAGAATCCGTTTGATCCGGCGGTATGGTCCAATAGAGCTGCCACACGGCTGAAGCTGGAAGAACATGGACTTGCCATCTCGGATTGCACAGAGGCACTCGCTCTCGATCCACGCTACGTCAAAGCTTACTACCGCCGAGCGCTCGCCAATCTCGCCATCGTGCAAGCAAAATCAGCCATCAAGGACTTCCGTGTCGTTATGAGGCTTCAGCCAGCCAATACGGCTGCAAAGATTCAGCTAGAGAGCACAGAGAAACTCATAAGGCGGCTGGAATTCGACAAGGCGATTGCGAGCAGAGAAGAACCCAGCGCAATCGAGAAATGTAGCGATCAGCTCAAGACGGGCATGGATATCGAAGCTAGTTACGCCGGTCCTCGACTACGAACAGACTCGTCTGGATCACCAGAGATTACCCAATCTTTCTTGGACCAAATGGTCACTTTCTTCAAGGATGGCAAGGTACTGCCGAGGAGGATAGCTTGGCAAATTGTATTGGGAGCCTACAACGCTCTCTCAAAGGAGCCCTCGCTCGTAGAGACGACGATCTCTCAGGGACAGCACATCGACGTTCTTGGCGATACCCATGGACAGTATTGGGATCTCTGCCACTGCCTCAAATTGACTGGCCAGCCTGGGTCTGATCACAAGATGGTCTTCAACGGCGATTTTGTAGATCGAGGCAGCTGGAGTACAGAGGTCGTCCTCACTTTGTTTGCGTACAAATGTAGGCAGCTTGCTAAGCTCCTCTCATATAGCGGCGCTGACATACTTGTAGGGCTATACCCAGAGCAAGTCTTTCTGAACCGTGGAAAGTATGTCCAGTAGCTCATGCAGTTGGATAAAGCTGATGACAAAGCAGTCACGAGACATCAGATATGAATAAAGTGTACGGCTTCGAGGGCGAGACGAAGAAAAAGTACAGCGAGATGACGTACAAGCTGTTCGAAGAAGTCTTTGCTGCCCGTCAGTCTCTACTCGGATCATACCTTTCCAGCCAGTGACTGACATTGCTGCTGTCGCAGTACCTATTGCTACTCTTGTAACGGCATCGTGCCCACCTGCTGGTCCAGTTGACGCACGATTGCCCTCTGTTCCCATCCTGCACAAAGGAACAAGACGTTATCTTATCTTGCATGGTACGCTCAATGTCCTCATGCTGCAGCATTGTTTGATGCGTCTTGCTACAGGCGGCTTATTCAGCAAGGACGAGACTTCGCTGGCAGATGTTCGCAAGATCCAGCGCTTGAAGTCGAAGCAACCTCAGTCGGGAACCATCATGTCCGAAGCGCTCTGGTCGGACCCGCAAGCATGGCCAGGTAGAGGCCCAAGCAAGCGTGGTATCGGACTCGATTTCGGTCCGGATGTCACCCAACGTTTCGCAAAGACAAATGAGCTGACTGGTTTGTGCTCGTTCGTTCGCTTTGCACGAGGCTGAACACCAGATGGATCAGGAATCATACGTTCGCATGAAGTGAGACAGGAGGGCTACAGCATAGAGCACGACGGTCTGTGCATGACCGTCTTCTCGGCACCGAATTACATCGATCAAGTCGGCAACAAGGCGGCTTTCATTCGCATTTCAGACGACGGCAAACTAGATTTCGAGACTTACGAAGCGCAACCTCATCCTGCTATACGACCGATGGCCTATGCTGCCAGTGGCTTTGCGCAAGGCATGATGTAAAATACGCAGAATCCTATTGCAAGCTTGCAGATCGAACGTGTTGAAGTCACGATCAGTCATTGATGACGCGATGTCGGGCGCGTAGAAACTTTGTTCGAAAGGGCGCCAGGACGGTCGCTTTGAGCAGACCTTGCGCAATGTCAGACGCCCCAGAAGATGTCCGAGCAGTCTCTGAGCTTGCAGAAGTATCAGCACCCACTTTGACCGGCACTACTCTCGCTCCTGAGACCTCTGCAACTTCAGCAAAGCCCAGACCGCGAGTGTACTTTGACATCACCATCAATGACGGTCCGGCAGGGCGCATCGCTTTCGAGCTCTTCTCAGATGTCGTGCCCAAGACAGCGGACAATTTCAGACAGCTCTGCACTGGTGAAAAGGGATTCGGCTTTGCTGACAGCAAGTTCCATCGAATTATCAAGGGCTTCATGATCCAGGTATGCACTCGAATTTGAAGCCATGCTAAGCACTCTTGATGGACATGTATTTACAGGGTGGCGACTTCACCCGCGGAGATGGTACGGGCGGTCGCTCGATCTATGGCGAGAAATTTGAGGACGTCAGTCGAGAGCATTTCAAGGTGGGCTATTACAGCGCTGATGCCTACATCGACTGTGCAGGAGAATTTCAAGTTGACGCACGACAAGCCCTTTCTGCTCAGTATGGCCAACGCCGGACCCGTATGTCCAGCCCTACTGCATCTTCGAACGGGCTGACATGGGCGCAGGACACGAATGGTAGTGCTTGCTCGACGCGACACGACGGTCACTGAGCGTTCATAAGCACAGGCTCCCAATTCTTCATTACTACCTCCAAGCCTGCTCATCTTGACGGCAAGCATGTCGTCTTTGGCAAAGTCATTGGCGGTCGTCAGGTCGTCCGTATGATCGAGGACAGCAAGACGAATGCCCAAGTCAGACGCTTTTCCGTTCCGAGCTAGTCGAGACTCATGAAGATGATCAGGATGCACCGAGCGAGACGATCGCGATTGCCAAGTGCGGTGAACTCCAGCCAGTAAGCCTGCGTAGCTCTGGTCAGGGACTAGCTACTTATCTGCTACGTGAGCAGGACGAGCCTCTCGGCACTGCAGACGCGAGTCAAGCTGACGACACGGGAGATCAATACGAGAACGTCGTCTCAGGTCAGGCCGCGCGCATGTAGCTGTCGAAGAAGAGCTGAATTGGCCTTCTCGTCAGACGATGAGCACGAGATCAACAAACCCGAGGTGACGCTCGAGATTGCGCAGAATCTGAAAGCGATAGGGACCAAGCTCTTCAAGACGGGCGACTTCTCCCGAGCGCAGGGAAAATGTCAGCCGAGAGTTTGTGTGTACACTGGCACAGCTGACATGTCATTGGTCTGTAGATGCGAAAGCAGTAACCTACCTTGACCATTTCGGAACTCAGCTCGCAGAGCCCAATGCAGAGCTTGCGAAGGGGCTGGCAGACACCAAAATCAGCTGTTTGCTCAATGTCGCCTTGATGGGCGTCAAATCTGGTGCGGCTGCCAACGTGAGGACGGGCATTGCGAGCTGCACAAAGGTGCTCAGCCTCCGAGCGGAAGAGGAAGATTCACCCAAGCCAGAAGATCTGCGTTGGTCCGAACACAAGCGATCGCAAAAAGTGGAGCAGGGTAGTCCCAAGGACGCTTCACGAGAGGCAACACCAGATGAGAAGACAAAGGCGCTGTATCGACGGGGCACCTTGCGCACGATCGTGGGGGACTTCAACGAAGCACTGGTAGATCTCAAGCAGGCAGCGTCAATGTCTGATGATCCAGCTATCGCTCGTCAATTAGAGGTACGTCCGGCCACCTCCCTTTTGAGCTTGGTCTCACGATCGTATGGCAGACGACGAAAGCAAAAGCAAACGCAGAAAAGCAAAAGCAGCGACAACGCATGGCCAAGATGTTCTCGTGAAATCGTGAAGATGCAACTTTGTGTTTCGATACATTGGCTGGGCTTCAGTGCAGCTGTCTGTCTATGTTGAGCTAGAGGGTGCGCCGGCAATGTCGATCTCGCTGACACCGTCTGCATTGATGTGATTGCCTCTGAGCGTGGCTGCATTGCTGGCGCTTTCGTTCTTGGCGCCCGAACTTGCCACACTGGAACCCTTTGGCGCAGAAGCGGCAGAGGACGACTTTGCAATGTCGCCTAGCGAGAGCGTATCTGCAGGGTTCTGTCGTGTCCTGCCACCGGACGGCTCGTTCAGCGGAGAGGACTGGGTGCAGACGAAGCGCTTACAATGCATCCGATTCACGCTCGATGAGCTCATCCTTCAACCCTCCTTCTTGTTCGTACGCCTCCCCCTCCTTGGGTGCATCCGATCCCAGTCCGGCTGCTTGGATCTCCTCTTGCGCATCTGCTATCCCAGCAGCCTCTTCATCGATCGCATGATCACCCTCGCCCCATGCTACCTCGCCCGCTTTGCCATCTTTGCGGTCCTGTCCGCCTGCTGTACGGCTGACATGATGATCTTTGGCTGCCGCGCGGGGGTTGCCGCTCTGTCGCTCTGTGTTGCCCGGGACTGTCATTGTCTCGACAGTCGATGACGGCGCTTGGCTTGGCTCGAACAATCGTCGACATGTCGTCACGCGACGGGTCAAAATCTTGTGATGGCCGCCAAGCGACGCCAGACTTTGCACAATGTCGACCTTTTCGACCTAGTACTGGCCGACGAAAGGTCTCAGGTGACGCCAGAAGCTGTCGAAGCATCCGCGGACGAACAAGCAAATGCAGTCGTCAAGCCTTTGCAGCTTGACCAAATTGCCAAATTCAACAAGAAGGTAGACTCGACGGGGATCATCTACCTGAGCAGGATACCACCGGGCATGGGAGTCAGTAAGGTCAAGCATCTCCTGTCACAGTACGGCGAGCTGGGCCGCATCTATCTCAAGAGAGACGACAAAGGTACGCAGAATTGCGCGACAGCTTTGCAATCACTGAAGCAGATCTCGGTCAGATCTCAAGGCTGTGCCAAAGCGCAAAGATGGCAAGAAGATCAAGGAGAAGCATACTGCTCACCGCTTCGTCGAAGGCTGGATCGAGTTCCAAGACAAGCGAATTGCACGAAGCGTGGCAGATCTGCTGAATGCCAAACCCATCGGTGCGCAGATTGACGCCGATGCAAAGCCTACTTGCTGATCATTGACGACGACAGGCGGCAAGAAAGCGAGTCCTTTCAAAGATGATATCTGGACCATGAAGTATCTCCCTCGCTTCAAGTGGGGAATGCTGTCCGAGCAGATTGGTCAGTACGGTCTTTCTGTGGCATAGCCGCGGCTGAGGACGATCCTCCGTGCCGCAAACAGCCTTGGAAGCGTCGATCCAGTCGAATCTGCTGCGCTCGCACTTGGCACAATCGAAACGAGATCAGTCATCATATCTGCAACAAGTCGATAAAGCGAAGCAGATCAAGAGGCGTCATGAGAAACACGAGCAGCCAGATCTTGGCGCTCCTTCTGCTCCTCCTGATGATTCAATAGACCCAGTAGATCAGCTGGCAAATCCACAGCCCAAGAAAGCCAGATTGTTCAAGCAGCGACCACTTTTGAGTGGGCGTACCGACTCCTCGGCTCAGGGCGAAGCGCTGGACAAAGTGCTCAAGAGTATCTTCTGAGCATCGTCGACTATGAAACGGCCGCTCGTAATGCAGTGGCCCTATCGCAATTCGCAGCAAACCGGCTGGAGAACGTTAGCTGCGCCCGCTCGTGGTGGGAAGTTGATCCCGTCAGACAAGGTTACATCGAAAATCTGCATGGACAATTCGGCCGCCATCCTTCCAGCTGGAGTGATCGGCCGCGATTTTCAGCTTTCGAGGAGGCGGCGGCGGCGGCTCAGGGCCAGAGCTTGACTTTTTACCCCTGAAATGCAGATTGTGTGAACCGTCATCAGGTTGTGAAGCAGCTTGAGCTATCCTGGTCGCAGTCAAGCGTGCGAGCGGCCATCGGGTCGAGCTCTACGCTAGACCGCAACTCCGTGCTGTCACAGCTTGAGCGCGCGTGCTAGCCCACGCTCCTCGTGCTTGCCGCCGATTAAGCTCTGCTGCAGCGTGCGGGTCTGCCGTCTGCGGGTCTCCACATTGACAGCTCGGCGCAAGCTTCCAGAGCGAGCATCATCAGTCGTGACGCTACTCCCCATAGCTGCTATCAAGCTCGGGCTCTATCTGACCGAGCCGACCGAACACCTGTGGCTGCCCGCAACGCAGGCCCGATAGGCGGCCTCTGGCAGGTTGCGCATCTGTTTGATCTGCTCATCAGGAGCTCGAGGTAAGCTAGCGACGCCCACGCCCGACGAGCGGGCAGAGCTCATCCCGGCCGCCTCAAGCTTAGATTAAAGATTGCGGCTACTACAAAGTCATCAACAAGGCCGACTCTCCTTCCTGCGATAGCGCCAGCCAGATGACAATGTCTACCTCACGATGACAGCTTAGACTCCTATACTGCGTAGAACGAGAACCAGCAAAACGCGGGGCAGCATAGCGACGATGGACTCCCAGCCTCACGGTGCCCACCAAGGGCAGTACCCGCACGCCGTGTCACACGATCTGAGCAGGAGCACACGCACTGCTCAGGGCCAGTCCGAACATGAGCACAATCGTCAGGCCATTCCGCAATCGCCTACCCGCCAGTCTGCGCGCATCCGCCAAGCCCAAGCGAGCAGTCATGCGGGAACTGCCGCGCATGCGCCCCAAGGTTCAAATCCGGGCAAGCTCGAGACGGATGATCATCAGCTCAGCCCTCATCTTGTCGATCTGTCCCTCGAGAGCGGTCCAGACACGCTAAGACAGTCAAAAGCGAGCGCGCCTTATCGCGACCCGCAAAATCGCTTCACCGCGCTAAGTCAGCCACACTCACTAACGTCTTCACATGCTTCGCTCTCGCCGGAAGCAGAGCTACAACACTTTAGTGCACTGGCAGAGGAACAGCACAGGATGCACTATGGCACGCCTTCGCATTTCAGTCAAGCATCCGGCCTGGTAGCCTCCCAGCCAATTATGAGTACCTCATCGCTTCAGTCAGGCGATGGTGCACCTTTGCATAGTCGCTTCGGTCAGCATAGAATGGAACATATTGCCGAACACGCCCAAGGTGAAGCCATCTGCGCACCCCCATGCTGCTCAGACTGACGCTGACGCGCAGAACATCATTCGCAAGCAACGAGCCGATATCCTACGAGCATGCCTATGCCCATCTACACACGTCACGACTCAACATCCACCATGGATTCTGGTCCCTCCTCACTCTCATCCGTCATGCCAAGCCATTCGAGCAGTGCCCTGACATCATGGTCGAGTAACGTCGCCACGGGTACCCCTACCCAACCGCTCCATTCTCCCTTCTCACAAGCCAGTCAGCAAAGCCGCGGGATGGCTTCGACACCTCTCGACAGCTTCATGCGCGGTCCAGCAGGCCCCAATGGTGACATCTATCATCGAACACGACCTTGCCGAGACGACATCTTACAATCCCCTCACGCAGCTATCGATACTCAGCTTCAACCTCATGAGAGGAACCATATCTATGCGTCGCCGCACCAGCATCAGCGCGCGATGACAGAATCTAGAGGCAGCACACCTCAGGCACATTTACGCACACACGAACGTCGGAAACCGTCGCAATTCCCAAAACGACCTGTCGAACGACCATCACACGAGACTGAGCTCGGCTCTGCGCCTGCTCCAGCTCTACAGCGCAGATTGCCGCCACGGCCGATCCGCAGCGAAGAAGATCTCACACATGCTTACATCGAATTTTGTTTGTATTGTAACCCCCACATACCCATCGATCCAGTCCCAGCAGGCGTCTACGATCTTCGCCGTTCGTTCAACGCCGTCCCAAAGAGTGGCGCCCGGCATTTCAAGACCTGGGATCTACTTGGCCTGCTTGAACGACTCGAAGGCGGTAGGTTTGCAGGCTTTCATATCTCGGACTCGACTGAAAATGTTGATGCAGGCGAGCTACGCACATGGACACATCTGTGCACTGAATTGGGCGTCGAGCGAACCAGCGAGCAGAGTCCTCAGAGGATCGGGCAATACAGCGTCAGACTAAAGGCAAGCTGCTTGCGCTGTCTGTGCTCATCCTATCTCATACGCTCCGATGGCAGAGATGGATCCGACAGCATCACATTGATGCATTCTCGGACTATCTGACAGGCAAGCCCAATGCTTACTATGAAGACGTACGATACCCGGGTCAGAATGGCTACGAGACTGGCTATGCATCGCCTGTGACGCCACATAGCGCGATGAGCTCGCCTACCGCTTCAACATTTCCAAGGTATTCACCCTCGGCTTCATCTGTTTCTCTCAGCCATGCGTTGAGCGGTAGCGGTGGGCATCACTCGAAAGGTTATCGCATCAAGCCGGTTGTCAAGACTGACGACACGGACATCGTGCTCAAATATCTCGAAGGCAAATTCGGCGCTAAAAACAGGCATGCAGCGCACGATAAAACGTTGTCATACGACAGCGCTATGTCGACGCCAGCTCCGCAAGACGGCTGGCCTGATAGCCAAGGCACCATCAAGCGCAGGCGCGAAGGCTCCCTCGAGCTCGGACATAGCCACAGCAACTCGATGACAGACATCATGACGGACTCGCTGACGTCGTCCGGGCCAGTCACATCCGAAGGTAGCCAGTCATTCACATTCTCCTCGGCACATGGTCTTGGGTTCCCTGCACAGCTATCGCCCGACACCACCTTCTCAGTCTCACGATCGTCTATGGGTGGCATGCCAAGTTCAACTGAGCCCTATGCAAACGCGTTCGCGCAACCAGCTCACGGCCGTTTTGCTCAAGATCAACCGTCTTACATCACTTCTCCGCTGGCGTACGATTTTGCTGAGGGTCATCTGCCAGAAGAAGATGCTCTGATACGCGCTAAGATGCTCACCGCTGGCATGTCCAAAACCGACGTTGCCCGATGTCTTCAGCAGCTCAGTCAACATGGCTTTCTTGCCTCGCAAATTGGCTGTCCTTCGTCGTACGCGCCAGCTTGTCAGGTCGAGGGCGATGTGCGCGTTGTGCGCATTGTGTCGGCAGCAACGGATATGATGGCTAGTGACAATCAACAAAGTCAACACGACACAGTTCCGGCTCAACAGCCGTGGACCGTCCAATACGTTGTACGCCGAGGCGGCTTTCGAGTCTCGGTCGACTATACCATGCAGATGCGAGATGTACATGAGACGGCCAGACCTCACGAGCAAGTGCATCGACTCGCCTCGGCCCTCAGAAGTATTCAGGAAGTACTCAACACGACAGGACTGGCTGCAACAGCGAGCTGATCTCTTGTATGATGGATGCATGTTCACTAGTAAAGACGACATTCTGTGCGACTGATATTACAATGTGGAATAGCGATCGGACCGTGTAAGGTTGTCGAAATATGATTGGCTGCTCGAGCCGCCAAAGTCATCCGGCGTTGCCAGACCGAACGACGGCGTGTACATGCGCGCCGGCGAGTCTAGCTTTCCAAACGGGAGCGATGTCCGTCTAGGAAAGAATGAGCCAGGCGAAGGCAGCGCTGCGTCACATGGCATGTAGGTATCTTCTGTGGAACCCAATGCCCACGGTAACGTAGCCGCAGGTGTGCCAGACGACCAGCTTGATCTTGCTACGCGGTGAGATGGCATGCCCGATAGCTCGAAAGGTCTAGCTGAATGGGACTTGAGTTCGGCCGCGAAACGATTGACATCGTCGTGCGCCCAAGTTCCTGCACTCGTGGGGGCGGTACTGTTGGCGCTCTGGAATCGATCAGACGAGTCTGAAGCGGGCCGTACGAGGCCAGGTCGCGTGAGCGAGGAGCTGATAGACGTCGCTATATGTTGAACGATGGGCTGATTGCCCTGAGATGATGCGATTTGGGCGAGGAAACGCTCAGAAATCGCGGCGAGAGCTGCGCTGAGGGGCCACAACTCAGCTTGTGCTTGCATCGCTGCAAACTTCTGTTGCACTCGCATGACGGCAGCCATGCAGACCTGTGTGCTCGCAGTATAAGCGCTTAGGGATCGTCCTGCCCAAGATGCCGCCAAAGATTCGTGCAGCATTATCTGCAGCGAGGATGAGACGATGCTATGATATGCCGTGATAGGTTGCACATTATCGTGCTCAGATTTGATTAGATTGGTGTCGAACCGTGTGAGATGAGCGATCGCGGCGTGCATATTGTTAGACCCTTGTCGAATAGCAAGGAGAGTGCCGTAAGCCGCCTGACAGACTGCCAATAACCTGGCAAAGTTGGCAGAATGCTCGTACGAATCGCCGCGATCTGCATACTGGACGGACATGCTTGTATCTGCAAGCTCTGCGTCGCTGTTTGCGCCAGGTAATCCGCAGTCAGTGAGGCTGCAGTCAAAAGCAGAAACATCGCCAGATTGAGACGCTAGCACAAGCTCGCAAAGTGCCAGAGACCACCATAACCTCTTGCGCATCTCGTCCACGAGCTGCGAGCTGGTCCATAGGGAGGCATTGCTGCAGAGGCGCACGATCAGATAAGGACTGATGATAGCTTGCGGTGTACGCACCAGCAATGTGCCTTGTATGAAACGGCGGTACGTACCGCCCAGGTAAGCATGTATTTCGCCGAAGGCGATTGAACGGCGATTGCGCTCATCAGCATGAGTGTGATGCTCGTCAGCCAATACAGATCAAAGGCTCCGCCTCCAAGAAAAAGCGTGTCTCGTGCAGCTTCCGAGTATTCGTGCGCATGCTGATGCCATTCTGGATGGTCTGGGTCATTGACTGATGCTAGGGATAGCATGCCGAAGACAGTGCCCCTGTAACCCGTATGCGTCCTTGCTAGATCTAGCTCGTAGTCTTTCCAGAAGCTAGGCCGGTGAACCAATGGCAGCTTTGTATTGACATGGGCAAAGTAGCTGAGCAGCATTGCGCGACACTGAGTATCTGGTGGTAGTGTATAGCCAGCCACGAGGCTGGCACTGGCCGCAACTTGTGGCACAGCAGTGACAACCGGCTTGGGCTGCATCTGGTATGACGGTGGCGCAGAGGCTGAAGCGATCCTCTCGGCCTGTGCGGCGATCGAGGGCAGAGTGAATGAGGGCGTGGGATCGGAATCGCTCGAAGAGGGCAGCGTCGGTCTCAGAGACGAGACTGGTGCCGGTGGTAGACGCGCGGGCAAGTCACGCTCGTCAAAGGCAAGTGACAAGTCTGAAGTCGCTTGCCAGCTGAACGCGCCACGCAGTGTATCCGATTCGATATAATCATTATCGCTGCCGTCTGCATCTGAGTCATATGTGGAGCTACTGCCAGAGCTGTGGGGTGACGAAGCTGATGCAGACCCTGATGGCTGTCGCACACTATCTTTTCCAGGATTACCTACCGCAGCCGCTCTGCGCGTACTCGTGGCCGTGCGTCGCTTCGAAGTCGATCCAAGTGCAGCAGCGTTGCTACTCGGTTTAGGCTTGTCGAGATTTGTGCAATGCACGCTGCGCGTCGCGCAAGCCGTACATGGTGCCAAGCGATCGCACTTGAGCTTCTTGACTCGACAGTGCTGTCTTGCAGGCATTCATAAAGGCTACGAAAAGCTGAAGAAATAGTGCGTACATTACACGAAAGCACCTTGCGATTGCGTTTCTTCTTCATTTTGACGGGCTGCCCGTCTTTTGCCAAGGGAGGGGCTGCAGCAGACGTGGACGCAGATGGTGCCATGACGCGAGTGCCAGAGGTGGCTTCGCTCGAAATGCAATGCTCAGTCACTTCCACGGTCTGACCCTCTCTTGCACGAATGGTCAAGACGGCTGAAATTGCTGGAAGAGCATGGGCAAAGATGTCTTATAACGGCCGTGTGGCAAAGGACCGAGGGCTCTGTCAGCAGATGCTTGTGCACTGGACTCGGTCGGAGCTAAGTGTGATCGCCGTCGCCACGAGATGTCCGATCTGCTGTCCGGCGGCCTCGGCCGGCATCACTGCGTCTTTGCTCGGCTGCTTGAAGCTGACGTTTGGCTCCAGTACTTAGCAGCAGTGACGCCGAGCGGACCGACGCCGAGATATGACGCGGCTGATGTAGTCCCATATGGTCCTGCGGACTGCACCAGTTGGCAAGAAAACTACGCGACCCTGGCGCCCTTGCCAGCTGTCCGGTACGACCGATCGGAATCACGTAAATTGGACGATGCCGGACTTCGGCATCGCGAGGATCTTTGTCGCCGATAATTTGTCAGCGAAAGTCAGTGCGCAAGAGTGTTGTACCGTGCAAATTCTTGAACTCTCAAGCCCAGCCACGCAAATCAAGCGCGGCCTGACTCATGTAGAACGACAGGTGGCACGATGTGAAAATGAGAGATGCATTGCGCTATGTTATGCCTCAGTGCCGCGGGTTTTCATGTCGTGGTGGGAGAAAGATGCTTGAGGAATATGACGACTCTGGCAGAGGCGTCGATGGTCCGGCGGCAAAGAAGCTGCCAGGAGAGCCCATAGAGCCGATGTCAACCGGCTGATATAGAGCAGGGTTGGCGAGCACAGTCTCGCCGCTGTCAGACAGGTCCTCGTCATCGTCGTCCGTACTGCCCGATGCCTGACTTTGCTGCCGCGTCCCTGAGCCAGACGCAAGCGCGCTCTGCGAGGGACGAGCTTCGACAGCAGTGACACCGTTCTGATCAGCAATGGCAACGAAGCAGCCCAGCAACGGCCAGTGCTCGTTGCGCTCGACCAGAACATCGACATTGTGGCGGATCTGTCTTGCAGCGGATGTGACGATTTGTCGACTTATACCTGTCGAGTCTGCGCCAGTATTGGCCGTACATGCCATCAAGGAGCGATGTACGATGATTCGCAAGACTGCTCGGAAGATTGCGGTATATCGCCTGTCGGAGTCGTCATCCGAAGCGGCTCCAGCGAGGCCCGCCTCGTCGGCGTCCATATTTGCCACCGAATGTTGAGCAAGTAGCAAATTGTTGGCAGACACGCCAAGCCTGACAGCTGCCAGAGCATCGCCAGCAATGACGGTTCTCCTCAGGAATTCGTTGAAGCGTAGCATGGAGAGACCGCTCGAAGCAGCGTCGACAATGGCAGAGGCTGCTTGCTGGTCTTGGCCCAAGTCGAGCGAGACATCGTCGATAGGAAGCGGCAGCTCAAAGGTTGCCATGCGCGGATTGACGAGCGCAATTGCTTGCAGCGGCGAAGCAAGGAGCAAGTCAGCCATCGCTAGTGACCACCATATCCTCTTTCTCAGCTCATGCTCTCGCAATGTGCCGGTCCATCTTGGCTCGTCACTGTCAGCAGCGTCAGTACAATTCGAAGGATCAGGTTTACCGAGCTTACTCTCGATGTATACCGTTCTGTATGGCTGCCTTGCTTGTGTACGCCAGCAAGTAGCTAGCGCCCGGTGATCGAGTCGAGATGGCATAGAACAACATCAGCGTCGAGGCTGTCAGCCATCCAAGATCGAATGCATCTTGTCTGTTGAAGAGGAGCTCTCGAGCGGCTTCCGAGCATTTTGCTGCTGTCGATGCTGTTTGATGGTTGGACAAGCCGCCCAAAGCGAGCATACTGAGCGAAAGCGCTTTGAATGATTGACGGTGGAAATATGGATCGGATGAGGCGTCTCGCTGGTATTGCGGGACGTGTATGAGTGGCAAGACTGTGTTGACATTGGCGAAATAGCTGTCTAGCATGCTACTCCGCGCTTGCCCTTCTGGCAGACCATCTTGCTCGAACGCTTCTGGTGAGGACCAGGGCGCGTTGAGGAGCGGGGGCGCCGACATGCTGCCACGTGAGCTGCTGATGGGCAGGGTCGTCGTGAGCAGAGCAGGCTGTGATCTGCCGGCTCGCTGGAGCTCTGGTCTTTGTGAGTGGTCTCTGGGACGGAGCACACTCGTGCTCGCCTCGGACCCAAACTGGTATCGGGTTGAATGACTTGTCGTCGACTGTCGTAGACCAGGGGCAGCAGTGCGAGCTCGCCCCTCTGCCTCTAGGCTCGGACAGGTGACTCTTCGCTGTACGCAAGTGCCACAGGGTACCTGTCTGTCACAGCGCAGCTTTCTAATGCGGCAGTTCTGATATATTCGAGTCAGCCAGACAGCCCTCGGTCTAGCAGGGAGCTCGCTTACTGCACAAGAGAGCACTTGGCGATTGCGTTTCCTTCTCGTCGATGGCTCTGCTGACTCATGCTCGGCCGGCACTTGATGACGTGAGCTGGATGCTTGCATCTCGTCGGATCAGAGAGCTTTGCTTGTCGTTGGTGGTCGACCTTGTGCAGAGTGAACGCAAAACCATCTTGCTCGATAGCGTCTACTTGTAGAGACTTGATGGCGTGTCTGACTTGCGCTCGGGTTGCTGAGCATGCCTGAGCGGACTTGTGCCACTCTAACATGGTGCGTAAGCTCTCGCGGTCCGTATCGGTGGAGCTTACACTCGTCCGCGGGGCACTTTTCAGAGACATCACCATGATTAGTAATCACGCTGTCGAGGCAAGAGGAGGCCAGGAGGCGTCACCGATCCGGAATGCCTGGCAGAAAGCTGGCCTGGCCGAAACGGACGCCTCACATATCTCACGCATTCTACCCGTTGCCCACGTCATGCGTGTCTATCGCAACCAGTCGACGATAAACACAATCCTTCCAAAAGGGCCAGGCCTGGCGCTGAACTCAAATGCATTCACACTGCCAGTGTTGCCTGTGTCAGCTTGCCGTAATGAGATGGGGGCGTGCAAGCAAGCAACGGACAGGCGCAACGCAACCGAAACAGGAGTTGATGTCCCCTTGCTGCTACTCCAGCGGTCTCTATCACCCCTCATGAGACCCTCTCTGCATTTGACGTTGCCAACGCAAGCTCAAGACCACTACCAGCCATGAAGTTGTTGATCGTCTTCCTTTCGGCCGCTCTCGCGGTCGTTGCGCTGCCACAAGGAGAGCGCTCGTCCAGTGCCGTCTCGTTTGGCAAGCGCGCCGATGGCACGACGCCTCCCAGTGATTCGCCCGGCCCCGGCGACGGCTCTGGCAACGATGGCAATGGCGACTATAACGGCGGCGATGGAGGTGGTGATGGCGGAGGCGATGGCGGCGGCGATGGCGGCAGTGATGGAGGCTCAGGCGGTGGAGGCTCAGTTCCACAATTCCCTGTTGAGATTCCAACTTTCATGTACTATTCGATCGTCACCCAGTTCGTGGCCTTGTGCGACATTGGCACAGTGACCCAATTCACGCCAATCCATATCAACCTGACAGCACCTGGCGCTCGTACTTGGCCTGCTCTTATTAGCCGAGCAAGACTTATTTGGTCTTTCGTCGCACACAGAGGATCAGCCAACGCCTATCTTTATCAACCCGGTCAGCGCACTTTCTGACTATGGTTGGGATTTCTACGAGGCTCAGGGTCAGTCGTGCTTGCATGATCGTTCGCGCGATGTTTAACAAACGTGACGCGCCACAGAGAACTTCAATAAGGCAAGCTAGCATCAATCGGCTGATCATCAAGGCCAGGCTGATCAAACCGATCCCGCAGATCTGGATGTATGTCACGCTCAAGGCAGGCGCTTCCAATCAGCTCTCCTCAAGCGGATGGACGAACATTGGCCTTGACTGCTGCTCGACCTATACCACGTTCACCTGTAAGTCACTCTGTGGTTCGCGAGGTTGCTGCGTTGACATCAATGTGTTGCAGTCTGGCTGGTAAGCGTAATCTTTCTCTTCGGCCGATCCGAGATGACTGACAGGCTCATACGGCTCTATAGCATCTCGAAGACCGTGAGTGGCGTTCTTCCAGCACTGTGCCACGCTGAATACGGGCAAGTCAGTCATCATCGAAGAAGACACCTCGCAGGCAATCACGTGGCGTTCGTGCGGCGATGGTGCGGCTTTCAACAAGGTCCAACCTGGTTGCGTGCCACCGCCAAAGCTCGATAGTCAGTCTCGTCGTCCTCTCGTGCGCTTACTAATTCAACTTTGGTCGCGAATACAGTGTACAATTACTGCGAGCAGCAAGCTCCCGCTATCCTTCGCTACAAAAACGCGAGTCCTCCACCACCGACCTGAGACATCTCGAGTGTACGAACGTCTGCAGATCTTTTTGCCTGAGCGTGCAGCGTATCCGTGTGCGACGTAGCCTGTCGTGCCTCGTGCCACGCTGTCGCTCGTTGATTTTAACGTTGATTTGACGCGATATCACTCTGCACTTTTGTGCTCCGAGATGTCAACTCCGATGAGGCTGCTGAGGCCGTCTCTTGCCAAGCTAGCGCCATGCTCATGTCAGACTGTACTCCACCGACGGGCATTTTCCTCGAGTAGGATTTCACGGCGTCCGGCCGATCCTTCGGACGATGCCGGCGGTCGAGCAGAGCGAATTCGGGATCGTGCTGCTGTCGGCGTGCGTGCTCGTCTATCAGACTGCATACACAAGCTCAGAACGAGCTTCAGCCATTCACCTTGCGAGCAGGAGCAGTCTTTGCCCTGACTGGCGCAGGCTTGTACCTCTACTTTCAGAATGAAAAGTCCAAGCTTCAGGAGCGCAAGAGTACGACTGGCTGCGCTCTGTTGAGGACACTGAGCTGATGCCAAAGTGCAGAGCAAGAGATGGCAAACCAGAAGATAGGCAGGCCAAAGATCGGAGGCTCATTCAAGCTGCAGACTACAGACGGCAAGGACTTTACGCAGGACGATATACTCGGCGGCTTCCATCTGATCTATGTACCGCTGTCCACAATAGCAGCCTCATACATCGGCTGATCATCTCATACAGTTTGGCTTCACAAATTGCCCGGATATCTGCCCTGAAGAGCTTGACAAGATGGGCAAAGTTGTCGATGAGATCGGTACGCACAGCGCGCGCGCCAGCACTCAAACTACAGGAACGCTGACGTTGCTCACAAACAGAGCGCATACACGGCTCCGGGACAATACGACCTATCTTTGTCACTTGCGATCCTGCTCGAGATTCGCGCGAAGCAGTTGGCGAATATCTCAAGGGTGTGTAGCGCGCAAGTATGTCTAGGCCGTAACGAGCTGAAATGAAATGACAGATTTTCATCCTAGGATGGTAGGTCTGACAGGCTCTTACGACGATATCAAGAGAGCATGCAAGGTCTATCGTGTCTACTTCTCGACACCGCCAAATGCCAAATCGACTGATGACTACCTCGTCGATCATTCGATTTTCTTCTATCTTATGGATCCCGAGGGCGCTTTCGTCGATGCTTTCGGGCGATCGTTCACCAAAGAAGACGTGCAGACCAAGACAGATGGTTACATACGCGAGTACAAAGGTGGCAAAAGATGGAAAGAGTGAAGCGCGTCCTCGCTCATGTGTCTCATATGTTGATGCAATATCGAGTGCACAAGACTACATACATGTTGCGTGCGTGCTAGTGGTACGTGTCTAGACGTAATTAAGATCTATATTTGCCTCAAGCCGCTATGCTCTGCCGCCCGCGTATCTTGACATCTTCCGGATGCGTTCGCCGTAGATGAAGAGCAAGGGAGCGGCAGGAATGCCAAGTGCGATTGCTATGCCTGCTAAGAGACTGTTGCCTCCGCCCAGGCCGAGGTTGCCATACAGCTTCGGTGCGGCAAGCGGCAAAGCGAAGCCAGCGATGGAGCGCATGAACGCAACGGCTGCGAGCGCCGATGCAGCATGTATGCCGAAAGTATCGAGTATGTACAACTGTATGCTTTGAAAGGATCCGATCATACCGCAGCCGACGAGAGCGATGCCGATGTCTGGTACTAGCCAAAAGACTCGGTACTGGGCTGTCCAGCCGTAGATGAGCAGACCGGCCGGCAGAAATATACTCGACGGTATCAGGAAGGGCAATCTGAATTCGGGTCTGCCCACGCCGCCATTGCGCTTAGTTAACCGTTTGTACGCTGGATCGATAAGGCGGGCTTGGATTTGTGACCAGCCGGTTAGGCCAACCCCGAGGGCAATGTAATTCAGGCCAGCGATGCCAGGAGAGAACCCGTACTTGTCAGTGAAGTTTGAGTAAATTGTCGTGAGGATGAGATAGATTGTGCCATAGATGAGAGCCATGTAGCTGCCCAGCGTCACGATGATCAATTCGGTGAAAATGAAAAGGAAGGGTCTCGTCAAGGCGTTCTTGATGATTGTCGCATGCGAACGACCTTGCTTGTCGAACACGGTAACAATGTCGGCGTTGCCGGTCTCCTTTCGCATCTTGGCTGCTCGCCAGCCGAGCAAGACGGGCGGATAAGATTCTCGCAGGAACAAGAGGCCTGCGCCTTGGACGATAATGTCGAGCACGGCTGTCGATATGAAGACCCATTTGTAAGAGCTCTTCTCTTGCACCCAGCTCCCTGCGATCGGGCCTATCACAGGACCGAGCAAAGGTGCCAGCGAGTATACTGCGACAGATCAAGCAAGTCAATCACCCATATCATCGGAGTCAGTTGAAGCTCGCCTGCTACGGCTTGTCCTCTCTTCGCTGGCGGCCAGACATCGCCTAGAACACCTCCGCCGATGGCTAGTGGAGCAGATCCGCCTAAGCCTGCCAGAAAGCGAAAGATGATAAAAGTCGCCGTGTTTGGCGCGCCCCAGCATGCCAGGTTGAATACAAAGAAGAATGCGTTCGCCAGCTGCAGCACAATCACTCTGCCGAAAATCTCCGACAGCGGCGCAGCGATCAACGGTCCGAACGCATAGCCCAGGATGAAAATAGACGTGAGCATTTGCTCCACTACGCTCGATGTGATACCGAATTTTGCGACGAGTTGAGGTGTTGTGGGAGCCATCATGGATGAACTCAGTGGCGAAGTAAAGGTGAACGCAGACACGATGACAGTCGCCCATACTTTCTTGCTGTGACACCATCCCCTCGGATTACCCGGATCATTCTCGCCATCGATCCAGTCTACGACGACATGACCCTCCTTTCCCGCTTCTAGATAATTGTCTTTGCTCGTCAAACCGTCAGACCTCTCTTCTGAAGACTGGCGCAGGTCGTTTCGAGGCTTCTCTGCGTTTGCCGGTGGAGAGGAAGTAGCGGCAGTGCTAGTCGTATCTGTCCGTGGTATCGCATCTGACTGTGTCATCTCCTCTCGCGAGGCGCGCTTATCATGCTCGATGGCAGTGTCGACACTACTTAGCGATGTCTTACGACTCGCCATAGCCATGCACCAAGATCGCAGCAATGATGTGAGTTGAAGAGTTGCAAAGTGGCGAGACCTTACGCCGTGCCCTACGGCCGACTCGGGCGGCGCTGAAAACGCGCCTGGGGCACTTGCTCTGAGCGCCGAAAATCGTATGACGTGTGCTCACGCGCTCACGTACTGAGTACTCAATAGACAATTACCCTTTGTTCGCATGAGCTACCCTGGACCGGGCCCTTTGGGCGCTACCGATCCTCTACGGTGGCGCCTGAACGCGAGCGACGAAGGACGGCATAATTGGTTCTATCTAAGAAGCGATAAAGATACCTTGTTCGTCGAGCACGCTCTCAGTCATTCTGATCTCATACGCCGAGCAGAGGCGGGGGACGAAACGAGCTCGAGACGCCAGCAACGGACCGTCCACAGTCTTGCGAAGACAAGTTCTGGCTCGGGCTGGCGACGGTAAGCCAGGCATGCCGTGCTTCTGCCTCGTCTTGATTGTCATCATTGCACAGGACTTGCCGACGCTTGAGAGCGCAGATGGCAATCCATACAAAGCGGCACAGAACGGCTTTGAATTCTACAAGCATCTTCAGTCGCCAGATGGCCATTGGGCCGGCGAGTACGGCGGGCCTCACTTTCTCATCCCAGGCATGCTCGCTGCACCACATACCCCCGCAAGGCTGATGCTCTCGGGACTTACAGGACTTGTCATTGCTTGCTATGTGACTCGTACAGAGCTACCCGAAGAATGGCGCATTGAAATCGCACGCTATTTGGCCAACCTTCAACGCGACAACGGTCCAGGCGATCAGGGATGGGGCATGTTAGTCTGTCTGTTCGCTGGAGTATGCCGATGCTCATGTTCATGCCGTAGTCACATTGAGGCTGTCTCATCTGTATTCGGTAGCGTGATGAACTATGTCGCCTTGCGTCTACTTGGCGTCGATGCAGAAGAGCCAATGATGCAGCGCGCTCGCGCAACCTTTCTGCATCACGGTACATTCTCTGCAAGAATTGCCACCAATGCTGACTTGTAAGCAGGCGGAGCGAGCTTTATTCCTTCTTGGGGCAAATTTTGGCTATCTGTGCTCAATGTTCATGAATGGCAAGGCTTCAATCCCACGCCGCCTGAGTTGTGGTATGTCTCGAAACGCTCGCAGTCATGCTAAGCATCAGACTAATCTGTGCAGGCTTTTGCCAACGTGGCTGCCCATGCATCCATCGAAATGGTGGGTGCACACGCGCGCAGTCTACATACCGTTCGGCTATCTGTCCGGCAAGCAATTCAAGGCACCTCTTGACGCACTGACGAAGGCAATACGGCAAGAGATCTACGCAGAGCCATACAGCATGATCGACTGGAATAAAGCGCGCAATCAAGTCGCGCAGGTCGACATGTACTGCCCGCATTCAACTTGGCTCGATTATGGCTTCGACGCGTTGGTCCAATACGAGAAGCACAGGCCAGATTGGTTACGGCAACGCGGTATCGATTACGTTTACAAACTCATCGTGATGGAGGATGAGAATACAGGTTACCAGACAATCGGACCAGGCACTTCAGCATTCAATGCGTCGCACGCTTCCACTAACACAGCGGTACGCAGTGAGCAAAGCAATGAACATGATATGTAGATGGGACAGAGAGGGACCAGACTCGGAAGCTTTCAGACTCCATAAAGAGAAGATCAGAGACTTCTTCTGGATTAGCAGGGATGGTATGATGATGACGGGAACAAACGGCAGTCAGCTCTGGGACGCTGGTTTCATCGGGCAAGCGATAGCAGATACCGGCCTTGCAGACGAGGAAGAGAATCACGCTTCTGCATTAAAGCTGCTTGACTGGCTCGATAGGGCGCAGATCCGGACCAATCCTCGACATTACGAACAAGCATATAGACACACAACGCAAGGCGCGTGGCCCTTCAGCACTAAAGAGCAAGGCTACACCGTCAGCGACTGTACGGCTGAGGGCCTCAAAGCGGTCATCTATCTTTCGAAACTCAAATACGCCCCGAAGCCTGTATCTTACAAGCGATTGTGCGATGCGGTCGACGTCTTGCTATCTTTACAAAACTCAGACGGTGGCTTCGGATCGTACGAGCTCGTGCGAGGCCCAAAGTGGCTCGAGCTGGCCAATTGCGCCGAGGTCTTTGGTGAGACAAGTTTTCCTTTGCGCAATCCCGCTGATCATGCGCAGGCAACATCATGGTCGAATACACTTGTGAGCTTGCCATTTGCGGTTGAGAGGGCCGAACTGACACAGAATAGACCCCGAATGCACAACGGCCTGTCTGACGGCGCTCACCCTGTTCAGCAACGAATTTCCAGGCTATCGCTCTAGCACAATCGAGTTCGCTCTTTCGTCCTGCGTATCTAACGCGCTGATAGCGACGGCAGACGCGTGTCTCGACGAGCGATCGAATACATTCACGGGACGCAACGGCCAGACGGCTCGTGGTTCGGTTCTTGGGCGATCTGCTTTACTTACGCAACCTATTTCGCCGTCGAGAGCCTGGCGGTCAATGGGGAGACATACAAATCATCTGAACGTGTCAAGCGAGCTTGCGACTTTATCCTTTCCAAGCAGAAAGAGGACGGCGGATGGGGCGAAAGCTACAAGGCAAGCACATTTGCTATTTAGGCTGCGCATCTACTCACATCATAGTCTCTAGTCCTGCGAGACGGGCGAGTACGTCCAGCACGAGCGATCTCAGGTCGTCAACACTTCTTGGGCTGTTCTTACGCTGCTGACCGCAAAGTGTCCCGACAAGGCAGCCGTCAAGCGAGGTGTCGGTCTCATTATGGCGCGTCAAATGCCAGATGGTTCGTGGGCTCAAGAAGCGATAGAGGGCATCTTCAACAAGGTGTGTAGGCATACATTTCACGAATCTCCTGCTCACTCGTGATCCTTGGTGGAAGAATTGCGCGATTAGCTACCCAAACTACAAGTTCAGCTGGTCAGTCGGACAGATTTCCATCAGCATGATGCTGACAATGTCGCAGGACGATATGGGCGCTTGGCAGAGCTTGGAAGGACATCTATGCGAAAGAACAAGTGTATCATTGAGTGTTGTACGTTTGTTGACCTGTGACGTGGAGGCGGCACGCACGAACGAGCGCGTCGCGCAAGATTGCCACAGGCAGCGCACGAACCATCCACATTTAAGCATGGCAGACTTTGCTACACGCCCTATGGGCAAGAGCGTCTTTCTATTTGACGTAGATGGCACGTTGTCTAAGCCTCGGCTGGTACGTATGCCGCCCACGGGTGGCGAAAACGCTGATCGCCAGTAGTGCAGACCGCCACGCCAGAGATGCTACAGCTGCTCCGAGATGTACGCAAGAAGACAGTCATCGGCTTCGTCGGTGGATCGGATCTCGGCAAAATCACTGAACAGCTCACTGTGGGCAACACGAACAGTCCGTCTGCCGTTTGGAGAAGTCGACGAACGCGCTGACCTGGCGTGCAGTCCTGGAAGAGTTCGACTTTTGCTTTGCAGAGAATGGGTTGACGGCGTTCAAGATGGGCCAGGTGCTCGCTTCGCAGTCGTTCATCAAGCACGTGGGCGAGGAAAAGTACAAGCAACTCGTCAATTTCATCCTGCACTATATTGCAGACTTGGACATTCCCATCAAGAGGCAAGCGACGATCTACCAAGCGTATGTGTAACTGCCTACTGATGTTTGATGGCAGAGGAACCTTTGTCGAGTTCAGGAACGGCATGATCAACGTCTCGCCGATTGGCCGTAACGCAAAGTCAGTCGTTCGGAACGTAGTGACTGCTACTTGTGCTCACCGGACTACGCATGACGACAGTCTAGAAGAGCGACTGGCGTTCAATGCGTATGACAATCAGCATCAAGTTCGCGCGGCGTTTATCAAAGTCTTGCAAGAGAAGTTCTCTGACCTCTCGCTCACTTTTGCAATCGGCGGTCAGCTTAGCTTCGACATCTTCCCTACCGGATGGGACAAGACGTACGCACTCCGTCACATCGAGCAAGAAGGCTTCACGGAGATTCACTTCTTCGGTGACAAGACACACAAGGGAGGAAACGATTATGAGATTTATGAGGATCCGCGCACGATCGGTCACAGGGTCACCTGCCCTGAGGACACAATGAAGCTCTTGCAAGAGCTCGTCATCAGCAAAGCATAGAAATCACGCTGCCGCCCCTTCAGCGTCTGTATGTGTGATGGCACAGAACACGGTCAATGCATCCGAGCTGCAAATACATCTGGTGCGGCAAACGGGAGACGTCTACTGTGCGCCCGCGTGCATTTGCAGGATCGTCGAATCTCCTGGGTCACTGTGAAGCGGCGGGCGAAGTGATCAGTGCGAGCAGGCCGAGTTTGAGGAAAGACGTACGTGACTGTTAGGACGCCTACTCGGAAGACCTTGCCGGCGGCTGTGCCCATGGTGACGTTGTTGCCGGCATAGAGATGCACGGGTGTCTTTGAGAGCATCGCATAGTACTCGAGCTCTGATCGTCGCAGCGGTGGGCAATTGCCTGCAATGAGCACTAACTTGGCTGTCGTCCCACCATGCAGGTCAGCACTTCCTCAGTGCATTGCTTGAGTGCCGACTGACCCTTGCCTGAGCGCATGAGCCTCAGTGTGCTCTTGTAGCCGAGCGCATATTTGCCAGACTTGATCGTCAACGCTAGTCGAGCGTTGATGTTCCTGCAAGAGACGAGCCACGTCCTCTGTCAATCTCCCTGGCCTGCATCGTCTGCTTCATCCACGCACTCGGCATTCTTCTTGGTCTTCTTGTTCACTGCTGGCGCCATTGCTTCGGTCTGATGGCAGGCTTGCTGTCCTTGTCGCTTCGGTGGCAGAGAGCTCGAAATAAAAATTCTACTTGAGGGCGATCTCTCGACGAAATCTTTGACGCGGCCTGTTACGAAATTATTGCTACAGGCCCTTGGTGTTCCGCCAGGATGTACAACATACCCACTGGGCCGAGCTACTCCACGCCCAACTCGTACGGCAAGCGCTACAGAGGTACGCACTATTGACAGTTTGCCGTTCCTCCTCCGCTGACAGCCCAAACATGCGTAGACGACGAAGATGACAGCTACGACGGCAGCGGGAGAAGCGGCTACAGACGACGTCGAGATGATTATGAGAACTCTCCATCAGGCTATCGAGGTGGACGGGCCGGAAGGAGGGGCGGCAGGGGAGGCTTCCATCGCGACCGCCAGTCTCAGAATGCTGCGCCTGTCCAGACCTCGCTTGATCGCTTCAAGGAGGCTTTCTTTGCTTGGGCAGCAGATATACCCCATGAGGAGGACACGAACACGATCTACCGCGTCGATTTGGCTGGCCTGAAAGCGATGAGGAGCTTCATAGAAAGAGAATGGACTCCATCCCGCCCAGACATCCTCCTTGCCTTTCGACATGCGTACGTCGATCATGAACATCAGACCCGGTCTCTGATGTCTTTGATTGCATCTCACAGCATCACCGAGCAGCCACACAAGGCGCCTCACTTTGCAGCATTGCTCGCCATGCTCACCATTGACCCTCTCCTCGACATCAAGCCTCTCGTCTCCGTCAGCGCGGGTGATACCGTCCAGATCCTCAATGCCACGCAAAAAGATCTCCTAGAACCAGCGCGCGTCATGGTCGGCCTGACTATCGTCGAAGATCTCGGAAAGTTTCTGCAAGATTCCATCGACGCGCTTGACTTTCGCAGCGCTCGCCTAGTGGTCAGCATCTCCCTCAAACGTGCCATATGGCCAGCTTAGGGTGTACAAGGGTAGATTCAGTTCCTTGCTATCCTCTCAAAGCTGCCCCGGCCACTTGTGACCGCCGATAGCTTCCTGTCCACCCTTAACAGCCTAGCAGCGATCGTGAGCACGCCAGGCCTCGGCATTCGTCAAGGCGATCAATGCGTGCGCTTGCTCGTAGCTGGACTCATACACTCGGAAGGTGGGGCTTCGAACGAAGCCAAACGCAGTGAAATTGTTGCTACTCTCCGCCACTACGTCAGCAAGCGAAAGGTCGATCGCACACTCCTCTCAGCCTCGCCTGGTGCAACGCAGCAATTGCGTGATGTTCGTCAATCGTGCACGTCAGCTGAACGAGCTGACGATCAACTATGGTCCGTAGCCTATTGTTGACGCCGTGGAGGCACTGCAAGACAAGACACCCATCACTTGTCTGGCCGAATCCAGCGTACTTTCATCGATGGAAGCTGGCCAGCCTTTCAAGCCCATCGAGCTGCAAGCGGTCACGCTGCCCTCTGGGCCGCATGACTTTGGCTTTGTCGCGTTCCAGCATACGCTCTTCGACGACGAGGCAAGTCCACGAAGCGTCGTGATGCGACAGCTGCTGAAGTCAACCACATACAGAGTGTCCCGAGCCGAACGAGCAAAGCCGGCTTCATCCTGCGCAATTTGGTCAGCGATCTCATCGCCATCTTTGACCCGAATCGCAAAATTGGCGCTCGCACGCTTCTCGATCTGCGTCAGTGGCTACCAGACGGCGTGTTCAAGCCAGCCTCCGGCCCCAGCGATACCGACTCTGTGCTCTCGCTCGAGAACCTCATCGTGGAGGTACGCGCAGGCTTCCTTCGAAGCAATAGTGTCTGATCAAGATGTCGTGCACAGTCGGTCCTTGCGCAGCTGTTCGCCCTGCCTGCACCAGAACACACAGAGACCTACTTTGGCTCGCTGCTCGTAGAAATGTGCATCCTAGCGCCTGCGCTCGTTGCTCCGCCTATCGGTAAATGCGTGCGGAAGCTCTTCAATTCTCTAGGCGCACAGGACGCCTCGTCCGCCCTTTCGCTAGATGCAGAGGGCGTCCGTCGCTTCGCGTTGTGGTTCTCGCAGCATGTCAGCAATTTCAACTTTCAGTGGAAATGGGCAGATTGGCAAAATGACTTGCTGCTGCCCGACTCTCATCCCAAGAGAGTGCTCATCGATCAGCTCATCTCGCTCGAAGTGCGGTTGAGCTACTTTGATCGCATCAAGCTCAGCCTGCCGGAAGCCTATCACGCCGTTGGTGTCATGGCAGAAGGCGCTCCCGGCTCCAACTTCGAGTACGAGCAGCCAGGTGAGTACCCGCGCTGGTGTTGCACACCCAGCTCATAACTGAAGCAGACCATCCTAATCATGTCTTTGCGGACATCGTCGTGGGTGACATGCGCAATAGGGCGCCGCCGCACGAGATTCTGGAGAAGCTCAGCCGACTGCAAGAAGTCCTCATTGCCGAGCAAGGCCAGGAAGAGCTCGAGGCAGAATTACGAAAGTGTGATCTCGCTGTCGAATGTCTACTTGAGATTGGCTCTCGCTCATTCTCGCACACGCTCAATATCGTCGAACGCTACCTCGAACTTCTCAGACAGCTATCGCATTCGCCACAGACGCGCATGGCCATGCTGAGAACGATTGCGAAGTTCTGGCGAAGACATCCTCACTACATCTTCATCGTCATGGACAAATTTCTGCAGTATCGCATCGTCACACCTGCCGATATCGTTGCCTGGGTTTTCGAGCGCGACGGTGCGCCTGATCCGACTTGGCATCACATCGTCGTCTGGGACATCTTGCGCGCTACGATTGAGAAAGTACGAGCTCGTGTCATCGCGGCAGAGAAGCGTGTCAAAGAGCTCAAGAGCATCAGCAACTCCATGGAGGTTGATGGTCCCCATGCAGGTCCGTGTCTGCAACGGCCCGTCAGACTGTGATCTGACGAGGTCTCGCAGCGGTCGAAGAGCTGCAGCAGGCAGAGAAGAACCTGAAGCTATTCGAAGAAAACGAGGCTCAAGTCATGCGCGACTGCGCAACTCGCTTCGCAAAAGCCACAGACAACGTCACACTTGACGAGTGGCAGAGCTGGTGGCTCGACGGTTGGTACCGCCAGTTCGCTCGGCAGGTGAGCTCTATGCAAGGTGTCAGATCTGCGGAGCTGAAGTGTCCAACAGTTCTCGAAAGAGATCACACATGCTGTCGACAGCACCGACAAGTATATTGTTGCTGCAAAGCAGTGGGCACATATGAGTGCATGAGCCTGTAGTGCATGCACATCAGTCGGCAAGCGTGATATCTGATCGCGTGACGGTCGGGACGCGACTTTTGGGACTTTCATACAAAAGACACGCGCCATGGTCTGCAAAGCTTTGTGTGGGCGCCAACGATGCGGTGACGGCATGACGATCCGCATTCAGGATAGTTAGGATCATGTTGACTCGCACGAGGCTCGTGCTGGTACTGCTCGTCTGTCTGTCGGTATCTGCCCTGGCGGGTTTGGGCGGTAGACTGTCCTGGACGCACAGAGCTCTGGCGATCCAGCAGCCGTCACAGCATCAGCAGGGACTCAAACGTAGCTCACTCGATGATTCTGTTGCTCTGACTTGGTACAACAAGATATCAAAGTTGCGAGGGCAGCTACAAGACGAGGTTGCCCACTTCGTCTCGCACGGTTCAGCAGCCGTGCGATCGGCCTGGACGGGCGATGGCAAGCTGTCACAGCTACGACTGGATCTGCCAGGACCGGATCCGGTTGCTTTCCCCGTCATATCGACTCATGATGCCAACATATCCGAGTTTGAAGCTTGGAAAGTCATACCGCATGCCTCCCTCGAGGAAGCGCTCAGCGACCCGACGATGACGTATGCCGATGAGGCCGATGCACTGTGTGCTGCTTCGGGTCTCTTTGCATTCAGACCCTCCAGACAGTCTCGTCGTTTCAAGCTCTTGCCTCAGTACATCGATGCTTTCCTCATTTTGCCATCGCGTGAGGGCGCGCAGCGACAGCGAGCGTCTGGCGAGCACGACGCGCTTGTCGAACTTCGGATAAGAGAGCTATGGGACGACATAGATACTTTCGTCATCCTCGACGTGGTCTACTCGAATCGGCCTGCTGCGCGTGAGAACGAGTGGGCGAAAGTGGCGCGAGGTAAAAAGGGTAGATTCTGGTTTGCTCGTCGCAAAGTCCTGTATCATACCCTAATCGTCCCATCACCGCAAGACGTACGTGGAATTTGCACGTCTCATAACGTCTAGCTGACAGCGTATGGCAGTCTGACGATGAGCAGCAACTACTCTTGCAAGCTCAGTCTGAGATTTCGTATATCTTGAACAATCAGGTCAAGCCAAGGATCGGATCGATGGTCATACAGTCTCTTCACAACGAGATCCCTTCACGGCAGGCACTTTCCCTGCTCAAGCGATGTACAGGCTATCCGTCGCTTTTGCATCTCGCTCTAGAGCCGACTCGCCATCGGTTCCAGGCCTCCAGCGAGGCTAGACTGTCGCGAGCTCTCGCCCCGGATGCGACCTGGAAGGCCGTTGCGCAGACAGTCGATGCGCTGCGAATGGCATACTTTGAGCGCTTCAACGCATCACACTCGTCGCGACAATCTGTCTATATCCTTGCACACGCCGGTTGGCAGTGTCATCACTGTCACCTCGACCCCACTCGCGCGTCGTGCAGCACAGCATCATGGATCTCATCTACCTCACAAGCGCCGAGCATTCCTTGGCGCACGCTTCGGCACCATCGCGATGCACAACATCTGCCGATCGGGCCATTCGCGCTTGGTATGCCACAAGCCGCCGCTGACAAATTCGCGCATTTACGCCCCTGCGATACCTCATTACCACCACCACCGATACATCGTCGCGCCAGACGTCAAAACAGACACTCTTAGACATCGTATGTTGTTCCATTATGCAGATCGCACGGCATCCTTTGTCGCAGCTCGGTTGTCTGTTGTACAGGCGTATATCAGGGGCCCCTCTTCGCATATTCGAGCACGCGAGCGCGTATGTCCTCAGCTGACATGACAGATTTGCGCGCGTCGTGCGTGGAATGAACATCAACAAGATCCAATAAAGGTGACACAAGATAAAGGGCAATCATAACGATTGATACATCGACGCTTAACGCGTCAAGCGAGTGCGAACGGAAGAAGACTTGATACTGATTTTGCCAGGTCGCTCGCGATCGCCAACAGACGAGCTATCTGAAGCATGTCCATGTCGTCCGTTGGTCTTTGCAAGCGTGATCGATTTTCTAGGAAGTTTCGAGGACGGCGCTAACTTGGTTGTCTTTGACCTTTCTGGTACGGGAGAGGAAGCCTGAATCCGCAGGGCTTCCATCTCCCTGCGAGCTGCGTCCAATTGAGCTTGCATCTGCGCAAGCTGCGACTGAGTCGACTGCAGCTCTTCATGCAGCTCAGCCTCGCGAGAGCTACGCTCAGAATCTGCGCGTAGCGATGTGTTGCCCGGACTGCTATGATCCACCTCGATCGACGCCGACGCAGAACGAGAATGTTGACGCGAGCGATTGCGAAGAGTCGCTGCGGGATCATAGCCAAGCACAGAGCGCATTCTCTCGTCTTGATTGCGTGCTTGTAGGGCGTCACGCTGATTTCTGATGTCCTGAAGAGCTTCTCTCTGCTCTTGTAGCGCATCAAGCAGAGCCTGACGCTCGAGCGAGCTCTGCATCTTGAGAGCGTCGAGCTCAGCCATGGCTTTAGTGTATTGCAAAAATAGCTCGATCTTATCTTGCTTGCGTATGTTTGCCAAGCTCTGATCGGCCAGCGTAGATGAGCCGGACGCGATTCGGGTGGGCCTTGCAGCGAAAGCTCTCCCGGGCGTATTGTCGTTGAACCACGAGCTGCGCTCGATGGACGCTGATCTGGACGTGTTCGAGAGCTCGGCAAGATGGTCATCACTAAGCTCGCGATCGGTCGCCGTCTGGGCGGAATCACTCCGCTCGACGAGAGGCGCATGATTCGATTGTACACTCACTGATCGATCTGAAGTGCCAGCCAAGCTTCGGCGCACACCGCGCGGTCGCATGGCGGGCAGGCGGGTGTACGGGCTCGTCGAATGCAAAGAATTGACGCTAGCGGACCGAGGCCGCTCATCGGGCAGCGTATGCACGGTAGCTCGCGGCGTCGTCGGCGTAGTAGCGAGAGCATCAAGATTGTCTGGAGCGCTTACACTTGTTGCAGTCGTGAAAGACGCGAAGCTTTCAGCAGTCGAGGATCGCATGTGGCGTAGCGATCTGGCTGATGCGGGCGTCATCTTCTTAGGATAGGCGCCGATCTGCGGAACGTCCTCTTCAGAGTCCGAGCTAGTCTGTGGTCGAGACGCCCAGCTCGCACGACGATTCGCTGTTGGCGTTGCATCTGGGGACGTCGTGTGCCTGGGTGGCCTGCTAGAATGATCAGCCACTGTGATATCCGTCATAGAAGCAAGCTTACGTTTGCGCGGACACTGATCTTGCCAGGCCCGATGCCGCGGCTTTGTTAGTCTCACCAGGTTCCACACTCGTCGACGTGATGATTGCTCGCATACGCTGATAGGATTGTTCCATCTCATCGAGAGACCAACGCTTTGCCGTGCGAGGCGTGATATTCCGATTTGCAAGGCTGTTGCCCAGATCGCTTGGCAGAGCGCTGAGCTCATCATCCTCCGTCTGTGAGCCCGGCGTATCTACGGCCACTTCAGGGGCATGAGTTGAGCTGCGCTCAGATTGCGCTGTGAAGCTGGACGACCATCTCGAGACCAGCTTGCCCGGCGCAACCAGACTGGGCCTTGCTTGTACGTCTTCCTCCGAGCTCTTTGCACTAGCTTCGGATCTATCGGACTCTGCAGAGACGCGTCGGCCACCGAGGGAAGCGATTAGATCTTCAAGAGGAGAGTGTCGCTGGGCAGACGGCTGTCTTGGCACGCGCAGACTGTCCACACGCTCAGTCTCTTGCTCTGCTGCAAGTTGAGCTTCGCGAGAGACGACATGAGGACTGCTAGACTGTACTGAACGCAATCCCAGTATGCCTTCATCAGATGCCAAAATCGAGTCTATCGCAGAACGCCCGGTCGTTAGCGAGGTTGCAACCGGTGGGGCAAGCGCAGTCTGCTCGCACGATCAGCCACTGATACCTTTTTCAGCATCAGAGCGCTTGCCTGCTCTATGTGAGTCTTTGCAGGCTCGGCAGCTGCAGTCGGGCTGGTCGAGCGCGAAGTGCCTTGCGATGACCCTCTTGACAGAGAGCGCGATTGCAACGCGTGAGCTCTGTAGGCCATATCGTCTTTGTTGATTGGCGGCTGAGCATGACCATTGGCTGCACTTCCGATAGAAGAGAATCGAGCTAAACCATCCGAGCCTCTGTAAGCTTTCGGCACGGAGCTAGCACGTTCAGGCGGATCGGGAGGACTTGTGCTTGAGACGAAACTGCGCACTGATCTCGTTCCCGGGCTTGTGACATCTGGCGAGCCATTGAGCGGCTGGCCGGACGGATTGGTAGAGCCCAGTGCCTTCTGCGACGCTATCGGAGCTTGCTCGGGCTCGGGCGAGGCGTCGTGAGTCCGCAATCCAGGACTGATCTCTGGCGATTCTTCGAGGCCCAAACGACCGGCAGAAATAGTGACCGGTGTGACAAGGGATGAACCTGATATCTCGCGCGACGCAGGCGCAGTCTGTCTGATCGGGAAGCCCAAGCCGATGCGGTCACTCTTATCTAGGGATGTTCTTGCTTTGTCGAGCGACATCCTCACGAGTGGAGGAGACCGCGAAGTGGCCATGAAGTTGTCATGAGTCTCGCTTGCTTCCTCAATTGGCGTCTCGAATTCTGTAGAACTCGACAAGATGCGCGGAGACGAAATTCGCCGCGGTCGTGCCGACGGATCTTGCTGACTGCCGGTCTTGAATCTAGGGGATGTAGGGGACGCAGGACTTCTGGCTTGCGTTGGCGATTGAGGGGTTGCGCTCTTTCTCCCCGTGCCAATGGATGCGAGGGAGGGCACGTCGTCCTGAACGGGTGAGTTTGTCGAGCTGTCTAGCTTGACGCTTTTGTTGCCTTGACTGGGCGTCCTGTTGAAGCCAAAGCCAGCACCGTTGGCTCGTGGTATACCAGATGTAGTAGGGCTCGTCTTGATAGGCAAAGGTCTTGGCGACGGCGTCACGGCAGTGGACTTCGTCTGCGTATTGGAGTGCAGGAATCTGTTGCGTAGCAGTCGTATGGCCGGCATACCACCGCTGCTGTTACTCGTCGAACGGGGAATGCCCGTAGGCTTGCCGGGAGCGGGCGCTTTGGCTCCTGCCGTCAGCTCTGCAACAATTGATTCTTGTGCGAGCGGGCTTGTAGTCGTCATTGGAAGTGTTGCTGTTGACTTGTCTGTCTCTATGTTTGCTACGTCTGGCTTGGGCTGAGCACGCTGAGCTGGCTCTTTTGGCGTTACTGGGCTGGGCAGTCCAGACTTGCTGCCCGCCGAAGGCACTCTACGCGAGCCAGCCGTGGTGGGACCTGCACCGGCAGACAGCCTCGGTATCCTGCTGGCCGGTTGCGACGCATAACCGGGCGAGGTGTCAATGGCTCGCATGGCCGCTGTCTCTATCTGGCGCTGTCGTCTGATCTATGCACTTGGGCGAAAGGTGCGATATAAGCTCCGCCGAGGGTCGACGCTGATCACCTTGATTCTATAGGCGGGCACATGCAGGCGCAAGAACGCTGCTAAGCGCTGATATCCAAAGACTGCGGCTGCCTTCTGCTTTGAGCGATCGGGACAACGGAACTGTTGTGGGGCACTATCGACTGCAAGCGCGCCAAAAGCCACGCTCGGCGCTCGGGCGCAGTTCACTGTCTCTCGAGTCAAGCCTCATCGCGACTCGTTCCCTGACCGCGCTGCTGACTTTGTCGTCGATACTCCTCTCTGAAACGCCTGCCCGTCGATCTGTCCCCTGACCGCTGCTGCCTATCTCTCGCTCTCTGACAGGAAGCCATATGGTTCGACGTTTCCCTTGCTCACGCACTTGCGACCTCAACGCCGGCCATCGTGACCGCGCTTGCTGCCCTCAGTCTCAGGTTCCCAATCACCATGTCGTGGACGCGGTCAGAGACCCATCGAACTTGGAGCAGCCGTCTACTTCTTCATTCGTTTGTGTAGTCAGAACGTGAAGCCATCTCGGACAGCAAACGAGTTCAACGAGCGCATGAGTGTTTCGGTGCACTTATGCAATACTCCAGGCAACTAGCGGAGCTGCTAGAGCATAACAGCGCTCAATCGACGTCGGACGTGCGCCTCTGACCGGAACGCGCACGCAAGCGAGTCGTCGTGTCATGGTTTGGTCGGCGCGCTCGGTGATAGGCTTTTCGAGACGGCTCTATTCGGCGCATATCGATGAGGTTGATGCGAGTCAGTGTATCACCATAGGTACAACTGGAAGCCACATATCGCTGCCTTGCCGGCTATGCGCTCATTTCGGCTATGCTCTCGAGCAGCAAGTATCGTCTGGTTCGTTGTGGGTCTACACGAAGCAGCGAGTGCGACAGACAGGCTGGAGGCCCCTACACCCGCTGGCGGGAGATTCTGCATTGCCTTTGAGCAAGTGGCAGCCACATGCTATGGTCAAGTCGCGCTCGATGGTCAGATCCTGCCCTTTGTCGTCACCGCAGAACAGCCAAGCATGCTTTTCGGTGTCAGACTCACCCTCGACCCGCTCAATGCATGGTGCTTTGCAGTACGCAGCATTCGATTTGTAACCGTTCATCATCGAGCTCATGCGTGTGACTGTAGGGCGAATCTGATATGCCGCGATTGCCCAGCGTTGAAGCCAGCAAGATCGACCAAGCCTCGCCGGACAACTTCGAGATCGAGTTATTTGCAGTCAGATCAATGCAGACGAGTCAAGTCGACACCTTTGGGCCTGTCGAAGTAAAGAGCATCTTGCTTAGCTGCTGTTCCGTACAATGGACCTTACTCCTGCAGGCATTCTTGCCGAACCGTGAGCATCACATGTGGCCTACATTATCAAATCACTGAGTGGAACGACAGGCAACCTCAAGATCGCAGAACCTGTGCTTGGCTTTATGTGCGGTCCGAATACAAAGTACCTCATACCGGGCATGGATATCAGTTGCGCAGAGATATTCCACGTGGAGATCGAAAGCGATCAGTGCGAGTTTCGCTATGACTTGGGATACCAGAAACCATTCTGGACGACGGTCAAGAAATCCGGCGGATGTACCTCGACCCCGCAGAGTGTACAAACGTTCTAGATGCAAATCATCTTATCTCCTCAGGAGCTGGGGCGCAGATACACCCCTCTGACGTAACTCTGGGCAGATCAGGGCTTGTCGTGAGGCGCGCCTGTCGGCGATCGACTTGCACAAGCCACAAGATGCTGACTGCCTTCGTACTCGTCACGACCGCTCTCGTGACAGTCTCTGCTGCGCCAAGCCCGGGCTCAAAGTACGCGTCATATTGTATCAAGATGGCTGCAACGACTGTCACGAGCCAAGGCGCTTTCATGCTCAACGACCAGATGTACCCTTTCAGTGTCCAGAGCTGGAGTCCGGAGCAGCTCTTTGAGCTCCGGATACAGTTGCCAAAGACCAACAAAGCATATTGCAGCGCTTTTGGCGACGCACCTAAAGGACCTATCTGCAAAGCTGAAGGACTGAAGACCATTTCGGAGCATCAAGTTCTCCAAGTGAACGCCGTCAGGTCTCTGCAGACGCTCGCTATCGATTCGGATAATGAATCGGTAGACGCGATCGTACGCCAGTGTTGCAGCGCTTTCTATTCGTTCACCTCTCAAGGCTGGGTCACAGCTCGTCAGCTAGCTCAATCATGCTCCTGTGCACACACTGATGGAGCGCATAGGCAAGCTCAAGCTAGGCGAGGCAGTGTATACCTTCAACTGTGCAGCCGGAAAGCGGCCCATACCTGAAGCGCCCTTCCAATGTCAAGACATCTTTGATCATCAAGAGGTTTACGAGACCCACAGTACAGTGGCGAATCAGGACGCGCGCGTGCCAATCTGGACCTTAGGCGTTCATCACGGTTGTAGCCATGTTCCCGTCGAAGATGGCAGCGCAAGTCAGCAGTAATGTAAAGCTCAGGCAGTAAGGCGCGACTGCGTCAACCCTCTCGCAGGCTGCACTGTAATATCACTGCATGTTCAGTATCGATACTCGAGCGCTTGACTATCGAGGGAGGCCTCGTGGACCGAAGAAGGGTGAGATTTATCACAGTCGACAGTCGACGGTCTGGTCGACAGTAGCGCGTCGCGAGGTCTGCTGTCAATATCTTCCCTGCTCCATGATCAATAGCGAACATACCTTGCATCTTCTACTCATGTAGCATACATGCTAGAGCCCGTATTTGACTTCTCGTGACATAGGCGGTCGGTACAAATGACAAAGATCGTTCTCTGCATCACGCTCGCAAGAACAGCCCACGTGGAGAACCGAAAGCGGCATATGCGAACGACACCGAGATACCAGGCCTCGTCCGGGGACTGGGGAGCTCAAGAAGCGGCTAGACGCTAGCCCTTGGATTTTCATCCATGGCCTAGCTGACGCTGAGAGATCGACAGGGTCCCGAGGTGGCTAACCCCTTTGGTGTCGAGCTGGGCGTCAAGCAAAAGTCAGGGTTCTTCGTCGTGACCGTCAAACGCAGGAATTTGCATGGCATTTCGAGTACTGAATCACTTCCTCCTCGCCGTGACCGCCCTTGCGGCAGTCTTGGCAGGGCCAGCTCCGGAATATACGACATATTGCATCAAGATGGCGGGGACCACGGTAACAAGTCACGGCATCGTTCTCCTCGACGGTCAGATATATCCTTTCGAAGTCAAGAGCATGAGTCCTCAGCAGCTTTTCCTGCTGAAGATCCAGCTGCCGAAGAAGAAACAAGCATACTGCCACGTCTTCGGGGACGCTCCCAAAGGACCAAATTGCGAACCTGAGAAGCTCGAACTCGTCTCAGGCTACCAGACGCTCCAGGTGAATGCCGTCAGGGCCCTCGACACGCTCGGAGTCCTCTCAGCCAATGAGAATGTGAATCGGATAATACGTCAGTGCTGCAGCGCTGTCTATTCGTTCACAGCCAGAGCTTGGCTAGGCACCCGTAGGCTAACCAAGAAACGATATCAAGCGTGCATTGACAATGACTGCAGGCAAACTCGAGCTAGGCGAAGCATTTTACACATTCGTCTGCGGTCCTGGGACGCGCTTCCTGTCCGATGTGCCAGTCCGATGCCGAGATCTTTTCGAAGAAGTTCTCGAAACAACGAGCACAGTCGAGATTAGAGATGCGCGCCTGCCCATTTGGACTTCAGGCCAACACCAAGGATGTAGCTTGACGCCCGTCCTGTTGACTTCAAGTTCAAGTTCGCAATGAACGCAAGGCACAGGCAGTAGAACAGGCTGCCGAAAAGGTAGTCAGCTGACATATAGCAATGCAGTACGTGCTGCATCTCGACCAGCAACGCTCGAGCGTACATCTGTGGTTCCGTTTGAGCGCTAATAAGCTAGGGATGCAATCAAGGGCGACAAGGGCAGTAACGCGTCGCGAAATTGCTAGCTGCTCCTATGAAAGTATAAAGCGCGATCAACTCCTGATGCATGTTCTGATGAACCGCGTCAATGCTATCGCTTCGTCTTCTTGCTCTGTCGGTTTTCGCAGGGACCTCTCTAGGCGGACCCAAGCCAGCAGTCACTGCGAATTACTGCTTGTTGCTACAAGGAACGACTGTGACGAGCCAGGGCATCCTAGCATTCGACGGCCAACCATATGCCTTTGAGGTCAAGAGCTGGAGTCCGATGGTGCTCTTTACGATGCGGGCACAACTACCCGAAGGCTTGAAGACATACTGCTTTGCAGATAAACGGTTGCCAAAGGGACCTCGTTGTGAAGAGCAAGAGAGGAAGGCATTCCCTGACTATACGGTCATGCAGATCAACGCAGTCAGACGTCTGGAGACAGTGCACATCGAGACCGAAAGTGAGATGGTACACCGCGTGATCAGCTTCTGCTGTAGCGCATTTTGGTCGTTTACGGCCAGTGCCCGAGTACCCGGCTGTAAGTCTGGATTATTACTCGTGACTACTGTCTGATGTGCAAAGAAGATAATCTTCGAGTCGGAGAGGCCGTGTATACTCTCACTTGCGGAGGTGAGAAAAGTCCCATTCCCGGCCTTGGGACCACTTGCTCGGCTATATTCAACAAAGCTTTCGAGATGAAGAGCGACACCGAAGACAAGCCTGGAGTGCGCCAGCCAGTCTGGACGATGAACAGACAGCACGGCTGTACCTATATACCAGCCCTGCCAGCTCAAGTTGCAAGGCGTAGCGGGATATCGTGATCCTCAACGTTCGTCGAGCGCTACGATACCGGTAGTTGCGGCATACTGTTTCGGTAGAAGCGGCGTGCATCGACCGGGCCTCGGTGCGGCGATGCAATGCAATGCAACTTACAGTGTACCTAGGCTGGAGCACGTCTGAGACGATCGTCGAGAACAGAGATGGGGAAGAGGCGGATTCGTTGCATGGTGGCCCCTCTTGTATGTCATGACAGCGCGCCGCGACTGACCTGCGCAGCACTGATCGACAAAACATATCGAGCTTGCCGTAGCGCGTCACAACCCTGCCCTGAGTGCCGAAACCGCGTCGCTCTACACCAATGCTGCTGCATCTCGTTCTTGCTTCATCATTGGTCGCAGCAACCTCTCTGGGCGGGCCCCATCCTGCAGTGAGCGCAAATTATTGCCTGCTGCTCGAGGGGACGACTGTGATGAGCAACGGCGTCGTCGAGCTTGATGGTCAACCGTATGCCTTTGAAATCAAGAGCTATAGTCCGACGCAACTTTTCACCATGCGGGCCCAATTGCCAGATCACCTAAAGTCTTACTGCTACGCTGCAAAACAGATGCCAAAGGGTCCCCGATGCGAGGAGCAAGCCAGAAGAGCAATTCCAGACTACGTGGTCATGCAGATGAATGCCGTCAGACGATTGGAGACCTTGCATGTCGACTCCGATAGCGATATTGTCAATCAAGTCATCGGCTTTTGCTGCAGTGCGTTTGTTTCGTTCACAGCCAAAGCCTGGATACCGCGCTGTCAGTCGGCGATAATGTTGATTGATGCTGGTCTGACGACGAGCGCAGATACGATTGACATCGGCGAAGCTGTGTACACGCTCACTTGCAGCGGTGGAATGCGTCCGATACCCGGTCTGGGGGCAAGCTGCTCGGCAATCTTTGAGAAAGCGATCGAGACGAAAAGCAACATCGAAGACAAGCCAGGTGTGGAACGAGCGATCTGGACGATGGACTCGGGATCCGGATGCACCTTCATACCCTCCCCACCAATCCAAGTTGCAGGCGCCAGCGGCACAGCTTGATCTTCAAAGGGCATGTCGAACGCTGCAAAGCCGGGAGATGAAGCACACAGACTCGGGCAATGTTCAGACAATCAACTGAAATGTTGTAGTCGATCTATGAGTCTGAACGAGGCACGGTGGAGATCAATTCTCGAGTATGGTGACGCGGAGAGCGGTCGATTTATCGCAACGCTGGGTCGCCTTGCGTCTGTTCGTCATATGGCGACAGCCCACCGTCTGCCCAAGCGTCTGATCGGTGAAGGCGAGGGAGTTCACTGTTGTGCGTCGCGAAGTCGCTCCTGTGAGGAGAGATGGGAATCCCCTGGGAGTATCAAAGCATTTCTTGGCGCATCACACGAATGCTACTGCCTCTCTTTCTTGCTCTATCAGTCCTCGCTGGAGCATTCGCCTTTGGGCCTCGGCCTGCGGTGAGTGCAGCTTACTGCTTGCTGCTCGAGGGAACGACTGTGATGAGCCATGGCGTTGTCGAACTTGACGGTCAACCCTATGCGTTTGAAGTCAAGAGCTATAGTCCGACGCTACTCTTCATCATGCGCGCCCGACTTACGGAAGACTTAAAGACATACTGCTACACCGTTAAGGAGATGCCTAAGGCACCCCGGTGTGAAGAGCAAGAGAGGCGGGTATTCCCTGATTATACGGTCATGCAAATCAATGCCGTCAGACGATTGGCAACAGTGCACGTCGAGTCCGATAGCGAGATCATCAACCAAGTGATCGGCTTTTGCTGCAGTGCTTTTGTCTCTTTCACGGCCAAAGCATGGGTGCCAAACTGTATGTCGCAGCTACTCTCGATCGATCCCCGTCTGACGATATCGATGAGCGCAGACAAGATTGACGTCGGTGAAGCTGTGTATACGCTCACTTGTGGCGGTGGTATGCGCCCCATACCCGGTGTGGGAGCAAGCTGCGCAGCAATCTTTGAGAATGCCGTCGAGATGAGAAGCGACATCGAAGATAAGCCCGGACCGCGTCGAGCGATCTGGACGATGACCCAAAGACCCGGATGCTCTTTCACGCCAGTTCCACCACCCCAAGTTGAAGGTGGCAGCGGGACAGCTTGACCCTGAGGAGCTCTGGAACGCTGCCATCTCGGTCGAAGCGGCACGTGAAATTGAGCAACTTGTCAAGGCGATCAATTGCAGTTTACAGTCAATTTGCAAATCTGAATGAAGCAATGCGGAGCGAGTATCGGGATGCAGTGAGCGGTCCGAATCTCGTCTTCGGCCCCTCTTGCATGATCTCGCAACATGAATCAAATCTATCCATTGCTAAATCACATCAAGCTTGCTGTTGCGCGTCGCCAAGTGACTCCGGCGAGGAGCGAACAAACTTCCCCCGAAGCCCTGAAGCATTGTGTGGCGGATCGCAGGAATGCTATTGCCTCTCTTCCTTGCTCTGACAGTCCTCGCTGGAGCATTTGCCGAAGGACCGCAACCTGCAGTGACTGCAGCCTACTGCCTGCTGCTCGATAGCACGACCGTAACGAGCAACGGTATTGTCGAACTCGATGGGCAGCTCTATGCGTTCCAAGTCAAGAGTTGGAGTCCGATGCAGCTCTTCACCTTGCGAGCCCAAGTGACAGAAAACATGAAGACCTACTGCTTCGCGGACAGAGAGCTGCCAAAGGGCCCTCGTTGTGAAGAGCAAGAGAGGAAAGTTTTCCATGATCATACGATCATGCAGGTCAACGCCGTCCGACGGTTGGACACAGTACACATCGATTCCGAAAGCGAGATCATCAACCGAGTCATCGGCTTCTGTTGCAGCGCATTCTGGTCATTCACGGCCAAAGTCCGGATACCAGGCCGTGAGTCGGAGAGAGCATTGATCGAACCTGTCTGATTGCTAAACGCAGACGAGATCAACATCGGTGAAGCTGTGTATACTTTCACGTGTGGCGGCGGGATGCGTCGAATTCCCGAGGTGGGTACCAGCTGCTCGGCAATCTTTGAGGATGTCGTTGAGACAAAGAGCGCAATCGAAGATAAACCTGGAGCGCGTCGAGCGATCTATACGCTGGGTCAGAGACGTGGTTGTTCTTTCATACCGGTTCCGCCATCACAGCTCGTCGGTGGCAGCACGGCATCCTGACTGTCGAAATCGATTGGGTGCTGCGATCTCTGCGTTTCCGGCAAAGAGAGCAGCAGCGAACTCTAGTCAATCTCTGAGTCTGACCGAAGCGCGCTAGAGGAGGGTGATCGGGTGGCTAGAGATGCGGGGAAGAGGTCGATCTGTTGCACGCTGGCCCTCTTTTGCGACAACGCGTGATCTTGTGATAGCCCGTCGCGATGAGCCTCCTCGGTGCACTGGCCCTGAATACGCATGAGACGCTGTTGCAATGTTTGCTTGCACTGTCGTCCTTGGCGTTGACATGTGCTGAACCAAGCCCGAGCCCTAGGCAGTATGCAAACTACTGCATACTGCTAGAAGGAACACAAGTGACAAGTCAGGGCGTCGTCAAGATCGATGGTCGGCCCTACCCCTTCTCGGTGATCAGCTGGAGTCCGACGCTGCCGTTTTCCATGCGAATCCAAATGCCGAAGGAGAGGCATGTATACTGACACGTCCAGAAAGGCTTGCCCAAAGGACCTGCTTGTGATGAAGAGAATATCGAAACCGAAGGCGATCAGCAAATCTTGAAAGTCAACGCCGTCAGACGACTGCAGACGGTACACGTTCTCTCTGACAGCGAAATCGCCAACGAAGTCATTCGCTTCTGCTGTAGCGCCTTCTGGTCATTCACGTCGAGAGCCTGGATGCCGAACGGTAGACGCCGCCGTGTGCCACCGACATGCATTGACTGACCTCACGCGCAGACAAGCTAGAGTTGGGTAAAGCCGTTTACACATTTGGCTGCGGTGGGGAAGACCTCATCCCCATCCCTGGATCGGACATCACATGCCCTGAGCTTTTTGCGGGCTTCATCGAGACGAGAAGCGTCATCGAAGAGGACAAAGATGGAGCGGCTCAGCCCATCTCTGGACACGGCAGAGATCGAGGTTGCACAGAAACTCCAGTCCCGCTCGGTCACGGTGTTTGATGATGATCGCACAAGGCTCATCATGCACCCCTCACCAGCGTTAGGCAAAAGAGCAGGTCCGAGCGTTGGCTTTGCATGCGTTGGGATGCTTGTCTTGGCTGCGCATAGACGAAGCTCAGAATTGCGTGTCGCGGACGGTCTCTGAACGAGGACGCCAAATCTTTCGACGATGAGCGAGGATAGCATGACCTGAAGAGCCAGTGTGCTTGGCCTGAACATGCTCGCGATTTTGCAGCGCAGCGCGTTTCGGCGTTCTGCGTGTTCGCTAGGAGCTGCGCAAGATGGTCGGCGAATCACGCCAGGAGCTCTTGACCTGGTGCTCGGAGCTTCTGCAGCTCAACATCACCAAGATAGAGTCTTGCGGGACCGGTGCAACCTACTGCCAGATATTCGACTCGGTCTACCGTTCGTGTGCCGCGAGCTCTTTGGCACCTTGTGCACTCATACTGCTGCCCCCGCAGAGACCGTACCGCTCAACAAAGTCAAGTTCAACGCAAAGTCTGAATACGAATGTGCGCAAGTGGCTTATCTGCGTGGCTTGAGCTGACGTGTTGCTGGCAGATGTGGACAACTTCAAGATCCTGCAAGCAGCTTTCAAGCGACACAAGATTGACAAGGTGCGCCCCTCTGCATGGAAAATGGCAAGCCTGAGACTTGCGGCTCAGCCTATACCGGTTGAGCAATTGATGAAATGCAAGATGCAAGACAATTTGGAGTTCATGCAATGGTACAAGCGATGGTGGGATCAGTTCTATCCGGGAGGCGACTACGATGCGTCAGTCGTCTCTGGACCTCTACTAACAAGCAGCTCATGCATGCAAACAGCGTCGCAAGACGGAAAGGCCAGCTCACAAACTCGTGCGTATATAACCTCGGCATGCTCCCGTACGCGTCTGACGTTGCGCAATAGTGCTGCTCCGACGATGAGCCACAACAGAACAGTCTCATCTGCTTCTTCTGCTCACACGCGTGCAAGTGCGACTGCGCCCGCACCGGCGGCCGCTCGAGCAGTCGCACGACCAGGAGCAGCTAGCGCGCGTGCGCCCCTGACAACCGCGACGACGCGTGCACCCGCAGCTTCGACGGCGACGGTTGCTCAGACTGCACAACTCAAGCGAGACCTCGAAAACCTCACTGCAGATTACACAGACCTGGACGAACGTCACACCGCACTGGAGAAAGAACGCGATTTCTACTTTGAGAAACTGCAAGACATCGAATCGCTCGTGACCAACAGACTCGAATCTGGCGTCGGGGAGATCTCAGAGAGCGAACAAGGCAGCCTGGAAGCGATACAGAAGATCCTGTATTCTACTGCGCCGGGATTCGAACTGCCTGTAGAGGGACTGAGCGTGGAAGACGATGGCGATCCTCGCTTGCTCGATGAAGACGAAGAAAATCTCGAAGAGACGTACTAGGTTGTCTCATCAATGCATGCTTGTACAGCTGCTGCCCTTCTTCCGTGCTATCCCGGTCACAGGTTACCTTTGAGCGTCGTATCGGCTTGCACGCCACCCATCGATACTTCGCCATTCGCTATTGCTGCCAGCAAGACATGAGCGATGGCCGTCTTGGGTGGCAATCGAATCGTTGGTTTGTCCGACTGCTGCTGTGCGTCTTCTCCGTGGCCAAGTACTTTGGCTTGCCCTGCTGAGTCCATTTTGTCTACTTCGTGTCTGCTGAGTGCTGACCGCTTCGAGCCTAGCGCGGCTCTGACATCGCTGACGTCAACCCATCGTGCATCTGCTCCTCATGTCAGTTTCGCTCTGGGCATCGCAAGCTGTGTAGCTCACCCTCGAGCTCGTTGTCTAGATCGGTCCGGATCTGTGAGCCCTCTTCGGCCACGCAGATGGCTCCCAACATCAAGCTGCCAGGATACGGCCAGGGTTGACTCGAGTGGTATCTCACATCTTTTATGCGCAGTCCGCTCTCTTCGTGCACTTCACGCTTCACACTTTCTTCGAGCGACTCGCCAGGCTCGAGAAAGCCAGCAAGACAGGAGTAAAAGCCCTTTGGCCAGCTGGCTTGTTTGCCTAATAGCACTTTGTTCTCGGTCGGGTGTACGATTGCCATGATTGTCACTGGGTCTGTTCTAGGGTATTGGGATGCATGCGCGCCTCTCGATGTCGTACAGGGTGGCTTTTTCTCGTCTGTGGCCGGCGCAGGCGGTGGGCAAGTTCGCTTGTAGCCTGCCCAGACAGGTGCAGTCGCTCGACCGCACGAGGGACAGAATCGATTGCGGCGATGCCATTCCATCAGTGCTCTAGCTTGACCGGCTATCGCCACGTCGTGCATCGATAGGACAGCACTTCCTGCGCGCATATGCAGGTATTGAGGATCTCGGTCCTTGAAGCGCTGAAGAGTCGATTCGTTCAGATCCGGCAAGAGCGTGCTTTCCAATGCGAAATAGGCCGGTCCATCGGGATGAGTACTCGTGGGCAAGGCGTCTTGTTTAGAGGCTCTGGCTCGCTCGTCGATGCCGAGAAAGACGATCAATGGCTTTTTGTCCTGTTCATCGACGGTGAACGAGCCGAGTTCCTTGTCATTCAGAAAGGCCGGCTCGGGCAGATGAGCTTTTATATTATCCCAAGCGAGTAAGGCGAGTCCTTGCGCATCTCCTCCTGTCTGCGCAACGACGAGCGGGTCGAAATGATTGAGCAGAATGATCTTGGCTCGCTCTGACTTTAGGCTCTTTTCGATGTACTTTGTGTCCTGTCGCAGCCAACTGACCCGGTTGAGGAAGCTGCCTGAATAGTAGTTTGCTGCCGGCTGAGCCATCTTGAGCTGCTTCAGAGCCTTACAGGAGACACGCAGCATCCATAAGTGTCGTCATCGATGATGCATCGATTGTCGCCAAAGCAACGCGTCGATCTCCTCGAAGCTCAAACGCTGACATCGCTTTGACCCGGTCTGCTCCACCTCTCCTGCTCTAGTCCGCCCTCTTCCACTGTCAACTTAGCTCTATGTCTCGACGAAGCCCAATCGAGTAGCTCGTGTCGCTAGTGAGACTCGCCTTGTTGCCCTCGTGGCCTCTATGGGCGCTGGCGCCTAAGCCAGACGCAAAGCGCTTGACCGAATATTGTGTGGCTGAAAACGAGCACAAGACAACATGTGCAGGTGCTGTCTTCGTTGACGATGTGCGCTACCTCTTCACCGTCGAGTCCGTCAGCCCGTTGGTGCTTTTCCAACCTGCACGCCTCTAGAAGAGAGAGGGATCCGCCCCTCTACTGCGCTGTCAGTACGCACTCGGTTCAGCTCTCGAGATTGTCCAGGTTTAGAGAGCAGACGCCGAAAAAGAATGGGATCAACTCGCCCTATTGCCGCCTCGTCCAGCGAACAGAGATAGATCCTGACAAATTTGTCTACTCGGGCTACATTGCCCACCCTTTGCAGACAGTCAACGTCGTCCCAGGGAGTGATACCTTCAATCGTATCATCCGAGGTTGCTGTGCCGCTGTGTGGGCGCTGGACTTCAGTGCCTGCCTTCCTGATCGTACGTCGCTTGCCGGCCAACGTTGCTGACAAGCTAAAGCCATTCCTAGGCGCGCTTCTGCTGTCGAACGATCAGATGTCCTTCCTCTGCGGACCTGGACAGCTCCGCAAGCTTATTCCATTGACGATGACCGACTGCAAGCGACTCTTTCCTGAAAACATCGAGGGAGAATGCGAAATTCCACGCAGGCTAGAGGCGGTCTGAACTCAGATGACTTCTAAACATCAGTGTACTCTAGAACCGGCGCTCTGATCGGGCGCGCACGATACACACTAGATAGAGCGCATCTGCGGATTGCAGTCCTCTCACATGACCGACCACAGCAGTTTGTGTCATTGCGATCGAGCAGCAGCCCTCGCAGCTCAGCGCTACACTTGCCTCACTCCAATGCAATTCGCACTATCTGCAATCTAGTTGCTGCGACGCTCAAGGGGAAACATGTTGCCATCGTCTCACCGCGTCACGTAGCGTCCGGGCTCGCGCACCGCCTTTCTTAGCCCTCAAACTTGCTCGCTGCCCCTGTTTCGTCTGTTTGGGTAGCGTTCTGTGATCATAGTCAAAGCCCGCGATCAATCGTCGAGCCTCGGTGAGCCCTTGCTGCGGAATTGCCTTGTTGAATGCTAGCGCTACTTCTGCTTGCGATCGTGTCAGCAATCGCAACGCCAGCGGACCTTCCCGACAAACAAAACGCACACTATTGTGTGCTCGCAGAAGAGCATCACACGAGATGCGCAGGCGTTGTCTACCTGGATGGCTCGCGGTATCCGTTCGTAGTGGAATCTGTCAGCCCACAGGTACTCTTCAATCTGCGCACATCTATCGATCCTGATCGGACGCCATTCTATTGCTATGTCAGTGAGCCTACACCGATGCAAGCAGAGCGCTCTGTTGAGCGAGCGTGCCTTGCATAGGGAACAACAGGTCAACGATCTTCGCCGTCTTGCGGCTTGAACAAGCGTGATGATATCACGCCGTGGGACTACCTTTTCCATGGCTATATCGTCAACGCCTTGCAGACCCAGACCGTGATTTCGGACAGCAACACGGTGAGCAACATCATCCGTGCTTGCTGTGCCGCAATCTGGACTCTCGACGCTGACGCATTATTGCCAGCCCGTAAGTCGCGCCTTCCTCACAGCACAGCTGCTATACTGACTAGCTTATTGAGCAGGATCACTGTACATGACAAATCCTCAGACGACCTTTGTGTGCGGTCCTGCAGAGCTTGGCAAGATGCTCCCGACGGCGATGACAGATTGCACGAGGATCTTTCCAAAAATGCTGGAAGGGGAGTGTCAGAGCCCGACAAAGCTAGAAGCAATATGGACTCTACTGGCCACCGGACGCAAATGTACGCTCACCCCAGCGCTTCCAATGGCGCAGCCGCCACAGCATGCTTCAGGGTGATCGTTGCTGCATTGGCAACCTGCATATGTATCTTGCTGAATCTGCGGTGCATCGATCTACCCGCGCGCCTTCTATGCAGCTCTGTCTGCTGTCGAGACGCTCGAATTTGAGATCGTAGTTTTGACATCTTTTATTTCGCTCTGAATGAAATTGATTTCGCGCGTTGCTTCTGTCGTGCGCTCGTAAATCTAGCCACCGTCGGGGTGAACAGCTCGATAAGTGCACAAGTGCATGCTAGCTGGCTCCGTTCGGCTCTGTAGACGATCAAGCTCGGCCGTCTGTCATATCCTGCCCACGCGCACGCCGTATCGCAAACCGTCACCGCTCAGTTGCTCAGGCCACGCGAGCGTTGTTCGACCCTTGCAAACTCGTTCTAGGACGACAATGGCGCCCAGCCAAGTCAACAAGACAGCTCATCCTTTCGAGAGAGCAGACCTAGAGGGCGTCCTCACCCGACGCTTCTTCATCTGCCCAAGTTTTGAAATTTACAACGGTGTCGCTGGCTTGTTCGACCTCGGACCGCCCGGCTCAGCACTGCAGGCAAACATCATAGACGCATGGCGAAAGCATTTCATCATCGAAGAGGAGATGCTCGAGATTGAGACGACTGCATTGACGCTCTCGGAAGTACTCAAGACTTCGGGGCACGTCGACAAGTTCACGGATTGGAAGTGTGACGATGTGAAGACGGGTCAGATCTTCCGTGCAGATCATCTCGTCGAAGCCGTGCTCGAGTCAAGACTGGCCGGTGATCGTGCGGCACGCGGCGAGGCAGAAAAAGTCAAGACGGCAGAGGAGCTAGAAGCAGAAGTGAAGAGCAAAAAGAAGAAAGTCAAGTCGACTGCCGTCAAGCTCGACGACAGCGTTGTGGCAGACTACGAGAGTGTACTGGCTCAGATTGATAATTACACGGGCGAGCAACTCGGCGAGCTGATAACAAAGTACAACATCAAGTCGCCAGAGACTGGTAACGATCTGACCAAACCCGTCGAATTCAACTTGATGTTTGACACACTCATTGGTCCTACTGGCTATATGAAAGGCTACCTTCGTCCAGAGACTGCGCAAGGCCACTTTGTCAACTTCAACAGACTGCTCGAATTCAACAATGCCAAAGTACCCTTTGCGAGTGCACAGATTGGCAAGTCCTTCAGGAACGAGATTGCGCCGCGACAAGGCTTGCTCCGTGTCAGGTCAGTTCCTCGCGGAGATCAACCGCTCCTTGGCCTGACTGTCTGAGCGAGCGCGACAGAGAGTTCACGATGGCAGAGATTGAGCACTTTGTTGACCCGCACGACAAGAGTCATGCTCGCTTCAGCGAAGTGAAAGATCAGAAGCTCAGTCTGTTGCCGAAAGATGTCCAATCTGCCGGCAAGTCCGATCTGACCGAAATGACAATTGGAGATGCAGTTGGCAAGGTCCGGTGGTTCCATATTTGCGTGTCTTCCTTTAGCTTACTGTCTGGTGGTCGACAGGGCATAGTCAACAATGAAACGCTGGGCTATTTCCTCGTTCGAGTGTATCTGTTCATGATCAAGATCGGCATCGATCCTGCCCGAATGCGATTCCGTCAGCACATGGCAAACGAGATGGCTCATTACGCCGCCGACTGCTGGGATCTCGAGATCCACAGCTCGTACGGTTGGATCGAATGTGTGGGCTGCGCAGACAGGAGCGCATACGATCTGACGAAACACGCTGCTCGGACGAGTACAAAGATGGTCGTTCGAGTGCCCCTGCCTGAACCCGTCGAGGTGGACGAAATCAGAGCCAGCTTTGACAGGAAGAAGATGGGACCCGTTTTCAAGAAGGATGCAAAGATTATTGAGGATACAGTAGCGGCGTATGACGATGCGAGGTTAGAATGCGTCGAGCAAGAACTGGCGAAAGACGGCAAGACGAAGATTGAAGCGGCGGACGGCAAGACTTACGAATTGACATCTGACCTCATCAGTATTACGAGACAAAAGACTAAGCAGTTCACGAGGGACTTTGTGCCTAACGTCATCGAACCTTCGTTTGGCATCGGGCGAATTCTCTACTCTCTTCTCGAACACAGCTACTGGGCGAGAGCGGAAGACTCTCAGCGTGCTGTCATGTCTTTCCCACCTCTGATCGCGCCTGTCAAAGTCCTCATCGTACCGCTGAGCAACAACGACGCCTTCAAGCCGCTCATCCGACAAGTACAGTCAAAGCTTCGCGCACACGGCATCGCTTCTCGCATCGATGACTCTGGCGCGTCAATCGGCAAACGCTATGCGCGAAATGACGAGCTGGGTACGCCCTTTGGCTGCACGATCGACTTTGCCTCGGTCAAGAACAACACGATGACGCTCAGGGAACGTGATTCGACTTCGCAGAGAATTGGCTCGATAGACGAAGTCGTTGCGGTCGTCAACGACCTCTGCGATGCTCGTGCTACTTGGGCGCAAGCATGTGAGCGCTTGCCGGAATTCTCTGGTGATCAGGACGTGTAATTTCCGTTGCATCATCGCTCTTGCCGCGCGTAAAATGCATAGACAAGTGGCGCTCGAGCAGTGGGTTCGGACCTGCGCGCTTGGCCGGAGCTCCCTCCTGCTTGGTCGAGATGGCCACCTCTACGACTGACAAAACGCCAGCTGCGCCTGATCCCAAGATCACAGGCAGACCCAACAAGGGCAGCAGCGGAGGAAGCGGCAGAGATTCGACAGAGCTCGCTTACCTCAAATCGCTCGTGTCTCGCCTGAACGAAAAGATCCAGAGCTTGGAGAGCTCTGCGGGCGATGCTGTCTCTTCTGGCGGTGCGACGATCTCGGGCGTGCTCGAATCGGCCAAGCAGACCGTCGGTCTCACGCCCAGCGAGCAGATTCGCTTGATTCTCATGGGACCTCCTGGCGCCGGTCAGTACATGAAGTGATGAGGCTCTCTTGATCTGAGCTGACCTGTCACCGTGTCCGACAGGAAAGGGCACTCAGGCGCCAAAGATCAAAGACAAGTACTGCGTCTGTCATCTCGCAACGGGAGACATGCTGCGAGAACAAGTCAAGCAAGGTACGCCCTTGGGTAAAGAGGCCAAGAAGATCATGGACCAAGGCGGTCTGGTGAGCGATGAGATCATGATCAACATGATCAAGGACCAGCTGGACAACAACGAAGAATGCGCCAATGGGTCTGTGGCCTGCCTTTTGCTCGCCCCGTCAAAGCTCAAGCTCGCGTAGATTCATTCTGGACGGGTTCCCTAGGACGACGCCCCAGGCTGAGAAGCTGGACGGCATGCTCGAGCAAAAGGGTCAGAAGATCGAGCAAGCCATCCAACTCCTCATCAATGACAACATCCTTGTCAGCCGTATCACCGGCCGCCTCATTCACCCTGCTTCAGGCCGCAGCTACCACAAAGAATTCAAGCAAGTCTGCGTGTTTATGACATCTTGCGGGCGTTGACGAATGCTTTGCAGTCCTCCGAAGAAGAGCATGACGGATGATGTGACGGGCGAGCCCCTAATCCAGCGCAGTGACGACAATGCGGAAACGCTGAGGAACCGCCTCTCGACTTATCACAAGCAGACTGGCCCTGTCGCAGAGTACTACAAGAAAAAAGGTCAGAATTCTGGGCATCGAGCGTACCGCATGCTCATTCGCCGGTCCTCTGACAGGCGTCTGGCACGGTGTTGACGCTGCCCAGAAACCCGAGACGGTCTGGAAGAGCATCGAAAAGATATTCAAGGAGGCTGCAGAGCAAGACAAGAAGCGCTCATCTTGAGTTACTACAAAGGAAAACAGTAGATTGCAACAGTCATAAAACAAAGGGGTAGCCTGCCTGAGCGTTCGAGGAGAGAAGCCAGTCGTATTTCTGCAGGAAGTGAGCCCTCTCGTCAATCCCGCCATCCGACTTTCGATTCCTGAGTTCGTTGACGAGCTGGGTATCCTGGGTCTCTTCGAGCGAGGTCACCAGGCCGACGGCTTCCAATGCGGCGAGATCGTCTGCGCTCGTCCAGCAGAGCATCCGCAGGAAAGCATCCCATGAGGTCGGAGCGACGGCGGGCAGATTAGCATCTATGGCGCCTTGTATCGACTTCATCGTCGTCGCGTTCCCGCCGCATGCCCACCAGAGAGAGGCAGCTTTCGCAACCGGTAAGTTGTAGAGCTCTGCACTGGCCGTTATCATTTCGACATAGTCAGCGCGAGTGGCTTCGGCTGGACCATCTGCTTGCACATCAGGCAAAGATGTTTCTGACAGAGCGGGCGTTTGCGCTGCTGACAGCGGTGGAGGGGTGTAGCCATGAACGGCAGGCGTACTCTTGCGCGTGTGTCCGTTTGTGCCTGGCGCGTCGTCGTCGTCGGACGTGGATGGACTGTCGAGCACGATCCGTCTCCTCAGTGGCGTGATCTGACGCGCTGGCGTGGCTGAACGTCTCTCCGGATCAGAAGGCGAGGGCTGTATTTGTGTCTCTGTCTGTCTTGGCCTACCGCGTGATGTGGCCTTTGACTTTTGCCCACTGCTAGAAGAGGCAGCATCAGATGAAGACGAGCTCTCTTCGTCGCCTGATTCGCAGAACGCTTTGGTCTCCCAGATCTGTTCGACGAGGGCATAGGCTGCTGCAGTTGCCCATGCTGCTTGATCGATTTGCCTGAGTTTGTCGTCTGGCCAAGTGCCCAACCCGCGCTGCTTCAAGCTCACTCTTCGCTTGGGCTGTCTACTTTGGACAGAACTAGATGTCAGAGGAGGTCGTTGAACAGAAATGAGCGACTGACGGGTGTGACATTGGCTGTACATTCGTTGATGATATTCGGGCGCGAGTGACGTGGACGTGATCGCGTGATCGTGACAGAACGGTTTCGCGTCGATAATCAGATCAGCGCCTTGCCGTCGGTTCGGCTTAGCGAAGACGGCGTCGCGCACGAATCTCAAGAAGCCCGACATCCCGCTCCAGTCCCTGTCGACGCCAGGCAAGACCAACAGGATGCTCGCGGCTCCATCGGCCTACTTGAAGCGGTTGACCAAATACGGCGATGCTGCGGCTCAGCTCGCCTCTACTGCTACTGAGCGAGTACACGAGATCGAGGACGAGAGTACATCGGAAGCCCAAGACCAGCTAGATCACGAATATGAACCCCTCATCCACTCGACACACTCTGAACAGTCACGCAAGAGTGACAGGACGGGCAGGTCGAAGCAGAACAGCAGACCGGATCCTGCCTCGAGGGCACAGAGTCAGAGGAGCAGAGTGAGCTACACTAGCGTAGAAGGGGCAGCGTCGCTCGCGCCAAGTGAGACGGGCACGGTCACGCGCATGAAGCGACTCGAGATGGCCGTGAGCTACATCTGCTTCTTCATACTGGGTTCGTCAGACTTCCCTCTCTCGGCCAGCCAGGGAAGCTGAAGTAGAGATCAATGAAAGGGACGACGATCTTGCTCAGCTGGAATGCGTTGATCGTGGCGAGCTCCTACTTTCAGAGTCGACTCCTCGGCAGCCAGTTCGAGACCTCCTTCGCCAGCTGGGTTGCCATGACCTTTACGACAGGCAATCTCATCTTCCTCGCTCATGCCAACTATACCCAAGCAAAGGTGTGCGACCACTGCCCGATGAGATGCGCTCGCGACTGACCGGCGAGCAGGCTAATCCGAACACGCGCATCTTCATCTCTGTCATCGCCATCATTCTCGTCCTCGCACTCTTGGCCATCACTACACGTATAGAGTCCATCAGTGCGACAGCGTTCTTCCCCATCCTCATCGCCTGCAGCTTCCTCAGTGCCGCCGGCGCATCCTACTTGCAGAACGCCATCGTTGCACTCTCTGCGCTCTTCGGTCCGAGCTACCTGCAAGGCATCCTGAGCGGTCAGGGAGCGATAGGCGCACTCGTGAGTGTTATCCAATTTGCGAGTGCCTACGGCGGCTTGAAGGAGGACGATACTTCGGACTCGAGTGCTGTCCTTGCCGCACCACAAGTCGTCTTCACAACGACGGACTCGCCTATTGATGATTATGTCGACAAGCTACGCGATTCGGCGTTCATCTTCTTCATTGTAGCGACGGCGATGGCTGCAGGTTCGCTCGTCGCCTATGTCATCTTGATGAGGATGCCGTACTTTCGAGTTGTCGTACGGAGCTCCGGTGTCGATGATCCGAATGACGATCTCGAGCATTCAGACGGCGGCATGGGAACGAAGCAACCTGCAGAAGAACACGAGCCCGTCAGTTTCAGGGTCGTTTTCGGCAAAGTCAGACTTCTCGCCCTATCGGTGTTTTACGTCTTCTTTGTCACCTTGAGCGTGTTCCCTTCGATCACGGCGTCGGTCCTGTCTGTCAACGACAAGCCGGGCAGTGATGGCAAGTCACCGCCGGCTATCTTTACGCCGGTCCTGTTTGTGCCGCTCGGCTTCATCATCTTCAATGTTGGCGACTGGATAGGCCGAGCCATGCCTCAGATCCCGCTCCTCAACTTTCATGCGCCTAAAGCGCTGGCGATCGTATCAGTAGCAAGAACAGCATTCGTCCCACTCTTCCTCTTCTGCAACGTTACTGCAGGCGTGAGCGAAGCGCCACCCATCTTCGATTCAGACACCATCTTCCTTCTGCTCCTGCTGCTCTTTGCAATCTCGAATGGCTACATCAGCACGCTCATCATGATCACAGGCGTTGGGACGCCAGAACTGGAGCAGCACGAGATAGATACAGCGGCGACTCTGCTCGCATTTGCTCTGACGGCAGGACTCGCTCTGGGCAGTTTTGCCTCTTTTGGCGTTCGAGCCTCGATATGTCGCTGCAACCCTTTCCTCCAATGATCAGATCTGGCCCTAGAGAGCTAGCCATGTTGAGTGTTGTGACAGTATGCAGACGGTTCGACGCAGACAGAGCGCGATAGACAACAACATAAAGCATGGATGGATCAGTCGTCTTCGGGTCTGCCGCGGATGTAGCGCCCTGCTTCCTCGAGCGCTTCTTGCGTCTCTTGGTCCAGCTGGCCTGCTCGAAAGCGTCAGTCACAGGGCACAAGCAGTGCTTCGGCGGGTCGGTCTACCTGTCATGCGTAACGCGTAGGCGCCTGGTATAAAGTTTTCTGCAGGGACAAGCACCGTCTGAGTATGCTCATCTTTCTGGATCAGGACCGACTTGCCTATCCGACTGAATTTGGCCTGCTGTGACATCAGCAACGGTCATTCCAAAGGTCGACTAGAGAGAGCGTACGACCCATGATTCTTGTGGCTTCACGCTCGCTACGACACCCTCGAAGGTTCCGGTGGTACACTGAAGCACTCTCTCGCCATCTGACTTCATCTGTCGCCCTGGTCTGAGCTCGACTGTGCGGGGGCCCGAGACGATGGCATGGCACTGACTGCTAGGAAAGGACAATTGGGGCAGCCGCTCTTCTTGAAGTCGCTAGCGGTGAGGATGAGTGAGCAGGAGAGGCATGCTCTCTGCTTGCCTGTTCCTCTGGCCGGCATGTTGGTCGCTCACGTCGAGGCTCGCTGTCACTTTGCTTGCAGATCGACAAGTCGCGCAGGTTTTGTGCGAGGCAGCAGACAGACAGAGGGCGAGCGATGTCGGCGAGGTTGTGCAGCTGTATGAGGGGCCTGCAGCTGTCTGTGAGCCGGCTTGGGCTCAGTCTGGCGGCAACAAGGAGAGGACTGGCAACGCATGCAGAGGCGCCGTCTGAAGGTGCCAAACGGGCAGCCAAGGAGCAAAGAGCTCAAGACCGGCTACGCAAGCTCAAGCGATTCGAGCAAGGCGGCTCGACGTTTTCGTACAAGCCCATGGCCAAACCCAAGGGTGCCCATCGTCAGGCGCTCCTCGAGGCTCGCCGGAACAAGATCGCCAAGCTGCAGAGACTGCACGCAGAGAGGAGGAAGGAGAAGAAAGATGCGACGACGATGATACCGGACAAGTGGCTGCAGGGCACCCGGGAGATCTACCTGCCCAACCTGTCCCTCGTCATGCTACGCAACAACCCGCTCCAGAGACCTTATGACCCCTATACGGCTACCTTTCGATGCGCGCCCACACTGACAAAGATCGACATCGTCAACTATCTGGCGGCGGTCTACAAGCTCGAGGTGACTTCGATACGGACGATGATAGAGTCCAATGCTCGTCACGTCATCAGGGACAGAGTGCAAGCCAAGATGGCGAGGAGGATGTCCATGCAACCTTACCGCGAGGGCAAGCTGCGTAACGTGAGATCGAAGAAAGTCATCGTCAGCCTCAAACAGCCTTTCTGGTATCCTGCACCACGCTCCGACGACTTCATGCGTCCTCGCTTCCAGTAGGTCCCATCTCTCTTTCCATCATGCAGCTCCGGCTAACAGTCCTGCAGAACTCGCCAGGTGGACTCGGGTGATCCCAACAGACCCAATCTGGCCGGAGCGCGCAGCCAGGCAGGCGTCTCTCAAGCCGAATCACAGAACAAGCGTACCTATCTCAAGAGAGTCCAGAAGCGGTGGGCAGAAGAAGACAAGAACGTTCGCTCGTTCATCGAACGCGCAAAATCTGTTCGATCAGAGCCGGACGTGTAGTAGAGCATTGCAACGTGCACCGAAATGTACTACAACAACATGAGACAGATACATGCTCTTTCTAATCATCCTCAATCACGATCGGCCCTCTCTGATCTCTCGGTGAGCGGGTCTTGACGGCAGAACCAGCTTTGGATCGCATGTGCACTTCTTCCTCTTCTTCCGCTTCGGTATCAGTCTCCGAGTCGTCTGCTCGTGCAGGCTGTTCTACGAGCTGCAGAGCATCATAGAGCTGACCCGACTCGTCCGGAGAGAAGATGGCATCGAGTAGCTCCCGCGCAAGCTCAGAGATCTCCCAGAGCACCTCGTCGTCCTCTGGAGAAATGTCGAAAGCGAGCGTGCCGTAGCTCAGTCGTCCCATGCTCTTTGTGAACTTGTGATCGACGCCCTTGAAGCCAAAGTTGACGATGGCTTCTTTGAGCACGGTCGAGAGATCTCGGCTGGCAGAAGCATGCAGCGCTAAGCGGGCGAGTAGCTGCGTACAATTCAGCACTCTGTCAAGCAATCTGTTCGATGTCATTCGATCGGGTACCCCGCTATCTGCCAGGGAGGCGACGCACCCTGAGACAGACTCGCTACTGTCCGGCGCAAAGAGGAAGCCTTGATCAAAGAGCATGTCAACATCGGCATCGATTCGGATGACGAGGCTGGCCAGCAAGATTCGAGACTGGCTGAGCATGACGATACTGTCCTTGTGAGCGTGTGACAGGATATGCAATATCGTCGTTGCCTCAGATGCCGCATCGAGATTCACGGCGTGGCCGATATCTCTTCCACGGCGCAAGAGAGTGCCTAGCCAATCGACCAGTGGAATCTGACTCTTGATCTCTGATGAATCGTCTCGTGTGATATGCATGGGCTGGGCAAGGAGCTGTCGGAAGAGAGCAGGCTCAAGCGCGAGCGTCTTGAGCATAGCCAGTGCACGAATGCTAGAATCATCTGTGTACCTTTGCAGTAAGACTGGCATGGCTTTCTTACTCGCCAGAAAAGCGTCGAACGCCGCTGTTGCACCCTCCGCGTTGACCGATGTGAGTGCTTCTAAACAGCATAACAAAGTGCGCCCAAGAGACGATAGCTCCTCGACCTCGGGCTGCAGATGACTGATCATCGTGGCGAGACTCGCCAAAAATGCAGTAGATTGCTCGAGGCTGTCGTATGGCGCAGCATGCAGGTACGCGGGCCCGAACTGGTGCGGGAAGCGCACGATGAGGTAGGTCATCCATTCGATCAGGTGCTGCAGCGAACTGTATGACCTCGTCTCGTATAGAATCGTAACCATCTTGACTGTCGTCGACGCGAGTTCGCTGACAAGGTTGCGTATCGCAATGTCGGGCGGACAATCTCGAAAGAGCATGTCGCTAGATCGCGCAAATTGTGTGAAGATGCTTTGCGCTAGATTGAGGTAGGCCAACTGATCGGCAGGGCTCGCTTCGCCAAAAGTTGGACTGATGATGAAGCGATATGTCCGTGCACTATCGGACACTTCTGTGCTGCCCATCAGACGGTGTGTCAAGAGAGCAGACAAGATGTCCTCGCGCAGGTGAGCACAACGACGCGTCAGAGCTTCCTGGGGCGACTCTTGGGTGACCGATGTATCGATCATCATCATCGAATGCTGGGAGCTGGGAGGTGTAGCAGGCTCGGGAGCCGCAGGAGCGGCCTCAATCTTGGGTAGTTCTGAGTCTGGCGGTCTACCGCGAGACAGGAAAGGCGTGTCTGCATCGGGCATGACGGATTGCCTTCTGTCGGGTCGCGGTGTGACGCTTTCATCACGCTGACGTGTACGCTGCTTAGAAGCTGCGGCCAGACTGGGCGAGTCAATGAAGCTGTTCTCGAAGCCACGCATGCGGGTGACCGATCCCTGCTTGCCTTTTGATTTGATTGTTGGTGGCTCGGGCGGGACCGCTCTCAGTCCTGCCAGCCCTGGCCGCTTCGCCTGAGACTTCGTGGGAGAGTAGCGCAGAGGCGGCGGTGGAGCCATGAGCTGGCTCTCTTCGCCACGAGGATGGCGTCGAGCGGTACTGTATCGATCCACCGAATTGAGGTAAGCTGCACGCTTACGCGGACTGTGAAGAGTCGCACGGCGATTCATGGACTCTGCTTCCTGAGCTGCAAAGGCTGCTTCTGTTCGAGCAGTCTCCACTTCGCGCCGAGCTTTTGACTCGGCAGCCTTCTTCTGGCCTTCGAGTTCTTCCAGTTGACGACGGTGGGCTTGACGATCGGCCTCATGCTGTTTGTCTTTCTTTTCCATGCTCCGCCGTATATAGTCGGCTTCGCCCTCTTTGGTGAGTGCCAGCTGCTCAGCCAGCAGACGCGCATTTCGTTCCTGACGCGATTTGTTAGCACCTTTCGAAGCGTGGGAGATTTCACTTACGGTCTCGAGCTGCGATCTCAATCTTGCCAGCTCGACCGTATGGGCACTAGCGATCGACGGAGCATTGACAGCTGGACGAGGCGAGACAGATCTCTGGGGCTGCACAGCTCCATTACTCGCCACGCCATTGACACGTGATGGCATGTCTGCGCGTGCAGTCGAGGTAGGAACGCCAGACATGCTGATTGATCGACCGAATGATCTATTCACTGACGAAGAGGGCACCGCGGGCGTCTGTCTCGGCGGTGGAATGAAGGGCTTGCTAGCGAAAGCAGTGGTGCTTTTAGTCGCAGCAAGGGCAGGTGCGCGCTTGCCGTTCGCGTGTGACTGCGCAGGCATCTGTGAAGCACGTGGAGCGATGCCATAGTCTCCGCGCTCGTTGAGGACGACGATGTCGTCCATTGTGTTGTCTTCTTCCTCGTCTTCGTCGTCCAAACGTCCGTGAGCATCCGAGACGAGATCTCTTCGCGCTCGCTTCGGCGGGGGTATCACGCCATTGAGCTTGGTCACCTCCCTCAGCGCAGGTCTCGCTGCGGGTACAGCGAGCCTGTCCGGCTTGCTAGTCGAATGAGAGCGTTCGATAGATTGTAAAGACGGTGCGATGTCAGTCTTTGTGGAACGGCTGTCGTAGGATTGGGTGAGTGCATCGAGCTGGGCAAGTGAGGCCTCGTCCAAAACGAGCTCATCAAAGCCAAATTCGTCATCGTCAGACGAGGCATTGGCGAGATGATTGACAGTCTTGACGTCCTTAGAGGCGCCGTTAGCAGCACTTGCAAGCTGTTCTTTCGGCTCTAGCGCCGGCGGCAGCTCCTGAGAATCATCAATATAGTCCATGGCTCGATGTCGGACCGCCACAACATCGCTCGAGTCTGCTGAGCTCGCACAATCTCACGATCTTGGCCGTTCCTAGTGGTGAGCATGACACGCGTCGCGCTATCAATCAACTGCCACTCGTGCCCTCACCACGCTTACTCGGCCTGTGCGCTTCGATTTGTACTTCCCCGAGCTAGCCCGCATGCGCAAGGAGCATGAAGGGTACAGTGCGCTTAGAGGAGGAAGAGGTCCTCTTCACCATCGAAGACACCTCGGAGACGACGACGCCAACGAGCGATCACTCTCCTCAACCTCCTTTGTCCTCTTTGAGTCCGGCCAAGCCAGCTCATCAGCGCAACCCGGACACTCATGTACGTTTCGCCACGCCTCCAGCATACAGAGACTCAGTAGACGACGAAGCCGGTAGATCGGAGCAACCTGTCTATCCTCCTCCGCCTGTCAGCTTGACAACGGCTACTCTGGCTTCTACTCTCGCTTCGAGAGAAGCGCAATTTGAGCTGGACTCTGATCAGCTATCCGAAGCTGATGAGCTCCATGACACTGTCAATGGGCTGCCCAACGGGCATACAATGAGCCCGAGTAGCGCCACATCACGAGACAGGGTGCCGCTGCTGCACGAGGCTCGCGGCAGGCTCAGCTTGGATGGGGCAGCTTTGATCTACTCTGAAGAAGAAGGGCAGATTCCCGGTCGACATCTATCGGGCGAAGAGGACTTGTCGAGATGGCTCGACCAAGGCGGTGGACTGATTTCGGGCATGATCAATATGATCAACGCGACCATTGGGGCTGGCGCCGTCGGCTTGCCTTACGCCCTCCGAGAAGCAGGACTGTTCACGGGTGTCATCCTCTTGCTTGCTCTCGGAGCGGTCACAGACTGGACAATCCGTTTGATTATATTGAACGCCAAATTGAGCGGCCAATCGAGCTACGTAGGGTTAGTTTGCCTATACCACCTAGAATACCCTCCGGCTGATGCTATCGACCTCCCCACAGTATACTGGACACATGTTTTGGCTTTCGCGGCAGAGTCGCCGTATCCTTCTTCCAGTTCACCTTTGCTTTCGGCGTACGTCTGAACACACGGACCCGGTCATACCACTGACGCGTGAACAGGGTATGTGTGCCTTTGGCGTCATCTTGGGCGACACAATACCGCATGTCCTCGTCTCGCTCTTTCCTGCGCTCGCTCGGACGAGGCTGTTCGGCTTCCTGTTCTCCCGTCAATTTGTCATTGCCTTCTTTACCTCTGCGATTTCATATCCCCTCAGTCTATATCGCGATATCCACAAGCTTGCGCGTGCTTCTGCACTAGCCCTGGTCAGGCGAGTCTCTCGATTCTCGCGCGCTGCCACGCTCACGAAGTATTGGTGTGACTGCAGCATGCTCATCATCTTGCTCACTGTTAGCTGGAGAGGATCGATCATCGATCCTGCTCTGCGCGGCAACCCCGAACAGCGCTTCACTGTGCTCGAGAGCGGCGTCTTCGAGTCTATCGGCGTCATCAGTGCGTGTTTGTTCTCATGCTATCAGGTCTAGCTAAGCATTGAGCAGGCTTCGCATTTGTCTGCCATCATAATTCGCGTGTGTCACGCTCCTACATATCAGCTTGAGACGGTCTGATGGCGGAGCTCCGTACATGCAGTACTCATCTATGGTTCTCTCAAGACACCTACGCTCGATCGCTTCGCACGTGTGACCCACGTCTCGACCGCCATATCAGTTGCTGCCTGCTTGATCATGGCCCTCTCCGGCTTTCTCGTCTTCACAGACAAAACGCAGGGCAACATCCTCAATAACTTTCCGCCTGATGACTTCTGGATCAATATTGCTAGAGCTTGCTTCGGTTTCAACATGTTCACGACGCTTCCGCTCGAAGCGTTCGTCTGTAGAGAGGTGCGTCACGTTGCTGTGTGAGATTGCAGTCATCACACTGATCGAGTGCAGGTCATCGAGTCATTCTTCTTCGCAGGTCGAGCGTTCGACCAGAAGCGTCACATAATTATCACGACCGTCACAGTAGCCGCTAGCTTGCTGGGTAGGCTTCTGCTGCTTGCATGGTGCATGTGCTGACTGCGGGTACAGTTGCATTGACGACCTGCAATCTTGGCGTCGTGCTCGAGCTCACAGGCGGCTTTGCAGCCACGTCCCTTGCGTACATTTTTCGTACGTGCATGCCGAGCGAGAAGACTTGACCTAATGCGAATGACAGCCGCTGTATGCTACTTACGACTCAGCGGCAACCCAACCCATCCGTCAAAATGGCCCGCTTGGGCCTGTGCTGGCTTTGGCGTGATCGTCATGATCCTCAGCACGGTTCTCTCTCTTCGCAAAGCAGCCGAACGACACGACACACAGCAATGTTAGATGATGCAACAGGAGATTGTACTATGTTGGCAACAACAGTAGATCTGTACATGTTGTAAGGTACAAAAAAACCAAAAGTGGCTCAGAATGCAAGGATAGCCTAGGTAGACTTGCTGATCTGGCTGGCGAGAAAGTCTTCGACTAGAGAAACGCTCGCGAGGTGCCAAGGAAGGCCGTTGACGTCATGCATCTGCCACCGAGCCCGCGCCAACGTATGCAGATCGGAATAGCTTCTCGTGATATCGCGCAAAGTTGCCTCGATACTGCTAGTGTACGTCGATGTCGCCGTGCGATGACTGGAAAGATAGTATAAGTTGAGGCTACTGATGGCTTTTGAGGCCCGCGATCGGACGAGCGACGGCCAAGAGTGACTTTGAGCAAGTGTGGGCTGATCAGGCACGAGGAGCATGAAGGCAGAGGCCAGCGATCGTGCATATAGCCGCAGGTCGTGATTGTACAGCTCTGAGGGTTGTGCAAGAATGCAAGCGTAGTGTCTGGACTGTAGATCGATCAGGGTTTTGCCATGATGTAATTCCTCGTCATCTGGGCCAAAGAGCGAATCTGTTGGAGAATCAGCCGAAGCGACCTGCTCCAGCTTCGTATCTCGGAGCAGAAGTGGTGTCTTTGCATCTGTCGCCAGTAGAGACAGGTGGGCGGGCTTGCTCCACCGAGAAGCAGCTGACGCAAATACACGTTCCCACGCTACAATCTGGATCAGCTGAGCATGTTGTCAAAAGGCGGATTACGCACCAGCAAGCTCAAGTGCTTCGAGCAAGCCCATTTTGACGATGACCACACGCCATTCGACGGAAGCCGACGTAGCAGTGCCTTGAGCTAATTCCCATACGAGAAGGCAAGCTTGAATGTAAGTCTGGCCGGGCTGCACGTTGGCGGGTAAGAGCTTGACTCGTACCGTGTGCCCCTCGCCTCGGTCATCTACGCAGGCAAGACATAGCCAGCGCCGGTCGGCGGAGATGGCATAGGCGACATGCAGCATTCGATGGCGATCAAGAATATCGAGTGATCGGCTTGGCCAACTGAAATCGATCCGGGGCCTAGAAGCTACGCGTTCGAGCGAAAGCGTGAACGCATGACCTTGGAAAGAACCATGACGGGCCTTTGCGGTCAATCCGAGCGCTTCCGCGGTCTCTGGTTTTGCGCTGCGGTGCTCAACTTCGAGACGGAGTCTGTCGTAAAGGCGGAATGCAAGTGCTGTCTCGTCCGTAGCTTCTCCAGGCTGGCCACTTATCTCGAATGCACGAAGCAAAGCATCTGGCGCGACTAGATGGACCAAAAATGGGTGTGGTCTGTGCTTGTCCGCGGTTTGCTCAAGCGTCGGCTCGCTGAGGAAAGACAGTAACGACATGACAGCTGCGGGCACGGCCATCGAGTCGACCAGCATCACGGTCAAGTGGTCGCAACTTTGCGAGTGTTGGCGCAAAGTTTGCCCTGTATTGGTGGATTAGCTATGTTGCCGCCTATCTTGCATGATGCTTACGAAGATCAATCAAGCTTTGAGCAACTTCGGCGCCTTTACGAAGATCCATCGCGCCAGTTGGCAGCCTGCGCGCACCGCCTTCGGCGAGTGCATGAGCCACTTCGCACGTGCCAAGACCACAAGCCTGTAGTCTGATCAGTGAATGAATGGAGCGTAGGCATACGAGACACACCGAATACGCGGCGGCCGTTCTTCCTAACCATTGTCGAACGCTCGCAGAAGACTGTTGAGCGCCGTGCAAGGCGACGACCGTAACATTCTTGCATCCGCTCAGCGGGGTAAAGCCGAGCTTTGACCAATTTGGCAGAGCTAATGGCGATGACTTGATGACCATATCTCGACGTCGTAGGATTAGCGGAGGCGCATCGAGACGTTCTAGTGCGTCAGTGACCTCTGTCACCTCGTCGGCGGTGCCTCTGTCCAGGCGACTGATCAAATCTGTCGCCCGCAAAACGATCGAATGCGGCAGGACAGAGCTCGCGACTGGTGCTGCAACGGGCTTGTTACGCATGAGGACCCAGCGAAAGTCTGGGTTTTCGACAAGGTGTTCGGCGAACGAGGTAGCAACATGTTCTTTGGCAGCCGGATTGTCGAGAGCAGATGAGACTACTGCATCGTCGGTCTTGCCTGGCTTCTGCTGGAGTCGATCGCCAAGCAATGAAAAGATCTCAGCAGTCAGCAGCTGTGCTGGTATCGGAGCCCCGTCGTCTTCCTCTGAATTGCTCGCTCTGACACCATCGTCATCATCATCGGCGTCGCCGTCGCGCGCTAGCTCGTCTTCAGATGTCGCTGCACTTTCGTCCATGATAGATTGCTGCAATCGCGTGTGCCGTGCGCGAGAAGGATATCGCGCTTTGGACTCTGCCAAATCGATAGATATTGAAGATCGCCTTCGCTTCGTCTTTCGCCCGTCTGATACATTGATGTCGAGCGTTTTGAACACTGCGCTTTGAGGTCGCTTCTTCGCTATTGGCAGATCATCAAATGAGATGGCTTCGAACGAAGTCAAAGGGACGTGCGGTTGCTCGACTTCGTGGACCGGACTCAGCACTTTCATCTCGTCGGATCTGAGCGAGTCCTCGGTATGCCAATATGGCGTCTTTGGTGTCTTGACATTGGAGACATCAGAGCCAGGTGAGACTGTGCTCGGTGCGGTCGTCGCGCTCGTTGCATCTTCAAAGCTGGTGAACGTTCCTCCCGATCCCACGCTACTGGATACAGAAGGATGCTGGATTGCTTGGTCTACCTGATCGGGCGACCGAGGCTTGTTACCATTGATGTGAGCTTTGGATACCTTGACCGTCGGCGCGTCGAAAAAGCTAAAGTCATCTTCTGTGAGACCTTGCATGGGATCGGTCGCATGCTCAAGCTCATACGAGTGCTGATGCCTAGGCGACGGCCTGCTCTCTATGAGATCCCAGTCTGTCTCCCTCTGTACGTGCGCCGGCGGCGGCGGTACTTTCGCTGGCTTCGATGGCTCAGCTGCAGGGGTTCGCGGTGAATCTGCGCTTGCACTTGCAGGTGCGGAAGGCGCGGGCGCAGCTGGCCGCGGACTGGCTGGGAAATCACCCGCTTTTGTGGGGGTATCCTTGCGATCTCTAGTTTTGGTCAGCTGGTCAATCTGCGCGCCTGACCACTGTGCGAGCGCGTTGAGGTGCTCTTCCATGGAGAGGATGTTCTGACTACGTGTTGCCAGTGGTAATGTAGGCTTGGGAGCCTCCGCTGGACTCGGCTTGACGAGACAGGCAGCAAGAGGCCAGACTATGTCGCGTTCGCCTTCGATACCGGGTACATCTATCGAACGGATGACGATCCACTGTGCATCCGGCGATAGAGGCTGCAGGAGACCGCGCGTGGCATCGTGCCATGACTCGCGCAGGCCATGCAGACTCGCTAGCTCACACTGCTTGATCGAGCGAGACCTGGTGTGCTCATAGGCTGGATGCGTGTGAGCATACCGCCTGACGAAAACACCAGACAAGCCGAGCGGTGCGAGTGTGATAGCTGATTTCGTGTCTGCCATGTCAAAAGAGCCCGATTCTTGCTGAAGGTACTCCATCTGCTCGACATGCCTCGCCGTCAGGGATGAATAATCGGACGTCTCGAGAACCGGTGAGAAGACGAGGTGCGATTGCGCTAGTTGAACTTGACAGCTACACCATGTGCTGTCTTGATCTGGCGGGAGGAGCAAGACGCCGTTGCCATCTCTCAAGCAGGTCATATCTTCCCCTGTTTCGAAGAGCACGAGTCGCCGCAGAAAAGCGTCACGAGCTGCCATCGTGAAGGCATTGAGTGTAAGGAAGAGCTCTGGCGAGAGTGATGAGATCGAGAAGGCTGCTGGTAGGTCTGCTATAGGGGTCTCTTGAGCGACTGTGCCAGATTTGTAGATATGCGGATAGAGATCTGCATGAGTGAAGCTGCCCGTAAGAGACACTGTCCGGGAGTGTCAGCTCAGGGTTTGCTATCAGTACAAGGCTGAGCCGTACCTTTGAGTCCCGCCCGTGGCTCAGGATCTGCAATGGGTGCATCTTTCCCAGCAAAGGTGAATGACCAGAGCTGCCGAGCGGAAGCATCGTCTGGCTTGGCCGCGTCGACAGGAAGGACGATAGTCCACCTTGAACCCCAAGACTGCTCAGATGGGCCTGCTGCCATGTCGTCGCGTCCATGCCGCTCGAGCAAGTTCTCGTTCGCTGTGGCGTCATTCTCAACAACGCGGTATTGTTGCCAGTCGATGCGCCAAGCTTGATCCCCATTCGTCGTCTTGTCCTGCTGAGCATACAGAGCTGCAAAGGGCAACTCGACAGCCGAGGGAACGAGATGACGTTCCCATCTTGGATCGCTCGTATCCGCGTTCAGGGTGTACAATGTCTTCGCCCGGGTGGTGGACTTTGGCAACAGATTGCCGACGGGTGAGTCAAAGGTATGTCTGCCCGCCGAAGGGCTGGCAAGCGAGAGCGCAGAGGGCGAATTGATACTCTGAACGGATGTGAGGCTTTGCGAAAGAGCAAGTGGCACATTCCCCGCTTGACCAGCATACTTGGGCGATTGTGCTGCCGAGTGAACCGGCGATCGAGCTGAGCTATGACGAGCTGCTGAGTGAGCAGGAGGTGCTCGCGAGGTCATCGAGCTGCTTCCCGGTCGGGCAGGCAGTGGATGATTCATTTTCGACTGTCCTCAGCGACGAGCTGCTCGAGCTGGCTGGAAGCTTGATCAAGATGGCGAGCTCATGTGGACAGGAGTGTGCTCTGCTCCGCTCCGCTACATCTGGCCACCGCCCAATCTTGCAGACGATGTATCACGTGTGTTGGCTTGGTGTGACTTGCTCGGGCACGCGCTCGGTCCAAGGGCTGACCTCAACCCGTGTGGCCAGAGTGCGCTGCCGACCAGGCCAAGCCATGAAGATCACGTCGATACAAGTGCTCAGCCGAGCGCCGGGATCGAGCAACTCGAGTCCGCTAGCAGAAGCGCACGATGTTGCAAGCTTCTCGTTCTATCAGCGTGGCGCGTAAGCAGCTGCCCATTGTGCCTGCCTCGCTTGTCCGTCTGACTCGCGCCATCGTGCCCTTCCTGCCAGTGTGACCGAGTTTCTCAGCTTCTTGGCCAAGACGGTCTCGGATCGCACGCAGCCAGGACAACGACAGTCGATCCAGGAACAGAACTACATCGCCCATGTGTACGCGAGGGATGTAGGCTCAGGTCCGACAAAGCATACCCTCGTGGGCGTCGTCGTCTCGGATGCAGAGTACCCCGTCCGGGTGGCCTTCTCGCTGCTCAACAAGATCCTCGACGAGTTCCCCCAGGACAAGCGGACGGGCCCTGTAGCGTTCCCACAACTGGCGACCTACCTGCAGAAATACCAAGACCCGAAACAAGCCGATACGATCATGAAAGTACAGCAAGAGCTCGATGAGACAAAGATCGTACTCGTGCGTAACACGCCGCTCCGATCAGACTTGCGCTCAGTGTAGGGTCGGCGCATGACAGCACAAGACGATCGAATCAGTCTTGGAGCGAGGGGAGAAGCTAGATTCTCTCGTCGACCGTTCAAACGCGCTATCTGCTTCTTCCAAGATGTTCTACAAGAGCGCAAAGTGTGTCTCTGCTCTTCACTTCCCAAGTCGCGCTTGCTGAACCTCTCGCGGCGAGCAGGAAGCAAAACTCGTGTTGTGTCATCTGCTAGGGCAATCATTTTCATTGATACATCGGCTAGACTGGCCCTCCTGACTCGCATGATTCTATGGACCACACGGGATGCGAAGCTACGGCCAGTGAATCGGTATGGAAGCCTCGCTTGAGTCGATCGATAGCCGTCCAAGCTATCATCGCAGCATTATCCGTGCACAGGGCCACCGGCGGAAAGATGAGCCTCGTCTCTGTCCTGCCCTGTCCGTCCAGACACTCTCGCAAGCGATTGCGCAAGAGAGCATTACTCGCCACGCCTCCGCTGACGACGAGCGCGGTGGGTTTGATCGTCAGATCTGCCAGAGTGACCGCTAGAGTGCGCTCGAGCTGCATGATGGCAGTAGACTGGAATCGCTGGGCAATGACTTTTCGTTGGTCTTCTGACAGAGCGTCTGTTCCTCCTTGCTCGCTTACGAATCGTTGCACCGAGCTCTTGAGGCCCGAGAACGAGAAGTAGCCAAACCGAGCCTTGTTCTCTTTCGTTGGATGTGAGCGGAAATCAGGGCAATCGAATCCTGGCAGCTCTCGTGCAGAAGCTGCGAATCGTTCCAGAGCACTACCGGGGGAGCCCATCCAGGGTACTGCAAGCAGACGTGCAACGTGATCGATCGCTTCGCCAATGGCATTATCGCGTGTTGTGGCGAGTAGCTCGAATTGGGACGATGATCGCGCAAGCGCAATGAGCGTGTGACCGCCAGACACCAACAGAGTCAGGAAAGGAAACTCAGGTGGCACGTCTTCGGTGAGGAAAGGTGTCAGAGCGTGAGCTTGCTGCAAAAAAAACGCTATACTTGAGCTCGCGTCGACTGTGGGTGGAGGCAAGAGGCGCTGACCATGTGATGCACGCCCACGAGGGGTTTGTCCAGCGCTGCTGCGAGCGAACGTGCAGCGACCGAAGCAACGGTCAGACAAGATAGCATGCCTGGACCTCTCGTGAATGCAATGGCATCGAGATCTGCCATTGTCACTCGTGCTTGCGTCAATGCAGTCTGTATTGCTCCTGGCTGTCGGCGTACGATCAGCGTCAGCATAACTTGGGCTGTCACTCATCTTGCACCGACCATATTGCGCTGATGCTCTCTGAGAGCGAGCAAGGGGTGAATGCCGCCATAGGGCTGATGTGCCTTGTCTTGCTTCACAACGACATTGGCGAGGATCTTGCGTGGGTGACCTTGCACAATGGCGCAACAGGTATCATCTGCTGAGCTCTCGAGTGCAAGCACGAGAAAAGGCGAGCGAGCACGAGGAGGCGAGTGATAAGTTCTTCTCGTGCCAGCAGCCACCGCTATTGCTACTCGCCCCCCCGCTCTTTGCATCAAGGGGAATGGTCAGGTCGCCTGCCCAGCTCAGAGGGACCAAGTCACCCTCGCCTGCGCCTTCCCCGAGCAGATCATCGTCTGTCAATACGCCAGCAGAGAATCCCTATCAGCGCAAGGCGAGAGCTTTGCTTGTCGAATTCAGTTTGACGAGAAAATCGTGGCATGATCAAGTCGGACTGGCATTGCGTCATGCTGCCTCGATCGTCTTGATTCGATCCGATCTATCGTCCGTCTTGCATAGATTGCGCCGGCTTGGGCTCAAGAGACCAGCAGTGCAACGGACCTGAACAGCGCCGTCTTTCTGAAGCAGCAAGATGCACCTTTCGACGCAGCAGCGGCACAACAAGGTTTCAAAAGCGCAGGACATGAGCGTCTGGAGGCTAGCTACAGGCAGCTGCTCGGTGCCATGTCGTCCATCGTACGTCTCCGCTCCACAGATATGACCACACGCGCGTTGATGACGGGGACGCGACAGGAGACGCAGACTGCCCTGACGCTGACGATCAGTCAGAAGTTCGAGTCGGTACTCATCGAAGCGAGCAAGACGAGGGGCATGAGCTTTGCGTTTGAACAGCCGCTATGGCTCACTTGGCCGCTTGCTCGCTTTAGTGCGTCACTGCTTTCACAAGTAGATTCCGACTGATGTTGTTCCAGACGATGAGGTCCTCGAGCTGACAGGACAGTTCAGAGCGTCGAGATCGCTCATGACGGCATTGACGCAGACGTTGACTGATCCGATCAAGACGCACGAAGAATGCCAGGCCGCACTGTCATACTGGCGTTCCCAACCTCTGCTGGCTCGCGAGCACGCGACATCGGGCGAACAGCAATTCGACGAGCTTTGCGCCGTAGAGATGCCAGATTAGCTGACAAGCTCGACCAGTCGTCTGACCCGCAGAGTGGGCTCATGACGCCAGGGCAGCTCAAGATCGGGTCGATACTGATCATCTTGCGAGCCAGCATAGCGAGTGCGATAGCAGATCGTCAGCAAAGAGTCGTATCTGGCGGTTCCTTGTGGCTTCCCGAGGTACATACACAGTCTGATATCTGTCAGAAGCCCGTGAGCTCGAGCGACCACCGGCGCACACAAGGTCTTACTGTTGACATGGACGACGTCGCCCCGACGTACGGTATTGCGCCAGTGCTGCGCGACATCTCCCCAGGCTGCTATGCGCAACGTCGAGCCAGACTCGTCCCAGACTTCTACGGTGACGAGCTTGTTCGTACCCCTCTTTGTCGACAGCTCTCTCAGCTCGGTCACCTCGATGATGGCTGCCAGAATGCTAATGGATGCGCCGAATTGACCGTGTTGCTTCAGCATCTCGTGTGCTCGTTTCAGGGGAATGATCATGAAGAGATCGATGCCGAAAATGCCTTGTGCTCGGGATTCTGTGCCTGCTTGCGTGTCGGCCGTCCTTGACGCGTCTTGTGTCTCGTCGCTCGCACTCGCCGGGGGAGCAGCTTGGGCAATAGCAAGCGACTGCTCGAGATAGTCTATATCCTCCTCGCCCAGCACGTGCATATCTTGCGAGTCAAAGCCTGCTTCCAAGAATGTCTTGCATCCTCCTTCATGAGGCTCGGCTACAGTGCCAAGGAGTGCAGCTTCGACTGCCTGGGTGCTGCTTATGCTCTGTGCTCGCAGAACGGCCGTTTCCTGAGATGGACTCCCGTTGGACAGTACACGCCATCGCGCAGCCGAGCGAACTGGCTGCGCGCCATCACGCGTGGCTAGACTGCGGTAGCACTCTGCTCTGGTCGGTGCGCCGGTGAATGCCACCCATCGCATGCGACTCGTGTGCGCAGCGGCATCGAGCACGAGGAGGTCCAAGCGCGATCGCGTTTCTCAGATGATGCTAGACCCCTTGTCGTCCTCCTGCCCTTTGTTCATTCTGCCTGCTTGCTGAGCATCAGCAGACACGATCATGCACAAGCAACGCAATGGCCTTGCAAGAGAGCGCAAGACCATCGCGCGTGCTCACAGTGCGCCGCAGAGGAAGACACTGCTCAGCCTGCCGAACGAGCTCCTCGACGAAATCGCATGCAGCCTGTCGATTGTCGACGCAGCAGAAAGGACAAAAGATTCACAGGCTCCCAGCGTGACATGCAAATGTCTATGCGCGAATTGTCAGGCTCTGCTCCTCAAGGTGGGCATGCAACAGAGAAAGTGGCGGCCACTTCTGATGGGAACTCTCAGAATATTACAATCGATTCAACTCAACACGCAAGGACTTGGACTCGCCTGCGAGCCGATACAGCTTGGCGAGAGTCGTCAGACGCATCAATCTGGATCTCAGGGATGACTCTCTTCCGAGGGAAGGTGAACGCAAGCCCGCACAGTTCCTGAACATCTACCGAGAGTTGAAAGAGGGTTACACTGACACCCATTCTCTCAAGGCGCTTGACACTCGAGTGTTCTTCATGATAGCACATAAACTCATCCTCTGCACGTCTGTTAAATGGTTTGCTGAGGAGCCAGAGACAGCAGCAATGCTCGAGTTCTTGGCCAACCGCGAGGGCCTCGTGTTGTAGACCTCGGCTGCACGATCGTATAGTGAGAAACCGAGAGAGGCCTTTGCCGTGACATTAGCTTGCGATCTGACAAGCTTGCCCAGTGTCTTATTCCGGCGCAGTAGCACAGAAACGAGCTTGATTGTTATGAAGGCTGCAAACCTTGCCAATCTTCTGCGTATGGCTAGCGCTTCGGCGACGTTGTCTCTGGGTGCTTATCGTTCAGCGCCGGAGCGCCCCAAGTGAGCGGATGTGATACGGAGAGGCCACTGTGAGCCTCTACATCCATGCCGGGCAAAAGCGCCAGGTTCTTATGGGATCTTGGAGGCACGACACAATTTGGATGGCCATGCGCGCGAGTTGTAGTCGTCACATTGCCGTACCAATGTGTGCACTTGCGCGATGTCGTTGAGGTCGCTGTGACCAGAAGAGAGCGTCTCGTTTCGCTCGACTGGCCCGTATGCGATGGCCAAAGACAGCAGCCGTTGAGAAGATCAATCCTAGTGCTACGATGACGAGTAAAGCGACTATAACGGCGACGGCCACAGATCCGCTCGGTCTATCTTCACTGTTAGCGACGTCCACTTGCGCCAGCTGATGACATACGCTGTGTCTAGTGGAACCAGACAGACGCCCTGCGGGCCGCAAACGTAGCTTGAACACTGTTTATTCGCGCTGCAGGCTGAGCCCCGATTGAGCTGCACTTCACACTGTGCATGGCCTTTTTCAGTCCGCAGTCAACTGCGAGCGATGAAAGCCGCTAGACTTGCCTGTCGCGAGGAAGCCTCGCAATAGAGCCCGGACACGCAGTTGTCGCGTGAGGTGATGTAGGGCGTTTGAGTGCCGTCTGCAGCATAAGCTGTATACACAAAATTATCGAGGATGCAGCTCTGTGTATCATGTATAAGCACTGCAAACCCTTGATCGCTGTTGACTGACATTGCCAAGCGTCACATTGCCGTAGACGCATTGAAAGTTGAGACAGATGACGCCGGCGTTGTTGCGCTGGTTGAGCAAGCCTAGATTGGCCGGCGGCGGCGCACACTCGTCTTTGATGAGGCTTCCATGTCAGTACTGATGAGCCAGGCACGCAAGTTGGCTGACCATCTCGATTGAGTTGACATGCTTGCCCGACTGGAACAAGAGGCAGACATCCATCGCCTTCGTCCGGGCAGAAGGTACCTGCTGCGCACCTAGGCGGCAGATCGGCAGCATTCTCATCGCTCGAGAATCTGGAGCTAGCTTGTTCAGCTCACCAGACGGCCGCCAGCAAGGAACTGACCCGTAAGGATATTCGCTACGTCGGCATTTGCGGGGGCGGCAGGTCGATGAGCTTGGATCGCAATACTCCGTACCGTCTGCACAGTCGCTCACAAACTTGTATGACCCAGGCTGGAGGCCATTGTTGAGGACATTGCACGCAGACATGACAGTTGCATCCTCTGAATCAAGCAGCAAGACTACGACGCGAAGCGGCGGAAGATCTATATCTACGCCTCGTCTGTATCACAGGCTCGACCTGATCGAATGGAAATCTGGCGCGGTTGTATCGTGCATAAACCTCTTTGAGCTTCCTCAGCCTTGCTTGGTCTGTGAGGTCGATCTGCTCGAAGAGGCCGCAAGACTGTAGATACTGTTTGCGCAACTGGCATCCGTCTTTCGTCTTGTTGGTTGGCCCGGAGCTGATGGATGGCAGAGAGTCGACCAGAACAACGTCATCGGCGTGTGACCACATGGCAGCCGACAGTGCTCGTGACTTCATCGATGCTGCACGACTGTCGCTCGTGCCGCCAGCGGCATTGACCCGATGGATGTGCTCGATGAACTGAAGCGCGGGGCGCGCTTTGCCAGAGCAAGTGTAGAGTAGATCTGATACCTGCACAAAGGTGAAGCCAATATCGCGTGCTTGGTCGAACAGCTGCACCATATCATTCGACGATTCCGTCTTGCGGGCGCGTCGGAGGATGACGAGTGCACGATTGATTTCCTCATCAGCATTATCTCGCCGCTGCTTTGCACCGCGCGATTGGATTGTGCTAGCCCATCGCGTGATTTTTTCGATGCCTGCTGAAAAGCCAGCAGCAGTCGCTGCGCTCACGAACTTGACTTCTGTCGGAGAAGTGTCGAGCATCTGCCTGTTCTTCTCGACCCCGGGCGCTGTTGCAGATGAAAGCGAGCTGTTCGATTCATCTTTGCTGGCAGGATCGCGTATAAAGAGTCGCGCCTGCCCGGGGAGGGGCGCAGGCGTTTCGGTTGGTACTTCTAAAGAACTGCGCGCTGGCGCTGGCTGAGGCGTCGGCGCGCGCACGACAGGACCTGCGGGTCTTGGCTTCGGCCGAGTAGATGCGACAGAGCTGGTGGATGCAGGCTTGCTCGCCAACTCAGCAGCCTGTGCGACCGCCAAGAGAGCGGGTGAAGCAGGTTCAGCGCTTGACTGCTGTCGACTGCGCAGTCGTTTGCTGATATCGAACGGGTTTGATGTGTCTTGCTCTGGGCCGGCTAGCTCATCGAGGCTCACTGATGCTTGCATGACCATGCCAGCTTGACTCTGAGAGGGTTCAAATGCAAAGCCAGCATGCAGATCCCCGAGCTGCTTCAAGAATGCGATGCCACTTTGCGACCGCTCGTCGTTAGAGTCATCGGAGGAATCTGCTGAGCTAGAAAGGCGAGCTTTCGGTCTGATGATGACTTTGTCTGCGAGCACGATGGGCTCTAGTGTGCCTTGACTATGCTGCTCAAGATTCTCCTTCGACAGCTGCTGCCTCGGCTCAGGTGTAGCTTCCATGACGGGCAATGCTGCGAATGCCTGACGATCGATAAACTTGAGCTCGCTACCAGCACGTATATGAGGGAAAGCGCTTGCCTCGCGTGTCTGTCGCGCGGGCGTAGCTTGCGCTGAAGCAGGCGCTCTGCCCGCCTGATCAGGCAGGCTTGGCATTCCGACGGCACTGAACACATCACGAACAGTCAGCGTAGACGGCGATTGACTGCTGGCAAGCCACGTCTCAAAGCTCGCGTTAATGTCGCCCGCAGATCGCACCGTATTGGGACCTGCTGGCCTGACTATCTTCGAAGGTGACTGCTGTGGCTTGGTGACCGCTGCAGCGGGCATTGGTGTTGCAGACGGTACAGGCATAGCGGGCGTGGTATCGACCGTATCAGCAGGGACTGGTGCTGTTGTAGAAGCGATAGGGGGTATATGCGGCTGAGCTTGCGGTTCCGGGCTGAGCGAAGGTAAGAGGCTGTCGCCGAGTTGCTCGCGCGGCGAGCGTCGTTCGACGTCTGCCGGGGGTATTGGCTCTTCGCGCAAGGGCTGCGGCGGCGGAGATACAGTCACTGCGTCGACCATGACGACCGTTGGCGTAGTGTGTGCGGCCAGATGTGCTTTGGCTGCAGCTGTTGCATGTGGATCAACGAAGCCCAGAGCAGCCCGAGCTCGTGCATCAGCAGCACCCTCCAGCGCAGCTTGGCGAGGCGCATCTTCTTCGCTATCCGTTTCGAAAGGATCTGCGCCATTGCTGCCACGAAATTCACGTTTGAGTCTCTCCTGTCGCTGATGCCTCTGGGCTTCAGCGCTTCTTTGTAGGGCTTCGTCATCAGCTTGACTTGAGCGATGCGTCGGACGCAGCGATGCACTGGCTCGGGCAGTCCGCTCTGCCGAGGCAAGCTGGAGACGTTTGCGCTCTTGCGCGACAGCAGAAAGATCTTCGCCCTTGCGCAGACGCGCGATGAGGGCATCGATCTCTGCGGAATTCTTCTTGTAATGCTCTTGCCAAGAATACATAGTATGACGCTGGTTCTGCAGGATCCCGGTCAGACTTGCCTACCGCAGACAGAGCGCCTTACACGATCAGCAAGCATCTCGAAAACCTTACGTCCAGTCGCGCTGAGACCGTCGTGCAACAGTAGATACTTGGCTAGATATATCTTGTCTTCGAAGGTGTAAAAGACGCGTCCACTGTTCGGGCAGGTATGGCTTAGCTGAGCGCAACTGCTAGAGGGCCAGCACAGACCTCCTGTGTCCAGCCAGCTTGACAGGCTCGAGATCGACCATCCTATCACGAGTGAAACTGTCCGATGAGGCGTGGCTCCCATGGCGGGCAGTCCGGACAAATGCTGCGCTGCCGCCAACGGCCTGTCCAGCCGCAGACACGGCTGGCCCGGTTTCATCCGTATTGACAGCAGCGGGAGGACGCTGAGGACTGGTCAGACCGAGCTGTCGTGCTACCTCCTCGCCCGAACTCGAATCTGTCTGGTCAAGCTCGACGACCTCTGGCTCAACAGCTCTGCCCTTCCCCTTGTCGGATACAGGCGGCGTCGCTGTATCCTCAATGCTCGTGCCTGAGCGCGCCAAAGATTCTTGCGCTGGCGCTGCTGCTCCTGAAGTACTTGCTGCTGCCGTTAATGTTGTCTGGGCGGCCCTGGGTCGCTTGGGTGCAGGTCTCTCAGACTCACTGCCCGAGCTTGCAGGCCGTGCGCGCGTGCTGGACTGTGCTGCTGGCGCTTTGACGGGAGGAACAGCTGCAGCTGTATCTGCAGGGGAGCGAGCATTGCTTCGAGGTGGCGGTGGCTTAGAGGACTCTGAGATGCCGACAGCGTCGATGCGATACTGATCTGGATTGCGCATTTCGATGTTGGCGTAGACGTCATCAATCCAGGAGACTATCCTCAACATGCGCATGAGTGACATAAAGAGCTGAACGCTATGTTCGACGGACCAGTGACGGCGTAAGGATGCTTATGAGCATTGGCCATGCGGGCCTCTTTGATTTTTGCCAATATTTCAACCTGCTTGGCTCTGTCCATGACAGGATCGATGAGAGCGTATGTCGCTGATTGTAGAACTGGTTCTGTCCTTCCGCCGCAGTCCTGCGCGGCCATAGGGGGCACTATGAGCGCCTGTTGGTCAGCCCGAGCTAGCTGCGAAACATGTACCTGTATCGCCTTGATTAGCCTCTCCCGCTGGGGTATTGCTTTGGGCAGCCAGAGAGATGCAGAGGCGCCATTGCGACTCAGCAGATGCGCTCTGCTATCGTCTGCCATACCGGCCAGGCTAGACCGCGGTGTTGACGCTGAGTGCCCTACGCGACGCGTTGAGCACTCATCAATCTCGCCTCAGCGCTCATGCACAAGTCTTACAAAGCCTTCCAATGGGCCGCACTTGATCAACAAGGGATGCATCTATCACGTAGCCCGATGAGATTGAATGTCAGGGTAAAATGATACCGTCTGTGGTCGACGGCGTCTAGCTCGATGAGTGTGCGGACACGCGTCTAATTCAATCGGCGCTCGACGTTGCGTCGGCCGTTGACCCAATCGGGATTATTGAGGGTCATCTCGGGTGATCTGAGGACACGCTGGATCAGTCCAAAGGATATGCGACGAGAATGTTCACGCACCCGTAGATGATGCCATCGACGGCTTCGACACCGATCATGAATGAGTGATCCTGATTGGCGACCTCGTAGCGGTAGCTACCGAAACGTCCGCGGGACCAGATACTGTAGTCGTCCTTGAGAGCGGGCAGGAGCGTTCTGAGCTGACCCTCGCGCTGAAGGGAGGGCGTCGGGTATCCGTGATAGAACTTGCGGTGATAGATCGACACGACCTCGTCTTCAGGCTGGCAGAGCGACGTATTGATCAAGCCTTGGATTGAGTCCTTGATGAGGTTCTCCTCGTCGACTGGCTTCTTGTACGACTGCGAGACTTCGAGCATGAGGGACCAGTAGGGACCCTCACGTTCCGTCTTCGTGTCGACCTTGCTCGACAGCGCTGGGTCAGCAGTCTGGAGCGTACGGAGCTTAACATCCTTCTGTGGGCAATTGAAAGGCGAATAGTTGGAGAAGACAGTGGCGCGGTAGAATGGCGAGTCAGGCTCGGGGAAGTCTGTTCGGTCTCATCAGCGATGTCAGGCAAGCACAGAGCTACACGTACAAAGCCAGCACTTGTCGCCAATACGGGGTGGCAAGACACCTCGAAGACCGATACCGATGACATGCGTCGAAGAGAAGATGAGACCCTTTGCCGTGTCGCGAAGAGGGTCGGCTGCGCCATCGATGAGCTCGACAATCTCGTCCAGAGGTGCCGTGGAAAGCATCGAGTTGTATTTGATCGACGAGCCATCGTCAAAGTGAGCGACCTTGGCTTTGCCATCAATCTTTGTCATCGTCTTCTTGAAGACGAATTTATTCTGCGGCAGCGTGCGAGCGACAGCCTTCCAGATACCACCAGTTCCATCACGCGCAGGGAATCTGAAGGTAGCATTGGGACCCCTGCACGAAGGTCAGCCTCTGTCCAGCGTAAACAGCGTGAAGGATTGACCAGTTGCCTGCAATCTTCTTTTCGAGCGTGTTCTTGACGACAAGCTTGAGCGAGGGGGCAGCGACACGCTCTCCGAGCCATTCGCATTGCATGTCCTCTGTCGGCACAGCCCAGACCTTGAAGTTGTATGGTCGCATGAAGAGATCCGCCAAGCCGGTACCTGAATATCTCTCAGCTCTGCCATGCAAGTCATCGAGAAGATCTACCCATTTGACGCAAGATCCACTCGTCAAAGTTCTTGGGCTTGTCCTTCGCACGCATGCGCTCTGATGCCAATGTTAGCCGGCGACCGGTGGCGAATCCACACACGACTTGCCTTCGAAGCTGTCAATCATTCCCTCGATGCACTTTGTCTGCGCATCGACGGGCAGCATCGAAATGTTGTTCTGCCCGTGCAGCATCAGTGTACGTCGAATCGGCGGCAGGCGCGATGCTTGCCTGATAGGGGTATGGCACCCAGTTGCCGAGGGATCGAACATAAGAGACCCGCTCATGCTCATACCTGTACAGCGATCAGCTTGGGGCGTGCCAGGGTGAGGACGACACTTACCAGTCATCGGCCTTTGGGAGTGCCTGGTTAATCACGTCGTCGAAATAGAGATAATGCGAGAAGATGACGTGCCCGCCGACCTGCGCGTCTGCAGCTAAGCGTCGGCTCTGATACATGGCGGGAAAGACACGCACATCGAAAAGGAAGCCTTCTGGCGTTACATCGGTGGAAGCCAGTCCACCTGCTTCTTCTTGCGCATCGACGACCAAATAATCGTCAATTTTCTGCCACCGTCTTTGTCAGCGTACGATCAGCATCAGAGGCGTGGCTAAGGGTACAAGCTGCTGTAAACGCTTTGCTGCACCGAGACCACTGTGAACGATGACAGCAAAATCAGCAAATGTTCACGGTGGCATGCATCGTCGCGCCAGCAGCCTGACGCCTGACGCGTGCATGCAGAGCCACACGAAACCAGACAATGCCGATGTGATGACAGAGAATGAGATGCAGGGCAAAACTCACGTCGGGCCTGCGCCGATGATAAGAACGTTGACAGATTGCTGCTTCGACATGCTGTTTGGATCCTTTATAATGCGATGTAAGCTCTCCGGAGCGGGTCAATGAGCGCAAGCAATGTCGATGCTGTTCTCAAAGGGAGCCGCCAAAGTCGTCGTGCGCAAAGAAAGCTCTTCGGTCGAGCGATTGGGACGAGCAACACGAAGATGGCACGCGCGCGAAATGTGCCTAGCGGGCGATCGACGACAAAACGGGAACCGGCGCCTCACCAAATTTCAGCCTGACGGGCAGCGCGATCATGGCGTATTCGACACTGCAGCATCTATATGCAAGTTTTGCTGTATGACTACGACAGTGATCGCATTGTCAGACACTTGTATCTGGCGGTACTGAGACTCGCCGCATGATGCGTGACGTGTAAGCAGATCGCTCTATAGATAGGGCAGGGCAAGCATGTGTGCTGGCGTGGTGTGGCATGTCAGCTCTGCGACTTTCGCTCTATCACTCTGAATCGTGCGAGGACAAGCTGAGTATGAGCATCGTCAATCAGAAGTCTTCAAAGTCTCGGTTCCAGAGTCGTGCCCATTCGAGCGCTAGCCGGGCGCCCCAGACTTCCATGTGTTCCTTTGCACCAAAGTCTCGCTTCCAGTCTTGTGCGGCAGTCGCTATCCTGATCGCGGCTGCTTCCCCGGGCGGCAATCTCGGATGACCTCGTACATCTGACAGAAACAGCTTGCCGCAGGACGTCCAGCCAGCCAGCGAATTGGAGAATTGACTGGTCGAGTTGTAATTGCTTGCCGAGAATTGTTCAGGATGCGCTAAGCAGCTACTCAACGCGATTGAAGCCGGCAAAAAATTGACAAGAGGCCACTGCCGCCTTGCGCCGGCTGTGACAGGTCTACCGGTAAGCGATGGACTATCGAAGAATGCCAATATGTTGTAGATCTCCGCAAAGTCTTGCGAGACCGGTACGTAATGTTTCCTGCCACATTTGTGAGTCTAGTCGTGCACCTCAAGGAGCATAAGACTGACCATGGCACGAGCAACTCGCTCCAGAACTCGTCATAGACCGTCGACTTGAGTGTGACGGTGCCCATGGCGAGCAGACCCAGAAATCGGGCTGAGTAGGCAAGGCCATCGAGATCAAGAATGAATTTGTAATTTTGCATGTCGGCAAGCGGTGTCGGCTTGGCGAATGAATATTCTTGCATCGTCTCATTGCAGACGACAGCATCGCCACAGCCGGACAGCGACGTGAACGAAGCATTCATAACACGTCTGTTCAGCTGATACCGAGGATATATCTCGCGATGCAGGATTGGATTACTGCCCGACGCTATCGGATAAATAAGCTCTTGTGATTTGACAGACTCTTTGGGCGAGCTGATGGACAAGAAACGATGTCGAGTGAAATAGTGCTGATGGCGAGGTGGATTATTGCCGCCACCGGTGGTCGATCCTCTCCAGAAGAGCTGGGGTATCTTTCGGGGCCAATTCAGCGGGTTGGCATTCTTGCCATCGAGCTCTGGCGAAGGGTCAAAGGTATAGCCTGCGCGTCTTGCGCCGACATAGTAGTGACTGGGTATGCTGATGTCGGCAAAGCCATCAATTTTGCTGACAGAGAACTGCTCAAGTACTTTAGCTTTAGTCTTCGGGTTGAGCAGCAGATACGCACGATAGGATACAGGCCCTGAAGAGTGCGCCAATCAGAGTAGAAGAGGCCAATCGTATCTTTCTTGCGCGGATTGTTGCAAAGTGTTTCTTTGCTGACAGCAGTCTCGTCCTCAAACGTGAAAGAAGGTGAGACTAGTGATTGTGTGATCGTAAGCGAACCGGCCGCTGTCTTGTTGGTAGTGCCTCGCAGGACAGTATCGCGCGGTGGAGGCGAAATGAGTCGCTTGCCAGTGCGCTTAGTAGTGTGGTTCCGAGCGATGACAGTGTGTCGCGGCGTCGTCACCATGTCCGCCCGTACCTTGACGAGTGTTTTGCGAACTGCAGTTTCCGGCGGGCAGCTTGCAACATAAGCTGACCAGACCGAACCATCGCCTGTCCAAGTCTGCGAAGGGAAGCGCTCTTTCAAAGGCGTTTCGTCCACTGCGCAAATGTCAGTGCTAGCCAGCATGTAGCTTGAACACGCACTGATGCCGTTCGCCAGATCCTGCTGTTCCTTCCACGGAACCAGTACACGCGGCTCTGCGATGTTATTGATTGCCATCGAGAAATCTGGCAATTGCTTGCGGAATGGCTCGATAAGTCTCGAGAAGTGATAGGCTCGAGTCGCCTTCGACGGTCCAGAATAGGCAGAGTGATTTTTGAACTCAAGCAGGTGCAAGAAAGGCACTTCCTCGACCGCCTCGAGCGTACGCTGCCTGAGGACTGCTGGCGGTAATTGCCAATAAGGCTCGAGGTCGCGCATGATGTTATCATATTCGTCGATGAGGACGACGCCGCGCTTCTTCGCATACTCGTACCACTGATCATATCCGGGCGGTGGCAAGCGATGATACCGTCGCCTGTACTCTGCCTTTGCCTGCGATAGCGTCCGAGATTGACGGGCGAGCTTTTCTGCCCAAGCAGTATCGGCTCGCTTGAGTTTTGTGAGGATAGGATGCTCCGCGTCGACGTCTGTCAGGACAAGGTGATTTTGCAGCACCTTTGAGCCAGAGAGCATGACGACAAGCATGACGATGAGCGCTAGCGAGCCAGTAAGGGCAAAGGATCTCCATTCCTTCCTGCTGGGCGACTTGCTCGCATCTCTGACCGCCATCCTGCTGGCGTGTGCCTACGACCAGTGTTGGCAGGATGAGGAATGATGAGCGCAGTCGCTGCCGGCAGCAATGTCGTTCCCTAATCAACGCCTCAGCCAAACTAGATCGGCTGCATGCCAAATCGAGTCAAACATTTGACGCGCTGTCCGAATACGCGCGTGCGCACCAGCACAGCGGGCGCCAGAGGCACCCCCTACCCAGTTCTCCCTGTCCTCTTTCAGTCCGCCATCTGTGCCTCGAAAACATAAAAAGACCATTCGCAATGTCCGCATATAATCAATTTGGCCCACTCGACAGAAAGAGCGAACACAGACCTCTTGCCGACCTTCGATTTTGAGCACATTCATTTAGCCGCTACTATAGCATAAACGACATGCTGATCTTGCATAGTGGCAAGATCACTCTCGGTTTAGTGTCACTTGCCTACCTTGGCATCACACAGTCAGCGGCTGCCTCCGCCGTCGATGATGACAAATTCGAGCCTATCAACAGCAACGATGCCTTAGCGCTCAAAGCCTTCGGCTACGGAACCAGTAATAGTGGCTGCTATTGGGCCACCGACAGACTAGGTAGACGCACTGGCGCTTTCCACTGTGGGTCTCTTGCGTGTCACCGGGAACCCTGCTAACGCTGCCGCACAGGCCCAAAGCCTTGCATACTCAGGCGACACGGCTCACATCCGCCTAAGCCGCGCAATTGGCTCTGTCCTCCAATTCATACAAGTACCTCGTCAGTCTCACGCAGCGAGAGCTGCTTCTGGAACCGAAAACGCGGTCTCACATGTCCACATCGCTGTCACTTTGCGCTCGCTGTCGACGAGGCTTCTTCTACCTCCATAGGCTGGGTCTGTCAAGCTTCGCCGGAAGCACAGTTTGGACCCGACCATGTACACGAAGAAGGCAGCTCAGACCATGACGACGAGCACAAGAACATCGTACACGCGCCCTTTGTGACGCCCTTTGCTCTCGTCAGAGGCACTGTCAATCGGTACGAACACAATCTGCGCAGCAAGCTTCTCTGCAAACAAGCAGGCGATACCGCTTGCCCGCTCCAATCCGGCGACGATGGTGCAGCACTTGTGCCCGGTGGTGCATACGAGTGCCTCAATACAGACTTTGCGTACTCTTCTTGCGGCGGCTGTACAACGATGGCGAGCTCGCAGGGGGAGGACTGTGGCGCGAACCCTTTTGCTCAGAGCGGATGCTGGCTCGGGAAATGCTTGACGTCAAGTTGCTCGGCGGGTTATGTTCTAATAGACAACATCTGCGCCCCGGCTTTGCAGGAGCAGAGCATGTATTTTGACTGACGCCATGCATTGATGTTGATCTGCTGTCCCTGATTTCTCGCCGAGCCATGCTAGACTCTCAGTCGTGGGCTCGTACAAGAGGAATGCGTCAGAAACGCTCATAAGACCCGTAGATCCCACGCGAAGAGCACCAGGTAGCCCACAGAAAACAGCACGGACGGATTGCAAATGGTCAGCTGCATCTCTAGAAAGCAGCGATACAACAAAGAAAGCCATGTGACAGATATACAGTGGTATCGCACTCGAAAGTGATCGTCAGGTCACGATGAATTTATAGGTTGACAGGCCAGCCTTGCTTGTGAGCAAAATCGATGACACGTTGACGCTCTACGTCTTCGCTACCGCCGTTGATGTCGATGTAAAGTGCTTCGTAGTCAACAGCCATGGCGGACTCGAGTCGCTCGATGTAGCCCTTGTTGCTGAGCTCTTTGGGGATAAAGGGACCTTTGAGTGGCGTTGCCAAAGCTTGTTGCACCGCTGCCAGCAGCTCAGTCTGATTGTGCGCCTCTACATTGTAGACATATGGTGCGCCAAATTCGAGCAACTGAGCATGTTGAGCTCGCCAGTTGTCATGCGTGCGTGCAATGCCCTCATAATTGAGCGCGTGATTGGTCTTGCTGCCGGGATTGATGAAAGGTGTGCCCATGCAAAGAGCTTCAAAGGGCGAGGGCGATTCGATGGGATTGCCTACACCGATGAGGACCTTGGCTGTTCCGAGCGAGGTGATGAAGTCTGTGCGTGTGCTCACGCCGATGTTCTTGATCGCGGGCGGTAACACATGATTGTCCCGTGTGACCTTGATGCCAGCACGCAGCTCGAGTCCAGAGGAAGCGACGACTGCCGAGAGATCGTCGTGTGTCCACGAAGATCTCGAAGGCTCGTAGTAGGAGCTGTCTTTGCCGAGCATGTATGCTGCATGGGGTCGATCTTGATGAGCAACAAATGGCAGATTGGCGCAATCCTTCTCGATAGTATGACCCAGAAAGGTTGATTCCGGTGCACGAGCTAGCGGGACGCCGACAAGATGCCAAGGCCAGCGAGTCGCCGTTTCGTAGCCCATGACGCCGCCCAGTCCGTCCCAGACGAACATTTTCCAGCGAGGGATGCCTCTGGGAAGCTTGGCGCTTTTCGCGCAGAAGCGGTCGACGATGCACTCTGGCTCCGTTTGGTAATCGAAGACGACCATCTTGACGTGATCGTTGAGTACCTCATGTAACCTGCGCTACAGTCAGCGCACCGTACAGCTGCTGAGGATTTTGAACTGACCTTGCAACAGCGCGGATCACGTCACGCCGCGTTCGACGCTTTTCGTCCACAAAGATCATCGGATAGCCTTGCTCCTTGAGAGCCCATATGAAAGATTGTGCAAGGATTGCCTCGCCATTGGCGAAGGAAGACGGGCGGTCGAACGTGCCTGCCACGAGCCGTCAGCGCTAGAACTCATGCGAGAACAAAGGCAAGTACCATCGAAGCACCACTGAAAGCGTCCAGCGCCTACGAGCACAATCTTCTTCTGCTTCTCCGTGCAAGTGCCCATCAACTTGCAGTGTATGAGACGAGCGAGGGTGTCGATACGCTCGGTGTGCCAGGGTAAGAGCTCTTCATCCAAGGGCGGCAAGATGGCGCGCGCCAACGACCAGGTCAATTGGCTAGGCTCATTTGACTGGCTATTGTCGGCGTTTGCAAGCAGTCGAGAGATGCGCTCGCTCGGCAATGCGCTCGGTGGGTTGGCAGCGATGAGCTTTGGTGCGGCAGGATCTTCGTACAGTCCGCGTGCGTTTGTCGAGTTGAAGTAGCCATGCGACATCATCTCTACTGCTCTCGCCGTCGATACCTCGATGATGTAGTCTTTGCTGCTTGCCAGGGTCGAACCAGACCCGACATACCAGACAAAGAAAGCGACGGTGCATAGTGCGAGCAATCTGCGCCGAGCGACGTTATGCTTGAGCGGATTGGAAGACAAGAAATTGACTGCTGCCGTAACCCTTCCGATCCCAAATGGACTGGTAGATGATGAGCGTCGGTCCCGACTGCGAGAGGACCGACGCCTGGCAAGCGAGGGCCTACGAAGAAAGTAAGAGGAGCTTTCGGGGCTCCCATCGCTGGCTGACATTCGCCCACGGTGGTTGGCTCGGGCAGAGTCTGGCGTCAAAAGGCCTGCGCCAGGCGAGCGTGAGTCAGAGGCTGATCCCATCAGATTGACGGGAGGTATCGAGATTCGTCTTGTACCGTCGCCGGGCGAGTCGAGACTGACGCTCGGCTGGCGATAAGTTATAGAGCCTCGGTGTGATATGTTCATAGCTGTGTATTTGTCCGAGTGATGCACAGTCATTGTGCCGCTCGATGAGCGTTATGGCCTGTAGCTGCCGCTGCTGCTGCCTTTGCAAAGACATGCTTGCTTTTGCTTGCATCTAAATGCGTGCGAGACGTTGAGAAGTCTTTGTTGAACTTAAACCGAGGCGCGCCATTTCGCTAATTTGCTACTGCCGATCACTTTGCAGCGACCCCTGAAAAGACACGGCCGACCTGGGTCAGCCAGCAGTGAAAAGAGATACGCTCATTATAACTTTGTGAATGATCCGGCCGACCTAGACCGATTCATCGGCTCAAGAGATCGTCCTTCCGAACGCATCTTGTAACGTGAGCCCTTGCCATGCGATACATCCTTGCAGGGCTCACGGAGACGATCCGCGCAAAGCATACATGTCTGCCATACCGGCGGCGTGCGGGCTGTCTGCTTCCGAACTTAGCTCCTGGCTGCAGAACAATCGAGGAAGATTCGCTCGCCATCGTGCTCGGGTAGGATCAGGCTCAGATGAATTTCCGGGCTTCCTTCATCGTCAGCATTGCATCGGCAGTCGGCAGCGATGATTTCCACGAACTCGCTTCCTATCTCGTGACCTGCATCGTCTATGCCGTCTGGCCTTCCCATCGTTCCTTGCAAGACTCTGCGCCTTCAAAGCCCTTCGAGGCATAAATATTGAGCTTCGATAATCCACCGGCATCGCAAACTGGTGCCCACGCCCGACAAGCCGCAGACGATCAGGGCTGCACTTTTTGGGCATAGCTGCAGTATAGCTTTTCCAACTGTAGAGGATTTGCATACGCTGCGTCTCGGATTTTGTACCAGAGAAACAGCATCTAAACGGCGGCTATGATGATTGCCTGCATCAGCCGATGGACCGTCCGCCTTCATCTTGCGGTTCTGGCGATACAAAGGTACATATTCCGTTGTTCACTTTCTCCCACGTCGGCTCCCTGAGATGGTCCAAACTGCAAGCTTCCTTGTTCGAGGTATGCTCGCCAAAGAAGGCACTGCAGGGCAGGCCAATTGAGGGAACGACAAAGGATGGCAAGCCCGGGCCGCAATCGAAGCTGACCTCCGGCGTCGATATCGCCATTTTGCCTAAATCAGCAGGAGATGAATGCAAAGCCCGAGTTTTCTAGAGAAAAGAGACGTACGACGAGGGAAAGTCACCGTAAAGGCGCCAGACCAGATGGCGGTGCAGCATGCAGATACAATCGTCGCAACGAGCGGCTCCGTCGACTCGACAATGCTCGTGGGCAGTCCACGAGAGGCGTAGACATCGTATGCGACTCCGATAGGTAAAGTGTAAGGCCCGCCGGCCACATTGCACTGAGGAGCGACTGGTTGCGCTTGCCTCGCCTACTCAGTGTATTGCATTGTCACAGTCATGTCTTCAGAGTGGGTTACGGACGTACAGTGCAAGTGATGGGCTCACTGTGCTCGGGTTGCACCTTAAGTGTGAAGAGCCGATCTGGCGAGGAGGATGTCATCACGAAGCTGACAGGTCGTCCGTAGAGCAAGACGAAATGGTTGCAAGTGGCCGTGAACCTGCGCAAGCCAACGCAGTACTCGGTAGAGGCTTTTGGTCCAGCGGCTTGAGCCAGCAGGAAATGAGTTAAGAGGAGGCAGAGAGCTGCAAACTTGGACCACGCCATCGTGCAGGAAAGCGAAGACGAAGAAAAGCACGGAAAGATGATGCAGTGTTTCGGTGGGCTCAGGATCATCAAGTCATCGGCAACCGAGGACTCCTGTCTCTGACTCGCGTTGCAGCCATCGCATTGCTTGCAGCGATCAGTTTGATTAGCCTTGTGTGTTGCACATCAAAGGTCCTTATGGGAAGCTCCATCACTGAGACTGCAAGTTGCGAATGGCCTGTTTTCGCGCGAGACCAGTCGTCACAGTGAAACCAATGCAAACTTTACAGAGACCGCTTTGTCCATTGCTCCCGAGTGATTTCGTACAGACTAGCTCTGAGGTCTAGTGGCCAGAAGGTCTCCATGACTCGCTCGAGTTTTGCCCATCTGCCTGTCTGGATGAGTGACTTTACTCGCGCGTCGGGTCCCTCTCTAGTGAAACCGAGACCGACGAGCGTTTTCGCCCGCGATGCTTCGAGCTGATTGTATACACTGATGACCACCCTATCTGCAGGAGGGCCAGATGGAGGTGCAAACGCATACTTGAGCGCAAACTCGATCATGTCTGCGTCGACATCGATCTCGCGGAACGTGAGCGATGTTGTCAGATGACGGATCTCCCTCGTCTTGCCGGCGTTCGACACGCCTCTCTGCGTTCGCTTTCGCGAGCGAAGACCCGAAGCAGGCGAGGATTTGATGGCCTTGACGCCGTTGCTTTTGCCGTTTGGCGACGCGCCCTTGTCCTCGAACGAATCCAAGAGCTCGCCTGCGCGCTCGCCATCGAGCGACATGCATCCGATGATACGCTCGTCGAATTCGAGGACCCAGAAGCCAGAAGGCGAGTCTTGCGCGAGCTTGCCATTGACGACATTGTAGAACCCTTCGATATCGCGTACGTCCTCTTCTCCCATGACCCTGCGCATGATGATATCAAAGTGCATCTTATGCCTGAGCTCGAAGGTGCCGATCATGAGTGCAATGACGGCCGCTAAGCCTGGCAGAAAGTAGAGCGCCTCCATGATGGCGAACGCCGTCTCTGTGAACGTCCAGGTACGCGTAGCGCCAGAGAGGATGTCGGACACATGGAAGTTGGGCACCCATTTGAATATGTAGATGAAGCTCGTCGAGGCAATGAGGAGAAACGCAAGCGAGGCGGGTCGAGTGAACGCGAGCGAATTGGCAAAAGCTGCCAGCTCGAGACGTGAGGCGCCGACGAGGTAGCGTACAAAGGGTCTATCTTCTGGCTTGAAAGGCCTGATAGCGCCCTCAGGCGGTTCCTCTGCCATTGATGTTGATAGTCGCAAAGTTTCGAAGAGCCAAGCGTCGCGACTTTTCTGCCCAAGGCCTTGCGCTGTCGCCGGCACGTGCGTGGGTGTCTCGGCATGGCAGAGGGCCAGAATGCAGCCGAGAAGCCGGCGAAGCGAGTCCAGATGCTACGATGCCGAGCGAGTACGGCAATACTCATCCCGCCCGTCAATTTTGGATTGGTCGAAGAGGGTCTCTATCGCTCTGTCGGTCTCGCAGGGCTCGTATGATATACACATGCTCAATCTGAAATCTGCAGGGGCAGCCGACCGAGCTCAACTTTCCGTTCCTCGAACGATTGAACCTCAAGACGCTTTGCTGGCTTGCACCGGAAGAGCCATCGCAGCGATTGTCAGACTATTCCTCGCTACTCACTACACCGAGCTGAGGTGCCGCGGCAGTCTTGACTTTATCGACGATCAAGGTATCAAACTCCATCATCTCGGCGCACTTAACGCTGCCAATGCGTGGGATCCCATCACGGAGGAAACGGTGATCCAAGCATTGTCAGTCGCGTCGCTTGTCGGCTGCGCCTTGCTCATAAGGGCCACAGGGAAATCATCATCGATCCGGCTTGTCATCCCGTCATGGTTATGTGCAATCTCGGGAGACATAGAACAGGCACGGCGATTGGCTGCCTGCGCAAGTTGCAACGATGGAACCTCGCAAGTATCTTTGAAGAGTATAGACGCTTCGCGGGACCGAAAGTGCGGGTCCTCAATGAGCAATTCATCGAGCTTTGGGACTGCGATGTGAGCTACTCCTCAGCTAGCAGTAGCCTGCTGACAGTGCATGATAGCTTGTCTCTATACCGCCGCCTGCTGCGCCAATACCGCCGCCACGGCCCGAGCCGCTCATGGAGGTCTAGTAAATGATCAAAATGATGCTACAACAAGCAAGTAGACGCTACAATACCGGGATCACGCTGCAGGTGCAAGACCGAGGCCAGCTTGGGGCACCGGCATCGCTTCTTCTGGCGCATCCATCGATGCTGCCGCTAGCGCGTTGAGGTCTTCGTCTTCACTGAAGTCCTCTTCGTCGTTTCGCAGCGCCTCACCACTCGGTAGAGTTGCTGCCATAGGTACTGGCGAGGACATAGGCATGCTGCCCTTTGCAAGTTCAGGCGCATTGCGCTCTCTCGTCAATTTGGCCAAACGTTGCTCAAGGAACGCGATCCGGCCTTCGCGCGCTCGCAAGAGTTTCTGAGCTTTGTCCGTCGACAATGCATCAAAAGCGGCCGGTCTATCTGTCGCTTGGACTTCAGGCGCGATCAGCTTGGTCTGATGTACGAGCGTTGCAATTTGCTTGTCGGCCTCTGCTAGTGCTTTGAGCAGCATTCGCTTCTCTTCCAGGGGTAGCCATTTGCGTATCACGTCTCGCGTAACGTCCTCTATGTGCTTAAAACGTATCGGTCCCAGCATCGTACCTGCTCTAGTGTAAGCTCAATTATAGAGCCTTGGCAATGTGCGTACCGCCAAACCATCTAGACACGATGACGACGACATCGACGACTCCTTCCTTTTCGAGGACGTTGAGCATCGTCGGCCCGGCTCTATCCTCGCCGTCATTGTGAGAGCCAGCGGCGACCTCAAAATCCTCATCCCCTTGCTCGCCTAGCCCGTTCTTCCCTGGCCGGAGGGTGATTGTACGCCAAGCGAGCACGTTATGCGAAGCTGGCCCGAGCTTGCCCTTGCCTATCGATCCTTCGTGAAGTACTTTGACGTGTGCCTGGAATGCAAGCGCATCTGCTTTGCTTGTGATGCTGGTGGCATAGGCAACAAAGCACGAGTCGCGATCAACGACAGTTGAAGATGTCGCTAGCGGATCCCATTGTGTCTGAGGCAGACTTAGCCAACTATCGAGCGGTCGAGGGCGCTTCACACTGTCTGGCTGGGGCACATTCGGCCCAGCCCGCTTGCTCATACTGACGTTCTTGAGACGTTGCAACGATTCAAACAGGCCGGCGCAACGTACGCGCGTAAAAAGTAAATTTGCGACTCATGCAACCGCGACGTGTAGCAGAAGCGATGAGCCTGAGCGTGCAGCAGTGATGCCCAGACGAAGAGCAAAAATCTACTTTACCGCAGGATTCACGCGTGGTCCCCCACCGCATTACTGACTGGGCGTTACGAGGCTTAATTGGGCAGATCTGACGGGATGCCATGCTTCTCTCGTACTATGAAAGTAGATACCAGCAATGTTAATCTACAGTGTATATTGTCAATCTAAAATGAAGGGTTGAAGCTAGCGAACTCGGTCGCAAGGACGGTCCTTCGGACACGGCAACTTTCAACCTGAGAATAGTCCAAGTGAAATGCATAATAGATGACAATGCTTGGGCTTAGATGGCAGCGCCCCCTGCGCCAGTGTTGGTGGCTCCAGCACCTGCGCCGGTCTGGCCGGTCGCAGAGCCTGCAAGGCCAGCACCAGACGTGCCAGCACCTCCTGCAGCACCCGCGTTTCCAGCTGCGGTACCTGCAGCGCCTGTAGCACCGGCTGCCGTCTGTCCTGCTGCGCCTGATGCGCCACCAACGCCCGCTGCATTGCCACCAACGCCCGCCGCACCCTCGAGATTCTCTCCCGCTGCGCCAGAAGCTTGTCCGGCCGAGCTTTCGAGTCCCGATCCGTGAAGATTGCCAGCAGCGCTAGAACCCTGCGCAGAGCTTGTGGTCGATGAGATGTATGAGTTCTGCGTAGCAGCACCACCGATGTCACCACTGGTCTGAGCATGTCAGTCTGAGTTCGAGACAGATGATAGTGGAGACGTACGCTGCGCCAATGCCCTGCGAGTATGAGCCCGCGGCGCCTATTGCGCCCTGTTCACCACCGGCAGCGATTGCAGATCCGGCAAGGCCCGCGTAGCCATTGGCCAGACCACCAGCTGCTGTGCCTTCACTTCCGACGACGTTAGCGGCCAGATCGCCTTGCGCTCCTGCCAGGCCAGCGCCACCTCCGCTAACAGAGCCAACACCGCCGGCACCTGATGCCTGTGAGCCGGCCGCACCGCCAACTGCGCCAGACCCGCTTCCTCTGCCGGATAGAGTCAGCCCTTACTCCGCAGTAGGTGCGGAAGACTTACCCTCCGCCGACGAGGGGCGAGGCAGAAACATAAGCAACTGCGAGAGCCGAAAGAACGAAGCTGAGTGTGACCTTCATGTTGTTGCTGCTGTCTTATGCTGTGAGTATTGCTACTGCTTTATGCTGTGAGGGTAATGTAGTAGATGCCGAGAAAGTGAGTGGATGCTGAGATGTGTTCGGCGGCTTCTGATATACCAGAGGACGGCAAAATGCGGGACTTGCATTGCTCCGAGAAGTCATGCTGCGGGTGTTCGAAGAGGCAGAAAACTAGACCGAGATTGAGCGCGCAGGTCTCGACGGATGCTCTCATTGCAAGCGTGCTCTCGGTGTCAAGCAAGACAGGGTCCGTGTCGGGTCAAGCTGCAGGATTCGCGTTGAGTAGAAAGTTTCAGCACGCGCCAAAAAGTGTAGAACCGCGCAGCACGTTTTGTTTACAGCTTTCGCTGGACCTGACGAGGTACATACAGATCAAAAAGGCAGACGACACCGGGGGACGCCGACGCAAAACGATTGCTCGCTGCCCGAGTCGAACGGACGATCTCGTCATCTCAAAGGAATTCTAATTCCAAGGTTACTAGTGACGCGCCTTACCAGCTTGGCCAAGCGAGCATGCTGGGGTACGGCCAAATTTGTGAACATAAAGGCTTGACAGCGCGAATGCATTAAATGTAGGGGCGCGCTTGCTCAAGCACACAAATCCTTACCGATCGCTAACGCTCAGTCATTGAAGTGAAGGTATGAGGGTACGCTTCAGAAAGTCCTCGAGCTCAGTCACAGGGCCTCGGGCGTTCTCGACTGCCCATTTGATCTTAGCATCCGAATCCTGCCCATAGTAGCTTTGGCCGTCTTTGAACCATTGGAACATGTCCGCGATACAAGCCTGGGCAGTGGGCGGAAAGTGTGAGAGGAACTCGGAAGCAGAGACTTGTTGGTAGATCACCTCCTTGCCAGAGATGCGCGACAGGATTGTGGTAGCCTCAACCATGGTGTACTGAGGAGTTGCTATGCACCAGACGGGTCTTGTCATATTTGATGGGATCCGCCAGCATTGCAGCAACGAACTTGCCCGTGTCGCCGACAATGTCAATCAGTGGCTTGGGGTCATCTGGTATGTAAAGATGGCAAAGGACGAATGTGCCATCCACTGTTGGCCTGGGCTGAAGGGGGCCGAGAAAGTTCTGCATGAATCCGCCAGGTATGAAGAATGAGGATTCGACGGACAGAGCGGCGATATAGTCTTGTATGTCTGCTTTGGCTTCGCATGATGTCGCGTTTGTCAGTCTACCGTCTGTCAGTCTGGCTGGTGAGACAAGCGAGCTAAAGATGATCTGCTGCGCGCCAGCCGTGACCGCAGCGTCTGCGATAGCTTTGCCATGAACAGTCTCTTGTTCTCGACCGTCGGCAGCAAAGACGGGCACGGTAATGATGACCACGGAGTCAGCGCCTTCTACCGCTACGGCGAGAGAGTCTTGTTCGCTGAAGTCGCCCCTCACGACCTGCACGCCGCGCGCTGCCAGTGCTCGTGCCGCTGGCTTAGTCGTATCGCGCGTGATACCTTTGATCCTATACGAATGCTTTCAATGCGTCGTCGGCAAGAGTTGTATCGACAATTGATCCACCCTGCTGGCCTGTTGCCACAAATACGACGAGCAGCTCATCCATCGCTTGCCGGTCTGCTATCTGAAGCGGCGCACACGCAAGGGGTATCGCCTCTGCTCATGTACATGGCTGCAAGCTCCGATAGGCGCGTTCCTCCGATAGCTCCGCTTTGACCACAGTGCTGTTCAGCGACATTGCGCGAAGGTCCACCCCGTGCTCACACTGGCGCAGACGAACATGTGACGGGACTAGACTTGTCATCATCAGGTGCTAGCTCCGCAGCTCTCGCCAGACCGCGCTGATTATGTTAGCGTTGGCCATCGGCGTCGAGCCTTGGCGCACTGCTGGAGCGAAGTTTGCTGGGAAACGGCAATCTTGAGTGACTGCCCGGCAGCGCGCAGCTATGGCTGTTGCGCAGCTGGCAGGGTCTGCCAAGCGTCATTTGTCATCCTGCTTTGACAACGGCGCAAAATGGGGCAAAAAATAGAAAAGCTGAGTTGAGTTGATCGAGTTGAGCTATTTCAAGAAAGTCTTGGCATTCGTGTGACTACGACTCCTTCAAGCGTTTCTTCTCTATCTCTCACTCTGTGCGCAACGACTTTGGCGTGGACAGTGATACGCTTGCCTGCACCATACAGCGTCGCACGCAGAAAGGATTGGGACCAACTGTACGGTGGTACTCTTTCTACAGCGACATTGTCGTCTACGCGCACCACCTGTGCGTCACTGCCAAGCATTCGACAAATATAGCACTTCCGCTCGAGAACACGCAAAAGTAGACGACAGAGCATCTGCCGACTCAGCGACTGCAATCGGCATGTCAAAGCTGGCGAAGACTGCAAATACGGCGCAAATGCAAAAGGCTTGGCATTCGGGCGATGCGCCGTCGTCAATCTGGCAAGACGGCCGCGCTAGACATCGACGCGGCAGCAACACAAGCACAGCGTCCAGCAACGCTTCTGAGCCGGTCATCCTCGACCTGAACCATCTGTACGCCCTGTATGAAGCAAAATTCTCGTACATACGGCCAGAGACTTGGCACAAAGCCCGAGTCGCAATCGAGAGCCAATGCATGCCCGTCGCAGCATACAGCAACATCCGAGCCACGCCTAGTCAGGAGAGTATCCTAGGCGCGTACGCTAGCCAGGGCAACGGGGATCAGGAATTGCTTCTCGCCTTGCTCTTGACAAAATGTATCTTCGATCAGGTACGTGTCTTGTTATGTCAATCACAGCTTGCGACTGATCCCTGTCGACCAGTATCACCGACAGAGCATGAAGCGACAAGCAGCCATCGGTCGAGCATCCAAATCCTCGTCGCCCTCCTCGCCAGAAGACAATGCCTCACTCGCGTTACCGCCTTTGCAGTGCAACAAGGCTGCCTCCGGAAAGCGAGCGCGCATCACGTTGCCAGGTATCGCATCACTGTCATCGCTGTCGCCTCCTACATCACCCGAGATGCTCCAGCGTGACTCAGAGCCTGTGTCGCGCAGCTTTGCTTATCAGCCGCCTCTACCAAGACTGACCGGTGGGCCCAGCCATAGAGACGATATGCGGCCACACAAGCTCGAGAAGCGCCGGCGAGTCATGAGTGTACCGGAGGAGCATCAGTCGGACGCGTCGAGACATGTCAAGCAACTGTTGCGCACAAAATTGCTACAGCGCTCGCCGCAGGCAGCCCTCGCAGCCCGGAGGGTCTCGCCGTCTCGATCTCGCTCGCCAATGCCCTCTTCAAGGCCTTTGCTTGAGAAACCAAAGCTGGACCCGAACCACCCGAGCCTCTACAACGCACACTCGCTAGCCATAGCCAGTCGGGCAACCACTTGCAGAAACCTGTCGGATGTTCGTAGCAGTGTATGAGACTTGATCGGCGTGTTGTACCGGATCGCGTACCGCTCAGGCATGCGTTCTGACGATGTAAAGTCCATGGCATTTCAATTGATGAATTTGCATTACCGCCGCGACGCGCTTTCGTTTCGTGTCGGTGTAGCGCAGCGCAGCATGCGAATGCGACGCTGACGGCACGCCACGGCATGAACGCGAAGAAGGCGCAGTCATCGCCTCCGCCGGCAGACCTACCGCTGCCAGAGATGAACGGCCATTCGCACGGCCATTCGAAGCCAGGCCGCAACGGATCAATCTCAATATCAATGCCTTTGAGTAGCTCAGTGAACACATACCCATCACCTACAGGCGGCAGCAGGCGTCACTTGCCGTCTCTGTCTACGGCTTCAGCGCCGAGGATACGTCTCTCGCTCGCTGGCGCCCGGCAGCCACTCGACACCCGCCTGCGCTCGAAGCGATCCTTGCTGTCTCGACTATCACTAGATGCGCCTCTTGACAGAAGGCGAATTGCTTGGCTGACAGGTCTTGCGACTGTCCTTGTGATACTATATGTCAGTAGGGGAGAGTACAGCGGCGTACAGAGGCGTACAGTCATCGGACTCGAGGATGCAACGTCTGGCGTCCTCAGAGAACTCGCGGAAGCATATCATCCTCACGCTGCAGACCAAGCCGATCGTCAGGCCGTGCTCGCACCGGACAGACCCGCACAAGATGATGCAGCGCTCGGGCCGCAAGACTCAGACGGTGCTGCAGAGCAGGACGATGAACCAGAAGTATATGAGCAGCTGGAGCCCGCGCAAATTCACGACATAGATGTCAGGCCGGTCAAACACTCGCCCTCTGGGGATCCCAATGAGCGATACCTGGGATATTTTCCACACTCGGGCTACCACAATCAACGTATTTCATTGGAGAATGCCCTCACACTCGCCAAATTACTGGGCCGCACGCTTCTTCTGCCACCGTGCTGGCTAGGCCTGGCGATACCGTACATCTCGTTCGACAAGTTATGGCAGCGCGTCGACCAAGCGAACAAGGCCGGCTTGGAGAGATGCGCTCGCTTGGCCGATACCGATGAGATAATGCCACGCGAATGTCTGACCTTTTTTGAATATACGCAAGTCGGCTGGGACTTTCTCGTCGATCTTGAAGGTATCGTAGCTCAGCAACCCGTCGTTGACCGGTGGAACACCTCCGAAGCTTGGCTACGGGACGAGCTCGGTCTCGAACGCAAAGACATGTATTTCCTCAAAGATGCGACAGTTTATGACTATAAGATCTATGACAACCTGGAGGATAGGGCGGAACTAGAGAAGTTCAAAACGCGCATCGAGATTGATCAGCTCAGGTCATACGATTCGTATAGGCTGCTCCACATCGGCTCCCTCTTTGGAACTTCGCGTTTGCGCGTCAGTCTCGAAGAGAGCTATGCAGCAAGATCACTATTCAGACAGCATATGGTCTTCAGAAATCCAGTGCTTGATGATATCACTGATACCATTCGAGATCGGCTGGGCGGCCCGGCGGGATACCATGCCCTTCATCTGCGCGTGGGCGACGGCATCTTCCTCGCCAGCGCCCATCAAAATTGCCTCGACATCTTCAGGACATTGCTGTCGAGCAAAATGAAGATAGAGTCAACGCTGATTGATCAACTGATCGACGAGAGTCAGCGCAAGCGACAGCAGCGTGTGCCGGGTCTAATGCCGCGCGCTCTCGATGTTCCGCCATCCACCGTTGATGTGCCTACACCTCTGGCCGACGACAAGCCTGCTTCGTCTGACGATACAATCATCAAGCGTTCAAACAGCCGCCCGCAGGATATGGCGGCCTATCGTCACGAGCCACTCGGACCCCTGCCACGCATCACGTCGCTCGAGAACAGTGTTCTCGCCAAGAGCTTGCGCTGTCGGGGCAGCTTTCACAATCGCATCGATCGTTTGCCCCTCAACACACCACTCTACCTCGCAACAGACTCACGATCCCCCGCGACAGATCCGAACCTGGCCATCTTCTTTGACACGTTTCCCTGCATATTCATGCTATCCGATTTCACGACCGTCAATGCAATCAGCACCGAAGCAGTCAAGTCATTACACGACATGGAAGGCTTGCGCAACGCGGAAGACAAAGTCCATCTGGCCCAGTTCTTCACGCCGCTCGTAGACGCCATGATCGCTGCCAAGGGCAGAGCCGTGATTGGCACACCTATGAGTACATTCAGCAGATTCGCCGTCGACGTCTTACATCAAGTAAGCCTGTCTCTGTACTTCGGCTGTCATGGGCTAACAATCGAGCAGGTTGCACATGGATGGCCTATCATTGAACGTGGATAAGCCCGCGCGCTCTCGCATTTCAGTAGATATGTACCCGCATTAGAAGCAAAAACACGCAATTGTTGTAGGCCGCGAGAAAAGAATGCACTGCGTTGCATACAAAGTCTGCGATGCATTCTTTACTTTGCTCAGCCACAACGTGTTATCATCGTTGATCACTGCAAGCATATCCAGTGAGCTAAAGGGAGGAAAAGGTAGAAGCGACCAACGTTGTATTGCGCATAGAGTCCAGTCGAGGAGAATTTCGATCCTTGCTTGATGACCTGACGAAACCCGATAAGTATGTGCTGGCTCGGAAACCAGGAGATGGTGTACCTTTTCTACGGAAGCAAGGAAGTCCTTCTCGGTGGCGAGCTTCCTCCTAGCACGAATGGCAAACATGCCTGCTTCGGTGCAGACTGAGCGGAGTTCGGCACCGGTCGCATTGGGACAAAGGCGAGCGATGAGTTCGTAGCGAATGTTGCGTTCGACCGACATGCTTCGAGCGTGAATACGCAAGATCATTGCTCGACCTGGGTTGTCTGGCAATGAGAACTCGACGCGACGATCTAATCGCCCTGGTCGCAGCAAAGCCGGATCGAGTGTATCTGGTCTGCACAGGATCAAGACGATCAGCAGATCCTACTTTGCGAGAACGAAGCAAGTACCTGTTGGTGGCCATGAGCACTTTGATGTTACCTCTGGCATCGAAACCGTCTAGCTGATTGATCAACTCGAGCATTGTTCTCTACAGAAAGATGTCAAGAAGGGCATACTAAGCTAGCGACTGGCGAGCTTACTTGGACCTCATTATCGCCGCCTGCGCCGTCATCGAATCTCGCACCGCCTATAGCGTCCACTTCGTCGAAGAAGATGATACAAGCTTTCTTGGTGCGAGCCATTTCGAAAAGCTCTCTGACCATTCTCGCTCCCTCGCCAACGTACTTTTGCACAAGCTCCGACCCGATGACTCTGATAAACGTAGCATCGGTTCGATTGGCGACCGCTCTCGCACAGAGTGTCTTGCCTGTGCCTGGCGGGCCGAAGAGGAGTACACCTTTGGGCGGGTCGATACCGAGCGTGACGAACTTCTCTGGGGATAGCAGGGGAGTCTCGACGACTTCTCGCAGCTTTTCGATTTGCTCTTTGCAGCCTCCTACGTCGGCATATGTCACATCTGGCTTTTCTTCTACCTGCATCATCGTCACTGAGGGATCTATCCGAGGTGGCAAGGGAATTTGGATTTGGTACTTGTCGCGCGTCACTCTACCATGGGACTGATGAGCAGAGAACAGGCTACGCATAACCATCGACTGACCCTACTCGCATGCCTTCCTCAATATCTGTAGGCGAGACCTTGTCGCCGAGCGCTACGACGAACTTGGCGATCTGCTTGATGTCGATGACATATTTGTCCATCTCGTCAGCGTTGGGTGCAGATGTGCCGGCAGCAGATGCAGCTTGACTCAGAGCTTGTTGTTCTGGACTCTGCTCGGGGGCACGGATGATCTTTGTACATCTTGCAACCTGCAGCGCTCCTTCTTGGCCTAAACGTTGCTTGTCGGCCGCTGTATCCCATAGAGCCGGGTTCGCCAGACCCGTATCGGTCTCCTTGACCCCCATCTTTTCATTGACGCCTGCGGTCCATATGACAATCAGCTCGAGTGGAATGACAGATTGAGGACTGCCGACGTTTCTGGATGGCTTTGATGTCGCCATCAATCGCTTTGAGCCTCATGGCGTACGGTCCTTGACCCTGTGAGCCAAGATTCAAGTCAGCCTGACGGACACCTTCGCAGACGACTGTGGCGCACGTAGGTCCGCAAGATCTTGATATCATCATCGTCGAGCGACTGAATTTTGTCGTCTGGCTGATCCACATCTGGCTTGCCCGTCTTTTCCCAGTCACTAGATTCAGCGAGTGAGATGAGCTAGAGCTTTTGCACATGATCTCGTGATGACCTACGCCTTGGGAGGCATTCTGAGGGACGTTGATGTCGAGCCTGGTGCCAGTGCGCGAGCGCGTCAGCGTCTTGCAGGCCGATGGGGAATGGGCTCCCGTCTATCGCAGGTGCACGAGTGACGGTCCAGCGCAGGAGGTGTCGTACGGATCAGTAGCTCACACAGCGTCAAGCTAGCTTCTCTTCAGTTCTTAGGGCATCAACCTTGCTGCAGCTTGCTCGAAAACATGGTCCGCTCCCATCTCCGCCTGATCTTGGTACGATCATGCTCACCCCCAGCTCTCGCTCATAGGCGGGCGCAATGGACCGTGCCAAGCGTGACGGCAAGCGTGCAGGAGGCAAGTGTTTGAGTTGGGTAGCGTTCGATCTGCTCGGCTGCCCAGATCCTTCGATGAAGGAGGTGCTGATGTCTTCCGTTTGACAGAGAACGACAAGGAGTCCCAGTATGGCTCTGTCTTTTCCGTTTCGGGTCCCGTCGTCGTCGGAGAGAACATGGCAGGAGCAGCCATGTATGAGGCAAGTCGAACACGACATAGCTAGGAACACAGCTGACGCTGAGCCATCAGCTCGTTCGTGTCGGCCATGACGAATTAGTAGGAGGTACCGCCGATCACTTTGAGCTCAGCAAGCAGCTCACAGCGACTCCGATCCGCAGAGATCATCCGCATCAACGGCGACAAGGTCACAATCCAAGTCTACGAGGAAACGTCGGGTCAGCCAGACTTGACACTACGAGTTCACGATACTCATCCTTGGCTTATCGCAGGCATGCAAATCGGCGATCCTGTCCTGCGAACCGGCAAACCGCTCTCTGTCGAGCTGGGACCAGGTGTGCTGCCCACTGACAATTCTCGAGCTGTATGAACCTGTGCCTGCAGGTCTCTTGAGCAATATCTACGATGGCATTCAGCGGCCACTGAGGGCACGTTGCAACCCACGTCCAATGACTTACACGGCTGACTTGTGATGCACCGCGCAGAACATTGCGGAAAAGTCAGGCTCGATTTATATCCCCCGAGGCATTAGCACCCAGGCGCTCGATAGAGAGCATGAATGGGATTTCAAGCCGCTCGACTCGCTCAAAGTGGGCGATCACATATCAGGCGGCGGTACGTGTCCAGATTCAGCTTCCGTCGATCATTCGTGACATCCCATATGCGCAGATATCTTCGGGTCTGTTTTTGAGAACTCGCTCATCGATGACCATAAGATCATGCTAGGCCCTCGAGCAATGGGCACCATCACGCACATCGCGGACAAGGGTAGCTATACCGTCGAGGTCAGTCGTCTTTCATCTCAGCGCACGGTACATCAAATGACCTATCGGCCAACAGGACGTCGTGCTCGAAACCGAGTTTGAAGGCAAGAAAACCGAGCACACAATGATGCAAATCTGGCCCGTCAGAGCACCTAGACCGACAGACGAGAAGCTGGAGACCACTAATCCACTCCTCACTGGTCAACGTGTCCTCGATACGCTGTTCCCTTGTGTTCAGGGAGGCACAACTGCCATTCCTGGCGCCTTTGGTTGTGGCAAAACGGTCATCTCTCAAGCTGTCTCCAAGCAAGTCCCTAGGTGTCTTGCTATCATAGCAGCTAATGGAATCGTAGATTCTCGAACTCTGATATCATTGTCTACGTCGGCTGTTTCGCCAAGGACACTGCGGTGCTCATGGCCGACGGCACTGAGAAGCCGATTCAGGACGTCGCCATTGAGGACGAAGTTATGGGCAAGGACGGCTGTGGTCGTGTAGTCGTCGGCCTTCCCCGGGGCGTCGAAACGATGTACGACGTCGCTGCGATTGGTCAGCATCACAACCAGGCAGAGAATGGGCTCCTCAACTTCACTTGCAATGCCAGTCATAAGCTCGTTGTCTGCACGCCGCAGCACGTTCGCCTCACAGATCACATGCTCGGCCAGAAGATGCAGACGTCGGTCTCGTACTTCGTCATGGGTCAGGAGCGCGTCAGCGCAGATCGCGTCATTAGCGCAGTGACGCTACGCATGCGTTCGTGGCAGCACGAGCTTCACGGCGGTCACAGAGCTGCTCGCGTCAAAGCCGAGGCTTTCAAGGCTTCGATCGACAAGGATGAGATCTTCAACTGGACCATTGAAGCTCAACACGTCGCAGCGCTGAACATGCATGTGCGCAAGGCGACGCAGCAGACTATCAGCCCGGTCTTGCACGAGAACCATCGCTTTGGCGATATCTTGAGTCAGCACGGTCTAGATCCGCAACTTGACGCCAGAGTCGCATATCTGGTCGGTCTTTGGCTGGGCAGCGGCTCCTCGGATGAACCGGCATTGACGATCGCCTCGAATGATGCAAAGACCGTTGAGCGTATCGATAGCCTCTGCTCAGCACTCGGCCTTGTCGCATCGGTTAGCGACGAGCATCATCGAGCCAAGATCGCTCGAGTCCAGGAGAATGTCGCCCACTCTGCTGCAACAGCAGATGATCAGAAACTGCACCGTGATCTGCACATCAAGATCGTTGCAGATGGCGGCGAGACGAGCCATAACGTGTTTTGGACTACCCTCAGCGAAAACGGCTTCCGTGGCGCGTCGGCCAAGGAGCCCAAGGCGGTGCCTTCATGGGTCGCGTCAGAACCGTTCGGCGTGCGCGAGGCTTTCGTCGCAGGCATGGTCGACTCGGCCGGTCAAGTCAAGGCCAGCAAGGATCGTGCCATGCGCAGAAATGTAGACATCCTGACGGGACACGCATCCGTCTGTGACGGCCTTGTTCGGGTGGCTCGCTCACTTGGCATACGAGTCTCGGCCTCGATGCAGGCAGTCAACGCATACGCTGTCTTTTTGTCTGGTGGTGAGGTAATCCAGTCAATGCTTAGCCTTTGCGCAGTCGAATGCAATCGCGCAGCACGGCCCGAAGGCCCAGTCAAGCGCCCCGGACAATCCTTCAACTTTACTGTCACGAAGACTGATCAAGCTCCATACTATGGCATAACGCTTGCTGACGATACGGATCATAAATTCCTTCTGGGCAATCTCGCTCTCGTGCACAACTGTGGCGAGCGCGGCAATGAGATGGCCGAAGTCTTGATGGAATTTCCAGAACTGACCATTGGTCAGTCAACTTCGCAAAGGCTGGGTTTGAGAGCTGATAGGCCTGATCACTCCCAGAGCGTGAGGGCAAGGAGCATCCTATCATGTCTCGCTCCACCATCATTGCGAACACATCGAACATGCCGGTAGCAGCACGAGAAGCGTCTATCTACACGGGCATCACCATCTCTGAGTATTTCCGTGATCAAGGCAAGAATGTCTCGATGATGGCAGACTCGACGAGTCGATGGGCAGAAGCTCTGCGAGAGATTTCGGGTCGTTTGGCCGAGATGCCTGCCGACTCTGGCTATCCCGCGTATCTCTCCGCTAAGCTAGCTTCTTTCTATGAGCGTGCCGGGCGCGCAAAGTGCCTCGGTAGTCCAGACAGAGATGGCACAGTTTCCATTATTGGCGCGTGAGTCCTTCCTAACCTTCATCTGGAATGCTTGCTAAGTGAAGCATGTATGCAGAGTATCACCTCCGGGTGGTGACTTCTCGGATCCCGTCACGTCTGCGACGCTGGGTATCGTGCAAGTCTTCTGGGGTTTGGACAAGAAGTTGGCCCAGAGGAAGCACTTCCCTTCCGTCAATTGGAATGTGAGCTACAGCAAGTACATCCGCGCACTCCAGCCATGGTACGAACGTGAAGAGAGCGACTTCATCAACTATCGATCCAAGGCGAAAGAGATCCTGCAAAAGGAGGACGAGCTCGCAGAAATTGTGCAGCTGGTCGGCAAGAGTGCGCTCGGAGAGAGCGAAAAGGTCACGCTCGATGTTGCTCGGCTGCTGAAGGACGACTTCCTGCAGCAGAACGGCATGTCAAAATATGATCGGTACTGTCCATTCTACGTGAGTCATTCATTACTCGGTCAGCAGTCTGTGGCTGACGTAGACAATGTAGAAATCTACGGGCATGCTGCGAAACTTCATCACATACTACGACGCAGCTCAAAAAGCTGTCGAGTCTGGCGAGATGTCGTGGAGCAAAGTCAGAGAGGCCACGGATCACGAATGGCATCAACTCACTCAAATGAAATTCGAGGATCCGAATGGTTCTGGCGCACAAGCAGAAATGGAGAAGAAGTACAAGCAGCTCACAGACTCGATCACAGAGAAATTCCGCACTCTCAACGAATAGAAGATGGCTGTTTTCCTCTGTATGCATATCCTGACAAGCCTGCGAATAGTTTGTGCGAATGGCTGAGTGACTGAACGGACCATGCTAAGCGCTCCGCATCCAAGGCGGTAGGTGATCCAGCCAAAGCAAGCCCTCGGACATCCTTCTGGGCTTCAGCAAGGCTCAATCTGGCCGGTGAAGTGCCATGAAGGCCGTTCGAGCAGATATTGCAAGCGAGCGAGCCGTTGGACGGGATGGAGCAAATCATGGCACCTGAGCCTCGCGACTGATGCAAAGACGGTCTGCTGACCCTGTCATTTGGCGGCAATGCATCATGAGCGAGGAGCAGCCGCCAGCAGCCGCTCATCTCTTCGACAGTCGGCAGATTTGATGCATTTGATGTTCGCGTTTTGGCGCCTTGGCGTTCGGCCGATGCTCGCTGTCTGCCGCTTGCCCATTGAACACGGCTATCTGCAAAGATGTCATCGGCGGTCTGGGCTCCATGTTCCGCTTTGCTGGGCCAGAGCAGCTTTTACGACTCGAGCCGCGGGTGACAAGCCATTCTATGTAACGACGCCCATCTTTTACGTCAATGCAGGTCAGCTGCTGTGCCTTGGCGGGCTACAGCAAGTCTGATGGTGTGGCCGCACTCCTGACAGACCCACACATTGGTCACTTGCATTCTATGGTCCTGGCGGACGTGCTCAAGCGATATCAAGCTCTCCGTTCGCGAAAACCTGCATTTCTCGCAACTGGCACGGACGAGCATGGCCTCAAGATTCAGCGAGCCGCGCAGTCACAGGGTCTTGAGCCTATAGAGCTTTGCGATAAAGTGAGCCAGACGTTCAGGGTGCGTAGATGTAGCCTCCTCTGCCAATAGACGCGCGTCGTTGATAACGATGATTGCAGGCGTTGGCATCAGCAGCCAGCATTTCCCATGACACATTCATACGTACAAGCGAGCCTCGACATCGCAAAGCCGTCCATGCGATATGGGTATGTGCCCCTCCTGAAAATCGCAGCGCAATGTTGACAGGACGGCCTCGGTCAGCGGAAGCTTTCTGACGCAGGCTACATATACAAGGGCTTTCATGAAGGCTGGTATGCAGTGTCCGACGAGGCGTACTATACCCCAAATCAGGTCAGGATTGGCAAAGACCCAAAGACACGAGTCGAATGCATGGTAATTGCTACGACATCCCTAAACGCGACAGCCTCTCACGTTGTGCTACAGGTCGCGGTAGAATCCGGCCAGCCTGTCGAATGGGTCAAGGAACACAACTATATGTTTGCCCTCAGTCGGCTTCAGCCTGCTCTACTCGGCTGGCTGACCAGCAACGAGCAATGTGAGGCTTTCCAGCAATATCGAGACGCAGCCTGATAGGGCATTAGCCGTCGTCCCTGCGTCCAGACGAGTAGAAGTCATTGACGCCGTCTCTGCCGGTCTCAGCGATTTGTCAATCTCTCGCCCATCTGCAAGACTCAAATGGGGCATATCTGTTCCAGACGATCCAGAGCAGACCATCTATGTCTGGATCGATGCTCTGACTAATTATCTTACTGTCACGGGCTACCCATGGGCGGGCAAGCCTAACAAGCTCTGGCCGGCAAATGCGCATGTCATCGGCAAGGATATCGTCCGGTACGTGACCTCGCGAACGCGGACGCAGCGCAGCCCCTGATGAATCGGATAGGTTTCATGCAATCTACTGGCCGGCTATGCTTATCGCAGCTGGCCTACCGCTTCCACGTTCGATCGTGACGCATGCTCACTGGACGCAAGGCAATTTCAAGATGTCCAAGAGTCGCGGCAACGTCATCGACGCTGTTCGCGCCCTGTCTACGCACGGCATTGATGAAGTACGATACTTTCTCATGCGGATCGGAGGCGGGCTCGAGCACGACAGTGGTAAGCACGCTTGCTGTAGTCTGGCAAAACTCCGCCTGACGCACACATAGACTTCACGCTTGAGCAATTGGAGATTGTGACAAAGAAGGAGCTGGCAGGTCAGCTGGGCAATTTGCTTCGACGTATACAGTCAAAGAAAGTCCTTGGCTCGCTCATAAAGCCAGGGCATCTCTTTGAGCCTGAAGACCGCTTCGAGCACTCTGCCGCAGCACGAGTCGTCTTGATCGAGCTCGGTGAATTGCCAGAGCGATTTGCAGAGCACATGTCATCGTGTCGTGTTGCCAACGCAGTGTCGGAAGTTGTCCGCATGCTCTCGATGGTGCGTGTCGATCGTCAGATAAAGGGAGGAGACTGATCGGTATCGCAGGCCAACGCATTTCTTGCAGAGGAAGCGCCGTGGCAGGGTGAACGCATAGGACAGCCAGATGCGCAAGTCAGCGTGTACACTGCTGCGGAGACTCTACGGGTCGCGGCTATTCTCTACCAGCCTTTCATGCCTGCAGCGGCCCAAATGATCCTGGACCAACTCGGCATCTCATCAGAGCACAGGAGATGGTCGGATCTCGCCTCTCGATCAGTGAAGACGTCAAGAGCGCCACTCAATGCAAAGGAAGCCGCGCCCGTGTTTGTTGTCAATCGCAATGGAGCGAGCTAGACTATGTACAATGCAGTGATGGGCGTCTAGAGGCCTTTTGCGTGTTTGCCCTCTTCGTAAAATTTGTCCAGACGATTGACGACGGTCTCGAGACCGGTCAACCAGTTCTGTAGCTCGCTCTGGACTTTTGCAGCCGGCGCGTCGCCGCCAAGCTTTTCGTAGAATACTTTTCTGTAGGGACACGCTTTCATCGCAAGCTGTCAAACGCGGGCAGCATTCAGCACAGGTAGCGCTGAAAGCACGACGGACCAACCGAGAAGACAGGGCGGACGACGAAGCTGTGATACTGCCTGAGGGTGACCTCGTAAGCTTTCGTGAAGCTGACGGATAGCTCTTCGCTTTGGTCTTTTTCTGATCGCTGCAGAGCAGTGCATGTGAACTTGAGGCCTCTGTACTTTTCTTGTGTGATCAGCTCATGCGCAGACAGTGTTGAGTGTGAGCGTGCCTTAGCAGCCATAGCAAGCCCTCTGTCGCGGTTCGTTTCTTCTCCTTTGACTCGTTCACTACAAGGCTCTCGAGAGTAGCATTGGCAGTCTTGTCGCTGTTGTACCTTGCCTTGATTTTCTGTTCCGTTGTGTCACCGATAAGCTGCCGCCAGGCTCATCAGCAGACTTGAATCACCTCAATGTTGCCACGCATGTCATTCTGCACGACCGAAAATGCAGCCGAGCCAAATAAGTCTGTGCGCATCCTGCTTTGTCAGCTATGCAGACGACATAGTTGAGAAAGCGCTGCGCACCAAACAGCTTGACGACGCCCTCTGATGCTTCGAGGAATGCAGCCGTGTCGACGCCGGCATCTGTGACGGGTACGTCTGCAAAAGACTGTGAAGACAGACCACAGTGTCAGGCAGTATCGCTGAGCCGGATGCCTGTGAATGCACCTTGGAGACTGTATCGAAATATGTCGGCATTCTGGCGACCAATCTTGTGGGTGTGCGCACGCGGCGCGTCCGGATTGAAATCAAGTGTATCCGGGACAACGGCCCGCGACAGACCGCCGCAAGCACAGCGAGTGTCTTCTATCCGTGCGAGCGACAGCAAGATGGGTGTACGTAGTTGCGGACAGCAGGTGTAGCTGCAGACTCACACGACAGAGGGCAGATCTCATCGACAGCCACGAGGTTATTCTCGCGGAATTCGATCTATGTCGGCACCATCTTCTTTGGCGCTTTTGCGTTCGGCATAGGCTACGACAAGGCCACCAGTGCTTTCTGGGAATACCACAACAAGGGGGTGCGTCGGTATCGTTCGGCTCCACTGCACTGCTGACCCTGGATCGCCGTGGTTTGCAGAAGCTATGGGCTGATGTCAAGGTACGCACAATGCTGTCATCCGGCTCGTGATTGCTGATCCTGACGTGAGTCTGCAGCCACGCTACGTGAAGGATTGAGCGATCATGCGATCTGCGACGAGCAAATCTAGAGCTTCTCATGTAGCAATGCGACCTTTGCACCCAGCCTGCGCGGAACGAGCGGAGGAGAGTACAACGACGAGCATGCAGTGCTATACAACGAGACTGAACGGGGCCTAACGCGTGATACTGACAGATCTGATCAGGCTGGTCAGACATTCTAGCGAGGCGGCTCGGGCACGACTTGAGTCATCGGGGACTGCTCCCTGCTTCTATCTTCTCGTGTCGTCGCCCGCACAAACTCCGGAAAGCTGAAGCTTGCGGGCAGTGTATCCAGCTGCTGTGATCGTCATCTGATGTCAGCCATGTGTGTGAAAGCCACATGGAGAGATCAGACCTTGCTCGCTTTACGAGATGGCTTTGCGCGAGATTCTTCTTGGAGCGCCGTACTGACCATCTCGCGCGATGTGTCCCAAACGAGCGTGGTCTGTCTGGCTGCTTGCTGCAACAGAGCATGCTCGCTTCCACCAGAAACCACTACAAGAGTCTTGCCCTGTCAGCACGCGACATCGTTTCACGTATCTCTTCGCTGACCTAGTATAGCCGAGTTGAGAGCCTGGGCAAGGCGTTCCCTCCTGTCGAGATCGAGAAAGACGCGAACAGGTCTGGGCGCCTGTTCGAGATCTCTGTATGCCATCAGGCCGGCGACTGTTTCTAGCTCTTTGAGGAAGCCAGCTCGCTCGTTGGGATCTGGCAATATGTTTGCGCCTCCCGCCAGATAGAAAAGCGATTGTGCCTGACTGAGCGCTCGATTGAGGATTCCTGCTGAGGTAGCCGTGGAGCCCGTTGATTGCGAGTGAATGGACGAAGAGGGAGATGCGACGCCGTTGGGCGCTGCAGGCGACATGCCCTCGAATGCCATGGCCGAAGCTCCCCCGGAACCATTACTTGCCACGGTGGAAGTTGATCGGATGCACTCGATGAAGGCCTGGACTTGTAAGTTGAGAGCGAGATGGATGGGTGATAGACTCGTCAAAGGGAAACTAGGCTGACGTTCGAACGAGTCTAGCTTGGGGATCGACGAACGAGGTAGACCAGATGCTGTGCTCGTCCAGGCATTGGCGCCCGTTGCTGGCGTACTGGCGAGTGCGGTGGCAGCTTGGGGTAAGATACTGGTGGCCTGTATGACGGGTGAAGTGAAAGCTGACGAGGAGGCCAGGGGGCGCAAAGGACCCGTAGGTGCACTGGCGCCGTTCGTGCTCCCGTTTGAGTTGACGCCGTTGTTGGCGGCGGTGGTGGTGACGTAAGACTCGTGGAGCGCCTCATTGGACAGCACGCCCGGGAATCGCTCTTGGCAGATTGTGATTGCGTTTTGGATCCGTCCTGCTCGAACGAGTCGCTGAAGATCTGCAGAGCAACATCAGCGGAGGCTTGCTTGCCAGGCTCTCTGAGGTGACAGACCGGCTCTCAATTTGATGTTGTGGAAGTAGCTCGGGCTGAACAAGGCGTCGCGTGCAGTATCGCCCCCGCTGGTCAGGGAGGCCAAAGCGGCATCATCCTTGGGTTCTTGCGTCAAGGGATGAGTGAGCCCATTGGAAGCAGTGATGGTATCAATCTCGGCCGTATCGCTGTTGATGTCCATATCGATCTGACTCGTACTGCTCTCCTCCCTTTGTCTGTATGAAGCTGAGATCGCTCGGGCGACGATAGCAGAGGGAGACTGGTCTAGATTGGACTTGCCAGATGCAGATGCGGATGCGGACTCCTCCGATTCGATGGGGGGCCAATCGCTGACAAAGTCGAGCGCTGTCTCGTCAAAGCACGAGTGGATGAGATAGTCGAGCACGAGTAAGCGTAATTCGTGCGATTCCATCGAGGGTGCGTTCTGATAGCCTACCAGGCCTTTGCCTCGGCTCGCCATCGTCGATCGGCCTGAACAGATGTGATGATCGTCGAGCGCTTTGGCCAGGAGACTCGTCACAGTCTGCGCGCAACTGTCGACGCCTTGCTCGTTTCGATTACGCGACTGTCGCTCCTCGCTTCCCCGCGAGATGGCAGATCTCCTGGCGAGCGACATGGCAGCGGCAGACGAGGAGGACTACATCCCCGGCTTGACCAACGAAAAGCTCTTCGGCACACTGCCCGAGGTCGATAGAGCTCGCTGTAACAGGTATGCGAGGTGCTCACGCGACATGTGCAGAGTGACGGCATATCAGTCTTACTCAAGCGACACATACCGCCCGATCAGATCCCACTCAGAGATCTGTCAGGTCAAGCCAGAGGAAGGCATCTGCCAGAGCTCATCGTCGGTCACACGGCTTGTACACTCGATCCCAAGACTGATAGCAGAGGACAGACAGCCAATGCGTGGAGAGCGGTGGCCTATTTTGCACAAGACCAGATCGTCTCCTCCGATGCCAGTCGAACTGCTCTGCTGCTCGACGTCAGTTTCGCGATCTTACAGACGCAGACAGTCTGACTGACGCGACGCGCACAGCTCTGGACCGTCAGATTCGTAGCGCTTCAGCAACTGAGACTGTACCCGCTGCTTCTCTTCGAGCTCGGCAATCTGCTTGATCTCATGCCTCCTCTGGTCGTTGCAAGACCGACAGCAGACGAGAGCTATTTTGCAGCCAATGTCCCTTTCGAGCTGCTCGTCTTGCAAGCGCGCTTCAAAGACAAAGGCGCACCCCTTGCCGTGCAAGAAGCGTTCTTTGAGCTCGTGCGTGACGAAGCTGTTTTCAGCGACTCCTACTGAAAAGGAGCGCAGATACGGACATGTCGATTGGAAACGCAAAGACATGTTCGAGCGCAGAGGAAGGAAGAAGCAGCAAAGTGGCAACGTCGGCTAGTCCGGGTCAATCTGATGCTGGCTTCTTACTTTCTCGAGATTAGAGTACGTCCCCTCTGCGGCCACGGGGAAAAAAAAGCCTGACAATTTGACAGGACTTGGCATCTTCTGCGAGCTTACTCCAGGAGATGCTGAACGGACTGCAAGGGTCTCAGCTGCTACTGGAGCGCGCGCAGGTCTTCAGTGCAGCCATTCGAGTACATATCGAGTCTGGCAATCTTGCACGTGCTGCCGACTTACTGGGCAGCTTTGGAAGCTTGCTAAGTGCAAAGGGCAGCGATCTGGACAAGGTCGCGGTTGAATATGAACGAGCCAAGATGTCAATCGCTGCTGCACGGGGAGATTGGAAGGCTGTCCTCGCCTCGCCTCGCAATGACCTGATCGCGAGTTCCTTCGTTGGTAGCGACGAGGACGGGCTGAATAGTACTGCAGGCAAGCAATGGAAAAGCGATCGCTACACTCTCACAAGGCTCGCTGAACGAAGCGACAGCCACGATAGAAGGAGCGATAGATCGACAGCCGCGACAGAGCTACGCAAGCGAAGCAACGCTCTACAATTTGGCTACGCTGCTCGAGCTAGGCACAGATACGGGCAGGAAGCTAGATTTGCTCGTAGGAGCGGGTCAATATGGCAGCGAAGGCTTCAGGGTAGGCTGTCTGAAGATCTAGGCAACGGAACTGCCACTTTTGCTAGCGTGTTGCATGTCGTTGTACAACTCAGCTCCTGCACATACGCACACGGAGCAAGTCTATCGTCTGGGCGGGGGCGCTCCTCGTCCGGGCGCGCCCCTTCCTCTCCGACCTGTCAATACGCAGCATCTGTTAGCATAAGAAGCTGATAGGCCGCCTATACTGACTCTGAGCACGCTGGATAGTCGCACGACCTCTCGCTGTGCCGATACCTCGCCCCTTGAGCGCATTAGGTCCTTGTCGCTTGAACCTGTGTCAAATCCGCCTCTGTCAGCTAGCAAACACTGATACGAGATGGAAGCGGACATTGGCGCGTGTGCGAGCATGTCGGGCACGATGAAGAAACTGCTCGTCACATCAGCTCTGGCACTTTACAGCTCGACAAAGCCAGGAGACGTACTTGATCATCGGACCGCGAATGTAGACTTGGTCGAGCTGAGTCACCCGTCCGTCTCGTTGGGTGACTGTGATCTGGCTCATGGAGATATTGAGGTTGTCCTCGGCTGTGTCGAAGGGAGATCCATTTCAGTTTCTTTGCTCGACGCTCCAAATCCTGCTCGGCTGACCATCAAGCAGCTTTCCTCGGTAAGTCTGACCGGTCTTGAGCTCGATGGTGATGACATGTCCCACACTTTCGTGGAGGAGCTTGCAAGGGATGCCGATAGAAGCAGACATCCTTCCGCCTGATCACCGTCCCCTTCGTTGGCGCGAAGTCGAGCGAGCCTGACTTTCTCTCACGCTCTTCCACCGCGCTCACGACGTGCGCCGGACTGCCCTCGACCGACTGACGCCTGCCAGGCCTGCACTGGCGTGTTCTAGCGAGCGAGTAGCCAGAGGGGGCGCAGACCAGAAGCACAAGCATCACACTCGACCGTCCTTCGGCTTGCTAGGGCGACATTCAGGCACAGGCTTTATCATCGCGATAGAAAGGCCAACATGGATCAGTCGCTCATCAAGACGTGCGCAGGTTCATCTACATGCATCTCGCCGTGACTGACGTAGCTACACTCTGGCTCGACAGGATCAACAAGCTCCAAGATGCCTTCACGTCGGTCGAGCGAGATCAACAATGGCCAATGAAGACTGACGTGTCTCGTGCCCTGCAGTTCCGTCGGCGTCGCCAATCCTATCGATCTCCCACAAGTCCGCTCGCCCTTCATCGCTCTGCCTCTGTGAACTGACGCAATAAACGCGACAGATTGCAGTCGTTGGCTCCCAGTCGAGCGGTAAAAGCTCAGTGCTCGAATCGTCAGTCCTGTCCCTTGCACCCCTCACGCGACGACCTGCTCACACGATGAGTCTCTAGAATCGTCGGCAGAGACTTCTTGCCTCGAGGAACGGGCATCGTGACGCGTCGGCCGCTCGTTCTGCAACTCATCAACCGACCTGCTTCTGCCAAAACGAATGGCCAAGTTAACGGCGCAGACGAAGACAAGAAGGAGGATAAGCTTAGCAATCCGGACGAGTGGGCAGAGTTCTTGCACAAGCCAGGTGAAAAGGTACGCCCTGCATCGTCTCGCGCGCACTGCTTGTGCTGACGTCTGTATACGCTCGCAGTTCTTTGACTTCAACAAGGTCGGCCCAGACGCATGGAGGGATCGACGTGGTAGCTCATAGCCTTGCGGAACAGGTTCGAGAAGAGATTGTACGGGACACGGAAGAAAAGACGGGCAAAAACGCTGGCATCTCACCGCTGCCCATCAACCTGCGCGTCTTTTCGCCCAATGTGCTCACACTCACACTCATCGACCTGCCTGGTCTCACAAAGGCATGTACACTCACTATGAAGCCTGGCTGGATGCTCATTGCGTTGCAGCTTCCCGTTGGAGATCAACCGAAAGACATTGAGCGTCAGATCCGAGACATGCTCCTCAAATTCATCACCAAGCCCAATTCCATCATCCTCGCCGTTACGGCTGCCAACACCGATCTGGCAAACAGCGATGGTCTCAAGATGGCGAGAGAGGTCGATCCCGAAGGCGCGCGCACAATCGGTGTGCTCACAAAGGTCGATCTCATGTATGTTCCTCCCCCTTCGGCCGCTCTGCAGGAGGCTGACCAAGCCTGCAGGGACTCTGGCACCGACGTCGTCGATATTCTCGCAGGAAGAATCATCCCTTTGCGCCTCGGCTACGTGCCTGTCGTCAACCGAGGCCAGCGCGACATAGACAGCAAGAAGCAGATTGTTGCCGCACTAGAGCACGAGCGCGAATTCTTCGAAAATCATTCGGCCTATCGCACGAAGAGCCAGTACTGCGGCACGCCCTTCCTCGCACGCAAGCTCAACATGGTATGCCAGCCTGCCATCCGGTAGAAGAGACAACACTAATACCAGCGTGACAGATTTTGATGCATCACATTCGCAACACGCTGCCGGAAATCAAGACAAAGATTCAGGCATCCTTGCAGAAGTACCAGCTCGAGCTCAATAGCTTGGGTGGCCCTACTGGTGATGGCAGCTCTGTCCGTCTGCCTTTGATCGTAGCAGGACTAAGCTGACCATGACAATCAGGGCAATGTCGTGCTATCAATCATCACTGAGTTTTGCAACGAATTCCGAACGGCCCTCGATGGCAACAGTGGCGACCTGTCCATCAACGAACTCTCTGGCGGCGCTCGAGTCAGCTTTGTCTTCCACGAGCTTTACGCAAACGGCGTCAAATCGCTTGACCCTTTCGATCAGGTCAAGGATTCCGATATCCGCACCATCTTATACAATTCATCCGTGGGTTTCCTACTCGCGCCCTGTCATTTGTGCTGACTCTCGTGCAGGGTTCTTCCCCGGCGCTATTCGTCGGCACGACTGCATTCGAGCTCATCATCAAGCAGCAGATAAAGCGGATGGAGGAGCCCAGTCTCAAATGTACAGCGCTCGTATATGACGAACTTGTGCGCATCCTCAGCCAGCTTTTGCAACGCAATGTGGGCTATTTTCAATCCCACAATGGCAAGGCTGACCTGCACGCACAGCAACATTTCAAACGTTATCCGCAATTGAAGGAAAGGTTCTACTCGACCGTATTGTCTTTCTACAAACGAGCCATGCAGCCGACCAACAAACTCGTCACCGATCTCGTAGCAATGGAGGCCACATACGTCAATACTGGTCATCCCGATTTCCTCAGTGGTCACAAAGCTATGGCGATCGTCAGCAACCGCATCGAAGCCGCAAAGCCTCAGCAACCAGCGCATGACCCCAAATCTGGCAAGCTGGCGCCGGGCACGCTCAACAATAATCGCGACCTTGACGTAGACCTCAAGCAGCAAGAACAAGGCTTCTTTGGCTCTTTCTTCCCTGGCGGTAAGAACCCTCAGGCAGGCAAGGCGCGTCGTGCAGGCATGATGGAGCCACCGCCCGCCGTACTGAAAGCTTCTGGCACGCTGTCCGAGCGAGAAGCAATGGAAGTCGAAGTCATCAAGCTCCTGATCGCGTCTTACTTCAACATTGTCAAGCGGACGATGATCGATATGGTCCCCAAGGCTATCATGCTCAACCTCGTCACCCATGCAAAAGACGATCTCCAGAGAGAGTTGCTAGCCGAGCTATACAAGCCCGACGTACTGGACGAGCTGCTCAAAGAAAGCGACTTTGTCGTCTCGCGTCGCAAGGAGTGCGTCAAGATGATCAGTGCATTGACATCTGCAGAGGCCATCGTTGCCACTGTCTAGCCGATTCCTCTAGACCTATAGCAGTGGCTCATGCACAGCGAGCGTCTCTGCATGCGGCAGCGTCTCTGTGGCGCACTGGACGAGTAGACTTTGTATGTGATGCAGATTACGTCATGCCTGCCGCGTGACAGAGCTATCACGAGGCACTCAACCGACGGAGAGCGTCATTGGCGTGGCGGACGCCCTCGGGCAGCTTGATGAGACGCGCTTGCTCTCGCGCTTCGCGGAAGAGCTTGATTGCGTTTTGCGTGTTGCCATCGAGCTCTGAGATCATGCCAAGGTTGTAAAGAGCGACAGCAATGACGCCCTTACACTCGCCCGCTTCTGCTTCTCTCTGTGCATCCACAGACGCTGTCTCGGTGTGGCGAGCAATCTCGAGTGCCTTGTTGGCCCAGGAAGAGGCACTCTTTATCCTGTCGTCGGCTGACGATGCGACAATCGTCGATGATATGTTGTTCATCTGCCAGCTTGTCAGCCTATGCCAATATGGCGATCGTGAGAGCTGACGATGGTTGCGCCGTGACAGCGGTCCTGTATCGGTGGCGGGGTCCGCTTGGCAGGATCTGGGGATTTCATGATGATACCGAGCGCTTGTATATAAAGCTGTAATGCATATCTGCGAAGGGGTGTCAGCATTTGTGATGTTGCGCCAGGCTGCAATGAGACACACTCTGCCTGTCCTTTGCTCGCATACAACGCGCCCAAATTCTCCATGCTGGCGCCTAGGTTGGCTTGGGTGATCCAACCGGGCAGTACGAGTTCGCTGGCCATTATGCTCGTTTCATCCGGCGTCTCATTGAGAGCGCCTGAGCCTTTGCTCTGTCTCTGCTGATCTGCCGCGCTTGCTCGAAGCATCTCCTCCAAGGACCAGGAGAGCATCTTTTCGGCGCGCATCATGTGATCCTCGCCGCCCAATCGCTGCGAGATCTCTCCGATCTTCTGTGCCAATGCTATGCCGCGCATGCTCAGTTCTGAGCCGACCTCGTTGGTAGCGGACGAGAAATTTCTGACTTGCTCGAATGCATGCTCGTAGATCTCAAGTGCCGGCTCGAGCTTGGCTTGCTCCTCTAGCAGAGCGGCCAGTGCGATTGCGATCCCGCTGACCTTGAGCTGTGCGGATAGGGGCGCACCAAGCTCTGCATTGCCGCTGTAGAGCAATGCCTCTGCATTGGTCAAAGCTCGCTGGAAGAACTGCTCGGCCTTGCGCTGCTCGCCTCGCTCTTTACATCGCAGGGCAGATCGCAGGTCACCCCTGATCTCTTTGGGCCAGACTCTGAAGGCTGAGAAGTAGTCCCATAGTCCGTAGCCCGTCGCTGAGATGCCGATCACAGCGAGTGCGGCAAAGACGTAGCCAACTCTGACGCCTTGGGGTGCTGGCCCCGGAAGCGCTGTAGAAGCTCTTCTTGGCCTCGGGCTATGCCTCACTTGACACGTCGGCCTGGCAAGGGCTCGACAGAGAGCTGGTCCTCTCATCGCCATTGAACAGTTCACGAGTCATCGACATCATCGCGAAACTCATCCTCACGTGCGCTCGCCGGAGTTGCTCCTCAGCAGCATGCCGTAGGAGCTCGCATATGCATATCAGGCTGTTAGTGGCTGCTGTCAAGTCTGCCTACTTGTGCGAGAGCAGAGTTGGCATCCGACTTCGGCTCAGCGAAGATCATCAGCGCTGCAACACTGACCAGCTGTCCGGGCTCGATGCCACCTGTGCCACCTATGAGCACATAATCAGCCTGCATTCCCAATCGCAAACACAAGGTTCCGTCGCTCAGAGGGTATGACTTGTCGAGCATTGAATGTTCAATTCGGCCCAGAGACCGCCTCTCCGATCGATTTCTCCGCTCAAAAGATCGACATTGCATTTCTCGTCGGTCGAACACCACGCGAACGGCATCCCCAAGAAGATGATCATGATCACTTGACTCCTTCCACAAGCGCTGGCATTTGCAAGACAGCGTTGGGTCCGGGGAAGTCCAGAACGCTGTTTAAAGGAGGCCGACGACCATAATGCACTTCTCTACAAAGACTTTGCGTGCGGGTACCTTTGCTCAGCTTTGCTTGCCACTGCAGACATGAGTACCTTGCTCTCCGCGAGCCTTGCAGCCTGCTTGCTTCTCAGAGCAGCAGCCTTCCCTGCTCAAGGGACTCAATTTGCTACCAACACCTCGGCTCAGCAAAATGCGGCCATCTACAATGCCGTGCCCGCATCGGCCTGGACAGCCCTCAGTCAGGCTGTTGGTGGCAGACTACACTTTGCTTATCCTGTCGCCAAGCCTTGCTACGCCAGCTACAATGGTGCAGTCCAGGTTCCTGACGTTACAGCATGCAAAACTGTGCAGTCGGGCTACAAGACCGACACTTACCTAGTAACACAACCCGGAGGTTACCTCAACACAAACTGGGGAACCTGTCAGGCCACAGATGCCCAATGCGCGCTGGACTACACGACGACCCTACCCATCACTGGCCTGACCTGCTCTCAGGGCTCGGTGGCGCCACGATACATTCAGGTGCAGAAGCCGAGCGATATACAGGCTGCTATGTACTTTTCCTTCCGAACAAAGGTGCCGCTCGTCATCCGCAATAGTGGTGCGTTCTAGCGGATCATTACGCATAAAGGGTCGTGCTGACCCGCTTTGCTTGGGCTCGCGTAGGTCACGATTACAAGGGTCGGTCATCTGCACCAAACAGCCTGATGTTGTACATGAACGATTATCCTGGCAGCATCACCCGCAACAAAGCATTCGTCGCACAAGGCTGTGCTGCCTCGACGGCAGTTGACAGTCTCACTTTTCCGAGTTCTACCGGCTTTGTGGATCTATATGAGTACTGCGAAGCCAACGCCTGCACGGTCGTTGGTGGCTCGGCAGAAACGGTCAGACCGGGGGGCGGCTGGATTGTAGGTCACATAGCCATTGCTGTCAGGCTTATGCTGACTTGTACTCGCAGACCGGCGCTGGTCATTCGTCCATCTCTAACACCTTGGGACTCGGAGGCAAGTTCTACCCATACAAGCATGATAGCAGCCAGCTGACATCATCATATCTAGTGGATCTCGTAGTTGAGCTCACTGCGGTCGTCGGAACGGGTCAAGTCATCGTAGCGAACAGATGTCAAAACAGCGATCTATTCTTCGCCTTGCGCGGCGGTGGCGGTGGAAGCTTCGGCGTCATCACGACCATGACTACAAAGATATATCCTCAGATGCAGATCCAGGCAGCTTACGTCAGACTAGCAAGCCTGTCACCCGCCAACTTGCAGACTTTCATTTCCATCTGTGTTCAGAATGCGGAAGCTTGGGCGGCCGTCGGCTACGGAGGATACATCGAGCCAAGCGCCATGTCTGGTCAGGCTTCTGGCCTCGTCCTGTTCACGCCAAAGGTCAACAACAGTGTCGCGCTTGCTGCAATGAAGCCCATGATCGATTATGCGAACTCGCTCGGGAACCTCAAACTCAATGCGGAAGTGACATCGATGCCATCCTTTTTCAAGGCCTATCAGACGTATCTGACTCCCAACGAGGAGCTCGTCGGACTTGGCACTGCTATTGGCAGCAGACTGATACCCCGCGCGAATTTCCAAGGCTCCGCAAATCAGGCTACCCTGACCGCGACCATCGTAAAGATTGCCAATCTGGTGAATCTACCGGCTATTTTGAAGGGTTCACCTCTGCTGTATACTTATGGCGCGCCGCTGCAATTCCTCGTCACAGCGCCATCAGGCTTCACTTTGTCTTCAAATAATACCTCGCCCGCTGGCATGTCTGCAGTCACACCAGCATGGCGCAACAGCCTATGGCATGTCTTTGTGAACAGCGTCTTCAGCAACTCTGCATCAACAAGCGATATCGCTGCCTCCTTCCAGCGTGCACATACCGCTGCTGAAATGCTGCGGGCCATCGCGCCAAATTCAGGCGCATACCAGTGGGTTCTTATCGGCTTCTGATCTGTTCTGTCTGATCTGGGCGCTGCAGGAACGAAGCGGATACCTTCTCAAGCAATCCGATCAATGACTTTTGGTCGCCGACCATATACCCAGTACTTCTCAAGGCGAAGGCAAAGTACGATCCTCAAAATTTGCTTACAGGTCATCAGACTGTGGGCTGGAACGCTACTGATCCGCGATACAACTGTTATCCTGCCGCCCCTCAGTAGGATGCGCATCTCTGTTGTGACGCGTGGGATGCAGATGCTTAACGCGACGCGTGCTCACTCGCATCCTTTGTGCTGCGTCTTTGAGCGTCCATCTGCCCCTGCATCTGCCTAGCTCAAGGAAAGCCTGAATTGCCGTCAGATCACTCAGAATCGTCAGATTGCCCATAGCGTCGTCGGATAAGTCTGCGTGGGCTCCCGCATATTCGGCATTCGCAGCGCGATCGCGCTTTTTGGGATCTCCGCTTTCTTGTCGATGACGACGATTCGAGGTCATGGGTTATAAGTAAGCCGCAGCTTTCCCTTTCAGCCATCCTTTCCGCCGTATTTCACTTTGTCAGTCTATGCGAAGTCTTGCACTCTGCGTTGTGCTGAGCCTTGCAACTTAGAGTCAAGCACCTACCAATCTACTAGTACAATGGAATCTATCAAGGGCGCCGTCAACAGTGCGACAGAGTCTGTGCAGTCCGCCACCAGCGGTGCCAGCAAGGAGGCAAGTCCATCCTTGTGCTAGCCATACTCTGACTAATATCGTATTGTAGGCCAACAAGAGCCAGGCCAAGGACTCGTCCAACTCCATGGGCGACCGTGCCTCTGCCGCCAAGGACGCAGCAAAGGACAAGGCTGACGAGTCAAAGCACGATGCCAAGTCATAAAGCAGCACTCGCTTCTCCTCACGTTCATGTGAGCAGCACATATATATGCTCTGTCCTGTGACTGATCTTTAGCTTCATCAGATGTCTCGAGTCGTTTAGCCGTACTGGAATGAAAGCATGATTTGCGAAGTTTAGTGCTCGTACGTGATGAACCGAGTTGAGCCGATATGAATCAGTGGTGGTGAGTCGAGTTCACTCAGTGAAGATGGAAGCAAGCGAGTCAACGTCTCCGCGTCAAGCGTCGCTAGCCCATCTAATGCAATATAGCGGGTCCCACAGGCAGGAGTCCAAAGCGAGGACCTGGCTGGACCAGCGAGAGCGCTTGCTTGAGCTCATGCTTGCTCGAATGTTGAACTGCACTTCGCAGCAAGTCGACAGAATCTCTCGATCTCGGTATCAAGCAAGCAAACATCATGCGCGTTTCCTTTGCAAATTGCCGCGCGCCAGCGGGGTTACTCTCTTGAGTTGCGGTCTGTGACGACGAGGATTAGTCTCGTATGGACAGCGTGCAAATTAAAAGGCAGCTCACCTTGCCATTGCCTAAGAGAGCAGCCAGGAATGCCAGATCAAAGGCGACTTGGACTTCCGGCTGAGTCGACTGCTGCTTCTCATATGCAACACGTAAATCAGCGATGAGCGTCGGGCCAATTTCGGCGTGATGGGCTGCGAGGAAGGGGCCAAGTGACTCCATAGACTGTACGAGCGATGTCAGGCCAGCCAGCAAAGCAACGCTCGCTTTTCGAGGCGAGTCATCGCTGCCGAAAGGCGCGCGTAGCATTGTTTGAGCAGCAAGATCGACAGCGCGGCTATGCCAACTCGCGAGCGCTTGACGTTGAAGGGCCTCGAGCTCGTGAAGCATCTTATCGCGCAAACTGCTTGCGGTCGGCTCAGGCGCACCTGTGAGGACGTGTTGTAGCAATACTGGACCATTCATCATGGCTAGAGAGAGCTGAGCGAGCAGGGTCGCCACTTGAGTATCGCTCTGCTGAACGATGGCTGCCGATATAGATGATACAATGGAGTCGCAAGTCGTCTCGATCGCAGCGAGATCGAGACTCGTCTGCTGGACTTCTGGTGGAACAGCAGCAGCCCACGCAAGCACATCGCTCGCAGCGCTCTTGGCGAGCTGTTCGACTTGGGCCAGAATGGAATCGACTGGCGATAGCCGACCGCGCAGGCGGTCTGTCAAGTCAAGCTTGAACGCTTGTAAGTTTTGTGCCGCGTCTGTCGGCGTCAAAGTTGCTGCAGCTTTGATCTCGGCACGAGCTGTCAGATAGAAGGCGAAACGATCATCTGTCATCGGCGCGAATTTGCCAATGGTTGTCTCGAGCGAAGAAGCAAAGGCGCGAGCGATTGCGTCGAGATGACTTGCATGGATCGCCTTTGCGCGATTGCCCAGCAGCTCTGTCATATTTTGCTCGACCGAGGCAGAGTAGTGCGATATTTCGGCTCGCGCTAGCTGAGTGAGTAGCATTTGTAGTCGCACGTTCAGCTTTGCAAGCGTTTGTAATGCGTCGATTCGAGCCAGCGAGGTTACAGCGCCAGATCGAATGCTATCCAGATTGTGAGCAAACCATCGCCGCAAGAGCTCATCAACTGCCGGTCGGACGAGGTCCTGAGCGCCTTGCGGGAGCGAAGGCGCGAATGCCTTGAGATGATCGGGCAGGTAGCGCGCCAGGAGGTGCATCGCCGGCAGCGAGCTTAGCAAGTCGACGTCCAGCGGTGCCTGCAGGAAGCGGGGCGCGCCTGCTGAGCTCTGTTGGGTTACTGCAATGCATTGGGTGCATGTCTTGAGTAGCAGTGAAACGGCTTCGGCGATCTGACGCATCTCGCTTTCTGTGTTTGTCTGCGCGCTCGCCTGTAATGTCTCAGACAGTGCGTTACTTCGTCTTGCCAAGAATGTCGAGACAACGTCGAGTGGAGAAGCTCTTTGCAGAAGAGTGAGCGCTTGTAGAGTCTCACACAGATGCTGCTAGATTCATCAGCCATGAGTCGGATGTATCGTCGCTGAACGCGCTTACCTCATCAGATATGTCTTGAGACGCCAGAGAATCTTCGGCTTGTCGTATCACTTGGGGTATCATCTCCTTCAGTGCGTCCCAGCAGCGTTCGATCACTGGAAAGGATGCCTGCAGGTCGAACGCGACTGCTTCCGTATGCAGCAGGTGATTGTAGACTGCTCGCGCCAGTGCATCCAGCCTAGCAGCGAGCAAGTAAGCGTGGCGTTCGACGCAGCGCCAGATCTGATCGGGACAGTCAAGCAGGACTTTGACGAGTGCGGCGAGCGCATAGCTTTGCGTCTTTGCATCCTCGCTCTCGTTTGGTCTTGTTGGTGAGACGAGCTGGCGCTGCTTGCCCTTGGTACTGCCACTCTCGGGCGGAGAACAGTTCTGCCTGACTTGTGCGACCCGTCTGAGCAGCAGATGAGATGACTTTCTCATTCGGACGATAGAGTCTGCCGCGGATAGCAAATCGCGGTATCGCTCGCCGACCATTGACCTCAGCTCTTCCTTCTTTGCTTCGGCCGATTGCTTTGCGCGAATCTCGAGCCGCTTGACGTCCTTGTGCCTGAACTTGACAAAGAGCTCGTCAACGACATCCTCGCTAGCTGCCACATCAGGGTTCAATGTCGTATCAGGCGCGAATTGACTCGTCTGAACGAGCTCGTTCGCGAGAGCCATGAGATCGACATCTTCTGCCCGTTCGGCTAGGATAGGCTTGTTGCGTCTATGAGGTCGATAGGCCGTGCGAGCGTCGCCGGCTGCAGAGGCAGAAGCGCCATAGACAGTCTGCGTCGCTGAGCTGCCGCCTGCAGCTACTGATCGCATTGGCTGACTCGCAGAGCGCATGCCCATGCTCATAGCCGTCGATGTGATCCCTCGCGTTGGTGGAGAGAAGTAGGAGGTCTGCGTAGAGATGACAGACGGCCTGCGAGCGTGACCGCTTGGTCGACCGTGGCTTGAGCTCGCTCCCGGTGAGATTCTCCCGCCGACGGGCGATGTAGGGCTCGTGAGTCGTCCATGAGGTGTAGACGGACCAGGTACTGACCGCCAAATGGTGTCCTGCGACATCCTCAGCGCCTTGACGGGCCAGCTGATGAGCCCAGCCTCGCGAGCGTCGCGTGTTCCTGAGGCCGCCTCCTACTCGCCAGCCAACAGAACGAGCTCGACAGCGCAACAAGGTCAGTCAGCCCGTCTCGGTCGCTCGCCGTCCATCTCCCGTGCACGACAAGCTAGACCGCCCCAGAGGCACGAGCTGTCCGCGTTCTGACCGCAAGACGAGGCGTGTAGCAAGCCTCGCGCGATACACGTCGATACACTCGGCTCATGGAGCCAAGCATGGCTGTCTGTACATGCAAAAGGTCACGCGGGACTTCTCTACACGCCTGCGACCGTTCCCCGCTGGCTATCGCGGTTACTCGGTCGCGATGTGCCGGCGACGAGCGAGCGATAACGCACAGACTCACCTCGCTTCCCATCGTCGGCTGACCTCATCTGACCATTTGCGCGAGTTGGTCGAACAGAAAGCTGATACCCTACTCATCGCGCGCAGTCAACGTCGAAGACGGTCAACATGGCAGGAGAATGTACGTTTGCTCGACCGTGAGATCAGCCTACATGGGTGGACGCGTTGCTGACCATGCCTCGCGCAGATGATCTACTGTTCAGCAAGTCTTGATACTCACTGATGGCAAGAGCAAGCGCTCATGTCCTTGTATGACTTGCAGAAGTGGTCCTCATTGGCGATTCGGGCGTCGGCAAGTCCAACTTGCTCAGCAGATTCACTCGCAACGAGTTCAATCTCGAATCAAAGTCGACGATCGGCGTAGAATTTGCTACGAGGAGTATCTCTGTCGACACAAAGACGATCAAAGCACAGATCTGGGATACAGCCGGTCAAGAGCGATACCGCGCCATCACCTCCGCGTCCGTCTCGTTCACTTTGGATTGACCCACGAAATGAGCTGACACGATGCGGCAGATACTATCGAGGTGCCGTCGGCGCGCTGCTGGTCTACGACATCGCAAAACACCCAACCTATGTCAACGTACAGCGATGGCTCAAAGAACTCAAGGACCACGCCGATTCCAACATCGTGTATGTACGCTATAATTCTTTGCGAGCCCAGCTGACCACTTCTGCTATATCAGCATCATGCTCGTGGGCAACAAGTCAGATCTCCGTCACTTGCGAGCAGTCCCAACAGAGGAAGCCAAGCAATTCGCAACGGACGAGGGCCTCAGCTTCATCGAGACTTCTGCACTAGACGCAAGCAATGTCGAGAATGCCTTCCAGACTATCCTCACTGGTCCGTCTACTCTTTGGCGTTGATGCCATGCTGTGTTTGACGGGCGCGCGCCGATAGATATCTACCGGATCGTATCCAACAAAGCGTTAGAGGCTTCGCACGATGTGATCAAGCCCTCCGGCGAAGGCGCATCCGTCAATCTCACGCCCACGGCCGAGACGGGCAAGAAATCCTCCGGATGCTGCTAAAGCATTCGCCTAAGCATTCCGGTCTGCTTACGTCCATGTCCGCTACGACTCTGATGGGAACACTCACGTCCTCATAACGATACTGGTCTGTCTCTTAGCGAGTCATTGCAATCATCCTGTACTACTCTTTACAACATCCGCTGTCCCTGGTTCGATCGATACCAACTTACTGAACAGAGACCCAAGAGAGAATGAGGGCTGCACCGGCTTGACTTCTATGGGCGGTGTGGACGGCGGTGGCGTTTTGTGAGCAGACTTGGCCTGTAAAGGTGACTCTGGCGCTTGGGGTGGACGGTATCGACCCGTGCTGCCCCCTCCAATGAGCTGCGTGACGGGTGAAAGCAGCGGCGGCTCGGATACACTCTTCCGATGCACAGCCGGCGAAGGTGCTCTGACGCCGGGAGGCAGAGCGCCTGCAGCTGCTAGAGCATTGCGAAGCCGATTGCCCGAGCGATCGAGCGAATAGAGAAAGCGATATAGCTCCTTGACGAGCTCCCAGTCCTGCGCTGTCAGAGCCACTCGGATGAGCTTGACCGTGTACTGTAAAGCGTATAAGATAGCGAAGACAGGTAGATGCCAGCAGAAGCTTACGCCGTCCGTCGCGTCTGCAGGCTCCAGTGCGTGCAAAACGAGCAAGTACGATGCAGCCAGCTTGAGTGCGTCATTTTCGATGCAGCGCTCGAACAGATCGGCAGGGCTGCCAGCAGCATCGAACAAGTACTCCCAACGAGCGACCTCAGTTTTGCGAGCACATCCGACGACGACTTGCAGCGCTTGCGGGAAGTAGTCGAGAAATTCGATGACTGATTGCAGGACAGAATCGCGCGGAAGCGCCGGCGCCATGTCTGGTGACCTGCGATCGAGTGCGAGTGCATCTGCCTCGTCCTCAAGAACGCTATGGAGCAGGACCTCGAGTGCGTGTGCGAAGTACACTAAGTCGGCATAATGTGTAGCAAACTCGATACCTTTGCCAATCTGTCGGCGTGAGAGGTGATGGCGCAAGACATGATGTAAGAACAGATGTGTCTGGTTCCAAGATGAGCGGCGCTTCAGAGCAATGTGGGAAGCTAACGGTTGTGACAAGTCGAAAGATGGCAAAGTCGAGATTCTTGCGGATGCCGGTTTCTTGATCGACGCCTATGATCACGCCTTTGTCCATCAAGACCGCTGCAGAACAGGTCAGCATTCGGGACGCTGAAAACAGAGTACATACATAAGGGATAGAAATCCAAAGGGATCGATAAGCTATCGTTTTGTATGCTCTCGCTGCCGCCGCTTGATCGAGTGACGATATTGAGCCAGACACGGACTTCCTGGCCATTGTACGCCCACAGAGAGCCTTCCAGCGCGCCGACGCCTGATGGGTGCGTCCAGTAATACTCAATGCGGTCCGCAAGGATCTGCATGTCGTATTTGACGACCTCCTCGCCGATTCGGCTAGGTTTGAGCAGGACGAGGCTGCCATCCACGAGAAATACAATCGTAGCCACATCAAGATCGGTCGACGGATCGCCGAAACCTGCCGTCATCCGTCAGCGAGACAACATCCAAGGTTGAACGACTTGCGATGCTGCGCGCGTGGAATGATCCAAGACATGCCGCGCACTTTAGCTGGATCAGTGACGATGCCTTCGAAGCCGATACTGCCGCACATGCGAGTACGGTAGCCGTTCCGTCCGGGTACTAGCAGCATGTGGTAAAATGTGTTGTCTTCTGTATAGATCAGGAGGGAGCTTTCAAGGATCGAGATGAGCAAGATTGGCGACGGAAAAGCGTCCTGATGTAGAACATAATTGCGGCTGAGCGGCCTGTCGCGCGCATAGAGCCGTATCTGGCAGTAACGCTTGCAAGGTCAGCTCACGTCTGATCATGCCAGGCTCGACCGACGTAATGAGCGTCGTTCTCCTCGGCGCCGACAACGAGGACATTTTCGTACCAGACCATCCCGCCGGTGACTTGAAACGCCTGCTCTTCGGCTTCGTTGTCGAACAGCTTCCAGCGGCCGGACAAGGTGTTGTAATGCACAAAGCCGCGTCTCCCAGCCACCGCTAGCAAACGACCATCAGAGCTCACACAAGACGACCGTATTGGCCAATTGCCAGCGATGTATTCAGACGGAACCTGCAACAGTGTGAGCTTTGCGCAGGGTACTTCTGCGCGACTCACCTTGATGTACTGCCAGACATCAGACTCTGGGTTAATGACGCTCATGTCAGGCTGATCTTGCCCGCGATAGATCATCACCCGGTCGTCTAGCTGTAGCAGAGCATGCTGGCAGTTGTCTGGACTGTGCAGCGTCGCCACTGCGCTCTTTGCAAACGGTATAGCGAAGAGCTGCGTATCGATTGCTGCATGCACGGATGAGCCGGTGACTTTCCTCTGTGATGTCTGCTGACCTTTGCAGGCGCTGCCCTCCACCTGGCGTGGCTTCGCGAGCACGAAAAGCTCCGAATCTGCCGCGTTCCAGAACTAAAAACAGCCTTTCAGTAAAAAATCGAGAGAGAAAAGGCGGACGTACAAGGGCATCAATGCCGTTGAAGAAAGCATCCGAGAAGCTGCTCGAGTCGTTCTCTTCAACTGCTCCGCTTGCCTGACCATTGCCGGCCCAGCATGCGAGCCTGCCAAAAACGCTCCAGACAGACCAGCCTCGCAGCAAGCCAACGGCCAGCGCATGGCCATCGCGTGTCCTGTCACATTACTTGCTTTTTCAGATGCGCGAAGGTGATGCAAAGACGTGACTGACCAGCTCATGGCAGTCACACTGTCACAATTGAGATGGCTCGCTGTTGAGCGCAATGCGGCCCGCAGAGACAGCCGATGCGATAGCACCGGTACAGCCGCGTCTTGCGCCAAAGAGTAGATCTGGCAGCAGCCGCTATATAACATGTCAGTCTATGAGATTGTTGAACGTATACTGCATACTCGTCTAGGCCGACTGCGAGGAGGGAGAAGCGATCGTTGTAAGCTTGCGCTGCTGCTTTTGCGCCGAGATCATCTTGGTACACAGATGTATGTAGAAGCGACGGAGATCCAATGCTCTGGCCTGACGCGCTGCTCTGAGGCCTATAGATGCAGACACCTTCCCAAGCGGCGACAGACAAAGCCGGCGCCGGCTCTGATGCGGGCACGTTTGCCCTTGCACGCGTACAGTATACGGAGCCTGATGAGGTGATCATTGTTACCGCATCGATCGTACTGTGATATGCGAGGTTTACTATGTAGCCTGTCGATTCCTCGGCCTCTGTCACTGGTGCACTGATATTGGAGCAGAGAACGCACCTGAGTCGGACTCTAGCCACGACAGGTCAGTCTGCGGAGTGCTTACGCCTTGGTCGACAATAGACGGTGAAGGCGTCCCGTTCGCCGTGGCGATCCTCAATGCAAACGCAGTCCATGGCACGAGTCTCACAGCGGCTGGGTTCGACGTCGCGACCAGCAGTCCGTCTGGCGTGCCACAGAAGCTACCTTGACGCGTCAGACGTATCGCAGGACTGTGAAACGGAGCATACCATGCGATGGGCTCCTGCGAGAGGTTAATCTGACCAAGCGGTCTCAGGCTGATGCTGGTGAGTGGGTAGCCCTCCCCCGGCCCCGGTTGAAACTGCTGCACTTTGCGAGAGCTTCGTCCAGGCATTTGATAGACGGCAGAACTCGGCAGGCTAGGCATGACAGCATACGCCATGAGCACTGAGCCTGTTGTCTGAGCGAGGACGATCCGCCGACGCTGCGTATCGTTCTGTACGTAGTCATGCCATATCGCTCGTACAAAGGTACCATGCTCTCTGACCGATTTGGGCGAGCGTTTGACCTTTGTGAGCAAGACGCAAGGCCGAACAGACCATATCGCCAGCTCAGAATGGCCTATCGCCACAAAATGCTCGCCCGTTGCGTCCTCGGCCAAGCTGAGGAGTTGCTCTTCTCGCGCTCCGCCTAACCGGGCCAAGCTGGCGAGCGAGCTCGGCAGCGGAGGCTCGTCATCTGTCGTCGATCCCAGACTCGGCCGTAGCTGCTTTGTGAGCAACGTCGGGAAGTACATGCAGGCTCATGAGGTTTCGTTTGGCATGCGGCGCACTGTCGACAAACGCGTCGACTATCAATGTCAAATTCTCGCCACAGCCTATCACAACTTTCTCGTCATGCGCACCGCCCAACCATATTTCATTGCGGCAGACATGCGACGAGGCGCAGAGTCATGCAGCATGACGGCTTTCTACGGAACAAAGTCGGATTTCTTGGCGATCTTATGTGTCTTGTCCCCGAGCTTACAAGACATACTGTAGCCTTCCACTGTGCCCGACGTACCATAAGCATCCACACGAAACGATATACTAGCGATGCATCGACCTTCTGTTTCGATCTCGTCGACGTAGTACCCCTGGAGATCGACATAGTAGATTCCGTAAGGCTCTCTGAAGCCGAATTCGAAATTGTAGCGCTCTGGCAACGTGCCCGAATAAACTGTCACTGTGAGGACGTCAGCGAACGAAACGCCTCTCGAAATAGGATGGCAACGCGCTCTGATAAGGCTCGGAATGGATAAAAGCGCCGTTGAATCTCGTGGGCGACAGGCCTCCCTGAACTACGCTCGGGTCCATCTTGGAGATATCGGGAATATTGGCCAAAGCAGAGACGATGAAGTCCTGCAAAGGGATGAATCAGTAACCTTTCAGGTCGCTATGTGAGGAAAAAGAATTACTGCGCCTTCGTCCTCGAATAAGAGATTGAACGAGAAGGTCTTTGCCACATGTTGGCCTGTAGTGAACTTGAGGGTGCAGCCTTGCGCCTTGGGATCGTAACTGGCCTATGATGAGTCAGGCGGGTTGGAAAGTCCAGAGGGGGCTTACGCTCGCTTGCTGAGCGTATGGGCGGGCGTCACAAACGTGGAGAGCAGTGCCACAAGCGCAGCTGCACTAAAGCCATTGCGGAGGGAAGGGATCATTTGGGAGACGTTGCGAGCGAGCGATACGTCGAAAGGATGCGAATCTCAAGAGGAGCCAGATTCGTTGCGTCAAAGTCGCGTGTAGCACAGCATCGACTAGTGTCTGACAAAATCCTTCGGCTGCCAGATTGCCATTGGCACGCCCCCGAGCAAGCAGCCGAGACCGTAGCTAGCGACTGATCGGCCAAGTCAGCTCCGCCAGATGGATGCAAAATGACCAACTCTTCTTCTGCACGCCACCGATATGTAAACTATGAAGCACAACGTAGTGAATAGCGTAGGGATCGAGGAAACCGAACTCGAACTCGTAATGTGTAGCAACCGAGCCGGAATAAGTATACACTGTCTCTTCTTAGCTGAGAGCCTCGACGTCGGTGACGATCAGCCCACTGTTGTAAGTCGTGCTCTCCATAGCGAGATCATCGAAGAATGTAGGTACGAGTGAGCCGGGTACAACTGAATTCTGGGATCGACCGGCTGCTCCGTAGCCAGTGAGACCTGTCAAGTGGAATCCCTAGTGCATGATTTAGCTGAGCTTGACGACGATTGCGAGAGCGAGCACAATGCCGTTGACATCAAATTGCAGATTGAAGGACATGACGTGGATCACTCCACCGCCTACGTCAACCTGGAGTGTACATCCTTGAGCTGCAGGATCATAGCTGTGACTTTGCTGAGAGATCGTCGAGGCAACGGTGCCTTTACGCACGAAGTTTGAGCGAAGGAGACCGATGGCATAGCGATCGAGCCGACAAGTTTTGCAGCCAGAAGCACGACACTCGCGGATTGTGCGATCCGCAGCATCGCTACGAGCTGAGAAGACTTTTCAGGCAGCTGGATGAGAAGGGACAGAGCCGCATCGCGACGTGAGGTTCTCATGGCGACAACGCGCGTCGCATCGCTTGGCAAATGACGTGCAGCAAGTGCACGTGATAGTTTGCAGCACAGACAATGCAATGCCACGTCGCTCTGATCAGTGTACCCCTGGCAGAGATGCACGGCCAGGTCAAGCGATGTAATCTGATTTCTTCCAAATGTCGCGAGTCTGACCGGCGTAATAGCACGTCATGCCATAGCTTTGAACTGCAAATTGAAGGGGATGGGTCAGCTGGGCAACCACGTTGAGGGGTTGCGTACAGGTGACAACGGCGTCATCTACGTAATAAGTCTGGAAGTCGACATAATAGATCGATTGAGGAAATCTAAAAGCAAATTCGAAGTCGTAGCGAATCGGGGTCGTACCCTCGTAGACCGTCACTAAAGCACATCAGAACTGCCAGGGCGCGATGTGCAATGGGAAGCTCACTTTCGAAAGGTTGTGTCTCGATCGTGGAGCCGTTGAAGCCTCTGGCTGTTTGGAGATCATGAGTCACGCTTCCCTCCACCTTCGATGTGTCGGGATAATTGGCGAGCGCAGTGACGACGAATCCCTGCCGAGGGGTCCGTGAGCGGCCATTTGTGCAGGGTCTGAACGCCTCACTGTGTTCATGCGACCGAGAAAGGCAAAGTTGAAAGCGAAGACCTTGATCACACCTCCGCCCAGGTCGAACTTGAGGGTGCAGCGTTGCGCATTGGGATCATACCTGTCGAGGAATCAGCTAGCGCTGAAAATTTGTCTCTCCTGGATTACGCTGATACCGCGAGCGAGTGAGCTGGCTTTGCGAGCAAAACAAGCAGAGCAAAAGCGATGAGCGCAGCAAAGCCATAGCGAACACATGCGAGCATGCTTGCCGTATCCCACTGACTTTCAGGGAGGCCAGCTACGCTTGATCGTTGGGAAGGAGTAATGTCTGTTGCATCGAAAAAACGTTCCGCTATGCACCGCTTAGTGGTGGATGAAATCCTTTGGCTGCCAAACAGCGACGGGCTTGCCACCGATCAAGCATCCCAAGCCATACTGGATGACTGTCTACGCCTTCAGCATCATATCAGTCCTTGATATGGTGACTTACTCGTTCGCGTTTTGTCATTGATGATCACCTGATTGAGCTTGACATAGTAGATCTGGTTGGGGTCGTGGAAGCCAAATTCGTAGTCGTAGATGAACGAATCAGTCACGGTGAAGATGTACACTGAGGACATTCAGCGATGCTGCGGCGACGAGGGTGGTACCGATTCTCACTTTTGTACGTCTTGCGCTTCATGTGGAGATTGTTGAAGACGGTGGGTGTGAGCGGGCTGGCCACTACTGCGTCAGATAGCTCACTGTCCATTCCGTAACCAGTGATGCTCGTGAGATGGAAACCCTTAGTTCAGCTGTGAGCCGACAGTCATATACGAGCAAAGAAGCGAGCACAATGCCAGCAGCGTCAAAAGCGAGATTGAACGACATGACATGAACATCACTGCCATCGACTTTGACCTGCAATGTGCAACCTTGCTGGCTCGGATCATAGCTGATCTGATGCTTGAGCCATGTTTTCCTTGGTGTGGTAACTCACGTTCGCTTTGCAAGCGCATGTGTTGGTGTAGCGACAGCGCTGATGAGCATTGTCATCGAAAAAGCACACATCAGGACAGTGATCATCTCGAGCGTCTTGCACATCTCGGCCGATTGATCAGAGAATGGCAGTTGTCGTGGAAAGAGAGAGAGATTCGTCGAGGAGGAGCTGCGACAGATCGACAGCTTCGTGGTGGCAGGCTTTATCGATCAAGATCCATCGCGTATCTCGTCGTCGGGAAAAATTTCGAAAGGCCGCACACTGAAGGATGAGCAAGGCAGCCAAGCGACGCAAGGTCGACAAGCCAAGCGCATCCCAGCAGCCAGAGCCAGTGGTCATCAAGCCGATAGCAGACGAGAGCGAGCCCTACATCGAAGATGAGCATCGACCAACTCAACAACCGAAGCGTATCAGAGTACAAGTTGACGAGCCAGAGACTGCTACCGAGACTGGCACACAAGAGCCGCTAGCATCAACGAGCAATAGAGATCCACTGGAAGCTATACAAGATGCGCTCAAACCGGTCCAGGACACGGCAGACCAGGTGCCTGCAAGATTGCCATTTTCCTCTTTGGAGCTGTCAGAGCAGACGAGCAAGGCGATACAAGAGATGGGATTCACTACCATGACGGAGGTGCAAGCGAGATGTATAGGCCCCATCATGGCTGGCCGTGACGTGCTCGGTGCTGCTCAGTCAGTGCTACAATGTCATTTGGGCACAATCGTTTGCTGACGAGTCTGCTGAACACAGGACTGGTAGTGGCAAGACGCTGGCCTTTCTTCTGCCAGCCATCGAGATGCTGCATCAGTTGCGATTCAAGCCAAGGAACGGTGAGCTTCGAAGTTGACGAGCTATATGGCTCAAACTTACTCGCGCATCAGGCACGGGCGTCATCGTCATCTCTCCCACCCGTGAACTTGCACTACAGATCTTTGGCGTCGTCAAAGAGCTATGCAAGCACCACAATCAGACCTTTGCAATCGTCATGGGGGGCGCCAACCGCAAAGCCGAAGCAGAAAAGCTCGTCAAGGGCGTCAACCTCGTCGTCGGCACACCTGGCCGTCTGCTGGACCACCTGCAAAACACCAAAGGCTTCATCTTCAAGAACCTCAAGCAGCTCGTCATCGATGAGGCTGATCGCATTCTCGAAATTGGCTTCGAAGACGAGATGCGCCAGATCGTTAAGATATTACCAAATGGTGCGCTTGGCCTGCAATTAGGCTTGCCGTGAGCTCAATTGGATTCACTTTTACAGACAATCGGCAGACAATGCTGTTTTCGGCTACGCAAACAACAAAAGTCTCTGATCTTGCGCGCGTCTCGCTACGGCAAGGACCGCTATACATCAATGTCGATTCCCATCGCGACACGTCTACAGTCGCTGGCCTGGAGCAAGGCTATGTCGTTTGTGACAGCGACAAGCGATTTCTGCTTCTCTTCACTTTTCTGCGCAAGAATATCAAGAAGAAGATCATCGTCTTCTTCTCGTCTTGTAATTCTGTCAAGTACCACGGCGAGCTGCTCAACTATGTCGACATTCCAGTTCTTGATCTTCACGGCAAGCAAAAACAGCAGAAGCGTACGAACACCTTTTTCGAATTCTGCAATGCGCCTAGCGGTGTACTGCTCTGCACGGACGTTGCTGCTCGAGGTCTCGACATACCAAAGGTCGACTGGATCCTTCAATTTGATCCGCCCGACGATCCTCGCGACTACATCCATCGCGTAGGGCGGACAGCACGAGCTGGCAAAGCCGGGCGCAGTCTTCTCTTCTTACTGCCGAGCGAGCTCGGATTCTTGCGGTTCCTCAAGATTGCAAAGGTGCCTCTGAACGAGTACAGCTTTCCGAACGAAAAGATTGCCAATATCCAGGGCCAGCTCGAGAAGCTCATTACAAAGAATTACTATCTGCATCAATCCGCTCGAGACGGCTTCAGGTCTTATATCCAGTCATACGCGTCCTACTCGCTCAAGAAGATCTTCAACGTTCATGATCTTGATTTGGCAAAGGTAGCAAAAGCTTTCGGCTTCTCTGTACCGCCTGCCATCAACATCCCCGTGGGCACGAATCTAAAGGGTGACAAGAAGCGCAAGAATAGAGACGACCCTGCGCTGGCCGATGAAAGCGAGGATGAAGCTGGAGTGGACGAAGCACCGCCCATCTGGCGATCGGACCGCAAAGGGCAAGACAAGCGGAAACAGATACTCGGTCACAAGGCAGCAGAGAAGGATGTCTATCGCAAAGGCATGCAGGACAATATCAGGCGTGGCGGCGCTCAGCAGTGGTCGAAGTGACGATATAGTTGACATGCATGCTTGTACCTGTGCGACGGGCCTGACGCGCTGGCTGGCAGCTGGCTTGGATCGGCAGTCTGTGACCAATATTTCAAATTTCGAGCCAGTCACGCGGATTCGCGACCGCCGTTCTCGATCGCGATAAACAAGCCCTGACAGACCTAATTTCGGACCTGCACGCTGTGCTGGGCGATGCCACCATAGTGGGCCTCACAACGCAATGTCACAAAGTCGTGGCGGCTCTGCTGCTACATATAAGCAAGTATTCGCAGATGCGGACGATACTTTTGACTTGTCTGGTCAGCTCTCGCTTTGGATTGGACCGCTCCAGTTGCTGAAGACAGAGCTCTTCTGTTCACGCAGCGTATGACAACACACTGACAGATCCTTCGGAAGCCTATCAACACATCCGCACATTACGGACATCTCACGCCACAAAGGACTCTCGAGAGTCATACTACTCGCAAGCGTCAAGCAATAGAGAGTCCACGCGCTCGCCCACCGCTAGGCGATCAGACGGCGCCGAGAAGCCGATACCAGCACAAGAGTCGCCTTCGCGGAGGAGAATATCGTACGAATATAGACCTCGACATAGAATACGGCAGAGCCAATCTTCAGTACTGGCAACTAATTCGGCAGAGAACGTGCAGCCAATGCTCGAGACAAAGTCAGAGACAAATAAACGCAAATCTAGTGCAAGAGATTCGATAGCGTCACACAACTCTTCGAGAACGTTGTTCGATTCGCTCGCGCTGGATGGAAGCAAGTCCGCAGACGCTTACAGGGACAAAAACGGCGATACCAACCGAAAGATGAGAGCCACAGACTCGCCAGCGCTTTCTGACGCCGGCGGACCTTCTGCACTAGATTCCACTCGAGATCTTCTGTCGCCACGTAATGCAGCTCTAGACGATGGCGGAGACGAAAAGACTTTCAGCATGCTCAACAAAGTCTCTGTGGCGAGAATGCAGGCGCGAAGGCGGCAAAGGCGGCGGTACTGTCTCCTCTGTGTCGCCGTGACAGTCGTCATCGGAGCAGCTGTTGGCGGCACTTTAGGTGCGCTGCTAACAAAATCACATCGTTCCAACTCGCCCGACCGAGCCTATGCGCCTGCTGCCACGGTCACGCCGATCGTGAGCAAACCAGTTGCCAACCCGGGTACTGGCGGTGCATCTGGCTACGCACACTTGCTAGCTTTCGGCGCATCCTACTGTGACAATGCTCATCTTCGTACGCCGAACTACACAGACCTGACCTCGCAACCGTACTGGAGAGGGAGATGGTCAAACGGGCCCGTATGGGATGAGTGGCTAGCGGCGCTCGTCGGACCTCAGACTGGCGAGATTACGAATGCGACCATGGACAACAGAGCGTATGCTGGCGCGATGATAGATGATCGTATCACATCAGCTTGGGTCCCAGATACTCGCAGTCAGATCGCAGGCTACCTGTCAGATCTAGCAGGTGGCAATACCACGACGGCGGCCACATTGACCGATGGTACGAAGAGCCTTATTACCGTCTGGACCGGACTCAATCCAATCGAGGGCATCTGGAATATCACCGGCAGCAGTCAACGAGGTCAAGCTCAAGGTCTGGCGCAGATCAACGCGACGGTCGAAGCTCTGACAGATCAGCTGCTGTCCATTGCAACTCTGGCCACCTGGACCGTCGCGCCAGACTTCGTCATTCTCTCGCCGCCTCCGTCCGAATTGCTGCCTTTTGCGCAAAACATCGCTCAATACCAAGCACAGTCAGGCTCAACGGCTGCAACTCGTCTCGCAGTTCTGCAGACATTGAGTGATGCATACAACGTGCAGCTGCAGAGCGCTATGATCACGGTCAGCGATGCGCTCGGCAGCAGAGGCAAGGTGTACACATTCGATGTGCATACTTGGTTTCACAATATGGTCGCCACGCCCGCGGCCTACAATCTGACGGTGACAAACTCGTCCTGCCTGCAGCAGCAGTGCGGTACTGCAGCAAGCACGTATCTGTTCTGGCATGCTTCCTTGCGCTGCTGCCAAGCACAAAGCTGATGCTCGTCTCTGTGCAGGGACCCGAGACACCCAGTCGCAACGATTGTAAGTCGAGTCCATCAGCGAAGTGCCCGAGCTGACTGTCGAGGCACAGCACGAAGCATTGGCCAAAGAAGTTGCCGGCGTGATCTTGCAAGGCTGAGCAATAGAACGCATTAGATCGAGGAGGGTTGTTGTCATTATTATGCTGCAGCAAAGGTACAGCTCGCATCGTCTGAAGCCGTTAAGATCCGCTGCGGTCTGAGCTGAGAGCCAGTGAAGAGATCGTTGTAGGCATCGAGAGTGAGTAGAACGAGCTCGACGTCGGTATGGCCGGCCTGCAACTGATTCAAGATGGCGGAAGACACTTGACGAAAGATCGCGTGCGTCGATGGCTCAAAGCGTGACTTTTCGTCGAGGGCGCGACAGACGACATTGGAAACGACACAGTGAGGCGGTCGGGTATCATGGGCGTCGAGCCAGGCCACGGCCACACACGCATGCATGACATTCTTGAGCGTGACGTCAAAAGCATCTCGCTTTCGGCCTTTCAGCCGCACCGTGTCGATCTGCAGATTCTCACACAGCGCTTGTACATCCTGCAGTTGTCTCGCTAGATCTTCTGCTGCTGTTGATGGCTTCGTTCTGGCAATGTATGGCACGCTATTTGAAGCGTCGCTCGAAAGACGGATGCGCTTCCGACCGGATACGACGGTGCTTTGTGTACGTCTGCGATGGCTGTGAGCCCAGCATATGAATCACATGAGCCGACTGACGATCTCCGGAGGGGTAGAGTCTCCGAAAGGGGCTCGCGAGCCGCTGCCGCCCTTGCGAGCGTGATGACTTCTGCGTTCGCCCAGCAAGAGATTCAGCTGTCTAATGCATCGCACACTCGGTGGCTCACCTTGACAAGGTGCTAAGCTGTTATTGAGCTCTTCTATGCTGTCGACAGCAGCTCGGACTCGCTTGCGATAGCGTTCGACCAGATTGGCCGCTTGTAGAGATGCGCCAAGACTGTCTTGGGCTTCGATCTGTGAAGAACTGACGACGGCCTTACATATCGCAGGCAGTGCAGATCGTGCCTTGTCTATGCAAGCCAAGAGCTCATTCAGCCTCTGCAAGTCGACACTCATTGAAAGCAGCAAGGGGAAATGGGCTGCAATACACGCGCGTCTTTAATGGCCGTGCGGATCCTCGCCGCCCCTCTGCTCCTTTGGCACGACGATAGAATCGTCCTGGTAGCCATGGTCAGTCATGTCATAGGCGAGCGAGAGCCACACTGACAATTCTGAGCAGTGCTGTGCTCGCTTCGAGCGCAGATTTGAGACTGCGGATTTTGCTGATAGACGGCTCTAGGACGCCCGCTTTGACGTTGTCTCTCACCTCGCCCTTGAGCAGATCGAGTCCATAGAAACGTAAAGCTTTGCGAGGATCATCGTGGGCGGCCGATTGAGCGGCATTGTGATACGCGCGGAGCTTGGCGACGAGATCTGTCGAGTCTTTTGCGGCATTGACTGCCAAAGTCTTCGGGATCACCAGAAGAGCATTGGCGAATTCAGCGATGGCTAGCTGCTCTCGGGAACCCTGCAAAATCTCGTCAGAGATCAGCAGGGAAGCTGATTGCAAGGCGTACTCACGAGTGAGGTCGCGAAATTCTCGAGGTAGATGCTGAGCGCGGTCTCGACGGCGCCACCGCCAGGCACGACCGTACCGCTCTCGAGCGTGCGTTTGATGACACATAGCGAATCATGAAGCGAGCGCTCGACTTCGTCTAGCATGTAGTCTGTCCAATTGATTAAGCAAGTCTCGAGATGATGAAAAGCAGCCGGCTGACCATTTGCACCTCGCAAGATGATAGAAGCAGAAGAAACAACTTTGGTTCCTTTCACGAGGATGAGCTCATCGTCAGACACCTTCTCTTGAATGACTTCCTCTGCGCTACCGAGACTGGACGCTTCGAAGGTCTCGTCACCGTCCAGGTTTGCAAGCGTGCTGATCAGTTGACCGCCCGTCGCTCTGGCTATCCTCCTGAGATCGTCCTTCTTGCATCTTCTGACGGCCATTGCGCCCGCTTCGACGAATTCCTTCAAGCAGAGATCGTCGATACCCTTTGTGGTGAGCACGACATTTGCGCCTGCTGCGAGGATCTTGCGAATGCGTTCGAGTGTGATTTCATACTCTCTGCAGCATTAACGGTGAGCAGGAGATTTGTCTCACGACACGGCCAGCTTGCCTTGTTCGGATCGCTTCGAGCTGCTCCGGGTCGTCGATTGTGACATGCACGCCCAAATTCATTCGTGTCTTTTGCAGATTGATGTCGAGGCAGGCAATCTTGGCGTTCGTTATTCGCTTCTTCATTGCTGAGTGCAAGGCAGCAGCATCAGCCAAAAGAGATGATAGCCGCGTTCTGCCTACCTTGTGATGCGACCGTGCAGTTGAGAGCGTAACCTTTGACGTATATTGACTCGGTGACAGACTTGCCGTGCGCTTTCAGCACGTTGACCGCTTTGACGGGATACTTTGTCTCTCCTCTGGCGTTGATGGTCCTGACAGCGAGCATAGCATCGACGGCCATGTGGGCAAAGAAGTCATCATCGCTGCCAATGATTTTGCTCGACATTGAAGTCTTTGCGACGCTGATGAGCGTGTCTTTCGGTAGCGTGTCCGTCTTGACTGAGAGATGATCTTGCAAGTACTTGATCGCTTCCTTACAGGCTAATCTGTAGCCCGTAATCACCGTCGTAGGGTGTATCTTGTTCTTCACGAGATCGTTGGCGCGTTTGAGGAGTTCGGCGGCAATGATGACGACTGTCGTCGTACCGTCGCCTACTTCTTTGTCCTGCTGTTGTGCCAACTCGACGAGGATGCGGCCGGCAGGATGATCTACCTCGAGCAGTGAGAGGATGGTCGCTCCGTCGTTCGAAATTGTCACATCCTGCCAATGTGCTTGTCAGCGCCTGTCGAGCTTTCTGAACTCATGTCTGCGTACACCGACAGAGTCAACTAGCATCTTGTCCACTGTCCGCAAGGTCAGCATGCGTCGTAGGGAGGGCTGCAAAGTGGCGCACATCCCAAGGGACCGAAAGAGCTTTTGAGCGTATTGGCGACGCTCTGAGCCGCCATGACGTTGCTATTCCGCACATCTGCTCCCGTCTGTCGCTCGCCTCCGCCCGTCAGGAGCGCAGAGCGAGGATCTCTCGCATAGATCGAAGCCATGGCAGGTCAGAGCAAGCGAGTGCACTCACTGGCTCGCGCAAAAGCTCGACGCGCTCCCCGCAGCCCCGCCTAGCCGTTGCTCCGCCGCCCAGCAAGCAGCCAAGCGCATGCTCGACGGCATGTGCGGTCAAGAATGCTCAGTGCTCGTGCTTCGGTAGTGCACATCGGTCAGGGCAGAGCTCGACATGCGACGGCATCCGCGCCTCGGGCCTCGAAAGAGTGCCACTAGCCCCAGACAGAGGACCGACTCACGGCTTGGCCCCAGCGCGAGCAGGAAAGTAGGCACAGCGCTCGCAAAGCAGCTCGAGGGGTTTGCGTATCGCTATTTGGCAGCATGGGGTCGCTACGTCGCACGCTCTCAGATCAAGATCCTCTTGCTCGTCGCGTTTGCCATCACTTCATTGCTCTATCCTGCTCTCTACGCCACGGTGTCCTCAGCACCGGGCAGCACACAACAGGGCCTGTACGACGTTCTCTCGAGACCGATACACACTCGCGCGGGCGGTGGGGAAGTCGGAGATCTGGCACTCTGGTGGGACGATATAGATGATATCCTGTCGAACCAGGACGAGGCGTGTTGGAAGCAATGTCCCAGGACACGGACCATCACCATCGAGCAGATACTCGTCACAACAGAAGAAGTGCTCGCTGGTCGCGCATCTGAACATGGCGCACTCGATCTGCCTGCCCTCCATTCGCTCATGGATGTTCAAGCGGCTCTCACGCGGGTCAGCTCGAGTTTCGCTTGCATTGGCACCCACCGCGACGCATGCCTCGTCCTCACGCCGCTCGACTACTGGAACCAGACAGAGAGTACACTCCTGTCGGACGACAGATTGCTGAGCACCCTGCTGACCGATCAAGCATGGTCTGCACGCAACACGCCAATGGCACAAGCCCACCTTTTGACGGGACGACACATCGACCAACATGATCATCTACAAGCGGCAGATTACCTCGCTTTGACATACTTTACCAGCATAGACGGATTATCGGATAGTCACATCGAGTCTGTTGCCAAGCAAAGGCACACAGAGATACTCAATGCCTTCAAAAGCTCGACTGCCAAGCTGGGCAGATTCGTCAAACCCAGGCGCCCTTCACCCACAAGACGCGTCGTACTCAAGTTTCGACCACTACTCACCGTCAAGGACAGACGAGGTGAAGAGGCTACCTTTATCATCGCATATCTCACTGTCGGCATGTATTGCTACCTCTCGCTGCGTCGACTGGATCGAGTCCATTCGAGAACAGGTCTTGTCCTGACAGGCATTGTCGAGATGCTCGCTTCGGGCGCGCTCTCGATGAGTGTCTGTACCCTCTTTGGCGTTCATTTCTACCTGGTCCCCTGGTCAGCCAACCGCCACATCACACGATCGGGCTAACCCGATCTGCAGGAAATTGATTCCCTTCCTCATACTCGTGCTTGGCGTCGATTCCATCTTTGTTTTGTCCGTCACTATGCTTGGGTCAGGCAATCGACTGACGCCAGGTGTGTTGTTGCAGGACCAACGCCGTCAGCTCCACGTCGATCGATCTGCCCGTCCCAGAGCGTGTAGCACAAGGGCTCGGGCAAGTCGGCTTGTCCATCTTCGTCACGCTCTTTGTCGAGATCTCGCTCTTGCTCGGCGTATACGTGCTCGTGCCGGTGCACGTAGTGCGCGAGATCGTCGTCTTCGGCTCGGTTGCCCTACTGAACGACTACATCCTGCAAATGACATTCTTCGTTACCGTCCTGTCCATCGATTTAGAACGTCTAGAGGCGAGCATGACTTCCCTCTCAGCCTCACGAATGCTGACGTTGTAGGCTTGCGGCGGCAGATGGCCGACTTGCTACGGCAAGGATCGAAGCTCAAGCAAACGGCCTCGACGCCAGACGACAGCACGAAAGGCTCGTTGACTCCCTCGGCATTCAGCAAGCTACTGTCCAGCTTCAGACAAGCGGTTCTGGCTCGCGGAGCTCGCGCAATGACAGCTGCTCTTGTGCGTTCCGTCGACTGGTCCAGAGCTTGAACTGACAAGACCTGTAGCTTGTGTTGATCGATCTCTTCCTCTACGCTCGCCATGGGCCGGGCCACTTTCTTCCAGACTTTTGCGCACATGATCAAGTACCGAGCGATGTTCTGCAGCCGCTCAAGCCCAACTTTGCCAACCCACCGACGTCCTCCTCAGAAGCCTTCTGGCGCATGATCAATCCGGGCAACGCAGACGCAGTCCACGTCTTCGTTCAGCCGCACTCGGTCTTTGCACTTCGCGCACGCTCGCCCGTGTTCACCGACTCGAGCCTGATCCCTCGAGAGGTGCAGAGCGTCTTATGGACTTTCCTCACAGTCTACTTGCTACCAGTCACTGCGACTGCATCGCTGCTCTATCTGCTTCTGCTCTATCTACTCAAGGACAAGCAATTGCTGCAAGCACGTGATCGATATCAGCCCTTGCCGCAGCCAGAAGAAATCGTCGACCAACACAAGCTTACACCGGTCCGCCTCAGACGTGCACATCGCAGCGATATCGAGCTCGTTGCCATTGGCATGCGTAAGATCGCTTCATGGGCTGTGCTCGAGCCGCACATCGTCATCTCCGATCTTGCTAAGGATACCGCACAAGTCCCACGTACACGCACGCCTAGTCTGCTCAACATGCCAATGAAACAGCGTCCCATCTCTATCGCTATCTCTGATGATCGCTTCTGCGCTTGCTTATTTGACACCGGCTCGCTTGTGATATACAACTTGGGTGACAAAAAGCCATTGACGTTTCAAGGCTACCAGCTTGCAAGTGTAGTCAAATTAACTACGCTTCGCAATGCGTTACCGCCTTACGCCCCGCCCATGGTTGCTGTCGATAGCTCTGTCGGCTTTTTCGCTGCATCTCTCGATGGCTCGCTTTCATTCTACGACTGCGAAGCCCGTGCATGCTCCCAAGTAATTGCCCCTGCGCTCGCAGCAAGCACCAAAGTGGTGACAATGCCCTTCGAAGCCAGCAATCAGGCAACTTTTGCTCGTGTGCTCGATGATAGGATACTGCAGATCTGGCGCCGTCTTGGCTTATTCGATTGGCACCAACAATTCGAGTTCCCTCTGGAGCCCCGCCTGCATTTGCAGGCGATCCGCTCGTGCGTTCTCAGCAGTACGCGGCTGCCATCCTCTAGCGGCACGCTGGCTCTCGTCGGCTATGATGGACATGACCTCGAGCTCTATGAACCAAGCAGCGGTCGTTTGCTTCGCAAATTCGCATTTTCAGATCGCCGGCTGATGCAGCTGGCAACTTCGCCGTGCCAGCCGCTGCAGTGCTCAGGCTGCGGTGCCACAGTTTCAGACGGCATGCATGTCTTGTTAGCAGGTCAGCTGACTTGCATACTTCTGCGCATCGACCTCTCAATTGGCCCTCATACCCACGAATCCTGTGTATCTGCAGGCGGATCGCTATTTGCGCAACCGGTCAGTAGTCCGGCTTCGCCGCGGCGACCGAGAGCCTTCAGCTCCGCCTTTGCATCGGACATGACTGATATACCTCTTTCCAATCACGGCCTACGGCGGCTGTCGCACGCGCAACCTCATCATCTACGGCGCAAGTCGAGCGTCGAGTTCGTCATAACACCTGCTCCTCATGCAGACTCGCAGTCTTCGCGAGATGTCAGGTCTGTGAATTCAAGCGACCAATTGTCAGCGCCATCTTCGCCGGGCACCTCGCCGGCAAGCGATGAGCTACCTGCATGGGCAACCGGTCTATCGGCACATGCCACGGACATCAGACAGTGGACGCACAGAGGTAGCATAACACTCTATAATGGTCGTCTCACTGGCATCGCTCGTCGTGACACCCGGGGTACGCCGGATCATCCGCATGCACATGTCCGCAATCCATGGGCTGCCTGGTCATTCGCGCCCGACGCCCTGTCGAGCGATAACGCGCCCTCTGCGGTAGATTCGTCCGTGTGCGCTATCTTGCGAGATGACTTCTTCGGCGATTCAGTGCCCGTCTCTGTGTCATCACCAAAGGTCCCTTCAACCGCGCTAGGTAGACTTACCGAGCAGGCGAGGCGCAAACAGCTCGATTTCCCGCACCTGCCAAGTGCATGCGCAGGTCCCGTAGCGGTAGCTGAGACTGGCGGCACAGTCGTCGTGGTCATTGGCAACGAGCTCATCAGCTTATCGCCCGCCGGCACCATTTGAGTAGCGTGCAGATCACCACATGTAGCATGTTGTGCACGAAATTCACGCATCGTTGTTTGTATGCTCTATGAATGACAAAAGCTTGCACGCAACGGTCATGAACGCGGGAATACACCGCTCGTCTCTTGCGAGGATTTTCGTACATGCCATCATGACGTTCATTAGGTTGCTGCTGGGTACGCGATACAGTGCGATCATTGTTGCTGCCAGCGCAAGATGGTCATCACAAATGTATAATCTGGTGAGACTTGCGCTTACCCTGAGGAAACCTTTCTTCTTCGTCTTCTCGGGCGTCAGAGGACGTCCGGACTCGAGGCGACTCTTCTTCTCTAGCAGATCGAGGCGTTGCTTCTCGAGCGCGTCTTTCATCTCGCGATGGCGCGCATAGAGCTCCTCTTCGGACTGCTTGAGTTTCGCTTCCTTTTCGTGCACTTTTTGTTGAAACACCACTGCGTGCGTCAAGCAATGTCAACGCAGGATGCGCGCTGGAGGCTGCCGTCACTCACTCTTCATCTCTGCTTCCATCTTGGACAGCTTTGAATCGTGCAGCGATCGTTCTTCGGCGATTTTTGCAGCCGGATTGATCTCCTTGAAGACGGAACGATCTTGCGTAACGCCCATGCCGAGTAGCTTTTCTGATCTGTACTGCTCGTAAAGGGCCATGTTGGTGTGCTCTTTGAGCTCTTCCATGTGCGTTCTGATGAGCATTTGGCGAAGTTTGACGCTTTCAAGGGTAAGAGTCAGCCCGGCTGACGACTGACCGGCCGAAGACTTACAAATCGCAATGATCCTCATTGTCAACGTCGATCAAGCCCCAAGGATACTGTCGTCCTCGGACCGGTTTGCCGTCCGGACCCATTACTTCTTGATCTGATCCCACGACCGCGAATGGGATCTTGCTCTGCAGATCACCGGGTCCTGATGAGCACTGTGCTGCTGACGCGAGCCTGGACGTGCCATTATCTCTGTGTTCTCTGCAATGGTCTCTTCGTCTTCTTGATCGTACTGCGGCGCAACAAAAGTTTGTATGCCATGATGAGCAAGATCCGCGAGTATGCGTTGCTTGAAGGAGGCGATCTCGTCATCTGTCATCGTGTCTGCTTTCGCGATGACGGGAATGATGTTGACTCGATTGTGCAATCTCCGCAGAAACTCGACATCGATGGGCTTCAAGCTATGGCCCGTGAGAAGGTGTCAGCTACTGTATGTACGGCTGATGTGGACTGACTCACGCATGACCGGTGGGCTCGATAAAGTAGATGCACGCGTGCACGCGGTTGTCGACCATCTTTGCTCGGTTGACGCGGTTCTCTTGCTCTAGGTAGGCATCGAATCTCGCTTCGATGTTGTCTAATACAGGCTTCCAGCTGAAGGACACGTCAGCCATCATGTGTTTGCGATGAACGGTCACTCACCATTCGCTGTTATTCACAAAGTCGCCGAAACCAGGTGTATCTACTACTGTCAGTCTCAGCTTGACGCCGTTCTCCTCAATATCTGATTTGGAAAGTCATTATGGCTGCAGACGCATCGAGCAAACGTACCTGCTGAGATGCTTTCGATCGCGATAGTCTTTGGCCTCTCTGCATGAGGAGGAAGCTGAGCAAACAATGGAGCTCAGGAACTGGTAAAGTTCTGAAGCCAGCAAAACGCACGGGTTGCTTCTTTGCATAGAGCGACGTATTGAAGAGCGTGTTCACGAGAGTCGATTTGCCGAGACCAGACTCGCCGACGACCATGCAAGTGAACTGAAACCCTTTTCGCACGGATTGACGATGTACCTGGTTCGGCAGGTTCGCGACTGTGACACTTCGTCAGCGCTTGTCCGAGCAGCAGACGAAAGAGCTGACATCCGACATAGCCCATCAGTTTCTTTCGTACGACTGCTGGGCCTGCCCAAACCAACCCGGATGTTGGACGATCGTTGTCGGTATAATAAGCGTGCAAGTCGTTTGAGGTCGTATCGACAGAGGTGTTTGCCGAATTGTGCGTTGGAGGCGTTGGCGTTCGTCGAAAGTGGGCATATCGACGCGATTGGCGTGAGCGAGTCGATTGAACCGGTTCGTCGTTTGTGATCGCAGACATGACAAGGAAGCAGAGGAGAGCGAGACCTGATCAGCTCTGCGCAGGAGACGCATGGATCGCACATAGATTGGGAGGATCTTTGTCGTGCGATGCGCTTCGTGGACAGGTCTGTGCGTCCGCTGACTGGCTGAGCACCAGCACTCGGCTCGTTCCATCAATGCAAGACGAGGACTAGCCAGCGCAGGGTAGACCTATCGGGGCAGCAAGCTGGCAGGGACATGGCGCGTGTCGTAGCGTGATGAGGGGAAGCCGGCAAGCAGCCGAGCATGACAAAGGTGCGAAAAGAGGCAGCACAGTAGGGGGAGCGTACCTGGTGAGCCTGGCGGTTTGCCATTTGGCATGCTGGCATGAGACTGGCTGTTTGGAATGGGCGACAAAGCAGCATGCTCAGCGGACAGCGAGCCATTGCTCATACTGTGCTCCCTCTGGTCTTGCATCTCCTAGCTCCTGCTGAAGCGCGCTGATTTCTTCTTGCCTGAGCTTGGGACCGAGTTCGAGGCTGCTGCTGTTGCGTCGTGTGGAGAGATTCTGAGGCTCGTCACTGGCTTGCAAGCGTGGTGCAAGGCCCCTCGCGACGCGTGTCAAAGCGCGGCTGTGCTACTCTGGAGTGCTTGCCGAGTTGGGGCAGCCGCGCTCGAGCTGTACAAGAGCTCTGGATCGTATGCAAGGGTGCAAGTCGACCTGAAGCTGCCCCGAGCGAGTAGACAGATCTTGATGACGCAAGTGTGTATAAGCTAGCGGGTCAGATTGCCGCGAGACTGTGCTCTGCTAAAAAGACGCGAGCTGTCGTCGAGCTGCTCTGCTGTAGGCCGACAGGGTTGATGGCAGCGGCGCTGGCGCTGGGCAGTTCGACTAGGCAGCCAAAAATCAAAAGTTCGCGCTTACAGCTTGAATTGACTTGAACGGCGGAAAAGTGTCGAGCGCTCGAACTTGTACTCTTTGTGATGGTCAGGCTCACGGCAGAGCTCTTGACCCGGACAGAGTCATATCTCAATGGACTCAAGGACAGGGAGCTTGATCTGCGAGGTCAGTCCATGGCTCCAACGTCTGCTCACTCTTTCCTCGACAACGATCTTTTGCTCCTCACACGACGTTGACACGCAAGAGCGAGGGCTGATCATGCAAGTGATGCAGGGCTCAGTATACCAGCGATAGAGAACTTGGGCGTGACGCGGGATCAGCTGGACACGCTCGACTTGTCAGACAATGCCATCACTTCACTCTCCAACTTGCCGCACCTGAGGCGACTCAAGACGCTCTACTTGGCCAATAACCCCATAGCGAGCATTGCCTCCAATCTCTCGACACAAGTCCCCTTCTTGCTATCTCTGAGCCTGGTAGCGAGTCAGATCGCTCAGCCAAACGACTTCAACGCGCTTCACGGGCTGAAACATCTCGAGTTTCTAGCAATAAGAGGATCGCCTGCCGCGGAACTACCCCATACGAGGTTATGGATCATCCAACAGTGCCCTTCGATCAGATTCATCGACTCTGAAAAAGTCAAGCTAAAGGTCAGCTCAAAAGGGATCAGCAAGTGACATGTTGGCTCAGCTCCTCGGTCAATCGCAGGAGCGACAAGCAGCCAAAGCCCTGTTCGTTGCAGAAGATGGCACGCCAACAGATCTTGCAAAGACATACTCGCAAGTTTCAAAGAACAGCGCGGCGCTCGAGTCAGACTCAGCGACGCTCATGTCGAACGGCCGCCCGACAAAGGCTTCACGAACCTTCGAGCCCGGTCAGCCATTGTCGACCGTCAATGGCCAGGGCGGCGAAAAGGGACGACTACTGACGGCAGAGGAGCGGGAGAGGGTACGGAGTGCGATAGAACGCGCAAAGAGCGTAGAAGAGGTCAAGAGGCTCTCGACGATGCTCGAACAGGGCTTTGTGCCGTCCCAGCGAGACCTCAAAACATTGGCGGGTCAGTCATTCGCGATCAAAGCTAGACTTTCATCGCTGACTTGATCGGCAGGCTCGAGCGCGATGGATACATCGTGAGTATCCGGTTGTACACCTCGCCAATGTATCCCTTTCGGCGATCGTGCGCTTCCTCGCGTTGCCCTGCCGATATTGGCGCTCTTTCGATTAGGCAAGGTCCGTGCGTCTCCTTTTCGCAGTCGCCTCTCTTGCTTCGAGTCCCCATGGTACTAGCGTGGTGCTGGCTGAACGTGCCGCAATGACAGCGTCGGACCGTAACATTAGCCTTTACGGCATAGCATGGAGTACAGCAGCATCGATCATAATCTCAAGTATCATCGCATCAATCATCGTTTTCGCCGTTCGCCACCATCCTCACATTCTTACCCCCAGATGCTGGAGCGTTCCGGACAGTGCACAGCGACCCAGGGCACCAGACTGGTCGTATATAAAGAGGATACTTTGTCCACTTCCACTTCGAACGCTGAGGCCGAGGGACGCGCTCTCGGACGAGGAGCTACTTGGACGATTCGTGCAGATCTGCGCTCTCCTTTGCACGGCATACGCCATCACCGGCATTGCCCTCCTGCCGCTCTTCATCAGTGGCGCCCCTGCTGCATCTCGTACCGATCCCGTTCTGCTCGATTGGACAATCCTGCGACTCCTACAGGCGATCGACGCAGATGGTCACACCATTTCAGATCGCTTCATAGGACTCGATGTGACCGTTCGTCTCCTCATCCTTCTCATCGTCTCGCTCTTCATTGGAGCAATCTTGCCTACCGCTTGGCTTCTTAACGAATACTTCGTCACGCTAGATCATCGCAAACACTTTCTGCGATACAAGTGTGCTGGCGAGCAGATGACCTTCATTGACGGCGGAGACCCCGCTTTCGCTGCTTTGCATGATCTCGGCGAGTTCGAATGCAGACAAAAGCTAGAAAGCCTGCTCAGGCGCCAATTCCGACAGACGGCGCGCGTTTTCGCGGTCTACGCGATCCCAGACACTTCAGACTTGGCAGCATGCCATTCTGCTTGTACAGACGCACTCCACAAGCTTGAGGCGGCAGAATACAAGTATATCATGCTGTTTCGAGACTTTCGTGCCGACAATAGCGAGCTCTACGCCGTCAAACGTCGCCTTTCGAAGAAAACCAGCCAGAACAGGCGCAAGCCTCCAGCCCGTCTCGATGATGTACACATGACACCTCTCATGCCGTTGCAGGGTCATCAGATGCAATCTGCGATGAGCTCCATGAGCGAGTTGGGCTTGTCCATCGCCGGTGAACTCGAGCGCCGACGCAACATGCCAGCCGTCAGCGTGACGCCCCACTCACCGTACTCCATTGGAGCCGCAAGAGATCAGGCCAGACTCCTCCCGCAGCCGAGCTCGATGTCGCTGCCAGGCGCATCGCTTACTCGGTCAATGATGACAACAGACCAATTTGACACTTTCCGTACGGCTCAGATGGAGCCTCACCCGCCGCCGCACGAACGTCAACTCACACCGCAAGCAAGACGCATCAACTTGTTCGGACCTTGCCTGCAGCTCAAAGAGTCTGTAGAATATGCAGAGCTCGAGAGGCGCTATGCCGACTTGCTCACGCACCGAGGAAATTTGCGACGCCTGTCTAAGCAATTCGTCGAAGCACAGACTGCTGCATATGCCTGTGCTGCGACGGGACAACACATACGAGGCTGGACGGTCATTGGCAACGAGTTGCATCACATGAAGGGCGTCACGCTGTTCGAGGGCCCCAGCAGAGAAGGCGTTGATTGGCAGGCCATACAGAGATCAGGCCCGTGCAGACGCTCCAGCAACGTCGCTTGCTTCTTGGTTGCTCTCGGCCTATTTGCCTTTCAAGTGAGCATCGGTAGGCATATCACTACACACATGATACCGCTGCTGAACTGATAGTAGGCATCATCGGCGGTCTGCTTGCCTCTATCAACGTTGCAGACCAGATCGACCACTGGCACGCTCTGACGCGGCTCAGACAGGCACGCATAGGGTCGCCATTCACGAAGAGCATCTCAGCGTCCGTTTTACCACTCATTGTCTACGCATTCGGCACCCTTGTTACCCTTTCAATAGCATCCAGATTGCGATCGAGTGCACTTTCGACTATACGGTCTGTCCGCCACGGACTTCTTTGCGTCATCATTTTTGGGGTACGTGTTTCCTTCCTGTTACTCCGCCCGACGTCTTACAAGATTCTCAAGCCGGCAGCGGTGATACTTGGCCCTTCGATAGGCTCACTCGTCTTTTATTTGCAAGATTCAACTCCAGGAGGCTATGACATTGCACCTGCGCTCGTCAATGCGCAAGCCCTGCTTCTTTATATTGGTTTTGCCACCCTCTTCTGCGTTCCAGCTGGCATCATCTTGGACCGGATACCTCTGACCATCGTGAGGTATCGGAGACATTCAAGAACACCCCGACACGTTCATCAAAGTAAGAAGACATGCCTCATTCAGGGTCTCGCTCATGGGCACGCAGCATTTTTTCCCGGACACGCGCCTACCGCGCTCATCGTCGCAGTATCGCTTGTAGCTGTAGCTATCTGCGCTCTCTACCATTCGACAGCGCCTGTCGTTTCGATTCCCTTTGCGCTGATGCTCATTGTGCTAGCATCCATCGTACGGTTCTCCGGCGCTTATCGATACCGACAGCGAAGTCAGACAGGCGGTCTAGTACACATGGATGCGCTTTGTGGCGCCATGCTTCTGCCAGCAACGAGCCCAATCTTCACAGGAGTCATCCTGTTCACACGGCGGTTATACGTCTTCGGCGTCGTCAGCATATGCTTCGGTGTACTCCTTGCCCTTCTCGCCTGCCTTTTCGCCATCGCACACATCTCTTTCGCCAGCGGCGGAGTCTCGCCCGATCCCTTCGCCTCACCACCACGTATCGTCGCACCGCCAGACTCGCCACATCGTGCGTTTCGAACATCGTGGGCCGGAGTCTTCTCGCCATTGACGCGCTCGTCGCCCATGCATCATGCTGCACGCTTTGCCGTTTCGTGCGAGTCTAATCCCTCAGAGCTCACGCTTCCACTCGTGGACGAGTCTGTTGACGCTTCCGAAGAACCCGACACGGCATTCGAGCGAAATCCAAGCTCGGACACAACTCGAATCGTGTCTGCGATCCGACGCTCACCGCAGAGAACGCTTTATCCGCCCCTGTTGACATACCCCAAAGTTACCGTTTGGCTGCCGCATAACGAGCTCATCGCACAAGATGAAGCATACGATCTCGAGAATTTCTGGCAGCTCTCAGCTCGCGCAACGAAAACATAGACAATCTGCATTATGTCGTGATATGCATAACCATGGTCAAGCTCTGGCGAGAGCGGACAGAGCACCAAGAAATCCTTGCGGATTGAGCACTTCTGTGCCGCCGTAGGTCACTCGCTTCCGAGCCGTTGCTGCGGTCGTCTGAGGAGCCTGACCACCTGATGACCTCGTAGCAAGCTCTTGCAGATTGGCAAATTCGACATAGCTGGCGCCACCAACCATGAAGACGATGCCTTCGTTAAAAGTCTGCCTATTTCGTCCAGATGCTGCGGTGCTCTTGCTGCCTGCGCCACTTCTGCCAGATTTAGGATCGAATTGCAGATATTCATCGGTGTCTTGCAGGGCTTGCGTTGATGCTGCAGACGGCTCCATGATAGCCTCCACAATCCGTGTGACTGCTACGTCCTTCTTGGCAGGCAAGAAGTTCTTGACTCCAGAGATGATATTGTCGAAACCGCCGGACAAGCCGCCTTCCTTAAGTCGGTCGGTAAGGCGATTGCTCAGCGAGCTAAACCCCCTAAAGAGCTCACCGCCTGCAGCTTGCGGCTGTGAGCTTGGCACGGCAAAGGAGGTCATCCGTGATATCTCCCTTGTCCGCTTGACATATTCCCATGCACCCATGTCGACGCCAGTCTCTTTGAGCGATCGCTCGTACTCTGCAATATCATCTTTCGATACCGCTCCGTCAGGCGACGAGAGATAGAAGTAGATGAGCAGTCGAAGCTTGTCCTCTGGCTTGCCCTTCGTCTTGCTCGTGTCTCTGAGCGCTTCGAGGATGGTCGCCTTTGTTTGTTTTGTGATAGCTTCCTCTAGTTGAAAGAGATTGTCGAGTCCGCGATCCTTGATGCCTTCGAGCAGCGCAGAGGCGATGTTCATATGCGCATCGAGCGTTTGCTTGCGGGCTGTTAGCTTCGGTAATGCTTCTATAGCCGCCTTTAGGTGCGCAGCATTGGACGTCATGTCACTGCAGCAAGTCAGTCGGATGTAAGTCTGGAAAACTTGCTCTGCTTACATCTGGCTGACGTCTGTCAGATCGCCAATCCCCGTCGTGCGAGTGATGTCGGCAGCATCCGCCTTGTACTTCGTCAACTCTGCATCGATTTCTTCCGCGACTTGCGGAAAGGGGCTGCCTGCGTTGCGCTCCCAAAAGAAGTCTTTCGTATCGAGATCGTACGTGCGCTTCTGGGATCGACCTGCTTCAAGCGCCTGAAAGTTTGTCAGCGCTGCGATGTTCGAGAAGAAGGCTCGAGGTTTACCTCTACTGTGACGCGGTTGAGCTTCATCTCTAAAACGTCGTTGACAAGCGCTTGGTATGTCCAGGAATGCGCCAGCATCGGTACGAGGTCGATGTTCCGGTCCAATATGATGAGCACTGCGAGAGGCGAATTCTTCGTCAGTCAAACCCATATCTAATCATAGCTACACACCCGGTCTTTGGAAAGACGACGCGCCGCCAGACTCGTTGAAGAGCGTCGAGCCACGGGAAGCGGCAGACTCGCGTAGCCTCGCGTCCACCTTTCTCGCAACCATTTCTGCAGCGTTGCCGCCCGGACAGCGAATGATAGGTAGCTGGCCAAGTGTCGCTATGACGCTGAACAAGCCCTTTGCTATCCTGTCCACTAAGGCCTCGATATCCGAATCGCCTGACTTTGGATCATTCAGGCGCTCGTATGTCGAGCGCAGGTCGTCGACATGAGTCGCGGTCGAGCTACTTGCAACTGCATTTGAAAAGCTGGGCGTCGACAATGCGGGCGCAAGAGAGAAGAGAGCGGGCTCTAGGACGATAAAGTCAAGATTCTGGTCGTAGACCTGCATACCACCGATCAGCTACTGTGACAATGCGAGCAGGACATTAGACGCGCCTGTTCGACGAGGTCGACGGTACCGCTGAGTGCAACTTGGTTGGCAAACTCTTCGAGCAATCCTCGTGGTAGCGATGACGTGAAGTTGATGTAGAATGATTCGTAGAGATTCCGCTTGAGATCCTCTGCTATCCGCAATACGTTCTCTCGCGTCGGCATGACAAAATAGACTGCAGGCACGTCGGGTAACGCTGGTCTATCGGCGTGCAGCTGCCTGCAAAGATGCTGTTCGCTCAGCTCACTTTAGAGCTGACTTGAAGCCGCCCTCACAGATGCAGCGTCACACCATTGTCGCGCAAGTCAGAAACCTTGAGCGTCGTCGCCAGCACGTCCTGCCATACTGTCAAGGAGGTCCCTAGTAATCAGCTGTGGCACACGTACCTGGGAGCGCGAGTCGAGAATCAGGATCTTCCACACTGGCAGTGGGTTGCCGGGCGTGCTGCCGTTGACAAGTCCATTGACGTGTGCTGAATTGGCATAGCTCCCATTGACCGCTGCCGCGCCCGCTTGCGTTGCATTGAAGTTGAGTAGCGAGACTAGCGACGAGACTTGCTTGTCGCGGAGTGTCGGCCTGCTCACGAGGGCAGACGCCATGCTAGGCAGCGGTGAGGCACGCCAGCACACTTGCGACCCGTCATTTGATTCATCCAGGTGAATCCAGACCAGTCACGTGTCTGTCAGGCGCGGTTGGAAGGACAAATTCGAAGCGAAGGTACGAACGATCGAACGAGGCTGCGTGCTAGTCGTGGTACGTGCGTAGGTGCGAGCCCGTCGGACGATCCTGTCAGGGTCAACGAGCGTTGACGAGGCAGTGGTCTCTGCAAGATCGGGTGGTCAGCCGCGCAATTTCTTTGTTACGCATTATCCCTTTCATCGGCCAACGAGGCCCTATCACGATGACGACCGCCAAACACAGCAGGCGGACCACACTGGCTATCAGCCTGCTCCTGACGAGCTACGCAAACGCACAAGCAGCAATGCCTGAGGCCTCGAAAACAGCTAGTCCAACCCTCCTTTCAGCAGCAATACAGGGCGGATCGCTAGGCATTTCGTCAGTCACTGTGGCTACGGGCATCGCTGCGAGTGCGGCTGCTTCGGCCACTAGCGGTGAGATCTCAAGGAATGAGCCTTGACCGTGCTGAGCACGTGAGCAGTTATCATGTCAAATGCTCAGGCAGCAACGAGCACGGCTGCCACTGTCGTCACAACAAGCGTGGCAGCAGTCTCTGGTGGTGCAGGTGGCTTGATACCGGACAACATGAGCGAGTCATGTACCAACTTTCTCGTCGCATTCAACGAAGATCCCGTCTTTGCATCGTGCTCTGCGCCATTACTCAGTGCCATCTCGGCATTCGCACCGGCGAGCACGACAACAGTGAGCAATACTTTGGCAGACTCGAGCGTGACCGCTTTCTGCGCAACGAGTTCATCCAGCGGCTGCTCAGATTCGGCAGTGCGATCGGCGCTCAACCAGTTCAGCACGAATTGCACGACTGAACTCAATTCGCCCTCGGGCGATAATCTGCTCGTCAAGACGCTCTACGATGCTGTCTATCTCCTCAATCCTTTCCGGACCGCACTGTGCACTCTCGATTCTGCAACCGGCAAGAGCTGCGCCTTTTCGCAAACGTCAGCCTCGGCAGCGACAGCCAATCTCACGCAAAGTAGCGCTGCCGTCTTGCTCGTGCAGGATCAGGCCAGCTTTGACGTCAGCACGCTCTATTACCGCGTGCCTCAAGATGCAATCTCAGCAGGAAGCTGGTCGACGGTCTCGTCGAACAAGACAACGCATACAAAATCGCACGACAAGCGTTCGCATGCACACCACCACGAGCTCGCCAAACGCCAAGAAGCAGCAGCAACGGACACTGCGAGCGCAGCAACGACTACTGCTACAGGCTCATTGTTACCCAATGGCACGACCTTTCGCACTCTGGCTCTACCCTTCTTGCAGCTCTCGCTGTCAACGAGCACAGGCAACGCATCGTGCACAGAATGTGCGCAGAGTGTCTTGGCATCCTACATCGCTTGGGAAAAGTCACAGCCGTATGTGATTGGCTTGGGCAATTCAGACATGCTGGGAGGTCAGTCGGCGCTCTGGCGTCAAGTCAGCACATCCTGCGGAACACACTTTACCACTACCATCAACAAGAACGCGGGCATCACGTCGTTCTTGACCGGCTCGGCGCCAATGGCGCCGCATGTCCATGGCGCTCTGGCATTCCTGATACTCTCGTTGCTTCCGATCATATTCACGCTCGCATAGGCTCGCCACGCATCTTGTAGAGAAGCTGTATTGCATTATCGTGCATCCGGTCGTCTTCGCCCCGGTTGCAAGGTGAACCAAGTCTGGCAGATAAAGCGCTGCGTCACCGGGCAGCGTTCGCGCGCTACACTCCTTCGAGCGTGCTCTGACAGCGTACCACTTGTGATGTCCTTACTGCCTTTGCTCGGCTTGCTGCGTCTGATGAGCTTCTAGTGCTCGTAGAAGGAGCCCGCGTGGCACGCGAGCATGATCCGCATGAGTGAACATTATTATCCCAGCTAGTAATGCCTGGACAGAACTTGCTGCGTGAAGCCTCCAAAAGAAAGGTCGTGGGTGAGAAGGTCATCGACATCAGGCTGTAAGAAGACTGCCAGTGTCTCTCGCGTGATGACAGCTCCTTGCACAGTCTGCCACAGCGATCGATCTGCGCTCTGTTCGATGGCATGTCGTATACCAGCCGTCGCTTGGTGGGATACCTGACCTGCACGAACACAGTGCGTCGTGCCAAGCAGCTCGCCGTGACTCATGACTTGGATTGCTTCGCCGAGCTGGATCGCCACGCTATCGGGTGGTATGTTGACCTTGAGCACTCGTGAAGCGCATCCGGCTGTAGCATGCGTGCGAATGTACAGTCCTGCATCTGGATTTGGCGAGGGAATTGCTAATGGCTCGGGTCGGGTCTGCGCATCGCTCGAATGAAGCAAATACATGGCTTGCGTAAGAACCGTCAAAATCGAGTCTATGATCGGGTCAGCATAGATTCAGACGATATGGGCAGACGCACGATCAAGGTGCCAGCCGCATAGATCATCCTCGCTCGCTATCGCAGGCGCGGCAGGAGAGGACGTGCTACCGTCGAGTCGGAGCTCCTGACCCGGCACAGGAAAGTAGTGCAATAATCGCGCTTTGCTGCATTGCGAATGTTGGATCATCTCGGAAGCGCGCATCTTGCCTTTGGTTGTGCGAGAGTCGATGAGCTCATCGCATCGTTTGGCCAGCTGAATGCCAATATCGCGCATGAAGCTCGAAAGTGTCTTGAAATCTGTTTCATAGCTCGGACAGTCTTGTTGGCTTGGCCAGATATTGGCCGAGTAGTATGACGGGTTCGCGCGAGTGATTGCTTCCGAGCGGGCAATGGGCAGATCGGTGGATGGATTGGCGTAGAATGATCCTTTGTGCAGATCAGGCTTGCCGTTCATCTTCTCCTTGCCATGCGACCAGCCGAACGAGTAGCTGCTCGCTGCATCTTCGTACTTTGCCTTGACTTTGTCGGGCAAGGCTGCGAAACGAGCGCTCTGCCGCAGAAGCCGGTCTCTTTGCGCGCCGTAAGCAGGCGGCAAATGGGTTATGACGAGCAGGCCCAAGCTGGACGGTCCAGCACCGAATGCCTCTTCGAGCTTGTCATAGAGAGCCGAGCTATCGTCGAACAGATCGACAAACGTGATGCTGACCGGACTCGCTGACATGTGGCCGAGGAGCACCTGACGACGGTGGGGGACGCGACTGTTATTCAGATCAGAGCGCGTAAAACTCGTCCCTCTCTTCGCCACACTGTCGAACACAAGATGGCGACAATGATGATGGGCGATGTGCCAGCAAGCATCAGGCGGAAGCTAGAAAAGGCGGCAAAGCGCAACGCGAGCGCGCAAGGCATGTGCCCTTTCGTTTGCGCAACGAACGGCGTTGATGGGCTTGACAGGTGCCATGTCCTATCCTACGCCGCAGCCGTCTTCATCTGCAGGGCCGTCCTCATCTCCAGCCAAGCCCGAGCAGATGAGAGCAGCAGCACAAGCTTCCGATGTCTCTTCGTCGCCCATCAGGATCAAGACGAGGAACACGTCCATCAGTAGCTTGTCGAGTGTCTCTCGCAACGCTTCTTCGCTCGATGCGCTCGTCGTCGTGCTGCACGACTCTCAGCAAGCTATCATGTTCGGTCGCAAAGCACCCGACCAGCTGCCCGTGGCAACGCAGTTCGTAACGCTGCCCAAGTCCGCTAAGCACGCCTCTCGCACCCACGCAACGCTGTCGCGCCAAGAGACCGATCAGATCAAGCTAGAGGTCCAAGGCTCCAATGGCCTCGTGTACGAGTCGGAACGCTTGCGTCAGGGCGACGTGCGCATGCTCACCTGCAAAGCCAATACGAGCGCCCAACTTGACTTCTTCGGCTGCAGGGCGACCGTGCACCTCGCGCCGAGCTCCTCAGGACCTCTCACTCCCACAACAGAGATCGATGCTCAGCTCACTCTAGCTGATGTAACGCCGCAATCGCATGCAAGCTCGTCGACTGCTCAAATTGTCACGCCGGTCAAGGAGGCGCCTCAAGCCGCACTGTTGCTGGCAACCATGAGCTCCTCGCCATGCGTACCTCTGACAGCCAAACCTGTCGAGGCCGTCGTCAGAGCGCCAATATTGCCAGGCATCAGCGTCAAAGTCCAGACAACGACTCGACGCGTTCCTATCGTCACTGCCGTGCGTCCGCCTGTACCTGTACTTCCCGTCGTTCGAACAGTATCCCGCCCTTCCGTCAGCAACAGGGTCCACAAACTGTCAGCACCTCGAGACGTCGTGACTGCCAAAGCGGTGAAGCGAGCACGTGTCGAGCCTGCTGTTTCGTCAAAAAGTAGCGCAGACGTTCCGTCATCTGAGCTCTCGAGCCCTCGCAGCGTCGCGGCTTCCTCCTCTCTTGGCAGAGAGCAGGAGCTTTCCGCTCCATCGGACAGCAGCGAAGAATCGTCACAAGAAGACGCGGACGCCAGCTCGGCAGAAGAAGAAGCCAACATGGATGAAGATGAGCCAGATGAGTCTGCCCTATCGATCGATGCGCCCGCGAAAGACGTACCGAAGAGCAAAGCTGAGAGAGATCTGGCAAGCATGGACATTGACATGACCGGTCTTATTGCCAGCTCGCTTGTTTTCTCTGGTCGCGCCACCGTCTTCACAAGCGCAATCGTCAAGATGCTCCTCGAAGATCAGCCTCAGCTCGTTGCGGCAGCTACAGACATATCGGAAGCTGATACGTCTCGCACGCCCCTGAGAGAACTGTCGAGCAATGCAGAAGCGGCACGACAGGAGGCTGACGTGACGCTGCAAGAGACCGCAATGGCCGCCTGGACACCCCTCGTCCTGGCCGCTCTCGAGCACGGTCCATTCGGCTGCATCGACAACAAGGGTCTCAAAGACGCAAGCGGCAGACCGCTCGAAGCGCTCTGGCATTATCTTCCGTCGCGCGATCAGGACAGAGAACGAAGAGCGAGCCTCGAGCCTTTCGTCAAACCGCTCAGACAGAGTCAGATGCGTTCGCATCAGTATGTATGGAAAAAGCCGAGCCTGAGGAGACGAAGATGAGCCCTTGTAGATAGCATTATTGCACGAACGGCCACGTATGGATCCGTGCGGTCGAGCTCGGCCAATTTACGCGTCTTACAAGGACGCGTCTTCCTAGCTTCAACGCCTTGCTCTCAAGATGGATGATCTTGCTAGCATTCCAGTGCTCGCCGACGATCTATTGAAAGGTACGCAGCATCGGACCTACTCATCTGATTCGAGCGTCTGACGCTTTCACTAGACCGCACGCGAGTCTTTACCGAGTATCTCGAAAAGGATGCAAGTCGCTATCTTTACTCTTTATTCGAGAACCTCGCTCATTGCGGGCTTGCAGGCTCTCAAAGACGAAATCCGAGCGATGCTTGTGCGGCTCGAACGCCGGCTCATCATCAATCTCGATGATGTACGGTCATACTCGCGCGACGCAGCCGACGGCCTCCTCAAAGCGCCTCAGGAGTACTTGACCGCTTTCGACATTGCTTTGCGCGACACGATCTTGTCAGTGCATGATCCTATTGTGCACTCTGAGCAAGTAGGGGACGGCAACAAGTTTTATATCGGTCTCAAGGGCAGCTTTGGAGACCATCGCCTTAGTCCACGAACACTTCGTGCTAATATGCTTGGCAAAATGATCTCTTTGGAAGGCATTGTCACGCGATGTGAGCCCTTTTCTTGCCCAGCGTGATCGACGCTGACAGTCGAGCAGGCAACCTCGTCCGACCAAAAGTCGTCAAGACGATTCACTACTGCCCGAACACGCGTCACTTCCACTCGCGTCTATATACCGATGCTCTCACTGCAGGCAGCGGTCCCACTTCCGGTGCGACATACCCCGACAAGGACTCAGAGGGCAATTACCTGGAGACCGAGTATGGCTTGTCGACTTATCTCGATCATCAATCTGTTGCAATCCAGGAAATGCCTGAACGCGCGCCAGCCGGTCAGATCCCACGCAGTATCGATATCATACTGGATGACGACCTCGTCGATCGTGTCAAGCCCGGCGACCGCGTGCAAATCGTCGGCTCGTATCGGTCTGTCGGTAATAAGGGTGGCCAAGGATCTGCAGTGTTCAAGTAAGCTCATCCATATGCCAGACGCGGTCAGGCTGATTCGCTCGCAGGACGCTCATTCAAGCCAATAATATCGTCCTGCTATCGTCCAAAGCTGGAAACGGCATTGCGCAGACGATTCTCACAGACAGCGATATTCGCAATATCAATAAAGTCGCAAAGAAGAAGAACGTCTTCGATCTCGTGTCCCAATCTCTCGCGCCCTCCATCTACGGTCATGATCATATCAAGAAAGCCATCTTGCTGCTTTTGCTCGGCGGTGTCGAGAAAAACCTGACGAATGGCACCCATATTCGAGGTGACATCAACGTCCTCATGGTTGGCGATCCATCGACAGCCAAGTCTCAAATGCTTCGCTTCGTGCTCAACACGGCTCCTCTGGCTATTGCCACTACAGGAAGAGGTTCCTCTGGGGTCGGTCTTACTGCTGCCGTCACCACAGACAAAGAAACTGGTAAGCTTCCAGGCGTGCCCGTCGAAAGATGCTCACCGGCAGACAGGCGAACGGCGTCTCGAAGCTGGCGCCATGGTGCTAGCTGATCGCGGCGTAGTCTGTATTGACGAATTTGACAAGATGTCAGACGTCGATCGAGTGGCTATCCACGAAGTCATGGAACAGCAAACGGTCACTATCGCCAAAGCTGGCATCCACACCTCGCTCAACGCGCGATGCTCCGTCGTCGCCGCTGCGAATCCCATTTATGGCCAGGTCAGTGCATCGACTTGGCTTGCGTAGACATCTACTCACGGCCCAATGTCTCTTCAGTACGACGTCCATAAGGACCCTCATCGCAACATCGCCTTGCCAGATTCGCTGCTATCGCGTTTCGATCTGCTCTTCGTCGTGACGGACGATGTCGATGAGAAGCGTGACCGGATGATCTCAGAACACGTTCTGCGTATGCATCGTTACCTGCAACCAGGCCTCGAGGAAGGTACACCCGCCGTCGATCAGCTGGAGCAGAATCTAGCTGTCGGCGAAGAAGCTGACTCTGGTTCGTCGAGACGAGAGACACAAGTCTACGAAAAGTTCAACCCACTCCTGCACGCCGGTGTGACGACAGAGACTGGCAAAGGCGCAAGCAAGAGGAAGCAGGTACTCTCAATCGCGTTTGTTAAGAAGTACATTCAGTACGCCAAGGCTCGCGTGGTGCCTGTACTCACGCAAGGCGCTTCGGATCATATCGTCAGTGTGTACAGCTCTCTACGAAATGACGACATGGCTAGCAATCAGAAGCGAACTTCACCCCTGACTGCTCGTACGCTCGAAACGCTCATTCGTCTGTCCACTGCGCATGCAAAGGCCCGTTTGTCGACCAAAGTCGAGGAAGAGGACGCGTATGCAGCTGAGGAGATTCTACGATTTGCACTCTTCAAAGAGGTCGTCAAAGTCGCGAGTACGAAGCGTCGCAAGGTCGAGCGTGACGCGACTTCGAGCGAAGACGAAGCGGAAAGCGAAAGTGACGATGAAGTCATCAAGCCTGTTAAACGCATGGAGATGCCCAATAGGCGCACTCGATCGGCTTCGATCGGACAGCGAAGTGCACGAGCATCCGTACCCCCGGCGATGTCCATATCAACACAGAATGATACGCAGGACGAGCGACTGGCTCGTGAGCTTGCCAATGAAGAGTCCCAATCGCAGTCCATGACTCTCGAGCCGGAGCCAGCGGCGCCCGTAGTTGATGTGAATCAGCAAGCAAGGCAAGTGGTCTGCTTGGTTGATATCCGGGGTACTGACCCGCCGTCATGCAGAATCAAGGCATTCAGAAGACGCGTTGCTGATGCTTTCAGAGGTCGCTTCGCCACCGATGAGACTCTGTCGAAAGATGCTCTGCTGCCGGTCGTCAACGATGGTCTGCCGAGCGAGGCGCTATATAGCTCGGACGAGGCGGAAGCGATCCTCACACTCATGTCAGAAGAGGAAGATCTATTCTACTCTGCTGGCGTCGTCTATAAGCTTTGAGCGAGCCTTTTGTCTTGTAATGTATGTGTTCAGAGGGATGCGACGAAATAGATGCATTATTGATGCCCTGTCTACTCTTCGTCCCCAAATTTACCCTCTGGAAGCACGTTGAGATCATGCTCCTCTGCGTCAAGCTGCGAGCAAGGTCAGCCAAAGTTCGCTATGGCTCTTCAACGAGTACGCACATGACGGAAACAGAGCCAGAAGGCGATGCCGCCACCAGCTGCAATACCAGCTGCCGATCCATAGTTGATCTGAAGACCTATGAGCTGAGCATGCAGCGCCGATACGTGAGACTTACGACTAGGTAAGGATCTGCTGATAACGTGACGATGGCTTCACCGATCGCGCTAGAGACAGCTGATTCGAATAGGAAGATGGCCATGACGAGAGATCGCATGCTCTTGGGAGCCTGCCGGACCAGCATCAGCCGGGAAGGTAGCCAGCACAGCACGCGTTGCATACCTTTGTAAAGGCATATTCGAGACCGGCAATGCTTGCGAAGATTTCCGAGATTGCGATTAGGATATAAGCTCTGCCTGACGATTGAGCATTGTCATACGACGCCGAAAGCAGCTTTACCCGGATTGAGCCCAGACGTTGATAGGCGAGACGATGGGATTCTGATCCTTGTCAACGCAGGTGCTGATTGTATTGCCGCAAGACGTTGAGTTGTAGATGTACTGCTGCAGCACAGTGGCCCAGACCATCGCGAGCGCGCCGGTCATAAAGCCGGCTGTGATCTTCTTGATTGGCGTAAAGTCGACGCCGAGACGCGCAATGCCGGGGTAGATGAGCTGCAAGTCCAACGATGGTCAGCTTGGCAGATCGCATTGCTGTCCATGCTGACCTTGTCAAAGACCGGGATAAGTACGATGAGTGCAAAAGGGTCCAAGTTGCTCAGAACATCGTTCGGAATATGATGGGTGGTCATCGTGGCAGCTTGCGAGGTCAAGTTGTTGTTGAGCTGGTTGTACGAGAGCCAGTAGAGAGGGTAGAAAGTGAAGACCGCGCATGCTTTGAAACCGCGGCGAACTTCGTCGACGAAGGCATCGTCCCACTGGACGATGGCACCTCTGCAAACTCGTAAGCATGGAGTCTGGGATGATGGACTGAAGCTGACCGAGAGGGTTTCGCTGGCTCCCAGAAGCCAGGAGCGTTCCAATTCTTGATGAGCTGAACGGGGTTCCAGGAGAACTTGCCAGCGAGACTGCGGCCGAGGACACGCATGGAAGAGCCAAAGACCGAGCCAGCGGGAGGCTTCTTCGTGTATCTTGAGTTGGCGGCCCAAAGTACGAATGGGCACAGACAGAAGACGAGGGTGGGCAAGGCATAGGCGAGCCAGAAGCCGACCTGTACCTCTTCATGAGCCTGGTCGTGGCTCGTCAGTGAAGCGAGCGCACCATCTTTTCGGCCCAGGCCATGCCGATCTGGCCGAGCAGGGCGCCGATGTTAATGGCGAGGTAAAAGTACCTGCAGCGGAGCCATCAGCAGCCATGCAGATAGACTTGGCAGCACTCACTGATAGATGCGGGAGACGGTCAAGGCAGGATCGATGATGACGGTTTCACCGGTAGGAAGATTGCGCAAGAATGGTACAGTCGGCTTGTACTGTTCTGCCACGAGGGGCGAGATATTGGGCTGTGGGCATCGTGTGATCAGCTATGGCCTATACTTCCCTAGTAGAACGCGCCTTGAATCCACCTGTACTGCGCATTAGCTGCCAGCTCAGTCAGCGCCAGAACAGACTAACCTGTGCCAAGGCCCATGAAGAGCAAGGCGACGATGAAGACCGGCAGGGCTTTGCCAAGCTCGCCAATGACACCGGGGAGGGCGGAGACGATAAGGAGAGCGTGACCGACGAGAGCGATAACGAGAGAATAGACGATGGTCTTGTACCGTCCAAAGTAGCTGTCTGCTACGTAGCCACCGAGGAGCGGACAGAGATAAGCATAGAATGAAAAGGCAGTCGTGATGCCCGTCGAAGCCTGTTGGCCCATGCCTGACCGCCGCGTCGCGTTAGCTCACTGTGAAAGACCGAGTGAGGAAGTTACACACCAAGAGCGCCTGACTGGCCATTGAAGCCACCTGCGCCAGTAGGACTGGGCAGCTTTTGCTGAATGAAGTTGGTGAAGACGACTGCAGGAGGCTCAGCGAAGGCTCGTGGCTGTGGCTCGATAGACTTACCCGTGCAGCCATACCACGAGAAACGCTAGCGCGCAATGTCAGTCACCAAGCAAATGGGTGGCAAGGGGATGTACCTCTGCAGGCAACGTGATTAGCTCTAGCCTGGGCAGCACAGCAGAAACGTACCAGCGAGTTCGACAAAGGCGATCAAGCTACAACGAGCCCAAGCGATCAGACACAAGAGAACGATCGCCGAGGAAGACGACTGACTAGGCAGGCCACGGCAGATTGTCTGAGATGCGACGGAGATTGGCCATATCCTCGAGTGTAGGCAAAGGGTTGCCGAACTCATCGTGGGAGGCCGATTGTGTGATGATGTCGTAATGCTTGTCCTTCTTCTCATCGGTAAAGGTCAAGACTTCGTTTGCACCTGATTGATGCGTTGTCATGAGCTATCGGGGTGGCGCACTTATCGGCGAACAGTGAGCTTACTGACGGGCGACTCATGTTCATGCAGCAGTCCAGACATATCGCTGATGAAGGGCTCTGTCGAGAGAGAAGGAAGCGATGCCTAGAACAGAACAGGTCAGATCGCACGCTTGTCCCTGGCCAAGAGTTGCTGAGAGCACCGCCAGACGCTCTGGATCAGGAGACTAGACGCTGATGACGAGTCGCAGATTGTGCTCTCGTTTCAGCCATGATAGTTGCTGAGAGATGGTCAGGATAACGCTGATACGAGGCACAGACCGCCAAGCGAGACTCGCTCGGCTCTGTCGCGCGAAAACGCGTTCACTTGTCGACGAAACGCCGCGCAACGGCACAGCACTGCAGAGACGAGGGCTCAGCGACAGAGCTATCGAGCTCATATGGAGGATGTAGTCGCAGCGTGCTGTGGAAGCATCTGCTCTGGCATCGTGCGTGCATCCCGAGAGCTCGCCACTAAAGCGAGGAGTTGACGAGTTTATCGTTTGGCATTCATAGGCGTATAGCTGGGGGATCAGCGTCAGATCACTGCCGTGCTGTAGCTCGTGCGAAGCCTGCTGTGGTCAGTCATGCTGCAACTGTGGCTGGGATGCTCCTACAGAAAAACAAGAGGACAACGAAGTTCTGAGGCGGATGAGCATCGCACAGCCACCCTCGAACGAGGCACGAGACGCTGCAATCAATCAACCGCCGCCGACTTATCGGGCGAATGATACGATGGCAGAATGGCGAGCAGCACATGCCCCAGCGCAGCCAGCGACAGCGCATCAACACTAACTTGTCCCTGGCGATGACCACGCTTGGCCTTTCCGATGAGACCTTTGCGGTCTTCTAGAGCTCTCGACGCTATCCTATACTGCATGACAGCACTGTACAATGCAAGCCCGCACACTTGTTGTTGCATTTTGTCCACATGGACGACGTCATTGCTGGGCAACAAGCCAAATTTCGCTGCCCCTCTAGCACGCGCGCAGACTTCGCCCCTTCCGCTGACATACATGACACGAAAACAGCAATGCCCCTTAGCTATTCATACATAGCGCAGCCCCTGCCGCTTGGTCTGATCAGCAGGGATTCCTCTTGACTCGATCACTTCAACAGATACTTGACGCGACGCGTCTTTGCCACCGCCAAAAGCAGGTGTGGAAGTATTATCTACCCTGCGCTAAGCTTGGCGAGCACTGCCTGAGCCCAGGCGTGGCTGACGCGTGGGCATACAAAAGCCGACGTGCTTCAATCCTTCGCTCCCACTGCATCGTTAGCAAGCTAGCGGCAGTCTTTTGCGAGGCGTTCATTCGTCTTTCGCACACAGAGCTTCTCACGCCCAGGCGCACTACACAAAAAGGCACCAACGTAGATCCCATCTCTCCAGACAAGCCCATCGTCGTTACTTTTGCTAGTCAACGACGATCGAGCCAGGATGTCATCTCGTTCGTCAAACCTCGGAAAGAGTGCATTTCACTATCGCTACTCGAATCTCGCCTTCTTTGTCGTTGCAGCCCTGCTTGCGGCACCTGGGCTCGTACGAGCTCAGGGAGACTATCCCTGTACCAAGACAGCGGATTGCGCAACCTTTGCGTCAAGCAATCCCATCTCTAACAATTCAGTCTGTGTAGCAGGCGAGTTTGTATCTGATCATATCTCAGCTTACTTGGGCTAACGTCAGCGAGCAGACCCCGCTAATCCTCAGTATGGCTTCTGTGGCTACGTAGGCGCTACCTGTTCGACTTCGGACGATTGCGACTACGGTGTCTGCAACAGCGGCAAATGCGGCGGCTACATGGGAGACACTTGCTCCAGTGATCTCGACTGCATGGCCTTCTTCAATTGCTCGCCCACCGACGGCACCTGCGGCGGTGCTGGCGCAACATGCGCAAATGGAAACCAAGATTGTACATCTGACTCTTGCGATACGTCTGGCAAATGTGCAGCGCCTCCCTCTGCAGGCATGGCCGATGGAAGTCCCTGTGGCTCCGATACAGGTACGCTCGTCGCCTTGTAACCGCGCATGACTGACGTACGATTCAATGTACAGTGTGCAGCAGTGGCTCTTGTGGCTCTTCTTATCAATGCGCCAGCTCAACAAGTCTGACTGCCTCTCAAAAAGCGCGACTACGCCACAAGCGTCGATCGACCGGACCCGGCAAACTCACTCACGGCGGCGAAGTCGTCTACCGGGAGGACATCCGTTGTCCACGCGGCCAGACAGCTTGCGCTCTCGGCTTGTCGAGCGAAAACGTAGGATACGAATGCGTCGACACAACAGTCACGCTCGAATCTTGCGGTGGTTGCATCCCGCTCGGTCTGAACGAGACGATGGCATCCAATGAGGCATGGGGCACAGATTGCACCACTCTACCCAATGTCGACATTGTCTCTTGCTCTTCGGGCGCCTGCAAGATCTGTAAGTAGCGTGCTGCATGTATATAGCGCTCAGGCTGACTTGCAATATAGCCTCATGTCTTCCCGGTTTTAACAGAGATCCCGACAGCTTGGGCTGTTTCTGATTATTTCGGCGGTCACGACACGGTCTTGCTTGTTGTTCTGTTGCATTGCTTTCGGGTTCATGAATCTCGGCGCCATATATCATACGTCATGCAGTCATGCGCGTCGAGCGTGTCAGAAGAGAGACGAATTCAAGCAGTCCATGCTATGCTATACTGTCCTGCTTTATTCATTCTAGTCCAATCTTGATCTCTCAGCAACATTTGTGCAGCATAGCAGTCCGAATGCTGCCATGCGGATAACGCTTCGTACGCCTTCGACGCGCGATCGTTGACGACGTCGAGTACCGGCCTCGGGCATACACCATGATAGGTTCTTCGTCGTGCGCTTTCGATTCATCCACAAGTGACACTCAAGGACAGCTCTCGTGCACCTTGTTCATCTTGCCTTCGTCAGAAGCCGGGAGATGACTCTCAAAAGCGGCGATCAAGGTACAACGGACAATGATCGAGCTCGGGTCCGACGGCCCTCGGCAAGCTCAACCAGAACAAGCAGCCTGAGTGGCATGGAGCAGCAAGCAAGCGACTACTTGCAAACAGCCGGATACGTATCTGTGCCATCCTCGCCCGCTCTCTCTAACTCACCCGCATCGTTACATACGCCCATTGGTAAGTCATTGCAGCTGCCTAGCGTGGCTTGATCTGATGCGTCACAGGCGAAGAGCAGGAAACGCTCAGTTGTATGGGACGTAGAGCTTCGCAACTCGTCGATACACTTGGGGATGAACATCCTCTGGCTGCCCTACCGCGACGCGTAGCCCCAATTCGGTCACTGTCGAGAGGAAGCTCCCTGGCGGGCACACCGCTCGCGTCGCCATGCTACCCAGTAGAGACGCCTTTGCTCGTGAATGCGCGCTCAAGCAGCACCGATCGCTTGAGGCGCCATCGATCGACTTGGTCTGCAAGCGCAGTCGATTCTGTCATCCTGGACGAGCTGCGTCAGTCACAAGTTGGCCTCGCATTTTCCTCGCCACCTGCAGCACTCGATCATCTGGCAGACGTCTCCATCACAGCCGCGGATGACGGCAATACGTCGACTGATCAATTGATCTACCCTGTGCCCCGCCCGGCAAATGCGGTCAGAGTGCACACGAGCAGTCTGCCGTACGTCCACACGATCAGTCCCTCACCAAAAAAGAGCGCACTCAGCCGCTCTGCATCACTGGCCCAGACGGGCGTCACGCGAGGTGCGAATCTGCTGCGGAGCATCAGTCAGCGCAGTGCCCGCACTGGCTATTGGTCAAGTAACAACGGACTCGTCGACTCCCAAGAAGACCGCATATCCTCACAGTCGCAGCTTCAATCGTCTTTCATTGGACCTGAGACCGAGGTCTGGCAGCCTCCGGCGGAAACTGCAGCCACTTCGCTAGATCGACCTATCTCTCTCGTTCTTCCGAGCTACAATGAGGGTGACGACACAAACAGTTCAGAAGGACACTGGGGGTCAAACAGTGGCCCTCGTACCTCATATTCTGCCCAGCGGCACCTCGCTGGCTCGACCTCGCCATCCCACGTGGAAGTTGTGCAATCTGCCATGGCGTCCCTAACGCGTACGGCAGACCGCATAGGCTGGGCACCATCGACCAACATGTTCGGCGCGCCTTTGACGCCCGACGCACGTAGCAGGCTCTCTTTGGTTGAGTCTGAATGGATTCAGCGCCACTCAATGTGCTCACCGGACGAGTCGGGGATACTTTGCGATACAGTCTCCAGCGAGGCAGGCGATAAGGATGAGAAATTTGCGGCCCCGTCGCAAGCGCCCACAGCATCCGCTAGATCAAGACAAGCCGCATGGGATCAAGGCTCGCCATGGGCATTGCTGCAATTCCTGACATACAAGGACATGGCGCTAATGTTCGTTGGGTGCATCGCAGCATTGGGCGCCGGCTTAGTAAGGCCTCTGACATCCATAGTATTGGGCAGCTTCACGAATGCCTTCACGTCATACGGATCAAACCCGAGCTTCGAAAGCCGGACGATCTTGCTTTCGACGGCCAATCGACTGAGTCTCGATGTCACCATGCTCGGTCTCGTCACCCTTGCCTGTGGCTTCGTCCTCGCATCGACATATCAGATAGTCGCAGAACGCGTCGCTCAACGTTTGCGCGTCTGCACCTTCCAGCGCGCCTTGTCGCAAGAAATTGCCTATCACGAGGTTCACGGCTCAGCAGAGCTTGTCGGCGTTATCAAGACGGATATCTCACTCATACAAGAGGCACTAGGCGAGAAGCTGCCTTACTTTATCCTCTACACGTCAACATTTGTGTCCGGATTCGTCGTAGCACTTGTTAAGTCGTGGCAGCTAGGTGTGCTCCTGGGAATGACAGTCTTGCCAGCCATTCTCATCTCCGGCTGGTTCATTCAGACCCTGACAGCTAAATTTGCTCGGAAAGCATCGCGCTCATATTCGGCTGCGTCTCTCGCAAGCGAAGAGATCGTGTCCTCGATACGAACTGTGCTTGCCTTCAACGCTCAGCATGCACTACGCGACCTCTATCAGTCGCGGCTGAAAACTTCGATGCAGTACTCGCATCGCAAGTCACTCTTTCGCGCGATTACTATTGCGACTGCCGTCTGGATTATCTTTTCTGCATATGCCTTGGCTTTCTACTACGGTACGACTTTGCTACTTCAAGGCAAAGCCACCCCTGGCTCCGTCATCTCCGTCTTCTTTGCAATTCTCGTCAGCTGCCTTGGCCTCACATCAGCAGCACCGATCTTAGAAAGCTTTGCGCGAGCTTCCGCTGCTGCCGCTGTCATTGCCGGCATCATTCAGCGAGTGCCGAGACTTGTCCGATCCGGCGTAAAGGCTCCCGACTACGTCGGCGGTAGGCTGACCCTTGAAAATCTCGTTTTCGCTTATCCCTCGCGAGACAACGTCAGGGCGCTCGATGGCGCTTCACTCATCATGGAGGCTGGCGAAACAACAGCGCTTGTGGGCGAAAGCGGAAGCGGCAAGAGTACCGTGCTGCAACTTTTGCTTCGATTCTATGTCCCTGCCAGTGGCGCGATCACATTGGACGATCAGGAGCTCGACGAGTACAGCTTGGAATGGCTGCGTGATCAGATCGGCTACCTTCCTCAGGAGCCCAATCTCTTCTCGGTCTCCGTCAGAGATAATGTGGTCCTCGGCATTCCTACGGCTATGGTGAAGGGCAGGAGCGAGGAAGAATTGACAGATCTGGTCATTATTGCCTGCAAACGTGCGAATGCGCACGATTTCATCGTTGGTCTTACCGAGGGGTATGAGACCAATGTTGGCGAGCGGGGCTCTCTTCTGTCTGGTGGACAGCGGCAACGTGTTGCCCTTGCGCGCGCCATTGTTTCGGATCCGCCCATCCTCATCTTCGATGAACCGACGTCCGCGCTAGATGCCGAATCGGAGCGCATCGTGCAGGCTGCTTTGGATGAAGCATGTCTGGGCAAGACGACGATCATAGTAGCGCATCGTCTAGCGACTATTCGAAATGCGCACAAGATTGTCGTCATGCAAAGCGGTCGCCCTGTTGAAGAGGGCACGCACGACAGCCTGCTCGAAGAGGAGGGCATCTATTCGAGACTCGTAGCAGCACAACAGATTCACGAGAGCGCAACAGCAAACCCCGGCACGCTGTCGATAAGTCAAGGTACAGCCAGTCCGGATGCAGAGGGTAGCCGAAGCTTCACATCGAGTGCCGCATATGCCGCCCTCTACACGAATGCAATGCATCCACCGAACCAGAGCGTGCAGGGCAAGCCGCGCGCTTCGTCTCTGGCGCATCTCAGCACAGTAACGTATGACTCGGTCGCTTCGTTGCCTTCATCTGCAATGAGCTCGTTCACGCTGCATGACCAGGCTTTCCTCACAACGATGCAAGCACGAGCCACGCCGAGCACAGTCACCACGTGGCAAGCCTTGCTCACCATTCTCAACCTTGCCAAAGGCTTCAAACGATATCTCGTACTTGCCGCGATCGCAACCTTGATCTCAGGTTGCCTATATCCTGCATTATCCATCATTCTGGGCGCTACCATCACTGGCTACGAGAACTCGCTCGTCACGATGGACAGGGAAGAGCTCAGATCTGACGGCAATCGCTATCCATCATATTTTTTTATCCTGGCTGTCGTGGGTCTCTTCTCGCTCACAGCCGAATGGTTCTGCTTCGGATCGACTGCAGACCGTTTGGCTGTCGCCATCCGCGCAAAAGTGCTGGATACTTTGCTCAGTATGCCCGTCGCATTTTACGACGAGCGGGGGAACTCCTCGACTGAGCTCGTCGCATTCATCGACTCCAGTGCGCAGAATATCATCGGCCTTGCCGGCAGCACAATGGGTGCAATCATGGAGAGCGCCGTCACTTTGGCGGCGGGCGCGACCGTGGCGCTTATATCAGGCTGGAAGCTTGCCTTGCTCACAATCGTATGTTCTCTTGAATCCACGCGATACGCGCTGACTTCTCGAGCAGTCTCTCGTACCTATCGTGATTATTCTTGGCCTGATGCGGATCTGGTTGCTCAGCATCAAAGACCAGCAGACGCGCAGCTTATTCGGCCAAGTCATTGTCCGTATTGGCGAGAGCTTCACCAGCATTCGCATTACCAGCGCATACCCAAGCATATCGGAGGCAATGAACACTGCCGTCGTCAAAGGTCTCGAGGAGCCATATAAAACTTCTGCCAGATGGGTCCCACGCGAGTCATTGGCTTACGCTGTCACGCAAATGTTCCTTATTTGGATCATCGCCGTTGCCTTCTGGTTCGGTAGCCGACTGATTGCGCAAGGCATGTTCACCGTTGGCGGCTTCTACACGGTCTTTATATCTGTCGTCTTTGGCGCGATGCACGCGGGAACGATGCTTCTCTACGCAGGCGACATCTCAAAGGCCTCATCGTCAGCCAAGGCGGTCACAGCGCTCATCAGAAGGGCAGATGCAGAAAATCTTCAGGACAACAGCAAGGCGATGCCTGTCCTCCAAGGCAACATCCTGTTCGAGAATGTCTCATTTGCTTACCCTTCACGTCCCAATCTCGTCATACTCTCCTCCCTCAGTTTCTCGATTCAGCCCGGCCAATTTGTGGCGTAGGTCGCATGCGGCTGAGCGTGACTGACAGTTGACATCGCACATAGATTTGTTGGCGAAAGTGGGAGCGGTAAGAGCACAATAACACAGCTACTCTTTCGATTTTACGATCCGGCATCTGGGCGGATCTCTGTTGATGGCAACGATATACGGCATTACGATACGGAGAGCTATCGCGCTCAGCTGTCATTTGTGCCGCAAGAGCCAGTGATGTACGATGGCACCATCAAATTCAACGTTCAGCTCGGCAACAAGGGCAGGCCTTGTACAACTGCAGCAATAGAGCAAGCCTGCAAAGAGGCGGGTATATGGACGTTCATCACTGGGTTGCCGCAAGGGCTTGACACCGAGCTCGGTGGCAAAGGCGTTGCGTTGTCGGGGGGGTCAGTTCGGATGCTAGCTGCGCTTGTCCATGCTGATATGCTTGACAGGCAAAAGCAAAGGTTAGCGATTGCGCGCGCATTGATCAGTAAGCCAAAGCTGCTTATTCTCGACGAAGCGACCTCTGCACTTGATGCTGGCAGCGAGCGTAAGGTGCAGGACGCGCTCGATCGCGCGGCGGCAGAGAATGGGAGGACCACTGTCGCAATCGCGCATCGGCTCGCCACCATACAAAAGGCAGACGTCATGTCAGCTCACTTACGAGCGTGTTCGCTTGCGATGCTGATAAGCTAATGCAGATTTGTGCTTTCCGAAGGCAAAATCATCGAGGCGGGCACGCATAGCTCGCTGTTGGCATTTGGTGGACTGTACGCTCAGCTAGCGAGCAAGCAAGCTCTGAGGTAAACAGGATCATGACATGCAAACAATTGATGACAACAACCAAAACTGAGAGTGCAAGTGGCGTGTTCTGTATATGATGTATTTGCCTTAATTTTCAGCCTAGGCGCGCGTGCTTGCCGGATCGCCAGCGAGAGGCAGGTTGCTCTGCCGCGCAAGACACGCAGCCGAGACGCAAGGATCAATTTCCATGCAGAAGAATCGCTTGACAGCATGACTTCGTTGAGCCTTTGTCGGCAGCAGAGCTCTGATTTTCTGACTGGCGCCCGTACTCTTGCTGCTAGCCGAAGACACAAATGACTGCCAGATAATCAAAATCAGTACAATTTGGTAGTAGCTATGATGGACATGACGCACTACATTGCTGTCAACGCTCAGCTGACGACTGTCTCTTCGCGTGTCCGCTAGTACTTGGCTCCTTGACTTTCGGGGACCCTTCGCGCCAAGCGAAAGCAGACTGGCACGGTGTGATAGTGAGCGGGTATGGATGGCGTCAGAATTGATATCCTTTGAGCTGAAGACGACCGCTGGCAATGATCCGCGTCGGTCTGGCACGATAGCTGGCTCGAACATGGGCACAGATGCCAAGGGCATCGTGAGAGGAGCCTCCCACGAGCTGTCCGCCGCAGGCGCGAGCTCTCCCTCGCCGGGAGTCGCCGGCGAAGCCTCCTCAGACGAGGTAGATTCGGCAACGTCGTCAAAGATGCGTAGCCTCGCAGTGCCTGCTCCAGCTTGTTTGGGCGTTGCAAACGGATTGGAGAAGCTGATTGGCGTGTGTGCTCGAGGCGTGCCTGCCTCTGCGATGGGTTGTAAAGCCAGACCAGCGAATGCGCCCGGAAGCCCGTCCTGGTCTGACTTGACGGTGAGAGGTAGTTCCTCTAGCGACGACTGAGCATCAACGCGCTCACGCCAGGCCTTGACCTGCTCCAATTTGGCCATGTCCTGACCCTCTGCTGCCTCGGTCGGCTCCATCGTGCTCGTCAGTACGTGAAGAAGCGCACAGACCAGGCCTGACGTCTGCGCCTTCTCGCCGCTCTGAGCCAGAAATGAATCCGTTCGCGGATGATCGACGATCTAGACCGGGCTGCACCGCGGCTGATGATCGGTTAGTAACGGGGAGGAAACGTAGACGTGGCAAATTGCGCGCCACGTCCAAGTTCACGTCGAAGGGCGCCCTGCCTTCGCTGTTCACCGCACCGAACAGACTCTCCTTACCCTTCTTACTGCCGCAAGGTCACATGCGAGCATCGAGGGCGACTTGCGGACTGCGCGCCCTCGAGGTCTCGCGCCTGACGCGTCCGGTACGAGCGGGGGATTTTCCTCTCTCTTACGCACTCCACATTTTGTGCAAGACGACCTTTGTATCAGCAGGGCGTCCTACAGTAACATCACAGCATTAGTACGATTACTTGCATCCGATCCACCAAACCTGATGGACTCACATCGCTGCAGGACTCGCATACACCACATTCGCTATAGTTCACCACACTCATTAGCCTTTTCAGATCAGGACCCGGTCGTCCGTTCGTCAGGCACACGTCGTCTGCCTGCTCGCAAGCATATCATCATCGAGCAGTACCAGCACTTCTGCCTCATCGCACAGCGTTGGAACTGGCGATTGTACCCTAGTCCTCACGTCATCGAAAGAAAGATCTTACTTTTTCGGTCACAGCGAACAAGGGCCGTCAAAGCTGCTCGTCGAGATGCTGTTCAGCGATTGGAGCAAGATCATGACCTTTCTGATGATTCATGTCGTCGTTGTGCCGTTCATTCAGCATGAAATGCTGCACCTTACCTCGCTGCCCGCTATCTTTGTCTACCATCTCGTTGCTCAGCTCCTCTTCCATCGGAATATCAACAAGATTCTCGCTAGCGATTTCAGAGTGCGATATGGCTACCTCAAGAAGGACAGCCCGAGGACAAAGCTGCCGGCGGTCGAGCTCAAGTGGACAAAGATGGGCGGCCTTCTCGGAGCGTTCTTCAGGATAGCGACTCGCAAGTGTCTGATGACAGCGACTGTGGTCGAGCTTATTGGTGCCATTTGCAGTTTTTATCGCAGATGGCCAGGGCTCAAGGGCGAGCTTCGGCATCTCGCCAACCTGGATTGTGCACTACTCGGCTTATGTTCTTCTTCTAGACTTTGTGTTCTACTGGTGCGTCCACAGAATCTAGCGCAGTCAGCTGCTGAGCCCCACAATCTACAATCAGGGCGCATCGTACGCAGCACGAACATCCCTTCCTGTACAAATATGTACACGGCAAGCATCACCGCGCTCACCTGCCTAATGTACTCATGACAGTCCACGATACCATCTTTGAGAAGTTTTTCAATACCTTCATCCAGATGTGTCTCATCAACTGGATCATCCCCATGTCCTTCTGGGACCTTCACACGACCGTCGGTGAGCCCTCTGCCTACCTACGTCTCGGGCTGAGTCTTCGACAGTACTATGCAATCCATCTCATCGAAGCATTAGGCCATTCCGGCATCAAGTGTCATCTGACGAACCCACTAATGCCCTGGCTTGTCTTTTGCAAAACCGAATTGAGCATAGAAGGCACGCCTCTGCGCATCTGCGTGAGCGTAAAGCTGATATTCTCGCACAGATCATGATGTAAGTGCATTCTGGGCTACGTCTTGTCCGAAGCTGACACCCTCCAAAGCTGCATCATCGCAAGCTTCGCGGAAATTACGGCAAGCAGACGCTCGTGTGAGTATGCACGACGTTGCCCTTCAGCTTGCTGACTCGACGGCCAGCTGGGATGTGCTCTTCGGCACAAATCTGCCCCGCATCGAGACATAATGGACAACGACGTGGAGCCAGCGATTATAAGCCAGGCATACGGTGGTCATGGAAATTAAATGCAGGTATAGTCCGCTGAGAATGGAGGCAAATTGATGCAACGAGAAAAGGGCTACAACGAAGCCTCGTGAGTCCTGAGTTGCTACAGGCGCGGGGTGAGCGATTGATCGTATTCGACATGCTGAATGATGACTCATAAGCATGTCCTATGCGTGTCTATTTCTGTTTGCTGCCGGCAAGTCGTTGCCTGCGGGAAGTGAAGGGATCGTTGTCTTTGATTTTACTGTATGACATCGCAGAGGATCCGCGGTGGTGCTTGGTGATCGCTGGATACTGCTCGGTGTTGTTACAACGACAGAGACGCATGTAATTCGCAAAGGGGGAAGTTTGCTCATGCTTGTAATGATTGTGAGCTGGTATTTATACGTACATGCCGCCGACGCAAATCAGGTCGACTGCGCGTCCAGATCAAATGCGTGCTAGTGCCTGATCACACTCGTCTGGACTCGAAGGATCAGGCTTTAATTTTGCGACGCGCCGCCTTATGCAGACATTTCGTCCGCGTGTTGAGCCGCCTGTTCTCTTCTTAGGCGCTTCTTTTCGGTGACTTGCCATTGTTCGTGCGTGTATTTGAACAAATTGTCTGGACAGGTACTGATCAGTATGACGAAGAAGCGGGAACGCAAAGACGCACCATGATATCGCTTTGCCATCGTCTCGAGGTCGGTCGAGGGTACATTCATTGGTGGCGAGCCCGCGTCGCTTGAGCTCGAAGAGCCAGAGGAGTACGAAGCGCCGTCCATTGCTGACTGTAGACGCAAGCAGGAAGTGTCAGTGTCATGTCCGGCATGCTTGCTACTCGTCTCGGAAGCTGGAAATGAGAGGAGGGGTGCGTGCAGACACGTCCGACGAGAGTGGCAAGACCACTGAAAGGACGTGGACTGACATCAAGTGTAAGCAACTTAAGCGACAGATTCGATTGCGAGTGTCAAGGCGAGTAGAGGGCTTGTCAAAAGTCCTCGTCGGCGTCTGTATGTGCGTAGTCTCGCTGGGGAGAAGAGGAAACAGCGCGAGGTTTGATAATATTTCATTCCAGGCGTTCCCGTTGACGATCACTATACCGAACGTTTGCCCACGGGCCACTCGATCAACAGTCGAGAAGAGAGATCGACGTTCTCGAACAATACAGCATGTCTGGACTGTCTTACACATGGCACACAGCCCGAAGTAACGTTTATCAATGACGAACGTAGAGCGTGTCGATGACGTGGGTGAGGTCCAACTCTGTCTTGGCCCGGCTGATCACATCTTTGATCGTGCGTGTGAACCGTACTCCACAAGGGAGAAAGGCGAGTCTGGTCACCGAGAGCGGGAAGAAAGCCGGCAAAGCTGAGTTGATGATCGGCATTGCTTGCTCAATCGATTGCGTCACGCGAAGCTGGTCCGCTGCCTCATGCACGCCTTCGATGAGGATGCATGGCAGAGGTCGAGAAGTTCCACAGAGAAGAACTTCGATATTGCCAAAGCCGCATGTTCGGATGGCGATTGCCCGAAGTTCGGCATCGATAGAGAGGGGTGATATGATTTCGCCTGTGGCACATAGCGCTATATCAGTCTCGTGGAGGTTCCCCACGAGTGCGAATAAGCGTACCATTGCCGAGCATGAGCAGCTCGTCTTTGCGCATCTCATACACAAAGAGCTCATCGATCTGACCGTTCGCGTCGACATGGACGATTTTGCGGAAGAGATCTCGCGTGCGCCACTTGTGGCCATCGTTAGCGATAGCCTGGCTTGAAACCGCGATGTCTTCCGCATCCAGAACAAGCTCGTAAAGCTGCTCCGGCTCGGTCTGACCATACGCTGGCGTGTGCTCCGAGTCAACGGGCTCAAAGAAGACTGGCACGTCCGGAAACGCTTTCATGCCAAGGGCCAAGTCGAGAATCTCGTCCGACGGTTCATCGTTGTTGCCCCATTCCTTTGCAATGCAAGCTGGTCGACTGGCCATGAAGAAGCCCGCCTCCGTGGTTCCCAAAGTGACCTGCCCGAGTGTCAGAGATTGATGATTGGCATGGCGTTAACACTTGCCTGGACCTGAATGCCGAGCTTGATCGCTTTGGCCATCGTCGAACGCTCGACGCGAGATCCACCACAAGGAAGGGGCCCAAGACTGCGCAGATGGGACAGCCAGACACATTTGCGCTCTTCTTCCTCAGGCGTTTGAGTGGGGCCATGGAGGTAGTTGACAATGGCGGTCAGATCAGCCGAGTAGATAGAGTATTCCTGCGTGCCGACGCGCGTGAGATTGCCGAGCAATGCAGTCGGAGTGCATTCGATTGACTTGAAGAGCGGTAGGGCGATAGGCCAACCGCTACCGAGGAACATGATCTTGAGCACGATGCCAATGGGCGCGATCGCAAAGGGCTCCTTGTTGACGAAGACGATCCAACCCGGTGCCTTGCTTGTAAAAGTAGGCAAAGCAGCATCGCCATCTTCGTCAGAGGCAAGGCCCATACGACCCCGACGAGTCGGATTCATGAACCCTTCGAGGATCACATTGCGACGGATCTGAGCAAAGATTGCCTTATTGTGCCAAGGAATGACCTTTGGTGTCGAAGTAGAGCCCCTGCTAGCTTCGGTCAGTGATCATACTGTCTGCACGAGTGAAGCTCACGTCGAATGGAGGAGATAGGCAGGATCAGAAACGACCTTGTGCTTCATGACATATTTGATCTGATCGAGTCTCTCGCGACGGTCGGATCCGTCAATGATATTACCTGCCTCTCCGAAGGTACGCATGCTCATGTACTCTTGACGAGTAAGCTCGTGCAGGCAAATCGACGGGCGCAGTCCCGAGACGCAGTGACCTGCAGAGGCGACCGTGCCGCCGCAGACGAGTACAGAGACAGCAGCACGATCGCAAATCTCTGCGATCGTCTCGGCAGAGAGATAGGGATTGATTGGCATGGCCGTGAAACCGATCGACGAGAGCGCAAAGAACGGGCCTGCATGGATGATTCAGCGGGACGACAGGGCAGGTCTCAGAGACCGGACCGAAGAAGTCCTCAGCAGGACTGATCAGCACGCCTGCGACGGGCGCCTTCATCTGTGCAGCCGAGCCGGCGACCCCTGAGGATGAAGGCGTCGAGTTCATTTGTTGAGCGAATTTGGCTGACCAGGTCAGAGTGAGCTCGGCGAGGAAGTCAGAGTAGAACTGCCAGGTGACGGGCAGCCAATCTGTGCGCGCTTGATCTGGGATGAGGAAGACGATATCATCCGGTGTTGAGGCAGCGTGATCGTGGATGATGGACGCGATGTTAGGCAACGACTGCTCGTCTGATTTTGCCGTATAGATCGCGATGGGCTTTCGAGCACGAGCGGGAGATTCAATGCTTGTCGGCATGATGATAAGTCGAATGCGCTTGCGGTGCTGCGGATGAAGCTGAGCAAAGGCAAGCGCTTGACAAATTGGTCAGCCATTGAGCCATGTCCGCCGCGCGTCGAAGGCAGGCCAGAGCTACGGCAAGGTCACAGCGCCCTCGAGCCGATGGATTCCCGTCCGAGCATCGAGATGCGATCGAAGGTGTTTCGACCAGATGCTCTAAGCAGATTTCGGCATGGGACCTGAGCAGAATGCTCCATCGGAGGGAGTCGGGCCATGCATCTTGTCATTCGGATTATGAAAGCTACCCAGATGGTGTGCATCCGCATGAGAGGATGAGAGCCCTTTGAAGTCTCTGAGCGGGCTAGAAGGGGATGAGGGTTGAGAGCGTGCGCTAAGCTTGGGTGGGCATGATCGGCAGGCGCGTGCGATTGAGCGAATTGACATCACCGCATCACCGGCAGGAAGCTAGCGACGGCTCGGGCCGGACACAGATCATCCTTCAACCCTCGCAGGGATGTCAAAGTTCCTAGATGTAAGCGAGCATCACTACTGATTGTGCCGGCCACACGCCGTCAGCTTGACCAAGTCAGATATCATGACGAGCATCTACCGCGAGCATCGCAAGGACACGGGCTGATGTCAATGACTGCTTCTAGACGGGCTGCGACATTGTCAAGCAGGCTATCGAGCAGGACATCGCTCAGAACTTCGAAGAGGCGCTCAAGCTCTACAAGAATGCGCTCGACTACTTCAGCATGGCCCTCAAATGTCAGTGAACTCGGAGCATGCCTGCCTCGTGCTCAACATGCTCGTGCTTGAACCGGCAGACGAGAAGAATGCCAAGTTTCAAGAGATGATCAGGTCTAAGCTGGAAGAGTATCTCAATCGCGCGATACAGATCAAGGACCATCTCAGCCAGCTAGGCGAGCTTGCGCATCCATCCGGCTCTGGCAAGATGCTGACCTGAGACAAAACTAGATGAGAAGCGGCAACGTCAAGCGGTGGGCGCGAACGGACAGGCTAAAGGCAGTGGCGGCGGCATGGGCCAGAAGTCAGTCTCGCGCGTCGATGTTGCTCATCCCTGAACGATCATGTGTCCTGATAGGAAGCCAGGCGACGGCGATGATGATGACACAGACACAAAGAAGCTACGAGCGGGCCTATCGAGCATGTTTTTAGCCGCTCTTGGCACGCTAAGCTGATATCGTCTGCAGGCGCAATCTTGTCCGAGACACCCAATGTAAGATGGGAGGACGTGGCCGGTCTCGAGCCTGCCAAAGAGTCACTTAAGGAAGCCGTCATCCTACCCATCAAGTTTCCGCATCTGTTCACAGGAAAGCGGACGCCATGGCGCGGTATACTGCTTTACGGCCCGCCGGGAACGGGCAAATCGTTTCTGGCGAAAGCAGTCGCGACAGAAGCAAAAAGCACCTTCTTTTCCGTCTCATCGTCAGACCTCGTCAGCAAATGGATGGGCGAATCCGAACGGTACGTCGCAACGAGATGCGAGCAAGGTCGGGACTCACCCCTGTTCGTGGCGTGCAGACTCGTCAAGCAGTTATTCGCAATGGCACGGGAGAACAAACCAGCAATCATCTTCATCGACGAAGTCGATTCCTTGTGCGGTACTCGTGGAGAGGGTGAATCAGAAGCCTCTAGACGTATCAAGACAGAATTCCTCGGTGAGCATGACGTTGACAGCTACCAGTCGTAGCTCAAAACCGGTGATGCAGTCCAAATGCAAGGTGTGGGCAACGACTCGACAGGTGTGCTCGTCCTAGGCGCCACCAATATACCCTGGCAGCTTGATTTGGCCATCAAGCGAAGGTGCGTTTCGTCCTGTCTGTGGTAGTCAATCTGACCGAGTTCGGCCGTCTAGATTCGAGAAGAGGTAATAGATCTAAAGAGTGTCATTCGTGCTAATCTGACAGTTTTTGTAGGATATACATCCCGCTACCGGATGCACAGGCGAGGCGGCGCATGTTTGAGCTCAACGTTGGGACAACGCCTTGCACGCTCACCTCATCAGACTACCGCGATCTCGCAGACAAGACAGACGGGTACGCTTCATCGCCCAGCTCCAGCTTGTCTACCGGCTACTCATACCGCGAGCAGATACTCTGGTTCCGATATCGCAGTGCTCGTGAGAGATGCCTTGATGCAGCCTGTGCGCAAGGTGATGAGCGCCACTCACTTTAAAGAGGTATTTACCACCAGCCTGCTTGTGAAAATCCACTGATGGGCTTTTTGGCAGGTCTCAGTGCCGGCGGAAGATGGCAGCGCCGACGTGCGCAAGCTGACGCCATGCTCACCTGGTGATCCAGATGCGATTGAAAAGTCTTGGACGGACGTAGAGACAGACGAGCTGCTCGAGCCACCTCTCAACCTGCGAGATTTCCTCCGCGCGGCTCAGAGCGTCAGACCGACCGTCGCTGCTGACGACTTGCTCAAATTCAAGGAATTCACGGACGAGCTGGGTAGCGAGTAGAGGCGCTAATGGTGCATGATATAGCAACAGACATGTAACAATCTATTGGGTTATTGTCAAGAGGGAGTAGCCACGCCAAGGGACTTTGCGACCGAGGCTGCCTTAAGACAGGCTTCCTGCCACTCTGCCTCGCGATCCGAGAGCCAAGTGATTGCGCCGCCGGCCCCGATGGACATGTGAAGCTGATCCGAGTCGAAAGCTCGTGACTCGACGTTATCATGCTCTGGTGTGGCAATTGTGAGCGTACGGATCACGACGCTCAAGTCGACGCGATCGTCGATTGAGATGAAGCCAAGTGCACCAGAATAGATGCCTCGAGGTTTGTAGTCCTCCAAGTCCTCGAGCAACTGCATCGTTCGAAGCTTGGGAGCGCCCGTCATCGAACCGGGAGGAAAGCATCGCTTAATCGCTTCGAAAGGACCGACCTGAGCTTTGAGCGTGCCGGAGATAGTCGATACAAGCTGGTGAACGGTCTCGAAAGACTCTATTGCCCAGAGCTTATCCACTTCAATACTCGACGGATGACAGAAACTGGCCATCTCTGCTCGAATGAGATCGACGATCATGAGACCTTCTGCGCGTTCTTTAGGGTCACGCTGGAGCGTCTTTGCGATTTGCGCATCTTTGAGTGCATCGAGCTTATTGCGCTGAGCTGTACCCTTGATGGGCTTCATCTGGATTCGTCGCTCCTCGAAATTGTCCCGTGTCGGCCAGATCTGTAGCAATCGCTCGGGCGATGAGCAAAGAACGCGCAAGCCCGGCAGCGCAAGATAAGCAGCAAAGGGAGCCGGATTGTTTGCGCGAAGCTGAAGGTACGTCGCGAAAGGGTCAATCTTTGTCGCTTGATGCGGCACCAAGTCAAATTTGTTCGTCAGATTGAGTTCGTAAGATTCGCCTGCTTGGATGTACGAGCGAGTCTGATCGATCTTGCGCCGATACTGCGAGCCTTGAATGACAGGAACACAGCTCGTTGCAGCAGGCAGGGCAGCAGCTTGGATCGCCTGCGTAGTATCGCCGCTGTTGAGGAAGTGTTCGACCGTCTTTAGCCATTCGGCCGCCGCTGCTTCATCGACAGCGAACTGGATACCATGTAACTCAGCTCGACCGGTGAGCACACGAGCATGCCAGGTCCGAAGCTCGTGGTCGTAGGCGAGAACGCGAGGACAGAAGAGTAGCTGAGCGTCGGCTTGTCGGGCAGGATCTGCATGATACTCGGCAGGCAGCGATTCACGCTTGAGCTCGTAGCCGAGGTAGCCATACCAGCCTACGGGTATGTCGCACTCGCTCGATACATCCGTGACGTCTGCAAGATGACGATGGAGATCAGAGGCGTACGACCAGAATGATTGATCGTTGCTGAGGAGCGTTTCCTCGATCTGGCCAGAGATTGATTTGAGCGTGCAGACACGTTCCTGGAGTCGATACGAGAGAGCGGCGCTAGGTATGCCCAGATATGACCAACGAGAATGAGCAGTCGGACGGGCACTGTCGAGCCAGATCTCGCCCAGCCCAGGTGCGATGCCTTGGCACATGGTTTGGAAGACTTGAGCCGGCTCCTTTGGGTTTGCTGCTTGGAACTGATGAGCAGCCATGGAAGCCGTCTTGACGTTTGCCAAGAGAGGCTTGACCGTGTCGCGACAATGAGTAGCCGAGCTGACCTGCAGCTTGTGGCTCAGAGCGCGATCTTCTTGCAAATCTAGATGACGAGTCGCCATGTCGAGGAAGTTGCTCAATATATTGGCGCCGTAGGTCGAAGCGACACTCTCTGGATGGAATTGCACGCCCCATATCGGTTTGCTCGTGTGCTGGAGACCCATAATGCTTGGGCGGCCATCTGGCGACGTCGAGTAAGCCGTTATTTGTAGCTCATGTGGCAAATCTGCAGAGCCATGAGCTCGGCCTGCTGCCACCTTGCGAAAGACTGACCTGGCTCGGACACGGTCAGAGAGTTGTAGCGGACAGCATCGAAGACGGGCGGAAGATCTTTGAAGAGCCCTTGCGATGACTCGATTTGGATCTGGCAGACTTGACCATGGACAAGATCAGGCTCAGAGTCGATCAGGCCGCCAAAGGCGGTGGCCATGCCTTGATGACCGAGACAGATACCGAAGATGGGCTTATCGCATTCTCTGAGCAAACGATGCGCGAGGCCAAAGTCCTGCAAGATAGACATCGGCCATGAACGCGATCACGCGTCAGGACACAAGTCACACACCTCGAGCCGATCTGGTCGACCTGGACCGGGCGAAAGGATGACAATGTCAATTTCTGGCAGTATATCATGACTGAGCTGATCCCTGTTCATCGTGCGGCGCATCATTCAGCTACAAGCCTGAACATGACGAGGGCTCACACGAACCAAGTGAGCGTATCATGGTGTCGCACGAGGATTCTGCGCTCTAGCTCCGCATCGGTATAGTTGAGAGGATGCCGGGTGAGCAAGTGGAGCAAATTGTTGGTGTACGAGTCATGGTGGTCGAGGATGAGGATCCGTGCCTGGAGTGGCTTGGAATCCATGACGACGGGCGAGTCGTGCGCTCGACGCTTGCTCGTCTTAAGCGTCGGCGAGGTTGCAGGGGCATGACTAGCTACTCTGTGAGTAGATCAGATCGTCGACTGGGCGGTCCATCTGGGCGCACAGACTGATCGACGCCGAGTTCTGTTGACGGTGTCTGCTCGAGTCGCGTGCCGGCACTGAAATTTTGAGAGGCAGCAATCGAGTGTGGTGAGGAGGAGATGACAGGGTCGATATGAGTTTGAGTGACCTGCAAGAGGCGTAGACAGAGCTCAGGACACAATGTGGAAGAAGGAGAACCCCTACTCGATCGCTAAAGGTCTCCCTCGCATGGCAAGTGAGACCGTCAGGTCATCGCACCTCACAGCTCATGGCTGACCTTCCTTGCAGTCATGGCATCCCAAAAACCTCTTCAATCTCTACCAGAGGACATATGGCGAGCTTGCGAGGGAGCTCAAGTTCACCCAACCCCGGTTGACGCTCTTTCAGCAAAAGTGGCTCTCCAGACGGGTCGTGCGAGCCTACCATGGCGACTGGATCCAAGAGAAGAAGTTCTCAAAGCACTACGTTCCCAACTCCCTGCCCGCCATTCTCGCAGAATCGGGTAAATCCGTCAGAGAACACAGCTCGAGATCGCCCGCCGCGACAGCCACCAATGAGGATAAAGCGAGACAAGCCGTCCCGCTTACTTCGCTCATGTTCAGAGAGGTCGAACGAAGGCTCGACGTCCTCGTCTTCCGTGCTTGTCTCGCCAGCAGCGTCTACAAAGCCAGAAGGATGGTCATCCATGGCAAAGTGAGAGTGAACGGCGACGTGCAACGCGCTGCTGGCTATCTCGTCCAACCCGGCGATCTCTTCACTGTCGATCCTGCAGCAGTTGAATTGCTCAGACGCCCCGGTCAAGATATCGTTGATGCTCTCGAATCAGCGACCGAGTCAGAGTCCGATGAGACAGACGAAGTAGTCGAAGAGACCGACGAAGAGATTGCCGCCCAGCCTGACCCAAGCCCAAGTACGAGCTCATTAGCTCCAGAGACGGAGCCACGCGAGTTCCATCTGCCAGACTATGCCGCACCTTTTCTCTTCATTCCCACCTACTTAGAAGTCGACTTTGAGACTTGCTCCGCCGTCTACGTTCGCCATCCTACCGCCCGATCGGGCTACAGCGAGATACCGAGTCCCTACTCTGCCGATGGCGAAGTCATGGCGCTCGTATGGGTGCGTCTAGTCCACATCACTAAGATATACGCATGAACTGACAGATCAACGCAGGAGCACTACAATCAAGTCGGACGACGGAGAAGGGCCAGAACGCCAAATTCGCTCGGCGGCCGCATAGAGCCTCTGTATCTCTGAGCTCGCATGCATGCAATCGCATTCTTGTTGTAATGTTACTTTCAAAAAGAGGCACATCTCATGCATAGTAATGTCAACAAACACGTCTCGGAATACTACCAGTAGTAGTCTGTGCGCGAAGGTACCACGTCCGGCTCGCCCACTTCTTTCCGTCGCTTCTTCTCTGTCGCCCACCGTTCCGTCCACTGCTTCATCTTGGCTCTGAAATATATGTTCTCGTCAGCAGAGAAGAGGGTACAAACATGAGTCAACATGCCTTGAAGTCGCATTGTGAACGTTGACGGTGGCAATGATGCGGGTATAATTGAGAGAAAGTGCGAAACAGGTCAGCTCGTAGAAGCTTGAATGCTCGCTGTAAGGCACGCCATAAGCCTGGTAACGTTCCGTCGAATCGCGTTGCGGATAGAGGTATGCCGGTGTAAAGGGCATCGAGCCTTTCGCGACGACCCGCGCGACGGAAGGCATCTTTTCTTCCGTCGCATCAGGCCTGAATGTCCATCCTGTGCCGCGAATACCAATGACTGCAGAGCATGAGTAACTCATTGGTACTACTTGACTGTTGCGCTCACTCTTGGTGAAGTAGCGACTGAATTGCTCTAGATATTCCTCGAGTGTTTCGCGCTTGATGGCAAACAGGTTCGTCACGTGAACTTGCGCCTCGAAAGGGTCTTTTGTGAGCATCGCATGGAGCTCAGGATCATCCATGCACGAGAAGAGCTTGTGCTTCTGTTCGTTTGCGTAGACCTTGGAGCCGAGGGCCTGTGCAATACCTTTGAAAATTTTCTCTTTCCCCACGGAGTATGTGCCGACTAGCACGAGGATATGCTCTCGTTTCGATGGCTTGACGTCCGGATCGGTCTTCATCGCCTGTTTGTCGTCTACTTTGCTATCTTCGTCATGATCCCGGACGGAATTGATTACCTCTGAAGTTATCGTGGATGGCTCGAGCTCTTCCTTGACCGTTGGCAGGTCTGGCAAGGTCTCATGGCCAGGACTATGACTGATAAAGTCCGCCCGCGCATTGACAGAAGGACTATCGACCAGAGTATCTGCTTCCTCGTCCTCTTCTTCGTCTATTTGCGGCGCTTGCGAGTCTTCGCGATCGAACATAGAGTCTTCGTCAGGATCGCGCATCGAATCTTCCATCTCCTCTTCGTCATCGAATGCATTACCACCGAGCAGATCGGCAGCACTCTCGTTTTTGATCTCTTCCTTGACTTCATCCTTCACTTCCGTCTTGACGCCAGTCACACCCAGCCAGTCCTTAAACTTGACCTCTTGCTTTGCTCGCTGCTGACCACCCTGATAGCCTTTGCGCAGCGCCGTCGTATCTCCATCAATGCGTTGCTTGATGAGGGCAGCGCAAGCATCGACAACTTGCTCTTGTGCTGGAAACGTATAGCGTGGATTGAGGTATGTCGTGTCAAGGTAGCAGATATCTATCCGCTTGCCAGCCAGCGCAGGATGACGAATGTGAACCGGACTCGCTCGGAAATCACCACAATGCAGATAACGGAAGATACGTGATGGCGTCTTGCTATACGGCGATTTGGGATCGGTATGAGGCGCCTCAAAGAGGAACAAGCATGAGCCGGGGCAGTGATTGGCATCGATGAGAGTGACCGTGACTCCTGCTATGACAGTGGGCGTATCGAAAGGCAGTGGGTGGACGTATTCGGGCTTGACGCCAAGATTAGCAACAATCAAGTTACAAGTCGTCTTCGAAGCGTAGACCGGCCCATGATTCCAAGAGCCGGATAGATTGGTGTAGTGATCAGCATGAGCATGAGACAGAAAGTAAGCCTTGATGCCTTTGATGCCTCCGTAACGAAACGCGTCGACTGCAATCGGCATGCCTTCCATGACTTTGTAGAATGGACATGGTCGAGGAGCCGATTTGCGCCAGGGCATCTTCTCTGCTATAGCTGCCTTCTTCCATGCTTTGTCTTCCGCATGACCAAGCATGAGCGCCGTGAAAGCATTTGGCTTGCCTGTGCCTGGTCTTGCGATCCCGTTCGACACACTTGGCGCAGGTTGTGCATTCGTCATCTGCGGCTGATCATTTTCATGCTTTGGAGCTTTTGAAGTCGACCGAAGCTGGTGTCGAAAATCGCTAAGCTTGGTCATTGGACGCGCTTTGCCCTTTGATCTGGATGCCACAATGCGCGGCTCGAGCGACCGAGACTTTGAGCGCCTCGCAGGCACTGTGGATACGGAGCGCGATCTTTCGCGCATGCTCGCTCTGTCCACGCACGAGTTGACGTGTAGCTGAAGTGCCTGTTTAGACTCAGAATCAGGTCGGCTTTACGTAACTGCGTAGGTAATCTGACCTCTTCGCTCGCATTTTCGAATAGCTGGCTGCACACTGGACAGGCAGGCTTTGGCGCACTCCTGACTGCTGGCGGCGGGCCTTGCTCATCGTCGCTGTCATCGAGTACAATGACCTCTTGTCGTTGTAGCTCGCGTAACAGTCCAGCATGCTGCTGGTCCTGGGACATGACGTGGATTCCTTCCTCCCGAAAATCATCGCCAGATTCGTAGTCCCATGCTTCGTCCTCTGTCGCGGTCGCGCTGCCGGTTTCGCTTTGTTCATCATCAGATTCGATTGCCTTGCCGCCATTGAGCATAGTCTCTTCATCCCATAGCATGCTGAAGCCATCCATATCGAATGTAGACGTGCCGGCCGATGCGCCTACTGCGTCTGGCTGCTTCGGGGGCACCTTGCTTTTCTTACTCGAGGCTTGCATCGAATTGCTCGACGAGGTTCTTTGTAAAATCGCAGGTCTGCTCGCGCCAGCGACGGGTGTATCATCAATGCACATGAGGCCATCTTCTTCCAGTGTGACCGAGCTCTTCCTCTTCAGCTTGATCGGTTCGGGAACATCGCCGTTCGTCGCAGGAGTGACTGAGACAATCTCAACGCGCTCTGGGTCGGTAGCTCTGAGCTCGCCTGCAGGCTTCTTGGATGCCGCACGACTCGTACGAGTAGCACTAGCAGAAAGGCTGTGCTCACGAGCCTCCCTGGTCTTGGACGCAGGCGTAGCAGGCTGCTTGAAGTAATCTAAGATCGTGGCCGGATTGCCCGACAGTGCAGCGGTCTCTGAGCCTGATCGCTTCCTGGCTGGTGTCTTCCTAGGCGTAGACGATTCAGATCTACTGTTCGCCGACTTTGAGCTCTTCTTAGGCGGCATGTTGCATGCACCATCCGGTCCTCGATGTCGGTGCAATGCTCCACGACGTGGCAATTCGCGCGATTCGCGACGAGTCTCGACAAAATCTTTGATTAGTGAGGCTGCCAAAAGAAGCTCGGCAAGGGCTGCTCATTGTTGTCCTCAGCTACTGCGACGCGAAGAGACGACAGGTGGACATCTATAGGATGGAGGTCACGCTGTCCAGCTCTCGTCTTTTCGCTTCATGATAGCTCAGTCAACATCCTTCCTAATGCTCCTTTCCCATTCCCGCTCTTTCCTGTCCTCAGTACGCAGTCAATTCAGACGGCTGCGACGTCTCTCGGAAATTTATGCTCGCGGATCCTGGTCGTCTGACGACGGTGTATGGCCGGGATGCTTCCATGTTCGAGAAGAACGATCGAGGCTTTAAATTTAGCCGCTTGCATGCACACTGTGTGCCTAGTCATTGCAATGTGGCTATTGTACGAGTCGAACAAAATCAGCATCGCACATCTGCAAGCTCTCAATGTGACTTGATGCCATACAGATCAATCCGCACGTTGTATACGCCTCTATGCGAAAAGAGCTATCAATGCATTGAAGTCGAAGGAGTTTCTCTATTTCTTGGATCTAGCTCTGGATTGGTGTATTTGTTGAGCGACATCACCATCGGGTGCGCTTTGCATTTCCCTCTCACGCGTAGATAGCTGCGGTCTGTCTGGGTGCAGTGAGTGGGACACAGACACGATCTGCACCCTGGCGTTGCCGATGTGGAGCAATGCATGCGTAGACAACTGAGCTCGTCGTCTGCATACTCGACAGTCTCTGCGATCCAGACGGGCACTTTGTCGAGCTGATCTTTGAGGGGTATGCTTTCGTCATGATGCAACAGCACGATCGGATGAACGGTGTACGCATACGCAGAGAGGCCTGGCTTTGACAGTCTGCCAATCTCGCGTCCAAGGAGCTGGACCTCACGTCTGGCCAGATGGAGACCGATCGACTTGAGATCGAGAAAGCCTTTGAGTTTCTCTACTTTCGCATGTCGCTGCCAGATCATATGCGCAGTAAGCTCTCGTTCGAGGCGTGCAAGTACTGCTGCGTGGCTGATTTGCCATGCTGTATACTGCTTGTATCGTTTGTCAATGACTGCAGACAAACATCAGCGACATGTGTAACATAGCAGGAGACAGAACGGACGTCGTGCAGCTTTTGCCACTTCATCAAGCGGTATCTGTACCTCTCCGCAGTGAAAGACGTACTGACGGCAGAGATCCATGAGCTCGTCTGTGACAAATTCGGGCAGATCGGGTGCCCAAATCTCTTCGCCGCTGAGGCCAAAGAGACGCTTGTCGACCATCCAGAGACTGATCTGCCTTTGCCAGGCGTCTTGCATGATTTCCACGGGATCATAGTTCTCAGGCGGATGTCTCTGCGCCGCTGCATAGGACCAGTAGGCGACAGAATGGTCTCTGAGTGTTCTCTCCCACCTGTGCATATCGATGCCGCGTAGGTAGCATTTGCGACAGAAGCTGTAGTACCGTCCATTGTTGACGATGGCTCGATGTGGGTAACGCTCGTAATGGTTACACGCAACACAGATAAAGTTGTACTGCCTTGCAGCAGCCTCTCTCGCACGCTTGCCGGCTTGGCCAACGTCGTTACCCATCGGGATGTCCATTACTTGACACCAGATGACATCTTGCCTCATAACGTAGCGAAGTGTGCGACATACTTGCTGGAGCACGAAGAGATCGCCCGTGTTATCGTGACCGGTTTCGGTCACTATACTAGTGAGCACTTCGACGGGCAATCCGAGCAAGCCCGATGGTCGATCCGAGGCGTGCGAACTCGGATAGTCCTCAGAAGGGACTGCATGGTGGCTGTACGTGATAGATTGGCGCTTTTGTCCTTGCAAATGTCGACGCGCAAGCTGGTAAGGGTTGTAAGGGTCTGCATGCCGGCTTTGCTCCGTATACTCAGTCACCAGATTGTCGTCCTCATCTGACAGGGCTTCTGCTGAGCCTGTATCTGTGCGAGCCGATGAGCGGTAGGGTCGGAATTGCAGGTCATCCCACCTGAGAGCTGCTCTTCGTCGTCCATTCTGACAGTGTCCGCGGTCAACCGTGCTGAGCTGAGAAGTGGTCGGAGAATCTCAAGCCATGTGCCGATCTCGCAAAGTGTGTGAAGAGATGTGCGCTCACAATCAAAGCTGATCAAACCAAGATAAGCCGAGATATGGCGTACGCTGACGCTCGCTGCGCTCAGATGGGAAATGGATGCAGCCAGCAAACGCAGCTTTCACCTAGCGCGCGACAACAGCGACGTCGACGCGTCACGCGGCACCGGTTGCACCGGACCGGAGGTGGAGAAATTAACGAGGTCGCGTCGCAGCAATCTGGCAATCAATCTGCAGCAATGACGACAAAGCAGGCACCGCCGATAGACATCTGTGCGAAGACTGCATGTCAGAATGTGCATAGACTGATCAGAGTGACACAGCGAAATCTCGATATGATCAGTCCAAGTTCAGCGGGCGTTTGCGACATTTCATAGAGATCACTTCGCCCCTTACGCTCTTTTACTCCTCTCAAGATCTCATAAACGCTCAGAAGCTCGTACAAGACTACAAAGATGGCAAGCGATCAGATCTGTACAATCAGCAGGGCGAGCAGAGGATTTGGAAAGCAAAGCAGCGTGAGCTTGTCCCGCATTTCCTGTGCCCCCGACTCTGACGTCAAAGCCAGTCGTCGACAGCTCGATACATCCAGGTGATCCTGATAGCTCTCGATGCTCCAGTAGAGCCTAAGCTCCTCGGCAGATACCGGGTTGCCAGTGCCTCTACCATTTCGGCTAAGCGCGTTCGTGCCGACCAACCTTTTCGTCGTCGGCGGCATGCTCATGCCCAATCCATCTGTGAGTAGGCCTCTAACACTCACGCGTACATAGTGCTCATCATTCTGCAGATGCGCGCAATCATGTCAGTCTGCGTCGAATCTGCTCGCTGAGCAATTCCCTCAAGCCTGAACTCGCAGCTTTTGGCAATGGGCAAATCAGACCCTGAACGTCTGTGTGAACTATGCCAATGCGAACAAGAGTATCGAAATGTCGACTGCCGAGATCGGTACAGCATATGCGACCGCCACGAGCGTGTCCGTCGCCATTGCGGTCGGCCTGAACCAGCTTGTACCACGATTAAAAGTCGCTGCTTCGACGAAGGCGTTACTCGGCAGGCTCGTTCCTTTTGTTGCAGTAGCAACTGCAGGCTGTGCCAACATCGGTCTCATGCGATGGAAAGAGATAAGAGACGGCATCGATGTCTTTGCACCTGGATCGGAAGACGAAGAAGAGAAACCGAAAAGTCTGGGCAAGAGTAGCGTTGCAGGCTCACTCGCCATATCGCAGACTGCTGCCAGTCGTGTGTTGACGAATATGTGCGTCTCTCTTTACTCCCCGGAACAGACGCTCACGGTGAACTGGCAGACCCACATTGATCATACCCCCGGTCACTATGACTTTCCTGCTCAGCAAGGGCTTCTTCCAAGGTCCTCGAGGAAAACGAGTCGAATCAGTAGTGCATCTGGGCAAGCCACACTTTCTGCCAATCAGAGTACCTGTAGCTCATACGTGTCCACAGGCTTGATCGGTACAAGCTTACTGCTCTTCTTGCCTCCTGCGATCGCAGTCTTTCCCCAACGAGCAACAGTCTCAACGTCAACGCTAGAAGAAAAGTATAGAGATCTCAAGGATCCGAAAACTGGCAAACCACTGAGCACGGTCGAATTCAACAAAGGCCTTTGATCGGCTGCCGGGAAACCAAAGCATGGACTGAGGATGCATGTGCAGGAAATGGATACATTGTTATACTAGCGGCATGCAGTACAAGCGCAGGAGTGGCAACGACAGTAGAAGGCGGTTGAAGTCAGATGACAAGACGATTGAGCACCGACAGTTTAGCGTGCGAGTGTACGAATGAGCTGTGCGGCCACATGAGCGGGTCACCCCATACTCGTAAACGCTCATACCGAGACAGACTGAAGCCAACGATGGAGCCGGTGACAAAGACGAGGCTGATAACGCCAATGGCTTGCCAGGAGATGCAAGAGACTGCCTCGATCCAGATAGACGGCTTGAGCCAATCTGACCACTTTGCTGCAGGCTCATGAGGCGGATGACTTGGCTGTTGCTTGCCCGTGCGACTGGCTCGTTGGCGTGGTCGAGCTTGACGCGTGCGAGAAGGATTGCGACGGCGTTCCTGGCCCGAGTCTGAAGACGAGGGCGATGTCGTATCATCGACAAGAGGTAAGGCTTGTGAGCCCGTGTGTGGCGTTGCGACATCCCCGTTCGTTCCTGTCGATGGCCGAGGCGTGATGGCTGAGCTACGCAAGGATTGACTAGGAACGATGGCGCTAGAACGTAGCGTGTCGTTGCGGATCAGCCACGGCCGCATGGGCAAGTCATCATGAGCAAAGAGCGTCGAGCGTTCTGCATTGTCATCGGAGGGCTGCTCGTGAAGTGGAGATGAGACAGTAGTAGATTTCGACATCGTGAGCAAGGTCGAAAGAGATGCCTTGATGACTTCTTCGAGCCTGCCCTGCTCTGCCTGTGCTTCGCCTCTGAAGGCAGGTTCGGCCCGATCGACAGAGGTACGCTCAGCCAAAGAGCTTGCAAACCGATCGGCCCTTGCCCAGCCAGATGCTCCGAGCAGTGTCGAATTGGTATCGCTGTCGAACGCACTCGAGTCGTCATCGGCCGCTCTAGACGACGAAGAAGATCGTGCAGATGCGTGGCTCGAGCTACGAGCTTGCGTCTGACTTGTAGGTGACAGAGCAGGGTAGGCCGACAGCATGAGTGATTGCACGTTGCCATGTTCTGCTTCTGACCGACTGGGGATTCGCTGGCTGATAACGCGACCTCTGTAGCCAATACGTGTGCCGAGCTCGGTCTCGCTGGAAGAGTCGACGAGATCGACCGCTTCGAAATCAGAAGAAGCGGCAGAGGATGACTCTGAAGGTGTGTCTGCGCCAGCTTGAGTCCAGGGGGATGTCAACTCTGCGAGCGCTTGTGAGCACGGATCGCTGCGGCACAGTGCATCATACTGACCGTCTTCCTCCTCGCTGGGCAGGGCTTGACGCGCAGCCCTCCTCGCAGCGATGCTCGCCATTCGACTGGGACCACCTGACCTTTGGGTGTACTCATTGGACGACTGCGGGTCTGACTTTTGGTTTCGTGCAGGCACATAGTCGGGGCTCGCTGGTCGTCTGGACGTGACTCGTCGTTGGCGATCTGGTAAGAAGTTCATCTCGATAGCTTATCGCGAGCTACCTCAACGAAAGCCTGAGCTGAGGGCGATCAGAGGGTGCGTTGTCAGCTGACTCGCATGCAGCGACGGCCAGGCGATGTCGGGGCTGCTCAAGTCGGTGATAAGCTGTTGACCTTACCTCTGATCGACGAGGATGACGATCTTCGGCTTGGACTGCCTGATATTGACCAGGCGGTCAGATTGCGACTACTTTAGCCGGCCGGCAAAGCGATGGCGACGCCTTGCCACTTTCGCGACGCGTTGGCTTGTCCATGCCGAGCTTGTAACCTCTTCAGCATCATCATGTTACGGAGCAGTCTGGGATGGAGGTCACGCTCATCGACGTCAGCATGGCACAGCAGAGATTGCATTCCGGCGCCCAAGCAAGAGTTTCGCAAAGTAGCTCTCTGAGGACTCGATACACGTAGGGCATGGCAGGAAGGAGCATGATCAGCATGATCTCGGCATGCACAGACCGCGCAGCCCGTTGCAGGACTTGTCTGATGCTCTAACCCTGTGAAAGCTCCTCTGTCAGCCTCGCGCCGGTGTGAGGGATCAGGGGCGCGCACGTAGACCAGCCTAAACACATCATTGTAGCTATATACCGCGCTCAGGATCAGAAGAGCACCGTCTACGACGACTGGCGGGTACTGACACGTAGTAAGAGCTGCCCTCTGGGTTGAGGACAAAGGCCTGGCTGAATTGCAACGGATTCGCGCCATCATCAACCTGTTAGCCATTGCCATAGTCAGCCTTCGAGTCACAAGGCAGACAAGGACCTTGACTCACGACAAGCTGTCCGGTGACTTGGACAAGGATCGATCTATGGTCTGGCCCTGTCGGCTGGGCGTCGAGCGTAGAGACGTTGTGCTGGACCTTTTGGAACGGCAGACCCTTTAGCTTCTCCGTGATGGCCGTCGTGCCTTGCGTGGAGGCTGACTCGAACGTGAGCATGCTCTGATCGCGCTATGGATCAGATGAAGGCACAAGGAAGCAAGCGGCCAAAAAGAGGTCAGCCCGCCAGTCCAGCCCGTGACGAGCTGGAAGAGCATACGTAGAGAGCGCTGAGATTTGAGCGGTCTGCATCAAAGACTTGATAGTAGTACGTCACAAACTGCTGTGCTACCTCTGCGAACGACATCCCGACTGGCCGGCTAGCCTGGCAAGCGCACACCTCGACGGCAAGAGAGAGGGAACCAATTCCGCCGCGTCGTGTCACCGCCGTCACGAGCTGGCTGGCTGTTCGTCGTTCGCTGGCTTTGTAGGGCAGGAGCGCCAGATCGTCGAGGAGTGCTCCCCAAGGCTCGGCATGGATGGTGCCTCGAACCGTTTGCAGGCGGACAGAGACTATTCGTATCGAGATGATCATTCGTCGGCGCTCTCAGTGATTTCACAGGCACAGAGAAATGGCCACCAGGGCGATCAGGATGAGGAGGATGCACAGTCACAGCTAGACAGTCGGCTGGACGGCCTGTCCGTCTACGATGATACGCAGACCGAGTCGGGAGAACCGGCTGACTTGCTCGATGACGGAGCACATTCACACGCCAATGGAAAGCACAACGGCAGAGACGATGCTGATTTTGCAGACGGCATCCTCGACGATCTCTCGAGGGATCTGCCTCCTCATGCATGCTCGTACGTCCCGCCGTCACCCCGCTGTTGAGGCTGCCAGATAACGTCTGACGCGTGCATGACACAGCTACTGTGGCATCCATAATGCTGCTTGTGTGATCGAGTGCCTCACTTGCCACCGCTGGTTCTGCAACTCTCGCGGCTCCACCTCGGGCTCACACATTGTCAATCATCTCGTTCGTGCCAAGCACAAGGAAGTCAAACTCCACCAGGATGGTCCTCTTGGCGACACCGTGCCCGAATGTTACAACTGTGGCGCAAAGAACGTCTTCATTCTTGGCTTCATACCCGCCAAATCAGACACCGTCGTCGTGCTCCTGTGCAGGTGAGCATCGGCCTCTGTTGCACGCTCGAGCGCCTTTGTCTCATTGCAGGACAGACAACCTTGCGCGGCGGTACAGACGTCCAAGGACATCATCTGGGATACAGCTCAGTGGTCACCCCTCATCGAAGACCGCAGCTTCCTGTCCTGGCTCGTCAAGGTTCCAACAGAGCAAGAGCAGCTGCGTGCTCGCCAGATCACCTTTCAGCAGATCAACAAACTCGAGGAGCTCTGGAAAGACAATGCAGCTGCTACCGTCGAGGATCTCGAGAAGCCAGGCATTGACGACGAGCCTCAGCCCATCTTGCTCAAGTACGAAGATGCGTACCAGTATCAGAACATATTCGGTCCTCTCGTCAAGATCGAAGCAGACTACGACAAGAAGCTCAAGGAAGCTCAAACGCAGGACGATCTCATCGTCAGATGGGATATGGGTCTCAATCAGAAGCGCGTGGCCTGGTTCCGTTTGCCCAAGCTAGAATCGGGCGAGGTCAGACTCGCTGTCGGCGACGAGCTCAAGCTGCGATACGACGGCACACTCCACAAGCATTGGGATGGCCTTGGCCACGTCATCAAAGTACCCAACAGTCAGTTTGCTGTCCTTGCACAACGACTCAAGCTCACGAGTCCTGATCAGATATCTCGGACGAAGTTGCTCTGGAGCTCCGCAAGAACGATGGCGTACCTCACGATTGCACTCACAACTTCTCTGCCGATTTCATCTGGAAATCTACCAGCTTCGATCGCATGCAATTGGCCATGAAGACCTTTGCCGTCGACGAGCAGTCTGTCAGCGGCTACATCTACCACAAGCTCATGGGTCACGAGGCCGCTGTACCCACCGTCTTGCGCACGCCTATGCCCAAAAGAGTCTCTGCGCCCAATCTGCCAGATCTCAATCATTCCCAAGTCTATGCTGTCAAGAGCGTGCTCCAGAAGCCTCTCAGTCTCATCCAGGGACCGCCCGGAACGGGCAAGACGGTCACTTCAGCTTCGATCGTCTACCACCTGGCAACGATGAGCCAGGGCCAAGTGCTCGTCACTGCACCCTCGAACGTTGCAGTCGATCAGCTGACTGAGAAGATCCACACAACTGGTTTGAAGGTCGTCAGAATCACTGCCAAGTCTCGAGAAGCGCTCGAGTCGTCCATCAGTCATCTGACGCTTCACGAGCAAGTCGCCAACAACGATACGCATGTTGAGCTCCAGAAGCTCATCCAGCTCAAGACGGAGCAAGGCGAGTTGAGCAGCAGTGACGAACGCAAATTCAAGAGCCTCACCAGAGCATGCGAGCGAGAGATTCTTACCAATGCCGATGTCATCTGCTGCACCTGCGTTGGCTGTGGCGATCCTCGCTTGTCAAAGATCAAGTTCCGCACAGTGCTCATCGATGAAGCGACGCAAGCTGTATGTCTGACTATCTCGTGAACGACATGCGCTGAACTCGCATGCAGACCGAGCCAGAGTGCATGATTCCCCTGACCTTTGGCGTCAAGCAGCTCGTTATGGTCGGCGATCATTCCCAGCTCGGTCCGACGATCATGAGCAAGAAAGCTGCCCGCGCTGGCTTGACGCAATCGCTATTCGAGCGTCTCGTTCTGCTTGGTAATAGGCCCATCCGCTTACAGGTCCAGTATCGCATGCACCCGTGCTTATCGGAATTCCCTTCCAACATGTTCTACGAAGGATCACTACAGAATGGAGTCACTGCTCCCGAACGTATCAAGAAGAATGTCGACTTCCCATGGCCACAGCCTACAACGCCGATGTACTTCCATCAGAACCTCGGTCAGGAAGAGATCTCATCAAGCGGTACATCCTTCCTCAATCGTACAGAGGCAGCCAACGTCGAGAAAGTCGTCACACGACTGTTCAAATCGGGCGTCATGCCTCATCAAATTGGCATCGTCACGCCCTATGAGGGACAGCGAGCTTACATTGCCAATTACATGCTGTTCAACGGCTCGCTCAAGAAGGAGCTTTACAAGGACATTGAAGTTGCCAGTGTCGATGCGTTCCAAGGCCGAGAGAAGGACTACATCTTACTCAGCTGCGTCAGAAGCAATGAACACCAGGGCATCGGCTTCTTGAACGATCCTCGACGACTCAACGTCGCTCTGACCCGTGCAAAGTATGGTCTTGTCATCCTGGGCAATCCCAAAGTACTCAGCAAACATGCGCTCTGGCACTACTTGCTTACACACTACAAAGAAAAGGGTTGCCTCGTCGAAGGGCCGCTAAGCAACCTGCAGCCGAGTCTCATCCAGCTGTCGAAGCCGCGTCGCCCTTACAATCGCTCCGAGACGGCCAATCGGTTTGAGGCTACCATACAAGATGCAGCTCATGACAACCTCCCAGAAGGTACGTCTCTGTCCTTCTGTGTGGTTTCCCCGCTGACATTCAAGATAGCTGTGAGAGGCAATACGCCTGCTCGCTTCGAGCCGGGCTTCTTTGCCAATCACGACCGGGCCGGCTACATCCCATCTGACGTCCAATCTCTTCGAGTAAGCCTGACCAGCGAAGCAATCAGTGATCGTGCTGACGCTCATTTTCTCAGAGCCAAGCCACCTATTCCTCTGGCCTACCCTCATTCTCCTCGAGGCGCAGCTACGCTTCGTCGACAATCTCTCAAGACCTTGCAAGCCAAGACGCCAATAGCATCAAAGACGATGATGATGAGAGTGCAATCACCGACTTTTGATCGATTTGACTCGGCTTCGATCAGACGAAGGCGCTTTCGATGAGCGCAGATGTGCTCAATGCGCCCTAGCGGCGCCAGGCAGAGCACGATGGAGCGAAGCGTTCTACGCTCGCTCGGTGCTGGTCAGGCAGCCTGATGTCTGTCAACGCTACTAGAGCGCCTTATTGCAGACAAGCATCTGCGCCATAAGAGACATCTTGGTATGTCTGCGCCGAATGTGCAGAACAACATGCTGCAGGGTGGTATCATGCAATGCTAACGAGACAATTTACAGATGACTTTGCAGTTTTGGCTCCTCTACAGGTGTCGCGAGCGGACCTCTCTCTATCTTTGCGCGGAAAGCCTCCTCGTCTTCGATCAGTATGATACCCTCTCGTACAGGCTCCTGCTTGAGCTCGTTGAGTGCTGCGTCCAACTTGCTGCGGACGTCTCCCGGAAGCTTAGTGTCCCCGATCAACGCTGCGACCTTGCTTTCCAATTCTGCAAGAGTCGGTCGGCTTTGAGCGAATTCGCTGCTGACTTCGGCGTCCGAAAGCAGAGTGAGAATAGGTTCTACGGAATCCGCTTGTAGTCTTTGCGAGTTGATATGAATGGACAGCTGTGCTCGTGTCGACGATGAAGGATGCACATGAGTCATGAAGAACTCGAGCGCTTCCCGCTTCGTCAGGGTCGCCAGTAGCTCTGCATCTCGTGCCTTGCGGCTGAAGTCGTAGTAACCAGAGTGTATGTGTGCCCAGTATTCGCTGGTCTCAGAGTTGAGGTTCTTGTGATCCTCCAGGTACTTGTTTTGTAGACTTGTTCGCTGTTTCTCGAAGTCGCCCTCCGACATGCTCTCCAGGTGCTGCTTGAAGGTGTCCAGGAAGTGTTCGATCCTGCCTTCAACGTACGGCGCGGAGCGCTCGCTCTGAACTAAGAAGCTGAGGCCGCACATGCCGATCGAAGCGCGTGGCATCGAAAAGACTATATAGCCCAGCTGCTCCTGTGTTCGCAGCTGATTGAAGCATGGCTCGCTGACGAGCTGACCCAGCAACCGTAGATTGACCCTCAAGCGTTGATCGGCATCGTCGCCGAAGTAACAGTGGTATTCAATCGCAGAATTGAGCTGCGCAGGATCGGGTGCTTGGAGTCTCAACAGATGCTGTGTTGCTACAGTGACAATCCAGAGATCAGTTCAGCCAGCTCGGAGAGCACAAGGAATCACCTTTAGGCAAGAGCAGGCAGCGCATCTTGGGTATATCGGCGGGCGCAAGCGCTTTTGGCGCGAGCATGTTTTCGACCATGCGCGTCATATCCAAGGCAGTAGATTTGAGAACATTGCCATGGACAAGGCCCTCGAGAGCAAAAGACTCGTATAAGACCGGAATGAATGATTGCACGTCGTCACGTGTGATGTTCGGCAGAACGCGCAGTAGATCTTCTGCCAGATGGTTCGTTTCGGTCGTGACGTGACGCATGTGCACTTGCGCATGCTCCCATGGCTGCCTCAATCGGGCGTTGACGTAATTGCGTCTGAGCTGATCTTTGATCAAATCAAAGCGCTGCTGGTCAATTTCAAGGGTCTTCATACGTTCGAGGAGAACTTTGAGAAGCACCGGCAATTTGTCATTGTAGCCGCCGATAGTGATCATCAAGCCGTTGTCGGCCCTGCTGAGGTCGTACGATAGACCAGCGAGATCAGCATCGTAAGAATACTCCGTCAGACTATCGGTGATCAGGCGAACATAGAGGTTGGTCTTCAGCACAGCTTCGTTCCCAGTCAGCATTGCCGGCGTCTTGAGGACGAAGAGGACTGTCGCACGCGGTACCCACCATCTGTCGTCCTTTTTGTGCCAGACCTGCGAGATTGGTGATTGATGAATAAGGGTTGGCCGTCTCACGATCGCCTTGCCTTTCTGTTGCTCGAAGATGTCTAGATTTGCCGGTATGAAAGAGTTGGGCTCTGGTAGAGCAAGGTCATCGCCTGGTTCTTCATTCACAGATCGTTGCGATTGTGAAATAAGAGATTGCGAAAGCGGTGTGATCTTATATTCTGTGCCGTACCACTGCTCCTTGCTGTCCCAATCGAGACCGGGCAATGGATCATGACAGGCAATCGAGACACGACAATTTTCGACTGCCAGCGAAGCCATAGACTCGGCGATAAGTTTCGGGTCAAACACCTTTGGCAGCCAAGGCGAGGATAGCACCCATTCGCGAGGAACCGGTTGCTGCATCTGTCCGCAGATTGTCGTGACTTCTCGCTGCGGAGGCGGCTTCTCCATGAATCTGAACGCGATCTCCGAAAGCTGCTGTACTTCCTTCCATGCCCATTCTTGCGGTGGAGTTGCCTTGAGCAGATTGAGATACTTGAAGATAGCCAAGGCGACTTCTTGGTGATGGGCAAGGCCCTGCTCAGTGAGTGCAAGAGAGACCTTGAAAAGCTCGAAGCCAGTTGCGCCTTGGCCTTGACCAGCAGAGAGTGAGTCAGCCCAGCCTTTCGCTTTGAGGTGCGACAAGATCGAGCCCTTGCCCTCATGTCCCACGTAATGACCCAAGAGCTGGGCTGGCTTGGTCGCGTAAAGCGTCGTCTGATCGGGAAACGGGAAAGTCAAATCGAGAGAGCGAGTATCTTTGACTGTTTTTGCGGCCACAAGCGTCTGGAGCTCCTTGCTGGTCAAAGGCGAGCCGAAGAAGGTGGGTGGCGCAAGGCTTGTGTTCTTTGCTTGGGAGAAGCATTCGTGCGTCATCTCAGATAATTCGTCCAAGGAGCCTACGATGCACATTAGCTCCTGACGACAAGATGTGTGCAAGATCTTACCCCTGCCAATAATGCAGAGCTTCATTAGGTTCGCAGAGTAATGTCTCTTGTGGAACTTGAGCAGCTCGTCCCTGATGTCTATTCCCCGCTTCCTTGGCTGTGTCCACAGCGTGTCTAGATTGCCCGTACCGAAACGCCAATACCAATGCTCTCGAGAGCTGAGCGATTTCTCCAGCTGGAACAGTCGCCACATGTCAGATTGCAAGTTCTTCTTGTTCTCCGAGTCGACGGCTTGAATCTCCCTCTCGGTACAGGAAGCATCGAATAGAGGCGCAATGAAGAATTGAGCAAATCTATCTAGCGCTCCAGTCAACGCTTCAGGGTGCACATCGAAATGGTAGACTGTCTCTTCTAGACCAGTGGACGCATTCGATCGTCCAGCATTGGCAGCCAGATAGGCGGCGTACTCGTTCTCTTTGGGATACTTCTCGGTGCCCATGAAGAGCAAGTGTTCGCAGAAGTGAGCCAAGCCAGGGAGATCGGCAGGATCAGAGAGATGTCCAACGCGGACAGATATGGATGCAGCTGCTTTGTCCGTCTGAGGATCTGAGATGAGCATGACTTCGAGGCCATTGGCTAGCCTGATCAAGCGATAATCTCTATCGTCATTGGGCGATTTCTCGATCTCGCCCCCAAAGACGGCCCACTTGTTTCGCTGTACGTAACCCGGCGGCAGCGTATCCGGATTCAGATGACTGTAAGATGGTCGAAGATGAGCAGGCAAGTCGACAGAAGGTGTCAGAGCAGGCGTAGCTGCTTGCTCGAGTACGCTGACGAGATCGGTCATCTTGCTAGAACTGGCTTGTGTTGCGAAAGAGGCAAGGGGTATCCTACTCCGCAAGGCAGCTCTGTTGATAGTGCAGCTTGCCAGTGGCCTCCGGAGCTGTCTCGAATGCGAAGCAAGCCTCCTTGTGAGCATCTATTGTGCGAAACCGTTGCCCTGGCGCTTTCGATCGTACGAATTAGATGAACGCGCGGCAAGGTGACCCAAAACAAGATAACGTGTCAATACTAATCGAGTAGTGCAGCGACGGCTTCAATGCAGGCTTGATCGCTCAAATGACTTCCGGAGCAGCTATGCAGTATACACGAGAGCCAATATCGTCTCTATGCGTACGGCACATGCTAGTCTACATGCGCCCTTCTATCATGCTGCGTCGTCATAGGTAGCCCGCGTTCAGAGCATAGTGCCGAGCCTGTAGACGAAAGGGCGCCAACCGATTCAGCATCCGGTTCGACGAGCGCAACGGGAAAGGGCGAAAGAGGGGAGTAGAGCGCCTCACCGACGAGGCGCTCGTTGCAAAGGGGACTACGACTGGAACGTCGGGCCGCGATAGATGGCGTAGAGCGCCACGAGGATGAGGCTGATACTGATCAGCGAAGGCCCAAACGCCGCCAGTCGTAGTCCCCAGATAGACGTGTAGAGTGGAATGAAATCGAAATCTTCTAACCCTATAGCTTTGAGCGAGCGCATGTAGAAGCCTTCTAGATTGTGCTTCGTCTCGTCCTCTTTGCCCACTGGACAGCCTGTCAAGCGCAAGGAGAGGTTTGTCGTATCTGAGCCTTGCTGGAGCTTGATCTCCAATTCGCCATAGTGATCTGCCAGGGGGACAGATTAGCTACACGGACAAAGGAGACGGATTCAGCGGACCATCTGGCCAAGTGGGCGCTCGCCAAGTCTGCACGAAACGCTCTGGCTTGTCTACTGCTAGGACTTTGCCGACGATATTGCCACCAAAGAGCGAGACCGGTGCACCGACGACGGGCTCGATCTGAGCTACATTTCTTGTCCATTGTGGCACTTTCGTCGGGTCGGTGAGGAGCTCAAAGAGTTCGACCGCCTGTATTCGCAGATCTTCTTGGAGAGTCACGACGGCAGTGTTGATGGATTTGCTAGAGGTAGCGGGTTTGGCAGCGGCAGCAGCGGTAGTAAGCTTGGGCGCAGGCGCGGCGGGCTGACCCTTGCTCTTTGCGTCTTCATCCTCTGCAGCCTGCAGCAGATCCTTGCCGTGTACGTCTATCATGCTCTGGTTGAACATGCAATGAGCGTCGGAAGCAACTCGGTCGTGATACTGCTGACCTTGGGAAATTGCTGGAATTGGGGACGACAGAGATCTGCGAGTTTGGTCTTTGCGATAGTGTGCAGCTTGTCTGCACGCTTGCTGTCCTCTTCCGATTGATCGAGGGTCGACTCAAAGGTGTACTCCTCTTCTGACATGTCGTGGCATACTTCGAGCGCCGTCAAAGTGCCGCTCACTTCGTCCTCATCTGGGCCTCCTGGCACCGAGATCCAGCGGCAGACGATGTTGAGGTCGTAGATAGTGACCAGTTTGCTCTTTCTGTCCATGCCACTGCCATTTGAGCTTCGTTCGACGTTCAGAAAGCGTCACGGACCTCATGCCAATGTCAGAATCGCCAGTGATCTCCCTGATCGATTCAATCTTGACTCCCTCGCTCTCGAGCCCGACGAGATGTTGTTCGAACCATGTCTGCGCCCAGCTCTTGGTGTTCTTTGACCGCCAGTGCCAGTTCTTGAGGCCTGCAGACAGCGTCATTGGGTCGGTGAAGTGTGGCTCGCTCGAAAGTTCCACGTGTCAACGTCGATAGCGCGTTCCGGCGAAAGCCGTTTCGAGCAAGTCGCTCGTCTCGCCTCTTGCACTGTCATGGCGGGAATAGCAAAGGAGATCGTCACGCTAACGACGTGAGGACCTACATGCGAGGTGCTGTAGCAGTGGCTGACGGACTGGCTGCATAGACATACACTCAATGATCAAGCGGCGCTCGGGGCACAGGCAAGAGGTGACCTGACCATCTTGCTCATGGCCATCCAGACGACATGCAAGTACCTCAGCACCAACGTCCGACGTGCCCGACTGCTCAATCTGTTCGTGCATCCTCTCGTGCTTGGGTTGAGCGCTGACGCCTCGGACGGATGAACAGCGTCGGCGTAGCCGGAACGGCGAATGTGCAAGGCGAGGATCAGAAGAAGCTAGACATTATCTCCAACGACATCATGTGCAGCTCATTGAAAGCGAGTGGCAAATGTGCAGTGCTCGTCTCAGAGGTGCGCCAATACACTCGTACAGACTGAGTTGCGCTCACGCGAGTGTGGACATGTAGGAGATTGACGAGGCCATTATGATCGACGACGAGCGACTCAAGGGAAAGTACTGCGTCGTCTTTGATCCGCTCGACGGTTCGTCTAATATTGATGCTGGCGTCAACATGTCCGTTTCTCATCTGCCATGCTCTTGGCATGTGCTGACACTCGCGAACAAGTGGAACGATCTTTGGCATCTATCGCGTCGCAGAAGGTTCGAAAGGTGCAGTATCGGATGTGCTACGTCCAGGAAGAGAGATGGTCGCGGCGGGCTACTGCATGTACGGCTCCTCCGCCAATTTGGTCATCTCGACGGGCAATGGCGTCAATGGCTACACGCTCGATCAAGGCATTGGCGAGTTCATCCTCACCCACCCTGACATCAAGATTCCAGAACGCGGCAAGATCTACTCATTCAACGAGGGCAATACGCTCTACTTCCATGAACCCGTCACAAAGTATCTCGAATCTATCAAATGTACGTCCGCCTCTGCGCTCTGGTGAACATGCTTGACGTGGCAGAGCAGTTCCATCGAATGGCAAGCCATACAGTGCGCGATATATCGGCTCGATGGTCGCAGATGTACACCGTACGCTGCTCTATGGCGGCATCTTTGGCTATCCAGATGACAAAAAGTCGAAATCGGGCAAACTGCGTCTCCTCTACGAAGGTTTCCCCATGGCCTTTCTCGTCGAGCAAGCAGGCGGTCTGGCCACAACAGGCACTACTCGTATTCTCGATATCGAACCCACTAGCATCCATCAGAGAGTGCCCGTCTTCCTCGGCTCGAGGGACGATGTAAACGATCTCATGTCGTTCTACAAGTCTGAATAGGCGAAAGTATACACCAATGCATAGCATCTCACTAGATATCTATTGACCATTGCCTAGCCGAGATGCGCATCTCAGAGCTGCAGGAGAGACATGAGCTGCTGACGATAGGCATAATCGTTCTTGGATGGCTTCGCTTCCTGCGTGAGACGCTTCTCGATCGATTGAGCATCTTTGACATGTCTCTGAGCTAGCTCCTCGATCTCAGTGCTGAATCGAATCGCTAGAGGCAGAGGTCGATCAGCTTCTCGGTATACGAGAAGATCGTGTGCTCACTTTCGACGTCCAGCTTCTGGCTGAAGTCTGCGCGAAGAGCTCTTTTACGCTCCATGAGATCGTCGTACTGTTTGAGAAGTTTCGTACGTCTGTCCTATTGACGTACACTTGATGTGTGAGCTAGCCGACACATAGAGCAGCCCGCCCCACCTTCTCAAGGCTCAAATTATGTTTGATCTTCTCGAGTGCTTCACGCGTCTTCTTAACTACATCAGTATGCTCTTCGAGCATGTGCTCAATGATCTCGCTGTACTCTCGATGAGTCCCCTAGCCTTCGCAAGGAACAAGTCTCGATTGACCGAAGATTGCGCGATATCGTACTCAGAGAGCCTTTGTCGCTGAGCTCGTCGATATCCTTGCGCGTGGCACAAATTGTAGTCTCGTCGGCTTCGAACGCTGGCTTGTACAGCTCGAGAAGCAGCGCTGCGGAGACATCAGACGATGGTCGGCTTGCATGCAAAGACGAGAATACCGGGAACTGAGGAGAGGATTCGCTTGCGAAGGTGCGAAGTGCCCGATGACAAGTTGGGCTCATTGGTCCGATGAGGTGCGCGTGAGGCGGCGTCTGAGCTCTGCGATGAATCGAGTGAAGAGGTGCTGCACGAGCTGGATGCGGACATGTCGATGTGAGGAGCAAGGAGAGGGCTTGCAGCCCCGCGCGACAATGATAAAGGGGAAGAACAGGAGTGACGAAGCAGACTGATAGACCCAGGCAGATCCTTCGGAGAGCTCTTCGCCCGCAAGGCCGCAAGTCGCGTGTTTATGTCATCGACGGTTTCGCTCGTCCTTGGCAAAATAAAGGCGTGACCGAGGCGACGACAGAGTACATAGTACCGACATCACCGACTGCGTGGGGAGGTGGGGTGTTACCATGTCGACGGGGGAGATGCTCGAGAGCTACTATGCCCCCTCGAGCTCAAATTTTCAGCCGCCGCCACGACAGTCCTCAACCACCTCTCTGCCCCAAGGCGCTCGACCAGCAGCATCAACGAGCACACCTCCTGTGACTCCACCTACGATCAGTGTATCACACAGCGGCATGGGAACGCGTCGTTTCTCGAATGAGACGAGTACATCTGGCTCGACGGCAGTCCATGGCACGCCGGCAAAAGCGCAATACGCCTATCAACCGCAGCCCAACTTTGCCTCCTTCTATACACCGGATGCGGAACAGCGAGGCAGATCTCGAGAGAGAAAGAACGAGGATTCCATTCTGATGGAACAGCTCAGTCCGCCTAGCTCCTCAGGCGCACACGCCCACTTCGGCTCACAACTGGGATACATCAAAGATCACGAGAGCGAGAAGCAGCCATCTCGTGCGGAGTCTCGTGCTTCCTACAGACAGAATGCAGAGAGCAAGGCGTATGGATACAGAACCCCTCCGCCCCTGTCGAGAGCCAATACCAATGTCGATCCCGCTATGCCTGGCGGTGCAGCTCTCTACAGCACCCTCGCCAATGGATCGACGAATCAGCTCGAGTTCGCAGAGGGTGACTTTGGCAGCTCGCCACGCTCAAGACAATGCTTCCAATTCCTATCTAGGCACATCATCGTGCGATGGACAATCTTCATTCTGCCCGTGCTCTGCCTGCTCTGGATACCGGGCATCATTGGCTTGACCGCCGCGAAAGATGCAACAGTCTGGGGCGTACCGCTCGTCTGGTGGTCATCCTGGCTCTCCATCGTCTGGGTCGGTTGGTGGGGCGGAGTCGCCTTTGCGACTCTGTTGCCCGTCGTGCTGCGAATGACAATCGCCGTCGTCGCGCCGGAGACGCGAATGTATATCGACTACCTCTGCGCTCTACCGCGATCGATAGCTATCTTTGTCTGGGCGCTGCTCAACTGGATCCTCTTCCAGGTCTTCGTCACGAGCCATCAGTCTCATTCGGCGACGCACATCCTCCATCAATTTACCCAAGCTCTGTCTGGCATCTTCATTGCTTCCATCTTGCTGTTGATCGAGAAGATCATCGTGCAAGCTATCGCACACGCTTTCCACAAGAAGAGCTACGAAGACAGACTGTCGTCTCAAAAGTTTCAGATCGCGGCTCTCACCGTACTCTACGTCAATTCGCACGACATTGGCCGTACGTCTCTACTGCTCTGCTTTGCCCCAACAGCTGATGGAGTATCGACAGGCTCTGATACGCTCGATGGAGCGTTTGCGAAAACACAGAAGGACTCTGCTCGCCGTGTGCTCAAGCGAGCTGCTCAACATGTCAAAGCGATAGCTCAGACAAGCGCGACTGTACTAGGTACAGTGGCTTCCGAAGTTGCCGGCGAACGTGTCTTGCAGCCCAATTCACCGCTATCGAGGGTCACGTCTGCCCTTGCCTCGCGCAATAAGACCCGTCAGCTCGCCAGACGTATCTACTTCTCCTTCGTCCCATCAAAGCGCCACGCACTCTTCCAGTCCGATATCGAACGGTACTTCAGCTCGCCCGAAGACGCCGCAAACGCTTTCTATACGTTCGACAGAGATGGAAATGGCGACGTCTCGCTTGAAGAGCTCGAGATGGCATGCCTCGAGCTGCACAGAGAACGTCTCTCGCTCGCGTCGAGTATGCGCGATCTCGACAGCGCAGTCGCTCGAGTGGATTCAATCCTCATGACGCTGTGGTACATTGTCTCAATCCTCATCATTGTCGGCTTGCTCGATGTGTCATTCAATACGATGATTGCCTCCGCCGGTACACTCATCCTCGGTCTTTCCTGGCTCATCGGAACGACGGCTCAAGAGATCCTGGCTAGCATTATCTTCTTGCTCATCAAGCATCCCTATGATGTCGGGTTAGTCACCTTTCGTTTGCAGATGCTCAATGCTGACGTACGAGGCGATCGGCAGGGATGTTGTTCGAATTGGAGACGACAAACTGGTGGTGAAGGAGATGCACCTGCTCAGCACGATCTTCAAGAAGCTCGATGGTACGATCTCTCAGATGCCTCACACCCTCCTCAATACCAAAGCCGTTGAGAACATCCGTCGGTCTGGTCCGATATCGGAAACGTTCACGTTCGATGTCGATGTAGGCACATCCTTTGAATCGATCGAGGCTTTGACAGAGAAGATGTCGAATTGGGTCGAAAGCGAGAGGAGAGATTATCTGCCGGGCATCAATGTCCAGATCAAGGATTTCGATGCTCAGACGAAGCTCACGCTCGCTGCCGATATCAAGTATAGATCGAACTGGCAGAATGGCGCTCTACACGCGCAGAGACGCAACAAGTGGATTTGCGCTCTCAAGATATCACTGAACGAACTCAGAATCTTTGGGCCTGCCGGTGATCCAGATGCGGCTGCGGATCCGACGCTCATCAAGCTTCTTTCCAACGAACCCAGTCCGACTTATGACAGCGGCTCTGTCTCTTCGTCTGGAAAAGAAAAGGCGCCTATGTCACCTCTTGGCCAGACGCGCTCAAATGAGAGCAACGCAAGCAAGGCGACTCTGGGCGACATCCGCACGCTCAACTTCAATCAGCGCGACGTCGCCGCTCGTGATCCACTGAGCGACATCTTTGACGGCGCAGACGGCCGTGCGCCGCTCGAATCGGATACCGAAGCTCGAGGTCTTTCGCCTAGAGGCACCCAGCATCCCGGTCTTACCGCTCGCGATTTTGCTGTGCAGCAAAGCAAGAGCGTTTAGAAAGTACCGAGAATGAACCATTGACCGCTCAACACGCATTTTCGCAGATCATACAGCTGCTGGTCAGCTCACGTTGTACTACTACTCTCATTAGACCGCAATTGCACGCACGCTCCTCTGAAATTCAAACGCGCTTCGTTTTGCCGCGCGACTTGGAACGCACCGGCCAGCAGAAGCGTCGAGATGGCCGTACAGGAACCGACCAGACTGCAGAGCTAGTGCGTACGAAGTGGCTGACCGGCTCCAGCTGATTGCGCATCTCATCGCTCGCAGTGTTGGCTTCGATACGATCACACGCCAGATTGAGCAAAAGCTACTCAAGCGAGGTTTCCAGGTGAGCGACCCCTCGGCCGGCTTGCTGACAGTGCTAACGGCAGCCCTCGTCACAGTTCAATGTAAGTAGCGTGCATGAAATGTGCTATCCTGCCAGCGACTGATGTGGCTCGTGCAACGACGGCAGGTCATACTCGTCGGCCAAACAGGCTTAGGCAAGTCAACGCTGCTCAACACGCTCTTTGCAAGCCAGTCAGTCTCGTCTTGCTGCATTTCATGTGCAGCGCTCAATCAATGCGCAGTCTGCTCGACTCGAAAGCTCGACTCGAGGTGGACGAGCCTATCCGTCAGACGACAGAGATCCAATCTGTCTCGCACAGCGAGTTGTGGGACGTGATCAGCTCTGCGGGCGCTGATCACTGGCTTGCTGTCCAGTCGTTCAAGAAAACAATGTCACATTAAGACTGAACATTGTCGACACGCCCGGTTTCGGCGACCTTGTCAACAATGAAGGCTGGTCAGTCGAGGGCTGGTTAGCTACCCACGCGATTCTGTGCCTAACGTCAGCTTCTTGAACAGCTGGGACAGCATCATCAAGTACATCAAGGATCAGCACTCGTCCTACCTCCGCAAAGAGCTCACGGCCATGCGCGACCGCCATATCCAGGACACGCGAATCCATGCCTGTCTCTACTTCATCGCGCCCACCGGTCACGCTCTCAAACCGATTGATACGATCGTCATGAAGCGATTGAGCGAGATTGTCAATGTCATTCCGGTCATTGCCAAGTCGGACTCGCTTACGCTCGAAGAACGCGAAGTGTTCAAGCAACGCATCAGAGCCGAGCTGGCTCATCACAAGATCAGACTGTATCCTTTTGACTCTGAAGATCTTGACGAGTCAGAAGTCCAGCTGAATGAATACATCAGGGTGAGCCCACTTCACCTTGTCCTGCGGCACTCATCGCTCACCCCGACTGTCAGAACATGGCGCCCTTTGCCGTCGTCGGCTCAGAGCGCAGTGTGATCATCAACGGCAAGACTGTTCGAGGTCGCAAGAACAGATGGGGCATCGTCAACGTCGAAGACGAAGCGCATTGCGAATTCAATTATCTGCGCAACTTTCTTACGAGGTCAGGCCAGTCGGATCCGAGCTTTTCAGTCTCTGATGCCTTTGTCACTGGACAGGACGCATCTACAGGATCTCATCGAGACAACAGCACAGATCCATTACGAGGCATTCAGGAGCAAACAGCTTCTCGCGCTCAAGGAGTCGAGCGCGAACAAGCAACAAGCTCAGAACGCATAGACGGGAAAGTGTGCACTCCCTTTCATGATGATGTTCGTGTCATGCATCTGTATGTAGACTTGCAACCCACGTGGATAGCGGCGTCCGCGCAATTCGCCACGACTGTCTTTGGCCGCGTCGCGTAAGGCTGACATCTCGCCAAGGCCTGAGGACGGATGGTCAGCTCGGTCGAGCAGGCCACATGTCCTCGGATTGCCATCTTTGCTACAGAGAGCGTCCACCAGATCTGTCAGCGCAATGGCCTGCCTAACCTGTCCACACTACTCAGACCTTGGGAGCATAGCGTCGAAAGAGGCACGAGCTCCATCAGGTCATCAGCTGCTCAATGCTGATACCCCATCGAGGTCGTGCAGTCGCTGTGAGGATCTCGACCTACGACTCTCAGCAGCACGCTGTCTTCCCGCTGCTGCTCAATGAGATTGAGGATATCCTCCAAGACGACCTCGAGGTGACCGGCGAAGTGGAGGCGGCGGGCGACTTGCTCGATGCCTTGGGGACTCGTATATCTCGTCAGTCAGATGCTTGGCTTGCGCAAGGCCTCGACGAAGCTCAAGAGCGACCATGGTATCGCATCTTCAAGGAAGCCGTCATTGCGCGACGACCTATCACAAGCTACGACACGTTTGGTCATCCCGTAGCAGGCAAGCTTCCTCGTACGTCCATGAGCCACGCTCAAGTACGTTCTCAGCCTGGCTCTGCGTATCTGCATCCGAGCCTTCGCCGCTCGAATCGCTCGCGCGTCTCTATGCGGCGACGTCTCGCGAGACCTTGTTTGCTGACAAGAAGTACATCGACCCCTCCATGTTCCGGTACTATGTCATCCTCCACGACAACTTACACGATGATTCCAATGCGACGAAAGAGTTGCTCGAGCAAGTCAAGCGAGCTTACGGCGTTCACTGCGCTGTTCTGCCCATATGTGCCTTCGCGGCTGCCAACCGAGGCATAGCAGGACCACTCTCTGAACGGTGGTCAGCAGAATCAGAGATACCCAACACGCGCTCAGACGGGTTTGCAACGCTATGGAATGCCTGTCTGCCTTCTCAGCAAGACACAGCATTGACAACACGACATGACGAGCTCCAACATGCGCGAACAGCATCGCGGGAGTCCAACGCTGCTCAGAGCCTCGTTGAGCCCGGTGCAATGCTCGGAGATCGAGATGCGGTCGTCATCAAGCTCTTCCTACGAGAATTTGTGGTGCAGTCGCTTGTGCCGCACATGGAAAGGTGCCTTGTCCAATGGAATGAATCGGTCCGCCATGCTTCCCTTTAGCATCTTCCGATGCTGAGTGTGATGCTTCCGGACAGCTTGCAGCTTCTCGGCGTGGTCTCACCTCCCGACTCTTCAGCGCCGGGCGTAAATTTCTCGGCTCAGGCTCTGCTGCCCCCTCCCGCGCCGGTTCACCAGCTATACCTGCCAGCGTGGGGTATGATCCGATAAAAGACATGTGTGTCGACTTTGGTCTGAAGTATCGGCAGTCTGACCAGAATCTCAGATATTCGCACATCAGCACCGAGGCACAGACGCGCAGGCTCGCAGATTACGCTTTCATGATGCAAGACTACAAGCTGGCCAGTCACACTTACGACCAACATAGACGCGATGTCCAGCCTAGCAAAGCATACAGATGTTTTGCAAGCTCATCTGTATGCTCATCGAATCAACCTCTGGACTTGCTGAATTAGCCAAACAGAGAATGGCCGGCATGTCGCTGCTCTGCTCGATGCTGCAATCGACTGCAGTACAACCCGCCTTGGTCTCTGAAGCTCTACAATTCGCCGAAGACGCCATTCGTACGAAGGAGAACAAGACGGCGCTCGATGGGCTGCGCGCAATATGCCTTTATGCCGAAATACTGACGAGCCTTCGAGAGTACGCACGAGCTTCTTTGCTTCTCATTTCTGCTGCTGGACAGATCGACGAGATATCAAGCGCTCTGTGGCTCGAGCAAGCTGCATTGGCGCTTCGACAAGCCGGTGCTCGATCAAGTCGACGTCAGGCACGCACCATGCTCATGGCGGCTCATCGTTACGAACAAGCCGGTCATCGTCCACAATCTACGCACTGCCTCGAGGTGATCATCGATGCAAGCAATGGCTTACAATGGCCTGGCATTGAGAAGCAGACAATGCGCAGTCTCATCCGGCAAGCTTGCGCAACGGGACATCCTCTCAAGGCAATCGAGTCTATAGTATTGCTTCTTCGCAAGTCGACTCCTTCGGCTTTCAGTGGTGCTCAGGAAGACTCGGAAATGCTACAGGAACTATCGACTGCGTGGAAGGTGCGCGAGTCTGCTCACATACAGCCTTTTAAAATGACTGACGTAAGCCGACACAGCTGCTGGACGATTCGAGCAAGACTGCGCTTGCTTCTAGAGACGTATGTGTGCAGAACGCGTTTGCTGAGCCGGTGTATACCCGGTTGGACTTGCCGCATCAGCAAGTCACGGCCAGAACGCACTGCGCTTTGCTACCTGAAGACTATATCCAGAGACTCTTTCGAGATCGGTCAAGACCCGAGCGTATCATACGACAAGGTGGCAATCGTACAGCAGGCTTAGGAGGTCAGTTGCCTGGGTTGCAGCATTTCTGAAATGGCTCACATCAGACCGAACGCAGATAAGCTGCGCTTGACTGTTCGGTTGCGCAACCCTCTGTACACGACTGTTTCGCTGACGAAGATTCGCATCGTCTGTCAAGACGTGAGAGAGCCCAACCACATCCTTGAGGATGACTCGCTGTCTTTCGTGTGCCCTGATCGAGTCGAGCTCCTGGCGGCCGAAGTCTCAGAGGTTTGCTATGGCGATTTCTGGCGATCAGAAGCTGAAATCCACGCAGATTGAGGTCTCTGTGACAGCGCGGAAAGCGCTGCAGTTTACAGTCGATCACATCGAGTTCTTGCTCAACGACATGCTGCAATGTCGGGACAGCCTGAGACGAAAGGGCTCGCGACTGCAGAAGACGCTCGAGCAGCGTGTTCAGGCTTCATATGCAGAAGATACATCACTCTCTGTGCTCGTGCTGGACGAGCTGCCCTCGCTCAAGATGGAGCTGCAACTGCCGGAGCGGTCGTTGGCGGGCGAAAGGTCACGGGCATGTCTCGTACTCAGTAACCCGGGACAGGTACCTCTGACGAGCTTGCGCTTGCATTCCAGCCATCCGCATATCCTCTCGATGGTGCAAATGGGACAGCAAGATGACGGGACAAGCATCAGATATGATGCTGCTTGCGATACGCGGCATGTTGCAAACAATATCGAGACCGATCGGCTGTCGGCGAACGTCCTTTTACAGCCGCTCCAAGCGAATGCAAGCATATCGCTCGATGTTTGGATATACGGAAGCTCTACAGAGGATATCACTGTCCTGGCGGCCTACGAAACAAAGGTGGGCTATGTACTGTGCGCCCTCTAGCTCATCTGAAGTGGTGCATGACAGGAGCAAGGGACGGTGTATATTGCTCAAGCGAGTCATCGGCTCACTGTCGACCCATCTATTGCCTTGCGTGTGCTGGATTGGTGGCACGATGTTGGACGTGACGAGCGAAATCTCTTGATCGAAGTATCTAATAGCCATCTCGAGCTCCCCTTTGTCTTGACGACGCTATTCGCTGCTGGTCCAGGATGGCAGCTCTCATCTTCGCCTGCGTTCGAGACAGCACGACTCGCGCCGCGTCAGAACCTTGTTTGCTCGGTCGTGTTCAAGCAGCTGCCCTCCACCGATCAGGGGAGCCTGTCTGCTCAGACTTCTGACTTCACAGCGCAACAAATCAAGAAGCTATTGAATAACGAGTCAGTCCTGGCCGATGCACCGGGACCGATTTCGGTTACCGTCTCTACAACAGCGGATCACTTGCCGAGCGGCGTATACGAACATCTCGTCAGCTTGCGCGCCGCTCATCGCCGCAAGTCTCTTTCTGCAGCCTTCTCAATGGTCCCTGTCGACTTCTTGCCCCATTCCTTCACAAGTCAAACGGAAGGCACGATCGATCTCGCAGTCGGCTGGTGTCTTGCAGATGCCGATCGAAGCGGCTACATCTACCAGGCCGAGCTTCAGGTTGAGCCGGCCAAGGATGTGCTGAGCGAGATCCTACAAGCCGCTGAGAGCACTGCGGGAGGCTTGTACGAAGAATCGCAAGTGGAGAAAACGGCTTTGATTGCGAGCCTGCGGCGGTCGCACCTCGTGAGCAACGACTGTCCGCTACGTGTCTCCCTCGTTGCGCCAGGCTCAGTCGATATGCCCCCGTCGCGAAGAGCTAAGACTGTTCCGTTCTCAATACGGTGCATCAACGTGTCTACCACCTCGAATCTAGCCATTACAGCACATCTGAACGTCAAGACCAGCACAAACAGAACTGAGACAACGTAAGCCCAGGGCGGTACTTGCGGGACCTATGCTGATAGATGGATCCAGTGCGATGCTCGTGGGAAAGACGCGTCTCGAGGCGTCAGTCAGCCCATTGGAGCAGATTGAGCTTGCAACGACTGCCTGGCTGCCGAGAGCAGGCATCTACGATCTGTCCAATTGGCGACTTAGCGTCCGAGAGCAGAGCGAGCAACAGAGCGTCAAGCGTGACTGGATCATCAATGGCATACAACAACATTTACGTGCTGTACAGCCCTAGCGCCCTGAAGATATGCTGCGATTGTTGTTGACACTTTTCACTTTGCAAGACTCTAGAAAAGATGCTGAAGCGTGCGCGAGTCGCTGACGAGTTCCACGGCGTTCGTTGCCCAGAGTTGCTTGTAGACGTTATCGGTCTCATCATGCTATTCACCAATGCATCATCAGTAAATTGACCAGTGGTCGAACACGCTCGCTGACCATTTGATCGTAGTAAGCGAGCTCCTCCCAGTCTTCGGCTTCTGCCGCCCGGAGTGGCGCGAACAGGGAAGGATTGGAACGGGTAGGCGCGACGAATCCGCGAGGACCAGTAGGCGCAGCGTTCTCATCTGCCACGACGCTCATCTGAACCGCTCTGGGCTGCTCTTGCGCTCTTTCCTTTCCATTTGCTTTCGGCCGGCTGGTCAGATCGTCCTCTTCTGATGACTCGCCGTCTGTATCGGCCCGCTTCTTGCCTCTCCGTGTGCGATCGTCGTCGTGAGGTTCTATGTAGGCAGGATTGACGCGCATCTGGAGGGTAGAGCAAAGGGGCGTCAGATGGATCTCATCTGTCGCAAGGCAGCAGCCATCAGTTTGATCTGGGCAGGCTGATGTTGGCGCTCCTGACCATTGGTGATAGCTGCGACGAAGTACTGAGTCTGATCTGGGTTGATATCACCCTTCATGCTCGTTCGCTGGAGGAGATGCTGATCGGGCTCATCGGCAGCCTGAGCAGCCATGAAGCGATCTTTGCTGTTCTCCTCACCCTTTGCATACTTTTCCGCCTTTTCCCGATCGAACCTCTCGTATTTCTGGCCATTCTTGCCCTCGAGCGGTATGGACAACTCCAATTGACCCGACCGTGGCTTGTAGCGCGCATAGGTCTTGGGTACATCGGTGAGCTCTCGGTAGCAAGGCGGGAGAAGCGGCTGCTTGTGGGCTGGTTTGCCGCCTACTCGGGCAGGCTTGTGAGGATATTGTAGTAAGGCCAATTTGCTTGCCAAGTTGGGCACAAGATAGACTGGCAGACTCTGCACGACTGCTTCAGCTTGCGGAGCTGAACTCTGACGAAGAAGAGAGCTTCACTTTGACGATAGGATCATGATCCAAGTCTGTGTGGATCTGAGCAGCCGGCAGAGCAGGTGCATCCTCGCTCCCGTCGACGCCATGCATTGCAGTGTCCGGCACTTCCGCCACATCGAGCGGCGTGCGATCATTGCCGTCGGCGTCGATTGCCGACCGTGGTGCGAGCTTACTCGGGCTGGTCTTGCTGGCTCGAGTCGCTCGTGACATCTTCGAGCGGTCAAGAGCAAAGAAAGACTCGGTCGATTGACGTTTCTCGACGCGTGTCATGTTGCGCTACGAGGGCGATTGCATAGACTGACATCATGGGCCAAGGGCCGAGCGATCGAGAGCAGACTCACCCAAGCAGTTTCATAAGGAGCAACGGCGCGAGATAGAGTGAAAACAGTGTACAACTCCAAGACTTGAGAGCAGGATCGCAGCGATGGCAACCAGCAGGATGGCACCATTTCTACAAACCTCAGTCAGAGCGGCAGTAGAATCAATACCATTTTGGAAGCGGCATCATGTCAGACATGGTGAGGTCCTTCACGTACATCGAAGGTCGAGCCCTGCATCATCTTGCGAATATAGCATTGTCGTAGTTCGCTGGGCCAGATACATGACACTCCCCATTTCTTACACTTGAGTATGGGCTCGAAGATATTGGGGTCGCTCGCAAGCCAAGTCGATTGCCCAAGACTGATGTCCAAGGTGATATTGGCGGTCTTTGAGCAACAACGGCTTCCCCACTTGTCGATCGTCTCTGCAGCTAGCCTGACCCAAGTCACGCTGAGCAGGCGCGTGCTGGGAATGGCAAAGACTGACTCGAGTCGCATCTGCCATGCAAAGAGCGGAGGGAACATGAGGAGCTGATTGACCTTGCTCGAGCGAACGTTGTGCGAGAAGACGTCTGTAGACGGTCGTTCGAGGTGTTCGGGGACAGTGACTTCCATGCTGAACTCGCCCGAGTCGAGTCGAGCGATCTTTGTATTGGCATTCTTCGAGTAGCAGTCCGCTTTCTCGCGCGCGTGTCAGCACCAGCGCCAGCATCTCTCGCGGTGGAGTGCGCAGACCTTTGATGCGACCTGCAGCACGGTCAGTGTACCGTCATGGCGAGCGGTGCGGCCGTACCTGTGATGAAGTAGTGTCGAGGATAGTATTGATGAGCTTCGATCGCAAGGCCGAGCGCGAGCATCAGGACGAGCACCCGCATATCTTCTCAGCCGATGCAAAACGTGGAGCGCTGAGCATGATGAGCAGGCAAGACGGTGGCGGAAAGAGGGCTTGGCACGGAGTTGATGCTCGAGCTCGAGCGCGACTTGACACCCCTTGTCGGTGCGACGGAGGCTTTTGCGAACGTTGTAGAGACACAATGACTTGATGGAGGAGCAGAAGCTATGTCGCAACTGCGGACGGATCATCTCGCCTCGAGCGAAGTGGGCGGTCAGTCTGGACATGGGCCTGTCAAGACGCGCGGAGTAGCTGAAGGCTTGAGTACCTTTGGCTGCTGACAGGACGATTGGGCGACGATCAGGTACTGCTCAAAATCGTGCAAGGCTCACAAGCAAGCGCTCAACAGACCAGACTCGCTCGAGCGAAGCATCGAGCTCGAGATCATGACGATGCTCGCTTCACAGGCCAAAGAGCGCAAAGAGGGTCGAAGTAAGGAGACGACGGTGACTTGCGAGCAGGTGGAGGCCAGGATGGACGAGAAGCCAGATCGAGAGCTCGTGAGGCAAGCTGCTCGACGCTTGGTCGCTCAGGGAAAGATCGAGATCACGCAACAAGGTGGCCAGGTGGTGGAGCCATCCTTTGCCAGAGGCGTCATGCATCTCAGACTCAGATGAGAAGCCTGCATGATCATCATCATCATCGTCGCTTGCTGGTCTTCTTGCTCTGGGGTGCCAGCTTGGCCAGTCTGCCCGTCTTGGCAATATCGTCCGCTGTTGCCTCTGTGAAAGCTTGATCGTACTCGTCCGTTGGCGTGTCCTGTGCTGCACCGAACCTGGCGGCAAACTTGGCCAGCCGACCGGACTCGTCCTGGACCTGTCCATCTCGTAGCCTGCTCTGAGTCGTGAAGCCCCAGAGCGGATGGGTGACCGTCGACTTGGTGAGCGGCAGTACATTTCTCGGACAAGTCGACTGGATCATGAGCGTTGACGCATCGGGCAGCTCGACCTGTGTCTCCCGCATCAGCGCCTCTCCACGCCCTCGGCATGTGCTACGCGACACACCTTGCTGAGGAACTGTCTCGGCTTTGCAGGCGGCAGACGGCTCAGTCGGGGAGGAACAGCGTATCGAGGCTTGCCCGTCGTCTTGCTATAGACGCTCCTGATCACACTCGCCCTGCTGCTCGTCGAGAAGCTCCTCGCCATGTGGGCCAGCTGTGCGCAGGCACATTGACATCTCGGCTTCATGCCTGCTCGCTAGCTCGTCGTGATGATGATGGATGATGGATCGACGAAGAGAGAGACGCGCGCGCGAGAGAGACAAGGCGACGACCCAAAGAGCGAGCGAGGGTGTGGCATGTCAGATGGCGGCCGAGGGGATGCAACCCAAGTAGCTCGCCTGCCCCCTGCGCATCTCCATCTGCTCTCCGGCGCACTCTCTGGCCTCGCCTCCTGCGTCGTTCTCCAGCCACTCGATCGTCAGTCTCACAGCGCCCTGCTGCACTCGCATCAGCCTTGCTGAACTCCGGAGCAGTGGTCAAGACGAGGCTACAGCAAGGCTCGCCATCGACGCAGCAGGTCAGGATCGTCAGCGCTGCAGTCCATGTCGTCAAGGACGATGGCATACTCGGTCTCTGGCGCGGCACTTTGCCCACCATTGCAAGGTCTGCATGCTCCTCCTGCTCAGTCGCCCAGAGAACAGTCACTGAGACAACAGCCTGCGAGACCAGAAACGTGCCGGGAGTAGCATGCTACATGTTCATGCTCACCCGATCGAGGCTCTGGCTCTCGACCCTGCCCCAATTCGCACCCCGTCATCCTGCCGCATCGCCATCATCGGGCCTGACAAAGCAGACAGCTCTGCCCAAACTGACTCCCACTGGCGATCTGCTCGCAGGCAGCATCAGCCGTACACTCGTCGGCTTCGTTCTCATGCCCGTCACCGTCCTCAAGACCCGGATGGAAGCAAGCGCTCCTTCCATCTTTGCGCACTCGATGACGCGCTAACATGTGGCCGTGCTTTGCAGTCCTCTCTGTACCCTCGCCAGGGCCTGATTGCCTCTTTCAGAACGATCTGGGCACCCCAGCAGCAAACTGGCCAGATCGCCGGGGTACGAGCACTCTGGTCTGGCTTCGTGCCCACTGCGCTCAGAGACGCGCCCTACGCCGGACTCTTTGTCGTCTTCTACGAGCGAAGCAAGACCATCGTGGGCAAGATACGTATCGGTGATCGTGACGTTCCCCGAGGCGTACGAGATGGCATTGCAGGCAAGTCCGCTCCCTCATTCCACTTTGCATCAGGCTCATCGTACAGCAGGATCGCTTGGCGCTACGCTAGCGACGCTGATGACGGCACCTTTTGACACACTGAAGACGAAGCGTCAGTTGAGACCAGAGACATACAAAACCATCTGGCAATCTTCTGTGCTCATCTGGCAACAGAGGGGTTTCCTCGGCTTCTTCGATGGTGTCAGCTTGCGCGTGGCTCGCAAAGCAGGTAGCTCCGCCATCGCTTGGTCACTCTACGAGGGCCTCATCCGCCGATGGGCCCTACCGCCGAAGACCTGAACGCGGCAGCACGTTCAAGTCATTGCTCTTCTTGGAGGCATACGAGCCGCAACGCTAGACTGCATTGACCAGGTCGAGCAGTGCAGCGTCGATCTCGTTCGCGGAGCGAGCTCGCACCTCTACGACGCCATCGCTCCGTACGACACTCATATCCAGTCGATCGGCATCGCAGTCGCGCACTATGAGCGTAGTCGGCGAGCCCAGCACTGCCGTTTGAGCAGTCCGCTTTCGCAGATCGGTCTGATAGTCTCTGTTGACGACAATATCATTCTTGTCTACCCTGCCCTGCCCCAGTGCATGGTATCGATGCAGAAGTGTGGCCGTCAAATCGTCGAGCTCGTTATTGACGGGTAGCACTGCTAGCGAGAAGGGTGCAAGGTGCTTTGGCCAGACGAACCGCTGATCCTTGAGGTACAATTCTGCCATGACGCCGAGCAACCGCGTCGTACCGATGCCGTAGCAACCCATCTGGACGTGCTTCTGTGTGTTGTCGGCATCGTGAAATTTCAGACCGAGCGGCTCAGAGTATCGTGTGCCCAGGAAGAACGTATGTCCGACTTCGATGGCCCGTTCGGTTGTAAGACGACCTGAACCGCAAGAGGGGCACTCGCTCTGTCCTGCATCTTTGTCACCGAACTCGACATTGGCAGCGTACTGACACGCCGAGCACAGCTGGACATCGTCCTCGCCTGACGCATGCAAGAGATGCCACTCGTGAGAGAGCGAGCCGCCAATCTCGCCGCTGTCTGCTCGAGCCATGACGATACCGTGCCGTGTCAGATCGAGTCGATCAAAGATACGTTTGTAAGCTCCGAGCACGGCTTCGTATGTGATGGTCGCGCTTTCGACCGAGCTGTCAAAGCTATACAGATCCTTCATGACGAATTCCTTGCTGCGCAGTAGTCCGCCCCGTGGACGAGCCTCATCACGATACTTGCGGCCTGGGAACGCAGTGAGCACACGCGATAAGGTACAAGATGAGCGTACCTATCTGATAGTATCGCAAGGGGAGCGACTTGTGCGTCAGCGTTCGTTGGCCTACGAGCTCGGTGATCTCTTCCTCGTGCGTTGGCCCGAGTATCCAATGCTGTCCCTTCCTATCATGTACTTGCAAGAGTTCTCGATTGGTTGCACCTGGCTTGTACCGCCCGCTACGTTGCCACAGGCTCTGCTTGAGCAATGCCGGCATGGCCACTTTATCTGCGCCCAGCGCAATCATTTCCTCGTCGATGATCCTCTCGATCTTTTGCAGTATACGCAGCGCCGGCGTGAGCAGGGTCCATAGTCCCGAAGCAGACTGGCAAGCCGTTGCGTGAGCTCATGCGCGTTCAGCATGCAGCAAGGAGCTGACTTGGGCAATGTAGCCTTGTTCGATGAGCGCACGCGTGCCCGGCGTGAGCAGAGCCGCTTCAGATCGTCTGATTGCTCCGCTCAGATGGGCAGAGCTATTGCGAGAGATCCGCACGCCTGCCGGAAAGGCAGTTGTCGCAGAGGAGCTCGCTCGAGTCCGCTGATCTGAGCGTGCGTGCCATATTCGGCGAGCGAGCAGGGACGGGTGTGCCGGCACGAGTGCGCTACATGCTGAACAGAGGATTGCGCTCGTCTGTCGTCGCACAGGCGCACATTGCATCACCTTGTTTCAGGTCGGGCTACTCGTCGCGGTGTCGCGCGCACTGTTTGCCCAGAAGGGCCTACGCCTTGCCCCGCTAGACCCTCTCATCAGGCGGACTTCAGCCATGTCCGGTCAGCCAGGGTCGGGCTACACCTTCTCGCCAACGGCAAATGCCATGCCGAGCTCGACAAGACCGCAGAGTAGCACCAAAGTGCCTTTACTCGAGCGACGCACTTCAGCCGCTGCCACTTCAGGCGGGCTCACTCGACGAAAGTCACAGTACGCTCCGGGGAGCCTGGCAAAGCCTCTAGGATCCGTGCCCGGACTGCCGGGGGCTAACGGCGATAGAGACTCGATGACGGCCAAGTCGGGCTCTGGCACGCCTCAGTCGAGCCACGCTGCTTCTTTTGCCCCTTCCTCACTGGACTACTCAGACAGCAGTACTTTGTACGGAGCAGCTTCACCTCCACCGCACACGGCAGTACCCTCCGGCACGCCCGCCTCTGCACAGAACCTCGTCGCGTTGAGGGAGACGATCCAGAAACGCATAACGACGTGGAACTATCTCAAGCAGGTCTACATGGGCAAGGTGCACTGGTTTGATACTGTCTTGCTACAGAAGGAGGACCTCGAGAGGGGTGCGGGGGATCCTGCTCTGCTGGCCAAGAGGTTTGCGCCTTACCAGCACGATGAGGAGTGAGCTCACGAGGCAGAGATAGGTCGAATAAGTTCTTCGTGCTTGGCACATCGCTCGCTACCCTGATCGATACCAACGTCCCTGCCGACTTCCTCAGGGCGCTCTTGGCTCTTGTCAACGAGTACGAAGCCCAGGGCGACGATTTATCTAGCGGCAGCGGCGGTAATCGTCCCCGAATGGTGATTGCCTTTGTCTCGAACGTCACATCCGTCGCTGAACGTGCTGTGACATCACAGAAATCACTGCTCAAAGGCAAGGGCAAAGCGAAGATACCGGGCGGGGGCTCGTATGATGACGACTCGTACTTGTACGCCATGAACATTGTGAATACTTGCTACTCTGCAAGCAACTCAGCTGATACCGCCACAGCCCTTCGAGCTAGAGTATTTCCAAGTCTTCCTGGCACTTTGCGACATCCTCGTCAAGATCTACGAACGCATCAACTCGTACATTACCCCAAATCAGAATGGCGCCAGCACTGGCTCGCCTACCTCGCCGCAATTCACAATCACCAGCAGCGGCTTCCCTCAGCCGCCTGGACTGAACAGCACACTCGTAGAGACTGCTCAGAAAGCAGACAATAAGCTCAAGGTCCGTCAGACATCAGCACGAGCGTCTCAGAGCTGATGTCTATTGCCTGATGGGACAGAAAATTGTAGCACTAGTTACGAAAGAGACCGACGCAGTCGCGAGATCGGTTATACGCGACGAGCTCTTCTCACTCGATCCGACGCTCAGCTAGAGCATGCCTGACGACTTTTGTTGCATCTCTAATCGTGTACATGTACATTTGTTTCCCTTTTGCATTGTTGTTGCACTTTTATCTGGTCGGAACGTAGCTGGTCTCCGAGTCAGCCTCCAGAACGCCAATGTATTATCAGAGACGCACTCGTCGAGACGTAGCAGTAGGCCGACAGTCTCCGTCGCAAGTGATATGGCGCTTGTGCTGACCAGCAAAGGCTGCAACACATTCTCTTCGAGCACATCGCCCACCAGCCCCTGCAACAACGTCAGCGATTGCATACTGTCAGCTGATCATGACGACCTTGCGAACGTTGATGCCTGCGCTCCGCTCGCCCATGGCATGCCTGTTCCTGAGCTCTGTCACAATCGCAATCGGATTGAGTCCGGCGTTCTCGGCTAGCGTTGTGGGAATGACTTCGAGCGCCTCCGCATACGCTTGGAAACAGTATGCTTCGAGTCCCTTGAGTGTCTGAGCGTGCTGTGCTAACAATCTGGACACATGGATCTCGGGTGCGCCACCACCAGAAATGAGAGCCCTGTCGGAATCGAGATTTTCAGCTCAGGTCATGAGCTCGAGACAGCACTGCTGACCGCTTTTTGACGAGGCAGCGTACAACACAGAGTGCATCGTGCAAGCTGCGTTCTGATTCTTCGAGAACGAGCGAATTGGCGCCCGTGCAGAGGATGCTGACAGTCTTGCCTGGATTCTTGATGCCCGAAATCCGCACGACCTTGGCGCCACTCTTCGAGACTTCGTCAGCCAGATCGGCTTGACCTAGCTTGTCTTCGCTGAAAGCCTCGATATCGGCAATCGGTTTGCAGCCCATCGACTTGCACAAGAACTCGACTTCGTCGCGTTCGATATCTTTGACGACCATGATCTTGAGCTTGGCGAGGAAAGCGAGCGATAGATCATTGACTGCATCCCTCAAGATGCTCTTTTGAATGAGAAGTACATTGCAGCCTGATTTTTTGATGACTTTGACGAGGTTGAGAAGGTATTGTCGCTCCTCCTTGAGGATCTTGTCCATTTGTCGATAATCATTGACGACAATCTGATTGTCCATCTGTTCAACAAGAACATCAGTTGGGGGAAGTACTCCTAGACGTTCCGTCGACGAACGTCTGGCTTGGGAGCACTGAGACAGAATTGAATGAGACCAATCTTTGCTTTCTCTACACGTGTAGGGCCGCCGCCCTCTGTGATGACGCTCTGGTGAAGCAAGACGCCGTCGACAAGCTCGGTGTCATCGATCGTACCGCCTACTTTCTTCACGATTCTGATATCGCGCAAGTCGACATTGTCGCTCTTGCTCGTCACTAAGCGCTTGACAGCGTCGACTGCAATCGGCGAGAGAATGGATGAGTACTGCGACACAATCTGCGATGACGAAAGCCGTGATCAGCAACATGGTGTGCCACAAGACGCTACGCCTCGCCTTTGAATTGAGACTAGTCGCAGCGGCGCGTAGCAGGCTCTCGCGGTCTGCGAGATCAACGGGCGTCGAGATTTCTTCGAGGTATTGGATCGTCTTGTCAGCCGCGCGAGAGAATGCTTCAGAGATGATCATGGGATGTATACCTGCACGTACGTCAGTCAGTTGCGCAGAAGTAGTACGAGCGTGAGCAAACCCTTTGCAAGCAGCTTTTCTGCAGCCGCGAGGAAACTGCCTGCGAGGACGACGACAGAGGTCGTGCCGTCTCCGGCTTCGATGTCTTGCGCGGCAGACAGGTCGACGAGCATCTTGGCAGCAGGATGGAGCGCGCCCAGATGCTTGAGGATGGTAGCGCCGTCGTTGGTGATGATCACTTCCCCTTGAGCTGTCGTGATCTGTTCAAAGACGTAGACGTCTCAGCTCCACTTCGAGGTGATGAAGCCTTTCGCGAACCATCTTGTCCATCCCTCTAGGCCCTAACGAGGTTCTGACTGAGCTTGCAACAGCTGTACGATCATCCGCAATGAGCAAGTGGCAGAGACGTGGAGAGCTTTTGTGTTTTACCTTTGGCCGCCGTCAGATTGGACTGTCTGACTTCCATGCCCTTCTCCTTGTCCTGGAATTGCTTCTGATTGCGCCTTGCGGCTACAGGACCTGTGGACGCCATGTCTGAGGTGGGCAAAGGTGACTGACTGGCGACAGCGACGCGCAAAATTTAAGCGGACGGCGTGGCCCTGCTGCCTTTTTGGCTACTGTCCCTCAGCCTGAGCATTTGTCCATCATGCGGAAGCCCTCATGTGATCAGATCGTCTTCCTCTGCGTCTCAGCCAGCTCTTTGCTCAGACACTGTGGTGCAATTCATTCAACGGTGTCGGTCATCGACGGCCAAACGACTATCACCGGTCTTGCGCAGCGAGGGCTCGAGTACTTCTACGATCTACCCTACGCCTCACCACGTCCGTGCAAGTACTCGTCGCGTCGAGCTCGGACTGATCAAGCTATGCAGCCACCCAGCTCAACAGGTTCAGGCCGCCCGTACCCGCCAAACCTCTCGGAACCGCGTTTGATGCGTCAGTCGCGAAGAAGACGCAGTGTATCGGACAAGTACCAGCGGACGGTGGAAGGACCATCAATCACATCATCACACCCTTTATGCCCAAATGGACAGTAGGCATCGAGGACTGCTTGAAATTGGACATCGTCCGTCCTGCAGGCACAACAGCGACATCAGCCTTGCCCATACTTGTGTACTTTCACGGAGGAGGGTGGCAGATCGGTAGCAAGAATGATCATGATGGCTCACGCATCATCAAAGTGTCTATCCAAGAACAGACTCCGATTATCTTCATTGCGATCAATTATCGACTGTCGTTCTATGGCTGGCCAGCTGGTCAGCAGATAAAAGAGGCAGGTCTTGCCAATCTCGGTCTACTCGATCAGCGAGAAGCGCTTCATTGGATCCAACGACACATCACATCGTTCGGCGGTGACCCAACCAAAGTCACCTTACAAGGCGAATCCGCTGGCGCCTTTTCGATCGGCTATCACACTCTGCTCAACGGGGGCAATCAAGGCACGCTCTTTCGAGCCATCATCCAGCAGTCTGGTACTGCTGTACAGGCTGGTGACGTTGCAATGGGTCAGAAGCATTTCGACACCATCGCTGCAGGTACAGGCTGCGACAGAGCAAAGGACCCCATCGTCTGCTTACGCGAAGTGCCCCTTTCGACCTTGTCAAAGGTTGTCAATGAGCTGCCCTTCATCTTCACTGCAGAGCATGCCCTCGAGCTGCCCGCCATACCGCGGCCCGACGACAAGCTCTTCTCTGGCCTCCCCTTTGATCTGTTCAAGGCCGGCAAGTTTTCAAAAGTACCGGTACTGTCGGGCACAAACACAGACGAGGGCACATTGTTCGCATACAACACCAATATCACGAGCGAAGGCAGTTTCAAACGATACCTTACCGGGACTTTTCCCCATCTGACGCCAGATCAGCTCGATACTATCGTCAAGACGTATCCACAGAATCCAGATATAGGGTCGCCTTACGGCACCGGCAACTCTTACGCTGTCGGGACAGGTCAGTCCAAGCGATTGGCATCATTCCTGGGCGATCTCGCTTTTGTTGCACCTCGCAGGGCACACACTCGACTCGTTCAGGCTCATGGCGTGCCTGCGTGGACCTATCTGTTTGCGGCTTATGATCTCTTCTACCTCGGCACGCCGCACAGCATCGATCTTGCGACTGTCTTTGGGGAGAACGGATTGCGCGATAGACGACATTTGCTCATGGCTGCTGCTTGGGTTCGCTTCGTCAACGATCCTTGGAAAGGACCCGGTTGGCCTCAGCATCCCTTTTCGCAGCTCTACACGACGACCCTACTGCCAGGTCAAGACGACTATCGCTTCGATCAGGCAAGTCTTTGCTTCCTTCGGCATACAGCAAGGCTGACAAGAGCGTAGATCAATACACTCATCAGCCTGCTAGATGTGCTCGTATACTAATTCCAACAATGCATGATCAATTGCCAACCAACGGGTTACTTCATCTTGAGCTTAGGCTGCTTCAAGCCATCCTTTCCTTTGCTGTCTGGCTTGCGCTTCTTGCTCGGTGACTTGCTCTCAGACTCCTCGCCGTCACCAGCCGCAGCTGCTCCTTCCTTCAGCATCTTGGCAGCAGTGCCGTTCAGAACAGCTTCGTGATCGCCATGGATATTCACATGATACGCATTTTTCATCTTGGCCTGCGTTTCCGCCTTGGCTGCCTTGTCATCAAAGATCGGCCTGGGATATGTCTGGCCCAGCGTCACACCTGCTTCTTTGAGGACCGAGACCGGCGCTTTCCATGGCTCATAAATATATTTGTCCGGCAGCTTATTGAGTTCTGGACAGAATTCGCGAATGAGCGCGCCAGACTTGTCCCAATTCGAGCCATACGCCATGCCGTATACGCGGAACCATTGCGAGTAGAAGGCAGACGCAGAGAGCCACATCCAGTTGCCCGTGTTCATGGCAGGATCGTGATCGATAAGCCACCGTTCGAACACTTCTTTGCCTCGCACCCAGGAGATATACGCGTGGCCTCTCGTCAGGAAGCAGGCGACTGAATGCCGTGCGAGATGATGTATCCAGCCGTGCATCTTGAGCTGTCGCATGATGGCATCGATCCTGTAGCAAAGATAGTAAGTGAGTGAGCGTGCATGCATACGATCAGAGCATACCAGGGAAAGCCGGTCTGCCCGTGAGTCCATGCCTCGAGAACCTTTTCAGCCTCCTTCTCTTCGTCTGAAAGCTTCCATTCGCTACGAGGTATCGGCTCGCCCTTGTCATCGTACCGATCGTCTAGCCTCCAGTCGATATACTTGCAGATAGGGTTCCCTCTGATCTCGTGCCAGTTGGGCGTCACGCGCATGTTGTAGTGGAAGAACTCTCGCCACAGACATTGACCGATAAGTGAGACAGGCGGCTGGGTATGCTTTGTGCCCTTCACCACATCCTGTAAACGCCAGTAAAATGTCCGGACGGACAAGGCGCCGAACTTTAAGTAAGGCGAGAGAACAGTCGTCGCTGCAGGATCAAATGCCCCCGGGTTTGTCTTTGGCTTCTCAAAGTTGATGATGGCTTCTTTGTCCTTCATGTAAGCTTCCAACCTCTTGAGCGCTTCTGTCTCGCCGCCCGGATGGATGCCCGTCGCTTTCGCCATGCCGAGCTCTTCCATGGTCGGAACAGAGAATTTCCCATCTGGTCCAGTGAACGAAGCATATATCTTGTCCTCTCCATCCCTGTTCTCTGCGTTGTTGTCATTCTTCTTCCAGGTATCCACAGAGTGCTCTGATCGCTTGAGATCAGCCAAGTCAGTTGGACCCGGGTTGGGTAGCGAGCTAGGCGCATCGATGGGTCTGGGCGGCTGAGGCAGACCCTCCAGAATCTTGACAAACGGTCCGTATGATACATATGGCTTCCCTTTGGTCTTGGCCTCTATCGCTTCTGCATCATACAGCGTATGGCCATGGACGACGTGAACTTTGACGCCGGCGTCTTTGGCCAACTTTTCAACTGCCTTGTCCCTCTCCATTGTATAGGGATCGTCATCTTTCTCCCATACGATGTCGGATATCCTGCGATCGTCCCATAAGTCTGATGATCGCACAAGCCGTGTAGAAGGACGCACTTCCACTTTCGCAATAATGCGGGCAAAATCGTGGTAGGATGGCCTCTCAGGACGAACAGCTGAGATTTGGGGTTGACTTTCGTGATGGCAGCTGAGGTATCACTCATTGACTCGAGCAAGAATTTCCATCGATTGGGACCGACTCGCTGCTCGTAGACATAGCGCGGATCGAAGCACCAGGTGGGGAAGAGGACATCCGGCTTGAGATCGAGAGCTGCTTGTAGCGCAGGGGAGTCATGCAGCCGCAAGTCGGTGCGGAACCAGTAGATCACTCTTGCCATGCTGCCAGATTGTTTCGATCGTCGAACAGCTGTCGCGTAAGCACGTTGACACATCTACTTGATTCTCTCAGACGAAACCGACTGCTGCCACACCACACTCGCGCGCCCGCCAGTGAATATGCGAAACCTAAAGAAACAGGACGTTCAGATGGGATGAGGACGACGGCATGACCGCTGCAAAACGTCAATTGGCGGCGCAAGAATACGACAAGGTCCTCAGTGTTCTTCACAGCATCAATACGAGCGACCCACGCAGCTTTTTGGCTCTTGATCTGCGCGCGACGGCAAAGATTGCTACCCTCGATCTCGTGGGCGCTTTCGAAGATGCGCAGGTCATGATCCGCTTAGCGCCCGATAAGCCCTTGGTTCGGCTCTGCAAATGGTACGATCATCATCTGATCGCGGCGTATGTCAGGGCTACAAGAGAGCTGCAGAAATCACGCGCGAACATGGCGACCTGGCAAGAGCAAAGCGGATCCTGCAGAACGCTCTCACACAGTGCCACTCGAACGTGCATGCTGAGCTGCATAAGGATCTTCGCCTTCGAGCGCCATGTCGCCAACGTATCATCTCAAGGTTCCCTTCAAGTCAGGCTCGCAGATTCTCAGACATCCTATTCGTAAAATTCGCGTAATAGACGTCGAGTTGGGCTACGACCCATATATCTGTCGAGAAAGGTGCCGAATGGCTTCTTCGATCAGCTTACTGATGTCTGCCTTCGCATGAATCTGCTCGACATCAGCGGCGTGCTCGATGTAGAATTCTCTACTGCTAGTCGACCAGTTCGATTGCCTAGCCTCCGACTGCTTGATGTCGACGCCCTACAGCAGGATGCGAGCCGGATGGTCAATCTTGACCTAAGCTTGTGCACGAATTTAGAAGTCGTCAAAGTCTCCCGTCAGAATGTCACTGGTCTGCCCGCGAGCCTCAAAGCTTTCTCGGAGCGTGCACTCGAGCCGGCAGATATCTCGCGTGATCGATACCCGCCTATCACCTCTGTCTTATCTCGATGTCTCCAGCTCGAGTGTCTCGAGCTGTTTCACAGTGGCACTTCTGGCAGCGATATCGCTAATCTACTCAAATGCCGTATTCAGCTCAAGCGATTTGCGATTGGCCCCAGCAGTGTCTTTGACGATCAGGGCCTACAAGCGCTAGGAAGGAGATGCGACAGATTGGCATCGCTCGAACTCATCAAGTGCGCGAGTGTGACGGGCGACGCGCTCATTCGCCTCGTGAGCAAGATGATGGATCCGCAAACAGGCAAAGCTGCTCTGGACCTGCTGCTCGAAGATTGTCCTGTTGATGAAACGAGCATACAAGTGTTGTCTTCCATTCTGTGATCTCTGTTGTCGCCACCATTCGTTCGATAGTTCCGTCGCGTCGCGCTTTTCCGCGTCTTCCACTCTCCGGCACAGATGGCAGCAGTGACACCGCTGGTCAACAGCGCCATGCTGACGGACTATGGTCGGCGTCATAACTGCATGACACGTCTTAATCTTATGTGTGTGCAGTCGGCCGGACGGTTCGCCTCGTTGGAAGAAGGATAAAGCTCGAGGGGGATGTCGCTCTTTTAGAGGCGACAGATCACGGACAAGTCACAGTGCGGCTCAACAGGGTATGTCTCGAGCACCTCATCGTACTCATTCACCGAGACGGAGAGGCAGGACTCGCATTGGGCAGACGACTACGTCATGGTCATTGCCAAAGTCGATGAAGCTCCCAATTCGGTCAAGGAGCTCGCAAGCTTCAATCGCGGCGCAACCCTTGGTCGGTACACTCACGTTTGCAAGCGATAGCGCTGATAGTATCTCAGATCTCGATACTTTTGACAAGATGATTCGCGTCTGCAAGATGTTGCCAGAATGCTTCCCGACCAGCTAATTCGACCCTGTTTCCAATGCATCCTGTTGCCATCCCGCCCGCGCTCGGCCTTATGCTCCTTTCTCGGATCCGTCTGGACATCGTTTGAGACCCGCGGAACATTGCTACCGCTTTCCTGACATCAGTTCGCGCATCGAAAGCAAGCCTGCCTCAAGCCCAAGATGTTCAAGACGATCCTCGTCCTGTCGCTGTGCGCACTGTTTGTCGCGACGAACAGTCAGATCGCCGATGATGGTGAGGCAGATGTACGTAGTGAGGCGGCCTTAACGATTACCGCAGATGGATTTATGGGCCACTGCGTTGGCGGACCTTACAATGGAGAGCCTTGTGGAGATGCGCAGAGTGACTGCTCTGATCGTTCGACTGGCTATTTGATACCTGGCGTATCCTGCCGTGAGTCCTACTTGACTACGCTGACAATTTTGCTGATCAGCAAGTAGCCTCGGACTGAGACTATGCTCCCATTATGCGCATGAATGGCTTGATGCCTCCTGATGCCTCCCAAACAGTAGTTGTGGTGCACACATTGCATGTGCGCGTTGATGACAACAAAAGGCTATCTCTAGGTCATGCTGTACTCTGCGATCTCTTTTGCATCAGTGAGAGGAAGAGTGTGATGCGTAAGAAGACTGACTAGGTCCACCTGAGCCCTCTGGAGGAACCCAGTCAACGCCGAAGCCAGCGCAAGTCTGACAGTGAATACAATTCTGCGAATTGATCTGCAAGCGCTTGCCACACGCATCCTCATCGCCACCCTCTTCTGCGACGTCGAGGAACTCGTAGACGCCCGCCGGACACAGTCTATTGAGTTGGCCGTCAAACTTGCCAACGGCCTTTTCGACATAAGCATGCTTGTCGGTGATGCCAAGATGGATCGGCTGATCTTCCGCGTGATTCGTGCCAGTACGCGAGACTGATGTGAGTAGATCGAATGACAGCTTGCCGTCGGGTGCAGGATAGTCAATAGGCTTAAAATCGCTCGCTGGCCGAGTCTGCTCAGAGTCCGGACCAGGGTGGTGGAACGTCCAAGGTACTCGGCCCTTGAGCAAGTAAGCGTCGATGCCTGAATACATCACACCGCCGTAGACGCCAGCGCGGGTGTGGAACGAAGGACGAAGATTGCGGACAGAATACAGCTCCTTGGCGATCCACGAATTATCGAATGCGGTCTGGTACGAATCAATCGAGATGGGCGCGATCTCCTCCCCATTGGTCTCTTGCGCCGCAGTGACTGCTTCGAATGCTGCATCTGCGGCTAGAATACCGCTGCCCATCGCAGTGTGCGTGCCTAGCGATGTCACAGTCAGCTAAATACGCACAGCAATTACTGAAGGACACACCCTTGATTTTGGGCACGTTGACAAAGCCGGCTGAGCAGCCGATGATACCACCACCATTGAACGTCAGCTTCGGTATACTTTGCGTGCCACCCTCGTTGAGCACTCGCGCGCCATATGCGACGCATTCGCCACCTTCTAGCAATTTTGCAAAGTGAGGGTGGTGCTTCATACGCTGGAACTCTTTGAATGGCGAGACGTATGGATTCGGCACGTCAAGACCAATGACCAAACCGATAGACACATAACCATCCTCTAGGTGATATGTCCATGAGCCGCCGTATGTGTCTTTGCTTAGCGGCCAGCCCAGTGTGTGTCCGACATTGCCCGGCTGATGGTTCTCTGGCTTGACCTTCCAGACTTCCTTGATGCCCAGTCCGTATGTCTGGGCATCTTTTCCTTCTCTCAGGCCGAGCTTGTCGATGACTTTGCGAGACAGCGGTCCTCTTGCGCCCTCGGCAAACAGAGTAACGCGAGCCAGGAACTCCATACCTGGCTCAAAGGAGTCTTTCGGCTTGCCTGCCTTGTCGAGCCCGATTTCATTGGTCACGACGCCCCGAACGCCCTTGCCATCTTCCGTGTACAGCACGGATGCGGCTGCGAAACCTGGATAGATCTCAACGCCGAGCTCTTCGGCTTGTTCTCCCAGCCATCGCGTCAATTTGCTGAGTGAGATAATGTAGTTGCCTTTGTTGTTCATCTGAGGTGGATGTGGGATTGGGATTGACGATGATGAGGTGAGCCAGTGCATCGAGTCTTTCAGCGCAGGCTGGTAAAGTGGCGCGCCTTTCTCCTTCCAGTCCGGGAAGAGCTCCTCCAGAGACCGAGTCTCGATGACGGCGCCTGACAGAATATGGGCGCCCACTTCGCCTCCCTTCTCAAGCAAGACGACTCTCACTTCCTTGCCCTCTTTTGCCGCTTGCTGCTTGATGCGAATTGCCGCCGACAGACCAGCTGGGCCGCCTCCGACGATGCATACTGTCAATCCCACCATGTGAACTTATGTATGGCATAGTAAGCCGAGACAGACCATCACACTCGTCCTGAGCACGCTCGATGTCGGATTCTTCGACTCGCTCGGTGACTTGTTCCTGGCTGAGTTCGCTGTCCGCATGAGTCGCAAATCGCCTGATCGCGCTCGGCCTGCTTGCTGATGCTCTTCCAACATAAGATCTGGCCAAACGGCGGTCTCGAGATGTAGCGATCGGGGCTGATGTGCTGGAGAACGCTCGAGATCTGCCTCCTAGTGACTGCTGGGTTTTAGGCCGCCTGAGAGCCTGAGTAGCGGCATCGACGCTTGGCCGGACACTCAATCTGCTCAAGCTAGCAGTCGGCGCACAGCATAACGCTGCAGCTCTGGCTGATGACATTCCTCGAATGGTCGGTGCACACGCGAGATGTCTGGCGTGATCGTGATGGACGAAGCCGGCAATCGCGTCGCGCGAATTCTGATTGGCCGACTGCTCATTGAACACAACAACATTCTGACTTGCGTCGTCAGCTCGACAAACCTCACATCGTCAACGTCTGCAGCATATTCTCCATCTGGCTCATGTGTCCATGCCTGCTCGCGTTGCGTGAGCCCAGTACAGTACAAGGTAAATTGAGTAGCAGCGGCTTACAGCTTCTGAGCACCGCAAGAGAGGCTCGCCAGGGCTTCACTCGTGGTTCTGCGGATACGATCGCTGTAGGAAACATGAGCATGTCCCTCTACGATTTCGCGCTGCGCATCAAGTCGGTCGAGCAGCTCGAGGTGGGCTTGAAGCTCGCTGGATTCTTTCGAAACCAACTTGTCCATTCTACGCAGCTCTCGCTTTGCTTCTGCCAGTTGAGTGGATCCTTCTTGCAACGTCTCGTGTACTGTTGACAAGCTCGAACTGGCATCTTGTGTATCGAGGCGAAGGTCTGCGAGAGCCGCAAAGACAGGTTGCAGTTCAGCAAATGCAAAAAGATGTGCGTCTGCTTCGAGCGAGGTCGAAGACAGCAAGCTGGTGTTGCCCAACGTGCTCTCATCTGCCCCGATGGACACGTTTGCGCAATCGATCGGGGGAGCACGGGATATGACTGCCTGCCGGCTGAAGGCAGTGCGTGGAAGGCCCATTGTACTTGCTAAACTGATAGTTGAGGAGTATTCCGATTCACGTGCAGTTCTGGACTCTCGCAACTGACCCAGCAGCTGCGTGACGCTTCGCTCTAGCTTGGGCTGAGGATCTTCACTCGATTCGTCGAAATACCGCGTCAATCGTTCAGCGAATGATGCCTGAGCTTGCAGAGCGCGGATGAGCTTCTCACGATCGTGCTCAAGCTGGTCGTCTGGCGTATGTGAGCAACCAGGATGATCGTCATCTTCGTCATGCGACGGTTCGTCGTAGTAGGACGATAGAGCAGTCGAGCCCCCCGACGTGCTTCGTATTGCGTCGATGTGACCCCAGCCTATACCAAGCTGTGAAGGAACTCGACTGCCACATTGTTCTCGTTCCGGATCTTCAGGCTGATCCTCGCGAGAGCTGGTGAAGGAAATAGAGAAATCGGGCGCATTAATGCCTAATTCGTCGTATAGACTACCTCGACTACTTGATCTTCTTCGAACATCTGTGGATGCGAATGCTAGTTCCGCCGCGAGACTTCCCATGCCATTGCCAAGGGCTTGGGCACCATGCGAACCAAGATTTGGTTGTGTGTACACGTCGTTGTCTGACGAGTCTGACAGCATGCCAGCAAAGTCAGCCGACGTAGGACGCAAAATGATATCAGACTGACCAGTGAGTAGGCGTGAGCTGTGCGGCGGTGCCTGCGAGCTTAGCCGACGAAACACAGCTGAACTCTGGGGCGCTGGCGACAACTCGCGAAAGCTCTGGAAGACCTCAGCGCTTCTGTCGCTGGCTGCATCGTACGCCGATTCATCGTCGAACGAACGGCGGGCTGCCATTTACTTTACAGGCACGTCGTCAGCTCGTCATCGCCGAATGGGCCGGTAGAAATTGTACGCTGTACGCGACTTGCCCAACTTCGTTCGCGCCCTCAGAACTCCAGAACTCTGTGGTAGCCATCGAAGACGCGTGCGGCACGAGGCGCGACTCGACTGCACATGTTTGCCTGTGCGATAGTCTTGAATGATCCACATGAAGGCCAATGACGAGAAGCGCTTCTGGCTCCTACCCTACAACAATATACACGTACGATTTCGAGTATAGCATCAGAGCTGCACCGACTGCATGCCGTCTGCATCAATATCTTCATCTGTCTCGCGCTCGCCCTTTGGATCGACCGAAGTGGCACCGTACGTCGCAGCTGCGGCATGACCCACAACCGATGTTCCCAGAACGGCGTTACCCGCAGTTGTCGCGACGTTGCCACCTACATGGGAGTCAGTCGAGGCTCGCGAGATGAGGCCGATACGCACCTGAACGAGCCACGCTGGAACCAAGATCTTTAGCCTCTGTGCCGTAGTGGTGCTCTGTATAGCGAGACGTCGAATCTGATACAGCCGAAGCGAGCGATGTGGTGCCGTCTGCGATGCCAGAGCCTAGCACAGAGGCGGCCTGACCCGTTCGCGAAGCTGCCTCTCTGGCCTTGTCCGTCAATGTCGGATCCTCTGCAATGCTATCGGCAGCGAGATCTTTTGTCTCTGTCGCTTCTGCCGCTCTGGCTTTGATTGCTTCTTTGCTCTCTTTGCCCTCTGAGGTGTCTGCAGGTGCGACGAGCGACGTAGCGGCTGAGCCGATGGCTACCGCAGCGCCTGTGATCGCTTGCTGCGCTTCGCCTGCAAACGTTGCTAGTCTGGCTGTACCGCCTTGCACCGTATCGGCGGCGGACTTGGTCGACGCAGGCACAGAAACAGGCGCGTCGGTCGCTGGCGCATCCGACGTATGCGTAGCAGTTGTCGCAGTCAATCGCGATGCAAGAGCAGACCAAGACTCTGATAGCGATCTAGCAACTTCGTCTGCACCCGCTACGACGCCCGTTTCGAGCAATCCTAGCCGGATGAGGACATCCTCTAGTCGGTCGCGATCCTCTCTGCTGGTCGTTGGCGATAATTGAATACGGATGAAACCAGCTGCATACTTCTGCAGATCCTTTGCGATGCCTTGACCCGATTTGGAAGCTACAGGAGCTGTCGCATTGTCCGGCAGGGCATCGAGGAGAGCGAGGGGCGCGGGAAAGAGCAGCGTGTCCGTGTGATCAGCATGAGTGAAGAAGGGCGTCTGAGCACCTTTGACGGTGTTGGCGCCCTGCGCGTTGAGAGGGAAGACGAGCTTGTCCATCCGAACGAAGAGTGACGATGTCTTGCGACCCTCTAGCGCCGAGGGTTCGCTCTGGAGCAGCTCAAGCTTGCCTGGCTCAGGGTGGAGCGGCAGCTGATGAGGTCCGACGAGATGATACAAGCGAACGCCATCGAGCGCTACCAATGTCCGTGGCGCAATTGACATCTCAGCCGGTGTCGTGGTCCAGCCTTTGCCAGCCTGTCGAGGATGATCTGGTTCCTATCGCGATCGCGTCGTTGCCTGTTTGCCTCTTTGGCCACGGCGCATGTCGAGTCAGAGGCGGGAAGCTGCCACGCAGACGAGCCGAGCCAGTCCGAGCGATGGACCGGCACGTACGACGGCCAAGTGGACAGCGAAAGAAGCAGGCATCGTTGCAGTAACGACGGGTGTGACGTTTATCAACTCTTTCTACAACGGAGCCGTCACCGTCGTGCTGCCCACAGTCCAGCGCGATCTCAAGCTGACAGAGTCCGAACTGCAATGGCCAGTGTCACTCTACTCGCTCACGTTCGGTTGCTTCCTCATCCTGTTCGGTCGTTTGGCGGATGTGTATGGACGCCGACTCTTGTTCCTTATCGGTACTGCTCACTACACCCTCTTCTCACTCGTCGTCGGGCTCAGTCCTAACGGGCTTTCCTTCATCTTGGTCTCTGCTGTTCTCGGTCTCGGTGCAGCTGCAAACACACCTGCTGCCCTCGGCATACTCGGTGCCTATTTCACACCGGGCCAGAAGAAGAACACAGCCTATGCCGTTCTGGGGAGCGGCCAGCCTTCTGGCTTCATTCTTGGGCTCGTGGGAGGTGCTATCCTCACCGACACGCCTGCTTCTTGGCGCTCCGTCTTCTATCTGCAAGCTGGTTTGACCGCTCTCTTTGGCATCACTGCCTTTTTTGTATTGCCGCCCAACCCGACAGAAGAACAAGGTGCGAGCAAGTCGATCGACTGGCTTGGCGCCGCTCTTTCGACTTCAGGCCTGGCCATGCTCGTCTTTGCATTGACGGAGAGTCAAGTCGTTGGCTGGCGTGCACCCTTTGTCTCCGCCTTGCTCCCCATCTCCGTCGTCTTGCTATTCGCTTTTGTCTACTGGGAACGCCGGGTAGAGCGATCGGGCGGCGTGCCGCTGATGTACCTCAGCATCTGGACAAAGCCGCATTTCGCAGTCGTCTGTTTTGTCGTCTTTGGCATCATCTGGAGCTTCAACGTCTTGCAATACTACCTCAATCTGTATCTGCAGACCTACAAAGGGTACAGCCCCATCGGTACAGCGCTCCGCTTTGCTCCCATGGTCGTTGCCGGGATCTTCTACAACGTCCTCGGCGGCGTCTTGCTCGCTCGTGTCAAGGGTATCTATCTTGTCATTGCGGGCACTGTGCTTTCGACAGCAGCGGCCATCATCTTTGGCTTGATCGATGTCAATTTGTCCTATCTGGCGATGTTGCTCGTCATCATGTTGCTCATACCAGCGCCCGACCTGACCTACACTGTTGCCTCGATTCAGATCTCCAAATCGACAGACCGCTCGTTGCAATCGCTAGGTATGCTTCGAACATGCACGCATACAGTCTCTGATCTTCAATGGCAGCGGGTGCATTGTTCATGGTCTCGTCGAGACTAGCTACATCTATCGGCCTCGCCGTCACCTCGACCATCTCGTCCGCGATTGCGACCAAGTTCCTCCGGAAGCATCCCGACATGACCGAGAGCAGTCCAGAAGTACTCTTGACGGGCTATCGTGCGGCCGCATGGGTGTGTGTCGGAGTAGCTTCGCTCAGCCTGCTCATTGGCGGATTCGGTCTGCGCAATCTGGGCGTTGTGGGCGACAGAGAGTCCGTGCCGCTCCTCGAAGACGCCGCGGGCATCGAGCTACGATCGAGCGCTGCCTCTATTGCTTCTCGCCAAGCATTGGACGAGGATCGCAATCGCTAGATCAAGATTTGCCAAAACGGGTGGCATACATCGTGAACGCCGTCGAGACGGCAGGCGAGTCGAACTCGGGCATGGCACGGTAGCCCTCTGCTTTGATGAGCTCTTGCACCCTACCCAGCATCTCGAGCACCTTCGGGCGGTCCCTGGGATCCTCATCGATCGACTTTATGCATCGATCGATTTCTTCCCTGCGTGTATCGCTAGCCTGTCCGGCGATGTCGTCCAATGCACATGCGTCGCAACGACATTGAAAGTAAAACATCGTTCGCAGTCTTTCCTGTCGCCTCGCTCTGTCGGCCTGAATGAGTGCGGATGTGTACTCGATCAGGATCTCGTCACCTGGCGAAATATCGCTCGTGGCGTAGACCGTCATTGACAGATCTGACCAGTTGATACAGTGATCTGCGTTGGGCAAACAGGAGTGGTTGAGCCTCGCTACGTCTGGGAACAGCATCGACGCGTGAGTGGCCAGTTGCTTCAGATGAGTTGGCGTTTTCAATGAGGCAGGCAGGGGTGGCAGCTCGACGTTGAAAGCATTGGTCGCGCGTATAGCCAAGATAGGGTGCAAGTCAGGCTCGTACTCCTTTGCGCTATCGGACAAGTCTGCCAAGATCTCGAGCACATCGCCATCGAGCGTGCTGGCGAGGTCTTCAGCCTCGTCAGGGGACAATTGCTGACGCCAGACCAAAAGCGGTCTCTCATTCAGTATCACACTCCCACGCTTGATGGAATGGGTAGCTATGCATCCTTTGCCCTTGCCAGCTATCTCCTTGACCTCGTATGGCCTCTTGGCAGCAAACGACTCTTCAGACGCTTTCTCGTCGGATGATGCCAACACGAGGTGCAGTATCTGCGGCAGAAGCTGCGGATCGACGTGAGGTAGCCACGGCGGCATGTGACTGTGATCCGATCAGCAGGGGTAGATGACAACTCGCAGAGTGAACGGCTCAGGAAGTGAAATAGTCATTGCGCTGGCAGTTGACTTGCGTCAAGCTTTTGCCATGCTCGGCGAAGAGGTGCCAATAAGGGTAATGATGTCTTCGAACATCAAGAGTCATCGTCGCCGGATCTTCTGAGGGACAAAGAGGGCGAGCACTGACTTACTGTGGGACTCTTTGAGCTTCAGGTCAGCAAATTTGCGCGAAACATCGACTACGCGTCGCTCCAGCGGTCCACAGCGCTCCAGCCAGCAACTCCAGCCTGATGCGCCGCTCAATAGCAAGGTTCGGTACAAGACTTCATCGATCGGCAACGTGAGGTCCGAGACCCGAGCCGGCCCTCCTCAGCGCTCATCTGCAGCACGGCCGACTGCTATTGTATACTTTCGAAAAATCAGGAACACGTAGGCTCAAGCTGCTTGTGTACAATCTGTTCAGCGTCGAATCTTGTACCAACAGCCTCGGTGCCACGCCGAGAGAAGTGAAGATCGAAGTCAGGCGACAAAGAAGCAGCGCGTTTCGACGCAACTCAAGAGCGAGCCCCCATCGATCTGTAGGGCTACGTCGGGATGGCGAACGACATCATCGTTATATCCTCGTCAGATGACGAAGACGTCAGATCAAAAGTGTCAGCACCATCTAGCAGCCGCGGATCGCAGTCAAACGCTGTCCCAAGCGGCTCCAAATCTACTAAACAAGCCTATCGAGAAGTTATCAATTCTGCGACGACGCGAGCTAAGCCATCACCTGATCACGATGCCGCTCGTAAAGCTCGGCTGCTACGTTTCGATGCTGGTGCACGCGATACGAAGCCGAGCATAAGTAACAATAGCAGCCTCAGTCCCTTGTCCGCTCCGAATCGGCACACTGGAGGCCAGCCGGATGCTAGAATTGACATACCCCTGTTTGAGCCCAAGGTCAAGTCAAAGGTCAAGAACGAAGACAAGCCCAGCGTCTCAAAGCGCTCGAACGTGGTTTCAGACAACGAGGATGAGCCAGAACAGACTGTGCTGGCTGAGGTTGAAGCGACGGTCACTTGCCATGGCTTCATCGGCCGAGATCTGCTCGAGCAGGAGCAGGATCTCATCATCAAGAGAGACATTAATAATCGCGCCGATAATAATTCTGTCCTTGTCCTGCTTGAACCTGATGTACCTCTTGGCTATCTCAATCGCGACCTTGCCCATCGCATCAATCTTGTCAATACTAGCGGTCACTTCGAGCTCAGGGCTAAAGAAAGTGGCCATGCTAGTAATCTCAACGCAAACCAGTGCTCCATCCTAATAAGTGTCAGCCTTCCATCATCAGATCATATGCGAACGCTGACGCTGAGCTAGTTTGTCGGCGCACAAGCCGATGTCTTGTCGCCCTACCTTGCCTGGATCCGGACTTATCCCGGCGGCCAGATATTTGACCACCATGTGCGCCCACCGCCGATGACGATGCATGATCTGCATAGGGTTCTCAACCGCCAAGCTGCAACGCTGACGGATGAGAATGGAGAAGTCATCGTGCCCGCCAACCCAGAGGATCTTACCGACATCTTCAATGCACCTGGCGAGGAAGATGCGAACGTGGAAGGCATCGCTCGAGTCGCACTCTTCGACAAATTTTTCGCGGCCAATCGTGATCTGGGCGATATGCCGGAACTCGTCCGTTCGCCCCCTAAGCTCAAGCCCGGTGTCGAGTTGCTCAAGTACCAATCGCAAGGCGTGCGCTGGATGACCCAGATGGAGCATCCGAAAGTACCCCAAGTGGGCGGAGCGCCAGTTCAGCTATGGCGCGCGACCGTTGACGACAAAGACCAAGTATTCTATAATTCGATGGTCGAAAAGACTTGGTGTCAACGCGAACCTCCCACTCTCGGACGAGGCGGCATTCTCGCAGATGCGCCTGGCTTGGGCAAGACCATCCAGATCCTTAGTCTGATCACCAACGAGCTTGATGGTTCAGATGCGCTGGGCGAACCTCAAGAGAAGGAGCTAGACGACCGCTATACAGGCGGTACACTCATCGTCTGTCCGCTGAGCGTCATCAGCAATTGGACAAAACGTGCGTGCGCTCAAGTAAGACTTTCAAACTGCTGACATTGTGACTTTTGCAGAGATCAGGACTCACGTGAAGAAAGGCACCTTGAAAGTTGGCGTCCACCATCGCTCGAACGAACGGTACGACCGCAAAGCACTCAAGCGGTTCGACGTGGTCATTACGACTTATGATACTTTAGCATCCGAGAACGGCCGCAAAAGCGAAAAGACCAAGAAGAAGCACAAGATCAAGACGGGCGAGGACCTGCAGGATCAGAAGAATGGGCCCCTTTTGCGAACACCTTGGCGTCGCGTCGTTCTTGATGAGGGACATATCATTCGCAATCATACGACTCGAAAGCACGAAGCAGCGGTCATGCTGGTTGCCGAACGTCGCTGGGTGCTGACTGGCACACCCATCGTCAATCGAACGGCCGATACGGGCTCGCTCGTCTCATTCATCCGCTCATGCAAGGCTTTGGACCAGACCCACCTTTGGAACAGACATATCGAGCGGCCCGTCAAGAAGGGCCAGCAGTCCGGACGTCGCCTCTTGCAAGCCGTCGTTGATTCGACGACGCTGCGACGCTCAAAGGAGATGCGCGACGAGAATGGCGAGCCCTTTGTACAGCTGCCGAAAATCCAATACATCGATCACACAGTGACAGTCTCGGACGAGCATCGCGTGCAATATGACAAGCTCGAGGCTTGCTTTCGCGCTGCTTACAAGGTCATTGTTCAGCGGGATGACGGCACGCATCATCAAATGCAGATGCTCAGCTGGCTACTACGACTGCGTCAGGCTACATGCGATCCGGCCCTCGTACCTCGCAGCATGATAGACGAAGCCAATGCCGTCGCGCTCGCCGTAGAGCGTGGCGAGCTAGACGAAGGAGACGGCAGTGGGATAGCAATTACTGGCGCTCGGCGAAAGGAACTCGTGAAGACCTTGCGCCAGCAACTCGCCGACTATCCGGATCTCGACTGCCCAATCTGCTCAGATGCTCTGCGCAACGATAGCCGCGAGCCAACCATCACTGCCTGTGCTCACATCTACTGTGCAGCTTGCATAGAGGAGTGGCTCGATGCAGCAGCGACGACGGGTCGAGCTCGTGATTGTCCAACTTGTCGGTGCAAGCTCAGCAAGAACTCCCTGCTCAAATTGCCTCCCGATGACGAAGGCGAGGACCCACAGATCGGCGAAGGCGACAACACTGCCCAGCAAGGCGACGGTATGAGTGGCAGTATGCCCTGCAAAGCCATCGAGCTCGCCAAGATCCTGACCACCACAGCACACGATCCGACGATCAAGTCGCTCGTCTTTTCGCAATGGACGTCACACCTCGACATCATCGAGAAACAGCTCGACAGGATCAAGATTGCATACTGTCGAATCGATGGCACTATGGATCAGCAGACCCGCGAGCAAACGATCGATCTCTTCCAGAGTGATGACGAAGTCACTGTCATGCTGCTCTCGCTACAAGTGGGCTCTCTCGGGCTGAATCTGACAGCTGCTTCGCAGTGCTTTCTCATGGACGTGAGTTGATGTGCGAGACCTTGTAACGGCGCTGACTGGGGCACAGCCTTGGTGGGCGTCTGCTATTGAAACGCAAGCGGTCGACCGCGTGTGGCGCATCGGACAGACTCGCGATGTCAAGATCTTCCACATGAGGATGGAAAATTCGATCGAGCAGCGTGTTATCGAAATCCAGCAACGCAAGGAAGCCATTGTCAACCAAGCTTTTGCAGGCACTGCCAATGCCATCACGATACAACAGCGACAAACGACGCGTCTACGCGAGATTGGAGAGCTCTTTGGTATCACTCGCGAGCAACTCGACGCTATGCCAATCGGTGGCCGTCGCCGTATGCCTGCAGCTAACGATGACGATGACGGCGCTGTAGGTCGCGTCGCAGGGCAAGGTCGCACACTCAGCGGCAATGGTGCCGCCGAACGGGCAACGCGTCGATCTGACGCAAACGAGATTCTTCCCGTCCGTAGGGACGACACAAGTGACAATGATTGGCTTGTCGATGACGATGATCCAATCGAATATGCCTCTTCAGAGGAAGAGCGACAGGCAGAGAAGGCTCGCAAGCGCAAGCGCAAAGAGATGCTACGCAATAAAGACCACAGCGAGACAGAGGAGGAGGAAGAGTCTACGCTTGTTGCTTCGGATTCGACCAAGTTTGCCAGCAAGAGAAAAGCAAAGGCCATCGAGTCCGAAGCACAAGAGGCAGAGAACTTGGCCGACCGCAAGGGCAAAGGCAAAGCTGTGGCATGGCCCCGGCCTCCCCAACGTACCGACACAGACGAGATCATGAAACTCAATGACGACTCTGATGAGGAGCTGCCAAATGTAGACGATCTTCCGCGCCTACGCAGCCTGTCTTCGCAGGCAAGAGCCACTGGCTCTTCTCAAGCCAAAAGCAATGGTACGACGAATGGCGCGGCCAACTCAATCCACTCAAAGATCGACGATGACGAGACTGAGACTGAAGACGAAGACTAGAGCACGGCTGATCTGTTGTCATGTTGTTTGTTATGTAAATGCCCCTGTTCTTGTTCGCGCGCGCGTAGAACGATGGCGACATCGCGGAACTCGTCGAACAATCCCATCATGAACTACCTCAAATTTGAGCAGCTGGCGCAATGACCAAGAGGATTTGCGTCATCGGCTACGGGTCGGCAGGCCTTGTAGCTGTCAAGACTTTGCAAGATCTGCCGATAGAGCTGCGACGAGACTACGATGTCGTCATATATGAAGGAAGGGAAGCGCTCGGCGGTGTATGGCTGCCAGAGGAGCACATCAGACCTGCTCCAGACTTGCCCATGACCGGTATCTATCCAGACTTACGCGCCAATACGCCGGTCAACATGATGACCTATCCGGATCTGCCATTCCCCAAGGGTACAGATCTATTCCCGCATCATTCCAAAGTGCTGCGGTACCTGCAAGACTATGCACGCATCTATAGCCTCGAAGCATCCGGCCAGACTGTCTTGAAGGCATCACCGTATTGTAGCTCTGATGGCTCTTCGGCCGCTTCACGAGAGTCACTCGAGACTGGCGCGACTTCTATATCTTCATTGCCGCCGCAACATCATGTACAGACAGATTCAGCCACACGGCCTGCGCAATTCATCTTGCATCCCCTGAAGAAATCTGTGCGCTATCAGACGAAAGTCAATTGCGTCATCTGGTAGGGCACCCAGTGGGCAGTGACGACTGTGCATAATCCTCCTTATAAAGGCGCGAGTCCTGCTCAAACAGCGGTACGCTCTGCATCAAAGCACGACGAAGACGATGTCGACAAGCCAGATAATCTACGGGAAATGACAGAGCATTTTGATCATGTCATTGTCGCGACTGGCCACTTCCACTATCCCTCAATTCCGCATTGGCCGGGCGAGCAGGATTGGCTAGACAGCACGCCTCCATCTGCTGCTTACCAACGCAGGATCATGCATTCGGGTGCATACAGAGGGCCTCAAGACTTCGAGGATCAAATCGTGCTAGTTCTCGGTTCGGGTCCAAGTGGACTTGACGGCGCCCTTCAAATTCGAAGATATGCTCGAAAGGTTTATCATTCTTACAACCCGAGCGTGAAGCTATCTCCACAGTGGCCTTTTGAGCGCAAGGTCAAGATCTCGCATTTCACCCGTGAGTACATTGTCTTCCTTGATGGCTCAAGCCTGGATGAGTACGCTCCGGATCTGCCCCTTTGAGCCGTGCTGATAGGCTCACAGCGTTGACACGATCTATCTGGGCACTGGCTTCGAAATTCACTATCCTTACCTCGAAGCCGGCGGCCTTGTCAAGAGACATACTGCCTTTGACCTGCCCGGCTGGGATGGTATGGTCGATTCAAATTTCTACTTGCGCCCGTTGTGGGAACACACCTTGTCACTCTCGCCCCTTCATCCTCTCACTGCGCTGTCATTCATCGGCATCCCAATGGCAAACTCGTATCGCTTTTCCAATGCTGTTCAAGCGCTCCTTGTCGCATGGACGATTGCTCGACCAGACATTCTGCCCGCACGTGAAGAGCTCTTCAGGCAGCTCGAGACGCAAGAGCAAGCGACGCTTGCGAAGGGACGACCGTTGGAAAAGCTAGGTCACCGGATGGGCGATCCTGCGGCAGGCGAGTCTGAGATCTATCAGACCCGAGTGCTCGAGTTCTTAGCACAAGCGGGCGTGCCTATCGATCCCGCTCTCATCGAGCCACTGGTTCTTTGGCGGATGGAGGTACGCAAAGACTTCTGGCTGTGTCTTCGCGGCTGGCATCGCCTCGAGAAGCTTGGCATGGCGCAAGATTGGCTCAAAGACACTGAGGGCGACGAGGGCTATGCTCAGCTCACTCGCCGCGTCATTGCGTGGCAAAAGGCATGGGAAAAGGTCCATCGAGCACCACAGCAAGAGGTGAGCACCGCTACTGCTCGTTACATGATCTGCTCAATATGGAGCGGCGCAGATAAGCGGCTGGGATTAGCACGTATTGCATTAATCAGCATGATAAAACTACGCGCGTCACGTCCCACGTCGAGACGGCAGCTGATCACACAGTCTGGCAACGGTTCCGCGCTGCCATATGGTTGCTCAGACAACGCAATGTTCCGCTGCACGCACAGAGGGTCATCTGTTGCCGGCGGGTCTTTGAGCACCCTGCAGGACTGCATCGCCTCGCTCGAGTCATAAAAGCAGCGTCTCGTTGGCTATCACCTCCATCGACCAAGCCATACAAAATGCTGACCACCTCCTTCGTCTTCGCTGCTCTTGCTTCTGCTGCCCTCGCAACGCCCCACCTCCACGCCAAGAAGGATGCATTCCACAGGTATCAATGCCTACGACTGATCCCTTCCTTCGCTGAGAGATTGGCGGGTCAGCGGTTGCTATGCATACGAGACAGAGAAGGGCGCACACTTCAGCATCTCTAGCGGTGCGGTCAAATACTTCAATGACAAGCATAGCAGCAAGGACATCCTTGGCCCCAAGACAGTCAATGTTGGCAGCCTCTACTCACGACATGAGAATGAGCTGACGCTGACGAACAGGACTCTCCGGGAATTTGCGGCCATTACTACGACTCGACAGAGATCATCGGAGCTTGCCTCTGGTCGGGCAGTATGTCTTCTCTTCAAATACGAGGCATGGGCTGACCTTTCGTGCAGCTGGCAACGGAGCTGACCCTGCGGCGTCCGGCTGGCTGTCTGGCTCTGTCTCTGAGAACTGCGGTACGTACCTCTCGCCTCTGGTAGCACTTGTACTCATTGTGCACTACAACAGGCAAGAAGGTAAGCATCAAGAACGCTGCCAACGGCGCCGAAGTCGTAGCAACGGTCGTCGATGGCTGCGGGCTGTATGCCAAAGACTTCAAGTCGGGCTGCCCTCAGGTATGTGCTCTGATCAGCATTGCATCAAGCACGCTGACAACATCCAGGTATGGACCACGATCGCTGCCTTCAACAAGCTGGCGACAAAGGAGGAAGCTGAAAAGTCAGAGATCGCCAAGCTCGAATGGAAGTGGCTCGATCAGCCCATCTGAGAACAGCGCGAGCAGAGGAGTTGTGGATACGATTGCATCCGCAGCCTCAAATGAAATACCTTGAAGCTTGATCAAGCTTGAAGCTTTAAGTTTGACGAAAGCTTGCAAGCGCGACCGGCACGACGCGTCGTGGTTGTCTTCGCTTGAGGACAGAAAGAGCCACGAGTCGTATCGGGATGAGATGAGGAGGGCAACGTTTGGCCCCACCAATGTGCCGCTGCTGCCGGAGCCCAGCAATGCGGGCTCACCAGTATCGGCGGCGCAACGTCGGCGGATGTCTGACAAGACGGCATCTGGTCTGGGACTAGGATGGAGCAAAGGATACCTTGGCAGCGTCTACCGAGCCAAGGCAGGCTCTCCACCGCCGGGGATAGCACCCAGACGACGATCGGCCCTCACGCGAAGGAATGTACTGGTCTGGTTGTTGCTCGGACCGGGACAGAGAGTGTTATTGCTCCTCAGCGTGTTCACGCTTGGCATCCTCATCTCGCCCTACATATCGAGTCCGGACGAGGGCATCACGAGCTTCACAGATCCGAACGAGAGCAAGTATGCGCCCGTCAAGAGCTGGGCACTTGTAGATTTCGTCCTCGGCACGTCGAGGAAAGAGGCGGCTCGGCTTCAAAAAGCACAGGCGATACTCGATCGAGTGCTGCAGCCAATAGAAGGCGAGGAGGAGCCAGCCATACCCAGCTTGACCAGCCGAGAGCGTGACAGTGTGCTGCCCGTCTTGCCGCCCAGCTCAGAGCCTATCGACGACTACATACTTGACGGTAACGGCCTGCTCTATTTCCCCAATATCCCGAGTGAAGTCGATCCTTCCATCGAGGATGCCGCGCATGCTCAGCGATCTTTCCAGACGGCAGCCAACAATCCTGCAAACATACGCCATCCGATACTGTATCTCATAGAGCGCGCTGAACGCGAATGGGACAGCCTCTTGTCGCGACAAAGCAAGTCACTCTCGGAAGCGGTCACAGAATATCGACGGCGATATAAGCGAGCGCCCCCACGAGGGTTCGATAGGTGGTATCGCTTCGCAATCGCTCGCGACGTGATCCTCATTGACGAATATGACAATATTCAGCGCGATATTGAGCCATTCCAAGCTCTGCCTGCTCACACCCTGCGCAAACGATCAGACGAATTGTCTGGAGATCGGAGCAGCCCATTCTCACAGTCTCTTTTCACGATCCGCATACGACAGGGCGAGATCAAGGCGGTCACTGGACCAGAGAGGCAGCATTCTCGCGCAGAAGATCAAGCGGGTCTCATGGAGCCTTTTGTTGACGGTCTGCCAGATCTTGATATCAACTACTCTGTACACGACGGACCGTCCATCTTGATACCCGGCGAAGCTCGTCAGAGGCATCTCTTGACTGCGCGTACAGGCAGTAAGCTTGCGCCTCTACACGCCGACGATGTACATGACACTGCCGACTTTCCCGGCTGGCATCGTGCTTGTGCGGTGGGCGCCCCCTTGCGAAAGGCTCTCATGGGCACATCGGATAGCCAGGCATTCATGCAGTCACCTAGCTTTATCTGGCAGCACGAGCGCGCTATGGATCTCTGCCTTCATCCCGAGCAACAGTACAAACACGGCTTTACAGCTTGGCAAGGCCCCGGACCTGCACGCCTGTACCCCCTCTTCTCCTTCTCGAAGACGTCCATGCACTCTGATCTTCTCGCTACGCCGCTCGAGCAATTCGGCAGCAGAGTGGGAGATGATCCACCGTGGGATGAGAAACCGTATGACTCCATGCTCTGGCGAGGATCGTCGACGGGAGCTGACCACAGCAAGGGCACGCTCTGGAAGAGTAGCCAGCGCGCTCGCCTGGTCGCACTCGGCATGGACGGCTCGAGGAACGCGACATTGCGATGGGCAGACGGATCGGGGCGGCTCAGGCAGACTGTTGCTTCTTCGCATGCGCTCAATACTGCTTTTCTTGATGTCGCCTTTGCAGGCGAACCGACACAGTGCAACGTGAGCATGTCGCAGATTGATATGAGCAAAGCTGATGCCTAAAGCAGCACGGCGATGGCACTTGCGCGATATTGAAGCGCGACTACCGTTTCGAAGACAGCATGGGACCGAGTGAAGCGAATCTGTACAAGTATGCCTGCTTCTAGACTGTCCTCTCCTTCATCTGACCTGTGAGCAGGTTTGTATTCGATACAGATGGCAACGGCTGGTCAGGTCGATTCCATCGGCTGATGTCTTCGAATGCGCTCGTGCTCAAGAGCACGATCTTTCCGGAATGGTACAATGGCCGTATCATGCCCTGGTATCACTATATACCCGTCAAGGTCGATCTAGAAGATGTCTACGACATCATGGCCTTTTTCACCGGCGACCTTAGCGGTAATGATCATCACGAAGCGCTCGCCCAGCAGATCGCCGCGCAAGGCAAGGCATGGGCTGAGCAACACGTACGTCCCTCGTTGCCCGCTGATGAGCGTGGGATAGGGCTGATGCAGGACTGTGCAGTGGAGAATGGAAGACATGCAAGCCTACACTTATCGACTCTTGCTCGAATATGCACGCGTTATGAATCACGACCCACAAGACCCAACGAGCTGGGATTTCGAGCTCTGACGAGTCACGTCACACTTTACACACTCACGATGCAATGCAGGCTGTTGTAAGATTACAAGCGACATGGGTTGCTGACCGATCTATGCCTTTCGACGTGCGAATGTTGCAGAGGGATCGCTGAGCAGGTTATCAAGCCAGGCATCGTCCGCTCTGTCCGAACGGGTTGACGCAGAAGCAGATGCAACAGTCTGACGAGGTTCCTCTCGCTCTGGTGCACTGGACGGCTCGCTATCATCAAGCGTTGCGCCGGCTAGCAGATCGTCAAGCTGGTCATCGCCATTCAGTAGGTCACGATGGTCGTCGTGCTTAACAGTATCTGGCCTCAAATTGAATTGAGGCAGCTTGCCACGCTTTTCACGAGCTGTCAGATCGGCATTGGAAGGCGTGTAGGCTCCACCGGCTTCAAAGCGTTCCTTGAGCTGCTGAAACGCTGCATGCTCGTCTCGCTGTGTGCCCAGCTCGGCGTGCTCCGATGGGTCATCCAATCGTATCGCTTTGCCCTTTGCGTCATGTCGTATTCGATCTATCCCTCTGCGTTCATGTGACGCACCACCATGACGCTCAAAGGTGACAGTCTCCTCTTTTGGCTCGGGCGGGCTGTCGGCCTGACTTTCTTGGGAGCGCTGCTTGGCAACGAAAGCGGCGAGCTCGGCTTCTTCATGCTGTCGCAAGGCTTCTTGCTCTTCGATCTCTTCCTCTGTCAGGTCGCTGTCTGGACCAGCAGGTACCCGCTGCTTGATCGGCGTGATTCTCGGTCTATGCTGAGCGTTCTCATCGTCAGACTCTTCGTTCGAATCGTCCCCATCCACCTCATCATACTGTAGCCCTTGGGACGTCACGCCCTCACCATCGAGCTCGTCTGTCGTGCCTGCATCTGTCGATTCCAGCAGTCCTCGTCTCCGTCCTCGATCTACGCCCCTTTGACCCCAGCTGCCCCCGAGCGTCGGCTCTGGCTTGGCAGCGAGCAGACCTTTGCGCTTCTTGGCCAGATAGGACGCCTTTGCGCCGTGCTTGTCCTGCAAGACCATCAGCCGTTCGAAGCAGTGACGCAATTCCGCGCGTCGTCGTCTCGTTGCCAATTCGAGCGAGCCTCGAGCTCTCAGCGCTTGCTGTCAGCCAAGCGTCATGGCCTTCTATACGCTCTCTGCCGTCGGTCTCGCATTGCTGCTGGTGTTGGGTAGGCCGACGGCTTTGCGACAGAATGCGCAGGCTGACCGTGTACGGGCAGCCATCTACTACTATCGAGGCAGGCTCCTGCTCGCTCTCCCGCCATCATTGCAGAGCCGGCTGAAGCACTATGCCCCCGTCAGCTCCTTCGAATCCGCCCTCGAGCAAGGCTACACGTCTGCCGAGTTTGATCTGAGCGGCAATGTGGATGGCTCTGATCCGCGAGCGGGACTGGACGAAGCCGCGCTGGAGGAAGTCAGACGGATCATGGACGGCCGAGGCTGCACGTTCGATCAAGCTCGCCTGATAAGGCATCAGCAGCATCTACGCAAGAACGGCATCGGTCCAGACGGTCGTCCACTCGACCCAAAAGCAATCACCTCGCTTGCTTAAACGCGAGGCTATACCTCTTCTCCCTCTGTCAGTTGTTGTTCGACCTTGTAATGCATGTACAACATTTACACTGCACTTTGCGAGCGATCTAGACAGATGATCAGATGAATAGTTCGGGATCCTGCCCATCATGTGGCAGGAGATTCTCTGGCCCAACGGGTGTGGCGGCCAGAGCTGGGCGAGAGAACAGTGTTTGGCTCACTTCGGTATCAGGAGAGTCATCGCCAAAGTTCCGAAGGCGGCGGTCGACCAGATAGACCTCATCTTTGATTCGTGCTAGCCACATCTTGGCGTACTTTGACATTGAGCGCGAGACAAGATGAGCCGAAAGCAGGCCTCCGGCAAGTTTGTACACGGACGAGGTGATGCCTTGAGCGTGCGTCGGGTAGAGATGAGCAAGTGCGCTGGCGATGATGGCGGGTGCAGCGACCATGCCGAGCATACTGGTGAAGAGCGGCGCGATCAAGTTCTCGTTGAGGAGAAGCATCGTCTTGACGTAGCCCCGTCCTTCATCGTGATAGAGCGCGTTGTGAGCCTGTAAGCATTGTTCAGCTTCAGTCGAGCTTGTATGAACAAAGACATACTGTTATCCTGACATGACGCGGCACGAACGGCTTGAGGCCGAATCGCTCCTCGTATGCCCACAAGAACGCCAATGTGATGGCCCCTTCCGTCCATGCGCGCAGAAGCGTGATCTCGACAACGAGTGCGCCAGACGATGACCGTGCAACGACAGTCGCTAGAATAGTGCGTGTGCAGATTGCCATGAGCACGGGCATGATGAAGCTCGCGACGACGCCGAAGTAGATCACACCCAGTCCTCGCCGCAGAGAATGTGCAAGGGCCGTGGGCGACAGATCTGTCGAGCGGTGAGACTGAACGGCTCGGGCCGTCGCAGTCGCTAACCCGTAGACGCCGAGCACTAGGTAGATACCTAGGAGAAGAGCGTGTGCGTCGTGCACTTGTCGGCCAAACAAGATCTCGCCCGCTAAACGACCGGTAAGCACTGTGAAAGGCTGCAAAGTTAGCTCTGTAGGATGACCGCAGAGGGGCACTGACATGGTACGACGAGAGCAGTCGTGAAAGCGATGCTACCCGTCAGCCATAGCAAGTAGCCGAACAGGAAGACACGCTGATAGAATTGCGGCGGAAGGTAGACCACAGTAAAGTGGTTTGCCGTGCCAGCATCGTGATTCTGGGCCTCTACGTGCGCGATGTTGCGAGGTTCGAGAGGCTGGGACGCTTCGTCGACGAGTATGACCATCTTGCGGCCTTTGACGACCTTGACGATATCTGAAGCTGGTACTCGAGCGAGATGGCCACTCGGTCGGGGAGCAGAGCTCGTGTCTGTCGACGGTCGGGCTGCATGTGTCCGCCACAGACGCTGCCATGAGTCTCCTCGTGCATGACTGACTTCTTCATCCGGCCGGCGTTTGCCAAAGAGGAAGGACGAAAGGCGCAGTTGATGCGCTGTAAGTTTGCACCAAGCGACGAAAAGTCGCCATACTTTACTGCGTGGCCTGCAAAGCTTGATGGTGGGCGGGACGAGGGCGTATACGAACAGGTAATCAACTGGTCCGCTCGTCATCGACAAGGCACTGTCCATCCGCAAAGGCAGAATTCCTATGGCTTGTAGGGCGTAGACGGGGCAGCCAATGACAAGCAAGATGACAATAGCATATAGCAGCGCGCTCTTGATGAGCTTGCCGATCTGGGTCAATGTCGAAGCAGTGAGGATGTCTTTGATCGGATGCGCCGCTGGATCCGACGGATCCTTGATGAACCATAGAACGCCCTCTCTGAAGGTGACTCGACAGAGATCGATCCAAAGCGCAAAGGTATACATCAGGCAAGTACCGGCCAACCAGGTCAAGAAAGTCGCGGTGCAAGGTGCCAGCAAGAACATCCTTGCCCGAGATGTCAGAGTCGAGCCTGCTATCAGAGGTACGCTGCATGCGTTCATGAGGCAGCCGCAGAGCAAGGGAAAGACGAAGAGTTCGACGATGATGAACATGGTTACTTTCCACAGCTGTAGCGCTTGCGTGATCGTCTTGATGACTTCTTGGCGCAACATCCGTGTAGTCACACTCGGCAAGACGAAGATGGCGATGAGACCTAGCGTTATGATAGAGGCGTGGCCGAGCGCGACGCAACTGAGCCGTCCTATCACAGAAGGACTGCACACGGCATCAATGACAGGATCGACGAGGCTTTGACTGTGCAGAGCCTCGCGAAGGGAGTAGTAGCTCTGCTTGATGTCGCTCGATGTGTCGTTTGCAAGCGTATGCTGACGTATCAGAGGCACAATGTGTCGCTGCCATGTTTGACTATTCGACAGAAGCGGCCATGATTTTGCTGACAGCTTGAGGACAAGTCGGACGACGGGATCTGTCAGCGTCTTGACTGCACGTATCGGTGCGGAGACGGCCTGCAAGGGTATACTCCTGAATGTCCATGCCATGTTGCCAGCCAGATAAGGTAGCCAGACCGTCAGCGAGAGTGCAAACATCATGGCTAAAACGATCAGAGCTGCGTTTTGGAAAAGCACGATCAGACTAACAAGCGATTGTCAGCACGGCAGACATGGAGTAGAAAAGGCTCGCTGACCTTCCACGCATACCGACCGCTTCGAGCAATCCTTCGAGCTCGTCGAAACGTTCGCCGTCGAATGCATCCTCTTCAGCGTCTTCATCCGCCTCGACGAAGGGATGATCGTCATCATCCTGTTCTTGAAATATGCCTCGGGGCGGTTGAGGGGGCGGAGGAGCGGGTACCCAACGCACAGGCCGAGCAGCCGCCCCACGCAGAGCATCTGGCTCGCGACGATGTAAACGTGTATGAGGCCGCGCATCGGTCCAGTCTTGCTGCGCATCGTCGTCTATCTCTTCACCATCGAGTGTCTCCTCGTCGACCCATGCCGCATCGTCTTGGGTAGGTAGAGGTGGTACAGCTAGCGCTATAGCCTCGTTCGGTTCTGGCAGGGGCGCGTTCTGCATGACCCATTCGCGCAAGAGAAAGACGAGGATGAAGGCAATGACGATGGCGGCGGCGATGATCTGCCCCTTGAAGGCCTCTTTGCCGAGTCGCTTGAGGACTGGTTTGATGGATTCAAAGTCCTGTCGCTTGAACCAGCCAAGGCTCTTGCTGCTGACCATGACGCGATGGGACGGTGCCAATATCGGCGTATCCGCGTGGCTCAAGTGGCGTGTCCAGATTGATCGAAGCACTTTCCAGGCTTGTAGGTCGTGTATGCGTAGCTCGCCTTGCCATGGCGCTGCGCGACCGGTCTCGCTTGACCATGGCGAATAAGGCACGGGCAGCCTGAAGATTCGCTTTGACGCCTCGAGCGGCACAAGAGGCCCATCGTCATTTGATCGCGCAGGATCTAGCCTGACTTGATATACGAGCCCAGCGCATTGACTGTATCGCGTTGCGAGAGGCGCAAGGAAGTGATTCTTCTGCAACGGCCCCGTATACGGCGTGAAGCCCGTCGTGTTGCTGACGTCCGAAAAGCTGAAGTGAGGCCAAGCAGATTGTACCACATTGTGTACAGCTTCAAGGACTGGATATCTTTCGCTTCTCAAGGCCGAGGCAGCTCGTTCGTACACCCAATTCGACACTGTATCGTCCCTAAGGGGCAATGCGCGTTCGAGGTAGCGGGCCGTTGCTGGAGCAACTGGCTGCTTGAGAGCCCTGATAAGGCCCAACTGGAGTGCGGCACCACCGAATCTGATGAGGGGTAGATCTGTTGCGCCTTGGCACGACAGCGTGAGGTCGTACGCCGAACGATCGTCGCCTGAGCGCAGGCGCGTGTAATCGACCGTCGTCAGAGACGATGCAGTGGAGTCCAGACCGGCATGATCACTCGCAGGCAGTGTGCACCACCAAAAGAGCGTCCAGATCCACTCTGTAATGAGAGGTACTGCCAGGAGCCATATGCCAAGGACGACAAATGCGCGCGCGATGAACAAGGCCAGGTAGAGGAGATGTACTGCCGCTCTGCTGACGATGATGCGCAGCGGCAGAGCTGTTGCGGGCGGCATATCCGTCGCATAGATCGATGTAAACTTGAACGGCGTATTGCAGAGTTCACAGTGATCCTTGTGGGAGTGTGAGAGCCATTCGACGAGGCATCCTTGATGAACATGTCTGATCGATCCGCTACATCGACAAGGCTGATAGAGGGGATCGTCAGGCTCACTCGGTGCTCTACAGACTCTACAGATGTCCTCCTGACTTGATGCCATCGTGGATGACCGCTGTACTGCGCTCGGTCTTGCAGTCGTCGGAAACGTGTCTGTATCTGCTATCGTCTCTTCATCAGACCCGAGAGGGTCCGAAGGATCCATGCTGGTCAAGTCCAGAGGGTGTACTCCCTCAGACTGGCTCGGTTCTGCCGGCACTGCCGCAGCACGTCAGCACGTGACGCGTTGCGTTTGATTTGTGGCGAGCGGCGAACGGCAGAGCGGCTCATCAGATGCATCGAAAGATGCAGCTATACGTGCACTCCATCTGAACAACACAATCCGGGGTATATCTACACGGGTGCATTGCGGAGCGAACCACCTTTCTTGTAGTTGCTCTTCCACATCCACTCGACGTGCGCGATGTGACCGCTCGTCTTCTCGGCGTCTGTCGCCAGCTCGTTGAAGGCAGCCACGGTGAACCAGATATCAGTACATCCGTCTGCATGACCGTCTGCCTGGAATGCGCATCCGTCGACGACAGGCAGGTCGAGTGTCTTTCCATTCGTCGTCACGGTGACCATCTTTCGGCAGTTGCTCGTCTTCTCGCCGCTGAGCCAGCCCGAACGATCGAGAGGCGTGATGCCGTCTCTGGCCAGACCGTTCCAGAGGCAGACACCGAGATCGGTCTGGCTGTCGTAGTACTTGCTACAAGCGCCAGGATCAGACTTTTTCGTTGCTGGGCCTGCAATGTTCAGCGAGTCCTTCGTCTTGAGGACGAAGGCGGGCGTCATGGTGGCGACGTTGGTGCCACCCGGGACTGATCCCTGGTGGTGCTTGAAGTACTTGTAGCATCCTGTGTGCTCTGTACGCTTTTCGTGCGACACGGGCGTCTTCACCAAGTCGGCCAGTGCGATGCTGCAAAGCCCAAAGATCGTCAATGTCTTGGCGATCATCTCTGTCGGTGAGGGTCAGCAAGCTAGACATCATCGATCGAACGCCACTCACTGTAGTCGGATATGTCAGTAGCAAGGCAGAGAGGCTGAAGACGGGGAGGGACGACCGTATCCAGAGTCGTCGTCGAGACTCCGTCGCCTTATCGCCCTTGTTCATGCTTCACGACGCGCGTAGGCACGGACGCCCTCTGGTGCTGCCTCTGAACTCACTCACAGCCTCGCATCTTCCTTCCCTTCGTCTCTTTTTGTTGACTCGCACCCAAGATGCTCAGCTCGCTTGCCGTCACCATCATCGTCGCCACTTGCATCAACGCTCAGATCCATTCGTCAGTCGTGTGCGCGCGTCAGTCTGACGAGGACTCATGCTCGTGCAGACAATGCTACACCTACTACGCATCCCAAGGCTCTCTGCCCGCCTCTTACAACACAACGGCAGTGGGCTACCTTCCTGAGCCTGTAAGCTTTCGTGCCCGACACATCAAAGCGCTGGCTCAACAGCCAGCAGAGCGGTCCCGGTGCTTGTGGTACCTACAAGTCGTCAGACGTTGCTGCTTGCCTCTGGTCAGGTAGCGCTGCAGGTGCTACTACCGGTGGTTGGATGTGCGTCTCTTAGACTGCGGTCAGACACAGCTCATCTTTTAAGCGCAGCAACCCTGCCGCTGCTTCCAACTGTGGCAAGAGCGTCATCATCACGGCCAATGGCAAGACTGCTCAGGGACATGTTGCAGATGGATGTCACTTTGGCACCGCTGAAGCCTCATCCGGCTGTCCTCGCATCCTCTTGACCCTCGGAGTATGTAGACCCATCAAGTCGAACTCGCGCTGATGTCTCAGCAGGCTTTCGATGCTCTCGCAACGACTCAGGACGTCGCCAATGGCAATGTCGGCTCGCTCACGTGGTCTTTCGCGAACGAACCCATGTGATCCAATCCTGCCGAGACGCTACAACGCTCGACTTAGCCGTTGTACGGACATCTGGGTGCATTCGTCTGATGGCAAGTGACGTAGGTCGAATCGGCGCAGACGACCGACGTGCCGGTATGGTCGCGCGTGATGCCACTGCCGATCTGATTGAGCGCATTCAATCAACGACCTCTCTGTACACGCACTTGCTACACATCAGGTTGGTCGTCGAGCAGGCTGTCCACTGTGACAGGATGTTGCAGTCCTTACTACCCATGATCTGGTACCAGCCCGGTCCGGTATTGGGCATCCCTACCCCATCAGCCCTCCTAAGCAAGCCAGTGATTGCCAACTCACCGACGAGCTTAGAGCTCTGCGCATTGGTCGCTGCACCAAACCATGCAAGCACAATCAGAATGACGAACATGCTGACCGATAGATCGTGTCGGCAACCGGACGGGCGGGCTTGTCGACCCAAACGCGCCGTTGCTACCCCTTCCGCCTGTTTGCATCGCCTAGCTTCCGTCAGCAACGTACTATAAAACGAATGATGACTGATGGGTCCCACACTGCTCGATATGCTCGGACTCGTCGGTGCACTGTTGGTCTCTTCGGCTTTCGCCCTACCTCCACACCGCGGCCTGGAGATACCAGTCAAACGCAAGCTCACGCAGGATGGTTTGCTCAACGAAAGGCTACGCAAGCGTACCAATGTGGCCGTTGATACGTATGCCCTTCTCGGCCATGACCGCTTCTGCTCTTGATGCTAGCCCAGATGGGAGATCAACGGGTTCTACCTGGACCTGACCATCGGGGCGACAAAGTACACCAACTTGTTGATCGACACTGGCTCAGCCGTGACCTGTGCGTCTCATCGCTTTATCTTTGGCGAGTGCTGACAATGCAGACAGTCGTCTCGCGTAAGCTTGCCCTCTGTCGCTATCATGGTCCTTAACACTCAGCGCGCCTAGCTTACACCGGCTCGTCCACCGCGACCAATACGGGTGTAACCTTCAAAGAGGTTCGCTGCATCCAGCGATGCTTCATTAGCATGCTGAGAGGCAGTGCAGACGTTTGCAGATGGCAGCGTCGCGACAGGTACGATTTGGGAGGATCAAGTCGAGTTTGGCGGTATCAAGTCAAAGCTCGCTTTCGGTGGCTATCCCAGCAAGACAAGAACTGCGCCAATGTAAGGTCTTGCTGTTGGCCTTTGCTGAGCTGACCGAGATGAGCAGTCCGAACGACAAGAATGGCATTTTCTCCATGGGCACTGAGCAAGATCTCTCGACTGTCTTGATTAATGCCGGCACACAGCACATCGGTACCATACCCGCCCAGCTTGCAGTGCAGAAGATCATTCCAGCTAATCTGATCCAGCTCAAGTTCATACCCGATGGCTTTATCGGCGAGTCAACCGATGGTGGTGCAATGAGCCTGGGCGCTATCGATACTACTTTCCTCACCTCGCCCATCACGTATACGCCCCGACTGCCCGGCTTGAAGGGTCTAGATGGGAAGATCATCGAGTATTGGGCCGCTTCGGTTGAGCTTCCTTCGCTCGGGCTGCTCAAGACCAACGCCAACAAAGCATTCACTTTGATCGATTCAGGTACAACGTATACCCAAATATTCGAAACGCCTTTCAAGACGTAAGCAGTCACGTACTGCGGTACCACTGACTGATATCCCACCAGCTGGTTGGCCAAGATCCCGGGAGCATTCTACAACGCTACAGCCGGCGCAACGCAGATTCCAAAGACGTCACTTGCAAAGATTCCGGCTCTCGATTGGACCATAGAAGGCAAGACATTCACTGTCTCTGGTCAAGCGCTCCTCGTCGGTGATGCCGTCGTGTCTGGCTTCAATCTTAACCCAGCGTACCTCTGGTCGTGAGCTTACGCGTGGCTTTGTTTGAAATATCTGATGCGGACATGACAGCTACGTGCAATCGACGGGCTCGGATGCGGGCATGCAAATTCTAGGCACATACTCGCTGACGTACATCAGCGTCATTCTCGATGCCAGCTCGGCCGTGCCTCGCCTTGGCTTCGCAAAGACGAAGTACTCGCCTGCTTAGTATGGAATGTGAACTTTGTACATGCAACTAGACTCCCCTGAGCATGGCCTGCGCATAAGGAGGACTGATCTCAGTACAAAGCAATGACATGCTGGCGAGCTCGATGGGTCTATGAATGCCTGAGTGATGCGGCCCATAACATGCTGAAGTATGTGCTGAATAGACGCGACACGCGACGTCTGTCAGCGCTGTCAGCGCTTGTCAGCTGACTAGCGCGACTCGATCGTGCTCCACGTCGATCCTCGATGGTTCTGCGTCCAAGCGTGCGCCGATCAGCAGAGGTGCATGCATCGCACATTCGCTATCTTCATAGTCTTCAACAACTCCCAATGAGGCGAATGCCGACGTCTGCTCCGTCAGCTTTGGTGTCGTCACCCCCCGTTAATCATTACCAAGCGTTATGTGACTTGCCTCACGGAGCGCAAGACGAGTAACATCCGCCAGAACCAACATCGTTATGGCGTCGCAGCACCAGCTGGTCCCAGTGTCAGTCTGACACGCCGTCGCTCTGGCTTCGGTCGCGCGCGCTTATAACCTTGCGCCGCTCATTCGCCGCCAAACTCGAGCCGCACCATGCTCGCTCGTTCGATCTATTGCGCTGCGCTGATTGCAGCAACGCGAGCAGCCTCCCCCCTCAAGCTGACCGTCAACAGGCATATCTCACCCAACTTTGTCGGCCAAACACTTCAACGCAATGAAGCGCTTCAAGCGGGCAAGACCATACCCATCTTCACCGGTGGCGCCTCGGGCTACTACACTTCTGTCCAAGTAGGCGATCAGGTCTATACTGGCTGTTTGCTCGACAGGTGAGCTGACCGGCTTCTGCTCGCAAACAACTCCTGACTCGAGGGAGACAACAGCGGTAGCTCCGTTACTTTCGTACATCCTTACACGCCTAGCAAGACCGCTCAGCAGACTCAGTACCAATTCACCGAGCTCTTTGGCGATAACACGACAGCTTCGGGCACTTTCGTCGTCGATACGTTCTCCTTTTACGGCTCGGGCATGACGCCCGCCAAGATCTATGTTGCTGGCGAAGTGAGGCCGGGTGTGACAAGCCCGAGAAAGTCAAATGGCTTGATTGGTCTTGGGCCACAGCTAGACCTTCAAGGTATGCTCGACCGATCAGCGGACCGCGTTCTGACCATTCGTGTAGGACTCATCTCAAATCCTGCGCCTGGCTCGAAACAGATCGCCCCCGTCCTCAGCGAGCTCGTCAAAGCTGGCACTCTTCCGGCGAACATCATTGGTCTCGGATTCCACGCGTACGATCTGATTGACACGGAGCAGACTGTCGATGCAGGCGCAGTCACCTTTGGCGGGTTCGATTCTTCGGTCTTGACGAGCGAGATCACTTGGTCAAACACTCTGCCGATCTACCAAACAGAAAAAGGCCAGGCTCTGTGGTGGGCAGTCTCACTCGAATTGCCAAGCTTTGGTCTACTCAAGAGCAACAAGAACCGCGCGTGGACTATCATGCGAGTCCCTTCGTTGTCGTGCAGGGCTTTAAGCTGAGCCTGATCTGCTGATGACAGAGATAGCGGCACGACTCTAACCGTCCTGTACGAAAGCGTCTTCCACAAGTGGTTCAGTCAGATCAAAGGCGCCGTCATCGACAAGCAGGCTCCTATGCCTAAGATTCCGTTGGACAATATCGACTCGATTCCTGCGCTTGACTTTACCCTAGAAGGACAAAAGTTCACCATACCCGGCAAAGAGCTGCTGCTACCTCCAGCCTTTGTCAAAAACGCCGGTCTGGATCCTCATTTGTGCGCTAACTCTTCCTCGTGCTGCTATAGTCTGACACCGCGAGGCAGCGCTTGGGCATACATCACTACCTCTGGCAGCGATTCCGGTATTCAGATCTTCGGTGCGTACAGCTTGACGAAGCTCTATGTCATTCTGGACGAAGAGTCAACGACGCGACGTGTCGGCTTTGCGAGAACCAAAGCTACACCGGTTGCTTAGCGTGCGCAAGCTTCAGCATCTTACCGCATCAAGCACACAGATTGCCTCTAGCTTGAGATAATGACATGTTACGGATACGAGTAATCAACGAGGTCAAGCTAGATGCATTCTTTGGCCTCGTCACCCTTGCCTTCGATCTCGATGCCTATTGCACGATCGAGGACGCGAGCAAACACTTTGCGCTCCAGCAAATCACCAGATCCTTTGATATCTGAGGTGTCGAGATCGTTGATATTAGTTTTGATCACTTCGCGCAGCTTGTCAGGCTCAGAAGGCAGCCCGAATAGCGTCGAGGCAGCCGAGAGTGCTCGGTCGTCCGCGGTCGGATAGAGCTCCTCAAAGTGTATTTGCAGGCGACGAAAGAGGATGTTGACGCCTCCTTCGCCGATGCCTTTGATCTCCTTGAGCAGCTTCTTGATCTCTTCAGGCTTGCTATCCGCTGCCTTGCGTAACCCTTCAAGCGAGTCGTCGCTGCCGTCTTTGGCATACTTGTCTTTGATGACGGTCGCAATCTCGAGTAGCTGCGCTGCGGTCTTTTGGCGATGTTGTGTACGCGCAGTGTCTAAGCTCTCTCGAAGCTTGTCCTCGCCGGCCTCGACGATCTGACCCGGTGTATTGAAGCTGAAAGGCGCATTGAGGAGCGTTCGGATGCTACGACTGCCCAAGCGGTGATCGATCGGCTTGCTCAGTAGGCTTGCGCAGACAAGTTCTTCAAAGGGCGACAGATCAGGCGTTCGATAGGTCTTGTAAGCTGCCCCGTCTTGCTTGGAAATATCTTCCTTTTCCTCTGGCGGTGTTGCCAAGTCGAGTGCTTTGTCCGATAGCAAGAAATTGAGCGTCTTGACAGGATCAGAGGATGGCGCATTGGTTCGTGCGCTGCTCCGGCTGCTCGTCTTGCTTTTCTTGCCGTTGGGAGCTGCGTCCGCATTGTCGGTCTTTCGCTTGGTAGCACCTGACTTCTTGGGCGGCATGGTACTATGCAATCAGTCGAGCTGGTCAGTGCAGCCAGCGTCTACCTAGAGCGATCTCCGGATCTCCATGATCAGGCTGCACGGAGCGCGCGTTCGATCATCGATCACCGATGACGACAGCGGATGCGGAGAGTCGTCCGTCCAGGCAGGCTCAAGACGGCACAGGATGTTGGCCTCGAGTCAAGCGGATACCTCTAGGCCTGGGGGTATCTGATCGAAGTCGCGTCTCAAGGCATTCCACATTTGAGTGATGGCGTTCAAGGGCAGGTCTCAGTATCCGTCTCAGCAAGGCGGCTGCACAAGCCATATCAAAATCGTCTGCGAGATGGATATCGCAGGCTAAGGCACAGCTGAAAATCACGGGCACAATCCCAGAAAGTAGGTTGTTCATTGAAGGACAAGCTGCAATATTGCTCGCTGGACCACCTGAGGGAAACAGAATTGACACGGTATCTGAGAGCGTCGCGCGAGTTGTGAGGGTCAAAGTGATCATCGTCGCACGTTTCGGGCAACCAGAGACCCGCAGAGCAGGCCGAGCATTAGCGATGTCACTCGAGAGCTCAGCAAAAGAGATGACTGACCAGGACTGGAGGGAGCGCCCGCTCGCNTGTTNAGGCATTATCGCAGTACGCTCGCTCCCGTCCTGACTTGCCGAGCGACGAAGGGTGAAGTCGGGCGAGTCGAAGGCGGCTATCTCGGTCGATCCTTTGCATCTCTCTATCCTTAAGCGACTCGCTCTCNGGTCACCGCATATTAGAGANTTCNGCTCAGATCANCGCGNATCCATCGCTCGCCTNCCACAGGCTTCCCTCTCTTTTCTCGCCTNCTCACANAGAGAGAACTNACCTGATNANNTCGACAGAAAGGCGATTTGTCGGCCATTTCTTGCGCGGTATAGCAAAATATTTGGGCGCGTTTTATCGTCCGCTGCGAGCCTGCGAACGCGACCGATCGTGAAGGATTCGGCAGTCCCACGAAACACGCGTGGTCCCCACATCCCGCCTGCCCATCTATCCTCAGCAGACAGCCTAGCAATGCTGGCCTTGCGGAGGCAACAGAGAGTCTGCTCGCAGTCTGTGATGTCNCTAGAAGACTGACATTCACAAGCTTCTATCGACAAGGCCGGGTAAATACACGATGTTGGAGAGGTTAGCGATAAGCTAATGAGTCCAGCGCCAGATGGACGAGGCTCTCCGGCGGACGATGAAGACGAGTCGAAGTATTTGTTGGGAGAGAGTGGCGAGGTATCAGATCGTCTCACTCGTGTCCGTGTCTCAGCTTCGAGGGAAAGAGTGCAGGCGACTTCATGCACACCTTTGCATACACGCAAACATCACGCTGCACTGCTGATGAGTTGTGAGCAGGATATCTGAGATCATCAGCTCCTGCCATCGCATGCGTCACTCACCATTCACACACTTGACCGCATGTGCAGCTGGATTGACCTCTCAGCAGACACTACCCTCCATTACGCACGATTCCGTCTTGACGGCATAGGCTCATCTTCATGCAGAGCTGGTTGAAACGCAGAGAGGAAGAGGGAGCCAGACAAAGTCATGCATGGTTTGGCCTACGGTCCACTGCTTCGGATGATCAACTTGAGTGCTGGCATCCATGGTCCGATATCTTCCGTCTGGTTGACACTGCTGAGGAGCTCGAGATGGAGCTGTAGCGCCTTGTTCGCGTCCCCTGCTTCGAGTGCTGTAACGCACGCGTCAAGTCAAAGTGAGCTTCATGGGATGATAGCGTACTCCTAATGATTTCCGCGAGCTTGTCGACGGTCGGACGCGAGATTGTATCGCAATTGAGAGCATCAAAGAGGACGAGCATGCGCTTGATCGTATCATCTTGCACCTTCTTCGGCAAAGACTGAGTGGGGCATCAGAGACGTATGATGCGAGACAGACAGTGCTCACCTGGGTTCCAATCAACCGCTTGAGTCTTACATCAAGGCTCGCAAAGATCGGCTTGCTGTAATCCGGTATATGGCTTCGATCGCCGGGAGCTGCTGGCATGCTTAGCCTTAGTCATTATCCGACGCAGGCACGTACGATACTTGGGTTTGGGCGGCTCAGGACGAGCTTGAGGTGGCGGCGTCGCGCGTGGTCCCTGCTGGTTGACGATAGAAGCAGGACGAGGCGGTCCCTGCATTGGAACAGGTTGCTGACCTGGCGGAGGTCGGAAGCCGGTAGGAGGCGGTGCGAATTGACCGCCATTCTGTTGAGGCCCTCGCGCTGTCGGGGCAGAATTTGGTACAGTGCCAGCCGGAGGATCGTATGGGCTAGGCTGATACGCCGCAGGTGGCACAGAACCAGGACGGGCCATCGTAGACGGACCTGAAGAAATGGCTGCGGGCGGTGGCGGTCCGTAGGCGTTTGAAGATTCTCTTCGAGGGGGTGGTGGTCCGACAGGCTGCTGTTGAGGCGGCGGCGGCGGCGGACCCTGCATGCGCATACTCGGGCCTTGCGGCGGTAGAGCAGCATTGCCTTGCATCCCATTGATTGGAGGCGCGTAAGGATCACGCTGCATTGGTGGGCCAGATTGCTGGCTCTGTTGCTGTTGCAAGTGCATCTGTGATTGCTGAGGCGCCTGACCGTATTGAGGCGCACCGTTGGGCTGCGAATGCTGCATAGCGCCCTTTGGTGGTGGTGGTCCGACTTGTGAAGCCTGCGGGCGCATTGCACCTCTGCTGGGAGGTGGCGGCGGTGGCATGCTCTGCTGCTGTCCCTGAAGATAGCTTGGAGCGCCGAAGGATGAGACAGAGGGTGACATTGGGCCGGAATGAGGGAAAGGCGACATTATCGGCGCCGCCTGACGTGACGCCGCAGCGGATGCTGTTCGCTTTGGTGCTACCGTCGGCACATCGTTCCAAGCGCCCTCTTCTCGCTTCGGAGGCGGCGGTGGCAGCACAGGCTTTGCGCTCTGCACATTGCCCATGCTCGCAGGCTGCATGAACTGCCCAGGCTGTTGCTGAGGCATGGCATAAGGATTCGACATCTGCATAGTCGGAGCGTACGATGCAGACTGAGAGGCCTGCATGCTGTACGGATTTTGAGGCTGTGTATTCTGCGGTGGTGCATACGTCGTCGTGGCTTGGGCGTACGGGTCATAATGAGGGTTCTGCTGCTGTTGCTGCATTGGCGCGCGAGGCTGTGCAGGCTGCTGATAAAGCTGCTGCTGTCCAGCTGGCATCGCAGAAGCGTAAGAGGAAGCCGCGTAGCTCGACTGTAAGGCTGCCGTGACAGGCTGAGCACGAGGCGCAGATGAGTACTGCTGAGCTACAGCCGCGGTAGATGGGCGAGCAGCACCCGAAGCCTGCCCAGTCGCATCCAAAAGCACCGAGCGAACGGTCGCGGCGTCGATATCGCCTTTGCCGTTGTAGTCGGCAGGCACCTGTGCCACGATCTTGACAGCCGTAGTCACAAGGCCTTGCGCTGCCAGTATCTGAGCGTATTCTGCATATCGGTCGTAAAGCGACGCAAGCTTGTATGTTCTCTCTACGCCTTCGACGGGGGCACTTGTGGCCAACGAGAGATCTGCATCGACATATTTGACCGCCCGCTGGAAGATCGTGACTTTTTCGATGAAGGTCTGCAGTGCCTTGGCATGAAGGGCATAGCGAGAATCGCTGCCTACACTGAGGACAGAGGGCTTCAATGCTGCTTCCTCTTCCTCTTTCATCTCTTGCGCCCAGATCGACACAACCTTCTCCAGCTTTCCAGATGCGAGGTAGCACAAGACTGCGTTCTTCCTATGATCTTTCGCTGCTGCAATTGATCCTTCTTCGACCTGCGATTGAAACTCTAGACGCTGGCCGAGTTGCTCTGTCAAGCTGGCATACTCGTCTGCGCGCGCAAATGTGCACAGAACGACAAAGATCTCTTGCCATTCTGTCAGATCGGCATTTTGCACGACGTCGGTGAGATCGTCAAGAACAATTGACTGGAACAAGCGCAGGTAAGGCAAGCTGGTGGTATGTCGCTCGAAGTAGGCTTTCTGTGTGCGGGCAAGAAGGTCGGGTCCGCCGCGGAATGCCAGCAAGAGTGCATCTGCGAAACGATCGGATGTAAGGCAGAGAGCAACAGCGCTGTCGAAATCGCCGAGCACGACGGCGCGGGTGATTAGCCGATCGGCATCTGACTCGCCAGATGGATAAATGTTGAAGGTAGTAGGCTTTAGCGCTTCCGATGCGATAGATGAGGGTCGTGAGCCAGCAGTGGCAGCGATGGAAGAGCCTCCAACAGCACTCTCTCGGCCGAAATTTCGATCGAGCAGCGTATGCGGTCGGCCCGTTCCGATCTGCGCGTAAAAGTCATCTGCAGCGTTTCCATGTCCAGGCGTGCCAGGTTGTACAGGGTCATCGCCGAACAGACTTGGCTCGGTCACTTCAGAGTCACCTTCGCTTGGCTTGGTAGTATCCGTGCCCATGCTTAGACTCGGAGCTTCCGAAGGCGTTGCTTCTGAGACAGAGTTACCGCGATTGACAGCTGCGGCAGCTTCCCCTTCTGATGAGCCTGACAGTGCTTCGTCGTGCCTTTGATCTGCAGCAAAGCTGACGAGGGGCTCACGAGCTACAGAGCCACTATCATTGTCGCCCAGCTCGGATCCTGCAACGGTGGACGACCCGTTCCGGCCCTGGTCGAGACGCGTACGTAATGACTGCACCGCAGCTTCGACTTTGCCCTTCACTTCTTCCTTTGAGAACCCGAGCAAGGTGACAAGCTCGTCGCGTGAGTCTGCGCGAAAGAGTGTCGAGAGCAGACGCCATGAAACGAGGTCAGATTTGATGCTATCCTTGACTGTCTTGTCAGACGTTGCGTCCGTCAAGATCGTCGAGCCTGCAGACTCGCGAGCTCGTGCTTGACAATATTCTGCCAGGCTGTCCTCATCTATGGCGGTCTCCAGCTTGAGCGCGCGCTCAATGATCTCTTTCTCTGTGACAATCTGACTGATTGTGACCATCGAGAGATGAGGCCGCTTCGGTTGTGGAGGCTGGCCGGGCACTTGTGGTACTTGTGCAGGCGCCGGACTTGCTTTGACTTGGACGAGCTTGCCGCCGAAGCCAAACGTCGCGCTTGCAGGTCGCTTCAGCCAAGCAGGGGGTTGCGTGAGGCTTACGCCAGGATGAGCAGACTGGGCGAGCGATATGTTGTTTGTATCGAAAATATCTTCGTCATTGATGTGCTGCGCAGGATCGTTGATTGGGTCTTGTTCAGCAGGCGCTGTCGACTGGAGCGAATGCACGCCAATGATGCCATCAAAGGAAGCCGTCGCGAGCAAGAACGGATTGAATGGACACCATTGGGCTTCGAACGACCAGTTGTTCGAGCGCGGCAGCTCGCCGACGATCTCGCCCGATTCTGGATTCCAGCAAAGTGTGCGGTTATCCTTGCCAGATGAAAGCAGCAATTCGGGATCTGACTTGCACCACGACAAGCTGAGCACACCCTTGTCATGCCCGGTCAGGATCTGCTGCAAGATCAGCTATGTTCCCGTGTAGAAGAATCTGTACGCACCTTTTCTGGCGCACGAGAATGACGCAGATCCCAAACCATGATGATCGGATTCACGTCATCGTCGCTCGCTGTGATCAATTTCGTGGCCTACGCATAGCATTTGTCCTAGCGTCAGCGTATGCAGATCACATGATAAGCAGCGCACATTGTCAGGATGCCATACTACTGCGGAGATGCCCGAGCGACTATTGGGTGCAGATTGCATCGGTCCTCCTTGTGGCTGGCCTTGCGCTGCAGCATTGAAGGCGAGTGAGACGACCTCCTTCTTGCCCTTGAGATCCCAGACGACGGTATAGCCAGTATTGCTGCCTGACGCGAGTACGTGAGGCACTTTGTTATTCCAGGCGAGCGAGGTGATGTCGTCGAGATTGCGCGATCTTGCACCCGGCGAGTATGGCTTGAGTGGGGAGGATGTCAAATCCCAAATGTAAATTTCAGAGGCGATCGAGCCCGACGCTAGAAGGTGAGGGGCCGATGGATTTGACGACAAGCCTTTGATTGGTCCGGTATGGTGAGTGGTCTTGTAGATCATGCTGTCAGTCCTGTGGTGCGCGTACGTCATCAGCAGTGGGCTTCCGCTGATCTCTGGCGTCCTTACGATTTGCCATTGAGAATGAGCGATGGGTCCCATACGGCCAGTTCGCCCGAGTCCATGCCCGCGGCAATGACGCCCTTGGGTCGTTGTGCGATTGGCGCTGTCCATACTATCTTGTTGAACCTGACGACGAGGCATGAGCTCGTGCGACCGAGGAGGAATTGAGGCATACCGAGAGGAGGCAGCAACCTTGCCCAAGATCTTATGATCCGTGTCCTGGCGTTTCTGGGGCGCTTGTACGGAGCCGGACTTGCTAGAAGGCCCTTCATAGAAAGGCGACCAGATCTCAAGGATAGACTCGTTCGAGAATTGATCATCCACAGCGCCCGAGACCGTGCCTGTTGCAAGCAAGGGCAAGCCGGCAACACGACTTGGGGTAGACTTTGCACCTGCTATCGGCTTGGAGGCAGAAGTACTGTTGGGCGACCATGCGAGAGTCGCCGTCCGAGGAAGGCTGACGAGCGTCATGTTGGCTTGTCAGGCTACGTTGCTGAGGTGCAACGCGTGAGGTGCTGGATAGCAAGCTGTCCAGCGGTACGCGCGTGGCCTGCGGGCGGTTGCCTATGCACAAGGCTATCGCATGAGCCACCAAAGCTCGGACGAATCGTGCTTGCGAATTGCAGGCCACTCACGAGGTACAATGAGCTCGACAAAGCGTCGACGTGTCGCCGTCAATGTGGAAGAGCGAACGCGCCTATAGCGCTGCGAACGCTACAGGCGGAGCTCGACTGAGCGTAGAGGCTGTCGATGCGACCGTTGCGTGGCTCAGTAAGCCTGGTCGAGGCAAGCTCAAGGCGCCCTTTGCGTTGTCGCGGTCAACGGCAGCAGCCAAAATCTCTCACGATCGAGATTGCCTCTACCGCGAACTTGCCACGCGCCGCCGCCTAGTCCTGCATGAGCGACTCCAAAGTCGACGATGTCGTCGTCGTTCAGCCGGTGACTGTGCCTCGCAAGCGCAGTGTCCCGCCTTTGCAATGGCTGGCGCTGGCGTTCCTTGCAGTTGCTGTCTCGCTCCAGACACTTCGAAACAGTCTTACCCGCTCTTCTCCAAATAGTGATAGCGGAAGCGGCTCTGATGTCTTCAAGAATAGTAGAGACACTTCTCTGGATGCCTGGGTCAATAAACAAGCCGAGACCTCCTGGAAGGGTCTGCTCGACAACTTCAACAGAGAAGGAACAGACGCGGGCTGTATGGTCGCTTCCCCTTCGACAGAGCTTCCGGACTACTGGTACCAATGGACCCGCGACACTGCCCTCGTACTCAAGTCGGTTGTCCAGCGTTGGATAGAGACGGATCCTGCAGCCAGTGGACGGGATCTACCAGCAAGCAGAGAGTGGTCGCGTCTCGAGCTGCTGATCAGGCGAGTGGCGGACGAGCAGATCAAGATGCAGCACGAGCAGACGCCTTCTGGCGGCTTTGCGACGGGCGGCTTAGGAGAGGTCAAATTTCACGTCAACGGCTCGGCTTTTGCAGGACCATGGGGCCGACCACAAAGAGACGGTCCTGCTCTGCGCGCGACCGTCATGACAGCTGTGGCGCATCATCTGCTGAACCGACCAGTGCACAACAACTCGAACAGTGGTCTCGACGTGGACTACGTCAAGGAGAAGCTCTACGATGGCAAATTTCCCAGCCAATCACTCATCAAGGCTGACCTTGAGTATGTGGCGCACTACTGGCAATCAGTCGGTTTCGACCTGTGGGAGGAAGTCAAAGGCGCACACTTCTTCACGCTGCTGGTATCACAGCGTGCTCTCAGAGACGGCGCAGGATTGGCAGAGCGACTCGGAGATGCAAAAGCTTGCAGATTCTACTGCGAGCAAGCACAAAAATTAGAAAAGAAGCTTGCCCAATTCTGGTATCCAGACAAGCGCTACTTGCTAGCCAGCTTAGACTGGGCGAGCGATCATGGCAAGCACTCGTGGCTCGATATTGCAAACATCCTTGCCGTCAACCACGCCCCTTCGAGCTCATATCCGATTCGAAGTGATCGGATCATGTCGACGCACTATCTCGTCACAGAGTCATTCAGATCAATCTACAAGATCAACGCGCCAGACTTGCTGCAGCCTCCGAGTGGCAAGGTGAGAGGTCTTGCCATTGGCAGATATCCAGAAGATGTCTACAATGGCACATACGGCACCCTAGGCCAAACGGTCGGGCATGCATGGCATCTCGCTACCCTTGGCGCAGCCGAATATCTGTACAAACTCGCAAACGACATCGCACACTCTTCAGAAGCACTCACGATCACATCTGTCTCTGCACCCTTTGCGCAAGACATTTTCCTTCACGCCGTCAAGAATGCACGCATACAGCCGGGAGCCATCTTGTTGCCCAGCTCAGCAGCCTCGCAAACGTTTGTCAAGGGTCTGGTGAGGAAAGCGGACGCCTACTTGCGAACAGTCCAGCACTTCACGTCATACCCGAACGGATCTCTATCAGAGCAGTATCATCGGTGCGTGATCTTTCCATTCTCTCCGAAGCCCTGCTTAATGAAATCGAGACTTTTTCAGGGATAGCGGCGCACCGGCAGGAGCACGGGATCTCACATGGAGCTATGCCGCGTTTGTGTCTTGCGCTCAAGCGCGATATGGCCATCCAACGCTCTGAAAGATGATTCTGAATGTTCGATTGCAATATAGATGACGAGCGAGGCTTGACGCGCTATGACTTTTCCACGTTGGTAGAACATCTCGGGATGGGCGCGTTAATGAAATTGGAGAGTAAAATTGCTCCCGCATCGCTGGTCGTCTAACAAGCCTCGTACCTAGCAAGATCGTCGAGTCCAGCACTACGGTTGCATGATCATGGAGCATGGCCGCCGCGAAGAGCTACAAAAGAGACGGGCAAGGTGCACGGAATGTCCACCTCCTCCGTCGAGCTCCCTCTCTCGTGCAGCACATTGGAGCACTCGGGGATAGCGGCTTGCGCCCAAGCGCTGAGTACCCAGCGCAACCCATTCTGTCAAACTGCATCCAGCTACAGCAGACACGTCTGACACAGATTGACTTGCGTGCAAAGCTGCAGGGGCCCAGGTGAGCGCTCACCTTCCTTTTTCGGACGAGCCAAGGTTAAATAAAAATCAATTGACTGCCCAGAACAGGCAGACCAAACTGTCAGGAGCCGACGATCAATCTGGGGCAGAGCCCATAAGGGCAGTAAACCAGCCAGGCCTCGATAAATTGCCACAGCTTCTCGACCGATCGGCGACTGACTAGGCACAGCTCCTCCTGGGACCGACTTTGCTTTTGGTTAGGCTGTCGACCTGCTTTGTCAACAGGTCATGTTATAAAGACGCCTGCTAGTGTCGCTTGCGCTCGAGCTGCTTTGACGAGGTAGAAGACCGCAGCGCGTGCTCTAGGTGGACAACCATGGCATCAGCTCCCAAGGCAGAGGCCCTGGCATTCTCATATTCATCACCGGTCGTCGCGCCGACTGCTCAGTGCCTGCCCATTGCAAGCGACGAAGGCTCCAGGCTCGCCCTACCCGCCGAGCTCGGGCGCACTCAATCTACGGGCTCACCTACCCGAGCGACTTTCTTCGGTCAGGCTGCCCCGGGCAGTCCCCTGCAGCGGCCATCATATAGAAGCGACTTTGGCAAATCGTTCTTGCGCGAGCAGACGCTTGCAGCAGGAAAGACTACCCGACCAGTATCAGTGTCACGCAGCCCTTACTATCCTAATGTGCGAACTGGCAAATTCAACTCGGCTCACTACCCGCAGTCCTCGTCTGCCATTGACTCTGACTCGTCAGTATCCGACTCGGACTCGCCCATCAGCCTTCGCCTGAAAGCGGGGCGCAACTCCTCGGCATACAGCTCCGTGGCATCTCGTGATAGGCCGGTGAACAAGCGCCCGAGCGCTGTGCCGCCCGATCATGCCGCCGAATGTGAGATCAGCCGACGCGGGCGACTCTTATCGAGCGCAGCTGTTGCATTGCACCTTTGTGCTGCTCTCTTAGTAAGCACCGAGCATCAAAAGGCTAGCAGTCAGCTCATTTCGTCGAGCAGATGATCGTTGCAAGCAAATGGGTCCTCACCCGCACTAATGTCCCATTTACATTTCTCTTTGGCCAGCTACTCATCCCTGCAATGCTCATGAAAGGACTCGCTTTGACTGGTCGGATAAAGCTGCCGGCTATCACAAAATCGGCATTTGAGACGATGACCCCGTCAGTGATCTGCAGTCTGCTAACGCTGCTCGCCAACACGTTTTGCCTTCAAGCGGTCGATCTTGGCTACTTTCAGATTGCGCGTGGTCTCACGCTACCCCTGACACTCACTCTGGCCGTCTTCGGCTCTGATGTGAGCTCAGTGAGCGCACAAACAATGACGGGCGCAAGACGACTGCCGGTACGATACTCGACACTAGCCGTTCTAGGTGCATCAATAGTATCAGCCGGATATATATCAGGGACGTACGCCCGGCCCGTCAATGTTCAATCGTTCGCCATAGGGCTCGGCCTCGCCAGCTCGACGCTGACTGCATACCAAACGGTCAATCTCAAGCGCAAGCTACGTCACGCAGGTCTGACTGGTCTCGAGACTGTCTACTTTGGCAACCTGTTCTGCGCTGCCGCCATGGCGCCTCTACTTCTGGTCAACATGGAATATGCAGTCGCTCGCGAAATGTATCTCGAAGGAGGCCATCAGCTCAATGTCTTCTTGCTAGGCACGATGACATGTGGTCTCTGCGCTTTCGTGACCGCGATGATCAGCGCATTCTCGAGCAAGATCAATGTGTCTACATACCAGCTCACCGCCACGATCATTCGTACTATCCTTCAGACACTGATCGGCATAAAGGCCTTTGATGAGCAACTGACCGATGATCGAGCCATCAGTTTGGCTACTATCGTAACCGGCGTCGCACTATACAGTGTTGCAGCCAATCGCAATAATCCGCAAGCTCAAGAGCAAGGCGATCGACAGCGACTGATCAATCGCGATTCACTGAGCCGGAGGTCGATTGCTCGCTTACGCACGTTCATCGCGCCAATGTCGCCCACGCTCTTCAACGCGTCGATCATGTTCACACCGATCGACGAGAAGTCTGGCTTCTACGCGGACAAGTCGTGCACATTCTACGATGACGCTCAAGAGAAGCTCATCTATAACATCGTCTAATCGCATTGCGCAAGGGTTGTAGCTGCATCACTTAGTACAGGGAAGCATGTTGTTTGTCACAAGCTGCATCTATCGTTCTAGATAGTCTACTCGTGTTCGCCGCTGCGCTGCTTTTTTCGAAGCGTGGCAACTCTGTGGCGGCATTGAGGCTTCTTCTGGTGCAAGGACAGCGACTGACGCTCTCTGCGTGGCCGTCATAGCCTGCGCTAGCGGCTCGAAGAGGATAGATGCCGGTTTTTGTATCGTCTCATGCGTCGATTGCCGGATGATACCACGTCAGAATGCCGCCCGTGACGGAAGAGTCTGGCGAAAGGTAGACGTGGAAAATACCGGCGTGCTCGTTGCAGACGCAAGCAATCGTCGACGTTGCGCCCTGATGGGTCGATAGGAATTTCAAGAACATCTTGATGTCTATTTTGACGGCATGCAGCGCCCTTGGATCGTCTTCCTCTTCGCCACTTGCCGCCTGAGAGTTCTCTGTGCGGGAGCTGAGCTTAGCGCGGTGTGATGCTAGGGTGACATACCAAAGTGAGCCTGCTTGAGATTCTTCCAGACTGTCTCTATCTTGGCTAGCTCATCTTCGACGGATAGCCGGAGCTCGCCCATCTTGTTGGCCGTGAAAATGATGTGCGATGAGATATTGCGCATCCGCTCGACGACAACTTGAACGCCCTTGAGTGACGGCATGTATAGGGTGACCTGCAAGCGATCAGTCAAGCACTTTACCAATGCGGCGACGTACATCTGGATCCGGGCAGAGCGGCTCTTTGAGATTGTCCATGTCGGCTTGTTTGAGGACGCGTACAGAGATCTCTTGTAAGATATCGATTGCCTTACCCGTGTGGCTCTTTGTGAAGTATCAGACGGGGCTCATCGAGGGTGTTTGCAGGCTTACTGCAGACTTGATGGCAAGGCTCAGAATAGGAGTAGCGCCTTTCTTTGTCAGACGGATGACGGCCTCCGTCGCGCCTTGACCGGAATTGAGCGCTCGCTTCAAAGCTTCGGTGACGACCTCGAGATAGATCATATTGCCTGCGCTAGATTCGATGCGATACTCCGCAAAGATGACATTCTGCAGCTCTTGTCAGTACAGCAGACTCTTTCCTGGCTAAGGGCGTACTGACGACGTCTATCTGGGCCCAAACTTGGGTGGAAGAGCTTATGTCGCCCATGCAGATGATGTGAACCTTTTCGGCGGTGAGCTTGATGATGCATTGCTTCGCCAGGGTCGAGACGGATGACACAATGTCTGCTCCTCCGTCTCTGAGCTCTTTGGATGCCATCTGCGAGAGATTGCTTACATTGGAACGTCGCGATGTTCGACAACTCTGCTCTGAAGCGCATAACATAGCGAGACCAGCCCCAATAGCAGCCCGACTCTGATATGAACTTCCGCAAGTCAGGCCGAGTAGAATTGTGGTCGCCGCGCGTGACGCTATCTGGCGCAGACGCGATGTCATCTATGTCGGTCAACACGTCAGCGGCTCATGACTCAGGAGGCTCGCGGAGAAGACCCCTGGCAAGCCGTCCCCTCGTTGACTTCATCGACAACTAGCTCGCTTCCTCATCAGCAACTGCTCGATGCTTCGCCTGTGGCTCACGATCCTGCTCGTCTGTCAATCAAGTCAGACAGATGCCGCGCCATCACCGGCCCTACCTTTGCCAGAATTGAATCGAGGCCGTCCTCTTGGGGACGGCAGATGGACCCTCGCCGTACCGCCTGAATTCAAACCTTCCATCCCGGACACAGATGAATACGTTCAGACTTATAACGTAGACCGTCAGTTGAGCCCTGAGATAAGCCGATCACTCGCTGATGTATCAAGTTGCAAACAGTCAGCTACGCTGTTCGTGCAATCGCTATATGTGCTAGTGCTTCACCCTGATCACCATCGAGCAGGCATCGTGTCCCACGACGGCGCCGAAACCGATGCATCGCGATGATCAGGCAGCCCCCTGGGAGATTGACTATGAGACAAAAGCTGGCGAGTTGGACAAACCTATCGAGACGAGCGTATCGTTCAAGGTCAACATATTCGACAAGACGGTCACCGTTGTCAGCTCGCTCTCTACAGACCTGTCCCGCAACTGCTCATCTGCTAGACTGTAGGAAGGCTGGGGCACCCTCGCGATCGACCGGATCGCTACCCGTGCGACGATCTGGCCCAAGGTTGATATTGACATTATCGTGAAGGCAAAATGCGCCCTCGAGCTCTATGGAGAATGCTGCGAGGGCTACCTTGACGTGAGGTGCGTTTCACCTCGGTCATACTACGAGATCACGCTCATCATGTCGCGCAGCGTGGGCTTCCACGTCGATGAGACCTGTGAGTACATTTACAGCCCGCTCTGCTATCTGAACAGACTGATGGCCCAACAGACGTCATTGACAAACCCAAATTCAAATTCCAACAGACCTGCTCGCCAATCTACATGGGCATACCTGGTGCATGCGATGCTGCAAGAGCGAAGATCCCAGGTCTACCTACAGCAGAGGAATGCGATGTCGCTGCGCAGATGTGGATCCCCTCCGCACCGCCCATGCCTGACGATGACCAACCTGGCCCATGGGGCGTGCATAGACGCCAACGAGGCGCGAGCGAGGAGAGTGCTCTTGTGCCCATCAAGATCGTATGATTGCACAAAAGTCCGAGTCCTCCCTGCAGCTCCACTTGTGAGGCGACGCGTCGCTAGGGCCGTCGGTGACGAATCAGCCCCTTGTGAAGACTGTCTCCTTGCGCGGTCACTAGAGCGCCCTCGGTCGAATGCCCCTTGACTTCACCTCGTCAGCGATCTTATTTGTTCGCCCGCTCACTCGCTCAGCAGCCTCTGCCGCGTCATGCTCGTCCACTCGATCTCGCTCGTGCTTGCCGCTGTCATCAGCCAGACCTTTGCAGCAATTTCAGAGTTGCCAATCTATCAGGGACATCCCTTAGGAGACGGCCGCTGGACTCTTGGCCTGCCACCGGGATTGCGCGCCCACGTCAGCAACGGCGTTGGAAATGAAGGCACCTACATTCAAACCTACGATCTTGATGGTCAGTCGATCGCAATCTGCGTACATTCGCATGCTTGCTGACTTGCTCCGGCGCTACAGTCGATTACGCTGTGCGTGTGATCACCTGACCATCGGCGTACCTGACCCACAAAGATCGCAGGCTACTTGTCCCACGACTGCTCCTCAGCCGAGATATGCGGATGAGAAGCAGTTCCCGCCTTCTGAGCTCGACTATGAAACCAAAAGGGGCAAACCCGTACAAACCGAGGTTTCCTTCAAGATCGATCTCTGGTCTCAGACGGTCACCGTCGAAGGATTCGGCAGCCTCATGATTGAGGAGGTCGGTATCAGTGCGACAATCTGGCCTCACATCAATGTAGACATCAGGATCAAGGCCAGCTGCTTCTTGAGATGGTACGAGGATTGCTGTGAAGGCTTTGTAGACCTCAAGTGAGTCTCTCCAAACCTACGCATCGATGACCTGATCATCTCGGTATCACAGCGTCGGCTTGCGCATTGATCAAGAATGTATGGGCGTACACAGACTGACGCTCGAGGATGCTGATCGCGTCCGTATGAGCAGTCGAGATCAGAGCGCCCGCATTCAACTTCAAGCAAGTCTGCAATCCGATGTGGTCAGGAATTCCTACCGCTTGCGAGTTGGCACGCCACGAAATTCCTGGCCTCCCCGCTAAAGAGGATTGCTCGATCGACGGCAATGTGCGTCCGGCATCCATGTCAGTGTGCTCTAGCTCATATCAGTGACCAGGTCTGGACACCGTCAGCTCCGCCCATGCCTGGCTATATGACCGCTCGCGAGAAGCTCGATAAACGCCTCGGCAGAAAACAGGAGCTCTAAGCGGACCGTGCAAGCAAGAGATGCATCTCCGATGTCTTGACTCGTATAAAGCAGCCAGAAATGCAGATCGGTAATCTTGGTTCGCAAGTAGACATGTAGCCTCTTGCCTTATGACGTAAAAGCTTTGACAAATGACATTTTGCCACTTGAATGATAATTTCCAATCAACTCTTCCTCTTGATAGCTCGTCCCGCCAGCTTCCCTGCCGCATAACATCTCATCATGGGCAGACCAGAGCTGATCACAGGATGGGGATACGTCAAAGAGAGCTTGAGCGAGATACGGCCGCCCAATAGCGAATTCTCAACTGACGACATTGGAGACCTCACTGGTCAAGTCCACCTTGTCACTGGCGGGAACACGGGCATAGGCGAGCAATGCGTCAGGGTCTTGGCGAGCAAGGGAGCCAAGGTCTATCTCGCATGCCGAAACAAGGAGAAAGGCGAAGCCGCGATCAAGCGAATTGGCCAAGGCGACATACACCTGCTGATTCTTGATCTTGGATCGGTCAAGGCGGCGCACGCCGCAGCGGAAGAGTTCAGATCCAGAGAGAAGAAGCTACATGTCCTCTACAACTCAGCAGGCGTCATGGCACCTCCCACAGGCAGTCGTACGTCAGACAATCTCGAGCTGCAATTCGGTACAAATGTGCTCGGCCACTATGTATTCACGCAAGGAATCCTACCGGTCCTGCTGCAGACTGCAAAGAGCGCGCCAAAAGGGCAAGTGAGGATTGTCAATACGTCGAGCTCAGGTCACGCCATACTGCCAAAGGAAGGCATCAACTTTGACAGTCTGACCACTCTCCAGTCGCAAGCCTATCTCGGCAAAGCGGACATTTTCATCAAATACGGACAGAGCAAGCTTGGCAACGTCTTGCTCACGAATGAATGGGCAGCGCGACATCCTGAGCTCATCGTACTGTCATGCAATCCAGGAAACATCAAGAGCGATCTGCAAAGAACCACGGGCTCATTGTTGAACATGTTCATCTCGCCCGGCCTCTTCCCAGTATCAAAGGGAGCTTTGACACAATTGTGGGGCGGCACTTCGCCTACGATTGACCAGTCAAAGTCGGGCTCATATCTCATACCGTGGGCTCGGTTTGGTCACGTCAAGACGCCCTTCGCGGTCGATGCCGCGCTGCAGTCGAAGGTCGTCGATTGGTGTGAAGCAGAGAGCAAGAAGCTTCTGAGCGCCTGAGAAGTGTATACCATCAATACTGTTCCTAGCTCAATATTTTGCATCACATTCAGTGTCGAGCGGATGACGTGGACGTGCGGTGTGTGTGAGAGACACTTTCGATCACTAAAACTTGAATGACTTTGTTGAATACGTGTTAGCCGAGTACCACTCTCCTTCTCAGACTTTGCGAGCCTCTGGCAGACATACGGCAGCGATTGCCAGGCGATTCTACTACGAGGGTTCGTCAGCTGTATCGTCCATCCGTCGACAGCGACAGATTCGAAGACATTTGCGCCGGAGATTGTCAGCCGAGTCATATTGCTCGCTTTGTTACATTACTGACATGGACAGCTAGAGGAGCCCCGGCTGATCTGCATCGTGCGAAAGCATGATAACAGTACCGCAGTAGCTGTCTGCATGCTCAATGCATACAGGCAAGAGTCACAAAAAGCGACAAGTCTACTGCGACCCGATCGACGACACTTTGCCGAGTCGCTTGCAGCTGGTTGCCGAGCGCACGTCGCCTCGTAGACCCGTAAGGAATGCGCTCAAGCCGTTGAGCATCAACGTCGATCGGCCAATGATGGAGCGTCTACGCGATCACAAGGGTCAGCTGCGAAATGCGTTCGCCTCACCAAGCGCACGTCGAGCTGTCGCCCATCACGGCTTCGTTACGCCTCGCAAGAGCGAGACCAGGGGCGTGAAGCGGAAGCGTTCGGCCAAGACGACTACTTCGGCTCAAACTCAGGAAGCGATGCTTTCGCCTAGAAAGACGCGTACTCAGTCGAGGTTGGCAGCGCGACGGAAAGCGTACGACAGCGAGGATAGCGACGTGGAGCAAGATGGCATGGAGGTCGAGGATGCTGCGCAAGATACAGACGACGGCTTCGAAGACGTTACTTCCTCAAGTTCAGCCCCGGAGCCTGGCAGCGACGTTCACGAGGAAGAGGACGACGACGCGTTCTATCTTGAGCACGCAGCGCAGAGCCAGCTCATGAAGCTTCGCAAAACACGCCTGATTGATCTGTGCACCTCTGCGGGCCTGTTTGACGATGACGCCGAGTTGGAGACATTGACAAAAGCGATACTCGTGGACAGTATCCTGCACTGGCGAACGCACAGGGACAGCCCGGACGAGACAAGTAGCGAAGAGGCTAGTGGTTCCGAGTCATCCGTTCAATCACCTCAGATGAATCGTGTGCGTGTCGGCCGCACGCTGAGGACGCGGCGCGGGCCATCGCCAACACGGCCGAAAGTTCCGGATCACCGCAGGCTACCCTATCAGACTCGAAGCAGCTTACCATCACTATGCGCATTGACAGATGCCCAACTCGAGATCTCCTCGCAGACTACCTTCGGTCGCTCCCCGACAAAGCCACGTCGATTACGCCATGTGCCTTCTCGCGCGCGACTGAGGCGTCAGCATACAGCGCTGCCGAGGGAATATCGCAATGCGCTCGATCGTCGCGTTCGGCCGGAGTCGACAGCACAGTATGAGTCTACAGACGATGAATGGGAAGCGGCGTCTGCGGCGGATGATGATTCTGACGCAGATGACCAAGAAGATATGCCATCGCCGCCAAAGAGGCAAAGAAGCAGCACGCGTGTTGCTTTCCAAGGCAGATCATCCGAGCCACAGTCACGACTGGTGTCGCGGACGCACGCACGACGATCACAAGCTAGCGATTCTGCAGAAGATCGCGAGTCCGGCCGGAGCTCTCGATCGTCTAAGCTTGCAAAGGGTACCACGCCAGTAGCGCGAAGGACACGACAAGCAACCGGCGGCTCTATCACTGCCATTGATTTTGCGTTGGCGGATTCCCATCCGGTCGAGTCAGACTCCGAGGATGAGGCGTCACATCATTCTAGTCACAGATCTCTTCGGTCCAGTCTTCGTGTCAGTCGCAGCGAAAGCGTGGCATCTCAGTCGAGCATGCGAAGGCGGACGCGCAGCGGTCAACACGAGGTGATTGTCGACGAGGAGGAAGCAGTTGATCCCTTCTCCCATCCAATCATGACAGACGATGAGGGCAGCGACAGGCAAGACAGCGACCCAGATACAGACGAAGAGATCAGCATAACACAGACCGTCGGAGATGACGAAGACGCGAACGAGGACGTGACAATTACAGAAGACGATGCAGCGTCGTACGCAGTTGACGAGTCCATCGTCGATCCGTTGTCGCATCCGATAATGACAGACGACGAGCAAGCAGCCGATTCTGACGAAGCGGAAGAGGAGGAGGTAGACGAAGATGGATCAGATGCTGGCGAAGAGCTTGACATCAACTTGGCTAGCTTCAAGGAACTTCATCGTCTACACAAGCACATCCTCGTAGCCCTTTGTGCTCAGCGAGACATACAAACCGAAGGCACGAAGCGAGAGCTGGTCAATGCTCTCATTCAATGGGTACGTGGACCGCTTGCAAGATCATGCAAAGCTGATATCGAAACGCGCAGCGTAAGGTCAGCAGAGACTCGGTCATCTCTGTGAGCAGCAAGGCGAGTAGCCAGATCGAGAGACAAAGGCGGACCCGAATGGACACGAAGGCAGAAACAAAGACGCAAGCTTTGTCCGCAGCCAAGCATAGCATTGTCAGTCCTGCTAGTAAAGGCATGCAGGAGCCTATACTCGATCATGCATCCGACATTGCTGCTCAGCCATCAGCAATAAAGACGCCGAATCCCTCGGCCTCAGACGCTGAAGAAGGCGATGCGCTGGATCTGGAAAGCCTGGACTTGCTCGACAAGGAGATTCCCCACGACAAGCTGCACAAGCTGGAAAAGATCGGCAGCGGGGGCTTCAAGGATGTCTATGCCGGTCGATATCGTAACGTCAAAGTCGCCATCGGAGACCTACGGGGCCATCTCACCGAAAATGATATCAAGGAGCTAGGCTTGCTGCGCGATTTGCGCCATCCGAACGTCGTGCGCTTTATTGGCATAAGCATACCGCCGACGCGCGATATCCCGTGCATGATCGTCACTGAGCTGTGTCAGAACGGCGACCTCTTTGATTATATTCGTAACGTACCTGCGCCTCCGCTGACGAAGATGATTGGCATCATGCTCGATATCGCAAAGGGCATACAATATCTGTGAGCGAAACGCTCTGTGCTCATTGGCTAGCTGACTGACCAGACCTCGCAGTCATAACCGGACGCCATCTATCATCCATCGCGATATCAAGAGCAGTAACGTCTTGATCACGCATCGCGGCGTAGCAAAGCTTACCGACTTTGGCCTTGCGCGAGTGAAGAACACGACGCGGTCCATGATCAAGTCGCTCGTTGGTACCGTCAATTGGCAAGCGCCAGAGCTATGGGTGGCGCATCCTCGCTACAATCAGACCGTCGACGTCTATTCCGCGGCGCTCGTCTATTGGGAAATTCTGACGTGGCATTTACCCTCGAAGAAGTACCCCTTCGAGGGCATGAACGAGCATGCGATCTATCAGGCAGCTGGCTCACAGAACCTGCGTCCGTCGACCGCCACGATGCGCAGGCAGTGGGGAGGCGATATTGTCGATCTAGTCGACACGATGTGGGACGCGAATCCTGCTAAACGACCTACAATCACCGGAGTGATACACTCCCTTCAGGCGCTCCTTGCTCTCGAGCGAGCCAGATGAGCTAGACTCATCATATGCAGACTCCCTCTGTACACGTTCTGCATTGCATCCTGCTTGCACGAAAGTCAAGAGAGTATTGCTTGCCATAGCTGCGCTACGTCCTGCTGGTCGTGTACGTGTAGACCCTCTTTTACTGCATCTATGCGGGACTGATCCGGTCCGTAGACTCGTGCCGCAGAAGAGAGCGGCCTGACCGACATGGATCTCCAGGCTGTCCATTGTGCCTCTAGCTGAGCTATCGAATCGTCCGAGGTTGCTACGGTCAGCATCCATAGCGCATCGTACCCGCCCGCTACACGTAACTCTGAGCAAACTCATTTACAGACTGATATCGGCAGGACATACCTCCTGGAACGCCGCCGCCGATCATGCCGAGGCATTGAGTCTGACAGCTGTCAAGAATGTCGGTCTGCTCTTGTGGTTCTATGGGGACGCCAGCAGCCTGTCCCATTGCTTTCATACTAGCTCGTATTGCCTGCCCGCGCTGCTTCAGCGGTAGGAGTGGCACATTGAAGCATGAATACCTTGGTCGTTGCAGCTGCATCGATGAAGCCTCCAAGAATGTCGTGATCTGCTGCAGAGATTGTCGTATAGCTCTCATGCCACTGGACGGATGGTCACATCAGCAAGGATCGCTGCTCTTGCAGAATCGCTCACTCTCGAGGAAGACAGTCTTCGCAAGGCGGCGACAACGGATGCATATGCTCGTGGACTGCGCTCGTAGCTTTCATTGAGATGCGAGAAGACATTCGCCAGATATTCGTTTAGCGAGTCCAGTTGCTCTATCCTTTCGCTGGCTGTAGCGCTGGTCAGAGATTCCAAGCACGTCTTAGACAGCACGTGCCTTCTTCGGGTGATTCGCGCATCCAGGTGAGGACCTTAGACACCATGCTAGGCGTGTGACTTCCCGTGTCCACGTCGGCGAGGCACAGGCAGGTCAAAGGCGGCAGGGCGAGTGGTCGCACTCTCGCGCATGTCTCAGGGGCATCCCACAATGTCCCTTGTCCGCCCTTCAAGCGACTTCTGAGCTGTGTACTCGGCAATCGCTCGCTGAGCACATTGTCGAGACAGGCTGGGTCAAATCGCGTGTAGATGTGCGAGCCCCATACGGCAGAGGAGACGTCGAAGCCGCTGCCAATCTTCCCTTGAGCTAGCGAGTGCGCATACTGTGCTACGTTATGTATGTAATGCTTATCCGACAGCGAGTTCGTCGGGTCGAGCTGGAGTAGATGTACAAGTATTGCGCCTACAAGTGACGTGACCATCGCCGCACTGGAGCCCAGACCGGTCTTGTGCACGGTCCTCAGTGTCTCTTTGAGCTTTGCAAACTTCTTCCCAGTAGAAGTGGATCCAGACGATGCCTGTCGCGGCTGAGAGTAGAAATCGTTGTCACCGACGATGTGGATCTGCAGATCCGGCAGTGACCAATTTCCTGGCCTGTCCGCTTGTACTACTTGTAGCGCAGCTCGTATAGCAGTCTCAACGAATGAATTCCTATCGCTCGAAGCTCTGATGCCAGCAAGCATCAGCACGTTGATGTAGTCTTGTACGCTTTGCTGACCCTTGGACCGCGATGCCTTGCAGCGAGATATGATCGTCCGACCACGACACTGCATACTGCCATTGTTCGCGCTCGAACTGGCTGGCTGTGACGGTGATGGTTGCTGAGGAGTGGGCAGCAGCAGTAGACGAGACGAAAGTGTAGAACCGTGATGTCGTGGCGAGGACCAGGCCTTGGTGGGCTCGGTCGAGGACGAGATAGCCACCTGCGAGGAGAACTTTGCCCGGACAGCTCACGACTGTCCTCTGCATACCGCTAAAGTGCTCAGGCCATCTGGCGAGTCGAGCGAAACCGCGACTCGTGCTTTGCCACGATGACACCACAGGCTTGACATCAGCCAGTCCGCCCATTTCTATAGGCCTAGGTGCCCCAAAGCAGTCCATCACGAGGTCATATGCTACCTCTGCATCACAGTCCGGGTTTCAACAGAAATCCGTCTTCATCGGTCAACACAGACAAGGGCAAAGGCAAAGGCAAACAACGAGCTTACGATGCTGACCCAGCTCAACAAGGCTCGTCCGGCGAAGCGAGCAACCAGCAAGACGTCGGTGGACAAGCGCTCGTGTTCAGTGTTCGCTTCACAGACGGCCTTACCGAAGATCTCCTTGATATCTGCATCGGCCAACGCGAGACCATCCGTGATTTGAAGCGGCGAGTCCGTCTGCTGATGTCTGCGCATGATCACCATGAGCTGAACGTCGCTTTGCTTGCCAGATAAGACTGCTGAGACCCACGATAGCTACCAGACGATTACGGTTGATACACATCGGTCGCGTGCTCACTGATGGCACACTGCTCGTACCGTGGATGCTGTCGCTCTTGGCACGCCAGAAGCGCCAAGAGGAGGAGACACAATCTCGCTTCATCGACGATGCACTCGACGTGGTCAAGCAAGTCAGATCTGCAGCGGCCACCTCACTCGAGGGCAGTAGTGCCCGGTCTGCCGCAGTCGCGCCTGAGGAGATCAAACCACTCTGGCTGCATTGTTCCGTCGGCGAAGAAGAGACAGAGATTGATGCTGCTGCCTCTACAACTGCCGATGCGACTATCACAGCCGTATGCTCTCATTATACTGCTACATTTCCTTGCTCATTGCTACATTGATCAGAACACTGCACAGATTCAGCCTTTGCAAGGGTTTGACAGACTAAGAGACGCCGGCTTCTCCGATGAGGACATCGATCGGATACGCAACGACTTCCGAGAGGAGACGGAGGCTCGGGGTGAGCGTTCTCTCGGCGATGACGAAGAGCATGCGCGAGCACTCGAAGACCAATGGATGGAAGGCCTGACCGGCCATGACGAAGCCAGTGCATCTTCGTGTGGGTCCTTGACTCGCGTCTGCAGCCATGAGCTGATGTCGCGGCTCTCAATAGCTTCTGTCGGCTCCTACTCTACCCTGTTCAAGGGACTGCTCATTGGCTTCAGCTTCCCCTTCCTGCCGCTCTTCTTCTTCCGAACACAGATCTTCTCCAAGAAGATGCAGCAAGCAGTCTTGCTCGGCTGCGCGTTCAACTTTGCATTTGGCATCCTACGCATGCTCGGATAGTTGTCATGCAATAAAGACTGGGCGCCCATTTGCAAGGCACCACAATAGACGTTTTCCTCGCAGCCAGTGATCCCCTCTATCTTGTTCCGGCTCATCTGTCAGCGCATCAAGGATCGTCCTTACTTGCAGCGCGTTCTCTGCAGTCGAGAAGACGCGGATCGAGTCGCCCATCTCTTTGCTGTCTGGATCGTGGTGAGGCGCAAAGAGGGCAAAGGCTTTCAGGCCCGCTATCGTGCAAGAATCGCACAAGACACGCAACATATCCCATAGCACAGTGAGACGCTGCGGCGTCCACATGATTGCGCTCGCGTCTCGTGAATACCGCGCCCAAGTGGGCCTGCTCGAGCTATCGACAGGACCTGCACAACCGCTGATGGGTAAGATCCAGAAGCCTTGCTCATTGTCGTTCGACAGCAGACTGTTGTGCTTGGAAGGAGATGCAAGCCATGCGAGGATGGGCGCCGGAGGCACATCGCTCCTCGGACTGTCTGGCACCAAGTGAGGTCTCGGCGTACGATGCGGCTGATAATGTGTATCAGTCATCGTCACAATGACATCCGACGAATCTCACTGGAGGTATGAACAGCTCGAGCATTCCTGTTCCATCTTGCCCCTCTTGCTGAGGAGCATCCTCAATTATACTCGCTTCTCCCGCATTTGCTGAAGCCAGATCAGCCAGAGCAAGTCTATAATCATCGTCAAGGGTGTGATATGGGTCTCCGAGGGTGTGGTCTGTCCGGAGTCGGCGCAAAGCCGCAGTCAAGTTGGCAATATTGGCGTCGGCGGCTTTGCGAGCTGCTCTTTCGCTTCCCTGCAGATCCTCCTTCCGCCTCTCCGGCGGCTCGTAGTGCCTTATTTCGAGCATATAGCTGCATCTGACCTCTAATGTATCAACAACAGCTCTGATCCATGAAGAGCAGATCAATCTTCGCGCTCCGCGTCTCCCTAATATCGTCGAGGCGCCCCAGCGCCATAGGAAGCATGTTGCCCATATGGTTGGGGCTGCCCATACTGCTGGTGCTGGCCGTACGGCTGTTGCGATTGTCCGTACTGTTGCTGTTGGCCGTACTGAGGCTGCTGGCCATATTGAGGCTGCTGACCATACTGAGGCTGTTGTTGGTACGCGCTCGGGATTATCGTCGGGCCTTGTCTGCCGAAGCCAGGTATATTTTGCTGACCGTAGCCCCCTTGGCCCTGGTGTCCCTGTGGCCCGCGATTGCCGAAGCGCTGGTTATTAGCAGGCATGCCTCGCAGGCCTGGCAATGCAAAGTCGTCCTCATCTGCACAAGCGCGAGGATGTCAGCACGCAATTGCGAGCAGAAGATAGACTTGCCATCTTCGTCTTTCGAGCCCATCTCCTTCGCCATCTCTACGCCCACATGGAATCGATCAAAGTTGTGCGGCGTGCCCGGCCGACTGCGACTCCAGAAGCGAGTCGAATGGTCATTGCTCGCGCTCGCAAGGATGTGTCCATTAGGATGGTATGCGAGTCCCCAGACGGATTGGTCGTGGGCATATTCGAGGTAGTCACGCGGCGCAGGATCGTCAACGGTCCACTGGATTATGCTACCATCGTATGAGCCTGTCGCCAAGAGATCGTGATGAACAGGATGCCAAGCCACAGCTGCGCACTCATCAGTCTTGCGCAGAGCTTCGTGTAAATCATGTACCTGTGACTTCAGACTTGTGACCCTTGAAGGTCTGTAGCTCCTTCATCGCTCTGATGTCGTAGATCTTGACTGTCAGATCCTTGGAAGTCGTCGCGAGCGTATTGCCATTTGGATTCCAGCTCATAGAGGAGACTGTGTTCTTGTGCATGTGTCTGCAGCACTCATCAGTCCGAATCAGCCAGCCGATGCGCAGTGAACGGACGATGTCTGCAGGCATTGACTGCTTCGTGGGTCCCAGAACTTGACGAATCGATCCTTCGAGCCAGACGCAAGCAAGCCCTTCGTGGGATGCCATTTGACGCATTTCACGTCCCAGAGATGTCCCTCGAGCATACGCTCTTCCCTCATCTCGTCAAAGTTCCATATCTTGATCTTCTTGTCATCCGAGCCGGTCGCAAATCTGGCATCATTGGGTGCAAACGTGACGTCTCTTATCGGTTCCTCGTGAGCCTGGAAGACTTGCAGGTTGTTCATGTTGGTCTGAAAATACTTGATTGTGCCATTGTGGTCTGCAGAGACAAGCCATACGCCCGAATGAGACCATTCGAAAGCGCGTACGGCAGAGTCGTGTGCTTGCAGAATCGTCTCAAAATTGAAGGTCAGACCGGACCACAGCGTAAACTCGCCGCTGGTACTACCGGTGAGCAGTCGACGGCCTTCTGGAGTCCACTGTGCTGCGAAAGTCAGTCGCGCGTATGTTCAGCTGAAAGCGCGCGACCTGCCTTCAGTGCGTTGACGGGCGAGCGGATCTTGTTAGTGGCCGTATGTACATAGCGTGAGCAAATCGACTGGGCCGCGTTCGCAGGTGTTGCATGAGGCGGCAAGAACTGTCAATTGCGTTGGAACTCATCTTCCGCGGCAGACCGCTCAAGACTGACCTGACAGGTATAATTGGGATTCGGCCGCATGTATTGCTCATCGCGCGAGCTACATTGCATTCCTCTCAGCTGTCACGCACGTTTGTCAGCCGTTGCGAGACAGAAAGGTCTGTCAGAGCTGACCAGCTTCCACCGACTGAGCCCGCCATAGAAATCCACCGTCTTACGGGGCTGCGATGCGTAGCGTCAGCATTGATCCACCCGGATAGCATAGCATATCTCGCACTCGAACCCGTCCTCGAGACTTTGCTTCGCTGCTTCCGGCTGCCGCGGCGAGATCTAGTCGACGCTGCTCGTCCTCTTTGAACTCTCTGCTGACAGGCACGGGATCATCGTAGAGGTGCGTCGGCTTCCACTCAGTATCGGTCTCTGCTGGCCGCATGACGCCATTGCGAGGCAATAGGTTGACTAGCCCCTTGTCCATTGTCTGCTGTCCGCGATTATCTGCACCGACGGCTGGGTCTCGTCGAGCCCCACAGTGTCCCACTTTCTTCCCCTTGCCGATGCAGACATTGAAATCAAGCCGCAAGTAGGCAAGTTGTACATGTGTAATGATGCCAGCGGGCTCAACACCTCACAAAGCAAATCAGGCTGTGCAAGGCCTTGCAATGGTGACTGCTCTATGCAATAGGGAAAGCAACAGCATTGGATGGCGATGACAGATACTGTGAGCAATGGAGCACGAGCATGTCACCATCATTGCTTGCCCCAATCGCCACTAAGCTCTCGCAACTCATCAGCAGTGCAGCGTGATGTTTGCGTGTATGCAAAGGTGTGCATGAAGTCGCCTGCACTCTTTCCCTTGAAGCTGAGACACGGACACGAGTGAGACGATCGGATACCTCGCCATTCTCTCCCAATCAATACTTCGACTCGTTCTCATCGTCCGCCGGTCGAGCTACGTCCGCCTCGTCCATCCGGCGCTGGACTCATAACCTTATCGCTAACCTCTCCAACATCGTGTATTTACTCGGCCTTGTCGATAGAAGCTTGTGAATGTCAGTCTTCTAGAGACATCACAGACTGCGAGCAGACTCTCTGTTGCCTCCGCAAGGCCAGCATTGCTAGGCTGTCTGCTGAGGATAGATGGGCAGGCGGGATGTGGGGACCACGCGTGTTTCGTGGGACTGCCGAATCCTTCACGATCGGTCGCGTTCGCAGGCTCGCAGCGGACGATAAAACGCGCCCAAATATTTTGCTATACCGCGCAAGAAATGGCCGACAAATCGCCTTTCTGTCGANNTNATCAGGTNAGTTCTCTCTNTGTGAGNAGGCGAGAAAAGAGAGGGAAGCCTGTGGNAGGCGAGCGATGGATNCGCGNTGATCTGAGCNGAANTCTCTAATATGCGGTGACCNGAGAGCGAGTCGCTTAAGGATAGAGAGATGCAAAGGATCGACCGAGATAGCCGCCTTCGACTCGCCCGACTTCACCCTTCGTCGCTCGGCAAGTCAGGACGGGAGCGAGCGTACTGCGATAATGCCTNAACANGCGAGCGGGCGCTCCCTCCAGTCCTGGTCAGTCATCTCTTTTGCTGAGCTCTCGAGTGACATCGCTAATGCTCGGCCTGCTCTGCGGGTCTCTGGTTGCCCGAAACGTGCGACGATGATCACTTTGATCCTCACAACTCGCGCGACGCTCTCAGATACCGTGTCAAGGCACACACGCGCCTCTTGCTCGGCCTCTATCGAATCTGTTTCCCTCAGGTGGTTGAGCGAGCAATATTGCAGCTTGTACGTCAATGAAGAATGCACCTTCTGCAATCGTGCTCGTCGTCAATCTGAGATGTGCTTGTCAGCGGTTGTGACCAGTCTGCGGTATGCGTCTCGCAGACGGTTCTGATCGAGCTTGCACGTTTGCCTTGCTGAGCTGTATACTGAGACTTTGAAGCGGTCTTATTCCAAGACGGCATCACTCGAATGCGGACTATCTGGAGACGCGACTTTGCTCAGATAGCGAGTGAGCAGGCAGGGGCAATGACGAGCAGGGGCCAGAGTCTGGCACCGGGCGGGTATGCAGGTCCCAGCAAAGGGACGACGCCTGTCCCCGAGGGCGGCACGGCGAAAGAAGAGCAAGCGCCGCCTGTGTTCGTCCATCCGATGACGAGCTTCGATGCCCAAAGGGGGAGAGTCAGAACGGCCAGACGAGGCATCTTCAACAAAGACTGTGAGTCGCTTGGAACTCGGTAGCATTGTCTTTGCCGCTGAAGTGGAGAGCTGACCTCACAGTACCCGCTATGATGTACGGGTTCGGTGACGATGCTCACCCTGCCAACGATACTGTCAATGTGCTCGAGGACATCCTCGTCGACTATATCGCCGATGTCGTTCGTCACATCACACACACACACATGCAGCACAGAGGAGCTAAGCATACATGGCAGTGCGTCGCAGCCCATCGAGTATCAAAGAACAAGGGGAAACTGCAAGTGGACAACTTGCGATTCGCACTGAGGAAGCCACAACAGGCCAAGCAGCTCGCAAGAGTGGAAGAGCTGCTCGTCATGCAGACCGTCATCTCGCAGGCCAAGGGCAATGCCGAGGGACTCCAGACTTATGCCGAGGAAGAGGATAAGATTGCTCAGCAGCAACAGCAGGCCGAAGCCCTCGCGCGACTCACCAAACGCACCGGAAGATAGCCTCTCCTGCGTACAGTGACCGATATCATGCACTGCTGGTCAAAGACAGAGCCCAATAGAAGGTGGACTGCCTCCGCGGCGCGCGCCTTGCAGTTGTAGCGCGCCCATTCGTCCACTGCCAGGCACTTTTGAGCCTGTTAGGACCAATGCAGGCTCAAGCCAGCAGATACACATTCATGGCATGGTGCAGCTGTTGCGCTAGGCTCAGGCTGCGCTAGGTCATCCTGTTATCATGCAAATCTGTTTGTGCTCCGCATCGAGTCGTTCGCGTCTCTGCGCCTTTTCATAGCAGCACACGATCGAGCAACTCTGCGCGAATTACGCAGGCCTGTCGGCTTGCAAAGGACGCCGATGGAGCCTGTGGCGTCTACGAGTAGCAGCTCGGGAGACGAGAGCGCTCAGGGCCAACGCTTCGGCGCCCGCCCGAACGGCCCAACGAACGGCATCTCATCATCTGCCTCTGCGGCGAACGCGACGGATCCGTCCTCTCGCATCCCTCGCTATGGCAGCAAGTTTAGCTTAGAGGAACTGAATGGTGCGGCCAGTCACTCGTCTGCGCCCGTCTATGTCAACGGCGGAGGCTATCATAATTATCCGAGTAGGCAGTCTGCATCGCCTTACAATGGCCTGCAGGCGCCCTATGACGATCTGAAATCTCTGCCAGGAGGCGAGAGCAAGTCAGCAAGACGATCGAACAGCGTCTCGCTCTCCGGTCAGCAGTGGTCGGCCATGACGCCCGCAGATTTTAGAGCGCTCCTTGCGAGTACCTGGAGAGCGCTCAAGCGGGACTGGGACGAGGGACGAGGCTTCAGAGCATGGATTCTAGAGCTACGGTCAGTGATGCTTGGCCTGAGCTTTCTACAATACTCATACGAGCGCGTTGGCTCAGGACGAGGCCTAACACAGCACTGCGGCGGCCGTTTGCAAAGAGCTTGGGCAGATTACCGGCTTGGCTCATCTACTCTACCCTTGCTGTCATCATCTTGTTCTATCTGCGTAGCTCGGGTCGCCAAGCTCGGCAGAACACCCACAGTGAAGCAGAGCGGTGGCTTCAGCAATTGCAGATAGACCGCGTCGTGCCTCGTGGCGAGCGACGCACGAGAGCGCTAAACAGCTATCGGAATCCGTATGGCTTCATCGGTCTCGTCGATCCCTATGCAGGTGGCGTCTTCAACCCCTCCATTCTCGTCTTGCCAGATACCGTCCCGCTCGAGAATCGTATCGTCGTGGTCGCAAGAGGAAGCGAGGGAATAGATGTAGTAGAAGGAGATGATGTGCGATGGGAGACCGTCGTTGGCTGCTTCTTGCTCGAGCTCAAGCGACCCAGGCTAGGCTTGCCTTACCTAGCACGCGAGAGCGATCTGTATACCCTCAACCTGCCAGCGGAACGTAAACCGTCTTATCAGCGATGCGACAACAAAGACTGGAATGTGGTGCGTCTCCATTGCTCTCAGCAAGTCTTCGCTTGCTGAGGCGTTGTGCTGGACAGTACATCGGGGCAGAGGATCCTCGCTTGTTTATCACCGACGACGGACAACCACTCCTGATTTATTCGCAGACGGGCAACGCGCCCATGATCTGCAGAGCCATCTTCATCATCGACGCCCGCGTCGTTATACCCGGCTTGAAGAGTGCGCTCAAGAAAGCAGGCTACAATCCGCCGATCCAGTTCAAGAACCAGACTGACTTGATAAGGGAGGACCAATCTAATATCGAAAAGAATTGGTCACCTTTCTTGGGCGACTTCAATGAGGTTGGCCGTTCGGGACTTTCAATACACCCTGAGCTAAAGAGAGTGCAGCTGTACTTCCATGTCAGCCTCGTGCCGCAGCAGATCTACAAGTATGTGCCCGATCTGACCATGCGCAAACTATTACCGCACTCGCCCGAGTCAAACTGTCTGACCGATCTGCTCGGCGCTGATCTCGGTCACACCCACCTGCATCACGCAACACCGCTCATCCGTGCCACACTGTGCAATCGTGGAGAATGCAAGCCGACAATACATAACACCGTCCTCGTTGGGCTCATACAGTCAGCTCCTTCTGGTTCACTGCCACTTGCTCGCTCATATTCTGGTGGACAGCGTCAAGTACCATCCGGAACCGTACCTCTACTACGAAAGGAGAGCGGTCACCTGGAATGTCACCTCACCATTCGAATATCTCAGCGTCAGTCCACCTTTGACTTATATGGGCACGAATCAGGCCGACCCCATCTTCACGGTCTCGGTCGTCTGTAAGCCGACCAGTGCGCTGCACCAAAGTCATGCTGAGCCATGTCTGCAGGGGATCATCCTTCGTCCAAAGGCGGAGGACTTGGGCTCAATCATGGCTTCCTGGACGACCGCATGATCATCAGCTTTGGCGTAGCAGAGTAAGCGACGTTCTTCAGAAGAAGCTGCAATATAGGCTCATGATGTGTTTTCAGCTATGGCAGCGGCTACATCGAGTACGCGATCGTCCTCAGGCTTAGCGCGCATACTGATTTGCACGTGCAGTGTGGTGGCAGGCGATGTACTAGCTGAGCATACCATGTGCAAGGCCAGCACGCCGCTCTGGTGAGATCAGACGATGATGACGACGTGAGACTTCTTGCAATTTCGACAACATAACACTGGCATGCTGATACCCTGCAAAGCAGCCGATGGACTTTGTTTGCGGCTCGTGGTAGTGATTAGCAGTAAAGCAAGGGTGTAATTCGCAACTTGTATCATAGACAATGCACGAGATGACTTTTTACGCGTACTCCTGACGCAGCTTGACCTTCTGGATCTTGCCTGTTGACGTTTTGGGCAGTTCGGGCACGATGATGACGACATGAGGGCGCGCATAGCCAGAAAGCTTTGTTTTTGCGTACGCTTTGAGCTCAGTCTCGAAAGCAGCATGGTCTGGCCATCTCTTCGGGTCCCGCAGGACGACGATAGCGCAAGGCCGCTCTCCCCACTTTTCGTCCTTTTTGGCTATCACGGCGACCTCTAACACGTCCGCGTGACCAGCCAGAGCATTCTCGACAGCCTGCTCAGTCTTTCAGCTCGATCTGGCGGGGATAAAGTGCGAAGTACCAGAGTGGAGATGTTCTCGCCGCCCGAGATGCAGATGTCCTTCGCTCTGTCTTTGATATGGATCACACCATCCGGGCCTCGCGATGCAAGGTCGCCAGAATGGAAGAATCCACCGGCGAAAGCCTTGTCTGTTGCCTTCTTATTGTTGTAGTAGCCTTGCATGACGATGTTGCCCCGTATGGTGACCTCGCCGATCTCCTTGTCGTCTGATGCAATTTCCTCGAATGGACCGAAGTCAGGATCACCTCCCTCGACGACTTTGACGACTCGGGCTTCGTCCGCGTTGAGGAAAGACTGCCCTTGACGGGCTCTGAGTGTGTAGCGCAGATCATCGTCGAGGTCATCGTGTTCTGGCAGAGGATAATTGATAGTGACCGGCCCGAGCGTCTCTGTGAGACCGTACGAGGAGATGACGAGAATGTTGATGTCCTCCATCTTCTTGATGAGCGACGCTGTAGGAGCTGCGCCGGCCAGCATGGCCTTTACAGGTCGCTCCAGTCTGCGCGCCTTGGGATGATTGACGAGACTAATGCAGACGGTAGGCGCGGCGCAAAAGTGAGTGACTTGGTTTCGGGCCAGCATATCGTGAATTTCGTCATACGTCCCGACGCCTCGTATGCAGATCTGTCGGCACATGGCAGCTTGACAAGCATAAGGGAACTTCCAGCCGGAGCAATGAAATTGTGGCAGCGTCCACAAATACGATGACTCTGGCCTCAGGTTGGTTTCATGCGCATTTGACAAGGCAGCCAGGTAAGTCGATCTGAGCGATGTGAGCACGCCTTTCGGTCTGCCAGACGTGCCGCTAGTCCAGTTGAGGGAGATGCTGCGGTGCTCGTCTGCCTCTAGCTCAAGGCCTTGCCAGCCTCGTTGCTTCAAGCTGATCTCGCGACCGCGCGCAAGCATAGTCTCAAAGGCATCACCGGCTTCACCCTTGCAGACGACGACTTTTGCAGACGTTCCTTCGACGAGATGGGCAAATTGGTGATCGACCACGACGAGCTTGGCACCAGAGAATTCCAGTATGTAGTCCACATCGTCCTTGGCGAGTCTGATGTTGATCGGAGATACAATGGCACGTGCAGCAGGCACAGCTTGTAGGACAGTAGCGATAGTGGGCGTATTGGGTGCGAGAACAGCGACTCTGTCGCCCGTCGAGATGCCCGCGTCCTTGAGCGCGTAAGCCAAGTAGCTGACCCTCCTTGCAAATTGCGCAAACGTGAAGCTCTGCTGCTTCTCCGGATACCAGATGGCTTCCTTGTTGGGATACACTGATGCTGAACGGAGCAGAAACGTCACTGGATTGAGCGGCGAGTAGTTGACTGGCAAGTCAGATGGCCAATCAGCAGCCCGGAAAGGGCCCTCGTGAGCGACATCGCCGCTCGTCAGATGCGATCTGACGCTCTCCAAGCGTGCCTGTGAGCCAGACGATGGCATTCTTGATGTGGTGAGCCTGGAGGAAAGTGGGCCAGAATGCGGAGCAAGTCGCGCTTCTATCGATTCTATCGGTTACGTCGTCGATCTCACACGTCGCTGTCCCTGACGAGGCGGCACGGGCCATGTGTCGCAGACGTGAATGACGACCAATAGTCCAGGGCCGAGTGCTCCGTCGAGCGAGTGCTTCATCAGGGTTCGATTGAACAACATCGACACCGTACAGACGCCGATCAAGCAATTGCCTCGAGAAACGAGCTTCAATCCTGACAATGCTCGAACGTCGGGTATACCCTTCATCACTCGCTCGACGCCATTCCTCTCTGGTGGACAAGAGCTCGACAAGGTGCCCGAGATTCGCGTGTTCGGCAGTACAGACCAGGGACAGCGCTGTTGCGTTCATGTTCATGGCGTCTTTCCGTATGTCTTTATACAATACTCAGGCGAACTCGATCCAGAGATAGGCGAGTGAGCTTCAGATGCCATTCATCGCTGTGGCTGACGTGACCGCCGCGAGCAGTGAATTCGTACATCCGTCAGTTGGGCAGGACACTCAATGCTGCCATGGCGAAATCATTCAAACGCGAACAAGACCGGAAAGTGCAGGAGCAATATGTCGGCTTCATCTGTCTCGTCAAAGGCGTGCCCTTCTACGGCTTTCATATCGGCCAGCAATACTTTCTCAAGATCTATTGCCTCCAGCCACGACACATGACGCGTCTCTCCGCCATCCTGCGCAGCGGCAAGATCATGAGCAAGCCAGCCGACAAGGCGTCTGGAGCAAAGTCGCAAGGCTTCGAAGTCTTTGAGGCCCACATCCCCTTTCTGCTGCAATTCATGCTCGATCACAACCTGTACGGCTGTGATTGGATCGATCTTGAACGGTGCAAATTCAGAGGCGAGCTACCTATCATAAACATCGATTCTCAAGCATCTGCCAAGTCAGGCGACTCACACGTTTCCAACAGGATCTACTGTGAAGGGTCTGTGCCGGAGGAAGCGTTGTATCCTGTCGACAATAGCCCGGCCAAGATCTGCTACAGTCAGCTCGAGATCGACGTTCATGCTTGCGACATCATCAACAGACGTCGTGTCGAGCCTCGATTGCTCCACGCCGACTTTCGCGAGCTGCTGGAAGCTCCGTACGCTGAGTCTCAGAAGCTTGTGCATAGCGTCAAAGAGCTTTGGAAGGAAGAGGCCTTGCGTCGTAAGGAGCGTGGCGAAGACGGGCCGGAGGATATCGCGAGTTATGCAGGTGGCGGGAGACTCTTCGCACGCGGAGAGCAGCCACATTGGGCTGCGGAAGACGGCTGGCGCAGAGCTATCTTCAAAATGATCGAGCAAGACAAAGTCAAGCCTGCCTCCTTTGAGAGCTTTGTCAAGAAGCCGAGTCACTTCGATGGCCTGATACTTACTGCTTTCGAGTCTGTCACTGCTCTCTTTCCAACCCGATTACGTCAGGATCAGCTCACCAACAACCCATTTGGTGTCTGGGCTCCCAAAGGCGTAGGTGTCGAGAATAGACGAGAGCAATCTACTGCTCCCTCCAGGAGCACGTTGCGAGGTCGATCACGCTCCGTCTCTGTGCTGCCTGACGATTTCGACGACGTCAACTGGTCAGACACAGAAGGTGACTTCAATCATGTGGAAGCACGCGAGCACAGCGATCCAGATGTGCTGACGGATGATGGAGCTATGCCCGATGAAGCCGAGGAGGATCCGCTGCCACCTGATGAATATGGCTCGCCGCGCAGATTCCATAAAGCACGGGCAGAAGACGTGATGATGGAGGACGCTGCTGCCGAGACACGTCACGCACTCGACGACGAAGATAATGCTACCCCGCCACCTCGCTCCTCACAAACGCAAGGATCAAGTGCAAGTCCTTCGCCAACCAAAAATGGCTTGCGCGCTACCTTGCACAAAAACGGCTACCTTGACGTATCTCCGATCAGTCTGCATAAGAAAGCGCTGCGTGATGCCGCACAGGCCAAGTGCGTCTCTCAGTCTTGCGAGACTACCCTTCTGATCGGAACAACAGATTGTCACAGGGCGATGGCACTCCAGCTCAAGTCATGTCGCAGTCTGCTTATTTTCGGAACAAGACGCCTAGTCCCCACAAATCGAAGACGAACGCCTTTGGCGGCGCAGCACCGATGATCTCGAGCGACAATCTCAAGCATGCTTTTCAGAGTGAAGCCAGAAAACCAACGATGCCAGGGGAGATCTTACCATGGAATGTCAAGCCAAGGGGCCAGCTGGGCCGGTATTTTGAGAGAGTAGACCGTCCGCGTGTCGAAGCGACTACAGTGCCAGAGGTTGCTGAAGAGGTCGATCTGTTAAATGTGGAACAGGTACGCACGGTACATGATCCATCACCGCAGACCTCCAGTGTTACCTCATCCGATAGTGCCGCCATGCCGCCGCCTCAGCAATCATCGGGTCCGGTCCACACGTCAACTTCTGAATCCGATAACGGATCGCCGGATTATCTGATGCCGTCACCGACACCAACAGCCCGCCCTCTCGGAGCATCCACACCAACGCCGGAAACAAATCCGAGCCTGACCGATTCTGCTGTGTCTGAGCACTTCCCTGCACTTCCCGCATCACCCCGTGCCACAAAGCGCGTCAAATTCAGCTCACCCTCCGTTTCGTCTGCCGAACAAAGCGTCAGCACGCGAGCAAAGTCAATCACACCAACGAGCGCGCCGGCACTTACGCACAATTCTCTGCAATATGCCGAAAGCGCGCCTACCACAGAGGACTTGCGCCTCTCGCTTCAGTCGCATAATATGAAAGATAAAGATTGGGGCCTGCCCTTTTTCTCTGTCATTTCGGACGTGCCAGAGTCTACAAAAGAATATGCTGGCAGGCGTTTCCATGTTGGCGGTATCACCCGTCGATATCTGAAAGACTTTCATCATTCATACAGTCGGGACAAACGTGGCTCTCGCCAGCATCAGGTCTTGCGGTGGGAATATGGCCTTGCACCGCCCAGCAAGTCCGACTGTCTACAGTCTTTGCGTGACGCCAGTCCCTCCCTGCAGGATGCGAGAAAAGCAAGGCGACTCGCTTCTCAAGTCGAGGGCCCCACGCAAGCTAATCGCTTCGGCTTCCGCTTTCAGCAAATCAAATCGACCGAAGGAGTCGATCGAGGCAAGCAACACATGGACTGCCTGTCGATCGAGCTACATGGTCCGCACATAGCCGCCTGTGTGGAATAACACTGACTTTATGACCAGTCAATACACGAGAGCGAATGAGGGTTTCAGCGAAAGAGAATGGCAAAGCCATGAAGCCCGTCGATGAAGCTGAAAAGCTTGCCGACGAAGTCATCGAAGACCCTAAGACTCCTCAAGACCCCGATCACGATACTTTGCGACCAGATCCGGAGCATGATTCGATCGAAGCACTGTGCTATTGCCTGCAAACTGAAGATCCGTCAATTCTCAGGAATGGCAGACTGCCCTCGACTCACATAGGCATGATCGTCGTCGAACAGGCTGGCATTGACTTCCACCGTCTGGGTTTTGGCGATGTCGTCATTGACGTCGTGGAAGACGAAGGCGCGCTAATCGATCTCTTCATAGATAAAGTCCAGCACTGGGATCCCGAGATCCTGGCGGGCTTCGAGGTGCACAAATCCAGCTGGGGCTACCTTGTCGATCGTGGCAACGTCGCACACGGCCTTGACTTGGTCAAGATCTTCGGGCGTGTAGATACCCAGAGTACCGGCCGCAATCGTGGCAAAGAGGATGCATGGGGCTATAACCACACGTCTAGTTTGCGCTTTACTGGGCGACACGTCTTGTGCATCTGGCGAATATTGCGCGGCGAGCTGGCGCTGACACAATATACGCTCGAGAACTTGACATTCCATGTATTGCAAGAGCGCACGCCTCACTATACACACAGGACGCTGACTAGATGGTATACTGACGATTCGCCTGCGCATACCGCGCGTGTGCTACAGTACTGGCTACGCCGCGCCTCCATCGATATAGAGCTGCTCGACGAAGCTGAGATCATTTCTCGCAACGCCGAATTCGCTCGCGTCTTCGGTGTTGACTTCATGTCGGTTCTGACTCGCGGCAGTCAATTCAAGGTCGAATCGTTCATGTTCCGTGTCGCCAAGCCAGAGAGCTTTCTGCTGCTCTCGCCTGATCGAGTGCAGGTCGGCAAGCAGAACGCAGCTGAGTGTCAGCCTCTTATCATGGAGCCTCAGTCCGCCTTTTATACCGACCCGGTGCTTGTTCTTGACTTTCAGTCGCTCTACCCCTCCTGCATGATCGCGTATAACTACTGTTATTCGACCTGTCTTGGCCGTGCCGGTCTGTTCAAGAACACGACCAAATTCGGCACCACAACGCTCGATCATCCAGCTGGGCTGCTCTCGCTGCTACAAGACGAGCTCATTGTGTCGCCAAACGGTTTCGTCTTTGTCAAACCGCACGTTCGCAAATCGCTCTTGAGCAAGATGCTGAGCGAAATCCTTGACACGCGCTTCATGATCAAGAAGTCGATGAAGCTTGTCAAAGACGACAAGGCGCTCACCAAGATGATGAATGCCCGACAGCTGGGTCTCAAGTTCATCGCCAACGTCACGTATGGCTACTGCTCGGCCACATTCTCCGGCCGCATGCCTTGTGTCGAGATAGCCGACGCCATTGTGCAGACCGGCCGGGAGACGCTCGAACGCGCCATGTCAACCATTCACGCCAATGCAGCCTGGGGAGCTCGAGTCGTGTACGGTGACACAGACAGCTTGTTCGTTCATCTGCCGGGCAAAACCAAAGATGATGCCTTTCGGATCGGCCGGGAGATTGCTGCCACAATAACTTATCAAAATCCTAGGCCTGTCGAGCTCAAATTTGAAAAGGTCTACTTGCCCTGCGTACTGCAAGCTAAGAAGCGCTACGTCGGCTTTAAGTACGAGAACGAAGAGGACGAAGAACCCGTCTTTGATGCCAAAGGTATCGAGACGGTCCGACGCGATGGCATCCCTGCTCAGGCCAAAATGGTCGAGAGCTCGCTCAAGTAGGGGCTCTCTGTCGCACATCGCTGCATGAGCTTACTTTTTGCAGGATCTTGTTTCGAACACATGACCTCTCGCAAGTCAAGGAGTACTGCTGTCGACAGTGGCAACGCCTGCTCGACGGCAGGGTCTCGATTCAAGATTTCACATTTGCGAAAGAAGTCAAATTGGGATCATATAGCGACAAAGGCATACCGCCGCCTGGGCCAGTCGTGGCGGCTGTTAAGATGCGCAAGGACCATCGAAACGAGCCCCAATACGCCGAGCGGGTGCCCTATGTGATGCCAATCTCTGATGGTCGCACTCAATCGCATCGCGCGCTCGCACCGGAGGCTTTCTTGTCCGGTAGACGCAAGCGCCTCGATGCTGAGTACTATATCACACGAATGTTCGTGCCTGCTCTAGCACGCATTTTCAATCTCGTGGGCGTTGACGTCAATGCTTGGTACACGAGCATGCCAAAGACACTTCGCCTGAGTACAAAAACGGACCAGGCCAAGGGGAAACAGACGATGGAGGAGCACTTTGTCAGCGACCGGTGTCCCATCTGTCGCCGACCAGGTCATCGTAACGGTGTTTGTGCTGCCTGTCGAGCCGATCCAAGCAAGACAACTTTCGAGGTCTTGTCTCGCGCTCATCATGCAGAGAAGCGACAGGTCGAATTGCGACAATTCTGTGGCTCGTGCGCATCACTCCCCCAGGCTGAGGTGATCGAGTGCGACTCACTTGACTGCCCGACTTACTATGCACGTCTAAGGAGCGAATGGCAAGCCCAGGATATCCACGAGCTCGGTCTGATGAAGACCCTGCAATCATGAAGCATCACTAGGAGCATGTATGTACAAGCACTTGTCGTTGTACAATCACTGCAGACTTTCCATTTCGGACCTTGGCTAATTAACTGCGCCAATGGCGGTACCTCCCTTTGCGACGACGGCCGGTTTGGCGATAGTCCTGGCTGAAGAAGGGCCGACTGTAATAAGTGCTTGTGTCGCGTTCGGTCGACAGACCAGCAGCCTCAGAGACGTTGAGATAGCCTTCATTGTAGGTCGTGGAATCTTCGCCAAGGGGAAACGCATCTGAGCCAAACGGAGCTCTGCAGAAGACGCAGCTTCCGCTCTTGTCTGCGCCTCGTTTTTGCCACTGCTTCTGGCAAGCTGCATGTAGACCATTGCCACAGCCCGGCTGCGCCTCTGTGCCTGCGCAGAAGACAAGGCCGGTTCCGTCAGTGATCTCGGACTCGCTGAATTCTTCATAGCAGATCGGGCAGGAGTCGCCTTCGGACGGCAAGCGTCGCTTGTGCATGTTTGCGTCGTCTTGCGCTTCATCGTTCGCATCGTCGGGCTCAGTCTGACCCGTCGCGAGCTTGTACGCCTCTCGAGCGCGCCGCGAGACGACATCGGTTGGATTTGGAGGCGCATTTGCAAAGACTGCTTCCAATTCGCTGGGAAGTAAGGCTTTCTGGTACCAGACGTCGGAAGCCACGGGAACTGCAAACGCACATCTGTCAGTAAAAAAAGAGCGCGGCACTCGTCACTCTCTCACCCTTGAGGACCTTGAGGAAAGTGAATATGAGATGCTTGCATGTATTGCCCTTCTCGGCATCTGGGCAGTCGCATGTTGGCTCGGTCGAGATGACGGTCGTGTACACATTGCCCACGGAACCGATGATCTTGAACTCTTGACTGGCTCCTACTTGTTCACGGCCTACAAAGTACATCCTCTGACCTATTGCACGCTGTCGGCGGGACTCGACGGTCTGGGGACATGACGATCGGTAGCGTGCTGCGCGCTTCTCCGGCTCGGACTTGGCTTTGCGCTTGCCCTTGCGATCTTGCTCAGCATGGCTAGTAGAGACATCTTGTTCTTGAGGCTCTGCCTTTGCTTTTGCCTTTGCTTTTTGCTTGGGCTCGCGAGCCGTAAGGGGCGCAACTGCTTTGGTCTTTGTGTGTGCGACCATGTGTGGAATAGGTGACGAAAGCGTGAACAGCAGGGAGCCGGCCTGTGTCGTGGAAAGTGCGGCGACGGTGTGGAGCAGGCGGAGTCGCGGGAATTTCTCTTTGCTGTTCCGCTGACAGTCAACGCCATGCCCTCGCTCGCCTTGACGCCAGTCAGCCCGGCATTGCAAGCAACCCAGGAATCTATGAGCTTGCCTACGAGACCAGTCGGGGCAGAGGAAACCTCAGACAAGCCACGGAAAAGTAAAAAGCGCAAAAGTCAGTCAGAGGTCGTCCAAGTCGACACTGCGCAAGAGACTGCGACAGATGCGGCCCAAAAAGAAGCAGAAGTCGTCGCTGAATCTCACAAAGCTTTGCGCAAGAAGCGCAAGCTCGAGAAATCCGGCATCAAGCCTGCAGAGACTGTCGTCGCATCTGAGCGCGAACAGCCCGCCAAACGCTCAGGGCACGGCATCTGGGTCGGCAACATGTCCTACATGACCAACGAGAGCCAGCTCAGACAATTCTTTGATGTCTGCGGAGAGATCACGAGGATACACTTGCCCGAGGGCAAGCAGAAATACGAAGTCAACCGTGGGTTCGCCTACATCGACTTTGAGACTGCCGAGGCTACAACAAAGGCTATCGCCATGAGCGAACAGAACCTGATTGGCCGGAAGCTGCTCATCAAGGATGCATCCAATTTCGAAGGCAGACCTGCTACGCCCGCCAACAAAGCAACAGAGGCCTTGCTGGCCAGCGGCGTGCCCCTGCCCGCTGGCACGATCAATAAGACTTCCAATAGCCTCAGCCGCACAGCCAAGGAGATCCTTGATCGACAGACGAACGACCCAGCTCAGACACTCTTTGTGGGCAACCTCAGTTTCGAAGCGACCGATGCCCTCGTCAGAGCACTGTTTGATAACAACGCCCATGCAGCGGCACAGTCGCAGAAACCGAAGCGAGCAGCTGCGTCTTCGTCCGAAGAACCAGAAGATGACAATCCGGACAAATTCACTGCCGGCATTCGCAAAGTCAGGTTGGGTACATTTGAAGACACGGGCAAATGCAAAGGGTAGGCTGCCAGTCTGATTCGAGTCTATCATGGCTGATCAGCGCGACTCAGGTGGGCATTTGTCGACTTTATCGGTATTCCGCAGGCAACTGCTGCCCTGCTCAACCCTCGCAATCATCGTATGCACAATAGAGCGCTCAAAGTCGAATACGGGTCTGCAGAGGCTGTGCGACGCGGTGGCGGACCGCGTGCAAAGCCAGACAAGAAAGACGATCCCGCAAAGCCTGCCGCACCTCCGCCCAAGATCGATTTTGCCGCACCGCCAGAGAAGGTGCATAAGCCAACTCAGGAGGAGCGCAGAGCGGCCAGAGAAGCCAAAGCGAAGAGCAAAGCCCGCAAGCCTCGAGATGTCGAGCCACGCAAACGCGTCAAGCCCGGTGATGCGCTCTCACAAGCACCACGAGAACGGACTGCTATCGTTCCTGGTGCGGCTGGCAGGAAAGTGGTTTTCGAATGAAGCTCGGCGTGAGAGGAAGTACAACATTGTGATGTGGGCTCGATGACCTATGTCCGTGATCTCGACGGCGAGAAAATCACAAGAGTGCAAGGAAGCCACCCGTGACGATGCCGAGGGTTGTGATGGCTACGATGCCGATGTCGGTGTGTGTTAGCGCAGCCCCGCCGGTGCTAGAGCTACTCGTGCGTGTGCTGGCCAGTGCTGATGTTGTGCCTGTGGATGTGGGTGTGCTTGTACCGCTCGCAGATGCAAAGCATGTCGACGCTGTCGAATTGACAGCAGATGCTGAGCTTGGGCCGCTAGAGTTGACCGTTGCATTACCAGAGACTGCATGTCATGTCATGTAAGCCAAAGCTTTCAAACGCTTGGAAAGTATAAACATACACGAGCAAGACCCTGCAGCCCCGTTCTGTTCAAAGTAGTATTCCGTAAAGGCATAGCCTAGCTTCTCGAGCGGCGTGCAGGACGAGAACTGGCCGTAGACGCCCGTCGTGCCGTTGGACGCTATAGCATCGCAAGTTGCAAATGTACCCAGGTTGGCGCAAGCGTAATTGATGAGTTCACCGATTGCTACAGGGGTCAGATTTTCGTTGGGCTTGCAAGTGAACGCGCTGTCGAGCGAACAAGCGCAAGCTGCTGCATTGGGCGTGGGCGGCAGAGCGGCGGAAGCGGTGAAATTGACAGAGACCGCAGGACAAGTAGTCGAAACGGCAGTGGAGGGGCCAATTGTCGATGAAGAGCCATTGTTTGCAGCAAATGCGGCGCCAAGGGCTGCAAAATCGCTGACGGTCACAATCGCACCTCCGGTCGTCGACAGATTCTGTGTCAACCCGTACCCGTCCGTGTCTGCAAAGAATTCGAATGCAGAGCCACCAGAGAAGACGGGCGTCATCTGATCGCTGTAGATCAGAGCGACTTCGGACCAGTCGCGCGTGCCGGCGGTGATGCAGCCAAACTCGCTAAAGTAGGCGGGTACTGCCAGGTCTTCGTAGGCATTATAGAGCACCTGATAGCCCGAAGTGGCAAATGTTAGATCTGCGCCAGCGGTCGAGCAGTCTCTGTAATTGTTGATACCGTAGAGATCTACGCTGGTGTTTTGCTCGCCGCAGGTCAGATAGGCCGCGACATCGAAGCTCCAGTCGTCGCCGTCTGTTGCGCTGTACGTCGTCAGTGCCGAGCTGCCGATGCTCATCAGGTAGGCTTTGACGTCTCGGACTGCGGCTTTGATGAGAGGCGCAGCATCCGTGTTGGTCGGGCCGGTGACGACCTCGTTCGCGACGCCGAATGCGAGCAAGTTATCATAACCTGCCATGTTGTTGATCGTATCGATGTATTGCTGCTGTATCCCGACATCCCAGCTTGGCGCCGCACGGTTGATGGAGCCATTGAGCGGCAAGCCGAGATCAGCAATGACATAAATCGAGCTAAAATCCGTCGTCAGCGCTCAGGCGTACTTTTCTTGGCTGATGAGTGACTCACTTGTCGTTGAACAGGTTCATGCATGCGCTGTGATCCGCCGTACTGTCGAGATTGTAGACGCGGACGGTGTTGATGTTGAGCTGCTGAAGGTAGGGCAGATCTCGCTGACAGGCCGTTATATTGTTCAAAGGGTCAACATAGCTGCTAGGCTCTGCGAAGCCGCCATTCGCTTCATTCTCCGCTGTGTTCTGGCTGACTGCTCCAGCTGGCTGGTAGGCTACGCCCTTGATGTAGAACCGCTGATTGCTCGCATCGACGAGGAATTTGCCTTGCCGCGAGACTTTGCTGACTGCTGCAGATGCCGATGCGGCCAAAGCGAGCACAGTGGCGCCGGTCTTGATGTGCATGGTTGTCGCTGCACGGGTGAGTGAAGCGAGCTGCGAGGTGACAAGCTGAAGAGCGGTGAAGGCGCAGCAGCAACGCCAAGCTGGTGGCGAGACAAAAATAACATTGGCCTCGCGTAAGTTGACATCTCGAGAGCTTATTAGAGCTAGCGGCCCACCTGCACTTCCGACCGAGTACAACACCAGCAAGCAAGGGTCGAGCAAGATGCAGCATCCATCTCGTATGCCCACCGACGGCGTCATCGTCATCGCTCGCCTCTATCCGGTCAAGGGCAAGGAGGACCGCGTCGAGGAGATGCTCAAGACGATCAGCGAGCATTCCAACTCGGCTAAAGAACCCCACTGCCCTACGTACCGTGTCGTCAGGTCCCTCGACGCTCGTCAGTCTGTAGTCTGCGAAGAGACCGCGAAGCTCATATTGGTTGATAGCATGGCAATTCGCCGTCTTTGAGCACTACCTCAACAAGCAAGGCATCACGGATCACGGCAATGCTGAGCCTTTCAACGCTCTCATCAAGGCCATCGGTGACGAGAAGCTTCTCGACGTGGGCTTGAGCTCCTGCCCTCACGCTAGGCTAATGCGGAAAGCAGGAGAGCCGCGGCGGCATCGTCATCGAGCATTTCGAACAGGTATGACTAACGCACGAACGAAGTAGAGCAGAGCAGTGAATGTAAAAGGTACAAGTGATGTGATCAGATAGACTTCTTGCCGTTCTCGAGCGCTTCCCAGTCAGCTTTCTTGAAAGGTACATACTTGTCACCTTGGAGCTACGTCCACGAATGAGCTATGAGCGTGCGCACACTGCTAGACACTCACCCAGTAGATCTTATCGCCATCCACCTTGGATGGATCGACGCCTTCCTTTTTGAGCTGGGTAGTGATGACCTTTTCAGTCGAGGTCTTGGTTTGCCTGCGCCTCTAATCAGCCTCCCCTAGAAAGAAATTGCTGGCGTTCGGCGTACTTCTTGGTCTCTGCAGTGACCAGTCAGCGTATCCACGTGGGTCAACATGATACGCACCTCGAATGAAGACAGGCACGGCATACTTCGGTAAGTTCTCCTTTGCATGAGCAAGAAGTCCTTGCAGATCAAGGCCTTTGAGGGAGTCTTGCGGAATACCTGCACACCCGGCGCGTCCGTCATGTTTCTGCCTGCGTGTCAGTCGGTGGTCTTGCCGATATTGCAGCTACTCACAGGCAGCTGGACGCCATAGACTGCAATCTCCTCGAGACCGTCGTACGAGTGAAGCGCTTCCGTGACTTCGGCGGTCGAGACATTCTCAGATTCTTTCAATCTCACTCGTCAGCTATATCACGCTCGGCTGTTCGATATACTTACTCCATCTGAACGTGTCACCGAGCCGGTCGACAAAGTAGTAATAGCCTGTCGGTTGTCGGCTGAGAAGATCACCCGTGCGGAAGAACTTGTCGCCCTTCTTCATGACGTTTTCCTCAATCTTGTCATTCGTCGAATCCTTGTTGCCCTTGTAGCCGCTGAAGCCCTTGGCCGGATGCATCTCATTGATGCTCACAAGCAATTCGCCTGGCTCTCCGAACGCAGCCTCTTCACAGAAGCCTTTCGAATTGCGCCACAGCTCTTGTGTGTCGGGGTCCACTTTCAAGATGTAATTGCCGGCTAATCGTTTCGAGAGGAAGCTCTCGCGCCCTATAGCTCCGGATCCGAAGGTAGACTGATTATAGTTGAACAAGAAGGTGTTGCCTTCCGTACTTGCATAGAACTCGCTGATAGCTTGTATGCCAAAGCGCGCTTTAAAGTCTTCGAAGACGTCTGGTCGCATGCCGTTGCCAAAGGCCATTCTGACCTTGTTGTCCTTATCATGCTCGGGATCCGGATTTTGAGATAAGATGTATCGACAGATCTCACCGATGTATTGAATTACTGTTGCGTCCACAGACTTGACTTCGGACCAGAACTTGCTCGCAGAGAACTTGCGCGAGATCGCAACAGTCGATCCGGAAGACCAAGCAGCAGCGACACAAAGCAGAGCAGCAGACGAGTGATAGAGTGGCAAGCAGGTATAGATGATGTCATTGGGCTGCCATTGGCAGAATTTGCTCCATGTCAAGGAGCCCGTCGTGACTTTGGCTTGAGAGACCGGTGCAGCTTTGGGCAAGCCTGTCGAGCCGGAAGAGTATATAAAGCAGACTGGATCTTTCCAAGTGAGACCTGTGCGATAGGGTTTGTGGGGTATAGTCGCTGTCGAAAGCTGGCTGTACGCATTTGGCTCGATGACGTGCCATTTTGCATCTGCCCAGTATTTCTCGAGACCCGCCTCACCTTTAGCGTCTACGAGACTTTGGCCATCTTTCCACACGTAAAGCTGCAGACCGGACAGCTTCTTCTGAACAGAGCGAACAGAGGGCACGCAATCGAGGTCAAAGATGATAGCCTTTGCCTCGCTGACTTTGATACAATGAACGAGCGAGTCACCCGTGAGATTGTAGTTGATAAAGGCAGGCTGTACGCCGAGCGCCATGAAGGAGAGCCAGCAGACGATAAAGTTGTATTTGTTGGGCATGACGAATGCGACGGTATCATCTCGCTTGAAGCCCTGATCTATCCAGTAGTGTGCCAAACGGTTGACAGCCTCTTGGGTCTCCTTCCAAGTATACTTTTGGCCCTCAAAGATGTACGCCGTCTCGTTCGCTCGCCGTTTGGCAGTGCGTTCGAAGATATAGTATGCCGAGACTGTACCCTGATCAGCAACGGCGAGACGGACATGATCAGAACTTCACCCACTCCCGTCTGTATAGCTGCTGTAGACCATCCTGGCGCTCGCCTTGCCGAATGCAGAGCCGCGCGCCAGGTCATCTAGCATGCCAAAGTAGTCGAGGCGGGGTGGTATGATGCGTGCTAACGTCTCCATGGTGTCGCCTAGTGTCTATGCCGATCGGAATCAGGTCGAAAGAGTGGCAATCTCGCAAGGAAGAAAGAGCGCGGGGTAAAGATTGCCGTGACGTCGAAGGAACGGCGACTTTGCCGAGAGAACACGATCGATCATTGGAATATTGACGATCAGCAGGAAGCCTCGGTCAGCTTGCGATTACGTCAAAGAGAGCAGCGAGATGGTCGAACGGAAGCTCTGCGTCGCTGGTTTGGCACTTACCGTCTACGCCGAGCAAAACCTCGAGAGCAGGCAAGACTATGTGCTCATATTCCTTCTCCACGGACGCACTCACTCGCAGGAGCACTGCCGCGAGCTTGCACAGGCTATACTTGCGCAACCCCTGCAACCTGAGGATTCCGTACAACGAGTGATCATCACACTAGACCACCGGAACCACGGTACGAGAGCCGTCGACAAGCTTCGCAATGCCAGCTGGCTCGATATGAACGGAAACCTTGCCAATGCTACACACGCACTAGACATGACAGGCATTCAGACCGGCACAGCTTTGGACATCATCCAGCTCATAGACTTCTTGCCCGCCTATCCACTCTTCAACCAAGCGCGCTGCATCAATTACGGCGTCGTGGGCATCTCGCTCGGCGGCCATACGGCCTGGCACTTGCTCAGCAGAGGTTCGTTCGAGCGCGATGGAGCCAGAACGAGCTCTGATGAGATACTTCAGAGAAGCGCATACGGTGCGCTGTACCTATCATAGGAGGTCCCGACCCATTGAGACTGCTCGAGGATCGAGCCGCGAAAACGCAAGCCTTACTGGTCAAGACATCCTCTTCAGTCGCATTCGACGGCTTGACCGACATAGAGAGGGAAGTGATTAGGCGTTGGATACCATTAGAGGAGCTCTCCAGCTCAGATCTCGCCGGCAAGCATGTCTTGACGGTCCGCGGTGGGCGAGATACACTGGTTCCGTACGAGGCCAGTGGACTGGCTATAGCTACCACTAAGTTTGCGCACTTGGGGAATGTCGAGCACTTCTGTGATCAAGAAGCAGGCCACGAAGTCACGCCAGCGATGATCGCAAAGGTCTCGCAGTGGCTTGCTATCCAGTCCAATATCATGTAATGGTCAGATTGCTACAATACACCACGAATTTTGTGCACGTGCAGGTCGCCTTCCATTCCGATAGTTGCCACTCAGTGCAACCCAATCACTTTGCCCGTAGAACCGCGACATATCGAAGTGCTTGGCCTGCTTCTATAAAATCGTACATTCTATGATCTATGATGTTTACATGGGTGGGTAGTCGACGCCATCTGGATGAGGCGGCGCTTCTTTCTTGTCGAGTATCTTCATCAGCTGGTCTACAGTGTCTTGCTTGCTGAGGTCATAGATGGGTCGATCTTCTCCCATCGCGTGGATTTGAAGAATGGCTGTGGGCGTTTGCTTGCTCGCGTCGACCTTGTTCTCGCGAGCGCCAGTGCTCTTGCCGCTCAGGATGAGCTTAGGCAGATCTGGCTCTGCGCAGAGAGGGCGAGCGAGTCCAACCATATCAGTCGAGCCTTCGTCGATCGCCTGCGCCATTGCTTTTGCCGATCTGAATCCGCCCGTGACGAGCAAAGTGGCCTTGTTGAGAGCTACCTTGAACTGGCTTGCGAATTCGACAAAGTAGGCTTCGCGAGCAATCGTTGACTCTTTCTTGTGCTCGAAGCCTCGAGATTCGTACGTGCCGCCAGAAAGTTCGATGAGGTCAAAGCCGTACTCTTCGAGCTTCTGAACGGTGATCTTTGATTCTTCGGCAGTGAAGCCGCCGTCGGCAAAGTCGGCAGAGTTGATCTTGATGGCCAGCATGAACTTCTCGTCCGGTACACGCTTGCGGATCGCCTTTGCCGCTTCAAAGAGGATGCGAGATCGGTTCTCGAGGGGACCGCCCCATCGATCTGTCCTCTTGTTGATCCTCGGGCTGAGGAACTGCGAAAGGAGGTAGCCGTGGGCGGCATGCAATTGCGCGCCATCAGCGCCTGACTTGTAGAGCACTTCTGCAGCCCAAGCGAAGCGATCGATGAGATCTAGGATCTCTTCCTCTGTCATTGCACGCGCAACGCCATAGTCGTTGCCCATCGCAGGCGGACATTGCGTCTCGCTCGAAGAGACAGGCTCGGGGTTGATATGCTTGGGCGTCTGTCTTCCGCCGTGGGTGAGCTGGCCAATACAGAGCGAGCCATAAGCCTTTGTGACTTTGACGACTTTTTCGGTCTCGGTCACTGCATCCCAACGATCATTGCCACGGTCCAAGCAAAAGTTGCCAACAGCCTCTTTGCTTCTGACATCGACGGGGATGTTACCGAGGATGATGGTACCCGTCTGACCTCTGCCCCATTCTCTATAGATCTCGAGGTAGGCTTCACTGGGTTTACCGTTGGTAGCATGACAGAGTCGCTCTGTCATTGCTGACTTGGCAAATCGGTTGGGCGCCGTCAGACCGGAGAAGTGGAACTTGACGGGCGAGCCGAGTGTCTTGATCTGTGCTTCTGTTGCCATGATGATCTACTTGCTGGTAGAGTGATTGGTGTGAGCGGTGGTCGAGTCTTGGTGTCAAAACTCGGATCGATGATGCAGTGGCGATCCGCTAACGCCGAGAAAAAAGCGCGACGACGACATGTCAATGACCGCCTACGCTCGCAGCAGCGTCACTCTCCTCCTCTCCGCTCCCCCAGCAGTCAATCGCAGTCGGCCGAGAATCACATCATGTTCAGGAAGACAGCTGTGTGCGACAAGAGCTCTGCACCACCAACATACTAGAAGCTGCAATGGATCACTATGACGGGAGGGATACGCTAGCTTTCGACGCTGAGCGAGGTATATAGGACCGTTTGTCCTCCGACAAGATCTCGACAATGATCTTCGTGTACTGTCCGGCTCCCGCAAGATGCCATTGTGACAATCTGATCGACTCAATAGGCTGCGCGATCAAAGGCGCTTCGACAAAGGCGCACAGACAATGGCCGTGCCTGCTCTCGATCTCGTCCAACGTATCGACACAGTCCCACGCTTCCAGACAGCTTATAGACCTTGCCATCGTACCGCTTCACATCGCCGGCTCTCCTCTCGCCCGACAACATGTTGAGACAGATCGCCCTGTCACTCATTCTTGCCCGCGCTGCGCTGGCGCAGACTAATCACGCGATACAAGTCGGACCTGGCCTTGCGTACACTCCGGTACGTGTCTTACTGGTCATGATCGAAGCAAGGGCTGACATATGCCCCGACAGGACAATATCACTGCAGCGATAGGCGATACGATCACCTTTACCTTTTTCTCAAAGAATCATACAGTCAGGTAAGCCCCGTAAAAGCATCAAGCAAGCAAGCGGTAGGACTAAAATCTGCACGTCCTAAGCCAGTCGAGCTTCGCCGCGCCTTGCACACAGCTCGTGAACGCTACGACGGGCGCTGTTGGATTCGACAGCGGCTTCGTGCCCGTTGCCCAAAATGCGACGGAACACCCAGCATGGACAGTACGAGTGCAGACAACCGCGCCCATCTGGATCTTCTGCGCTCAGACGTCGGTAAGTCCTGCAGTATCCCATTCAGGCGCGTCCGTCTCATCATGCCAACGCAGCACTGTGCGAGCGGCATGGTCATGAGCGTCAATGCACCCACAGATGGGCCAAAGACGTTTGACAACTTTCGAGCGGCAGCACTGGCGACAGCGAGCAATACGACAGCAACGGCCGCCACGACGAGCGCGAGTCCAGCTGCAGGCGTCGGTACTTCAGCTCTGGCCGGATCTGCACCGCAGAGCTTTAGTCCGCATGCTATAGTGGGAATCACGTTGTTCCTGTTGGTGTCATTGGCTTGACCGTGTAGACTCTGTATCTAATTCTAGTGGTCGACTCGGCTTGCCATGTTCGGTCGCGCGCCTGAGTCGGTGAGCAGGAGAATATGAAGTCAAGTGCAATGATGGAGCCGACTGATGCCAGTAGCACGCAAGCTGCAGCGCCCAGTACCAGCGCTCTCAGCATCGGCAAGGGACAGCCCAACAAGAGAGGGAACGGCGGCAAGGCAGCTCGTCAGGCCTTGAGCGGCGCAAACGGACAGAGTCCATCAAATTCGATGAACGGTACGAGCAAGCGCAAGGGTGAGCCCAATGGCCGTCAGACGGCAAGCGCGAGCTCGCCCAAGCTGGTCTCAGCGCCTAACGGAGCGGTCAAGCCCAACGGAGCGCATGTCCAGCCGCCGAGCTCGAGATCCACCTCACCCGCACCCTCGACTTCATCAAGCTCAGTGCCAGCATCTGAGCCGATCAAAGCCTCGTCCTCGACCGAAGGCACCTCAGATGATACGCTAGCCCGAACGACCCAGTCTAGTCTGACGCTTAGCGAGATCGAGGTGCAACAAGCCACTGAAAGTAAAGTCGCGGAGGACACCACGGCAAGCAGAGCGAGAGCAGTCTCCTCTGCTTCCACTTCTCACTCGGGAGCACGCCGAGCATCTTCTGCGGCCAGTGCGAGCGCAAGTGCGCACAGCCTTGACATCACAGAGTACCTCGTGCGTGTCTATACCTCATCGCTGTTGCCCAAACTCACATCGCACGAGCAGTATGAAACAGGCTTCAATGGGTGCGCTGACTGGCGGAGGGAGCTCACGACGAGCTGACAGAGAGACGGTCTGCAGTGCCCAGTGGTCTGACGTGCGCGTATACGTCTGGAATCGCAGCTATTCGCTTCACCGACTCTTGCTGTATCTTATTCCCCCAATCAGAAATGACTTGCATGACTAACACGACGGGGCAGATCACGCTCGCCCACATTGGCGCAATGTATGCGCATGTACGCCTCGCCCACCGACTTTGGTCTCTCGATAACAGACCCAGCAATCACTGAAGAAGGTCTCGCGATCGCGCTGAGCCATCTCTATTCGACCAGAGCGCTACGACAGATCAATGTCCACAATGCTCAATCAGTGTTCGCCGCTGCCGTGTTCTTGCAGCTCGACGATCTCGTTGCCATCGCCGAACCCCTCTGCGCAACCGCCGTCACGCACGCTGCAGACGCAGACTCAGTCGCTGCCTGGACCGCCTTTGTCGAGGCAAGACAGGCCGTTACCCCTGCGCCCAACCCATTCGGCTTGAGTCCAGTGCTCGCATCGACGCCAGAAGATCCAGAGACGCTCGATGATGATCCGTCTACCCGTCTATACGGACAGTCCGCACTTCTGCTCCGCTCCGTCCTGCTGGATCATCTCATGGTCACCCTTCCCGCAAGCCTGGGTGCATTCGGTCCTACCACGACACCTGACATGCGCAAATTGGGCCAGCCACGATTATCTGCTATCTACTCGCGTTTGCCTTTTGCCTATTTCAAGCACATCATGGAATCACCAAGACTAGCTGTCAGTAGCGACATGGAGCGCTTCAACTTTGCCCGCAATTGTATTGGCAGCCGCAAACGTTTGCAGTCCCAAGACTTTGACGAGAACGTCGTCCTTGCCTTTGGCGGACAGACGAGTCATGGTGATTCAGCAGCCTCTCTAGCCATAACTGAGTCTGATCGAGAGAACGCAGGCAATGTCAATGTAGTGAGAAAGCAGCGAAGGTCTCGAACGCTCTGGAAGGTCGAGTCCTGATGCAAGCAATCCACGAGCAGAAGCGCAAAAAGTTTCGGTGGCCGCTGTAAGACTACGCAGATTGCATCGACGTATCATGTCAATAGGTTGCAACAGGTGCGCCTGTACCAGCATGGTAGAAATCTATACTACCCTCTGTAATACTGGAAGTGAGATCCTGCAAAAGATCTCTGACCACGCCATCTGCGGCTTCGATAATCATCGCACTTTCGTCAGATCTATGTGTTGCGTGGGTCTTGTTATAAGGCAGCACACCGCCGGCACTCGACTTGTTGCGGCGATGCTTTCTCACTACGACCTTGAGGGGCTCTGTACCGGTGGACGCAAGCTTGGGCTGCATGCGCATGAAGTCTGCTCGGTCTGTCCGGCTGAAAGGCGAAGCCGGCACAGGATCGTCTGCTGCATCGATACTCGATTCGCGCGAGTGCGAGAGGTAGTCGAGTTGTCCTGATTGACGGCCAGAATGATTACGCAAGTCTTGCACGACCTGCCAGACCATGCTGCCATCGGCCATCTCGTCAACTTCGATTCGATGAGACTTTCGCGAATTAGCGTGAGCGTTGAGGGCAGACAGACGCGCTTGTTGAGCGGCCATCGGCAGCGTTGCATGTGTATAGCCTGGTGAGCGACCGCCAGGCGGCAAAATCCGTCCCTGAGCGACAACGATCTCATCTGGCTCCTCTGTCTGCGTAGCTTCCAGGCGCGGCGAGTCCATATCCGCATACATGTCGTATATAGATCCGGCATATGACGCGCCGCTCATCACTGACAGCGCGCTCGGAGACTTCGGAATACTGAGGCCGGTGTGCGGCACATCGAGACCGCCTGCTTTGCTGAGATCGAGTGAAGCTGGCGGTATGCGTATTGGCATGTCTGGTATCGGCGATAGTCGTGGCAGAGCTTTGCTCGGCAGCGGTGCCTCTCCTAAATGCTCCCCAGATGTCTTGCGTCGATGTCCGCGGGCGGGCGGCGGCGTTGCTGGTCGGTCCTGCAATAGTAATCGCCTATCTTCCGAGGGCTCTTCTTCTATAGCAATGTGCTTCTCTGGCGAGAGGTCTGCTAAGGCTGGCACTGGCTTCTTGCTTTGCGAAGGCGTCTTCTTTAAGGTTCCTTTGCTTTTGACCGCAGGCTGAGACGGAGTCTGCTGAAGCGAGGAGCCTCTATGTGCGATTGCTGGTTGCTCCGGACTTGATTCCGAAGATCTGCCGTCGGGCTGCGGCACAATGATCGTCCGTCGGACGACTGTATTCCGTGCATCCATTACCTGCGTCTCTGGACTTTGACTTGCCAATTGCTCGCGTCGTGCGCTAAACTTATTGATGAGTCGAACGAGAGCAGGCCGATCTCGCGGTGATGCAATATTGCTAGGACTGGCTGGTAGGTTCGACGGAGCAGCAGACACCGAGCCATTGCGCTTCTTAGGCGATGACGCATCCTCGACTCCATTCTCCAGCCGCCTCGGGGGAGCTGGCGCGCTTGCCGACAGGATTGCAGCAGGCTGTAGCACTCTGGATGATGCTTCAAGCGCCTGGCTCCTGCTCAGCGCATGTGCAGCCTGCGCCTCGCCGATTGGCACAGCTTCGATGGCACTCGACGCTGCGATAAGCGAGGGGTGCGATATGTGTAGACCTTTGAGGGACTTGCTAGATTTCGATTTGCGCACCGTTTTTTCTCGATCACCGCGTTCGCTATTGGAAAAGCTGGAGAAGCCCTTGAGCGCAGTAGTCGCTGCGTTAGCCTCATCGGCGACATGACCATACATCATTGAAGGTGTCGCTCGATGTAACCTCTTACGATTGTCCTGTGCGCCTACGCCGACGGGCTCAGACATCTTGCGAGCGTGCTCATATGGTGGCTTAAAGGGCGACTCCATGTTCAAATCAAGATTGATGACATCGACGGACGTTTGCTTAAGATGTCGATTTTGTACTGTTCAGCGGCAAGCCTGATCAGCATCTATTCCTGCTGCTCTTGGCAATACTGACTTTCGGTCAGTATACCCTTGGAGGCATCAAAGCCGCCTGAGCCCCAGGCAGACGCTGTGAAGGGCGTTGCAGGCGTGTCTGGCCCGCCTGAATGATCCCATGATGTGTTCGACGACGTTGATGAATCATACAGGTATGGCGTTCGCGAGGACGCAGCCGTCGAAGCGGAGCTGTACAACTGTGGCGTCTCCGGCAGATCTCGAGACGACTCGGCGAATTGGGAGATCTCTTCCGATTCGTCTTCAGGTCGCTCCGTCACGCGACGTAATCCGGCAGGCTCGTGGGAGACATGGAAGCCTAGTCCAAGCTCGCGAGCTGACTTGACGGAGGAGCGGTTCGGCTTGTCTGCCGACGTCTTCCTGCTCACCGTAGATGCGGTGGAGTTCGTGCGCCGCAGCAGCTCTTGCTGTACTAGCTCGAGATCAAACGCGTCCAGCCCTAACGTGAGCCGGAGGAGCTCTTGATGAGCCGCCAGCTCTTCCATTGATTCGTGAGGCAGGTCTTCTAGATCGTCCTCTGCACTCAATCGACGCTGAAGTATAGCAGACGGTGAGCCATCAGAGGCATCATTCAAATTGTGATAGCTCGAAGATGTGCTCGCTTCTGAGCCTTTGCGACTCGAAGACTTCCCGTCGGATGGCGAAAGTCCTGCTGATCCCTGATAAGGCCCATGTGCGTCGAGCACGCGCTCGGGCGTATTGAAGACCGTGCCTTTGGGGAAAGAATCATCGCGTTGGTCGAAGGTCAGCTGGTTCGCTCCATCCGGCGCTGATTTATCAAAATCGAGAGGTGATGTACGAACGTCGCTGCTCGGGCTTGGCAGGCTACTGCTGCTCAATGGCGGTGCAAGATGCTGCCTCATAGATGCCCGCGCGGGGTCTAGGGTACCAGACTCGTCTGTCAGATTGTCAGATCCAATGGGTGATTGTATTCTCCCGCGACCCTGTGCAGGCTTGAGCAATTGCGGCGCATCTTGCGAGCGAGACTTTTGCCGAGGAGATGGCATAGTAGGAGCTTCGGTGACAGCCTCGTGAACGCTTTCCGGTATGCTTTCGACCGCTCGCGCCTGGCTTTTGAGGCTCGCTTGCTCGGCAATTTGCCGACTATTTCGGGGCGAAGCCGCTGGCGAGGCATGCGCGTCTAGATTCTGTAAAGACGAGGATCGAGAATGCCCCAAGCGAGGCTTGCTCGGACTCGAGGGTGGAGGCCGCAAGACAGAGCTCTGGCCGGGTTGCGCCTGCGAAATTCGCCTGAGCATATGCTGCTCCAGTATCGCGCACTCGTCATTAGGCGTCATACGGCCAGCGGTCACTTCCTGCCTGTTAGCAGCCTCCGCGTCAGTGATGGGCTCGCAGTGTGGCATTTTGCAGACCTTAGATGCATCTGTAGAGATTCTATAGATGGTGCGCCGTCTTGACTCGCTAAACGCTCAAAGTGCTTGTCCATATGCGCTGAACAGGACCATAAGTCTGTGCATAGCATCTCCTGGCCGAGGACGTACGCAATATGAGCGAAGTGCGAAAATCGTTAGCATCGGGTAGGATGCCATTAAAGCGAGGCAACGGCGGTTCTGCGCGTCGCTTTGAGGACGAGTCTGATCGCGCATGCGCGTATGCAGGCGAGGACAGATTGCGTTGATGCCTGCCTTGCTGCGCCTGACTACGCTGACCTGACTGCGAGGATCTGAGGGTCTCGCTACTACCATTGACCTGCTGCGAGCCGTTGCGCGCCCTGAACTCCCTATGCCGCGCCTCGTATTGGAAAGGTAGCGCAGGCAGAGCGCCACCACTACGGATACTGCCGTCTTTGTTAAAAGTGAGGAACGGTCCCTGATCGCTCGTCGCTACGGAGCTCGACTGAGAACGAGCATGATGAGCCTGACGAGATGTCGAGGCTTGCAAGGACTGGCTGAGGGCCTGAGCAGACTGTTTGGCGAGTCTGTCCTTGCTCAACCTCTTGCGACTATTTGCAGAATGCGGTGATTGTCCCATCGGGTGAGTGGGTTTGGCAGGTAGACCAGCGCCCGGCGACAGCGGCCCATGTTGGGTAGACTTGCGCGCCTGCATCATCCGTACCGCCTGAGCGTCGTCGTCGTCCGTTCTCCGTCGTAGTAGCTTCTGCATGACGACGCCTTTGCAATAATTTTGTTCAGGAGCCTTGACCGATCAGACGAGCTGACCGCGCTGCTGCGTAACCAACAGCGTGGTGCTGAAGCAGCGTCTCGACCCTATCGCTGGAAGGAGGCTCGAGCGCAAGTCAGCGCGGTCCTCTTCCTTCTCCACGCTGTAAGGGAACAGAGGTAGTGCCGGCTGACTATCTCAAGCCCAGCCGGATGTGAGGCGTTCCTGCCTTTGTCGCCTTTTGGCTTTTGTACGCGTCGCGTCGTTAGCAAACGCGTCATGCAGTCAACGCCACGAAGTCCACCATGGCAATGAATGACCTTGCATGCAATATTCAAACGATCTCACTGCAGCCATAAGGCTATCCAAATAGAGTGCCATCTTTGAACAATCCATGGTCACTCGTCTCGAGTCTCTTGCCGCAGGTACCGAAAAGCGTGTCGAACAGACGTGTCTGCTTGCCCATGTTGAGCCCTCGCATACGGTAGCCGTTACGATGGTGTCTATCACCTGCAGCATCAGCTTGCATCACAGACTGCCACAAAGAGACTGACAGATCGTGATCTTCGATACACAGTCCAAGACCGAGAGGCTTGAGCCAAAAGAAGAGCGGGTGGCCCATGTCCGACCGTGCGCCAGTGTGGCCCATTGCTTCGACAAAAAGGAGATAGCACATTGCGACATAGAGTTCGTGAAAAGGTAGCATCACGACCAATTGCGATAGCGAGGGTATGACGGCGATCTCCAGCGTCTCTTGAATGTCATCGCCGAGAATCGAAAGCAACGGGCTTGGGTGCTTTGTCGAGTGATGCTTTCTATGGATGTGCCAAAGCCAGGGTACTTGATGGCAAGATCGGTGATAGCAATAGAAGAAATAGTCGAGTGCAAGCAGATAGGCAGAAATACGGACTGGCGACCAAAGATCAAAATGTGGCATTTCATTTGGCTCGAAGAAGAACGAGATTGGCCCTGCGCATCGAAGGAGGATGTACACCAGTACGGCAGACTGCGAGGAACATCAGTATGGTCGTCAATGCCACCGTATCGGAGCGTACAGCCGTCTTGTAGGCATTCTTATCGTCGAGCAAGTCACGCGGGCGATTTCTGTGCGGACTCATCGGCGACTTCTCAGAAGAGGTGATCGAACTCACTCTTGGTCAAAAGTGCCATAGCGAAGCATCAACATGTGCAAATGACGGATCTGTGCCTGTCGTCAGCATTGATGGGCGTGCGTTGTGCCGGCGCACCATTTGACCAGCATAGATGATGAAAGCGAATTCGTAAATGAAGAAGGCCTTAGCCGTGCTCCAGCGTTGCTCGCCATAGTAGTAGGCGATCCACTGAAGCAGTATGGGTGCAAAAGCATACGGTGCCACAAAAGCGTGCCTATAAACGCTTCTATGAGTGAAACGGCGACTTTTCTTAGGTTTACGCACTGTTCTACGACTGAGTGTGTCGGCACTGGACCCTCCGGCCGAGGCTTGACTTCGTATATCTCGTCTGGTCCGATACCGAGGCGAAGGATGATGTCTCGCAGGCCCCAGCCAAGCTGTGAGCACGTCTCAGCAATATTCCAGGGCAAGTGATCGTACTTTACATTGTCTTGCCAGGTAGACGCAGGCCTCAGTGTCCGCGGATCTGTGCGCTGCTTTGGATTGACCATAGGCTGATCTGCCATTGCATCTTCGTTCATCTTGTCTGGTATCGTACAAAGCGGAGTCGACCAAGATATATCAGACGGAGACTTTTTATGAACGCGTCACAAGATCGTCGAGCAATTGCCTCTGCGGGAATGGCGCCACTATCTGGCACATGGAGCCTGAGGCCCCGTTTGTCTGGTCTCACAAATCTCATACTTTCTCTTGCCAGTCGCAAGGCGTGAGTCACGTAATGCACAGCAAAATGCTATTCTCTTCAATGTCAATGTCTATCCAGATAAGCATGAACGGCGACGAAGGAGCGCCCGATCATGACCATGGAGCGTGCGATCGTATCAGACGAGGAGCTTTAGGACTTCAAGGTACGCAACTCACACAACTCACCGCACGCGATGCTCGTCATGGCTCGGATTTTCCCGCCCTCCGCGCCTCACGGGCTACAAAAAGAAAATATTTTGGCCAGGATGAACAGTCAGCCATACGCAATTATGCAAGGAGCAACATGTACATGAGCGTCTATGTAAGAGTGAACTACTGATTGAAAGCCTTGTTGGTGAAGTAACCACCGATGAGGCCAAAAAAGACGAGGCAGCTGATGATCCCCGCGAACCAGTTGAGGTTTTCGACATCCTGTCCTGGCACATGCACGCTGTTCAAAGCCATCAGCATCAGCATCCCCTCAGATTGAGGCGGATCAAGTGACTTACTTCATTCCCCATCTGTAATGAGACAGCGTCAGCACGGCAATCGCGGCTGATATATGGTACGTACATGCCCGTCACGAGTGACATGGGTAGCAGCACAGCACCCAGTGCCGATAGCTTTCCAAGCAGGTTGTTAGTGTCATTGTTGACGATCGTCATCTGATAGACCGGCCGCTCCGTGTCAGCATAAGGGCGACATGCTTGTATAGGGCTGACCTCGATGGACATTTGAGCGAGGTGATTAGCATGCGCTCGTGACAGAATCTTTTCGTAGTGAGCCAAATTGGAATTCATCGTCAGACTGTGTATCTTGTCAGCACATGATCAAGCCGGTTGCCGTCAAGAGACGCACATGTGATCCTGAATATCGGAGAGGTATAGGCCGATGTCCGACTTGGGGGCCACTGACCAGTTCTCGTTACATCGCTTTGCCAGTCCTTTGACGACATCTGCTTTGCTGCCCAAAAGTCGCAAGAGACCCATCACTTTCTTTCGACAAGTACCGATTCGTCGTAACATATCACCCTGACCCGCATCTTTGAGAATGAGCACCAGCTCGTCGATGCTGTCGACTTCGTATTCGATATTCTGGATTAGCGGAGCAAAGGCATCCGTGATGTCGTCGATGAGCGCGTACGAGATCCAGTCGGACGTAACGTTGATATAGTCCTTGAGCTGCTTGATACGTCGACGAACGTTCTGAGGATGAGGAGCGCCCCGGAAATGGAACTAGTACCTAGTCAGCGCACGATAGGCATGTATGAGATCACTACACACAGAGAGCGTGCCCTCGCGGAAGACGATGATGTACATGTTGAGCGGCTCGAGGTAGGTCGGACTGTAAGGATCTTGATCGAACGAGCGGAAACAGACGAGATAGTAATTTCTGAAGAGCTCAATCTTCTCTCTCGCTTCTTCCATCTGAATATCTTCCGTTGTCAAAGGATGGATGCCAAAGACCTTGCTGAGTACTCTCATCTCTTGATCGGTAGGACACAAGACATCAAGCCACCAAGTATTCGCTTCCGCGTCGTCGTCAGTTCGCATAACGTTGCTCTTTGGCTTTGACCCTTGCAAGTGATTGCGGGAGCTAGCCGGTCCGCCTTGATTAGATTGGTGACCCATGTTGACAGAGGTGCGCTGAGAAGCGGCTTCATTGGGGCTGTGGGTGCCGGTGCCTGGCATACTGGGATGCGCTGATGGTGTCGCTTCGCCCGGTGCGCCAGTACGATTGCTACCCTCCTGCTCGTCATCATATACTCTGCCAGTGAACAGCTCTGCAAAGGTCTGGCCCTCTGCAGGTATCTCAGCGAGCGATCGGGCATGTATCGTGCTAGGTAGCGCGTTTGAATAGAAAGAGAAGCGATATGGGCGCGCCTTCTCGTCACTATTTGTCGTGCCACTACGAGTGCGCTGGGATATACCAGTGGCACCGAAACCAGAGTTACTTCGTTTGTCATCTGTCAGCAGTGGCGTCTTTGTACTCGAGAAGATCGTTGCCTTGCCTTCTCGCGCGTCGTCTTCAGCATCGCCTTCGAACTGTGCTAGCTTGCGCTGATAGCGATTGCGCACAGGTTGGCTTTCGCTCAACCGTCTGTTACGTGGATTGCGATGAAGTCGAGGTGAGCCGGTGATCGCAGCGTCTGGCATCGGGTTGCCATTGCTGTCCAGACGCTCGCGCTTGGGCATGCCGCTATCGCTGAAGCTGACTGCCTGAGCGCCTCCGTTGGCACGTGCAGGCGAGATGCCCATCGGCAAGCCTTCAAATTCTCGCTCCTTGCCGGCAAATTCCTCGAGAGCAGAGAAGTCGAAAGCGAAAGGAAAGTGAGCGAGCACGCCAGGCACGCCACTATAATGATGATCGTATCGTAGTCGGTGCTCGTGACGAGGATCAAGCGGAATGTGTGTATCTTGATCTGGTCCGAGCAGGGGAAAACAAACATCCTCTTGAACTTTCTCTGCATCGGAGGGCCGTCTGCTGCCATCATCAAATTCGTTGTCACGACGGCGGGAGCGACTGGAGCGATCAGATCGATGCGACTGCTGTCTGCGGATGTATGCGTGCGGGTCCGCTTGATCGTCAATGACTTGCTCGTCCAGATCGGCCGCGCGCATCGTTCGCACGCGTCCTGAAGAGCGATGGCGGGCAACGCTGGGCCTGGAAGCAGACAGAGTCGATGCTCGGGGTTGCCCATGCATGGTCTCGTCAGTCTCAAAAGGGACCGAAGAAGTAGGCAGCTCGAGATCATCGAGACTTTCGTCTCCGTCCTCGAGCTCGCCTGCAGACATTGGGCTTCTTCTGACGTTCGATCGCCGTCTGACCTCATCTCTCAGTCCCGAAGCAGCTCGTCTGCCACCGCTCGAAGAGAGTGAATAGGGCTGAGCGCGATGGTCAATGTAGGCCGGCTGGGAGTCGAGTGAGGCATCGGACAGAGTCCTATGATGGTGTCTGTAGAATCTCGTCGTCCCTCCCGCTGTTGCGGCAGCAGTGGCAGAATGGGATTGGGCAGTGCCTGGCAGTCTGTCTACGAGCCGATCGGGGGTGACTTGGTTGTGAAGACTGCCGTGACGGAGGTGCGTGCGATCAAGTGGACTGTGTGCGACGAGAGGAGGCGAAGAGGGACCGGTGAAGAAGTGAGAGTCCCTCTCTGCTTGTGCTGCTGCTTCGTCGTCCTCTGCAGGACGCTCAGAGCTAGCGGAAGGAGACTCTGCGCCGCCGCCAGCCCGTCGAGCAGGAGGTGAGGTACTGTACTCCGCTCTCGCCGTTGTCGAGCGAGACCGCACAAACTCTGGATCATGTGGCTGGCCCACGCCAGCAGGTGAACCGGTGACAGTCATGCAGGCGCTGCGGCTTGCCCAATCAAGCCTGCCCGCGTTGGCTGAGGACCTTGTTTGTCCTTCGCGACAGTCGTGCTAGGAGCGTGACTCCGACGCTGGCAGACCACAATCTGCTGCTGAGCCCGTCAATGCCTATGTCTGCAGCACACGGCGGCTTCACGATCTTTCCAACTCCGAGCGGGCTGGTCAGTAAATTTGTGCAGCGCGACTTTGCGCTACAGCAGACATGCAATGAGCAGACTTGGCACTCCACTATCGACCCAACTTCAGTTATTATAGACTTGCGATTCTTGCCCTGCATGAGCATCCGAGTCAGCCTGCAGTAGAATGCGCAAAAGTCTGAACGCACCAACGACTTTGACGCCCGAGCGAGTGGGGCAGAGATCAGACACTCGATTGTTGCCCCAGACGAAGAATGTCGTCAGAGCAGGCATATTGTCCAGCACAGCTTTGACGATGAAGTCGTCCACATCTCGCACGAAGCTGAGGTCAAGCTCGATCATCTTTGGGCACGATTTCGCCAGACGCATGAGAGCCAATTCGCGCAGATTGTCAACCGAATTGAGATCCAGGTACTCGATCGTACTGCCCGAATGAGCAACGAGCGCATCGAGCGCTTCGTCTTCCATGTCCGTACATCTGTGCAAGTTCACCCGCCGCAGCGATTGAGATTGCCAGTCGGTAAAGAGGTCTTGCAAGCCTTCAGACGAGACGGCAAGCTGCTCGAGGCTGAGATGCGTGAGTTTCTTGCAATGGGGCTTGATACCCTTGGTGAGGGTCTCCTCTGTGAGCGCAGAATTGGCATCGAGAATGAGTGTTTCGAGGTTCGCGCCGACTGAAGCGAGCAGCTTGACAACCGCTTCATCTGTGATCGTATCGCCATCAACGCCGCCATGCGACAGATCGAGATGGACAAGGGATGTGAGCGGTGTAAGCAAATCCAGCCAATCCGATCTCAGCCTTCCGATCTCGGCAAGCTGGAGATGGGTAATTGCAGCGTTCTGGTCCACTAAAGCTTCGACGGCACCGCGGTCTATGCCTGCGCGAGGGAGAAGGGCATAAGCAAAGATATCTGTCTGCGACGAAGGTACACGTACGAGCAGATTGCTTGATGAGGAAGCCGGACAGCTTTGCTGCCTTGTCCTGCCCGCGTGATCTGAAGAAAGACTGCCATTTGGCGTCTGTGACGAGATAGGGACCGTATAGTTCGAGATAAGTGAGATGCTCGAAGCGGGACAGCCATTGCTCGAGCACGTCGTCGTCAACAAGACCGCACATGACTAGCGTCATGCGTTGTATGCGAGGACTGAAGACAGGAATCGATTGCAAGCCATCTTGATCCAGTCCTGCAATGCGCCGTCAGCGCAAACATGACTTGGTCCGATGGCGACGCACGTGTGCAGTCGTACAGCCGCAAATCGGTAGTCTGTATGTCGAGGAACAGCTTGAGCGTATCAGGTGAGAGCGCTCTGTTCTTGCAGACAATCTTTGCAATCTGCCATGGACAACCAACGTCAGTGTCTCGAGCAAGCTGACTTGAGATGTCATGACCTTGTCAAGATTGGCCGTACCGATATCGCCGAGTGCCTCGACATTCTGGATATGCGTGCCTATGAGTTCGATGCAGCTAATCTGAAGACTCTTGATCGTGATCTTTGCCCGGCCGTCTTCGATTTCCGAGTTGAGCTGCTTTTGCTTTGTCGCGCGTCTTTTAGGCTTGGGCGCAGGCGCAACGCTAGTCTCTCTTTCCAGATCCATCCACTCGCTCTGACAGGGTGGACAGAGCATCTCATTGTTCGTCTTGATGAACGTCCGGTCTGTGATAGTGAACCGTCTGACGCGCGAATTTCAGCAATGCAGACAAGTGGCAGAGCGTACTGCGACTCACTTGTGGCAGTCCGAGCAGTGAGCAAAGCTGCCCGTCTTGCGATCATCGTAGCGGCCTTTCTTTGCCGGTGTCTTTTCAGGCTCGTCGCTATCGTCTGAGTCGATAATGCGAGGTTTCTTGGACTTTTTGGCAGATGAAGCGGGCGTACGCGTGCCGGATCCCGAGGCGATAGGCGAAGCTGCAGAAGTAGAGGGTCCAGATGTGGCTTCTGCTGTCAGTTCGGCGAGTTCTTCGTTGATCTCTTGTAGCTCTGAGCTCGTCTCTTCCTCTGCCGGTCGCGCACGATCAAAGCGTGATCCTCTGGCAGTGATGCCTTGTTCCTGTCAGTGCAGCCTGCTCAATACTCTCAACATTCAGCTCTTTGAGAGCGAGCCGACCCTGAGGAAGGAAGTGAGTGCGCTTGTAGGGCCAGTCACACCCCCACCACGTCTGCCTCTTCGACCGCGCTGCTGGGCTTGTTCTGGCTCGGGCGCTGCTTCGATTGGCGTCGCCGTACCGCTGCCATCTTCGGCCAGCTCTTCCTCTCGCTCTCTGTCTCTCCGTCTGCCCCTTGCCATCGTCGTCCCTGCGCTGTGACCAGTCTGGCTAGCTACTTTGCCGCTCTCAGAGATTTGGCAGTCGCGACAAGTCGAGCATCACCGACCGCATCATCACCGGACTGTCAAGACGATGGCAGGCAACAGACGCTTGCAAAAGGTACTTCCTTGATCAGGCTGGTCTGACGTGATATCCCACTCGGCTCCCAGAGTGCCCATCTGCTTCTGCTCGGACTCCTACGAGCACAGCTTGACCGCATCATCAATGTCCGCATGGCTCACACGACGATGGCACAGCAAGACCAGCGCTGATCCTGGCCGGAACGCAGGAATATTCAGAGCTGCAGAGCTCGCCCATAGAAGGGGCTTCTGTCGAGCTCGTCAGCGATTCCAGCCTTAACAAATGGCAAGGCAAGCTCATCTGGACACTGCTCGATGCAACGAACGCTGACTGCTCGCGTCAATCTTTGCAGGCGTCCTCCATGGTCCTGTCAGTGGCTACTCACGTACTCTGGCAAGCTGGAGCTCATGCATCCTCGCTATGACAGGCTGCATCTCCATACGCAGGCGGTAAATTCAAGTTCACCCTCGAGTTTCCACTCGAATACCCCTTCAAGGCACCCCAGGTGAGTACGCAATGAATGGAAGAGCGCTTTGCTGACCTTTGTCGAGCAGCTCAAAATTGTAAGCGCCCAAGTCTGCGACTGTCTCGTCATGCTCACACGACACGCCTAAGCTCACAAAGATCTATCACCCCAATGTCAATGAGGACGGCAGTGGGTCAAACCTCTCTGCATGCATGCTTTACATGCTGATGTTGGCCTCTCAGATATCTGCCTTGGTCTGCTCAAGGTGCGAGCTCGTCACACTACTTGTCCTCCGTCTGAACAGTCGGTCTCAGTCTGAAGCCTGGAAACCGAGCACGAAGTAAGCAATGCTGTGTTCATCGATCGCAGTGAGCACGACTGATATGGTCATCTGCAGAGTTGGGGATGGTCAGTATGCCGCTCGAGCGGTGACCAGTTGCTGACAGCGTCATAATGAGCAGTCTTGAGAGCCGTGCTCCAGCTTCTCGCAGAGCCAAATCGTACGCAAACCATCTGCTGATCTATGTGCACACTCATGACGCCATTACACAGCGGATGATCCACTGATGGTGAAGATCGCTGAGCAATACAATTCAAATCGCCCAAGATTCGACTACATTGCTGCTGACTGGGTCAGCAAGGTCAGCTGCGATGCTCCTGCTAATGTCACTATGCTCATACTCAGCCTGGTTCAGCATGCGAGGTAGACGCAGTGCTTTTCAGCAGGACGACATGTATGACAGCGACGACGACGACGACGATCACCAGCAAGCAGCGCGTCCGGTACGCCCATGTAGACGCAAAACGAGTCCTTAGAAACTCTGACACCATAGAGCCGTCAATGTGTCATTTGTACTGCTCAGAAAACGAGGGCATCACAGCATGCAAATCAGTCATTTATCTCGCGCTTGCTCGACCGCCTTCGACGCGTCAACAGTGCTCTGCGTGCCTCCGATTCCTTCTCATGCTCCTGCTGATCACAATAAGATCATTCACTCTCCTCCAGAAAAAGTCTCGCAAAGCTGCAGGCCGATCCATCGAGGATCTTGCGTGAGCCTTGATGGCTTTCTCTCGTCCAGTAGTCGATCGTGCGCCAAAATTGACAGCCGGCCAATCCTCAATCCTTGTTTCACCATTCCCAGCCCACTCGGCAGCGCGGCCCTCACGACAGTCTCAGAATCTTGCTACTCTTCCTGCAAGCCTTCCTCACGAGAAGTATCAGCATCGCCCAAGATCTCGCTCGCATGACAAGTCGACACAATCTGATCAGTCAGGGCGACCCGGTCCACCCTACAGGCGCAGCTTCACCACACCCGCCATCTCCATCAGTCCGCCAGCCGACGAGCACGACGTGAGCATCGCTCGTCCGCCTGCGACAACGCTTGTTCCTCCTATCACTTGCTCCACCTTTGGCTCTTCCCTGCCGATCTCTCATCACGCTAGTCTAGGTCTAGCCTTTGCCAGAAACAATCACACAGCCATCACGCCCGGTACTGGGCAATCCGTGAGATCCATCTCGAGCTACGAGCGACATGCTTTGCCGGGCGAGACACGTACCTGTTCATCGCGCTCCTCCCGAGACTGTTCAGGCGCTAGCGAGACGGGTTCCGAAAGCAGTACCTCTTCATACTCGCTCAGCGACTTCGAGGCATCCGCAAGCTCAGACTCTGAGCTTTCCAATGTCACGCTGCTCGAGGCAGACTCGGATACGCGGTCAGAATTGTCCTACCTGTCAGAATCTGACGACTCGAGTCCCGATCAATCGCGCAGCTTCGCCGCATCGCCAGGAGACGCTCGCAATGCAACCTCTACCGATCTCGCCGACTTCGCCGTCAATGAAGTTGCTAAAATTGTCCTGCCTGCGCAGTGCATAAGCTTGCCGGTCGAGTACAGACACAATGCCGGTGCGGCAAAGTGCGCGCCTGTACAAGCTATTCACAGTCTTGTCGTCAACTTTTGGCTCGGCCTCACGGCAGCCGTGATGAGCATATACCAGACTGTCGAGCTATGGTGGTCTCGTGTTCACATCACTCGGACACTCAGAGACTATAACGGCAAACGAGCGAATGAGGATGCCATCGGAGACAGAGAGCTCGAGTTTCTCAAGGAGTCTCGTACGAGTATCTCGGTCGAGCAGGACGAGCTAGATCTTGAGATGATTCACGTTCAGCGTTGGACGCCAGACGATGGCGAATTTGACTATCAGGTACGTGCGGGCTCAAGCAGCGTGTTCGATACTGATGGGCGTGTCATCAGATCTGGACAGCTCATCGACCTAAAGGACAAATCGATTGCGACGTGTGAGTCACATCGCCACCCTCGCGAAGCACTCTGACGCGCTGACATAGCCTTTACATAGACGATCAAGCTTCCGGCAATGGCTTGCCAGCCTTCGCGCGCGCTTACCTGGTCGCCGGCTTTCGACTCGTCGTCCCCTGTCTGGGATCGCTCGACACGGCACTGCCCGAAGGCACTCGTCCAGCCTCGATGAGCAGTATCTTCTCAGCACATAAGAGCGCATGCGGTGGCTACAAAGAGATCAACGTCACTTCGGCCAGGCTTCTGCTCGGCAAAGTACTGCGCGACCTGCGATCCCGAGATGACGAAGAGGGAAAGCTAAAGCCTGATTCGCTTCTTCCACCAGATTCGCTTGGTGTCAATGTCGATGTGCGGAGAACCTCTCAAAGCGCACGGTCTCCCGTGCAAATTCGGCAGAAAGAGACGAGACCTGTCTTTCTTGTGGGCGCGAGCATTGGCGGTCTCGTCGCTCTCTCTTACGCGCTCTCGTCAGTTTCTACTCCGCTCAGACCGTCGCCCAGCTTGCTGCAGCGTCTCGGCTTAGCAAGGAGTCACATCTCAGCAGATCAAATCAACCAGCTTGCCAGAGATTGTGATTTGCCACTTGTTGCCGGTCTCGCTCTCATCAGTGCTACCGTCGAGTCAGCAGCCGCCGACAGCAGTCAACTCCGCGCAATGCAAGGTGGGCAATGTGCTTGCTGGTCTGCTGTCTTGCTGACCGTTCTCAGTGCTCGAACGGCATCTTAAATTTACTGCGAATGGCCTCGCAGGCAGTCTGGTACTGCCACCCTCAAATGAGGTTCGCAGGGCTGCAAAGCAAGTACAGATGACGATGAGTATGCTGCGTGCACCTCTCTTACTTGTCCACGGCACGCAAGACACCATTACCTCTTGCATGGCCGCCAACTCGATTCTCGCTGAAGCGGGCTCAGCCGACAAGAATCTGATTCTCATGCCCGGTCTGCGTCACATAGCTCAAGCATCTCTTGACCAACAAGTGATCATCTCGAATGACACCGTTGCATGGATCATCGAGCGCGTAGCGTGGCACCGTCGTCATCTCAGCGATCGCCACCATGTCAGGTTTTCTCAGCAAGGTGTCCAAATTGGTAGTCCGTCTATGCCGTCTTTATCTATCGAGGAAGCTTTGCCGAGATCAGAAGATACACACGGTCGACCGCTGTCGCGATGTACTGTCTCATCCTGTAAAGACCAGCAACGCCATATCTCACTCGACATGGACACTCTGGAACCCGCGCGTCCAAGTATCACCATCAAATTCAGCCCCTCAACCAGCCTACCTGTCGTCGAGAATGGCTATATACCGAGCAAGCGCGGAAGTGCAGAAGGGACGGCAGCCGATGCGGGTAGCGATGACACGATTGATATTGCTAGGCCACGCACCCTCTCCCTTGTCAGCATACCCTCGTCGCGCTTTCTGCTTCAGTGGCCAGAGGCCTGCACGCATACGGCATAGTGACTGTGCTGCAGCTCAAGCAGGCGCACAATAACACGTGGTTCAAGTTCTTGTATATTGTGTGCAGCTAGATCGGCAAGGGCAGCGCAATCGCTTCGAATACGATGCTCACGAAGAGACCATAGAGCATGCCCATTAGGATCGTCCTCCTTTGTGCGGTAATGACAAATGGTGATGTGACAGGCGTGAGTGGTGCAAAGACAGGCGCAGACTTGCCGTAGACCGAAGCAGGAGGCGATCCGGTCGTGCGAGAGCGCGTCGTTGGACTCGCTTTGTCTGAGGGCAGCAGCCGACGCTGCCAAAAGTACCCGCTACTTGGTGAGGTAGGCGAGCGCGGCGTGCAAGCATCGTCTGGCGGCGTCATGTAGTCGAAGAAATGTAGGTCAGGCGGGCGAGCCGACGCAAGAGGCGCATCGGCTGGCGAATCTATGCCAGACTTGTTTGACAGAGGTCGCATCGTTGAGGTGCTACGCATGACGGACATGGGCTCGCTTGCTGGCTCGACGAACAAGGGAGCGTCCAGATGATTCGAGTGGTCCATTGCTACCAGCGTCGGCGTGGACAGGGGTGGCTGCTGAACTAATCTTTGCACGTCTAAATCGAGCTCTGTTTGCGCACCGAATTGCTCAATCTTTGAGCTGCTAGTTTTGTCCGACGTCAGAGTCGGCAGAAGAGAAGGTACCATCGTGCTAGCTGGAGAATGAACGATTCGGGCATTGGTGGATGAAGGATTTGGCAAGCTCGTCGCGAGCTGAGCAGGCTGCTGATGCCTCAATCCAAATCGATACCACGGCCGGGCAGCGTCGTTTTCGCTACGAGGTCGCTGCAGTTCCCAACTTCGCAGCTGGCGCATATTGCCGAAGAGATAAATGACAATGCAAGTCTGTCGTAGGCCGGCCACGAGCGTGACTGTACCGACGAAGAAGAGCGGTACGCCTGTCAGTCGAAGGCTGCGATGCCAATGACAGCGAAGTGACAAGATAATCGGTATCCAGCCAAATAGAACGAGAAGCAAGCCTAGCGCGATTGCAAAGTAGCTTCGCTTTTCGTCTGAGTTGCCAAGTGAGGAACTCAAGAAAGCGTTGAGGCTCTCCTGCAGCGCTGTCTCTATACAAGCTTTGGCTTCATCGAAGACTGTGGGCTCGCTCGAATGCACGGTATCTGTCAATAGTGCTTGCTTGACGTGGGCGGGCAGGTTGAGCTCGAGACGCGACGTCGGCTCAAAAAAGGTGAGCAAGGCCTTGTTGAATGAAGCCGCTAAGCCGGGGCTCAGACCCGTCGTCGCGATTACTGGCTGGTTGGTCGGCACAATAGGAGCAAGCGATGTACGCGAGCCGCGCCTCGTGTAACTACTTCGCGCTGACTGTTGCTCTGTAATCCCTGAAGATGGTCGTGCTCGCGGCTGCGCTGGTCGCTGTGTGCCACCCTTCTTCGAGGCCTTGTACGCTGCATGATCTTTACTGTACTGCCGCAGCCATAGCCAGAAGTATAGGTTCTCTGGCGAGCGCTCGACCTGTCGCGACATTGTACATTGATCAGCTAAGGATCGTCAATCGAACATGTTTCGCGCACAAACACGAGTCTGTCTTCGAACTCCTTGAGCGTAAAGGGCGGCGTGTGCTTGTTGTCGAGGACATCGATGAGTTTCACCTCCGTCAAGGGCTGCCAGGTCAGTGAGCGAATTTGGACCACTTTCCGCTGCAACGTCGGTTTCTCAGAACCATTCGATTGATTGGCTTTCTCAAGGTCGCTTTCGTTCATGTGATTGTATGTATCGTGCGTCTCGTCCGAGCCGAGCAAGCGAGCAGGCAAGCTGCGCAAGTCTGCAAACGTGTAAGGCGCAGAGATTGGCCTTGTTGGTCCCGTAGGCCTTGCGATCGCATTGAGTGACACTGCCAACATGTTGATGAACAGAGCTGTATGGACCTAGACTGAACCATCCCAGGGTCAAGGTTGACTTGGGCGCACATCTCGCCTTTCAAGCTTTCTGGTGCTTCAACGACCCGAACAGCTGGTGGCGATCGTGTCTTCTACTTGGCCAACTAGCCATTTCGATCGGGCTTCTCTCAAGATCGCTGGGTCGCTTGGTGCATTCCTGCCCGCGCAGATCGGTCACCGCGAAGCGCTGGCTCAGGCGGGGCAGCGACAGAAGCGGTCTCGCGGTCATTATGCTTTCGCTAGCGCTGTCCGCTTACCCTTTCGGTGCACAGAAATTCGACGCGTCCCTATCGCGACACGCCACAGTCGGAGCATCCCCATGCATTTAGGTGAGCGCGAGCTCTTCAGGATATGGCCCTCTCGTGCGCTCAATATCCTCTGCAAGCAAGCAGAGCCAGTCAGCTCAATATCAGCAGAAGCACCTGTCATACCAAGAATATCGCCGTATGTTGTTTCGACAGCGTCTATGCCCCAAAAGGAATCGCAGTGTTCGCCCGTCGCCAGCCTGTTGACTCGCAAGAGATTGACGTATGGCTCGTGATCGCGAATACGGTCCAGCAGAGGATCACACAGGACGAGATAGTCGTGCCCGCCGCTGGAGGAATCTATCAGCAATCACAAACGCAGAGATCGCATTACTTACTGGTAGAGCGAGAGGGGAGGGAAGCGTTCGTCGAACCAACGCTTGGCCTGCATACGAGATACGAGTCAGCTCGATGATCGAAGATCGTCGCTTGTCGTACCTTGACATTGAGCACACAGCCGCGGCTTGAGAAGCCGCCAAGACCTGTCCACCAGAAGACGCCAGCCGAAGACACGGGCGAAGGCGTGAAGCGGAACATCTTTGGCTTGCGTCGTTGCAGCCTGTCATCACTGTCAGTCCTGAGGCATGTGATGTCGACATTGCAAGCACTGACCAGTTCGCATCTGTCCAATTGAACAAGAACGCAAACATTTGATAGCCGAGCAGCGAGAATGGCATGGAGGGCACATAGTCATATGACCATCGCATGAGTGGAATGAAATCGAGTGTGCCTGCATGCACCCCTTGAGAGACGATCGATCACATGAGCGCATACATACCGAAGATGCGCTTCCAGGTCTTCCATGGCATGTTGACGAGCGCGCCGAACGGGAAGCCCGTCGTTAGTGGGCCAGCATAGACAGCAGGCGCGAGCGCGATAAAGACCGACAGCTTATCGCCTATCTGTGGTACCATGCCTCGCGCTATGCATCTGTCAGCTCCGATAGCATGACTCAGAGCAGGATTTACCGAGCGAGCAGAACATGGTCGCATTGCCCTGCGAATGGCCGATGAAAGCGAGCTGATCGTAGCCCGTTTCTGCCAGAACATGATCGACAACAGCTGGCAAGTCGTACATTGCTAGCTCGCGGATGTTGTAGTCTGCATTGCGTCAGCATAGAGCTGTCCTAGTCCGTCGGAATGACGAACCCCAGAAGCGAGGATCATTGCGCTGCAGCTTGACGTGGCCCATGTCAAAGACGCCTCGATTGTTCGTCAGGTAGACTTGATAACCACTGCGATGATCTTCAGGGGGGCTCGCGACTTTGCACGTCCGACTGACCCGTGCTCGGCCAGCCAGAATGCGAGCGATCGCTCTTCGGAGGTGACGAAAGAGCCGGCCGACTGAAAGAGACCTTTCAGAGCGACGTCAGCCAAAGACCGATATTGATCACGTCATTTCTGACCATGCTGAATGATGACGGGGAAGCCGCCTCGTCCGTCCGAATGTAGCTTGTCCTTGCGGTGAGGGACGATGACGCGATGCACTCTGAGCAGATAGCCATCTTTCGTGACGACGACCTGGTCCTCGATATCATAGCCGCAATTGCGTGCATAGTAGCCAATATCCTTGACGACATCCTCGGTCTGCCATTTCTTGGGATCGTCCCAAATGCGCGTGTCTCTCTTCTCGCGAAAGAGACCGAGCGTGAGTAAGGTGGGTAGTGCGCCAATGAAGCGTGATGTGAGAGCCCAGGTGACGATGAAAATGAGAAAGCCAGTCGAGATGAGGTTGGCGATGGTTTGGGTGAATAATAGCTTAACCCGGCTGCGTAGCGTCATCTCTGGGAATGGCTTTCGCCCACGCTCTGTAGCGACGAAAGTGGGCGCATTGAGGGCGTCGGGACCAACAGTGTCCTTGCGTGGTCTGCCGGGCCGAGGACGATCATGAGCGGCAGAGCCTACTTCGTGTATGTCGACGAGATCAAGCTTGGGCGTAGAGGGTATCGAGCCTACATCACTCGTTCCGCTCGAAGGCACTGCGAGAGTATATTCGAGATCTTCAGAAGCGATCTCATGCGATAGATATCTCTGCATCATCAGAGGTGTGCTCGGTCGTTCGATGTCTGACCCTCCCGCGTCCGAGAGATGGGGCGACAGACTGCCTCTCTGCCTGTCGTATGATCTCGAGAGCAGCTCTGTCCTCTCATTGACAGATTTGCCCGTGCGCAGCTTCCGCACTTCCTTCCGCGGTCGAAGATGACGGTGGCCGGAGCCATTGAGCTTCGTGGCCCCTTGTAAGCCGGTAGGATGTGCCTCATGCGACGAGTCTTCGCCAGTATCTGAGCCGTTTGCGTCCTGCGCGTCATGCGACTGCCATTGCGGCGACAATGCAGATGCCTTGCCACGGGTCCCGGGCGTCATAGCGACTGTATATATGTGCCTGCTAGACCTGCAGTCGCCCTCGACTCGACGGCTGTGTGTGTTATCGGTGGGTGTGATATGATGGACAGCCGCCGCCTCAACTTCCGACGCGACGCTCGCGCTGTTTGTCCGACGTCATCATGCGACAGAGGCCAGCGCATTCGCAGCATCCGCCTGTATCGGCACCTCGTCCTTCCGTACATGCGCCTCATACGCCGAAGCAGCCGCGAGTCGACCCAGCCACAGAGGCAATCAGGCGGCGGAGTCTATGGCAATCGTTTACCTGTACCTCTTGAGCTCCCTCTTCCCGGCGCAGCTGATCATCGAGCAGCCATCCCCGCACAACAACGTCTGTGGCTGTCCATCGGATTCATGTGCGACCCTGCTGAGGACGATAATGACTCTGCTGACTCGCGAGGCAGGGTGTTCGCGTATGCTGGCCTACGCGGAAGTGATCAACTCGAGGCCAAGTACCCGAACGAGCCACCCATCGATCTGCGCAAGACGAGGGAAGAGATTGCACTAGATCACGGCAGACTGCGCTAGACCTTCGAACGGAACCGTGTTGCTTGTAAGCTAAGGAGCGGGATGATGCAATGTGATCGATCATGCCTCGACAGACTGAGACACGGCCGAAGCATCCCTGGGAGCACCCCTCCCTCTGCCCGAAGCACCTCCTCGTCCTACTGAACCTCCTCTGCCCCCTCTCCCGCCACGGAAAGAGGGTTGCTGGCCATCCGAGCCGGCAGAAGGATCGATGGCCTGGGCCAATCGAGCCGAACGATCTAGGAACGACTTCGTCTTGTCGATGACGGCTTGACTCGCTGTTGTGTATTGCTTGTTCATGTAGACAGCACCCTGTGGACCCTATGAGCTCCAGTAGAGAGCCTCTGTCCGTCGACCGTGCTCACCTCCTTAAAGTCAATCTTGGCATCTAGGCGAGCATCGCGGATAAGGGTGACAATCCACTTTTCACCCTCATCGCTGGACAAGCCCAATCGACTGGATAGGTCCCTGCAGACAGACTTTAGCTACTGCGTATCACGCAGCTGGCTAGAAAACCCACGCAATGTCAATACGATGGTGGACGCGGCAGTAGGCTTCGCTGAAGAGCTGTCGCGCGCGCTGTTGGAACTCGTCCAGGAAATCGACGAGGAAGAAATCAGACTTGATGATCTTTGTAGACCTCGCCAGTTGCTCTGCTGCGCCTTCGAAGTCAAGGTCGACAAAGAGCAACCGGAGGAACTCGGTGATCGGGTCCTTGTACTGGTAAGTCTCCTGGCTTAGCACGGCGATGACGACTTCGCCTAGGTGTTCTCTCGTTTGTATGCGAGAATTGGGACCAAGATGTGACTGCGAGTTGCTCTTGAAAGCAATCTTCTTTGGGTTCGCCAAGATGGCGGCGGCAGCAAGATAGCGGATCAGCCAGGGTGCATTGGTCTGTATGGTCGGTAGGTAAAACTGGATGTAGTGCGATTGACCTGAAGAAGGTAGCTGGATGGCGGTCTGCGCTAGCCAAGTGTCTAACAACTCTTCTCGGCCTTGCTCGTGGTTGAAGAAGACAAAGAGCGACCAGTGAAGAAGCCAGGTTCGTTGCTGAAGGCCCTGCAGCGAGTTACGCGATTCCCATCGGAAGTGTTCGTCGATGTTGTCCTTGAGGAGCTTGGTCTCTTCTAGAGCGGCGTCGAAGTTGCCTTCGAGGATGTTGGAGACCAGCTTGCCCCAGAGGGCGGAAGTCAGCAGCTCCGAGTCCGGTGTGAGTACGCGGAAATGGTAGAGGTAGTCGCCTGCCGAGTCGTATCGTCCTACAGAGTAGAGAAACCTGCCAAACTTGTACAGGATACCAATCTGGTCCACGGTCAACTGTCACGCAGCGATGGTACTCAGCAGAGTGTCAGCTGAGGCAAGCGGAACGGACGTTGTGTTGTTCCTTGAGAAAGATGAGATTTTGCATCTTGTCCTGCTTGAGCGATTGGAAGACCTGGGGATTGGAGATGATGTCCATCACTCCGCTCGCTTCCTTCTCGTACTCTTCCAGCTCCTTCAAGACGGCTGCCTCTCTCTGTCTGTACTCCTCCTCACTCATCGTCGTCTGACCGAGCTCCTTTTCGAGGTTCTCAGAGTAAGTGACCATCTTCGTCGGACGGAGGAGGTCGATCTTGGCCTTGAGGATATCCGCATGGTCATAGTGAGGCACGTCTTCGTCGTCGCCGTTTGTCGTCCCGTTCGTCGTGTCCTCAGAGTGACCGTCGAGAAAGTCGAGCAAGGGTAGAGCGAGGTGCCTGTCGAGATTGGGCAGGATCTTGAGTGTCAGATCGCCCGACTGACTCGTCGACGCTACGGGCTCCTCCTGCATCGTGCTCGCTGGCGGTGCCGGTGACATCCTCGCTCGCCCGTCAGGTCGCCTCGCGTGCCGTCGTTGGTGGCTTCACCAAAATTTTGGCGCGAACCAGGGCAACGGCCAACGAGGCAGCAGAGATGAGTGACTGGGGTCAGTCAAGCCTCAGATCAGCTCATCGCGACAAGCTGATGATCGGGCTCGGCCGGAACAGATGCAAGCGAAGACGAGAGGCCCGCCGCGCCAACGCCCGCCCTTGCAGCAATAAAGTCAAACAGATGGGACGATGAAGACGCAGACGAGGGCCCCGTCAAAGTCAGGCATGGGTACACCTACGCCAACACTCGCTCATCAGCCAAACGCAGGACTCGTGGTCATCCGATTCGGACGAGGATAAACCACGGCAGAGCGCGCCTGCGAACGGATCAGCCGCTTCTGCTGCGCCTGTCAGACGGAAGGGCATCACAAAGCAGAAGATTGCAGAGAAGGAAGCTGCCGAACAGGCTCGTCAGGAAGAAGCAGAGCGTCTGGTCAGTCTCAGCGGCTTTTATGACAGATGCATGCTGAATTGCCATTCTGCTGGGGCTGACAGGCACGGCTCGCCAACGATCCTGCTGCTCGCAAGCGGCAAGAACGAGAACAGCAGGAGAAGTCAGACCTTGTTGCTGCAAAAGCCCTCTTCGGCTCAGCAGGAACGCGAGGTCGGCTACTTGCACTCGTCAGCACATACCAGTGCTAATGCGCAGAGCGGCCGATATAGACACTGATGAGCTTCTCAGCCTGGGCATCAAGACAAAGGAAGACGCTTCCGAGCTCGCAGAACGCTTGTCCGACTTTCTCGTCACCAAGCATGGCTCGAAACCGCTCTACGCGCTCTTTGTCGAAGATTTCATCAAGCGATGCTGCATTCCGCTCAAAGACGTCGAAGTCAGAAAAGCTGCTTCAGGTCTCACACTGCTCGCGAACGAGAAGCAAAAGGTCGCAAAAGAGATGGCGAGCGGGAAGAAGAAGTCAAAGGGGGCTTCCAAACCGGTTGCCAATGTCAAAGGTGCCACTCGTCTCGATACCGCAGCATACGATGACGCGCTAGACGATGACTTTGACGACGACGCGTTCATGTAGACTTTGTTTTGCGATCGCTAGACCCTGCCTTGTTGTCTCACCTCCCGGCATGCACCATCTTTTCGCTGCAGTACTGATATATCAACATGATCACTACAACTTGCTAATCATCATCATCGTCAGAGTTGTCATCGTCCACTACCCCAATGACCCTCTCTTTTTGTTCGTCTAGCGCTTTGCCAAGCTTGCGAAGTCGATCTCCAAACGTCCGTCTCACACCAGGATTACCGGCACAATCCCATATTTGCAGGTTGCCTTGAGAGCCTGCAGCGGCTATCGTGGTAGGATCGTCAGGCGAAAAGGAAGCGGCAAACACCTTGCCGACGCCTAGATCTTTGCTGACGACCAGACTGACTTTACGCGTCGTCCCGGTCTCGTCGACGTTCCATAGCTTTACCTGCTGATCTACACCACCTGTCACGAGCATGCCTGGTATGTGCGGGTTGATGTCGAGGGCAGAAGCAGCCTTGTCGTGTGCGGCCAAGGTCCATAATGCCTTTGTAGATGTCGCCATGCTCGCTGTCGAGACTAGCGTGCGCGAGTCAAATGCCTTGACAAGTCCGTTCTCCATCGACACCTGCTCGACTGATCAGTCATGTGTCCAGATCGGCGAGGGTAGACTGACGAGGAATTGGGCGGTGTCCCAGGGATTCCATCGGATACACTCGACATCGCTCTCTACTTTCACATGCACGCCTTGCCCAGGTGCGCGAGAATCGAAGACGCGAACGATGCCGTCCCAGCTTCCGGACAAGAGTACAGTGGGGTCGCTCTGATTCCATTGCACAGCTTGCACTTTGTCTTGATGCAGGTCATTGAACGCACGCAGAGCGGGAGAGCCAGATGGCCGAGTGAGGTCCCATAGCTTGACGGTCATGTCTGCTGATGAGGATGCAAGTAGCTGCCGATGTGTTCTGTTCCAAGACAGCGATAGGATCGAATCGGTATGGTATGAATTTGCATCGATGATCGGTGCAGGCGCAGGCTCAACAGATTTCGACTTTTTCTTCTTCTTTTTGGTCTTGCTTGCTGTGCTCGCAGCCCCGTTCGGGGCATCGACTGCCATACTTTCGGCAGCGACTGGTGTTGCTGCTTCTGGTGATGCGCCGAGAATGTGGTCAGGATAGAGACCCTCGAGGACGTCCATATTCCAGATCTCAATCTCGGGGTCGAACGTGCCAATAGCAATGTAGCTGCCGGACTGCTGTGCGCCAGCCTCTACGTTACTTGTACCGAAGGGCGAGTGTGGTAAGAAGTCAAGCCATTCGAGACAGAGCGGCATGGACGGCAGGAGCAGATCATGATGAACGTAAAGTGACTCTCGCGTATCCTCTGAGCTTGGGTCTCTCGTCCGCCTGTCATCGTAGAGATAGACATCAATCTGGGACAGGTCGTCTTGTGTCTTTGCAGTCACGATGAGATTGTCGCCAGGCAAAATCTCCAGCTCCTCACGCTCGTCCTCTTCTTCTGCGGCAGCCTGGTCTGGCGGCAGGTCCAAGTAAGGGTCGTCCGCGTCGTCGAGATGATATTGTAAGCTCTTGATGTTGTTGAAGGCGCCCAGCGTGTTGCCAGCATCTGCAGCTGGCTCCTCATCCTCATCATACTCATCGAGCTTGTATTCGGATAGATCATTGGGATCTTTCGGTGCCTCGACGTCTGTCTCCATCACCTCGTCCGCCTCCTCGTCCTCCCAGTCCCCCTCATCATCTGCGCCCGAGTCTGCGCCATTCTTGGGGACGACGAACTCGCTCTTGCCGCCGTTCTGCTGATCTGAAGCGGCATTAAATTGCTCGAGCGCCAGGTCGTATCTCTGCTTTGCCAGTGCCCCAACATGTCCCAGTCGTGCTGGATCGCTCTCTGAGAACTTTGTCGGGTGCCGAGCAGACTTGCCTTGGCTGATCCAGGCAATAGAGCTGATCAAGCCGCTCATGCTGGCACGACAAACTTTTTCTTCCGTCACGAGGAATATCAAAATACATTTGACGTGCTGATCAGATGGGCAGACTGCCAAAACCGGCGCGAGAGCGTTGCGCCAATGTTCCCCGTTCGGCATCCTGTCGTGGCTCCATCTACTCCCTTGTGCGGACACTGTCAGCTAGCTGAACATCGGAAAGATGTCGCGGATGCGCTGGCTGATTCTCCGTACCTTGCGAGGGTTCACGGTACCGAGCTGACAGGGTTTTTTCATTATCGTCAGCCCACCTGGGCTCCCTACAAACCCCAGCTTGCTCAAGATCTTGCAGGTCTGCTCTTCCCAATTTTCTTGGCACAACGCTCCAGTGAGGCACGCGCAAGAGAGCTAGAGTGCTCAACATGGCCGACAATTCGACGCTGTCGGATGCCGGCGACAATTCTACCAGCATCAATATGCCCGGCACGGGTACGGCACCGCTGTATGATGCATCAGTCTGGCTACCAGCGGGAGGACCATGGCTCATCGGATGGAACATATCCTTCTTCCTCACTGGCATCATCTCCGTACAGATGTACGATTACTTCAAGTGAGTCCGGCAGCGCTTGCGAGCGAGGTCTTGCTAACGATGGGAGACGTGCAGAAACCATCCCAAGGATAGACGGCTGCATCGCTACTCTGTTGCCGCCTGTGCAGTGCTCATGGCTGTCTTGCTCGGAATGGACTGGACCTCCCTGCTCAGGCGATTCATCTTGCAAGTGCCCGAGGGCAACTTCGATCTACTCGCTTCTTCCTTAACAGGCACGGTCGGCAGAATAGCCATTAGTACGCAAGACGTCCTCCCGTAGCCGGATAATGACTGACAATCTAGCCTGTAGTGTTCCAAAGCATGGCCAACGCACTCGTCCAAGCTCTCTTTGCCGAAAGAGCCCACTCGCTCATCTTTTCCGTGACGCGCAAGCGGATCTTTGCTTGGCTTTTGACAATCACCATCGCCGTCTCTTTTGCTTTCGGCGTGGCCGTGAGCATTCTCAATCGTAAGTCGCCGCGCGTTGCAATCTGGTGCATTGCTGACTCGGTGACCACGCAGTCGCGGTCAGCGACGAAGCTTGGGGACCGCAAGATACTCTACTGAATATCATCTTCACCGATATCTGGCTATGGGTACATCGTATGCTCACAAAGTGATTCTCGAGCTAACACGCTCGTACAGGGCGGCGTGCTCGCCAACCTGCTCATCACTGGCACACTAAGCTGGACGCTCTACGAGTCGACCCGATCGGCAGGCAACTTCAGGCAAACCGAAGGCCTAGTCACTACTATCATGAAGATGGCATGGAGTCAGTCTTCCATCTTCCCTGCTCGGAATCGGGCTGATCGGACGCGATAGGTACATGTGCATTGACATCGTTGTCTGCCTTTGCAGGCGCTCTCGCCCTCAGCGTCGTGCCTGCATCGTCATACAACAACACCTTTGCATTCTTCATGCTCATCACGCCTCGCTTCTATGTCATCAGCTATCTCTTCCACCTCAACTCCCGGGAGCGGCTACGACAGAGACTAGCGGCCGTTCGAACATTCGACGCACCTTCGCGCATGGGCCACTTTGCAGCCAATCAGGCCTTCGCACCCTCTCGCATAGCCGGCATAAGACGCGGATCCGACGAATCCGCCATCTTCGTTATCAAAGGTTTGCCCGAATACTGTCTCGCGCTGCCCGAGCTAACATTGGCTTGACAGAAGAGAAAGAGTCGGCCGATGCAGGCACGCCCAGACTAGAGACGGGCGAGTGCACGTTCAGCGAAACAAGAAGTATCGGAGCGCCAGAACTACGGCGGCCAATCGTGACACACAAAAATGACCACCAAGTTATATTGATCCAGACACAGACAAAAGTGTTTACAGAAGAAGCCTGATCCTCCTTATACGACCGTGCCGATTACACTACACACTGTCTCGCATTCTGTCATCTGTTGTCATCTTATCTGTCATCTGTCTGCACGCTATGTCGAAAGGCGGAAGAGGCTCTTCCAGCTTTGCCGCGTGCTATCGCCACTCGACGCGCTCTTGATGCTCGCATTTGGACTTCCCGCGCTGGAGATCTTGTCATCTTCGGAGACGCAGTGATCTGCTGACTGGCCTGTGCGGCTCTCTTGATCACCCAGTCGAGGTGTCAGGTCGAGATGGGTGAGGCTCGGAAGCTTTCTGCCTTTGCAGTGACGTTCGTCTTCGCGAAGTGCCTTGCGATCGTCGAGATAGACTCGATCGGTCGTCGGATTGACCGGCAGCACGTACTTGGGTGCGTTGCGTCGAGGCATTGGCAGGGACATCGAGTGCAATCGCAACGGCGTAGGTGGCGCTCTCCTCCTTGCCGACGCTGGCATGCTTCCTTGGCTCGCTGTGGCGTGAAGTAGCAGATGATAAGTGGGGCGGACTAGCAGTCTTTATGTGTGCTTCGAGTCAGCGAGCTGTGCTGAGCGAAGTCAAGCCTCCATGGCGGTGTCACGCGGAGTCAAGCAGCGGTTGCATGGGAACAATCTCGGCCGACGACCTAGCGACGGGAGGAGGGTCATGACTGCGAAGGGTCAGTGCGCTTCAGCCACAGTGCGTCCCAATGAGTAGGTTTTAAAAGTTGCAATGATCGTATCAAACGAGTCTACAGGGAGCTGCGACTGCGGGGTGGACAGACAGACTGACGGACGAGCGAGGACAGGCTCAGCCAGCGCGCCGAGGCTGAGTCCATTTTATGCCTTCCGACGGAAGGAGCATCCTGCCATACAAAGTCAGTGATGTACAAAGCGCAAGAGAGATGCAACGAACCCTCTGTGAGTCTAGCTTTGCCGCCCGATGGTTGACAGAGGACTGTGGCGCAAGAACCGCAGTTGACGACGGTGTGCGCGTGAGAAAAGACAATTGAGATTGAAAAGCAACCTGGATGGAAGGAGATCTCAATCAGAGAGGCACGCTATGTCGACATGACAGAGACTGACCTGGGCACTTGACGTCCATGAAATACGAGTTAGGCGATTGTACTAATCTCTTCTTCTTGTGTAGCGCTCTCTGCGACTCGATTGACGGGTTGAGAAGATCGACAGCGAGAGCCTGATGAGATCGAAAGAGTCAGCAACAATCCTGTGCATCTTTGCAAGAATGCCAGGGGTAGACTGGGCAGATGGATCGCGTGACAGGCAGGATGAGCCACAATTCAGAGATGGCGGACGACGCAGCATGCGCTCGGTATGGTCTGCCGCGTTGCTGATCCAACGTCACATGAGCAGGATCGGGCATGTAGGGATCATGCTGAACGCTCCGATCGAGCGCTCTGAGCGTGCCTTGACAAGCTTCTGCCCGATGATCTAGCTGGGTCGTCGTGCATCCGTCGGAGGTGCGACCGGGCGCAATGATCCAGTCATTGGTAGGCAAGCTGCGCAGAGACCAGAGCGATGAGAGGAGAGTCTCGACGTACCATAGTGATGCGCTTGACGGTCTTCTTTGAGGTGGTTCACTTTTTTGAGAGAGTGACTGGCCAGATGCAACTTGAGGGTGGGCATCTGCTTCCTTTGACGCGCTACTGCCTTGGCGGTAAATCGTCAAATCGTCGACGACACCAATCAGTTCGCAAAGATGGGTATTTCTGAGAAGATTGCCGAGATAGAGGTGCGCTCTTTCCTGCACGATATCAGATGATACCGACAGAGATGCTACAGGCCGAAATGGCGCGGACGCAAAAGAACAAGGCAAGCAGCATTTGTTACCAACGGCGCTCTCCGCTGATGCGTCTGTTCGCAGGCCACAGAGTACCATCTCGGACTGCTCAAGGCCAAGCTAGCACGCTATAGACAGCAGCTCCTCGAGCCGACAACCAAGAGTGGCAAAGCAGGCGACGGATTCGACGTGCGCATGTCAGGCGACGCTCGAGTTGCGCTCATTGGCTTTCCCTCCGTCGGCAAGTCTACGCTGCTCAGCAAGACAACAAAGACGGCCTCCTCCGTCGCTGCATACGAATACACTACCTTGACGGCCATTCCGGGCGTGCTCGAATTACACGGCGCGAGAGTACAGCTGCTCGACTTGCCGGGCATCATCGAAGGCGCATCTCAGGGCAGAGGAAGAGGACGGCAGGTTGTCGCAGTAGCAAAGACGGCAGATCTTATTCTCATGATGCTCGACGTGACGAAAGCACAAGATCAACGCAAGCTGCTCGAGGTCGAACTCGAAGCGGTCGGTATCCGCCTCAATCGATCCCGTCCAGATGTCGTCTTCAAGCAGAAGAAAGCCGGCGGCATCACGATCAACGCGACAGTACCACTCACCAAGATTGACGACAAGACGATGAGGACGATCCTGCAAGGCTACAAGATGCACAATATGGACGTCATGATCCGCGAGGACATCACTGTTGACGAATACATCGATGTCTTGCTCGGCAATCGCAAATATGTCAACTGCATCTATTGCTACAGTAAGCTGCTTCCTCGACAGCACGATCAGCGCTCAGGCATCTGCCGTGCAGACAAAATTGATTCCATCTCGCTGGAAGAGGTTGACAGGATAGCCCGACAGCCCAAGAGTGTCGTGATTTCTTGCGAGCTCGACTTGAATCTCGACGTGCTGCTCGAGCGGATATGGCAGGCATGCGCACTTTCTATGGATTTTGCCGTAGCTGATACGACGCTGTCAGGAGCTCAATATGGATCGGATCTACACCAAGCGGAGGGGCAATCGACCTGATCTAGGCGATCCAGTCAGTATACCGCTGATCACACAATCATCCATTTGCTAACCGGGATCCGCAGCTGGTGGTGCGCGCGGGGGCGACGGTCGAGCAAGTCTGTCAGGAGATTCATCGCGGTCTGGCCCAGCACTTCAAGTATTGCCTCGTCTGGGGCAAGTCAAGCCGCTTCAATCCCCAACCACAGAAAGTGGGCTTGTCACATGTCGTCGCTGGTGACGATGTCGTCTCAATCTTCACAAAGTGAAAATCCGGTCTCGATTGTCATCGAGAGCGGCTCTGCGCATGCCTTGCGGCGTCGCTCATAGATCATTGTGCAATGTTGTGATACTCCATGTGTACTCTTCTAAGGAGTTTGGGCCTCAGGACATCTTGCGCTGAGCGTCTTCCTTCATCTTTTGAGCATCGGCGCCGACCTTCTTGGCTTCCGCCTTGGCCTGGCTCGTCACATCGCTGGCAGCATCGGAGATCGTGCTACCGGCAGACTTGGCATTCGCCTTTGCGCCCTCGGCATTGCTCCTGCACGCCAGACGGTCAGGCCAGGAACTCAATGCGCGAGAAGCCAGACTTGCTCGCCGGAGACCTTGTCCAAGCCGGCTGCAGCAGCCTGACCTACGCTCTTGTTGACCTATCACGGCCAACATCAGCACTCACTTTATCGAATCAGAGACAGAAGTGTAGACCTGTCCCGCTCCTCCGTCAGCGATGACCGCACGACAACGTGCAAAGCACTCACCTTGTCAGCAGCGGCTTTTGCCTTGTCGATGACCGACTCGCGCGCGAGTGGTGTGCTCGAAAAGTGAGCAACACGGAGCGTAGCCGGGCGTGCGATCGAGCGTCGGAGTGCGTACATCTTCAGTGGATATGCCTGTCTGCGCGCGTGAACGAGGGGCAACTTCCGATCTACGTCATTTTGCCACGTCACCTCGCGCGCTGGCTGCCGAGTGGTGCCGATCTTGATCTCTGTTCGACGCACCGCTTCAACATTCTTGGCATAGCCGTTTTTTCTCTGTGCGCAGTATAGCATCAATCTTTGTCAGTTCAAACCCCGGCCTGGAAAGCATACGGCCGAGCACCGCCACAGAAGACATACCACAAGCACCGACCGTCGCGCCAGATTTTCACCTCCCTCTGTATTGAACAACAGCACACAACCTACGCGACTAAGCACTCTGTGAGTCTTTTGTGTCCGTGCTGAGATCCGCCCTGCCGTATGCTTGATGATCATCATGCATCTGGGCGGCGCGGATCTGGCGTTCATCCTGAGAGGACCACGCTGACAAGCGCGCAGTCATACGATACACAATGGTCTACACAAAGCATGCTGTTGCGCTTGCTGGACTTTCATGGGCATTGAGCGCGGGCGCACAATCTCTGGGCAGTCTCTCGACGAACTGTGAAGCTGCAGCCTCCGGACTCATCTCGGGCGACTTTGCCTCCTGTAGCAATATCCTCGGATTGCTGACGATCGCCACCGGCAGCAGCTCAGCTTCCATCGTTACACCCCTACAGGGCTACCTGACGACGCTCTGCGCAGACCCTGCTTGTTCGTCCGCCACCATCACTGCCGCCGCCTCGTCCATTGCATCTGGCTGCTCGACCGATCTGGCTTCAGGCTCAGAGACGGCGCAATTGCTCTACGCCGTCGTCAACAACTTCAACTCGATCAGGGACGTCGGCTGCGTCAAGGAGACTGCCAATAACACATACTGCCTCACACAGGTCTTGAGCGACGTTCAGACTGCGCAGGGTAGCAATGTCACGATCAGCACACTCGAAAGCTTGCTCACGTCTGGCAATGGCATCTCCTCAATTCCATCGTCAGCACTGTGCACAAACTGTGGCAAGGCAATCTACATCGTCGGCGCACCCCTGCTAGCTGCCAATGGCACGCTCAGCAACTCGACGATCACCTCTTCTGTCAGCTCAGAGTGCGGCGCGGACTTTGTCAATGGCGTCTTTCCAAGCGGCATCGAGAACGGAACATCTACCTCAAGCTCGACGACGTCATCCGCTAGCCCGAGCGGCACTTCAGGTTCCAGCTCAAGCTCGACGTCCGCCGCCTCTGGTCTATTCGCAAGCTCGAGGTCAATCGTTGCGATGTGCGGACTGATGCTCGCAGGCGCGCTTGCGCTGATCGCATAGACACACTGTGACATGCCTCTTATATAGTTGTATATGACAACGACACGAAGTACGCATAAATGGACACTTGTTTTCGCGCCTTCCTCTGCCCTTCGCCGGTGAGTGAATCTGGAATAATTTGTCAGCATCACGCGCCGGCGGGACGGCGCTCGCTCGACGCCTGTAACAAAGTCAGGTGGAGTCGAGGCACAACCGCGGCCAAAAGCAAGCTCAGAGACCTAGCTGTTCGTGTCTGGACAGCGTCAGCTTCGGAATTTGCGGAGACAGAAACGGATTTGGCGCATCGCGACGGATCATCCCACGGACGGTATCGCTCACAGTAGCTCGAGTCGCTGGAGCTCGGCTAGCCTTGTCAGACCTACCGAAGGTGTCCAACGGATGTGCTAGGCCCTTGCAACGATACACTGAGCCAGCATTCGCCAGATCTGACAAATCTGCAAGCGAAGCACGAGCCCTTGCCCTACGCTGTCTTAGCTCGTCTGCCAAGCATACGAGTGATAGCGGCCCGTTCCATACAGACACGGCATACATCCGTGATCTCACACTCGAACGGAACCGAATCGTTACCTCCAGCGACGCGTAGAAGGCCGCCCAAAGGCGAGAGAACCTCGACAGGCTCGTCAACAACGGCCTCGATGAAGGGCCTCAAGAAGAGCTTCGTGAGTGGTCCACCGTGCCAGCTGCATGCGGACTGAAAGCGCGGACGTTTCAACAGCTGTCACGGCAATCTTCGAAGGACAAAGATAATTCTGCAATCGGGCAAAGCTCACCCAACGCTTCCTCCTCAAGCTTACCCTCCGGCGCTTTTGCGAGCAACGGCAATACGCAGAACACCGTCAATCCTGCCAACCTCAACCTAGCAGGTGTGTCGCTGCAGTAAATTCCCGGACTTGCATAGCTGACCATACTTCTCCGGTAGATGCAGGCGCTAGTAGTAGTGGTCTGTCTTGTGCAGATGCCTCGGAAGATGTGGCTGACGACCACATAGGCATGTCCTCTGCCGCCATGAGTGCGTCCGGGCCCGGTACCAGTACGTCACCAGCGCCAAGCAGGATAGGCGGAGCAGGCGGTCTCTTTAGCGGTCTCAGCAGCAAATCGCGCCAGGCTCCTCCGAGCGCGCTGGCCATTGGGGACGCGCCTTCTGTCGTCGTCAGTCCGGAGACGGTACGCAAATCCTCAGATGCTATGACTTGGCATGCTTGACTGACGTCAATCTCAGGCTGTCATGCCGCAAGATCCGATGCCTCATGCCTCAGCACTGCCACATCATCAGATGGCAAGTTCACCCCAAGTGGAGCTGCCATCTTGCTGACACTCTCGCAGACGACACCGCCCAAGTCTGGGCCGATTGCAAAGCTACGACAAGGCGGCGTACCTTCGCCCACGAGCCAGACGCCGAAAGATACAATTCCACTGGCAAAGACGCCGAGGAAGCAGCGCTCCAGTCGATTCCACGTCACCGAACGTGTCGAGCTAGAACGGTTGCCAGGCTTCATGGAAGTTCATCCGCAAGAGCGACATGATCTCTTCCTGCAAAAGCTTAGGCAATGCGCCGTCGTGTTTGACTTCAATGATGCTTCGACCGATCTCGGCGGCAAGCAGATCAAAGCCCAAGCGCTTCAGGAGCTCCTCGAATGGATCACTCAGCAGCGAGGCGTCATCACCGAAGCTATCTATCCAGAGGTCGTTCATATGGTGCGCTGCCTCGTCCCTTTTGACGTGACGATCCTGACTCGCACTTAGTTTGCATCGAATCTGTTCCGTGCTATTCCGCCGCCGATCAATCCAACTGGCGAGGCTTTCGATCCAGAAGAGGATGAGCCGGTGCTCGAACTGGCCTGGCCTCATCTGCAGATCGTCTACGAGTTCTTCCTACGCTTCATTGAGAGCCCGGACTTCAACACCAATATCGCAAAGCGATACATCGATATGTCCTTTGTGCTTCAGCTTCTCGAGCTCTTCGATAGCGAGGATCCGCGAGAACGGGACTTCCTAAAGACGACCTTGCATCGGATTTATGGCAAATTCCTCAACCTGCGCGCGTTCATACGGCGGTCGATCAATTATGTCTTCTTCCAATTCATCTACGATACCGAGCGTCACAATGGCATAGCAGAGCTACTCGAGATACTGGGATCGATCATCAATGGCTTTGCGCTACCGCTCAAGGACGAACATAAGACGTTCCTCACGCGGGTCCTGATACCGCTACACAAGGTCAAAGGCCTCTCTCTCTACCACCCACAGCTAGCCTACTGCGTCGTTCAATTCCTAGAGAAGGATTCTGCACTGACCGAAGAAGTCGTACTCGGTCTGCTCAAATTCTGGCCAAAGGTCAACTCGCAGAAAGAGGTCATGTATCTCAACGAGATCGAAGAGATACTCGACGTCATCGATCCTGCCGAGTTCCAAAAGGTTATGGTGCCTCTCTTCAAGCAATTGGCGCGATGTGTTAGCAGTCAGCATTTCCAAGTGGCCGAGCGAGCGCTCTATGTGCGTACCATCACAGTTTCCTCCAAGCAAGTCGTACTGACCTGCAAGGCAGTTCTGGAATAACGAGTACATTGTCAATTTGATGGGCGAGAATATCCAGACAATCTTACCCATCGTCTTCTCGCCGCTCTACACAAATTCAAAGTCGCACTGGAATAGGCAAGCTTGTTGCTTGGTACCTGTGACTTGGCTAACGAACGAGGCAGGCAAATACACACGCTCGTCTTCAACGCGCTCAAGCTCTTCATGGACATCAACGCGCCACTATTTGAAGAATGCACAGAAGAATACAAGCAAGAGCGAGCCAGGTAGGCCTATGGCCTCTTGGGTCATGCTCCTCTAATGCTGTTGGGTTCAGGGAGCGACAGAAGAACAAAGCGAGGGAGGAGGCCTGGCAGGCAATGCGCACGACTGCGCTCTCCAACAAGGGCGACGACGTCCCTATGCCGCCCAGCCTGTTACTGCCAGTACCTCGTGCGACTTCGCCACCGCTTTCTTCTGGCTCAGACGATATGACTGGTTTCGATCCCATGCAATTCGCCGACGGAGTGCCGGCTGAGGAGGAGACTGATCAGACGCTCGAAGCGACAGACGGCTACGCAGACAATATGGTGAGCTAATTGCGCGCTACTGTGCGGTCAAGCTCATGCCGCATGCAGCAAACCTTCCCGGAGACGGCGAGGCAGCAGATTGCAGCCGCCAACCCAGCAGGTCAGACGGCTATTGCATGACTGTGACTCGAACTGACATTTCGATGGACAGGATCCGGACCTGGACCAGGTCAGCATGCGAGGAGGAAGAGCATCATTCCTATTGATCCGGCAGTCCTGCGCGAGCTCGCTTCACATAAGTCGCTGGACGACGCCGATCGCACAGGAGCAGGGACGAGCTAGCCTATCATATGATGCATGCTCTGTGTTTCTATTACAGACTTGGTGTGACCTCCCGAGCTGGTAGCAGCGACGCAAATTAAAAATTTCTGCTCAGGAGAGCAAGTCGCTGCCCAATAGGAGCAGAGGGAGGTCGGGCTTCGTATTGCAAGGTTATGACTCAGAAACAGCTCGTGAGTGTAGTCCAAACGGACTGGTGATGATGGTTTTTGTAGCTTTCCTGCTTTGCGCAGAGCGAGAACAGTAGTCACTCAAAAGAGCCATCTCGAGCTGCTGCCTTAAGACAATGCGTGTAGCCGAACAAGAGTCACTGCCGTCTGCGACGAGTGATGCCGGAGCTTTCCGCGCGAGAGTGCACCGACAACGCTCGACTGAGACGTCATTGACTCATCGGCGAGCAGGGAGGAGATTTGATCCGAAGAAATGCGGCGCGACTGTACCGTCACGGCGTTAGGCGGTCCGTCCATCATGACCATCAGGCGGGCTTTCAAGACCTGCTTCGGCTTTGACTCCGATGCACTCGACGATGCGCCTCTATCGGAGAAGCACGAGCCCCTGACGTCGGAATGCAGCAGCTCTGAGCGCTTTATCGCGATCAGCAAGCGAATTAGTACAAGCGAACGCTTAGCAGCTCTGCGTCGCCTCATGAGCGACCAAAAGCTTGCTGCCTACGTCGTTGTGAGCGAGGACGAGCACGGGACGGAGTATGTTGCGCCCAGCGAACGACGTCGCGGCTATATCTGCGGCTTCAACGGGTCAGCTGGCGTGGCTATTGTCCTGAGAGATTGCGCTCAGATCTTCGTCGACGGTCGCTACTACATACAAGCAGCTGAACAGATCGATCACAATTGGACTCTCCGCAAGGTCGGCCAGCCCGGTGTGCCCACATGGGTTGAATATATTGCGACACACCTCAGAGGCGAGCGCGTTGGTCTGGACGCCAAGCTGATCAGTATTTCACTAGGCAAGCAGCTGGAAAAACTCGCATGCATCCTTGTCTTTCCCAAGACGAACCTGATCGACGAGATCTGGTCCAGCAAGCCTGCCCGACCGTCTCGACCCATAGAAGATTATCCAGTGGAATTTGCAGGCAAGTCGACCGTTCGAAAGCTAGCCGAACTTCGCGCCTCGCTCGCGGATACGCAGACACGAGGCATCGTTGTCAGCGATCTGACGGAGATTGCTTGGCTGCTCAACTTGCGCGGTGAGGACGTACCAGAGACGCCGGTCTTCTTTGCCTATGTCATCGTCGATGCCCAGACTGCGACGCTATACACAGATGCGCCGACCATAGACAGAGCCGCACAGATTGCGCTCGGTAACGCGTCTGTCACCATCGCAAATTACACTGCTTTCTATCCTGCCTTGGCAGACTGCTCGGCTGGCTTTGCAGTCGGGCAAGACGCCTCGTTCGCAATCGCCACCAGTCTGAAAGAGGCCCGAGTACTAACGGTCTCGCCTGTCGGGCTAGCGAAATCGATCAAGAATCCGCTCGAGATTATGCGTATCAAAGACGGCTACGTTCGCGACGCAGTTCAGTGGTGCATCTGGGCCGCCTGGCTCGAAGAGTTGCTCGTCAAGAAGAAACAAACCATATCCGAGTGGGATGCAGCGGAAGAGCTGACCAGATTGCGCAAGCAAGACAGACACTATCGCGGTCTGGCCTATGAGAACATATCTGCCACGGCAGGCAATGCTGCAATGCCTCATTACGCACCTACTGCTCGCCAATCCAGCCTCATCGATATCTCTACGCCTTATCTCAATGATTCTGGGCCTCAATACGGCGACGGCTGTACGATTGACACCACACGGACCATGCACTATGGTAAGCCGACATATCTCCAGAAGATCGCCTATACACGCGTATTGCAAGGTCACATTGCTGCAGCTACCGGTATGTTTCCAGAAGGCACGACGGGTGCTACATTGGACGCGTATGCGCGTCGTCCACTCTTCAACATCGGTCTCAATTACAGCCATGGCACGGGTCACGGCATAGGGTCGTATCTTTGCGTACATGAAGGTCCGCTCTCGATCAGACAAGGCAATGCGATACCTCTCCAAGAGGGTATGGCTTTCTCAATAGAGCCAGGTAAGTGATCTTGTCTTATGCCCGAGCAGGCTGACTCTGATCTGCAGGCTACTATGAGGCAAACGAGTTTGGCATCCGAATCGAAAGCATCTATACTCCTAATCCAGTCATGCGGACAGATAGCACAAAGTGGTTCACGCTCCACCGTATCACTCAGATTCCGATCGATTTAGTGATGGTCAATTGGGACGAAATGTCTGAACTCGAAATTCGCTGGCTGCGAGCGCACAATCGGGAATGCGCTGATACTGTTCGCGAGCATCTCGACCCGAACGATAAGAGGACATTGCGATGGCTCGAGCGGCAGTGTAAGATCAAATGATGTTGTGCATACGCATGCAATGTGTACAATCTGTGTGAATCAGACCCGGCTCCTTCTAAACTGCACGAGACCAAGAATGGCGGCAATGAGTGACAAGATCTTGAGTTTATTTTTACCTATGGCCAGTCTGAGCACATAGGAAATATCGCGAACGGTGGCGCCCAGTGCCAGTGTCATGTAAGCTCGTCTACCGAACTCGGCATAGATAGTATCCTCCGTCTCGTCTGTGGTGATCTCGAGTACACCCTTTGGATCGACGATGAGCATGCGACCGTGAATATTGGGGCATGTGGCTGCACGAATGAGTGCGCCATTGACATCCTCGAGGTCGCAAAGGGGTAGACCCACCAGACCGAGCCTCGTCAGAGGCTCTATGATGCCGGTCGAGGCAAACCAAGGGTGAATTGAGTTGACGCGGAATCCTTCGGCGGCGCCTAGGAAAGTCAAGGACTGAAGCAGACCTCGTACGCCCCACTTGGAGGTGGAGTACATGGGCGCCATAGGTACGCCGTGGAAGCCAGCCATGGACGAGAGCAAGATGATAGCTCGGCCCGCATCGCGATGCTTTCGCAGGTGATATACCGCCAGTTTGACGGTATAGAGCACACCAATCAGGTTGATATCGAGCGTGCGCAAGTCTGGCTTCGTGAGCTCGCCATCTGCACCGATGACGTCGTCTTCGAATCCAGGATGTAGCTTCTCGGTAACGCCTGCATTGGCAAAGACGATGTCGACCTTGCCATAGGTCCTCTCGGCAAGCTTGAAGAGGTCGACCTGCGATTGCCACGAAGTGACGTTGCAGACTGTGTGAACGACCTTGCCGCCTGCGAGCTTGATCTCGTCTGCTACAGCTTGTAGTCCGGCTTTGTTGACATCGCCCATGACGACCTTGGCTCCATTCCTGGCGGAAGCCAGAGCGACATTACGACCGAACCCACTGCCGGCGCCTGGTAGCTCGTCAGCTGACATCAGAAGCGCAGCTCTAGATGCATACCCGTGATGACGACGACCTTGTGCTTGAGCAGCTTCTGGTACTGATAGAGCTCTGATTTGTGCAGGGACCGACCAACTCGGCGAGTGGTAGCCAAATCGCTGGCGTATTTGTTTGCATACAGCTTCATGACATCGTGAGGAGCGACGCCTTGCATGTCGGCCTCGTCTGCGATGTCGGTCATCTTGTCTCGAGCCGCTGCAGGCGTGGCGAGCTAGGTTCCGTCGAGAGTGCGAAGCAATTGCCGACACGGATCAGACTGGGGAAGCCCGGCTATCTTTCCATTGCACACGTCATCGATTCTTGGAGATGACCGAAGCAGTCCGCGCGAGGCCGCAAGCGATTGACGTGGCTTTGCTAACACCCTTCCTTTCCCTCTGCTATCCGCTCTTCTGGCTGCAACGCGGGCGCATCGTCGTTGTTTGGCAACGAGCTCCTGTCCTCGACAATTATGCCGTCTCACCTTGCTTCCTCGACAGCGAGATACAATAAATCGCGAGTCGGCAGTCAAGCAGAATGCGTGCGTGCTCGGGATCAGCCCAGTTGTGCGAGCGCTTAGCTTCCATCAGTGTCCAACTTTGCCTCTGGCTATCTCGGTCCAGCCTCGTACGTATCGCCAGCCAAAGACATAACGTCGGCTCATCTGATCCGCCAGTGCACGCGGCTTTCTCTTCTCATGCTGCATCAATGTACGCTCGTCGTGTCGTCGGTTCGAAGCCATCGCTCACCCCGCAATCAGATCTTCCTGCTGGGTAGCAGCTTGTGCCAGCTGTACGAATACTTTCAGAGATTTCCGTCCGACCAACCCATCTTCAAAGCATTGACTGCCTTACTTGGAATCATCAACTTTGTCGACGCCATCTGCCTCGCACACCTTGTCGACTTCATCTTCATCAAGCGCTGGGTCAGTGATTGCGCCTGCTGAAGCTGCCAAACCGCTCATACGCGTTCGTAGGGCAATCGACCCGGCCTTGAGGGTTTCTTTTGGCAGTTCGACTACAATGTCGTGTGTCTCCTCATCACCTCGGTCTGCGTACAGCTCTTCTAGTCGGTCACACATCTGGGACTGACCACTTATCGCTGACGAGCGAAAACGAACAGCGCGTGGCGACTGTCTGTCTTGACGCGACCACGCATCTGGCCTGTCGTGGTGGTCATCTGTCTGGCCATGCTCAATCTCGGTGTCGGCATTGGTCAGTAGCGTACACGCTGGCCCGATCCTGCTGACGTCGTCTGCAGCTACACTCATACTGGTTTTCCTCGTGCCGGCTCCCACGCAAGTCGGCAGCATCGTCTGGGTTTTCACCGTCAATCTCATCGTGCCCGTCATTACCGACTGCGTCATTGCCGGACTCATCGGATGGCGCTTGTCCAATGCCGCTTCTGCAGTCAAGGAAAAGAATGCTGGAGACGTCATTCAGCGGTACGTGCGTCTTGGCCTGTCAGGATCATCGCTCATGAGTCATGCAGAGTCATACGCCTCACGTTCGAAAGCAACGGTATCACCGCCGCTTGTGGTATTATGTGCGTCTGCTCATGGTACATTCTGGGCGCATACTGAGTATGGCACGCTGCAGATGCTCGCTTCTCTTCATCGTCAATGGCTTGCTCGTCCGTGTCGTGCTCTGTCAGTCTCACGCATCGATGCCCTTGTATTCACTAACAACAAAGAGCGAACAGCCAAGGTCTACTTCTTCGCATACCTCTGGACTATGAACAGTGAGTAGTGCAAGCAAGCTCAGCTCCCCGCTGACATGCGCCAAGGCCGAGTCGAGACCGTTTTGCAGCTCGAGAATGTCAAAGCGCAGCGCATGATGAAGATGGTCAGTCGCTCTCTTGGGTGTTGCGAGCCAGTTGATCAGATTCTCCGCAGGGCAACGTCTCGGGCGTCAATGACGACCAACCTATCTCGGGCAAGATCGAGGTCTCCCAGTCGACCTCTCGCTCGTACGAGAACCTGAGCAGTAGCCATGCGAGCCACAGCGCAACTGGCTATGGTGCCAAATAGGTCCGGGCCCCAATGCATCACGTTTCAGCTCTCGTTTCAGCGTCAGCAGAGTCGTCCTCCGCAACGCACTACATCCTCGAAACCGACAACGAGTCATCAAGCAGCATGGCTAGCGCAGGAACTGTTCCTGAGCTTTCGCCCGATGTTGTGGCAGCCATACAAAAATCACTGGGTGCTGCTCAGTCGTTCCTCATAGCGACGTTGTGCGCCTGGTTTGTCGCAGGCATCAATCTGCATCAAACATGGGTCTACTTTCGGTTCTTCAAGTCGGACCATTGGGCGATGAAGGCGTTTGTACGCAGCTCGGCTCAACAGCCAACCAAGGCTGATGTCTGCCACAGGTGATCACAGTCGTGATCGTCGCGGCAGTGGATACATGTCAGCCTGGCACCCTCAGCCGATCGCGACCGGGCTGACTCATCGACAGGCTTGCTCTTGACGGTCTCTAATTTCTGGCTCATCGATAACTTTGGCTCGCCACCTGCGCTAGACAGCTTTGCAATCGGTCTACCCGTCCATCCTGCCTTGCTCGGCATACTGACCCTACTCGTACAATTATTCTACGGTCAGTCAGCCGGCCGCTTTCAAATATCACGCGCTGAGATGCTTGTGCCAGCCTATCGGATATACATACTCTCTCGACGGTCCATCTTCTTGCCTGGATTCGTCGTCATACTCGCCGCATTGGGCTGCGCCGCCGGCGTCTGGACAGCTTGCCATCTATATAGTGCAGGCGCCTTCTCTCGCGATCACGGTAAGTCGCAGTACAGTCGGATCGATAAGACTGACCGCATCATGCAGGTGGCGACTGGGTCAAAGCATGGTTCGTCATTCAGTCGTCAGCTTGACAGCTCTGACGCGCAACACAGTTCCCTCTTCTTGCCCGCAGCTGCAGATGCCGTCATCCTCGTCAGTATGGTCGTCTACCTGCGGGAGGCAGTTGCAGAAGCTGCGTCAGCCGAAGAGTAAGCTTCCCTGCGCAGTGTGAATTGCGCCCACGTTGATGCGCCTCGAACAGCTCGGTCTTACTCTTCAACCGGCTCTGGAGGGTCTCATTGGAAACCAACTTTGTCACCATGCTCCTTGCGCTCTTGAGCGCAGTCTTATTGCTCGTCGCGCCAGCAAAGGTTTATCTCCCGATTCCTTTCGTCATCGGGCAGGTCTATCAGGGGTGCTGCCTATACTCGCTCAACAGCAGACTCAACACCGTCGTACAGCCCACGCTGAGCGCAAAACAAGACCTTCTGGCAGTCAGTCACATAATGTGCGAACGATATGTGCTAACGAGTGCGCAGCACGGGGGCTCGCAGCCTTTAGGCACACCTGCGCTGGACTATGCTCGTCTTTTGAGCGAATTGCAACGGCCTGACAAGTTCGATCAGGGCTCGTATCCTCTTGCGCCCTTCACGAGCCAGTACATGCGCCCAGAGCTGCTGCCGTGCGATGCAGAGACGGAGCTCGAGTTCCTCACTGCTGCCGAGCGACACGACGACTGTGGCTTCTCAACTCGAGCTTATCATTAGCAGGACATATCAGTTCGCGCAGGCGTGTTCAATCATTGCAATCTCGTGGGATCTTGTTTCAGTCAACAGGCACATGTATGTATCGTAAGATGGATCGGTTGCGGCTCTGCGGCAATCAAAGTGGACGCTCGTCGGCATTGCGGACGAGATTGAAGAAGAATCGGACGGCATCGATGTGTTCAGAGATGGACGCCTTTTCATCAATAGTATGGATGTGCGACTCGGCCATTGTCATGATGGTCGGAGTGAATCCTGCTCTACCATCAGCTGCGCGAACGCATCAGAGTACTGAATGACCCACTGAAAATATGGCTGGTGAGGTTCCAGAAAGATCGCGTATCAGTGTTGCCCGTCATGAGCGAACCAGCGAAGGAGAGATTGCCCGGGAAGCGCTGTTCGTACGTGTCTAATACGGTGCCACCTAGCAGAGCGTATGGAAGGTCATTCGGGCCATGTGGCGTGATAGGCGCGACGGCAAGCTCGGCATGAGCAGTAAGCGTGACGTTGCCATATGTCTGTCCCCCAGAGCTATGAAGCTGCCCAAAACTGTCTTGCCGCAAATTGTAACGCCGGGCAATAGTCCTGACGACATTGCTAATATGAATTTTGACAGAGTCGAGAGAGTCTTCGAGACTAATGCGGTAATTGACCTTTGCCTGAACCTGTTCTGGCAGTGCGTTGATCTTGCTGCCGCCGCTGACAATATCGACTGCTTGGCTCGTCTGGAGCATGTAGCGAGCTTCCAGACTCTCCTCAGCCATGTGCTTGGCGAATGCATCCAATTGGCGCTGGCTATGGCGTGCTCGTCGCACGTCTGCTGCTGATCCATCCGACAGGAAGGGAATCATACAGTTGGCCATGCTGAACACTGGGCTGTCACGCGAAAGTCTAGCTTGGAATGGCTTGGCTTCAAGCTCGGTGATGATGGCAGCGAGGATGCCAATACCCGTGTGCGTGGGTGGTACGGATGAATGACCCCCAAGTGTATTGACGGTGATGTCGACATCGAGGTGGCCTTTCTCACCACTGCTCATCGAGCATCAGATGCAGCCCTCAGACGGGAAGAATGACTGACATAGCGGGCAGCGCAAAGACACGTCTCTGGTTGCTCAGAGTTGCAAAGCCATTGCCTTCGTCAACAAGCATAGCAATCGAGTCTCGCCCGTACATTTCTTCAAGCAAGCGAGCGATCTGGTTTGCGCCGTTGCCCGAGCTCTCTTCATCAGCGCCGAACGCTAGCAAGACGGTACGACGAGGAGAGAATCCGCCCTTGAGGAGAGCTTCAATCGCTTCCATGATGGCGACGAGCATCGACTTGTCATCGCTTGCGCCTCGTCCGAGCATATAGTCACCTTTCGTAAGACCGCCAAAGGGCGGGAAAGACCACTTGCTCTCGGTATCGCGATTGACGGGCACTACATCTTGATGAGCCATGAGGAGCAGCGGCTTGAGCGTTGCGTCTGAGCCTTTGAGCGTGTAAAGCAGATTGTGCGTGTCGACGCGGCGGAGCTCGAGGAGCTCGTGCACGAGTGGGAAGGAGTCGCGGAGATAGTCTGCAAAGGCGAAGAAGGCCTCCCAACGCTTATCGTCTTTGACCGAGCCTAGATCATCAAAGGAGGGCGTTTTGACCTGGATCGCTTCCGAAAAGAGACCGATTGATTGCTTGCGATAAGCTGGCGTGGACAGATGAGTATACTGCGAGTCGAGTGCAGCGTCGGGCAAGGGCTTGATGGCGCTAATCGCAGGACAATAGCGCTCATCACCAGCCTCGAGCTGTTTATCAAGAGCGTCACGAGCCGAGAATGCAACCCAGCGCGCGCCGAGCGATATGATGGCGAACAGTACGACGATGTGCCACACAATGCTGCGTCGGCGACAAGCTTGCGAGCGCGGTGCGTCATCATCGACAAGCTCAATTCGGCCCATGCTGCTCCTTTGCCTTGCCAGACCTACTGTCGTTCGCAAGGATCAGTCTCTCTCGCGCTTTGCAAGCTCTTTGATAGATGAGAGGCAGCGATGCGTAGCGGGATAGGTCCTGAGCGGGGTCAAGCGCTATACAGTGTGTTGGTCGACCACGCGCTCCTCGATAATGATAAGATCCGATCGCAGACTGTCGATCTCTAGAGATTAAATACGCTGTACGGCCACGCGGGTAGCATCAGGCGAACAGATGCTAAATGGCTAATACAACAGTCATGCCGAGGGCGAATGCGAGGACGAATGCGGATGCAAATTGCGTCACTGGCGATGCGCTACTTGTGACGGCGACAGAGGTGCCGTCTTCGGTCTGCTCATTGATGATCAACCCGGCGGTCGAAGTGAGCGCCGCAAAGCCCATGCGACCTCGCGTGGTCTCGAGGGAATGGATCGCATAGACGTTCTTCAAGAACGGTGCGCCGAGAATCCAGGCAGGTAGCGAGCTCGATGTGCCTGCTGGGAATAGCGTGCCGCCAGCGCTGCTCGAGCTGGACGAAGTCGATGTTGCGATCGCGTTGGCGAAGCACAACCGCCCGGATGTCTCTGCAACATTGCCAATCCAGTCAGTCGGACTGCCAGCACACGTAAGCTTCTGATTCGGTCAGGTGCGCAAAAGTTTACTTGATGGACCAGTAACGACCGCCCCCAAACTGCAGTGAGACTTGTATGCGCGACGAGCAGGGCAAAACGTAGCCTGATGCGCCGCCCAAGTCTACTTTCTGCGCCGATCGAACATCCGAAAAGAGCGAATCGAGTATGTCTGACGGCAGAAGCATAGCAGATGTGCCGCTGTCAGTGATGACGATTGGATCGCCATTGCTCGTTATGTAGGGGGCACTGCCCGTGTCTTGCAACGAGATATCCTCGCCATCTTTGCGCAACCCAGTGAGAGGGAGAGTCCAGTATGACTGAGACGTCAGAGCAACGTCGTGCCATTCGAGGGTACTCGCATCGTACAGTCGGCTATCGTTGCCGCCTAATGTGATCTGTCCGAGTGTACCTTTGGAGCCTCTGGCTTGGTAGATCGAAAACTGTGGCGCTTCAAGCCGATCTGATTGCAGCAAGCTCGTGAGCAATCCTGGCGTGACTTGCGAGTTGGCGGAGCTCCTTGGCAATCCCATAATGCCGGCCACATCGCTGCCAGTCTCGCCGATGCCCTGAGTGGTTGCAGCAGCGGCGAATGCAATGCCAGGAATGGATGCGTTGGCCAGCGTGATGGTGTCACTCGCCGCTATACCTGTCGCTGCGCCCGTACCATATGTATACGTAACACGCTCGCTAGACGCCTTGAACGTCGAAGAACTACTCGAATTGAAGACATCGCCGTCGGACAAGGCAGATCCACAATAGGTGGCCGTGGACGATAGCGAACATGGCAAGGTGGGTATGACGAGATCGCTCGAGCCAGTGTCCATGATGACGTTGATCTGTTGCGGTGGAGTGCCTATACTTATGGTCGAATACCATTCGAGGTTCTCAAAGACCTGAAGAGGGACATTGAGGACATCGCGCTTGCTGAGATACCCTTTGCGAGCTAGATCGTTTCTCTTCTTGAGCTGCGTGCTACGCCTCGGGACGAGTGGGAGATGAAGAATGCCCGCCTTGTCAAGACGAGTGCCATCGAAAGATGTCGACAGTGCGGGCGCGCTGGTGGCAGGAGCCGTCGAAGCTGCCCATAGGAGGCTCAGTAGTATTGATCGTGATACTGTTTTGCTATGCTTCTGCGCCATGCCAATGCTGAACTACGCACCGAAGCAGTCAAACCGAGCGTCGAATGCCTGTCAATAAGAGTCGATGCAAGGCGTCGAGGGCAACGATAGGGTGTGCTGCTCCCGACTTTCTCTTGCTCTGGTGAGCATCGATCGAGATGACCTGCATCGCCGCTACACTGTCTGGCTAGGCTGGGCAGCGTCATGCTGTTCTGTTCAGAGGAAAAGCTTGGCGATTGAGTCTTGTCTTGGCAATAAACGCGTGTCTTAGCTACGACGTGCCCCTAGCGAGGCTGCGACAGGCACAAAAGTCCATTGCATTGGATCCAGCTAGAGCACAGCAACTAGTCCGCCCAGAGCAGTCAGTGTCCTGAGCGAAGGCGCACGCTTCACAGCGCTCGAGAAACGCTGACCTGGCGTCGATCCAGTGGTCTGCGGAGGTTGCTCTTCCTCAGCGGGGTGGCCCGCTCTGACAGATGACAGGCTCGGCTTTGTGCTGACGTGAGCAAATCGATTGGCCATACCTGGCACGAAGCACTTGTCTGCATTGGCCTGCACGGCCGCCCAAGTTGTCGGAGCTTGAGGGTTCAGTGACGCTGTGCCGCCGTAGTTGCAAAGCTCGGGCCTTCCACCTTGCTTGTAGTAGTGCAGCGTCATCGCATCTACCGACGGTATGAGACCAAATGCAAGGCCTGAACGGAAGATACACTCACATGCAAGCTTTTGCAATGGTGTGCAAGTCGAGTAACGGCCGTAGATACCCGTTGCGCCATTGCCGCTGATCGAATGGCAGTCGGCGAAGCCGACGAGATCGGAACAAGCAGCATTGGTCTGATCACCAATCTGAGCGGCCGTCAGATCTGGATGGGGTACGCAAGTCAAGGCGGTATTGACTGCGCAAGCACAAGCGCGGTCTAGTGGCGTAGGAGGCAGAACAGGCGAGACATCGTAATTACCGTTCTGAGCTGGACAGATCTGATGTGGCACAGGCTGGATCTCAGCAATCGTCATGGGAGGACCGTGATGGGTTTGAAATGCTGACGCAAGGGTATCGAAATCGGGCTCTTTGACGACAATGTTGTTCGTCAGAGTGAGATTCCTGATGAGACCGAATCCCATGTCATCCGCCATGTACTCGAATGCTGCTGCGCCAGAGAAGACTTGGGTCATGGCCGGCGAGTAGATGGCGGCAATCTCTCGCCAGGGACGGTTAAGTGTGCCCGTGATACAGCCTATCTCTGAGAGGAAAGCAGGCACGCTGATGGCGTCGAATGCAGAGACAAGTCGGTCATAACCTGAGGACTGGAACGTCTGGCCGTCAGGCGTGGGGCACCACCTGTAGGTGTTGACGCCATAGAGATCGAGAGCAGAGGCGGGATCGCCACAAGTGAGATAGTTGGCCGTGTTGAAGCTCCATTCTTCACCGTCGACGGCGTTATAAGTTATCCAGGCGTTGCTATCGATCGAGCGCAAGAACGACTTGGCGTCTCGCACAGCAGCTCGGATGAAAGGGGCATCAGCTTGGTTGATGACGCCGGAGATGACTTCATTGGCAATGCTGAAAGCGAGCAAGTTGGGGAAATGGCCGAGATTGCTCATTGTCGCTTGATACTGTCGCTTGAGACCGACATGCCAGCTAGGGTAGGCACGGTTGATGGACCCGCTGCCCGGCAAGGCGAGACCAGCGATGATGTAGATGCCATTGTCGTTGAACAAGTTCATGCAAGCACGATGATCAGCGGTCGGCGAGACCGAATAGACCGAGAGCAGATTGACGCCGAGCTCTTTGAGATAGGGCAAATCTCTTTGGCAGCTCGCCAGATCAGCAAGAGGATCGATATACGTCGCAGGCTCTCTATAGCCACCCTGACGCTGGTTCTCTGCAGTCTGTTGCTCCGGCAAGCCTCTCGGTTGGTATACGACGCCCTTGATGAAGAAGCGTTGACCGGTCGCATCGAAGAGGTATCTACCGTGTCTCGAGAGAGGGGACACGGCAGCTTGGGTCATGCCGCACAGCAGCGATGACAGTGTAACGAGCGAGGTCTTCATGCCGGTCGAGTTGAGAGAACAAAGGTCGCGGAGATGTCTACTTTGGCCGTTGCTAGGAGCAGAAACGTGACACGGCACTGCCTTTCGTCACGGCGTCGCAATGACAGCGCCATTCCTGAGCGTCTGAAGGACCGAGCGTGTGTCAGACTTCTGACACTGGAAAGACAAAGACTTGAAGCAGATTGGATCGAAGTCAGGCAGGCAGGCAAGACGTTGACATTGACTCTCTTTATTAGGAACACGCGCGATTTTGTCCTCCTCAACGTCGTCGACGCTGACGAGCTCCTCTGACGTGAGCAGCGGATGGCGACGACTCTCGAAGGCCTGAAGAAGGAGTTTGCCGAGAGCGAGGGCTTGCCACAGTCACTAGCATCAGAGGACACGGTTTTCTATAGCCTGCATTGGCTGCCGTCGAACTCAAACTCTGGGCATGACGACGATGGGACGATTTGGCAGCTCAAACTGCTCGCTGTGATCTCATGGGCCGAGAAGGAGTCGCAGGCGAACGGATGGATATGGCACAAGGACAGCTTTCAGCTCGCGATCTGCTCCGACCTCGTCACGACAGAGCATGCCACTGCCGTCCATCCCCAAGAAACGGCCCTTGCTTCCGCTTCTACTGCCCCAAGCTGTTCCAACCTCTCCCAAGGAAGCTCATACAGGTATCTGTCGGGCCAGACTCGCATCGGCAGCTCCCTCTTTGATGAATACTACCTGCTCTATTTGCTCCACAAGTTATCTGTGGCGAAATTTGGCGATGGCCAATGGGCTATCACGATCACCGACCAAGATGGACAATTTATGCTCATCGATGCTGCTGAAGCTGGTCTACCCAAGTGGGTCAAACCCGAAGTCATGGACGGTCGCGTTTGGATCGTCAAGGGCGAAATCCATCTCGTGCCACTCATGCACCCCATTCCTCACGATGGCAAAGGCAAAGAACGCGCGCAGGATAATGTCATCATGCCATGGCAAGCGCTTGCAGTGATTGTGGATCCTCTGCTGCCTAGTCGTGCCCCTCGCTCTGTCGAAAGAGAGATCTTTTCACACATTGCCAAGTACGTCGGGCATCCTGAGCACAGCATCAGTGCTAAGGCTGCCACCTCGACCAGCTTTCCTGACAGGATCCTCAAGGAGCATCTCCACACGACCTCTGCTTACTTGCCTACACGCCTCGCGCAAGTGTTCGCGCAAGGGCCAGACTTCGTTGCGCTGGCCTCGAATACATTCTACGGCCGCGAGCCGATAGGCCAAGAAGCTCGCTGGCTAGAGCGTATGCAACATCTGCCACCGGACTCTATGCCGGGTCTATCCAGGTCGGCCTCCTTACCGGAGAGCGTGCAGTTGTGCAAGATCCAGATGACTCGTCCACTCTTTGCGCAGCTCGTTTGTCAGCAATTCGATGCCCCCGCTGTGTTTGCGAGTCGCGGATGGTCACCGACTGTCGCTAAGCCGAACGCGGCACAGGTCCAGGAGTTGCGCAGGAGGGAAGTAGGCATGAAGCTCACTTGCGGCTTCGAGCTCGTGCTGCAAAGAGCACAAAAGCTCATGGACGAGCATCCGATCTCCTATGCTGTAGGCGAATCAAGTATGCAAAGTTGGCAGCAGGCAATATCCGTTAGCGACCACGCGACTTCAACATTACTAATGAGACGAGCGAGGCGACTGCAGCTATTCGCTAACAGTGACGCCACGGACATTCTCAGCGAGATTGACGACGCTCTCCTGTGCGATGCGAGCGAGCTTTTCGCGTCGTCGACATCTACACGGGTAGCTCTCACCACCGATTCGCTTGCAGAAACTCCGGAATCATGGCTGGACGTCGATCCAGAAGGCCTCGAGGCTCTGCTCGCCTCCAAGCTAGCAGGTCGCACGGGAGGCGACGAGGATGGCGTGGACGAAGACGAAGTACTGGCGAATGCTCAAGCTGAGCGTTTGACCGGTATGGCCGAAAAGCTTCATGCCTTTATGGACGGCAAAGGCGGCGCAGATGGTGCAGAGCTCGACGACGAGATGTCGGATGACGAGGAGGAGCTGAGCGATAGCGAAGAGGAAGATCCGCCTTACAAGAACGATCCGGAATTGCTCATTCCTCCTCTGCCAGACGGTGAATGGGGCCAGAAGTCCGGCCCAGTCAAAGCAAAGCCAGACGCGATCATGCAAGAACAGATAGCTGAACCTGTGACGAAGAAGCGGGCTGTGTATTCGGACGAGAGCGACGAAGATGAAGCTGAAGATCAAGATCTGGAAGATATCAAATTCACTGGTAGCCAGTGGAATGACGATGAGGATGACATAGCCATGGAAGGCGAGCTGGACGACTTTCTCGAGTTCACGCGGCAAGCCTTAGGTCTCAGTGACGCCGAGTATAAGGACATCATCGCTACTCGGCAGCGTAACGGCGGTGAGTCTAGTGTCAAATTGCTGGTTGTGACTGATCGCTTGCATGCAGCCCATGTGCCCACACAGCCGAGCGCACCCTCCAGACCGCCGCAGCGTCAGCCTCCAAAGCGCACTGTCAACTCGCAAGCTCAAACGCAAGCCAAGTCGAACGGTGAACCTGCCAAGAACGCCAACCTGGCAACGTTTGACGATGTTATGGATGCAATGGACGCTCACCTCGCTTCTGCTCGCAAGCCTAAGCCGGCGCCTGTCCAATCAGACTCAGAAGAGGAAGAGAGCGAGGACGAGATGATGGCGATGGATCGAGAGCTCGCGAAGCATCTCAAGACGGAAGTCAAGGGCAAAGGTCAAGGACAGGAAGAGTACGCGATGATTCAGAACTTCCTAGAGAGCTTCAAAAGCCAGGGAGGCTTATCTGGACCTGCGAGCAATTTACTGGGACGTCTCGACCCTACCTTTGTCATGCCGAGAGATCACGAGTAGATCCAAGTACATTGCATGAGCCCCCTCTGAGCGCTTCGAGCGCGTCGACCGCATACACCGCTAACACTTTTCGCGTCTACGCCTGCAGGTGGTCTGAGCTTGAGCGGAGATGGCGACAAAGATGCTTCAGACGGCCGAGCGGTCACTCAAGATCTTACCTGCTGAGCTCTGTCTGGCAGCAGTCCTACGAAATGGTCAATCGTTCAGATGGCACAAACGTATCACTTGCCAGGGCGAGCTTTGGTCTATCGCGTGGTCTGACCGTACGATCGAGCTGCGACAAGATGGTCGGTCTGCTACGGCTTCGAAGCAAGTGACGACTGACTCGAAGCTGCAGGCACGGCGATCTACTATCGAGCTCTGTACCCTCTGAGCGCGCAAAAAGAGCACGAGCTAGACGAGGCACAAGCGACGACGCTAGCCATACTACGACGGTATCTGTCGCTGTCTATTTCGCTCAGCGATCTGTACGCTCACTGGTCCAGCCGGGATCCCAACTTTGTCAAGCAGACCGATAATGGCAGATTCGGCGGCATCCGAGTCCTGCGGCAGCCCATCTGGGAGACCATCGTCGCTTTCATCTGCTCGTCCAACAACAACATTGCCCGTATAGGCTTGATGATCTCACGGCTTTGCGAGTCGCTCGGAAGCAAGATGCCGAGCTCAGATTCGGCCGAAGAGGCGACGGTCATGTACAGCTTCCCCAGCCCTGAAGCGATCGGCCAAGCCGGTAACGAGACCCTGTTGCGCCAGCTCGGCTTTGGCTATCGCGCAGAGTATGTTGTCAAGACGGCTCAGATGGTGCAGGAGCTCGCAAAAGCGCACAATGCCTCACTAGCGCCCGGCGAGCATCTCGGCGTGGAAGCCTATCTCGACAGCTGGTCAAAGCTATCCTACACAGATGCACGCGAGCAGCTGTTACAGCTCTGCGGGGTCGGTCCCAAAGTGGCAGACTGTATTGCCCTCTTTGGGCTAGGCTTCGCCCAGACGGTACCGGTCGATCGACATGTATGGCAAATTGCCATACGAGACTATCACTTCAACATTGGCAAAGGTCGAGAGAAAGACGGTCCGATGAGCAAGGAGATCTATGTGAGAGTGCAGACGAAGCTCCAAGATCTCTGGGGCGACTATGCTGGTTGGGCCCAGCAAGTCTTGTTCACCGCCGACTTGCGCTCGTTCGCAAACTATGAGAACGCCTTGCTGGACAGCAAGATCAACGTCATAGCAGACGTTGATTCAAGTGCAAGTGTCAAGAGCGAAGAGGCAACCACTGAAATGGAAGGCGAGGATATCGCAGCACTCGTTCACACACCTGCTCCCCGAAGAACCCGCAAGGAGTTACTGACGAGCACGAAGAAGCGTCGTATCGTCAGAAGCGCCATCGAAGCTTACCCGACGCCGAGTGCTACGCCGGTCAAAAGCGAGAGCGAAGTGGCGGATGTCTCTTTGGGCGCAACGGAGCATCAAATCGATGTCAAACTCGGGCGGCGATCGAGCAAACGTCCATGATGACCGGCAGATGTACGAGCCAGGAATTGAATTGTACATGTTGTACAACATACAGATCAATCAGCGTGCGAGTGGTTGACAGCTGTCGCGCCGTGCGATCAGTCATCGTTGATGTTGTGCTTCTTCTTGACATCTGCCAGCCAACGTCAGCCTGAATAAAGATCTTAGCCACGTCGCACTGACCAGCTAGCTCTGCTTCTCGCTTTGCCAGATCTTTGGCTGCTTGCTTGGCCGGCTGATGGTAAAGCACGACGAGATACCGCTCTTGCAGGTGGAAGCCATTGAGATTCTCATAAGCTGCCTTGGCATCGTAGATATCCTCCATGACGACATAGGCAGTCCCTCTGGTCTTCTGTGCACTGCCTAATCTGATCTGCCTGATTGCACCGTACTTGCCAAAGAGCTCGTAGAGATCCTGCCAGATATCAATCAGCCTGCATTCAGAGGCCAAGGGGGCACGCCATTCACTTCGCCCCGGATCTTGAAGGACAGGTTCTTGACGAATAGGATCCGGTTGACATCGGCTGACAGCGTCCTCGAGCGGTCCATGCTTGGCAACTTAACTTGGCTGCTGCACCCACTCTGTAGACCGCGCCAGCTCATTCAAAATATTATTCAAGCATCATGCGTGAAGTCGAACACGCAGACTGCTCGCGTCTTCTGCAGATCAGTGGCAGCCTCGGCATGCGCGCCCTGTGCCATCGGCAGTCATGAGAAGCACACACGAAAGTTCGGTAGTTCATCCATGGCAAGAAATGAAATTGTCGCGGGACACATGCCAGCAGCGAGAATGAAAGTCTTTGCAATGAGAAAGCCAAGCCGACCATTTCGTTCGTTGACCAGGTATGGGCGCAAACGATGTGAGATATGCGCGAGATGTCTAGCCCGAGCCAGCGGAGAAAGCGCGGCCGAAGAGGATCTCCTGCAGCTTGTCGTCTGTGACGCAGGAAGGGCATCAGCTGAAGCACTGCGCGCAAAGGCAACTCGTTCTGTGAGTGACTTACACATCGAGAGCACACCCGCACCGGCAACACCACGCAGGATGTTTGCGCCTGTCGAGAGAAACTCGTTAACTCAAGCTCGAACGGGAAACCGGAGGCGTACCTGCACCCTTGAAGAGGAAGGCGACACCCTCGTTCTTGATGATCTGAGCACCACAGTCGATCATGTTCTTGTAGTGTACCTTCTCGCCGGATGTCATCATCATACTGGCAGGCCGGGACAGCGTCAGCCAAGCAAGACAGACCGAGAGCGAATGCAACCCACCGTCTTCGGATCGTGTCTAGAGGATAACTGGCAATACCGGCACCGGTGGTGACACCCCAGCCGAGCAAGAAGCTGGCAAGGAAGCTACCCTTCAGGTTGCCGGTGAGGACGACGGGCTTCAGGGAATCGTACCTGCACGCGCCTCTCGTCAGCCTTGCACGTGCGCGAGACAGGCAGAATGAACGGACATGCCGAAGTAGAGACCACGGTAGACGACGATACCGACGACAGAGGGCACGAAACCACGGTAGAGACCGGCGATACCGTCGGTAGCGAGCGTCTTCTTGTAGACATCGATGAGACCGTTGAATTGACGTTCAGAAGAGGCGCCCTTCTTGATCGACTTTGCGTCGTTGGCCAGACGGGTACGGGCGTAGTCGAGAGAGTAGACGAAGAGGAGCGAGGTGGCACCAGCACCACCACCGGCAGCGAGATTGCCGAACATCCACCAGCCGTATCCGTCCTTGTCCTTCTTGAAGTTGAAGAGCGATTTGAAGTAGTCCTTGAAGGCAAAGTTGAGTGCCTGCGTGGGGAAATAACGGATGACGTTGGCGGTGTTGCCTCGCCAGACTGCGCGCCCTCCGTTCAGCAGCGTCAACGTGGCCAGTCAACGCGACGTACAGGCTACGAGACCCTCGTCGGCGTAGGTACGCGTGGCGCAGTCGACGATGCCTTTGTACGGCGTCGAGAGACGGCCCGACTTGAGCATTTCACCTGTCGGGACCGATCAGCCGAGTCAAACGCGAGCTAGACAAGGCGCTCACCCTGGTTCTGCACGAGCAGTCTGAGCGAGAAAGGAGAGGTAAGCGGCCGTAAAGGTGGTTATCGGAGCTTGACCTACTTGATACGCTCAATGGGCGCGGCCGCCGTCTTTGCTACTGCAGCAGATACACCGCCCATGAGGAAATCTATCGAGCAGGAAGGAGCACCTCGTCAGCGGACCGTGATGTGAGCAGGAGCCGGCCGAATCTACCCTGGGCGAACTCCTTTGGCGTTTTGCCTTGCTTCTTCGCGACTGCCGCCATTTCTACAGACTGTACCGGCTCGAGCGTCAGTGACGTGCTCGCCCGCGCGATGAGGAGGTGATGGGCCACTCACTGTGAATGCGCGAGAGCGTCCTCAGCAAAATTTGCTGTGTGCTTTGTTGAGTGTTCCGACGTTTACTGAAGAGCCGACAAGTGCCGAGCGCGCTCGCGTCGATCCAAGCGCTTGCAGTCTGATCGCTGCTTGCCCATCCATGACGACTGTCCTCGACCTTGCACTTGTGCCCCGCATCGAGTATCCCTACTACTATCGCCAATCGGCTTCGTCAGGCACAATTGACGAGTTTCTGTTGGTCAATCGTCCTTCGACTTGAACAGTCCTGATGCCGGCCGCAGTGCGGAACATGTTCCCTCGAATACCCCGGAGGTCACGACGATAGGCGGCGCAAGAGTTGAGACGCCTTGGATCTAGTGCGTCGGCGAACGATACATCTCGACGCACTCTGATCGTTGGTCAAGCGTCACGACTGACAAGCAAGAAAAGTCGATAGAAGGAGCCAAAGACTTTGACGAACTCATCGAGCCTGCCACTGCTATTCTGAACGATCTCGCGAAGGAGATTGCTGCAATCGATGATGATCCACAAATCCCCATTCGAGGCAGAAAGGGTGTGCTGAGCAAAAAGCAAGCGCGAGAGTCGAAACATCCCCAGGCGATTGCCGAATTCAGGCAAGCCCTTTGCCAGAAGAATGAGATAAAGCAGCTCATTTGATACAGGCAGAAAGCTTGCCGAGGAATCGCACTATACGTCTGGCTCTTGGCTCTACTTTATTCCAGACCTCAAACGAGGCGATGAAGCTTTCCTAAGGATCAGCAAAGCCCTCTGCGACGAGGATGGCGCGTTGAGAAAGACTGCTGCCAATGCCTGCAAGATTACGACTGGATCGCCAGAGGTGCGCAGACCCCGAACGGTGCCGAATGAGCTAACAAACGAGCCAGATGGCACGAATCATCCTCTACATTCCCGATTCGTGGGATAGAGAAGCTGCACGAGAGGTCTGCAGAGTGTCGTGTACTGAGCTCGGCTTGACGCCATCGGCCTTCAAGCCAGACATCTACAAGGCCGCTGGTCTGGACTCGAAGCATCCTTCCAAGCTGAAAGCTTCCATCTACGTCCCTGGCGATTTCCTCTCGAAAGACGAGCTCGCAGAGATTGCGAACAAGCGTCAGGCTGCACTCGACGCTATGAAAGCCCAGCCGAAGCGAAAGACGCTAGCAGAAGAAGAAGCGGCGAATCCTTTCGAAGAATCTGACGATGAAGACAATCCGCCCAAGAAAGCAAAACAGTAGTCACAATCATACGATGCGTCATGTTGTTGGAACAACAAAAATGTGTTGTACAAGCTTGCACCCGAGCCTCGAGCTCAGCCTTGCAATTTGCCCTTTTTGCCCTTTTTGAACTGAGTGTTCGGCCGCTTGTGCGTCTTTAAGCCTTTCTTGTGCTTCCAGGTCTGACGTCCGGTCGAGCGCTCGCCGGAAGTGGATATCTTTGGCGCTGGCTTTGCTGTTCCGTCGATGGGCATTGCTTCCTCTGTCCCCAAAATTTTGAGTAATTGCAGGCAATATGAGCTGTTGTGCTCACCTTTGTCCTTTGATTCGCTCACTACGGCTTGTGGCTCTTCCTCGGCTACAATAGCATCTTCGTCCGTCTCGAAACCATCATCGTTCTCCTCCCGGTCGACTGGACCGAGCGCAGATTGCTTCAACTTGCTCGAGAGCCTGTCTAGGCGTGCATCGTGTACTTTGACATAGGGCGATTTGTCATCTGTTCTCCGTCGTCGTCTGTTCGCCGTCGGCCGCTTGGCTCGCAGTGACTTTGCCATCGCCCGCTCGTAGAACACCGGCCAGAGCGAAGATTTGACTCAGCCAGAGTGCCGCGCGTGTGACGTGTGACGTGTCACGCGTGACAGACAGCGGCAAATTCGTAGAGAGACGACAAATTTTGGATTCGCTCGACATGGCTTCATCGAAGAAGAGGGCCGTCTCGGGGCCTGTCAAAGCTTCCCAGATGAACGGGCATGTCAGTAAAGGCAAAGCGCGAGCGGTTTCGGACTCGCACACGCTTGCTAAAGCGCAAAAACCAAGTTTGCAGCCCACGACGTCACTTCCACCTGCTGCCTCAAGTTCCGCACAAGCCGAGATGTCTCAAGATGAAATGGATATGAACGAGATAGGAGGCTCGAGTGATGAGGATCCAGATGATACGAACGGCGGCGTGACAGAGCAAGGCATGCAAAGATTGATGGAGCTCATCAAGGATATCGAGCCCGAAGAGCTTGGTCTGCTAGCTTCAGACGACGAAGACTTCGATGAGGAAGGAACAGAGGAGGGCGTGGCTTCAGAAGCGGACAGCGAGGATGACACGGGGGATCTCCTGCCTGATGAAGAAGATGACGACGACGACGGTGAAGACGAAGAGGAGGACGAGCAAGAGATTGCTCAAGAGGATGTCGAGACGCTCGACGACGCAGATAGCATACTACCTCTACAGAACGGACACAACGACATCGCTCCAGAGGAAAGCGAGGATGGTCTTGATCTTGACGAAGTGTCCGATAACGCCGACGTTGAAGATGCGGTCATCAAGACAAAGATATTCGTCAATGACACTGTGGCTCTCGATCGAGTGCTCAAGACGTTCCGGTCGAAAGCTGGCTTCTTCGAGACTCAGACCCTCACCTACGATACGCCGCTCGTCATCCCTGATGCGTCCAACGACTTGGAACGAGAGCTCGAATTGTGAGCTACTATTTCTCTCACTGTGCCAATTGCTGACATGACTGTCAGCTATAAGCAATCCCTCTGGGCAGCGAAAACGGCGCATACGCTCTTCAAGCAAGCTGACAAGCCGTTCACTCGTCCGGATGACTACTTTGCAGAGATGGTCAAGTCGGACGATCACATGGAACGAGTCAGGCAAAAGCTCGTCGACGAGACCGCTGCCATCAAAGCATCGGAAGAGGCCAGACGACAGCGACACCTCAAGAAGTTCGGCAAGAACGTGCAAATCTCAAAGCAGAAGGAACGAGACGCAGAGAAAAAGTCGCTGTCTCAAAAAGTCAAAGCTTTCCAGCAAAGTATGCATCTCTCGTCCATCTCTCGGTGGAAGCGCTCGCTGATCATAGCGGTCGACAGAGCGAAAGGATGGCGGCGAGGTCGATGCGGGCGACGAGTTCGATGTCGATCTGCTCGACACGGACGAGCCGCCGAGCAAGAGAGCAAAGTTCGACAATGCTCGTGGTGGACGTGGCGGTCGTGGTGGGCGTGGCGGACGAGGCGGGGGTCGTATGCCTCGGAGCGATCGGGACGCCAAGTATGGCAATCCTTCTGCGGGCAGAAGACCCAAAGAGAACACTCGCGAATCACTCGACGCTGGCTCGTTTGGCGGCAGAGGTCGATCTCGTGGCGGACGTGGCGGTAGTCGCGGTGGCTCGAGCCGAGGGGGCTCACGAGGCGCCAAGCGTGGTTCGGCCAAGCGACCGGGCAAATCGATGCGACAGTCGAACAGATAGTCTCAAGATGTGTTCGACCATGCTCGCAGTCGCTCAGATAGCTTTTGGGTATCGATACGATGCTTCATGATCTGCTCGTTTCCGAGATGCAAGACGGGGATATCGTACTGATATCGGCGCCGCCAGATCTTCACATCTGGCAGCCGATCGTCTCTGATGTTGTAGACTTGCAAGTCAAAGTCAGGCTGAAGGTCTGAGGATCAGCTTTGCCAATCTTGGTCTGTTTCGCAAAGACTTGCCTGGTCTGGCATCGATTCGAGCTTTTCGAGCGCTTCTTCGCACAGCGTACACTCTGGGCCACCCACATAGAGCGTGAGCCGCGGTCGTGAGCTCAGGCTACGAGCACTTGTAGCTAGTCTGCGGCACAACATCGAATTCATCGAATAAACGTCATTCGCGTCAGCAAATACACTGCCGGCATTTATTGCTGACACGTGTCGATTGCCATATAGACTGACACGTCATCGTTGTCAGGTAAAATAGCAAAGCGAGATTGCTAGTCAAACTAGCGGCCAGCGACCCCCTTGCCAATCTTTTTCTGAGCAGTACAATGCATATGCAGGCAAATGCCTTCGCATGACTCTACATAGCTTAGCCTCCACCCTTTTTGCGGCTGACAGTAATGGATATGCGCAGCTTTCTTCACATATCACATTTACGACGAAGGGAATCCTGATGCGAGCGAGAGTCNTCTTTGCGGGACGCAGCAAGATCTTCAGAGCTAGCGGCGTCGGGGAATGCTCGAGTTGGATCACAGGGCCTGTTGCAGCTCGCAAAACAAGGCAAGTCGCTTGCATTGCGGATCTCAATCGATCCGTTGACCTTGAAGCTTCGAGTCGACAGCGCTTGCCGAGTGACTCGGGCATCACGGCACTCATAGAGACGATTCTTAGCGAACGTGCCTTCAGGCAGACCAGAGGAGCCAAGATGAGGCGTCGAAATTTCCCTCCGCTTGCTCGCAGACCTCCACAGGCACGAAATACATTTCACATAGTACCGTCTCGTCAGTCGTCCTGCATGGCAGTATTTCACATGCTGCAACTCTTGCGAGAGATGACGCGAGCAAGAGCGCCATTGTTGTTTCGCAGCACAGCAGTCGAAAGGCGGACGGCTCTTTTCGCTTAGCGACTCAGTAAGGTGCCGAGCATTGCATTACAGCTCAACAAGTAGCTCGGTAGGAGTGACGGGGCTCAGCGGTGCACATCTGCAATTCTCGTCGGCGGCGCGCTGAACTTAGAATTGAGTCTGGCTCTGGCCGGCTTGGCTGCGAGCGCTGCCATTGCTTTGCTCTGCACGGGCACATGTTGAGACAGATCAATTGTCGATCCTCGTTCGCACTCACCTTAGCTTGTTGAGACTTTGGATCGACGAAACCTCTGGTCGTATCTTTATCGGCGACGGGATCAGAGCCCATATGGAGCTTCGTAGGACTGTAGGTTCGCGGCATGAGCTCTGGCTGCATTGCTGATTGCACTTGATCCTCCTGAGCTGCAGTGGTCAGCGCAGCGCCCTCGGACTGAGCGGCTTCGTTCGCTTCGGCATCTCGCAGGTACTGAGCGTCAACCGAACCGCGATCATTGTTAAGCATCTCGCCGAAGCCCTCCTTGAGATGGATCTACTTCTCTGAATGATCGCGGCGATGCTTCTTCGCTCCGTTCGAGCTTGGATTCCAAGGCTCGATGAGATCGACTCGCCAGAGCGGCCTCACTTGGGCACCTTTGTGAGTGAGCTGGCTATGACAAAGGTCGTCACTCCCTTGACGATGGTGTTGCTATTGCTGGGCAGCAAGCCAGTCTTATTCGCACAGTCGGGCCTGTCGTCGTCGCGTGCTGGCTCAAAGCCAAGCTTGCCACTGCCTCTGACGCTGCCCTTCCCAGCAGCTTTGCCATGTGTGAGGCCTGTAGATATGCCTGAGGTGCCTATCATCGGNGAACATTGTACGGCCGTTCTAGGTGTCCTTTGCCAGCAGCGGANTCCAATACTTCGTCTTCGTCGGCAGCTTCATTCTGTGCCGGCTGATTTGTATCGCCGATCTGACTCGTCAACCTGACTGGACTCTGTTCTCACAGCATGCCGATGACAATCCAGTNGCGTTCGATGGGCAGATCGGGATGGCCGGCCGGCCGGGCGCTTCACGCACCACCAAGAAGATCAGCCATAAGAGGAGTAGAACCGGTCTTGGAGATGCTGGTCCCAGGGGAAGGCTCAATCTGCTGGTAGTCTTGATCGTCTGGACGCTGCGTATGAGGCATGGGANATGACTNGAGATCTTTGACAACTCTCAGTCCGTCATCACGCAGACGTGCTGNTTCAGGCGAGCATGATTAAACGGCAGACGGTCTGTTTGCGTGACACGCCACGTGCTTGCATGAGGCTGCTCGTCTGCCTGAGGTATACGCTGAAGCCTCATTGCAGCTGATTCGCCAGGAGACGTCGAGCGAGGTGCATTGCCTCGGATTTCCTGTTGCTGTAAATGAGTATGCGCCTTTATAGATGCAGCCGAGAACGAGGATGCGGCTGGATTGTATCGCATTGAGCACACTGCAGGAGGCAGAGCAGGGCAAGCGACGTACGCTTGTCTCGTCGCTCCGCGAGGTTGCGAGGCCTACGCTCGGCTGCGAGCGCCCGTGCAAGCTTTGAAGACCGGCTCTGGGCTGTCCACGGCAAGGCAATATCAGTGTGATGAGCTGCTGGCGCCGTCACTGTTCTCGGCGCGTAGCTTAAGGCATGCTGAGATGGCGTTTTCTATTTCTCTGCATTCTGCATGGTTCAGCTTGTCCTGCTGCCAGACTCATCGAAAGCTGCTCACTCGGCGATGCTACGACCAGAAGCTCTGCGTCGGATTCTTCGAGGGTCATGCAGCCTGGCCGAATCGTTGCTCGCAACAGCCTCGTCACGAGACACAAGTCACGATCTTCACGAGTCTGATTTTGCTTGCCGGCAGGCTCTTCCAGCAGCAGTCAGCTCGCAATCTGAGGCAGATACGCGTTTTGCGGCTGACAGAGCCAGACACGCACGGGCAAAGATATCTGCTTTAGACGATTGTTTTGAGATCAGCCGTTTTCAGTTGATCAGTCAGAGTCAGCGGAATGTGACACAGCAGTCGGCGAGGCGCTCGCATCAGGATTCTCTCCGTCGTAAGTATGAAGAAGCTGCTGCGCATAAACGACATTGTCAGTCGTAGAAAGGNTGGAGGCTAAGCTATGTAGAGTCATGCGAAGNNATCTGCCTNCATATGCATNGTACTGCTCAGAAAAAGATTGGCAAGGGGGTCGCTGGCCGCTAGTTTGACTAGCAATCGCGCTTTGCTATTTTACCTGACAACGATGACGTGTCAGTCTATATGGCAATCGACACGTGTCAGCAATAAATGCCGGCAGTGAAAGCAGGAGACACAGTCGGCCCACTCTCGCGCAATACCGTCAAATATCAAGATAGTCGGGGGGTTGTAAAGGGTCAGGGCACCGTCAGAGAGTATGCCGCCACCGGCGAAGCAGTCTCCGGTGACAGGCCAAGATGTTCCGGCTTACTACATCCACGCCGATAGCGATCACTTCAGAGATACCCAAGGGCGTTCACTGTTGCTACGAGGCATCAACCTCTCTTCATCCGCCAAGACGCCTATCGGACAGCCAGGCCAGCGACTCAAGGGGTTCTGGGAAGCGGCCGAGTCTGGCGAGATGAGCTTCGTCGGTCGGGTGCTCGACCTCGAAAATGGCGAGGCGGATCTTCACCTCCGCCGACTCACCGAATGGGGCTTCAAGCTCGTCAGATTCGTCTTCACCTGGGAAGCTATCGAGCATTCTGGACCGTCAGTCCGGATCCATGCTGTGTCTTTGGTCTTGCCTGAATCTCTTGGACGCGCGCAGTGGCAAGTATGACCAAGCTTATCTGTCCTACGTCGTCAAGCTGTTGCGGCGGTGCAAAGCTCATGGCATCAAAGTCATCATGGATCCCCATCAGGATCTGGTCAGTTGCATGCCCCATCCTTGCTTCCTCTGCTCATCTGCCCACAGTTCTCACGATTCTCAGGAGGTTCGGGTGCACCTTACTGGGCGCTTCTCGCATGCGGCATGAATCCACGCCATTTCACAGTCACCAATGCTGCCGTCATACAATGCGAGTATCCCCATCCAGACAGGCCAGATCCACGCACGTTCCCCGACATGATCTGGGCCTCGAATTACACGCGACTAGCTTGCCAGACGATCAACACCATGTTCTGGGCAGGCAAAGATTTTGCGCCAAAATGTATCATAGACGGCGTCAACATTCAGGACTGGCTCCAGACAAAGTACTGCGATGCAGTCAGGCAGCTTGCCAAGGCGATCAAAGACGCAGGCGACTTGTACGACGAGTGTGTCATCGGCTGGGACTCGGTCAATGAGCCCAACAAGGGCTTTCTCGAGATCGAGGACCTTGCGGTACACTCCAAAGAGAATCTCCTTCGTATTGGTCCCATGCCGACCGGCTTCCAAGGCCTGCGAGCGGGCATGGGCGAGACGCTCGAGGTCGAAAGCTGGCGTTTCTCCTCACTCGGCCCGAAGCGTGACGGCAATCATCTGATCGATCCAGAGGGCAAGATCGCCTGGCTGGACGCGGATGCCGAGGCGGGTGGCTCCGTCTGGGGCTGGAAACGCGATCCCGGCTGGAAGCTTGGCGCATGCCCTTGGGCACTTCATGGCGTATGGGATACCGAGACAAAAGAACTCTTGCAGCCAGACTACTTCTTCTTCCACCCCCATGACGATCCCGCACGCAAAGTCGACTTTGCGACCGATTATTGGAAAGACCACTACAAGACATATGCGAGCATAATAAGGACATATCATCCAGAAGCGATCCTCTGTGTTCACACGCCCGTCTTTGCCATTCCACCTGACATGTCAGACTTTGCCGACCTTGTCAAAGGCCGTGCCGCATTCAGCAGTCACTTTTACGATGGCCTCACGCTCGTTACAAAGCATTGGTAGGCTTCAAGCATGCTGCGCCTAGTATGAGCTCATACGAAGGACAGGAATTGGTTCAACGCCGATGCGTTAGGCGTACTTCGCGGCAAGTATGCAGGCATCTTATTCGCGCTCAAATTCGGCGAAAAGGCCATCAGGAAATGCATACGCGATCAGCTGTCACAGTTACGGCAGGACGGCCATGATAAGCTCGGCAATTATCCGACCTTTATGGGAGAGCTAGGCATACCCTACGATCTTGACGGAGGTCGAGCCTATGAGACGGGCGACTACACAAATCAGTCTCGCGCGCTCGATGCCAGTCTGAACGCTTGCGATAGCATCAATCAGCTCAATTATGCTATCTGGTGCTACTGCCCGGACAACAGCCATCGATGGGGCGATCTCTGGAATGGAGAGGACCTCAGCGTGTGGAGTCCAGATGATCTGCACGATCGCGAGCCGCGGAACACAGACGAGTATGCACGTCATGGTGCAATGTCCGCCAGCATCGCATCCAATCCTGATAGTACCAGCGCATCTTCGTCCACTGATTCGATGACCAAAGATGATGATGTCGACATCACAGTCGTTGATGACATTGGCGCGAGACCCGTTCGTCGCATGGACTTGAACGATGGCTCTCGTGCTCTGCTTGCTTTCTGTCGTCCGTACGCCATCGCAGTCGTAGGCAGACCGACGGACAGCGTATTCGATATCAAATCAGCTACCTTTACGCTCGATGTGGAGGTCAAGGCAGGCGATGTGACCGAAAGCGGACTGTTTACCGAGATCTTTGTGCCAATGGTGCACTTTGGCGCATCGCCCAAAATGTTTGTGCCCGACGTTCGAGATGACGATCTAGGCTTCAACGACCCGATAGACTCCAAGAAAACGAATCGACGCGAGAGGCGAGAGCCTGACGACATGAAACCTACCGCGCTTGATCTAGACGTGACCGTCAGCGCAGGGGACTACTCGATCGATGGTCAGGTACTCAGCTGGCGATACCCCATACCGAGGCCGACGACCAATGTTCCCCTCAAGCATTCTATCACGATAAAGCGCGCGTCTGGGCCGATACCGACTTGGCAACGTGAGTATGGCAGCAAGACCGCTGCTACACATGCTGCCTCGGCCAGTGCTCTCTGTGGCTCAGATGCCGAGCAGTCTTCCTGTACTGTTTCGTAAAATGTGCATGTAATTTCACGCCCAGAGCCCAGAGCGTCGTGAATTTCCAAAGCGTGTCGGCGTGTCGCGCGAGATTGCGCTTGCAATTGCAAAGGTGTCGCGACATCAACGTCACGCAGATCTGGCCGGCGCTAAGCTCAATCACTGTACCTTCAACGAATATGAGCGAGGCTCAGCAAGATACGACGAGTACATCGGTCTCCCCTACCAGCCGTCCGCCGAGACATGTGCCAGCGCGCGAAGATAGCGTCCAGGAGACCGAGCCAGCGGAAGGGGCATCTGCTGCCCAGAGGGCAAGCATCACTAGATCTATCAGCTCTCAGGGCGGCAGTGGAAGTATCCTGGGCATGATATCAGCTTTCGGACATCAGCAGCAAGACATGGGCGAGGATGCAGATGCAGACACGAGCGACGACGAGGCCCGGCCAGCTTCCACTCGTCCTGCGCGGCCAAGGCGTCAGTCTACGATCAGACCGACGCCGAGCTCGTCCTTACGCGCATCCGATATTGGGTCCGATGATGCCGAAGAGTCGGCCGTCGTCGCTCAGGCGTCAAGGATCTTACCCATGCGTCATCCGGGCTCAAAGCAGCAAGATTGGGCAGCGCACAATTCACCGCGAGCGCGAGTGCAAGAGTCCGGGGATGACGCCCATACTACTACGGATGACGAAGCCGTCAAACCTGGCATGCGCGAGCTGCTGGGCGAGCGGCGGCAGCGCAGTTCAAGCGCGGCTGGGCCGAGCGCTCCAACAACCTCACCCAGCATACCCTCGGAAAGTCCTCGCTCGCCTGCAGACCAAGCTCTTGCCGTGTCGCTCGATGAGGCGTCAGAAGGAATAAATGACCAGATGCGTGTCTCACCACGCTCTGAGGAAGACCGCAAGACTCTGCTTGCCGAAAAGGTCAAAGAAGTTTTCGGCTTGCCCACCGTAGAGCCACTCACTCACGAACTTTCGTGCTGGCTTTATCGAGAGATCCTCATACAAGGCTACATGTATCTAACAGCTTCACATGCGTGCTTCTACGCCCATATGCCGCGGCGGTATGGCCAGGTCTTGCGCTCGGGCAGCCTAACGAAACGGTCGTCAAAGACGCGGCGATATTCACGCCATTGGTTCATCTTACGGAACAGCGTCTTCAGCTGGTATTCGAGCTCCACAGATCCGTATTTCCCAGAGGACGCAATCGACCTAGAGTATTGCACTTCGGTTGAGAGCTCTTTGAACCATTCCACGCACTTCAAAGTCGCCATACGAGACAGACGCTATCATTTCGCGGCAGACTCGAGAGCCAACAGAGATGAATGGGTCAAGATCTTGCGCAAGGCTGTCTTCCGCACCCAACACAAAGGCGAGAGCGTCAAGATTATAATCCCCGCTTCTGCGATAGACCAGGTCACTCGTCAGAAGCCTCTCGATTTTGCAGAGACAATTCAGATAGAAGTGAGAGAGCAGATAAGCAAAGAGCACGCTACTTTGCAATTTGCATACTTTGCGGACTTGGATCTGGCCATGGAAGCCCTTCGATTCCTGTCTGAGTCTGCGCCAGCGACGCAATCGCAGTTGATAGACACGACCACAACTGTGCATCCGACGGAGCCTACAGGAATGACAGACACCGAAGACGATTCAGATTTCGGCGAATCGCGGGGAAATAGTCGAAACATCTCCAAAAAGTCGAGCTTATCGGCCTTGGCGGGTCATATCAAGCCCGGCGCAGATCACAGCAGCGACATGACCGGCGGACGCTCATCGGCGGACTTGTCAGATCATGACAGCCTTTCACGCATTCGTTCAGCCGATTCACAGACAACACTCAGCGAGAAAACTCGTCGCACGCGCAAAGCGCAAAAATTGCCTCAGCTTGCTAAAGATGACTCTACTCACACCTATCCACCGTCAAGTCCGCACAGTCGCGCGAATCCTCTTTCGCCAGACAGCAGCGATTCGTGGAGCTTGACAAGCGTCTTGAAAAGGCCTGCAAAGACACTGAGCGGAACCTTTGGTAGCAAGCGCAACCAAAGTGCAAGTAGCGAGGCGTTCAGTCCTGATAGTCTTTCGCCGAGTCACAGCTTTAGTCAAAAACAAGACGACCAATCGTATTCCTTTGTGCTCGACAAAGACGCTATCGTAGATGACGAGCGAGCGCATCGATCAAGCGTCGAAGCAGAAGTACATGCCGACTTCCGCAAATTCTTCAAAGTTGCTGGCGAACGCGTCATTGAATGTGCGTAGATCTCGTCAGTCTTGCGCTAGTAATTTGATGCGATGTCCTTTGCAGCACACAGCGGTTGGTTAGCCCGGGCATTGCCTGTATACGGCCGCGTCTTTGTATCGACTCACTTTGTCTGCTTTCGTGCAGATCTGATCTCCAGCACGAAAGTAAGGCACCGTCTGTCTTCATACGCTTTTATTGACGAAAGTCCAGATGGTGCTGCCCCTGACGGACGTCATCGCCGTTCAGAAGCATCGCGCGTATCGGCCCGGTTATTCCAGTCTGGTCATCGTCGTCAAAGGACACGAGGAGATCTTTTTCGAATTTGGCAGCTCGAGCACGCGTGATCGCATGCTCAGATCTATCGAGGGCCGAGCAGAATACCTGCAAGATCTCGAGGAACATCCACGCACCAATGAAGATATCTTGCCTTCTACTAGAGAGGCGGAGATGCTCAAAGATCTCGAGCCTAGAGCAGGCAAGAACGAGCCTTTGCCACCGCCAGAGACAAGCGCCGAAAGTGTACCGCCGCTGATGTTCAGATCCACAAGCTCGACTTTCCTCAACTTCAGGCCGCACAAGTCTTTACATTTTACCTGTTTGACTATCGGCTCACGCGGCGATGTTCAGCCGTATATTGCACTGTGCAAAGGCCTCATTGCCGAGGGCCATACTTGCCGAATCGCATCCCACGGCGAGTACCGGAAATGGGTGGAAAGCTTCGGCATCGAGTTTGGCGAGATAGGCGGCGATCCAGCAGAGCTGATGAAGCTTTGCGTCGACCATGGCATGTTTACTGTCTCCTTCATCCGCGAAGGTCTGGTCAAGGTCAGCATTTTCATTTGGATTCTTAAGCGAGACTGACGTGTGTGTCCAGTTCAAGGGCTGGCTGGACGACCTCCTCAAGACGTCCTACGAGGCCTGCAAGGGGACAGACGTACTCATCGAAAGCCCGAGTGCTATGGCCGGTCTGCACATTGCCGAATGCTTACAAATCCCCTACTTCCGCGCTTTCACCATGCCTTGGACGAGAACACGTGCCTATCCCCACGCCTTCGCTGTACCTGACACGCACATGGGCGGAAGCTACAATTGGATGGTTAGTGCGAAGTGACCGACCTAAACGCAGCTGATACTGTCTACAGACGTACACGCTATTCGATTCGGTCTTCTGGAAAGCAATTTCTGGCCAAGTCAATTCGTGGCGCAAGCATACGCTAGGCCTGAGGAGCACGAGCGCAGATCGTATGCGACAGCAATGCGTACCGTTTTTGTACAACTTCAGCCCGTCGATCGTGCCCGTGCCACTCGACTGGCCAGAATACATCCACATCACAGGCTATTGGTATCTTGACAACGCCGATGACTCGGGTGGCGTTGATGAATGGACACCGCCGGACGATCTCGTCGCCTTTCTCGACAGAGCAAAGCAGGAGCACAAGAAAGTCGTCTACATCGGCTTCGGCTCGATCGTCGTTTCTGATCCTGATGCGCTCACAAAGACAATCGTAGAAGCTGTCAACAAAAGCGATGTCTATGCAGTCTTGTCGAAAGGCTGGTCCGACAGAGGTTCCAAAAAATCCGCAACAGGTCAGGATGACAAAGCATCTGGAGACAAGAAGGACAAGGCGATGATGTCGAACACTATTTTCAATATCAAAGTACGTTGCGCTGGTCTGCTGTGGCACTTGCTGATCTCTGCACAGTCTTGTCCTCATGACTGGCTTTTCGCCCGTGTTAATGCGGCCTGCCATCATGGCGGTGCCGGTACATGTGGTGCAAGCTTCAGAGCGGGTATACCGACGATCATACGACCATTTTTCGGGGATCAGCACTTCTGGGCAGATCGTGTCGACGCGCTTGGCATCGGGACAGCTCTGAAGAAGTTGACAGTCGATTCTCTGAGCGACGCTCTCATCAAGGCTACGATCGACGAGAAGCAGATTGCCCGCGCAAGGATGGTCGGCCAGAATATAAGGAAGGAGAACGGCGTGGCAAATGCAATCGAGGCCATCTATCGGGATCTCGAGTATGCAAAGGATCTGATAGCTAGTATCAAGACGAAGCGGGTCGAGCCCGAGATACTAGACACCACTACTGACGAAGAGCATGATAGCTTACCGCGAACGACGACAGAGAAGGTCGAGGCTATCGTCTCTGGCAACGCATCAGATCCGAGTGATGAGTCTTCTTGGGATCTCGTCCACGATCAGCAAGATCAGGATGAACCCGACACAGGTGGCCAAGCGTCTAAGGGCGGCATCGCTACTCTAACTGGCCCAATGCGCAAGCTCTTACAGCGTGCGAACGACGACTCGTCCGACAAGCCAGGCGCGCTCTCCAAAGTCGGCTCGGGCTTGTTTGACGCGCTACCTTTTGGAAGAAACGACGCGGTCGTCAAGGCCACAGACTAGTCTGCATCGAAATCTGTCCAGCATTGCAATGTTTGTCTATCGTCAGCCAAAGCCGACATGTCGCATCACATTCGTCTCATGGCCAGCCCCTGTTGAGTCAGAGGGTCGTCTCGGGTCCAATCGCCCACCAGAACGCTGCTTACCAATCTTGACCCGCAAGCCGCGATGGGCCTAGGCGAGGCGCAAAAGGATCTCAACACGGTCTGGGATGAAATGGCACTCAAGAAGTACAGCTCTTGCAGCAGCCCAAGTATCTGCTGACTTGCCCAGCCTGCGCTCTTTTGTAATCGCTGCCCTTATCTCGGTTTGTTGGCGCAGGCAATTCGCACTGGCAGACACTGACGGCGACATTGCGCAGACGTTGCTGGCTGGCGTCACTGCACAGCAGCTGATTACTTACTTCTCTCGCTCATACTATGACTCACCGTTGCTCAAGCTCGTGGTCGTCACCACTTCGCTACTCAGCTGGACGTGCGCCATCGGACCTGCTCAAGAGCTTCATTGATGGCCCGAGCAGGGACTACCTCTTCACTCTGATCACGCTCGATACTTGGCTCATAGTCGATGAAGGCGACTACGCGGCGCTCAACCACTTTGGCTTGCCATTCGCGCTGCACGCTGCCCTTATCGGCGCCATTGCAGCCGCCTGTCAATCTTTCTACGCCTGGCGCATCTACATTCTCAGCAGGCGCGCCCCTTTCAGCCCTGTATTGATAATTCTACTTGCGCTTGCGAGTCTTGGCTCGGGCGCAGCAACAACGTTCCACCTGCTGCAAGCTGGCACCTTCAACAAGAGTCATGCCACGCCACTGATCAAGGCACTCCATCTATGGTCGGTATTTGCACATATATGGAAATTGCGCGAGTTCATTGATGAGCAGGTTCCCTGCCGCTTGCGATCTCGTAATCTTTGTACAGCTCATTTGGAAATTGTCAAGCCTCGCAGAAGCTTCCGAGGGCGAAGAGTGCGTGGCGTATTGTCGGTATCTCTCAAGCTGATAGGCCTTGCTAGAGTCACGCGCTTCTTCAAGAGACTCGTCCGTATAGCAATCGAGACGAACCTCCTAACGTTCTGCCTGGCCTTCGCTGCAGGTGTTTTGTTCATCACCGAGACCCCACGCTACGTCTACTTGCCTCTGCCGTTCATCATTGGTTCGTCTTGTGCCATGACATCCAGACCAATGCTCAGCAACCGCAGGCCGCGTGTACGAAGCAACACTGCTCTATACTGTCAATTCACGCATCGTTATGAGCCCCGCAACGCCCACAACTTCCAGCGGCACTGTGCGTCAGAAGGGCCGCCCTGCACACAATCTTAATCTTTCAGACAGCCTATGCCGATCATGGAACCAGTCAAGCCCGTGCCGAACAAAGACTAGCGCGCTTCTTCATCCTCATTGCTTTGCGAAACTGACGAGCTGACGGCAGTATTCAACTCGTTTCGCGTATGAAGCGGCAGGAAGAGAAACTTCGCGACGCGCTCAATCGTGACAGTGAGGAATTCGGGGCCAGAGTAAGATCATCTTGCGGCTATGCGCAAGGCTGACCTCCACTTCGGTCAGCAGTATCGGCGTCCAAGCACGACTAGCGGAGAAATGGAGGCATCGATACGTGTCAAAGCCTTTCAGTAAACCGCGTCGAACTTGTACAGCATTGCAACGGTTGTCTATCGTCATTCGTCCGAAGCCAACGTGTCGCATCTCTTTCGTTTCATGGCGGCTAGCCCCCAGAAGTCTCTAGAGAGACGATTGAGATCCAAATAATTACGCCCACTGGCATTGACGTGGTAACAGCCTGCCCAAATCTCACGATGGGCGCAGGAGAGGCACAGAAAGACTTCAGCGCCGTCTGGGACGAAGTTGCTCTCAAGAAGTACGCCTTCTTTCGCCCGATCACGCGCTTCTGCTGACTTTGGCCAGTCTGCGTTCAATATTAGTGGCGACCTTCGTTACAGTCCGTTAGCTCAGGTTCCAGAGTTGCAGTACTGATCAAACCAGCGCGCAGGCCACGTTGGCCGGGGTCAACTTACAGCAGCTTGTCACCTATGTCTCCCGCTCACGGTACGACGCGCCTTGGCTCAAGCTCACAGTCGCTGTCGTTTCAACGCTTAGCTGGATGTGCGGCATCAGACCATCGTAAGAGCATCACTCATGGCTGCAGCAGAGACACTTGCTTCACGTTATATACACTCGACTCTTGGGTCATAGTCAACAATGGCGATTATGCTACGCTCGATCGCTTCGGCGTACCCTTTGCACTGCATCCTGTGCTCGTTGGCGCCATTGCGGCGGTCTGTCAATGTTTCTACGCCTGGCGAATTTACGTTCTTAGCAGGCGCTCACCATACAGTCCCATCCTGATCATCTTGCTCGCACTCGCGAGTCTCGGTTCGGGCGCATCGACTTCACTCGCCTTGCTCGAAGCCCGTGCATTCAGCAAGGATCGTGCGACGCCGCTTGTCAATGCGCTTACACTCTGGTTCGTTGGTGAGCGGTCAGTTGACTTGCACGGGCTTATCTGAGCAGGTTTCCTGCCGCTTGCGATCTCGCCATCTTTGTACAGCTCATCTGGATCTTGTCGGCCCTTGTTGCAGCTTCCGAGGGAACAGAGCACGTATCTGGTTTACGAAAGATCCCCGTGCTGACACACATTGCGGGTGCAGTGTCACCTACATATTCGAAAAGCTCGTCCGATTAGCCATCGAGACGAACTTTCTGACGTTCTGCCTCGCCTTCGCGGCGGGCATACTGTTCATCATCGGAAGCCCGCGCTACCTCTTTCTACCGTTGCCATTCATCATTGGTAAATGCGGTGGCGAATCAGCTCGGGTCGTTGCTCACTACGCGCAGGCCGCGTATATGAAGCGACGCTACTCTACTCTGTCAACTCACGCATCGTCACGACTGCCGCAACCCCAGTAAGCCCTTGCGATACTGTGCGTCAGACGCATTGGCTTGTGATCGCATTGACTGGCTTGACAGTCTTTGCCGATCATCACACCTGTCAGACCTGTACCGAGCACAGACTAGCGCGTGTCCTGATCCTTACTGCGTTGCAAACTTTGACGTACCAGCCACAGCATACAGCTTGTCTCGCGCATGAAGCGACAGGAAGAAAGACTTCGTGGTGCGCTGAAACGTGAAAGTGAGGAATTTGTGGCGAAAGTAAGATCGATCCGCAGCTCTGCGCCACGCTGACTTTCTTCCAATGAGTCAGTACAGGCGTTCGAGCATGGCAAGTCGAGAGCCGGGCGCGGCAGCGCAAGCCACGTCGAGCGTAGCACTTGTACTTTCATAGTCACGAAGGGTTATAGACTCGCAGCAGGACTGTCATTTGCATTATCTGTAAAAATCATGCGTGTCGTTGCCCCTCTTGACCGTCGACTGCGTGAAAGATCGTGAGCAGGGTCTATGGCGATCGGACTCGAGCGTACCTTCCATGCCTCTTCAAAGTCTGCGGGCAGCACGACGTAGCGGTTCTTTCGAACGGCTGTGGAGATGGTGTCAGCTTAGAACGCGGCGTCAAGTAGCCGCAATGACTGACCTTGCAGTCCCGCTGCTTGACAGATCGATGCGATTTCGGCACATGAGATCTTGTCGGGTCTTTGAACGTCTGCAGGCATTGTGTCAAAGTAGCATCAATCGTAAGCAAAAGAGACTGACAATCTTCGAGATCGACGTCGCTGCCAATACTCATCTTGCCGGTGATTGTCTGGAAGATCAGTCGCTTTTCTCGCCTGGATGGCAGAGGGAATTCGATTTTGCGATCTAGTCTGCCAGGTCGCAGGAGAGCCGGGTCGAGCGTGTCCGCGCGATTTGTAGCCATGATGACCTGCTCAAACGATCAGCGATCAATGACATGATAGTTCCATGCGCCGTTCTTACCTTGACGTTGCTACCTTGATCGAAGCCATCCATCTGGTTGAGCAATTCGAGCAAGATACGCTGGACTTCACGATCTGCGCCAGTTTGAGCATCGAATCGCTTTGTCGCAATCGCGTCAACTTCATCGATAAAGATGATTGCAGGCGCGTTCTCTCTTGCTAATCTGAACACATCTCGCACCATCCTCGGTCCCTCGCCAAGGTACTTTTGCACAAACTCTGAGCCGACGACGCGAATAAACGCTGCTGTTGTGTGATGTGCCACCGCCTTGACGAGCATCGTCTTGCCCGTGCCTGTACATGCACGAGATCAGCACACATCTTGCTAAAGGGCCGCCGCGCTCACCGGGAGGTCCGTAAAGGAGGACACCTCGAGGAGGATCGATACCGATCTGCTTGTAAAGCTCAAATTGTGTCAAGGGCAGCTCGACTGCCTCGCGAATCTCCTGCGATGATCGGGCATGTCGTAAGCGCAGCACGAGGCCTGTGATTGTACGACTCGCCTGCTTTTGGATGTCCATGCCGCCAATATCGGCATATTGTACATCCGGTCGTTCGTCTGCTGCGAGCTGCAAACTCACTATTAGCTCTGGAGCATGCTTGCAGAGGAGCGGAAGCGCACAATGGAGATACTCGAGTCGGCTTCGGGCGGCAGGATGTCTACGAGTGAGCTCGCATGGCGGTGCAGCGCGACTGAGCTGGACGGCTTGAGCAGCTCCCTGTCGAGTGTGCTGAGAATTCTGACGACGTAATTGCTGCCCGTCGTCGATCCGACGATACCCGTGTTGCCATCGATGGGCTCGAGGAACTGTCCGATGACGAGCGGGACAGATTGGATGCGCTTGACTTCCTCTGATGCTCGAATGAGTTCGCGTTTGAGGTTGCGCTGCTCGTCTTTGATGTAGTCCTCTTGCAGCGATAGGAATGCAAGATGTCGCTGGAGCGCCTTGAGCCGCAGGTAGTCATCCGTCTGCGCTTCGTTCGTCTCTGCTGGCAAGGCATCGAGTTTGCTTGTGCCTGTCATCGGCTCATCTGGCAAGGCAGACGTTGACGCCTGAGGGAGCATCAACGGATCAGCAGACCTTCTCAGAGTCAAAGCAGCGTGTCTACCTTGGCGTCTAATATACCCAGAGCTTCCATCTCGCCGACTTGTGAGATCTGCCTTTGGCGCTTGAGCTGACGACGATGGGTGTGCTGTGTGGGGCCGAGACGCGCTCAATAACGCCAGCGCGTCGTCGACCGTCCTCGAGCGCGCATATCGACCTCAAAGTGCCAGCTGCTGCTCTCGCCGGCGGTGTTGTGGCGACACTCGTCGAACGTGCTCGCTTGCAGAGATTGAGATGGCTCCCGGAGCGCGCGCAGCTCAGCAGAGCGCACTTGAGCGGCTCAAAGCGACTCGGGCTGGACAGAAGCGCGAATTCGACTTTCTGCAGACCAAAGACGCCAAGATCTACGACGAAGTCGACGAAGACGAGTACCGCAAAGACTACAAGGCTCGCCTCATCCAGGAAGACTTCATCGAGGAGGACTCAGATGACGAGGGGCGCATGAGAGACGGCCTGCCTCCATCTGACGATGCACCACTGGCGCCAAAGTCAAGAAAGGGCAGGACACGTCAGACCAGTGGCTATGTCGATATGGGGCAAGACGAGTGGGATCACTCTGTCGCGCGGTCGGATGATGAGTCAGAGGACGAGGCAAAAGGTAAGCTCGACACCGCTTTGCGAGCTCGCGACTGATCAGCATTGCAGCGAGTAAAAAGGCCAAGGTAAACGGCACGGCGATGAATGGCAAGCCTGTCAAAAAGCTTGTCAATGCCAATGGCGCTGCGGTCGACACCGCCGCAGCGAAGGCGTCCGTCGTCAATCCCTACAAAAAGGAGATCAGCGCGCAGAAGGAAGAAGACTTTATGAACTCGCTGCTCGCGGGCATCGCTGCTCCTGCTGCTGCCCGAGCAACCACTGCCCATGGTCCAAAAGTCGCTCTGAACAATGGAATCAAGAAGCGCAAAGCAACCGCTCAGACCATGATCAAAGCTGAGCCGGACGTCTTTGGTTCGAGCGATGCGATGGAGCTTGATCCGTGGGCGAATGAAGCATCTGCACCGCCAACCATCCAATCGGATGGGAACGATCTCGATCTGACAGGTCTTGATGCCGAGCTCGGCCAAGACTTAACATTGGACGAGGATGACGAAATGACAGTGAAGCCTCTCCAAGCGCGCGATGCTAATGCGCCTCCCCGTCCGGCCGGTAAAGCCACCAAACGTCAGCTTGTCAATGCTTCTTCTGCCAAGCCTGTGCCCATCGAGCTGCTGAAAGCTACTTCGCCAGCGGCGTCGAAATCAGCTGTGCCCGTATCAAACAAGCTGAAAGGCGCCAATTGGCAAAACGCAACGGCCGGGCTGAATGTCGTTGAGGCAATTAACCAACCTGACGACGATATTGACCTGCTCATGACCGGCGCAACCAAGTCGCGCGCCGGCTCGAGCCTCAAAAAGGGCCAAGTGCGCATCCCAACAGAGCTCAGTTCGAAGATCAAAGCATTCGAGAAGGATGACTCACTTCATTTCTACTGGCTTGATTACCAAGAACCGCCCTTCCCTGAGCCATTACGCTTGATAGGCAAAGTCTACGATCACGCGACGCAATCCTATGTCTCTTGCTGTCTGTCCATACACAACATGATGCGCAACATATTCGCATTGCCCAAGATACCCGTGCAAGCTATATCAGACGATTATGAAGAGACAGAGGAGGAACTGCAGCGCTTGACCAATGTTGCGGACGAGCTGCAAGCATTGGCTGTTAGATCCGGCGTCAAAGCCACACAATTCGAATACAAATTCGTCAATCGCAAGTATGCTTTCGAGGACGACTCGGTGCCTCGAGAGAAGACACAATACGTCAAGGCTATGTATCCTTTCACCGGTGAGCCTTCAGCTTCTATATGGGAACAGCCACTGAGCCTGCGTGCACGCGGTAGAGCCGATCATCCAGGAGACCTCCGGACAATTTTTCAGTCACTTATTCGGTACAAGAACGAGCGCGTTCGAGCACTTTGCGCTCAAAAGGAAGCTCAAAGGTCCATGCTGGCTCGAGATCAAGAATGCCGAGTTGAGCGATATTGCTATGTCCTGGTGCAAGCTCGAAGTCATCTGCAAGGAGCCCAAAGACATCCGACCGCTCGCCGACGTCGAACCGGATCTTAAGAATGGCAGCCGCGAACGAACTCGCGAAACTCCACCGCTGACGATTGTCAGCGTGAGCGCGCGAACCATCATGAATCACACGCTTGATGTCAAGGAGATCGTCAGCACGAGTCTCAGGATATGGAAGGACTGTGCGTCGGGATGACTATAAATGTCGAATGGATGCTGACAGTGCGAGGACATACAGGCAATATTGATGACGTGACACCTATTGCAAAGCAGCCGTGTTCGGTGATTACCTGCGTCCGGCCCTTGACCGGTTACAGCTTCCCAGCTGGCTTCGAAACGGCATGTCGCAATCAAAGTCCCAAGATCATGACCGTTACAGGCGAACACGCCGAGAAGTGGTTGCTCAATCAGCTCTTGGCGGCACTGCATCGTCACGATCCAGATATCATCGTTGGACACGAATTTGCCGATCTACTCGAGACCATTCTGACCCGGCTGAGCAACCTCAAGATCGAGCATTTCTCCCGACTGGGACGACTGCGGCAGTCAAAACGTCCTAACGCAAAGCAAGCGCACATCTCGCTAATGTCAGGCCGCCTATTGTGCGACTTGACGAACGATAGCGCAAAGTCGATGATCGCATCGACGACCTGGAGCCTGACTGAAATGTGCAAGAATCAGCTGAAAGTCGAACGAGAGGACATCGATCCGGACGATACGGCAGACTTCTTTGATGCTACTGCAACAACGCCAGACGCTCTGATACGATTCGTACGGCATTGCGAGGCAGACGCGTACTTCCAGATGGCTATTGCTTTTGAGGTGCAGGTGCTTCCGCTCACTCAGCAGCTCACAAACCTCTCTGGTAATTCCTGGGGACGCACCCTCAGCGGCGGTAGCAGATCGGAGCGCAACGAATATATTTTGCTGCACGAATTCCATCGATTGAAGTATATCGTCCCCGATAAATTCAGAGGCAGAGTCGAAGAGGTGAAGGAGAAGTACATGGGTGGTAAGGTCTTTGAGCCGAAGAAGGGCCTTTGGGACAAGTACATTATCGTCATGGACTTCAATTCCCTGTATCCCAGCATCATACAGGAGTACAATATCGACTTCACGACGGTCGACCGTTCGAAGGACGACGGCGCTAAGGCTGGCGCTGATAGCATCCCCGACTTGCCATCTAGCGATCTAGAGCAAGGCGTTCTGCCCAAGCTCATTGCTACCTTGGTGCAGCGCCGACAGCTTGTGAAGACATTGATGAAAGATCGCGACGTCACTCCAGCCCGGTACATGCAGTACGACATTCGCCAGAAAGCTCTTAAGCTTACCGCCAACAGTATGTACGGCTGTCTCGGCTTTGCTGGCTCTCGGTTCTACGCCCGTGCATTGGCTGCATTAACGACATACAAAGGCCGTGAGATCCTGACGAACACGAAAGAACTTGCCGAAGGTATTCAGCTCGACGTCATCTACGGCGACACTGACTCGGTCATGATCAATACGAACGTGACTGATCTCAAAGAGGCTTTGCTCATCGCAAGCAACTTCAAAAAGCTCATCAATCAGCGATATCGTCTGCTCGAAATCGATACTGATGCCGTCTTTACCCGCATGCTGTTGCTTCAGAAGAAGAAATATGCTGCGCTCAAGGTAGAAGACATGACGACCGGCGCGACTGCACTCGAAGTCAAAGGTCTCGACCAGCGTCGACGAGAGTTCTGCAAGTTGGCTAAGGAAGTCTCTGAGAATACGCTTCGATTCATCATGTCCGGCGAATCGACCGAGGTTGTAGTCGAGAAACTGCACGAGTACCTAGCTGCAGTCAGCGATGAAGTCAGAGCTGGCCTCAAGCCCCTCGAAGATTTCATCATCAACAAGCAGCTCTCAAAGGAGCTTGACGCTTACACAGAGAAAAATATGCCTCACGTGGTTGTCGCGCGTCGGCAAAAGGCGAAGGGCTATTCAGCAAAGGCGAAAGATGTCGTGGCTTACATCTTCTGTCTCGGCGAGGACGGATCGAGCGCCAAGACAGCGCAAGCAGACCGCGCTCGACATCCAGACGATTTGAGGCAGAAGGAGGGCAAGGAAGCTTACAAGGTCGACTATGGCTATTATCTTTTCGGCCAGGTACTTCCCGTCGTCGAGCGTCTCTGTGAGCACATCGAGGGAGCAGACCGGCAGCGGCTTGCACAATGCTTGGGCATCGATCTCGCTCAGCAAAAAGCGCACGGTATGACTGACGACGTCGAGCGCGAGTTCCACACGCTCGAATCCCAGATCTCGGATGCCGACCGCTTCCGCGACGCCGATCCGCTTGTGATGCGATGCTTATATTGCTCGACAGAGGCTCCGTTTGGTGGGCTGGCGAGTAACGGTAACGGCCAGATTTCGGATGCTGGCCTAGTCTGTGTCAACGATGCGTGTGCGAGCGTCCTGCCACCGGCTTCCATCGCAATCCAACTCGAGCTCCAGGTCCGCGCTCGCATCTCTCAATTCTATGAAGGTTGGCTGGTTTGCGACGATCAAGAATGTGGCAATCGCACGCGTATGCTCGCCATGTACGGCAAACGCTGTTTGCAACTTGGCTGTCGCGGGATCATGCACAACGAAGTGAGGCTCGCCCTGCTCAATAATGGAAGACATGTCTGACTCGAAACATCGCAGTACACTGACTCGCGTCTGTACAATCAGCTGCTCTACTTTGACACGCTCTTCGATGGCGAGCGAGCAAGCCGCAATGCTCCCCTGAAGAAAGGTCAAATTTACGTTTACAATGAGGTGGACCTGCTGAGCTTCCTCACAGACGCAATCATGGTATTGGCTCGCTCGAATGCTGTCCTGTTTGCAGAGTTGCGCAAGACCCTCGCACGCTACATGGACAAATGCGGCCGGCGCTACGTCAACATGAGCAATTTGTTCAGTTTCATCAAGACGTTCTAGATCTCGATCGACGTCCTTGTTGTATCATCTGTGCTTCATAGACTTGCATGCGCTCGGTCTCATTACGAAGAGTCAACAGCCAGAGAGAACTCCCGACTCTGATAAGACAGGACGCCATCTGCCAGATGAGCATCTGCGCCATGTTTGAGCAAGACGTCGCGAGATTCGACGCCGAACGTAGTGAGTAGGAGGCCGTAGTCTTTTATATCGTGAATCAGCGTTGGCACTTGCGCCTGTCAAGCCGCGAGGCGGTTAGCTATATCCAGCGCTCCAAGGTTTGGACGAACCAATATAGTCGAATCGAACATGACCCCAAGCAAGTTATTGCCACGAGCGAATTTGACTGCCTCCCGCAGAGATGTACACCGTCTGTCGTCCTCTGTGCGGTTAGCAGGCAGAAGATTGCCTTCCGAACTTGATCGTGAGAGACCGCAATAAGAAGCGAAGAACACAGCATCTACGCTCGCAGTCAGTACTTCATGACGGATGAGGAGGCAGAAGTGTTGCTTACAATTTGGCTGCTTCCAATTTAGCGCTGTACAGACGACAGGATTGAAGCTGGAAAAGACGATGCGCCGGTGCTTCGCAATGGATCCGGAGCGAGCACTGGGTGTCTCGTAGACAGTCTTGAGGATTGCGTCTACAAAGCTGTTGATCTCCATCGCGCTGTGCAGACCCAATCGCCGTACGTCTGAGAGCGTCGGATAGCGAATCTCAAGGTCAACGCCTACAGACGTTGGCGTCACTGCCAGCACTTCCGAGAGCCCGACGAGTGATTCGGAAATGGCGCGATACCACTCGCTGGGTTCTTGCGTCTTCGCAGTGATCTTTGAGGCAAGAGTCTTGCCTTTGCGTACGGCGAGTGCTTCGAATTGAGCAAAGCTAATATCGCTCACGCGTAACTCGAAGCCATCTATCGGTAGGTTCCAGCTCGGATAGACTACCGGAACGCCATCGTTTGTCACTTGGACGACAATTCGGACATGTTCACCTGTAAGCGAAGAAGCCGTGACGACGGAAGAGCCTGCGGGACCGGGATTGAGGCCGAGGGGCGCCGGCATGAGACCAGTATCAGGTGCAGTGACTGGATTGGTCGACTTCCAATAGGTCTCCATCCTGCCGCCGACCTCGAGCTGCACGCCTTCGAAAGGCTTGACAACGTTGACTTCGAACGCGATCTCGCCAATGACTTTGAGATGCGGATCAAGCAGTGGGATGACATAATGACCCTGACTTTGTAGATCGCTAAATGTCGAGGGGAATGCCACTGCTTTGCCTATCACTTTTGAGCCGAAAGTCGGGAAGAGATCAAATTCGAGCGAAAGGACGTCGAAGGACTCAATTTGAAACGAAAAGACCTCTCGTTCATCTGTCAGCGGCAGAATGACGCTGTGCGGTATCGCCATAGAGTCTGGCTTGCTGGAGATGACAAGCTTGAGGGAAGAGAGCTGCGATTGATTGTACAGTCGGACCGGCGACAAAATCGAGGCTTTTGATGTGTTGGGGTGTCCCAAAGAGACTTGTACAAGAGCCTTTTTATCGAGATAATTATGGCCGTAGATACGCAAGGGCATGATCGGTGGCGGCAAAGATAAGGAAGGTATCAGGTCAGCATCAAGATCCATGGGATCTTGTCCGTCTGACGAGGCAGATCCGATGGCATTGTTCGAGCTCGAGGAAGCCTGCGCGCTCCCGTTTGGACCCCGTTGAGCACCTGCCTGGAGCAATAGATTGATGCAGTCGACGTGACCCTGCCAGGCTGCGTAATGTATGGGCGCTTTGCCAAATTCGTCCAGGGCTTGTATATTGCATCGTGCCTTGAGCAATACTTCGACGCAGCTGGCGTGACCCTCGCTTGCTGCATGGAATAGAGGGGTCCATTGGGAGTATTTGTCAGTGATGTCGACGTCTGCACCAGTATCGACGAGGACCTGGAGAACAGCCGCATGACCCTCGCGAGCTGCTAGATGCTGGGGATAGAAGCCGGCCGCGTCGGGCTGAAGCCGTTTGGAGCGTTGCAGAAGCAGCAAAACGATTGCCTCGTGACCGTATTGGCAAGCCATCGAGAGCGGAATGAGCTCAGAGCCAGGTTTGGGCTCGAAATCGACACCATGCTTGAGAAAGGCCTGTACACAAGCCAGCCGTCCATTGCTGATGGCATACGCTATCGAGCTGTATCCATCCAGATCGAGCTCGTATGGACTAGCGGAAACAGAGACGAGATGGTCGCACACTGCAGCGTGACCATTCATGGCGCTATAGTGTAAAGCTTGACGACCGTAGACATCCTTCGACCCCTGTGAGACGCCCTTGGCCAGACAGAGCTTGACGAGATCGAGCCGACCGAATGCGGCTGATTCGTGTAAGCATGTTCTGCCATTGATATCGTCTACAAAATCAAAGTCCAGCAGAGAGGTGGGAATCAAGTTCTGAACGACTTGATTCGGCGAGGGTTCAGTCGGCTGCGCGTCGATCTGCAGTGCAGCACGCCACAGGATACGGGCTATGCGCATGCGTCCTGTCGGCCCCGCTGCAGCATTCGTCGGGAGAACATCAAGAATCTCTTTGACGCTCTCTTGACTTTGTGAGGCGATAGCTTTGCTGAGCTCTGTTTCCAAGTCCTCAAAGCCATCTTCGACGCCCGTCCCTGGCGTTAGCGTCATTCTTGGTCTATCACTCGCAATGCCGTCGGCTGCAGGATCAGAGTCTGTGGGAAGACCATCTGCATCGTGTAGCAGGGATTCTAATTTGAGTATATTTGCCGTTGCGGCATCGGAGAGTTCGGCGATGAATTCACGGTTGAAGCAAGGCTGGATCTCGACCTGGCGAGCGAGATACAGCTCCTTGGTAGTAGACTTTGACCTCTTGTCCCACTTCTTGAGAATTTTCCGAAAGCCCGTCGCGTTGATCTCGATAAATTGTTGGAGCTTGGACAGATCCTTCTCGAAGTGACGGAAACCTTCGTGAAGGGCGACGAATGACGAAGAGCCTCTGTTGAGCTTCCCCCCGGAAGCAGCTTGTATAGCCTTGCGCTTGTCGATGAGCGAGCGGAGCCTGACTTTTAGCTCCGCCTCTTTCTGCAGGTAGAACACGTTGATCTGGAGGCGATGTGAGCTCTGCGCGCGAGGCGCAGCAGGCATGAGCGCACCTTCTCTAGCTCTCGCTCGAGCTTGAAGAAGAATGCGGCTTTGTGGGCCTGCAGCAAGCTTGACTCTGTCGATTCTGGTACGAGCTGGTGATCCTCTAGACCGTTAGGTGCAGCTCGTGGCGTAGGCGGCTGGCCCGAGAACGTAGCTGCGCCGTTGGAAAGGTCAGGAGTCACAACAGAGTCCGTCAGGCCGGACACGGAGCCTTGAGGGCTTGGCGAGAAATGAGCAGGGCGCATGCCAGCAGCAAGGGCAACCGCGTCGAGCGGCCTGTTCTTTGCGAGCGAATTGATGATCTATGCGGCGCATCTGATTCATAAGCTGAACCAGACTTGCTTTAGCGAATAGCGAACCTTCTTGAGGCCCTTGTAGTCGACATAGTAGGGCGACCATCCTGGTATTTGCTGGGCTTGTATTTGCTTGCCGAACTGCGCGACCGAGCAGGGCGTATCAGCGCGAGTGCCATTGCTACATCACTGGCACACCTTCATGCTGGACTGGCGTTGTAGTGCGGGCCAGAGCCCTCACACGAGGCGAGAGTGCGCTCTCTCCTTGCTCGGCGTCGTCGACACGTTTCGGATTTCGGATTTCGATTTTCGACGATCGCTATTTGATTTCGTCGACCGAGGCCGCGTCGTGGTAAGCGCTGTAAGCAGGCGCCTGCTGCAACTCCAAGGCAGCTCTGAGCTGTAGCAAGTCTCTATCGAACGGTCAATCGCCTCTCAGTAGCTTCGATCAGGCGATCACAGGCTCAGCCAGGTGCACTATACGCCTGATCTGCCTCGTGGAGCCAAGGACGAGCTGCCATCTCGCTCGTCGACCTCGACGCTGCCCCGGCTTGCATCCTGCGCAGTAGCGCACACTGCAGCCATACCGAGCTCTCAGACCCTGTGTACAACTCGAGCAGCACCGGGAGCGCGTGAAGCCTGCTCATAGACGAGAAAGAGCTCGCTCTTGACGGCGTTGCCCCTCTCTGCCGCCATGGACGCCATACTCGACTTCTCCCAGGACCTCGATGTCAACTTGCTTGACAGGGTCGTCGCTGCTGTACGTCCATCTGCCCGCTGTGTAGCCTTTCACGGCGCGCGACTGCCTCGGAATACTTGCTGACAACGGCATTGACAGTTCTATACCGGCAGTGGTCCCGACGTTCGTGCCTCATGATTCACATTGCGCGCATCATGCTCATCGCTGCTCTTCATGTCTGCAGCAAAAGGCCGCCCAGCGTGCAGTGACTGCCTTCCAGGAGCATCAAGATGCATGGCAGCGCGTCCCTGCCATCCTCGAGCAATCTCAAAACATGCACAGCAAAGCGAGTCCCTTCTGCCTCCCATATGACCCGGCTGATCTCCTCATCGGATCAGTACATCGCACTCTCGATCATGGAGAAGCTCATCACCATTCGCTGGAAGATCTTGCCCGAGGATCAGCGATCTGGTATCCGCAACTTCATCGTCGGCGTCATCATCAAGTCATCATCTGATGAGATGACGCTGCGCAAAGAACGTGCATACGTCAACAAGCTCAACTTGATCCTTGTGCAAGTCCTCAAGCAGGAATGGCCTCACAATGTCAGTCAAATCGCGCGAAGCTGACCAAGCGCTGATGTCCGCATAGTGGCCGCAATTCATCCCCGAGATCGTGTCTTCATCACGCAGCAACACTACCCTCTGCGAGAACAACATGGCGAGTGTCTGCGCGTGTTGGCAGACACGAATAGGCTAAGGGGCCGAGCATTCGCAGATCATTCTGAAGCTGCTGTCCGAAGAGATCTTTGACTTCTCGGCAGAGCAGATGACCCAAGCAAAGACAAAAACAATGAAGAACCAGATGTGCCAAGAGTTCACAGAAGTCTTCCAGCTTTGCAATGAAGTTCTACAAACTGCGCAAAAGACGAGTCTCATCAAAGCCACCCTAGAGACTTTGCTGCGCTTCCTCAACTGGATCCCACTGGGCTATATCTTCGAAACAGACATCATCGATAACCTCGTCAACAGGGTATGTTCAGTTCATCTAGTAGTAGACGCCTGACCGATGCTTCGCGGCCCCAGTTCCTCGAGGTGCCAGAGTTCCGCAACGTTACCTTGAAATGCCTGTCAGAAATTGGCGCTCTTTCCATCGGCCCCGAGTATAATGGCCACTTTGTGACTCTCTTCAACTTGGTCATGAGTGCTGTCAATCGCATGATTCCTCCAGCCACAGGTGCGCAGGCTGTCTCCCACCCGCTTACGCGCTCAACGATATCTGCAGATATTGCTGCTGTCTATGCCAATTCATCCGACGACGATCAGGAGCTTGTCCTCAACGTCGCGCTCTTCCTCGTCAATTTCCTCAACTCTCATCTCAAGATCATCGAAAAGCCAGAGAACGAAGCTGTCCTGCTGAACGTGCGTCTGAGGCGCATTGCGGGAAAGAGTCGTCTGACTCGTAATACAGGCGCATCTGTACTTGATCAAAATCAGTCAGGTCGAAGAACGCGAGGTCTTCAGGACAGTATTGGAGTATTGGTCCAGGCTCGTGTCCGAGCTGTACGACGAGATCCAGGTGAGTGCCAGAGAACATCATCCCAAAAGCCTTCTGCTGAGCGCCCGGTTGCGCAGGCACTACCAATTGAAGGCAACCCTCTCATTAGTCTCAACCTTGGCGGCGGGTTTTCAGGCTCACCGCCGGGCTCGATGAGCAACGGACCAGCTCTACGCAAGAACATCTATGCCAACGTGCTCTCCAACCTGCGGCTTGTCATCATAGGGCGTATGGTCAAGCCAGAAGAGGTGCTGGTCGTAGAGAATGACGAGGGCGAAGTGGTACGGGAATTCATGAAGGAGGTGGATACGATCGTGCTCTACAAGTCGATGCGAGAAGTACTGGTCTACCTCACGCATCTCGATGTTATCGATACAGAGAACATCATGACAGAGAAGCTGGCCAAGCAAGTAGATGGATCCGAATGGAGTGCGCCAGATGTCTCATCACTTGTCATAGTTGACCTTTGCGCAGGTTGGGGCAATCTGAACACACTCTGCTGGGCGATTGGATCCATCTCTGGTGCAATGAGTAAATGGTCATTTCTTCTCTGCGTCAGCTGCTGACACATTGTGCATAGATGAGGAGACAGAGAAGCGCTTCCTAGTCACGGTCATCAAAGATTTGCTGGGACTCTGCGAGATGAAACGAGGCAAAGACAACAAGGCCGTCGTAGCCTCAAATATCATGTACATTGTCGGACAATATCCTCGCTTCCTCAAAGCGCATTGGAAGGTGCGTTACTGCACAGAGACCTTACGTAGTGTGCTGATGCGGTCGATGCAGTTCCTCAAGACTGTCGTCAATAAGCTTTTCGAGTTCATGCACGAGCTGCACGAAGGTACGCTGGATCGAGCATCCTGATTGCTTCGAGCTGAGCAGCGTCTTCATCCTAGGCGTGCAAGACATGGCTTGCGACACGTTCATCAAGATTGCGCAGAAGTGCAGGCGGCATTTCGTGCTGCAGCAAGGCGGCGAAGGCGAGCCTTTCATCGACGAGATTCTAAGACAGCTGCCGCGCATCACTGCAGATCTTTCGCCGCTGCAGGTCCATGTCTTCTACGAAGCCGTCGGTTATATGATCAGCGCGCAGCCGAACAAGCCAGCGCAGGAGCGGTTGATCGCCAATCTCATGGAAGCCCCGAACGCAGCTTGGGACGCTCTCATGCAGCAAGCGGGCCAAAGCGTCGACGTTCTCGCCAATCCTGACAACATCAAGATACTGTCAAACGTATTGAAGACGAATGTGTCTGCCTGCACGTCTGTTGGCACCTTCTTCCTGCCACAGATTGCGCGCATCTTCATGGACATGCTCGGTCTCTACAAAGCTGTCAGCGGTATCATCAATGATGCAGTGGCTGCTCAAGGCTTGATCGCGACCAAGACGCCCAAAGTAAGAGGGTTGCGGTCGATAAAGAAAGATATCCTTCGATTGATCGAGACACACATCCGCCGTGCGGAAGATCTCGAACAGGTCAACTCGACATTGATACCGCCGCTGCTGGAAGCCGTGCTAGGCGACTACAACCAGAATATCGCGCCTGCTCGTGATGCTGAGGTGCTCAATGTCATGACGACGATCGTTGCTCGTCTGTCGAGCATGATCACCGACAAGGTGCCAGCGATACTCTCGGCCGTCTTTGAGTGCACACTCAATATGATCAATCAAGACTTTGCCGAGTACCCCGAGCATCGCGTGACCTTCTTTAAATTGCTCAGGCAGATCAACATCAACTGCTTTCCTGCCATCCTCGGGCTGGAGCCCGCTCAGTTTAAGCTGACGATGGATGCTGTGGTCTGGGCTATCAAGCATCCCCATCGTGACATTGCGGATATTGGTTTGAAGTAAGTCGCACTTATTGCATCGATAAGACAATGCTGATCGTATGGCAGCATCTGCCTCGAGCTTGTCAACAACATTGCAAACCAGCCCTCAAATGTGTCTGACGGCTTCTTCTCGCAGTACTTCCTGCCTTTCATTCAGGACGTCTTCTTCGTCATTACGGACAGCGAGCACAAGGCGGGCTTCAAGAACCAGAGCATGCTTCTAGCAAGACTGTTCTACCTCGTCGAAGTCGGCCAGATCACCGTGCCGCTCTGGAACCAGGCAGAAGTAAACGATCCTACGATGACCAACCAGAAGTTCATCCGAGCGTACTGCAATAACCTCCTTCACACGGCCTTCCCTCACGTGCAACAGTGAGCCATTTCGCTGCTGGTAAGGATCGCGAGCTGACTCTCAGCTATGTCTACAGCGCCCAGATCAAGACCTTTGTCGATTGCCTGTGCGAACAGAATCAGGATCCGGCAAAGTTCAAAGCAGGACTGCGCGACTTCCTCATCCAGCTCAGGGAATTCTCAGGCTCAGATGCGACAGATCTATACGCGGACGACAAAGAGGCAGCGGCAGCGGCCAAAGCAGAGGAGGAGCGGGCCAGAGCTATTGCCGTGCCCGGCATGATCAATCCTCACAAGCTTGACCCAGATCAAGACGAGGAGCTCTAGAGATGCTTGCACTTCTTCGATGCATTCTCGCGCTGTCTAGCTAGTAGATCATCATCGCTTGAGGCTCGTAGCTGCGAGCGCGCTCGTGAGGTCGTCAAGGTCGTCCTTAGAAGCCTGCAGAGGTTCCGCTTCTTCGCGTGCCTTGTCATCCTGCACGATGCTGGCTTCTGTGAGGTCGACCTGCTCGGCCGACCCATCGGCGACACCTGCCACAGGTTCCTCTTCGTCGTCTTCTAGCTCTTCCTCCTCTTCATCGTCTTCGTCTGCCTCCTCAACATCGTCTAATTCGTCTAGTGCGTCCGGGAAGCCGTTGGTTTCGAGTGCGCTTCGTAAATCTATGACCACTTCGTCTTCATCGCCAACGCGATTGCCGTTGAGTTCGATGACGGACAGCCTCTTGAGATGGCTGCCCAAGGCCAGCTTTAATATTCTGACCGCCCTGTCATCAATCTCGTTTGATTGTAACTTAAGCTCCGTCAGTTCTGGATTGTGCCCCTTGTTGAGTGCCTCCATGATCATGACGGCTCCTTTCGGTCGCAAGAGACAATCTGACAAGTTGAGGCTTTTGAGCTTTGGCCAATGAGGTAGAGCGCGAGCAATGGCGCGACTACCGCGCAAAGTGGCAGTGTTATCTTGCAAGTCGAGTGTTTCGAGCGATGGACAGTGCCTCAATCCGTCAGTGACGAGCGTCGCAAAGCCTTCCGGTCTTATACCGTTCTGAACCATCTTGACTTCCTTTATCGAGCTCGCGTGAGCGCGAATGGCTTTTGCCCATGCAGGCGCCGAGCCATTCTCCAACCGGTTCCGCCCGCAGACGATGGTCTGTAGATTGGTTCGCTTGCCCTTTTGCTTGCTGTTGGCTGCCGAGGCGGTGAGCGCGTCTGCTACGACGCTTCCTCCTGCAGGGCCGAGCCCGTTGTTGTTCAACTTGAGGATGCTCAGAGCCGTGTTGCCGACGAGAAAGTCAACCATGGGCTCGACCGATCGACCACCAAAGGCATTGTCGCTCAAGTCGATCAGCCTGAGCGAGTGGGTCGAAATGAGCGAGTCGCAGAGAGCTTTGAGTGCCAGAGGGATCTCTGTGATCAGCCTGCCGGTGAAGATATCAGACAGGTCGGCGCGCTGCTCGGCCCATCTGGTCAGCAGCGGAGAGCGTGGGAGCACACTTGTGGACGTGCCTCGAGCTTAGGCAGCTGTTGCAAGGCATCTGCAAGCGCTGTGCATGCCTCGACGCCGAGCGTGTTACCAGAGACGGTGACGCTCGTGAGCTCTTGCTTCTGCTTGAGGATGTCGACCAGGTAGGGCTGGATGTCTTGGGCAGAGTCTAGCTTGAGGCCTGCCTTGCCTGTGACGGCGAATGAGCTCATCCCGGTGGCCTCTGCCAGCGAGAGGCAACGCAGTTCGCTGTCGTCGCGCAGAAAAGTTGGGTCGATCCTTGTGTGCAGTGCGCTTGTGCCCTGCCTGAGACTTTAGGGAGACATGTATGGCCGGTCAGGCTGCAGGAGGGTGCTGCAGAGTCAGGCGAGAGCGTCTGCAAGCTCCAGTGCTCGACAGTGGAGGCCTAGACAGGCGAGAGAGGGGGCCGATGCTCCGATGAGCGAGTGCCAGCGACGGTCGATCTTTGGCATCTCCCTCTTTGGCAAGAAGGCAGTGCCCGCAAATCCCGAGCCTGAGCTGCCTCCCATCCTACTCGAGCAGGACAACCTCTTCCATCGACTGTCGGAGTCTCCCATTCCTGCCATGAGGGAAAGAGCCAAGCGGATCAAGTCACTCGCACTCTGTCCTGTCAACTTGGACAAGGGCATACGCAAGCACGTCGACTTTGAGTGCACCTACTGTGGCTTCCCCACTCATGCCACTCGCGAGGACTGGGAGTCAGACAAGGAGCATGTCAGGTACTGGCCCAGGTTGAGAGAGGCCAACATGGACGAGCACGATCGGAGGTCAGGCAGACAGATGACCGAGTTTGACTTGCCAGGCGATCAGCCGTATGAGGAAGCAGTCAGCATGTCCAACTGGGACGTCTTCTTCTACACCAGAGGCTTTGCCTCCATCGAGACCGAGCGCCAACGCCGTCACGTCAGCAAACTGCTCACCTATCCCATCTCCATCGCCGGCGTCTTGCACGAGAACAGCCCCTACAGACGGAGGAACCAGAGACTCACCCCAGAGGGACAACGATCGATGATCGCCCTCAGACAGACCCTCCACCCTGCACTCGGCTCGACGCCTTCGACCATCAAGGCCGGCCTGCTGCAACAGCCTTTCCGGATCATCATCATCGGGTCGCGCGCAGAGTCATGCCTACCCGGCGTCGTCTACGAGCAGCTGACCTGTCTCTTCCCGAGCGTGCCGTTCCATATCATCCATGTCGGCCCAGAAGTCATCTTTCCGCCCGCCAGCTCTCTGGGCAACAGAGGCGTCAGGCAGCCTGAACAATATGGCGCGAGAAGCCAGTCGACAGCAGTCTCTGACAACTTGACCATCACGCTCATCGAGGCGCCCTACGAGAGGATACACCAAGCCCTGGAGCCTTTCGATCCCTACCACGATGTCTTCTTCTCCTTCTCGCCCGGCTTTGGCTTCCCAGACGAACGTTCGGGCGCCTTCCTGTCAGCCGCAAAGGCAGAGGCAGGAACGATATACCAGCCCCAAGTACAGGCCCAGACGAACTGGCACGAAGCACTCTTGCAGATCTTGGAGACCAAATGCGCTCTATTCTGCACGGGCTTCTCACCCAAGGACGTCGACAGAGACGTCGTCGCTCTCGAAACAACAGAGGACATCAAAGGCGAGTTTGACTGGGTGCTCACTCCCGGTGAGAATGCGTTCGGCAGTGAAGCCTGGGAAGTCGCGGAATGGGATCCTCGTGCGTCGCCACCTACTTCTTGCGTCCTCGTACTGACTTGGCTCTGGCGCTGCACATAGGCGTCTGCGTCAAGACAAACGGCGGCGGCGTGTATGGCATTCGCGGCAAGCGTTACGATGTAAGAGGAAAGTCTACTGGCATTTTCGAATAATCCGATAGCAAGAGTGTATCAATGTGTAGCGATACCCAAAGCGCAGATGACATATGGATGCATAGACGGCAGCGTGGACTCATCTGATGACCACCGCGCGCTCTCCTACCCGCTTGGTGGTCCGATCGATGTGATCGACCCCTAAGAAGTCATCATCTTGCCATTTGTGATCCCTCAGGACGTCCTCTGTGATTGGCATCAGCATACGTTTGGCTGTGATGGAGCGAAACGGACCGTCTGCCACATAGGACGGCTTGGTGTAAGTCGATGGCTGTATCAAGCTGAACTTCATCCTGGCGAACTCCTTCTCGTTCGTGCCCATCCTGACTTGCAACCGCTTCTTCGTATCGCCAAACTTCTCGTGCTGACGTAGCGTTCAGCACAGTCCACCTGTCAGGAGAAACTACATACCGGCCGCAATACAAACCGGAAAGGCACACCGTGCGTCCGGCTAGGCTCCTTGGCAAAGTGGAACACAGTCACGACCTTATCCTCGCCGTCCCTCGCTTCTCGTTCGTCTTGAGGCACTTCCTGCAAGATCAGAAGCAGTGAATATCGTAGACACGAGCCACCGGATGCTGCGCTGCGTACCTCGGCATATAGCTCGGTGCCATCATGGATCTCGCGAATAATCTCGCCAGACGCAAAGACTTTCTGCTTCCGCCCGCCGAGCACCTCGAAAATCCTTATCTTCTTGACTTCGTCAGAGATTTTGGCGAGCGTCTTGAGTTGCTCAGTCATATCGAGAATCGAGCTCGTCTTTGGCATGAGGAAGACATGTGTGCTCTCTTCCTTGTTGTGCGCGCCCATCCAGGTAATCTTGATGTTCTTCTTGGTCTCGAGCTCGACCAGTGAGATGTCTAGGAGCTCGTAGAAGAGCAGATTCTGGCCCGCGTTTTGCTGCATGTTCGGTAAGACAAAGTCGGCAACGGTCGCGTGCTGCTGCCGCCTGATGATCGCCTTCGGTAGTCCTTGCTGATTGGCAGAAGTGAATCGCAATTTCGCAGGATCATGATTGAGATGTGCGCCTACTTGCTGCGTCATTGCTTCGTATGATGCAGTCTTGCTCAAAACTAGATCGAATTCGGGCGCCTTTGCCTCGGCCACACTGTCGAGCCTCGGCCTGAAATGCAGCAAGACGCGATGTTGGAAGTAGTCATAGAACTGGATCGGATTCGCATAAAGTCGTGGCTTATCTGTTGGCCCTTCGGGCGCGTGTACCCGGTCAATTTGGTAGCACACAATATCGCCGTCCTGTATCTCTGACTGCAGGAAGGTCGCTTTGGGCTTCATGAGCTCTATCATGGTCGGCTTGATCTCTTCGTAGACTTTGAGTGCAGTGTCCGGTGAATATCCCATCCTTTGGTTGATCATGGTGACCAGGTCAGCTACTCTAAGTTGCCGATGCACATAGAAGTGGCCGACACCTTTGAGTGTCTGTTGCTCGTAATCGAAATGCTTTACAAAGATCATAATGGGCGTTTCGCCAGGGTACATATCGTGCCACTTCTTGAGCTCTCCAGGCGGCGAATGTTCAAGATAGAGCTTTAGGTCATACTGCCTCGATGCCATACGATCCCTGACGGCATCGACTGTGTAGGTCGGATCGTTCTCGGGAACGGGTGCGTCAGGTCGCACAGTCTTGTTCTGTCGATTGACGAGCACCCATAACCTGACATCGCCCGGTGGCACTTCGAGCTCCTTGAGGACTTGCTCTTTGAATTCCACAAAAGGCCTCGTTTTGAGCACGCGGAAAGTCGGCAAATCAGTCGGCGGCACCGCTCTGTCCTCAAAGGTCGCAAGATCGAAATTGCTATGCTCGCCGAAGGTCTCGTTGGTGATGATCTTTGCAGTCAAGTAAAGATGTTGTTCTTCACGCTCCCGCCTCTTTGCGTCTGCTTCTTTCCGTTCGGTCTCGAGCCGCGTGCGCAGATGTGTTGGCGTGTCCTGCTCTGTCACGGTCGCAAGGATCTGGCGTGCCATTGTCGCGCGCACGTAAACAAGCATATATGCGTTTGTGAAGCGCTTGGTGGCGTTCTTCGCCGGTGGTATCCTCGCACCATTGTGATCGAGCCCATTGAGGATCTCGCCGCCAAAATTGTCCTCGAGCACCTCTCGATCGGTGACATGCACGACACGATCGTCGTCGAAGCGCAGCCACCTGGCTTCCGGGTTTGGTTTGATGAGAGTGAAATAATGACCGCCATGCACGTCACCGGAGTGCACGAGCACGCCATGCAGATTGTAGACGTAGCTCTCTGAAGTATCGACGTCTTTGTCAAGATATGGCGCAAGATCAATCTCAAACGGAAATTCGTATCTGTCGTTAATCTTGACATTGACGTCTCGCATCATATCGTATTCGAATCGTTTGAGTTGCAGGTGGAGCACGGGCGGTAGCGTCTGGAAGATGACTCCCATCTTTGCGTCTTGTAGCCCGAACCCTTCTGCGTGATATTTGTTCTCGCCTTCCATGATCTCCTCGGCAATGTAGTTCCTGAAGCTTTCCTCGACGTTGCGCATTCCTTTGACGTTCAGTTGGATATCTGCACTCTCTGCATGAGTCGTCGCCCGTCATCATCGACAACGGCCGCACCATAGAAATCTTCGGATCGCGAGGATTCGTAGTCGACATTGATGCATTTGATGTAACTTCGCATCTTGCCGGCAAAGAGTGTCTTGATGGCGCCATCGGCAGAAGTGCCCTTCATCTTGCCTTCCAGCTTGTCTTGCAGGACCCTGTTGAACTCTTGCACGTCGTGCTGCAAGAACGAATCGAATCCTTTCCAGCCAAACGACTTTGTGAGCTCTGTTGTTGAGACAGGTTGATCTGATGTCTGTAACAGGTAGAAGACGCGCTGTAACGCCAAAGGCACGCTGTCAAGGGTGTCACCATCGGTCGGTATCTGGTACACCGCCTGCAAACGGAGACATCAGTGCCGCTATGTCGCTGAACGCGCCCCGACATGCCTTCCGATAATAGCTGGTCAGGAAGAGGGATTGCAGCAGTGAGTTCATATAGCATGTCGCGCCTTGGTTCTTCAGTCCTACATAGCCAGTCTCCTTCTTCGAGTCATAACTGGAAGGCAGTGACGCTCGTGAGCACAAACAGATCGAACGATTGCACCACTGACTTGTGGAAGTTGTGCCATAGCACGCCGGTCGGATCTTTGAGTACCCGGACGAAAGCGGTGATCTCGGTCTCATCGTTCTCTATGACCGGCCTCGGGCGGCCATCGGCAGGTGTAAAGAGCTTCCTCAGCTCGACAAAGCGTGTGAAACCCCAGTCTTGCTCTTCGTTGTTGAAACGATGATGGGCCTGGGATTGTATAAAGACGGTGGGATCGTTCGGATTGGAGATCGCGAGCGCGAATTGGGCGCAGACATGCCAGCCCTCTTTTGCATGCTTCGGATCGCCATAGTTGAGATAGACAGAGACCATGTCGTTCGCCTGCCCTGTCGAGTTGCCCATCGGAAAGAGCAAGATATTCCTGCACAGTCGCGTTGAGCCCTGGCTTGACGCCCAGTCTCGGAGCCAGCGGGTGTCTTACCATTTGTGGCCGCCGCATTCAAACTCTGGCGAGACAAGCCGCTTGCTCTGACGTCGGTAGTCGACCAGATTCCATGTGAAGACCTTGAAGTCCTCGACCTCTTGGTTCATATCGCTGAGATGCCGTTCAGCGAACGCTTGATCTATGCCGTTGCTCAGACCATCAGCCAATGCGCCGAGTTGGCACAGTCAATCAGCGTACGGTCTCTGACGCTGACGTTGTCGAGCTCCATGACGCCGCCGTCCTCCTCGGGCAGCTGTACGAGCGCCGAGGGACCTGGCTGGGGCGCTTCTCCCTCTTCGACGTACTGCAGCTCGTCCTGGCCTGCATCCTGCGTTTGCGCCTGGACGATCTGTTGTCGACGCTGCAGACGTGCGTATCCGGCCAAGCGATCATCGTCAGAGGGACAGCAGGCGGTAGGAGGAGCAACGGAGAGCAAAGGAGGATCCAGTCAGCTTGCTCCTTACTCGCTCATGAGCGCGCAAACGCTCGCGTCGGGACTGACCATGCTCGACAGAAGGCTGCCTCGAGGTTCTCCGTCTGTCTTGGCTGGCGGCCCAAGTCTGACTGACTCTGCCTGGCTATCGCTCCGTTTGGTCCAAAGAACGAGCCAAAGTCGATTTCATCGAAATTACCTCGCGACTGCAGTTTTACGATTTACTGGATTCCAACCACTCGCACCACTCGTTCAGCTCCCTGCAGCAAACATGTTATCTTTCCATGCTCTCTCCCTCATCGGCATGGCCTCACTCTGCGCCGCTCTGCCTCGGAATGTCACCTCGAGCGCGATTGATGTCGACAAACACGTGTTGGCAAAGAGATCGGTCCCATACGCCCTTCTCGTCAGATTCGATGTGCGTGTACCCGGCAGCATCACTTCGGCCATACGATGCAAGACCTGGCCGGTAGCTTACTATTCCGTGAATCTCAGGCCGAAGACACGATCGCCGGCTATCCGATCAAATTTCATTCGAGCTATGTAAGTCGTACGCCAGCGTCGCCACGCGCACACACGCCTGACAGAACACCACGACAGCATCGATACGAGTTCATGGCCGTCTCAGAGCGAGGCTACCCCTTCCCTCGGACTGCCAAGCTCGACTTCACAGTCACATCCGGTCAGGAGGCAAGATACAGCCTTTACGATCCGCCGCGACCGAACGACATATGGCTCATAGTCAGCTGGGAAGAGATCCCCGGCGGATCGGCCGAGCATCATCTTACCTCGGTCTGTTGCAAAGGTAAGGCTCGTCATCGGAGGTGTGATTCTTTGTCGACTGTGATTCTCGACAGGTCAATTTGAGGCCCGCATCGCTGTCAACACAAAGACATACTCCCAACAGGTGCAGAAGGACCGAAGCAAGCTCGAGATCAACTGCGGGGGAGAATATGCAACGGGCACCACGGATAAATACAGTTGCCGATTTCTGCCCACTAGCTATCAAGGTTAGATGCCATCGCATCGCTCGTGACTGGGCTAAAGCAGTGCCACAGTACCATGGCAGGAGATCGACGTCACAGTCATCGACGCAACCCGCTGAGGGTGGCCTTTTGCTCCAAAGGCGTTCGGTCACGCGCGTGATCATGTACCTCGTCGATACATGCAGCCCTTACGCTCGATCGATAGCTCCTTCGATCAGATCCCCTCGTTATTTGACGCCCGTTGTCGCACTTTTCTGGCCGAACGCGAGATAGACTGGATTCCTCACAATCACCATTCGCGAATTGGTCTATCGTGTGAGACACGTCAGGCTGGATACTCAGCAAACGCGGAGACTTCATCAAGCAAGTCCAGGTATTACATCAAGACGATCGACTCCATCTTAGCAGACGGCGCTGCTACCAACATAGCATTCTCTTTCGACGCGTCAGAATGCGAGGGAAACATACGCGTCAACCAACCGCGATTGTCTGGTCTACTCGCCCCAAAAGATGCAGCCAGGACTGCCATATGTTTGCGAGGTCTTGCTGTTCGTTTGGGTCCTCAGACCCTGCCTACTATCCTACCAAACGAGGGTCACATGCGAGCCGCGTGCTCGGAGACAGCAACCCGTTGCTTACAACCGTCGTCATTTGGGATCAGGGCCTCATGCAACAGATTGTCCATGTCGGTCACGGCCCTCCTGTCCAGGTTGATCTGCACGGTTTTTTCACCAACTTCGCCAGCCGAGCCAACGTGCACAAACAGTAGAAATGTTTGCAAACAAGACTGCCTTCCTTAGCGCCGCCACGGCCATCGCTTTCGGCGTGTTTGCCGCTGCATCGCCTATCGCCCCGTCCGCAGCAGCATCCCTCGCAACATCTACCAATCTACTCGTCGAACGTCAGTCGACGAGACATCGCGTACAGAACCCCTTTGGGCTTGCAACAAAAGCTCATGGAGTCCGCAGCTCCATATCCAGCTGGCCGCCATTCAAGGCGACATCGACTTTGTCTATGCAAGTTTGTCAATCCGCAAACCTTGCTTTGCTGACTTCTTTGTGTTCGCAGAGCCCTCAGGCTGGAAAATTCACTCAGATCGTGCCGACCCAGGTGAGCGCAGCAGCGCTCGCACGCGAGGTGGCTCACATGTTGCTCGTCCAAAGTTCCTTCACCCTTCAATCTCCGAGACCAACTCTGAATATCTGGTTGTATCGTTCATGGTGCGTTCGAGCATTATCTGTTGACAAGCTGACTGCATGCAAAACAGGCTCACGTCGAGCACATTGTTCACGCAACCTTCCGCTTCAACCTGCGTGGCACTGAGGCCTACGACTTTAACAGTGCGGCGCGCGTCAAAGTCGATGCTCATCCGTGCTGACACGACGATGCAGTTGAGAGCGGCACTTTCGGTGACGGCCCGCTCAATGTGTCGGATGTCTATATCGAGTGGGATGGCACACCGATCCGTTATTCGCCTACTATGCCCTAGGAACGCTGCGCGCCCTCTGGACTATTCTAATGCATTAACTTCGCTATGCGGGACTTGCCAGCCAAGCTTGAACGGCAGCAATAACAGTGACCTGAGCATCCGCGATTGCCTTTGGCTTCACAACGCCTACATCGCTAGGTTGCGTGCCATCTGCTCTGGCTTATCAGCTCGACTGGAATCAGATTCGGATAGACACACAGTAAAAGCCTTTATGAGATATGCCTGGCATGATTACAAATGGCTGAGAGACGGTCGACTGACGTGATGGAGCCGCGTCTGCACAGGGCCCTGCTTGACGCCAGGGATCGACTTCGCCACAGACTATTGCAAGACGATGTGTACTGACGGTCCAACCGCCATACTTGAGGTAACTCATCACGTCAGGCGTAGCGGGCAGGCTGTGGTATTTGCCCGGTGGATAGGTATTGCGGCATATCGTATATAGAAACGGTAGATCGAGATGGCGAGAGACGACGGGCAGTTTACCAGCTGGATAGGAAGAGCCCGGCTGAACGAAGCCGAATTGCGAGCACCACTGCCATCGAAATGTACGCCACGACCACTCGGCCAGATCAGTGCTTTGCCAGTATTTTGGCTCAAAGGTCGAGTAACACGCGTCTTGCGTAGCACAGCTGCCCGACCACGACGTCGTAGATGGTCGGACGAGTTGCATATGGTTGAGTATATTAGTCGCGAGCTCCGCACTAGTCTCGCTTTGGTGGTAGCTCGAACTGAGGAAGCCAGATCGTTCGACAAGCTGAGCGATACTAGCGACCTGCTCCGAAGAGAAGTTTTGCCGAGCGGCCGATAAGGTGAGGTTTCCACATAGATCCTCGTATGCATTGTTGTTAGTCGAAGGCGTCCAAGTCTGGGACAGCCATGCATCCATGCCGCCGTTAATACTTTGCAGCCAGTCTTGCGTGTGTATGACCCCGCCAAGACCGTAGCCTTGCTTGAGAGCGTCGATAGCGGCTTGGTCAGCTTTGTCTATGAGAAGGTCGATGATGTGAATAGTCGCCTGCATCTTGCGTACGCAAGTCTGATCTCCATACTTGATTACCGCTTCGTAAAACTGCTCAGGAATCAGCGACTCGCCAGCAATGCTTTCGATATTCCGTACCTCCCAGTAGTCTGTCATAGCTTGCGCAGTCGGCGAAGAAGCAACAGCGCCAAAGAAAACATCAGGATAGGTTTTGCGAGCCTGCGCATGTTGATCAGTTGTGTCGCTTGGTAGTAGGCAGACTCACAAACATGGCCTTTGCGCCACTATAAGATCCACCTGCACCACTTGATCAACACCAGCGGATCTTCCTATCATGGGCGTACCCATGTAGATATGCCTAGTGCCTCGTGAGGTCAAGTCGAGATGCTCGTAACCTGGAAACACGACATTCTGGGACCAAAAGGCGTTATCTGCCATCGATTGGGCGATATCTAGGAACCGCAGCGAGTCTGTCGACAGGTCTGCCGTGGGGAAGCTCTTGCCGTAATAGCGATGCTCGACAATGGCGATGATCGCCTTGGTCTGACGACCAAGCAGCACAAGGAAAGATTCCTCGAGTAAGAACCGAGTCGTGAATCTGTCTGCAGAATCCTCGCCGGGATCAAAGAAGATGATTGGTCCTTTTGCTGCTGCATCGTAGAAGCGATCAGAGAAGAAGTATCGCAGCTTGAAGGTGCTGCTCGAATGAGGGGCATACTTGGCGTCGTCAGGAAAATGGTCGACCGGCGTATCGAGCCAATTCTCGGTCAAGGCATCATTGGCGCGAACAGTCAAGTTTGCCGAGACGAGAGCAGCAGCAGATACTGCAAGGATGAAGGGAAGGAGCATGCCACGAGAGCGCACAAGTTCGCGAGAATTCTTCGTATTGAAGCGCCGCGTGCGCGTGATCGTCGCCACCCGATCGAACGAATTTCCGCTCGCTCCTCAGCCAACGAGCCTGAAACAACAAGGCAGATCAGCAAGACAACGAGCGTCATTTGACTGTCGGGCAATACTGCCATAGCAGTGACCCCATCAATCGCGAGTGACGAGACTTGCGAGGCGCTCGCACCCGGTGCACGGGCTCGCCACCGACCGATCCTTTGAGGATGTTCAACTCGACCGTTCTGTCGGCCTGGCCAACATGGTCCTCGCACCCTTATGACATGGTCAGGCAGCCGATCCAGTATCCGTTCTATCACATCGCGAAGGACTCGCTCGTACCTGGCCTGCCGGACAATGTGCTGGCAGTCTTGGGACCTTTCCTCATCTATTGGGCAGTATCGGGCATCTTTGCCTTGATCGATCACGTCCAGATGCCGTTCTTTGAGCAGTATAGGATACACGAGCCGGAAGAGGTCAAGTCGAGGAACAGAGTCACGCCTGGTCAGGTCTTCAGGATGGTGTTGCTCCAACAGGCGGTGCAGACTGTCCTCGGACTTTGGTGGTTAGACGAGTCCGACCCGGCCGAGCAGACGTTCAGAGATCACGCTGCCGACATGAATGGCTACGCACGCGTCATCGTACGGGCTGCTTTCGTGTTGCTTGGTCCAAAGACAGCGACGCGATTCCTTACGACTTATGGTGCCGAGCTTACCAGTTGGGCCTACTGGTGGGGCGTGCCGATGCTTCAGTTCTTCTGCGCAGCGTATGTGTCCCGACGATATCCCATGCGCCAGGCTGACGTGACAGCAGTGTGGTCATGGACGCCTGGCAATACATGTTGCACAGATCCTTCCACCAGAACAAGTTTCTCTACAAGCACGTTCACTCTGTGCATCATCGGCTGTATGTGCCATACGCATACGGCGCACTGTACAACCATCCGCTCGAGGGCTTCTTGCTCGATACGATTGGCGCCGTTCTGTCGGAAAGCGCAGCACGTATGTCGACGCGACAAGCTGTTCTGTTCTTCTGCATCTCGACTGCAAAGACGGTCGATGATCATTGTGGCCTCAAGCTCCCCTTCGACCCTCTGCAGAGGTTATTCAACAACAACTCGGACTATCACGATGTGAGCTATCACTGCATAGCGCTTGATCAAGGCTGAGCTCTGTACAGATCCATCACCAATTCTTTGGGATTTCGTCCAACTTTGCGCAGCCCTTCTTCATCTCTTGGGATGTCATCTGCGGTACACGGCTCACGCGGGAAGCGGCAGCGGCAAGGCGTAAGCCTCGCACAGACCTCCGCGATCCGCTCATCAAGGCCGGCCTCGAAACAAACGGTCACGGCAACCTGACCGAGCAAGCAAGCAAAGAGCAAGCGCAACTCAAGCAGGCCAAAGAGGAATGAGCCTGGCGCTCTATACCCGACCGTAACGTATGTGTTGTTTTCGTGTAGGCTGCCTGTTTGTCCTCATAACCCTTGTTATCACCTCGAGCGCAATACAAAGCTACTGTACACAAGCTTTGCTTCATGACATGTTTACAACGGAGAATCCACATTACACTTGCCGAGGACCACTCGGGTCAGCTGGCTTAATCCATGATGGCGTGCCCTGACCGGCGAATCCGAGCTTGAGCAACGGTGTGACTGCATCTGGCACGGCGCCTTCGCCAGATCGAGACTGTGCAGGCTGAGCGGGCGGTACTGCTCCTGCTTTCGGCGGCGCTTGCAAGCCAGGATTGCCGGCAGGTATGTAGCCTCCTCGCTCAGTATTCGCACTCGTCAGGGTGTCATTGCTCTCTTGCGAGTGGCCGGTGGCTCCAACGAGCTGGTTGCTGATCTCAACATCGCTAAAGTCTTCCTGTTTGACAGCGCTGATCGAGTAATAGTAGACGGAAGTGATGAAACCGGCAAGAGCCATGCCCGTCAACGTATTCCTGAACCGAAAGGGCGCTCTCGCTCGCTGTAGTCCTTGTGACATGGAGTAGCCCGATCTGCCAAAGTATGACCGACGGGCTGCATATCGATCTTGCGAGTCGGGATCAAGCTGAGGCGGCACTTGCTGGCGTGCAGCCTCTGTGCCTGGTGCAGGCATGCCCGTGGACGGTCCTGATGCGGGTGCGTTCACGTCTGCTACTGTCGCTTGCGCCATTCGTCTCAAACTTGTGTGCATCTCGACTGTCGTCGCTCGTCCGGAAATTTCAATCGTCGCGCAGAGGCTGGAGAGGCTCGAGCGCCGGCTGTGTCTGTACAGCTCAGATGACTTGTGCTTTCGCGACCCGCCAGCCGAGCTCGACGAGACTCTTCGGTCAAGCATCTGCGCACTCTCCACTCTCAGCAGCGCAGTCATCTCGTTCGTGCGAAGAGCTCCTCCTCAGATGATCTTTATATCATTCTGCGTCTCTACAGCCTCGAGAGATCCGCAGACTGCTTATCGACCTGACGCGAGCGGCCACGACCCCACCAGATCTGTATGTATCTAGTGTCGCGCATCACATGCATCATTGTACCAACATGCAGCGCGATACAAATATGTAATCAACAATCGGGGCCTGATACGGTTACACTCTCGTGCATGCTTGCACGCTCTGCAGCATCCTTCTCTGTGATCATCTGGCTTGCCGGCGTGCTATGCAATCAGCCGACACCACGTTGTAGCCCACGCGCGACGGAAGCATCCGAGGTCTTTGCGCTAATACCATCTGCGCCAAACGTTTTGCACGCTTAGGCGCTGTGCGACCGGTAGAGCTACCAGCAACTGCGATGAAGACTGTGCTCCTTGCCTGAGCTACTCAGTGCAGACAGTGCTCTCTTGCATAGCCTGTTCACTCGGCTCAGGGCAGAATTATCTGACTAATCTGCAGCAGCGAAGACGCTATTGCAAGGCACCTTGTCTCCTCTCGCTTGTCAGCGGTCAGCTGGGTTGGGCAGCCTATCTCCTCTGTGCCGCTGTGCGGATCCCTCAGGATCCCGTACAGCCGATCCGCGCTGGCTAAGCTCCTCTGATTACTTGCCCAGACCTCGCTGATTGTTCCCGATGGCTGGCACATTCCTATACCGAGATTTATGAGTCGCATGTGTGAATGCGCTCGTTGAGCTGAGCGTCAGCGTCGACGCTCTGAAAAGCCGCGTGGGCTGGCCAACAAGAATAAACGGCACACAAACATGACAGTGTGCCCAATCTGTCCAGGACTGCTACAGCGCATCTTCAGGAAGCAAAAGTGTGCTAACGCAGGTATAGAGTCGCCAAAAAAGAAGGGGTACATGCAGTGGGATTCGAACCCACGTTCCGGAGAACTGCGAACTTCCTCTTCCATTTAATGGAAGAGCCTGAACACAGCGCCATAACCGCTCGGCCATACATGCGGCTTCGGGCGAGTGGGGCAAGCTACAATATAATCTCTTGACAAAGACAAAACCTAAGCGTTTCACGTGGTTCTCCGGGCTCGTCTTCATTGATAAAGATAGTCCTTTTCAAAACAAACCCTCTCAGCCATTGACACTAAGTGGGGCAATGGCAACAAGTATCATCGTCAGGTCAGATGGCACGCCGCTGAATCAAGCAGCTTTGACGGATGTCAAGGCACTGTGGTCGGTCAGCAAGGCAAAGTCAAAGCAAGGCGAATCTCGACTGTTCTATGGTGTCGGTCGTAGCAAGCAGACCGTATGCGCCCTGGGCATAGGAGACCAGGATCCCAAGACAGATATCGAAAAGCGAGAGGTCTCTCGCAAGCTCGCAGCAACGGCTGCAAAGCAATTGGGAGATCTCGAAGAGCACATCAAGATTGATCCGGTGTACTCGCCCCATGCTGCAGCAACGGGCGCCCATCTCGCACTATTTGCTTGGGATCTCAAGACGTCGGAAAAGGCCAAGGCTGCTCTCGCCAAGAGCAGAGCTGTGAAGCTCGAACTTTCGACAGACGCGTTCATACAGCCATTATCAATCGACGACGGCCTGAATTGGCAGACAGGCAAGATCTACTCTGAAGCGCAGAATCTGTAGGGAGCTGCAAGAACTGCCTGCCAACCTTTGTACTCCCACTATCTTCTGCGAGCGTGCCCAAGAACTCTTCAAGGATCACTCCAGCGTCACTGTGAACGTACATGATGCAGACTGGGCAAAGAGGGAACGCATGAACATGTTTCTCAGCGTTGCAGCAGGCTCACATGAGCCTTGTAAATTCCTCGAGGTTGTCTACGAAGGCGCGCCAGAGAAGCAGCGGATCGCATTTGTCGGCAAAGGCATTACTTTTGACTCTGGAGGTATCACTCTCAAGCCAGGAGCAGACATGAAGGCCATGCGATCTGACATGGGCGGTGCTGCAAACTTACTTTGTGCTCTTCATGCTATCGTCAAGCTCAAGCTACCGCTGAACATCGTCTTTGTCGCTCCACTGACCGAGAATATGCCAGGTGGCAAGGCTACGAAGCCAGGCGACGTATTCACAGCTCGTTCTGGCAAGACTGTCGAGGTAGATAATACCGACGCTGAAGGTGACAGTATATTTGACATCCTCCGACCAGACTGATCCGGTGAGGCAGGCCGACTAGTGCTTGGGGATGCGCTCAACTATGTCTCGACAAAGTATCGGCCGTCTACGATCATCGATGCGGCCACGCTCACGGGCGCTGCCGTCATCGCTCTCGGCAAGGTGTACGCCTCTGTTCACTCGAATTCAGATGAGCTATGGCAAGAGCTTGAGGCGGCGGGCAAGGCCGAGCACGATCGTTTTTGGCGGATGCCCTTTGATGAGGACTATATCCACTATCTGAGCGAGACCAGCGCAGATCTGTGCAACGTGGGACCCTTCGCAGGCGACGGCGCCATCGCAACGATGTAACGAATTCACATGATCCGTGTCGATAAAAGCTGATGTGTGCTGCAGGTTCCTTCGTGAGCACGTCGATGGACTCGCTTGCAATTCCGCAGAGAGCGATGCAGTTGACACTGTGCGATGGGCTCACATTGACACGACACCCGTGATGCAATTCACAAAGACACTGAACGATTACGAACGTGTTGGCATGAGCGGTCGTCCCGTCAGAGCAATCATCGAATGGGCACGTCAGCAGGCTCGGCGATGAGTGTAGTGCTCGCGATAGTCTACTCGATGCAGAAGCTGGCCACAACCTTTTGCATCATTGCAGTGACAACAGCCTGAGAGTGAACCTTGCTCTGGGCGCGAGTCTGCCGCATGCAGCGCACCGACCGGCGCTTGTCTGGGAGGCGTCCTGCGATGCGCACACGGCTTGACATGAGCTGCCATGGACTAGATGGCGTGGCGTGAAGATCAGAAAGAGCAGAGCATTCTCCATATATCAATTCTATAGGTTTGCTTGTGCATCGCCGTAGCCAAGATGAGCGAGAAAAGCGTTGCAGTAGCGCAGGATCTGGTCGTAAGTCGCCTCGAAGCCGTCGCGTTGGTAATATGGGTCGGCTATCGGTTGCTGGTCATCGAAGGAGCCAAAGAGGACGACCTGCGCCCTTGAGCCGGGCGGTTGTATCCGTTGGAGATTCTTCAGGTTGTTCTTGTCGCTGGCGAGAATCCAGTCAAAGTCATGGAAATGCTACACTCGTCATCAGCAGGATCTTGATGATAGCTTCTTGCAGACGGACCTGGGGGTTGATCTGCTGAGCAAGCGAGTTGATGGGCACGCCGTGCTTGCGACAGACAGCCACCGAGCGTTCATCTGGTTCTTCGCCGATATGATAGCCTGCCGTGCCGCAACTCTCTATGCGATCAAAGTCGGCTGACAGTCCTCTCGTCTTGATCAGGTGAGCCAGTACTGCACCGCCGAGTGGCGATCGGCAGATGTTGCCGAGGCATACAATCATCACATTGAGCTTGGCCATTGCGATAGGTAGGAGACGAGGTCGACGAGAGGGATTCCAGGAGGAGCGCGTCTCGCACAGCTCAGTCGATCCATCCTCGCCCTGCCTGTCCGAGCGCCTATCAAACCAAGTCGAGTGCACACAGCCTAGCTATCAGGCTCACGGATCTGTAGCGGCTGTGGAGTGGTTCAGTCGTGAGACACGGAACTGTCCGAGGTTCAACACACTTGCGAGCAATCAGCGCTACAGACACATCTGCTTGTGATCGGCGAGTCAAGCTTGTCCAGCACAGCGCCCATCGTCGAGTCATCGAGCGTCAAGCAAAAAAGGCGATGAGCGCATCAGCTGGACTTTTTGATCGCCTGCCTAACGAACTCAAGAGCCAAATATTTGTCGAGCTACCCAAGCATGATCTTCGACAAGTCAGCCTGACGTGCAAGTCGCTCCGGGCTTGCGCCGCAGAAGATGTCTTCCAGAAGGTTGCGCTGCGCGACACTGCCTCTCTTGACGCTTTCTTGCGTGATGTTCGGATGTCCAGCAGCTTTCGCGATGGCATCACCGGCCTCGAAATTGATTTCTGGACAGATCGCTGCACACATTGGGGACAAGCATGTGTCGAACTGATACACATGTTGCCACATCTCAAATCACTTCACTTTGGCAAAGATGTCTGGGAAGCGGTCTGCAGAGCATCCAATCAGGTCCCCGCCTGCGCACCGGGGCTGACTAGCTTGGCATTCTTCAATATCGGTGGCATCGATGGACGATCATCCCAGCTCATCTCTCTCGCTGCCAAGTGGATACGTGCTTGTCCATGTCTCCTTCAACTCGATATCAGTGGCTACAAAGGCTTCGATGATTTCGTCGGTGCCGCATTTGACCAGCTTGCCGATGTTGCCTGCGCAATCGCACAGCATGGCTCGCTAGAGAAACTCAAGATGCTTCCTGTCACTGGCGAGAGCTTTCACGAGGAGTCGACGATGACAAGTTGGACCAGCGGGTGGACTTGCGCGCTCACGGAGATCACTCTGACGATGGAAACGACTATGGCGGTCATCCGATCATTGCTTTTGCCACATCACTCATCATTGCAGAGACTTACTCTGGCGTCCATCTGGGAGGGTGACGACGAAGAGAGCCCGTCAGGAACAGCTGACAAGACGTGTCTGCCAGCCCTGAAGCGACTGGCGATCCAGCGCGAAAGGGGCGCAGAGCAAATCTTCGCCGTCTACACGATGCCAAACCTGGAAACGCTTGCGATGAGCGAAGAGGCTGTCGATTGTCTGGATCTGTTCAGCGAGCACGAGCAAGCAGTTCCCACTCGGTCACTGAAATTGCTGGAGCTCTACCTCACTTTCGATACGCTCGATAGAGAGAGGGGCTTCAATGGGCGCCTTCTCCTCGAATTGTGCGAGGCGCGCAAGCTCCCTTTGGTCTGCTTGACGCTCGATGGCGAAGAGCGAGATGCTGCCTGGACTTACGCCTGTTGCATCTAGCGGCATGCCGCCTGTTGTATCTAGCCATAACAGACTTTTCAGACTGTGAAGTGTGGCAACCTCGGCGCCTCGCGACACGATCGGCCGAAAAGCAAAATGCAAAAAGCGCGAGTCACGCACATTCACACGAGCGAAAAGTCGAGCAGTCAGTGAGGCAATGTCCACTTCGAGGCAGGCGGCACAGCGTTTGCTCAGACAGGCGATCTCCGCAGAGGCAAAGACTCGTACCTCTGTCGGTGTCTTGCACGCCAATGCTTGTCGGCCGAATTTGCCGGGGTCAGAGCCGGTAGCAAGCTCGAGTCATAGCCAGACGAGGCGCTACAGCTTGCTCGCCAAGCCGGCCGGTAGCGACAGCACACATCGAGCAGCATGCACGTGCGCGGAGCAGAAGCGTTTCAGCAGTCGACCGGCAGGTACGCCAGATGATGACTCATGCTCACACGAGCTGACATGAGGGCAACGACAGAGGCACCACCGAGTCATAGCGCGCCCACAAAGCGCAAAGTGACTCTTCTCGATATCGCCAAAGCCAAAGAACGCGAAGAGCCCATCACAGTCATCACAGCGCACGATTATGCCTCTGCGAGCTGGGCAGAGCGCTCACAGGCCGTCGACATCACGCTCGTCGGCGACTCGCTCGCCATGGTCGCCTGTGGCTATCAATCGACGACGGAGATCACTCTCGACGAGTTCTTGTACCATTGTCGCGCCGTCGCACGAGGTACAAAGTCGAGCCTGCTCGTTGCGGATATGCCATTTGGCACCTATCACGAGTCAGACGACATAGCCGTCAAGAATGCGGTCAGAATCATACAAGAAGGTCATATGGATGCTGTTAAGATCGAAGGCGGCGCAGAAGTAGCAGATCTCGTTCGAAGATTGACAAACTATGGCATCCCCGTCATGTGTCATATCGGTTTGACACCACAACGTCAGTCCGCCCTGGGAGGCTATCGCGTGCAGGGCAAGACTTCGCAATCGGCGATGAAGATATACACAGACGCGAAACGCTTAGAATGGGCCGGCGCCTTTGCAGTCGTTCTCGAAGCCATCCCATCGCAGCTTGCTAGCTATGTGACGCAGAAGCTAGACGCGATGGCAACGATTGGCATAGGTGCTGGCTCTGGCTGTTCCGGTCAGGTTCTCGTCCAGCTGGACATGCTGGGCGGCTTTGACCGCTTCGTACCACGCTTTGCGAAGCAGTATCTCAATGTCGCAGAGCTCGCCTCTTCGGCCATCAAGACTTACAGCCAAGAGATCAAGACGCGAAAGTTTCCAATCGAAGGTACCCATACCTATCCGATGAAGCTCTCGGAGTGGGAAGAATTCCTTGATCATGCCATTAGCTTTGACGAGGAGCTCGAAGCAATGGACGAGAAGATCAAAGAGCAAGCCTCAAAGATGGTATGAGCGAGCACAACCGTATAGAACCTGCGTGCATATGCATACTGGGACAACACGATCCAAAATATACTACCTTGCTGAGACGTCCGGTTCCTTGAAGTAATTCGCTTGAGCTCGCGAAACACCTTACCGCTTGCGCTTAAGCATGCTCTCGACCATACTCGCACCGCCGACGGCGAATTCCCCAATTTGCCCGGCTTTTGCTGCATGCATTCGACCGCCATCGAGCGCACGGCCTGAGCGGGGTATCATCGGTTTGCCAGATTTGCCCATCTCAGGCTCATCGTCGCTTGCGTCTGCCTTTGCTCGTTTAGTCTTCATTTCTTGCTGAGCTCTTCCGACAGCTCCTCCAAGACCGGCAGGTGCATCTCGCAAACCAAACGCCTTTGCGAGATGACCAAGATGAAGATTCTTGACGTGGAAGAAGGCTTTCTCTTCCGAAGGATGTGTAGCGTATGCTCGGACGTGCGACGTGAAAGCCTTGCGGGCCGCTGCGCCGTATTCTGGCTTGCTCTCGACCCAGCGCTCGTAGTTCATTTGTACGTCGGTCGCACGAGTCTCGTAGTCTTCGCCTCCAAAGCCCTTCGAGAGAATCTCATTTGCCGCAACTTCGCGCATGTCCGACAGAGCTTTTGGCGCGTCGCTGACCGAATTGCTTTTCATCTTGTTCTGCACCCAGTCGACCCAGCCAGCTTCAGTCGGCAACACAAAGGCCCAAGCTTCGCCGACGTTACCAGCGCGAGCAGTTCGTCCAACACGGTGAATATACTCGGTCGCGCCCCCTTCGGTCGGTAAGTCGTATTGTATGACGTTGCTGACAAAAGGCACATCAAGACCTCGCGCAGCCAGACTTGTGCAAAGCAAGATACCGCTATCGCTCTCGCTGAAAGCTTTGAGAGATCCCAAGCGTGTAGCAAGCTCGAGATTGCCATGCAAGCGGAAGATGGGCACCTTGCCCAGTAACTGCGACTGCACGGACAGCGATTCTGGCTTTGGCTTGCCTGCCTCTTGTTCGACGGAGCGCTCCATTGACAGACCACCGAGTGCTGTCCAGTGATAGTTGACCGCGTCTGTGCATGTCATGAAAACGAGGACCTTTTTACCGCGATCGTTTGTCTTGCGGAGACCACGGGTGAAGATCTGGCGCAACAACGCAACCAGGCAGACAAAACGTAGCTTGGGTGCCGTCATGATATACGATTGGGTCAGCTGTGAGGGCGGCGCAAAACGGTCGACAGTTGCTCCGTTCTGTTGGGTACCAGGAGGAGCATCACCATCGCCTTTGATAAGAAGTGGATCGCGCAAAGCCATCGTGGCTAGCTTTGCTGCGCCGTCTGCCATCGTCGCAGAGCACAAGATCGTACGACGGGCGGTACTGCTACGACTTTGCCTCTTTGCGCATTCTTCGAGAACTGACGTGATCTGAGGCTCAAAGCCCATGTCCATCAAGCGATCTGCTTCATCCAGAACGAGCCAGCGTAGATGTAAGCGCGCATCGATCTCTTTGACGGGCTGATACATTGGCTTCCTGGGACGATAGCTTCGCGACTGTGGCAGCGTGAAATCTTCCTCAGAGTCTTCATCGTCCGCTGCGCCTTCTGGTCGCACGTACGGTCGATCCTCAATATCGAAGTCGTCCTCTTCTGATGGCTTCTTCGGCTTGCTCTGCTGCTTCGGGCGTTCCGGTTCGCCTGCTAAGCGGAAGGAACGCGTGGTCTGCAAGTGATCAATAAGGCGACCGGGCTGCATTGCAATCAGATTCTGCTAGGCGTAAGCTACGCATGTACGTACCGTGGCGACGAGAAGAGGCACGCCTTTGCGTAGTCTGGCCTTCTCATGTTGCCTGTGCGCGCCGCCGGAAAGCAAGCCAGGAATGAGCCAACGGTGCGAGACCGTCTTGCTGCCTTGATCCGAAGAGCGCTCGGAAGCAAAGCTAAGCAGCTTGGTAGCAACTTCGCAGATCTGATTGGCTAGCTCGCGCGTCGGCACAATGATGATAGCAAGCGTGCCGACGCTTCGATCGAGCGTTTTGCCTTCGGCAGCAAAGGCATTGCTGAGTGCCATGAGATCTTGCAAGATAGGTAGCAAGTAAGCTAGCGTCTTGCCTGAGCCAGTCTGTGCGCGCAATATCGCATCTCTCTGCTCGCTTTGACTCTGTCGCGTGAAGAACGGTACAGCGAGTTGTTGGATCGTGGTCGGCCTCTGCAGGTTCATCTTTTCGCTGGTGAGATGCTTGGAGAGCACACTGGAGATACCGAGGCTCTCGAAAGAGCCGTCAAGCGTGGGGGCATTGCTCGGCGTCAAGACGCTCGGTCTTGGCTGAGTCTGCACAACGGGCTCACGGATCTCTGGCATTGACGAGAAGAGGGAAGAGATGTATTTTTTGCCGGCAGGTGCGGCATGCTTGACCTTCTCGCCGTCTGCTGTTGGTGTAGCTTGATCGAGTAGAGCAGAGAACTCGTCATCAGCCTCGAGCGGAGGACTTTTCCGTCTGCGCTTCTTTGGCGGTTCTTGCGCAGACTTGATACCCTGGGGCACCTCTTTCGCTGGCTGGGCTAGTTGCGTGTGAGTCTCAGGCAAGACTTGAAGGGATTGAGGCGCTGGTCTGGGCTGCGTGGACGGCTGTGCAGCTCTGTCACCTTCCGTGCGTTGAGCGACTTTCTTGGCGTTATACTTTAGCTTTTGCTTTGCTTTGACCCGGCCCGTCCACTTTCCGCCTTTGATCTTGGCATATGCCGGTGCTGGAGCCTCGCCCGCTGCAAAATTGAGCAGCAGCTCGTCTGCCATTCTCTGGATGCATCACGCTACTTTTTCTGTCGAAGTCAATTCAGCTGAACTATTCATCTGATCATCAAAGCCACTCGCGAGCAAATCTTGGGTTAGCCTGCTGCCAAAAGTGAGTGGCCTGCTCGATGTGAGCTGGCCTGCGCTGACGTGTGTGCGCACAGTGGGTGCTTACAAGTACGTGCAAGAGATCCAGCGGAAGAAGCAGTCGGATCTCGTTCGCTTCTTGCTGCGAGTCCGCTGCTGGCTCTACCGACAGCTCAATGTCATCCACCGTACCAGCCGAGTCAGTCAACCGGTGTCCCATTGCGTCGGGCCAGTGACTGAGATAGATGACCTGTAGCCTTCGAGACCGGACAAGGCACGCAGACTGGGTTACAAGGCAAAGCAGGGATACGTCGTCTACCGTGTTCGAGTCCGCCGAGGCAACAGGAAGCGTCAGGCTCACAAGGGTGCCACATACGGCAAGCCTACCAACCAGGGTATCCACCTGAAGTACCAGCGCTCGCTTCGTTCGACTGCAGAAGAGCGTGTTGCTCGCCGTTGCGGCAATCTGCGTGTCCTCAACTCCTACTGGGTCAACCAAGGTCGGTCGCATGGAACGATACAGAAGGGAATGCGCCGATGACTGACGTTCGATCTTCAGACGGAGTGTACAAGTACTACGAAGTCATCCTCGTCGACCCCTCGCACAAGGCCATCCGCAAGGATCCTCGCATCAACTGGATCGTCAACCCAGTCCACAAGCGTCGCGAGTCTCGCGGACTCACTGCTGCCGGCAAGAAGAACCGCGGTCTCGGCAAGGGTCATCGCGTAAGTTTCCTGCTCGCTCCTGTCCGCCAGCGCTCATGCCTCCTGCCCAGCACAACCACAACCCGGCCAAGGCGACCTGGCGCAAGCACAACACGCTCTCTCTCCGTCGCTACCGTTAGAGAAGCTGCTCATGTTGTCGCACGAGGCTTCATTTTGCTGCTACAACAACAGGGCAGTGCCGCCTTTGGGTTTGAACTTGCGTGCGACTCTGTCTGCCGAGCGATACGCAAATTGGTTGCCATAGATCTCGAATGTGAGCTCCTGGGCTGGCTGATCAGGCTGCTGTTGAAGCGGTAGAGCGAAGGTGAAGATGGACCGTCGTTTGGGAATGACTGCAAACTAGCGTGAGCTTGTCGAGCGTTGGCTCGAGAGCAAGCTCACTCTTGACGACATCGTTACGAGTGACGATGCGAAAAGTGCTTGCTGTCTCTTGGATGACGAGGCCCTTGAGACCGATGAGATCTACATTCTTTGCGTCTTTGACGACGAGAAAGCAGCCCATGTAGTCTGCCTTGAGTAGCTTGCTCTGTACGCCCAGCGCGAGACCGTCATGGTAGGCTGGTTTTGGCGATTCCGTCTGTAGGCCTGAAGGATCTGGAGGGCCAGCGAGGGCGATATTGAGGAGCTGGGCCATGTAATCGAGCCATAGCTGATGCAAAGGCTCGAGGGATGCATAGCTGTCATCACAAGCCTCAACGGTGAGCACGAGGCCATGTCACTCCACGTCGACCCAGGCTGACCTCATGCGATCTTTTCCCGCTCCTCTTCCGACGAGGATGCGCTGGCCTCTGAGCGCACTACGCCGCTTCTTCTCCTTCTCCTGATCCCTCACGAGCTCTTTCTCCTTTCGCCGCGCGCTCTTTCGCCCTGGGTTCTCGAGCTGGACATGCTTGCCTGCTATGCGCTGAGCGTACGCAGCATCGCCCAGCCTGGAGGACAGGTTCGAAGTGGACGGTGTCGCTCTGTCCTGCGCTCGTTGCTTGCCTTGCTGTTTGGCCGAAAGCGTGTCCGTCCGAACGGCGCCGTACTTACCTTGGCCCGATGAGCTCACATGCAGACTGATCAAGGACGAACGCACTTTTGACTGCTGAAGCGGCTTGTAGATGGCGCCAGACGTCGATGCATCGTCGGTCATGCCTCACAAACCAAGCGAGCAGCAAGAGGCAAATCGCCACAGTCGCGCAGAGTCGATCACCTCCTGCCTTCACACAGTCGAGCGGGCCGTCGCAGGTCGTGCGAGCAAGCAGACGATGAGCTTGCTCGCCAGTGCGAGCTTGTACAGAGCCTCGGCCGGTCAGATCGGCATACGCTGGACCGTACACTTCTCGCCTGCCGCCCCCGATGAGCTAGCCCGATCGAGAGCGACTGCAGCACGCAAGGCGCAACGACAGAGCAGGCAGTTTGGCTTCAGGGCCGGCCCGGTCTGTCGAGATCATTATCAGACACTTGGCATTCCCCGGAGTGCGTCGAAGAGTCAGATCAAAGCACAGTTCTACAAGGTACGCCCTCTCCGGCTTGGGTCGACGACTCGTCCTGCTGCTGGCATGAGACTGACGCCTGCCGGGACGGTGGCAGCTTGCCAAGGCTGCCCATCCGGACACAGGAGCCCAATCGAGCGCAGATCGGTTCAAGAACATCTCTGCAGCTTACGCCATCCTTGGCGATAATGCAGCTCGGAGCAAGTACGATCAGACCCTGGACTCACCCGGCGCACATACCCGCCAGGGAAGCAGCTATGCGCCCGGCACGTCCTCCGACTGGCAAGCGCACGATCCTTCTGCAAACATGGCCAGACGAGCCAGGGCGAACTATGCCTGGCAGCACCCTTCGAGGCAGAGGAACCAGGCGGGCGAGTCAAGCTACACGCGACGGGATCCCTTTGCGAGCAACCCGGGTGCATTCAACGATGCAGCATCACATCAGGCCCACTGGGCTCGCATGGCAGCCCAAGAAGCTCGTCGACAAGCTGCTGCAGACCATCATGCTACCATGGGCGGCAGACAGCGCGCACAACGGCACTATGGCATGAGCCACGAGAAAGCCGAGGAAGAGCAGCGCTTGCTCAATGACTCCGGTCTCTGGCGGTACCTCCAGGTCGTCGCTATCTTCGTCATCGTCGGCTTTGCAGGTTCTGGCTTCAAGGTGGCCAGCTCGGATGCTGTGGACGGCTGGCAGCCTGTGCGAGAAACGCGACGGCGTGCTTGCCCGTCCGGGGTAGATCGACCGCAGACTGTAGACTCAGACTAGAGCTAGCCAAACTTCTTGTAGCTGCATGCACGTCATCCGTCTCGTGTCGGGCAAGTGCAGAAATGAGCTTACCAGCCAAGGCCAACGAGCGCGATCGAATAGCCCGCCCATTGCACTGCCGAGACATGACCGGATAGGAAGACGCCAGACAGGATGACCAGTCCGATGTCCTTGATGACTTTGCTCAGCGATAGTGTGAGACTGGATAGATTGATAAGATAATTGCCTGCAGCCGGGTACGGTCAGCCTTCGCGAGGATGCTATGGGAATGACCACCTACTCGTGAGATTGAGACAGAATGTCAGTGCCGAGTTGGTCAGGATGATGAAAGGACCCAGATTGCTCAGACTGTGGAAAGGCGCCGTGCCTTCGACAGGCAGTATCATCGCGCCCAGCGCGAGCAAACAGATCTGATTTCGCTTCAGCCCGGTTCACTGCTTCGCCACTTCCGAAGAACTCACCGGCGAAAAGGCATGCAGCGACTCGAGCGGGGTGAGTCCCTTGCCCTGCAGCAAGATCTGAATAAGGGCTAGCTTGGTGCTCTCGATCCAGACTGCAGAAATCTGCATGACGAATCCGAGGGTGTTCCATTGGGCTTCGCCGTAGCTTGCGATGCCGACGCCTGTGCTGATCAGCGCAATGATGCCCATCGTCAGTAGATCGGCGCGTCTGAGGCCGAGTAGGATCGACATTGTCCTGTTTTGCATGTCAGGCAGATACAAGCTGGACCGCGTCAACGACATACAGAACTGCAACGGGTCCGAAGCTCTTGAGGATCTGTATCATGCCAACGCTGAGCAGCATATAGACTGCGTTTGATAGATAGAGTGACAGTGCGGTCAGAACGCCAATGGGGACGACAGTGCGATAGTAAGTCGTGTTGATGAGCGAGACGGTGACGCGCTTGAGACTGGCAAGGCTGCTCTCTGCGCTCTGGTCCTCTGCTTCGGCTTCCGATAGTGGTACAGGTAGGTGATCTTCTGCTACGTCTGAGTGCGGTACAATGATGCGCGTTGCGATGGTCTGAAAGAGCGTGTGCATGGCCGTCAGAAAGATGGGGTAAGGAAAATCGAGATCACGAAGTATGTAACGATCTGGCTCCCAAATGAGCGTGGATGGCGCGAGGATGATCTGGGAGCCTACTGTAGACGATGACCCCGCTAGAGAGGCTGATCCATATGATGATCAAGAGCCAGGCCGGCAAAGGATTCGGTCGCGCCTTGCTGTGTTGTTCGAGAGGCAGTGCTGCCGATGCCGCTGCCCTGTGCTTCGAGTCTCGTCTATAGGTAGGCGATACTTCTGTCGGAGTCTCTAGTTCTTGCCCGTACAGCTTCTCTTCGCTCAGGCCTTCTTCTACTTGTGACAGCGAGTGTGCCGACATCGAGGAATCGCTGCGGTCCATGGCCGATAGGGTGCCATCTGACTGCAGCATCGTGCCGCCAGGACCGCTCGAGGGCGCTCGCACGATGACCTGTGGGATCGACTGCATGGCCGCCTCAAAACTCAGCCCGGGAGTGTCGACGGGACTGCCACGGTAACGCGACGAAGAACCGCCACGTCATTATCGATGCATTATCATGGACATGCATGGCGAATCGAGAATGCGACACTCATTTCAGGAGCATTGACAGTCGCGCTTCTACAATCGACAGGCAGCTAAGAGCCGGATGTTGGTGCAACCTGAGGGATCTTGCCCTGCTTGAGCTCCTTGCCGAACACGTGATGTAGCGAAGGAGCGTCCTCGCTCTGAGTCATGTGGTAATGCGCGTCGTGCAGAAGCTGTTCCATCGCATCGAGTGCCATCTCGAGCTGCTTGAGCGGTGGGCCGTACGATATCCTCACAAAGTGATGGCAAGGCGAATCGGCCAACCTGCGTCTGTTCGATGGGTTGATGTCGAAGAACACGCCCGGCACGACGATCGCCTTGCGTTTGAGACACTCCTCAAAGAAGACGAGGCCAGAATCGAGAGGTGCTGGCAGATTTTTGAGGTTGAGCCAGATGTAAAACGTCGCCACTGGCGGATGCGTCACGCCTAGTCCCATGTCATGCAGGCGCTTCCTGTCGAAGGATGTCAGCTCTGGGAGCGCTAGAATCACGGAACTGACAAGACATAGTCACGCTTCGCTTTGAAGTGACGCTGAAGGGCAATGCAGTCTTGCTGGACGCGCGAAGGCTCGAGCAGAGGCAGGGCTGCTGCCATGATGATACCGCTCGTTCCACCGTCCAGGTAAGAGCCGCAGTGACCGAGAGCGCTGATGAGCTCCTTCGAGCCAACGATCCAGCAACACCGCCAAGAAGGGTACCGCCACGACTTTGTGAGGCCGTTGACGATGATGATGTTGGTAGAGTCGACATCGTCGATGTAGCGAGCAGCAGAACAGCTGTAGCCTTCTTCTTTCGTATACATGTAATGGCTGTACATTTCGTCGAGTATGAGCGTCACATCATCTTCCTCTGACATGGAGACGAGCTCTTGCAGATCCTCGTCGTCCACGACTTGACCGGTCGGATTGCGAGGGTTGCTGAGCATGGCGACCGTCGCGCCAACTTCGCGCATCTGCTCGCGCAGCTTTGACGGATTGAGCTTGTAGGCGTCCTCTTCCCTGAGACTCGTCGCGACTGGGATGAGCTTTTTGAAGACGGACAAGAGATCTGAATAAGCAGAATATTCGGGCGTGCTGTATACGCAATAGATGTCGCCTGTACGGCGGTCCATCAATGAGAGTTGATGCACACAGACTGCTCGACATACCTATGATGCTCGACAGTCGCGTCAAGCCCGCGCGACCACCAGGCACAATAGCGACATTGGCAGCTGTGAACTGCGAGCTTTTGCCTTGCCTGTACTGCACATTGTAAAGGTTCGCTACCGCCTCGCGTAAAGCGGTCGAGCCTGTCGTGGGTGCATACTCGTGCACCTCATCTCCGAATGGTCTGAGATCAATCTGATCAATCCGTCCGGGATCGCCCTCGAGGGGCCCGGTCTCGGGAGCGCCTTGACCAGCATTGCACCAAGTCTTATCGCTCGGACTGAATCCGTTGGCGGTGGCTCTTTCTGTGACGTACAAGACGCCAGTGCTTGGCACGCCGAGTATGCCGGGCATCCCATGATCTGCCGGCTTGCCTGAGTTCTTGTGGGCGTCTCTGAAGATTCTATGGGCCTCTTGCGATGTCTCGTCGTCTGCCTTGTCAGCTTTTGCGATCACAGATGCCCGACGGCCCTTCTCGCTCATCAAGAACTCTGCAGGCTTAGGGATGCGCTGGTGCGAGTCCGGGTGGGCATTGTCGTGGGTCGACATCTCGTCGAGTGCTGCAAAGAGGCTGCAACGTGCAGCAGTAGATTGATAATTCGCGTAGAATGCTCGGAGGCGAGTGCTATTTTTGGCATCCCCCGTCATTCCACCACACACACACACACAAGTGCCTGCTCAGCCATGACAAGAGCCGAGTGTGCATTGCAGCTTGAGGTCTAGCAGAGCGGACAGGAGCGCACAATCCTTAACTGTGCGCACATGCCCGTGACATCCGTCCGCAAAATGCAGTGCGAGGTCATGGCCGTGCGACAAGGGGTTCAGCAGGCTTGACGCTTTGCCAACCTGTGACGCCCGTCAGGAGAACGCTGGCCCATGAAGAGTGCAGCGATCTGAGACGAGCTAGCATCAGTCCTGCAGGTCTGCGAGCATTGCTGTGCTAGTCGTCCATATCAGGGTTGAGATCCAAGTCGAACGTAAAGTCTTCGTCCGCTTGGGTGGGTTCCTGTCTTGCCGGCAGAGCCGTGCGCGGTGGTAGAGCTTCCCTCTCAATCTTCAGATCGATCATCTGTCCCTGTTGCATATCCGCCTGATCGGGCGCTTCTGCACTTGCCTGAGTCTGTGCAGCTGCCAATTGGGATTGCCTGAGCATTTGCTCGGTCGGCCATGGAAGTATAGATCCTCGCGGTGCTTCGCGAGCGGACAGGACAGCTTGTGCGGACTGGTCAGTCGTTGACGAACGGGGCGCAGATGAGGTATACGGTGCCAGGCGACGCGCCAGAGTGAGGATCTCCTCTGTTGTCAGATGCTCTGCATTCATGATGAGCCTGACCGAGCGCAACCGTTCAAGATCAGGCCTACCTGATGTCTTTGCCTGAGACACTGTCGTCCGACTCGCTTGAGCTGAGCGGATAGACCGCCGTAAGCTTGAGAGTGTCGTGCGAGCCGACCTGAGATCTGCACGCGCTTGCTCGTCTATGGCATCACGTCTGCGAACTGCTTCCTCGAGCTGATTGGACAGATCTGCGTGCTCCTGAGCCAGCCAGACCTGCTCGGCGAGCTCCTGGTCGAGTATGGCGAGCCGCGTGAGGATATCGTCGGTGGAGCGTGCAGGCTTCTGTTTGGCGGCTGGCGCTGCAAAGAGAAGTTGACTGAGACTGTGAGCTTCCTGCAGGCTCGACAGAAGCTGCTCCCGTATTGGCAGAGTGGATGTCATTTTGTCATTGCATCGTAAGTCCTTCGCGACACTCTGCGGCAGATCTGCAGACTTCAGCTTCCCACACCGGGCCCGATGCCTCTATCAAACAGGCGTTACCACACACTTCAGCGGAATCTGGATGGCGTGCTACAATCAGCCGCAGCGTAGGCAGGTAGTCTGAAACGAGTGGACTCTACACGCGTGCGACGAGTACTCAATCGTGCCGCAGCTGATCGCAGCTCGGTCGCGCACTCGGATGATGCGGGCACACCGAGTCGACTACATGCATACATAGTGTACATTGATACAGTCTAGCTTTGCTTTGCTGGATGCGACGGCGCGGGCAGAACAGCGGCTGCTAGCGCGTTGAGCGCGTGCTCGTAGTTGTGCGGCGAATGATCCTGTCTGGATGTCAGCAAAGCGTTTGCGGAGCAGGGCCGGACGTACCAGGAACATGCTCCTACCAAAGACTGGTTCTGAGAAGCGTTGAACGGGATCGAGGCATTCGCGCAAAAGCACGCGTGTACCCTCTTGAAAGCTCTTCTGGGCAGACCGTCCGTCGCTACCCTCCATGCTGTTCGATACAAAGACGGTGTGACATTCGATACAGAACACGTCACCTGGCGGCAGGAGCTTGTCGCTGTCGTTGCCCGCCCGCATCGTCTTCATCAGACTCCAGAGCCAGTCATTGAGCTCGGCATCGTCGCTCAGATCTCTTCCGACCAGCGCAGGATCTCTGTATCCCGCCTCGAGAGCTTTGTTGGATCCGCGACCGAGTTGCAGCTCGCGAGGCGTCATATCCACTTGGCGAGCTTCGTCATCGAGTTCGTGAGGCGAAAACCCAGAGCCAGATCCTGCAAACTCGTCTGCGGTAGGATATGTTTGGCCGTTCTTGCGCGCCTCTCGCTTAGCTTTGTATCGACGTTGATCTGTGCCAATGTCAGCGAAACATGTCATGACATCGAGCATCTGACTCACATAGTCCAACGACCCGCCCGACCACTTCCTCTGCCACTTTGCCTTCCTCATACAGCGAAGCAGCAACGTTCTTGAGATCTCTGAGTAGACCAAGCGATAGAGTTGGGACGATATCGAGATTGTGCACGACCGATGAGATCAAGCCTTTGGCATATGCCGCAAGATCGGGCGAGGCGACGCAAGGACAGCCATACGTATAGCAGTGCATTGGCCGTCCTGCTGGCAGTCCAGACGTAATTGCAGTGACGAATGGCGTCCCTAGAGTTGGATGAATAATCTTCTTGCCAGTCTTCAGGTGCGACTCGGCTGCCTGCGCTGTGAAGCGACTGGTAGGTGTGCCCCACAGCAGCGAAAGCAATGCGGCCACGCCTCCGCCCAAGCTGTGGCCACACAGTACCAAACCGTACGTGGGATGTTCCGCAAGTCCCTTGCGCAGGACTTCATGAATGATGCTCCCCTGATTCGCAAGCCGTGAGGCTGATTGGTACATGCCCTTGTGTGCAAAGTAGTGGGCGCCTTCCTCGCCCTCGGGCATCGTGACATCGATATAGTCAGCCGTCAGATCAGTCAAGATGTCACTGAGTCCAAGTGTGCCCCGACAAGTGAGCACGATTGCCTTGGCTTGATGATCGACGGTCACATAGTGCACCAGGGGGGCGTTCTCTGATGTGTCGAATGATGTTCCAGTGGTGAATGAAGAGAGTAAAATGTCATCGAGCGCCACTTCGACATGATTAGAAAAAGCGTAGTGATTCGCGTGATGGGATGCTGTTGATGGAAAGTTGAAACTGGTCGAGCCAATGCCAAAGATGCGCATAAAGTGTTGCCCGTACGCAGCTGAGGAATATCGTCCGAACCGTCGCAGGTTTGCCACCAGATGCGCATGTGGGAAGTTGGTCGGCTTGGGTTGTTGATCTGTAGCGTGCGATGTGCGAGTCTCAACATGAGAATGCGTGGTGTGAATGGACTGGGATGAGCCCGTGCTTCGTGCGGTCAATCTTGGCGTTGATGGTTCCGACAAGGCTTGTCGAGTATCTGCTTTGCGCGATGCGGGTAAGCGCAGGCCCGCCGCGAGGCCACCGTCACCCCTAGCCTTCTCGCTAGGAAATGGCTTCTTGCCGAAAGCAGGAACTTCGAGTGCTGATGAATGTATAGTAGCGACAGCCGGTGCGGTCCCTTCCGTACGTGGCGCTGTGTCAGGCTTCTGCCTTCGTCGACTCGAAGAACGCTTGCGAGTCGGCGAGACATTGAGCGATGTCTTGGCTGCATTGAATGCTTTCTGACTGGTGCTTGCGATGCGACCTGCTAGCGCCTTTTGACGAGGTGGACTGTTATCGTCGGCCTCATTAGTAGTGAGCTCGCGAATCTTGTCTGATTTGATACGGCTACCCTTGACAGGCGAAGCGGGCCTACTGGACTCTGGAGAAGTGAGATTGCTATTGCGGAAGGTACGCTTGCGTTGATGCAATTTGTTAGTGATGCTTTTGAGAACAATTTGAAGCTTCTTGCCGCTCTCTTCAGGATCGTCGACTGCTTCTTGGCGACACAGCATGGCGATGCTCGGACTGGGCTGCAAGCTACCGCCGAGACGATGACTGGCTTTGGAACGTAGCACAGAGACGTTGGGACTGTCTACGATCGACTGCATCTCCGTCCATTCTTCTCTGATATAGTCTTCGGTATCTTGTTCGGTATGTACTGCGTCGTCGCTGGTGCGACGAGCTTGCAGAGTCCCCCGCATATCTATGTTCCGACTGCTGAGGTGATTCAAGTCTGGGAGGCAGCCAGTACGCGGCAATCTGGACCGAGACGAAGGGGCGCCGTCTGTGCTCCCCAGAGGGACATGAGATCGAATTGTTGTAGTCGTCTGCGTCATGGTGGTCGTCTCAATCTCAAAGAGAGCATCAAAACGCGTCGATCGAACCAGCTTGACCTCTTCGCCATCGTCGCCATGCCGGCGTGAGACGAGCTCTAGACCATCAGGTATGGACTTGCCACGAGCTACTTCTGCAAGGGCACGCTTGACCTCGAGCAAGACCTCGCCCTCACCATCGTCGTCGGATCCGATGAGCTCTTCGAGGCCATGCATGATCTCCTCGTCATCTTCTGCGTCAATATCGACGATAGAGAGTGTCGAGCCTAATTGCGGCAATCGGCGCAACGTAGATGACCGCTCCAGACTCCTGCGCGAGCTGTATGACGTTGAGGGAGATACGATCTCGCTAGGTGCAGACTCGTCTTCCCATCTCCGATTTTGCTCATAGACCGACCGAATGTCGGTAAGTAGAATCTGGTCATCAGCAGAAGCCATTGTGCTTGCGCGATGGCTCCTCGTTGTGCCGTGATGACTTTTGAACGTGGACAAGGGTTCTAGGCGCGGACTTGTCCCCCGAACCGACGGAATGCGTTTATGCGGCGTGATGGGGGGCCATTGACTCGATATACTCTTCGAGATCGTATCTGCCTGTGTTGAACTGGCCTGCGCACCATTCACTGAGGTCGCGCTGCCCGTCAGGATATTCGAGCTGGCAGATTCGAGCACGACGGTGCAGTCGTACAGCATCTTCATCTTCATGCTTTCGACTGTCCGCTGGCGTGTAGCGGTTTGTAAGCAGGCGAAGGCCGTCAATGCCTTTGTCAGTGCTGCGACTGACGCAAGCACGCCCGCTTTTGCAGGCGAGAAGCGAGGATCTTGCGTCATCTCGCGTCTGACAAGTGTAATGATAGATGCCAGTGCGCGTGATCTGTGAACCAAAGTCAGCGTGATGTGAGATGATGCGCAGTGAGCTCACGTCTCTGTTGATCCGAAGATGCCGTCAATCATGCGTACTGACTCTTCGGCGGCCGAGAAGCCCGTCTTAAGACCCGTTGCGGTAAGATAGAAGCCCGACATAGCGAAAAGCTCCGCGAGCGTGAAGGAATGGTGAACAAAGTAGATGCCAAGGTTAGTCCATTTATCCAGCACGTTGAGGAATCCCTCCCTGGGTGGCGAACGCGATGCTCAGCATGTGACCACGCTAATACGGCAGGTTGCTCACGAAGGAACGTTGTCGCCGCCGTCCCAGCTTAGGCCCTCTTGCATGAAGTGTAGAGCCCGGGCACTACTGACGGCAGCGATGAGCGCTCTTCGGGTGACGCCCAGCCCTGTTGATGTCGTGCATCTTGCGCCTTCAAGCAGGGCTTCGAGCAAAAGCGCTGAAGCTCTGAGCGAGATCCTCGACGCGAGTGAGAGTGACGAGATGAGTTGAGCCAGGTTGGCAGGCAGCAACGTCGCATGCGCTAACGAATCGGAGAGCTCCTGCCTCGTCATTCGTTCCACAAGGTTGTTACGCAAGTCGACGTCGCTTTTGCTGAGCACTTCATCATCGACTGAAGCTCGTGGCGACAAGACGACAGACTTCTCCTGCTGGATCTCTGATCTGCTGTCCCTTTGAGACTCGGTGAAGCTGGGCAAGGATGCAGCAGATCTGTTGGCAGCACACTGAGCAGACTCGTGAACCGTCTCGCTGCTTGCTGTGCTTTTGGTAGACGAGCCCGAGCTTCGAGTGCCCAGAGCTGCAGCTGCGGCGGCAGCCACGAGTCCTCTGACGACGTTCATGGCGAGCTGTAGCCCGTTTCACGATCACTGGCGGCAGTATTGACAGACAATCTGAAGGCCAGTAGTGCGGATGACCTTTGCAGCAGCCATCAAAGGCGCGCGCAGCTCGAAGCAGGCAATCGCGAGCGCCTGCTCGAGGCTCCGGCAAAGGGTGTATATGGCTGCGCTCGCAAAGTCTACGTCGATATCTCGAGGATCTTTGAGCCGAGCTCAGAACAATTGTCGCCGCCGGCCAGCTGAACTGAGTTAATCAGGAGCGACGCGCTCGTGTCGATCTCTGCTTTCACGCATTCAAACAAATTCCGATTGGGAATGAAATCGGGGAGCAGCCGAAGAGCGATCTCAGCCGGCTCGACTAGCTTTCGACGCTTCGGCGTGTCATGAATGTTTGGCATTGGTGAACAACAGACAAAGACTTCGTGTGTACATGAGAGGAGGGCAGATGCGCAGATCGCATACCGCGAGTGCGATACTGCTCAATTGTCACTGAACAGCCGCGACAAGCAATGTTGCATGCTGTCCGACGGTCGGGCGACAGATTGCAACGCGTCGATCGGTGCCGCGATTGATTGGTCGACAGACAGTGAGTGGCATGTGTGTGACTTAGCCATCCATCTGCACGTCTTCCGAATCGGCCTTGTCCTGACTTGCAGCGTTGGCAGTTGAGCGTGCATTGGCCTGTACGTTATCGCCAAGCAGAGCGCGCAATTCGAGCTTGGGAAAGTCCGCACGGTTGGAGAGCATCTCCTCACCCCAGGCCATCATCTTGACCAGATGGGGTAGCTTCGGCGTCGGTCCATGAGATTGAGAGACGAGAATGGCCGCATTGACTTCGCCCGCTGTTCTTTGTCGCTGAGCGGGCAAGAGCAGCGATGAGATCTGCGCGGGTACGCCTTCTGATCTGAGCTTGTCCAGAAACGCATCGACGTCCGGAACGGCTTGAGGTAGATCGAAAGCGAGAAGAGCCATTGTTTTTTCGAGTTCGGCGAGAAACTCGGGATGCTCCTCTCCCCGAGGGGCGAGTTCGTCTTGGGCGAATTGTAGTGCGCTGGCGACTTGACCTTGCCTTATGAGCTCGATCAACCGTTGTTGCTGAAGGTGGAAGAAGAGCTCTGGGTTGGTGTCGAGGATCTGAGTAAGCGTCAGCCACAATGTCCCTGTGGCGCGCATTGACGCGCAGGAAAGAAAAGGGAGAGGGCGATCATATTGAAGACTGAAGTATGTTGTTGATTGTTCTCATCTCGAGACCTTTGTCAGGACTTATGAGTGGTGCATGAAACGATATAATCCTTTCGCGGGTGCAGAACAGTAGGAGTCAGGGGTAATCTGTGGCTTACCTCGGGATTCATGTCGTTGACCTTCTGTAAGGCTTCCTCGATGTCGCCACGCTGGATAGCTTGGCGGATGTGCAGTCGCTCTGCGATGGAGTCAAAATCGATGCGAGGAGCGATGCCAGACTCGCGACAGAAAGTCTGAGCGGCATCCTTGTAGCCTTCGACGACGAGGTAGTCCATGACGAGCCTGTTCAGATCACTACACGGGCTCAATGTCAGCGCCCCGATCAGATAGTCTGCCGGAGGAAGATATGCAGGGCAAAGTCAGATTAGAAAGAAATGTTGCGTCTCCTCAAGTCGTCCAGAGGGCGATCAGAGAGATTCCCACTTTCGTACAGAGTTTCATCGTTGGGTGAGGCAGAGTTCGATGGCATTGGGGATTATGTCGCTATTCTTGTGCACTCACTCTGGACTGATCTTGACCTCGCTCAACTGACGGTCCCATGCCTGAGGTGTGAATGTGATCCGCCTTGCTTGGGCAGGCGTAGCCGACTGTGCACCTCGTCAGCCACCGTGCAGTGTAGTCCGATGAGCTACACGCTTACCATCTGGCTAAAGCGTGCCTGAGCGGCTGCCTGATGACGTGCAGCAGCGAGCCAGACCAGTCGAAAAGCCGCGAGTCGCGATTTTATCGATCCTGGGTGACGAGCCAACGACGAAAAATGAGCTCAGAGGTGGTCTTTCAGGCACTCCAGACGCTGTACGAGAATCCAGACAGGGCAGCCAAGGACGCAGCGAACGAGTGGCTGCAAGCTTTTCAGCGCGAGGTGCGATGCCGAGCAGCAGATGAGCTGCGAGCAACGAGACTGATGATGAGCGCCCTCAGCCTAGCGCTTGGCAGACATGCAATGAGATCCTCGTCAATGCCGGCGCGCCAACTCAGGCTCGACTGTTCGCAGCTCAGTCTTTCAGGGCAAAGGCGCGTCACCTCGCCGTCGGCTGAGAAAAGAGACTGATCGTCACTCATTGGCCGAGCAGGTCATCCATGATCTCACCGACTTGGACACTGCCGCTCGCTTCGGCTTGCGGGATCTCTTATTGGGCACCCTGTCATCGCCCCAGCTCAACAAGGAGAAAGTCGTCGTGAGACAGATCGCGCTCGCTCTTGCTGCTCTTCTCCTTCAAACGCCCGAATGGCAAAATGCCGTTCAGTCAGTAATTGAGCAGCTGGGCGGGAGTGCGCAGACACTCGTCGCTTTGCTGATCTTCCTCACTGTTCTGCCGGAAGAAGCGACCAACAATTCTCGCCTCGTCATCAGCGTGAGTGGCGAGCTAGCATTGATAGATATCAAACTGATCGAATTAAGTAGAACGAGACCTACCGATCGCCAGAAGTCGTTGGTCAGATTCCAGCACTGCTTGCTAGCTATCATGCCCGTCCGGATGCGACGCTAGCCATCAAGACCCAATGCTTTGACTGTCTCGCCGCCTGGCTAAGGGCAGGTGAGATCCCGGCCCAGTCCGTTGTCGCGACGCCTATGTTTGGCTATCTCTTCGATTCGCTCAACGATTCTACAGTCTTTGACGAGAGCATACATACGCTTTGCGAACTTATCAACGAGACGCAAGAGGTGCAAGACAATACCCAAGTGATCCAGCAGATCTTACCCAGACTGCTCGCCCTACAAGGTCAGATGGAGGCCGACAAAGAGGACGACATGAAGATGCGAGGGTATGCTCAGCTACTCTCCGAAGCTGGCAGAGTGTATGCCAGTCTTATCTTGCACCATACCGAAGCTTTCATGCCGCTCGTCAACCTCATCTTGCAGTGCGCTGCCTATCATGAGCTGGAAGTCGTCAGCAAGACCTTCGAATTTTGGTACTACCTACAGCGAGTCCTGAGTCCGCACGTCGCACAAGCCTCGGTACAGCCTCTCGTAGAAGCATACAGAACGCTCGTCGGCTATATCGTCAGGCACTTACATTTCCCCGCCGATGAGGACTCGGTCACTGCCGAGGAGCTCGACGAATTCAGAGAATTCCGACACCACATTGGCAATACGCTCAAGGATTGCTGCTCCATACTGACGCCTTCGGTCGGATTGAAGCAGGTGTATGACATGGTCGCGTCGGCCGTGGCCAGTGGCTCGGCGCCGTGGCAGAGCATCGAGGCTCCTCTCTTCTCCATGCGCTCGATGGGCGCTCAAGTGCCCAATAATGAAGAAACTGTGCTTCCCTTGATCATGGATATGCTGCCAAATCTGCCTGCTCATCCTAAAATCAAATATGCGACCATTCTCGTCATCTCGCGCTACACCGAATGGATCGCAGCTCATCCCCAGTACCTCGCCTTTCAGCTCACCTACATCTCATCTGGCTTCAGTGACGCAGAGACGAGGGTGTGGCTCGCCAGCGCCCAAGCCATGCAAAACTTGTGCAAAGATTGTAGCCAGGCAAGTCGGGCCACCTCTGCTTTCCGATCGTGCTCACATGGATAAGGCAGCACCTGATTCCCTATTTACCTCAGCTGCATACCTTCTTGACGGATGTCGGACCCAATCTAGATCCGGCTGACTACGCAGAACTCACAGAAGGCGTTGCTCATGTCGTGGCTGCAATGCCTCCGCAAGAAGCCATTGCTGCCATGCCCATGTTTTGTATGCCGATGCTCGAGCAACTTCATACGATTGCAGCGCAGCCTGGAACGGCCACAAAGGCTCAGATGACCGCCGTGTCTGGTCAGCATTGCTGCCTTCTGGTTCTTTTGCATTCGCTTATATACCATACGCAGATATATTGGCCAGATTGGACGCTTTCTTGCTCGTTTGCTCCGAGCTGAGTCCCGAGCTTCCAATCGCGTGCGAAAAAACATGCGCGGAAGCATGGACAGTCATCGAGTCTCTACTCGATAAGTATGGCGAGTCGACCCAAGTCGTCGAACGCTCCTGCGCAGTCATACGTCGATCAATGCTATTTTTCGGCACACGCTTTCATCCTATCGCACCTCGCGTCATCATGTCCATGGCCACACGGTTTCAAAAGTCAGGTTTTTCGTCGTACATGTGGATCAGCAGCAAGGCGCCCGAGATGCTCAAAAGCGTCAACAGCCAAAGCTTTCGCGAGATCTACATGCAAGCTTTCAATCTTGAGACGGCAAAGGTGACTGCAATCCTAGGCGAAGTCGAGCTCAGGTCGATACCGGATGGTCGGTGATCTGCAGCTTCAGTCAGGATCGTGCTAATGCTTCTCGATACAGTCTTTGAAGATTACCTTGCGTTGGTATCCGAGACACTGCGCCACACTCCTGACATTCTGCTGTCTTCGCCGGAGCTGCCCAGGATCCTTGCCATCGTCGTGGCGGCATTCACGCTGCCTGCACCGGCCGTTGTCTACAAAGCCACCGATCTGGCGCTAGACATTATAGGCCACGAGTCACTTGCGCCTTCAGATCCCAGCCATGCAGCATACGGTCAAGCTATCCATGGAGCTATTGTGGCTATCGGCCCTACACTCACGGCAGGTCTCTTGCTCGGATTGACGGGCGATTTTGAGGACTTTTCGACGGCCATCACGATCTGCCGCATCATGGCTCAACGCTTTCCAGCTGAGTTCGCAGGCTGGGTCAGCACCGGTCTGCAATCGGTACCGCAAAAGGTCTTGCCCGTTCAAGATCGAGCTCAATTTAGCGAGCGCTTCGGTACCGCCATGGGCAATCAGAACCTCAGCGGTGTGCGCGATGCATTCATGACCTTGGCGAGAGCGACGAAGAAGGCAAAGGCAAGAGAAGCGATGCAAGTGCGGCTTAATGCCAACGAGGACTGAAGGTGCATACAACAACATCACGTGCAAGCGGGCTGACAGATCACCTGTCGAACGAGGAGATATCGAATGGCCTGACAAAGCCTTCGTAGGCCGACATGTGTGCTTCGCCCTCGCTCAGGGTCACGCGTCGCTGCCGACCCAGCTTCGTCTTGACCTTGTTCAGCACCCGACGCCGTCTACTGCTCGGCTCTGGTTCTGCTGGCTCGCCTGCCTCGATACCTATATCCTCGATAGCTGCCAAGAAGGAGAGCAAGGGCTTGGGCACGTTGACCCTGAAAGCCTTGCTGCGAGTGTCGATAGCTTCCTCACGAAGTTGTTCGAGCGTCTCTGCTAGAGCGTCGAGCGACAGGGGCAGATCGTAGGTAAATCCTAGCAGAGCAAAATCGAGCAATTGATGATCCGGTGAGCAATTTGGCGTGAATGCAAGCTGCTGTGTCGGACTAGCGCGTGCCGTTGGGTCTGCTTGGATACGACAAGCGATCCTCTTCAGATATCGATTGCATTCGATACCGAGCTTAACCTGGAAAGGTGCGTGACCGTTCCCTGAGGATTCCACGGCCAGGATCTGGCGTTCGGCGTGCCTGGATACAAGCACTCTGTTGAGCATGAGTCGCTGATCATATGCAGCTGGCTTACCAGTAGAGACCTCGCAGCAATGCAGCATAACTTCGTGCTTCGAGCACGAGCACTGAGTCTGCTGGATCTGAGCGGGAGAGGAAGATCTGATCGTTCACAATGGACGTTGGCACCTCGTCGCCGTTGGGCCGACGATAGATGACGCGCAAACGTTCGTCAGTAGGTAAGGTCGCCTCGGCAGTGCCATCCATATAGTCCTGAGCAGCGTTGCGATCTTGAGGGCCTACCGCCACGCCATGTGCAGATTCTCGTGTAGACCTTATAGAACTGCGTCTGGATCGAACTGATTCTCGTGTAGACTTGATCGAACCTTTTGCTGATCTGATGGACGCTGTGTCCCGCTCGGAGGCAAGATCCTTGTGATGAGATTCATTGTCTGCCAACGTCGTGTCCTGCGAGGCGCCTGCGTTCGAGCTGCCGACGTGCGAAGCGTAGTCAGGCTCTTCGATCTCTTCAATTGCGGACAGCGGCGGCACTGCGCTAGCTGTCCCACTTTCGTCTCCCGATGCGAGGTGCCTATCATCGAAGGGATCTGAGCCGGACTCGCTGACGACCTCTTGCGTTTGATCTGAGTATTCCTGCTGCGCTTCTTCCGCTCGTGGTGTGGTCGGTCTCGACTCGCCGTCGTCGTCACCGTTGTCGTCGACATCGTCTGTATCGTCCTCTGGTCTCTCGGCTGCTTCACTGATCGGGATCGGCGGCGGGAGCCGCGATGGAGCTTGAGTGGGGCTTGTGTGTGTGCTGGATCGTACTTCGACGTCGCGCAGCTCAGGACTGCTCTCTGCGCTCTGATCTGTGACCAGCGGCGATGCAGTCGATGGCGGCGACGCACGGGCAACAGGGTCGGCAGATGGTATATCTTTGCTAGGCGAGAAGCTGACGGGGGTAGAGGAGCCTGGAATGGGTGGCAAACGCCGAGCTGTCCGGGTAGACCTAGGTGAACTCATGACCGCAGATAGCGGCGAAGCAGGCGTAACGAAGTTCTGTGTCTGGATCGACAGAGGACCATTGCCTTCGTATGCAGGTGGCGGCTCGAAAGATGACATGTCTGTTTGAGCAGAACCAAATGGATCGCGTCGGCTGTCCTGCTGTCTTGATGCTTCTCGGACCGGAATAGGCGCGCGTTGAGGAAACAACGGCGCCGATTGTGCTGAATGGCTCGTATGATCTGTACGGGCTATCCGGCTAGCCGAGCCCGTCATGGCTTCCTCGAGAGCAGCTTTGCGAGCACGCTCTTCGGCAAGACTAGCCTCGATGGCAGCTTTCAGCTCAGCATCGTCATCATCAGTGCCATTTGATCGCGCCAGCGAATGTGACTTCGACGGGCGACTAGATTGTCTGCGGCGGATCTGCTCAGCCCTTCGGTGTTCTTCCCACTGCGCAGATTCTCTTGCGCTCTGCTCGAGAGCGCGACGCTCGTCTGCTGCTTCCTTTGCCTCTCGCTCGCTCTGCGCCCGTGCTTGCTCGAGTACTCGTCTCTCCTCTGTCTCCTCTGCTTGTCTGATGGCAAGAGACTCTTTCTCTGCTTCTTCGAGCCATTTCTGTGCATTCGTCTTCGGTCAGCACGTGCAGGACTGCAGACTCAAGCTCAACTGACCCTCTCTTGCTCTGCACGTGCTCGATCGCTGTCGAATGCCTGTTGTGATTCGCGGATAGCTCGCTCGAGATCGTCATCCTTTGGCATATGCTGCACAGACTGGGCGCTCGTCGGTCTCGAAGGATGCGCACGATGAGGCGAAGCAGTGCCCGAGCGGCTCACATGTCGCTCATTCGTAGGCTGGGCATTGTGCGGTCTCCTCGCAATGGGCGCAGGTGTATTAGATGGCGAGTGATACGAATGTGCGTGCTGTGTCGTCGGTCGCTGGGCCTGTGGCTGGTGTGGAGGCTGATAGTGTCTGTCATTGATGACATGTGGGGGCCCACTGCGTCGAGGAGCGCCTGGATCTGCAAAATCGGCGGCTGAGGCTGCCACGCCTGCATAGGGATCCTTGGGTGTCCATACGCCTGGCTTGGGTATCCAGCTCATCCCTCTGCAGCTGATTGTTGGCGTCCTCAATGCTCGCTGCACCGCGCGCGCAAGGAAGAGAGAGGGGCACGGGGCATCGTCATCATCTCGACCGAGCGGCCGAGGTAGTTGTCAAGTGTGATCGGAGTCCAGCCAGCAAGCATTCGATGCGAGCTACTGCACGGCTACAGTCGTTGGCTCGCTCACTGACACAGGCACCTCGCGCCACACGCATGGCGTCTTCATCAGCTTCAGACACGCCTGCATTCGAGCGCTCCCCCGTACCGAGCGGGAATCCGCTCGGCGAAGGACGCCATGTCACTTCGGCCGCATGCCTGATCATCGGCGACGAGGTGCTGAACGGCAAGACGCACGACTCGAATTCTAACTTTCTTGCGAAACAGCTCTTCGATCTGGGCATATCGCTGAAGGAGGTGAGCGCGATGCGGACCGGCAAGTCAGCTCAGCTCAGCTCTGAAGCTCTCGTGACAGATCCAAGTCATACCCGATGAAGAGGAGAGGATCATTGAGGCGGCTAAGCGGATGACGGCTTCCTATGATCTTGTTGTGACGAGTGGTGGCATCGGTCCGACACATGATGACATTACATACGATAGCATGGCGAAAGCATTCGGCGTCGAACTCAAATATCACGACGAGACAATTCATAGGATGTACGAGATGGGCAAGAAGAGATATGCAGAGCAGAAACAGACAGAGGAGCAAATGCAAGCCCGCAAGAGGATGGCGCTCTTGCCCAATCCAGCAGAAGTGCTGTTCGTCCAGCCTGACTTGTGGGTGCCCATCGTTAGGCTAGGCGGAAAGCTTTGCATCCTGCCTGGCGTACCGAGACTGTTTCAGCAATTGACGATCGGTCTGCTGCGATACCTGCCGCTGCCGCCCAGTGACATGAAGCCATACAGACACCTCATCCACACCAAGCAGCCAGAAAGCAGTATCGCGCCTTTCCTGACTTCCCTGCAAAATCGCGTCAAAGAGGAAGGTATCAGCGTGGGCAGTTATCCAAAACTGTTGGCCGGCGTCGATGTCTCACTTATAGGTAAAGACCTGGCGCGATTGCAAGAGCTCGGGCAAGAAGTTGTGAAGGAACTAGATGGCAAGGTCGTCGCAGAGGGCAGAGTGGGCGAAGAAAAAGACCTCAAGTAGCAACGCTCAGCATGGCATGTTTGTGCGCAAATGTATTGCATTCGCTGCGCTGCGAAGACAACAAGACCGTGTAAAATCATACAGTGAGCGTGTTCGAGATTAAGCACAAGTGTGTGATTGCGATGTATGCGTCGATGCCTTTTGAGTGTGATGTAACGATGCTTATGTCAAAGTTGAGAAGCCGACACGATTAGCTGAAGCATCAAAGGTAGTATAGACGCCCTTCATGAAAGTATCGCCGACGATCCATGCGTTCATGCCGACGTCTTGGCCGACGATGGCACCGACACATCGACCAGAGCCTGGGCTTGTCGCGCCAAGATTGAGATCGTCAGCCTTGATGTTCCACTTCTTGCCAGAGTCAAACTGGAACGAGACTGTAGGTGGCGAATCGCAAGGGAAGGTGTAGTAGCCGTTGTTGTAGACACCGGAGTCGGGTACTTGCGCCCAGAAGGAGCTAGCATCGGCAGTTGGTGCTACGATGACGGTGGTACCTGAATCGATGATGGCGTAGATGCCAGATGCGGCTTGAGTCTTGTTGATGTATACATTGGAGTTGAGAACCCAGTAAGATTGCGACTGTACGCTGTGCCATTCGATCGCGCCCGAGTAATGCGCAGAGTTGGCACCGCCGAGGTAGAGCTCCGAGCCTCCGCCACTAGCAAGCTTGAAGGAGAACTGGGGGCTCTTCGTCTTGCCTTCAGAGACGAGGTTGAAGAAGAAAGGTGGTACGTTGAGCGTGGAGATGGCCTGGAAGCCCATGCCCATAATGCCATCCATAGGATCGTCGGACCATTCCGAGGAGAGTGTCGCAGCAGCGCCGAAGGTCTGCTTGGCCACTGTCAGGCCTGCGACAGTGACGGTGTCGGTGAAGACGCTGCCGGTTGTGCTCGAGCCGTCACCATATTGTACGTTAAGCTGATTGCCAGGTACGAGGCTGGAAGTGCTCGAGGCACCGTCGTCGTACTTGTTGTGCGACGAGCATGCAGAAGTAGTGCAGTTGCTGGAGGGGATCCAGAAGTCGGCGCTGCCGGTATCGAAATCGATCACGAATGACTGAGGTGGTGTACCGATAGTCACTGGGCCAGCCCACACTGTCAATTGTAAGAGTCAGCTTATGCCCTGTCAGATGAAGCTTTGAAGCGTACATAGATCGTTGTTATAATCTTTCAGGGCAATGCCACCAGCGCGAACCGAAGTGGCAGAGAGCTCATCGCCGGTGGAAGCGGCAGCATTCGCGCGTTGCTTTGCGTGTGCGACCTTGGGGTTGGCAGAGCCAGGCTTGGCTTTGAGCGCGAAGGCTTCCTCGATCGTCGGCAGGTACTCGTCGTCCACGAGTGAACGTCGCATCTCGTGTGCGGCGAGATGAGCAGAGCGACGTTCGAGATCCTCTGCTCTTTTGGCGAGCTCTCGCTTGCTGAGAGCAGGCGCGTCGAGCAGTCTGTCACCAGAGTTGATCTGGTAGGCGACAATGCCCTTTTGGTACTTTACAAAGTTGCGAGACAGATGGCTCTGTATACCCATGCTTTAGCAATGGTCCACGGAAGTGACCAAGCGATAGACTGACCTGAGTAGCAGACCAGTCGATCGTGCCATCTTCTTTGGTAAGGGGCTTGTAGCTGCGCTTGAAGAGAGGGATGGAGATGCCCTCATCTGATGTAGGGGGTGCAACAATGTTGAGCGGCTCTGGTACAGCAGACGCAGCAGGTCGAGCGGAGGTCGAGGGCAGCAGGGCAAGGGCGGCCAAGCCCGAGACTGCAGCTGAGATGAACATGCTGAGTGATCAGTGATTCGCAAGTAGGGAGATGCGACTGTATGTGCGTGCGTGTGTTGATGTAGTCGACAAGGTGTGCTTGTGTGTATACAAAGGACTGCACTGCTTCTTGTAGTCGAACAAGACTTGACAGAGTCGAGACGAGAGCTGAACGCTGTTGAAGAGACAAGACCTTAAGAAGGACGAAGCAAACCAAGTCAGCAGATGTCAAGCGCAATTTGCATGACGTCGTCTGCGAAGCACTGGTCAGACGCTCTCAGCTGGTCACTGTTTGTCCGCATCTGTCCAAGATGATCAACAAACTCGTTGCATTTGTCCAACCTACAAGCGGGCCATTCTAGCCTGCGCCTTCTCAGCGAAACTCTGCCTGGCATTGCCATATTCGTGCCACGTTTCTATAGTCCTGGTCAGACGACTGCCATTCGCGGATTCTGTGACATCGAGATGGCGCGCGTACGCGAATGGAAATTTTGCTTACGTGTCAGTTCGCTAGATGACATCGTGTAATTTCCCCGCGAGGAGCGGCGGAGAAAAAGGCAATCGTTATCATTGCAGTCTTGCCCGACAGACGTCGTTTGGCTTGCTGCCATGTCGCTGGAGTCTTGGGTGGCGTCTTGCGTCGATCACACGTAGACGGCCGACGAGCGGCTCGTCCTGACGCTGCAGTGTTGTGTGGAGCTTCGCCAGGCTTGTTCAAGAGACTTTGTTGTGAAGCTCCCATAAGATGACATCGGCCCAAAGAACTGCATTGGCGGGGCTGTATGCGCGCTGACCACTGAGCAGGGCACCGCTTTCGTCGAGGATGATCCGCTCTGAGATAGCGGGCTTGATGTGCTTGTGAATGGCATCGATAGTGTACCTCATAGCAGAGTCAATCGCCATACTCGTACTGTCGTCTCTTGGTAGAGAGCGGGCAAGCACAATTGGCGAGCCTTCGAAGGACTTGGCCAGTCGTATCAGAATCGTCTGAAGTGAATTAATCCATGCGCCGAGCCGCTCCGTTATGCCTGCATCGTCACCTTCTGGTAGTAGCGCATCCCATACGCTCGCGCCCAGCTCAACGAGATCGACTTTTAGGTCGCGCTGCCACCGCTTGGCTAGGTTTGCATGCAGCGGCAGCAGTATTGCTGCGATGCGGTCCTCTGCCGCTACAGGAGGGTACCAACCTCGAACGGTATAATCTTGCTCTCTGCAGCGAACGTCAGCGTTGGTCCGGTTCCGCTTATCTCGCCATACTCCTCAATGAGGCCGAAATGAGAAACTGCCATCATGAGCAGCTCATAGCGCTCAACGTAGCAAGAGATCGGGGCAGTAGCGGTGTCCTTGCCGAAAGAAGCAGAGTTTGCCCATCCCGATCCTTCGATGGCAGGTGTCAAGCTGTTGTCTGGCAGATAGGTCTCCATGGAGCCGTTCGCGTGCTCGCAAAAGTACTCGAGATTCGCTCGGTCTTGCCTGGTGCCCAGGATCATGATAGTTCGATCTCTGAGCCAAGCGAGACTGGCATCCGTCCTGCTTGTGTTGAGAGAAGCCACGATGGATCGAGGCTGGCATGCGTCGTCGTAGGGCTCCCATCTTGTGCCAAAATAGCTCGGCCTATCGACAATCAAGCGACCAGGGAGTCGATATGGGTCGCACTTTGCTTTACGCCGGGCAGCAGCCTTGTAGCCCTGCTTCGGTCGTGCTTCACCCTTGCCGAGAAAGGAAAATCCGAGGAACCCGATTGCGCCGAGTGCAAGGGCTACAAGCAAGGCATAGCGTGCTCGTGCATCAAGCTTGACTGTGCGTCGTGGATGTTGCTGAGATCTGCCAATACGTTCGTAGCGAGAGACCATTCACTCGACAGCGCCGCTTCTGCCAGACTAGCCGAGAAGGTTGACCTCTTACAACGAGGGTCGGCCTCGGCGTCGTCGCGCCTGGAGAGAAAGCGAAAGCAGGCTCGAGCTTGACAGCATGGCAGGCGGACATGGCGGCTATGGCGAGCTAGTATCATGCTCTAGAGGGCATCGGCTGACTGACCTGCGCATGGCAGATCCGATACACCGTGACCCAGGCTTGGAGGCTTGGACTCGGATGAAGAATTCGGTCTACACGACCTTCAAGTTCACTCCGAGGACGACGAAGCTCACTCTTTTCTGGGGCATCTTTGTACCCTGCTTGACCTACTCGATGGCTGTCACCAATGCGGCAAGTGTACGGATCGTCACAGGTGACAAGCGCTGACTTGACACGCACAGAACGTCTATGACTGGGCGGGCAAGCGCCGTGATGAGGGCCTGTTGAGGATACCTGCCCCTTCTGCGCCTGCCAAAGACGGTGAAGAGGAAGAGTAGATGCGCATTGTACAGCCAGCCTCACGAGAGGGTCTTGCATTACTTTGACAAAGGGCACAACTATGAGCTTGGCTTGGGCTGTTCCTCTTCGTCCTGAGCCATGCTGAGCGCTATCGCTCTTGCGATCTGGGCTTCCTCTGAATCATCATCTTCATCCATTCCGTCAGCCAGCGCAGTTCCGTCGTGGTCACCATTGCCCATTTCGACATCATCGCCCCGAGACAGCGCAATGGCTCGCGCAAGTTCGTCGTCCTCGTCATCGTTCGCGAGGGTTGATCCTGTCTGCGCATTGGCAGGCGCTGGTGCGGACGCGGGTGTGGCGGCATGCGCGTCTGTTTCTGTCGGACCTGCAGTGGCCGGTGCGCTTTCGCTGATCGAGTCTAGTGCAGGCGCTGCTGAGGATGCAGGCGCCTCTCTCGCTCTTGCTTCCTCGAGTGACATTCGCAGAGCCTGTCCAAGTGTCAACGATGGGCATGACCTCAGGAATTTCCGCGCACCAGGGCGAGCTCTGGATCGAGATTGGGATCGATACCGAATTCATCGTCACCCGCGCCGGTACCTGTCGTGCCGCTCGGTCCCGCGCCTCCGCCAAAGCTGTCCCGCTCTAGTATTGGCGAAGAGATGATGACGTCTGAGAGCAGTCTGCCGCTCGGCTCGGCATGTAGCAGATGGCTGCTCATCAATTGAGCTCTGTTGACACGAACATACGCGTACGCGTACCTCGGATGATTGTCGCCGCTATGGACTGCTTCGATGAATGCCTTGAGCTTCTCATCATTTTCTTCGCCTTCACCAAAAGATACGATGTCGACTGCAATGTTGTTCTTGCGCATCTTCTTGCCTAATCGAACGAGAGCAGATGATGTACATGAAGCATGAGCTAATGGAGATCCGACGAAAGCGACGATTCTCTGCTGTTGCGATTTGTTCTGTCTGTGTTTCAAAGCAAGCTGTAAATCTCATCACAGTCAGCTGCTATGTGCGCTGACACGATTTGAGGCTCACTGAAGCGACATTTATGCCCGTAGCCAGATCAATCTCGCCGTCCAGACTTTCTTTGGCTGAATGCAAAGCTACAGTGATCTTGCCGATGTCCTCTGTGGGCGTGACGAGGACTTTCGGCGCTTTGCCTGCCATCGTCATCAAGCCACACACAGACTCGGGATTGCTGTTCGTCTTTGCGTTGAAGATGGTCGTCGCTGCATCTGATTGTGCACCGAAACGATCGGGTGTGTAGTCTCCATTGATCGCATAGGACGAGTTGTCCAGCCTGCGCAGCAGTCAGCACAAGTCTCGCTGAGCTCAGCGTCTACGCACACGATCATACAAGCCTCGAGCGGCATCTCGTTTTTGAGCTTGGCTTGCGCGCTCACACGGACAAGCGCGACCTATGACGCTGACTGTTGCACTCGTGGCTCGTCCATCAAAGCAAAGCGTTATACAACAGGCCGTTGAGGCTGATTGTGCAAGCAACCGGTAGGACAGGTGCTTGCGTTTTGTCGTGCGTTGAATGCGAGAGCTCGAAAGCTGCTGTCTATGAGAGGCCGATGATCTGTCCATCGGCTGTAAGGTCTTGGTCGAAGAATCCAGGCCGCGTGCTGAGACCGGGCAAGGTCTGTCATACTCGTAAGCTGCTGCTGCATCGATCGAAACGAGCCTCCGACTCACCTGCATTGTACCCACGAGAGGGTAGAGGAACTCGGCACCGGCAGCGAGCTTGATCTCACGGATTGGAAGCGTAAAGCCTGTGGGCGCGCCTTTCTTACTCGGATCGTCCGAGAAGGAGTATTGCGTCTTCGCCATACAGATCGGCAAGTTGGCAAAGCCTTGCTGAGTATATTGCTCGATTTGTTTTTCTGCTTCTGCAGAGTATGATACGCCATCTGCGCCATACATCTCGACGGCGATTGCGCTGATCTTGTCCTTGATGGGTATGTCGAGCTCGTACAAGAACTTGAACGGATTTGGCTCTTTGCAAGAATCGATGACGGCGTTGGCGAGTTCGACGGCTCCCTTGCCACCTTCTGCCCAGTGATTCGAGGGAACGGCAGCATCTGCGCCTGCTTCGAGCGCCTTTTGCTTGACGAGGGCAATCTCTGCTTCGGTATCATTGCTGCAGCGCACATCAGTATGGGTATGCAGGGGTCGTGGGCGACCTACGTGAAGCGGTTGATGGCAACGATCACGCGAACGCCCATCTTGCGGGCGTTGCTGATGTGCTTGGCCAAGTTGACACAGCCCGCACCCAGAATGTCCAGGTTCTCATTGAGGTACACATCCGAGAGTGGCTTGCCGGGCGAGACTTCGGGTCCACCGCCGTGCATCTTGAGCGCGCGTATCGTCGCGACAATGACGACCGCATTGGGATGAAGTCCGCTGACTCTGCACTTGATGTTGCAGAACTTTTCCATACCAATGTCTGCACCAAAGCCGGCTTCAGTGATCACATAGCCATAATTCTCCTCTGGTTCTCCTTCTTCGATACCAGCGAGCTTTAGCGCGACCTTGTCTGCAATAATGGACGAATTGCCGTGTGCGATATTTGCAAAAGGACCAGCATGAACAAAGACGGGAGTGCCTTCGAGCGTCTGCATAAGATTTGGCTTGATGGCATCCTTCATCAGGATGGCGAGCGAGCCTGTGACGCCGATGTCGTCAGCAGTAATGGGTTCGCCAGACTTGCTATCCGCTACGACCATGCGACCGAGGCGCTCCTTCATGTCTTGCAGATCGTTGGCAAGAGCAAGAACGGCCATACACTCGCTCGCGACGGCAATATCGAATCCAGTCCTGCGCGTGAAGCCCTTTTCGGTAGGCGCAAGACCAGTGTCAATGACGCGCAGATAGCGATCATTTGTGTCGACGACGCGGTGCCAAGTCACAGATTCCGGATTGATATCCAAACGCGCAAATTTGCTTGCTTCTGCCTCGGTGAGATCGTCGGGATTCGTCTTGTCGATGCCGAGCTTCTTGAGTCGTCTGAGCATAATGGGCGCAAAGGTGCGCACACCCTTCTTCGCAGGACACAAGCGGTTGAACAGAGCTTTGTCGGATTGGGTCGACTCATGGAAATATCGAGCATCAATCGCAGCGGCAAGCAAGTTGTTGGCCGCAGAGACAGCATGAATGTCGCCCGTGAGATGTAAGTTGAATTCATCCATGGGTATGACTTGGGAATATCCGCCGCCTGCAGCACCGCCTTTGATGCCGAAAGTAGGCCCTTGACTTGGCTGTCGGACGTTTGCAAAGGCGACTTTGCCGAGATGCGCGCCGAGTGCTTGCGCCAGGCCCATGGTCGTCGTCGACTTGCCTTCGCCCAGTGGTGTAGGTGTGATGCCCGCAACAACGATGTATTTGCCATTCTTGCGGTGCTCTAGTCGCTTAAGAATGCCCAGGTCGACCTTGGCCTTGTACTGACCGTACAGCTCGAGTTCCGAAGGTGAGACACCAATCTCTGCAGCCAGAGTGGCGACCGGCTTCGGCGTCTGGGCCATGGCGATTTCGATATCGCTCGGAACCTTTTCAAGCAGCTTGAGACGAAGAGGCTTGACCGTACGTTGCAGCGATTTCGCGTGGAAGCGTTCAGCAGAGGTGAGCGCGTTCTTCATGAGCACCGCGACCGTCATAGGGCCAACACCGCCAGGTACAGGCGTGATATGGCTTGCAACTTTACTCGCCGACTCAAAGTCGACATCGCCGACGAGACGCTGACCCGATTTCTTGGAATCATCTTTGACAAAGTTGGTACCGACGTCGATGACGATCGCGCCCGGCTTAAGCCATTCGCCCTTGACGAAGTGAGGCTTGCCGATTGCAGCGACGACAATGTCAGCTTGCTGGACTAGACCTTGCAAGTTCTTCGTCTGAGAATGACACTGCGTAACCGTAACATCTTTGCGACGCAGTAGCGCGCAAACGGGCGAGCCGACAATGTCGCTGCGGCCCAGTACGACAGCGTGAAGACCGGCGAGCTTGACACCGGTAGATTCGAGCAAGAGCATGACGCCGGCTGGTGTGCAGGGAGGAAACAGTGGCTCGGAGGCGCGTGATGAGAGCAGTCCAATGTTGTAGGCATGAAAGCCGTCGACATCCTTGTTGGGGCTGACTGCCTCTGTGATGCGTCGCTCTCCGTCGCGTCCGATGTTTTCGCTAAGCGGAAGCTGAACGAGCAAGCCATGGATGTTCTCGGTAGCATTGAGTCGCTCAACCGCTTTGATTACGTCCTCCTCTGTCGTGGTAGCTTCGTCTGGCAAGATCTGATGCTGGAATGCGATACCGGCCTCTTGCGCGGCTTTCTCTTTCATGCGAACGTACGTCGATGAGTCAGGTCGATCGCCCTGCTGTATGATGGCCAAGCCAGGCGCAAAGCGAGGGTAAGTCTGCCTAATCTCTGCAATGCGCTTGGCGATGTCCTCTCGTATAGATCTGCTCTTTCCCGTCAGCTAGGCAGGCGCCGATATGCAGTTGCAGCTGACTTTGCGAGCGCTGTGCCATCTATGATCTTGGCACCGCCACTGTCGGAAGCGTTGGGCGCCATACCGCGAGTGTCTCTGCTGACTGCCTCTTGAACGATGGGATGAAGAGTCGACCTGAGCTGCTTTTCGCGCCAAAAATTCGCAGAGCTCCTGATAGCGCGCGTGCTGACGAGTGTCGCAGTACGGCTAGTCTGAAGATTGTGACGAGATGCCAATCGGATTTGGCGAGCGATTGAGTGCAGTCGCCGACCGCTAGCAAGCATAAGCGGGGCTGCTCGAGTCGTCGTCCTCGAAAAGTGCAGAGTGATCGGCCGAGACACGTGTCGGTCTAGGAAAACCCTTGACGAGCTTAACGAGGCCATTGCCGCCTTGCAAAGCTATTGCGTTCCGCACGGCTGGTGCGATCGCGAGCCTGACAGGCAGTGGTCAGACAGCAGAGGCCGCGTAGAGTATCGATCAGCGCTGCGACACTGGGCAGAAGAAGCTGCCTGACAACTCAGCAGGGGGTCGGCTTCTTCCGACTCGGCCGACTCCACACCAAAGCGCCTTTCTCGCCCGTAAGAGTCAAGCAAAGTCACAGGATACATCTCCAGATTGCACGCTACACACGCTAGGCTAGATTGCTGATCACGCATTGGGCATCGTCACCGGTCAAAGCGTCCAGCTGCGGAAAAGGGTCAGAGCGAGCGTGGACCAACATGGCAATCCCTGCCGCTGCAAACGGATTGACCTCGCCTGTCCGTGGTTCAGCGCTCCCGAGACCTGTGTCAATCATGTCAGCTTCGAGCGCCTCGTCTAGCGGACTCGTGCAAGCGGCAACCACCTTGACAAGCCCGAGCATGTCGACCACCTCCACCTTTGCGACTGCAGGCGCAGAGACTCCTTTGAATAGCACGCGAGCCTCCTCGCCTTCTGCTTTGCTACCCTCGCCAGCGCTCAAGAGCGGTTCTGCGGCACCGTCTATGGCTCGTGCCATGACCTCTGCAGGAGGCACGTCTGTTCAGGTCATCTTGCGAGTGAGACCTGCCATCGTCGAGAGTGCCAACTTTGCGCACACGCCGTCAAGGCAGGATCGCGTCGTCGTCTACCCTCTACCGGGCGCGACATCTCTCACCGTCGATGCCACACCTGTCAGCGCGACGTCCGCAGTGACCAGCTCGCCTTTGAGTTCTGCGCGATCCAGCGGTCTCACAAGCGCTGCTGGACCGCCCAAACAATCTTTCACTTTCGATCGCGTCTTGGGACCCGAGTCAAGTCAGACGGACGTCTTTGCGACCTTTGAGCATCTCATCGACTTTTTCCTACAAGGCTACAACGTGACCGTGCTTGCCTACGGCCAGACAGCGTCTGGCAAGAGTTTCACAATGGGCACAGAGGACAAGCCAATGTCCGAGCTCGTGTCAGATCATGCTGGCCTTGGTCTCGTACCTCGCGCCGTGAGAGCCATCTTTGACCGTATTGCCGAGCTGCGCGCGACCACAAGACCCAAGGATAGCTTCCAGATCAAGAACAGCTATATCGAACTCTACAACGAGGACATGATCGACTTGTTGAGCGGGGACATACCGGTATGTCCATGCGGCGCAGAGCGTGCATAGGTTGATCTGACAATCCAATCATGCCAGGCAAGCGAGAGGCAGCCTGTCACGATCCGCGAGGAGAAAGGCGGTGGCATCAAGTGGACTGGTCTGCGAGAGTTGCGAGTCAACAACGTCCTCGATGTCATGTCGTCAGTGCGCCTGTCCTGCGGCTTACATATGCTCATGCCCATGTACAGAAACCTCGAAAGAGGATCAGCGATCAGACAGACCGGCGCGACCCAGCTCAACTCGCAGTCGAGTCGATCGCATGCTATCTTCAGCTTGACGCTGACCCAACGCAAATGGGTTCCGAACGAGTCGAGTCGCAATGAGGCCACTGACAGTCCCACGCGACCCAGCAGCCGAACTTCCCATGCCAGCAGCTCCAATCGAGGTCTGAGGAGCGGCTCGATGACACGAGCGTCATTGATCGACGACGAGGACGAAGGCGAACAAGAGGCGGGGGGCTCCTATGTCGTCGTAACATCGAAGCTCCACTTTGCCGATCTGGCCGGCAGCGAGCGTCTGAAGAACACTGCAGCAACAGGCGATCGTGCGAAAGAAGGCATCTCAATCAACTCGGGCCTTCATGCTCTTGGCAATGTGATCTCTGCGCTCGGTGATCCAGCAAAAGCACGACAGATAACACATGTGCCATACCGCGATTCCAAGCTTACAAGGCTCTTGCAAGACTCGCTCGGCGGCAATGCGCACACAATGATGATAGCCTGCATAAGCGGCACAGAACGCAATCTGCCCGAATCACTGAATACCCTCAAGTATGCGAACAGAGCCCGAAACATCAAGAATAAAGCAGAACTGAACGAAATTGAGGAAGGCTGGGAGGATGTCGAATGGCTCCAAAAGACTGTCCGCAGGTTACGCGCCGACCTGGCGGACCTCAAGAGCGGCAGACCGCTGAGCTCTGGCAGTGCGTTTGACGCCCTGCCTACGCGAGAGATGCCTGATCCAGCAATGCGAGCGCTACAACAAGAAGTGGAGATGCTTTCTCAAAAATACGCCAAGGCCACGTCAGATCTGGCCCAGCAGCAAAATGCCCCCCAACAAACGCCGGACTTGCTCAGCAGCGCATTTTCGGATTCGATTGCGCCCATCGTCGACGAGTTCGAACGCGCACTGTCCACCACAGAAGCACAGCTAGCTGCCGTTCGTGCGCAGCTTGCCGCTGCGGAGAGTCAGCTGAAAGAGCAGCGCGCGCTCAACGCGTCACAAGCCAGCCGGATTGATGCAAGCGAGGCCGCGACGGAGGCTGTTCGCACACGACTGGCGAAGCTCATCGAGCGAGAAGCCGTTACAGAAGCCTACGTGCAAGATTTAGAGGGCAAGCTCAAGGATATCTCTGATAGGACCGATACAGACTCTTCTGTGGTCGTTGGCCTACGCAACGAGCTCGCCGGTCATCGTGAGAGTCAAATGACAACCGAGAAGTATATCAACGAGCTAGAGACACGCTTGACGAAATCTGGACAATCTAACGAGGGCCTCCTTAAGCGCATCGAAGAGCTCGAAGCTAGTCTAGAGGAGCGCGTTGCAAGCTATCGCCTTCTAGAACACCGCTTGTCCGGACAGCAACCATCTCAACAGGTTCAGGCGCTCACGAAAGAACTCGAATCAAAGAATGCTCTGCTGCTTGTGATGCAAAGCAACGTGGCAAGGTCACTGCCAGCTCCCAATACGCCCACTGCTGCTCGCGACCTCCCTGACAGTCCTGCCACGCCTATACAAGGGACTAGCGTGTCACATGATGGCTTGTCAGCTCTGACGGGCGCTCGTCCTGCGACGCCTGACAATCTGTCAACTTCGCCGAGCGCTCGCGATGGGGCCAGCTCGCCACATCGTCTGGGATCGCTCTCTCGGCAATCACGCCGTAGTTCTTCCACGGCCTCTGCAAGCCCTCAGCGGCCTTTTTTATCCAATCGACCGAGCGGGTCCTCTCTTCGCGATACGGCTACATCGCAGCCTTTGTCGCTGGAATTATCATCGGCGCAGCATTCGCGCTCACTGCTGTCACCCGATCGCTCGGTCTCCCCAGCGCTTCCACCTCGAACTCCGCCGCCGCGGAGCCCAGCGCGACAGCGCTCCTTCGGCAAGATGAACTCTGATACTGACGAAATTCAGCGGCTTCAGGGTATCATCAGAGCACGAGACGTGGACATCCAATCGATGGACAGACAGATCCAAGCTTTGCGCACTCGGCATCGTCGTTCGGATTCGTCGTCGGCATCGGACGCTGCAGAGACGCTGCCCGTCTCGGCAAGCACTACGCCAGAGCCAGGCGAAGAATCTCAAACCCTTTCGCCTGGATTCACTCGGCAGATCGAAGCCTTCAAGCTACAGCCGCCTGCTACAGAGAGCGCAGAAGCCCACGCAGCTCGCCTGGACGACGTCATGCGATCAATGGCCCGGAAGGAAGCAAATCATCGCGATACCGTCGAAGAGCTTACTCGCCAGTTGCACGTCGCGCAGCGTTCTCTGGTGGAAGCCGAGACGCTCAGACAATCTGCTGAACAAAACTTCGCGGGTGAATTTAAAGGCCATTCTGATCGCCTTGTGGAGTCAACAAGCCGCGCTGCGACACTCGAGCAGAGCCTAGACCAGCAACGTAGCGAGCATGCAGCGGAGCGTGACGAACTTACTAAGACACATTCTGATTCTATCGTCGCTCTCACTCAACAGCATCAGCAGTCACACGCGACCCTAGTGGCTGAGCACGAACAGCGCCTGACCGACCTGACCCTCACACATGACCGAGCATTGCACGCTACTCGCAAGGAGCACGAACAGATACTCTCGGATGCGGCAACTACTCATGACCAGCGTTTAGCGGCTGCACTCGCAGAACGAACCATGACTTTGAAAGCGGATCATGCTCGTCAGATTTCAGAGATGAACGCAGCTCACGATCAAGCAAGATCACAGCAGGCCGCTCAGCACGATAGTGCCCTTGCAGCTCGGCACGAAGCAACAGAGGCAAAGGTTGTCGCACTACAGACCACGCATGAAACGGCGATTAGCGACATGAAGCGCGAGCATGCTGCTGTTCTCGAGAGTCAAGCCAATGCCCACGCCGCTGCTCTGCAGGAGTATGCAATCGGTCTCGAAAAGGTAAGTCGTGCGCATAAGTGTCTTACGAGAGTTGAAGCAAGTCTCGCAGGCGCATGCGCTGGCTCAACAGCATGAAGAGACGGCACGGGTGGCTCAGAACGCTGAGCAGGACCTCCAGAGTCAGATGAAGACGATATCGGAGCAGAATAGTCAGCTCTCTGTCGAGCTGGAAAACAGTGGGGAAGAGCTCCGCCAGCTACGCGCGGACTTTGCAAGGCTATCATCCGATCGCGAGTCACTGGCAGTGGCAAGTATTCGCTCTCATGGCAGCGTCAAATCGATGCGTAGAAGATCTGGTCTGAACGGTCTAGGTCTGGGCGAATCACCCGATCCTTTGACCAGTCCAATTCGCGTTCGTGCAGGGAGCAACCATGACGCGCCATGGGGAGAGGCGCCCACGAGCCCGCTCCCTGCAACTCCGGATGAGACAAAAGTACAGATGCGTGCTGCTGCACTTTCAGCGCTCACTTCGTCTCCTTCGGAATCGCCACGCTCACAAACACCGGTCAATGCAGCTCTGTCAATCTTCCTGACCGGCAAGCCGCCAGCACCGCCGCCCATGCAAGCTTTGCCGCCGACGCCTGCTCAGGCTCCCCTGCCTTCAGTCATGGAGAACGGCAGAGCGCTGCAATCTGGCATAAGCACGCCGCCTCCCTCCGACCGCAGACGAGTGACATCAAGCACGATGTACACGCCTGGCGGTCGAAGAACATCGTACATGGAAGGACCGATGAGTATCGAGGATGACATGCTCGAGTCTGCCCTCAATCAGCGCATCGAGACGCTTGAGACTCAGGTGAGTCAGCTTGATCTGACCGATTAGAGCTCGCTAACGTGCCGGTCCAGATCCTTGGACTCAATAAGCAGCTCACACATTGCGAGGCAGATTTGAGCGCTAATATCGACCTCGTCAACACATTGGAGAGCTCCTTGGACGATTCAGACCGAAATCTCCGAAAGGCCCGACTCCAGATGAGCGAGCTTGCCAAGGATCGGGATCGACATCTGTCGCGTTCTGAGAAGCTCGGCCTTGAGCTCGCTCAGGCGACTCAGGAGATCGATCGGCTACACAATAATCTGGCTGCTCTCAAGGACGAAGCGGAGACATCTGCAGCACAGGAACGACAGGCAAAGATCGAAGCGAAGCAACAGCTTCAAAGTCGCTTAGAATCCATCAAACATAAGAAGAGCAAATTCAATGTAAGTCGTCGCGTGACTATCTCCGGATGGAGCACTCATCTTGTCCGATGCAGTGTTTCTGATAGATACTGTTGTCCGGTTTGTATTATGTAGGCTGACTGCGTCCCATGTGAGCAGGGTGGCAAATGAGGAGGCGCTGGGCTAGTCGCACACCGGGAACGCGCGCGAGATTGCCGACTGGCTTGCTCAAGAAGGATCATCTGCTGCCAGCCTCTGACAGATTACGCACTCTTCAGAGGCCAGTCTCGCGTGCAAGCGAGATGGACGCCAACTCGATGACAGACGCTTTCTCTGCGGCGCAGTACCAGAAGCCAAGCGATTACGGCTTTCTTTCGCCGAGCGCTCATTCGCCTCAACGCTCGCTCGACGGGCTGACGCCAGGCTCGGGCTACAGCGATGCCTCGCTCAAAAACTTTCTGTCGTCCAACCTGATGAGTCATAGAGAGATGGGCTCGATGATGCTCCCTCCCCAGGGCACAGTTATCAATCTCGATCCGGAGTATCGCTCCAAGCGGGCGAGCACATCGATGGACACCCTGCCCGCCATGGGCAGTATACAGAGCCAGAACAGGCAGCAGCAGCAATACCTCAACGGTCACTCGCAGCAGCTGCAACATCAACACCAATCCCAACACCAGCAACCTCAGATGAGGATGTCCAATCATTATGATGATCACTCTATGCAGTCATCACAGGCCTATGGCAACCATCAAGCACCACAGCAGCAGCAGCAGCAGCAGCAGCAGCAGCAACAGCAACAGCAGTACATGCAGCGTGCTCCTTCGAATCCTAGTCCGTACGAAACATTCGATTCCTCTTTGTCGGCCACGCAACAGGGCAAGAGACGCGCTCAGCCACAGGGCACATCGCTCCATCTGCAACAGCAACAACAGCCTGCGCCTCTACCTCACTCGAAGCAGGCCAATGGTCACTACGGAGGTAGGTGACGTGTCGCACCTTTCGAGAAAGACGAGCTGACTTACTCTGTAGAAAATACCGCCGATTCGAGCCAACGGGTGCCGGCTGCGCATCAGGCGAGGACGCTGAGCACCGCCAAAGGCTCTTCCACCTCAGAGTTTGCCAAGGTGAGCACCGAATCCGTATTCACATGTCACCCACTGACGGCTCCTTCCGCCCTGTAGCGCAAAAACTGGTCGCAGCGTATCATCGATGAGATTCAAGACTTTCTCCACGTGCTGAACTCGTCGGCCGAGTTTGTGTATGTCTCGCCCTCCATCACTGAATTAGCCGGCTACGCGCCCGATGAGCTCGTCGGCAAGCCCATCGCGGACATACTGCATGTAGACGATGTCGATGGCTACTTGCGCGATTTCCGCAAGGTCATGGCCACCGGGGGCGATTATACGGTCTACTACCGCTTGCGATCTCGGGACGGTCGATATGTCGTGCTAGAGACGACGGGACATGCTTACTACGCCGATCCGAGGGCCGACAGCGCAAGCTTGCCGAACGAATCCGTCACTCCGAAGCGGGAGTCGCGAACTTGTATGCTCGCCATGGGTCGCCCCTATCCTGGTAAACACACTGCGGAGCTCGATAGCTTTCTAGAACTCAAGATAGAGAATGAGAAGCTTAGACAGAGGCTCGAAAAGATCTACATCGACATCGAAGGCCAGCCTGCAGATCATACGCGGGAAAGGAGAGCCATCACTTCTGGCTCATCCGACGAATCGAGCATCGACGAGCCGGTGCGACATACAGGCAGACCTGTCGACCACTCGACCGGCCTCGTGCCCGCTGCAGGGCTCATCCACCACAGCTCGAATACATATGGCACGCTCGGTATCGGCATTCAGTCAAAGTCATCCAATGCTGGTTCTGCTGCCGGCGCAGCACCCAGCAAGAAGAAAGGCAAAGGCGATGGCGACGATTACGTATGTTTGATCTGTGGCACTACAAACTCGCCGGAATGGCGAAGAGGTCCGAAAGGCGCAAAGACCTTGTGTAACGCATGTGGACTTGTAAGCACCTCCCTTACAGCGTCATTCGTCTCAGTGCTTATGACTGCTGGCACTACAGAGGTGGGCCAAGAAGGCCAAGACGGAGGGCTAGTGGTCGTAGAAATCTGTTATGTTATGATGTTGTGCTGTCAAAGCATCAGTGATCCATTCACTTCGACGCGGTCCTCGCGTCATAATCAGCCTATCCGCCTTGTAGGGGCGCCAAGGCGTGCGATACGGCCGATCTCCCGCGCTTCTGGCCCTGCCGCCTCTGCATCGACTGAGACGAGACGAAGAGGCTAGGCACTGGCACGCACGCCATCGCCGCTCTTAGGAACTCGCGATCATGTCATCGTCTGCTTTGACGTCCAGACAGCGAGAAGAGCTGTGCGCCTCCTGCTTTGGCCGTCTGGGTCAGCGAGAGAGTAGCGCTGATGCGATTGCCCTGTTCGCTCTGCTCTTCGCCTTTTGTGCTTCGCAGGCATAGAGCAATACTCGATTATCTCAGCAGCTGCGGCTATTCACAATCCTTAGATGCGCTCAAAGTCGAGGCAGGTCAGGTCAGCTTTGATGCTTGAGCAGCTTTACATTCAGCTCAGAGTGTTGAGCGAACGCAGGAAGACTTTCAAGCTGATCCCAAGGCGAAATGGGCGGGTCTGCTCGAGAAGAAGTGGACGAGTGTCATAAGGCTACAGAAGAAGGTATGCTGAGCTATTGGCAAAATGCAAAGAGGATCTCACAGAGCTCATCGTCGCCAGATCATGGACTTGGAGACGCGCAATGCTCAATTACTCGAGGAAGTCTCACTGTCACGTACCGCGCCTTCCTCCACTCGCAACAGTGCAGACTGGGTGCCGCGTGCGCCTGCAAAGCATACGCTCACCGGTCATCGAGCGCCAATCACCTGCGTCGCCTTTCATCCTGTCTTTAGCAATCTATGTAGTGCGAGTGAGGACTCTAGCATGAAAATCTGGGACTGGGAGTCAGGCGACTTCGAGCGGACGCTCAAAGGCCATACAAAGCCTGTTCAAGACTGCGAATACGACTCAAAGGGCAATCTACTTGGTCAGTTGCTGCCCTTGATCCATGCGAGGGTTGGCTGATGCGTCTTTAGTGTCGTGCTCGTCTGATCTAACGCTGAAGCTCTGGGATACCAACAATGACTACAAGAACACAAAGACGCTCTATGGCCATGACCATTCAGTGTCATCTGCGCGCTTCCTACACAACGACGAGCAAATTGTCAGTGCCAGTCGCGACAAGTCAATAAGGATATGGGAGGTCGCCACCGGCTTCTGTATCAGAACTTTGACCGGTCACGACGAGTGGGTACGGTCAGCATTACCATCTTTCGAGGGGCGGTGGCTTGTCTCCTGCTCAAACGATCAGAGCGCGAGGGTTTGGGACGCTGCATCGGGCGACATAAAGGCAGACTTGCGAGGCCACGAACACGTCATCGAAGTCGCCATCTTTGCGCCGCCAGTCTCACACGCAGCCTTGCGAGAGCTAGGCGGCCTGGTCAGTTGCAGCGATACTGATTTGATATCTCCTTGACTGACGCCAATCTGCAGCCGCCAGGTCCTGCTGGCCTAGAGAAGCAGCCGTCGAACGGCTTCGTTGCTACGGGATCTAGAGACAAGGCCATCCGGATCTGGGATGGTCAAAATGGTCAATGTCTGAGGACACTAGTAAGTCCCAGAATACTCCATCACTTAGCTAAAGCTTCGTACAGATCGGCCACGACAACTGGATCAGAGGCCTCGCATTCCATCCGAACGGCAAAACGCTATTATCGAGCTCAGATGACAAGACTGTGCGGATGTGGGATCTCAAGACGGGCAGATGCGTTAAAACTCTCGACGCTCACGAACACTTTGTTTCTTGCATCTCATGGGGGCGTCAGACGCAAGCTCAGCCTGCTCCGAATGGTGATGCTGCACTCACTAATGGCGCATCGACTACGCCCAATGCAAAGCTCATCAATGTCCTCGCCACGGGCAGTGTAGACCAGGTCAGTGCCTCGACTTGACAAAGCCATATCGAGGAGCTAAGCTTGCCGAAACGCTGACAGACTATCCGAATTTGGCTTCCGTGACGTGCTTTGTCCAGGTCCGTACTGTCGTGCTTGTTGTCACTCGCCTATGCACGAAGATCTCTCGAGCTTTTGGCGTCCTCGACGCCTGCACATCGACACGCGTCGCCACGAATGCGCTCAAGTATGGCGTCCTCGGCGTGTTCTGTGCTCAAACTGCTCACCGGATCACCTACTCACGCGCAGACTCTCATTCGCCTACATTCGAACCGACTACAGTCATGCCCATGCTCGTTGACGCCGACTTCCCCAAGGTCCTAATCTCTGGCCTACCCGTCGAAGGTGCCTCGCTACTTTCTCAGCATACATTCGGCCTGACAGTTTCTCAAGCAGTGCCTTTCAAAGATGTCAAGGAACTCTTTGCTCGATTCGGTGTCATCGTCGGTCTATCGCGTGATGTGGGTGTCGAGATGTGCGAGATTGCCTATGTCGACGCCCAAAGTGCTCACGATGCCGTGGACGCACTCAACGGCGCGAGCTATTTTGGCAATCCTCTGTGCGTGCATTCGAGCAAAGTTCTTACGTCCATTTGGCTGAGTATTCGAACAGTATCGTGACGACAACGGCAACGCGTACCGAAGCGCAGACGAGTGATGGTCGAGCATCAGGCTTGCGCGCCGCACTGGAGCGACTCGGTCCGCTGCGCATTCAGAGCACAGTGAGAGCAAGCGAAGTGACCCAGTCCTCACCCAATTCTGCAACGGTCGAAAAGCCCTTGGCTCGCAATCTTTATGTACTCAACCTGGCACTCGATATGTCCAATCTCGAGCTCAAGGCAATCTTTGAAGTATACGGCGAAGTCCTGCATGTCTGCGTTCTGGCAACGCTCGACAACATGGGCAGGTAAGTCGTCTTGTTTCCGCGTGCGCTCGATTGACCGTTCGTGCAGGCGTCGCGCTTTTGTCGACATGGAATCCGCCGACGCGGCCAGCAAAGCACTCAAGGGTCTCCACAATACCATCATCAGAGGCCATCGTCTCGATTGCAGCTATGCCATTCATCAGCGTGATACCGTTGGCGCACCTACACCTGCTCAGACAACCTACTACCCCCCAACGAGCAAAGATGGCTTTGCCCTGCCTCGCAAGATCACACAGAACCGCGTCGTACCCGTGCCCGGCCAGTCCATCATCGCTCGTCGTGCGCAACTCGGCCAGATTCAAGATCGTCGCCCCTCACCTCTGGCAGGCTTCGAGAGCGCTTACACGGCCTGGCAGACTATGCCCGCCGCCTCGCGCTCTGCAGCCGGTGAACCCTACGGCTCCTTTCAAGATGGTCTTGCAACGCGTTTGCCCAGTCCTCAGATTGCCACCGGCTTCGACAGCATTGCTGACGGCGTGGCTCTGGGACTCAAATCGCTGCGTTCACCACGCTTTGCCGATTCGAGCTTTGCTATCGGCACACCTTCCAATTCGCCTGACCGCGATGAGTCCGAGCTCAGTCCTGCAGCTGCTATACGCACCATCCTGATCTCAGGACTCTCGCCTGCTATGGTTCGCAACGACGAGGACCTGCATAAGGTCTTCTCGAAATATGGTCGCATTGACGAAGCCATCTTGACGATGAGCGAATTTGGTTTCGCAACAGGCAAAGCTCGCGTTACCTATGCTAACACCGAAGATGCTGCTTACGCTGTTACGCGTAGCTATGAGCTCTCACTCGGCGGTCAGAAGGTCCTTGTCGCTCGTGCTGCAGAGTACAATCACATGACGACGGATGCAAATGTACTCGTGAATCACAGCAGCCGTCTTGGTCAGATGCGATTGTCCTCCATGCCCAGCGCTACGTCAGGTCTGATCAGTGCTGGCGTTAGACCCGCCTCATCAATCTCGCTTCGCGCACCTCGCTCACCCTGGGGCGACGTCATGCCGAAATCTTCCCTCTCCGCCGTCGTCGGTCATGCTGGTCGAGACGTCTTCGCGCCAGGCGAATCCTACTTTCCGACCAACTTTGTTGAAGATCAAGACAAAACGCCCGAATTCGATGGCTCACCTGACTCGAACAAGTCTGCTGGCGTGATTGGCGACTCCAAGCTGTCTGCCGCTGCTCCGCCTTTCTTCGCTCCAATCTCGGCTCGCTCTACCAGCCAAGGTACTGACGGCACGGACACTAGCCAGCACCATGACTCGTCATTGTCGGGTTCTTCCATGTGCATAAGCTCGAGTGAGACGAGCTTCTTTGGCTCAGAAGCGTCGACAACCGCCGATGTCGCCGAGCTTGCTTCTGGCTGCGGTTTTCCGCCCTACGTGCTAGATGTAGAGAAGATGGTCAGTGACGCTGAAGAGAAGCAAGATGCCCGTGACCTCTCGTACGATGCACTGCATGCCAAGCATACCGTGTGTAGAGTCATTTATCATGCCGACAAGGCTAATTCTGACATGTAGGATAGTGAAGGTGTCAGCCCACACCTCGAGATGCTCTCCATCGCGATCTAGCTGCGCGCAGTACAAGCGAAACTCTTTCCCGTGTAAATGCACACCTATCGTACAAAATTACCATGTGAACATGTTTGTCTAGACTCCTTGCAGAATGTGTCCGTATCTCGAGGCGACGACCTCGTACAATTCTGGCGAACGCTGCTGGAGCAGCAGGGGCGCCTCTGCCATTGCAACAAAAATGGTGTCTGCGCCCGCCTGGATCGTGCCTTGTCCAAGAGTATGTACGAGAGTGAAGCCAATCAGCCATGCGAAGCCCTGTGATGTGTGTCAGAGTCAGTCATATGTGAGGAGAACGAGAGAAAAGCGCACCATGGCTGCGGCAGTTAGGCCGGAGCTTGCATCGATGTAACTCGGCGAACGCAAATGAAGATAGAGGAAGATGAGTAGCGAGCACAGAGCGCCGATGCCGAAAGAGCCGAAGAACCAGACATTGCCAATAAGACTGTCGTTGATGAGAGCGTCTATGCCGCGATGCTTGAGCAAATTCCAAGCGTCTTTTGCAGCTTTGCTGTATTTCTTGCCATAGAGAGCTATCTCAATCATAGCGTAGCGGTTGAAGTACTCGACGGCCCAAGTGATGCAACCGAGGCAGCAGCTTGCGATACATCCGCAAGCCATGCCGATCATGTCGCCATCTTGACGAGCTTGTGATTCTGCCAAATTGACGAGCGTCCTGAGGAATTGCAAGATAGCGACGATGAGAGTGCCCTCTGCGATGGAGCCCAAGCTGTATGTGATCGCTCGTCTGAACGCGCCGCGAGCGATATGGACGGGTTTGCCGACGCCGCCCTGAGCAGAGAAATACCAGGTGCCAAATATACCGGCATTGGTAACAAGGACGATACCAGCGATGGCTTGAGTGGTCCAGTAGTACGAGAAAGTGAGAAACATGACTGCAAGAACGATGGAAGCAGTGCCACAAGAGCCGCCAGACGTGCCGCAGCCTGTTCCGCCGTCAGAGTATTTTGTGTATGTCGCTGCCAGTGTGAAAGACCACCAGACGGAGTAAATCCCTTGAACAAGCGTGCCCAAGATAGCGATGACGTATGTCGATGGATGAGCATTTGCAGCTCTGAAGACGGTATGCAAGATCGCGACTGTCAGTGGGATGCGCTTTCGCATGAAGGGATAGCTGATGATGGCCAAGAGTGCAAAGAGGGCAAAGATGACGCCGGCAGAGTATTGCTTCTCTATGAAGGCGTAGACTGCCGTGCCGATGGACAGAGCGACACTGAGCAAGAGTGTGATCTCGAGGATGATCTTGGTGAACGCTCTGACGATGGCGAGGAAACAGATGGCGAGAACGAAGCCGACGGGTGCGATGAGTGCGAAGAGATAGGCAGTCTGTCTGTTGAACGTAACGCCTGTCGAGCCGCCCGTCAGATTACCGCCTGAAGAGCTGATCGTCCTGAGCGTGATGACAGACAGGGCGATGAAGGCACCGAATTGGGCCAAGAACAGCAGGGCAAAGATGAGATCGTTCCATTTAGGCTTCTGGGGCGAGAACTTTTCGTCCTCTTCTTGTTTGGCTTGGCCATAGTATCCATTGTTTTGCTGTTGATCATAATTGTTCTGCTGTTGTTGCATTGGCTGGCCTTGCGTGGGCGCATAATTCGGTGCTTGCATCATTGGAGGTTGTCCATACGCCTGCTGAGGCTGCTGGACGTAGGGTTGCGACATGCTTGTGTCGAATGGACGCTTTGTAGACGCACGAGAATTTCGAAGCTGGGGCCATCGTCAGCGTGCCTGCTCTGAATTTCACGGTTTGCTTGCTCCGATCACTCTCGATCACGGGAAGCGCGTCATATAAGATATATGACAGTGCGGAAACAGTCCGACTGCTCGCACGCCAGGTGAATTCTTCCTCCTCAGATTTGCCTCTAAGAGGCTCCAAATACTGCGATAAGCAAGGGAGCCTAACATGCTGTCCAATGAATGCATTCGCCGAACGGGGATTGCTGAGGCCCATAATGCTCGTACTGTCACGCTCACAGGTTCTTACCCTTGCTCAAGTGCAGCTTTGTTTCCATCGCCGTTTGATCCTTGACATACGTCTTTGCACAGGCGATCTAGCAAGACTGTCAGCACGCCTTCCGCCGTCTGGCAGCAGCTTTGATACAGCACAATAGCACGCAAGTCATCCTGATTCTCCGAACGCCTATCACATTAGCCTTCGACAGCAAGGTCGAGCATTCGCAGGCAAAGCAATCGCTCCCTTCTTGGGCCAAGCCGTACAGAGCCGAAGAGCGTACAGATGCCTCCTCTCCGCGACAGCCTCTCTCGCTACTTCAGCAGTGCCTACTGACATTGCATTTCTATAGCTCAATCTGACTTGGATCGTGCTTGCTTTGGTCTGTTTCCGCGCGATGAGGGCTAGCACAGTGAACCGAGGCTCGTAGGCAAGCGTAGCATGAACGCCGGACTGCACTGACACCGTGAACATCTCGTGCTTGCCCGGAGAGACTTCAGTGAGATTGGCATAAGCCTTGTCATGACTGCGCCGTCATTGCCGTTCCGCATAACACAGCCAGTGCTGAAGGCGCGCGAGCTCTGGAAGACCGAGATTGCGGCCGCTGCAGGAGTGTCGCCATACGATCACATAGTCTCACGCTGACGGGCGTGTGCTCTCCGCCTGGAGCGCGACGAGAATCTTCTTCTGCTCGTCGATGCTCAGATCACCGTTGGGTAGATCGCGAGCTTGCTGCGTCGCATCGATCAGTGCAGCCTTGAGCTTCTGCGCCTGTCCTCCTCCCACTTCAGCTCGAATCTGGGTATAAAGGCCCGAACTGACAAGCTGAGCGACATGTAGCCTCTCATTCTCGTCTGGCCCGTCTTGCACTGCTTGATGCAGTTCTAGTATCAGTGGCACGATGGAAGCGAAAAGCTGCGGGTCCATGTCGAGCCCGTCGAGCGGCTCGAACGAGACGCGTTGATTAACTTCGCGTCCGCTGCCCGACGAAGAGCGCTCCACTTAGCCTTCAGCGCCCTCGCAGGAATCCTTCAGCGCGCCACAAAGCCCAAGATGGCAGTTCCAGGTCAGTGTGGCTTTCCTGACGCAGTGACCGCGTGCCTGCTGTCATTCGGGCAAAGCTGACTCATATTGCCTCTCGATGCTCGATACAGCTCTCGACAAGGGCTCGGTGGAGACGATGTTCCTTCATGGCGACGCCGAAGCATCAAGCTCGCCGGTGCTCCAGATTCTGAGCGTCAAAAAGGTCTCGCCTGCTCCTATGCCGAATGGACAGACCGGCGCGGACCGCTACAGGTCGCTGATCCTCTTCTCGGCCACTCAACAGACGTGCTGAGCGATGACTCATGCGACAGGTTGATCCTGTCCGACAGCGCACATTTCATCCAGGCCATGTTGGCTACTCAGCTCAATCATCTCATCGGTGACGGTCAAATCGAAAAGCACGCTGTCGTACGTTTGGATCAATACGCCATCAATAAGGTCCAGAATAGATCGTCAGTCCTGGTCTGATCATTCGCTATACGTACGGCTGAAACGGGTTGGCAGTATTGTCATCTGTCTGGGCATAGAGGTGCTCGGTAAAGAGACTGACAAGATAGGCGACCCCAGCTCCGTCGAGAAGCTGGAAAAGATTGAAAGCCAGGCGCCAAAGGGTGTCAATCCGTTCAACGAGATCAGCAACGTCTCTCGCGCGTCTGCTCCTGCAAAGTCAGCCATAGCCTCAAAGAACGCCCGCGCGACTAATGGTCCTAACACGCCCATCTATCCCATCGAGGGCCTCTCGCCCTACCAGAACAAGTCGGTTACTCGCATTTGTATGAGCATGTACACTCATCTCGTTGATGCAGATGGACCATCAAAGCGCGTGTCACGCTCAAGAGCGACATTCGGCATTACACAAACGCTAAAGGTGACGGCAAGGTTTTTAGCGTCAATCTACTCGACGAATCGGTCGGTCTCAGCGCCTCTCAGCGCATCTCCACTCTGAGAATGGCTGCGTTCATAACAGGGAGAGATCCGTGCTACTGGCTTCAATGATGCCGTCGATAATCTGTTCAATGTCTTTGAAGAAGGCAAAGTGTATTACGTCTCGAAAGCACGTGTCAATATCTCCAAGAACAAGCAGTACAACCCGACGAACAACGAATATGAGATTATGTTCGAGCGAGACACCCAAGTCGAGCTCGTTCGTCGCTTCGAAGCTCCTGCGCCAGATTTGATCTGATGCACAGCCGAACAGTGCACTGATACGACCGACCTGCCTCAAGTCAAGTACAACTTTGTCAATTTGTCTGATCTGACAACGCAAGAAGCCAATGCCATGATCGACGTACTCGGCGTCGTCAAAGAAGTTGGCGAGCTAAGCTCAATCGTCAGCAAAGCTACCTCGAAACAGGTCCGTGGCTTTTGTTCTGTTTTCCTGGAAAAGCTGAGTTCTCAGCCATGCGTAGATCCCCAAGCGTGAGATTGTACTGATCGATCAGTCGGAATTCAGCGTCCGAATGACGCTCTGGGGTCGTCAAGCCGAGCAATTCTCTGCGCCTGATCAACCTATCATCGCCTTCAAGGGCGTCAAAGTTGGCGATTTTGGTGGACGAAGTTTGAGCATGGTCAGCAGCAGTACGATGGCAGTCGATCCTGACATTCAGCCCGCTCACTCCCTCAGTGGCTGGTACGCAACTTGCTGCCACAGCTTGGTGTGCAGCTGACACAGCCATTGCATGCAGGATGAAAGCAGTCGGCGAGACAAAGACTTTCCAAACTTTCAAATCGACAGGCGGAGGTGCAGGCGGTTTCAAGGAAGAGGAAGCCAAGACCATTGCACAGATCAAGGAGGAAGGGCTGGGCATGCAGGACACGCCCGACAACTTCTTCTTGCGTGCTACTATCGTCTATGTCAAGAAGGACAGTCTCTCGTACCCGGCCTGTCCGAAGGAAGGCTGTAACAAGAAGGTCACGCCGACGAGCGAGGGGAGCTTCAGATGTGAAAAGTGCAGCGAAGACTTCCCTGCGCCTCAACATCGGCGAGTCTCAGCTTTGTGCGATTAGCTCCCAGCTCACTGAGCATGCTATGTCGTGCAGATACGTCATGTCTCTTTCTGTGCTGGATCACACCGGGCAGCTCTGGCTCAGCGCATTCGACGATGCAGGCAGATTGATACTCGACCACTCTGCTGACGACATCGAGCGCCTTCGCGATGAGGACGAACAGGCATTCGTTGGAGCCATCTGGCGCGGATCCGGCAAGGCCTACAATTTTGCTTGCCGAGCGAGAACAGAGACCTTCCAAGATACCTCACGCGTCCGCTATCAAATCAACCGCGCAACGCCTGTCGATTATGTGGCGGCCTCCGCGTGGCTAGTCAAACAGATCGAGGGTCTCGGCTTCACGGTCTGAAGCAAAAAGCAACTTTCGACTTTTCGTGCTTGTATCTTTGGCCTTGCAATGCAACTATGCGAGCATTATGTCACAATGTCAATTGAGCGATCTCTGCTGCAACAGCCTTGATGCGCGGTTCTGGTAACCGGCTCGCCGCCTTTTGCGCCGAGGCTCGTGCTTGCGTCAATGTTGAGCTTGAAAGTGAGCTTGTCACATTGGGTGATAGTAGCTATTGGAAGAGCGCTCAGCAAGTCTCGTTGTGAGAGAGGTAGCTACTGACCACATTGCCCAACGCAACAAGTCCTCGGTAGACCGCTTCGCCTTCTTGCCGTGTGAGCGCCTATGATCGACAGCAGTGCATTAGAGACGTTTCTGGACGCAGTTGAGGCTCGCTCACCTTTTGCGTGAGATCAATGAGCTGTGTGCCCGAAGTCTTGTCAAGGTCTCGCATGACCGCGAGAACAGAGAAGCTATCATGAGATGTCAGCGAGGCGATCGGCAAGATCAGTAAGACGATACGTACTTGAGAATGACCGTTGCAAGAGCAAGGTATCCAGTCCGGCTTAACTGCGCTTCGCCTATACGATAGAGCCCGTTGAGAATCTATAATGACAGTCAGCCTAAGGGGGATGAAGCACACTGTACGCAGTACGCACGGTCACAGCATTTTTTATCATGATCGTTTTGCCCTTCGGCGTGGCAAAATAGTTGGCTAGCGAACGCAGAGCGAGCATAGCGTTTGTTTCCTGGTCTTTTGCAGAGGCGCTCGAATCGATCTTGAGATTCTCTAGCAGCCTCGATAGCCAAGCTTCCGCAGGACCGTGACACGATGTAATGCGCACCAGATCGATAGCTACTGTGAACGTCAGTCCAACCCATCCTGGGTCGATTGTGGACTGACCGGGGAAGCGCTTGTCCACTGGCCATTGTAGTAGCTTTGGAACGATGGTACTGGCTGATGCGGCTGCATTCGCAGGCAGCACAGTCGGCGTACCTTGCAGTGTGGAAGTCAGATTCTCTAGCTTGTCTAGGTCGCTGTCGTCGAGCGCATAGGCGGAAGATGCTGTTCGCAAATCATCGTTGAAGGCAATTAGCTTTGTCCTCAGCGCGGCTAGATTGGCGGACGTGAAGGTCAAAGGTGTCTTGTGCGGTAATAGTGCCTCCGAATCCGGCGCACTCGATGCACTGTCGTTATAAGGATTCGCGGCCGGCGCAGAATTGCCCAGCGAAACTGCGCCAGAGTTGCGCTCTATGAATCGGACGACTTCGTCTAGGTAGTCCGGCGGCAGCTCATTGTCAGTCAGAAACTTTTGCGCGACTGTATACGGATTTTGCGTCGAGTTGAACGGCAACTTGAGAGGCGGCGAGCCTTCTTTGACATCAACATCAAAGACGTAATCGTACTCCTCGCCCTTGTAGAGCTGCTTGCGGCCCGAGCCGACTGCATCGACGACCTCCCCAACCTTTTGCCAGGATTGGGCCGCATTACGCCACTGATGCGCCTCGACTGATCCTGAGGAAGTCTTGACCATGATCACTTGGCCCTCTTTTCTGCCTGGCGCACGTAGCGCCTCGCTTGCTTCCGGTAGATCCTGCTTCTTCACATCGCCAACCGAGGCAGAATTGATAGCGATGGATGAGACGGACGCATCGAAGTTCTGCAGCTCTTCTTCCGATGCCAGCCTTGCAGTGTCACGAGTGAACACACGGAGGATGCCATCGCTCGAGCCTGCTGCTATATCTCCGTTGGGCAAAGCAGACACAGACCATACAGATACAGCAGGAACGGTGATGGTCTGTAGCAACTCGCCATCGTCTGCACTCCAGACTTTGACATTACGATCCTCGCCTCCCGATAACAGATCGCCCGAATCCGGCAGGACGTCAAGCGAATAGACAAAGGAGTCGTGCCCGCCCAAGTCTGCGATGGCGTCGCCTTCGAGATTCCACAAACGGATAGATCCATCATTGCTGCCGCTCGCAAACATATCGGGGTGCTCTGGTATCCTGGCCAAGGCTCTCACTGGCTGAGTATGACCCTTGAAAGTGACTGAAGCAGACGAAGGCTTGCTGCCTGTAAACAGGCGAATCATCTTATCCGCCGATGCTGCATCGACGCATCAGCCTTTAGCACTTTCGAGGCGTAGCGCAGTCACCCGTCAGAACCGCTTCTGTCCCTTTGTTCTCGCTGGCAGAAATAGCAAGGACGGCCCAGACAGCCTGCTCGTGGCCTGACAAGGTACAATGGAGTTCAAAATTGATCCATATCTTTGCCGTCCTGCCAGCGCTTCGCGTTTGAGCCATCCAGGCATATACAGAGACGGACAGACTGACGAGTCCCATGAACCGCTGATGATTCTGCCATCTGAGCCGACATCGAGACAGCAGACATTGTTCGAGTGGCCAATGAGCGCGTATTTCGCTTCCGTCTCTGATCCACTGCTGGACGGTATTGGCCAGCCGTATATGATTGCATCCTGGCCCGAGGTCAACAAGACATCTGTCCCCGATGCATTGTCAGCTTCCGGTCAGCAGGGCTGCAAGGCACCAGGGGGGCACCTTGACCATCGGCATGTTTGGCGTGAACGAAGCTGACGGCGTTGACGAAGCCCTCGTGAGCACCCTGGAAGAGACAGTGCGGCTCCCATGCTGTGGCAGAGCCTGGCGTGCGAGTCCATGTGCGTGCTGTTGAGTCTCGAGAGCAGGAGATGATGAGATCCGAGCGAGGAGCACACGTCGACCGAACCTGCTTGCCGTCATCAGTCACTGTGCTTGCGACGAGCACTCGTGAAGCTTGCATCGGCGGTATGCCCCTGCAGCGTCGCGGAGAGCTTGTACTGCGCCTTTGAGCTTGCGCCCAGACTGTCTGTCATGGCCTGCTGATCGACTCGTCTCGCTCGCGACGAGTTCTTTCTCGTTGACCGCCGTCGACGAGGCTCGTAGAGTGTAGCAAACCTAGGCGAAGCTCTGGTGACCTGCAACTCACTTGCGAGCTCCGGCCAGAGCAGCTCCATCGGACGCTTGCTCAGCGGTCGCCGAAAGAACGAGCTGAATGGTATCTGCCATGCCGAACCTCCTCACTCGAGCATGGCTCGAATTAGTAGGCCCAACAGTCCCTTGCACAGCTCGAACGCTTGCTGTCAATAGTCTATGCTGCAAATGCACAACAATTGTCCGTCATGAACGTGGTGGCATTATGCCAGTGTGACAAGGAGCGAAAGCGCTCCTAATAGTGCGCAAGTGAAAACTGCCATCAGGCTGAATGTGAACTGAGACACCGAAGAGCCGGTAGGAGTGCTCGATCCGACTGGCGTCACTGCTGCAGATGAGAGCGTCGGCAAGACTGTGTTCGTCTGTCGTAGCATTCAGCATCGCGCAACAATGTGTCCTCGCCGGGGGCTTACTGGGCAATTCTGATAGCACATTGCCTGTCTCAGTAGCGTCTTGTCTCGTGGACCTGTCGGACCATCTGTCCATTTTCTGTCGTTTTGCAACGTCAGCAGGGCCATCGATGCTGTCACAGTGCGAGAACTGACTGATATCCAAAGAGATCCGATTGAGCTGGGTTGCTCTCAGGCAAGGCATGATCGCCCCATTTGCCAATGTAGTATAAGAAGCCAGGATCGAATGTAGACCCGTCGGCGACTGTGAAGTTGGGGCTGTCATTCGAGCCACTGAACCAGAATGCTTGATAATTCGCAGCGACATCCCACAGCGTGCCCGAGTCGGTGTAGTCTGTCAGTAGTTGGCCAATCGCTTGACTGATATTGTGCGATCCTGGCGTCGGATAGTTGGCATGTGAACCCATTGCAATATAGCCGATCGGCCTCGAATTGCTTTGATTGACCGTGTCGAATGTATAAGCATCGCCATCGTCATGAGCAGAGTAGAAGACCGCTTGGGGCACGCCATTTACGAAACGTATCATAGAATTCTCCCCTGCAGGTAGCGTCAGCCAGTGCTCGAGGCGCGTCAAGAGGGTTGCCACCCACAATCGCCAACATGGTTCCCGAAGCGTTCGCCGAAAACGTATGGCCCCAGATTGTAGCTGCACTCCGAATCAGCCTCTTTGTCATGTACAGAAGGTGGGCGACATGCCTATAGAAGTAAAAGTAGTAGGCATCTATTGTGCCCGCTACATGTTCCTCAGATGCGTCAACGAGGATGATGATCGTTTCAGCAGCGCTCATGCCGGCGCTGTTGGGTTTGCCATAGGTCGAATTGAGCCATGCGGAAGTCGGCACGGTCAATTCCGATGGCCGAGCGTTCAGATAGACAAAGGCTGTACTGAGCTCGCTCTGATCCAAATTTGCCAGCGTCAAGGAACTCGGAGCGCCGCTGACTGCGCTCGATGAATTCGTGCTATCGTCCCATTCTCCGGGAGTCGTGTTGTCCAGATGTGTTTGCAGGTGAGAAGGAAAGTATTCCTCGGTGGAAGCTAGGTACATGAGAGGTGCATATCGTGTGACAAAGGTCGGAACTGGTCCTGAAGTCGTCAGGCTCTGTCCCAAGACTGCAGTGGCGCAGCTGCACAGCAGCAAAGCAGCCTGTCTCCTCCTGTCTATCATGGCTCGATGTGTATGCGTGGAGATGGCGAGCGACGTGTGCCAGCACACGAATCCTGATCCGACTGTGCCTTAGGCCCGAGCGCGCGACAGTGTGATGATGATCATCAGATCAGAGCGCGTCATCGATTTATCGCGTTTCTATAATCGAACCGACCAAGCCAGTGCGCAGTCCACTTTCAAACGGCTTCAATCCGGTGCGTGAATCTGCGACCAGCGCTATGCAATCAATCCAAAAGAAGTCAAAAACTGTGAAAGGAAGTCAAGAATCAAAGCAAAACGCAAGCCCGACGAAAGTAGAGAAAGCGCACACAAGCCATGTCGAAGTCCGCAATCCTGGACGCCGACCATAGACCTGCGAATCCCTGCGATGCTCTGTGAATCCCTGCGATGCTCTGCGATGCCCTGCGATGCTCTGCGATACCCTGCGATACCCTGCGATGCTCTGCGATACTCTGCGATACCCTGCGATACCCTGCGATGCTCTGCGATACTCTGCGATGCCCTGCGTGCATTACCTATACCCCTATCGAGACGCGCGACCGGCATGCAGTAAGAGTCAGCAAGCGCTCAGAGGAGCATGCAGTGAAGCACTCACTCGGCATCGATACCAGCGCAAAAGTCGAAAGCCAAGCATGAACATCCTGAGCATCAGAAAGGTCAGCTCCAGCAGTCAATGACAGAAATTGCACTTGCCAGCCTGTAGAGAACAGCGAGCGACCGTCGAGCCTGCCTTGTGTCTGGCAGGAGTTCTCGCCCACTGCAAGAGGCGCGTCAGCCTCGTGTGTTATTGCAATATATGACAGACTGACCAATGTCGAACGAGCAGTTCTTCAACAGTCTTGAACCTGATCCCTAGCATTCCTTCTCCCGACCCTTCAAGTGACGAGCATGAGCAGAGCACGATGATCGCTCAGCAAGGCATACCTTCGAACGAGAAGAGCAGGCATCGACTCATGTCCGAGTGTCGAGCAAATACCTCTGCCTAAGCATCCATGTCAGCGCAAGAGTGGTGCAGGTGAAGCACAAGCTGACCCTGAAGACAAGACGAGGCGCTGTCTTGACCATCGTAGACCGCTCCTCCTCGCTATCTAGACTCTCTCCTGTTGCAGAGGATAGATCAGCTAAAGCATTGAGGACTGAAGAAGAGCAGACTGACCATTGCACAAGAAGACTGCGCTATGAGTCTGCCAGAAAAGACCGACTTGTTGCCAGGTCGAATCGCCAAAGGTCGCCGGCAGAAGCCATCCTTGAGGATCGCCAGAGCAACTTCTGCAAGCGCTGCAGCATCCAAGATGGCACAGTCAGCATCGCTCGAAGCCTTCCAGGCCTCATATTCAGCACAGGGAGCAAGCAGNGAAGGCTCGAGATATACTTGCAGCTCCGCCGGAATGACGAGAGGCGCGTCATTGTCGTCAGTGTCGACAGCTGCCTTCCAGGCTTCGAANTCGGCGTCGTAGGCGAGCAGCGACTCGCATGCCGCCTCTTCGACAGGCTTGACAGACTCGACAGGCTTGACGGGTTCGGCAGGCTTGACAGGTTCGGCAGGCTCGACAGGCTTGACAGGCTTGACAGGCTTGAGCTTGACAGGCTCGACAGGCTTGACAGACGCCGGTTTCTTCCCCTTCGACACACCAAAGCTGAACGGCCGAGGCTGAGTCACCGTCTTCTGCAGCACCGACCGAGCGGCAGACTTGCCGAGAGCCAGCGAGCCTACAGTAAGAGTCAGCTGTATCCTATTGATGAGATGAGAAGAGCACTGACTAGCTTTCGAGCAAGTGGAGACCTTCTTGACGACCTCGACCGCCTTGACCGATACCTGTGGTACGGTAGAAGTTAGCACAGCAGAGATGGCAGACACCTGTCTGCCCGTTGGTGNCAGACGAGATGCTGGCACCGGGATCCGCGAGCGTATACCTCTGACCGCTGCACCAGAACCAGCTGGCGAGACAGTCGTCATCGNGCTCGACCCAACAATTCGCTCCGAGCGAGCTCGAGAGACGATAATCGGGATTTTGCTGGTAGCATTTCGCATGACCGGCTTCGTAGCAGCAGACAGCATCTTTNTAGATTCTGCTTCGCTCTTAACAGTATAGAGTACTCTCAAACGNTTGCAGTATAGACTTGATNTGATCAAATGTATACGAATCTCGAGTGAAGAGAGGCAGAATAATTCGCCAGGCTTTATAGCTCGCCAATCTCTCACGGAACGATTCTACATCTCCCACGCTTGCCTGGCTGTCCACCCGCCATCCCTCTAATAGATATATTATTAATGCAAGCTTGACGTTGAGTGAATCTGCTTGACCGATGACCGCTAGATGAGAGCGCTGAAGGCATGAGCCGACAGTAGTCCTGGCGTGAACTTTGTTTTCCTCGACGCGTGTCGCGCTCGTGCCGCACAGTCTCCGTCTCTGCTTCAGTCATGGATGGTGAATACGGCAAGTCGCAGCACGGCGACAGACGGGACCTCATGGTGGCTTTGTAAAAGCTGGCCCATCTATTGATCGTTCCTAAAGAGCGATCCTGCTCTACATGTCTGACGCAGTGTTCCATATCTCTCTCGTTGCATGCCTGACCATCTGTGCCTCGCCAATGTGATGCAATCGCGCATTGGTACTGCCGCCGCAGACTCATCGGAAAGGCTTGCAAGTGTTCCAAGAGTGCAGGCTTTGTAGCTACTCTTCTGTCCCGGAAGCGTTGCATTCAAGTGCTATCATCGTCGCGATCTGCCGACATATTGTACGCAGTGCTTCGCTGGAAGGCGCTGTTGGTGTTCGACGCTTGCATGACAGAGCGGAACGACGTGTCTGTCGCGATAGCTGTTGACGACACAGTGTTCGCTGACAGATTTATTGATACTATCGCATGCAGAGGCTGAGCGTAGTCTAGGGCTGTGNTCGCTTTGTTGTAGGCTCCACTGCAGCGAGCATGAGCTGCCTCGCGTCTCGGCAGACCAAACTTTGACTTTGTATCTCGATTCGCCACAAGCGCGCTCCCTCGTCACGCGCGCGCCACTGCGCATGTATTTGCTGCTGACCTGTGCCCTTGCAAAGATATGCAATGAAGGTGCAAAGATCTAGCATGACTATCGTGCGAGCGAAAGAAATAGTAGGCCGGCTATGAAGACAGCAGCAGGTGTGCCGAACCATTCTGATACATGCACTTGATCATTCGCGCCTCCGGTCGCAGGACGTTGATCACCACGACTGAGAGACTGGCCGCTCGCTTTCGCAGTCGCTGTGCTGACTGCTGGTTGCGCGGTGCCACTCGTATTGACGGGTACGAGCGCATCTGTAAGCTTGGCACTGAAGTCGCTCGCTTGGGAAGACAAGGTCGCGAACCCGACTGCAGCCGGTGCGAAGCGATAGACCGTGTATACACTCTGGATCACAGTGTCAGCTAGCCTATCTCTAAATACAGATCTGACCAACTTGTAGGAACGGGGCTCCGAGAATGTAGGGTGGGATGCCAGAGATCGAATCTGAAGAGATCGCATTGACCTGACAGAGCCCCCCGGTGGTGATAGGCCCTTGCTGGACGATATCCTGTGGCTGTATGACGTATGAGATATTGCCAAAGGTGAAAGTGATGTTGAGTGTCATATCGCAGGGAACAGCATAAGACTGTCCGGCTGTCGTGTCGATTGCTTGACTGCCCGGAACGGCGCTAAACATCGAGTCGAGCGTCGAGACTGGCAAAGCGAGCACCGATGTACCAGAATCAATGACGACCGTAGGGTTGAGCTCCTCAAGGCCAAGTAGCTGTATGCCGACGTGAATTGCATCTAGCTTGAGCTCCCAGAACGAGCTTGTCGCATTCACCACGCTGTCATGGCTCTCGCATTAGCTCCTTATAGCTTCAGCATTACGAGAAACTCACTCGTTGTAGTTGATCTGGCCAGTGTAAAGCGAGGGCTCGTCACCACCGATCGTGAGTGCACCCGTCTGGTTATTGCGATTCTGGAAGATGCCAATGGACGTCGCGCCGAGTGCTTCCCATAGGTTTGTACCCAGGCTTGACGCTGGATTATGCGATGGCACTCCAAGAATGCCAGAGACGGGTGAGCCAGTCACGTTCAGTCCTGACGTTTCTGCACAAGCTGCAAATGTGACATTGGCTGCTGATAGCTCGCCAATCGATACAACGTCGTGTGCGACCGCACAGCTTGCCGAGCCGGTGCCATAAGCGATGTTGACTCCGAGCGATGATGCAGTAAAAGTAGAGGAATCGTTGCTTAGGAAAGCAGCAGGAGCAGAAGCTGCTGAGCATGCACGAGAACTCAGGCCAGACGAAGTGAGATCGCAGGGTAAGCTGGGTAGCACGAGTTCGATCGAGCCTGTATCGACTACGACGTCCATCGCCTGCGGAGGCGTGCCAATTTTGATCTGAGCATAGTACTCGAGCTGATCGAAGTCATGAAGCTGTACTTCTCCGAGCAGCTGGCGTTTACGTTGCGTTCGAGGTGTGTAGATATACTTCGGATTAGCAGGCTGTCTTGCCGCAAAAGGCACAGTCACAGAGCAAACTGTAAGGTCAATGAGCGCCAGGCTCAAAAGCGTTATGCCCAGCATTGTTCCGTGAGATGGTCGAGCGAGTCAGCCCGCATGGTGTATGATATAGGAAGAGGAAGACGAGGGGCAGGCAAGAGGGAGAAGACGACAATCTGCTCAACAATAGCCCCCAGATGCGCGCATAGACTGAAACTTGAACGAGGTCTGAGCGCTGGACGGCAGGCAGGGGTCCTACGCGCGAGTGTTGGGTCACGCCAAGGGCGGTCGGAGTCACTCAGTGTCATCGTGGTGCCGAGGCATACTGAGCCAGCGCGAACAGCGACGGCGGCAGGTCACATGTTCACGGACCTCGCCGCCAATATTGCCCGAGCATCGCATACTTTCCCACGCTTCCGCACATAAGTGGTCACTTCTTGTGATCGGTCAAGCATTGAGTAACATGGCATATCCGCCGCAAGCCGCTGCACCACCGCCTTATTTCGCTCGATCTGGTGAGCTATCGATACAGATCTCGCGTCAGCATGGCGTGCCAGGTTTGCCAGTCGAGCTAAAGGGCGGCTTGATCGATGAGCACGAATGGCATTCTCGTATGTCAGGTTTGCTCGGCATCTTCAGGCGATACGACTGGTCAATCGGCGAACGAGTCTGGCTCGGAATCATATTGGTGATGACGCTGATCGTGCCATGGCCCTTGATGGGCCTTGCTCGTCGCTCGATCCTAGCAGAAGTAGGCATGAGCTGCCTTGCGCGAGATGATGCTGATTGTCGGAACGTGGTAGGACATCGAGCGCAATCGTGGCCTGCCGCTCGATCAGCGTAGCTTCGATCCGGAACATTTCGCAAAAGCGCAAGCGGTCGGCTCGTTGATCTTTCTGGGTCTCTTCATCGTCGGCTGGGTTCCGTACGGTCTGTTCAAGCTGAGATTCCGCCGACGCTTGAATCGATATTTTGTGACGATTAACAATGCAGAGGCAGCAAAAGGACATGGCCGGAGCACCTACTGGCATCTTGCAGGCACGTCGACTTGGCAAGGCGCTGCATTGCTGATGATTCGCCTGCCGATGAGCTACAACATGACACCGTTCCACCCACAAGCCTACCCGCCGCCCTGGCTTGCGAGCGGGCCGGCAACTGGCCCGACTCCTTCTTACGTAGCGCCGCCTGCGTCCCCGCCGCTCGAGAAAGTGCCCTTATGATCGCGGTGTTGTATGCCTTGCACTACACCGTCTGTGTCGAGGCTGTGAAGTATGCGCTCGCATACGAGACTGAGCTATCGGAGAGCTTCTTGACTAGACTACTCCTTTCATAGCGCACAAATTTAAGTCGGACGTCATCCTGAGCGAAGCCAGCAGTCTTGCTGTCTTGCAAGCTTGCGATGGTGGCGAGGAGCACGCCAATGGGGTGACGACCGCAGATGGTATTCTTTGTTCGTGTGAGATAGCTTGCAAAGTCACGGTGGGCGTCTTGAGCAGACTTTCCGCTGTCTTTTGTCAGCTCAACGTGTCGCATGCCTTCCCGATCGATAAGCTCAATGGATTTGTGGATTGGGAAGTCTGCGTGAGCGCTGTTGGTCTTGGCCAGCTGGACAGGTGCCGAAGAGTCTTCCTTCGGGACATAGTAAGTATAGCCAAAGCGCGTGCCCCTGATGCGCTGCAGATCAGTACTAGGCACGGCGATGTCAAAAAGCGCGCTCACCAGTGGCAAAAGTCGCTAGATATCACGAACAGCGTATCCTCGTCTGCGAGGTACGGCGCGAGTAATTTGCCGAATGCAGACTCCTTGCTTGTCGAGATGGATCCGACCATGATGGGCACGATGTTGACTGCGTGTCTGCTGGTGCGGATGAGCGCTGGACCGACCTGAGTAGCAGTTTGCGTACCCCTGAAAGACTTTGGCGATGTAGGGTAGCTGCATCTCTATACTGTGCTCGTCGTCATCTGCAGACGGTGACATGTCCTCGAATTGGCGCGTCGCTCGCAACCGCGCGATCGCTACCGAACTTCGTCAGCCCCGTTGTATGCATGGCAAGGAGCACACGCACTATCCAGATCCAGGGGGAGATTGCCAAGCGGCGTCTTGTATGACGAGCGCTGAGACAGCGCGCAGCCATTGAGATAGACATGATGTGACGGCCCTAATATAAAGACTCGCTTGCTGCAAGTCCTCATGATCAGCCATGATACAGCATGAGGATGTTGAGAGCGCGCTATGCAAAAGGTTCGATACAGGCGTATGCCCAGGCCGCTGCTGCGCCAGAATACGCATAACCGGCATGCCTGCGGACATATGAGCTCGACACGGGGACGGTGACAGTGTGCATACGGAGATATGATGGCCTTGAGATTGGGCACCGGCGGGGCAAAGTCCTTGTCTTCTTGGCATGGCGTAGAATCGACTTCGCCTAGCCAGTCAGACAAGAGCTCGTCAAGCGTCTTTGCTGCTCGTGGAGTACATCAGCTCACGCCGGCAGCGTCTCATGCAGTGCGTACAATCATCATCATACCAGCTGCCTGCGTGCGTTGCCGGACGAGCGCCTGACATGTATGCTGATGGGGTGATGCAATCAATTTGGACGTCACAAACACGACACGACACGCGATCTCATATCATACGAACTCGACAGCGGAGGAAAAGAGGCAAGAAGCGCAAGCATGCATGATGGCAAAGATCATAGCTTGAGCTGCAAACCAGCATTATCAGGAAGAATTGGCTTGGTGCGTTGAGCTTTGCGAGTATCGCTTGGCTTGCCGGCACTTGCGAGTAGCTGTACGCCGCGCTGCTTTGACAGCTGATCGACTGCCTTTTGCTTCTGCGCCCTTGAGCCACTACCGTACTTATCAACGGTCGCCGCGAGTACTGCTCTCTCTTTGCGTCGCCTCTGGCGATCTGCCTTCTTTTCCTGACTCGACTTTTCTTCGCTCGTCGCGCTGATTGCAAGCTTTGGCTTATAGACTTCCTCTGGCGCCATGAGACTTGCAGTAGATTGAGCGGTTGGCAGTGCACTTTCCAGTGTGACCGAGGGTAGATTTGCAACGGTGGTGATTGTTGCTTGCGGCTGGGGTCATAGATCAGCCGCGGGAAAGGAAGACAGGGCAGGAGACGTACAGGTTTTGGCGTGTAATGCGCGTTGCTGAGCGCATCGAGCCTGCCGCAGACGTCCTCGAACAGAGCAGAGAGCTCCTCGTGCTGCTTGACCAGCTTGGCGTCTCTAGCATTGACAATCTTGCCACCAGCCGCAAGTTCTCGCTCCTCAGCGAACTCATCTGCATAGACATCTGCCAAGCCGCGCGAAGATTGCTCCATATCGAGCTGGAGCTGCGAAGATGGGATGAATGCCTTGGGATCGAATGGTAAGCGCTTCACGACATCATCATAATTCGCCTGCTCGTCCGCTTTAGCTCTACTCGACGCACATGCAAACGCGACTAACGTCGAGAATTCTTTGCTTGATCTTGGCCTCGAGAGTGAGCGTAACTTCTTCGGTCACCACGGGCACGACCTTGCTCGAGTGCTCGAATTCGAGATCTTCTTCGAGCAAGCTATTCTGCGGTCGATCTCGACTGCGCACTTCCCCCTTGAGCGCCCAATCCTTCTCTGCAATGTTCTCTGCTTCTAGCTTCCTGATCTGAGCGTTGAGTGCCGCAAGACGCTTCTGGTGCGTCGATAGACCTGATGCTGATTTGTCCTCCTCGTCGTCCAACAGATTGTGCCTGACGCGAGACATGACTTCCGTACCATCATCCTGCTCGTCCTGTAGTCCGTCCGCAAGATCGTCGTGCATGTCTGCGTCGCTCGGCAGATCCGTGCCCTCGTCGTGCAAGACGTCCTGCTCTTCGCCGGATGAGCCGCCTTCGGATTCTCCTGCGTCGCTGTCTTCTTCCAAGTCAACGTCGTCATCTACGTCCTCGTCGTCAGAACCTTGTCCGTCAAAGGCTGCTTCGTCATCGTCATCGGAATCTTCCGTAACGGGAAAAGCAGGAATAGTGTCAGAATCTTCATCATCGTCTGCGTCACTGCTATCTTCTTCGTCCTCTACTTCATCGGCGATGGAAGGATCAAGACCGATCTGCGCCAGAGCACGACGGACGCGACTGTTCGAAGCAAACACATTTGAGAGCGAATGACCGGCAGCACCAGGCCGAGCGGGGATATCCTTCACTCGCACTTGGTTGTTGAAGCTCACTTTGCGTTTTGCAGCGCCGTTGGCCGAGGCCACCCTGGCAGTCTTGCGAGGCGACGGCTTCTCTGTCTTACTAAGTGACGATTGCTTCCGTTTCTTCGAGACTGTCACCGGCGCATCAAAAAAGTCGCTATACTTGATATCTGCTACATCTTCGAGGTCCATCGCTTCTGCTGCTGACTCGTCTGACTCGTCATCCTCTGGCGCTTCGTCGACAGGTGCGAATAAGTCAACGACTTCCTCGTCCCCAACGTCTTCAGGATCGCGCCCTTCTGCAATTGCGTTCTGCTTCTGCAGTAGTCGCCTGAGATCCGCCTCGCCTTGATCTGTTTGACGATGAAAGTCGTCTAAGCTGAAGAAGTCATCGTCTACAGGTGCCCGAGTCGTCGCTTTGACAGCCGATTTGCCGTTCTGAATCGGCGCTGCATCGAAATTGTCAAGCGAAAGGCCAGCTTGTTCGTCTTCGTTTTCTGCTGTATTTTCATTGGCTTTAGTCTTTGCCTTCTGGCTGCTCATACTGGCTTTGGCAGGCACAGGCTCCTGCTCCCCTTCTCCTTCTGCATCGCTGTCTGAAGCATCGTCGTCGTGCTGTGCAAAGGGATTGAAAGCGTTAGCTTTTGCTTGCGGCTTGACTTTTCGTATGAGTGGAACGTAGTACTCTGGCTCATCGAGCTCAAAGTCGACTTCTGACTCATCCTGCTGCTGCTGCTCGCTGTCGTCAGTTTCGCTCGACGCAGCATCGTCTGCGGCGAAGGGATCGAAGCCGAGCTCTTCGCGCAGTGCTTCTAGTTCGTCTGGTGACATACCGCTCGCTTGCTCTGCCTTGGCATTGCGCATGAGCATGAGCGAGTCGTTTGGCACGGCTGTCGCTTCTTCATCTGAATCGTCTTCTTCGTCGCTGTCATCTCCGTTCATCGCGTCTGAGCCGTTTCCGTCGGTCTCATCGTCCGAAGGCGCGTTCTCGAGTGCCTCTTCTTGACCACCGCTCAAGGTATATTTTGCGAGATCGCGTAACCGACTAGCTCGCATGTCAATCTGTGTCCACACGGACGACGCACTGTTTGCAAGTCCGCCAGACACAGCGGATGAGGGTAGGTAGAGTTCGGAAAGCGGCGTAGGCGCTAGCAGGGGATGTCGCTCCTTTGCCTTTGATGATAGGCGAGCGGCTTGCTGTTTGCGCGTCATTGAGCGAGTCTGATGTCGATCTCCGCCACCATTGCTGAGTGCATGTAAAAGCTCGTCTATTCGATCGAGTGCTTCTGGCTCGCTGGCAAGAGCTAGCAGGACAGCGAGTCAGCAATTTGTCGTTTGCAGCTCGTCTGCTACACACCATAGTCAAAGAGAGCTTTGAGGCCTGACCGCGTAGGCTCTTGCAGAGTGCGAGCGCTGGAGCTAGGTTCGCTATTTGACAAGCTTTCTAGAGCTGCAGTGGGCTCTGCAAAGAGATGGATGGCATCTGCCAGGCTGTCTGAAAATGCTCTGAGCGAGACGAGCGCTTCATCTGCCGAGTTTACAGCCCCTTGGTTGGTCCCATTCGATGCGGCAGGGCTATGCAAAGGTGATGTGCCCGCTTTCGCCTTGCCTTTGGCCTTTGCGGATGCTTTGCGTCCTACAACTTTGCTCGGTGATGACGATAAAGGACTGTCGGTGCCTGACGACGGCGACCCATTCGAGCCGCTAGCCTTGCGCTGCCCCTGCTTTGGCGTGCTACCGGTCGCGCGGACCATGGCTACCTGCAGCGTCTCGGGCCGTGAAGAGCGAGCGAGTCTTGATCGTCTTGCTGCCGGCGGGCGACGACTTCCTCTCCTCGAAAAGTTGTCGATCGTCTGACGCCACCTCCTGTCAGGCGCGACACAAGGCAGGCGACCGCTGGGAGGAGGCGTAGTCAGCGAGGATGAGCAGCTACGAGTCCGGTGCGCCCCTGATGAGCATGTCCAACGCAATTACACAGCTGCCTGCGCCTGCATCGCTCTCTTCCAACACGGCACAAGAAGTTGTGCCTTCATCAGGTGAGGCCACCCTCTCACTCGACCAAGGACCGTCTACTGATTTGACTCGGTGCGACGTACGATAGACTCTGTAGATGATTCTGTCACTGCTTCCGGGGGGTCGGCAGCCAACAACAACGCTCATCTGCTGCATCCACTCGGTCTATTGATGGACGAACTCAAGTCTGAAGAAGTCACGCTCAGGTTGAACGCCATCAGACGCCTTTCCACCATCTCTCTCGCCCTCGGTCCTGCGAGATCGAGGGAGGAACTGTTGCCCTTTCTGCATGACTCGCTCGACGACGAGGACGAGGTGCTGCTCGTACTCGCAGAAGAATTGGGCAATCTCGTCGATTATCTCGGCGGGCCCTCGAACGCGCATCTCTTGCTCGGTCCGCTCGAGACACTCGCCGCAGTAGAGGAAACGCTCGTCCGCGACAAGGCGCGCTTGTGCTGCCCCTCATAGCTTGTGTATGCTGACAGGCGCGTCTACGCGCTCTTTGCAGGCAGCAGAGTCGATCAACAAGATTGCAAAGATCCTTTCCCAGCCACAGATCGAAGAACACTATCTGCCGCTCCTGAGGCGTCTATCCACAGGGGATTGGTTCACTTCCCGAACGTCCGCCACCGCTCTGTATGGATCAGCTTATCCGAAAGCGACGACGACCATTCAGGACGAGATGAGAAAGATGTTCAGCTCGTTATGTACAGACGAAACCCCAATGGTCCGCAGGGCCGCAGCGAAGGAATATGGCGTGCGTACGGAGAGGGATGACAGATCACAGACAGCTGACATATAGGCCTCGCCTGCAGCCTTTCAGCAAAGTGCTGGACAAGCATCTCCTCATAACAGAAATGTTGCCCGTCTTCCGCAAGCTCTCCACAGACGATCAGGACTCGGTCCGACTGCTGACCGTCGAAGCGCTTATCGCGATGGCGCAAGCACTCAACGACGAGGAATGCAACGAATACCTCGAGCCCACGATGAAGAACATGGTTTCCGATTCTAGCTGGCGAGTACGCTACATGATTGCCGACCACTTTGTAGAGGTCAGCTCTCCGGCCTCGTGCGGACACATGTGCTCATACGATCAGGACAGCTCTCGACTGCAGCAGGAGAAGACATCATTCGCGAGGATCTCGTCGCAGCCTTCGTTCATCTTTTGAAGGACAATGAGGCCGAAGTCAGGACAGTAGCAGCCGCGCAGATTCCAGGCAGGTCAAGTATGCCCCATAACATAGACCGTACTGACCGGCTAGAACACGCAATGCAGGCTTTGCAAAGCTTGTCGACAAGGACGTCATTCTGGCAAGGCTGCTGCCATGCGTCAAGGACCTCGCGACAGACACGTCTCAGCACGTACGCGCTGCTCTTGGCACACAGATCAGCGGTCTCGCGCCTTTGCTCGGCAAAGAGGCTACCATCGAACACCTCCTACCGCTCTTCCTGCAATTACTCAAAGATGATTTCCCGGACGTGCGACTCAATATCATCAGTAAGCTGGAACAAGTCAACGATGTCATCGGCATCGAACTACTCTCGCAAGCCCTTCTGCCTGCTATTATGCAGCTTGCAGAAGACAAACAATGGCGAGTCAGGCAGGCTATCATCGATTATATTCCCCTACTGGCCAATCAGCTCGGCGTACGCTTCTTTGACGAGCAGCTCTCAAACCTCTGCATGACCTGGCTCGGCGACCCCGTATACAGCATCAGAGAGGCGGCGACGGTCAACCTGAGGAAGTTGACCGAAGTCTTCGGTGTCCAATGGGCCCGCGAAGCCATCATTCCTAAAGTCCTCGCCATGGGCAGCAATAGCAACTATCTCTTCCGCATGACGACCGTCTTTGCCATCACGGTATGCCTCAATCGATTGTTCATGGACGCTGCTGATGTGATCTAACACAGACAATGGCGACGGCGCTCGATGTGCAAACGATCAGCACATCTGTGCTCGAGACTGTCAATAGACTCGTAGAGGACCCGATTCCAAATATCCGGTTTGCAACGGCAAAGTGCCTCGGCGTGCTTGCACAGACTGTAGCTGGCCAAGAGGGCGGCAAGGAAGTCGCGCGAGATGGCATCTTGCCCGGTCTGCAAAAGCTCAAAGAGGACAGCGATCCTGACGTCCGATTCTTCGCCAACGAAGCCATCGAGGTACGCATCCCAGACTTTGCGCTGCCGTACATGAACTCATGAGCACTTTGGACAGGCTGCACATGCGGTCGCTTCTGGACATCAAGTCGGCGCGCGAGATTCCGAGATGTCAATCTCTTCATAACGGCGCACTCGGGCGTGCGAGATGGCAAGCATATGTTCTGAGCTGTACCTAGAGAAATGGAATTATGAACAGATACTCGTTCGCTCCGAGTGAGGCACACAGCACGCCAAAGTACAACGAGACTGTGCAAAGTCTCGCATGCATGCAACACGTCCAAGTATCGGTCTACTCGCTCTTGGCTTTGACCTTCTTGGTCGCTACTGTGCCCTCTCTGAAGCCGTTCTTGAAGCGTCTCCCAACGTGCTGTGGTGGGCCAGGCAAAGGTCAGCATGTGTAGCTTGCTCGATGCGCGAGCGAGATTTCTGACGAACCTTGAGGTAAGAGCATCTACCTGTACCCGTCGTCTTTCTTCGCTTAGCCTTCTGGCCCCATTCGTAGCTGCGAGTCTTGGCTGCCGGGTAGCCGCACGAGGCACAGGTGCTCTTTTGCTTATGGAAGCAACGGCGACCGCATCTTCGGCAGAGCGTGTGAGCTAGCAAAGTGAGAGTGTCAGCCTACTCGCATCATCTACTGAATACGCAAAGGCTGACTCTTCGAGTGACGAAGACCAAAGGACGAAGTACCCTTCGTCATCTTGTCGTACTTGCCTCACGCTCACAATTCCTCCAGGCGAAGGCTTTAGAAATCTCGGTGAAAAGCGTGAGAGAAAGCTGGTGTGGCTCACAACTGCGAACGCGCCGCCTGATCTGGCTGGTATCAACTCTAGGATAGGATCAAGTCACACTTGCTTCCTTAGACGAGATGCAGATCTTCGTCAAGACCCTCACGGGTGAGCTCAAGACTGCCTGCAGCCAAATAGCTGCTGATCAGTTGTCATCGCAGGCAAGACGATCACCCTCGAGGTCGAGTCGTCAGATACCATTGACAATGTCAAGGCAAAGATCCAGGACAAGGAGGGCATCCCGCCTGACCAACAGCGCTTGATCTTCGCCGGCAAGCAGCTCGAAGACGGCCGTACGCTGTCCGACTACAACATCCAGAAAGAATCGACGCTACATCTCGTCTTGCGTCTACGTGGCGGTGCCAAGAAGCGCAAGAAGAAGCAGTACACGACCCCCAAGAAGATCAAGCACAAGCACCGCAAGGTCAAGCTTGCCGTGCTCAAGTACTACAAGGTCGACAGCGATGGCAAGATCAAGCGTCTACGACGAGAATGCCCAACGCCCGAATGTGGCGCCGGCGTCTTCATGGCTTGGCACCACAACCGTCAGTCTTGCGGTCGATGTGGTCTGACTTACATCACCGATGCTACGCCCACCAAGGCAGCTGCATAGGCTATCCAAGCTCATCTGTAGCTCCAGAGTGAATATGCATTTGCCTGTCTACTAGCTTGGCTGCATCTTCATCAGGCTCTCTACGACGACAGAAAGCCGCTTATAGTCCTTGAGCAAGAGATCGATGTCTCCCAATCGCAGCTCGCTTGCGTCGTGAGCCTCGAGGAACTGCTGCAGAGGCGGCGAGATCGTTTGCGCGTCCTGAACATGATCTGTGTTTGCAGCCGTGAGGGAGAGATTCGATAAACGTCTGTTCACAAAGTAGCCCTCGTTATGGGTAAGCAGTGACATTGTGCGAGACGCTGGAGCAGGATCGGCAGGGATGCTCGACCTCAGTGATGACGCGCCAGATGCAGACAGTCGATTGAGTCCCGGGATAGCTGCAAGACGGTCTGATATCGAAGGCTTGTCGTCTTCAGTACCAGGCTGAGCATTGATTGCCGTGGATGAGCTCGTCCGCGATAGTCGCGCTTGAACAGGCGCAGCCCCATTGCTTGTGCCCTCGCGGGCGGCCGGAGGTGTCAACTCTGCCAGCTCTTTGTGTTCGAGCGGTGTGCTCGTCGTATGTGCCCTTCCTCGCGGCTTCTCAGGTGCAGCGATAGGCGTCAAAGGGCTAGATGCCCGTCTGAGCAGGCCCAGCCGTTTGGTGATCGCACCATCCTCTCCACCCTTGCCATCGAGCACGCTCTTTATCTCGTCTAGCGAGACGGGCTGCTTCGTGAGCAAGCCAAAGCTTCCTCCTATGAGCCTCACGCCTCCATCGAGCGTTGTAGCTAACCCGCCTGCCACGCCGCCCAGCATGCGTGTCGCGCCGGTGGCGACAATATCCATCTCTTGCGTGACTCGCGCCCTGATGGATGATGCCGGTGCAGGCTCCAGCTTGGCCTGTGTCGTCTGAGTTGGTGAGCCGTCTTCCGAGCTGCAAGACACGCAATCACGTCAGCATGACGACGAAAGGCTGAGAACAGGATATACCTGATCACCCGAGCGGAGCCCATGCCGACACTACTGAGATCGATGTGCAAGAGGTATTCGACGACTGCTTGCAGGTTGCAGACACAGTATGCGGTCTCGCCGTGAAGCAGGAGCTCGCAACGGAAACGTTCGATGAGACGGAGATGTGAGATGAACTGTGACGGGTTTGCACGAACGACACTGAAGATGAGGATTGGCAGCAAAAGATCTGCGCTCGATTGACTAGCATTCTGGCCATCTCGCACCGAAGCCTCGCGCAGAGATGAATTGATGGCATCGGCCATCTCTAGTTCTGTACTGGCTTCGCTTTCGTTGGCGACTTCAGGCTTGGTGGGTATAGCAGGTAGCTTGCTTATACCATCGACGAGAGCCTTGTGTATTCTGACGAACAGATCGAGCTTGCTCTTTGGCGTACGATAACTTGCTCCGGAGAGGAGTTTGAGCATCTCGCCGCACTCGCGCACAATATCTTCGATGCCTTCTCTGAGCGTCTTGTGTGCTTCATCCCACTCTGCAGGTGCGCCGCTGCTGGGCTCCAGCTGCAGACTGAGATGATCGAGTGAGAAGTCAAGCATGTTCAATCCTGCGATGCGCGACGCAAGATTGACATCGTCTGCGCGATCCTTGCCGTCGTCAATACAGAACAAGCTGTGCCAGAGGATGAGTCAAGTTCAGTCCAAGATAGAGCTGCTGGAACGTACCGGTCGTATGACAGACCCACAAGAACGTCCTCGACTGCTTCGAGCGCATCCTGAGTGACCACCTCCTCGTTAATGCTATCAGAGCTCTCCGTTGATGCTTGGGCAATCCGAGCAATGTCCAGGCAGAGACCCTGATACGCTCTAGCGAGCTCTTCTGCACTTGCAGCATACAATGGACCGGTGATTGACGTTTTACCTTTCTTGCTCGTCGACACTGTACGCGCCGTCGAGATACTGACGGCTTCTGAACCTTTCGGCGGGTCTAGCCTCGCCAGGAATTGCACTACGAGATCACTTGCTTCGGCGGAAACATTCTGGGACCGTAGACGCGATCGACAGAGCTTGGCCGTCGCTTGCGCAATCTCTCTTGCGAACGCGGCCCTTCGTATGACGCGATCCACAGCTATGGCGCGAACACTGATCAGATCGAGGCTCGGTTCTGGTGAGATTGTTGGATCGGCCAACGACGGTGGGGATTCTGCCAGTGGCGAGGCAGCGAGCGAGCTAGACGTGGAAATGCTTCGCTCTGCTCTGATGCCGCCGAAGAGGGATGCAAGCGTTCTGGCTTGCGGCCTGGTGATCTGGCCCTGTGAGTTGTTGAGAGTCGGTTTGGGCACGCTCAGCTTGCTAGGCACAGATAGCAAGTGTAGACATGGAAAGGCCGGCGTGGTAGAGGAAGACACATAAGGCGGTGCCGAGCCCAGAAGCGTGCTCATGAGCTCCTCGTCCATGCCGGCATCCTTCGTCAGGGTAGAGATGCCAGGCACGGCGCTACCGAAGATGACCGTATCGTCTGCTTTGACGCCTCTGAGACCGTTCAGGGTTGCCACCGTCACCGCAGCTGTGCCTGGAGTAGCAGAAAGAGAATTAGAGTCGAGTAAGACCAGATGGTCGCGTACAAGCGCCGGTGTGATAGTCTCATTTGGCGGCAAGCCGTCTTTGGGCAAGAGAAAAGTGACGCGATCGTCACTGAGCGCTGTCCAGACTGCTGTCCAGCCATGGGTATCCTGTGGCGGACGTGCTCCCTTGCCAGTCTGTATCAAGCCAGTGTGCAGCTCTATGAGCCGCGAGAGCATGAGCCAGCCTGCAGAATTGGTCGATAGGCCGAGGGCCTGTACAGAGCTTTGGAGGCTTTGCAGCTTTAGCTTGGCAGTAGCAGAAGTCGGCGATGGCGCGGGAGTGGGGTAGTCATTGGAAACAGCTGTGAGAGCCCTACTGGACTCTGCCAGGCTCGAAGAGGACGAGACATTGGTCGGGGAAGTCAAAGGTTTTACGAGGCTTGCTGAGGTTGTAGGGACGGTCGATAGAACAGACTGCGTCGTGAGGGGCACAGAAGCTAGGGGACTAGCTTGTCCGTTGGCTTGTGCCTGGCTCGCTGCATGCAAGCCGCTTCCACTCGTCCGTCCTCTTGACCGTGGCTTGTAGTGTAGCTGCTTATAGTCGCTCGTCTCGGTCTGTCCGTCGGCACGCTCTGCCAGATGGCCATCTTCCGAGCCCTGTGAGCTCGCCAGGAGAGGATGGTGCTGACCGGACATTCAGCCCATCCAGTGCCCGGGCGTGCTCCAGATAGGCAAGTCACTCACTTGGTGAGTCGCCAAGTCAAGTCGCGCAGCAATTCATCAAGCTGAGGTTTAGCAAGCTAGCAAGCGTCAAGACGAGGCCAGCCTACCGGCATGTTCAAGATCATCACCGGCGGCAGCACCAGCGCTCCGCTTGACAGCATGCAGCTTGATGATGCAGCAGGCAGCGCTCAAGTCAGCGTGCCTGGCGAATTTCTCGCCTCATCTCACGACTGGATGCGGTCAGCCTCTTGGCATTGCGTCACTCTATGGTTGTGTTGAGGCGAACGCGGGACTGTCACAGTGGCCACGGTACATATGTGGCAGACGAATCGGTCGTGTCGACGATGGCAGGCACGGTGGATCGGGTCAATAAGCTTGTCTCCGTCAGAGCACTCAGGGGACGCTACAAGCCAGAAGTCGGCGATCTCATCATTGGCCGCATTGTCGAGGCAGGTTACTCGCTCATCAATACACTGTGAGAAGCTGAGCATCGCATCAACCAACAGGTACAAGCCAAGCGTTGGAAGGTTGATGCCTCGTCGCGCCAATTTGCCTCTCTGCTACTTTCTTCGATCAATTTGCCAGGTGGTGTACAGGTGCGTCCTCGCCGGTATCGAGTTTTTCTAGCTGACGCGCAAGTCCTACTTGCAGCGGCGCAAGCTCGAATCTGATGAACTACAGATGCGTACATTTTTTCAAGAGGGCGATTTGCTCGTTGCAGAGGTGCAAGCGCTATACGCTAACGGCGAGATGAGCTTGCATACGCGCTCTCTCAAGTTTGGTAAAGTGAGTCGATCGCTGACGATCCTGTCGTTCCTGCGCTGATCCATCTTGCTCGCTTCCCAAGCTGAGGAACGGCGTACTCGTGCGCGTGCAATCTCAATTGATCGTACGGCAAAAATCTCACTTCCATGCGCTGCCTTGCGGCGTCAACCTCATCATCGGCATGAACGGCTGGATTTGGATCTATCAGCCTTCGCCAGCAGAGTCGAACACCTCGCGCAACAATGGCATCGGCGCAGACGGCCTCGAGACGACTGACACAGATGCATCGATGCTCTATTCGAGCACCAATGATCCCTTGGATAATGTTATCATGATAGCCATCGCTCGTACAGCCGCTGTCATCCAGGCATTGGCAAACAACAACGTGCCGCTAACAGATTCGAGCATAGCTGAAGCTTACGAAGTATCGCAAGAGCTAGAAATTGACGAGCTCGGCACCGCCAACGTCGCCAACCTCGGTCGGCCAGATATCGCTCAGCTGCTTGCAACAGCAGTCCTCTCGCGCGGCTAATCTACAAAGCAGCATGTAACATCTGACAACAACATCTACAGATGGACGGAATACGTGCCTACTCCTCTACAAGTGCGATTGCTTGCGTTGCAACGTCCTCCAGCGCGCGCACATAGGTCGTCACGCCTTGTCGTGCCAGGTGTCGATCGAGCTCGGTCGTCACTGCGCACATGCGACAGAGTTCAGTCCTTGAAACGATTCCAGAAAGAGCGAGAAGACTTGCTGCCTTCTTGACCGGGATACTCTGCGAGCGAGCCGACCTCGAATGCATCTGTGATCGTCTGTGCGAGCGCTGCAGAATTTGGCAGGCTGCGTTTCCATGTCAATGGCGCACATGTAGTCTAATGGTGGGACCTACGCTTGACCAAGAGCGAAGCGCAAGCGGTATCGACCTGGCAGCAAGATGGCGAGATCAAAGAAGACAAAGAAAGCGCCTTGCTCTCCATCGACGGCCTCAGCAAGCTGTGCTGTTGAGACCGTCTGACCGAGCAGCATTCGACGAGGTTGATTCGACATTGGATCAATAGCGAGATCGATTGGCTCCTCGTCGTTGTCCGCGTCAAGCAGGGCACAATGGCAGATGACATACTGCAACTCGTCGATTCTACCATGACGCTACCATCAGAGTAGCACAGCAGAAGTCGACAGACGGCTCACACTTCCGTGATAGGCAATCTCTCGCCGTCCTCGCGCACATACAGACGGAGGATCGGCGTTGGCAGTATGGGCACTCTGCTCTGCGAAGATCTCCTGATGCCGATCGCTGCACCTCGACGAGGCTCTTGAATCAGAACAAGCTCATATGCGCGTCTTCTGCAGGTCACCAAGCCAATCAGCCACCAAGCCTACTGTGACAGTACATCAACTAACGGCTGAGCTGTCCGTTCGTCGCAAGTCGGATCGACGAGAGCACGAAGTGCTTGCGCTGTCTGCTCTGGCTCTTCCGACGGCTGTTCGACAGGAATGGAGGCCGGTGGAAGGGCGACTGTATTAGCAACACTCGTTTCGGCAATAGCCTCTGGATCATTCCTGCCCGTCAACAGCTTGTCCAGACCGCCCGTAGATGTCTCGGCGACTCGCGTGCGCGGAGAGCGTCTAGGCTTCGCCGGGTCGTCGGCATTGCTGCCCACTGTTGCGAGGGCCTCGTTGCTGCCGATGCCTCTGTCTTCTGGCGTCTTGCTTGTCAATCCGGCCTTGCCAGAGCCGGCCTGTCTCGTGACGCGACGGCCAGAGTCCATCCCAGGCGCTCTCGGCTTGCTTGCACTCTTGTCAGCCCTGTCGTTGCTGGCACACGATCGTGAAAGTGGCCCATCTGAGCATGGCCACGGGCATGTGTTTCGCAGCGCCTGCGTCCTATCAACAGTGGCTACCGTCTGAAAGGCCTACAACGGCGCCCACTTCGAGACGAGGTCAAAGCTGGGCGCGCCGTCTCGATAGAGGGTTCAAGACGACACGGACATTGCATTCTGCAAAGACGTATGCGCAATATTGCAGACGCGGATGTTCTATGACGGGAAGCCGGCGATCGAATGAGAGGCGTCCGACGGTGGGCGCTCCTGACCATGTAAGACACCGGGTGGAGCTTCTGTGACAGCAGACCCTTCCGTGCGATCCCGTCGACCGAGATTCACTATCGTTTTGGCCCGAGTGGTGAATACAAAAGCTTATCCGACGGGCCAGAGAGTGATGAAGTGCGCAATGAGAAGAGCAGCGAGATGTGTTGAGTTTTGTTACAACAGGGCTGTATGACAGCTCGCAGCCAGCCAGCTTGCTTTACATGCCGATCGCAAGCTGGTCTCAAGACAGACAGAATTGCATTTCTGTCGGAGTCCCGCGCTGTCCATGAATATGGGTCGGTGCCACATCCCGCTCTGGTCTATCTATATGATGTAAGGCTTGACAGACGTCCAGGCCGCGGCTCCTGTCGTCATGATGCCGGAAGCGATGAGCATCGGCCTCAGACCGGCTGCACATCAAGACAAGTCAGCGGCAGGCAGGGGCGTAAAGTCACGAGACTTGCCTGTGCTCTTCCAAATTGCACCTGTGCCAGCGCCTGCAAACATCGAGCCGTAGATATCATGCCGACCCCGATACTTGTCGACAGAGGAATTGATCGCATTGTAGATGAGGGCAAGCACGCCTGCATTGTTGCCCAAGAAAGTGCCTCGTCGCGTGATGGAATTGAGCACGGTGTTGAGTCGTAGCTTGAAGCCGGGGCTGCGAGGACTGAAAGTGGCCTGCGGTGCTTGGGCTGCACCCAAACCTGCCGTCGGGCCTGCTTGCGCTGCCGCTGCTACGCTCTGAAATGGAGCAGTCGCTGCGTGCGGACGGCGGCCAGCAGCAAAGGCCTCGGCGCCCGACAGTGTCGCCCCAGAAGCTGCTGTGTCTACTGTCGTCGCTGCTGCAGTCGCTGGAAATACCGAGGAGCGCAATGGCTTGGCAAGCCCTTCTCGGAGACCCCACAGACCACCCGTTGCCAGACCTGTCTTGTAGTTTCAGCATCTTTGCAATGCGCCCCTCTGGCCATACTGACCTGCTAGATAGGTCGTTCCGGTGCCGTAACAAAGCTCGTCGCCCCAGCCTCGGCTCGGCAATAGGCCCTTTGTGCCTTCGAGCGAATTGAGCTTGCCGTCCTCGAGCGCTGCAAGAGTGAAATGAGAATCAATAGCAGGAGGCGAAATCTTGATGTACCTAGATAGTCAAGCTCCCCACTGGACAAGTTGGCGAGTGGGTGCAAGGCAGCAGGATCGTAGGCATTGGCTTGCTGGAAGATCGCATTTGCAGTTGGAGCCTCAAAGGGTGCACGAGACCCGTCTGACGAGGATTCGCCAGATCGTGTGCTGAAGCTGGCTTGTCGCAGCATGTCCTGCGCAGATTGTGCATCTTTGCCGCTCGACGACGAGCCTGATGCTGCTGGAGTAGCCATTGGGGACCGTCGCTCGAGCTCGATCGTAAGAAAATCCTCGGCGCGTAATCAATGATGACACGTTGCAAGCTGAACGAACGTCGTGCGAAGCGGCAGGACTGATCGCTACTATATGCAAGCAAAGAAAGCTACAAAAGCCATGGATGATACGCTCAGTCTAAGTGCGTCAGATGTCGCGAGCTGCAGATTCGGTTTGCCCGCTTCGCGTGGCGTAGCATCATTCGCCTTCGGTTGAGGGGTCGGCGTAGGCACGGGTGCATTGGCTGCATATGGCGGCGAGGCATTCATTGGCATGACTGGCGATGGTGTTCCTACGTTAGGAGATGTCGGTGTTGGCTGCGGTTGCGGCTGTGCTGGACTTTGCGCGGTCGGAGTGCCAGCTGTCGGATCGGGAAATGTCGGATTGGCTTGTGTGGGCAGAGTTGCGCCGACGGTGACGTGAAAGTCAGTTGTGATAGGCTCTGCAATCGGCCGAATCGTCACCATCGTCTTGCCTGCGATGTCTGTCGCGACAAGTGTCTCGGTGAGAATGACATTTGTCTGGCTAAACACTTCTGGCAACGAGAATGGCAGTGTGGCTAGCTGAGCGATATTGGTGGCCGTCATGCCGTTAGTGAAGGGAGTGACAGACTGTTGCTTGGGTGGCGCCTTCTTAGGATAATCCGTCACATAGTCTGACGGCTTGCCGAGATCGGTGCCATCGATGTTCGAAGTGATATTGCCGCACGTAACTCTCGTGAGATCAGGCGCGTGAATGACGACAGATCGACCGAGAATACTGAATGGCTGCGGATAGAATCGTACATAGGGATCAATGAACGAAAAGGCAGGGGTGTTGCCGTTGACCGTGCCCTGCAGCTTGCCATGTTTGCCAGACAAGTCGCCCTCCTGACAATACCATGGCTGGCTGGGGTCGCAGGCAATATAGTCTGTTACCGAGACTGGATCGAGATGGCCGAGTGCGCTTGCACAATTGCCATCTGCCGAGATGGGATTGGTGTGGATGTGATAGCGATATTCGGTCGAGTCGTTGAGACCGCGAAGTACTCGCCCTTCGATGAAGGTGCCTTCGCCCTCTCTGAATTCAAAATTAAACTGTCACCTTAGTGAGCGAGTAGGTCGGTGACGGCCCAGAGGTGAGCTCACGATAGCTTCCACATTGAACTTGCCACCCGTCAACCGTGCGGTGGCACGCAGAGGGACAGTCTTGACAACGTCCCCTGCTGCTCTTCTCTGCAGTGAGCCTGACAATTTCGTAAGGCCTGGGCCAGACGAAGTGTTCGTCGCTACGCTCTGTAGGTCGATTCCTTTGACGACTTCGCCGACAGCTTGACCATAGGCGCGTGTCAAGCTGACGAGAGCGGTGAGCGAGACTGCGAGCAATACGTTCATCCTGGTCTCCTACTATCTCTGAGGACAATGAACCCTGATGAGCTATCTGGAGAGCTTGCATCGCTCGCGCCACTAGGATAGCCTCGAGTGAGTCCTGCCGTCGACGTCGCGCAGAGAGCCGTGCGCAAGTGAACATCGCGCAGCATCGAAGTCTTGCTCGAGGACAGAGTTGGGTTCGATGGCAGAGCTGTGTGGGGGAGGACCGCGGGATGCTTAGCCATCAGGCAGGAGGAGTATGACGTGCGCAATCGTCGGCCAACATGCCAACACGCGCCAGAGTGGAGAGTCGGCATGTTACGTCAGAACCGCTGGGATTCCTGAGCTCCTGGCCTGCTTGCGATGCCGATAGGGCCAACAGAAGGCACACACACGACCGATGTCGATCTCGGTGGGTTGTGGGAGCTAGCCGAGCAAGCCGCCGACAGGATCTGGGCTGAATCACCGAGGCCATTGAACGAGACGATAACACCTGCTTGGCCTTCACTCGGGAACGACCATGACCCGTACGGTGTAGCGGATGCTTGGCAAGGAGAGGAGAGCCGGACAGCGAGCTGGGGTGATGGCAGTACAGCTCCAAAGCCACAGACAACGAGTTCAGACGAGTGTTGCTCACCTACCGATCTGCAAGCCGTCTCGCCGACCTCGCCGGCAGCAACGGACGAGTCTACAACACACGCAGAGAGTGCAAGCGGTGGGACGAAGAGGCCTCTACCGCCGCTGGTCGATGGCGAGCAGACCTACCATTCGCGATTTATACAGCCAGGCATGATGTTCAGCGGCACACAGAGCTATTCACCGGCTGATCACTGCGCACTCGGCTTGCTCGCCATTGCCGCGCGGCATCGCCACAGACTCGAAGTAAGGGCCGAGGTCAGGGCGGTCAGAGAGCGAGCGGCTCAACAGGTAGCATCGGCTCAGGACGCGCTATCACGCATCGATGAGCAACGACGGCGGATGAATTCACCTTCGATACCCAACCATAACGTCCGCATGCGTATACTACGAGCTCCACCTGCCGTCGAGCACGATCACGACAGGCCGACAACTCGCCGCAGATTTGACCTTTCGGAGACCGTACAAGCCGCACAAGAGCGCATACGCTGGGCGCAAATGCCTGCCTTGCCACCTCGAGCGGTACAGAACCCTTCTTTGGCAGCTCCTCCGATACCTGCATTGCCAGACATAGCGCCGCCAGCTCTCGAGGACGAGAAGTGGATGGTTCGCGCAATGATTAGCCAAGTCGACTTGAGCAGCGGTACCCTCACTGGCATACTCGGTGAGTTGGTCCGATGTAGCAAAATAAGCAACGCTGAGTCAGTGTCGGCTCACAGAGGCAAGGGCTGTGCCCGGTTGTCCTCAAGCTGTCCTGACCTTCTTTGAAGGTGAAATCATCGATGGCCACAATCACACGCTCGAGACGAAGAAGTGGAGGACAGACAGAATGACGGACATGCTGTATTGGGCACGCTGTGCTCCATTTCGACATTTGCAGTCTCTACATTCTCTGCAGAACCTCAGCGAGCGTGATATGGGGCCAAGTCTCGATACCCTCGACTTGCACAAAGATCGCTACATTCTCATGCGATGGAAGGAGCGAGACTACATCAACGTCGATGTTCACGATTGCACTCTGACCATCTCGGGCGGCTACTATCTTTGTCTCGACCGCCGCACGGGCGCACTCGAGGGCTATTACCAGGATCCTGCTTCTGCACCGTTCCAGAAGCTGAGGCTCTCGCCGGCAGGCGACACAGACAGCGCTGGCGCTGTTCCCAAGATACCTAGTCTTTCGTACGATGTATGTTGATCACACCGCGAGGTCATATTGTGCGACGAACATGCATTGTTGTCTGTTGCAATTGTCTAACGCTTGCTACCTTTTGAAGGACCACTCAAATCTCCTGATGCCGATAGTGGCGAGAAAGAGCGACATGGCTACTGCGGCCACTGCGAGCGGCTTGCGCACGAGCGCTGCTGTCGAGTATGTGTACGAGATCTGGTCATGTTAGCCCACGGCTTTCGGCTCCGCTTGGCTACTTACAATCACATTCTCGGCATGCTTGTCCGAGCAAGCAGACTTTTGCAGCACGATAGCCGGTCGACCTGTCGAATCGAGGTAAGAGAATTGGATTTCGCGTGTCTCACTATCGACTGCAAAAGGCGTCTCAACACGAATGTGACTGTAGCACGTATCAATATAGGATCTTCTCGCGCAGAAATAGCGCACCTGGCTCCTTCTGGCAGAACGACGCGCGTCGTGACGCTGTCGTAAGCTGCGTTGGCGATGGGTGACAAGAACGGCACGGAGAGTACGTAACGGCCTGATCGACCTTTCGCTTTCCGGAGATATTTGCTTGCTGTTAGAATGTATCCAATTTGGAAATCGTAAGACCAGCCTCCGAGCAGCGGATATCGAGGGGCGAGCTCGATCTGGCTCGGTCCTCTTGCTCCACGCGAGGGTCTGAAGTGCGACGTCGAGACATTGCCGACGACATCGGTGAAGTAAGGTGATCTCGCACCATTAGGCAGCTGCACCGTGATGCCTTGAATTATATGCGGTATTGCGCCAGGTGCTCGTCGATTGAAAGTCGCCATCTGGAAGTCAACGCGAGAAAATTGGCCTTTCAGTCTGCATGCCTTATGAGCCTTTGTGTGACTTGAGTGACTGGTCAACCTACGCTGGGCCAGCATTGAGTAGGTCCATGCGATCCTCAACGCTGATGCTGTCGCTCCACTGGGAGACACCCACCGTTCTTTGCAGATTCCTAATGGTGACGAGTGGCAAGGGCTGCTCATAATGCACGCTCGCAACGTAGGACTCTCCGCTTGATGGTAGCGCAGACTTGGCGTCAAAGACCAGCGTCGGGCTTCCCGCTGTCCTTGCGAGCTCGAAGCCTTCTGGGGCGCTGTGGTTGAGCAGACGTGGTGACGGGCATCTACGTGCTGCATGAGATTGGGTTTGAGGTAGCCAGGCACAACTCACTTGATTCTCATACGCGCTTCCTTGATTGTATGATGATGCAGACCGGCGAGAAGGTCGCCAGTCCATTCGAGTGACTGGCTTTCGGTCTGTTGAGACAGTTGCGCTGGTTTGGGCGTCGAGACCTGTCGAGCGAGCGCGCACGATGAGTGAGCAGCGGGCCAGGTCCGGCATACAGCGTACATGCAGGTAGATCTCCGCGAGCGTGATCTGTATCTTGTCTGCCGTCGGGGCAGGCAACTGGACTGCGTAGTATTGCGTCTCCCTGCTCATCCACGCATTAACGCATGCTCGCGTGCGTACACCAGAGGATCGCACGAAAGGCTATCGTAACCCGCTTTCGAGACGGGTATAAGCTTCTTGCTGGACTTTGTCGTGCCTTCGTATGCTTCGAGCGAGCTCAAATGCGCCAAGTTCTTTGACTTGATGCCGAGATGCCAAGTTGCAGGCTCGGATGAGGCCGAGAGTGGCACGAGTGTGAGAGCAGTGTTGATGCGAGCCGTTGAGCCGCCCGAGAGGTCTATGGTACGAGCAAGAGAGCTGATCTCGTACTGATCTCGAGAGGCAGGCGTGTAGCTACTCGGCGCAGACTGACCAGGCGACGGGGCTGCAAAGACAGTCTGCTCGCTCGCTGCGGCCCATGTGTGCTGCAGGAAGCCCAGGCAGCCTGCGAGAGCGACGAGACGAGCTCTCATGACGGGCGACAAGCGATGGCAACTGCTCGACCACTGCTACTCCGCTCGAGCGCGACGGGTCGACGACGGTAGGCTTGCGACTCTCCAGGCTCATCTCATCGACACATGCTCAGGAGATCACTTTGTACAAGCACGAGCAGGCTCCAAGAGGCGCCCATGCGACGGCGACGCACTCGGGTCATAGATGAAAACACGAGCGCCTTTGACCTTGTTGGCTCGCCTGACCCAGTGAGCAACTTACGACCTGTCCAATATCGTTCCATCTTTGGGGACAGAGAGGTCCCTCTCGACAATCTGACACCTCTCGATCCCAGTGTGCATCCCTACACGGAGGAGTATCCAACGGAGGGCGCTCTCGCAACGGGTATGACCCCCCGCCTTGCTGCATTGCGCAGACGGTACGAATTGTACGACATGGCATGGCGTCTCCACAGGCGGAGAATGGACGACCACTCACAGACATTCTGGTCGAGGGTCAACATCGCTTTCGAGGAGGACAAGCAGGCCTACATCGAGCGAGCCCAGCAACGCGCCAAGTTGGCCAACCAGCCTTTTGACGCAGACGCGGCCTTGCCCGAGTTCTATGCTGCCTGGCTCGCACGACACCGACTTGAATACAAGGACTACAATGCCGAGCTGTGGCGACTGACTTGGAGTGCTCTCGCTCCCGCAATGATGGCTAAACTCAGAAACTGGCGATGGCGGTTCGAAGTCTGGCGAGCAGGAGCATCAGGTCATGCATGAATCACAACAGCGTGCTTCTGGACTCTAGCCAGTATGTTCGTAGACGGTCGTGATGAGTTTGCCAGCTTGGACGACTGTCTTCAATTGCTCGGGCACAGCCTTTTCGGTGAACATGCCTTCCTCGCCTGACGCATCGGGCAGGCTGACGTTGATCGAGCTCGTCTTGGCGGTGATGATCTCAACGTCTAGACTCTCCTTTGACAAGTAGATCTGACCGACGTCTGTGGCATCGATCAGTATCGTAGGCACGCGGCCCAGTATCTGAACAATGAAATTTGGTGACGACGTGACGGCAAGCGCAGACACGGTCGAATCGAGCAAGACCGATACTTTCTTGCATGACACTGCCGCTCGACCGATCAGACCAAGAGGGGATTGTTACTGGCAAACGACTCACCGAGAGATATCGCATTGACTTTGCCTTTGATCTGGATGACAGATCTTTGGCAACCAAAGATGTTGACGATCTGATTGATCTCTGTCTGGTCGATAACGATGCTGCTGTTGTCCATCTGGTTCTCCTGCTCCGTGCAGATCAGCAGTGCCCTAGGCGAGCCCGTGCCAAACTTGCAATGAGCCATTTCTGTCCCTCAAGCTCAAGCTTGGCAGGTTTTGCCGTTACCGCAGGTTTCGCTAGCGCACTTGGCTTTGCGGGCTTCGCTGGCGGTACTTTGTCTGTCATATCAGCTAGAGCCTGAGTATACACAGAGAGGACTAACCTGTAAGCGATGGATTCGCAATTGCGCGCAGAGCAGGATTCTTGTGCGTCTGCTGGGAGGGATCAACCTTCTTCAGGCCTTTTGTGACCGATTCGCCCTGGTTGAGCGCGGAAAAGACAGAGGTCATATCGCCGGCTGCAGCTTGCTTGGGCGTTGCGTTGATGGACTGGCTCGAGAAGTCTGTCAGGACTGGTGGAGCGGGCGGTGGGGGAGGTGGAGGTCCTCCTGCCGGCGGTGCCGTATTGCTTGCCTGTGGCGCGACATAGGTCTCTGGATCTACGCCCTGCTCTTCGCGGTCAGCTTGGTTGTCGAGGCGAGGAAAAGCATGTACTTTGGCATTCCAAGAGACGCCTGTGGTGTGATGCTTGATCACATATTGCCGCAGGGAATCCAAGAGAGCGAGAAACGATCGCGCCCATTCGATCTGCTCGGCATCACTGCGCAATCGCTGAGCACCGTCAAAAAACGCACTGATGCGTTACGGACGTCTCTTTGAACTCTTTGATGATACGATTGGTATAGAATTCCGCCGCGTCTCGCATCTCTTTGATGAATGGTGCAGGCGTTTTGACCTGCACAATGTAAGCTCCCGCGAGATGCGCCGGCAAGCAAAACCTACGATGGTGACCCATGCAAGTGAGGGTATGCCTTCTTCGACCATCTTGAGATGATTTGCAAACTTTCGCTCGCGGCCTTTCTCCTGGACTTTGCCCGCCGCGGTGATGGCTTCCGACATGGGTTGCAGCATCTTGCCGTACGTCGAAGATGACTGTGCAGGCTCTGCAACGCGACTGGCCGTCTGGAGAAACTCAAGCTGACTTGTAAAGCCTGCTTTGACAAACGCAGACTAATCCTCGCTTCGTCAGTCTGGCAAAGTGCGCGTCACGTCAGACGTGCCTGTTGATCGACTACGCCGCCAATGGCTTGACTGAGCGTGACAAACTTGTCAAGCGGTCCTTGAAGCACATCCTGAATAAATTCATCCACCGAAGGCGTGCTTGCTGTGCGATCCGAGGCAGCTTGAGCAGTCGCGAGAGCGGGTGAAGGTGTCTGCGGAACGACGCCCAGTCCCTGAATCGCTCTAGTAGGCGCGGATGAAGAGGCAGGCTGAGCGGATGGAGCTGTTGCTGCTGCTGTGGCTTGAGTATGTGCAATGTCCTCTAGTCTTGCTGTTGCCGCCTCGAGACTGCACACGAGCCAGGGTGAGCTCAGTGGAACATGCGAGGGGTACAACGGCCGGCGCACCGCTTGAGTAGCGTGCCGAGTAAGCCGACGCCTGCCTGTGGCAAGCTGCCTGCGAGTCCTTGCATGGCCTGTCAGCTTGTGATGGGCTAAGCTGCTGGACGAGTCGAACACGCGAAGCAACGAGCACCTGCCAGCTGCTGACCCCGTTCTCCTGAGCCTACCTGCAGCAGCTAGCAGCCCTCCTCACGAGCTCAGCATCTCCTCTGTGTATGTCCGCGTACACAACGCCATGGCACACCAATCACGCTACGACACTCACTCGAGCACATTCGTACAAGAACCGTTCAGCGCTCCAGAGAATGAGTCGGACGAGCTCTTCGAGTATGTGCACTGTCTCTCGTGCAGACGAGACCCGATAGAGACCGGTATCGCGCACGAAGACGGGAAGCTGTTGCTCTGGCTTACCGAATGCGGCCACATCGTCTGCAACATCTGCTGCCGCGATCAGTGGCAGGTAGGCACAGAGCATCATGATCATCAGCGCGCTGCCCAAACGAATGATGCTACTGCTAGATGCAGCAAAAATGGCTTGTCCTTACCTGATCGTCCCGTGCCGGGCGCTAGCTGATCAAGCTACAGAGGGCGCCATCGCAGCAGAACAAGGTCAAGGCACGCTAGCTTCCTGTCCGCACTGTCTCGCTGGTCCTGCACAAGTCATCATCCTGACGCTGCATCAGGTCTGTCCGCTCGTGGCCATGCGTGTCCTATACTGATCCGGCAGAACAGATGCCAGAAGGCTTCAAACACTACTTCACTCGCCTCGACAAGCAGCTCGACAGACTCAGAGAAGCCTGCATCTTCCAGCAAAGCTACATGACAGACCATCTTCAGTATCTCAAGCAGATTGCCATCAAGCAAAAGGCCACCCTGCTGCAAGTCAAGCCTCAGCTTGAGCTCGCGCGGGCTACGAAAAAGTCGGTCGCTCTTCAATTGCCGCATCTGTAACAAAATTTGAATAGCTCTCATGAATACAGACACTGCGAGCAGTTGCAAGCTGAGAACGAAGCTTTACGTGCTCGGCTGCAGCAACACGAGCAAGTACCGGTCCACATGACCCCAGACCTGACTCGAGCACGTCCGTCCAGTCGCGCACCACAGGCCGCCTCTAGTCACCCGGCAGCTATGAGTGTGTCAGAGAATACGTTTGCTGGGCCCCGAACGCCTCAGCGCCCTATTCGATACGAACAGAATACACGTGAAGTGAAAGATCACAGTCGCGCCTCTGTCTGCGCGACCCCAAGGCAAGGAGCCTTACAAAGTCACCTTCCGAGCTGATTCTCTCTTGTGGACCTCTGCAGATCAGCTATGGGCTCGCACGATCGTCTCAGTCTGCCACACGATCCCATTCGGACAGCTCCTCCCTCTTCGCGTTCATCTGCCATCGTGCCCTTCCGGCCACCTGAGATCCACCGATCTGCTTCTCTTGCGACCACACCATCCAAGCGATCACGCTATACTCCTGCTGCAAATCCTGCCCATCTGCACACGAGCCCGAGCACGCGCTCAACGCCAAGGCCTTCTTCCGTGCTCAGACAGCCTATGCCACTCAGGACGACTTCGGCGCTAGAGAGATTCAGATACACTTCGCCACGGTCTATGAGCAGACAGTCTGGCAGCAGCGCGATGCCCCCTCCGCCTCTTCCGTTCACACGGCGAGGCGTCAATTAGCGCGCAATGCATAACTTTTGCCCGATCACCTGCGCGAGCCTGTTCGTGTTTGAGATCATAGCTGAGACGAACTTATCGGCGGCTGCAGCATGCGGAGAGGGCTTGCCACTCATAGACACGCATTCCATAGCTGAAGAGAGCCATTCGCTGCCCTGATTCCTACTCGACAAGAGGACCGTGCCATCGCAGACCGTGCACGGACAAACAAAAAACACGATGGCTTACTACGACAGAGACGAGCACTATCGCAGTCATGATGATTATGCTCGACCATCAGACTACGAGGCGCCCGTACACAACAGACATGACTCCGCCATGTCAACGCTGACAGCCAATGGCGAGAAGGGCTATGGCACCCCTCTTGAGTCGAGACCGCAGTCAGTCTTGCCCGTGTTAGGCGCAGACCAGCAGAGTCTATCGAGATCGCAGCGGCTCAAGCGAGGTCTACTCCGACCTGAAGATGCAACGGGCAAGCGGCGGAAGTGCTCGCCCATGAGATGGATCTGCGCAGCTCTTATCCTCATCATCCTCATCGTCATCGGCGTCGTCCTTGCTTTCATCCGTACGCCAAGCACTCATAGATCCTGCGTGGCATAGCTGACCATCTCAGATCTTGCGTACAGTCTACGTTCGTGCGCCCAATGTGACCGTGCTTGGTATCGAGCAGCCTGCCAACACCGCCTCCATCTTCAGCCTCACCTCGGGCGGCTTCGACCTTGACTTCAATCTCAAGGTCTCCGTGGCCAATCCCAACTGTGAGTCTGCACTCCTGCATCAGTTCTTACATGCTCACGCAGCAAGACAGACTTTGGCGCCTTCGTCAACGGTGTGACGGCAAAAGCATACTACCCGACCAACAAGACCCTGCAAATCGGTGGCGGTACGCTCGACAATCTCAATATTCCCAGTCGCTCCAATACGACATTCGACTTCCCTTTCCTGCTCAAGTGAGTGCACTGCGCGCAAGTCGGTCGATTGCGCTGATATGCACGGCGCAGCTACACCGGCGCTGAAGATCCGAACTCCGTCATCTTGACAGACATTGCTACAAAGTGCGGCTACATCGGTAGCAGTACTTCGCAGATCGATGTGGACTATACACTCTTGCTCGACTTGAAAGTGCTCGCCTTCAAGATCCACCCGACAGTGTCTTCCTCGGCAAGTTTTGACTGCCCTCTCACCAAGGATCAGCTCGCCAATGTAGTCAGTCAAGTCGGCGGCAGTATCCTCGGCGGTCTCGGCTCAGCGCTAGGCAGCCTATTCGGCGGCGGCAACTGATATGCTATGATGTATCTGCTCTGACGACCTGAAATTGTTCAAGTGTATGTACATAATGCATCAATGTGCTATAACAGATTTTGCAGCAAGCAGATGGCGATGCGAATGAGACCACTATCAGCAATGCAATTCGGCTGATTGAATGAGCCTGTCGAAGTCGCAAATGTTGTAGCAGCTGACCGTGCAAAGCTGGTCACGAATGGTGTGATGAATGGGATTGCAAAGGGCGTTGTTTCGGACGGCGGCAAACTTGTCACTGCGGTCGCTTGTGGCACCGAATTGAATATCGCGGATGTAGTCGTCGCTTGCACAGACGTTGGGATTGAAGCCGCGGATATGGTAGTGGACGAGCTTGCGACCGTTGCAGCCGGCTGTACGGTAGCTGCTGACTGTGACGACGATGAGGCAGTCGCGGGAGCACTGCCTGGTGCGGCAAAGAACCACATCGCAGCGATGGGTGCTCCCAAATTAGCAGTCTTGCTAAAGGCGTCAACTTGGAAGTGTATCCTCGGCGTTCCAGAAGGCACGAGCTTGCTTAGATCGCCGGTTGAAATACCCAGGGGTTGCTGGTAGATCAAGGCAATCATTCTGCGCAATGTCAGCTCGCATCTCCGCGAAAGTCGCCCTGCATACCTATGAGGTCCGGACTGATCTGCGAACACAGGTGGCACATATTCGGCAAGCGATTCGGCCGCAAGCGACATGAGAGGAAAGCCTTGCGAATTGGCAGCAGTAGGATCAATCGTGAGATCCTGCGCCAGCATCTGCACTGTTTGGCTGCTGGACTGGTCAGCGTCATCTAGATTCAAGAGTCGCTCGCTTACCCGTTTGCAGCGTTGCTAGGAGTCGGCGAGTCAGCGTCGAGCTATGGAACGATCAGCTATAGATTCTGCGCGCAGGCCAGACACACCAGGAAAAAGAGAAGGGCGACAGGCGATACACTCGGAGAGGTCGGCGCAAGAAAGACCTGTGGCTCTTGCTGCAGATCAGATTCAAATACAGTCATGCCGGCAGTGATGTTGATGCCTGTCGCGGTCGTCAGGCTGAGTAGCGCGATTGGGTTGAAGGATGAGATAACGTCGAAGATCAGTCGGGAGGTCTGCAGACCCCTAACAAGATTGGCGAGATGAGCGTTCGTAGAAGCTGGCTCCAGTCCAGCTGCATCGAATACAGTCTGAGCAATTTGCGTAAGATCTCGTTTCTGATGACGGCCGCCTTGGGCGAATGCAGGTCGCTGATACGTCGAAGGCAGATTGCTGTCATCCGACGGACGCAGCAAGCCTTGAAACGGTGGTGGAATTGCTTCTGAAACAGGCGAAGGAACAGATACGAGCGAGAAGCCTGGCGGCAGATCATTCAGATCTACATCCAACGAACGAGGCTGTCCTGCAGCTCGCAAGGTCTTGTGCGTCACATGCCGAATCGCTACCGCGTAGCCTGGCTGAAGCAGAGCAAGGATCAACACCACACTGATGCGCATCGTGCAATTTCCACAGAGCTGGAGAGTATCAAAGCATTGCAGCAGTCTTGGCGAGATGCGTGTGCTGAGACCGCAAAGATGCGCACGGACATTAGGTGCTTTGGGCTCGAGATGGGCACGGAGATTCGCTGGGCCGCAAACAAGTTCAGAGAAGACATTCCGGAGGCGTTGTTGCGCATGATCACGCAGATCGCCAGGTGCCTTCGCGTTCCACTCGAACTAGGATTAAGCTATTTTCATCGCTCGGTAATATCGGCGTACGTCGGTAAGTCCGTACTTCGGAAGAATACTTCGGCCGAAACACGAAGCACGCGTCGCTCAAATACTCGCCGTACTTTCGACTCATCGTCACTCCCCAGAAGATGGATACGATAGAGCAAAGGCCGAGCGCAGATGCTTCAAATGATAGCAAAAGCGTTTCTCCGACTCGACAGCCGAAAGAGAAGCGCGAAAAGGCTGGCGCAAAATGGCAAGCGCAAGAGACACAAGAAATTCCCAAGAACAACCTATTCCTTGTCTTCACGGGCCTGATGTTGACAGTCTTCCTGGCTGCAATGGATCAGACGATTCTGGCTCCAGCGATACCAACTGTTTGTCTGCGTCTTGCTGCCATCGTGCACAAGCTGAATTTCGGGTCCAGATCGTACGGGATCTTAACGACCCCAGAGGCTACTCGTGGATAGGCTCAGCTTATCTACTGACAGCAGCCGCCTTCTCGCCGCTATACGGAAAGCTAAGCGACCTCATTGGGCGGAAGATCGTGCTCTATTTTGGCATCGCTATGTTCCTGTTCGGTTCTGCACTTTGCGGCGCAGCGAAGAACATGGTCTGGCTATGCTCAGCACGAGGCGTTCAAGGTATTGGCGGCGGTGCTATCATTCGTACGTGGAGCTAGTGTGTTCATTTGGACCTCGATCTGACGCGTGCTCGTAGAGATGGTACAAATTGTCATCTCAGACATTGTTCCTTTGAAAGATCGAGGAAAGTACGCAGGCGCAATCGGCTCAGTCTGGGGTATCGCAAGCATTATTGGACCGACTCTGGGTGGCCTGCTCGTTCAGCGAGTCTCCTGGGTTTGGATATTCTACATCAATTTGCCGACAGGAGGCTTCGCAGCGGCGCTGCTTTTCTTCTTCCTCAACGTCAACCCGCCCAGCAAGAAGCGCACTTTACGTCAACACATCCGAGCATTCGACTTTTCAGGCCTCTTCTTCTTGGTTGTCGGCGTCGTCTGTCTGCTCGTTGCGTTCAATCTTGGCGAAACTGACTGGAGCGCCCCCCCTACTATCGCACTGCTTGTAGTCGGTCCCGTCCTGCTCGTCGCTGGCGTCTTCAACGAGATCTATGTAGAGCAATATTTGCAGCGAGAGCCAATCGTACCGCCTCGCTTGTTTCACACACGAACGACTGGCATCGTACTCTTCACTGTCTTTATTCACGCTTTCAGCTTCTTCGGCGTGTCCTATGTATTGCCGACCTACTTTCAGGTACCGTTGCTGACACCTGGTATGAATGTGCTTAGCTAATTTGCATGGCAGATTCTTGGCTCAAATGCACTTCTCTCTGGCGTCAAAATGTTACCGCTTTCACTAGGCTCGGCGGTCATGGCAATCGTATCGGGTCAGATCGTTGCTCGAACTGGCAAATACAAGCCATCCATGTGGTGTGGCTGGTTCTTCATGACGCTCGGCTTTGGACTCTTGATACTGTTGCGCGCAAATAGCAGCATCGCCGAACAAGAGATCCTGCCATTGATCGCTGCAGTCGGCATTGGGCAATTATTCCAGACGCCGCTGCTTGCTCTACAAGCCTCGATACCTATGGCGAGCATGGCCACGGCCACGGGCGCCTTCGGCTTCATTCGAACGCTGTCGGGCGCAATCGGTATCGCCGTCTCAGGCTCAATTTATGGCTCGCTGGCCAAGAGGAACTTGATGAATATCCCGAATTTTGATGCAAGCGTCATTGGCGGCCTCAACAATGTCCTTGCCACGAATTTGCCGGATCTGAAACATTTGCAGCCGCCAGAGTTGCGTGAAGAGATCATGGCGGCGTTCTGTGACGGCATACGCATCTTCTACGTTGTGTGCGCGCCCCTTTGCTTCATTGGTTTCTTGTCAACCTTCGGCATGCGATCATACTCGCTCAACCGAGAAGTCGTCAGGCTTCCCGGCAAAGATAAGATCGCGCCAGGTGATCCGGTGCCAACGGATGCCGCCAAATCTGACGACATCGAAAAGGGCTCAATTCAGTCCGAGAAGGACGAAGGCGAAGCAGAGAAATCTGCGGCGCCAATATCAACGATAGTTGCAGCGAGCGCGGCGGGCGCGATGCCTGGCCAAATGGGTGCTACCAATGGAGTCAATGACGTCCCTACAGCGCCATAGTCAGCACAATGTAGGGCACAACAAGTATAGATGTAAGCAGTATCTATGTCACCTCATTACTTGTAGCAATGTATTGCTTGCGCTGTACGCCGTCCGATCGTTCGAGGGGGACCTTATCGTTCAATCGATTATGGAATGGCGAGGGTGGCAAAAGCGCGCTCAGACCTTATCCAGATTACAGTCTATGCGCGCATCTGGGGGCTATCGATAGCAGATTGTCGTCTTCTCCCTCTTGCCTGCCCCTCGTCTTCCTCTTCCTATATCATACACCATGCGGGCTGACTCGCTCCACCATCTCACGGAACAATGCTGGGCATAACGCTTTTGAGCCTGGCGCTCATTGACCTTACAGTTTGCTCTGTGACTGTGCCTTTTGCGGCAAGAC